TCGCAAAAGTGGTCGGCCCAGTTTTATCGATTTTCCCCGATTTGGACCCCTTGGCAAATTCGAGGTGGGTGAACGAACAGAGTGCCTCACCCGTTCGCGGCTTGCCAGCGCCAAAACTCGTTCTCCTGCCGCCGCCGCCGGGTGCTCCCTATCAAGGCGGAAGTATGTCGGCCAGATTTTTTGGCGGTTTACGCAATCGAGTCTGGGTGTTATGATTTCCCAGTCCGTGACCTAGACGTGTTCATTGGCGCATCGAGTCCCGGACCAACGCACGAGAAACAGAAGTTACCATACGCACGCAGTAGTTCGAACTTCGCACAACCTTGTCTACGCTGCATGCTTCTCAACTTACCCAGTACCTACTGTACATCACAACCAAGGTAATTACAATATGCGCCTATTAGGTCGACATGGTTCTGTTCTCAGGGTCACCCACCCCGTGCCTTCCGTCAGTCCGCCGCTTCTTCAGGGCGGCGAGCATCCCGTGCATCCAATCACCCTCATCAGCCAGTCTTTGTGATCGGAAGAGCGGCCCACCGGAGAAGTTAGCTTGGCCAATCGTCGCTGAATTGCAATCCGCGGGAAACTCCGGAGTCTTGTGAAGCGTAGTCAGATTAGCTGAAAATGAAAGAAAAAAGCCAAACGTTCCTTCGGGACAGCACTGATGGAGGTTCACTCCAAGCTGAGACTGTGCCAGGCAGACGGGCCGAAGTCCAACCCCTGTCAGTTATCTTTGCAGTGCACGCTGTTCCTCGCATCCATGCTTTCCAGATGGGAGGGAAAAGTAGGTAGTCCCACCATGACGCCATGATAGTCAGCGCCCCGCGGCAGTGTGGGCCGGCAAATGAGGAGAGAGCATTTGAGTTTGAGACCTTCCTCTACTCGTACACTATTATCCCACTAGTTGGGAGCCTGCTTCCGCAACAGCGACTTATTACAGGACTGGTCGAGTGCCGAAGGGAGGAGTTGCCAGGCTGTTGGCGCTTGGATTCCCAGCCTTCCAATTCTCAGGCCAAGTGTCGATCCGTGGAAGGCTTAGATCAGCTGTCCCTCAACAGCTCTCACTTCTGCGGTGGACTTTTGTTGTTGGCTCCTCCTTGCGCCTGCTGAGCATTCGCCCAAGCTGCCATGGAACGTAATTGTCTCTGGCATACGCAGTAGGTGGTAGACAAGGTATGCGCCTATGTAATTATACAGTACGCTTAACCTCGGAGGGGAGCGAGAGAGCAATTGGAAGCCACGAAGCGAAACAAAGGCAAGCGAGATCGGCGGTATTGCCAAGAACGGAAAGCCGCCAATGCGCTTTCGGGCTGGGCTTAGGCTGACGACGACGGCAAGCCAAGCCAAGTCACTCTATTCCCACCATCCTGAGGCGCTAACCACTTTTGTAGTGGTTGTGCTGAGCTGTGAGCTGTGCTGTGCCAGTGCGCAAAACGCACTAACTTGACATGGTACGGAATACCTTAGCTCTCCACTCTAGATCGATCGTCGCCAACCTCGCCAACCTTGGCTTGAGCTTGGCGAGGAAGGTGCGCGCGAGGCGCGAATAACCCGAGGAAACCTGAGCAGCAACACCCACCAGTGACGGCCAGCGGCTGCGCCAGCACTGCGCCAGACCCACCCCCGGCCCCAAGAAGAGCCAAATTGAAGCTGACAGTGCCAACTAACCTCGCCTACCTTCCCTATTGACTTGACTTTGGGGGCTACCTTACCTTACCTACAACTCCGTGGCTGGCCGCCTGCCTGTTGTTTCGCTGCTGGCGGCTTCTGCTCCTGTTCCTCACTCCAGTGACTCCACAGGGGAACCCGGACACAGGCAAAACCAACACGACTTCAGAAACGATGTCCACTCGGCTAGCACCCATGAGGTCTAGGTTGATATGGCCCCGTCCTACTTTCCGGGCATACGCCGCGGCGGCCGTCCGTTGGACGGATGCTCTCGCCGCTCCGTTTGTTGGCCTGTGCTGATGCGTTTTGGTTTAGTAGGGTGCGCCGCGTTTTTTCAGGCGAGTGGGTTGGGAAACGCGCCTCTACGGCGTTCGCTCGGCGTGTTCCGGAGTGTTCGGACAAAGTGAGAACAATGTGGTGATTACAACCGCCTTTGACTTGACACTCTCTCAACTAAGATGCAGACCGAGGTTCTCGGGCTGGTGGTGGGCCGATAGTCCGTATCCCATCTTACCTATACGAAGAGATCATGTGATGAATGTATCAGAGGAGCGCTAACGCCGACAACTGTTCCCATGGTGAAAACAAGTTACTGGACTCGTCATCGTCGCGATGACAATTATTAAGATCCTGTTGTAGCGACAAACTGGAACAAACATTGGTTCTTACTACTACCACACATTATTCCAAAAACTACCTGGCCACGGCCGACCGAGCTCAACGAACACCCAGCGAGCGAGCGTGTGCGTGTGGGCGTGTGTGCGTGCGTGCGTGCCGGCAAAGAGTCTGCCATCCGCGTGACAAGTTTTTTTTTCTCTTCCCCTTCTTCGATCCAAGGACTCACATGGCGGCCGAGTCATGGCCTACCTACGGAGTAAGTCCTAGACATAATATTACCTGCCTCTTCTGCTTAGGCGATCTTCCTCCAGCATCTTCCCTGCTCGGCGAGCAACTATCGACTCATAACCTCGGAGGATTTTGACGCACGCCCTGCGAGATTCTGACACCTGGGCTTTGTGCAACTTCGGTCTAATAAGAGGGGGAAAGGCAAAAAAAAAAAAAAAAAAAAAGAGAAAGGCTGGGCCAAGAATTTTCAGTATCTATTTCCCCGTCTGTGTCTGTTGCTCTCACAGGCAACCCCCCTTGGAGTTTTACTCTCCTTTTTTTTCTTTCCCCTCCCCCCTCTCCTTTTTGTTCCCCGCTTATTTCATTCGGAAAGAAAAAATAAAGGGATGGCAAATAGCTAGCTCCAGGTAGCGCCATGATGCAACTTTCTCCGAAGCTGGAACGCCAAGTAAAACAAATAGCATGTAACATAATAAAAATAACAAAACGGCGGGATGATTAATCTTGGCTCGTCGTCGATTATTCACTAAGGGGAAAAAATTTACATTCACCAATGAGGGGGCCAAGGTTTTCCTCCTCGTAACAATCACTCGAACAAAGCCGTCATCGCTTATTGTGTAACGTCAGATCTAATGAGATTATGAGCCAGATCCGAGGTGTGGTGTGTGCTGTTAGTCAGCGAAAGCAAGCCCTTCCCGCCATCATGGCAGTCGAAAGCTTTATTTTTCTAGACACTTGTTTAGTTCATTCAGACCTTTTGTCCACATTTGACGTATGCGTGCACTAGTGATGTTAGGAGCTTACCGTCTGTCCGTAGCGGCGGCTGCTGCTGCTCCTCTGCCCACTTCCTTTGGTCCTTCGGCTCCGACTCGGCTCAGCAAGCATTGCCTTCCCCTAGTCCAACCACCTCCACGCCGTAGTTTTAGTTAGTTGGCTCTCACTTGTCTTGCTCATCTTGTTAGAGTAATGCAATAACATAACAACAACTCCTAAGAAAGGCAATTCGTACCGTACCTTGCCTGGCAAGATCCAACGGGGGGGACCCAACGGGGAGGACCCAACGGGATTTGCTAAGCCACTCCGTATTTTTTTCGCTCTCGGTTAGAGACACACGAGGAGGGCGAGAGCAAAGAGGGAAAAAAAACCGGGCCTCCGCCACCAAATTCTCCTGTCGCGTGGTCTGTGGCCTCCTGGTCGTTCTCCTCCCTGCCGGAACGCGGCGGATACGGGAGTCTCGGAGGAGTACCCACTGCGCCGGATGATGGCTTGCTAGCTTGGCCGCCGCAACATAGTGCGGGCGGGTAAACTTGCTCGCCCTGTTCCTTCTTTGCTTATTATTACTGACTGCTCATTAGTTTGCTGGCGGCTGTTCGCTGTCGGATGCTACTCGGTACTGTATTTCTTGTCTTGGGTGGGTTTTTGGGGGTGTTTTTTAGGTAAGAGGCCCTGCTGCGCCCCGAGCCGGACCGTTTCACAGCAGCTCGGGTACCTTTACAGTCGGAGGGTCCCCTTCGCGCCACGTTCCCAGGCTCCTCCCACTGGACGGCCACGCCGTGCATCGTAGATACAGTGCCATCTCTCTGTTGTTTTTTGCTCCTCCTGCATCCCTTTCCTCAGGCGCAGGCGCACAAGGTCCGCGCGCTTACCCAGTATCGCGGAGGAATATCCAGCCCCGTGGGCGGAGAAAAGAGACATGGCACGAAGGAAGCAGAAACACACGCGCCCCGGAGAATGTTTAAGCGAGTAAGCGACGGGCCATGACCGCATTAGGGGTAGGCAACGTAGGATAGGCGACGGCGTGACGTTGGTCGGTAGTCACTTTGTTTTCTCTCTCCTCTTCACGTCTCACGTACCGTAATATATGATTACAAAAATAGCCTATTGGCAATTCCAAAGGGAATGAAAATGAAACACCAAGGCGAAAGGGGGAAAATGGGAAGAAAATTCCTGCTAATACCGTCGCCACCCGCCTTTTTGTCCCATCGCCCCGGTCGGCGTCGGTGTAGCTGCTGCCTGGCGGGCTTGTCCTCACCTTTCTCGGTTATGGCCACGCCAGTCTTCTTCTTTGTTTGTTAAATTGTCTTTGCTTCTCGCACCGCCCCGCCCGAAAGGGAAATGGCTTCATCGGGGGGTAGTAGTAGTACCGATGACGGGAAAGAACGACGGACGGATGCATGGGCACTTTTACTCGTGTGCGTTCCCAATTACCCCTTCCCCGCCACCCCCGGTCGTGGTTGCCCCATTGCCGCGCCGGGTGGCGTACGGCACGGGGCAGGCGTCCTACCACGGGCAAGAAGGAGAGATGATTACATTTCCTAGCAACATCTTCTAGGGCAGCAAGCACCGCCGCCCGCCCGCCTGCCTGCTCGCCTGCCTGCCCCAAAGCTTCCGAATTAAAGGGATTTTCTTAGCATCCGAGGAGGAATTCTAAACAGACAAGAAACAACAGTAAAAAAGTACGAGATGTCGTAAGCGAACAATGCCACCAGGCCAGCCCAGGCCATGCTCCTGGGATTTCTTTCGCTTGATTTGATGTTGAATATTATTCCCATGCGGATATCTCTCCTCATCAGTGTTAAAAATAAAACGTTGTCCCTAGTCTTACCTTCCCCCCCCCGGTCCAGTAAGAGCTCATACGTAAGTGCCGTTTGCCATGTTGGTGGGTTGGCTTTGCTGTGCGTGTTTCTCTCCGGTCTTTTGTGCGCGTGTTGTTGGTCAAGGGTCGCCTTCCGGGAGAAGGGCGCCGCCGAATAGGACCGACCCTCGGCACCAGACAACCCGAGGCGATTCTGTGAGGAGCCAGGTGTGCCTCGACATGTTCTATTTCCGAGCCTTGGCTCGGGCTTTACCCTTCAACGCCTCTCATGATGTAGGGAGATGGCTGCTAGACGGCCTGAAAGCGTCATAAATGCTTCCGGAGAATAAACAAAGGACGCTATGTGGTTCATTACAAGTGTCCAAACAGCGGTCAACCGCTGGTGCTTTAGACTGGAAATTAATGAAACTCGATATGTGACTGCGTGTATGTGCACCCCGTCCAGTCTCGTATTCCAAAAGTTGGTGAAAGTGAGAAATGGCTGGTTCCGCCACCGTGAGAACCTCCATGACGCCGACAGAACGCCGTGCGTTTGCCACATCTAGGTCGATAGAAGACCGTCTACATTCTACCTATAGTGTGGTAGTACCAGTGGCAAGAGAGTATGCACTGTTGTCCTTTTAAGAAGATTTGGTGGGTTAGTTTGCGTTGAAAAATTTGGCTTGTTTACACTCTGCGGAAAAGGGCCATAGGAAATACATGTGAAACTGTAAAGCCTTGAAACTTTCCACGCCAGAAGTAGAATGGGATATTGTTGACACACCCGAGAAGCAAAAAAAGGGGCAGGCCAGGGGACCGACTTGTCACACCACCCATAAAGATAAGAGTTGTGACACGAGTCACACGCCAGAGAGAAGATAATTAAAGAAAAGGGGGCGATGAGTATATTCTAATCTACACCACAAACCCAACGAAAACAAAGTCTCCTGCACGTCAAGAACCATACCATATCTTCAAAAACACCACGTTGCAAGTATCGCCCGAGACGCACCTATGTGTGAGTTCCACGTACGCTTAATGGTGTCGTAGAAGCTAGCTAGCTAGAGTTCTAGGTTAGAGAGCCTGAGTTTCCTAACATATATTACACCAATATCACACCACTCAGAAGCGCCCTGCGAAAGTTTACAGGGCAGCCACCTAAAGTAAGGTAGGTCAGAATTCGACGAGTTAGCCTTTGCACGTCTACCAAATTCTATAACCGCATCGATGACGGTCACTACATCCTCTTGTGGGAAAAAAGTTCGGTCCACGGGAGCGGGAATAAACAACAAAAGGGAGGTCGAGACTTAGCGCGAAGCTCGGCGGTGGGCAGGAAGCACCTGTCGCCATCTGCGTTGACTAGAGGCAGGTAGGTACGCTGCTCCCTAGAGATACGAAGTTCGCAAGAATAAGGAGATACCCAATATCAAGGTAGAGACTCGAGAACCCACAGTTCGGCGAACTCATCGGCAGTCCACCCAACGCCCCAACATCAAGATGCCAAGGGGTATTCTGGAGCGTTGGGCATTGTGGAATAAACGGATAACAACTTCGTTTTGTGCAACTCCTAACCGTTATACTATTCTGGCCGAACTTGTCATAGCGTGCGACAAGGCTATATACCAAACAAGGTAATACCGGAAGAAAAGGGGTTGGCAATTTCTCCAGTTCGAAGAATTCCTTGATAGCAAAAGGGGCTCAACGCAAATGAGAGAATCATAATCATGCGGGTATCTCAATAACTAAAACATACAAAAATACGCTACAACCGTCGCCCAACCGGCGATCATACCGCTGACGACGACGTGGCCTTCTTTGCGTAGAAACCCGAAATATCTAGCCTCAACAACAGTTGCTCGATAGAGCTCTCCGGGGGTGATGGTCCGCGTCTGCCGTCACTGCCCATGAAATACGCGTCGCCACTGCTCTTGCCGGTGGGCGCCGCCGTGGCCGACTTCTCGCCGAGGCCGCGGCACACAGTTATGAAGACCTCGACGTTCTTCTTGAAGGCCGCGTAAAGCTTCTCTGGCGTCTCACCAGCGTCTTTATCGGCCAGCTTGTTCTCCACCGTCTGTGCTTGGGCACCGGTGCGAACTTGCTTGGCGAATCGGAGGATTATGGTAAACGTTTCTTCAAGCAACTTCAGGACGGGCAGCTGGCGCTTGCGTAGCATGAGACCAACCATGATGTCGTCGAGGAGCTGCTCCTGGCGGTCGCGGAGCAGGCCCGGGCTGCATATATTTGGTTTCTCCTCCGCTAGCCGTAAATCACCATCGTCATTGTTGGTCGTATCGTTAGAGCTGTTGGCGCCTAACGCCTCCGCCTCTGCCGTGTCCAGCCAGTCCTCGAACCGGCGCCAAGGGGCTGCGATGCCCGTGTCAAAGAAGTAGGCCGCGATTTGGCGGACAAAGTGGCGGGCTTCGATACAGAAGCGCGCTGATGCATTGCTTGGCTGTGGGGTCCCGCGGCGCCGGCTGCTGCGGCCAGATGGAACATCGCGGAAGAGCTGGTTAACGACGTAGAGCATCCGCAGTACCCGGAGCAAAAGCTTGAATATGCGGTCGTACTTGAGGAGGACCACGGGGGTCATGATAGGGCGAAGAGGAGAAGGTGGCTTGTACGATAGTTGTAAGAAATCAAGGGCCTCGATCGAGTCTGGGTCCATGCAGCGGTCGATCTCCTTGGGAGAGAGATCTCGGACGGCAAAGCTAAGGTCCCCCGGTAGATCGGACGAGTAGCTGCGTGATGCCGAAACGGGCCTACTGCATCCCATTGGCGCACCCCGGGATGAAGGGGATTCATAGCTGTCGGACAAGACGCCCATTAAAGCAAGCCGGAGTTCTGAGCTAGCTGGGGGCCACGAGTCTCGCCCACCCAGGCGAAGTCCCATCGACTCCCCAAGGAGCGCCACGCCAGCCTTGCGCTCAGCCGTTTCGAGGTCGGGATCAAAGAGAGAATGGGACAGGCGGCTGCAGAGAATCCCATTTCCCATCAGGAAATATTGCCTTAGAAGGTCGATATGGACCCTGAGATCGTGAGAGCTGAATAACAGTCGCATACACTCTTGGTTCACGAGCCTCGACTGCACATCAACGGCCGGCCCGAACGACAGCAGGGGAACGAGTGACCAATGGGGAGGGAGTCTCTTGTTATCCTCTGCTTGCTGTTCTCCTTTTTGATATAGGCGGGTTTGAAAGAGCACGGTAAGGGCGTCCGTCTTAAGAACGGCCTTGGGGGGTTGATTTAGCTGGTTTATTGAAGCGAGAATATTTGCTGCGATTTCAGCCTCGCTTCTCCCCAGGAATTGGAACTTGTATGCTGGCTCTCCCGAACTCCAGGAACTGGGCAGCGGGGCATCGGGTTCGGCTTCCAGAAGAGTTCCCTGAATCGCGTGGGAGAGGGCATCCTGGTAGTCGCTGATCTTGGTCTCCAACCGCTTTATAGAATCCCAGTCAAATTGCCACTCGATTTCTGGCGGTTTAGCTAGGGCGACGACACTTTGTCGGGATAGAGGATGCTCGGGATGGTGCTCGCGCAGGAAGCGAAGATTTCGGCCCGTCTCGAAAAGTGCCTGGGCGATGTCTTGGGGCACAAAAGACGGCATTTTTTCCTCGTCCAAAAAGAAGTCGGGTTCCTCGAGCTCATAGGCCTGGTCATCGATCCACATTCTGTCTGCAACCTTGACGAAGCCTTTGCCAGGTCCTTTTTTAGTGATGACGAGGCCCCTCTCCGCCTCGAAACCAAGCCATTCTTGGACAAAGTCAACCCAAGGCTGAGAAACAAGTCGCAACACCTCACGGGTGGCTTCACGGAGGAGCACGCTCCGGTACTCGGCAGACTGGGCTTCCTGGAATAGACAAGACAGCATTGCCTCGTCGGATTTCTGGCGAGCTAGCTTCCCCACGAGGTCTCTGAAATAGGACAAGACCGACTGCACTGGCTGGACGATGGCTTGCAGTTGGAGGATTGATCTTACACCGTGATTTCGGCTGCTGATCTCGGATTGGAGCGCCAACACAAGCCCATCGACAACCCTTGCCAAAGCCACGCGCGCCGGAGTAGAAGCAGCAGAGTATGCCCTGTCGGCAAATGACTGGAGGCGCTTGATAGAGTTGGCACAGTCAAGGCAAAGCCTATCGATGCACTCAATCAGCTCAAGAGAAAGGCCCGATGTTCTCAGGCGGGCGACTGTTTTGACAAACGAGCGTTTCTCCGAATCCCACGAAAAAAGAAGGGAGCTGCGTCCTAGGGCCAGGGTAAACAGACAGGCACAATACGATGCGTCGTCCAAGACATCGGATTCTGTGGGAGACGAAGCTCTTCCAGAGGCCAGCCAGGCATCGAATGCAATCGGGCCTGCCTCGGTGATAAATACGGGTGACAAGGGATTTTGAGCGCCTTGGTCAAACTTCTCCCAGGTCTTGGTTTCTGGGGCATTGGGGACGCTCCCCTCATCGCCAAGCCAGGGATCTTCCTCGGGCGGCAGTAGAGCCTCACTGCCGGCCTCTGAATGCTCAGGTTCAGGATCCTGCACCTTGGCGACATTGGAAGCCGGGTCTTTTAGAAGGGGAGGGATTTTGAAAAAGCCAGCGTCGCCTCTTGAGGAAGTGTCGTCATCTCGATCACAGTCCCACAGCAATGGAGCCAGAGCCGGAGTGGCTCCATTTCCAGGACCTCCGAAAGCTCCAAGGCCTCCAAGACCTCGAGGCGGGAGGACAAGTGCAGTGTTGTTCTTGGTGACGTCTATCGAGAAGAGAGGATGGGTTCGGTTGAGATCGAGAAGGCCGGACTCGAGCCAGCTGGACACGAGCCCGAAATCGGGAATACCAAAAAGGCTCCCAGCATCTCCTTCATCGGCCATCACTATTTTCCCGTCGATGCGGCTCGTGTCAGAGGCTGGGTTGGCGGCATTGGTATTGGCATTGGTATTGGCACATTCAGACCTGAATGCGGATGGGCCTGGAGTTTTTGGTTCACTTCACGGGTCGGTAGGTAAGGTAGTCATGCTTGCAGTGGACGAATAGAATACCTAGCTCCAAATCGCGATGTCTTTAGGTTAGCAGACGCGACTCGCGTAGAGTGCAAGAGCATCCCCGCAAATGATACAACTACTCCTATGAGATAGAAACACCCAAGCTTTATTATACTACTACAGTTACATAGGTATATCCATTCGAATCCACTATTTAAAGCTTTTCTATCCAATAATATCCTCCAGCTTTTGACCATGGCAAGATTTAATTGGCTGGTGATTCTGTCATTAGCAGCTCTTTAGGAGGTTTCAGCCCCACTGGATACTTGGCCAAGACCTAAGCTTGGAAGCTTGGAGGGAAGCTTGGGAGAGCTTGGTTCCCAATCCACCTCAGCTGCGGCATGATTTCCTCTCTCGCCCTTCAAACTAGAAGCATCATCAGCGCAATGCCAAATCACCCAACGATTACAAGCATCAATATCTAGTCAATTGATGCCGAGGCATTCTGGTTAGTTCCTTTCTCGTTAAGATTTTGAATTCGAGCAGCGATGCCGCCAAAAAAGAAGTTCGGGCGCCCCAGCACCCAAGCCGTTGCGACGCCGCCAGCCGCCGCCGCGACGCCCGTTCGAGATGACGATGCGATGGACATAGACACGCCAGCCGCGCCCGGGACCCCAAGTGTGCGGCCCCCCGCCCAACGGCGCGACTCGTTTTCCGATCCTTGGACCGATGACCAAATAGCCTCGCTCTTCAAGGGAGTCATTCGGTGGAAACCAGCGGGTAGGTCTCTATCGCATTTCACACCCTCGTAGCGCCCAAGCTCAGAAAGGCCCACCCGATTTACAGGTATGCACAAGCACTTCCGAATTCTTGCTATTAGCGAGCATTTGCGGAACCACGGTTTCGATCCCGACATGCTCCCCCACACGCGCGTCTCGGGAATGTGGGCGAAGCTGCGAGAGTTCTACGATCTCGACGCCGTCGATGAGAGAGAGTACAATATGGATCCGCTGGAGGAGGAAGGCCGGCCCCGCCGCTATCTCGATTTTAGTCTTCCGTGGGAGGAATACGGTGACCTGATGATTGAAAAGCGGCACGCCCCTCCTAGCGCCGCGCCGAGCAGCCCGCCCCAGTGGGATCCAACCCAGCCAGCAGGTGGCGCCGAGGGGAAGAAACGAAAACGTGCAGGGACAGAAACAGCCATGAAGGCGCGGAGCAGCACCGTCGAGGACACAACAGAAAACGATACGATGCCCCCCAGTCCTCCAGTACCGAGCCCGGCAAGGAAACCTGCGAAGGGTGCGAGGAGCTCAAAACGCACTGCAAGCAAGGCACAAAAGCCAAAAGAACCATCTTCCTCGTCTAGCGAGTCTGAGAGCTCCAACGAGGAGGGGCAGGGCGAAGCCGGGGAGGCCGATGCAGACGAGGAGAGCGAGGAGGAGGAGGTTAGCACACCAGTTGACACACCGGTTGCTAAAACAGGCAGGGGAGGCGGAAGAGGGCGTGGCAGGGGCAGGGGGCGAGGCCGTGGAAGAGGGCGTGGGCGGGGCGGCGGCTAAGAGGAGACGAAGTATCACAAACCGTTGAGTCTTTGTGTGTTGATGACTTTTATGACTAGACGAGAAAAAGAGCCGGGAGCCGTTGCACCGTCAATATAGTGGAGAGGTGAGGCGAGAGCTCAAAGGCGCTGCTCAATCATCTATGTTCGTAAAATTTTGTACGAAAAGGAAGCTTGTATCACCTGTTCGGGGTACAAGCGCTTGTGTTGAAGATCTCACGACATTTTCACAAATGTGAAATATGGTTCCAATGACATAAGTTGATGGGAACCTGGGACCAACTTTTGTGAACAACTGTGGCTTACTATCCTGCTAAGGACTACTAGCCAGGCGAAGGACAATAGATGTCGAGACTTCATTTCACGGCCAACTGTAATATGTTAGTTATACCTACCTACCTAGGTCCTAGGTAGCTTCGGTGCTCCATAAGATATCCGTCTTCTTTGGGTATTGTTTGTGTAATCGAGGACACGGTGCTGCATTTGGTTTAGCGCGGCCCTTCTATTGACCCATGACTTCTATGTCCTTCCGCCCGAATATAAATAAGAATAGAATGCCCAACCCACGCCTCGCTATCAAGGCGCATTGCAGCTAGACGGATGGCGCTGAGCCTCCTCCCCTCAGGCCCAGCCACCTCCAAACAGCTTATTTCTCGCAGAAAAGTGCCTCTTGAGGCAAGGATGCAAGGCACGTGATTGTGTTGCGGGAATTCTAAATCCAGAAGAAAGAAAAAGACGGTCTGTGGCGCAAGACTGCCTGTGTGTCCAGAGACCACAAGGGTGCGTGCATGTATAGCCATGGTAGTGTTGATGGCTGTGGCTTATTACACCTCCACTGGGGAAATACATGTTAGCTTGGTACGTTACCCACTATTAGTATCTTCCAGGGAGGTGTAGTTCAGGTTAAGGTTCTCTTCGCTATGTCGGAATTGTTTCGTGTGATGTTTCACCTCTCTAGGGACCATCCTTGTTAGAGACGTGACATCAGCCTGCGTTACCAAGGGTGCCCTGGTCTCGACATTCCTGGAAATCGCACTGATATAAGCAATTTAAAAAATAGCGTCTCTTTCGCTATGATCAACCCAAGCAAAGTTGAAGATTGCCCATGTTTGCAGCTTCGTTCCTCAAGGCTCTTTGGGCAAACCGCTTGCGGTTTGCGTCACCTTTACGTCCTCAGTGCCACGTAGTTGTCGGAAGGATCGAGACTCCAACCTGCTTTCGGCTCAATACCATGGGCTAGAGCCAAGATTTTTGGGGGGGAAATACAGTAGAGTGGCAAAGTAGGTGGCGCATTGCGTTAGAAGAATAACGAAATATCTTGAATGGACTAGAACTTGCGTAACAACCTATAAGAAGATATAAATTAAGGTGCTCCCCCACACCCCTCCTGTGTCACGCTATGAAAGAAAAGAATAAGAGAGAAGTTGAGAGGTGGACTGTGAAAATACTATTATCTAACATAAACTGCTAAGGCGTTTCTGCTGCTTTTTTAGTCCAGCCACTTAGGGTAGTACGAGTAGAGATAGTATCGGAGTGATCTAGGCCGAGTATTTGTTGTCGAAAATAAAGGCAACCCCGTATTAATGCTAAAGTGTGACGGCCCGCCTTACGCAGTAGGGATGTCAATGGTTGAAGGCAGCAACGAATGTGGATTTAAAGCTAAGGAAGAGAAAGGAATCTATCGCCGGGTCCGCGCAGGGCGCGGAGAAATAGGCAGTGGTGCTCAGTGCGCACAGGCCACACCCTAAGCACAATGCAGCCAATAGAATCAATCCTGTCACATGAGCCCTGTGGCGACCGTGACATAAAGCATCTTCGAAATTGCCCTGGCTTTTCTAGGTAAAAGCAAGATTGTTCATACTAGTTAGCGTATCGGGATGCTCGCCTCCTAGCACCTTCTTACTTAACTCTACCACCTATACCTGAAGCGTCTCGGCCTCCTTCCATCGACCTTGGCTCCGGTATGTTAATGCCAGGTTGGCGATGCTATTTAGCGTATCGGGATGCTCGTCTCCCAGCACCTTACTTAACTCTAGCACCTGTACCTGGAGCGTCTCGGCCTCCTTCCATCGACCTTGGTTCCGGTATATTGATACTAGGTTGGCGATACCACTTAGCGTATCGGGATGCTCGTCTCCTAGTACCTTCTTACTTAACTCTACCACCTGTACCTCGAGCGTCTCAGCCTCCTTCCATCGACCTTGGCTCCAGTATATTGATACTAGGTTGGCGATACCACTTAGCGTATGGGGATGCTCGTCTCCTAGCACCTTCTTCCTTAACTCTACCACCTGTACCTGGAACGTCTCGGCCTCCTTCCATCGACCTTGGCTCCGGTATGTTGATGCTAGGTTGGCGATACCACTTAGCGTATCGGGATGCTCGTCTCCTAGTACCTTCTTCCTTAACTCTACCACCTGTACCTGGAGCGTCTCGGCCTCCTTCCATCGACCTTAGCTCCGGTATGTTGATGCCAGGTTGGCGATGCTATTTAGCGTATCGGGATGCTCGTCTCCTAGCACCTTCTTCCTTAACTCTACCACCTGTACCTGGAGCGTCTCAGCCTCCTTCCATCGACCTTGGCTCTGGTATGTTAATGCCAGGTTGGCGATGCCACTTAGCGTATCGGGATGCTCGTCTCCCAGCACCTTTCTCGTGAAACGCTGCATTGTGCCCTTGTTGATGAGCCACTTTCGAGTAACTAGCTGTACAAGCCGGTGCATATTTAAGTTGTGGGCGTTGTCTTCAGTAACGAAAGAAAATGCCTTTAAAACCCCCAAAGCCTTTGTGAGCTGTATTTTTCCACTTAGATCTCCCCCCTGTTGTTGTTTGTAGTGGGGAAGAAATTCCGATGGAATGGCCTGCCGGTCAAAGAGACTCATGAGCGGCAGGATTTCGCTCGCAAAGGCATTCTGCTGTTGAATCTGCTCAAATGAAAGGATACATGTCTCCGCCACGGCACGAGGGGCCCCAGAGTCTCTGCCAACTGTCTCAAACTCCTCGCTTAGCAGACCCACGAGATTCTGGTCGCTTTGGTCTATAAGCTGAAGATAATCGCCGATTGTTACAGTATTCTCTTGGATGAATGCTGTTGCCTAGACTAAGGCCAGCGGTAGATACTCTAGTCGAGAAGAAAGTATTGATAGTTCCTTAGGAGTGAAGTCGACTTCGTCGAGTATTATACAGAGTAACTGGCCTGACTCATCCTTGTCCATCTTCCCAATCTCTATAGAGCCTTTTCCTTGTGTCAGCCTTAAGTCTGTTTGCTTATTTCTAGTTGTGACGAGAATGGCGCCGTGGTTGCACTCGGGAAGGTAACGTCCAAGGTTGCCGTCGGTACTAGGTACACCGGTAATCGTAGGCTCTGGCTGCTGGCTGAAAAAGACCTCTGTGTCACCGGCATTGTCGATGACCATAAGCCACCTTACACAGTCCTCTTTCTCTAGCCATTTCTTTACTAGCAGCAACATATCTATCTTGGGGTCGTTATAGCCGGGGACCTGGCATTCTTGCGCGATGGAAGCGTACGCCTGGCGGAACCGTTCGGTATTGCTTGCGTAAACCCAGAAGACCGAAATTTCTGTGTGTGTCTTTCCAAGCCAGTATGAGTATTCCAGAGCTATCTGCGTTTTCCTACATTGGTTAGAATAGGCTGGAAACGTAGGTAAGCAAACTAAGCCGATGCCACCAAGACCGAAGAGTGCGATCCTCGACTGCGAAGTAGATTTGAAAAGCTGCTGTTGGAGCTTCTCAAGGATAGATGAACGGCCGGTGAACATATCATTCCTCGAGTAAGGAACAAGAACTACAGCTATCATTAGTGCCTTGCTCCCAGACAGTGATAAATCTACCTACACCACGGTCCGGTAGGTTGCTTTACAATATGTTGATATTCTAATGGAATTAATTAGTAGGTATTCCCAGTAACCTTTCCAACGAGTCATTCCATACCTGGTAGCGAGGGCGCCCAGTAGTCCAAAAAAGCCCTCATGCACGCCGCTGCTGTCGCCGCTGCGTACCGCTGCCACGCCTTGGCCTTATGGCTATCTGCGTAGTCACACACGCCTTTGATGACCGCCACACATGGGAAGCTATCCCACACCCCCGCGCCTTCCATTTCGAAACCCATAATATCCTTTGGCTTCGCAATAGCGTTACGGTTTTTGGCTGACTTCATCACTGTATCGCCCGAGGCAATGAGACCAAAGTGGATGGCAGGCCGCAGGTTGTCCTGCTCGAGTCGCTTGCGGGAGACCACCGGCCCGTTACAGCCACACTCCTAGCACGTCCCAGGGCCAATGTGGTGGTATGCTGCTACAAACAACCTATCATGGGCGCGGCCTGGGTAGTCGGCTGCTAGATCCGGGTCTCGCTTGCCTTGGATTACAGTCAAATAGCTCACCATCTTATCTTGGAGCATCTTCCGGTCACTCTTCAGCTTCGCCAGCAGAGCGCGAATCTCAACGTTTGGTCTTCCAAGAAAGTCCAAAAGTGTTTCCTTTGGTACGAAGCATTCAGGTAGCTGGCGCCCAAAATCATACTGGAAGATGCCCTCGGAGATGACGTCGCCGAGCAGGATCTCGTCGCCATTCGGGCTATTCGGGACAGCACCGCAGACCCCGACCATAACCGCAAGCTTGATATTGGGGAAGCTTGCTCGGCAGTCGGCGGCGACAGCCGCTGCGCTGGCTTTTCCCATGCCTGGCATATGGGCCAGCACGACGTTGTGGTGGCCGACGGCGCCGACAGAGTAAGCGTTGCGGTCGCCCGGGGCTTTGCCGTACGGCGGATCGTCGCCCCAGTGGTGGTCGAAGAGGGCGGCGACGGCACCGGCCTCAAGGGGGAGGGCGCAAATTACTACAATCTCAAAGTCACGACGTGCGGCTGGGCGCCGCAGGGGGGTCATTGTTCGAGCGGGTATCAGCCCATAGGGGCCTTGTTGAGCTGCGTAGTCTTGTGTGTCCTTGGGCGATCCCTTGCTCGGGACTGTATCTCCGAGGCCGTGAGATGGGTTAACACCAGAAAGGGTGGCCTGAGCCGGAGATCGTTCCATCAGGACCTGCTCGGTTGTCGCGTTGCCTGCGCCGGCTCTATGCGAGAAATTATCGGGGTGTTGTTGGGCTGCGTGGTCTTGCGTGCTCTCAGGCGCTTCCGGGTTCATGATAGAGGGGAAGGTCTGAGCCGGGGATTGCTCTATTAGGTCTTGCTCTGTCGTTACGCTGTCTGCGCCGGCTCTTCGTAGGGGTTGCTGCAGTCTCTGCAAGAGCTGCTGCAGCCTACATCCGCATAAGAGCTGTATTTTGAGTGGTGATAAAAAGCGCCCCTTGTTGTAATCTAATCAATTTTTGTCTTGTCTGTCTGCGAGGTGCGCGGCTCTTTGCCATGGATGCTTGGAATATAGTTTCCCAACTGCTGCGTAACTACTACGAAGCTGCAAAGCCCTCTTCAGAGAGAGCGCCAACCTCGCGCACGTGATATACCAGAGTCTGGGATTTCTAACCTTGGGGATATCCGCCGCGCCCATCTAGCCTTAGAAAAATCATCACCTTTTACTACTTTTTGCACCCTTCTCGGTATTACCGCTTCAGTATAGCTTCCACCACAGCAACCTGGCCACAACATTGTCCTGTGGGCAGGGCCCTCAGGGGCTGCCAGTGGCCTGTGACAGCCTTCCAGGGATGTGGTTACCCTTGGTGACCGCCACCCCTATTCCTTGGTGGGCTCCTGAGCAGAGGGCTCTCCTGTCAGGGGTTCAGGGCCCAGTTGGTAGCCATATTTTAACAATAATATAGGAAGAGGTTTTATTAAGCTTAAAGAGCTATAACGAGCGGCTAGTTGGTTTATTGGTTGGTTACGAAGCACTCCATCCCACGGGGCGGCACATGCCCAGATCCAGGATGCACATTGAAGAACTCCGCCGGGCGCCTATTCAGCTATTGGTATTATCGAGGAAATATAGTATAACCGTGATTAATTATGTTCTATTGGAGCTATTTCTAACTAACCCAACCGTTGGCTCGTACAGTACAGATCGTGACGGAGATGCGTGGCATGAGCCACCTGGGGAGCTAGGCTCCTTCTGGGCCACGCATCAGTTGGATGTACGCTAAGCGCCAAGGCTGCTATGACACAGGTACCCACACGGTACTTGTAAGAGATGTCGCGATCTACATCTGCAGTCAAGTGGGGCAGTCACCTCAGGGGTACAGGAGCCTCCTACAGACAGACGACCCTAACAGTCGAGTGGTTTGTAATAGTGAGTTAGTTCAAATTATTCAAAATGGCTTATAATTATACATAACGTGATTGTATAGCGAGCGCGCATGTATAGCGAGCGCGCATGTATAGCGAGCGCGCACTTTTCCTACCCCAATTGAACTATTATACGAAATACCAACACCACAAAGGAAAAAAATTAATAGAAACTACTCAGAATCTAATTACTCATCCATTTTCGCGTCCTCCTTGCATGTACGAGAGTTGTGTCCTATTTTGCCGCAATTACTACAGTGTCGTAAACCTGTTGCGTTGCTCCTCGTACGGCCACCCCTCGATCGCTTTTCCTTCTGTACCAATGCATGCGCATCCCTTTGGGCCAAAATATCACTCGCTTCTTCCATAGTTAATGGTCCTCCTGCCCCGATACGACTTTTTTTTAGCTCTCCGGCGTTTGCTCAATGCTGCATTTGCTTCCTCAAGCTCTCGCACGCGCGCCTTCATCAACACCATCTCGTGCATAACCTTCGTCGTACCCTTTACAATCTGATCAAGGGCCTCAATAATCGGGGTGGGTGAACTGCCTTGATGTCTAGCAATACGATCCTTGATGTGTATTGACTGTAGAGAGGCTTCGGTAGCATTTTGTGGTGTTTGAGAGACCCAACTATCGTACGAGGCCTCGGGGGGCCCAGTAGGTGTTGGCGTACGAAGCTTGATATCTAGCCCGGAAATGACCTTCTCTGGGTCGAATGGAATAAGGCCTGCCCCTCGAAAACCTCCTTGTACGTTTTCGGGTTCAAATGTCGCATGGAATGCGTTGAAGAAGGCGAGAAAGAAGTCGGGCTTAGTGATGTGGTGAATATGGTTGCGCATCAACTTCTCAATTTCCTTGCCGTACGACCGCTTCAATACACTAAAACACCCGATATCAAGAGGATGAAGTAGATGTGATGAGTGCGGAGGCATACAAAGCGTAATGATGTTATTTTCTTTGCAATAGTCCTCAAATTCGGCCGAATGGTGGCTCTCATGCCCGTCAAGGATTAGGAGTCGCTTTCCACCTATCGTACGGCGGCAAGAGTGTTGGTCAAAGTGTTTAATCCAATCAAGACTAATCTGGTTATTCGTCCAACCAGTTTCTGAGAGATCCACTACCCAGTCGGATGGGAAAGGGCTATCGCGATACCAACTCTCGAGGTGGACTTTGCCCGCAGCCACTATATACGGAGGGATAGTATCACCACCCGACCGTACGGCCTGAATCACGGTAGCCCATTCCCGATTACCAGGCTGGATCTTCTTCACCTTCGCACGGCCGTCGGACGAGGTAACAACAAGTGTTGACGAGATCTGGCCCATCGTAAACCCAGTCTCGTCAAAGTTCCAGATATCCGACTCGAGAATCCCATATTTCGCAATTGTATTACGAACACGGTCAAACCACGCGCCAATTATCTTTGGATCTTCGCATTTAGCTCTTTGGTAGTCGTACGGACGCGTCCAACGCATCTTGAGCTCTGGTTGTCGTCGTACGAAGTTTGCAGCCTAGCGTGGTCCGACGCGTGACGCGTTACACGTCGCGCGTAGCAAATTGGCCATATCTTCTATTATACCGTATCCTGGCGAAAATCCTTGCTCGTATAGGTCGAGAGCCCTTCGTATGATAACCTGCTCTTCAAGGGGGTCAAGATTCCGCGAATTGGCAATAATTTCTGCTCGAGGGAGGATTCCGTTCGAACGCCGCTCAAGTGTTCTTCGGGGTACGGAATATCGGGCTGCAGCAGTTGCAAGGCGAAGATTCTTATCGCGTTGCATAGCTTGAAGGGCAAGCTGTATTTGTGCTTCATTTCGTACGGTGGGCATGTTTTATTGTGGAGAAATTTACGATGTTTTGCGATAGTTCAATTGGGGTGGGAAAAGTGCGCGCTCGCTATACATGCGCGCTCGCTATGCAATTACGTTATACCTTAGCTTTGGGCCAATAATATTGCCGACGAATTCCAATTGCCGAAATGACGCGATAGAAAGATGGGGTGAGCCCCTACTAGTTAGATTCGATTTTCGCCAGTATATACGGTATGCTGCTGTTACTAACTGTGACGGCATCGGTAGCTGCCGTTAAGACTCTGAATTCCAAGTGTACGACTTGGATGGGTCTTGCGCTGGAGCCGCGACACTAACTAGGGCTTAGGAGCTTGGGGCAACAAAAGGGGTTTATTTATACCCCCGACCTAACATAACCTAGCGCAGAATTTTTTCTATGTTCCCTTGTTCTCAAGCCAACTAGCCTACCTTTGAAGGTAGGCTGGCCCGTTCCTTTAACCGGAGTGAGAGTATCGATCTTTCACCTCTTTTTTTTTTTTTTTTTAGTTACCTTGAGAATGCACTCCTTTTCGACGATGAATTTACAACCCCCCTTGGCCGGCGCGCTCGCCGTATTTTTTTGACTACCTATGGCCCCCCAGTACGCCTACGGCTTGGCTTGACTGCTTCATTCTTTCGTTATTTTTTAGTGTTGTGGTGTCTTTTCCCCTATCCACTTTAAGGGCGCTGCCGTACCTCCCAGTCTGAACGTGTGTCCCGGCTCTCCGGAACTGTCGAGGGAAAGGGGCGAGCGCGAAGCAGTCGCCTCTGTTACCGGTCCGCCGTAGGCCTCAAGGAATCCGACTGGGAGGTTGTCCTCCGTTTCTCCTTCGAGAGGTCCTGGGGATACTCACGTTTGCGGCCTCCGCCCCGGTGAGCACCCTGTCGAGTTTCTTCTGGTTCCATCCCGTACCCGCAGTAATAGTGCCGCTGCTCGGCTGCGATCCGTCGTTGATAATACTGGATGAGTTGCGAGTGGTGGTCAGGTCCCGCATAGTCCAGGCCCCCGCAGAATTCCATCAGGGTACCATACCCCCCGTCGCCCATGCCAGGTTCGATAGCTAAATTGTTAAATACTTGTATAAGGTATATGTTACTTATGTTGTAGTTTACCAATCCTCTGTGGTTACCTATACCACTGAGGCTGATGCACGAGTGCCACTGGTTGGTAAATGTGACACGGCGCTCTTGACAAGACTGCCGACACTGGTTTGGAGGTTGCTATTTGATTGGGACAGCAAGCGGGGAACCCGTATTCTCATCACTCTACACGACTGCCACCATCAGCGTCGAGGTAGGCGTATTTGAAGCTCAGAGGCCCGCATCCCAGGGCTCTTGGGAGCGTCGCTCCATTCTGCCTTTTACAGTCTGCCTTCCCCCATTTGGTGATCCTACGCCACGTGACCTTTCGGACGTCCTATTAGAGATTAAGCATGCACCTGTCTCTCCGGCATTATGGTCTGGCAAGGTGAGTGCCTAAGGCCTATGGAGCTATGAGTCCCGGCGAGTCTTGGCTGATATATTCTCCTCGTCTCCCGGATAGCATACCTTGAGTCAAGGTGGACATTGATCCCACAGCGCTCTTATTATGTTTAATCTAACACCATAATCCATCAGTCTACTAGGAACCGGCGCCGTGGACCTAATCATCATATTTGACAGGAATAGCAACAAGGTGCTGGCCTCTTCGGCGGGTTTCCTGGTAACTGCTCTGCCCACTGATTTGCAGCGCACCAGGCCACACGCACGAGCTGACGTTGGTGCCTCTCAGGTCTCTGACGAAGAACAGGAACGGATCAAAGCTGTACTCAACTGCGCTGGGTCGGGACACGCTCTACAGATAGCGCAGAGGCAGGGCTTCCAGGTTGATAGCCAAGGCTTTCTCGCTGTGAAAGCCGATTCGCGAAGTCTATATGGCACCAGAGCACGCGTGCATCGTACCCCAGGGCGATCATGGTGACATACACGACTGCTAATGCCGTGGACTAGAATGAGGAGGGTGTCTGCATCGTGAGGACGAAGACGGCCATGTTCATCGCGCATTTTGCGCCTCCAAGTTATCTCGACGAAGCTGCGCGGTGTGTCGAACAACTTTGCGACAACTTAATCGACAAAGGATCTTAATGCAAGGGCATTTGGTAGAATAATTGAGGTCTTGTTGGTCGCCTTCCGTAACCGGGGGGCCAGTTGAGACCTAATACCGCATCTACTGGCTACGCAATTTGGGGCGTGCTGTTGGGTAGTAAGTGGGAAGTTGATGGGCCGGATGATATCGATGGTTTTCCAAGTATAATAGTCCACAGCGATCAAGCGGACAATCAAGCCCCCTAATCTGAGAGTAGTACTATTTTGGTTATGTGCCAGAACAGAGGCTTGGCCCAAGCAAGCCGCACGTCGTCAAACCCATTCTCTAAGGCTCAAAGTTTAACCTTGGCGCACAAGACGACGTCTTCGCCGAAAGGGTACCATTTGACGCCAGACAGTCGAGCCGCAGGAATCGCCTTTCCGGTGTCATCGTGACGCCTGGCCGGGGAGACGACAACTCCGCCCTTGCCAAGCCATGTGGGGGCTATAGTAACAATTATGGAGCTGATTTCCTGCAGATATCGTGGCTCGAGAAGCGAGTTGATGACCTGGCCACCGCCCTCAATCATGACACTGTTGAGGCCATTTGCCTTCAATGCGACTAGAAGTCCATGCCAGTTGAGGCGATGCTCTCCAACGTCCAATGTGGCGATGTCCATGACCACGTACTTTCCACCATACTCTTTCAGCAGAGCTACCTTCTCGGCAGGAGGTTCCTTGACAGCTGTGACAACCCATGGAGGCCGGCCCTTACCCTCACGACAGAGCTTGAAGAGCTTCGAGTTCGAGGTGAAGTTCCACCGTGCGGTCGGATCGACAACAATGGGTCGAGGCTGTCCATCCAAGCCTTCGCCGCCGTAGCCACCAACACCGACAAGGCGGCAGTTCAAGCTGGGGTCATCTGCGACGGCCGTACCGACGCCAATGAGGATTCCATCGTGACGAGAACGAAGATAGTGGGTCATGGCCTTGGATTGTGGACCAGAGATGGCCGTTGGGGCTCCCGGCGACAGAGCGAGGGAGGAGTCAAGCGATGTGGCGAAAGTCAGCGTGACGAATGGAGAGTCTGGCGTCGGGTTGCTTCCATCTATTGGCGGAAGATGAGGCTCTAGGAACTCCCTATCCGAGTCGGGGAACTCTATTGCATCTTTGGGAATCGATGATGCCATATTGAGGCGGCCGGGTCGGCATTTTTCTGCGTAGAGGGCAAGCTTGGAGATGTCAGATGCCTCTCCGGTGCAAAAGGCGAAAGAGGGCAGTGAGAATCTTGAGGTGGGCGTGAGCATCAGCCTCCGGCCGAGCGAGCAGCGAGGAACACTGATTGCCGGATCTCTCAAGGAGATTGTTGCGCGCTGCAAAAGTGGTGGTTCCTGCCACCACTTCTGACAATGGATGACTTCACTTCCAGAATTCTAGTCTCAACCTCTCACTCATTCTTAAAGGTATCAATACAAAAGTAAAACGGATCACTCTCACTTACACCTAATATAAGGTAGGGTTTTCTTAGGTTTATTAACGTATGGCTGTATGGTTAAACCTATGATTGAAAAGGCGACTCTCTCGCAGTGCGCGGGCAAACCGTTTTTCTTGGGCGGGGATCCGACGAGGCTGGACGGTTTACGCGTAGAGCAGCTGCAGCATGTTGTGCGAGATCTTTAAGCGATTTCTCGGCCCGGTTGTGGCCAAAGATGAGGCCCACTACGGAGCATCATCTGCGTTTGATTGGGTGCGTCCTGCAGCGCGAACGCCCAGCTCAAGTGCATAGTTTTTTTTTTTTTTTTTTTTGGATGACTCGCACACTGTGCTATAGATAAATGATCTTCGTAGCCGCGAGAGGCCAACGTGCCTTGGTCTTGTCCCGGCCCTCTCCCCTAGCAATAAATCTACTGGCTACTGATGAGGTTGTGTTTGGGTTTCGAGGCCGAAGATCCGGCCTCATTTTTTGAGTGAAACAGCTATCATCTGCAAGCTACAGCCTTGTTCTAGTCGAATACTGGGTGACTCAGGTGTGTTAGTGACATTGCGCTGCTTTTCCCTTGTCGTTCATTGCATCTGGATTTCCCTTCACACTCTCTCTGCCCGTGCCGTCGGAGTATTAGCTCCTTCTGTTACTTTACCTACGCTTGAGCCATCTGGTTTGGACCTGGAGACCCGATTCCATACACGGTACTGGTGGCTATCTGGGCACCTGTGATAGTTTAGCCCACACATTCATTTGCACCGAGCACAGCACTCGTTTCTCGCGGCACAAGCGCACTCCCGACACCGCCAATTAAGGAGTTGGAGCCCTGGCAGTGAACAACCCCGCATCGCGACGCACCAAAGACGCGCTATAGCGCATTTCTACTACTACAGCCCAAAGCAGCCGCGCAATCTCACCACAAGACGGCAAAGTTATAGCCCAACATGTCTCGCCCGGGTCCTTCAGCAGCGAGGAACCTCTCGTTGACGGAGGAACTCGAGAAACTCGAGCAGTCCATTACTCTGACATTACAAGGTCTTTACCCACGCTAATCCGGAGGCGCACACTGCGTCGAAGAGGGGACGGACATGGATACCTTCTCTTCATCTGGGTAGGGGCTGACAGCTATGCGTAGAAATCGACCATAACTTCAGCAAAGCACATCGAATTGTGACGGGCAGCATCCTGCCCCTCGTCGAGCAATATGGCGAGCACTCGCGATCTGTCTGGGACGCGTCCAAGGTACTTGACCCCTGCCCCCCCCCCCCCCCCCCCCCCCAAGCGAAACAGCGCCTTCATTATCGCCTCCTCACGAGCGTCGCCAGCCGGGGAGCTGACTGTGTATTTGCGCATTTAGTTCTGGAAGCAATTCTTTGAGGCCTCGGCCAACGTCTCCCTCTCCGGATATGAGGAGCTGGCCAACGGCGAGGACTCGAAGGCCCTGACGGCCGAGGATGAAGAGACGACAATGCACGACGAGACCACGTCTGACTACACGCCTCGGCCCCGCAGTGCTGGTCGTGCCGACGAAAAAATGGTCACAGACGACCAATCTTCCATCTTCCAGGAGCGCGGCAACCACCACCACAATACTGGCAGCGTGGAAGACTCGGTACTAACAGATGGCGATGGAGACCTCACGGGTAGCACGCCACGCCCACCGGCAACTAAGACATTATCAGGGCGACCGCAGTTTGCCGGACTCGACTCACCCTACGAGACCATGAAGCGCGAGTACAAGAGCGGCGCTCGTGGCGGTGGCGGTGGTGGTGCCGGTGCCGGTGCAACAGGTCGTGCGACATCTGGGAATACAGACGATGAGACAGATACCGAGTTGCTTTTCCAGCAGCATACTGCCCGCCTTCCAGACATGTCCATGACGCCGAGATCATCGCTTGCCGGGGGGGCAGGGGAGGACGACAATGACACACAGTTTGGGCAGCGGAAGACCCACGACCCGCTGCTTCACCGGATGCTGGACAAAAATTACCGCATCATGGCCACGCCACTAAAGGGCGCCACCGGCGTGTCACCTATTAAGTGGAAGGTGACGGAGAAGACGCAGCAGGATGGGGGCAAAGGGAAGGAAAAGCTCTCTGCGTGGCAGGAGTCTCCCATGTCGAGCCCGGAGATGGCAGTGCCACAGCTCCGCAGTGCGGCATTCATGTCGCCTGTGCGCGCAGCGTACCGGGGCCGAGTTGGGGGGGCCACGGCGGGAATTCCGAATAGCCGCGGGGCGCCCAGGACGCCTGGCATCAGTGTGCAGACCCCCGCCACTGGGAAGAAGGTGAAGGATGTCTATGGACACAAGCAGGAAAGCGGAGGGAAGAAATACGACGACGAGATCCACTGGGACAGCGACAGTGAGGACGACGATGCATTTGGCGGCATGAGCCCGCCCAAAACAATCCAGTTTGCGCTGCCCCCGTCCAAGCTGCTTCAAACACCAGGTACGTCCCGTCCATCTCTTTCCACTCGCCGTTGTGCCTAGTTTCTCCCGGCTACGTGCTGATGCGAGCTTCTTCGTGATTACAGCGCGTGAAGCTAGTAGGCGGATCGTGGACAACATCCTGCGGACGGCTGGTGCCGAGATAGACGGCTCTTCCGAGTACAGCCCAACCATGGTCAAGATGAACCCGGATATCTTGGACGACACATTTTAAACCCCCAGAAAGTAGTATGACAATAAAGTTATGTGAAATGATTACTGATGTGGATTTCCGTGGCGAGGGACTCGTATATATATGCCCAGCCCCTTGCGCCCAAGTAAACATTGGTCCCTATTTCTTAAAAACGCAAAACATCTTCCACCGCTGACATTACTAATAGACGACTCTCAAGACAAACGAGAAGCGAATTTGAAGCCAAACCAAAATATGTAATTGGGCTCAAACACCAAACACCCGGCTCGCTCCCCAGCTTTTGTTACTGCTTCCATGTCCAGCCACCCAGTAACAACAACCCAAACACCCCCTTCGAAACAAAAACCCCAGGGATGAAAATCATGCACGTGTCATCATTCCTCAGCCCATCGGCTATCTTTTTTTCTCTCGCTCTCTCGCTCTCCGGCCATGGCCACACCGAGTCCTAGTAGCCCATTTGGATCTGGTTTCGGAGCACGCTCTGCTTTTGCTGCTGCTGCGCCTTGAATGACGTCGAGGACGAGGAACGGCTGCCGCTGCCGCTGCCGCTGGCCTTGCTGGAGCGGTGCAGCTTGTCCTTGAGCAGGCCCACGCGGCTCGAAAAGGACGACGCGCTCGCGACCGACGCGCTGTCGTCAAGCTGCTGCTGCTTGCCGCTGGACTGCTGGGCTGTATTGGGTGTTGTTAGTATGTGCGGCCTAGGTAGTCTTGGCGAGGGAAACTGTCAACGCACCTGATGGAGAAGACATTTTGGTTGTCTGGTTATTTATGCAGGCTTTTTTTTTTTTGTGAGAGAGAGAGAGAGAAGTGTTTTTCGAGACGACTTTTGTCAAGATGTCTGTTGGCGAGAGACACTACTGGTTGGGTTGTCTTGGATGATGTAAATATGGCTTCAGGGAGATGTGTAAGATAGGTCTGAGCGAGACTGAGTTGGATTGTGATGATGCCTCAGAATAAACCGCATCCTGAGGTAACTGTCTCGCTCTACTTATATACACGGAAAGCTACGCCAGAGACTACTACTACCTGGGATTCTATCATCCTTCAGCTCATGTCAGGTCAGCCAGCGCCGCAAACCACCAAATACCGGCCAGGGCAGGGTAGCGAATCTGGGTCTGGTGTTGGTTTGCGTCGTACACCCTTCCATGTCCACGCTGACTGTGCACAAGTGAATACGCACGCATACATGTATGTGTCCATACACGCACTCACGCCGGCCAATGACTCAACTACACCCCTGGTCACCGTCAGGCTCTTGCGCCAGCTCGAATAGGAACTGGTTCGAAGGAACGTGAACCTACGGAAAATGTCGATGGCCCACAGCCTCGCACTCGCCGTGATTTTTCTCCATTTTCTCCCGGGGGCGGAGGGGCGGAGGCGGCGCTGCGTCAGACGCCAAGGAGCCACGTGTGTGTGACATGCCAACAACCTAACCTTTTCTCCGTCCGCCGTTGCACTCGAATTATTCCACAAGCAAGGCGCTACTTACGGGATTGCGGGATGCCTTGGGGATTCATTCAATTCGTACCTCAGGACACGAACCCTCCCCCCCCCCAAAAAAAAAAGAAAAAAAGAAAAGAAGAAAAAGGGAAATGGGGTTCTAGATGCCGCCATAAAAGGATCCCCGTAACAGGAAAACCGAATTGGCAAATGAGATGCACACCAACGTGGCCTCTCCTAGCGCTGCTCTAGACATGCAAATACGTGACTAACGACGACGACAGTCGATAGTTTTTCCAGTCATGGCAACGAGTCCGATCGGGATGATGAGGCGGCAGAAGTAAAATAACTCGTCATGGCGTCGTTTTTCTTTCTTGGATTCTTGCTTGAGTCTTCGTCCTTATGTCCCTCTTTTTTTCCTCGGGTCTAAGCTGCCGGTGAAGTGAACAAATACCTTACAAATAAGGACGAACGGTCAGGCGTCATCAGCCCCGCAATGTGCAACGCGTCCGATCCAGACTGCGAGTCACATTCGAACTTTAACCTTCCACCTCCGCAAAAACCACATCGTCTTTTTACCAAGTGCGCGCTTGGTATTTCTCCCACCCGCAACCATGGAGCAAATGCTGGCAAAGCTGGGAGCAGATGGATTCGAAAAGTCTGCGCTGCTTCTATAGCCGACCCCAATATAATGGTTCGCATTGTAAAGACGTTCCCCCTCCGACCGAGCCAGTCCTCGACTACATCACAGAGGTGGACACACGCCGCATCCTCTTCGAGGTTCTGGCGATTTGTAAGCATCATAGTAGAGAGGCAAATACGGCGATATCTACCGTATTTATAGTCACCCCTATCTCGGAAATTCGCACTACTCTACAAGTTATCCGCGATTCTACGTAGCCTCCTGTAATGCTATTTGGTTTTATTAGTTCTATACCGAATTGTCACAAATCTCCCAGGCACTGGCTGCACTGCAAGTTGGAGAGGCAGGCGGAAAGAAGTAGAGCACGCCCTAGTCCAAGGGGAGGGGCCCGAGATTAAGTGGGTCCAGGTTCGGGCCTTGGCCCGAACCTTGAGCGCTCTCATGCCGGGCCTCTTATGATTGGTTTACCCCGATAACCGTAGCCACGGTCCTAGCTAGAGCTTGCTACAACCTCGCAACACAACCTGAATCTATCGCACGTACGATTTATCGCTTTCCAAGTATAAAAAGGTACGCAGAATGCTTCACGGTCTTCCAGCTATTAATAACTACTAATATATCATCAGGAACGCGTGTTTTTCGAGCCGCCGCGATATTGTAAGGAAAGAACCCCAACCCACACACACGACCAACTTACACGCGTACCAAGCGGGCCAAGACCTCACTCCTTTGTCATGATCTCTCTCGCCTGCTAGCCCCGCACTCTGTCATGTATATAAGCAGTGGCCCTCGTCCCCTTCCTTTGCGAGGGCCAGGTTGAAGTCTCTCGCTAATACTAGTCATTGCTCGCTCTATTCATTGCCTTCATTGTGACCACCTTGATCAGGCGTACCTGCCTTCACTTACAGTGCCATTATAGCCGGACAGGCTGTCACCACCACTGGACAAGGTTCTGTATTGGCCAAGGAGGAGACGAAAGAGGAAACTACGGCCAAGGGCAAGGAGGAGGCAAAGGAGGAAATCACTGCTAAGGAAGCTGGTAAGGAAGAGGAGAAGGGAAAGGCTGCTGACGACACTTCTCGCGGTTGCGATAGCGATGGCGATGGCGATGCGACTGTCTCAAAAGCTGGTCGCGGTTAGAAGACGAGACGGCTATTGCGATCCTTCTAGAACCTCGCACTGAAGAGTAAAGGTAAGGGTTCGGAGACCTCAAAGACGACCATATACACTTTGCATACGGTAGTCACTATGCCTACCTTAGCTATTGCTCATCGGAAGCAACAGCGGAAATCTCTCCGCGGCCTTGGTTGGTTTCGAAAGAACAAGGAATCGCAGTAGGGTAGCACCGCTAAAGGGATTAGCAACGAAGCTCACGGAACATGGGGCCAAAAGTCTTCGTCACTCTCCTCCTGTACTTGCCTTACGTAAGGATAGTGCTTGTGAGAACTATATTATCTCTCCAGTTTTAGGAGCTTACAGCTATATTCTAGCGCTGAGATCCCTACGGGCTAGTGGCTTCATCCCTGACACATTTTTTTTTATAGCGGAGTGCCTACATAGTATCTATAGTAGGGGGGATTTTCTAGATACTGCCCTTACGTAAGGCTAGCCCAATAGATTAACGAAGACTCTTGGCCCTATGTTCCGTACGTAGATGCAAGTTATAGTTAGTGGTCTTCTAGCACCCGCTTGCGTGGGGTGACGCCATGAAGTCGGTCAGTTTTAGTTCCCGCTCTGCTCCGGCCAATGGCATTACACTATTGCGTATCCGTACACCCGGCCACTCTCCAAAGAGGGGCGATTTGTGTTTTCTAGGTTGCTTGAGGAACTCCCCCCTCACTCGTCCGATGTTCAGATTCTAAATATTGAGATTTCAACTAGAGAAATAATTTTTCGAGGACCCGCCCATGCCTTGATACGCAGCCCTTTGTAAAATAGGTAATAATTGCAACGTGAGCAGTTTGTCTTTGTAAAGGTCCTACGGAGTACGGAGCTCGCTGGTCTGAATCGGCCGGAACTTTGTGCGACCTGTCACCTGGGGCGTGCCTGGTACTGGCTTGGCGCCGTCCCCTCACCGCTTCGCATTGCCCCCATGGACAAGCCAGCCAATCAGGGGACCGTCAATCCGAATAAGAGGCAGGGTGATTGCGGCCACCTTCGGACATGCACACGCTAGTCCCTGACATGTTCAATCCTGGAACCTCAACAGAATGAGGTCTCTCGTGCAGCAAGCAAGAATACGGATTGAAGGGACAAGAGCTCAAATATGAAAGTACAAGAGCAGGTACAATTTAGCATTGAGTAGTACGTATTAAGGAACGCCAAATTATATTTATACTTCGTCTTCGTTTTATTTTCGGAGTCGCTGAAGCTGCGACCACGCTCTTCGAATGCTTAATTTATTGAACCCCACATCGCTTGACCCCTAGATCGCCTAGTCCACACGCGATTTTGTGTTGCACCGTATCCGTACCTTCTCCCGTTCTTTGGGAGTTGCACTAACAAATCGGAAATCCGCGTATCGTACCTAAAGCAGCCGATATCCCTCCTATTTCCCAATCGAAATCTCTTTTCTGCCAGGGCAGTCACACACAGGGGGCTTCCAGGTTACCTTGATCCGCCTATCCCAGGCGCATATTTCCATTTCAACTCTCCCACTCCCCACCCACCCCCAAGGTGCATTTTACCTTCCTTGTGCTTCCTCCTCGCCTTCACCCAAAGGACTGGCGACGCTCCAAACCACGCCTCGGCACATTTCCCTATCGTCCTTCGGTCGTGCATAGTTTGGCATTGAGACACCCTATCGCAACGCAAAATGACCGCCAACGTGACGAGTTTCACGTCGCCATTGGCGACAATAAAGTACGGCACTGCCAGCTTCTCACCTCAACTCGAATATGTCCTAGAGACCATCTCAAACACGAGCGCTTGGGCCATTCTTGCCAGCATTCTGGCAATTCTCGTCGCCTATGATCAATGTGCGTATGCCGATCATTTCCCGCCGTGACACACGCTGATAGTTTTTGTCTTGCAGTCAGCTACATTTGGAGCAAAGGCTCCATCGAGGGTCCCGCGTGGAAGGCACCTTTCATCGGTCCGTTTCTGCAGTCGGTAAACCCAAAGTTCGAGGAGTACTACGCCAAATGGATCAGCGCGCCTCTGAGCTGCGTCTCCGTCTTCCACAAGTAGGTCAATTCTTGTCGCGGCCTCTGGCCGCAGCTGGCCGGGCTGTCAACTACTAACACGGGTGACTTGTCAGGTTCGTCGTCATTGCCTCGACCCGTGATATGGCGCGCAAGGTTTTCAACTCGCCACAGTTTGTCCAGCCCTGTGTGGTTGATATTGCGCACAAGCTGCTCGGTGCCGACAACTGGGTGTTCCTGGATGGCAAGGCTCACGTCGAGTTTCGCAAGGGCTTGAACGGGCTCTTCACGCGGAGAGCTCTCGAGATCTATCTCCCAGGACAAGAGGCCGTGTACAACCGCTTCTTCAAGGAGTTCGTCGAAACCACCAAGGAAGCCAGTGGAAAGCCTGTCCCCTTCATGCCTCACTTCCGACAGGTCATCACGGCTGTATCTTGCCGCACATTCGTCGGCCATTACATGTCGGACGCCACGGTCAGAAAGGTTGCCGACGATTATTACCTCATTACCGCCGCTCTCGAATTGGTCAACTTCCCCATCATTATCCCTTTCACCAAGACGTATTATGGCAAGAAGGCTGCCGACATGGTCCTGACCGAGTTCTCCAAGTGCGCGGCCAAGAGCAAGGTCCGAATGAACGCTGATGGCGAGGTTACCTGCATCATGGATGCCTGGATCAAGCAGATGGTTGACTCCAAGAGGTGGCGCGAGGCCGAGTCGAAGGGCGAAACCGAGGGCTTGGTGAAGCCTAACCCCCTGCTGAGAGACTTTACCGACTATGAGATTGCGCAGACCGTCTTTACTTTCTTGTTCGCTTCCCAAGACGCCACCAGCAGCGCGTCCACTTGGCTCTTCCAGACAATGGCTCAGCGCCCCGATGTCCTCGACCGTGTGCGTGAGGAGAACCTGAAGGTCCGGAACGGTGACATTCATGCGCCTCTCAACTTGGACCAGCTCGAATCCTTGACGTATACACGTGCCGTCGTGAGGGAGCTTTTGCGATACAGACCCCCTGTCATCATGACGCCCTACGTGGCGAAGAAGGCTTTCCCCATCTCGGAGACGTACACGGCCCCCAAGGGTGAGTAAATGCCATGTTCTGTGCTTGAGTGTTAGCTAATGCGAAGAATAGGCTCCATGGTTATTGCGACAACGTATCTGGCCCTCAGAGATCCCGATGTGTACGAGAACCCTGACTCGTTCGACCCCGAGAGATACTACACAGGAGATGCGGAGGTGAAGGGGGCGAAGAACTACCTCGTTTTTGGCACCGGCCCTCACTACTGCCTTGGGCAACACTATGCCCAACTCAACCTCGCCCTGTTTATCGGCATGGCCTCGCTGCTCGTGGACTGGACACATCACGCCACTCCCTTGTCTGAGGAGATCAAGGTGTTCGCGACAATTTTCCCTAAGGTGAGCCTGGAACGTTGAAATACGATACTAAGAATAATGGGCTGACAAGACTAGGACGATTGCCCGTTGACGTTTGAGGACAGGAAGTGGTAGCTTGGGGGAAGAAACGAGAGCTAGAGCCACCTGTTGGGGGCCCTAATACCGCAACCGATTCGCGAAGAGACTGATTCCCTAGAGAAATGGGCATGAGCTACGCTACATCTGAAGGAACCATCAGTCCTCGGGTGAGCCCTAAGAGATTTCATGATAGGGTATGCCGGGCCCGGAATCTGTCTCTGGATCGACAGGAAGCCTAGGTGGCAGAGGAGGCCAAGGCGTGCATACGTATCTATAGACTTGTAATATTTTAATCGACCTGTACATAGATTTTGCATGCAACACGATATACGTGGAGGTGCCAAACGGATCAACAGCACCTGGGTATGTTTGTTGGGTTGCAAACAGGGGCCTTTGGTAGCTTTTTGGAGGGAAAATATCAGGATATTTAATGCATTTCCATGAGAAGTTGCTGCGGTACAGCGGCTGACGTTAAATTTGAAATGAGGCTCTCAGTATTCGAAACAGCCTCTCGAATCCTGTCAGCAAATGATCTAGGTAAGATTGCCTCCTTAAGGCAGTGAGTGGGTGGCAGTCTCGACAATCAACCTATGGGGATGTTCCTGGCTCCTTCCTGTGCCCCAAGCTAAGGTATATGCGAACTAATGATATGGATGCGATCCAGCTGGTGAACGAACGCATGAAGCGGGGGTGGGGCAGGCAGCTCACTTGGCGAGTAAGGTATCCGTAAAGAAGCTGACCATTACAGCTGACAGGCAAGGTGTGTGAGCTATCTACACTGGTCCCTTTATTACCTAGGCACGTCATAAATCCACTTGCCGCAATCTCTTCACGGAATACGGATTACACAGCAGACATACATCGACTACCTACCTCACGGTCTTTGAAACAACTCTTTCCCCCACGCCACGAAACAAGCGAATAATCTCGAATTATGGCGTCCAAGCGACCAATTGCCTGCCTTTTGCGTGCCTCGAGCGCCGCAACTCTCCTACCTACTGCAGCTGCGAGGACAAGCTTGCGCTCTATTGCGCTCGCTAGCAGCGACAGCGCGCGCCACTACTCGGCCACGGGCGCAGCGACGGCAAGGACGAGGATACCAGCAAGCCGTCGCCCAGGGCCTGTATCCATAGCTGCGTCCCGATCAACGTTGTTCGGCCCGGCGCATGTGGCGCGCTATTCCCAGGATGCGGCTGTTGCTCCCCCCTCTGGCCCTGCTGCCGACAAGCAGAGCAAGATCTGGGACTTTGAAGCGGTGCGTTACTGCCAGATATCTTTGCCAGGGAGGAAATAAAGCGGGCGAGATCTGGGAACTCGGGGGGTGGGCGGGAGACACGCGTGCTGGAGGTGTACACCCTACGCGGGCCATATCTTCTACCTACCTACCCACTGCGACCTGGACGTGTCTCTCGGACGAATAGCCCATTAGCATCAGAACATGGAGATTGAAGAAGACATGGTGACACCGTCCACCCGCTGACAGACAGAAAACCAGATCAACAAGTTAATCCAGTCCTCCAAACCTGGCGCGGTGCTCATCGGTATATATCATCACCCCAACAGCACACACACACCCCATCGCTAACCTCCAACACACCCACACACACAGACGCGCGCGAGCCGCACGAGCTCCAGCAGACGGGCCGGATCCCAGGGGCGATCAACGTGCCAATCACGACGGCGCCCGACAGCTTCCACATCAGTGCGGACGAGTTCGAGGACCGGTTCGGGTGCCCGCGGCCGAGCCCGGCGGCCGAGGTGGTCATGTACTGCAAGGCCGGGGTGCGCAGCCGGGCGGCGGCGGGGCTGGCGCGGGACGCCGGCTGGACGTCGGTGGGCGAGTACCCCGGCAGCTGGCTGGACTGGGTGGAGAAGGGCGGCAAGGTGCAACATTAGAAGGATGCCTACCCCGGCCCTACCTACCTACCTAGGCAGATATAGCACGGCACGGTACGGAGTTTTTTACTGCACCGGCTTCTCTCCCTCGTCACCCCTCAGAGGATATTGTCAGGGGCCTGTATATGCTCGAGAGCCGGAAACAAATATGAAGAGTTTAATTTGGTTGCGGCCCGATAAATAAGAAGCTTAGCAGATATTATAGGTAGTCAGTCTAACCAATTCATAATACAGCCAGAGCACTGGTGTTATTACAACAAGAGAGACGGAAAGGGCAGTCTCCATAAAAAATAACACATCAAATTACAGCCCCGACCTTCCCAGAACGCCGAGGACGCCCTGACTGCGCATCCCTGCTGAATGACAAGCGCTACAACATGATAATCGACAATCAGGGCGCCCATGGAATGTTACACAACGGCTCCCATCTAGCTCGACCCGACATCCTATCCACTCCCATCGCCAGCCCCAGAGTCCCCGCCGTCGTCGGGGCGCGCGGGGCTACCGTGCGCAAAGAAGAGGACCTTGATGGCAATGGCGAGGCCAAAGTGCAGCGCCAGCACCAGGACCAGCAGCACCTTGCTGGTCTGGCGGTCGGTGGCGTTGAGGACGGGGTACAGGTTGCGCAGCAGGAAGGCGACCGAAACGCCGAAGCCGATGCCGACGAACAGCCAGTTGAGGATGGTGAGCGGCGACCAGCTGATGAGGGCGACGGGGATCCAGATGAGGTTCGCGTAGCCGTAGAGGGCCCAGCACTCGAGGAGGTTGGCGCTTTCGGACCCCAAGTACCGCAGCGCCAGGTACAGTACCACGGGGATGACAAACGTGTAGCCGTAGATGAGGCCGGCAGCGCCTGAATGTATTGTCCCCAAAAGTCAGTAAAAACAGCTTTTATAATGTCATGTGGATAAATATTCCATAGCGTCATCAGGACAGGAACCAAAAAAAACTCACCGCTGAGCAGCTTGAAATCGTACGCAAACGGCGGCCCGCCGATCGACGCCAGGTAGCCGCTGATGGTGCCGCCGAGGAAGAGGAACAGGACGACGGTGGTGGCGATCCAGAATGGCCCGTACAGGTCGGGGTTGCCCTCGAGGACGTCGAGGAAGTTCGCGCGCGGGTAGAGCGCGGCCCAGCAGCGGGTGAGCACCGACGACGTGTCGACGTCGAAGAACTGGGCGTAGTATGAGATGGACCAGAGGAAGCGCTTGCCGCCGACGCTGGCCGCGCCGGGGCCGGCCCCCGACGACGCCGTGACGGGCAGCGGCAGCCCGCCCGCCGAGGAGGAAGCACCGCCGGGCCCGCCCTTGCGCAGCGCTGGTGTCGTCTCGGAGAAGTTTGAGTTGTGGAACTCGAGGTCCTCTTGCAGGTCGGTATGGCCGAGGTCGCCCTGTTGTTTTTAGAAAGAGGTGGCTCGTCAGCGCATGAAAGCAGAAGCTTATAGATGGCGAGCGAGGGAGTAATAGATAGGGGGAGGGAGTTGCATGTGCTGACCTCGTCGTCTACGTCCACGACAGCGTCATAGCCAGAGCCCGACATCGTGTCCTTTATTTTTCCACTTCCCACCACTGCTGAAACCTCGGATGCTCGAATGCTGTAAAAGAAATATTGTATGTTCCACCCACTGTGCGCAAGCAAACTGCCTTGGGCAATTCGTGGTGAATGCAGCGAAGGATTCGTTGTCGTCGAGAGCGCGCGGGACACGAGAGCTTCAATACAAGCTTGTGTCTGTCGTGTAGGGATCCGTCCAAGATCGTTTCGGGAAGACCCATCTGCAGCTCTACACTAGATCTACCCCGGGCCTCGTCTGACATCCACCCAACAGGATGCGAATTCCACCCCCCCTCCATCTGCACCTGCAAGTCACGTGCTACATTCCGTTAAATGGTCAATTGTTTGTTGAACGAATAAAATGGAGAATTGCTGGCGGACCACATCACGTTGCACGACTGAGGTGACCTACTTGCCCCCATACTCCGTCAGAAACAGTTAGATAATAGTGAGATAGCCAGGAGTCATTCTTTGGAAGCTATGGTTGGTTGTATACAGAGCCCACAGCCGCAATTGCCATCATAAACCCCCTCGAAGCCGATTTTCTCAACCCAAAGCCACACATGCCCGGAACCCAATGACGCCAGAGTCCATGACGACCAAGAGAGAGCGAAACCGTCTATTTGAGCTTCTTCTTGGGGCTGGTTTCGGTGTTAGTGCTCAGTGATCAACTAAAAAGGTCCCAGAACTCCAAAAAAAAAATACATACCGGAGCTGGTTAGTGTGTCCACACTTCCGCTTGCGGCAGTTCGTGGCACGGGGCGGGAGGCGGGCCTACGGAGTAGTTCACATTAGCTCCCTAGACGACTGTGTGCGCTGGGCAGAAAGATCGAGGACGCACGTAGCACTTGCGGCAGATCTGCTTGTCGCAGTTGAACTTGGAGGCCAACGCCTTCAGCGAGGGCTCAATGATGCCACCGCGGAGGCGGAGGACCAGGTGGAGTGTCGACTCCTATGGACACGCAACAACAATATTAGCCTCGTTCTTCCTTGGAACTTGTGTATCCTCAATGTGCCGAGTTCCATCGCTAGTCGCCGGCTCGCTTTCTCCCCTCTTTCTTGGGCGGGCGCCACTGACCTTCTGGATGTTGTAGTCGGAGAGGGTGCGGCCATCCTCGAGCTGCTTGCCGGCAAAGATCAGGCGCTGCTGGTCGGGCGGGATGCCTTCCTTGTCCTGGATCTTGCTCTTGACATTGTCGATCGTGTCCGAAGACTCGACCTCAAGAGTGATGGTCTTGCCCGTGAGGGTCTTCACGAAGCTATCTCGATGTTAGTCTTTCTATTTTCTCTCTCGGTCTGCGAGTTCGGCGGACGGTGGCGAGCGCTCGTCGGGTCGCGAAGGAGGCGACGACATACATCTGCACTGTCAAGTTGCATCATATGTTAGCAACATTTCCAGGCAGTCTTTAAGATTATATTGGCCGCGTCAACAAGGTACTCACTCTTGTCCGCCTTCCGTGAATACTCGGTGAGATGGTGATGTCGGGGAAAGTTGGCGCTGCAGCGCGCAAATCTTGGTGGGGTACAAAATTGGCCACGACCAGGGCTCGAAGGAAAAATTGCACAGTAATAATTAGGGTGGTGCGCACTGTCCTAGGTAGACCCTTGCTTTCCCCAGTTTTCAAAGTTCTTAACTCCATAGCAGAATTGCACTGTGTCCACAGTCAAAACCACGATATTCTCAACCTGCGAGCGTCGAGCAGTCTGCACATATAGCCCTGCATTCTTCTTCTTGTAGGAATGCATTTGTTGCCAGTTGTTCTAGTTCCAGTCTCAACCACCTATTTTACATCATGCTGCAGCACAATAATCAAAGGGTATGTAAGTTGCGCCCGTTGCAGAGTTGCCCTTTAACTCCCCGGGCAAATGAACCAACCCTCCTGCCATCTTCCCTGTGACAAGTCCTAATACAGAATCCTAAGCCCTGACAAGTTCCACCTAGCATTCTCCCGCCCTAACCTAGGCTTCGGATTCGCTGTCGATTTGTTCTTCGCGGCGAGTCGGCTCCTTCTTCAGTCGCCGCAGCTCTTTGATCTGTCGTCGTAACAACAGTTGATCAAATCTGTACACTACAAAGACAAGGTCCTTTAATGTGAGCCCAGATACCTCCGCAACCACTTCATAGAAACGCTTAGCATGTCCTTTAAGGCTGCTTGGGTATCGATACAGCCGTATCTCGGGCTTCGTTTCGCCCTCTTGGTCTGGTCGGGGTGGAACAATCGTCATTGCTTTCTGGACTCTTTTCATGCGTGCCTCAACTTCCTCGTCCGTCATGTCCTGGAACTCGGGCAGTGGTTGTATTGCCTCTAGCGGAAAAATACGGTCAATCTCCATCTCATCTGCACCGAAAACAGGGAGTTAGCTCATATGTGATGTTGACCAAGGAAGAAGAAAAAAAGATGGAAGTCTAACCTGTCTGCCTCGAGTTGAGTTGAGTTGTCTGGAACCAGTTCATGAACTCGTGTAGTTCTTGTTTGCTCAAGTCCCATATGTCGTTCGGGCCGAGCTTCTCGAATTCAAAACTGCCCAATTTCTTTGGCGGCGTAATAAACTCGGCCTCCCAAACTTCCCAGTTCATTTGGAGTGTTTGTAGGTCGCCGTCGTCGAGGGAAAACCGCTCCGTGCCGTCCATGGGGTATAGCAGCTTTGCTGTTGATACAATGGCCGCCACTAAGAGCACATCTGGCATATCGAGAAGCATGTGCGATTTTACATCTGGGCCCCTGGCTGGGAAGGAGAAGCGAGTATCGAGAAGTGAGCACGTGTCTTGAACGATTGTATACACGTCGGCTATGTTGTTGCAGGTTAGTGATTACTCCCGGTGTTTTTGTAGGACTTATAGGAGACGGTAACGTACGTGGAAGCGCGAGGTCTTTGAGGTAGAGGAGAAGTGACGGCTGGGCTGGCACCGCTGGGAATTCGAGGCAACGGTTCTCTTTGTATCCTCGAATTAGATCTATGATCGCCCTATGAAGTTCGGATCCCTGAAACTTGATGTATCTGGTCAAGAGTGATTTCTGAGCCCATCCAGGCAAGCGCTCGCGCCAATCCTTTGGTAACAGGTCGATCTGAGATTCCCGATGGTTAGAGATATGAAGGAAACGACAAATCCCATCACCGACCCAGCAGGGAAAAAACTCACCGCTCCGATAAAGGGGATCTGGTTGGTCTTGGCCCATCGATAGAGGTCTCCGACCCTCACTGGTTCTTGACGCAACAGGCAGCCCAGGTAAACCAAGGCCAGAGTGTCGATGGCGCCAGGGAGAGCCCAGTCCTCGGTGAACCAGCTCTTGGGCCCTTTTTTGCAATTTGAAGGAGGCACATCGGGAGCATTTGGAGGCAACTCAACCTGGGAGCTGAACATGGCCAGCTCGCCATCGGGTCCAGCGTGAGGAGGGGGGTTATTCCCATGGCTGCTCTTGCCTGAATCCTTTGCCAGGCCTGGAAAGTCGCGGATGCGGAGGATCCAGAGGTCACAGCACACCGACTCAAGCTCCGGGTGCAGGCCCTTCTTCTTGACCAGCCAGGCGACCTGCTTCCGGATGATGAAGCCCAGACAGGCGAGGTAGAGCCCCCTGGCCTGGTTTCCCGAGAGGTGCTTGCGTTCGGCCTCCCTGATATCCTTCTGCTTGCGCGAGACCCTACCGGTCCTATTGTAGTTGTCTTCGTCGTCAACGTCGAATTGGACGTATCCCTATATTAGGAATGCATGGGTTAGATGGCGTGGACATGCAATGTGGGTGTGGAGGACAGGCGCAGAACGGTGTGCTTCGGTGGGCTGCAGAAGCATAGCATCCGGTTCCATAATCCGTGAACACGGGGATGCAACCCATCACAGCGTGTGTACGAATTTTGAATGCCCCTCCAGTGACTTCCATTCTGCTGCATTTCTCGGAACTCTTCCAGGGCCCTCGGCAGAAAGGCCTCATGCAAAAGCTTCAAGATTGCTGCCCCAAACCCTAGAAATTGTTTACGGGGGGAAGTCACCGATAAAGCCCCCAAAAGTCGCACTATTGTAGGTTACTGTTTCTTGTGGAATGGTGTGTGCGGGATGACTTTGTGGCTGGCAGCCAACATGTTGCTTACTTCGACTTGGTGGCCGTTTTCACAGTATTTACGACCATTCTCGAGATACCAGCGCCGGGCGGGGCAATCGGCGCAATGCTCCCCGCGAGGGAAGCGATGGTGGCGGCGGTCTGCCATCACGGTGGCATAATAATCGGAAAATGAAGGCGCGTCGCGTCTTTTGGCGACCGAGAAGACTTCTCTAGGGAATGCTGTTGTTGGGGGTTAGATGGTCGGTCTAAGGTTCGTGACTTTCGTAACGGCTTCCTAGTAGCCGTTTTTGTGATCCGCCTCACCTTGGAAGCCGTTCAAGGAGAATTTTGCAGCTAATTCCGCATGCACGTTGCGCTGCGGATTCGAATTTTTGCCCAGTGAGAAAAATAAACAGTTTCCACTTCCCATGGTTTATCGAGTCTTATTCTCTTGCAGAATGCAATCCTTTCATCCCGTCACTTCTTCTATATGGCAAGAGGTTTCGGACGCCCCCACACTCCATGCTGACCTTCCCAGCACACACACATCAAGCCTAAAATCTTCAGCGCTGAAAAAAAAAAATCCACAGTAAATACCTAGATGTCTTATTATAAACCAGAAAAAAACCCAGAGAAGCCACAGAGAAGGAGAAAAGCGGATTTAATGGGGAAATATTCCAACCGAGATCTGATTGGAAATCCTGCCCGGACACGGTGGATCGGGGATGAAGGCTCATGGACGTTTCTCTGTGTGTCCTAAACAACGACCTTCGCCCGTCTCAGACCACAAACATCCGGGCAGCGGCTTTTCCATGACAGTATGCTTCTCAAAACACATAACATATCTGCCCAAGCACTACGCAGACAATCATTCAAGAATCGTATTTGTACAGCCCGTCGTAAAGCGGCTTAGATAACCATTGCAACTGTCCGCCTTTCGACGCTGATACAAGTCCGAGATCGAGCCGAGCTATCGAAGTCGGGCGGATATATCCGTCACGGACGAGCGAATGGCAACAGTAGTTTGACTTGCATCATGACTTGTTCATAGCAGGTTCAAAGGCATTAGGTGTTCTGGCTAATATTAAGCCTGGTAGGTTCGAAACCCAACAAGGAAAATCTGAAGTGTCTACGAAGACAAAACTGTTCTACTGTTTCGTTGACAAACTCGACGCCAGCACAACACAATGGACCGAGGATCTTCTCTAGAGTATCTTAGATCCATGATAACTCTTACCTGTTTATTTCTCAACACTCAAGCTGCCACAGTGTCCAATTTACAATAATAATATGGCTCATACCCACCATCACATACACGAAAAGGAACACAATCAAGGGTTTACCGCCATATAACAAAAAGTCAAGCATTTGAACACTACCAAAGGAGTCATATCGGCGGCCGAGTCACTAACTTTACCACCGGAATGCGAAGTCAAAGTTCTCGCCCAAGGCTGTGACAGAAGCGCACCAAAATCTCCGACTGCACAGGATGTGTGGTTCCATGAGAGCTTTAATGCTAACCCTGGTGAGACTGAGTTTGGGTCAACCAAGATCCCCAAGATCCGGCGGACAATAGGTAGTTTGTATCTGCTATTCAACGTAGCTATTCTTGCTCTCGGAGGACACCTGCGGATTGTTCACTCCAGGTTTGTTCGCCTGAGATTCTAAGCTTTATAGAGAGCTGGTTCATGGACCAGTCCGGCCCTGACAGGATTGGGAAAAGAAAAGTCACCGGAATCTGTGAAGGAGAACACCGACAGATTTCTGAGATCAAGACCAGGCACGTAGGTCTAACCACCCCTATATTACAAAATTACCTCTGTTTACACGGCTTTGAATCTTGCAGAAATGGCAAATAATATTCTATTGTTTGGTCTGTCGATATCAACTGTATCTCTCTTAGGCAGCTCCTGGAATATGTAAGTATCTCATTAACCGGCAGATACGTAATCCCGAGGGTATATGTATGATGAATAGCTGGCAGGCACCCGCAACAACTCCGTATTAGTCGGATGGCACCTCATCTGAGCTTCGATCAACCTTTAAATGTTTTCTTCTCTTCCCTAGCTCTACCTCTTCTGCCCTTCTTTTGTATTAGTCTGTAGCCCAGGCCGTCTGATCCACTACCAGAGCGGACTCGAACCATAGGCCAATATAGCCTTCCTAGCACGGCATATCGACATGAACACGGCAGCTAAGATCTATCCTATGGGCAGCAAACTTTTATCCCAATGACGTGGTTTTACATGACTCTACACACACCTAGTTATCTTCACAAAACTTCAAGGTTCGCATGGGGCTCAGCATCACCGGAAATGCTCTTAAATTCTATCCGACGGCGTTGGCACTACTCGCCAGCGGCCACCTTTTCTGGGTCCCACAGGAAGATCGCGGTGTGATAGAATGCATGTGCTAAAGAGACAAGGGAAAGAAAGCAGGCGTCAGTTCAGTGCGAGTGGCGCAAGACCGCGCGTCCTATACCCAGCATAAAGAGTGTCCAGATTGGAATCATGAGACATCGACCATGGGAAACCCGGATATAGGACAAGGCCAAAGAAACATCAGGAAGATATGTCTCAGCCGGCCAAAAAAACCCGGCGACAACAGAGGCAGGCGACTGCCATTGTTGAACAAGTGTCCGTGTCCTCAAAAGTCCAAAGACCTCCTCCCTTACTTGGAAGCCTCCTTAACATCAACAACACCCTGCTCGCCCATGGCAGTCTGGATGGTGATCACTAGAGGAGAACAGCATTAGTACACGTTCCTTACACCAAGAAATGTTGGGCTCTCAGCCAGGCGACGGGAACTTACTGGTATCCTTGTCATCGTTGAAGAATTGCTCGGCCTTCTCGCCAAACTCGTTATCGGGTAGGCGGACGTCGTTCTTCTCGTTACCGTTGCTGTCAATGAGGTTGAGAAAGCCGTCATCGATGTTGATCTGCATAGTGGGTTAGCCTGTCTGTTGCGAACAAGAGGTAGAAGGCTGAGTGGGAGCGTACGAGCTGATATTCCTCGCGCTTCACGACGGGGACGTCCATATTGTGGGTAGACGGGCACAGATCTTCAAGCTTCTTATTGGTAAAGATATCAATAGCGACGAGATGGACCTTGGCGTGACCATGCTTGCCGGTCTTGGAGGTTGACATCTCGACAATCTTGCAGGGGCGAGACTTGATCACGACGAAGCCGTTCTTGCGCAGAGCCGAGCACTGCATGGGGAACGTCTCCGACGCACCGGCATCGGCAGACTCGAAGGTCTCATGCTGTTAGACAAGGAGCGTTAGCAACAACTCGACCAGCTGAGAAGCATTTGCGGGCGCAGGCAGGCGGGTAGGCATTGTGGTCGTCCTCGAGAGCTGCCCTCGCGACAGCAGGCGCGATGCGGGGTGGATTTTTCTCGCCCAAGCGCACAACAAAAAAAATCCAGGCTAAATGGATGCGCATTCGCAACAGGGCACTGCACTTACATCGCCATCAGACATGTTGGGCAAATTGACAAATGATACTGCGTCTGGCGAGAGAAGAGAGTAAGAGAGGGATGCGGCAGAGCCCAAGATGTCGAGAGCACCAAAAGAGGGGAGGAGATGCGGATGGGTGATCAGAGCGGGAGGGGAGGTTTGGGAAATTTGTCCTGCTTTTGAAGGACGGACGGAGAGGAAAAAGGCAGCACCCCCCGCGAATTCCTTAGCCCCTCAAGCCCCTCCTCCCTCACAGCGGGTGCAGTGCCAAAGTGTTTGCGCCTGCCTACGGGCCCCCCAGGCTGTTGAGTTTTCTGAATCTGTGGTGGGTTTTGAGCTAGTTACCCAGCATGGTTAGGTCGCTCGAAATTCTTTTTACAGCTCCATTTTTTTCTCCTTGGGCCCGCTCTTGAATTAATTTCGCACCAAGAGAAGGTAGGGCAGCATTGTTAAGTTTATCCTCTTCATTTTCGCCTCTCTATCTGGCACTCAAAACTAAGGTAAACTCTACTTTAGCTATGCGCATTGAGAACCTAGAAGCTTTTTGATTCGGATTAGAGCCCCACCCTGGTTAGGCCTTGTCGGATTTTGACGTGAAGCCGGCTTAGCTACACTAGGTAGTACCTGGTTGCCACCGGAGGTTATGGTGTCAGATCAGGGTAAGCAGCTTTTCTTCTTCTGCGTCCTTAGGTTTCGCTCGTGGCCAGCAGAAGAAAGAAGATGAGCGCACTGCTAAATGTTCGTGCGACCCGCCAACTTATCTTTCGCATCATGGCAACTGCCAAACTCCCGTCCCCGCTGTGTGCTCGAAATCACTCCCGCGAGGGTTGTCCAGCCCAAAATAAAATGGGAATCTTGCTGCCCCACCTTGCCCAGGCCCAGTCGTGCAGCGTAGCCTTGGGCGAGGCCCAACGCAGCTTGGCCGCGGCAGGGTGGTGGCTTAGAGACAACCAATCAAGGAGCGATCCTTGAGGTGTGGTCTAAGCGGCCACTGGGCAGCCTTGTTCCGGGGTTTTGGGACTGAGCTACAGGCGCAAAGCCACCACGTCGCAGCTTATGGATCCAGACCACGAGTCCTGGTGTCCCGCACATCGCCGTCCGGGAAATGGGATCGAATAACGCGGCCAGCTTAAACCGCGTCTCGCCTTTGCATCTACGAATACTGCCTAGCATAAAGATCAGCTCCAAGGCGGGCCCTTGCCCCTCGACCTGCCCTTTCCCTTGCCCTTGCCACCAATTCAGGGGTCTCGTGGCTGGCCCTATGCGGCCCATCTGGCTTCACCATGTGGCTTGACCGACTGGCTGGTCAGCAGCACTCTGGCAGCCCATCGCCTCAGCCAAACAGCCGACCGATATCGCCCATGCCTCGTCGCAGCTCGAGCGCAAGAGGGCCGTATCTCACATCACAACGACCTGGAATCAGTTCGAGGGGGTCGACGCTGTCGCTGCTGTCGAATGATTCGTCTTCCTCGCTCCTGGCCTCGTCCAAACGTGCCAACGGCTCCACCCTGAAGCAGTCCTCCACTGTCGACGACGCGCCTGACTCCGAAGACATCCTCGCCAGGATCCTCGGCCCTACTCCCGAGAGCCCGGTTTCCGACGAAGGGCAGGCTCGGCGTATAACCGACGATGATTTGGAGTTCGACTTCGACTTCGGCGGTCTAGCTCTGCGTGAGCTAGCAACCCAGGAGGGCGCCCAAGAAGAAGAGACATACAAATCTCAGACCGTAGAAGACTGTAGGTCCCTGCGAACACCCGCCCCATGGTTCCCAGCCCTGCGAGCGCTCACATGATCCGTCGCATAGATGAACGAGACAAGGCCAAGTTCGAAGAGCTGCATCGGTCGATCCAGGCATGCGATGACATCTTGTCCTCGGTCGAGACAAATCTCACCAGCTTTCGCAACGACCTGGCCGCCGTTTCCGCGGACATTGAAAGTCTGCAAGCTCGCTCGACTGCCTTGAATGTCAGGCTGGAGAATCGGAAGGCCGTGGAGAAGGGCCTCGGTCCCGTCGTTGAGGAGCTGAGCGTGTCGCCACTTGTGGTGTCCAAAATATCCGAGGGGCACATGGACGAAGCATGGGTTAAGGTACTCGCTGAGGTGGACAAGAGGGCTACGAATCATAAGAAGAATTCACAGCAAATACAAAGCAAGGCCATGGCTGATATAGGCCCGCTGCTGGAAAAATTGATACTCAAGGTAACGAGAAACATGGCCTTGAGTTTGCCGAGCCTGCTGCTAACTCGGGCAGGCGATTGAACGAATACGAGACTTCTTGGTAGCCCAGATCAAGGCCTTGCGGTCGCCTCAGATCAATGCCCAGATTATCCAGCAGCAGAACTTCTTGAAGTTCAAGGACCTTTTCTCATTCCTACAGCGGCACCAACCGGTACTTGGCGGCGAGATATGCCTCGCCTATATGAACACAATGCGCTGGTACTATCTTAACCAGTTCACCCGCTACGCAAAAGCGCTGGAGAAAATCAAACTCCATATACTCGACAAGAATGACGTTCTCGGCCACGATGACGTTTCGAGGAGAGCTACGGTCCTCTCTGGCTCGAAACTGGCGGGCGCTCCCCACGATGCCTTCAACCTCGGAAAGAGGATAGACATGCTCAAAACCAACAACCAGGTTGCCTTGTCGTCCTACTTGGCTGAAGAAGACCAGTCAATGCACTATCTCGAAGTTCCCTTCCGCAATTTCAACCTGGCTCTGATTGACAACGCCACAGCGGAATACACGTTTCTCGCCGCTTTTTTCACCCCGGCGCTCTCATTCTCTGCCATATCGCGCCATTTCAACTACATCTTCGAGCCCACCTTCTCCATGGGCCAGGGGTTAACCAAACAGCTGGTCGCCGACACGTTTGACGGGCTCGGATTGCTACTGTGTGTCCGCCTCAACCAGCACTTTGTCTTTGAGCTGCAGCGGCGGCGCATCCCGGCAGTCGACGGTTACACCAACGGCACCGCCATGGTCCTATGGCCACGCCTCCAGATGGTCATGGACGCACACTGCGAATCGGTCAAGACCCTGACAGCGGCCCTGCCGTCCCGCGCTCCGTCGGCTACCAGCGCCAAGGCAGCTTCGGCCGCTCCTCACGTTATCACCCAGCGCTTCGGTCAGCTCCTACACGGCATCTTGGCGCTCAGCACCGAGTTTGGCGACGACGAGCCCGTTGTCATCAGCCTGCGCCGCCTGCGAACCGACATGGAGGGCTTCTTGACCAAGGTCGCCCATGCCACCCTCGGTGCCGACAAGCGCAAGCGCGATCGCTTCCTCTACAACAACTACAGCCTGATCTTGACCATTATTAGCGACGTCGGGGGCAAGCTGGCCATTGAGCAGCAGGAGCATTTTGAGGAATTAAAACTTGGCGTTCAAGAGTCTGTGTGAGGTACCTTAGGTAGGGGAGGGATGTGACTTTCAGGACAGGAAGGGGGATATGGGAAAGGCCAGAATTGGGGGCGGCGTTTGGGCTTATTGGATGAAATAAAAACTCAATTTGATCACCGACCAACACGCGCACGCACATGTGGCGTTGGAAGTGGATGGGTTGATTGTCGCATGCCTGATTGTAATTCTCGTGCTTTTGAACGCTGCCAAGTACCCCATCATCATGAAACAAACCAAGAAAACACGATACATCAGGATTTCGTCCCACCAGCCCTGCACGCCAGATTCGCAATAGTACTACCATTTTCTCCACCATTCTAGATAGAAGGAATACTGCACTCTTGTCTGATGCTGAGGGAAGCGAAGAAACTCGAGCCGGAGTTTGTCGCTTCACGTTGGGCTAGCTTTTCTGGCCGAAACCTTGCTAGGTCTGGCGTTTCATCTGTTGATTCGGTTGACGAGGACCAGGCCACCCACCCCCTCAGCATCAACCATAATTATCCCTCAGACCTCGAACTATTTCCCTTTTTTGAACAACGCTTACCACTCCTAAACACCAGCGGCCACGCGACGGGGCAACGGGAAGCTGGTATGTGCGTCGTCCCATGTTCCCCCCCGCCGGCCTGGAGCCCGAGGACCCGGCCCGAGGAACCGGCCCGTATAACTGTACCATGGGACAAGAGACGAGTCCAAAAACGGACACAAGACGACCAGAGTTGTGAAGGGTTACCAAGATGTGAAGACTTAAAGTAGGATAACCCACCTTCGCTCTCCTCTTTATTCCCCTGCCTTTCATATATATCTTTCATAACATCAATTTCGAGCTAATAATTAGTAAGGTACTCACTTTTTTCGTCAACTTGGCCGCATCGACACCACCAAGGTCACCCATAGTACGCCTCCTAGGTAAGTACTTTTTTTAAAAATGCATTTCATCACGACCCTCTTCAACGTCCTGGTCGGCGTCTCAACCCTGGCCACGTCGGTTGCTGCCTTTGACCGGTTCCACCTCCCCACACGAACCGTCGACGGCGACAACAACAACAACGAGGCGGGACGCTTGGAGGTGGACAGTCTGGCAGCGCGGGACATTGAAGGAGTCATCGATGGGTTCGACCGCACAAACGACCGCACATTCAGCGGCACCACCGGCAGGGTGTTTTGCGGATGCGGCTCCAACGTCGACCCGGGCAACCTCAAGACGGTCATAGACCAGATGAGGGATTTGCCGAAGCAAATTATCGAACAGCACACGCAGAGGATTAAGGTTGTCAACAACGTCCTTGCCTTTGCCTGCGGCGGGCGTGGCCGTGCCAAAGCAGACAGCGAGTTCGACCCTGTACAGATGTCTCGGGCGGAAGAGCTCATCACGAAGAAGTGCGGGACAAACATCGCAGGCTCCGTACTATTTGGCGAACTCCTCCTTGGATACATGCGCTTCTCCTTCGGCGATGGCATCAGAGTTTGTAAGGCGGGCCAGTCGTCCCTTCAGCAGCACTGCTAGTGACACGGTTTCTTCTGCAGTGCAATATAGCCATTTCTTTCTTTGCTGTAAAACCACTCCAGTTGTGAAGTTGTTGGACTTTCCTGCCTCTCTGTTGTTTCTCCACTGTTCTCGTCCTTATTCTAGACACTCTTTAGAAATCGCTTTTTCTTACCGTGAACTAAGATTCCCAGACCTGTGCTCGCAGTAGACCGCTTCACTTGAATTATGCCCCAGGTATTTAAGCTTCCTCGACACCTCATCAGAGTTGCGAACTAGTCATGCTGAAAGATAACCGTTCCGGGCAAGTCCGGGATCCATGGAAGAGTGGCGTGTGTGCAAAATTTTTGTGTTTTGTGGTCCATTTACGAAAAGCGGTGCAAGAGCTAATGCTCTTTCTTTTTGATAATAACATGTAGTCTAGTTTTCGGGATGCCGGGCTACCTAAACCAGCGTGTCAAAAGTGTCGAGAGGTAGCCGAGCGGGCCGGTCGGTCCTCCCGGCGGCGAGCGGCGCAGGGCGATGGCCAGGACGGCGACAAGGACGGCGAGGCCGAGGGTGCGGGCGGCGGGCCGGCGGTAGCGGCGGAGCAGGGCGATGGCCTGGTCACGGCGCTCGAGCCACTGCAGCTCGCGGACCTGGCGGTCGAAGAAGGCGCGGCCGTCGTCCATGGACTGGGCGGCGCAGGCGCGGGGGTCGCGGGCCGTCTTGAGGACGCTGGCGGGCGAGATGGTGTGGCGCCAGGACGACGACGAGGGCGAGCCCCGGGCGCCCCTCAGGCGCTCGGGCGGGTAGGCGTCGAGCAGGGCGCGCGTGTCGGCGATGAGCGCGTCCAGGTCGAGGGGCCGGGGAAGCTTGCTGAGGATGCTGTGCAGCATCTCGGGTTCGTCGCGAGGCGTGTCGAAGAGCTCGGCGCGGCGCCCGCGCACGATGGCGGCGAACATGTAGACACTGAACACAGGCTCGCGGGCGAGCAGCACGTCGAATAGGCGGGCGATCTCGCCGAGCGTTGTGATGTCATGCGCGTACATGGTCAAGGTACCCGAGAGGGCGAAGAAGGGCTCCGTGGAGGACAGGTGGCGCCACAGGGCCGGGTCCGCGGCTCGCAGGATGTCGGGGATCAGGCGTAGCTGCGCGATGGCCGGCGCCAGCGACGGCAGCATGAAGTCGCGGATGCGCAGGGCCGAGAGCCGCGCTACGGCCGGCGCCCGCAGCGGCGTCGGCAGCACTAGCATTAGGACCTGACATATGTCATGGTAGCCTTGGAAGTAGCAGAGGTAGGGGTACCGCCGCAAAACTTCGACTATCAAGGCCGATAGCTCGGCCTTTTGCTGTTCCAGCTCGGCTTCATTCTGGTCTGAATAGGGGCAAAACCGATATTAGCCGAGATGCGTTTACAAGTAGAAAGGCGGAGGGAGAGGAGAACATACGGTGTGGGTAGTAGATAAAGGCCCGGTTGACATCGAGCTGGACCTGGTCCTCGTCCCGGTGGCGAGGAAGCTCCTTCCATGACCCGTCATCCTGGGCGGTATAAGGTTCATTTCCGTCCTCAGCAGATGGGAGGCCGAGCAGCACCGGCCCTGTGGCACGAGAAGATTTAGCCTGGGAGACAGATCGTGATTATCGAGATGTCTAAAGTAGGTACTCACATGCTTTCTGGCGGATGCTGTCCTTGAGAAACCCGCCTGGCGACTCGGCGAGCACTCTCAGTGCATCCAGGTCCCTCCATCTGCACGCCTCGAGAATGTCCTTCATCTTGTCAGTTGCAACGGAACCGTCGTTGTGATTGGTTGCCTTCTCACGAAGAGCCGCCTCGTCCGACGCATCCATCACGTCTCAGCAGGAATAGCGAGCGTTTCAATTCTTGCAGGTTTTCGAGTCGCCCACAGCCTCGGGCTGGTGGGTTTTTCTTTCTTTCTTTCTTTCTTTCTTTCTTTCTTTCTTTTCAACTCTATCAGATCACAAGAGGCGTTGTCGTATGCATGACTAACTGTGCCGTCCTGTCCGATACTGTGCCCAGCTCAGGTTCGGGCCGAACTCAGCTTTCGATTAAAGAGCTGGGCAGATACCTAGGTACAGTACGTGTATCAATTACTCACTTTGTTGTAGGTGGGCTGGGTTGCTTGCTTTGTGATGAGATGCGATACGAGGTGATGCGATGCAATGGGCCGCCAGTACGAAGGACGAGATACGCACTGCCCTGGGAAGATGACAACGTGACAGGTGCCTAGGTAGGTGCTGAATCAACAAAAGCGTTACACTGAGGCTGCAAAAGTGCACAACCTGCTAAAACAGTGTCTTATGTGGTATGCGGTGTATTTGAACGAGCCCCGTAGGATGTTAAATGTTTGTTGTTAAGAGCATGAAGGATCGATGCCAAGTAGAATTGAAAATCCCATTGAGGATATACAATTAGTTGATTAGTGGAGGTCTATAATACTCCATGTAGCGCCACCACTACTTGGTACGTACCCGATCTTAAGATACTGCATGTATGTACATACAATACATACATGTACCTTACCTCGGAGGTATCAACTTCTTTGCATGCCGCGATCAGCCAAGGCTCCAGGTTCAATGAAACAGCCAATGGTATTGCTGGTGCGCACGTGCCTCTACCCAACAACTGTAAGTATTGTATTGTATTGTCCATGCCTTTTGGGTGAAAGATAAGTATCCAATGCAAGTTCGCACTTGAGATACGAATATCGTACCTCACTTGCCGAAGGTAGGTAAGGCCCGGTTTATCCATGGATACTGGTCCAGTGCAGTACATGCACCGGCGAATGGAAGGTATCAAAAGTTGAAGCGGAGAGGTCCTTTGAGCTGGAGCCTTCCATGGATTTTGGAGGGGTCAAAGACTCCAGACCCGGGCAGGGCAAGAACAATACTGAACAGGGGCCGAGCTTCCACGGCAAGCTGAAGCATAGCATTGGATGGCATGGAACTTCATGATATGTCGGCTCTGTCCCATGCAAACCACGTCATCAAGTAATTGCTAAGCCTGTCTAGACTCCGGAGCCGAAGCAAGTAGCGAGGCGAGTGCCGATAAGCCCACGCCGCAAGAGAAAAGGCTGGTAATTGTGTGATAGGTTTGTAATATTGTACATAACTACTGCAGTGTACATATACAGGAAAGTTATTCCTTCACTGGCTCGGATCTGAAGTAGCCTCCACATTCGACCCGGGGAACCGTCGAGCAGGCCCCGCCCCCTGCTGCTATCGCCGTCGGGCCGGCCGTCACCAGACCCGGAGGCTCGGACGTTCAGCCAAGCCTCGAGCCCCCCGCAACCCGTTCAGGACTTAAGGCAGAGAGGGGCAAAGAAGGTGGAGAGGGTCCCGACACATGGAATCCACCCCCGACGACCTCACCTTACGTAGTATAGATATTAGGTACTTACAGCTTACATTCGAGTGTCCCGTAAATCCCCAAAATACATGCAGCTTGGAATGACTGCACCAACGGGCAAGGATTGCTACTACTGCTGAGCATAAGCTTTAGTTGGTAGGCACGTTGGTAAATAGGTAGACGTGCCTACCGAACCCGGAAGCACTCCGCCCATTTGCTCGCGTGCACTTCCACTATCCTGCCAAGGCTGCCTTGAGTGATTGATGATTGATAGCGGCCCTCTGTGATGGGCCTCGACCCAACAGCGCATGCAGGGCTGTATATTGAGATTTGTATCACCTTTTACCTCAACCGTCATGATATTGTTACAAGGGCCTGGCAGGTTTCCAATCCAGGAGGGCCTAGTTTGTTCTGTGTTAGTTACTTCCGTCTCTACCTTACCTTACGGTAGGTAGGCCGGAAGTGTCTGCGGGCCTCTTCAAATGCTCTCTAAGAAACCGTTGATCAAGCTTCCCAAAACAAACCTAAAAGAAAGCAAGGCCTGGAAATATTTACCGTGTAATACTATTAGCATAATCCATATACGTGCTGCTGGTATGCTTAATGAACCCCTCGCTCGGTACCTAAGGTATGTGCAGGTGGCTTGGTTCGGGAGTTGAAAACTGCCCCCACTCTGGACAGCGACTGGAGGGTGGGGTCCACCTACCTTCCACGCTCTCGACAACCACCTACCCACTAACCACGGGAGTCAGGTAGGTGGACAGACACAACCTACATTGCTGCCTTTCCCTCATGAGGTACAGTACAGTATCTAGCGGGCGACGGACAACGCGCTTCAGATTGCAGCACACCTGACATTGGAACGCGACTCGGCCGACTCCCACTTCGCCTGTCTGCCTGCCTACCTCCAATCTGTGACTTCCGAATTAGGTTGCTTGAGGTGGACGTGGACGTGTTCGCTTTCCGGGTTCGATCAGGAAGGCAAGGCTTGCCCAACAGTACTCGACTCCGAGATCCGAGCGCCATCCGCCCGGCCTTTTGACGTCCTTGCGACTTTCCTAGGAGGTGAGGTATTTCACTGGCCACACCTATCGCCAAGACGTATGTTCGGTCTGCCCAGGGTTGTCGATCTGATAGGTGCCCACCGCATCGAGCAAGAAAAAAAATACGGCACCTAATTGGGGACCAAAGGCTGAGAGGCGGCAGCACAGTCGCTGGTTAGGAGGCTTGGTGGCTTTCCGTCCATCCATGTTTGGAGAGGCGGGGACGAGGTGATGAGAAGACTGAACCCGTGCCTCTACGCTCTTCCTGCCCTTACCTGCCTGCATATCTTCCAGCCTTGACTACCTAGGTACCTACCTGGCCTACCTCCTTTGCCTACCTTACCTACATTACCTGGTATAAACTGTATCTGGTACTTAAGGTCCAGGTATATCTATGCCCTTTTGTCCTTGCGGCATCTGCGAACGGGGACTTTCATACCTGGCGGCACCCCCAGGCTCCCATGGTCTGGTCTTGTCCTGTACATACTGTACACTATAGGTGCAGGACATGACATGCCTTGACTAAACCTGCTTGGCCTGCTCACGGAATTTGTCTTGTGCCTTTGGCCAACCGCTCGCCTACCTTACCTATTTTCCTCCTTCGAGCGCACTTTGGCAATTTGGGTCGTTGACTCTTTGGTCAATTCAACTACCGCTCCGGAAACCAACTGCCCGTGCCCTTAATCACTAGCAGGTTCGGTTGGCTCTGTCGTTCCTCTTCTGCCGTCAGCTCGGTACCGTTTAGCGTACGCGATTCCTGGTAATTACCTTACCTTGCTCGGATTCTCGGCCGGGAAGACCCATACCGTTAGCCCCTCCTGATGGTTGCTTTCCGCCATTCGTACCACCTCTTCGGAACAGAAGAAGTTTACCATGGCTTTCCAGACCAACATCTTACGCGGGGGCGAATGGGTGACGGAGACTGTTGACTTGATGGCCGTCCTCAAGGCCAACTCCAATGCGAAGGGCTCCAAGAGACAACGGCCGCTGAAACCACCCCAGTGCGGCATTCTTACCAGGACGGTGGTCGAAAGCTCACTTATAAACTCCATACTACCTGTCCGTATTAGGTCGCCGCAGCACAACGATGTCGCCTTCGTGGGCGTAAGTCACTTTCATGCCCGGCAGTGGCTCCTAGGCATCGCACCCCTTCCTCCTGGCTAACCGTACTCGTTAGGATCACACCGTCCAAATCTGCGAGTTCAGGAGAGACGGGCAGCTGAAAGATATCATCAGAAAGAACGACTTTGGGTCGCGAATTCGGAATGCCTGCGTTATCGGCTCCTTCGACATCAAAGACGACGAGGGCGACGAGCCCCAGTGGCCGCCTCCTGCTGTCACGACCGAGGACGACGAGCCAATGTCCTCAGGCTTTTCGCAGCGGAGGCCCGTGTCCCAGCTACCTCCTCAGTTGCTCATGGTTACTTTGGAGTGTGGCGATTGCGTTTTCTTGTTTGTCGGCGCTGGATCGGGTGGGAAACCCGAGTTCGTGGAATCGCGGTTCGCAAGCCCAAGGTACCAGCTCATATATCCAGGATTCCACCTAGCTGTGGACCCAAGCTCGCGCTACGTAGCCCTAGCATGTGCTGAGGACTTTTTCGTTGTATACGAGCTCGAATCGCTACCAGATCTCAACCAGAGGCATATGCGCAATGAACCTCTTAACCCTGTCAGATCCTACCGCCCGCGGAGCGTGCAGGGCGTCATACACAAAGTTGATTTCCTGTACCCGCGACCTGGGGACGACCACCATATCATCCTTTTGCTCATCATTGTCAAGAATGGAAAGTCGAGGATGGTCACATATGAGTGGGAAGTCGGAAACGACCTGAAGACTGTCTTTGCCGAGGAGAAACAAGGCCACCGGATGCCCGTCGAGAACCAGATGCCCGTCCTGCTGATCCCCTTGACGGTAAGGTCGGCTTTTATTGCCATCTCGCCAAGTCAAGTTGCCGTGTGCACCGGCGGCTTATTCGGACCACCCAACTTTGAGAAAATTGGGATGGAAACACGGCCTGCAACGGACACATACCATGGCCGCGACCAACCATTGTGGACAGCATGGGCAAGACCCTTCCGCCTGTCTCCGTACTTCAAAACGCGGGATTGCATATATCTTGCCAGAGAAGATGGCATAGTCATCTTCATCGAGGCAGATTCGGAAAGTGCTCTGGATCGGAGTACCTTCATGGACAAGTTTGATTGCAACATATCGACAGCTTTCACTTGCTTGTTTGACCAATATACCGACGTTCTCGTCATGGGAAGTGATTCGGGCCCGGGAACCATCTGGAAAGTATGCTGCACCACCGCCATGTTTTCTGTCTCATCGAGTTCTGATGTTTCATCGCAGGTCCCGGCCCGACAGCCACTAGAGCTCCTCGGCACCATACCGAACTGGGCACCCTCTGTCGACTTTATAACTACAGACGAGTTTTCTACCTGGAATCCAGATGCTGCCGACCAGGGAGGCAACATGGTCGCCCAGTCACGCAATCAGTTCAGGCAACCTGACCGAGTTTTCGCAACATCTGGACGTGGGAAGAAGGGCACAGTAACAGAATACAGGAATGGGCTGCGAGCTAACATAGGTCTAGATCTTGAATACGGAGCTGGGGTGAAGGAGGTTTGGCTATTTCCCTCTAGCCACTCTGGTGCCCCTCAAGACCACCACCTCCTGCTATCCATGCCTGACTGCTCTATAATTCTCAGTCTCTCGGAAGACTTTGCCCAGGCGAGTGAGCTAGAACCAGGATCCACCCCCTACGACCTGTCATCGCCCACTCTTGCAATCTCTCATTCAGACCACTTCACCGTGCAGATCACCAAACAATCTATAGTGCTACTAGCTGCGAGTCGAAGGTACGGCTGTGTGAACATTAGATGGCAAACATTGGGACCCTTTTCCTCTGACGGAATGATGCTTACATGACTACAGGGCCCAATTCTCGTACGATGAAATACTGGAGAGTTCATCTCCTATCTTCGTATCCGACGGAGCGGCCCTCGTCAATTACGTAGCCATCGCAACCCATAACGACAGCCGATTTCAGATCCACACTTTCAAGATTGACGTCCCACAGCTTTCTCTTGTATACGACGCGACATTTGCTGTGGAGGGGGAGATAACATGTTTGTCTCTTGGTGCGCGCTTCACTGTACTGGCAGGTCTGTGGAAAGACGGCCAGCCCTTTCTAGCGCGGACACAGCCTCAAACAGTTACCGGGGCTCTTGAAATGATCAAATTAACCGAGCGTAAGTGGCGCGTCAGCCCGACATAAGCTTTCCCATTTCATCACCTCCCCATTGTCCTCGTTCCAAGGGCTGACCCTGGGCAGATCTGTCAAAGTCTGCTTCCAACGCCAGTCCTGATGAGTTGGCGCCAATCGAGGCAATTGGAAGCATTGTCTCCGTCTGGAATACCATACTTCTAGGAACCAGGAGCGGGGATGTAATCATTGTGTCGGATATCGCCGGCTCCCTATCGGTCGAGGGTGAAAAATTTGGAAAGACAACAGCAGACGTTACTTGCACGTATCATACCAACAACGCCGATCCTACAGTCCTTGTCTCTTGCGACAAGAATCTCGTCCTGCTGGGGGCCTACGATGCCGGCAGCAGTCAGACTGATCCACTGCAGCCAAGGACCAAGTCGCGAGTGTGGGTGGTCGATGCTAGCAACCTTGGAAGCGCACCACCACCTGTGGATTTTGGTGTTGCGGTAAATATCCCATCTCAAAGCCCCGACATCACGCCAATCCTCGTGGTCTCTGGTGCCAGGCTCTTGCTAGCAGATATGAATCATACCCCGGGCCCGGTCCACCGGCATATTCCCGTCGATGGGACACCGACAAAGCTCATATACTCGCAGTCTCTCCGCTGTCTTATCGCTGCGGTAAATATCGGCAACAAACCGACGTTGAAGTTCATCCACCCTGATTCCGGGGAAGATATAGGACAGCCGACGGATAGAAGCGGAATTCCGGCCGACTTCATCTCAGGCCTCGGAAAGTCAGGCGACCGAGTTTTCGGATTAACTGAGTGGGAATACACAAAAGGAGACAACACTTGGCGCTTCGTGCTGGTTGCGACACGCGAAGGACGTCTTATCGTGGTATCCACGGAGAGAGGAAGTTCGCAGGAGGGCGGCCCACGAGTAATTCGATACAGAACAAAGTTCCAGAAGAGATACGAGCGTCCGATATACTCAGTTCTCGGATATGAAGAGGGTGTAATCTGCTGTGTTGGGCAGACGATTCACTGGGATGTGCTCGACACGGTGGAGAAGAAGTTGAAGCATGTCAAGTCATTTGAAGTGGGATCGCCAGCCACTAGCCTTCGCATTTCAAACGGAAAGCTCCTGGCTCTGACGAGCCGTGACTCTTTGGAGATCATCGACCAATCTGGGTTGGAAGACGCCGTGGCGGGACTCAGTCACGTCGACCCGAGGCGGCGCAACGCGATACACCTCATAGAGGTGGCGGGCGCGCAACCTGAGGAGCCCTTGGGAAATATTATCCTGCTTGCAGATCGGGACTGTGGTATTGGAGGGCTTTGGGTCCCGTGGCAGGTGCCAGGCAAGGACTGCGAGCTGGTCTTCGAGGCAGAGCTGCCAACTTCGATCCGCCGATTCCGGCGAGGAAAAACACGACCGGTCTGGGAACAGGGGCGACATCGTCCCAAGTATGGCCGGCTCGTGAGCACCGTGGACGACGCCGAGATACTCGGTATATCGTTGGATGGGTCAATGCAGCATTTTACATTGCTCAGCATGGATACCTGGCGGTTCTTGCGATTTATTCAGAACGTGGCCCTCGCAAGCCACGAGCTGTTTTCTTTTACATGCGAGTCTAGAAGGGGAGATCACGGTACAGCTAATCTGGAACCTACGCCTTATATGGAACCACTGGTGGGTAGGGGGACCGATATGCAAGTGGATGGCGATTTACTGCGGCGTTGTCTGGACAAGAGAATCCTTGAACGGCTAATGTCGCCACCAAGCCGCGAGTCTCGTTTCACGGAGCTGCTAGACGAGTTGGACGACGGACAACACACAGCCGGACTGGCAGCTGAAGGAGACCGGGACAGGTATTTTGGCCTCGCCTACGAGATCCTGGACTATTTCCTTCGACCAGTTCTATGAAGAAAAGGCGGCCATTAGTTCAATTGATTCTTATTAAATGCATAAGATGATGGAGAGAGGGCGTTCTCCTGGGACCTTGACGGGAGGTTTTCTGTGATGATAAAAGAAATACAGCAGAGAGACATTGGCTTTAGCTCTTGAGGGTGGACTCTATGTTCAGTACCCCCTTGTTGAGTAGTGGTCAAGCCCCATAGGAAACCCGAGCTTTAATGGCACAAAATCAAGGCGTCAATATTCGGTGCAGCTATACGATATTTATAATTTTATATGATATTAAAAGTTCACCGGATCCGAGTCGCTCCCGCCAGCGCATCACATACCTGGTCCGCTCCGTTCCGCGCCTTCCCGAACTTTAAAGGCCCAAGGATTGCCACAAAAATGGCTTTGGTAATAACACACCACGGCGCCGAACTATCCGCGGCGCCTGAGTACGTATGTACATACAAATAGAACAATAATTTGTAGTTGATGAAGAGTTCTGTTGGGTATGTACGGATGGATACCTTGCAACACGCCTTTCTGGTCCTAGACCGCCTCAACCACTTGCTTTGAACAGGGCACTCAAACCCACCCACCGTAATCCAGCTCCGAAAAAGGGTATATATATATATGCCTGTCGTTAAAAGCTTTCAAGGTTTACACAGTAGTAGTGCCTTGAGGCTATCGTGGGGCGATTCTAAAGTGCCGCTTAACTTAGGTAAGGTAAGAGGTTTGTGGACTCGGAACAACGGAAGTTGTATAAAACTGCCCGCCCCACCCTTATCCAACGAAACCCGATGCACAAAATATATTTGGGTCCAAAACCCTCTCCAAAATCCACTTTTCAACTTTCGCTGCGTCACTCACACTCGCTGCATAAGCCCCTCCACCGCGCCCGCCGTGCAAACTGCTGTGGTAGTGGCAGAGCACATCCTTGCCTAAAAGTGTCTGGGTTTGGGCTCTGCGTTTTGGAGCAACGGCCTCAGATTTCTTCAGACTATTATGTCTCGTTGTCACTGGCGCAAAAAGCACTGTCGACTTAGACACGACCAGCGACCGATTTTACCGGTCAAGGGCTGAAAGAAAGCAAGCAGACACTAGCAAGTAAGCAACAGCCAAACCAGGCACTCCTCCTGTATTTTCCCCGCGCCTGCGCCCGCGCCACCCCCCGAGCAGCACTCTACAGAGCCCCGCAAGACAACCTCAGGACTGCCCTGCTCCGCTGCCCGCGAAAAGCCCCCCTCTGACCCTCGCCCAGTTGTCGCCTCGAGAAATTATCTCGTTTTACCGCACACCAAACTAGGTACCTTTACTAGGTACCTTTATAGTACCGGGCTGCTGCTCTTTGAGAATCCGCACCCGAACGAGAGACAAATTTCCCACTGCTCGCCTGCAGGCCTACCAAGATGGCGCCCAAGAAGAAGGGTAACAAGAAGGCCAACGACGACTGGGAAGCCGAGCTCGGCGAACCCGCCGCACCTGCATCCAAGCCCGTTGCCGCTGCCGATGGCGAACTCGCCGACGACGACGATGCGGGCGGCGCCGGTGGTCTGATGGCCCTGATGCGCAAGAACAAAGAGAAGAGAAAGAAGAAGGGCTTGAGCGAGGACATTCCAGCAGCGGACCCCGAGCCCGCTGAGCCTCTGCCCGACTTGACCGCGAAGGCGCCAGTCGAGGCCGACCTTGACGATGAGTTTGCGCTCCCCGACAAGAAGGGCAAAGCCGTTGCAAAGGGTAAGCAGCAGCCGCCAGCGAAGCCCGCTGCCTCGCCCGCGCAAGCGGACGGTAACGAGGCCGACGACGGCGGAGAGACGGGCGGCAAGGTGCTGACCAAGGCTGAGAAGGAAAAGCTGAAGAAGGAAAGAGAGAAGCAGCGGAAGAAGGAGCAGGCTTTGAAGAAGAAGGTCACCGGGCCAGCTCAGCCGGCAGGCAAGCCTGAGCCAGCCAAGGCCGCCGCCGCCGTAGAGGAGAAGGCCGAGGTACCTGAGGCTGCTGCTCCTGCAGAGACGGGCGGCAAGAAGAAGAAGCTCCCCGCCCATCTTGTGGCGCTGCAAAAGCAACAGGAAGAGCTGCGGCGTCGGAAGGAGGAGGAGGCGCGCCTCCTCGCCGAGGAGAAGGCTAGGATAGAGGAGGAGGAGCGCCTAGCTGAGGAAGAAGCCAAGCGCTTGGCCGAGGAGAAGGCACGCAAAAAGCAAAAGGAAAAGGAGAGGATCGAGCAGCTCAAGAAGGAGGGCAAGTTCCTCACCAAGGCCCAGAAGGAAGAGAAGGCCCGCAATGAGAGGAAACTCCAGCAAATGCTTGCCGCTGGCATCAAGATTGGTGGCGCGGCTGGAGAGGGCGAGGCCGAGCCTAAGAAAAAGACGGAAAAGCGGAGCGCCGGTCGCAAGAACAACAAGGTGAGCCGCAACTCTTCTCCTACCTAGGACGACCTGTGACCGAGCCCGATTTTTCTGACACTCATGATTTAGGTCGACGAGGAGAAGGTGCTGGCCGAAGCCGCTGAGCGGTCCAGGCTGCAAGCTGAAGCTGCCGCCAAGGAGGCAGCGGAAAAAGAGCGGCTTGCGCGCGAGAAGGCTGAGGCTGCTGCAAAGGCTGCTGCCGCCGCCGCTGCGGAGGATAGTGTAGAAGAAGACTGGGAGGCCGCTGCTGCTTCAGACAAGGAGGACGTCAAGGATAGCTGGGACGCCGACTCGGACGAGGAAGCCGAAAAGAAGGAGACCCTGCCCACACGGCCGAAGCAGCAGGATGACTCCGAAGAGGAGGACTCTGACTCCGAAGACGAGTCGTCGTCCGAAGATGAGCAAGCAACTCAGGCACAGATCGTCGAGGCGCAAAGGAAGAAGGAAGCCGCGGAGCGCCGTGAGAAGGCCCACCAAGCGGCCATGGCTGCTCGGTCTGCGGACGACCTGCGCTCTCCGATTTGCTGTATTCTGGGCCACGTCGATACCGGCAAGACGAAGCTACTTGACAAGATCCGACAGACCAATGTCCAGGAAGGTGAAGCCGGTGGTATCACACAGCAGATCGGCGCCACCTACTTCCCCGTCGAGGCCATCCGGCAAAAGACGGCCGTCGTCAACCCCGACGGCAAGTTCGAGTTCAAAGTCCCTGGTCTCTTGATTATCGACACCCCTGGTCACGAGTCCTTTGCCAACCTGCGCTCTCGAGGCTCATCCTTGTGCAACATCGCCATTCTGGTTGTCGATATCATGCACGGCCTTGAGCCCCAGACCCTTGAGTCTATGAAGCTTCTCCGCGACAGAAAGACGCCCTTCATCGTTGCGCTCAACAAGATCGATCGTCTGTATGGCTGGAAGAAGATTGATAACAACGGATTCCAGGAGAGTTTGGCGCTGCAGAACAAGGCTGTCCAGAACGAGTTCAGGAACCGCCTCGACCAGACCAAGCTCGCCTTTGCCGAACAGGGCTTCAACTCGGAGCTCTTCTACGAGAACAAGTCGATGGCCAAGTTCGTATCGCTGGTGCCCACGTCTGCCCATACCGGCGAGGGTATCCCGGATATGCTAAAGCTGATTGTGCAGCTCACGCAGGAGAGAATGGTGGGCTCGCTCATGTACCTCTCCGAGGTCCAGGCCACAGTTCTCGAAGTCAAGGCTATTGAAGGCTTTGGCATGACTATTGATGTCATCCTGTCAAACGGTATTCTTCGGGAGGGCGATCGTATCGTTCTCTGCGGTGTGGAGGGTGTTATTAAGACAAACATCAGAGCACTCCTCACGCCCGCCCCCCTCAAGGAGCTCCGTCTCAAGTCGGCTTACGTGCACAACAAGGAAGTCAAGGCTGCTCTTGGTGTCAAGATCAGCGCCCCCGGCCTCGAGGGCGCCATTGCTGGATCCCGTCTTCTCGTGGTTGGCCCTGATGACGACGAGTCTGATCTTGAGGATGAAGTCGAGTCTGACCTCGCAAATCTCTTCAACCGGGTTGAGAAATCTGGCCGCGGCGTGAGTGTCCAAGCTTCGACACTCGGCTCTCTCGAAGCCCTCCTCGACTTCTTGAAGGATTGCAAAATTCCCGTTGCCAACGTGGGCATTGGCCCCGTTTTCAAGCGCGATGTCATGCAATGCGGTGTCATGCTTGAGAAAGCTCGTGATTACGCTGTCATGCTCTGCTTTGATGTCAAGGTTGACAAGGAGGCGCAGGCGTATGCTGAGGAGCAAGGTGTCAAGATCTTCACGGCCGACATCATCTACCATCTCTTTGATGCATTCACAAAGCACATGGACGAGCTCACTGAGAAGAAGAAGGAAGAGTCCAAGCTCCTTGCCGTCTTCCCCTGCGTCCTCAGCACGGTGGCCGTCTTCAACAAGACGAGTCCCATTGTGATCGGTGTCGACGTTATTGAAGGCCAGCTCAGAATCAATACGCCCATAGCTGCCGTTAAAACTGACCCCACCACCGGGGCCAGAGAAGTCGTCAACCTCGGAAGAGTGTATGTATCTCCCCACAGTCTATCCCGGATCTCGATTTACGCGTAAGCTAATCATTCGTGTGACATGTGTAGGACTTCAATTGAGCGGGAGCACAAGCAAGTTCCCGTCTGCAAAAAGGGACAACCCTCGGTTGCCATAAAGATCGAGATGGGCGGGCACCAGCCTACCTATGGTCGCCACATCGAGGAAACCGACCAGCTCTACAGTCTGATATCTCGCGCCAGTATCAACTGCCTCAAGGAGTTTTACAGAAAGGATGTGTCGAACGACGAGTGGCAGCTGATCATCAAGCTGAAGCCCTTGTTCGACATTTCATAGTCGCCTAAAGAGCTCGCTTGATATCTGGCGTGGGAACGCCTTCTTGTAACAATTTGCTGATGTCTTTGCTTTTTCCCCGTCTCTTTGAGTTGCTAGTCTGTGTTTTAGAGGGCGTGGAGGATAATCTTTGGCCCTTCTGTCCAGGAAAAAAGCTCTTAGATTACGAAAGACAACTCTTCAAAAAAGAAAAGACGACCGGGGACTCTCTGGGGGACCCGAAAAAAAGGTGGATGCAGGGAACAATGTCATTTTTGGTCTAGGCATGCAGAGGGAAATTCGGTGAAAATAATATCACCCCGTTCTCGCGCTCTTTTCTACCACTGTGCTGCAGACTTTCATGCTTGCGGCAGCGCTGAGTCGGTTGATTTCTGCCCTGATTTGGGCGAAGGCCAAAGAGAATGATATTAGTTAAATATATATATATATATAAGGACCTATTCTTATAACTGTGTGTGTTATGTTCTCTGTGTCGTCTGACATTTCTGGTTGACTCTCCCGATATGACTACATTTCATCATCAGTGACCGGAAACTTGCCCAACTTATCGGTTCGTTGGTCTCTGTCTGCAGCAAGACAGCAATGGCTCGTAGAGTCGGTTAAGGTGGGTATATGCGATATATAGATTAAAGTCGGTTACGGAAAAAAAAGCCAATACCCGGCGGAAGCACGAAGCACAAGTCCAACACGAAAGGTTCTCGGATCCGGCTGACTACAATTAGCGCATCACATGCCAGCCGCTCCGCTCCACACACCCGGACTTTGACCGGCCCGGAGCCGTCAAGGTTCGGCACAACCATGGATTTGCTACCCGATGACACGTACACCGAGAAGACTCACGCCGTGCCGTGGTGTCAAACTCAATCGGTCGGCACGAGTGCAATTGACGAAAGCGTCTTGCACACACCTTCCAGTCCTCACCCAAATCTATCAGATTAACTACAACCATATACTTGACGCGGCCTAACTGGCACAACCGGTACGTTCCGATCCATCGCACGCGATTCGGAAGGCGGGCATATACTATATATGGTTTATCACTTGCCAAGGGAGAATCGCATTTCTTTTCCCCTTCTTTTCCCTGTTACAGAATACTTTTGAGGAGCATATAAAGGCCCTGTCACTCAATACAGCCTAACTAAATCCGCCAGGTTTGAACCCAGCATAGTCAAGGCAGATACCCAGGTATCTAGACAAACCAAGACAAAAGCTTCATTCTATTTAGACTGAGATTTACGCAGAACTTCAAGAAAGGGGAAACCGGAGAACATGCGTAGATAGACTCGCAATCCAACACGTTTTTCTTTTCCCCAGCGGTCTACAAGGGCGTGGGCAGACGATATTCTATCGTGACTGCGAGTGAAATACTAAACTGGCAAAAGAAATTCGTATCGCTGGGGGTTGTTGTATGTGTTCAAATGTGCTTGGGCGTTGAGAGCGTCATCCTTTGGATTGGTTCAACAAAGCAGCCAGGGGAGAAAAGAAAGTAGCAGACCGCCTCGCCCAGCAGTGTCAGAAGGCCTATCTCTTGTCCTTTCTTGTCCCTGTCTCTTCACATTACTCTCTCCCCGTCTTCATAGCACTGCCGTAAAGTTATCCGATCCCCTATTTCAGACGCCCAATGCCATGCGTTCGCTTTCATTTCCATGTGCCCTATCTATCAAAAGCCCACCCTTCTTTGACCCTCAAGACATAAATAGTTTGCGTGAGTAGAGAAAAACCCCCTCAACAACTTCAAGGATCGATGGTCTCCTCAACCTCGGCCTTGGGAGGAGCCTCGGCATCCGTCATATCCTCATCCTTGGCTGCTTCTTGCGGCGCCTTCTCGGGCTCGGCAGCCTTGCGAGCTGCCTCTTCCGCCGCCTTCTTTGCTGCCTTCTCGGCATCCAGACGTGCTTGAAGTGCTTGGCGGTCAGCCTCGACCTTCTCGAAATGACGTTGCACAACGGGGCCAGCCAGAGCCTTAATCTCGTCCATCTTAGCGATGTAAACTGCCTTCGTAGCATCATCACCCTCGTCATACAACCATTCCTATTCAAAATCATCAGTCGCTGTACCTGTGGCAAGTTGCGCTGTACAGAGCGCAAATAAGCCAAACTTACCTCGGTAGCATCGAGCTTTGCGCCGATCTTGGTCTTCTCCTCGTCGCTAGCAAACTCCGAGTACTGGTCGTCGAGCTTGTTGCGGAGATCGTAGATGTAGGTCTCCAGCTCATTCTTCTTCTCCTCAGTGTCGGCCACCAGCTTGTCCTCCATAACCATCGAGGCCTCCTTCTCGGCGGCCGCGTTCTTGTTGGAAGAGTCGAGGGACTGGGTGGCGCTGACGATTGGCAGCTCGCCCTTGCGGACTTGCTTCTTGACCTTCCGCGTCTTGGGCTTGGAATCGTCTTTCGCGTCCGTATCCATGGCCTTGTCAGATGTTAGCTCTGTCCTTGGAATAGACACACTGGCTTGGCCAAGGGATACGTCTGATGCGCCAGCATCCACCCTACGACGTTTCGAGGCATTCCCAGGTGTCTCCTCAACTGAAGAACCAACAAAATCCATAATAGCGGGAGGCTTGTCAGGCGCGATAAAAGTACTCACATCCGGATCCTTCTTCTCCCCGCTATCCTCCTTGATCTCCTCCTCTACTTCCTGGTCTTCGACATAGTAACCGCTCTCAACATTCAAGACTCCGTGAATGTTGACACGAGCCTTCAGCTTGCAGATCATGAAGTCTTCGGGGCTGCCCGAAGCTTTGACGCCCTTGACAGAGAAGCGGCCGATAAAGGCGGGAATCTTGCCGGGCAGCTGCTCTGGCTCGGTGTATTTGGCCTCGAGGTCGAAAGCCTGCTTGCGGTAGAATGTGAGAATCTTTGTGGACGGTAGTACGTTGCCCTTGTTGAAGACGGTGAGGCTGGTATCCTCATCCGGGATGTCTGCATCCTTCTCCCAGGCGAACTCGATTGGGTAGGTGATGACGTCTTGGACAGCGAAGTCGCGGACCTTGAAGACTGGAGACAGAATAGCACAGCTGAAAGCGCAGCCCCGGGCCACAGCCTCATCCTGGTTCAGGGTGAACGAGAGCGGCTTTCCGAAGAAGGCCTGGATACGGTCCTTGACGGCGGGCACACGGCTGCCGCCGCCAACAACCTCGACAATGTCGATATCATCCTTGGTGAGCTTTGCGTCGGCCAGGGCCTGCTCGAGGGGCCCATTGATCTGGCTCAATAGGGGGTCCACCATAGCCTCGAACTCCTGGCGCGTGATCATGGCACGCACATCAACGTCGTTCATGAGCGACTCAATGTTTATGGGCGCCTGCTGGTTGGCGGAGAGCATCTTCTTCACCTTCTCGGCAGCCGCAAGGACACGTGTCATGGCCTTGGGGTTGGTTGTGATGTCGACTTTGTACTTGCCGAGGAACTCCTTCTGCAAGTGGTCCAAAAGAGCCTTGTCGAAATTCCGGCCACCGAAGTGGCGGTCGAAGGCGGTTGCCTTGACGGCAAGCTCGCCCTTCTTGAACTCGACGATGGAGCACGTGTAGTTGCTGTGGCCAACGTCGACAAAGGCTACGCGGCGCGGCTTCTCGTCGCCCGAAGGAAGGTCGAGTTTTGTGATGCCCCACCCCAAAGCGGCGGCCGTGGTGTCGTTCATGAGGCGCAGAAGCTTCAGGCCAGAAATCTCGGCAGCGTCAATCAGGGTCCTGCGCTGGATGTCGGTGAACCACGCGGGTACGCTCATGACCATGTCCGATACTGGCAGCTTGAGCTCGGCCGAGGTTGTCTGCTTGATCTTGCTGAGGAACATGGCAATCAGCTGCGTCGAAGTGAACTTCTCTTTCTGGCCGAGGTACGAAACCTCAGCGCCGACTTGGCCATTGATATCAACCAACGGGGCCGAGATAAACTGCTGCTCGATCTGAATATCTGGATCGTTGAGAGAGCGACCGGCGAGGCGCTTCAGAGAGCTGACGGTGTTTTTCAGATTTGAGATTTCCTGTGTCTTCGCAGCCTCTCCGAGGTAGCGGGACTTGGGTCCGAACCCGACTAGGGAGCTGGAAAACGAGCGAACGGGACACTGGTCAGCGATACAATCCAAGGCAAAGTGCCTGCCATAGAGGAAGGCGGGTGACAGTACGTGTGGGCGGTAATGGGGGTACAAGGATGCGGCAGGACTTACGGAGTAGCCCGGTTAGAGACCTCATTGGCGATCTGGACGGCGAACGAAGGCCATGTTAGCGTTGCGCGCAAAAGCTCGGCAACTCTACCTATCGAGGGAGGTCGGAAATATTAGCTGCCAGTTGTGGGGAGGCACGTACAACATCGACACCCCGGTTCCGTGCAACGGCAATGACGGTATTCAGAGTTCCGAAATCGACTCCTACAAGACGCAACGAAGCGAGTTAGCCATTTGCGCCTCTTCCCAAAAATACGTGGCAGCAGGGAGGGAGGGAGACAAGCGTACCGACGACACTCATGTTGGCGGTGGAGGTAGAGGCACTGGTGACGACCTTCTTGTAAACAAAATGTTCCTATATGGGCAGCGGGAGGGCTGCAGTTGTGCTCACCAGCAGCGACAGGCGCGGCGGAAAGAGTTGACAGACAGTGTGGACTGGTTGGGTCGGGCGAGGCTTCGTTCTCGGGAAAAGCTGCTGGAGTCTTACAGAGTGGTCGCAGAGTAAGGCGTAAGGTATCGCTTTCTTTTGCTGGGACAGACTCGAAAAAAATAAGAAAGGCCGTGTACTTAGTTAGCGAAGGGTAAAAAAAAATCAAACCCAAGTTGCCCGACTCCAGCGCAGGCAGACTTCCCCTCCAAAAGGGACCTGCGCGGGCGGCAACCTTGATTATTTACTAATGGCGCCCCCGGGGCGTTTGGGCGCACAAAACGCACCCAGAAGTTGCGAGAACCTTCTCAATTGGGCCCCTACTCCGTATGTAATTTGCCTATCGTCAGGCACCCGCAACGCCGCGCTCTCTGTACCCACACACTGTACGTAATATACACCTATACCAAGGTCACTCTGCGGCACCGAGCCCGCCGCTGTGTCCACGATGCGGTTGTTGGGTGGCGACCTACAAGGGTAACATTTTCTTTATTCAAGCCAACGCAATCCTTTTGCATCATCTTCCAGAACCACTTTGTTTTTGCTCGCCAGCATCAATTTCTCTCTCTGTCTTGTCTCCAAGACCCGTTTCATACCTTCTCCACCGTTCAAGAGGTAGCTGTGCATACCTCGCTTGTAACTGTCCTAATGTGTGGATCGGGGCGCTAATAACACCCCTGCCGCTTGCCTATCACCCCACCATGGAGCCCAGCCTTTCCGCCCGCCTCACCGCTGGCAGTTGGATGGAAGCAAGCCCCCACCTATGCCCCGCCATGATGAGGGGCTTTGGGTCACCAACTTTGACCCAGGAGCCGTGCAATGATGCCAGACAAGGCTGTGACATATTAATCAGGCACAGATTAGGTTTTCAGTTTTGTCCTTCTTAACGATTGGCACCGTCTTGTATTTTCCAATTTCCATTGTTTTTAATGAAGGGAATTCTAAAAGTTGAAAGAAATCCAAGTTTCGCTATATGCCTACCTCCTTAACTAAGCTTCCTTGACTAAGGTAAGTACCTCAGGTAAGGTAGGCACCTACCTATCATGGTTTCCATACGATTGTCATTGGGAAACAAGAAATATGCTTGTATGAAATGGCTCGCGAGTACTCTGAAATGACTTTCTCTATTTCTTCTAAGGCAGGTCGCAGATACCTCTGGGGTGGGGACGGAGAATGCAGGTTGTGAAATGGCATTTTACTCAGACCTAACGATACCTACAACTGCGAGGTACCTTGAACTGTACAGTACAACAATGCATATAAGGCCAACTCACTCCAAGTGTAATTTGATATCTTTAACCATCTATAAGGAAGTTTTTTTTGTCTACTCAAGGAGCGACTGGAGCAACGTCTTTCCCTGTTTAACAAAATGTACACACTTTTTGGTAACAAGTTGATGCCTTCAGAGTTACCGGCATGGCCTACAACATTTATTTATCAAATATCATTCACAGCAAAATGTGTGGCTTATGCCAGTTGTTGGCACACTTAAAGTGCCCCTGCCTAACCTGCCATACATACACAGGTAATGTGAAGCTATGTGTATAAATTTACCCCCGTCTGACCAAGCCGGCCCCTTTGCCCCTTTTAGAGTTTGCTATGTCATGACGTTCCAAATTTGAGCAGCTCCAGCCCTGTCTTATGTTTTCTCTTATCGTGCTACAGCATGTCATCCCAAAATCGAAGCCCGATAACATCTCCTATCTTCTCCCAAAACTGAAACCCATGAAAAAAGAGACATACTACAATACGTGGCAGTCTGTCTAGCCTCGGCCATCCCAGCCCGGCGCTATTTCTCTAGCCAGGTCTCACGACGCGCCGGCCGTGCCGACCCCCGGACGAGGTCGGACACGGGCACCGGGGATATGTGAGCAATCTCTTGGTGTCTGTGTCGATATCCCCTTCGGCCATTGGCCTGCCGTTCCTATGTCCAGTCCGCCAGGGTGCCACCTTCAACTATCGGTGGTTAGCCCTTGACGCCGGGAAGGCATTACGGTTGTCAGGATCGTGGTGAGAGTCCTCAATCTCATCTTCTACCTCGTCCATTGTGGATGTTCGTATCCAGCTGGCTCGGCCAAGGGGGCTCCTTCCTGTGCGTCCCGTCGAGTTTGGCGGCGGCATAATTGGTTGGGGGGTGGCTCTATGGGAGTCTGGCTGATGTGCTTGCTCGCCAAATTGTTCGTGCGCCAAGCTGGCCGAGCCCACGCTGTCGCTGCTTCCAATTCTCCTATGTGCGGGCCGGCTGGCGTTTGCTGCAACCATGAGCGAGTCTGCGGTATCCATAAAGCCCGCTCTCCTGAGCTCTGATTCGGAGAACTCGTAAACCTGCCCAGGCGGTGGCCCCTGGTGCACCCGAACGTTGCCGCTTGAATATTGGTTTAACTGGCTGGCCTGTGCAAGCTCGTACTTGCGCCTGTCCTCCTCGCCCATGATGCTTTCCACCCTTCGCGGCATATATACCGAGAAATTGCCAGTCTGAGCTGAAAAGGTGCTGTCGAACGAGTCACGGTGGTGCAGGTGTCTCTTCCCCCCGGGATGTAACGACCCCGCAAGGACACTAACGCTTGCCATCGAATCGTCGGGGTGCTGATACCAGCCGCTTGGTGTTCTCTCTGGCGCTGCGAACTTACCAATGACCTTGTCGGGAGGCTGCAGGAGACTTTTAGATCGGCCCAGCCCTGTGCCGTTTTTCTCCTCTTTGCTCGCTAGTTCCTTCCTTTCCTTAGCTGCAGGGATGAACGACTCGGGAACAATGTTGAGGTCATCGCCCGCCTTCTCGGCTTGCTCAATGGCCTCTTGGGCTGTCGTGTGAGAGTCGGCAGCCGCAGCGTCAGCTCGCGGGCCTCCCCAGGTTCGCTGGCCAGCCGTAAAAATACCGTACACCATATAGTACCAGTTAAAAAACGGATTTAGCACGAACATCATGGGGTATAGGAAAAGTTTGAACCGTTTCAGCTTAGCGCCGAAGTAGATCATCATCAGCCAATTCAGGCCCAGAGAGATTGCGATGAAGCCTACGGGGAGGTCGTTGACTCTCTTTGACGTCGTGAGTAGAGCCAGGAGCATGATGAAAAAGAGCAGGGCCGTCGTTCTTATCGTATTCTGCATGAACCGAACCAGTATGAGGATCGGGTACCGCTTCCACAGGCGCCAGTCTGTCAACATGCAGACCTCGTTGGTGATGAATCCAAGAAACCAGCGACGCCTTTGCTTGATAAGCGACCGCATCGTCTGGACCGCCTCAGTCTTGCAAAAGGCCGAGGTGCACATCTGGATCTGATATCGCTTCTTAGCACCAATCATGAACAGGTGCGTCAGCCACCGGTCCTCTCCCAGATGGCCTTTGGCGAAATCGAACAGGTCCTCGCACTGCTCCGCCTTGTCGGCGAAGTAGTATTTGGCCATTCGTCGGAAGGCTGAGAAGCGCAGCATGGTCAAGGCTCCTGGAAGGCAGGTGACAGCCCCGCAGCCAGATTCCACCGTTCTCTCAAACAACTGCCCGTGGACATACTCCATGTCTTGAAGCAGAGTGATGAGGCTGTGTTTCTTGGTGGTAGATGTGATGACACCTGTCATGGCCAGCATGTCTCTCCTATTACCCGGGCTGAGCTCCATGTCATAGACAAAATTCTGCAGGCAAACCCGGTCCAAGATGCAGTCGGAATCAATGAAGAGAATAAAAAGATTATCGTTTCGCTTGAGGTATTCGTGGTACACCTTGTCGATGAGTTTGAACGTCTGCTTCTGGCAGTTCCTTTTTCCGCCATGGGGGAATCTTGAGATCGTGACGCGCGCGTCCCTGTACGAGACATCAATGCTTGTGGGATATGTCTCAAGCGTTAGGGGAACGCCAAGCTTTTCAATGGTATTAAGGTAGAGCTCATCTTCCTGGTCGCCGTCGAAGGAGAGAAAGACGTGAATACACGACGGCGGGTAGTCGCAATCGACAACCGAGTTGACAGCAGAGACGAGGATCTCGGGCTCCTCCTTGTAACAAGGCATGACGATGACGACCTTTGGTGCAGATACTTCATCTAGAACCTGCTTGATGCGCCGCTGTCGCCCGAGCTGATGCGTGACGATTTGGTAGACGCAAAAGAGCCACGGGATCGTCAGGAGACCGGCAAAGCTATAGAAAGCAAACCACTGGAGGTCGTCGACCATGCCTGGCGGCCAGACCCGGACGATCTGGCTTGGAAGCGGTAGAGTGACGATCATGATGGGAAGAAAAATGCACCTTTGGTGAATAGTCAGCAACCAACGTCCCACGCGCCTAGTAGCAGAAAGTAGGAAATACCTTAGCAACAGAAAAGCGATGCCAACTATGACAGCAAGGATCCGTACTGTCCAATGCTCGGCCTTCTTGAACACTTTCCACAAACAGTACATGAACGCGGCTATCCAGAGGAACCATTCGAGCAAGGCTGCGACCATCACCAGGCCTACAATGGACGTGTAGATAATCTGCACATATGTTAGTCGTCGCCTCTTGCCGGGATTGTAGTTTATGAGTTCTTCACGATGTGGCGTACCTCGTGAACCGGCCATGACTCCACGATGTCGCCAGCCATCTCGAGGGACGAGGCGGATTAGGAATCTTGGGGTTCGAGAGTGCGGTTTCGGTGCAGGGTGGCAATGGGTCGAAATGGCAAAAGAATCATTAACAGAGGGCTTGCCCCCCGAGATCAAAGATGGCAAGGAAGCGCAGGGCACGGTTAGAGCCCTGTATCCGCGCCACCAGCGTGCGGTTGAGAGAGCGGTCGACGGATAGCTGCAGACAAGCAAGGGTCCCAGTCACGGCAACTCGCAGGGCCCAGTGCAAATATCCCAGCCAAATCCCAAAGGCGGGAGGCGGTTGCTGGGGAGTCGTGGCTCTGTCGTGCCACTTCGAGACTTGTCCGAAACGGGGTGAGAGATATCGCCGACTTGGATGGAAACCGAAGGCGAATTTGTGCCTGACGATGTATCTTTACCGTCGTGAAAAGAGTAAAACTACCGCCATGTAGTCCCATGTAAGAACTTTTACTGCTGCTCTCTCTCTCTCTCTCTCTTTGGCCGAGGGGATGGGGCGGACAGAGATCAAAAGGGGCGGGAGGGTGAGTGAGCTGCAGGGCGAACCGGGGAAGGGGATGACGACAACCTCAAGGCCACAGCACTGCGACCGCGGGTCTAGGTCCACCAAAAAAGGTGCAAGAGAGAGAAATGTGCTACAGATGCAAGCGTATGCGGAATCTGGGCTAAAATTGGACACTGCCGTGTGAAAAAAAAGGGGCACCTGCAAGGGGGAGAGGCAATATCGACAAATGAATCAGTTTAGCCGCGACTGCCTTTGAGATGGCGACCAAAGAGCTCGCAGCTCACGAGGCCCACACCAGAAAATACGTATTCACACCGGATCGGCGGCCGGCCTCCAAAAAGATAAAAGGAAATGAGATAAAAAGGGCAACAAGACGAAACGGGGTTGCAGTCTCAAGGCCAGACTATTCCAAAGAGCCGTCGAGAGTTGTTGGAGGATCCTGTCCTTGGAGAGAAAACCACAACGAATGTTTTTCGATCCGGCGGTTTGTGTATTGTACACGATTGAGAGAGGCTGCACGGGATCAGAAACAAGAAAAGAAGAACAAAGGTAACAACAGGTGGGCCGACACACGAAGAGGCCGTACTATACCCCCGTGTTACCACGCACTGCTGTGCTCCATTGTTGCTGGGCTCGCTGCCCGGGTATGGCGGCCGGCTCCCACTTTTTTTAATGACAGCTCGCTCCTTGGGGCCCGGGAGACGAATACTATTGAATGGAACACAATACCTCCCTAGTAGACTGAAGGGAAATTGTCGAGAGGGAAGGGACGGGGGACTGGAACAGAAGAGAACTCGGTGGGAAAGCGCCACTCTCGACGATCTATACCTGCCCACCTAAGTTGGTCAACAACCACTAAGTTAACAACACAACTTAGAGAAGGCACGAAGGTGAGCAACAAAGGCTCTCGACTCAAATCAAGACGAGTAAGTAACAGCCCGGAGCCGAGATAGCTTGGTATTGCGCGGTGCAATGTAAAACGTACGCAGACCGAACTGATTCCCTCTAGGCCCAAGAAAGGTATGTTTGGGGGAACTTGGCCAGCGGCTTGGTCGTCCCGTTATAAGGTATGTGTATCCATACGTAGGCCTGGACCCTCACTTAGGCTTAGGTACTCGGCAAGTCTTCCGTAACGAACACCAGGCCGAAGTAGCCGCAGAGGTCGAGGAGAAGAAAAAACGTGGAGAAGTCGGGAATCCCTGTTGGGCGACTGATGAACCGGATTTTGGCGGGGAGGGATGGAAAAGACTACGAGAGTCGATATTCCGGAGATCGACTAGGTTTGGAATTGCGATTGCGGGGCCTCGGATTAACGCTCCCCCAATGATAGCTGCTCCGTGAAAGCGCTGTATGTACGGGAAACAATAATCTGGGCCACATTAGCTCAAGGCTGTCTATTTTCTATATGATCAGCGTGGCTACAATGGAAATAGCCGTTGAAACGGGCGCACGGGTATTTCGGGCTTAGACCTTCTAGAACCCTGAGCACCTAAGTGAGGTAGTTGATTTATTCACTATCAAGACAAAATCCTGAACCAGAAAGAGAATTTAAATCGCTAAATACAACACCATCTCCTTCCATCATAATTACTAGGTTAGCATCTAGAGCCCTTTGGAGAGATAGTACAGGAGAGTGTTCGTACAAGACGGGTATTACCCATTTTAATCTTCCCAAAATGCGTTTCTCAGCACAGACAAGGAGAACGACCAAATACAATTCTCGTTCGCGGATACAAAGTTGAGATGCTTTTTTTTTTACCACTGGAACTTAGGGATTACACAAACAGATAGGCAGGTAGGTGAGTAATATCCTTAAGGACCTGACTATGGGTCAATCGTCAACTGCTCTCTGCTTTAATCTAACCGTCTTGCCGGCTTAGTAATTCTTGCAACCAAGATTGACCCGAATAAGTATAACTGAAGAATTGAAGCCGTTTCCTGAGCGGAGACGGACCCCGGAGCGAGTAACGCTGATGAACAGCTTTGCAAAGTGGCAACAGCGAGACGAGATGGTCCCAGGACAGTTGCGAGTGTGGGGCTTCAATGTACCCGATGGCCGTCGCTTGCCCCTGCATAGAGCAGTGCCGCAGTCTGGTGCATGTTTCGCCAACTGCCCAAAACTTGCCTCTGGTCATGGATGGGCCGCTTGCGATCACTCGCTTTTCCCGTAGATCTCAGTGACTGGCTTCGCCTTGGCTTCCTAGCCAGACGAGGTTCGATAGATGCTAATCCCATCTACCAGAGCCACACCATGACCCCGTCGGACACGCCGTCCTCCGTATGGCGAGCCAAACATGTGCCTGGTAAGGAGGAGTTCATGTCGCGCTCTGGCGCAGCTTGGAAAATTGTGTATTCACGCCCAAGTATACCGAATCAAGTCCTATGGTGTGCGCGTTAAGCATCACGTTGTCAGCAATATTCCGGCTGGTGATGTCCTTCAAAGCCGGTTCCGAAATCACTTTCGCTGACGGCCACCTGAATGAGAGTGCGTGCGATGACTGCCAGTCTTGCTCTTCTCTACTGTGCCAAGTCTAGGCAAACACTCAGACGCTCTGGTGGCTCTGTTCATTGACCGCTGAGCCAGCAGCGGGCTTACGCCAGTCCGCGATACCGGCTCGCAAGGGGGAGTTCGCTCGGGGATACCATACCAATCGACGTCGCTGAGTTGGAGCTTGCGGACGCGCTGTCCACTTCTCTCTTTGCCCGTTCGTGGGTCAATGCGACTTTGGTGATAAGTACTAGGCTTTTCGTGACCTAAACGAGATGCATTGTAAATATTGGGATTGGCGCCTAGGGGTTTCGAGTCATGTTCACCATCGTTGTCCTCGTTCTCGCGCAGATCATAGTTGAGCACAAGGTTCTTGATACGTTGCTGCTCCTCCTTCTCGGCTTGCTGCTGAGTTTTCATGGCGATGGCAAAGTGCGAGTCAGAAGGCAGCTCAACCGTCCGAGTCTAGCATATGTTAGCTCGTGTGAAATTGCACTTCAGACACGATACGTACCTGTTGACGATTTCCCCTCTTGGTCAACAAGGAAAAGGCCATCGTTCCATTAATGGGCTCCGCAGTACTCTCCCCAACGGCCTCAACACCGGCATTGGTTTCGCGCGCCTTCGACCTCACTGGCAGCGGAACGTCGAATTGTTGCTTGCGCTCGAATTTCCGTGACTCCAAGCTTTCAGCCATCATCTTCGCATACTCACGCTCGAAGTCCGCTTCATCCTCGGGATCAATCTCTTCCTCCTGTCTGGTGACGACGATGGCCGGTTCCTCAGGCTCGCTGCCGTACGAGGAATGGTTCTGTTCATTTTCCTGTCCGGTTGGGACACGGTTGGCGTTTGTCAAAAAATGAAAAAGCGGCAGGATAGGGCATACCTCTGCCTCTCCATCGTCTGAGGCTGACTCGTCATCATCGTCGTGTTCCACAAGCGCTAGATCACCTCCATCATCTCCGTCAGACGACGTTTCGCTCGTTTTGTCGTCCTGCTCAACACCCTTGTCGAGACCAGATGTTTTTTGGTCTTGGGTAACAGCCAGCTGGAAGACCTTGTAGGATTCTTCCAGGTTCGATACTAGCTTCCACTGCGGCCTCGTAAGGGCAAAAATGTCTTGCACGAGGAATTCTATGTCCATGGGTAGCGGGTTCTTGGTGTAGATGTAGTACTGGAAAAAGGAAAGAAAGTAGTCTAATTTCTTTCCTGCAGCCCCCTTGTTGAAGAACATCCCGCACGTTTCGAGAACCGTGGAGATCAAGCGAATGCGAAAAAAATCATCCGGGAGATCAAATGCATTTGCGCGTCCTGGAACTGGGGGTCCTCCTATATGGCATTATGTTAATACCTCCGATACGACTAAGTCTTCTAACCCGGGAATGGTACATACCGTGGCCAAATGTCATGATCCTGTACATGGTGTCGAAAATCACTGGATGCTCCAGCATTCGGTAGTTGTAAAGCTCCCCGAGATACTTAACCTCGGCAACTCGGCGCTGGTTGAACTTGAAGTCATTCTGTTCGAGGCCAAACAATATCGACTCGATGACGGTGTCAATGACGCCAACGACAAAGTCGGCATGGTATCTGTACATAGCGCTCAGTAGAATGGCAAGGAGGTGGACGTTGCCGTATTTGATCTTTCCAGGCTTGGAGAAGACTTTGCGCAGAATCGCTACAACCTGATCCAGTGTCAACAAGAGTCAGAAGGTGGGACCACAGCAAACATACCTCTTTCTCTTCCCAGTGAAGCCTGCGGATCTGCCTGAGGACTTTGCTGTAGTTGCGCTTCGTCAGGTCACTGTATATCAGCTTACGGATGAAGAGCTCCATAGGCGTCCTCTCCTTTTGCTGAATGGCCGGCCGCTGCGGAGGATCGACGTAGTACACGGCGTTCTCAATGAGCATTCTCTCGGCCTGCCCAATGTGCTGTACAGACTTCTTCCGCTGAAGCGTTTCCAGAAAGGACATCATGCGGGGCGAGGTTTCGGGGTTCCTCAGCAGATATCGTCCGCAGTTCTCTAGGAGATTGCAGATAATCTCGATATTCATCCGAGAGAAATCATCGAGGCTGACCTTTAGACAATGGAAGACTACATGCTCTGGTACAATGCCAAACTTGGTCAGTTCAGCGAGGTATCGGATGTTGCCAAGTCTGACTTGGCCCAGGAATTCCTTTTCCTTCCGTCGCTGGAGGCTGCGGAACTCGGCATCAAGATGCTCGACTAGGCCTTTAGGGATGTCAGGCATGTACTGTCCGAGCGTAGCAACAAGTCTCGACCAACTCGGGAGCAAGTCGCCGCGGCCCTTGGGAACGTCTGTCAGAGCCTTGACGAGTCGGTTGCGGGAAGCCTTGGAGTTGAGGAAGCAAAAATCAATGGCGGTCTGATCAATGGCTTCCTTGTTGGTCAGGTCCGGTAGTCGAGCAAGCAGCGCATCAACCTGGGCTCCAATCGTCTTGTTCGCAATCGCCATTGACTGCTCGTCAGCGGCAGCATCTGCAGCCTTTGATGCCTCTGCCGCGTCAGAAGGGTCAACCTTCTTGCCGACCTGTTCGTCCGAGTCGGGTTTCTTCTTTTTTACGTCTTCTAGAAGAATTCCAGGTACTTTGCCCCTGAGGTCCACGAGATTTTCGTAGAAGCGGCGTTCCTCTTCATCCTCCCATATGCCAGAACCTTCGCCCTGCCCACGGAGATACTCGCCTGCCTTGACAATACCAATGGAGCCGTTCGCTGATGCGGCAGGATCGTCCGTGTCCTTCAAGTCTGGCATTTCTGCGCCAATTATATCGGCAATGACTTGGGCGTTGGCGACTAGGCGTTCTTGGGCCTTCACCTGTTTCTCGAAGTTTGACTGTCGGTCTTCAAACACTTCGCCTGATTTAACGTAGGCCTCTGCATTTTTGCGAGACTGGTTGAAGATAGCCTTCTGGTCTCGAACAAGGTGACTCTTGATGTCCTCGAAATATCGCTTTAGAATGTTTCTGAAGCGCTCCTGCAGCTCGGGCGAAGTGAACGGAGCCTCTTCCGAAGTGACGGTGGCAGCATCCTCGCGGGTCTCGACCTCGCTAGAACCGCTGGTAACACCATCTTCTTCGACAGTTCTTCGGCCTTCGGACCCAGCCGCCTTGACTCCCAACACATCCCAACCGAAGGCCTTGACAAAAATGACGAGGAGAGGAAGGTTTGCATGCTCCCGATCGTGGCTAAGGAGGTCTTTGAGAACCTCTAGAGGAAAAGGCTCGGCACCGCCCCCTTTCGTGGAGCCTCGGGGCTTTAAGTCGGCCACCTTCCCGGTGGCTCCCTTCGTAGCGTCATCGGGACGCGAGACATCATCGAGGGTCCGGAGGATGCCTACAAGCCACAGTTCGGTAACAACTCGAAGAAGAACCCGCTGCCGGACCAAACGTTCCTTTTCTTCTTTCTCCCTCAGTTCTACAGGGAGTGCCTTGAGGGCACCTTTGTCGGGGGTGGCCATGCCTTTGCCGAGAAGCCATCCGAGGTATTCGGTAAAGTCCGTAGGGCCAAAACGCTGGTGCAAAGCGCTGACGATTTCCACGCCGGCCTCGACCTCTCCGGGGGACTTGAGCTTGCACAGTCCTTCGTAGCATGCCGAGATAATCTCCGAGAGGTACTTGGACAAGCTAACGGTTCGTATTTCTTGGAGGAAGGTGTTGAGAGTGGCGGGGGTGATGGCGGTGCGGAGACGCTTCATGAAGGCCGTGTTCTTCTTCAGAGTAGAGTCAAGGGACGCGGCGACGGGAAAGATATCTATGTGGGCGGAGAATGTCAGCGAGAGCCGCGGCAATTTCGAGGGAGGAGCATCTTCGTCGTACCTTTCTCGCCATCCCATGCCCTCTGGTTGAGCTCCCGGAGCTCGCCTAGGAAGACAATGTCAGCAAATGCATGCACACGAAAGAGGAATAAGACGACGGGGGGGAAAGCAGAGCAACTCACGCCTCCTTGCGCGATCCATGGCGGATCGTTCAGTCTATGTGTGTGCTCGAGCAGGGAGGGGCGGCGCGCGGTCACTCGCAGATGGAGTTGCTAAGGGTTGATAAATTGGAAGCGGCAATCCCCATCAGCAATGGCAGGCATCGGTGACGTAATATACGGGGCAGCCTCTTCTGGCTTGGGGAGTGGTGGCCAGAGTCAGACGGCGCGTCGGGGGTTCTCGCGGTGTGAAAGGCAGCTTCCTGTCAATCGACGGGAGACACGAAGGTCGTTCGTTGACGAGATCAGATGGACGATAACCTGAAAGTCACGGCGGGTATGAAAAAGTGGTTGCATCCAACCTTTGCACTCCGCAAAAACCCCACCTAAAACCTAGACTGGGAGCGGGCACGAACCCCACAGATTGGGTCATTGCCGCACTCCCGTGAAAGCGCCGGGCCTGCAGGGCCTGAAATTCTAGAACTTGGTCCCCTGTAAGGGTGCTATGCAACCTGGGGGCACTCTCCGCCCTGGTTCCATGCTAGCTCAGCTCCAGCGCCAAGCGACCTCTTACCTAGAATTTTGATATCACCTACAGTATATGCCCAAAGTCATTTTCGGCAAGAAAAGAGATAGGTACAAACGATTATTATAGATACATGTCTATGATATCGATATGCGTCGCCATGTTACAAAGTTGGAAAGTGTACCGCCTGGCTCCGTGTATCACGCGACCAATTAAACAATCTAGGCTGTGGAATGTAATGTAGAGTGAGCAAATGGAACCGAGAAGCAACTAACATTATCGTGTCATAAAAGCATGGGAGGATGGTGGGCAAACTGAAGCAGACCCATACATACTTCAAAACTTTAGGGCTTTAATGTAATTTTGTAGATAGTGGTAGGCAGGCATCCATCCTCCTTGTCACTAGTTTGAGGGAGGAGCGGAAAATGACATACCCTCTTTGACAAGATACGGATACAAAGGGCCATGTTTCAACCAGCTAGAAACCCAATTGAGGAAGCAAGAAATGTTGTCAAATGTGATTGAGATGCGTTGTGGGGGCAAGAGCATCAAATCACTTGCTGTTGCTATACAAGATGTGGTCTGGTGCTTGTATCTACTTGGTGCTTATAAGTGCCTGGCCAGACTACAACAAAGACTCCCTTCAGGAGACAGTACTTTGGAGGTTAGGAATGAATACTACCTTGGCTGACTTTAATCCACCGACAGACTCGGGCAGTAGTGGTCAGAGGTCAGAGGTGCGTCGCCTTGTCCCACATCACGCCCCGGCTTTTACGTATCGGACCTTGAGCACAGCCGACCGCCTGTGGCCTCTTCTGCAGGTACGTTCGGCCGGGGCCGAGAGGTGAGGTTCCGGCGCAGCGGAGACTAATGAGAAGGCCAGATTCTAGGAGGGACGGGACACATGCGGCTTGGCCGTTGGCCGGAGCGGGCTTGAAAAGTCTCGAACACGACAGACACGATGCCCAGCGTCAATTCTTCGAGTTGTGCAGCACACGCTTGCTGTGTGTATATGTTTATTACATACACTAGCCGTTCTGTATCGGGCCACTAAGGTACTGCAGACTCTGCCACAAAAGACGGAGTGGCTGTTAAGCTGGGACTGTGTCCGAGTCGCTATCAGAACATTAAAGACGCTTTCTAGAGATAACGAGGGGTCGTAAATACCTACTCTGTTTCTATCTTTACGAATGACTTATAAAATAACGACGCATAGCATGCAACTTCTCAGAGCCTTGTTCATATTACCGCCTCTTCCTTAGATACATACGGCAAGGTATTGTACGAACACCGGGCTGAGTTACCACCAAACCCCAATTGACAAACAGGGCACATGTAGGAATGCACTGCCAAAACTGGTGATATCACTTTAGGTAGGAAGGTATAGAGTACTCGGCACCTATCTTGAGTGACAATCAATGTTAGAGCACATGGGAGCAAACTAGGAAAGAATAACCCCCTCCCCCCACAAGCATCACCAGAGCCCTTCGAACCTGCCAAGTAAGAGTAGGAGGTAGGATGCGATGGGGGACGGGAGGGGATGGGGAGATCTGGAGTTTGGGGGTTGCGATTCGCTGAAGGTCGGGCGGCATGCTCGGCTCACACCCATTGAAGTATCTCCGGGAGCGTCATATCTTTTGGACTAGTGGACCGCCTTATCCGTCACTCTGATTTGCCTTCAAAAAAGCTAGATAAGAGCAACTGCAGAGCCCAGCTCCATCTCCTGGTTGTGGACTTTGCAAGTCCGCGGAGGCATGAATAATTTGAACTTTTGAATTTGGTCAACTGCCGACTAGACTTACTAGTACTATCTTTCCCAGATCCCAACCCGCAAAACACAACACACACTACATGAACTGGACACGCCTGTCATGTTAATGGATGGCGATGGAGCTGGCGCTACTGCCACGCCACACCGCTGAGGGGCATTTACTACAACGGAAACGGTAATGGCAACGGCAACGGCAACGGCAGCGGCAACGGCTACGGCAACGAGAACGGGAACGAGCATTGCGCGATATGAGTACCTATCCATGAGGAGGGAGTCAAGGGCGGCAATCCACCTTAATTGCCAGCACGAATAACTACTAGTAAGGGAGTAGAGTAGGTTAAGTAGTTGGTGTCGTTCGGGGCAATGAGTTGTGGCTGGGCCCCAACAGTCAGTCGAGCTAGCAGCCGAGTCGAGGCCACTCGGGCCCGGCTGAGAGCTACAGCTACACCTGACTATACGCATTGGCATTGGGATCCCTTCTCTTCTCCTTTCTCCTCGGCAGGCATGCACACCTTACTTATACACTACGTCCTGTACCGGAGGTAACAACCACCATCCCGCTCTTCAAACCCGCGCTCCGGAAAAGCACAAGACAAGGTGCCGCCTCTTGCGTCGAGATCAATCTGCCGTCCCCCCCCCCCCCCCCCCCCCCTACATGCCACCACCCTGTGCTCTATGCCTGAGCTGGGTTGGCCTGAGACCGAAGTCTGGCCTTTTTCACTCATATTTCACCCTTTGTGTCCGCCCTCCCCCCTTTCCTGTGGTTAAGTTGGTGTTCTTCCATCTCATGTCCTCTACCACCTCGTTCTCTCTGATGTAAACAAATCACTCTCCCTCGCCTCTCCCGTTCAGTATTCCTTCAAGTCCGTTGCTTGATCCGATGGAAGTCATATCCCCTGCAGCTCATCCCCTCAATGGTTCTCCTGCCGCCTTCTATTTCCCCTCGAGGCCTGCCGCATCCCTAAAAGCCCTCCTTGACTCTAACTCGAGTGCAAATGGCGACGGCTACCTCGCCGGCCCGGCATGCGCGGTGGGCGAGTCACGAACAGAGGGCTCTCGCCTCTATCGCCTCCCCCCCACGGCGAGGCAGAACAAGGTCCTGCCCCAGGACCTCAAGACGCCCGATAGCCATGTCGAACGGGACCCCCGACTCATCAGGCTGACCGGCGTCCATCCCTTCAACGTCGAGGCCCCCTTGAGCGATCTCTATGACGAGGGATTTCTGACGACAAAGGACCTGCATTATGTGAGGAATCACGGACCAGTGCCCCTGGTCAGGGACGACCAGGTTCTCGACTGGGAGTTTTCGGTAGAGGGCATGGTTGAAAGGCCTGTCAAGATGACACTGCGCCAACTCATCAGGGACTACGAACAGGTCACGTATCCAATCACCCTAGTCTGCGCCGGCAACCGGCGCAAGGAGCAGAACGTGGTCCGAAAGACCAATGGCTTCTCGTGGGGCGCCGCTGGCGTCTCGACGTCGCTCTGGACTGGCGTCACTTTGGGCGATCTCCTCGCGCGGGTCGTACCTAGGCGCGGGGCTAGATATGTGTGCTTCGAAGGTGCAGACAAGCTCCCTAACGGATACTACGGCACTTCGGTTAAGCTCAACTGGGCCGTCGACCCCAACAGAGGCATCATGGTGGCACACAAAATGAACGGCGAGGTTCTGCATCCCGACCATGGGAAGCCCCTGAGAATCGTCATCCCCGGCCAGATCGGAGGACGCAGCGTCAAGTGGCTGAAGCGCATCGTCGTGACATCGGCCCCTAGCGACAACTGGTACCACATTTATGACAATCGCGTGCTGCCCACCATGATCAGCCCCGAGGCGAGCGCCCATCTACCAGACACGTGGAAGGACGAGCGCTATGCCATCTACGACCTAAACACCAACAGCGCCACGTGCTATCCCGCCCACGACGAGAGAATTTCCCTGGCAGACAGCCTGGAGACGTACGCATTCAGGGGCTACGCATACGCCGGAGGTGGAAAGCGGGTTACCAGGGTCGAGGTCACCCTAGACCAGGGCAGAACTTGGACCTTGGCCAACATCACTTACCCAGAGGACGAATACAGACTTGCGCCAGAAAACGAGGTACTATTCGGGGGTCGTCTTGATATAGCATGGCGCGAAGCCTGCTTCTGCTGGTGCTTCTGGGACCTAGAAATACCCATAACTCAGCTTCGAGAGGCCAGGGACGTCATGATCCGGGCCATGGACGACTCGATGATGGTGCAGCCGAGAGACATGTACTGGAGCGTGCTCGGCATGATGAACAATCCGTGGTATCGCGTCGTAATCCACAACACGGCCGGCTCACTGCGCTTTGAGCATCCCACCCAGCCAGCAATGATGCCGGGGGGTTGGATGGAAAGGGTGAAGCGAGAGGGTGGCAACATCACCAATGGCTTCTGGGGAGAGAAAGTCCCGGGAGAAGAGGCAGCAACGATCCACGAACCACCAGCCAAGGAGATTTGCATGCTCAACGAGAAGGTCACGCGGCAAATCAGTCTCGAGGAGCTGCGAAGTCACGACGGTGAAGAGAGCCCTTGGTTTGTTCTCAACGGCCAGGTTTATGACGGCACCGGGTTCCTTGGCGAGCATCCTGGCGGTGCAGCTTCTATCTTTGGTGCTGCCGGCCAGGACGTGACGGAAGAGTTTATGACTATTCGTAGGTTTTTCGTCTTTCGTTGTCTTCAATACTCTCCATTCTAACCCCAACAGACAGCGAAAATGCGAAAGGCATGATGTCAAAACACCACATCGGCACCCTTGATAAGCAGTCACTTGCCCTGCTCGCGCTTGCCGGTTCTGAGCCGGTCCCAGCAAATTCTGAACTCAGGCCTGTCTTCCTTCAATCCAAGGTCTGGACCAAAGCTACGCTCTCGGCCAAGAAGAAGATCTCGTCAGACACCAAGATCTTCACGTTTACGCTAGACCACGACTCCCAGACCATTGGCCTGCCCGTCGGCCAGCACTTGATGATGCGGCTCCGGGATCCGGCGTCGCAGGAGGCCATCATCCGCGCATACACGCCCATCTCGGAGACTACCGACGTGGGCAAGCTGCACGTCCTCGTCAAGATATACTTCGACACGCCCGCCGGCAAAGGCGGCCGCATGACGCAGGCCCTGGACGGCCTCGCCATGGGGCAGTCGGTCGAGTTCAAGGGCCCCATCGGCAAGTTTGAGTATCTAGGCCGGGGCCTGTGCGCCATCAACGGCCGGGAGAGGCGGGTTCGGCGCTTCGTCATGGTCTGCGCCGGCTCGGGCATCACGCCCATCTTGCAGGTGCTGCGGGCCGTCATGAAGGACGACGCGGACCGAACCACGTGCATCGTCCTCGACGGGAACCGCGTCGAGGAGGACATCCTCTGCCGCGACGAGCTGGAAGCCATGGCCGCGCGCCGCCCCGACAAGTGCAGGCTGCTATACACACTGAGCAAGCCCGACGCATCGTGGCGGGGTCTCAAGGGCAGGGTGGACCACGCGCTGTTCGAGAGAGAGGTTGGCGGCCCACCACGCAGTGACGAGGGGGGCGCTATGGTGCTAGTCTGCGGCCCCGACTCGATGGTCAAAGCTGTCAATCAAATATTCGCCAGCCTCGGCTGGAGAGACGAGGACCTTGTTTTCTTTTGAACGAGACTGATAAGAGGTTGGGAATAAGTATGAAATATAACGGATCAAGATGTCGCAACAGACAAGCTTGAATAGGTAATTATATATATATACATATTTTGTACCGCAAGGGATCGCATGCATGCATTACACTATCAACCAAAACAATAAGGCAGATGAAATTACTTAGGTACATACATACATAACTCAAATGCAGCGACACGAGAACACTCTCTAGACAGTTGACTTCGGTTTTTATTCACGAGCGAGTATTAGAAGACACAAGAAGTGGGGAAAAAAGCATTGTTGGCAAGTCCAAATTCGGCCACAGCATTGTTTCTTTCCCTATCTTGACTCAAAAGACGGCGATGTGTTTTTATTTTGTTTGTTATTACGAATGAATACATGGCAGGCATTGCATGGAATGGCCTGTACACTCCGTAAGCTAGCTAGCTAGTCCACACGCGTCGGCGGCATTGCATGGAATTTTCAGCCGACAGATGGGCCGGCATACCCAGGTAGCGAGAATAGAACGGGAATGTGCCTGCTGAGTGAGATCTGGGTGGTGGACAACAGACCCGTATTGCCTCATCCCATCCCATCCCAACACATATCCGCTCACTCCGTCCGTCCGTCGTCCTGTGCATCTCGACATGCGGATGGATTACATCAGGGGCCCTAAATTGATTCCCGTCTCTGATAGCTCTCATCTATCTAGACAAGGTGGGCAGGAAATAAGCAAAATGCGAGCCAAGCCCGTTTCTATATTTTTGTTTGCTTCTTCTTCAAATGTGCTCTACTCGGACTTAACCACGACTTCAGCAAATTCGCTGGTGGGAGGCGGTACGGCTAGAGGCGCGCTGCCCTCGCTGATATCTTCGTCAACATCCATCTTGTCGCTGTCCTCCACGGCCTTGGTCTCTACATCGCCGTTGAGCTCATCAGCCTTTGCGTCGCCATTGGCTTCCTGCGTCTTTACTTCGGCATCCTCAGACTTAGGCTGGACGCCATCCGTCTTGTTGCCGCCATGCTTCTGGTTGCTCATGTTGATGAGTGGGGTGGTGTCGTTGAAGATGCGTAGGAGCATGGCGCTTCGGTCTTCTTTGGGCAACATGAGGTTGAGCGACTGGAAGCTCTTCCAGAGGGGCAGGGCCATGTGCTCGTTAAAGTCTTCGTCGTCGCCCTCGGGCTCAATGCGCAGGACACAGCAGCCGAGGCCGAGGCTGCAGACGCGGGGGCCGATCTCGCCAAGCTTCTCCCACTCGCCGTCTGTAAACTTGGGGAACATTTCGACAAGGAGCCTTCTGAGCGTCTCCTTCTTTGTCAGGACAACGACGCGCTCTTCGCCGACGTAGCCATGCAGGATTGGCATGCCCTCGGACTGGATGCGCCAGCGGCACACGTCGGCCGACGGGGCATCCTGCTTCACAAACATCTTGACGCCGCCGTGGATAAACTTCACACCACGGCCCTCGTTGAACACCAGAATGTCGCGTACGAGACCGCTGGTGTAGTAGACGGCCTTAGCCGGCTCGCCGAGCGCGTTGCGCACCATGTACCGGTTCGAGGGGAAGCGCTCGGAGATCTTGTAGAACTTGCCCACATTCTTGATAACTTCATGATCAGGCTTGAGGAACTTGAAAGGCTCTTCGTATGGGCCCTGTTGCTTCTTTTTCCTCTCCGTCTCGGGTTTCTCCGAGCTTTGAGTTTCCGCACTAGGTGTGGCGGCTGACGGCTCTGCAGGCATGGCGTCGACCATTTCATCACCGTCTGCTGTCGGCTTCTCCTCAGCCGCCGGCTCGTCATTGGAAACTTCCTCGCTAACGACAGTCGGCTCTTGGACAGCCACAGGCTCGTCGGCTGTAGTAACTTCAGAGGACGGTTGGACTTCGGGTACGAAATCGGCCACAGGCTCGGGCGTAACCGTATCGGCACTAACAGTTTCGTTGTCTGCTGTGCTAGGATCCTCGGCAGTCTTGAGCTTTTTGGCCGCCCCCTCGGTGTCATCCTGATCATCCAGAGCGTGCTTAGTAGTACCATTTGTCCGGCTATTTGTGTTTCCGTTGGCGGCTGGCTGTTTCCTTGCCTCCTCGGGCTTCGCCTTGAACTCGGACTTTTTGTGCAGGACGGTGATAAAGAAGCCGCCGGTGTCTTGTTGATGGGCGTACACCCTCATGCATCGCTCGAGTGGCAGGTCGGCCGCCTCTGGCTTAGGGAACATGGTATCGACTAGCCTGCCAGGTGCGAGACCATCTTCAGAGATCTTGATATACTCCTCGACCTCTTCCCACGAGCTCCACATGCGGCCGGACTTGTCCATAATTTGCCACTTTTTCAAGCCTGGTTTCCTCTTGAGGAGCGGAAGCTGGCCGTGGCAGTCGACAATCTCGATCTTTTCCGACCCCCCACACCTCTCGATAGCGGCTGCTATAACAGACTCGTTTTCGACGGGGTTCATGCTGCAAGTCGAGTAGACCATCCGGCCTCCAGGCTTGAGCATCTGCAGCGCGCGCACAAGAATCCTCACTTGAGTTAGGTGGAGACCCAGAGCACTGCCGGGGTTCCAGTCCTTCCACAGGTTTACGTTCTTTCGCAGTGTGCCGTCTCCTGAACAGGGGACGTCAGCCAAGATGCGATCAAACTTGAGGTAGTGTGGTTTAGACGGGTCTTGCGGGTTTGGGATTCGGAGAGAAGGATACATGGTAGCGTCATGGTTGGTGACGATCATGTTGGGCGACGACAGGCGCTTTAGCTGATGGATAAGCATGTGGCTTCTCTTGTAGTCGGCGTCGTTTGCAATCAGGATACCGGTTGCCCGGCCGTCGTCGCTGGGGTCGGCTTCGAGCTGGGCTGCCTCCTCTTCGAGCTCGCCCTCGGTCTTGATGGTGCTAATGGAACTTCCGGTGAAGTTGCGGACGACCTGGCGAATGCGCGCCTCCTCGCCGCGGTGAATCATCTCGAGCAGCTGGGCAGCCTTGCTGCCAGGAGCTGCGCACATGTCCAGCACCACCATGCCGGGGCGAAGGTCCATGAGGAGGGGGGGGATCATGCTGACGATCTCCTGCCTGCTGATATTGCCGACGCTGGTCTCGGACACGAGGAATTTTTGGAAGGCGGCGAAGGGAGGGAACTTTCGGACGACATTCTTGGGAGTGGTCATGGACCAGGCCAGAGAGTCGGGATACCACGGCACGGGTTTGGGAGGCTCGACGTGTCCGCCATCGTGGGTGATGCGAGTGATCTCGGGGATGTATCTCGTCTGGAGCAGTCGCTTGACGGCCAAGGCGTGTCTATGAGGGCGCGGAAACCACTCAGGTCAGCACGGCGACAACACTGGCGGGGAGCTGCAAGTCAGGGCGCATAGGTGCATACCCTTTAGACCCGCAGAATCGGAAACTGTTAGGGAGCTCCCTCTTCAGGGCGGCCCAGAACTCGACCGTCTCCTCCTCTGGCAACTGCAGCAGGTCATTGTAGTATTGCTTGAGCCTCTGGTGCTCCTTCACCACATCGGGATATGTCTGGTACGCGCGATGTCCTGGCGCAACGTCGCGGCTGCCCCCGCGACCTCCTCCACGACCTCCGCCACGACCGCGACCGCCGCCTCGATTTCTCTGTGCCTCATGTCAGTCGGATGCGGTTTCCGTGATGGCGCACACAGCAGGATTCGAGAATCAGAAACAAGACGAGGGGAAAGTGAGGGGAAGGGGGAAGGGGGAAGGGGGAAGGGTGAAGCGGAATAGTAGCATCTCACCTCGAATTTCCCACCGCGACCCATGATGGCAATTGCGACAAATGAATGGCAGACGCGATGCTATCTAGTAAGAAGCACCTCCAATCGCATCCCAATTTTTGGCTAGAAGGTTGCTATTGACGTGTGGAGGGGAAATTTTCGGCTCTCCACCTCTGCCTGTCCACCATGCAGCTAAAAAAAATTAGTCTACGGATACGTTCGACCCCAAAATTGATTCAAGTGGGGGAGGGGCTCCTCCACAGCTAACTCTCCACTTTTTCAAGTCCAATCCCTAGGTGTTTGCTTGTGCGGTACTTTGGACGAGATGAAAATTGCAGCAAATCGGCCAGGAAAACAAGTATTATAGGAGAATGGTAACCCTCGAGGATTCTACACTCGAAGTTCCAAGGGTTACCGCCTCCCATTGAAATCCTCTTGTACATACCTTTCTTGTACACTAGGGTGGCATCACTCCAATCATAAGCTTGTTCATAACTTTGGCTGGTAATGTTGATGCAGGGAACATGGACGAAATTATGGGACGACTCACGAGCTTGGTGCCTGAGTCCCTATTAAAATGGGAAAATGGCATCGAATTGAAAGGGACCGAAGAAGGCAACTACAGGCTCTCTTCGGCCCATGTTAATAAAATTGTTACATAAAAGTAGCTGCCATTATTACAGTAACTGGCGCCCCACACTCAAGTAATAACCGTTAAACAGCGCCACGGGCGACTCCGTGGTCATCCGCGTAGAGCTGGGGCTCTTGGAACTAGGGCGAACAGGACTACGGGTCGCCGCTGTTAGCTAAGCTTCGTGTAAGGCAGACAAAGCTGGCAATCCCCAAACTCTCCGCGATCGACGCGGTTATGGCAGTTGCTTTAACTGCTGAAGGAAAGGGGGAGCCTTCGTGTCCCACGCCTCAGAGCAAGGCAGCAGGAGCTGCCTTGTCTCGCGGTGTCGTTGACGCTGGCTAGAGCTGGAGTCTTCGCCCATGCATTGCTCTTGAGGGGTAGAAAATGGAACATCCAAATATGAGCCCCGTGGTCCGGCCTCACTCATCTAGCAAGCCCACTGTCCAATGCATAATCCGGTCCACCCCATGGCCGTTGATGGCGCTGACGGGGATGGCCGCGCAGTTCTCAGTCCAGGCTCCATCGACGCCGCTGGGGTGAGGTTCCTCGCCACGGGTAATGCGGGCGAGGTAGTCTCTAAGCTCGGCAAAGTTATCCTGTGTGCCGGGCATGTCTCCTTTGGTCGCCACCACAAACCAGGGCTTCGCCGCAATGTGCAGTCCCCCCTTCATCTCTGGGGTGCCGTCGTTTCTATAGTCGGCCATGACCTGTGTGGTCGGCCAGACCTCCTCTATGTCTTCGAGCCCGGCACGGGCGCTCCAGTCGATGTTCGCTAGGCGCTCGCGAGCCGACTCTTCTTCTTCGCGCATCTGTGCATACAGTCCGACTTCTGTCCAGAGCGCCTTTAGAGCCTCCACGGCGTTTCTGGCGCCGAGGTCGATGACAAACGCAAGCACACCGGCCCGTTCGACGTGACGTAAGAATGCAATACCGAGGCCCTTGTCGAGGTGTGCGCCCTCGATTAGCCCTGGGATGTCGGCCACGGTAAATCTAGTCCTCCGCACCGTCTCGTCCTCGGCGTCGGGATCGTCATTGGCACGGAAGCTGGTGACCAAAGGCCGACCTTTGTTATTGTCCAGGACGACAGTGCCAATGTTGGGCTGCAGGGTGGTAAATTCCCAGTGACCCACACGAGCACGGCTGTTGCTCAGGGCGCGAAGAAGAGTGCTCTTGCCCGCGTTGGGCAGCCCAACCAGACCGACGTCGGCAAGGAGCTTGAGCTCGAGCTCAATCTCGATCGACATGGGCTCCTCGCCCTTAGTAGCAAACATGGGCCGAGGGCGATCCCTCGATGCAAAATGGGGGTTTCCCAGTCCGCCGAGACCCCCTGCCGCAAGTAGGATGGGCCGGGCCGTGGGACGGGAAAGATCGATATGAACTGGAGGCCGGGGCTGGACAAAAATACGGTCGCGGCGGGGTAGGAATGGAAGCTCAATGCTCGCTGCTTCTGACGACGAGATGCCCGGGTAGAGTAGCCACTTGTGTCGGTTGGGGTCTTCTGGTGGCTCCTGCTCAGTAACCCCCTCGGCACCTTCATCGCCTTCTGTGTATTCTGCTTCTTCGGCTTCTTGGTCGCTGACGGCAGTCAACTTAACCGAGCGTCGAGAGCGGCGGCAGGGTTTCTTGGCCGTGTCATGCCACCCGCTGTCGGCTTCGGGGTCGTTCCGGCTTATTTCCTTCACAATCGTGCCAACGGGGACGGTGATGATGACATCGTCGCCACGCGTTCCTCCTCGGGAACTACCCTGACCGTGCTTCCCTTTGCCGGCGCGCACAAACCTCCTCCGTGCCAGCTTGTGGAGTGACGTCTCGCCGTGGACGGCTTGGATATACACGTTCCCGCCGTGTCCTCCGTCGCCGCCGTTGGCAGGTCCCTCGGGTATGAAAAGCTCGCGCAGGAACGAAATGCAGCCGTTTCCACCGCCGCCGGCATATGCCGTAAGCTTGGCTTTGTCGGCGAAGAAGGGGGCCGAGTAGTCGTCGGGCGTTGGGTTTAGTCGCACGGCGGGATCGGTTGCTGCGACTTGGGAGCTGCTGTGTCGTGAGCCTGCGACTCCAAGCATTCGGCCGCCCCGACTGCCATTGCCTGCAAGAAACGGCGGGTAGAGAAATGGCAAGAAGACGCGCCGACTGGCAGAACATCGGCAAGTCATTTTCAATAACAACTGACGGGCAGATTAAGGCCTCGCAGACAACACGCTGGTTCGCCTCCCTCGGATCTCTGCAGTGCAATCAAATTTTGGGAATCCGATAAGAGATAACACTCAATCCAGATTCCAGAGCTTGGATCGTGCAGGGGTGAATCGGAGGCCACGGCCATTCTGGGCCTGGGGCCTTGGCATTCCCCGGCGGCTCTTCGCAGCTGGCCGAGGGGTGGGGGCGGCCGGCCGGGAAGTTCGCTCGGCCGCCAGACACACTGGAATTAAGTTGTCCTTCCGTTTCAAGTTCCATCCCAAATGTCTTTGATCCCATCTTGTCTCGTCTCATCGCATCTCGTTTCGTCTTTTGCTGCACCAACCCATCGGCCATCGTCCGGGCGCTTGTTGCATGTTTCCTTTTATCTAAAAAGATAAAATGCTCCTTGGGAGACGAGACGAGAGCCGCACTCAGTGGTCGCCCCCGCTTACGGAGCAACTCGAACTAGGAATGCAGCATTCGGCGTGTGATGATGTTGGTGCCCAATTTGTGGCTCTTGGTCGCCTCTCGGCGGGGGCAGGCTTTTGCAGCCATCCGTGGCCCTCGTGGCGGTTGCAGAATGCCGCAGATTGCAGACATGCGGTGAAAGTGATAATCCAAGACGGGCAAGACTGGGCTTTTGCTGGCTGCACGACTTCCGAGACGTGGATGTTGCTGGCACTGGCAGGGACTCTCCAGCCCCTCTCCTCTCCTGCCACCGTAGGCTGCGTCTCGCCAGCCTCTACTAAGTAAAACCCGTCAGGTATGTATGTATAGGTGTGGTAATGCGGTTATTTGGTCGGCTGGTCTGGTCTCTGCTGGCACGTTGTTCCTTGTCGTTTTTCGAAAATTCGGATACGGATAGGGTTTTCCCCAATCTCAGCTCCTTTTTTTGTGTCCTCGTCCGTCGATTTATAATTTCCCTTGCCGCCTCCTCCCTGGCTTTCCTGGGCCAAATAGCAGAAAGCTCCTTCTTTGCCTCCCTGACCTTACCTACTAGTCTTTCTACTCGTGCCTTGGTAAGTAAAGCCATCATCTCATGTGTTCCATTCAATTCCCACAACCGACGGGAACTACCTGTACCTTGACCTTCCCCGACTCTTCCGTGCCCCGAGTTCCCGTATTCTGTACGACTACCTAGAACTTAGGTTCCTCCAAGTCTCGTCTCCTCATCGCACCCTTTTCCCTTGATTCTCCTCTCCCTTCTCGCCGGCCTCCACACTCCCGTCAGGAGCTACCCCGGCCCAAGTTTGCATCGTAGCCCCAGGTCCAGGTCCAGGTCCAGGTCCAGCTCCGCATTGCCATCACGCTATTATATTCCACGGTCCACCCAAACCACTTTCCCCCCTGCATCCCTTCAGACCTACTCCGTACTCTGTACCCATCTCCGTTCCAAGGCTCAGTCGATCGACGGTGCCTCCTCTACTGGTCTTCGATCCGCATCCTACTAGTAACGCGTCTCGTCTCTGTTACCTGCTACGTGCGCCGTCTTACATAACGAATCAGTAGCCTCCGCCTCCCCTCCTGCGCTCACTGCAACTGCATTGGATCGCCAGACGTGAGTGGTGCGTGGTGCGAACGGCATCAGAGGCAATCGAGGTTAATTGGGTCCGTCTGTGTCCCGGCAGGGAAAAGGTGGTCGCGGGACTGGTTGAGCAGGCATTGGGCCGCTGCACGCTGCAGACCAGTGCTGCCAGAGGCCCGCATTCGAGCCACGACACAGAATCCAGACTAAACGTGGTTAAGTCCGGCCTTGGGTTGTGGGCGGTCGCCAGCCCTCACGAGGGCTTCCATTCTCCAAAATCGGTCAGATTCTATTGTGTTGTGAAGCACTGCTTGCTGCAACCACGCAGACGCTCGCTGCCCTCCACCAAAGAGAGCCGCTCGCTGTCGCCAGCTCGTCCCTGACTCGTCGTCTGCTGCCCTCTGGCTGCCCTCTGGCTGCCCTGCTCGACCCCGTTCGGGTGTTGCTGCTGCTGCTGCTGCTGCTGCTGCTGCAACGCGACGCTCCTCTTTCCGCCATTCTCTCTCTCGCCCTACAGACGTGGTGTCTGCCTCCTCGGGTCAAATCTCGTGAGCGACACACAGTTCAGCACGCACAGCGCACCACAGCTGCTGCCCAGCCCAGCGCGCGTTGTTGCCGTCTCTGTGGCTCTCTGTCTGCCATCCATCTCGTCTCGTCGCTGCCCATCACTCGCCCTGCTTGCTTCCTCCTCCTGCCGCCTGCTGCTCGACTGCCCGTTGCTTGCGTGCTTGATAGTCCAGGTCAGTCTTTCTATCTGTCGTCTGTCTGCCCACTCACGCGCCCCCAAAGCTCTTGCGGCCCTATCCGTCATTTCTCTACTTGGCCCTTATCTTCCCGCCTCGTTCTCTCCCGCAGTATCTCGTCTCGTCTCCCCATCTTCCACCCCTTATGTTTTTTGTCTGCTTCTGGGCAGGACCCTAGCTAGCGAGCATCGGCTGGTCATGCCTGATAGGACGACTGTTGGAGATTTTGCTCACTTCTCTGTATTATTAACTTGAGACTTTTTTGTTACCTGACCGCATGGTCCCCAAACTCACTTTTCCCCGACGTTTCCACCCCCAAACGCTAAACCATGTATACCAGAGATCATAATCCAAAGACGAGGAAGTCCGTCATCAGGATGGACCCGGACTGTGCCATATGCCATGCTCCGGCCACCTTGGCTTGCGAATGCGAAGCCAAAGGCCTTGAGGTGGCTGTCAGGCAGGCTGAGAACCGGATGATGCAGTCGATATACAATGACATACGGTTAGTATCCTTATCCCCATCATCTTCCCCCCCTTTCCCCCGCTTCGTCGACAGCCAGCTTATCCGCCCTCGACGATCTTGTTTACTGTTCCAGACCAGCCTGCTAACACGCCACCACAGTTCATGGGTGCGGGCACACGCCCAAGACTACATTCTCGAGTACTTCAGGCTACTGACAGAGCGCCGGAAGACTGCTCACTCGGCACACCTAGAGCGCATCACAGCTCACGCCTACCACTACTACCACTCACCGCCGCACCCAAACGAGATTTCCGCTGCCCAGGCACTGCTGAAGCGCGGCATCGACGAGGACTGGCAGGCGTCAGTACAGCGCTATCCAGAAGTGCTTGAGTACTTCTATAGCCTAGTTGAACTGACCCTGCCGGATGACAACGAGCCAGCCGTCAGAGACCCACCTCTGAGTGCCCTGAACGGCTCCCGGAAAGCCGGCCGCCGGGTCGGGGGCCCTGCCACGGTGGCAAGCGGCCCCAGTATCATGACCCATGACAGGGATACTCCTTTTCCTCGCATGAAGACGCCGCCGGTGCTCGAGCCGATCCGCGAGAGGAGGACGCCGGGCCCGCAAGGCCGTTCGAGGCGGGGGTATCCTCCGCCGCCTCCAACATCATATTTCCCACAATATTGATTATGAAAGAGCTTGATCCATTGCGCCGATAGATGTGCTGGAGGCACGGTGTTGAAGCATGCACACCCTTGTGAGCGTGTCCTCAGCCCGAGCCTGCCGTGTCCACTATCCCGATGGTTCTCCGAGCACAGCTCTCCTTTTTATTTTTATGACGACAACGAGACAAACGAAAGCATGAGGCGTGGGACTCCTAATGCAAATTCCCACGGTGCACTTCTTTCTTGCATAGCCTATTGGATTCTACACTTGTTTCTTTTCTTTTTCTTTTTCTTTTCTCGGTCGTGGCCCTGGGCTGTGTCGGAACAGCTTGCGGAGTGTCACGACAGGAGGCTTTACCTCTTTTTTACTTTCCCACGCCCGGACGACGGAACGGACGGACGGGACTGGCGGCTTGCTTTGTGGTTTTATGTTACTCAACCTGGCGTTTGGTGGTTGGGTTGGACTTGTTTTGTGGTGTTTTCCCTACCTGGGCCTGGGCTGCGTGTTTTGTGGGGTTTCACCCCGCCGAGAGGAATAGGATTAGGAAATGGGTTCAGCGAAGGATGGGCTGCCAGATTGGAATACCGAACACTGAAAGTAATATGAAGCAGGCGTCCTCTTTCTTCATGGAGCCAGCGCTGGTCCCTAGGGTGGGGATATCTAGCTTGTTGCGAGAGCACGCGAGAGCACCTTGATGATGGTCTGCGGTGGAAGGGCTGGGAAGGGATTGGGTTGGATGGAGCTTCGGACAGCCCGGTGGGGTTTCCTTCTCTCGGATCTTACCTGCGTTTTCGCGTGGCAATGAGGAGAGAGTGGCGAACACCTCATCTTGTGAGCCTGTCTTTTCTGGCTTCAGAAGGTTGCTCCAACTTGACCTTGTCCTTTTTTTGACAGTCCGACTTCGTCGTCGAACAGGTGTACGAGCTAGTCACTTTTTTTGTATATAACAGGAGACATGGTCACCCAACATTTAAAATTGAGACCCAATATATGGCTAAAAGCATCTGTGTTTGTTATGTCTTTGATGATGAGTGTATATGCGTGTGACAATCAAGCGGCCGTGTTTGTAAGATGCACTAGACGAAATAGATAGAGCATCAAACACGATCGTGGCTAAAAGCCTGTCCCGCTTATTAAGAGGTCCTAAAGCTGCTTACCGAAATACCACAACGTGCCGTGCTGTGCCGTGAGGCTCTTCGCATGATGAATAATGCTAGGTAGAAGTTCTTGCCTGAGGATCAACTGCGGACAGTGACGGAGTCCCCTTCCCCAACCAACCAACGCGTAAACTCCGATATCCAAGGAGCGAAGCAGTTTTGCTCCATCATCGCGGGTTTTTCCCCACGGGGAGAGATGGATAGCCCAACTCCAACGGTACGCTACTACGTACGTACTGCGATAGGCCTGTCCAACGCTCGTCACTTCCTTGCCCACTTTCCCCAAGGTCGGAATGGCATGGCAGGAAGGGGGAAAGGAACATCCCGAATGTGGAGCCCAACAACCGATCGATGGTGCCCAAATCATACGTATGTACCTTGCCTATCTTTTCTCGGTAAATACAGGGCTTGAGATTGGCCCTGTCTGCAAATAGACAAAGCCCGCGAAGAGATACCCAACAAGACCAGGAGATACCAGATAGCAAGTGCTGCGTCGTATGTGTGTGTTTGCTGCGTACAGAACGCACGAACGCGCACCATTGGGCCATGAGCACGACGGATCGGATAGCGAAGGAGCACATGCAAGCCATCCCCAAGGTGATAATTAGAACCTACCTTACCCTACCTAGGCACCCTACATACGTGCATGCATGCCTATGCTTTGCATGTTGCCCTACATACCAATATTACGTACATCTATGTCTAGGCACGATCGCTCTCTTCCCTCTCCATCTGTCTTCCGGCCTGGTCTTGCAACCAACTCAGGGAGGCAACGACACGCTCACAACTTCGCCTCTTCACAAAAGAGAGCACCCAAGAAAGGCAGCAAGCAAGCGAGCCTTGAATACGACGGCGGCAAACGGCATTCATCGTCTATGAGTACTTCGTAACTAGCCATAGTATTGTATGTACCTGACCTACATACTGGCTGCTGCTCAAGAGCCCTCAAACCCAACGCGGCCCGAAGCTGATGGTGAAGGGGAGTACCTAAACATCCCATCCCATCCTCCCAGAATCCCGAAATCCCAGTAGCATACAATGCAAACATTTCCTTTTCAGGCCTTCATGTCCGCTTGTGCGTACCTTTTTGAAAATAAAAATGAACAAATGGGAATTGCTTTTTGTGCCCTTAACTCACATCGCAGCGCTGTCCCCCCCTTAAACATGGATGGGTGAGTTTCAGGCAGGCCGCAGACGGGAACATGCTGAACATGACGATAGATGAGAGGTGTTGGAATATATAGAAAAAAAGATGCCCGACCAAGAGCGGTCCAGGGCAAAATCGCTCGCTTTATGCGGCGACCGGCTCAGCAGCCGTCTCTTTCTCGATTTCAACCTTTTCCACGCCTTCCGTCACCTCAGCCACGACAGCCTCGCTGTCTTCGCTCTTCTTGCCATTAGCACCGTTAGGAGTCTTCGGGCTAGTCGGCGTGGGAGCCTCGCCCGCCTCCTCAGCCTCCAATCGCTCAATCTCCTTCTTGGCTTTCTCGATGTTCTGAGATGATAAACAATGTTAGCCTCGGCATCGGTGCAAATAGTTTTATCATGCTAAATGATATTCACCTTCCGTGTCTGCTCGGGCTGGTCAGTGACCCAGCTGTCAAGCTTCGCCTTGACCTTCTCGACAACAACCGGAACGTCGGCGGCGCTCATTGGCGGGTCAATGCCCATAAAGGCGCAGTCCTCCATGACAGATGGCGGGCAGCTGTAGGTCTTGGCACTGGCCGCTGAAGGAGTCGCCTTCTTGCCCTTCTTCTTTCCCTTGGTTGCCGGCAGGTACTCGTCCTCACGGTCCTCCTTCCGCTTAAGAACGATGCCCTTGATGCCAGAATCATCTACCTTGCGCTGGACCGGGGCAGTCAGGCCCCTGTCAGCAACGAGCGGGGCCTTTTCGGCCGGCTGGAGCGACGGGTCAAAGAAGTGAAGCAGGCTGCGGGCGCGGCGAATCTCCTCCAGGTAGGCGGGGTCGCTGGCTTCGGCAAGCAGCTTCTGAGCGCGGTCCATCTTGCGCTCCTTGGCGATGCGGTCGCGCTCGGCCTGGTGTCTCTCTCGGACACGCTCGCGCTGCTCGCGCTCCCACGCGGTATGGGCCTTCTTTTGCCCGTAGTACTCGTCCTTGAGCTTCCTGATGGCCTGGAACTTCTCGTTCTGCTCGGCTTGCAGCTTGGTGCGTTCGTCCCGAAGGCTAGACAGGCCCTTATATGCCTCGTCCTGATCTGCCTTGATGGCGTCGAGCTCCGCCTGGAGCTTGTTATACTCCTCGCTATTCTTCTTGGCCTCGGGGTCGTCAAGCTCATCCTTGGTCGCCTTGATCTTGGCCTTGAGGTCGGCGATTTCCTTCTCTGCCTGGTCGAACTGGGTAAAGTTCTTCTTCTGTTTGTACAAGTTTGAGATCTCGGAGAGGGCCTTCTTCTCGTCGACAAGCTTCATCATTCCACCGTCGACCTTCTTTTGCAACGAGGCAATTTCCTGGTCAATTTCGTCGGTATTCTTAAAGCCCACCTTGCCGCGGGCGACCTTGTTCTCGGTGAGGCGGCTCGACAGCTGCTCGTTGAACCGCTTAATCTTCTCGAGGATGGCATTGCGGCTGTTCTTGCCAGTGGCCTGCTTGGCACGAATCTCGTTGACCTGGGCGATCAGTTCCTGGCGGCGCTTCTGCGTCGCGGAAGGAGCATCCTTGTTCTTGCTCGGTGTGGCAAGCTCAATCTTGGCTTTAACGGCATTCTGTACGGGCGAAAAACGCCATCATTAACTTTCTAGGTTCCTGCGCGGTCAAATGCTATCAAGGGAAAGAGGCAGTGGGAGTAGCAGTGGCCGTAGCGGCATGACGCGGGCAGGTGACATGCGCCAGGCGACGGACTGCAGTGCGGACTGGGCGCGCGCGTACATATCTGGCCATGACATCCTGATATTCCTTCTCAGCCTTGCCGAGCTGCTCATTAAAGAGGTCGGTGTCGGGCTTAACGGGTTTGAGGCTGGCCCCAGCTGCGGCAGCGGCAGTGGCTGCGGCAGTAGCGTCGTCTGCCATAGCGAAGTTTAGCGAAGTTTTCGAATTACCGGAAGGAGGAGCTCGTGGGAGAAAGGATTTGGGAAAAGCAAGAATGCTGCTGAATTGACGCTCGATACCCTCTTTTGGGCGTCTTAATTGTGAGGTAGAAAGGAGTAGAAGCGAAAGGGGAGGGACAGGGCAGCGGGCAGGTAGATTTGTCTCGTTGCAGACAGCTTGCTTCAATTAGACCTTCCCCAGCAGCTCCACCAAAATTTCGAAATTTCTCGCCAGGTCCCAGGCCAGATCGTCAAAATCCAGCGGTGGGCACGTGCGGGCGTACGTGCCTTAGGTAAGCCGTGCAGGGATCTCGGGCACCTGTGGAGACAAAGGCCGATGTCCTCACTTAACCCCACGCCTATCAAGCAGAGCAGGAGACTCAATTTTTTGAAGCTCGCGATTTTCTTTCATCAGCCTCGCGCCGCCTCGCTGCCGCACGACCACAACGCACGCACTCGAAGGAAGATCTCCCCAAAAAGAAAACCCTGCATTCATCGCTCAGCACTGCGCACGCGCAACTACAACGAAACAAATCCCGTCGCACAGTCGCCGCAGCACGGCCATTCGTCACGATGGACGACGATTTCAATTCGAACGTATTCGCTAAAGAGACATCGCGGCTATGGCGGGCCTGGAGAACAGTCCACGAAATGGTGCAGGATCGGGTAGGGGCGCTCACTGTTCAATCTGCCATAACGGAGCGGCTTTTGCTGACATTCTTGTCTTTTCCAGGGGTACGAGCTTGCGGAGGATGAGGTCAAGATCTCGCTCGACCGATTTCGAAGGGAATATTGCATGGCCGATGGGAACCCGAAGTATGTTCAAGGGAGCCAGGGAGAATGGCGGTAGACTATATCTGCGTATGACTGACTGACATTTCCTATATAGCCGTGTCGCGATGCAGTTTTCTGCGCGGCCGAGCGAAGGCATGATCAAGAAGTTCACGCCCCCGCCGACGGCGAGTAACCCGGACCCGGCGCCCGACTGCGGCACCATCTGGGTCGAGTTCTGCCACGAGAAGTCATCCATCGGCATTGGCGTCATGAAGAAGTTCGTGCAGCACTGCGCGGCCAACAACTTCAAAGCCGGCATTCTCGTGACCTTTGCCTCGCTCAGCGCGCAGGCCCGCAAGGTCATCACAGTCACGTCGCAGTACACGCAGATCGAGTGCTTCCTTGAGGAGGACCTGCTCGTCAACATCACTCACCACAATCTGGTGCCCAAGCACATCCTGCTGAGCCGTGAGGAGAAGACGGCTCTCCTCAAGCGCTACCGTCTCAAGGAGACGCAACTGCCCCGTATCCTGTCAAAGGACCCCATCGCCCGCTACCTGGGTTTGAAGCGAGGCCAAGTCGTCAAGATCATCCGGAACAGCGAAACTGCCGGCCGATATGCCAGTTACAGACTTTGCGTATGAGAGAAGTAGCAATTTCCCTAGGCATGCCTGGGTTCTCGGGGTCTCGTCGTGTGGAGGGCTGGCAGTGGTGTATCACATGTGTTAATCAACAGGCGTTTTTCACCCATCCGGAGTTGGGCACGTCTCCTAGGCGTTTTGGTCGGGGGTTGTCGACGGTCTCTATCTGCCTGCTGGTTTTTCCGTCGCCCAAACATCAGCCAATGTCTCTCACATTGTCTCCTTTACAGAAGTAGTGTGATAGATACATCACTCGTCACCATTTCATTCATCAGCTAAGGACGATTTGGCGGCTGCGGTTTCCGGCCTACTTCACAGTCTTGGGGGCAGAATGAGCTAGCTCATGAGGTCGGTCCGCTGATGGCAAAATGAAAGCGACAAAACTAATGAATAAAACTGCACCGTTATATTTATATGCCTTTAGTTACGTTTTAGTGACATTGGCTAGTATCGGGCACTCTTTGCCACGTTTTGCAGCGGCTCAATAGAAAATTAATAAGACAAGGCCATTTTTTATACTCCTTTCTCTTTCTCTTCGTCTGCCGGGGTATATGACGGGTTTCCCTTCCAGAAAAAAAAACGCCCTAGTATCATCTCGGTCATCTCAGTCATGTCCGCCGTGTTGTTGTTGTTGTTGTTTGTTGGGCCACCCTGCAGACTATTTCCGCTTTCCAAATATTAATAAGAAAAGAAAAACCCCCAACCCCCACAACCTCTAAACGCCTGCCTGCCTGCCTGCCTGCCTGCCTGTCTCTTGATCTAGTTATGAGTCTAGAAAAAACGCCATTTGCAAACAACAAAAAAATTACGTTCTTTCGTCTCCAGTCCCCCTTTCCGTATGACTCGCGTCACTCCACAATTGTACGTACGCCCCATAAAACCCGACACACGCTTCGCTTCGCTGCCCGGTAAAAAATAAAAGACAATGCAAAGCACCCATTGGGGGCCTGAGGGTATTTGGTTGATTAGTTTTCACTCTTTGTCGCTGCCGAGCAACCCACCCACGTCCGCGAGGACTGGGTCCGGTTTAGGGGCCGGATACGCTGGAGGCGATGGTGGTGGCGGTGGCGTCGGTTCTTCGCTCAGCTTGCTCTGCGAATCGGCGTCGCTCTTTAGTTTCGGCCGCGCAGACTTGGAGGTCAGCGGGCTCAGAAGACCGCCGAGCTCCTGAAGTAGAGCCGTAGAGCCCCGCCGCAACCCGTTCGCGCTCGCTGGTACCGTGGGCGACAGCGCACTGCTGCCGCCAGACGCCGGGTCGTTGGCGGACATGAGACTCGCGCGCCGACTCGAGCCGCCTTGGTCGTCCAGGAGCCCGCCGTGGTCGAAGAAGGAGACCTTCCGGGGCGATATGACCGAGTTGCTTCTTGTTGACGTCAGCTGGTCCGCGGTCATCAGGGCGTCGTCGCTCCGCGCGCCGCTGGCCCGCTTTGGCCCGGGGAATTGCCAAAAGTTCATGTCGTCGTGTGCGTTGGCCATGGGGGCCGGCGTGTAGAATCGTATGTCGGAAGGCGACGGCGGGGGTTCTCGCAGGTCGGGCTTGACGCCGTAGCCCACATCTCGGACCAAGTCTTCATCGCTGCCCCAGTGCTTGTTCATGGTCGGCCGCCTGGACTCGGTGGCCGAAGAGCGCTCTAGTGAACCTGCGGCGACAGAATCGTACTTGAACTTCTTCTTCTTGACACCCCTGTCCCGAACAAACGAGCCCAGAACCAGCGAGTTCGCCGCCGCAGTTGCGAACAGCAGCTCTATCGAGGCGTATAAAGACCGGCTCTGCTGGCTTCCGCCGTCCCAGATGATGTGCGGTACGCGGTATATGGTGACGGCAACCACTCCGAGACTGAGAGAGAAGAGCAGCACCAGCTGGACCTTGCGCTTGGCGCTCATCTGGCTGCTGATGATGATGGGTATTGGGAAAAAGACGAGAAGCAAGTCGGTAATGATGTTGCAGGTGGCCATGGTCAAGAGCTGCGCGTACCCCTGACGGCATTGGCCCCCGGGGTCTGGGAGGACCTGCCAGTAGTGGGAAAAGGGTTGGCACTCGGCCAAATCGCTTATCACCACTGCGACAAAGGTGGCGACGAGAATGCAGCGCATGAACAGCAGCGCCACATCGAACGACCGCTCCCAGCTCACATTGAGGCGTCTGAAGAACTCTAGAATGGCGTTTTTCAGAACCCATAGGCTACAGATCCGAAAAAATATTAGAATTTGCTTTTTCTTTGCTGGACGCTCCGAAAAGAGGGTTATGGGAAACGGGAAAGGAAGCTTCATAGGCGCGGTTGGTGAAGAGCAAAGAGAGATGCCACTCACGTCGCTGCGTACAAGATGCGGCTCAGGAGAACCAGGCCGCTAGCGACCGACTTTCGGTGGAGCTCGTCGTCCGAAAAGCCGGCACCGTCCAGCTGGGCATTGTTCGTGCCGTAGACCAGGATGACATGGACAGAGCCCATGCGGAGGAACAGCGGGATCAGAGCCAGGGCCGCCACCTTGTCTTCGGTAAACAGCCTTTCGGTGCGCACGAAGCGGCCGCCGACTCGAAGCAAGATGATTACGGCGCAGAAGATGGTGATCCACCAGCACACCAAAAGCGTGGGCTTGTCTTCACTGAAGGTGCGCAGCGGCGGCGGCTCCGAGTACAGGGGCATGGTGGCGTCGCTCCGAGCACGCCGCGCCCGTCATCCTCCGCAGAGGGACGAGCGGGGAGACGGGTGCAAGTCGATAGGCGGGATCGATATCACACAGGAACTGCGGTTGTAGCCGTAAATGTCTCGCAAGTCGAGCACCCTTCAGGCCTCCCGGAACACAATGGCACTGTCAGCAATGGGAGATCGTATGGCCGGGGGTAGTGCTATGACGTCTGCGTGGTCTGTGTCGGTCGTATGGTTCGCTTGTCGGGCCGTTGCATGCACAATGCCGTTGTGTGGAGGAAACAACGGGTGCGGGACGTGAGCGGAACAATAGGGGTTCAATGGGGGGGGCGGGATTCGGGCGCAAATCAGCAACTGTCGTCGTCGACGCGAGAGGCAACAAGAGGGAGGATGAATCAGGAAAGGACAAGAGAAAGAGGGCTCTCGCTCGTGAAGCGCCGGGACAGCCTAGGACTAATAATATGCAAGTGAGAGCAGGACGGGGCCAGGCGAGGGTGGAGAGCTGATGGATGGATGGACACTTGAAGAGGTGTGGCAGGTGGGCGCGGGCTGTGGCCCTGGTTGCAGGCCGCATCACGATAGGATGGACTAGAGGGTCTGTCTGGCTATCTCTAGGCAATCCCATCTCTATCGCATGGAACCCGAGGCGAGGCCAGAACTCGAGGTGGGCCGAGTTGCCAACCTCAGAGGCGGGTCGCTTGCCGTTTGGCGACTTGGTGGCTACGTAGGTAGCCCGCCGCCGCATCCCGCGTGCCACACCCCAGTTGGGCAACACAGACGATGATGGGCGTCCATCAGCCCGGCTGAGCTGGCACGTCCCCAAGTCCCAAGTGCCCAGTCCGAGTGCCCAGGGCTGGGGATCTCTGCTGAGTGGTTGGTTGGCCTGCTTGCTGCTGATTGCTCGACATGATTGACGGCTGGTAGCGAGTCCGGCCCATGCGGGTTTACACAACCTCCCACCCCCTCCCATCCACTTTGCGTCGAGTCCCGGTTCTGGCGCTCCAAACAGCGGGGTCCAGGATCGGTGTTTCTAGGAGGGGAGGTCCCCGACCCCGACCGACTCGTGAGCCAAGCACAAGGAAGGCAGCGCTTGTGATACGCTGCACAGGCAAATGCGGTGAAGCGACTGACTGCGTGTGGTCAGTGTCACTTACGGATGTGCCTCTGCTCTCCGACGACAAACGCAAGAGCAGTGTGGCGCGTACACCACATAAGGGCAGTACTCAATGTCTGCGTTTCCGTGCCCCTGATCGACTCGACTCACTCGAGCCAACAGTGAGATAAGGACGGTACTTCACTTTATTGCCTCGCTCCCCGGCCCATCGCTTTTGTTGGTGGAGACGGGCAAGCCTGCAAAACGCTTTTTTGCCTCGATCTCATTTCCGGCCAAAGTCGTGGCAGACAGGGATCAGGGCTCCTCACGACCGACGGGCACTTCCCAACGGCGTCAGCGGCGTCGGCGAGAGTAAGACAGCTCACTCATACTGAGCATGCACGTGTGTGTTTTGGTAGCGTGTTTAGCCGTGGTTCAAATTGTGAGTGAGGGCGATGCCGAGACTTGTCGTGCCCATGTCTATTCCGCTCGAGCGAGACAATGTTACAAAACAACATGGAACGACCCTGGTCTTCTTTGGTGCGACGACAGCACGAGCCTGGGAGCTTCCTTCTTCAATGAAGCGTGGGGGGCGGCTGGTGTCCCATCGATAATTCCGATAAGTAGTAAGTGGTTCTGGGTGAACCCCCCGGGGCTCACCATTTGGATATAAGGTTGGGGCCTTCCCAAGTGAGGTAGGTGCTCGCCGCGGCTACCACGCGGCCGATGGTACAGTACCATACTTACTATTCGAGTATTTGATCACGCCTTTCACGCTTCAACGTCTTGCCCTCTCGGGTCCATGTCGAGACTCGGACGCACCATCGGATGTTAGGTTTACTCTGCTGTTGGAGTCTTGGAGACGTAGTTTGGAATCACGCGAGTGACGGGACTCGAGGAATGAACCGAGGACGCGACGCCTGTCTGGCATGGCATGTGAGGGAAGTGGCTTCAGGGCTCTTGAGCGCCTATCTGTGCTCTCAGTGGCGTCCCCGCTATCTACGTGTAGGTCGGTACCCGAGTGGAGGGTACCCGGCACCACCAAACAGTCAAGTGTCCGTCCCCATACAAAAATACAGAGGTGAGAGCTTTCCTAGCAACAAGCACTGTATAGTACGGTACGGAGTACGTATACGTACCACCATTTGATCAGGAACAACGGCCGACAATTGCGTATAGGATACGCTACATTGTTGCCTACCCGATTTCCTGTTCTGCGCCTAATCGCCTTAGAGAAGCAGGGTGGAGTAGGTACGCACCTTACATAGTATACAATCCTGGCCGCAGCACTTGGTCCGTTTTGGTTCTCCAAACTCAGTGGAGTGCAAAACTCGACCCCTCAAGCCACCAACTACAGCTCAGGTTTCATGTAAATAGTCGATGCTGGCAAAGCGGTGGGTTCGGGGCTCGAATCTGCCTCACAACTTCGTATCTTGTTTTGCCGTGTCTCATCTTGGCGGCGAGGCGAAGAGCAGTCAACGAAACACATTGGCATGGTCGCGTGTCTCCAACTTTGAGCATTCACTACAATTTTTTGGGGCAGCGACTCGGTCAATCTTGGCAGAGATCCACCCCACGCACAGACAACGTACCCCCACCATTCTTTACCAAGCCCGGCCTCGGTGGCCGCTGACTTCGAGCTGCCTACCGCCCCGCCACCTTTATCTCCTCACGGGCAATAGGATACCGCCTTTTGAATTGTGATGGACGTCTCAACGTGCGCTTCGTTCTTCCAGACGATATCACCCCGAGATACGGATACTCGGGCTTTAATCTAGCGCTCAAAGACACGACATCAGGCAGAGACTAGTCTGTTCTCTCAAACGACTCTAGCCGTTTAGCACCTGACAGCAGAGCACGACTTGCATGACTCGGTTCCTGACCTGCTAAAATTCCTGACCGAAGGCAAAAGCGGGTCGGCTGGTGGGCAGGCACGGGCACACACACGCTCTCACCACCGACCCCGGTCTTTTGCCGGGGTCGAGCGTTGCGTCCCTCCCGCCCATCTCTGGTCCATGCTGCTTACTCTCGGCCAATGCCGAAAGCCAATTGCCCATCGGCGTTTAGTTGTCGCTCGCATACAGACCATACGTCAAAAACTCAGCTAGCCGTGCCGCGAACTTGCCGCTTTCTGACGTGCATGGGGGTTTATCGACTGTGGCATTGCGCCCGGGAAGAAAGCTGAGTAGAGGGTAGATTCCAATAGACTGGCGCTATCACCAGACTGTATATATGTACTGTCTGCACTATAGGTCGAGCAACCCTCCGCTCCCACCTCTTTCAGCAATGCCCAGGTCACTCATGCCTTGCAGGATGTGTGTGCATTGGAGTATATGATGTGCGTAGTAATAAACGTCCCCCTGGTGTGGACCACGCTATATACTTAAATTGTTGTCCCAGTTTAGCTGCTTTAGCACAGCCGGAAAGCCACAGTCAGCAAAGTTAGAGCGATGATGTTGGATGAAAGCCGGGTCCAAGGCAAAGGGCTTTTTTCGTCCCGCGCCAACCCTACTGCACATCGTATTGGTGGTCCGTGGTGGGCTTGCCGCTGCCAATATATTGGCGGCGCAGCCAAATCCACCCGGAGGCTCAAGTTAATTTGATGAACACCCTCACATTAATTATCGTTCATTATCGGCGAGATTTGGTCCGCTAAGATTAGCTCACGGTGATTGACGTCCACACTCAACACCTCATAACCTCGGCCACTAATTATCAAGCCGCAGCCTCACTTTGAGTTTACATTTAGTGAGGGTTCAGTGTGCGGGTTACTGCTTGAGTAGAGAGGTGCCTCATCGCCAGAAAAAGGTGAAAGCAGGAGGTCTTCTTAAATTTGTTTGATGGCGAGTCTACTCGGACCGTCAAAAACGTCTATCCACACCGTAGTGTCCATACATCGCTCTTGTTTAATTCTTGACTCTTATAAGGAGTGAACTTGCACCGTGTCAGACTACCAAAGAGGAGATAATAAGGTATGGATGATATCTAGTATCATGCACACGCTGGAAGGACCTGATTAAGAAATAATTATCTTGTTACCTTTATGTGTGCAGAGTCGCGCTTGAATACTCTGGCTCTGGGTACCTACCTACCTACCTATGAATGAGCATCGATTTCTCAGAGCTTGATAGTCCCAACGCCGGTGCCCGCCAAGCGCATATATGTAAGTGAGGATGCCGGTGCTCGGGTCGTTGTTTGCAAGCGGCACGCCCCCGCAGCTCTTGCAGCCGTAGTTGATTCCCTCGGCGTTGACTCCAGCAACACTGGTGAGAAGGGCGGTCCAAAGGCCTAGTTTCGAGAAGGTGGCGAGCATCATTGTGGATGTAGTGGTGCTGGAGTCTGTTGCTCGTGTTGTTGCTGATGCAGAAGATGAAGAAGCTGGATGCGTGTGTGATGGATGTGCTACTATTCCAGTCGACCCTATCGTGCGAACCAGCCTATCTTTATACTTGAAAAGATATCAAGCATATCTCCTATTCCTCAACCCGCCTTGTGATGCGCTTCCGACACCTCTAATTATATGCCTCCAGTCACGAAGCAGGTTATCAAGCAGGTTACCAATACTACACAGACATTACGGAACACGAGCTTAACTAACTTACCTAGGTATTTATCTACCTTAGGTGTTCGTGCGCATCTGCGAACACAGCAAGGGTTCACACGACAATGCCCCGTCAGCAATCGGCGGCAGACCTTCGTGTTTGAAGTAAGCCCAAGTCCCGACCGTAGAGTGAGACTTGCACCGACGGCACAACGCGCGGCCGACAGCAGCACAAGACAAGACGCCGATTACAATCGGTAGAAGGAGTCTTTGGGGAAAGTTTCACCTTGGCTAGCAGCACCGTCAGCTAATCAAAGCAGCCATCACCACCGTATCGTTGATTATCTACGCCCAAACGAGGGCATCTCGCCGAGAGAAAAAGAGAGCCTTTCGCTAATCACGACAAAATGCGCTTTTTGTCTCTTTTTTCTTTCTTTTTTTGCCTTTGAGTCTCGACTCTCTCGAGAACCGAGGGGCATACAAACGGTGATGAAATTTTCATCTCGTGAGCTTTTGATTCTCTAAGGGTAGTAAGCATCTTCCCAACTACACACGCTCCGGCCTCGCTTCGCTGTCCAAAAAGCAACTGCTGGGCTGTCATTTTCCTTGTGGTTGATCTACCTAGGGTGCCACGATTAGTGATTTGCAGCTTACTGACTGACTGCTTCCCCGTAGCTGGTCGACTCCGGACTGTCAGGTGGTCGACTTCGTGGTCGGTCCTTGCTTCAAACCCAGTCTAGTATACCGAGGAACATGCCCCAAGCCTCTGCATATTCTGCGGCGTGGGAGCTTGTCGATCAGTCAACTGTAGGGACTGTCTGTTGAGATGACATATCTGTTGATCGTTCTAAAGAAAGAAGACTTTGGGAATTTTCGCAATCAGGGTGCCAAGTGGAAAAGTCAACGTCGGATTCTTGTTGACAGCCGTCGTTGAATCGTCTCGTGGCCAAATAAATACACGAGGGGTATTAACTACCGGATTGATTCTGTCATGTGGCCGAAAGCTGAGGCGGTGGCTTTTCGACGGGTGAGCCAGACCTTGACACTGTTTGTTCCTTGTTACCCGAGCTGGAAAAGCAAATCGAGTTAGGTTGGACATGGAAGTAGAGTAATTAAGAGACGGTTTTTCTACAGCAAGTAGCCCACCCGCTAATTACTTATTAGAGGCCACCAACCTTTGAATTACTTGTTAGAGACGTCGGAAATAATGCCTTGCAACGGGCAGCCGGGCTTAGGCCCTCCACTTTTTTGCAACCACTTCTCTCGCACCAGCGGACATCACTGATGAGTCACCTTTACATGGGAACTTTTGCTCTAAATTTGCCATGACGGCGACTTGCCATTTTCGTTTCGATATATACTGGGGTGGGAAGTGGGAACTTGGAAGTAATGTCATCTATCAGGCCAGCAGCCATAGCCATACCTCCTCCACCCCCCCCCCCCCCCCCACTCGCCAATAAATTCCCTCCCCTCTCCCGAGCTACGAAGACCTTGAACACACCTCGGCCCTCTCCAGCGCGTCCATTGACCATGTGCCCAGCGAGAAAGAGCCCGCCCTGGCTTCAATCCCCAATTCGGTCGGGCAAATGAGGTTGCCGTCGCCGCAGAGGGTGTGGGAGAAGTTGAAGGTGAGCTCGCCCTCGGACACGTCGTTGTTCTGGAACGGCACGCTCCCGCACTGAGAGCTGCCCAGGCAGTTGATTCCCAGGGCGTCGACTCCAGCAAGGCTGAGAATAGTGACCCAGAGACCCAGTTGCGAGAATCTGGCGAACATTATCGCTGTTGTTGTTGTTGTTGTTGTTGTTGTTGTTGTTGTTGTTGTTGTTGTTGTTGTAGCTGGAGATGAGGCTTGATGTGTGTGAGGTGTGTGTGCTCGATTTCTAGTCGTCCCTATCATGCGAATCGGCCTACCTTTTATATTCGACGAGAGAGGATTATCATCGGCCTCGACCCTGTCTTGTGTCTTAACCGCCTTGTAGAGTTGTGATGTGCTTCAGAGACCTCTATGCCTAGCTGCCTTGAGTTTTCCAAACAAGGCAACACTGCCCAGATCGTACGGCATGAGAGCTCAATAGGTGGATTTGATTGTTTTCTGGGGCGCCGGGGACAACAACCAAATCCTCGCCGCTTCGCTCACCCATTCGAGTCTAGAGATGACTAGAGCGGCCTCTCATTCCCAAGTGCCCACGACTCTGGCGGGCATCTACGATCACAGGGGTCAAAATAATGCAAATAACTAGAGCAGATCTAACTAAAACAACTCAAATACTAGCCCTTGTTTGTATTTGTTTGCATTGTTTTTGATCCCTGTCTGCAAAACACACCGAGGGACCACAGTCACCCGACTACTGTACCCTTCGAGTTTTTGCCGGATATACGGACGCCTTCCTCATGGGGGAAGCAAATCAAGTAATCCAAAAGAATGAGAGTTTGATGACATGAACGTCGGCCGACAACACACCTTCACACAAGGCCGATTACCCGCCCAGTGGTTACGCAAAGCCTGCAGAGCACCTATCTACTGCCTAAATACACATAGATTTCCATCACTGATGGGACGTGGCGCATATGCTTGAGACGTAATTGAAGGTGAGCTGGCCTTGGGCGACATTGTGACTCCACAGCGGTGCGCTCCTGCAGGTGCTGCGTCCGTGGTTGATAATGGCGTGGGCGAGGCTCTTGATCTGGTTGGCGGTGAGCTGTGTCCCGGACGGCAGGTTCTGCGTAAAAGCGCAAAGACAGCCGTTGACGCAAGCAAGTTTGAGGCACTTGTGGGCGAAGGCGTCGTTGTTTTGGAGGGTGTTGAGAATAGCGGTGAGTTGCCAGGCTGACTGGCCGTTGCATTTGCTGCTGCCTTGCCAGTCGATGCCCAAAGCAATGACTGCAGAAGCGCCGGCGAGAATGGCGGTCCAGAGACCTGTGGGGAGCATCATTCTAGATGTGGTATTGGTATCGGTTTTATTGTTGGAGATGAAAATGGGTGTTTGTTGTGTTTGATGTGCTCGATATTATCCTGTCGTCTTTTGTGACTATGCGAACCAGTCGTCCATTTATACCCAGCCAAAGACATGCCACTGGCCGCGGGCCTGTTAGATGTCTCCCGCCCCGTAACCACCTCGCGATAGACTCGCTTCAGGGACCACCCGTGCCTGGCACCTTAGCTCGCCTGTAGTCGAGGAAAAGTGTGCCGCTCAAGGCATGAAGGCCTCAACTAGACATGTAATAAGGTAGGATTAGGATGCTAGCTCCGGCCAGCTTGGCCTGCCAAGCCGCGACAACAAAAGACTCGCTGCTTCGTTTTCCCAAAAAGCAGAGGGGCCCGTGAGCCTGAGCTGAGAACACACGGCGCAGGCGCACATCTACGAACATAATCTTGGTACGACAAGCAGTTTCCTCGTCAGATCTTTTTGTCGACATACCTTCCTTTCTCACGAGTCTACAAGAGCTATAACCAGACTGGGGACTCGCAATTGATTATATTACATGGATGCGACATGGTTAATCTCCGCCAGCCGGCCGACAACAAAACACACAACCGTCGTATGATTATACCTCGGTAACGGTGCAGCAAATTCCTGGCAAGCCTGCGCGCAAAGTATTTAGGTTCATGCCTGAAGATCGATCGTGGGCACCATCTGTCTCTTTCGTGAGGGCGTGCTCTTTTCCTTGTCCGGCGTCCGCCAGCACGACAACCTAGTCACACAGGTATATACCTAGGTAGATATTCAACGCAGCAAGTGAGCACCCCCCACACGCCGAAGCGAGATACGGGCGCACCAATGCAATTGGGGAGCGAACGGACTTGATATCCAACCTTGATCATGCTAGGTTGACCTTTAATTTGCCACTGCATCTCTCGAGACCAATACCCCTGCATCTGTGCATTGGTAGGTCCAAAACCCAAAGGCTATGTTGACCCCCCCCGAACGAGAGACGGATGTTGCCAAGAGAGAGAGCAGAGTTTTAATGCTCACCGAGATTCTTATTGCTCGACCGGTGTCTCTCTCTGGCCCCCGTCGTACCCCCGTGCCCCCCGGGGCAAATGTATAGGTCCTGGCTGCCAAGAGACGCAGCGGGCTAATTACTTCACAGCATCCAAAATGTAGAACGCTTCCGTGTGTTGTTGTGATGACTTACCCGTTTAGGAAAAGGAAAGAAAAGAAAATCGCCTCTAGGAAGTTTTGTACCCAAGGTGGGAAGGCGGTTGCCTCAGGGCCGGTAACTCCGGCCATCGGCCCTGTTTGTTTCATGCCTCTCGAACCGTAACGGCAAGCTTTTATCTTTGATTGGCAGCCATGCTATGTACTGAATAAGGCAATCATCATTGACTATCAGACGTATAACTAGGCATTGTGACTAAATAGCTCCCCAGTAGTCTGCGGATGACTAGATTAATGATGGCTGGAGTTATTTCTGACTATGAACCGTTGAAAGGGCGAGGCGACGTGCCATTTTGATTCCAAGATGCTGGGAAGTAATTCAATTAGTTCCACTCCGGTACTCCAAACCTTGCTAATATTGACGCCAGTTCAAATCTTTACGCTCCATAATTATTTCAGTTTGATTGCCAACCAAAAGTGTATCTCTAGTCTCTATAATGTATGGCAGGAGGTACGTTGAGTTAAGGTAGTAGTAGGGCAGGTACCTTGGTCACTGCCACATTCCCGGAACCTAGGTAGCTGTAAGATATTCCAATATCGGCATCTCCTTAAACTAGCGTTACATTTGATACCGCTAGCACAAGCTAACCGTTCATTTGTGATTCTTTTCACAGCAAATGGCATCCTTGTCTAATTTCAAGAACTCTAACTACGAAGCGACCTTCTAGGGCCACACCTCGACCTTCTCCCACTCGCCAATGACCTCGCCGCCGGGCAGCGCAGGCTTAGGTTTGTGCGACGCGCCACCGCGGTACACGTAGAGCCAGCGCCGCGCGCGTTTCGGGTCCGACAGGTCGGCCTGGTCGACCTCGGTGGGCACGATGACGACGACGCGGAAGTTCGCGCGGGCCACGGGGTCGTCGAGGTCGTCGACCGTCTGGCCCAGCCCGAGCCCGGGGCCTACGGGGGTCGCGGGGTCCGTGACGGGCGTGCCGGGCGGCGGGTTCCGGAACGAGCCGCGCATGACTGAGCTCAGATTGCCAAAGTGCGCCGTGACCTCGCGGCTCCAGCTCCATCCATTATCCTCGGCATTGTCTTTGGAGCGCATCCGTCCGCGCAGCACCTCGCGCGCTGCCCGCGCGCCGTCGCCGTTGCCGTCAATATCCGGGCCCAGCAGCCACGCGGTGCCGCGCACGCGCCACTGCGTGGCCGGCTCCTCGGCCCACCACACCGCCTCCACCTGGCCGCCGCCGCTGCCGCCGCCGCCGCCATCCAGAAGAATCTCGCCGACCTTGTCCATGCGCGCGTCCGTCGTCAGCACCGGCAGCTCCGACTCGAATACGGCGGGGTTGCGCTGCGCGGGGTTGCGGTCGTTGGCTGGCAGGCTGCCGAACAGGCCGCGGAAGACGCATGTGCGCACGCGCGGAGTGGCTTCTGCTGCTGTGCTGCTATCGCCGGAGCTGCTGGTGGCTGGGGTGTGGTGGAGCGTGGCCAGCGAAAAGGTCGCGACGGGCATCGTGGCGAGGTGCTTCACGAAGAGATCCCGCCAGGGAGCCGCCGTTGGGTCGTGTGAGGCATTACTAGCAGCGGCCATGGTGCTGAGGCTTGCAATCGTTTTGGCTGAGAATGAGCGGGAAATAAATGTCGGTGGCTGTGGTGATGATGACGACGGCGAGTAGTAGGAGGACCCTGGATCTAGCGGTCGCAATCGAGTTTTGTGAATCTGCTGCCTTGCTGTGAGCGAATTGCATGTGATGGCCCTGCGTGCCATGCATTCAATCAATAGCACCTGGGAAATAGTATGAGCTAAGCAAAGCTACCTATGTGACCATTTAATAGATGATGATGAGACGAAATATGTCAAAGTAAGCAGTGGGACTCGGTGGCATGATCTCATCATCGCATGCGGGGCTAGTTGAGTCTAAATACGGAGAAGAATAAGGGAATAAGGAACTAGATTCATAGCGCGAGGCGACCTTGCGTAATTCACTCACATACTTATTCTAAAGAGAAATCTCATCCTTCTTTCACCGAATCAACCTACCCAAAATTCGTAAGGCATAGTCCATTTCGGTTTCCTTCAATAAAATTTTTTTTCAGGTCACCACAAGAACTCAAAGTCGCACTCCTTCATGGGGAGGAGTGAAAATAACAACTGGCATTTGCTGACCCTACCAATTCCCTAGCTTACTGTAGGAATCACCAGGGTACCGGTACTGGAAACAGCATGGCGCGCTGCGCGCCGTAAGGTGGTGGTTCAAGTGATGGATTCGTTTGTGTCTGTCTCCTTATCTATCTGAATAGGTGGGCGTAGGCCAATATATATGCATCTGTCAGGCCCGCTCCTCCACAGACGTTGCTGTGGCCAGGAATGCGGAGCCGCATTCCTTGGATCAGCGCGTCATTCCAGTATGTTATTCCAACACTTACTTACCTGGTTATATTACTTGAGGAGAAAAAGAAACCCTCCTCAACAACAGCAAGAAAAGATCGCTCGGTCTATGAACCGATTTAATAGGCCCGACATGAAACACAAACACCCTCGCTGGATTTCAGCAAACAAGCAGACCGGCAAAAATGCTCAGTAGATATTCAAAGCCACTATAGCAAAAACTCGCTCAACACCTGCACTCTTGTCCGCGCCGTTTGGGAGCCCTGCTCGCCCTCGCTCATCATCTGCATGATCTGGATCATACGATCTAACACAGCCGCGTTAACATCAATCCTCTGGCATTAAAGGAGTGGAATAATAAAAAAATGCTCACGAATGTCGGCTCTCGCCCGGACAAACAGCGGATCCTTGGACAGATTCTCCTCGCCCCCGGGGTCCTTCACGGCCTCGCGTAGCACGTTTCCAATACACAGCGCCTCGAGGAATGCGCGGTGGTTGAACACCCACCAGACACGGGCCTCGGCCTCGAACAGGTTGAACAGCACAAAGAAGGCCGTGATGGCGTGGTGCGCCGCCTCGAGGGCCCCGCGGACATTGACGGGCACGTCGGGGCTTTCTGAGGCATGCACGAGCATTAGGTTGTGGAAGTAATTGCTGCTCAGAAACAGCGTCTGGCGCACGATCCGCTTGTTGCTCTGGGCCAGCTGCGACAGCGCCTCGGGGTCCCACGACCGGAACACGTCGGGGAAGGACCGGTACACGGCGCGGAAGTCGGCAATCAGCTTCGACTTGTGCCGCGCCGTCGTGCAGATGGGCACGTCGAGCGACCGGGGGCTGCAGATTGTCTCCTGAACCAGGTTCGCCAGTGTCCAGGACCCCCGGACATAGGCAGTGTCTGTCGGGTCGTCACTGGCAATCGACGAGTTGTCCGCGATCAGGTCATCGACGCTGACGTCCGTGTGCGTTGCGCTGGGCGGCAGCGACAGTAGAACAGTCAAAAACGTGTCTTGCAGTAAGACGGCTTGCCACAGCTTCCTTCTCTGCTGTTTCTCGAAGAAAGGTGCGTCCGGGGCCACTGAGGTACATGGTTAGATCAACAGCACAAAAGGCCGGATCGAGAATGGGCAGGGTTAACATACCGATGTTGGGATCTCGGTGCAACCCCATTGCGTAGGCCTGCCGAATCAAGATTCCGGCGAAAGCCCACCCGTCCGAGGCATGGTTGTCGTTGATGAGGAAGTACGTGATGAGAACCATGGCTTGGATGGACCTGATGGAGGCAGAGCTCAGGTAGGAGCTCATGCGGAGGGCTTGGTTGCTAGCAGAAGCATAGAACTCGGCCGTCTGCTTCCTCTCGGGCGGCGACGTCGACGTCACGAACTGGGTGCCCAGCGCCAGCATGACGAAGATAAGTGCCACAAAGGATGCATCGCTGCGGTCTTTGTCAGACTTGGGCAGCGACCAGAGGTGCTCGTAGTCGGCGTAGAAGGTCTGCTGGTGCAGCATGGGATACACGGGATCGACGCATTCAAAGTAGCGGCCTAGCAATATGTCGGCTTGCAGCTTGTCAGGGAGCACGGATATGACTTCGGGCAGACCGCCCTCGCACGTCCAGTAGTTAGCGAAAGGATGCTCGGATCCAATGCCAAACACATTTGACGACCCCGGCGACGAGTAGGGGACGTTGGAAAGAAGGCCCGTGGAGGTGGCGACCGAGCCCAGCGAGTTGATGCGGCCCGTGTTGAACCCCCGATCAGCTGCATTGGGAATGGTAGACTTGGGGCTGCCCAGCCTTTTCTTGGGCGCCTTGGTCATGCGGCGGCCATTTGCCGCACTGCGAGTTGTTTCCCTGGCACTGAAATGAGCACATATCGTCTTACATTTGATCAGGGAAAGGGGGGGACTGACTCGAGCAGGTTGGCGACATGGGCATATTTGCACTCGGTCTGGCGCTTGATGCCTAACATGATAGATTTTAGAAGGGGGGCCGGCGGGGAGGATACGGTGAACTGCCAGTGTGCGGCTTACACGCAAGGCAATGTGGTCGTCCTCGATCGCACTGGCACTGGTTGTCAGCATTCTCTGTCTTGCACCTCGGCGACAACCCCTAAAGCTCAGGAGAAGTCGGTAGCGTGATAGATAAAGGCTCCATGCAAAGTACTCAGTCCCTCGGCGTATGATGCGCTACATTAGGTTGCGTCCAGTGCTATGGGCGAAATAAAAGGCAAGATGCGGAGAAGAGAAATGTGATCAGAAAATAAGTGAAACAAAATGTCAGACAGCGGATTGTAGCATTCGGATATTATTAGAGTTGACGCTGTGCGACTAAGCTCATGATATGCATCGATTAAAAGCCGGTGGGGAGCTTTCCATAAGCATGGTCGGGTGGACGTAGTGAGTGAGCGCACTTGCACACCTCGGCAATGAGGCGGGGGACGAGTCACTATAACAGTCTAAACGGAGGCTGAAGCCGCCAGGTCCGACGTGCTAATGCACTGCTCCGTAGGTATGTTGGAGAAAGGATAAAAAAAAAACTTTTTTTTTTAAAAAAAAAAAAAAAAAAAAAAAGAAAAAGAATAAAAAAAACCTGCCTTTGTTTTCCTCTCGACGCATTCAAAGCACGACAGCGTCGGCTTGTTTCGCTTTTGTCGCTTCTTGGACGGTTCGGCCGGCGGGGACGCGGTGCCGCTGTCGGCATCGTCGTCGCCTCCCCCGGGTGTGCCAAGCCCAATGCCAAGAATGTCAATGCTTCCGCTGCCATTGCTCTGGCTGCGCCGATGGTGGCCGTCCACTGTCGTAGTGGAAATATTAGTCAATTGCATGCCGCCGCCCGGTACCTGGCGATCGTCTCTGTTATTTCGCCTCCTGACGCGCCTTGCGGCCGTGTCCAACACTGCCGGTGCTGCTGCTGCTGCTGCTGCTGCTGCTGCTGCTGCATCTATGCTGGCGTTGGACAGCTGGCGGTAGTGATTGTGGTTGAGGCTGTGGTTGCGGATGTGGTGATGTGGATGGTGGTGGGCGAAAACAGCAGCGGCGAGACCACCTGGAGCTGCTGCCGAGGCGGCAGACACGAAGATGGTGGGATTCTGCGCCAGCAGCACCGACTGGCCCAGCGGCCTCTCAATTGCATCGACAGTGGACATCCGGCCGGCCGGGCTGGGATATACGTACTAGCAGATGGCACCCGACCTCCCGTCAAATGGTCAACCTAGAGCGGACAGGAGCGGCGAGATGGTGGTGGTGCTGCCAAGCAAAAACCGACGGCTGCGGCTCCGGTACCCCAGCTTCCAGACGAAAGTCCGCGTGGAAACAGGAAGCGAGGGATGCTTTGACAGTCCGGGAATAAGGCGCCGGCCAAAATGCACGTCTCACCGCGCGGCTCATGAGAGGTGCCAAGAACTTGGGGAAAGAGACAGCGTTTGCGCGAGGCAAACCCGGCGGCCAAGAGGCGCTGGAAATAAAAAATAATGGGAGAGAAGACGAGGTGAGGGGGATTGCCTGCGCCCTTTTGGCGTGGGAATAAGAAATGCCCCAAATTCAAGGATCATTAGGGATTCCCAGTTTTCCTGGCTCCCCCCCTCCACTCCCCCCCAATCGCCCACAAGTTCGAGGGGGCAAGTATCCACGGTAGTGTATGTGCGTGCGGGCGGGCAACAAGTTAAAGAAGGGCGCGCAACCGGGCCGCTAGGGGACGGGACCTAGCGCATCATCTCCAAAGGTACAATACTGTACGGATACATACTTGCATACACGTCCCTAGCAGTAAGGGAAGGTAGTACTACATCCACACATGTGGATAGGGGCAATACACACAGAACCTCAAGTCGACCGCCTCTGGTTCGTTGCATACCGTATAGCTGATTACAGACAGCGCCAGAAAAACGAGAAAAAGGGCCGCCTATCGCGTCATTTCGGAAACTGCAGTGAATACAATCACCTCCTCGCCAGCAGTCCCCGGTCAACTTTCTTCCTGTTGGAGACGGGAGTTCGGGATTGGAATCGACGCCTTCAACCTCGTCCTGGGAACGGGGCTTGTCCGGGGCCCATCTCTTGTTACTGCACAGCCGATGATGTGAGCCCGAAAGAGGCGTCAACCCTGGCCTCTGCCGCACTTTTGAACGGCATGGACAGCCAGGCCGGTCCGCGAGAGGCACCTCATGGCGAAGACAGCCCTCGCTCGCTAAATACTTCGTGAGCTGGTTAGGTAGTCTAAGCGGTCAGGCCGCCCCCAATACGAGATCCGATAATGGCCTCGCGCAGCTGCACAAAAATACTGTACTGTCCTTGTGCTGGAACCAAACGACGTAAACCGGAACCAAAAGCTCCCAGGTGGCGGCGCCAACGCGGGGAAACCACTCGCATCCGCGCCAATTCGGCATCTTTTCCCGGACGAGAAGCGCAAGCATGGAGCGAAAATGCTCCGTACCTTGAAGAAAATCTAGGGTTCACTAATCGTGCGGGGCCAGTAATATCTGATCCCAGGTTGGATGAGCCCAGGTTGGATGAGGATGAGATTCGTATGCTGTCAGTCTAGTTGGGTTCAGTCCCCGAATCCACATAAGCTCCTAGGATTTAGGAATCCGTCCGGCAGGCCATCCAACTCTTGGTGCGGCGGCGCCCCAAAATCCAGAAATCTTTCCTTCTGCCAAGCCTTACCGAGCGAATGGATCAAATGCCATGTCGTACCGACAGCCCATAGGTTCCTAGTTTAGCGGCCCGAACCGAGCCGAGTCGTCATCAGAGTTCAGAACCGTGGAGGCCACGTCTAATTTGTCTTGGGGATGCTTCGCTTTTCTTTTAGGGGATGCCCTCCCCCCCGGTTTCAAATGCAATTTGACGCTACGGCTAGGACGGCAGCGGCGGCGTCTCCTCAGCCGAATACAAACTCTGCGTAATTTTTCCGTATCCTCTCCACGCCCTCGAGCAGAGTCCACCTCTTGACGTTGCAAACCCTCAGGTACATCTGCTCGAGGGAGTGGTCCATCACATCTCCAGCAGTGTGCAAATCGCTCTCGATAAGCAGCTGGTCGTCTGGACAAGCCCGAACGACGTCGGCAAACTTGCTCTCTGCCCCCGGAGTAAAAAGATTGACACCCATAGAGAAAGAAAAGAACACCCGGGCCGGGATTGCCGGGTTCAAATACTGGCTCAGCATCTGTGCCGCTCCGCTAAAGGAATGCAGGCATATCCGTGGCGGGAAAGGCTTTGGCTGGTAGGGCTTTCTTGCCGCCGCACTCGTGGTTCTGGGAGCCTCAGCCGCGTAGTCGAACTCGTCATCGTCTTCCTCGCTTGACGAGAAGTCTTCAGCACCAGCTGCAACCAGCTTCTGCTTTCGTTTCGAAATGACCTCCTTTTCGTGTCCCTTCCACAGCGACGCGAGGACGTCAAACAGCACCCCATGCGCTTGAACCCCATGAACACTAACCGGGCGCCCTAGCTCGCCAGCTAGTCGTAGCTGGGCTTTCAGTATCCGCACTTGATGCGTCATCTCGACATGATATGGACTCAGGGTGCGTCCCTCTCTCCCACCCGGCGTCGCACTTTCGTCGCGGCTCGATGGCTGTGACACGTCCCACCCCCAAGGGAGGCGGAACGCCTTGTCTAGCCCGACCTCGCCTATGAGAGCAACAGGTTCGGCGAGCAGACGGCGCCGTGTTTCGGCGATAAAATCACCCAATGACAGTGGGTCTGGCAAGGACGCAATGAAATCCGGATCCGGCGACGGGGATAGGACCGCCGTGTAATGCTTGGATTTCTGCAGCCCTGTAGGCTCGGACGGGTCATATGTGGTATCATCGCCGCCATGGTCTTCATAGAGCTGGTGCGAGAACCACGGATGCCATCCAAAGGCGGGCACCACCTTTTCCAAGCTCTGGATGTCTAGCACATTTCGGTTCTTGACGGCGTGGTTCGCTGCGACGGAGGCCACGAGTTCTTGGTCCTGAGAGCGTGTGGCCATTATTGTCAAGACCCGGGCTCGCATGTCGCCTATGCTAGCTATCGAGGCCATGGTGTCGGTAGGGTGGCAATGCGCATCGCAGACGCCGGCCTGCCAAGGGAAGTCATCCGAGAATTCCAGAGGAGGCTCGTTCTCGGTGGCGGCTCCGTGCGGCGGTGTTTGGCCACCGGTCGGGGGACACATGATTTAGCTCGAGTGACAGCCACACGCACCTTTAGGCACTGCTTGAAGACGGTCCGCACTCGAAGCGTAATAAGCCTTTCTCTTTTTTTCCTGTCGGTCAACCAAGGATCCGATCCGGACTAGGACAAAACAAGGGATACGAGCTAGCCTAGCGCGCAAATGCCGCGTTTGCTGTCAGCGGGGAAATAATCCGCAGGATCTCCCTTAGAACAATGTTGCAAACCTCGAGACAAAGGAGGCCCTAGCTCAAGTTGTCGATCCTCTAGGCATGATGTCAGAAGCAACGAAAACTCTTCCGGTCTCCAAGAATAGGAACTGTAGTTAGCTAAGGTGTTTATGGATAGAGGCAAGGAAAGACCTTTCAGCTCTGAATGGCAATGCCAACCCCGCAGCTTGCCCCACCAAGCACAACCGCGGAGAACCAATGAGTCACTCTCTGAGGAAGGAGCTTCCATTGGGAACTGATGCAATTGGGCAGACGGCAGCCTGAACAACGAACAAGCCCAAGAACACTCACTTTCAATCCTCGACTACTTAAGTACAACCGATAGTCCAACACGTTGAGTAGCGCAACGTGCCGTGGCTCAAGATGGGGCGGCTTCCGGGGCTTCCATGCCAACCGACCGATTCAGGCACGTAGAGATACCTTACCTACCTAAGGATCCCCTAGCCGCCAACCAGACTGGAGGGACCTGGCTAGGAATAGCTAAACCCAATCTATCCGCTAAGCATACGTAAATGAGGTCGTTGAATTCCGTTAAACGATCTCGACTTTCTTGTACAGCGGTCAGCTGTGTGGGAAATTTGGACCAGAAGCTGAAAGGATGGAGTTCGCCATTGCAAGACTGCCTGCAAACAAGGCATCGGCAAATCGTAAAAGTCGGCCAGATAAGAACTGGACTGAGAATCACCAATATGATGATGGTGGAGGGGCAGGAGCGGGGCAAGAAAATCAAAAGTGAAAGGGCAACGAGAAAAAGTGGGCGGGGCGCCTTTCCCCAGCTTTTAAGCTCTGTTGAACCACCCATGTCCTCCTATCACAGCCCAGCAAGCCAGCATCCCATGCTCTTTCTCTTTCACATGCCACGCAGGCAACGGCCTTCCCACGCAAAACCCACGGTTTGTCCCGGCCTTTGTTCGCCCTCGATAGCGCAGAGCTAGACCGGCACTGAACCGTTTTTGCGCCGAACTCTACTACTTGGTATATGTAGAGCTCTTCCGAAAGAATGTCGGCTCGGATCGCCGCTTTCCCTTCCCCTGCTCCTACTTCGTTCCATCTAATGCTGCCCCCAAAACTTCGCACCTCTCGCAGCGCGTCGCCGAGCGAAAGAAAAGGAAGCTATCGGATCGACCATGTGACGTACTGAAGCCGTCTTCTATTTGGGAATCACCTCCATCTCATTCGGATCCCCTATCCATCCATCCACGGTGTGCCCGACGAGACCGATCCGCGCCAAGCCGGCGGTCGCGAACGACGACCATCTTGCAATGGCTCTCATTAACCCCGTTCACGGCCTCGTAGTGCCGTTCCTCTGCATGTTCACCATCCCGCTCGCCATATTCGCGGGCATCACGACGGCTTTGGCGTTTTCGGTTCTCATGTTTCGTGTCGCTGTCGTCTATCTCGACATCGCCCTGACGCTTATTCCCCAGTATTTTGTGTCCCGCAGCAGACCCCGCATTCTTTCATCCAGTGCCGTTTCCGGCACGGGCAACCACGAGCATCAGCACAGCTATTCGCGAGACGGTCGCCGTACAGCGGTATCGCCCCCTGGCAGCGTCGGCAGCGGAAGCGGATATAGCACGCCGTCCCCGGTATCGCCGTTTCCGTCTAGCACCAGCCAGCTGCATCAACAGCACCACTTGGGCCTGGGCGGCCACCGTAGCCCCAACCACCGCCGCAAGAGCAGCTATGGCTTCGGCGCTGCCATGCGAGCACGTTCCCGCCACTCTAGTCAAGTGAGCCTGGCGTCCATCGGAACCATCACGCCCATCCACGAAGACGAGGTAACACCCCTCATCACCGAGTCTGGCCTGACGCCGTCGGTTGGCATGGACCGTGATTTCGAAGGCATCGGCGGCTGGCGGCTGGACGACGACGGTGACGACGCCAACTGGGCCAACATCAACTCCAGGCTTGAACTGCCCCTCGAGCGGTCTTCGACTCGGCGATCGCAGAGCGCCGGCCCTGTCACGCCGGGCGAGGGGACATGGCTGATGATGAAAGGGACACATCAAGACAGCCAGGAGGATAAGGACTGGGAACGACACTTTCATCACAGCCCCGGCAAAGGGCTGACGCCTCCGAACAGCAGCCGCCTCAGAAGCATGCAAATGCCTGCGGCGTTGACAACACTGACCAAGGAGCATACTTCACTCCCGATCTGATGTCGCCGAGGGCAACCAAAAAGCTATCAGCTTGAGATGAACATGGCATGCATCATGCTCCTGCATCATGTCGACACGTTCTCGGAGAGAAAGCGGCGCTGGCGCCACAGAGACAATATAGATACTGGAACATTTTTGCCCGTTCCCCTTTTTGTAACATGGCGTTGGCTTCACACAGGGTCGCTTCTTGGGCGCGGCCTCTTTAAAAGGCATTTGGACCTGGCAACTTGGAAAAGCCCGTAATCCAAGTGTAATATAATCCAGACCTCGCTGTCGCTGGCATCCGGGAAATGGCGCGCCGCTCACGCGGCCCAGCGCGCTCGCAGCATAAATAGAGCTTTACCTCGCGACGTTCTTCTCTTAAACCCTTCATCTTATCTCCCTCCTTCCTTCGCTTGCTATCCCGCCCCCTACAGTCCGATTGGAACTCTGCATTTGACGACAGCAACGTGTTCCAAGTCAAAAGCTCAATCGCGATGCTGTTTAAACACCCGCCTGGCTGGATGGAGCAGCTGGCATGAATAAGTGGTTAACGGAAACAATTGATACACAAGTTAAATCTTTCTATATTCCGTACAGGTGCGTAGTAATACAAAGTTGGGAAGACCCAACCCATCCGCAGCCTTGATAAGATTCTACCACCACCCTCCTACGCAACTTCACCCTCCTACATAACTTAGAGCGCGGGCCATAGGATTCTCTCGAGGGGTAAACGGTACGCTCGAGACAGCCTCAACATGCTACACGTCCGCCGGGGTGTGGGATGCTAGCATGGGGAATTCGTAAGGGGCGAGGTGTTATCATCTAGTTTGACCGGCATTGAGAGGCCGCGAAAGGGCTTCGAAGGAGGATAGAATTTTGGCAATAACGTTGGCGGGTCATCACTTCGGCCATCTTCTACAGAGTTGTGCTCTGCAGCAACTCTGTAAAGCCCGCTCTCAGAGCGACCTGCACCCCATCGGACGGTTTGCCTTTGCCAAACGTTTCGCATAGCTCCATGTAGAGGAACTCGTCGCCGTAAGTACAAGGTACTCTGTCAACCTTGGCTATCTCGTTGACAATTTTCCTCAGAATGTTTCCGCTGCCCATCGGGCTTGTGGGCGCGATACGAAGGTTCTCAGTTATGAGTGTAGCGCTTGTGTAAAATGTGTGGTGGCCTTTGTCCACCTTGTTCTCGACAAGGGCATCACGGATGGCTGCTTGATAGATGCGGCGGTAACGGACCAGCGTCTGAGGCGTATCCTCTGGGATTTTGAGATTATACGGCTGTCTGGAGTCGCACCCGTACATACCTGGATCCCAGTCTCGAGTCAGCCAGTCGGGGTAGCTGAGGTTGCCTAGTGACTTAAGCCAGGCGCCAACGCCGTCCCAGTCGATAATACCAGCGAGGTTTCCGTGCTCGTCAACAAGAAATTTCTAGAAGCCGAAGTCGGGATGAGTCAGGACAAAGGACTGGCGATCGGCAGCGAAAAATTCGTCCATACAGCCGATGAAGAACTTCAGAAGTCGCTTTTGGCCATGCAGGAAACCCGGGTCAGGCTTGTAGCTGTCGAGCGCAGTGGTATAAAAATGCTTAGCTCCCGTGTATGGGCCACTAGAGAAGTAGGCAGGCATGTAGTTATCATTTCGCAGGCGCGCATCACATTCGACAGAGTCCCGCTCACGGGAGGGACCAACCTGCTTCACTTCACCTAGTATCAAACAGTAATCGGCCGCCCATTTGGTACGAGAACTTGCTCAACTGAACCATTGCTGACGCCACGGCCTTGAGCACGTGAGTTCGGTGGCGGCGGCGATCTTCTTCCGGGGTCTCGGCATGCCAGAAGTTGTACAAAGGGATGCCAGCGATGAACGAGAGCCAGATGTGCGGGTAACCGAGGGGGTTCCTTCTAATTTTGCTGAATTCGAAGACATGGGGGACGGGGATGGAGGTGCGACGCCGAAGAAGCTGCATTATCCGAACTTCTGATTCCAGTTCGTCGGCGCAAAGGGGGTCCCAGTGACTGATTGTCCCGTTGATGGAGATTTTGAGAAGCCATATTGTTATCCCTCTACCGCTGACGGTGAAATAAACTTCGAATAGGATATTGTAGGACCCATGATGTAGCGCGCCAACAACGGGTGAGTGAAGCAGATCATGTTCGGGATGTGTGTTGTTCCAGGTCTTTGCGGCCTCTCCGGGAATTACATCCTATCGAACGACGGCGAGGATCGGGCGAAAGGGCGCCAGCTCGTCCTCGGTGTCGGAGTAATTCGCAGCCATAATGGAATGCTGGCTGTGCAAAGCACAAAAGCGTAGAAGCGAGATGTTCTTGAGGATTAGATGCCGCGAGCGGAAACGCAGTAAAGAAAATTGGGAGGGTGAGAAATGCAAGCAGAGAACTTGTCTATTGTGTAACGGTGAGCCGTTTCGCCAGCAGACAAAACAGATACCTGTTGCCTGGTACTCTGAGCAACAGCAACTATAACTAACCCCACAACATATTGCGTAATGTTGGCAAAGGCGTCTTGGGTCACGTATTGTTTGCAAGAAAGAGGCTGGAACAACGGCGGAATTGATGTAGGTATATAGCAACCGGAGCCCAAAGCTTATCCGTAGTTCAATGGCAACTATTCCGAATGAAGGCGACAGATGCATCATGACGTTCATCCTGTTAAAATTGGCCCGACCTGCGGATATAAAAAGGCGATTTCCCCTATTCAAAAATCGCGCCAAGTCAAGGGACGAACGAAACAACTATCCTTACCTGTTACGTATAACACTTCTCACGGGTCTGTATACACATGGCACTTTGCAAGAGAGTGGTGCACTCGGTGTTGAAGCGGCCGAAAGTGGCAGCATGCGCAAGCCAAATTCGGCGGCCAGAACACCGCATTCTCGGTTCACGGAGTAACGTTAGCGTCACTAGATATGCTAGGTATACGTAGCTGAGTTCATAGCCCAGTCTCAAAAAAAGAGTAAGATGTACAATTTGAGGCACCCCTAATCCGAAAGCTATCCTATTTCCAAATGACGAAGGGAATAAAGCAATGGTATATGCGCAAAGAACCTGAACGCCGCCCAGCCACCTCAACCATTTTCCCTTTAAGCAAAACCGTGCGTAAGATAGTCGTCGCCACACATGCAATCCCCGCCATTCCATCACAGCGTCTGCCAAAAGTAGTTGGCATAAAAGAAGCGCGAGAACTTGCGGTCGATGTTGATGACGTGCACGTCGCCCTTGCGGTCGTTGCGCACGACGGCGCGGGTGAACTCGCCGCCCGTGCTGCCATCCTTGCCGCCGCCCATGCCGTCGCGCTCAATCTCGATGCCCAAGCTGCGGTAGACCTTGAGACGCAGGAGCACCTCGTCCTCGACGCTCCCCGACGAAGTCGACGTCGAAGACGAAGAGGTCCCGCCGTCGACGCCCTGCAGCTCTAGCTCCTGCAGGCGGGCGGCTAGGTCGGCGGCCTGGGCCTGCAGGCGCTCCGTCTCCATCTCGAGGTCGGACGCGGCCTTCGCGATGCGGAACTTTTGCGTATCAAGCCGCGCAATCTCGCTCGCGTGCGCCGCCGACGAGTGCGTCCCTGTCAGCTCTCCGTGCTGCGACTGCAGCGTGTGCAGCGTGCGCGCCAGCCGCTTCAGCGAGCCCTCGGCGTCGCGTAGCCGTAGGTCCCGCGCCTGCTGCAGCGTCGACAGCGACTCGGCCACGCGCGCCACGGCGATGCGGTCCGGCGCGATGTTGAAGTTGGCGATCGTGTGCTTTATCAGCTGTGAAGAGGGGCGCGGTCAGTATGGCGAGGACGGAAATAACTAAAACCCTAGTGCCCGGGGGGGGTAGGGTGTAGCTGTCGTACCGTGGATGGGTCTTCTTCGAGAAGCATCTTGACGGTAGTTTGAAGAGAAGTTTACATATATCGACGGATTTGAGGATTGGATGCGCCAATCGAGCTTCGCCTTTGGATTGTTTGGTACCAAACGATGCGACAGGATGCGATGCGAATTCGGTTTTTGCCGGTCTCTTGTAAAAAAGCGTGAAAATGGTTCGGATTATCGCTGTCGTACGCCGGAAGCAAGGAATTCGGTTTCGCGATTATCTATCTTCGATGCCTAATTGATGCAAGGTATAAATTGACGCCCTGCGACCGTGTCTGCGCCGTGATGGAATTGACGGCCAAAACATTCTGCCCGTCACCCCAGCGACAGTGCGGCTGGGTGCAGGTGGCAGGTGCAGGTGCGGGTGCGGGGCGAAATTTCCTTATCTTATCGGGCCTTGTTCCAGCGCCTGCCAGGGGTCGTCGTCATCGGTGGCACATGCTTGGAGAAACGAATGGCCTGAGCTTCATTCAGCCGTCACCACCACCACCAGCATCGCATCGTCACGCGCCTCCCCATAATACCCTACGAACTGCTATCACCGCGTCTAAAATAGTCGAAACCCTCGTCCACCATTCAGCGATACCTCGACCCCCGTAGCCCAGCGGAGAAACTACGCATCGCAGCTCAAAATGACAACACTTCCCCGTAGGTCCTCCAAAACAGAGTGTATCAAGCTGAGCACCCTTGCTAACTCCAAAGAACAGACGCAGTCGATGCGGACACGTGAGTGCCCCCCGCCTCCCGTCTCGTCGAACTTTTAACGAGGTTCTTGCTAACCAGTGAATTGAAACAACACAGGCCGCTAAGAGATGAAGAGCTGGATGTTTTGCGCGCCCAGTATGAGAAGGAGGGCGACATGGCGGGTGTGCAGACCAAGTTCAACTACGCATGGGTATGTCTCCATTCTCAATCACTCTCTTCCTGCGGACACGGTTTCCGTCACGTTTGACCTGCTTCGACGTTTCATCTGCGGCTGTTGACCGGCTCTGCCGCGCTGTTCTAGGGACTGGTGAAATCGAACACGCGCCCCGAACAGCACCTCGGCGTCATGCTGCTGTCCGAGATATTTCGGACGGCCCCTGAGCGGCGGCGCGAGTGCCTCTTCTACCTGGCGCTGGGGAACTACAAGCTCGGGAACTACGGCGAGGCGCGCCGATACAACGAGCTGCTCCTCGACAAGGAACCTACGAACCTCCAAGCACTAGACCTGCAGTCCCTGATCAACGACAAGGTCACCAAGGAAGGGCTCGTGGGCGTGGCTATCGTGAGCGGCATTGCGGTCGCGGCCGGAGTGATTGGCGGCCTTCTCCTGAGGAATCTGGGCCGGAAGCGGTGAATTTCTTTCCTCTCCACGATATTTCCGTCTCGTTGGGGAGCGATGCCGAAGCAACTGCTTTGAAGCGCAGCTCCCGCTTGATCTGGCGGGGATCTCTTAATTCGGCAGCCCGAAAAGGTTCACTCGGACAAGTAGGCGACTAATCGCCGACGGCTGTTGTATTTTTATCATGGCTTCGGGAGGCGTCGTTTATATTGATACTAATTTCCATTTCGTTACTGGATACAGAGAGCGAGACAAAAAAAAAGTAACAAAACTGAAGATCGGTCTCACAAGATGTTACGCACTTAGGCTAAACCAATGATTGTAAGTCTTAGGCAGATTGACACAGTCAACCTGTCAGGAGAGGCTTAGTGGCGGTGCCTATTCGGTGGCTGTGCGCGCTTCCCCCCAAATCCGAGGAACGCCTGCAGATGGTCACAAGAAGTTGTCAGTGAAACGCGTGACAGAGGTGAGCCTGCCCGAGATCTAGATTTCTAGTGCTAGGTGTAGCTCTAGGTCTCGGGAACAAACCACTTGATTCTCGTGTTCGTTGATGAGCATCGAAGGTCATCGCTGCCTTGGCTCAGTTTCTTTCGGCAACTTTCGATTCAAGATTGCCCATTCAACCTACCGATTCATCTAGATATATAAGACCTTCCTTTACGGTAAAGCAGGTGCCTACCTTATTTCTTATCGTGCGAGCTATCTTGGTGTCTAGTTCCAGTGGATATCTAAATTTCTGTCGATCGGCGGTCAAGACAACCTAGAGCAACAGATTGTATCTGGAGTTTGGCGCTGTACGTATGAAGATTACCTATTATACGCAACAACAAGGTGAACTAAAATAAGGCGTCTGCTCAACAAGATTGTACAGCCCTAATGGATAGGGATTTAACCTCAGGCTTTCAAGCATGAGAAGGGCGCGGCTTTCATAATAGGGCTGCGGGGTTGAACGTTAGTTGACAGCCCACTTGCCATGGGGGGCTTTGGGCACTGTCAAAACCTGGACCCATGTAGTTCTCAGTAAGGCACTTTTTACCGAAACGCTGTCACCCTCCCGCCACGATAATCAACTTAACTTGGCTACCTTACCTACGCCTAACAAGGCCATGTTACTTAACAAACGCCTTGCGAGCCTCGCCCCTCCTCAAACCTTCTAGGAACGTGCAGAACATCAACCAAGGAGAAGCGCTCGACGAAGGTTGTGTGGCGACATGCGACAGCGTGCGCAGCCTAAAACCGCACGCGAAGCCCATACAAAAAATAATGTAAAACTGCTGGGGAGCCACCTCGTCCTACCTTATTACCTGTGGATACCTTAATTACTAGCGTACTGCACACTAGAGCAAGCTTTCCCGGAGGTTAAGGGTCCCCCTCGCATCTCGACCCCGTCCCACTATCCACTATCTACTTCACCTCATTACCTCATCTGCTAGCCTTATAACTGACAGCGCCTTTCTGCGACTACAACCTACGACGGGAAGAGAAGGCACTACATAGGGCATCTACCCTGGCATCCTGAATTTCGGGTATCCATCTGCCTACCCCGCCGACATTAGGTACCGACTATAATCAGCCCTGCGACCGAGACTCGGGATTCGAGAACGGAACTCGATCGAAGCCCGCGGAGCTCGTCGGACCCGAAGACTTTGATCCGAGACAAGTCGGCCTCGCTTTTTTCTGGGGGTCAACCCGGCAGACTGGCTTTCCAAGCACTTCGAGCTGCCGGCCTTACTGCCGGCCTGGGACTTGCCGCCCTTTACCTTTACCGCGAGAGTCAGCAGCGGAGTCGACCGACGGTTATGGCATCGCCATTCAGCTCCCTCCAGGGCAACGGCCACTTGGACCCCGTCCCCGGCAGAGAGGTCGTCTATTGCCATGATTGCAACCACGAATGGTACCGTGCCGAGCGCGATCCACTCCAGTGTACGCGTTGCAGCAGCGACTTTACCGAAATCGTCAGTGTTGGCCATGTGCTTCCGCATGCACCCCCTTGCTGACAATACCACAGATCGAGCCTCATAGCGATCCTCGTGATATGGACGACTTTCCCTCGCCTCCCCCAGACTTTAGCAGGTTTGGCTTTGGCTTTCGCAACCCTCGTGCGGCATCCTACTCCGATCCCGATGAAGGCGATGTCGATGATTATTTGCAGTCCGGGCGGAGAGGTTTCTTCCCACGCCAACCATCGCGGTTCTCGCCGCCCGGACCCCGCGAGTCTAACGACCCATTACCGGACCATGGCGACGGAGATGCGACCATGCGGCGATTTGCCGACATGCTTAGGAACATGAACGACGGCGCTGCAAGAGGGCCGCCTCCCCCGCCATCGTTTCATTCAAGGCGTACTCCAGACGATCTTCACTTCCCTGCCTTCCCGAGAGTTCAGCGTGCAGCATTTAGGTCCGGGCCCATCTCCGTTGATGCCACGAGCGTGACGATCACGACCGGCCGGGGCGGACCGGGCTCTGACTTTGGCACGTATGTCTTCCTAGGACACCCTCGCATTCCAGGACCTGTTAGAAGGACTAACAATCGTGGCGCCCCCAGGCTGTTTGCACATATCATGAATCCAGCGCTACCTCCAGATGCCAACGATAGGAATCGACAGGTAGGAGCGGGCCTCCAACAGTTTGGCTTCCTCCAGGAGTTTCTTTCGACCTTGCTCAACCCGCAGATGGCAGTCCATGGCGATGGAGTATACACCCAGGAGGCTCTTGATCGTATAATTACTACGCTCATGGAGGCTAATCCGCAGTCAAATGCCGCACCGCCTGCGTCCCAAACCGCCATTGAGCAGTTGGAACAAAAGCAGGTCGACGACGAAATGCTCGGGTCAGAGGGCAAGGCCGAGTGCACAATCTGCATAGAAGAGCTACACAAGGGTGACCAGGTTTTGTTCTTGCCCTGCAAGCACTGGTTCCATGGTGACTGCGTCAAACTCTGGCTGAGGCAGCACAACACCTGTCCCATCTGCCGTGCGCCAATCGAAGCAGGTGGCGATGGCCGGAATAACGCCCAGCAGCAGCAGGCGCCTGACGCGGCTACCGAGCAGAGACAGCAACCTCGGATACCCACAGCCGCCCCTAACGTGTTGTTTCCAGAGCCGTTGTCTTTCCCGTCACCATCTTCACATCAACCATCACAGGCTGGTCGACCAGAACGTCCGGAGCGCCCGGATCGACTTCGCACTTTCAGGGAGAACGAACAGCGACTCAATTATATTCGCACTGCGGCCGGACTTCCGCCGCCTAGCTCACGACCTAGACAGTCGCGCCATCCCTCTTTGTCACCCTCTAGTTCCCGAACCTATTCGTTTTCCGATAACCCTGCTAGTGACAGGGATACAAGTCCCTCACTACCACGAGATCGCGATGAAGAGAGCGGTCCCTCGCAGCTACGGCAGGATAACTGGAATTTGTCTATATCGGGAGGCGTATACGGCGGTAGCAACGCCAGCAGACGACGTCCTGGCAGCGGAGAGCGGGACAACCGTGACGGACAGACTAGCCACAACCCGCTGAACTGGCTTAGGGACCATCTCGGACGGGGACCTAATCGAAATTCGGAGAGAGACCGCAGACGCTAGGCTAGGGCCAAGGCCGGCAGACTGATGACTAACATGAATAAGCAAATTTCGCGGAGTTTGGGAGAACATGGTTGCTTTTTTTGTTGAGGACACTTTGGAGCAGACCTTGCCAGCGGCGGAATGTCTGAGGGGCCTTTGGGGGCTCGTTGGCCGCATCCTAGGCTTGAGGCTTTCAGGCTCGTGTGGAAGCAACTAGGATCGGGTGTTCTTACGTGCCTCTTTTTTCACCTTTTATTTCTCTTCTGTGTCTATCTTTTATTTGGGGACCACTGATCAGGTAACAGTTTTCGTAATGGCGTGAGGAGGACAAAGCAGATACTAGACAAAGACATCGACATGTTTTGATATGTTACTTGTTGGTGCTATATTGTGTTGTATTTTTGTAGTAACCCTATTTAGTACGGAACCTATAATAATGCGGGAAAAATATTCCGTAACACGGAACCACTTCAAGGCTAGATATACAGAGAGAAAGATATGATTTTGTCGGTGCCGTTCAATTGTTAGACTTATTCCTGTACCGCGGCAAATGATTAACTGTGTTCATTTTAGTGTGTGCGTGACGATGAGTATTGGCCTTTTCACTTTGGTGATTGATCTAACTGCTGAAGTCGCTCCTGCCTTAGAGCAGACGAAACAAAACATTGGTACACAACGAAACCAATACAAAATGCGGGTTATCAGTTGCATTGGATAGCTAGGGTAATAATTACTGACTCGGCACAGGCCTGGTTTGGTCATTCCGGGAGTCGGTGATGCCATGGTTGCCTAACCGAAAGGGCAAATATTTCTAGACCGGGGAAGGAGGAAAAGGACTCGTCAGCTTGTTGGCGCTCATTGGCCAAGAGATAAGGCGCGATGCCGCTTTCACTCACGAATTGGGCCAACGCCCCACAACCTGGCGAACGAGCCCCCACCGTTTGAACCACTGGCCGGCAACTTGGAAGGAGGTGGTTACACTGTTATGGTACTTAGGTTGTGCCCCTCGTCCCGCTCGTTATCTGCCTCCCATCGTCTGCCTCTGCACTTGGTCGGCAACTCAACTCAGCCTTAGCTAGGAGCTTTATCTTGTCGTGCGAGTTTGTTGCCCACGGCTCCTGTCTTTCTCCCAAGCACCCACCATAACTCGCTCGACTCGGCTGGCCCATTCTTTCATCCGAACCGTCGCGCAATGTCCATGGCATCTTGAGAGTCGCTATGGACGCCAGGACCTAGGTAGCGCAGCTATCCCGTTCAAAAACCCAAGCTTATTCTTGACCCTCGGCTCCTACGGAGCATTTGGTGAAGATCCCATTGCGACACGAGCCTTCTTTGCCGAGTCCTACTCGGCTGGCCTCGAGCCTTCTTCCGCCATACCTACCTACCTACCTATTTACCTATCTGCTATCTAGGTTGCCCAGCATGCGCGGTCTTCCAGCAGCCGTGCTCTTGCTGGTGACAGCACTGGACCTAACGGCGGCATCTTCTCTCGAGCTCTCTTCTGCTGAGCTCCACATTGTTGAGGACCGTCTAGGTACGGAGCTCCCTCTTGATGCTCTAGACTGGCTGTGCCATTGCATGACTAATTGGTAACTCGGACATGGCAATTAGCTGTACCAGTTTCCGAATCTCCTCCATTGGAACCAACTCTTCAGGAACCGGCTGAGGATTATGATGAAGTAAGGTCCATCACTCCGTCATGCTATTGATGTTGGTGCTAACAACGCAGACCCTCATCCCCTTCGAGGTGCTAAGCGAGCTGGAGCTGCTGAGAATGCAGCTGGCCGAGCTTCAGGATGAGATTTTCATGAGGGAAATGTACCTCGAGGAGATATTTCCTGTTGTGGCAGTGTCTAGTGACTGCAGTGGCCTAAAGTGCGCTCTGAAATCGATCTGGAGAAAAGCTAGCGACGCCGCCGCCTCCCTCTACGGAGGCGACGATGAGGACGAGGCTTTCTATGGCGGACATTGGGGAAGGTGGCCGCATTTTAGACACCCCAAGCATCCCCATTGCCCAAAGTTCCCACATCACGGCAACCACACGCATGGCAATCACACCTTTCCCCATCCTCCTTGGTGGCACCCCCATCACGGAAACCACACGCATGGCAACCATACCTTCCCACATCCTCCCTGGTGGCACCCTCATCATGGAAACCACACTCACGGCAACCACACTCACAGCAACCACACTCACGGCAACCATACGTTCCCGCATCCCCCCTGGCGCCGGCCCCACCATCCTCCTCCGTTCGGTCGCCACCCACCTCCTTTCTGCAGATGCGATCCTCCGCCGCACCGTCGTCCCGGCAAACACCCCGGTGACGGGCCGCACAGAGATTGGCCCCCACATCGCCGCCCCGGCCATCCTGGCGACGATCCGGACAGAGACCATCCACCGCACCGGCGCCCGGGTCCGGGTGACGGGCCAGATGAAGACTGGCCGCCACATGGCAGCCCGGCACATCCTGGCGACGGGCCGCACAGAGATTGGCCACCACCTCGCCGGCCTGGTCATCCTGGCGATGGACCGGACAGAGGACACCCGCCGCACCGGCGCCCGGGTTCAGGCGATGGGCCAGATGAAGACTGGCCGCCGCATGGCAGCCCGGCACATCCTGGCGACGGGCCGCACAGAGATTGGCCGCCACCTCGCCGGCCTGGTCATCCTGGCGATGGACCGGACAGAGGACACTCGCCGCACCGGCGCCCGGGTTCAGGCGATGGGCCAGATGAAGACTGGCCGCCGCATGGCAGCCCGGCACATCCTGGCGACGGGCCGCACAGAGATTGGCCGCCACCTCGCCGGCCCGGTCATCCTGGCGATGGGCCGGATGAGGACTGGCCGCCACATGGCCGCCCGACACATCCTGGCGATGGACCGGACAGAGAGTGGCCGCCGCGCCGTCGTCCGGGCCATCCTGGCAATGGGCCAGACAGAGAACAGCCTCCGCGCCAGCGCCCAGTTCCAGGTGACGGACCGGATAGAGATTGGCCTCCTCATCGGCGCCCCGATCACAAACCACATCATCCAGGCAACGGACCAGGCGGACCTCTTTTTCATTTCCTCCCGATTGATGGACATCATATGCCATCTGTGAGTCTTCAATTCCCAGCGAATACGGTCTGGTGTCTAACCCCATCACAGTATGCCCCTCCAAAAAGCCATAGGGCTAGAAATGCGGTGTTTTTGACTATAGCGCTTGCTTTCATCTTGGTGGTTGCGTTACTGCGTAAGCGCCGAACAGCCAGGTGCAGTCGACTTTGCGCCGAGCGGCGGGCTGCGCGTCGTCAAAGCTGCCGCGATTTCTTTGGCAGGTGGTCCTATGGACGGCGCCAACTCCCTGTCTATGAGGACGAGAAGGCCGCCATGCTGCATGACGAAGGCTTTGAGCATGATGAGGGTACGTTGGCGCAAGAAATCGCGTCCTTCCGTGTCGCAGCCGAGTTGGTGGATAGCATGGTCGCTGCCGAGGAGGGGCGCGCTCTCACGCAGCACAAGTCGATGCCGCCACCACCGAGTCCGAATGCCAGTTTTGCCCACATAATGTCCTCGGTCGAGAGCAATACCGAAGATCCGCCAGCCTATGAGTTCAGCCAGGGCGAGCTAGACGGACAAGTTGTTGCCGATGGACTCCAGTATATGCCCAGCAGCATCGTGAATTCCGGAGGCGGCGACGAGAAGATCTTGGGTGACGCCAGGGAATAGAAGTTCCGATATCATCCGCCACGTGCGATCATATCCCTTCATTTATTTACTTTTTTCCTACATTCTATTCTCATTTTTTTATTTCTTATTTCTTGATTACGGTCGCTGTTTTGGCGCCATGGGCACAGCCTATTGTTCGAGTAGGGTTCACATCCGTTATTGTTTAGGTACAATACCTACCCCTTAATTAAGTGCTATCTCGTTGTCTGTTTTAACTCTGCGCACCAGGATACGCCAGACGCCAGTTCAATCTTCACAAGACCTTTCACAAACATTACTTTGTGCAAGACATCAAAGTTGAGACTGAAGCTGTTTCGATATCTGGCGGGAAACAATTTCAGCCCAGTTTCCGTGTCTGCCGTGTTCCTTCATGAGTGCCGTGCATTTCACATATAAGCAAACACGATTGATAGTCACCAGCAAAGCCCAATCTGCCTTGGCGGACGGCTCTCTGACAGTGCCGGTACTTTTTCAACGTGGTAGTATATACCTATAAATCGGGTGGCCTTACCTGTGTACAGTACTACCTACCTTACTGCCCTAAACAAGAAGACATCGTGGACGCGGGGTGGATAAGGTAGCAACATAGGCACGGTTGAGTGCGTGCCTGACTCGGTGTATGTACGGAGTATCTTGGGTATGAATTCACCAACATATACTCCGTCAGGCAGATTAGCAAATGTTTTTCCTTCTTTTTTTCCTTGTTTGTAAGACGAGTCACTTTGCATTTTTGAGACGCGGACTTGACTTGGTCAGAAAGCGGAAGATGCCCAGGCGATGTGTCTGTTCGTGGAGGGCTCTGGTGCCTTGAACATCCAATGACGTGCAGCATTCGCGCATCACAATAGGCTCACTTTCTAAACGACCTGGCCTTGGGCGCCCAAACTGGCACCCAAAATTAACTCACTGCGGCTGCGTGCGTTATCAGTGCCGAACGCCCCAGCCCGAGCCTATCTAGAGGCCCACCGCTCGTCGCGTCGCAACTAACGGGTCCCTGGGAGCGGATGCCCCGCACCGGAGCCCGTACAATAGGGCACTTTCTCCCGATGCGAGCCAATGCATTTCATTCTAGCGCCTACTGTCTCTGCACCTGCTTGCCCATCCTATTGAACCTGATTCGATCATTGGCCTGGGTATCCATTCGCGACCCAAGCGCGACAACGGGTATTAACTCTGGGAAATTTCCCCAATTTTCGATACAAAGGCTGCCGTGGGGAATTCTTGCACCACTCTCTAGCAGCAGCAAGCAGCAGCAGCTTTGAGCCTTTTGCCTTTGCCCCGGGCGTCGCGTGAGAAAACCTTCCACTCTTGTTTTCCCCCTTACTTAGGTTGTTACTCCGTACCACTCTGCTCGCTCCTGTGCTTGCTACGCCACCACTAAGGCTCACTTTTTGGTTTCCAAGGGGGGTTGCAGAGATTGGATTACCTAGTCCCTGGCTCGAACGAAGCCTCGCTGCGGGTGACGCTCCTACGCCGCCGCTTCACCGCGAAAACCACACAACCTCTAACATCATGGCCGACGACCCGCACAACACCAGTGACATTTCCGACACAATCGACGCCGCGCCCATAAAGGAAGATGCCGAGACCACAGCTGCGCGGCGCGAGCTCAAGCGAACAGGTCTCTCGGAGAAGGACGTCGCAGATGCATCACAGCGGGACAAGTCTTCGTCGCAGGACGAAAAGAGCAGCTCCGATGACGATGACAGCACGCCAAATGACAATGCCCCACCCCGGACCGCCACGCCCGATGCCGACGTGGGCGACGCTGTGAGCGACGAGTTGAAGGCACAAGTAGCCTCTCCCAAGAAGAAGAGAGCGCACGACGAACTTGAAGAGCACAAGGACGACGCAGCCGACGGCTCCTCCAAGGACGCCTCCGCCCCCAGCGAGCCCGTTCCCAGCGCCGGCGCGGCGCAGAACCGGACAGACCGATCCGAGCCAGAGAAGAAGCGCGCGCGCGACGGCCAAGCAGAAGACCAAGATGCGAAGGAGGAATCGGGCAAGGAGAAGACATCCGAGTCGGATGACTCGAAGAAGGCCGAAGGAGCAAAGCCCCAGACTTCATCAAAATCCGCCTTCGCGAGCTCCGGGTTCGCCAAGCTCGCCAGCCAGTCGGCCTCGCCCTTCGGGGCATTGGGCAGCGGGAAGCCCAGCATGTTCGGGTCCTCGTCCATGGGATCTTCGTCGCCCTTCAGCGTTCTCGGAGGCCAGAAGCCTGCGTCTGGCGCTGCCCCCCCCACATCACCACCCAAGCTCACTTTCGGCAGTGCCGCAGCCACAGCGTCCCCATTTGGAGGCATCAACGGGAAGCTCGGCGGCAGCGGTGGCGGGTCGGCGTTTGGTAGCGCCTTCGGCAGCGTACTAGGCGGGCGCCCTGGCGGAAGCGGTGCGAGCGTGCTTAAGGGGTCACGGCTCGGCGGCTCCTTTGGAAAGCCAGGCAACACCCTCCAGAGCGGCAAGCCGGCGAAGCCCTTTGGCGCGCCAGAGAGCGATAACGAGGAGGAGGAGACGGCTGGGGATGAGGACGATGCCAGCAGCTCTAAGGGAGCCGGGGCGGGATCTGACAGCGACGAGAAGAAGGACGCCACAGCTGAAACCGATAAGGACGAGTCCAGGGCCGCGGGTTCTTCAAGTCTCGACGACAAGAAAAAGCAGCCACGGTTACAGAAGAGTGAGACGGCCCTCTTTTTTTCTTTCTTTCTATTCGTTGTTTGTGTGCATATGCAAGAAATATCCTACTAACAAGTGACGCACAACAGTCGTGGTCGACAATGGCGAAGGCAGCGAGGTCACGCTCCTCACGGTCCGAGCCAAGATGTTCCAGATGGAAAAGGGGGTCGGCTGGAAGGAGCGTGGCGCTGGCATGTTGAAGATCAACGTGCCCAAGGCGAGCGTAAACGTGGACGACAACGGGAACGTAATACCGGACTCGTTTGACGCATCGGTCCTCGAGGACGAAGACGAGGGCGGCGACAGCGAAGGGAGGAAGCATGTTCGTTTGATCATGCGCCAGGACCACACGTTACGCGTCATTCTCAACACGGTTATCGTGCCCGCCATGACCTTCCACCTCACGCAGAAGCTCAAGTCGGCCAATATCCTCTTCACGGCATTCGAAGGCAGCGAGGCGAAGCAAGTGCAGATGAAGGTTCGTTCATCCCTCCCTCCCCTGTCCCCTTGGACGTGTGACAGCCCATTGACTTTTTTTTTTTCCTTCTGCAGATGAGCGAGGCAAACGCCACGCTCTTCATCCAGCAAGTGGAGATGATAAAGAAGCAGCTCGCAGACATCTAAGAGCCGCGGAAGGGGGGTTTGCTTTTTGTCTTATGCTTTGATGCCTACAGACTTGGGCCCTTTTTTTTTTTTTTTTTGGCTAATCGAGGTTTAAGCGTGCATTGCATGCACCGCACACAACTCAAGTTCTCTCCTTTTTAGCAAACAAAGGGGCGGGCGGAAACAGGCAGGCCAAATTAAAAGGTGCGCAAGCAAGCAAAAAGGGGCGAGAAAGCAAACAAAGTCAAAAAGCAGAAAAAAAACCAAATATTGAATACAAAAAGCAGCAAAACAGCAATCCCCACCACCCAGCAGCAGCAGCAGCAGCAATAAGCGCCGCGGCACTGGTTTTGCCGAATATTCTCTCTTTGACGTACCTTCGGTCATTGTTTTTCTCTCCGCTCTTTTCTTCCCCGTCTCATTCTTCGACTGCTATTTACCTATCCTATTCTTAAACTAAGCTTGAGTCTTGAGTCTTGGGTTTTTTTAACTTTTCTCTCAGAAGGAAGGAAAGATGGAAGGCAGAGTCGCGTCAGCATTTCTCTTTTGTCATGGCAGGAGCGGAGTCTGGGAGGCAGCATAAACATTTGTTTTCGAGAGAAACGAGATGGAGACTTGAGAAACCGGGACGCATATAGTAGCAGATGGCTAGGCATGGAATGGCAATGGCAGCGATGGGGTCATACAATATGGATACATTTTCTTTCTTCCTTCATCTTGTTTTTGTTCCTTTTGTTTTTCTTTTTGTCTTTTTTCTTCTTTTTCTTTTGGCAAAAAGCCATCGACGGGATCGATCTACCTGCCTGCCTAGGTTAGTTTATGGGGTAGAGGCTGACTGGCTGGCTTGTTGCGTGCGCTTTGGAGAAAAAGCCTAGTGAGAGGGAGGTCTTTTTTCGTCTTTTTTCGTCTTTGATGAAGCGGCTGGTTGGTTTGGGTGAGCAAATTCATGGTGCTAAACAAAGGGGGAGTCAGGGTGAGACGGGAAAGGGCGGATTCATTGGGAACCAACATCACGATAGGCTATTGTTTTAGGATTCTGTTGTCATGACGATGGAGATGCAGAGGGCTGTTGTGTCCCGCAAGAAAAGCGAAGAGAACAGAACAGAAGAGGCAGACGAGGTGTGTAGCATGTATATACCTATTCATATGAGAAACATACGCTCTGTGGGATACCTGGGTGCCTCGATGCCATGCTTGTCGTTTTATCAAATAGAAAGTAACTATTATCTCTCCCTGGGACTACAAAATACGCAGTATCTAGCCAAAACATTTTAGGGTTAGGGTGGTGATTCATTAACCCTAACCCTTCTATTCACATGCCACAAGCAATCAACCCCCCAATCCTTCCTCCCCATCGCCCCACAACACCTGTTCCTTCCGTCATCAAAAAGCAAAGCGAGCCTTACTACTTGCAATCGCCCTGCAATAATACACCTGTTCCTTCCATCGCCAACAAGCAAAGCGAGCCTTACTCCTTTGCAATCGCCCTGAACTAGCTGATGGCGAACTCGATCTTGCGGTCGCAGGCCTCAACGTCGGCCGGGTCCTCGGGTGCACACACACTCTATCATCATCATCATCATCGAACCTATCCACCCACATGGCCGACAAGCGAACAATCACCCAGCTCGATCAGCTGACTCTCTACCCGGCAACATCTCCAGAGACAGCATCTCACGACTCCCCTACACCGTCTGTGGGCTTGCCGGTCTCGGGCGTCGATAAGATTATCGCCGAAATTCGCAATTGTATCTGTGGCCGAGTCGAGGTCGAAGAGGAGTGGTGGTGCATCAGCCTCAGCCGCGACGAATTCAAGGCTTTCGAGGCGCGCTTTGAAGCCGAAGGGGATTACCGCTGGCCAAAGCAGGTAGCCTATTTATCCAGTACCACATTAGCTAACGTCTGATTAGGTACGACTACTTCCCTCAGCTCGACAAGTTCGTCCTACGTATAGCGGGCATTGTCCACGAAGACGTTATTAGAGGATTCGAAGAACTAGTCATAGAGCAGTTGATCGACATACGGTGAGGTAACGACTTAGTCGCTGCTGATTTCGCTCGGGGCACCCGCGCAAGAGGAAGTCCCAAGATTGAGAGTGATGGTGGTTCCATTACCCAGACGGGTCGTTTACGTACAAAGATACGGAGGTAGCATGTGTTATCTTGGAGGTCTCCCATTCACAACAACAACAACAAGATTTACCATTCCTTACAGATGAGTACATCCTAGGTTCAAATAGGCGGACCCAAGTCGTTATTAGATTGACCTTAAATATCGGGAGAAGGGAAAAGAAGCCAGGGTCACTATATGGCGACCAAGATATATTGAGGAAGATGGGGAAGCCGTACTTGAAGCAGCTGAGACGGAAACGGGTATCTTTCGGGCAGTAGATGGTAGTTTGGTCGATGGGGAACGGATCCTTCGTATCGGGCTTAAAGATTTTGGGGTACTAGCCCGATTGCCTCAGAGTCGATGATATCCCCGGGGAGATTACTATTTCGTTTTCTCAACTTTCCGAAATAGTGCAGCGGGCTGAGGCTAGAGCAGAGCTCAGGGATCGTATACGCAGGAAGATCCAGCATGAGAATTGTTTGAAGCGGCCAAGGGTTCGGTCACCACCGCAGCAACTCACAGAATCAGACAAGGAGCGGTTTAAGGCAGCCGAGAAAAGAGTCAAGAGGTAGCTTAGCGACCAGGACAGCGATTATATCCCAGAGTAGGATTCTATTTTGGGGCAGGTGGCAAAGATAGAGCTTGTAGAACTAATAGACCTCGGTATACTTAGATTCGCGGATCCTGGGTTCTTGGTACCGCCTCCGTATACGAGTGACCTGCGAGATTATCCCATTTTCCGGAACTCATCAAGGCTTCCAAATTTGGCATACTTTACACCTACCACCAGGACTCATAGGAAAATTCGTAATCCCGTCCGCTCTCCCATAGGCAATTCAATGAGGGCCAGATCAGTGGTTAGGTCGGTGGCGGCCAGCAAATCCTTAGTGTTGTATTTTTTTTCACCTTTCTTAGTAGTGCATTTGGAGCACGTGTTATCCCGCCACTTTCGCGCTTCAAGGGCGCCTTCCTTAATCGCCAGCACTGTATAATGCCCATGCCGTCACAGCTGAGGGTTTCGACTCGCTTTGAGAGCAAGTGCTCTTTGTTCCCAACGTGACGGCCTACAACTTACTAGGCAATTCGCCCGCTTTCTTTTTTGTGGATGGCCGCATGTAACCCGCCGCCAACATTACCTGTTGCCACTACGCTCGCCGCAGAATAACAAATAATAATAAAAAGGAACATCACCATGGGGGCTACGAAAAGGACCGACCCCCCGATGGGCCGGGGCCCCAACCTTGAGGGGCCCGACGACATGGCGCCGGCCAAGCTCAAGCGACGCCGCCCCCCATTGCCTTCTGCCTCGGAAACAGAGCCCGACAGAATGTCAGTGTCGCCCTGCAGCAGTGTCGTTGACGATGACGGTGTTGCCAACGGCCCTGCGCCCCACACAGCGGCCGGCGAAGCAGCAGGGCGGTCGAGGAATCGCAAAGCAGCTCCGCCGCCGCCACCACCTCCCCTTCCATCCAAAGATAGCAACCCCGAAGAGTGTGCAATTGAATGGCCTGCCTCGTTCAAGGCCCTGGAAAAGACGCACCGGGCCCTCAATCTCGTCTTCACCTTTTGCTCCACGCGGAAGCACCTGTTGACCACGTTCGACACGATGCGCTCTGCTGTCGAGAGGCACACCAAGCGTCCCCTGACCGTCGAAGACGTGACTGCCGTTGTCGCGCTGCGTCCCGAGGGCATCCGCTTTGAATATGTGGACGAGCTCATGCTCCAGCTCGATGCCATGGGCGCCGAGAAAGACGACACCTTCCAGAGAGGCCGCCAACGTGGCTGGTCCTCTCAATCCCTTGCGCCTGACGCCTCGGTCGGTGGTGTGACCGGCAACGAGGGGTTGGCGAAGACTGAGGATGCCGGGAGGGAAGTGCTGTACTTCGAGTTCGTTGACGAGGACCTCAAGCGTCAGGTCCAGCACCGGAAGACGGGTGAACCCACAAAACCCATACGCCGGCTGCGCGACGAGGACTTGAAGCTGCCAGTCTTCAGTCAGAAGCAGATGACGGCTCTTATCGAAAAGCGCAACACAAAATTCGCTCAGGCTGTCACCCGGTTTCTGAACAGGTGCGTCGCTGAGAAGATCGACCCCGAGATGACGCTAAGGAGCGAGACCGACTTGAGAATCCCCCGTCCGTCGGTTTCGCGTGAGGTGTCACCCCAGAGGTCGGGCCTAAAGGGCTCATTGCCCGATAGCATTCCTACCGAGCGCAAAAGTATTGCCGAGATAGTACAAGAGTTGAAAGACAGTCCGTGGTATACGGGGCAGATTGTGCCGGACGGTCACCGCGTCTTTGAGGCCCAGGAGGCCGTCTACGGAGATCTCAACTTCCTCCTTAGCCAGGATATGGTCAATGCTCTGTATAACTCGAGAGGCATCACGCGGTTTTATGCCCACCAGGCCGAGGCCATCAATAGCCTGCACGAGGGCCACAACGTTGTCGTGTCGACCTCGACGAGCTCGGGCAAGTCTCTTATATATCAGCTGCCGGTGCTGCATGCCCTCGAGGAAGATCATAACTCGCGAGCAATGTACATTTTTCCCACCAAGGCGCTGGCGCAGGACCAAAAGAGGAGTCTCAAGGACATGATAAGTTACATGCCCGGTCTCGAGTACATGCTCGTCGAGACGTTTGACGGCGACACCCCCATGAGCGACAGGAACACCATCCGTGACGAGGCGCGAATCATCTTTACGAACCCGGACATGCTACATATTACCGTCCTACCGCAAGAAGTGCGCTGGCGCTCATTCTTGAAAAATCTCAAGTATGTCGTGGTCGACGAGCTACATTACTACAACGGACTCATGGGGTCGCATGTCGCCTTTGTTATGAGGCGGCTTCGACGCATCTGCGCGGCGGTGGGGAACCGACATGTAAAATTCATCTCCTGTTCGGCAACTGTGGCGAATCCCAAGCAGCATTTCGAGACCATATTTGGTATCGATGATGTTCGTCTGATTGATTTTGACGGATCTCCATCTGGTAAGTTGCCCAAGTGGAAGTCTGGTCCATCATAGCTTTTGCTAACCTTTTTCTTCTCTTCCCCCCTTTTCTCTCAGGACGCAAGGAATTCCTCTGCTGGAACACCCCTTACAGAGATCCTGGAGACCCGTCGAGTGGGCGTGGCAGTGCGCTTTTTGAGTGTGCCCGTCTCTTTTGCCAACTAATCTTGCGCGGTGTCCGTGTCATCGCCTTTTGCAGAGTCCGCAAGCAGTGCGAACAGCTAGTCGGTGCGATCAAGCACGAACTAGAAACTCTCGGGCGGGCAGAGTGTACGTCTCGGGTGATGGGGTACCGCGGCGGCTATACCGCCCAGGACCGCCGGCGGATAGAGACTGAGATGTTTGAAGGGAAGCTCATGGGCATCGTCTCTACCACCGCCCTAGAGCTCGGCATCGATATTGGCACCCTGGACTGTGTTATGACCTGGGGTTTCCCCTATACCATTGCCAACCTCAGACAGCAGAGCGGGAGGGCCGGGCGCAGGAATAAGGACTCACTGTCAGTATTGGTGGGCGACTGCTTCGCAACTGACCAACATTACATGCAAAACCCGGACGAGCTCTTCACCAAGCCCAATAGCTCCCTGCAGGTAGATCTCGACAACATGCTCGTCAGGGAGGGACATATTCAGTGTGCGGCATACGAAATGCCCATCCGGCCCGCCCAAGACGTCGTATATTTTGGCAAGGATCTTGCTTTGGTCTGCAAAGAGCGCCTGGTCCAGGACGACACGGGCTTTTTTCACTGTCACGACAGGTTCCGGCCGCAGCCTTCGCGATTGGTCTCCATTCGAGATACCGAGGAAGACCATTTCGCCATTGTCGACATCACGCACGGTAGGAATATCGTGCTTGAAGAGCTAGAAGCATCACGGGCTACGTTCACTATCTATGACGGCGCAATTTTCCTGCACCAGGGCGAAAAATACTTGGTCAGGGATTTTAACGCAGAGAAGAAAATGGCCCAGGTTGAAAGGGTCAAAGTGGACTGGACAACAACCCAGCGCGATTACACGGATATCGACCCCGTTGAGACGGAGGCCATCAAGCGCATCGCGGGGTCGCGATCCAGCGCATATTACGGCGCCATCAAGATCACGCAGGTCGTCTTTGGATTCTTCAAGGTAGACCGGAACAACCGTGTTCTGGACGCCGTACAGGTCGACAACCCACCCGTGATTCGCCACAGCAAGGGCACGTGGCTCGACGTGCCCGAGCGGGCGCTCGACATTCTCGTCGAGCGGCGGCTCCACGTTGCCGGCTCGATCCATTCTGCGCAACACGCCATCATGAGCCTGATGCCCAACTTTGTCATCAGCATGCCCGGCGATGTGCGAACCGAGTGCAAGAACAGCCTTAAGGAGTTCGCCAAGAGGGAGACGCGGAGAAAACGGCCGGCACGGTTGACGTTTTATGATGCAAAGGGGGGCGCGGGTGGTTCAGGGATCAATACCAAGGCATTTGAGTTCATAGATCTGCTCCTCCGCCAGGCGCTGGAGCGTGTAACGGCGTGCCGCTGCGACAAGGGCTGCGTCGAATGCGTCTGCTCAGAGCTGTGCAAGGAAGCCAACGAGGTCATGTCCAAGGCCGGCTGCGGAGTGATCCTCAAGAGCCTCCTCGATGTCGAGATTGACGTCGACAGCCTTCCAATGGGACCCGAGGAGCTGAGCCCGGTCGGCGTTGAAACGGTCGTGTTGGCGACCCCCGTGCCGCAGAAGGAGCGGAGCTCGTTGCGGGCTGTTGGTGCTGTTCTCGGGCGAGGTGATGGCGAAGGCGACGGCCAAGACGACCAAGACGACCAAGACGGCGGCCAAGACGGCGGCCAAGACAATCAGCTGTTCCAACGCTCGCCCTAGTGTTAAAAATGCCGGCTTTTGTCGTGTTACATATCAGCTCCCGTCTCTCATCCCGATCGAATCCCGATCAATCGCACATCTTAGCCTTGGCTCGGATCTGATGCTGATCGGATCGTCGTCGGGTTTCTAGGGTTTTTCCAATTGACGATCATCGAGCTCACCCTCGGCTCACCCCCAGCTCACCCCCAGCTCACCTTACCACAAAATTGACAACTTTACGCGACGAGGGGCAGGTTTTGGGCCTGATGGTGGTGGCCCATTTCTGGTCTCCCTCGGAAAAAGAAAACGGCGGCCCTAAGAAATGGACTAAGTAGCCAGCGTATTCACACTCCGTTTTGGATCCGTTGATCCAGCTATCAATCTTCACCACGCCGCCAAGTTTACACGAACAATTGTAGGAAGGTGCATTTGCATATGTAATTAACGAACTGACTAAAATTCTAACTCAGCGGCACAGAATATCATGAATGATAGAATTCAGCCTTTTTGTGACGAGAAGGATCAACTCTGGGCATAAACAGGCGCGAGCAGTTGGGTTTCAATTACGTAGATTCAGTGAGAAGAAGAATCTACGTTGAACGCGAGCATGATGGAGGGGAAATGCTCGCGGTCCGCGCTAGTCTAAATCCGGTCTAGTGGTCATATGATCGTGAGGGTGCACGATCCATGACACTTTGGGTAGCGCTGCGGGGCCACTAACCTTAGAAAGTGATGTAATCGGCCCCAAATCCGAAACTTGCACTCTTCCACCACCAACCACCATGAGCGACCTTGGAGATCGCGCAACTCGGCTTCTGGGGGCTTCCGCGATCCTCGTTGTTGAATGGGAGACGAGCCTTTAGATACGTTTGGGCTATCCCCATATGCCAAATGGAGTACGTTAGCAAGGTATGATTGAGGCTGCATCCAATTATTGACTTTTTTTTTTTTGATAGAGCCGATTTTTCCTTATCCCCGACGCCCAACTGCGCAAAGTCCAAGACCTAGCCGATGAGCTGGGCTTCTCTCCAGCCCATGAGGATGTTCTGCCCTCCGTCTACCCATGCGAGCTATCGGGTCTAGCGGTTCGCTACCTAATCGATGACGCAACCTACAACGAGGGCCCGCCGCGACGTAGGCTCGTCTTCCTGCCTATGTCCTGGACGAGGTTGTGCCAAATCTAATCGAGGACGGCCTTCATCCCTCACTCCCCCCTTCTGCCCGAACGGTACCACTCCCGGCCGCCTGCGCTGCGTTCGCACGTATTGCCGCTCGCGAGAAACGCGCAAGTCCAGTCCGCAGTGGCGTTATCCAGCAACTTTCAAGTGTGGTTGCTTATAGCCTTTTCGACATGAGCTATGAGGGGGATTATATGGAGATCTTGTCGAATGACCAGCCGCTCTCCGAGGCTGAAATGTTAGAGATTGAGCATGCCGTAAAGGAGATTAGGAGTTGGACATTCAGGAAGGATGAAGAGTGGATCAAGGACATGCTGATTGACATTTACACCGGAAGAAAACCTTTCGTGATCTCCCTTGCGGAGGTCATTGATGTCTAGAGTGACTAAAAAGGTAAGGTAGGTACCTCCCATACCTCTTAGATACCTAGGTAGGTACCTCCATCGCTATCGGCTTTATCGGCCAACCCCGCCCAGTCGAGCCTATTTTACTCCTACCACGTGACCCAGGGCAAATCCCTTTAGCTGGTGACGAACTGTACGGTATGTACAGACTGTCGCCTCGCCATTAGATATTGTCAATGGAAGTGAATTTTCCGCAAAATCTTTTCGAACGGCTGCCATGCCGGTGAAGAGAGAGCGGGTTTGGCTCTTTTTCTAGAGTTAAAAGACTATCGCGTGTTCCTCAGGAACTTCTTCTGAGCTCTTGCCTATCTTGTTTTCAGCTTCCCCCAACCCCGAAGTGATCTGCTTCAGGGTAACCCGAAACCCCCGCCCGCCAACCAGTGACGCCGCTGAAAAGGGCACCACCCTGAACTGCTTGGCGAGGAGCCCCACACGACAGCAGGAGACCTGGTCTAGGCCCAAGCGGCCAAGACCCTGAGCTGACAAGGCCGCCATAATGAGAGCATCCAATGTCACGCTGCGGAACCCAAAGCATTCTGCCCATGGATCCGCGTACATACTGCACAATAAGCTATGCACCGGGGTACGGACCGAATACAGACCGCTGGCGGCCATGATCATCTGAAATCATGGAAAACAGAAACACGCCTAGCGGGCGCGGGGGGCACAGGGGGAGTTGGGCGGTGTTCCACGCAAATTCACGGCCGTGACACTCGCTAATCAGTAAATTATTTTTGTGTCTCGTTCTCCATGTTACAGCCTGGACCAACCAACTTGGCGTTGAGGCTCTCCCCCAACTCCCTAACCTCTTGAAACGCGAGCCAAGAGGCCAAGACCTAGCCAGCTGGCACTGCATCCAGTGGTTGATGAGAAGATGCGGCGCCACACGGGCGAAAGTGCCACGGGCACTTCCTAGTGCCAGGTTGTCAGGTATTCTCATTTTCTGACCCATTCTTCTTTTTTCTTCTCTCCTCGCCTTGTCCCATGCCGGCTGTCAGATGGATCTCTTGGCGGTTGGCTTTTATTATTGAACCGCACCCGCCCAATTGTGACGGCGGGGTTTTTATTTCTCTATTTAGCGCATGGGCTTTTCCTTTTCCCTCCCCTTTCCCGTTCCCGTCTCGTACGATCTTTTGTTTCGTGGGTCCATGATTCGGTTATTACTGTCAGCTTTGTTTTGAGTTTGATTTCTTATTACGACGCCTCCTCTCGGGCTCCGTTTTTGGCGGGCTTTCGCGAACTCGGACTTCATTTTTCTCGGGCCCGACTTGACTTGGGACGACGACGGTGACAAGTCTTAAAAATAAACTTTGGGGAGCCAGTCGACCATTTTATTTTCGTCCAACTGTGGTGCTTCGGCTACACGAACACATACAGCCAAGGTAAGTAGCTACGTCAGGCCTCAGGCCCAACGGCACACGACAGCCATGGTGTCATCGGAGGTGACCCGGCCGGCTTCCGTTTTGGCGCGGGAGCCGCCGACCCCACCCGCTGCCGCCGATTCTGGCCTCATGGAGAAGGGAACCTCGACCGGCACCGGCAGCCCGGAGATCAACCAGCCGCTCCCCGTACACACGGGCGACCTCGAGAGCAACCGGGCTTCTACCCTGAGAGCCAGGGTGCGGACGACGCTCACGATCCGTGAGGAGGGCGAGAGCGGCCGGAGCGGTATCCACCCCATTCCCTTCATGCGCATCGTCTTCCAATCGTCGAGCTGGGCCTCGCGCATCGTCAACGTCCTGTGGCCCGTCGTCCCCGTCGCCATCGCCGTCCGCTACGCCGTCCCCGACCAGAACCTCGTCATCTTCATCCTCGCTTACCTCGCCATGATCCCTTGCGCCAACCTGCTAGGCTTTGCCGGTAACGAGCTTGCGCGCAAGGTGCCCCATGTCGCGGGTGTCTTGACTGAGACGACGTAAGTTTCTTGCTGTGTCTTTTTTATTTCCTTGCCAGCTGGCAATTTTCTTTGAGTCTTTTTAAAACTAAAACTTTCCGGGGAACTAACTCTCAGGGTCATATCCAGACTTGGGTCTTTGACCGAGGTCATCCTGTTTATCGTACTAATCACGCGCGACAACGATGGCCATGTCGACTATATCCAGGTGATCAAGGCCGCCATCCTAGGCTCCGTTCTCGCCACTATGCTGTTGTGTCTCGGCCTCTGCTTCATCGCTGGTGGCTTCAAGCGCCACGAGCAAAACTTTAGCGAGGCCGTCAGTGAGGCCGGGAGTGGTTTGTTACTGACTGCGTTAGTTCCTCCTCTGCCAACAAACCCATTGGCACACCCTTTTTAATAATGCGGAATACTGATCTTTTGGCCGTATAGGGGGCTCGGCTTGGCTATTCCGACCGTGTTTAAACACTCACTGACAGAGCGTCTGGCCGAGGTAGACCTACAGAACAAGGCCGTCGATATCTCGCGGAGCACGGCCATTCTGCTCATGGTGGCGTACCTCATCTTCATCTACTTCCAGACGCAGACCCATCATGGTATCTACGATGCCATCTTTGTTGGGGAGTCGGCAAACGGCAAGCATCACAAAAACAACATGAAGCACCGCCTGACGTTTACCGAGGTGGTAATTGCACTGGCCGCCTCCATTGCCCTCGTCGCCATCATCTCCATCATCCTCGTCGACAAGATCCAGTTCCTCGTCGAGGACCGACACGTGTCGGACGCCTTTGTCGGCCTGATCCTCGTGCCGCTTGGCGAAAAGGCGGCCGAGCATCTGACGGCCATTGACGAGGCCTACAACAACCAGATGAACTTTGCCCTCTCGCACGTCCTCGGCGCCACCCTGCAGACGGCCCTCTTCAATGGGCCTCTGGTCGTCATCATCGGCTGGGGCCTCGGCAAGCCCATGGGCCTCGACTTTGAGATTTTCGACATGGTTGTCCTGCTCCTCGCCATCATCACCGTCGGCAACTTTCTGAGAGACCAGAAGAGCAACTACCTCGAGGGCTCCCTATGCGTCATCGTCTACGTCGCCATCGCCGTTGCCGCCCTCTACTATCCCAACCCCGTCCATGGACCTGCGGCGGCGGCGGAGACAGGCGCCGCCAGCAACGTCACCGTGGATGTCGAACACCACCGCTTCTAATATTGCTTTTTGTGTTTTCCCTTCGTCAACTTTTTTTGGGGCGGGCGGGGGAAAAAAAAGGCGTTCCGCTCAAACTGAAATGAAAGCGTTTGTGCGTGTGTGAAATTTATCTTAACGACTTGCGTCTGAAATTGGCTTTTTAAACTAGTTATTATGGTATTTTGTTCTGTCTCGAAGGCTTTCGAGACACAAGATTTTGGGGGGTTTTTATATCATCTTTGTTTTTCTCTATTATTATATAAAAGCAGGCCGGCGGGAATTATGGGATGGGATTGATTGGTTATTATTATGGTGTGCGCATCATACCCATATTGGGTATTCATGAATCTTTGCTCTTTTTTAGATTATAACGATGGTCCCGAAGCAGGGCGAAGCATGGCTCGGATTTTGGGAAAATTCACAATCGAAAAGAAACCTGGAAAAAGATTTTCTGTTCAACTGTGAAAGTGTGTCAAACTGTGTAAATTCGAGTCGGGATATGATGTGTGTGTTGTGTGTAAGTGTAGGTATGGTATGGGTGGTATAATCTCTAAACCTAAGGTGATGTTAAGAGAAGAGGACAAGCAGGTGAGGGAAACCGAACCCACGTCTTGAACTCTGATGACCGACCCCCTTTTCACTCCCGGCCTGAGAATCGAATAGCATTTCGTTCTGCTATAAGTAGATGTCACAGTAGAAACTCAAAGTCAAAGAAAAGGGACGCCGAAGATTGTATTATAGGCAAGACACGGATGACACTTTGCTCGAGCAAGATTGGGGGCAGGTGACTTGATGGATTTGATGCAAAAAAAGACAAGAACCCCGGATACACTTCCTTCCTTTTCTTACAAGCTGATGTTGGATATTCTAGAAATACACGATTAAAAACAGCCCGGGCTCGCGAACCACTGCGAAAAGACTCCCTAGGCGACAAACTGCAACGGATACGTGCGTGCGTATAGTCACCCCTCATGCGGCATGTGTGGATCTTTTTTTTCACCCCTTCTCTCCTATGGTATGGTGGTAAGAATGTTGGGGACGTCTCTCACTTTTTTTTTTTTTTCAAACCGTCATTCGTTGTCAACTGGTAGTAAAAACTCCCTTCCCCGCCACACTCGCCTCGCAGGCAGCGCTTAACTGATAAAGCAGAGACATCCCAGACCCAAGTAAAAGACGAAAAGGGGATAGACGGCCAGGCCGACGCGGTTCTTGACGACGCCGCTCCCGCCCAGGATGCTCACGCCGGCAGCCAGCGACCACCCGACGAGCAGCAGGTAGATGGGGATCCTGGCGATCCAGTGCAGCGAGAAGGCCGACAGTGTCGCGGCCAGCACGAGAGGGAAGAGGGTGTAGCCGATGATGCAGACGCTCTGCGCGAACGATCTAGGGAGAAAAGATTAGCGACGATGTTTTGTCGGGAAATGAAAGGAATAGCCGGCTGAACAACCAAGCTGGCAGCAGCGGTGCACTCACATATTCCCCCCTAGCAGCTTGATCTGCAGCGTGACCACGGCTTCGCCGATCCAGACCATGGCGAAGACGCCGCTGAAGACGATGGCCTTCTGGTCGCCACGGCTCTTGAAGCTGAGCAGGGCGCTCAGTAGCAGGCAGAAGACGAGCGGGCCCCAGAGGTCCCAGTCGCGCAGGCCGGGCGTCATGTTGTTGTGCGACAACAGGCTCTCGGGGTCCATGACGCGGCCGGCGAGCCCGGCGAGCTCGTCGCGCGCGCCCGCGAGCCCCGCGCCGCGCAGGCTAGCATAAGCGCCGCGCAGGCCGCCACCATCTTGGACCCCGCCGTCAAACATGGTGCCGCCAAACAGGTAGCGCGGGTACAACACCTCGCGCATCTTGGACCACACGGCCAGCAGGTCGCGCCGCAGCGTCTCCCACACCGTCTCATCGATCGTGTTGGTCGGCGCGCGCCGGTCCTCGCCCGGGATCCGCGACGTCCATGCCGACTGCGCATTGCTGCTGCCGCCGCCGCTGCTGCCGATGTTGCCCGTCAGGGGCGGGGCGCCGCGCGACGAGGATGACGGCTGGTGGTGCGGGTGCTGTTGCTGTTGCAGAGGATCGTCAAAGTCGTTGATGTCGGCTGTCCCCCTCGTGCAGGTTGTTAGTAATCTGAGTAGCCCCATGCAATGCAATGCAATGCACCAAAAGTCGTTGAGATGGCAGGGGCCTTTACCATCGTCGGGGTCTATCAAGTCATCGTCATCGTCGTTTTCGAGTAAGGGGTTCTGGTAGTCTCGGCGGCCGTGTGAAGCCATGGTCGAGGTCTCGGTAGCTTTGTTTGTCAGTGGGTCGTCTGTCCACGCAGTCGCCCGACAAGAGCAAGAGATTGGAACAGAAAAAAGAAGATGGAATTGCTTGTCGATTCGGGTGTCTGGGCGGTGCGGCCGCCCTCTGCTTGTAGTGGAGTGGAGATAGTGGTGATGGGTTGGATCGACTGTCCAAGGGCTCACAAGCTAATAAGGTCCACGGTTTCCTCAAGGGCGCAAGGATCATTGACTGACGACGACGAACGTTGGCCGGTGTGGCCCGAGCTCCCTTGTCACATTGACACGCAGTTGGGTGCTAGCTATCACGTGCTAGAACACGTGATACTTACATCAACACCATTGGTTTTCGACTACCATACGACGTGAATGCGAGACGAGCCGTCTGGAAAGAATTTGTAATCCTGTTGGGGCGGGGATGTACACGCGGCTCACGGCTGGCAGGGCTGACGCCCGACATGTTACTTCCTTCCCATCGAAGACTTCCTGAGAAGGTAGGTACGATGAATGCAAGCCTCTCGAAATTGCTATTGCTATTGCTATTGCTATTGCCGTTGCTATTGCCGTTGCTATTGCCGTTGCTATTGCCGTTGCTATTGCCGTTGCTATTGCCGTTGCTATTGCCGTTGCTATTGCCGTTGCCATTGACCTTGACAATGCACTGGCGGCGAATGTCGATGGCGACGTCTTTGGTCTTACTCTCAGCCATCCAGCTTGCTTGCATGCTTGGGGGAGGCTCGCAAAGGTAAGAACGAACATGTATGTCCTTACTGTGGACGATGCCTCATTTGCCGACCGAGAGATTCGCAAGGTAAAACACCCAGGCTCTTCCGTAGGTTGGAGATTCCTTTAACACTACGGATACAGCTTATGGTAACTTAGGCAGCTGCCTGTACGGTCCAATCTCTGAACGTGTCGGTTTTGGCGCAGTGCCCGGGAAGAGTACCAATCATGATAACCTGAGAAAATGGGCCAAGAATTTTGCTCAGCACAGCATCCCAAGCATGGATCGGCCTCCGGGATCCTGTATCAGGGGCTCCATGAACTACAGTTTCCCTTTCGGAAAAGCTTTTGGGGCAAACCGTAAGGTAACGAGGCCTTTTATTTCACAAAAGATTCCGTGCTAATAAACATCCAGCCATTGATGGGTCTGCCGTCGGATCTCAGTGCAACCGAATCCGGGAGCACACCACGCCACGGTTTACTCAGTGGTAGACAGTTGGTGTTCAAGGCCTTGGAGGGACCGAAAGGTCTCACAGGGCTTGGTTGCATTGTCCAATTCCATGGGATTTCCAATTCTCTACTTGATATTGGCTCGTCTGGCCGTTCCAGAAACAGCATACTGCTACACATATATCTCCAAGTGCAACTTCTCGCCGCCATAAGATAAGGCACCTAAGATAGGACCCAGCGCCCAGTGCCTGCCCGCGCAACCTGCCTGGCATACGGGTAAGCCCCTTCGCAGAGTCAACAAAACTCCTTCCTTCCATGTTGACCTCAAGCAGGTGCTATGCTAATACCGGTCTTTCCTTGAGATACTTTATTTGGCCACATCTCTATTGCGGTGATCGAACACGGTGGAAGTTTGCTCTTCAATAGAGTCAATAAACAATAGACATTATGGGTTGGGATCTTGGGAATTAGTCGTGACAGGATGGAATTCTAGCAACTGTTTTACTTGGGGCAACATGTCTATCCGCAACACACAAAGTGGCCACTGATCCTCCTACCGTGGTCCAAACAAGACCGTTATTTGCGCGCTTGTTGCTGTAAGAATTCGCTTCTCGTCATGCCTTCGGTCCATCGCTCTCTCCCCCAAGTACTCCACGGCCGGTTTCTGCAGATGGACGCCTCTCCTCTTGTCGCTAAAAGAGAAACGGCCCAGACAGCCCCAAGCTTCAACAAGCATTCTACCCAGGTGGGGCGGCTTAGCCGCTTGCCTCGGAGACGATCAAGGCCTACATCTATGACCGCAATGGCAAGCAAAGGACCGAAGCAATCCATGAACCAACGGTGGGACGTGTAGTAGGCCGCTTGGGCGAACACGTTGAGGTGCGCCGGCGCTTCGAGTACCGGGCCCACGCCAGTTTCTGCGATATATAACATCGCGCAGCCGCTTATGATGACGGACACAATATTGCCCCCAAGACGGTCAAGACGGTCAACACAGTACGCTTGAGCCAGCCCATTGCGTAGGCAGGTAGGAGCTGCTGGTTGCGGTAGGTAAGAATGATGTGTATGTGTGTGATGGTGGTGGTGGTGGTGGTGGTGGTACGTTCCCGTGACAAAGTCGGTTGTCGGATGATAGATAAGGTGGATGGGTGGGTGGGTGGATGGATCGGCTAATTCGGCGATGTGATGTGGTTTTTCTTCTGGTCTGGATAATGAAAATTCTGTGACACGTGTGTAAGAGGCATCTAAGAAAAGAGAATGGTGGGCCCGTTTATATTTTATATCCCCGAGGGACAGGTATGGAACAGCTGCAAGGTTTTACATCTCTAAACCTTACGGATCCAAGATAGGTAGGTGCCAGTAATCTGTGGGCTTTGCCCTCTTTCCTGGGCTTTAACCTAAGGTACCAACCTTTAAACAGCTAGTTACTCGGGTTACTTTCAACGCCTCGGAGTCAAAAGGCTTGTTTATTGTTGATTTTTAGGTTGCTACGTAGGTTACAGTCAAACAAACCATTGTATGTACCCTGCCGTACAAAAAGACGCTTTCTACCATGCAAATAGTCCGTCTCTTGTACATGCGGCTAGTTCTGGTTCGACGTAGATTACTCCAGCACACGCTCCCGATTGACTGCAGATATCGTCTCCCGAAACACCAGAACGGTTGATATAACTAGTCTAGTTATAGTATTATTAGCTTCTACTGGTATCTTTGCAAAAGACGGCCGCCATGGCCTAGATACACAATATCCTGCCCCTCCCCCCCCAAATCTCCAAACACACCGGAACTGTCTCTAATGCATTGTACGAAGTACAAAACAACACGCTACTTCAATCTCGCGCTCGCTCACAAATTCCAAGGGTATCATTGCCGCTCTTAACTCTTCCATGCCATTTCTAGTAAAATGATTCTTGCTTCCCACCTAGTTGTCTCACCATTCTCTGTATAATACTGTTGTGAGAACCAATGTGGAACTGATTCCCCGTAGACACCTCGTCATGAGAGGTGAGCAGAAGTGTAGCGACCTTCAAACCCATTAATAACACCAACCTGACTGAGGGAAAGCTTCGAACCCGGGCGGTCCTGCCAAACGCCGCTACTATTGGTGTCAAGAAGAAGAAATAAAAATCATTCGCTTTTGCCAATTCCTCGGAGGCGGACCAAAAAGGAACCCGCGCCCACGCTCATAGACCCTGGGCTGGACCCTGGGCTGCAAGGAGATACTACTGCCACAAATATCGAGGATTGTGGTATGGCGCTTCCGGCCCGGATGGGTGCGGCGGCGGTCTAGACTGTGGGCCACATACTCGGCGCCCGGGCGATCCTTCATACTCGGAACCGCGGGAGCTGGATGTCGATCCCGCCTCCTGGGGGGCGGGCGCATCGACAATGTGCCGAGCATGATATTCCGGAGCACTGTGCGTAGGTGTCGCATGCTGTTGCTGTCTCGGCTCGTAGCCACCCGAGTCGTGAGGAGCAGCGACAAGCCGAGGCCAAGTCGATGCCGGTTGCTGGCGGCTCGCATACGCGTAATCGTCTAAAGAAGCCCGCCGTAACTGGACGTAGCTTTGGCCAACTCTCTCTGCTGGGCGGAAATCGGTTACGGCATGCATATTTTCTTCGTCTGCTTCAGGTGTTTGAGCTATTGCATGGTTCTCGGGTCCGCGGTATCCCGTAGGACCAGCAGTCGGGTCCCAGATGGGGAGGCCGTCTGGCGGTTGTGCCCCACCCCTGGGCAGGCCGTGTCCGTAGTCCGCAAGGTTTCCATTAATCCCAACCACTGCCCATGCAAAAACTGCTACGTCTCGAATCGATCGCATTAATTCTGAAATTTGTTAGCTTCCCGTGCCCTTTAAGCTGGATTGTCTGGCCAAAATGACGCGCATACTCCGGGACCGAGGCCATCAGGAAAGACATGGGTAGACGGTGGCCAATTTGAAGAAAGAAAGCACAGTACATACGATCAAGAGGAGGCCCCCCCGCCGCCTTCACGTTTTCTCGTAGCGGCATATATTGAGGGAGGAATGGCGAGCGGAAATTGTAGAGGAGTTCGGGAGCAATAGAAGGCTCGATGGGTATTAAGCCCCATGGGGCCGCAAAGAGGCCATTCTCAAACGTGAACGCTGGTAGCAGGGGCGGGTGAGGAGCGGGAATGGGTGGCCGTGCTCTGCGAAGCACGACGACTAGCCCGTCCGAGGTACATGACACCACTGCTTCCAGTTCAAAACTTGGGGTAGGTTCCCTTTGCTGACGCCGGCGACGAGATAATGGCGGCTGTGCGTGCACCGTGTCGTTGAGGGACTCGGGTGTAAGAGGTGCTTGGTACGCTCGAGACCGAGGAACACCAGCACTAGCTCCTACCCAGTTGAAGTTTGAGCGTGTGCTAGAGGACCTGCTAGCTCCAACTTCTGGGCCGCTAACACCGTCGAGGTCCGACTCATCATCGATATCCATATGGTTGTTCGGAGAATGTGATGAAGTTGCACTAGAGCCACTGGCTAAACTGCTATCTTCACCGTCGACATGGTCTTCACTGTCGTCCTCATCGGAATCATCCTCGCTATCGGCGTCGTGGTCCCCTCTGTCCTCTTCCTCCTCCTCGTCATCATCGTCGGTGTCCCTGATACGTGGGTCTTTGAACCAGAAGCGAAGGTAGGCAATAGACTCGTTGGCCTTTGCACTCTCCAAGCATTGCTGGGCGTCTTCCAGACAATTGGGCTGTATACAATCGTAAAACGGGCGGTCCTTGATGTCATCAGGTTGCAAGCCTAGTATTGAGGCAACAGAACTAGTTGCAAACATTATGCTTAGGTTCAGAGTGAAGCGGTTCAGTATGAGCGCAGCACGAGGCTCGCGCTCCATCGAAGGCATCCTGAATTTGGGCGACAGATGCTCAAGCATGTGGTACCGAGGATCGAGCGGCGAGCTTGAGAATATACGCCGCACTTGGGGCGCTTCCAGTGCCCTTCCTATGTTACGGTCAGCGCCGTGAGAGGACGGGATGGAGCCACGGATGCCATACTCTCGCTCTTCTCCCCCCTCAAGTAGATGCTCGTGCATGCTACCAGCACATCATGGACAATGGTGAAGCAGCATTCGCAGCTCACCCATCGGCCGTCCCTCGACAGAATACGTGCATAGTGGAGGACGGCGGCCTTGTCTAACAAAACGCCTCTGCGGTGGACAGACCGTGCCAAAGGCACCTCGTCCGGGTGGAAGTAGTCAAAACTTGATTTACCTTGGACCTCGTCGGGATGATATCCAAGGATGTCGAGGATCGAGTCAGATGCAAACAAGATATTGGCCTCTGGTGTAAGGTCTGTGGCAGGGACGACGTCAGCCCAAGGCCCGTGTCATAAAAAGGCGAACTTGTCCAGCTACCTAGACAGACGGAGCCAAGATGACCGTCTCTACTTACTATGAATTGTCATAAACGTCTGGTCTCGCGGGTCCATCAGGGCTGATTATGGTAGCCGCTCCAACGAGCTGGCCTGTAGTTTGGGGAATTTGTTATTAGGGTCCCTCCATGCATTGGAAGGGGCTGTCAAAATGGGGGGACTCGGACTCTGACGGACGGACAGCCAGCCGGTCAGTCAGTCGAGCAAGCAATTAGTCTCAGGGATTCGCCAAACCAAAGCGGCACGGAGAGGGAAACGTTTCTCCCATGGACGGACGGTAGGACACGGCAATGCCGACGGGCGGGTGAGTGATGCCGGGGTTGACAGACAGATCAAGCCAGGCGAGATGGCGGGTGAAGCGAGGAGTCAGTAGTCACGAGGCGACAGGTTTTGGTTCGCCGCGACGGACGGTGTAGTTGCGTTGCGTTGCGGTCCTCCGGCTGATGCGTGCTTGTCGGTAGCCGGGCGGTGTAGGACAAGATGCGGCCGTCACGTTGGGACAGATATATGAGTCTCACCCTCCAGGGCCTGGCGAGAGGCAGAGCAAGAGCAGGGCGCCGATGAGGGAATCGGCAGGCTGCAGGGTTCGCTGGCAGGAAGCCGTCGTCGTCTCTTTTAGGCTTGCATTGCAGACACAGTCTTGTAGACGCGTGCAATGTCGTACAGCGGACACAATGTCGTCGGTTTGGCCCAAGCAAACCCAAAGATGCGGTCGAGAGTGGCACCTAAGTAAGGTAAGGTAATCCGTGCGGGCTATGTACGGTATGGCTGGCTGTCCTCCAGTGGCTGCTAGAGATGGGTATGCGGGGTGTGCGTGTTGCGCGAGCGATGGCGGGAGAGGGGGAAATGCCCTTCAATGAAACCTTGGGCATAGAGCAGCCCTTAAGGCAGTGTAGTGTAGATGACGACCTGTTTGCTGCTTGCCGGTTGGGGCGATGGGAGCAAGATGTTGGCGGACACAGAGATCGGTGATGCTCGAAGCGTGACGGGGAGGGGCAGCAGCCGCCGCCGTGGCTCGTACGTTGCTCTCCCGGTTAGAATTGCTGTGGTTATTTGGCCCGAACTGGACCTGGGCTTGCTTGTTCTATGTATCTCCAAAAGGTACGAAGTACGGAGTAGGTAACCAAGGTACGGAGAAGGTTGGTTGTAGGTACTGTATGCACGGACTTGAACTAGGCGGGAACTAAGGCAGTTAGTTCTAGTTCTAGGTCTAGCTTGCAAGGCGACGCACGGCAGCAAGCGGGCGACCCCGAGCACCAAAATCCAACAAGAGCCAGGCAGTTGAGCTGGTCAGCGGGTTGGTGTTGGCGTTGGCGGGGTCGCTGATCAAACGGAAAAAGGCAACCTTGAAGGTACGGGTATGGAATGTACTGCAGGTCGAGCGAGCTTTTCACTGTTAGGGAATATGCCTGATGGGTGAAGCGGCAACAGGCGATCCTCGGCAGAGCAAGTGGAGGAAAATGGGCCGAGCCCGAGCCCGAGCTTAGTCTAAGCCTGAGCCTAAGGGGTACAGTGGAGGGCGGTAATAATTGATATCCCTCCCCCGACTGGGGATTCCAGAACCCACCATGAATCCCGACAAGGAAGGCACGAGCGTTCAATCACTCCACGCTGGCGCTACCTTAGCTACCTTAGCTAGAGGCTGGCACCCACTCTCCCTGGCCTTAGGGAGACGGCCGCGCATCAATATTCTTACAGCTGGCTGCTGCTGTCGCTGCTGTCGCTGCTGCGGAAGCAATCCATCAATCTCCGGGTGCATGGATGCCCAGCCAAGGGCCAAATCCTTCCCACCAGCTGCCGACGTGAGAACCTAAATCTAGACTACGAAGGCGGATCACGACGCTACCTTGGCTAAGGTACATACTACATAGCACTCCGTACTCGGTAGCTGTGGAAGCTGCCTCCCTCATGTAGCCGGGCAGATAGGATTGATTGGGCGGTTCGCAGGGGTCTTGGGATTTTGTTTGGTTTCCGCCTCTTTGACAGTGGAATGTAGGAATCGATTCCCATTGGGCACGGTCGCCTGGATCAGCTCAAGCGGGTGACGATCACGGTCTGTTCGTGCTTTGGAAGCATCGTCTGTAGCAGTCAAAGGGGAACCTGAATGGATGGTGGTGGAACAGACTTCTCGGCTTGAGAAACAAAATTGCAGAATGACAGGTGTCTCTTCATCTCGTCTGCAGGCCCGGACGGAACAAGATTGGAAGCCCGACAACGTCTCAGAACCGAAATCGATCAAGGATCCAATGGCAAGGCTGTCCAGAACGTCTATCAAAATGTTTAGCGAAAAGTGGGCTTCGTCTCTGCTTCCTCTTAGGGAGCGGGAACGATTAACCCGGAATGGCAGAGAGCGAAGCTAAGCTCGGCTAATGGGGCCCTGCTTCTTCCTACTGCTTGGAGGGAACGATTACCTATCACCTATCTAAGTCTACGTCTGTGTGGCCTCTGAGAATGCGTGTGCCGAGCGGAGCGCGCTCCGAATGAGCTTTTAGTGCTTCTTAGGGATTGTCCTGTATCCAATTGGCCCCCCACAAGGAGCTTTAACCTTTCTGACGCGGGCCGCACTTGCATTCGTCTTCGTTATCAACGCCATTGGCAACTACTGTACACACATACGGAGTATTCGACGAAGTAATTGCACTGCTGATAAACATTGCGTAGGCCGCGAAGACGACCTCAAAAAGACTCTACGTATTCTGCAACAACGGCGAGAAACGCGCAGCCATTCCCCCCTTGGTCGCTCGCTCTTGCTCAATGGAGCAGGGAGTACGTCCGTAGAGAGCCGCCGTTTGGTGGGTGCGGAAGTCTCTGGCAACATTTGACCTGCCGTGAAACAAACACGAGGCCGTCTATGATGGACATCCATGATGGACATGCGGACATGGTGTTGGTCCGCACACTCGCTTCAAGCCCTTCTGGTCGTCACACTTCCCCAGCTTAGGCCAGGTGCTGGAAGGCGGAGGTGCGACTGACGCCACAAGCCGTCGATGCCCACACGATTGTCATGGGATTGGGATCGCTCGCCGGGCATTGGACTATAGGCTCATCGTCTGTCGGGAGCTGCTCCTGTTATCAGATTGCTGGAAGAACACTTTCCAGCAGAGGCAGCTGTCACAACCACCTCTCCTCGAGCAAGGGGGTTGGCGATCGGTTGGAGGGCATGTGGTGCGTTTCACGGTGGGGCGGGAAGCATCCATCCTGCTGTCTTACTGCCATCCCACGTTCCCGTTCCTCGAGGAGAGAGAGCGACGCCAACAGCCAGGCTAAGGCCAATGCCCGAGCTACAGAAAGGGTAAAGAAGCTGTTGTGGTCGAGGTGGCCGTCTTTGGTGGGCATGGCCGTTCTCGTTAATCTCCATCACAATTTACTCCATAATCGCCAGCGACGCCCAGTTACACGGCCCACGTGCTCGGTAATGTACAGTACGGGGCTCGCTCGCGATGGGGTGGCTGCCTGAAGCTGACATTTGACAGCGGATGTTACCTGTCGCTGTGAGGTCGTCGAAGATCTTGTCAAGCCAAGAGACGCAAGCCATGGCCGACCTCGACGGCCTTGCTCTGGCCCTCGAGGCTCGAGCAGATGTCGGAAGCCGAAAAGAGCAGCTCATGTGCATGACAAAAGTCTTGGCGTGGGGTTGGGCTTCGGCGGGGAGGGGTGGTGCCCTGCCGCCTCGACACCCTGGCGGCAGTCTCCGGGGATTTTCTCGTCTCAACAATGGACACCCATTGCAGCACCCAATGGTGAAGGGAATACGGATTGCCTTTCTAGTGCGTGCCTCAATGCTGGAGGGTGCGCAGAAATGGAATCAAGCACTGGCATTTGGATTGTATAAGAAAAACGCAGGCAATGGAATACGTAGAGTGATCAGTGGCAGGCCGTGAACTATCGGGCCATGTTTGTATAACATTCTGGCACTGTGCACGGTGATAAGTTCCTTTTTCTCTCAACAAAGGACTCGTGAGCGTGAAAACGAATGTGGAGGTACTAAACCCGTACAGTGCCCTTCCGTTCAAAACTTCAAACAGACTCCACGTCGAGCTGGACGTCGGCGTGCCGTGCCCAAGGCCCTCACAAATAAAACACTGCAGACGTATTCCGTTTGTTTGGGCTTGTTCCCAAGTTTGCATGTTTCCAAGATTTGCATGTAACTAATTCTGTCGTTTGGTTACGTAGTATATATAAATTGGGGATGCTTTCATTCGGTAGCCTAGAGTGTATCTGTAACCTGATACCTACTCAGGCTAGGGTAATCCGTACAAGAAAATTCAAAATCGCGTCGCGTTACGCGTCTGTGCACATCCATCATCACCGCCCTTGAAGCCAATCTGAGCCAAGCCAAGCCAACCACAACCACCCAATCTACACAAACAGCCTTGTTTGACGTCGACCACTATTCGGGGTATCTGACAGACCGACACACAGCTCGAAGTAGCCTCACCTCAGTTGGGCCTGGCCGATTGATTGATTGACCTGACAGGCTGCATCTTAGACTGCGTATCCGTACGGTAGACTGCTGAAGCTCAGCAGGGGGCACATTACTGGGCCAGGTATAGTACATTACATTACAGAGGGTGTTTGTTCTTCACCGCACCATCGCCCCGAAATCTAAATCATCCATCGCACATTTCTCTCATCTCCAAACCGCTTCGGACGAGGCTTGTTTGGTCTTTGATCCCAACTGGGGCGGACCCATTGAACTCCCCCGCCTCTGCCTCGGTGAGTTCCAGTTGGTTACATCATCCGAGATGCGGCGTTTAGAATTTCCGACTTCGACACCGAAACTGACACCCCTCCAGGAAAAAAATAAAGAGGCATTTGAGAGAGGGGGAAAAGGGAGCAATGTCAAACGAGTGGGAGCTTCCCAGGCTTCGTGCATCCTTCATACTGCAGGTATGTTGCCGTGCTGCCCCGCCCCCCAAAAAGAAAACCAAAGAAAGAAAGAAAGAAAGAAAAAACACCATCGCGGAGGCCAGGATTGCGGTATTGTGTGTGCCAGTCCGTGGCGCCCGGCGAATGGCTGTGTGTGCTCATCTCCACGGTCTAATAGGATGACTCAAAGACTCCCACAGATGCCGATTCACCAGCCCAGGGTATGTCTATGTCTATCTCTTCGCCTCCATTGTGACTGCCATGCTAACATGCCCCTTCTGCAGAGTTCTTCGACATAAAGTTCTACCCCTACAATCCTGCCGGTGCCAGTCCCATCTTTGGCGCCGTGAGCAAGAAGCATGTAAGTGGTCAACCTCCTCCCTCTTGTCCCTGCTTGAGGACAGTGACGTTTAACTCTTGTGCGCAACTCCCCAAAAGGTGGTTATTTGTCGCCTCCCGCCTGCCAGCGATAAGGATCCAGTCAATTGCGAGATTCTGCTCATTATCAGAGACGGGGATGTAAGTATCGGAAAGAAAGAAAACACCATGCGCCGAGGCCCGCCCGAATAGCCTGCTAATACTGTTCCCAGGAAGACGGAAGCAACCACGCCTGTTGCTGGTCAAGGGACCCCGAGACTGGACACCCCTGGATCCTCGTTGCTGGTGATGATGCCAGGATCAAAGTGTACGACGTGAAGGAAGGAACGCTCATCAAGGTATGAACACTTGGTTCGGTGCTGCCTGTAGGGAAAACCGACAATTGACGTTTTCCTATGTAGACACTTGTTGGACATGGTGACGTGAGTTAACAATCTAATCTCCCCAGGTTCTCTCAATGATAACTTCTTAACTCAGCGATATCCAGGGAATCAATGACCTCGCCACATCGCCAATGAACCCTCTGATTATCGCCTCAGCTGCAGATGACACCACGATCCGCATATGGAGCCTGGCATCTGCTCATGCGCAGCAGCCGTGCGTTTGTCTGCTTGGCGGTGAGGGCCATGTCTGGGACCTTTTGAGCGTTGTAAGTCTAAGCTCCGCCCAGAAAAGTTGCTCGTGATTGCTGACGCTTCTCCAAGAATTTCCACGATTCAGGACGCTACGTCTTGTCTTCAGGACATGACCAGGTCATCAATCTCGTAGGTCCCTAAGTACCACACGGCCAAGGCCCTTCGTCTAACTCGTCGATGTAGTGGACTGTCCCGGAAACCTCCAACGAGCATGTCGAGGTCCCTGCCGTCGTCCATTACCCGCACTTTTCCACGTCAGAAGTCCACAACAACCTCGTAGACTGGTGAGCTGGCCTACGGATCTAACCCTTCCACATGACGACTAGAGCCTAACATTGAGCAGTGTCGCCTTCTATGGAGATCTCATCCTCTCGCGAGCCTGCCACGAGGACTCGATTGTTCTGTGGCGCATTGAGGGCTTCTCGTCAGACGACCCGCCGCCGACTGCCGCGCAGGCGCCAACAACGTACGATCCTAGCAAGAAGACGCGTTCGGCGTTTGGGTCCACGCTGTCGCCGGCGCAGCCCGCCCACTTCACGCGTCTGATGACGTTCCACACGGCTGAGTGCAAGACGCAGTTCTTCCTGCGATTCCGCATGTTCCACGCGCCGGGCCGACACCCGGTGCTAGCCTTTTGCAACGCCAAGGCCAAGACTATGTTCTGGGATCTGGCGCGCTTTACGGCGTATAACGAGTTCATGGAAGGCCTCAAGGCGCGGCAGCGGAGCAAGACGGCGGCGGCGCTGCCCCCTGTTGAGAAGCCAGCCTGGCTGCCGGCGAAGAAGGCGCCCGCCAAGAAGCCCGACACAGCGACAACGACGCTGCGCCACGCCGCGGCCGCCGCCGAGACGGAGTCGCCCAGCCCCGACCCCGAGAACCTGACCAGCCTGGGCGGCTTCACGCAGAAGACGCTCAATGAGTGGACAGAGATGTATGACACAACCAACTCGCACGGCCTGATCAAACCCCATAAGACAGGGTCTGTAGATGGAGGCTTGTTTGTGGGTAGGCAGGTCGGCTGGAGCCCCGAGGGCGACTATTGCATCGTCGTCGGAGCCGGCAACCGCGTCCTCATCTTTCAGCGATGGGGCAAGGACCAGAAGGCGTCCACGCCGGGCGTTTGAGCGCGCTGGCTCTTTTCGGCTTGGCTGGTGGTCATGTTTTTACTCGTTGGTTGATTAGGGGAAGGTAGATGGCGCGAATGCGGAAAATTGGGCGGCCGGGCGGGCACGCCCATGTCCTTTTTTTTTTTTTTACAGATAGCTACACGTATTTTACGTAGTGCTTCATTGCGAAGAATGAGTTGTCTGTTGCAGACACAGCGTAGTAGAAACCAGACACTGTGCCTACGTGTGTGTGATCTCATGTCTCTTTCGTTCTCTCTACCTCATCTCATAGGCAGCGACGAGTACATGACCAGTCCCTGACCCTCTCCTGATCCTTCTCCTCCTTCATCCTCGTCCTCGTCATCGTCCTCTTCCTCATCAGACCCAAGCTCGGCAAGCATCTCCCGATCCTCCCTCAGCTCCAGCTTCCCGCCGCAGTCCTCCCTAATCTGCAGCAACAGCTGCCGCGCCTTGGCACGCTCACGGTCGCGCGCCCGCCGGCCCTCTCCTCCATCGTCATCGCCTGATACACGGTCCACCGGCACGCTCAACGCCCCCGTGTGCACTGCCACCGCGGCCCGCACCCGCATCAGCTCGTGCTCCGTCGCGTACGGCGCCGCCTCCATGCGCTCGTCCATGCGCCGCGCCAGGTCGCGCATGCGCTCCAGCGCACCGAGCCGCTGCCGCTCCTGCTGCCGCCGCCGCTGCTTGTTGTTGTTGTTGTTGTTGTTGTTGTTGTTGTTGTTGTTGTTGTTGTTGTGTTGGTGAGGATTTGAGCGCGGCTGGTGCGACGGTGGTGGTATCCCGTCCTCGCCATCGCCGTCGAATTCATAGGCCGGGTGGTACTGGAACTGCATCTGTGTCTGCGTCTGCGGCTGCGAGTAGTGCCGGTCGACGTCCATTGCATCGTCGTCGTCATCATCATCATCGCCACTGTCGTATGCCCCCTGCTGGAGCAGCCGCCGCGCGCCGCGCCCGTACTCGGCCCACACGCTGCGCAGCTCGCACTCGAACAGCGGCGCGTAGAAGTGCAGCGCGCTGACGCTGCGCGGGTGCAGCCGGCTGTACGGGTACTGTTGGATCAGCGCGCTGTAGTACGCCTGCTGGCGCGCCACGCACGCGCGCAGCCGCCCTTCCCTCTCACTCTCCTCGCCGTCATCATCATCATCATCATCATCATCATCATCATCATCATCATCATCATCATCATCATCATCATCATCATCCTCAGCAGTAGAGGCGGAGGCAACCCGCTCCGCCTCTCGCCGCAGCACCTCCCCGCCGAGCCGCCAGTACCCGTCGTACCGCAGGTCGACCCGCGGCCCGTACACGCGCGCCCGCGCCAGCAGCCCGAACGCTCGCCGCGCGCCGCTAATGTCGTCCTCGCCTAGGCACCGCGCCACGGCCTCCTTGAGCCACGCCACACGCTTAGCGTAGGCCTGGGCTTTACGGTGGCCGCCGTCGCCGCCGCGACTGCCGCTGCGGCGCTGGTCGGTGTCGTTGTCAGTTTCTGCGTCTGTTGTGGGTTGCTGGCGTTGTTTCTGGTGCTGGTGGATGGGAGAGGCGTCATTCTTGAGGCTGCCGTCATTGCCGTAGCTGTCGTCGCTACCGAGCTCGCCGCTGCCGAGCTCGCTCTTGACGGCGACGTCGTCTTGGTCGTGTTCGTCGTTGTCTTCATCTCGCGGCAGCGGCCGGTGCGGAAACCCGGGGAACAGCTGCGACGGCAGCGGCGAGTCGTGCGCGAGCCCCGCGACGACAAACTGCTTGAGCGTGCTGGGGCGGTGCGAGAGCGGGTTGATGACGGCGTTGGGGCCTGCAGTTGCTGTTGCAACTGAAGGTGTTGAGAGGGCGCGTTTGCGCTTGCGCTTGCTGCTTTTGCGGTGCGGCGGCGGTTGCTGCGACATCTTTTCTCGCTATGTTTTTTTTAATGTGGTCAATGCAGCTTTTGCGAGTAAATAACTGCGGATTTCTGTAGATGCGAGTGTAGTGATTTAGGTTGTGGCTAGCAATCGTTCATCATGAGCGTGGTGGAGGGGCAAAGAATCTAAAGTTTTTTTAGAGGTGAGAGGCAATTGTAGGTTGTGTAAGAGGAGACGCTGGTTCTCAGGCCAAAAATTGCCGGTTATGCTCCATAGGTAAAAGAGAAATAACAATGAACCACAACTAGTCTGAATTCTCCCAGTTTATGCTTAAACATGAATTCGCAGAGCATGCTTTCCCCTTTGAGCGGCAACTTCATGGCGTCAAGTCCGATAGTTGTGTCGTGAAGCTGAGATTTACGGTAACATGAAAAATTCACACATTCTCGACCATATTACAGCCCCAGGCCTCGGGAAGGGCAGACGTCTATCTGCACCTGCGACAAGTCTAGCTTTTTGTGCGTGTGTATGCGTGTCTGTGCATATGTACAACTCCGTGGTGATATGCTATACACCTGCTTCTATCCCCATATCCATCCCCATCCACCCTGCGTCTCATCCCTACTGTTTCCGCTCAAAGTAGGCCCACTGCCCCTCGGCGGGCTGCTCTTCCAGGCTCTCCCAGCTAGATGGTCGGCCATTCTGCGTCAGTAAACTTAACTTGGGTAATGGACAAGCGGTCGGAACTTACGGCCTCGACTGCAGCATGATGTCCACCAGCTTGAGCTCCCCCTCGGCGACCTGGACAACTTCCTCAATCAGGCCAGCACCAATCTTGGTCTCGAGCTCAGAGATTCTACCACCACCACAAAACAACGTTAGCATTTTGGTCTTACTCAACGCAACACACCAGATCAGAGACCAACGCACTGATCAGCCGTCAACTTCGGCTCGGGCTCCCAGGCGACCTTTTCGGACTCGCTGGCGGCCATGGCCTCCTTGCCAAGCTTTTCGGCCTCCGCAAAGTCGTTCCTTATGCCCTTGAGAGTTTCGATGAACTCTTCGGTAGTATGCTCGTCGGCCCAGTCTTGAATGTACTCAATGTGCTTGGCGGTGATCTTGCCCTCCTCGGTGGCTTGCGCGTTGCACAGGGCCGCGAGGCGGTCAATGTACTCTGTGACAGGCTTTTTGGCGTACTCATTGTTGATGGCTCCGAGGTCCTCGGCGCTGATCATGCCCATCTCGGTGAGCGAGGCGAGGCGTTCGAGGGCCTGCCGGGTAGAGAGGAAGTCGCGCTCGAAGTTTGTGAAGTCGCGGGTGCCGGCGACGGCGCCGTCCCACTCCTCCAGGCGTTGGTCAACCTCGTTGGGCAGGTGGCGGACGACAAATTGGTCGCTGCCCTCTTCAGAGACGTCGCTACCGCCTTCAACGACATCGCTGCGGATTCCAACGACGAAGTTAGCGGCGTTGTTGGCGCTGGCGGTGCCCTGGAAGTGCTCTGGGTGCTCCTCGATCAGCTCCGCGGCACGCTCGGCCCAGGCTTCGTAGCCCTCGGGCTCGACGCCTTCGACGAGGCTGAGGCGGTGGCGTGTCACGGCCTCGACTGACTGGCGGTACAGTGAGTGCTCGGGCACGTCCTGCAGCTTCACGAGCGTCGTCTGGTAGAGGAAGAGCAGCGTCGATCGCGGCGACGCATGTGTCCTGAGCCCCGTCAGCCCTGTCGGCGTGCTCGCCTCCAGGTACCGCGCCGGCTTGACGCTTGCGAGCAGGCGGAGGGTCCGGCGCATTGTTGCGGTGCGGTGCGGTGCTGTGCTTTGCTCTGCGGTGCTGTGCTTTGGGTTGCCGAGGATGAGGTCGGGTGGGTTGTGGTTTCAATGCGGCCAAAAGCTTCCCGCCGACGGACCTTCGCTAAACGTCCGAGCTTCGGCTGCAATTCCATTCGCCAATTCGCCAATCCAATCCTGCTTGGGCACCTCAGGCCGGTCTACCTTAGCTATCTATAGTAGGTAACATGTCACGTGAAGCGCGGGGTGTGGGACGAAACAGACACGGTTAATACCCTAACCCTCACATCATGTATATCCGTAATTACAGGTACTGTAACCAGTGTTGAAAGGATAAATATGGGTGTTCTCCGTATATCACGGCCTCAATTGCCTCAACGGATGCGAAGCATTCCTCTATATCCCACAGTATTCGCAAACACGGTGCTGGGAAAGGCGCTCCCACCTCTCCTCATTTGGTTTAGCGCGGCCCTTCCATTAACCCCACGACTCTACATCCTTCAGCCCAAATGTAAATAAGAATCTCTCCCCCCCAGCGTCTCTTTCTTGTACTCTTGACCTTTTGTCCTTCTCATATTCTTCGCAATTACACCGGCATGTAACACAGCAGCCGCACTTATAATCCTTCATTTCGCTATATCTCCATCCGTTCTCGTTCTCTCTCATACCCCTCGTCACATCGCACCGTCGTTGTCGTCTATCCTCACTACCCGGTCCACCCACCCTTCTATTCAGCGCACCTCGTCGCACTACTTATCATTCTTCGGAATCCCGCGACACCTACCATTTCATCTAGATGCCCGCTCGACTCTGGCCCTCGCTAACCTAGGCTGAGCGGCGAGGCTTACCGTATTGAGCCTTGCGCCTTCTTGCTCGCGCATTTCCTCTCTATATTATATCCTCATAAGGCCGTCGCTACGTCTACCTAGGGCGTCTGCCATGGGGAATCCTAAGCGCAGCCCACATCGCCCAGCCCCGCTCACCAGTCGCCAAAATACCGCATATATCGATAGCATCAATAATCCATACATTTGACTAATTATTGGTGAAAACAGATGCACCTTGTCGAAGTAGATATCGATCCTGGGAGAGTGAACAACATGACACTAGGTGACGTTGTTAACATCGTACACAGGTTAGATACAGCTTATCACTTATAAGGTCCTGACTGTGTCACAAGTCGTCGGTTCCAACGGAACTTGGTCGGTAGGCTCTGTGCCGGCCTCTGTGTCGTGGCTGTGGATAGGTTGATCAGGTCCAGCAGACGTGAGATTATCTTGCTGCTGATGCTCTCGTTGGGTCGTGACGGCCGCTTTCAGCTCATTGATCTGGGTTTGAAGGCGGTCTGGGGGAGCGCTGTCAGCAATCAACTGGACTGATTGGGGGGAGCGCCAGTTGGGCCAGTGGCCAACCTACCCAACATGGCGTCAAGATCCTGGACCCGTTTTCTTCGGCCCGGTGCATTCTTCTGCTTCGAGCCGGGATATCGGCACGACTCGCCTGGCTTCCGAGATCGATCGCATCGAGGCCAGGCTCAGTTGCATTTCAGCTTCTTGTCGCGGCACCCAGAGCAAGACAACAGCACCCCTGGCGGATCGCTGGTCCTTGAGCCATCTCCGATCCGGATGGGCATTGTGATCGTCGCCGCTGCTATTGTCAGTGCTCATTCTGATATTACTTTTAAACGAGCGGCATGGGTAAGGAAGGTAAGGTAGTCTAATTGAATTGACTTTAGTAGGCTGCGTTAGGAGCTATAGCTAGAAACGGGCGAGAGAGAATGTCTGCTTATAAATGGGAGCTTCCAGGTCAACCACAAGCTTATTGCCTTGCAAGGCAGCAAGGTATCCCCGGTACACCTCTTCGGAAGTTGGAAGGAACCGGTTGAAAGCTCGGATCAAATTCTCCGCGGATTCGGCCGGAGACTATGAGTCCCCCCCATCTACAGCCATGCCTTCATTTTGGGTTAGAGACGCGGGAGGGACTTCGGCTGCGGGTATACTATCGGGACACTACCCCAAGTCCTGTGGCTGACGTCCGATTTCCTAGATGCCGAGCTCCCCTTCCCTACAACGCCCGATAGTGCGAGGGAGACGAAGAAGTTTGACCACATCTCTAGGTATCCGTGAGATAAGCTAGCTAACCTGCCTTGGGAGTATTAAAGGATCACGTTGGCCGGTTGGTTCCCCAGTTTAATTACGACCTCAGGTTTCGATAGCATAAAGCGACTCAAGGATATTTACGTCGAAGCCTCTTGGCGGATGACTATGCTGTCTCTATAAGTACAGGACTTTGGTACTCAACTCGACGTTTCACAACCTCTAAGCAATATATGTAGTGAGAGATACTAGTTTCTGGGCTCTAAATCTATCAGCCAAGTCCGCTGGCCGAAATGCTCGACTCGTCTATTAAGAGGGCTACGAAATCTCCTGAGTATAATTCCACCTGGCCATTATCTTTCCATCACTCTTCAAACTTTCACTCTCACAAACACCTACACACTCTTCCACCCGCAGCTCCACCATGAAACCCTCTGACCTCGTCGCAGCGGCCCTATTCGGGCTCGCCTCAAGCTACCCAGCTCTCCAAATCAGCAAGTCCAACGTCACTGTCTCCTGGGCCGATGCCGCGTCGGCCGACGGCTGCCGCTCCTGTGAGCCCTTTGACAACTGCCACTCGTCCTTGTCGGGCAACTGCCCCAAAGGCCATCTCGTGGCTAAGGACAATAACTGCCGTGCCACGTTTGCCTACGAGGACAACGTCAAATTTGGTGGCACTGGCTGCTGGAATGTTAATACGGGACATAATTGGGTTTCTGGCTGGCCGTGTTTTGGCAGTTGAGTGTTAAGCTGGGGAGATATTAGGAGAGAAAGTCTACCCGGACTGTAGAAAACGTCTATTCGGACTGTAGTTTTCTAAAAGTATATCGAAATCCATGCCAAGCCACTAGCCCAGCCAAAAATGGATTTTCCCCGCTAAGAATAATAGATTAATGGGCGCTTCGCTCGCCCTGGATCGTAGGTTCAAATACGCAAGGCGCTTCCTCAAACCCTTCTACTTTAACTTCATTTTTAAAGGTTCCTCTTAGCCCCACACCCCTCCCCCCTGCACCAGCCAATCAGAACCCCCCAAAAATAAAGCTGCAGAATGGTCTGAGATCAAGTAGATGTCGAAGGTCTGTTTGTGTGGGAGGTTGCCCGACAACCCCGCCAATTCCGTTGTCGGCCTTGACATCGCTCAAAACCAGCAGGTCCAACTTGCAACGCGCGCATCGCAACAATAAGGCATCGCATCAATATAAAAATACATAAAAAGTATTGGGATTATTGAGGGTTTCAATTTGGTTTTTTTTTTTGCAAGGTTGTAAGTCCTATTATTGTGGATTCATAGCCAAAAAAGTGTTTTGTATTACGATGCTGCTACAGACAGTATAATTCCACTAACTCCCCCACTATTCCTAGCCCCTTGGGGTGCGTATACAGCCGCTGCAGCCGCTGCAGCCAGTGCAGCCAGTGCAGCCAGTACAGCCACTATATGGGCCTCTTCCGTCGAGATCTAATAAGCTTCATAACCTTGTCAAGAGATGCAGAGCCTTTCTCACGATCCATCTCCCTTGCTACCTCGTACTCTGTAACGCCTTTGGCTGCAGCACGCCGAGCTACCTCGTCAACAATAACCTTTCGTGTTGAGTAAAATGCTTTCTCTGAGACAGGCCTCCAGCGGGCACCCCATCGTTGATCAAGAGAGCTAACAGAGGGCATACCTGCAATACCCTCGTGCCAGATCTGAACAAGCTCTGCAATCGACGTCGTATTCCGTGGAAGCTGATAGAGTTGTAGAGGCCGGTCAGTAGACCGTGAGCTTAATGTAACCGGCTTGAGCGGAGAGCGTGCTGGCTGGCCTAATACTTGTGGGAGAGGAGGTGTAATAGGCTGTGGAGGGGAGCCTTGCCCTTGCCCTTGCGTGTGATACTGGAACTGCTGCGAGGCATGCCTGCCAGTAGGAGTAATAGAGATGTTCCAGCTAACCTGGCTGAAATCGTCAACCTTCCTCTCTAGGCGCTCCAGGCGTTCGATAACCTCGTGATACCTCTGTATACTAAGGCGGTCGGTAGTCGAGAGCTGTGCGGCTAAGGTACGGAGCTTTTCCGAGATAGCAGGAATGGCTTTCTCAATCGCTATGTGATGGGGGTCTTCCTGTATATCACAACTAACCTCTCGTACACGGGCAGCAAAAGCTGAGAACTCGAGCGAGTGAAAGATAGAAGACTGGAAGATCGGGTGATCTGGGAACTTGGCCATAAGGAAAGGGGCATCTTGAAGCAGGATAAGGCGTAGCCAGTCAAGCAACTCAAGAAATGCCCCAGCGGCCTTGTTCTGCTCTGCTTCTCTGGACTCAAGTCTGGCCTTCCAACTATCCACCTCAGGCCATATTGCAGCGATTAGGCCAGGTGGTGGTATAACGGTAGCTCGTGGGATATAGTATGCGCCTGGCCAGTCGGGATCGAAATCGGCAGTTGCCCTCATAAACTCGCGTGGTAAGGAGGTTAGATAACAGCCAGTCATCTGGTCGCTATTAGTCCAGCGGCCAGCACGACGGATACTAGCCTCTGATACACCAGCGAGGTCTGCGTTCTGAGAACTAGCTATACGAGGCGCATGTAAGGCCTTCGAGGTATTAATACCACACTTCTCGTAAATCCGCCTAGTCCAGGAATTGGCTGTTTGTGGAGAGAGCTGAGTAACTAGGCTTTCCTTCGACTGGCGGAGGACCTTAATATCGTACCAGTCCTGGCTCTGAGTAAACCGTGGGAACGGCTCACCCTCACACTGCCAGCGCCAAAAGAACCAAAAAGCAAGGGCGCTTATAAGGCAGGCCATCGGATCTCGGTGGCGGAGAGCGGCACCGTATTCCATCCGTCCATGCTGGTTTGTCTTCCCTTGGCGCATCAAGATGACAAGGGCCTTGGTCGGATACGGATCCTGAGACCTCTGTATGCCCTCGTTCTGGAGGTCGAGGCAAAAACAGTCAGGGAGCTCGATCGGGAGGCGATTACTTGATCGTAGAAGCATATGGTTTCCAAGGAGGAAGTCGACTTGCGTTCGGAATGCACAGCCAATAGCCTTCCGCTCTTGCCAGACGATAGTAGTGTGATCGAGGATCTGTAATGGTAGGTATGCGTCCTTAATCGTACCCTCGCCCCGATCAGCTCGCTCGCTCCGCTTCCGTGCCCAAGTCTGGCGGAGGATATTCCCTTTAAGAGCCTTGAGAGCGATGCCTTGGGGCCGCGGTGCTGGATTCTGGCCCCGTGTTTTCTGCTCCTCGTAGAGACGTTGGATAGCTGAGATATAGCTCCTTACAGAGTTGTATTGGAGCTTCAGCCGTGAGGAGATAAAGCCCTCGCCATCTAAGTCTGGCTCGTAATAATCAGACTCGTCAGGATCGAGCTGTGCGGCGGCAGCCTGTCGCTTCTGCTCCGCCGCGAGCCTTTTCCCCGTACGGGGCGCCCGCTTTGCGATTGCCGTCATAAATAACAGAAGCTTCCCTTCGTCAACGAGATCACCCGGCAGGGGCGAGCCATCCCAGGGGACCCAGGCCGACCAGCCTGGAGGAATAGGCGGATAACGTGCCGCGCACCAGTCTCTCCATTCTTGTTGCTTCGGCGCGTAGGCCCTCGTCGTATTCCTCGGTTGGTGGAGTGACTGATCGAGGAGGAGCTGCTCAACAACGGCCCTGACGCCAGGGTCTTGATCCCACGCGTTATTTTCGACCTTGGCCGAAGGCGTGGGCAGGGCGGCGAAGGTCAGGGTAGCAGCCATCGCGTGTAAGTCGTCACGCAGGTATCTTGAAGGTCGGCGTACTGCGCGCAGGGGTGTGAGGCCTTCAAGAAATCGCGTCGAAATGGAGCGGGGCCGCAGAAACGACGCGTTAACCAGAGGTATTCCGAAGGGCGGGGCCCTTCGGAAATTGGCTGGCGAGCGAGGTTGGCCGACAACGTTGGCGGGGCCCGTGCGCCTGCGACACCAGAGTATCGCCAAACACCTTCCAGGTCACTAGGCCCGGTAAGCCTACCACGTGACACCCTTTGTGGTTATTATTACACACCGCTTCGATTATGTGGGTCGTCTGTTTGTATGGCGCAATAGCACCAAAGGGGTGAGTAGGTAAGGTGTGTAAACTAAACAAAGGGCAAGCTCCTAATGCACGTTCAATACAGTCAAACTGGATTGCCACTCCAAGTATAAGAGTGCAAACAGTGTCTCATGAATGTAATTGCTTGCTTGAAGAACCAAGCAAGCTCTATCTACTACTATGACACAGGTACCCACTATGACACAGGTACCTACACGGTACTTGTAAGAGAAACCTGTGCGCTTGGTGTTAAAGCCGCCGAAAATGGCAGCATGCGCCAGCCAAATCGGCCGCCCGAACACCGCTTTCTCTGTTTGTGGAATATTGGAGTCTCGGGCCGCCTATTGATAGCATATCGAGAACAAAAGAACCTCTTCACGAACAGGAAACTCACTTCTTACAATCACACCTCTATTTTCTCTTCTTTCATGGCAACCTCCAACGGAGGCTCCTCTATAGACTACTAGAAAATGTAAGTAAAGTAGTGTCCAATCACTGTATTCCCCTACGCCTCTGCCAGCTCCATATATTGCCGTAAATGGTCGAGCTCGCCGCTGTGCCGCACCATCTCAAAGAAGTGGCCCCCTTCGCCGATGGCATAGAGCTCTCTCGGGGACCCGACCTCAAGGACACGCCCAGATCCCATCACCACAATCTTGTCGTAGTCAATGACGGTGCGCAGGCGGTGCGCAATCGTGACGAGCGTCCTGTCCCCCCTCTCTCCCGACGCAGGCTCGAGCTCCTTGCGAAGCACCTCCTGCACTCCGCGGTCCGTCTCAAAGTCCATGCTCGCCGTCGCCTCGTCCAGCAGCATCAGCTTGCTCGTCTTGCGTACCAGGGCTCGGCACAGCGAAAGCACTTGGCGCTGGCCATGGCTGAAGTTCTCCCCCTTGGCCTGCACGGTAGTCGAGAGCGACAACCCGCCTTCGGCTTCTCCGTTCGTCTCCTGCGCGGAAACGGTGCCGTTCCCTAGGAGCAACGGGGTCTCCTCGGTGGGTGCCTCGCCGTTGCCATTCTCAGGGGACAGAGTGCTGGATGGATTCCCATTGGCGCCATTTTCGTGGTTCTCGCCGAGCTGGCCAAAGGAGGCTATACCCTTACAGGCCAAGAGCGCGTCCTCGAGCGCAGCAGAAGGGACGGTACCCGACGGGTCGAGATTGGATCCAACAGTGCCATTGAAGAGAACAGCTTCCTGGGGGATGATGGTCAAAGCCTGGCGGAGCTTCCTGCGCGGTATCGCCTCGATGTCTACGCCGTCGTACAAAATCTGGCCAGAGACGAGTTGCGTGAATCGCAAGAGAGACAGAACAAGAGTGCTCTTTCCCGAGCCAGTCCGCCCCACAATGGCAACTCGCTCTCCGGCACTGATTTTCAGGTTGATGTCGTGAAGGATCTCGGGCCCGTCCGCGTCATATTTGGCCGAGACATTTCGAAACTCCACAGAGCCTGTCCGCGGCCAGTCCGAGGGCAGCATCAACCCGTCTGGACCCTCGCCAGGAGCAGCAGCCTTCTCCTCGGGCTCGATCTTGGTATATTCCTCGACACGATGGAACTATAATCACTGTTAGCTCCACTCTTTCCGGGAACTCGGCCGATTTCTTATGGCAGCACTTACGCTCTGAAGCTCCACCTCGAGGTAGTTCACCGACCTCACAAAGCCAATAATCGCATCGCTCAGTCCATTGGCATTGATCAGCGAGAAGCCGACCAGTCCAGCTGCCAGGACATTGGCTTTGAATATCGCGATGACGCCCGCGCAAAGCATAACAAGAGCCGTGACAAAGTCGGTCCGAAGACTTACCCAGCGGTTCAGATCAAATGTTGCTCCGCGCACGTTTGAGAGCGGGCGGTGTCTCTCAGCCAGCAAATCTTGGAAGGTCTCGGGCATGTCTGCCCTGGCGCGAATGACAGCCAGGCCCTCCATGCTGTCGCTAAACTGGGAGAAGACGGGGCTCTGGCTCGACGAGGCCAGACGCTTGACCGTAACAGCGGTTCTCGTGTACATTTCTCCGCAGACAATGCCAAAGATGACGGTAACCAGCGCTGGAAACACGAAGACGGGCAAGATAGAGCTCACGGCGCCGATGCGGAAGAATATCTGCACCAACTCTTCCACGGTCCAGAGCGCCATCGATCCCACGCCACTGTCTCTGTTTGACGAAAAAGAAAAAAGTCAGCGTTTCGCTCTTGCAGCGAAGCAAAATAAAGGGACAATGAAAGACTTACAGAGAAGCTACATCCCGACTGAACCGATTGACTACCCGTCCGACAGGCACGTTCTTCCACCACAACAGCGGCGCGTTCATAACGGCGTTGATGAGGTCGATGTGCAGCCGGCGAGCCGCCCTCCACGATCCCAGCTGATATACTAGATAGCTGAAGCCATCCGTCAGTTGGGCCGACAGAGAGAGTGCGGCGTAGATTCCGATGTAGTAGGCGACATGGACAGGCTCCTTTCCGTCGTAGGCGTCCACCCAGATTGAGACCCAGAAGGACTTGTACAAGAATACCGACCATGTCACCAAGGTGGTCAAGAACGCAAATCCTGCATAGGTAAAGTTGACTCGGTTGCCGCCATAGTACTGTACGTATTTAAAAACTGCATTGATCGTCAGCCACATGATTCACGCCAGGACACGATCAAGGCAAGAAGTGGGAGCACTTTACATGCTGTGCGGGAGGATGCGCCGGTGGCGTCCATCTCCTCGCTTATATCGTCGGGTTTCGATGTAGGCTCTTGAGGCTTGATGTCGCCGACAGTCGCTTCGCCGTTTTGGGTCCCTCCATTGCCAGCACCGGCATCCAGATAATGTGCCGATTCGAGAGTCACGGGCTTGCGAGTAACTCCTAGGTTCTGCTCAGTCTTGGTTACTGTGCCTCCATCCAGCGTAATGGAGAGGTCGGCTTGGGAAGCTATCCACGGCAGTTGGGTCACCAAAACAATAGTCCTGCCCTGGAGCATATCGCCACAGAAAGCGAGCTTCCAGACGGACGCAGCCGTCTTCGCATCTAGCGCGGAGAAGATATCGTCAAGGAGAAGCATGGGAGCCTTCGAATACAGCGCACGCGCCAAAGCAACCCGAGACTTTTGGCCTCCGGAGAGAGCAGTGCCATTCTCTCCAACCTCAGTCTTGTCTCCTTTCTGGAGCTCGCTAAAGTCTGGTGCCAAGGCACATGCCTCGACTATGCGGTCGTACCTGGCCTGTTCGAACGGCGCGTGGAAGAGGATGTTGCTGCGTATGGTCTCGCTCTGAAGCCAGGGCGTCTGCGAGGCAAAGGCAACATCGCCCGGCGTTGTTGCGGATCCGCTTTCCAGAATCAGCTCCCCGAGGATCGCCAAAAGAAGACTAGTCTTGCCGCTCCCACTCTGGCCGGACACGACATTCAAGCCTCCTTCGACGAAGTTGATAGTGATTTCCCTGAGCTTGAACGACGACTTGGTGCCGCGACGGAATGTGGCATTCTCAAGCCTCAGCGGGCCTGTCGGGAAATGAGAGAGGGGTGCTGTGCTTGCGAAATACCTGTCGAGACGGCCAAGAGAGACGAATGCTTCTGTCACCATACGTATAACAAAATTGATCATGCCTAAGTTGCTTGACAAATTGCTTATCAACGAAAGGGTGGTGAATGCGACAGAGGCTGTAAGGGGTTGCTCAAGAACGCCGGCATAGAGACCGAATATGAGGAGCAAGGAGGTGACGGGGATGAGCGCAGTGACTTGGCCAAAGAGGGCGTTGTAAACCGAGACAGTCCACAATAGATTTTGCTCCTTCTCTCGCACCTCTGTGATATGGCTAGTCATGAGACCTTCCCAGCCAAAGTATTTGACGGGTTTGATGGACGCCAAGTACTCTCCGATTAGAGAAATGCGCGAGTCTTGTGCCTGCTTGACCTTGCGCTGCATACGACCCATGGTGTGGGCAATCCAAGCCGGCACCGGGGTGGCCAGGAGCATGAAGACGTTGCCGACCAAGCTTGACCAGCCGATGATCTTGTAAAGACCCGCAATGGTAACAATCATGGAAATGGGAATGCCGACAAATGCCAAGACGACGTGCTGGGCTTGGGAGATGGCAGTGACGTCGCTCGCCATGAGATTTGCCAGCCTGCCCGCCGAAGTAGTCTTGTTGGGCTGGTCTTTGGCGTCTCCGGTGACGATTTGGCTGAGCGTTTCATCCTCAAGCTCCATCGAAGACAAAGCTCGGTGGTACAGCTCTAGGGTCATGGCCGCCTTGACACGAATGCCCAGCCGCGACGACATGAAGACGTACCTGTTGAAGGAAACCGACCTGAACACGGGGCCGGCAAAGAGAAGAAAGAGCCAGATGGCCGGGTGCAGAATGGCATCATCTGGGGCAGAGAGGTACTGGAGGAGCTGGTACATGGCGAAAGGCGCGATGAGATCGGCCGAATAAGATATGGCAGCCCACACGCACATTTGGGTAAGCTCTCTGCGCTGAAAGTAGAGGACGGTCCGGAGGGTTCCCGAATACCTGGCCCGGGCGTCCATGATGCTGGATAGGAGAATGGCCGGCTCGTCGTACCAGGGCAGGCTGGGCAAGTCCTTCATCTCGATGGGATTCCGGTAGCCTTTCCAGATCAGCGGCGTAACCCACCCATAGGTGAAGAAGTTCTCAAACCAGCTACACGTTTCCTGTGTGCTTGGAACCGGCTCTGACACCTTTTGGCGGATCGGGGTCTCGATGGGAGGGGGGACCCATTCTCGGGGCGTGAGGAGAGCAACAAGAACGGCAGTCGTCGAGCAGCCAATTGCACCGAGCTCGACCTTAGTAGCCGTGTATCCTGACCCGACCACGAGGTTTGGGAGAAGATGACCAACGACTAGCAGCGCCAGCGAAGACAACAGAAGGAGGTTGACTTGATGCAAGGCTACATGGCGCCACTTGCTTTTCAGGACTATGCGGAGCAGGCCAAGGAAGAAGGCATAGCCGAGAGTGGCGGCGTTGAACCACTGGCGAGTGTTGGACCATGCGGCGACAATGATAAAGGCCAGAGCAGACCCTCGCGATACCTGGGAAGCTATTTCGAAAGCCAGGCGAAGTTTGTGACCCTTGGCCTTGATGGCGGGTGCGCTAAGTTCGGACCGACGGATAAGCTCGGCAGCAGTCCAGAGCAGCAAGACTACGACTAGAACAAGCTGGCAGTGACCTGACCTGGCAAAGCATGAGGCCTTGTCGATCCACTCAACCGGGGGGCTGCTCGAATAGCTGGTTCACGTCAGTCTTAGCCGTAATTGTAGCTGGCCAAGGGGGATGATATCGACTTTTGCATTTGGTAATCACATCATCACATACCTGGCAAAGACGCGAAGCGGTGTCTCGATGGCCGCCTGTCCAGGCCTCCACATCCAGCCCGAAATGGTGTGCATCGCGTCGATCGTCGACATGGCGTCGCCGTCGCCGTCGCCGTCGCCGTCGTCGTCAGCACCCAACAAACTCGAATTTGATCGCGGCAGCTATCCGTACGTAGGTGGTTAATTTATTGCCTGTGACGCGGCTTCTTGCGGAGATTCTGCTCGGCTCGACTGCTCCAGTGGTGAAGGCGCCGTCAAAGGACAAATCCGAAGTGGCACCCAGCAAAGGAGCGGGTGGGGTCGCTGGCCGCGTCGAGGAGGAGGAGCATCAACTATTATGAGTTGCTCTGCCATCGTCCTCGCGCGCCAATATTAGACAGTCCCGCAGGCTACCTTAGGCAGCCAGGCACGGTCACGTTGAGCCTTAACCTAGAAGGAATAAGGACACGGGAGAAACACGCACCCGCACTCGCGGGACGTGGGTAGTGCGCGGCTCTGAAAGACGGGACGGGAACGCGCCCGGTGCTGACCTGACCTGACCTCCACTGAACAGAGTGCCTAGAGCCCTGCACACTCGCCCTGAACATTGGGGGCCATTTCGAACTAACAGATAGGATGGACACCAGGGTCTAGGCAGTCGTCGTCGTCGTCGCCGCCGTCCTACACCTACCCAGCTACCTTGGCTAATAAGGCAGATATATTGTGTGAGGCATCTGAAGGATTGAGCTGCTCAGCCTTGCCGGCAAAGACAAGTCTTCTTGACGTCGATTGGTGGACGGTCGACGTCTATGGATTGCCTCGTTGGGGACTGAGGAGCGGCCTAAAGACGCTATCGCGAATACCGACTTTCTGGGTATAGGCAACGACGTTGTCTTGCAGAGAATGGGCATATAGAGATCTGCGAGCGCATAAAATATGCCGCTCGACTGCCTTCTGCCTTCCTTGTTTAGCAGCCGCTGTATCACCACGAATCTAGGCAGCCAACCGGGAGCGCGGGATTATAACTGATAACTGTATATATATGTGCACAGTACGAAATACAGTGCCAAACAGTATTATACAAAGCCGAGGAAACCGAAGAGGTGGAAAGCACTCCAGATGTCGTACTGTACGGTACTGAGTACGGTATATAGTACACAACCTTAACCTCCCGTCGTGCCTTCCACTAAATTTGCTCACCGCCACTGCTGGAATATGAGCAGAGAAACTTTGAGTCACAGCCAACCTAAAACTCGTCCGTCCACACGTCTACACGTGCAAACATGCTCACAACAGTTCAAGTAGTTTGAACTGTACATACTCGGTGCTCGCGTGTGCACGTGTAGAGCATCTACCAATCCCAGAGTCGACATCTGTTTGTGCACTTATTACCGAACATATCCCGAACTGTCGCGGAATACCAGACATTGCATTTGACTCTTAGCGAGAAACCGACAGTCCGGCAGTCCGACATGCAATATGAGGGTGAGACGAGGCGCGCCAGTCGTCACCTGCCCACCACCACTCGTATTGATGCGAACGACTTCCAGGTTGTTGCCATCTCCGCACACCCAGATCCGAGATATCCTACAGTGGTAGGCCGAATGGGGTGGTTGGTCACTGCTCTTATTGGCCACCGCCCACAGCTCCAGGGAGGAAAGCCATAGCCATGCCGGCCGTCCTGGGGTAGCGGTGGGAGGGGTTTTGTTTCCCCGCAAATTGCCACGCCGCAAATGACCACACCGGGGATAGGAAAAAAAAGGAAGGATTACGGAAACTCGATTGCCTCGATAGAAGGACGACAGTGGCATGAGCTGGAAAATTCAGGCACAGTCGGACCCTTCGGACCCTTCTTGCTTGGCTTGGCCAGCTTGGCCAGCTTGGCTTGCGTTTGGCCCGCTCATGGCGCCGCGAACTTGTGTCAACTCGTTCAGGGGCACAGGGCAGCGCAGCGCAGCTTCAGGCCGGATTGCTGCCATGGTGCCCAACTCTGAAGTGGGAGCTTGCCAACGCCTCCCGCTTCTCGTGCCGAGTGCAGACGCAACCGTGTTAGCGCCAGGAACTAGGCCAATCAGAGACAGTGTGAGACTGAGATGCAGCAGCTATACCTATCAGCGGACCTGCCCTGCCAATTGGGTCAGGACTCTACTTTACTTCAAAAGGGTTGGCTGCTTGCTGAGATGGCTCTTGCCTTCAGTCATACCACTCACAACTCACACTCACTAGCCTCGCGGGCCGCTCCTTGTTTCCAGTCTTCAGTTACAGTTTCCAGGTTTGGACGAATCTGCTTTCCACTGCCCTCCCTACCTTGCAGCGTCGTGTTACATGCAGACTCCTGCCCGACTACATAAGACACCATACCCCCCTAGCCATGTCTTGCCTCGCTGTGACCTAGGTCCTGTATATCATCGCCGCCGTTCCCTTGACCTCGGCCATCACACGTTTCTTGCCCTCACCCTCCGGTCGTTTGCGCTTCCTTCGTGCAGATTTGTGTTTCGTTTGCCAGTTAGCTTACTTGCGGAGTACCTTCACTCGCTTCAACATACATCATATATGCATACCTAAGTCGGCGCTTGTCGTCCTCACTTCCCACGTACGAAACATGAACAACCCCCCCCCCCCATGTGTCATCTTCGCGTGATATCAACATCTAGCCCCTACCCGGCTGACACATGTTCCAGCATCTTCAGACCACCACGCTCCTGTGCGCCCCTGGGGTTCTATAAAATGAGGAAGCCATCCGCTCCGAGGCTGTTCCCCTCTCTCCTTTAGCATTACAATATTTCACTTTGGCCTGCAACTACCTTGTATCGCCTTCTCTTGGAATACAGTAACGGCACTCCATCACTCAAGAGTTCGCTTTGCTCTACTTGTTAGTTTGCGGCTTCCGCTCTGCTTCCCGCACTATGCGCGGCTACTCGGCGCTTGTAGCTTTTGCTACCACCGTCTCCACGGCCACGGCCGTTATCTACCAGGGCTTCAACTATGGCTCCGATCAAATGGATCAGACAAGTTTTGAGACAGCGTTCAAAGCTGCCCAGGCTCTATCCGGCGCTCCCGGCGGCGGCTTCACGAGCGCTCGTCTCTACACCATGATAGTATGTGCTTGTCCGGATGTCGGTTGGGATTGTATCCAAGGCACGCTAATGAGTTGGCCCTCGTTTCCAGCAATCCGGAACACCCGACACCCCCATATCCGCCATTCCAGCAGCCATTGAAACCAAGACGTCGCTGCTTCTCGGGCTATGGATCAGTGCCGATATGACTCCAGAACTATCGGCCCTTACTAAGGCTATCTCTCAATATGGGAACGACCTCGCCAAGCTTGTTGTTGGCATCTCGGTTGGCAGTGAGGATCTTTATCGCATAACGCAAATAGCCCACGACAACAAAGAGACGGTTGCCGGAGCCTCGCCCGACTACGTCGTCCAATGCATTAACCAAGTTCGTAACGCAGTCAAAGGCACCGCCCTGGCCGGCACTCCTATTGGCCACGTCGACACCTGGAACAGCTGGGACAACAGCTCAAATAAGATGGTCATAGACAATTCCGATTGGCTTGGCACGGATGCATATCCGTACTGGGAAGCGACTTATGAGAACACGATTGAAAATAGCAAGAATCTCTTCTTCGACGCCTTGAGCAAGACTAATGCCGCGGCCAAAGGCAAGCCTGTGTGGATTACCGAAACGGGCTTTCCAGTCAGTGGAAAAGCTTCCAATAAGGCCACCCCAAGCGTCGAAAATGCTAGAAAATACTGGAAAGACGTTGGATGCGGACTATTCGGTACCTACAGCACCTGGTGGTTCCAGCTAAGTGGCCTCAGCGATCATGGCACACTCGACTTTGGTCTTATGAAAGATCTCTCAGCGAGTCCGTATTTCGATCTCTCGTGCCCACCAGCCGCTTCGACGTAAGTAGCCAATATGATTACCTCGATACTCGCAGAAATCCCGCTAACTACGGGACAGAAATGTAGATCCGTCTTCAACCGCGGCGCAATCGACAAAGCCTCCCCCCTCGCCCTCCCCCTCGTCCAGCACCGTGAGCAAGCCCAGCCCTACTAGTACCTCCACACCGAGTGCCATCAGCAGCAGCAGCATCAGTCCTGCGACGACTGTCTCGAGCCCCCAGTCTCTCGCCACCTCTACCACTGTCGCCGCAATCAAGCCATCAGACTCAGGATCTAGTTTTGTTTGTGGCGGTGTCGGCTCTACCAGCAGCAGCGCCGCCAGCATTCCCAGTCCCTCCAGCATCTCCAGTACCTCCGGCACTACCAGCTCCCCGAGCCCTCCCAGTACCACCAGCGCCTCCAGCTGCAGCCACGCGAGCACCAGTGGTAATCTAACTGTCAACACCCCTCGTTCCGTGCCCAGCGCAAACAACACCGTACCCACCACAAGCGCGCCACCGACATCCAGCACGCCGCCTACAATCACAAACCCTAACGGAGCGAGTGCCATCTCAGGCTCGATCGGCGCCGCGTTTGCTGCGGTCATGGTGGCCATCCTCGCGCTGTGATTCCACAGCTTGGTGTCTTTGCTACCGACTAGGTCCGGGTCTGCCATGCGAAACTACCGCCTGTGTTGTGGGGAGACTGTCTGTCCAGCTATGTTTACCGGGTTGGGAAAATAATCTTTTCTATTTTCATGAATATTACTAATACCGCGGATATATGGGCTAGGTAGGTAGCGTTTTTCGGCGTAGGGATACGGGTAGTGAGACTTGCATTTTTTGCGCAAAGCGTCCGCCCGCCCATCACCATCGGCTGGACTGAATTGGAGTGGCGGCATAGGGCGGTGCATAAAAGGGGTTTCGCTTTTTTTTGTCCTTTTTTCTTTCTCGGGGCGGTTCCTTTTTGTGGCGCCAGAATAGGTACCTACCTGCATACATTACATCGCATGGTATAGCATTCGGGGTATTATTAGGAATGAGAAACGATTTTTCCGTCTTCTTTTTCTTTTCTTTTTTTCAGCTGCCGTATATGGGAAGTGGTGTTACTGCAGCAGGACCAGTGAATGCCATAATTATCTGCAACATATATCCATCTCTCGATACTACTTCATTTTATGAACAAGATAGAACCGCTAATACCGCTCTAGAATGCTCGTCTTAAGCTAGCTGAGTGGCCGCCGGTTTTGACGGCAGGTAAGCAGATGGCCGACGGGGGGTGGGCACGTTGCGGCTAGCGGGTTCCGAAACGCGGACAATTCAAGTTTGTGTATGTATTTGTGTGCGTGTGTGTGTTTGTGTGGCAACGTACGTAGAGTACAGAGCACAATGTTTCGTGTCTGTACGTTATGAAACCGAAACACACTGGGTCGAGGAGGCTTGTTCGTCTTCGTTGTTTCTCTCTTTGCTTATTTCTTGCGCTCTCTGTGGATGGATGAATACATGCATGCGTGGCGTCTTCCAGACATATTTTGTAGGCTCGGAGCTGCTCGGTTGTGTTCCGGGAGAGTAAATTGGGATGTGCATGCATGCCGTGCAACCTTCGCGTTTCCGCGTCTTGCTCGTCACGTCTCGTCCGTGCAGTCGAGTGGGAAGATTGCTTGGGATACTGGGAGAGGAGATTGTGCAAATAGTTTTAGTGGGAGAGATTAATGGGCTGTTGACAGATAGTCAGGAGGCTTACTGTAAAGGGGTTGGGGGAAGATTCATAACGGAAGAAAGGGGGTGGGTAAACAATTGGGAAATCGTGGAGAAAAAGGGGTGATTGAGCGGGCACACAGGCAAGAGAGGAAATAACCCATAACAAAATACAATTACTAAGCCGCTTTGTTAATGTATAGATACTATAGTCGCTCTGAGCATAATATTTGAAATACTCCTTTCGACTAAAGAAATTATCCAAATATTTGTCGCCAAATACATGAACACAACAGCAAACTATAAAAAGTCATGTTCAAGAAACTACCGCCAAAATCATATCTACAAACTAAAACCACAACATACAAAGGTCAACAATATCCAGAAAGCACACTCAACCGCAGACACACACACACATATCCAGACCTAGAAATTTGTCTCAATCAGCCGCGCAACGAGATCATTGTCGGCCGGCAGCTCGGGGTAGTCCATGTTGACGACACCGAGGCGCACGCGTCCACTAACACCCACATAATCTCCCCTAGCATCATCAGCCTGCTGCCGTTGCCGCTGCTGGCGGAGGAGAAAGTCTCGCGTGACCCTGTTCATGCCATCGACCCAGTCGAGACCGACAGTGCGGGCGCCTACGGCGATCCACTTGGCCTCTGCCAGCTCGCCGTGCTCGACGGGGTCGCCGACGGCAGAGCAAAAGTTAATGTACCAATCGCCGTTGTGCTCGTCTGTTTCGGGGTTTGCCTGCGAGTCGCTACTGACCAGGTCCATCGGCGGCGGCGGCCGGGCAGCAGCTTGCAGCATCAGGCTCCGCACGAAGCCGCTCTTGCTGGCAACGAGATCGGCCAGGGAAATGCGGCTGGAGAACTTCCACTTGTCCTGCAGGCGGACGCGCACGTTGGTGGGCGTGACGATGGTGAAGTCGGGGCTGTCATCGACCCAGTCGCTGAGGTCGAGACCCGTGCGGACCCGCGGCGCGACGGCCGGGTCGCCCGGGTAGCGGCGGAGGACGACGGCGCGGCCGCGCACGTTACCGAGCCGTGGGGTGACGGGGCCGAGGAACCATCGCGGCGTGCCGTCGGGGTACGGCGCGGCCGCGGCCACGGCGGCGTCCACAGCCTGGTAAAAGATGCCTGGGTTCGCGTGCTGGTCATCCGAGACGTCGTCGTTGTTGATGGACACGAGGACCGTCTCCGTCGCCGAGAGCGTGTGGTGCGGCCCGCGGAGGAAGGCCCAGACCTGGTCCATGACCGCCACAAAGGACAGGCCGCGTGGAAAGCCGAGGGGGATGCCGCCGTGGTAGCAGAAGAGGCTGCCGTCGTCGTGGCGGCGGAGGCGGAGGTCGATGAAGCGGATCCCGAGCGCCAGCTGCTGTCCGATGCTGAGGTACTGCGTGCGCACAAACGGCACATAGCTCCGGGCGCACGAGTCGTGGGTACCTGGGATAGTAACGTTGGAGAGCAATGTTGTGTCTGGGAGGGCCGCCATCCAAGAGGCCATGCTGTACGCGAGGATCGGACGGGAATACCAGCGGAGGTCCTTGGTCGCGGTGGCATCGTTAAATATGCAGTGGATTCTGCCATTGAGAATGGCGATCTGGGGAGGGTCGGCCGCTCTCTGCCCGCCGCCGACGGGCTCGTGAGGCTGCCATTTTCCGTGCAGGAAGGAGGCAATGGTCACCGTGCTGTCGCCCTGCCGGTCCGCCGATGCACCTGTATTCTCAATGAAGCCCATGTACGCTGTCTCGCCATAGCTGGTGGCACTTATTCCGCGCGCCGCGCGCCCTTCGGTGATATCGTGACACGGAGACCAGCCTGAGCTGGCCGGGTCATACGCATAGCAGAGAATCTCACTGGGCTCAGACGCGGAGGCGCAAAGCAGGTGGAGAGTGCCGTTAGTGACGAATAGCGCGGGTATGCCACGAAATGTCTCGATATCACCACTCGAAACAGCCTTGGGGTCCGACCAGGCCCCCCCGATATCAGAGGCAGAACTCGGGTGGGGGTTGGAGGTGGTCCAGGCGGTGTAGTACAGCTTTCCGTTGTGATCAACAAAAGCCAGAAAGAGTCTGTTGTGAAAGGCGACGAGACAGGGGCTCGAGAGCGTGGTCGCACCGGGAAGGGGCCCAAGATGGACCCAAGAAGCCTGGCGCTGGGGCTCATCGTCCAGAATGTAGTGGTCTATGTCGCCGGATTCTAGAACGACGACAACGTGGAGGTGGCCATTTAGGTTTTCCATGACAGGGAGTCCAGCCTGAGGAAAGGGCATGCGGCCACCAAAGTTGCCGTCGTCGTCGGTGACGGCGCACCACGCGTTGCCGTCGAGGTCGGCCCAGAGGCACCACAGCCGGCCACGGTAGGCGGCAACGGCGGGCACGGTTCTGGACTGGCCTTGGCCGGCAGTCTGGATGAAGCCCAGCTCCGACGAGCCGTGGGCTACCCAGGCCATGGCTTCGTAGTGCTCCTCGAGACCCAGTTGTGGCTCCTGGTGGCGGGCGCTTAGATTTAGGTGAGAGACAGGTCTTGTTTAGCTTTGATAGCGTAGGGGTTTGCTGCTTTGTCTACCCGCCGGGTCTCATACACTCGGGGTGGTCTGATGAGGACAATGCACGATGCCGCTCTCCTCGACTGGAAGATGGCCGTCGCCGTTGGGTTCCAGGTCGGTTTGGCGATACTATACGAAACGATACGATACTATTTCCGCCTGTCTAGCTGCGAGCAAGGCATGTCTCATGCAGTGCGCTAAGAGGGCAAGGCCTCAAAGGCTTGCAACATGCAACTGTAGGAGTTTTTGTTTGTGTTTGGTGACAGTGTAGAAAATTACCCGTGATTCATTGCACCAGGCTCCCATATTAATCAAGTGTTATAGGGTCGGTCAGCTGGGGCAAAGACATGACAAGCTCAGCCTATCGAGAAGCGTTATTCCCGGGCCATTGCCACTCGGGCATCTGGAAAATAGGGCGACGGGACGGGCATGACGCGAGGTTCATCTGATGTCAGTTGGGTTCCATGTCATGAAACAGTTCCCCAGGAAATTGTAACTGTGGGGTCGGGCGATGAGCGGGTGAAAGCCTCAGGCTGCCTTACAGCACGGATAGAGGCTAAAACTATTTACCCAACCCCCTAAGCTAGCTCCTGCGAACGATTGTGAAAGCTTAAACCCGAATTGAGGTTGATCGATCTTGTGGTAAATTCTATGCACTGCACCGGTTCTCAAACCATAAGTGAAGGAAAGTAAGATCTTAGTATCCGTGACATCAGACAGAACAAGGCTCGAGCATTCGTATATCGCAGACTGTCAACAACCCAAGGGCTCCTTCTCAGTGACACCTATCCATGACGGAGGAGCCAGGGTAGCCCCCCTGGAGCTCAGCCCTATGGCTTATTTCTGACCGGCCTTGGCGCGTTTTCCTGTCCGCGCCAACCTGGTAAGGTAGGCCTTCAGCCAACTGCATGGGGATCGCTGAACAGGGAGCGACGTCGTGTGCTCAGACCTACGAAAAGCTGTCCCGGGCACGTTTTGGTTAATAACTCCACCATCACTTCGTCCTCGTCGCCGCTGCTAGATTACTAAATACGCGACGACCTGGGCCTTTTCTTTCTTTTCTTCAATCCTTCTACGCGTCGCGCCGACATGGCTGTCTCGCGAGTCAGCTGCCTGCTGCTGGTGATTGCTGCAATTGCAATCGCGCAGACGTGGGCCGGCAGCAGCAGCAACAGCAATGCCGATTCCGCACGGGTCTCAGCCTTGAGCCTGGATGAGCTCGACGAGCAGCTCCAGGTGAGCATTGGGCAGCGCTGGCTTTGATATGGACTTTGAATGGCTGACAGAGGGGTGTGCCGGCTAGAAATGCGCGATTGTCCAGGACCTCAACGCCGCCAAGGCTGAGCACGGCGGGCACGCGACGTCGTCGTTCACGGCGCGCCTCTTCGCCGTTCTATTCCCCGGCAGCCCCGCCGTCAACGCCCTGCTGGCCACGCTCTACATATCCGGCCCCCCCAACTTCCTGCTGGCGCTGTGCCCGACCAACATCGACCCCTCGTCGCTCTCCGTCATGGTGGCATTCGCCGTCGGCGGCCTGCTGGGAGACACCCTCTTCCACCTGCTCCCCGAGATCTTCATCGGCGAGGACAGCCCCGAGAGCGTGCGGTTCGTGCTTGTCGAGCCCAACCGCAACCTCCTGCTGGGCGTGGCCATCCTGGTCGGCTTCATGACCTTCGTTGCCATGGACAAGGGCTTGCGCATTGCCACGGGCGGCGCGGGGGGGCACGACCACGCACACGGCCACTCGCATGGCCCCGCGGCTCCCTCCGGTGAGAGTTCCTCCGCTTCTGACGGCATATCGACTGCGGTCGATGTGCAAGGGTCCAGCAAGGGAGTCACCAGCCGGAAAAAGGAGGCTGCGGCTGCTGCGACCCCCCAAGGCGCTGCGCCAGCAAAGGAGGTCAACCCCTCGGTTAAGCTCGGCGGCTTGCTGAATCTAATGTTCGTGCGACATGCTCTACACTGCAACTTTGATACGGCTAGGCGTTGCTGAACCACGGGGTCCATGTGCTAATGTCTCTGTCCCCGGCTTTCTAGTGCCGACTTTACCCACAACATCACGGACGGCCTAGCCATGTCAGCCTCGTTCTACGCGTCGCCGGCCATCGGAGCCACCACTACAGTCGCTGTCTTCTTCCACGAGATCCCGCACGAGGTGGGCGACTTCGCACTGCTCGTGCAGTCGGGCTTCTCGAAGCGCGCAGCGATGGGCGCCCAGTTCGTGACAGCCCTCGGGGCGTTACTAGGAACACTCATCGGGATCGCGGTGCAGGAGTACGGCGGGGCGGGTGGCGGCGGCGGCGGCGCGCCGGGCATGAGAGCCGGGCTCTGGGGCACCAGCCTCACGTGGGGCGACATGCTGCTGCCCTTCACGGCGGGCACGTTTCTCTACGTCGGCACTGTCGCCGTGATCCCCGAGCTCCTCGAGACGGGCCCCAATAAGGGCGCCGAGCTGCGCAAGACGCTCGTGCAGTTCGCTGCCATCGCCGTCGGCGCAGGAATCATGCTGTACATCTCTTGGCATGACTAAGTGCCCGCACGCGGCTCTGTCGACTTTTGCTACGTACCTACGCACACACTGCGCCACGTGCACAGGTGCAGTTTTTCCTATCCACAGGTACCTTAAGGTCTGTAGGCAGGTAAAATGCACACACGTTTTCGTGCTGCGTCAGTTCCACGCGGTCCCTGCGGGGAGGGTGCAAGCAAGCACGAGGGGTGGTGGGTGGAGCACTGGATGGAGTGCGTGCAGGTAGACGATGTGATCGTCGAATAGTCTAATCTTAATTAGAAGTCCGTGCTGTGACTCCCGAGCGGTCGACTGCATCAAGCGCAATGGATGGTTTTTTTTGGGACATTCATAATACGTATAGACGGTAGCATGAACAAGGGGCTTAGAGGACTCGGTATGGGCAAAGCATGCTAAGCATTGGTTAGATAGGAGACCGGGCTCGCCAACGGGAAAGAAATACCCGTTACATGCTTTTGTTGTTGTCTTTTAATGCCAAAAAGCTCGCAATTTGAGCTCCTTCTGTCGAGCTCCGTGCCTACGGTGTAGGTTGTTTGGTGTTGCGCGTCTGGTCAACGTAGGCACATGGTAGAAATGCAGCAGTGTGACTCTGGAAGCCTTGCGTTCCAGGCATGAGCATTTGTAATACACATGGCTGACAAAACATCCACGATCCATTGAAACAGCCTACTGAGTCACCCTCAACAGCCTCGGGGCCACTTTTTTAGCCCCTAGTGAAAACCAGCACCTCTGCAATTAGCTCTGCGCCTATTGTGAACTTGTGCCTTGCATCCATGCTGTGTCTTTAAGTACGTATGCAAACCTAGGCAGTTTCCAGAGTCCCAGACAATCTGGAAAGTGGGACGACGTGGTTTTGTTTGTGGACTCTTGGGCCGTTGTTAAGAGGCCCAGAGGTAGTTGTTAAGCTTCAAGCCCTGGACAACTCAAGTTCATTCCCTCGAGGGCCAACGTTGTCTCGAGCCAGGGCTTTGACTCAAATGCCCAAAGGGTAGGTTACAGATACACGCTTGGTCTGTCTCGGCTCCTTCGTCCTGACGGTAAATTCCGTCCCGGACTAGTACGTATATACAGGTAGTGCATAGGAATACTAATAATTCGCTTCCCCCCCACTACTAATATTTTGGGGAAAGGAAAACATGACCCATGTCATATGAGAAATCATGTCGTCGCAAAGGCGCAAGGCACAAGAGCTAACAAAAGTGCCATTGTTCTTACCTCATGTTGTTTGGTACGGAACCTGGAACTGCTCCCGTGAGTGGCGCAATTTCATCCTTTTCGTCCAACTGCATTTTTTCGAGAAGAAAGGATGCGCACTGGGGATTTAATCCCGGCCTTGATGACGAGATCGCTTCCTTTGTAATCATGTTGTTGTAAAACATTGTTGTTGGAAAACATTACCCCTGCCCTGAGCTGGTCGGACTCGTTGGCCCCCTGATCGGCTTGGAAAGCTTCGGCTCCTGGCGTTCGGTGCCAACACAGCCACCACCCCAACCAGCTTCGGGAAGAGCACCAAAGCGACACAGTCACAAGGCAAAGTTGGACCCGGCTCCTCGAACCTTTGTCAGACAGATCGCGGAATTTTCATTTTAGCTCGTAGCTACCATGCTCCGTACCCATAAATATTATGCGCTCATTCGGGTAGCATCTTGGCGACCGGTGGAGGGAGTGTTCGCTCGGTACCTTTAGTATGGCAACTTGGAGGTGTCGGCGTGGATATGGCGGCGTGGGAGAGGGTCCCCGTAATTACATGCGGCCCGGTCACCGGATGACTCCTCGAAAAAGGTCCGGGCTCCCCACATGTCTGTTGGAGCGTTATGTTGCAGTGCACAGTGACAACTTACCACAATGTTGTCTTGGTTGTTGGCTAATGCCGGAGTCTAGAAATTTCCTGTCTTGGGGGAAATGCAATTCCTTACTCGATAACTTGGACAAGGAGGTCAATTGGAGTTGAATACCTAAGGTCGGGATATGAATTGTCGAATTAGGATTATAGCATGTACACACCTTGAAGAGGGCCTCGGGCACGTACCTAGCAGCGATGACGCAGTCATACACGGTGATGTGGGTGCCACTCTCCTTCTTACTAGAGTATCGAATATAGCAGCCCTCAATCGGGCAAGACTCTCATTTAGTGGATCCGCACCTTTCCTGGATCTGGAAACGAAAAGAGAAAAAAGCTCTTCAAGTGCAGGTGGTCGCGATCAGGCTGTCCGACACCGGTGACGGAGACCACGAGATGGAATTAGCCGCAAAGACGGTGACATGCAGAATGCTTGACTGGCAATTGTGACCAAGACGCATGAAACTAGTCAAAACCAAGAACCAGTAGTACCAAAGCCACAGCGAGCGTTTGTTCTGGGCACGAGGTGTGGAGTGGATTGTATTGGATGAATAATGATGAATGCGAATGAGTCTTTTTGCTAGTTGGTGCCTTAGGCTGTTTTACGGTCCGTAACCAGTTGGGGTTTGCGCCTTTCTGTCGACAGACATGTCGTTGCCGAAACGCCTGTCCAGGCGGAGTAATCAATCGCCATTCCCCACACCCCTGACCCTGGGGAAACCCTCCGCAGGAAGTGGGATCCTTGAAATAACTCGTTGCGGGTGACGAGTCCCGATCCGATGGCTCTAGGCAAGGTACTGCTTGCTTCATTGTCGTCTTTTGTGATGTTGTCTGGCCGGTCCTAGAGCCATTGAAAGCCACTGAGAGGAGCAAGTTGCTTTGCTTTTTGGGATAGCAAATATGATGGATCTGACGGTCGACGGGTGGGACTGCAATCTCAAACTGGCGGAAGGCACGTCGTACAATTCCGTAGTCCGTACCCGGATGCCCGATCCTAGAGGCTGGTTCGGGCGCGCCTTCCTCGCCGCCGTCCTTCCCGCAAGTATCCGTACCTGAGGTATCAAACACGAAGAACCGTCGAATGTACTGTTTAGCTCGTCGCATTGAGAACCGGAACATAGTTGTGAGTAACCTATAATGTATTTACTACTTTGTCGTGGTGTAAGCAAGGTACTACTAGTAGACTCGTGTACTAGTACGAATACTCAGTCGAGACGTGCGCCTCGCTTGGTATCCGCTTGGGAACTTGGCGCGCCTTCCCATCGCACCTGGCTCCGCTTGGCTTAGCTTGGCTCACAGGGCCCAGCTCGTCGGCTAGCCCCCTGTAACTGGGCAAGAACAACTGCCAAGGGTGTGCTTCCCCCATGTGGTGGCCGAGACTCCAACAAAGTCGACTGACGAGGCATTGACAAGTTCCACAGGTCCACATCCCGCCTTTTGCCCTACACCCATCCACTAGCATGGCCCAATCACGTCTCGGTAGGCTGATCCTCGGACGTGCAGCGAAGTCGAGGGGTGATGGCGAGGCCATCCGGCTGGCGTGGGCTCCTGCGTTGCGTCGTGGATCTGCACTCTCTATGCTTTTCGTTCGCACTGATCCATGCCAGCCAGTGAGTCAGGCAGGTTTTGGCTTGTTAGCCTCCCGCCCACCTGGGTGCTTGCTCTACTTTGATGTTCGATGAGAACATCACCAGGGTCTATTTCCAGGGTAGCCAGCCTAACGTGAGATTGACTACCTTGCCTTATACATATAATAGCTGCCTTGTGTCCTCGCCGCCCAAGCCACCGGTTCTAGGTTCCTTTGTCATCGTCTGCACCTTGAGTCTCCAACGACACGACTAGCTCAGAGCTCCCGTCATCTTAACTACACACTGTTTCAATCGTGGCCCGCGCTGCCAATGGTTTCTTTCTCTCCCAACCTGAATTGAATATTAAACCACGGCATTCCCCCTTCCATTTCATATCTCCCAACACACTTACACCATTAACTGGCTTTGGCTTTTGCTGCTCTGGCATTGTGTTGATCTCATTGGCTGGTTGGCTGTCCCCTTATCAGGCTCTGTCTGTCTCGCTCCTCGAGGAGCCTTGACGTGCCCGCCATGTCGTTCGGCGGCGTGCCCTCGGGCCTTTCTCACCGAGCCTCCTTGTCCGGTGCACCGTCAGTGTCCAGCGGTGGCCTAGACGGGGCGGCCAACGGCAAGAAGGTGCCCTTCCCCAAGTCCAACATCGAGGTCAACCTTAAGAACCACTTCGGCTCCAAGATCTACACATCCGGCTCGCCCCTCTCGGGAGATGTGACCATCACCACCAAGCGGGACGTGCGCTTCGACTCGATCCAGATTCTCCTCGTCGGGAGCACCCAGACAAAAACGGACGGCCTAAACTCGCTCAACCTAGTCACCCACACCTTCCTCAAGCTCGTCATGCCCATCCCGGAGTCAACTTACCCGGTCCCGAGAGTGCTGGAGACTGGACAGACCATCACGATTCCCTTCAACTTTGTCATACCCAACCACCTGACCATAAGCGCCTGCAACCACGAGAGACTGTCTGGTCAGCTACAGGACCAGCATCTCCTGCTACCCCCGAGCTTGGGCGGCTGGGACAAGGACGACATGTCTCCCATCATGGCTCGCATCGATTACTCCATTAAAGCTAGGGTTCTCCGCCAAGCCGATGTGGGCTCCAAGATGGTAAGGATCATGGAGGCTACGCAACCTATCCGCGTCCTCCCAGCTTCCGCCGAGGACCCGCCCCTCAACATCTCGGCCGCAGACAAGCTGTACAAGATGACCAAGTCAAAGACGGTGCGCAAGAATCTCATGGCAACAAGGGTGGGTCAGTTGACCGCCGAGGCCCTGCAGCCCAGCGCCGCCCTTCTCCAGTCGAATGGACTTGGTATTGCTTCTCACCCCTTAGCTCAGGTCAGCCTGACCTTTGAGCCCACGTCGGCCGACGTGGCCTCGCCGAGAGTCACGGGCGTCTCGGGCAAGATTATCTCCCACACCTTCTACAGCTCCGGGACCATCGCCAGCTTTCCAAACCTAGGAACCTGGTCTCAGCCGTTCGATGTCGAAAGGCGCGGCGTGTACTCGGCCTCAACTCCGCTACCTTCGATGAAGGTCAGCCACACACCATGGGCTCAGCGTCCCTTCGCCGCTGCCGTCAGACGTGACTCGGGCTATTCGAGCGATGTCGACGGGAACTGCGGCCAAGAAGGCGGCTTCGAGTCTGACTCGGCCGAAAGCCGCGGTAACAGAGAGCGCCAGTCCAGGCCACAACGCCGCCAGTCCATCTCGGCAAGCAACGGGAAGAAGTCGTCGAAGGCCGCCTCGACATCTCCCATCTACCACACAACAACACTCGAGATACCCTTCAAGCTGCCTTCGGACAAGAAGATGTTCATTCCCACTTTCCACTCGTGTTTAGCCTCACGCGTCTACACCCTGCAGCTCTCGCTCGACGTGACCATAGGATCGACTAGGAGCAACGTTAGCCTCACGATGCCTCTGCAGGTCGGCATCGAGTACTCGACTCCGGAACAGCACGGCGTCAGTCTCCCAAGCTTTGAGACGGCTGTGGCCGAGGCCGAGGCGGACGCCCACCTTCAACCGCGTGTCATCCGGGTGCCCGAGTACGAGTTCAACAGGGATAGCAGCGCGCTGCCCGGCTACGGGACTCGATGAGCCGTACATGTCAATACGGATCCGGTCAAAACTGCAAATATATTTCCTTGTTTTCATCGGGCAATACTCTCAACGGTTTACTTTGTTACAAAAATTATGCATTTCAAATTATGCATTTCACAGGCGTTGGTTTGGTGTTGGGGCTTGTTTGTGGGAACAGGAGGCACACGTCATATCGCCGGGAAAGCGTCGAAAAGTTGGATTTAACATACCCAGTTTGCATTTTGCGGTTCAGCGCGTGTATGGTTTGCGGTGGCGGTAGTCTTTTGGTGCGTTTGATATATCTAGATACTCCGTAATCACACAAATTGGACATTGATGTACGGATATCTCGCCAGCCTTTACTTGCTCTGACTCGTGTTGAAGAGTCTCCCATAACCCTCCTAGACATGAAATGATCAGCAATGCAGCGTCAATCGCGCTAGGTCTATCCATGGATATTTCGGGGCTCGGAGATGTCAACATGGTACATGTATCCGAGGGCCATCATTTCGGACTTTTCCCTACCACTCTCTCCCTAGTTTCGAGAACAAATCTACCTACGGATCCCTAACCAGCCAGCCAACCATAAAACCAACCAGCCCGCCTCCCTGACGTCAACGGAAAGCCATAACCGATGTCGGTACCCGTGCGAGATCAACCCGCGTACTTATATACGTGTGTATATAAGATGTTGACGTAGGACAGCACCGATGAAGCAAATACGAAAACATGGGGTGCGTCTGCCGTGTACCTGTGCATACATGCATGCGTGCATGCATGTCCGTGCACGGTGCTCATATGGCAAGATGGGATGGGATGCTGATCGGCAACTATTCGCGTACCTTACCTTACCTTGCCTTTCATACCTTGGATACCTATACGCGGCAATACGCGGAACCCCCCCCGCCCCCCCCCCCCCCGACTTGACATCATGTTGCCCCTTGCTTGCTGACTGGCATTGAAGCGGTGAGGTGACATCATTAGAGAGGTTTTGAAATAGTGATAACGACAGACCGGCTAGCTAGCATCTTTGTGTGAAGTGTTGTGTTGTGTTGTCACGGCGTCTCGATTCAGGGGTCTTTCCCGATATAGGTTGATGAGGTAGGCAAGATGGAGAGTTAAGCTGGCAAAAGTGACAGCAAGGTCAAGTAAGGAGGTATGTACATGGTACTTCGAGGAACTTACTACAGCCAGGTTGAAACCGTCAAAGAGAAGAGAGAAGAGAAAACTGAAACCGACGAGATAAGGGAGCCGCTTACAGGGCTGGGTGGACGAGCATGAGGAGGGGCCGGGTTGCGTTCGTTGTTCTATCGCTGAAAAAGAAAGAATTGGCCGAATCGTAGTGGTGGTGCATGTAAGATTGTAATAATTATGTTGTACCCTTTCGTTGGTGGCTTTGTATTTTCTTGCTCTCTTTATTTTTATTCTTCCTTTTCCAATTTCTTTCTTAGTATAGTTATATGAAATGGACGGAGCTTTCGGAAGCTGAAGCTAGTGTGTGTTGCAGCCCGTTTGGGTTTAGAACAGCAAAAGCAAACGCAAAGCAAGGCAGTGTATGTATGTACAATCCAATCCCTGAATGTTTGTTGCCGTGGTACTTGAGCATGATAAATATCATCGCCTAGCAAATTAACCGGCTAGGAAAACCCTTTAATAGGTCTTTTTGGCGAAGAGATAGGCCTCGAGGATTCTAAAATAGGTATCCTAATAGATTTTACCTTCCTCGGCGAAAAAACATTTAGGGCGAGCCGTAGAGTATTGAGACCTTTCGAATCATAGAAAGTCCCCCGCTAATAAACATTTAGGGATTAGATTGTATGGAGAGGTAAGAGACATTCAACTATTAGGTACAGTACCATGTTTCGGTCGGGTTCCTACGCTGGGACTGTAGGTGCCCTGTAGTGCCTGCCTACAACTCACCGGATACGATTTGCCCAGCTAGCGCGACGAGCTGACTCTATTGTCATCCCAACATCCATGTTTTGGTTGCCAGGGGGGGGGGGGGGGGGGGCAAAGCGAGTGGGACCTGAGGATTGAATTTTCGGTGTGTTTTCTCTTCCAACAACAGAACAGCAGCGGTGAGAGCGGTGAGCGAGAGAGCATGTTGTACCTAACCGGCTCCCCTTTTTTTTCTGAAAGAGCCCCTTCCTGAAATAGGTGTAAGCAGCGATGTCATGTTTGCCCCCTGAACTGAACCAACCTCGAGCTCCTACCCGTCCCTCGAGAGTTGCGGCCGCCAACAAGGGTGCTGCGCCCGCCTTTGCTGAGTCTGAGCAGAGTCTCACCTCAGACTGTGCACAACACACAAATCCTGCGCCCGCCTCTGCTCACGCGATCAACGGCGCGGTTGCCAGTCCACAAACAAAAAAGAGCCGTCCGTTTATTCACGGGGTCGGCGGGTCACGGATTTTTGCGTGCTTACTACATGTCCCGCTCTCGGAGGACCTACTCGGCCCTTTCGAGGGCCACGACCACGTCGACCAGGAAGGCGCCCTGCAGGTCGGCGTCGGTAAAGTTGTCCTCGCCCAGGCCGAAGTCGCAGGCCAGGCACTTGCGCACGATGCGGCAGTATTTAGGATAGAGCAAGCGCGCTGAGCAGGTCGATGCATTCTAGTCCGCCGGCCCTGGTCTGGTGGCTAGAGCCAGCCTGGCGGTGCTGTAAAGCAGCGTTCATCACCGCCCCTTGGCTCTTCCAGGCCGGGCGAGCTGTTCCTGGCACAAGCTTGAAGAAGCCTCAGGGTTGGTCCCGAGTTTGCGGCTCACAGACTCGACCTCGAGTATGATGGACTTCACGGGGTCCGGATTGCTGTGGTGAAAGGAGCTAACGGCAAGGCTAAATACGACATTTTGCGGGTTTTGCTGCAACGCAGCGTGGTCTAGCAGGCCAGTGCTGATAAGGTGGCGATGGTGCGAGACGCAGGAGCACCGCATGATGTCGTACAGCTTGGACGAGGCTGCACGGATTTGTCGATAGGTTTCCAGACTCTTCGGCTCGGCTTTGGGTGTCTCGGGTGTTGCCGACTGGTCTCCTGGATGACTTCTCGTTGACTAGATTCTGGCGCGGATCTGACTGCTCAGCGTTTTGAAGTCGCTGACTGAGTCCCGGAGGCTCTGGATCATCTTCTTCAGCTCCGCTTTGGTCAGGGACAGCTTGACCTTTCTGGCAAACTGTATGATATTCTCCCCATGTTGTTGAAATTAACAAAATATTAGTGGCTGTGTCCCTAATTTCAGACGAGTAGACTCACAGGAGCCACCTGTCCAGCTGGCGGATGCAGCTTATCGAGTTTTTGGTATATCGAGTCTATGGATGAATTAACCTGCAGCAGTGCAAGGTTCCAGAGGTCAAACCCGTCCCACACGTCCTTGAGCCGACTCAGATGAGCGCTGCTAATCTCGAGACCGTGTAGCAAGATGTGGCCTCGCTACGAAACGAGTTCCCGGCCCCGTTCAGGGTCTCCGCAGACCGATTCGAGGAGCTGGATGGCTGTCTCTCTGACAATCCAGTTCTGGGTTCTCATGACAAGGTCCAGCTCCCTCAGCTCGGAAGAATAATGCGAGACGGTTTTGAACTTTGTGGCCATCTCGGCATACTGGTCTAAAGCGCCGAGGACGAGAGGAAGGACGGCGAGAACAGTTGCCACTGCAAACTCGGCCATGACTGCAACTTCATACCATTGATCGCCAGACGTGGATGATAACAATGGCATGGCGTTGAGTGTTGGCGGCGAACACTGGACAACCCAAACAACTCAACTTGTCTAGGCTTTGCAGAGTCGGCTGTCTCCTAACATGGGTATTTGTCATATCGCTACAGAGGGCGACTTTCAGCTCCTGGTCCAGATCAGGACAAGAGCCTCCAAGGCAGTGACAAATTCAGCCACTCGCAGGGTTGAGTTGAGAGCGCTAGTCGTTATATTACGACATCCGGTGCTCAGCCAGAAACCTCAGTCGACTCTACCCTGGGAGAAGAGATTCGAAACGAGGCAGAGCGGTTCTACTTGCGGGGCATCGACATGTCGGTTGGTAATAGTCGCCTCGATGCGGCCTTGTCACGGAATCTCGAAATGCGAGACGAAATCGTGGCAACTCTTTCCGGTCTTGGGTGACTTCTTTCGATGGCCGCTCGGCAGGACATGCTGCTGCCATGCAGAAGTTGCCAACATGCGTCGGCCGGGCTAGACAATGTCCTGGGCAGAATAGGGGACGACAAGGACCGCCTGATAGCCGGGGCGTGCCAGACTCTCACTCGGGGTCCTCGGCACTTACACGCACACGCTGGCGTCGGCGTGAAGGGCCCAAGACGGCGCCAGGCTTCATTTCCCCGTCGTGGTGGGTGCGCATAGCGTGGTTGTCGAGTACAGCTCTGCCCAGGCGCCGTCGACGCACTGGATGGTCCGCATGCTCCGCAAACCTAACAAACTGAAAATGCCCCTGTCGCTCGTGGTTGGCGCCGCGAAGCAGCGACGGACGGCCCACGTCTCGGCTTCAACCAGACCGGCCACTGATTTGGGGGACGACACGTATTTATCCATCCATTAGTGAGGTGACTTACATACATGGGGTAGCTGGGCGCTACAGCACGCTAACCATGCTGGGCCGTAGCGTGCCTTTGTAGCGGACTATTCGCGGGAGCATATAGAACAATGAGGCGGGTGGATCCATGTCCTGGATTCCCCGGGTTCCAATCCGGTGACGGCTGCCCGGGATGGAGGGAGACGGGCATTTGATGGCTCGGGGAAAAGGCATTTTGAACACCTGTACCTATCGCCTCGCAAACTGATGCAACAAATTACGTCCACACGCGTTTGCGCAAACGTTGACAGCAAGTGAAAACCGAACGGGTTGCTTGACGCTGCCAAGTATTTATAGGCACCTAGAACTACTTTAGGTAGGTAGCCTGAGGTTCGGGCCCACGGACCCTGGCTTCTTACGCAGTAGCTTACCTTGCCTAGCTGGGCTACTTTGTACCTTACATAGTAGTTCACGGCCCATGTTGGACGATCCAGCCGTTGCCAACGACGACATCGCTCCAACCCATCCCCATCCCATCTGGCCGCCGTTTTTCCACCCCCGACCCATCTCGCTCTCTGCAGTGCCTCGACTGTGTGGCACTCGCTGCCAGTTCCATTCGTTCCACCAACCACCTCAAAGCAAACGCGCTGCTAGGATAACGGGGCCAAAACGAAGTGTCTAACACGGCCAAGTCGGCGCACGACGAACCAACGATCCCGAGCGACGAAAGCCGTAACACCTCCAAAATACGCCGCATCCTTTGCTCTCGAAACGTGGGAAAGAAACCAGCAACCCTCCCTCGCTTCGCCGGAAGCCCGGGGTATATCCCACATCCCTCGACTGAAGCCTGCACTTCCGTGACAGCTGCGTGAGCTGAGCCCGGAAACAAACTTAGGTTCTTATTCAGCCCTGCAGACAGACGACCGGGCTCGGAGGAGGAACGACAACAGCTACACGCGCGCGTAACGCGCCATCTACGCACACGCACACGCACACGCACACGCACACGCACACGCACACCACGTACAAGCACAAACACACACAATGGATCGTTCTACGAGGACTCGGTTCCTGTGGTCGTGGACCGTACTTGTCCTGGTTCTGTGCCGGGCCGCTAATGCATTCTACATTCCCGGTAAGCTGCATCTCTCCCCCTCACCTCACATCCCTCTGCTCCGGCGCATTAGATTGGAGCAGACTACTGACCCCCCCAAAAACAGGCTGGTCCGTCAAGAGCTACAAGGAAAACGAGCCGATACCGCTGCTAGTCAACAAGGTGTACTCGGACAACACGCAGCTGCAGTATGCCTACTTCGACCTGCCGTTCGTGTGCCCGCCGACGGGCCAGCGCCACTTCAGCTCGGGCCTGCTCAGCGGCCAGAGCATCCCGCTCAACCTAGGCGAGGTGCTGCGGGGCGACCGCATCGTCGTGTCCGACGTCGAGCTGGCCATGCGGCGCGACACCAAGTGCGCCGTGTTGTGCAGCCGCGCCGTCGGCCGCGGCGACTTAGAGCGCGCCCGCCAGATGGTTGAGGACGGCTACGTGGTCGAGTGGATTGTCGACAACTTGCCTGGCGCCACGAGCTTCGTGACCGTCGACAAGAAGCACAAGTACTACGCCGCTGGCTTCAAGCTCGGCGAGGCCGACCACTCGGCCGAGCGCCCGCGCTTCTTCCTCAACAATCACCACACCATCGTCATGGTATACCGCAAGGCCCCGGGAAAGGCCGGCGACGCGGGCGGCAGGGTCGTGGTCGGGTTCGAGGTGTACGCTAAGAGCATCGGGCCGGGGAACAAGAGGCTGTCGGACGGCTGCCCGGCGGACCTGCGGAACATTGACGGGGGCTTCGAGCTGCTTTTGCCGTCCAACGGGACGCTGGCTACTGGTTCGTCTAGCGCGGCGGCGCATGCGCACCCGAGCAGCAGCAGCAGCAGCGCCGACGACGGCGACAAGCTGACCATCCCGTACTCGTACGCGGTGTACTGGCGCGAGGATAGCTCGATCGAGTGGAACCGGCGGTGGGACCTGTATTTTGTGAACCAGGAAGCGGGCTCCAAGATCCACTGGCTGGCCATGGTGAACTCGCTCTTCATCTGCGGGCTGCTCACGGGCGTCGTGCTCATGATCCTCACCAAGACCATCCGGACCGACATCAAGGGCTACAGGGACACGGCAGTCGAGGAGGGCCAGGGCGTGCGCCTCCTGCGGCGCAAGCTCAAGCTGGAGAAGACCCTCGGGCTTTTGGACCAGGTTGGCAGCGGCGGCGGCAGGCTGTCCGACGACGACGACGACGACGACGACGACGACGGCGACGACGACGGCGAGGCGCTCGAGGACGTGACGGGCTGGAAGCTGCTGCACGGCGAGGTGTTCCGGCCGCCGCAGCACGGCCACCTGCTGGCGCCGCTCGTGGGGTCGGGCACGCAGCTGCTGTTCATGGCGGTCGGGCTGGTGCTGCTCAGCGCGCTCGGGGTGCTGAACCCGAGCTTCCGCGGCGGCTTCATCAGCTTCGGCGTCGGGCTGTTCGTGTTCGCGGGCGTGCTGTCGGGCTACTTCTCGGGTCGCATCTACAAGACGCTCGGCGGGCACGACTGGCGCCGCAACACGGTGGTGACCGCGCTGCTGTTCCCCGGGCTCGGCTTCTGCGCCGTCTTCGTCCTCAACCTGTTCGTCTGGGCCCAGGCCTCGTCGACCGCCATCCCCTTCGGCACCCTCGTCGCCGTCGTTGCTCTCTGGCTGTGCGTGCAGCTGCCGCTGGTCTACGTCGGCTCGTGGTACGGCTTCGCGCGCGCCGGCGCGTGGGAGCACCCGACCAAGACCAGCACCGGCGGCGCGCGGCGCACGGGGCCGGCCGCGGCGGGGCGGCAGACATGGTGGCACGCGCTGCGGACGGTGCTGCTCGCGGGCCTGGTCCCGTTCACCGTCATCTTCATCGAGCTCCTCTTTGTCTTCCAGTCCGTGTGGCAGGACAAGAGCGGCTACTACTACGTGTTCGGCTTCCTAGCCGTCGTGTCAGCCATCCTAGTGTGCGCCGTTGCCGAGGTTACGGTTGTGGCCATCTACCTGCAGCTGTGCGCCGAGAACCACCACTGGTGGTGGCAGAGCTTCTTCGTCGGTGGTGGCAGCGCCCTGTGGGTGTTTGCGTACAGCGTGTGGTATTTCTTTGCCCGGCTGCACATCTCGGGCTTCCTGAGCAGTTTGTTGTTCTTTAGTTATAGCTTCATGGCCTGCTGCGTCTATGGCCTGCTTACCGGTACGGTGGGGTTCTTGGCTGCTTATGCGTTTGTGCGCAGGATTTATGGGTGAGTTTTTTTCTTTTTCCTTTTTGTCTCTTTTCCTTTTTTTTTCCCCCCTCCCCCTTTTTTCCCCTCCTCCCCTTTTTTGTATTTGGAACTGTGTAACGTCCCAGTGGATTGTTTACTGACGTTTGTTACCTTTTCCTTTTACAGGGCAATTAAAATTGATTAGACGTGGTAATTCTTGGGTTTGTTCGGGGGGTGCGGTATCTTGTAGGTTAATTGCATGCATCATTGGCATCTGGCGTTCTTGCGCAAAAGGAGCGGACTGAGTGCTTAGGGTTTGCATCGGCAGGCATTGGATTTATACCTACCTATTGGTACGGAGTATTAAGGGGCACATGGCGTTGTGTTGTGGTGGTCGGAGTTTGAATAGAGGCAGAACTGGGCGGTATCTGTATCACTGTGCTGAATTCCACCGTCTTTGTTGTGGGTGTTTGTCGTCTATGGAGAGGTCGTACTGCACTGCACTGCGCCGTGGTGTCAGCTGTACATGTACATAATGACGACACCTTGCAGAGGCTAGTCTAGCGGCCTCGAGATGCCGCGCTATGAATGCTTGCTTGGAACTTTGCGATGTAAGAGGATCTCGACAGGCGGAGTATTCTAAAATTCTACCCTGCTATATTACCTTACTGCCACATCTTCAATTACATGCTGCGGCTCTGTTGCTGCCTCTTTCAACGTCGACTTGTCAACTGGGTCTAAGGAAGCTCGAGTCCAGGTGACTTACCATCAGGGCGGAACGAGTACCTTGCAGCCAATCAATCGAACCACATGCAGCCTTTCACCTCTGACACATGCTGCTTCTCGATACGACACACACGCACATCACAGACCAACCACTTGAACGCACCTGTCTGTCTGTCTGTCTGTCGGCGGGCTTGACACAAATTCAACCTACGCTACACTACCGAACTGGCAATATTCCACGCTGTGCGTAGCCCGTATTTATCATCTACCTATCTCGTCAACCTCATTCAGTAGCTCGCCGAATCACAGAAAACATGGGCCAGGCATGACACACGTCAGTTAGACGACCGAGCCCCTGTGCATGCAGCGTGTGTGCGTTGGGACTAGGACTCTTGAACCTGCCGGAGCATAGGGCAGGGTAAGGTAGGGTTGCCTTGTTTTTCAGCTAGTAGCTCGACGCTCTACCAGCCAGTCGGTCGGTTCACTTCACTCCAGGGCAGGTTGAATTCGGTTGGGTCAGGTCAGCCGGGGCTGTGACTGTGGCCGTGACGGTTTAGAGCAGGGTAGTTCCACAAAGGAGAGGAAAAAGGAAAGAAAAGAGAAAAAAGTGAGACTCTTAAAAGTGAACGACACAACACAAAAAGGATGGGCCTCCTCGTCTGGCTCCGCCTCCGCCGGCCCAACACCTGGGAGCGGCCGACGCTGCTCGACGGCCTGCTCGACTCGCCGCTGCACTGGCTCGTAGCGCGGCTGTACGCCGTGCTGCTGCTCCTGCGCGGGCGGCCGTTCCGCCCCGGGCACGGGCACAGCAGCACGATCAAGGTCGTCTGCCTCTCCGACACGCACGGCCACGTGGTGCCCGACGTGCCCGACGGCGACCTGCTCGTGCACTGCGGTGACCTGACCGATGCGGGCTCCGCGGCCGCCATCCAGGCCCAGCTCGATTGGCTCGCCGCCCTGCCGCACCGCCACAAGGTCGTCGTGGCCGGTAACCACGACTCGTGGTTCGATCCCGACGCCAGGAGGGCGCTTGCTGATGCTGCGAGGAGTTCAGAAGGGGAAGGGGATTGGGATGGGGATGGAGAGGCGGATGGGGAGGTGGACTTCAAGGGTGTCGTCTACCTCGAGAACAGCTCCGTCACGCTCGAGTTCAAGGGCGGCAGGAAGCTGAATGTCTACGGCTCGCCGGCGGTGCCAACGTGCGGGGGGTCGACTAATGCGTGAGTTTTGTTCTTCTTCTTCTTCTTCCTCCCTTCAGCTCTATTCTTGTTTGTTTCTGCTTCATCCCGGGTTGGAATTTCTCCAACGGGTGGTTGTTTATACTTTGACCTCCTCACATAAATACTCTGTCTACCTACCAGCACCGACAACAGAGACAACTAACCGCCTCCGCGCCGACGCAGATTCCAGTACGAGCGGCACCTGCACCCCTGGCACGGCAGGATCCCGCCCGAGACGGACGTGCTGGTCACGCACACGCCGCCTGTGAGTCTTTTCGCCCCCCCCCCCCAACCAACACACAACAGCTCATCGCCCTCCAGCGCTACCACCTCGACCTCGCCGGCGTGGGCTGTGCCGGGCTGCTGGACGAGGTCTGGCGCGTCAAGCCCAAGCTGCACGTCTTCGGGCACGTGCACTGGGGCCGCGGGCGGCAGGCCGTGTACTTTGACGAGTGCCAGCGGGCGTACGAGACGCTGATGGCGCGGCAGTGGAAGGGCCCGCTGCGCGACTTGCTGCCCGGGCCGGCGTGGGCCGACGCGTTCAGCGTGCTGTGGTATGGGGTCAATAGCGTCCTGTTCAAGTGGCTCATGCTTGGGCCGGGCACTAATAATGGCGGGCTTATGGTGAATGCCGCTGTCGTCCGCGGCAACACGAGGAAGCTCGTGCGCCGTAGCCCTGCCGCCGTGGTCGAGCTGTGATGGCGGCGGCGGCGGTAGTCATACATAGAGGAAGTATGTCTTGGCTGGGCTCGTCGGCATCGTTATTGGCCTGCCTGCATACTGTACATACAATACCTGTACCTTGAACAAATGGTTGATTTTAAAAGGACACGACAGAAGGCGAGATCATTGCCCAGAGTTGTGCATCAGGCATCCAAGGGATGTTGGCGGTGCTTCGTATCTTTATTCGTCTAGACGAGGCCGGAATGAAGCATGGCCTCGAAACTGCGTTGCCTAGCTGCACTTGTCTGTGTATAAACAGTGTCGCCAACACACTGCTAGCTTCATTCAGGGCAACTAGTATACAATTATACATACAAAGCACGTGTTTCGTTGACGTAGATTCTATGTACAGTATAGCACCTTTCTTTCCTCGCATCCAATAAAGCAATTTTTTTTGGCCAGCCCTGATCCGAAAACGCCACCCCTTCGCTATGCGCTCGCCAACTCGCAACTACAGGCACCTTGCTCAACCAGCCGGCCTGTACCGCCCTATGCTATATACACCATAAAAACACACACACACACACACAGAGCTTACAACACGCAACGCACACTCTCTACGATCTAAACTAGGCTTCACACCATAATGCGCCTCAGCGACTCGGTGCCGCCGAGCACGCGGCGGCCCGTGACGGCGCACCGCCCGGCGCCGCTCTCCCAGTGGCCCTCCTTGTCGGCCATGAAGCGCTCCTGGCGCGGGTGGTCGCCCGTCAGCCAGCGGTGGATGCAGCGGTAGCAGTAGACGACGCCCGTCTGGCAGGCCGTGGGGGTCGCCATGGCGTCCTCGCAGATGGGGCACGTGTCGGAGCGCACGGGGGCGCGCACGGTGAAGATGGGCAGTAGCGACGACGCCGCGATGTACGCCGTCTCTGGGGACAGGTCGCTGTCGTCGTCGTCGTCGTCTTTGTCTTCCTCTTCTGCTGTCTTTGAGATGGCCCTTTTCGCCGGGCCGCTCCCGTCGTCGGGCAGCCCCGTCACAACCGGTGGGGGCAGGTTGAGGCTCTCGCCGGCCTTGCGCGACAGCTGCTTGGCAAACTCGGACGCGTACCACCACTCGAGGAACTTGAGGGCAAAGATGCTCGTGGGCAGCACCAGCGACAGGCCGCCCAGCAAGCGGGCGCCCACGGCGCGGGGCGACGACAGCAGCATGGCCGAGGTGCCGGCGGCGGCAGGGCTCGCGGCGGCGGCAGCGGCAGACGTCGTCTTGGTCAAGGCTTCCTCGACAGCGCGGTAGTCGGCGGCGTTCATGCGGCGCACGCGGGTGCCGATCAGCCAGAGGAAGGGGTTGTGGGTGCGGGCATTGTCGAAGAGGTAGGCCAGGTTGAAGGCCAGCAGGGCAAAGTAGTAGGCGGCGTTGACGCTGGGGTAGACGTTGCGCAGGAACCAGCGGTAGAAGTGCAGCAGGCGGTCCCTCCAGCGGGCGCCGGGGGGCAGGCGCGAGTAGGCTTGGCCGAGCAGGGCGCGGGGGGCGTCGACCTCGTACGACTCGTCGAGCTTGCGCTTGAGGTAGGGGAGGGCGACCATGACGGCGAGGTTGCGCCAGACGTCGGCCGTGGTCAGGCGCAGGGCGTCGCGCACGACGGCGGGGGCGGAGTGGGCGGCGCGCGGGATGTCGGCGGCCAGGGCCTTCTCGCGCTTGAGTCCGTAGAAGTTCTCGGTGAAGGACCCGGCGCGCGTGCGCAGGTAGTGGCGCTCGACCACGAGGGCGGCGAGGGCGTAGAGCTCGTCGAAGCTGTTGAGCACGCGCAGCAGATGGCGCGGGTAGCGCTGCGTGGCCACCGTCAACAGGTAGCGCAGCGTCGGCGGGAGCAGCCCCACCAGCTGCTGCTCCGACAGAAGCTCAAACAGCGACGGCTTGCCATCGTCGAAGCTGCCCCGGAGGGCCGTCACAAACTCCATCACTGTCCACCCATCAAATCAATTTAATCTGATGCCGTCGATAGGCAAGTTGATGAGGTCGGATGGGAAGCAAAGAACTAAAGCCGGGTAAGGTTGCAGGTGGTAGGGATGCTGTGCCGCCGCCGCCAAGCTGCCCGAAGCCCAGTGCAGCCCCCCCTGTCCTAGACTTGCCGAGGCACGCCTGGTTCGGGGAAATGCGGGGAACTGCCCTGCCTCAGGTTGGTATTCCCCAGGCTTGGTTTAAAGCATGCCAATCCCACTTTAGCACGGTAACGACAAGCCGCTATTCCAGCCCCTTGCACCGCTGGACTGGACCTGCAACAAGCCCGCCCGGAAATAGGGTCAAACATCACCGACCTGGCGAGCTAGGAAGCACATCGTTGATAACACTCGCTATCACATTGGCTGTTTTAGCTCTATATCCACTCTTTTATTCAGAACCTATGCAAGTGTCTACCTCAGGTAGTGTACAGTGCAGCAAATAATTACATACATATTGGCTGGCACTCGGTATTGGTCCCCCTTTTATTCCACGCCCCCCCTCCCCCCAAAACATCAACCACAACAACACAACACAACACATGGCCAAGAACCCGGCAAAGTCCAGCCCCGCCGAGGCCACCGGCGTGCAACGAGTGACTGAGCTCATGAAGCGCGGAAGGGAGCTCGTTGACGATCCCAACGACCATGTACGTGCACGACCTGGCGGAACGTCCCCTCTAGGCATGAAAGACGCGTGATGAACAACAATAGAAATAGGGGGGCGGCATGTCATGTCACGAAGCAGCATGCATCCATCCCACTCTTCAACATACCATATACCACTTCACACCGCACCCTCTTGGCGCTACTGCTCTCTCCTCTCTCTCCTCTCTAGACCTACCTGCCTATGCACATCTATTTCACTGCACCATTAACACTTCCTTCCCACTCTTAGGAATGGGCCAACACGCTCGTGCCGTACCTCGAAGTCGTATCCGCCGACGCAACGCTACCACATCCGCGCGTCGTGTTCCGGTACACGGTCCAGCCGTCGCACTGGTATGTTGTTGTTTTCTTTCCCCTTTTTACCTTCCTTACCCCCCATCTTTCTTTCTATCCTTCCTCCCTTCCGTTTCTCTCTCCCCACCTATTCCTGCAAAAAAAAAACAAAAAACACAGAAAACACAGAAAACAACCCAAAAGCCAACACTGCACACACACAGCAACCGGCTAGGCAGCCTCCACGGCGGGTGCATCGCGACGCTGTTCGACTACTGCACGTCGACCGCCATAGCGCTCGTCTCCGAACCAGGACACTGGCACTACCTGGGGGTCAGCCGGACGCTCAACGTGACGTACCTGCGGCCGGCGCCTTCGGGGGCGACGGTGCTGATCGAGGCCGAGGTGGTGCACGCGGGCAAGCGGCTGTGCTCGCTGCGGGGCGCGATTCGGCGGGCCGACGACGGCGCGCTGGTGGCGACGTGCGAGCATGGCAAGTTCAACACGGATCCCCCGGTTGGCAGTAAGATATGATCTAGAGGAGACGTTGCTGGGGCTCGGCTTTGTTAAGGTACGGGATGGACCTGCTGAAGAATTGGATATGTATATAACCTAGGTATACATATCAAAACCACTAAAGCGCATGCCGATATTTTGTATTCCTTTTCCCGTTGCTGTTCATTAATTGCGTCTCTTTTAGGTGTCCTGGTGCAATCTTTCGCTTTCAAAAGGAACAAAAGGCTAGGTAGTATGATCAACATATAACTGAGCGTCCGTTCCAGTCAAGGCAAGGAGAGAAGAAGCGAATAAGCAAGAGATAATGAGTGAAAGTTCACGCCAAGAAGTTCGGACGCGAACCACGCCCGTCCCCTTATCGCCGCCCGATCAATCATCGTCACCGCCGAAGAACTGGTTGATCTCAAGATCTACGGGCAGCAGGATATCACTAAGGCCGTCTAGGTATTCCTCTTCGTCAAGCTCCTCCTCGTAGCCATCTACTGCGGATTGTCAGTATGCTTCCGGAAAACACTACGCTTAGAAGAAACGCCTAGAGAGTAGCGGCTCACCAATAGGGAGGAAGTCATGCAGAAGGACCTGCTGGTCGTCGCTGTTTGGTTCGAGGTCGGATATCTTCCAAAACGCCGTCGGTCCACACGGCCCGTGGGGGTCCAGATCCCTACCGCCAAACAGTCAGACACAACGACGACTATGGGGGTCTGTGGGGGCAGTACTTGTCAAACCAGTTTCCCACGACGCCTCTGGCAGACTGGATACCGCCGAGCTGGATGCCTTCGCTCTTCCATCGCTCGATGCCGCTAAAGATTGAATACGTCGTCCAGCGAACCTCGCCCTCGGGCGTCATGCGGGCGGTGCCTACACAGAAAATGGGAAGACGGGTCAGCATACAATGGCCTTCAACAGTGCGTTCGCATGGTGGAAAATCACCCCGTAGGTTAATTTCACCTCGCAGATCCGAATTGGCATTCTCGTCCCACGAGCCGTCCAACGACCGCGAGAAGCCCTCAAAATGCACGACAGGGTGATCCTGCCCGTCCGACTCTCCGGGCGCTTCAACCTTGGTCACGTGGATCTTCATGAGGATGAGCCGGGTGGCTTCTCCGGTATTTAAAGCCGGTCGCGGGATGTTGTCTGGCAGATGATCCCCGATGGGGAAGTTGTAGCTGAAGAAGTCGTTGTAGTCTTTGTTGCCCCTGCAAGTTAGCATGACACGAACGAGGGGCATTGGGGCTCGTATCAGGAATTACCGACCCAGGAAGCACACCACTCGCAGCCACGTGCCCGACACGTTGTAGAGATCCTGCAGCTCGAGCTCGGAGCGCTCTTGCTCCTCTGGCCAGGGGATATAGCTACGGGGCCAGGAGCCGCCAAACGCCGTGTTCCAGAAGTTGGAAAAGATGGGAAAGGTATCGAGGCCTTTGTTCTTCATGTTGTTCCGAAGCACAAGCAAGATGGCCTCGACTTTCTCCCAGTCGATGCGGTCGCTGCCGTCGTTCATAAAGGGGCCCCACCGAGTGTTCTCGGTGTACTCGCGCAGATCGTAAACCTTGGAGCACGCAAAGGGGTACATCCTCGAGGACCGCGTGCGGCCGAGCTTCAACAGCGGCATGCCGAAGAGGCTGTGGAGCTTGGCGCTCTGCTGGTGGTCTTCCTGCGGCGGGTTCTGGATGCCGTTGGTCCGGCCACGGGCGCGCTCAAACAGGAACGAGCGCGAGAGGAAGGCCTCGCGGTTCTCGTCGCTCTCGAAGAGCTCCGTAAGAAGCGAGGCATTGCGCGACTGCGGGTACGTCACCGACCGAGCCTGCCGGGTGCCTCCGCGAGACGCGTTCTTGAGCAGACGTGTAGCAGTATTGAAGACGAAAGGGAGTTCTGATTTCTGAAGAAAAGAGAACCGGGGAAGCGTTCTTTGTTAGCCATCTCCGATATCTTAATCTCCCTGTCGAGACGGACACAGGCCACAACGGCCTGACAGACACTTGGGCTCACCTTCTCGGTGCCCTTGCGCGCGCAGATACGGCGAAGGCGCAAGACGTCCTGGAGCTCCCGTTCCCAGTCAAGGTCATAAGAGGGAGGCTCGTCCTGACTAGAGATCAGCCGTGTGTCATTCACTTATATCCATACACAGGGACGGGGACGGTACCAGAGTGTGGCAGTAGATTTCGCGGCACAGGGCACTGTTACCCTTCACAAACGTATAGAAATAGCGACATGTCTTCTGCAGCACGGGCAGAGTGTCGGGGTCCACAAAACTGAGAATGTTGTGGACTATCTCGGGCGGCAGCTGTATGAGAAGCACCGCCATATTGACATCCAGAACCAGGTGCGATTCACAGTTTGACAGATAGACCCGGGTTGCAGACGCTGCTGAACCGACGATACAATGAAAGATAAATAAGATGGATGCGGGGTGCACCGCCGATAATCTCAGTATAAACGTGGTTTGGGGAATGAGAGTTGTCTCTGTAATAAGGCTGTCTCGGACGGCCTCTTCAAGAGGTCAAGATGTCAAGCAGAGGGTTGAAGCTTAAATGCCGATCGGAATGGCAGCGAACAGTCACAGCACTGGACGGGTGGGACCTCGGGCTGCGGGTGTCGGAAGAGGCAAATGGATGCTTGAAGTTTGCAGGCTCGCGGCGCGCGCTGTCCACGACTCGGATGTAAAAAGAGGTCGGGCTTTAGCGGGGGAAGGTGCGTTTGTCAACCGCGAGGTCTGGCCAGCTCAAAGACGGACGATGATGACGGGATTGTGCGGGAAGACGCGGGGTCTGTCTGGCCCAAGGCCGATCGGCGATAAGATGAACATAACCTCCGAAGCTCGTCTCGTCTATCTGATACCCGCAGAGCACCCGACGTCTATCCGTACCTGAGCAGCCCGTCAAGCCTCAGGCACAAAGCTACTGTTCTCTGACAGCCACGAGATTCTGTACAGTACATACATTACGAATAGCGTGAAACTCTCCCACAAACAGATATCTGGTCCAGATGCAGTGCCGTCCTGTGCAGCCCGAGACTCGACCCCGAGTAATCAATATTCCATGGTATTATTATCAGGGAATTGAGTTACTACATGCCACCATCATCTGCGGCTAGTACCTATTCCGGCAATCCGGGACGGCGGGAAGGGGGGTTAATGATGAGGAGAAGCTGAATGGCTACCCCCCCACCCATTTTTGGTTGGATATAACAGCACCGGGAAAGAGCGACCTATATCGACAGACAGGTTACTAATAGCAAGCAGCACACGGGGAAAGGATGGAATGCAGGTTCAAGTTGTGAGCAGGTGCGGGGGACTATTCTGTACCACAGATACTAATACCTTTGATACGCCCAAGGTATGTAAGTATCTGAACGGCTTGGCACAGCTTCCGATGGCGTATTCCCCATCGCGAATTACACGATGGTCCACTCCATACGAGCCTCGTCAAGATCGCTTGCGCGCTGAACCGTTTTTTGGCCGACCGAGGATAGAGAATGGGAACATGGTCCTCGCACTCCAAAAACGTCCTAGTATCATCCATCCGTTCACCTACCTATACGTACCCGTCGACCGACCCCCCACGCCGTCTGTCACCGACTTCCCCATTGCACTTGCACCTGGGATTCAATGGGACGGGGCGCTCGGCTGGAGCTCTCTGGCAGTTTCATGTACGACATTACTCCACCAATGTGCCGGACTTTCCAGGTTGGGCAGGTTCCTGCGTACCGTGGTATATTGCGGGGCCCCACCCGTACCTCAATTTGGATGCTAGTCCACATCCTAAGCCTGCTTCGTTTTTGTTATAGACTGCCGAATATCCGCAAACTCACCTCAACTTCCCGTCCCGACCACCTGAATGCTTGCGCGCTGGCGAGAAAAATCAAATATACAGGTATAGTACTTTCGAGAACACAGATACAGAAACAACAGGGGTATAGTAGGTAAATAAAACATGTTTGAGCAATGCCGCCCTCGCCCACTCGGTCCAACCCATTCAGTGTCAAACCTCATGAGAAATATCTTTTGGAAGATCCCTTTGCCCGTCTTTTTCACATACAATCCCATTCCAATTCATGTTCGACGTGTAAATCAAATCGTCATCCAACACCTGAAAGTGTGCAGCGGCTACCCCAGGCGCCTCTCGAATCCGTCGCCGTTCTTCGTCTTCTAGCCCAATCAGCAGACGCGGCCACGGATTTCAGATTCAGACTGCTTGGCCAGTGTTGAGGTTGATGCAGTTGTTCAAGAGGGTGGCTCCTTCGTGGAGCAACTCCCACCTCGTTACCTCGAACGTGTCTTTCAGTATCATCAACAGCGGCGTGTTGTGGCTAATCCCCTTCATTGACTTCAGCTCCTCGGGCGACGACACGTTGCCGTACTTGATCAGATATTCCCGCATGTGGCGCACTCTATCTTGAGGCGTGGATGGGACGTGTAGGCTAGGGCTCGCACCCTCGAGCGCATATCCGTAGCACCAAACCACCAGCGCAGCAAAATAGAGAACCCAGGGGCGGTTAAGCAGGACATCGTCTCGGGCCGAGTACAAGTCGTCCATAGCGTTGTAGCCGTTTGACCTTGGCGTCCCTGGGCCGCTTGAGAGCATAACCGAGTGCAAAAATTTCAAGGCATAATAAGTCGCATCTCGAGCTTTCGCCGACGGCGCCCAGATGTCCTTCATCCGTCGCTGCGCGCTGTGGAGATCCTGTGACCCAATGGCTCGGCCGAGGAGCCTCTTCGCCCGGGCGAAAATCTGGCAGTCCACGATATCCACATGCATTGCCATATGCGCCAGATGATGAAGCACAATCCGGCTTTCGAGAACCACCTTCAGCTCGTTGCGGTTCGGAGAGTCGTAGATGTACGGGTCTGCCGCATCGCCGGTGCCCAGCAGCGTCTTGTCAAAGTCGCCCTTCCACGAGTCAAAGGCCCGCGTCAGTGTCCCTCGCCATTTGTCACGACCACCAAGCGTCTGCGCAACCCCGCCGCCCAGAGAGTTGACCTGGAGGTCTCTTTGGTTCATGTGCCAACTGACGCTGAGCAACCCTCCCATGAGAATTGTACGGCCAAATGAGTTCGTCTGGACTTCTTGATTGCTGAGGGTCCGTTTGAGGCCTTCCAGGAAGGATATTGGTTTGTTGCCGACAGACATGAGGTTGGCCTCGATCCTGCCTACCTCGGAGCCGCTTGTGGCCTTCCACAGCTTGTCGTCGCAGGGTAGTGGCAAGCGCATTTCGTGTGCCACCATGACTGTTGAATGGCCAAACATGGTAGCATGAATCGAGTCGATCACGAAGGCCGCGAATGCTGCCCGCCGCGTCGCTTCGTTAGTAATCCAGTGGTTCCACCACTCATCCGGGGTGTGGGCCGCGCCAGACGTAGAAGACTGTCTCGAGCCGTTAGTTCTGTCATCCCTCGGATTTGGTGGCGAATCCAAGGCAGATTTTCCAATGAGCGCTCTCCCGCGACGCATAAGTGTTATCGTGGTTGCATGGTGGATATGCGCCCGCTCGTGCAGCTCTCTGGTCGAATACATCTTTTCGTACACCTCGAGGAGTAATAACGTCTGGAAGACCCAGAGATTGGCAGGCGGCCGGCAGGTGGGGTCCTGGAACATTTCCCACCTGAGGTTCCCGGCTAAGAAGTTGGACAGCTCGGCGCCAGCCTTGGTGATCTTTGGACCGTGAGCCTTGTCCAAGCATGCCGCGCCGATTGTCATGACGGCAATCAGAAGTAACTTAGGCGTCTTGTCGGGCAAGAATGTAGGCTTATGTAGAATCGGCACTTGGTCGCTGAAATGGAGCCAGTACGATCCGATATAAGCCTGCATCATCTTGCGACTGAGCATGTGGGTGTCGTCGTTGCGATCTCCCTCAAGAATGTTATCGCGGTGCTTCTCGATCGGGGCGTGACCATTCTCGTGAAATCTTTCCCTGATGAACTCGACTATCTCGGCGCTCTTATCCTCAGAGATGCCAGATTCGGGGGCAGGTTGGTCAAGCAGGTTGGTGACGGACATGACCTGCTGAGGACCCGTGGACGGAGGGAAGTACCCAATACTGTTGGGATCATTATAGTACGGCATGTGGTACTGGTTAACAGAGAACTCGCCATAACTACGACGGGTCAGCAGAGGGCCAGACGTATCATCGTCCTGGAAACCATACTTAAGGCCTTGTATTGGCACACCGGTCATAGGAGAGCCCTCGCCGTGCGTATTAAACAGATACGCCATAAAATCCTCGGGCATTCCGACGTAGGGTGATTTGTTGAGAATGCTATCGCTTCCGAAAACTGGCATCGTCTGCGGCATGCTCATTTGATCCAGCAGCATCATCTCGCCGCCACCCTGGGGGTGATGGTCCGAGTATTCGGCGGTGGTGGAGGGTGCATAGTTCTGCTGCTCCTCCCTTGTAACGGCCCCGGTCGAGGACGAAGCGAAATCTGACGGCGGGAGGCTGAACGGTGGAAAGTTTTGCGGCGGTACGTACGGCATTTGGGTAGCGGATTGCGGAGTATTGCTGGGCTGGCTGATATACCCTGGCTGGTTAGATATAGGAGACAAGACTCCGTACGCGCCGACGCTGGTCTGTATCGATGGCCGCTGAGGGCCTGGCGATGAGTGAAGCGGAGGCCTTTGACCTGCCATGTGGTGATAATTTCCATCATGGTGCATGTAGTCGAGACCGTTCGCATGTCCGTTGGGAAAGCCGGCTGGGGGCGTGCTGGTGATGGGTGTGTATGGGCTACCCAGGGAGTCTTTGGGAGAATGATACTGCATTGTCAGTGGCCGTCCCTTATATCCGGTGCCGGGCCGATTGGCTTCGGGCGAAGTGGAGCCTGCCGGTGCGAAAGGGGCACGGTGATCGGTGATGGGTGAGAGCTGGCCCAGCAACGAGTCCTTGCGATTCAAAGCCGAGCCTTTGGCTGTATGGCGGTCCTTATGCCGGTTGCACAGGTCAAGTCTCACAAATGTGCGCTGGCAATCGCCAATGCCACACTTATAAACTTGCTTGGGGTTGTGATTCAGCTGGTGGCGGTAGCTATGTGCAAGGGGTTAGCGACCAAACTCTTGCCACGCATTCAAGACGGAGCGACGACATACAGGTGCTCGGCCCGAGAGTAGCTCTTCCCGCAGCCTTTTTCGGGGCACTCAAACTTCTTATCCAGGCCCTTTCGGCTCCTGCGGCGCTTTCGTGCAGGGCCTTCCGAATTGGACGAGTTCGCGTTGTTCCCATCGCCATCGATATCGTCAGGATCGTCTATATCAAGATCCTCTACGTCCTTGTCGTCGGACCGGCTTCGGGGGCGGCCTCTCTCCTGGTCGTCTTCTTGCTTGATATGATGGGGCGGCGTGAGTTCCTGGAGTGGCGGCATGGCTTGTTTTGAGTGCACGCCGGGCACAGACAGTATATCGGTTGGCTGTGAGGCGAGGACTGACGCCATGGCCTACCAATATCCAACCAGCAATCCCCGGCCTGGTCGCCGGTTGCGGCTGTGTCAGGTCGAGGTGACACGGACCAGGGATAGAATGGTTTAAGGGGGCGCTGGTAGGCGCTCGTTACACGGGTCTCAGGGGAGACACTTATTTGAAGCGACCGTGATGTGTTTAAACGTAGAGGTATATGTCCACCAGGACGGGATGGACGTGATGGACGACGTCAGGAATTCACTGCGGCGAAGATGAGTCGCTCTCGCCACGCCAAAGCGGGCGCTGCGTTTAGACTCGCTCACTGCCTCGCCCAGACCAATTGGGACAGTGCTCACGATATCATGACAGGCAAATTCGGGACGCCTCGCCGAGAATTTGGGGGAGTGAGGGGGGCGGAAGATGGCGAAGCCGGCGCCTCCCGAAGGCGTTTAAACGATTTGGGAACGTGCAAGGCGCGAATCCGGGTAAAAATGAAAAGGCCTTTTCTCTCTTCTTTCCTACGACGAGAGGAAATGTTCCAACGACAAAAGGGAGTTTCTAGCGAAAGATCAGCAAAAGAGGTCCTAGGAAGCATGGAAGGCAAGGAAGGCAGTGAATGAATGCTAATGATCCCGCGCCGCCTGCCCCAGATGCGGGAAGATGAAGGAAAGCGGCGCCCCCGCCCGCGCGCGCATTGGGAAGGCGCCTGGACGGGGGGAAGGAGGGGGGCGGCCAGGGTCGGGGAGGGGGTGTGGTTCAAGCAATCTGCAAGCAAGCTGGTGGACCAAGCGCTCGGGTGGAGCTCAGGGTAGCAGCCAGGGAGACGAGGGATAAAAAATCTTGTGCTTGACAGACAGTCTGCATGGCGACCCGGAGAGGACGAAAATGGGGGCCTATTCAGACAAGCCAGCTAGAATGGGAAAGGGCATCGCCTGCGATCCAACCCTCTCAGAGTCCGCGTCGTGCCATAGAACATGTCTGCTTCCATCCCATACACAGTATATGCAGACTGCTGCAAGGCCATGGCGACGCCGCTGAGCAACTGCCCGGCATCGGCCTAGTCCGTCCGGGGTTCCAAACGGGCATGCGCCGCACACGCTGCCGGGGCCGGACCTGATTCATTGAGGGGGACAAGACACAAGACAGGTCGCGGTCTATGGTCCACCTCGGCCAGAGCACCGGGAAGGGGAAGCACAAACCTGTGCATGCCGTGTGGACAAACAAGCGTTGAAGTCGGACTTGGGTGGAGTTTGGCGCACGGCGTGTCACGAGAAAACGCCCGGGCCGTGTCAAGAAAGAAAAAAACGCACTTACATACCTGTCGAGTAGGGTACGCGTAAGACCGGAGGGCCTCGCTATCCAGGGACGGACGAGCTGAGGTTAAATAGCAACAGCTTGTAAGCTGCTGCCGTGGCCGTATCGAGCTCTGAGTCTACAGAGGCTTGAATGCGGAGAGGCCGGGGCTGGGGAGCGCGCCAAAGTTCCAAGAAAGTTCAGGTCGCTAGGTTTGCTCCCGTGACAGGCGCCCTAGTGCGGTGCGATGCGTTGTTAGCAGGAAATGGGAGATGCCGCACGGCTTGTGTCGTCAGCGAGTTGCCCAGGCTGGCTGCTGCGTCTGCGATGCTGTCCAACCTTGGCCTCCCACGGGTCAGAAGGATGTTTCTGGGGAAGTGGGAGGAGGAGAATCGAGGGGCGGGAGCCGGGTGTGGGGGTCTTAAGGGCCATTGACTTTTTGGGGAAATGGCGACGGCCACGCGAGACCGTGCTGCCGTATGGCCTAATGAGGTACCTGATTAGCGAGGGGGGGCGGGGGGTGGGAACTGGGAGGCTGTTCATGCGCTACTCCGTACCATTGTGCGGATATACTAATAACTTCCTAGGGGGGTGCCTATGAAAGGGGCCAGAGATGCTAGGTACCTGGTAGTTTCCAGGTCGTATAGATCTGTATGTGTGTTGTAAGTAGTGTGTGCTCCATACCGGCTTCTGCACCTGCCGTCGTGCCCACAGCTGACGGATATTCCTTAGGCAGTGTGGAGCATATGGTGTGTTGTTGAGGGGGGACACACGACGGATAGTGAGGCTGCTCAAGACGCGCACTGGGAATCTAATGTGACTGTTTCTTTTGAATTAATTGCCAAAATGCCAACTTAGGACGTCAACACGTCGAGATGGAAAGACCAGCGAACCGGGAAGCCAGCAGGGGCGCAATACTGCTTCGAGGCTGTTCCAGACCGGAAAAGCGGGGGGCACACCAGGGTGCACGACATGTAACCGCCAAAACATCCACACCACACTTCACACCTCCTCACCAGACACACCTAGGTGCCCTTCCAATCCACGTCTGGCAGTTGCTCGCTAATGTCACAGAAGGCCGCACTAAAACGTGCCTAGAGGCAGGGCCGGAGACGGAAATTAAAGTATATATTGAGTAAGCATCTTCGAATATACCTCACGTTGGCGATGCTTCTTTGACAAGTGACGTCGTCCTCGGTATGGTACGTGCCTTCCCACCTTCCGAACGGCAGGCAAGGTAGGGAGTTGGGGCGGCTCATCGGATTCGTGCATGAAAAACACGCTTGGCTACCTAGAGGAACGCGACCAGAATCGGAGCCAGTCAGTCAGTCAGTCTTCCATGCCGTGCCCGGGAGCTATGGCCTGCCGTTTGCGCATCGGGACGCTGCTCTGGTCTTCGTAGCCCCGTCTCTCCTTTGGCTGTTTCTCCTCTCCATGCACTAGTCCGAACAATATACATTGTTCGGGTGCATGTTAGATGCAGAGTCGCAACCTAGACAGGCAATTAATGGGTAAGGGAGCCCAGTCCAGCGTCAAGCTGCTCCGGGGGGCTCCGGTATTGTAACTCGTACAGTACATACCAAGCAACACAGACCGTATTGTACAGTACGTGAGTAGCGGTTTTAGCCTTTTCGCTCGCCCACGTTATGTACGATTACGATGGAAGGAACTCGAAGTGGCTCTGGTGCAGGCTGCGCAGTGCAGGCGGAGCAGGTCATGCTCCTGGGTGTGAGGTGTGTGGCCATTTAACTACCTTATACCGTGGTTTTCTCGGCCTTTACATAGTATAATCACGAGCCGCTCGAAGGACCTCCCCGCCTTTCATCCATCTCTACGCTCGCAGCCCCCACCTTCCATCTCTACCTCCCCTTTCCGCGGTAGAGTAGATCGAGCCTGCCGACTAACGCGGTCCGGCCGCGTACTCCCAGCGTGGTGTTCCTGCTCCCGGCAGTGCTCTCCTTCATTTACCATGGCCATACGATCCGGGTCTTGCATCGCAGGCTCCGATCAACTACACGGGATGCGCAGGGTCAAGTGCAGGGGGTGGTTGGTGTCGTGTTTTCTTGCCACGCTGCACATGCCGTCAGGGATGGTCTGGTCACAGCGACCTAGCGCAGGCGGAGAACGCTGAGGAAAAGTGTGGGGACTGGGGAAAGCCTAGTTGATTGGATGAGGCGTTCATCCCTCGTCCTGGGTCTTGCCCGCCATCCCCACTTTACCTGACCGTCATTAATAAGGAAATGTAGGTTACTAGGAGAGAGAAATGGCAGCTGAGACGCCTCGCTGCCTAGTTCCTGTCAGGCCTTGCCTCGATTCTTCTTCAAGGCTGTGTTGCCTCTCCTTAGAGCTAAGCTATTAGAATGCTAGTGCCCGCCTGTCTTGGCCCGGACTCTGGCGCGTCGTCTATGGAGCGCTGGAGCTTGCGGGGGAGGCCGCGAGCGGGCACCGCTGTATTGTAACTTCGATGCACCACCTTCTTCACCATTGCAGCCGACGGTCTGGTTTTCTCCGGATCGCGACGACTTTGGTCAGGTCCGGAAGTTTGCGGACTGGCTCGGTCAGATCAAGAACCTGAGCTCAAAGCCCAGACTAAAGCGTGGTCGATCTTTAATACTAATTTCCCACTGTATCAACATCTCAGGGCCCGACAGAAAAGTCTTGCAAAGAGAAACTCGCGCACCCGATCTGTCCAATGAGCGCCACTCCACATTGACCCCCAACCTCAACACCATGTCCGCGGAGTCTTTAAATGGCAAATTATGTGGAGGCTCGGGGCTGAGACGTTACCGGACCCAGGCCGTTGGCACGCGACAACAGAGTGCGGAGGTTATAGGTCCATTTTCAGGGCTTCGCATGGCTTCGATCACGACTTCGATCCAAGCTTCGATCGTGCAGCAGTCTCATCCACCCGCAAAGGCTGATTGAATTCCACTGTCGTTGCCTCTACCACTGACAGAGTCAATGGATACCTGAAGCCGAGAAATGAATGGCATCAGTCAACTCGCAGATAAGACCTCACACCTATGTATTTACCCCTGAGACAGGCGAAGATTCGGAGAAGGCGCGGTTTCGGGGCATCGAAGGGCCGCCCGGTGTCGTGGTGGAAACGCCTAAACCGAAATCTACACTAAACCAAGCCCCGTACGGAGACGAACATATCAATATCAGGTAATGCCCCGGCCATGTAGAGCGCTAGCGTGAGACGGCCGTCAAGATCCCCATATTTTGGGGGGTTCACCGTTGCAAGGCGTGGGATGTTGATCACGGCGTCGGCCCTGGCTGATCACCAAGCCTTGATCTGGACCCGAATCTGACAGTTGAGGGGACACACATCTCGGGGGTTTTGGCGTTAATTGCCGTGGAAAGCAACATCCTCTGCAGGTGACTGGATACACAAAAGGCTTGTTGGCAACACCCACCTGACCCTCCAGAAAGCAAGTGATTTGCCCAGACCTGCCCCAGAACTTGTCCTGCGGCGAAAAGGCAACCCTGTCGCGCCACTGGCGTCTCTGGCGCAGTCTGCCATCTGCAAGTCGACGAAAAGGTACGATTCTGCATATCGAGGGGGGGTGCGCAGCAAAAAGCCAACCCCCAACCGTCCAAGGGCTGGTGCGCTTCGGCGTATGAGCTCCGTAAGAAGTCAAGCAAGCTCAAAACGGAGAGGAGAGTCCAGGAGGCTGTGTGGTGTGTCATCGGTCGTGCACACATGTACAAGGGGATGAATATTCCTTGACAATTGCCCTGCAGAACGAAGATGCGGGAGTTTCTGGTATGATACAGTGAATTTGGGACAAAATTTTCATATTCCTGATATTTTCAAGAATCACTCATGAACCCCCGCGTTTTCGGAAGCTCTGCGACGGAAATGGACGAAAGCAGAAATAGCGTCAACAACGGAATATAAGAAAGATCCGTGTTTCCGTCTGTCATGTGGAGGGCGAGGCTGATGACATGGAACAACTCAAGAGAAAGAATACAGGCACACAGTTACTCCGTACACATCCAGAATTGACGGCGTCGGCTGAAAAGGCGATGCTAGCTCCAAAACTGACAAAAAGACGCTTGGTTGCAAACTTTACGCCATGTTTTGGAAGCCTTCAAATCTGAGAACGGATTCGTCCGAAGTCACAGTGCTTTTTTTTTCTTGCGGCGGGGTCAGATTTTGCCTGCCGTGCAAGGTCCCCGTGTGGCACATTTTGCACTGTACTTTTCGTACTGTACATATGTACGGATATCTTACCCCAGCCACGGGGAGGGGGGTGTCAGATGGTCTAGCCTCAGGTTTGGTTTGGGGACCCCAGCATTCACCATGCAATTTCTTCTATAGGTATTCCGTATTCCTTATTCCGTACGGAATACGCCGACAGGCCTCTAGACAATGCCCAATTCTGGCCGACACGCAACACATCCTTCATCTGAGCTTTTGAACTTCGTCTCGAGAATGTAACCGGATTCCGACGAAATCAGGACATCATCTTCGCCAGCCTCCAAAACCTGTGCGACTCGCTGTTCCGTATCCCGCCATGGCGCCCGCAAAATCAGCTCGGAATGGTCAAGACGACTCCAAGACAGAAACCCCAAACCCGAAAGAAAAGAACGGCGCTTCCGGCAGCCACCATTCCAATGGCAAGATACGCCGTGTCGCCAGTTCCCAGGGCACAAGCCTGCGCGAGACGGCGAATGCCGGTGCTGCTGCGGCGGCCACGGCTCTGATGGCTTCGGCCGCGGCCCCAGCCCCTGCGGCAGCTGCCCAAGAGGCAATCAACCCAGGAGTATGCAATCACCTTCTTCCCCGAGGCTTGGGGTATGCGCATTGAGCTGACCGTTGTTCGTGATGAGCAGCTTCAATGGCCCGCGTTCAATAGAGACGTTCTCCACGCCTACCGGAGATCCTACCGACTCAACACACCAACCGCCTTTACTAGCGACCACCGCCAGTGGATTCTCACGCAACCGGGCAGCGTCGGTCTATATTCCCCGACTATCGCACGGCGCAAGGAGTTTCGGAGACAGACCAAGGACCAGCTGACCAGCACGGTGCGGAAGCACTTTAACGGCCTAGGTGTCCAAGAAAATGACATTATTGTTGATTTCCTCCACAAGATCAAAAGCGACGGCGTCTCCAAAACAAGGCCGCGAAGAGCAACAATTGGCATACCGCCATTGGTACAATAAAATATACACACATAACTAACACAGGGCAGGCCACTTTCTTAATTGGAATGGCGTGCTGGGGCGCGTTGCAATTCTTCAGATGATTCACGGCATGAGGGGTAGGGCAAACAGGAGACGGGCCTGGTATACATAGGTTTACTCCGTGTATATAAATTTATATACGTGCAGGTATGGGTGCTATACGTCAAGGACGGTAACAGGAGTCAATGGGTAGTTTGGGACGTTTACACGAACATATCAACAGCTAGGCATATAATTCAACACGAACATGTGCGGGGGGGCGGGCTTTATTGGCGCCGCGATCTTCCCCACGCCAATTCTCCAACTGGGCTCTAATTTCTAAATCGCGGGTCGCGGCCGTTCAACGGGTAGGTGGGGCGTAGACGAACCGAAGGAGCCGTGTATGGATGCCTCAGGCATTATAGTCGACCTCGCTCTCTGACGGCATTGGCCCAAAAAAAAAAGTTGATGGTAGACAGCTTGCTAAGGAGAATCTGGACCAAGAAGTTCTTTTTTTGATAGCCAGATCATTGCAGCACGTAAAATAAACGCAGCACACTTAGCAAGCACACGCCTCCTGATGTTGCGGGAGTTACGAATCCGGTGAGCTTCGCGGTTCATTCGAGATGACTTCGAGCATTCTGCCCAAAGCGGCCCTCCCTGTGCGCCAGCTCTCGCCAGCGCAGATATGTCGCCGACAGCGACTCCGAACATGCGCCGCTAGCCGGGGCACGCCCGCTGCGACCTTTACCGCGGCCGCAAAGGCCTGCGGCCGCCTGCCGTCGTCCAGGTCCGGGGCGTGCTCGGCTTCCGTGGTGCGATCAGTAAGGGTAAGTGGTAACCGATTTGGTTCCCCGTCTCTTCCCCCCCAACTCTGCTGGTGGCTGTTGTTGCTCACCCCGATGTTGGGACATAGGCTTTCCACACGACAGCAAGGCTACTCGCGACGCCCAAAGACCCGTACAGCGCCCTCGGCGTCGGCAAGAGTGCCTCGGCGGCCGAAATCAAAAAGGCCTACTACGGCCTCGCCAAGAAGTACCACCCGGACACGAACAAGGACCCGACGGCAAAGGACAAGTTCGCCGAGATCCAGTCCGCCTACGAGATCCTCTCCGACGCCACGAAGCGGCAGCAGTTTGACCAGTTTGGTGCTGCCGGATTCGACCCGAGCGGCAGCCCTGGCCCGGGCGCCGGCGCCGGAGGCCCCTTTGGAGGGGGGGGCCACCCCTTTGGCGGCGGATTCGGGCAGGGCGGCTTCGGAGGACAGGGTGGCTTCGGGGCCAACATCAACTTCGACGACCTATTTTCGGCCTTCACGGGCGGGGCAGGTCCGTTTGGCGGCGGTCGTGGGCGGCGCGCCGAGACCTTCACCCAGGGCAACGACATCGAGGTCATGGCCAGTATTTCTTTCATGGAGGCGGCCAAGGGGACGAGCAAGAACATCAACATCACGCCGATGGTGACGTGTGACACGTGCACGGGAAGCGGTCTGAAGCCGGGGGCAAAGCGGTCGAAATGCCAGACGTGCAACGGGACGGGCACGACGGTCCATTTCATCTCGGGCGGTTTCCAGGTGGCAAGCACCTGCGGCACATGCGAGGGTACCGGCTCTTCGGCGCCGAAAGGTTCCGCGTGCTCGTCCTGCCGGGGCGCGGGCGTGGTCAGGGAGCGCAAGACGCTAACGGTCGACATACCCGCCGGCATCGAGGACGGCATGAAACTCCGGGTAACGGGAGAGGGCGATGCGGCGCCGGCGGGCGCAAGCTCGCGCAGGAGCAACAATGGCGACCTCTACGTGACGGTCCGGGTTGCGTCGGACCCCAAGTTCAGCCGCGTCGGGTCTGACATTTTGCACACGGCGACAATACCGATCACGACGGCCATATTGGGCGGGACGGTCACGATTCCCACCCTCGACGGCGACGTAGAAGCGCGGGTGCCCACGGGAACGAACACGGGACAGAAGATGACGCTGGCGGGCAAGGGCATGCCGAAGCTCGGCGGGCGGCGAGGAGGCTTTGGCGATCTTAAGGTGGAGTTCAAGGTGTCCATGCCAAAGTACCTCTCGAGCAACCAGAGGATGCTGGTGGAGATGCTGGCCAACGAGTTAAACGACAAGACGGCCAAGCGCATCATGAACGTGGGCAACACGACGTTAGTTTTTTTCTCGTTCCACCGCCCCCGATGGGACGACTTTGCTTTCCGATTGTGTTTACTAACATGAGTCCCCTATTTTCTAGGTCGGACAACAACTCAGCGGAGCACCACGAGGGTTTCCTCAAGTCGCTCTGGCATAAATTCACCAACGGCCACCATGAAGAATCCAAGCCGTCAGAAAGCAGCAGCAGTAGCAGCACCGGCGAAGCCGGCGACGGCAAACCCAAAGACAGCACTGAAAAGGACGATAAGGCGTCTGGCTCGGGCTCGGGCTAAAGCAGCAGCCCAGCCACTTTGAATGCCGCTTTGTATGATAGGGCCAGCGCGGCGCGCCAGGGACAAAAAAGGACGAACATTGTTGCTCTAACACAGATATATATGTGCTTGTAGATCTTGGGCAAGTAGGTAGATAAAGGGGAGTTGTCTTTTTTCTTTCCTTTTTCTTTCCTTGTCATGTACATTTTGGTTCCATTGCTGGTGTTTACTCTTACACTGCTGTGAAAGGGTCAATCGATTTTCCTCCCCGCCCCCCTCTGGTATCTCTTTTTAGTTGTCGTTGTATACTACCTTAGGTTTAGCAGTCAAGGTAGGTAAGGTAGGCAGGCAGGCAGGCATCTTCAAGATCAGCAAGGAAGGTGTAGTGTGTAGTTGTATCTAGTTGTAGTTTAGATAGAGAAAAGATCGGGAAAACCCAAGGACAACTCAGACCAGACTCAGAATTCATCTGCAAATCGCCAGCTCTTCTTCCTCGAGATCCGGTTTGCTGTCTTATGGAGTAAGCAAGGTACGTAAGTACCAACTTGGCTGGTCAATTAGTCAATTATTGGTTGGGACATGCCAAGGTGAGGTAACAGGCGAGCTACAAAGACTTGTGCAAGATGGGGTCATCCATTGTAAATGGACTTCTCCCTGCTGGGCCAGCATGCAGTGCAGGAAAAGCAAGAGAAATAAAATTTCGGCCAATTAGTCGGGCGCTTGGGTGGTCCGGCTCCGGTCAATTAATTATGGTAATGGCGCCGAGAGGAACCCTTTCGTTGCTACTACTAGTGTTCATACTCGATATCCTCGTACCGAGAATAGCTTGCCCAGCATTTTCAAGTTCGTTGCCATAGCCGCGCCGAGAGGTGACTGTCACTTTTGATAGTGGATGTGGTTCAGAGGTCCAGAGGCGAGAATTACCACTTCCCGTCAGCTAATAGGTTAACAATTAGGCTTCATTAAGGGAGCATCTAACAGCGAGTCAAAGGCGGTTCGACGTTCTTAAGGGCAGCCGCGACTGTCGTCGGGTACTGACAACTGTGGGGATTTGGGACCGGACTCGCATCACGCCTGCAAAGCTGTGATGCGGTGGGTCTAGTCTCGGTCCTGTTCCTGCATCCCAACTCCCAACCCACCCACTCCCAAACTGAAGGGATGGAAACCAATCGATCGATCGAACACATGCGGGGCGGCGGCGTTGATCGGGGAAAGGAGAAAGGGGAACGGCGACGCCACCAACAGCACCGCCGCACCCGCACGGGACGGGACTACCCCGGATTTTTCGTCTCTCCTCGCAAGATGCACACCCCCCTCCCCAGCTAACAGCGATGACGCTATTCCGAGTTGATGTTCCCTGCACTTTCACGTCCAGCTTATTATCTCCGACCGCCCCGGATTTCGGATCAGGCACATACATACATACATACATACACTCAGTGTAGTCCGTCTCAATACAAACCGCGTCGAGTCCTAGTTGTGACAATCAAAATCGATTCCGCCTGTTCTTCTATTTTCCGTGCACTGGTCGATGGGAATAATGCCTGCGCTAAAAGGAATCGGACCGCGACGATTCTTGCCCCGTGGCAATGTAGGTGGACATCCGAAGAACGCAGACCATGCCGGGTAAACAAGATCGCCCCGAGGTTGGACGCTTGTGGTCTAGAGTGTAACGACAACCGGGCTCTTTTTCGCTTCTAGCCGAGTGCTCCCCCTCTCTTCTTCACCCCAATAAGGCAACGAAAACGGGCCTGTCGCCTCGATCAATACGGCCCGAGCTGTCGTTCATGACCATGTAAGCTTCCAATCCCTGGAAACGAGAGGGGTGGTCAGGCAGAACAAAGTCGCCGGGGAAGTTACCCTGCCCTACTTACCTTGCTCACCTCACCTTACCCTGGTAACCTCGACCAAGAGCCGATCTGGCGAGATTGGAAGAGTGTACCTAGGTAGGTATATATAGGTGGCAATGTCTCACACGTCTCGCGTCGAGACGAGGTGGCTCACCGTCAAAGCGACGAACCGTGTCAATTCATCCTACGTCGCTGTCACCGTTGTTGTTGACTTTTGTTGCACATCGCGCCGCTTCGTACTACGCTCTCCCCTCGCCGCTCCCTTCTCTCTCGTGCAGCTTGCCCTACCCATTGGCTATCGTCTCGGCACACGCTGGGAAAGGATAGCCCGCCATGATCCACGCCTCGCGTCTCTTCTGGGGCGCTGCTGTCGCCGCTGGCTTCTTAGCTACGTCAGTTGCGGCCGGGCAGTGGCCGCAGGGTGTGAGCTTGGACTCGTTCGTTTTCAAAGGTGGGTGAAATGGGAGGAATCAGACACAATGTTCAAATTCCAGTCTCGCCCAGACGGATGTGCTGAAGTCGAGACAACCAACTACAGAACGGGCCATTGCACTTCAGGGCGTGCTCGACAATATCGGGCCCAATGGCACCAAGGTCCCAGGTGCCGCCGCCGGTATTGTCATAGCCAGCCCGTCAAAGGTCAATCCCAACTGTGAGTGCCATGTCTTGTTACAAAAAACCAAATCTGTTTGCTGTGTTGTCCTGCCGTCCTTTCCAAACACTCGACGGAAAGGGGTTAGGGGTTAGGGTTCGGAGCTCAGCATTGGCTTTGGTATGCATGTCTCGCCTAGCGGCCCTACTGACTTATCGCCTCTCAAGACTTTTTCACGTGGACCCGAGACGCCGCCCTGACGCTCAAGACTCTGGTGGACGAGTTTGTTCTCGGCAACGCCGCTCTGCGCCCTTATATCGACGACTACGTGCGGTCTCAGGCCGTGCTGCAGACCGTCACCAATCCGTCGGGCTCGCTTCTGCCGTCGGGAACGGGGCTCGGCGAGCCCAAGTTCAACGCCGACGGCTCCCGCTTCAACGGAAACTGGGGCCGTCCCCAGCGCGACGGGCCTGCCTTGAGAGCTATTGCCCTCATCCAGTATGCCAACTGGCTCGTCGAGCATGGTGAGAGAAAAAAGGCAAAGACCACCGTCTGGCCCGTTATTTCAAATGATTTATCCTACGTGGGACAGTACTGGTTAGTTCTTGTCTCTCTGGCCCCGTTCCATTTTGTCTCAGCTCGCCTTGTCTCGTTTGGACTCGACTCGACTCGTGTCCCGTTACCTAGTATTTTTATGTCTTGTGGCTGCCTCCCGTAATACGTTCCTTTCTGTCTGTACCGTCGTACAGCAGAGGGAGAGACATGGCAAGCTGTGCTGCCAGCTCGCCACTGCATCGCCAGGCTGGCCGAGACATGCAAGATGACGCTGGCTGACCGTTGAGCCGGGGACGCACAGGAACGCCACAGGCTTCGATCTCTGGGAGGAAGTGTCGGGGTCGAGTCTCTTCACGACGCAGAACCAGTACCGCTCGCTCGTCGAAGGCGCTGTCCTGGCAAAGAGACTCGGAGTGCCGTGCAACGGCTGCGGCCAGTCGCCAAACGTAGTCTGCTTTCTGCAGACGTACTGGAACGGCAAGTTCTTCACTGGAAATATCAACACCAACACGGTCCGGGGCGGAGTCGACGCCAATACCGTCCTCGGGCCCATCTCAATCTTTGACGTGGATGCGCCTTGCGACAGTCCCACACTGCAGCCATGGTATGTTCTCCCTCGCCTTGCGTCTTAACCCCATCCATTTCCCTATTCTACTCCCTTCCTCTGCCTCCGGGTATCCCCGTTATATCCATCGCACTCGGGATATCTTCCGTTCCCCTCTCCCATTCCATCGAGGTCGCCGTCAAAGATATGTGTCAGTGCCTTACAGGAATACCCCGAGCAGCCACAGCCGGGTCCTTGCCAACTTCAAAGTGTTTGTCGATACCTTCCGCAACTCCACCCTGTACCCCATCAACGGAGGCATCCGGTCGACACGCGGCATCGCTCTCGGCCGCTACCCCGAGGACGTCTACTTTGACGGCAATCCGTGGTATCTAATCACTCTGGGCGCCGCCGAGTTCCTCCACGGTGCCGCAGCGCAGTGGACGCGCCAGGGAGTCATCAGAGTCGATGCCGACTCGCTCGCCTTCTTCCGCGACCTACACCCCTCTGCAAGGGCCGGCGACACCTACCGACGGGGCAAGAAGACGGACCTATTCTCCTCTATCGTAGCCGCCACCACTGCCTACGCCGACAGCTTCGTCGCCGTAGCGCAGGCCTACACCCCTGCCGACGGCGCCTTGGCCGAGCAGTTTCTCAAGACGCCCCCGGGCACGCCGCTATCAGCCGCCGCACTGACATGGTCCTACGCCTCGTTCGTGAGCATGGCCGCGCGGCGCGCCGGCCGCAACCCCCGCGGCTGGACGTCCGCAGCAGCGCAGAAAACACCGCGCCCGTCCTCGTGCGCCGCGTCGTCGGTCGCAGGCAGCTACGCGCCCGCCACGGGCGCCGGCGCGCCCAACACCACGGCGCCGTGCCTCGCGTCGGTGCTCTTCGTGGTCAACGCCACGACGTACTACGGCGAGAACATCTACCTGGTCGGCAACTCATCGGACCTCGGCGCCTGGGACCTGGACAACGCACAGCCGATGGTGTCGTCCAACTACACGGCGCAGCGGCCCGAGTGGTTCGCGCAGATGTCCCTTGCCGCCGGCCAGACCGTCAGCTACGCGTACGTGCGCCAGCAGGACTGCGGTCGCCCGCCCATCTGGGAGACGGCTAACCGCACGCTGACGGCGCCCGCGTGTGCGGGCACCGGCGCGCCGCTGCCGACCCTCGAGACGGATGACGCATGGACGGGCCCCGTTGGCCAGCCGGGCGGGTGCTGAAACCGCCTTATCATGTCTTCTTGGGGCGTTGCAGCGACTCCTTTCTCTCCTTCTTTTTTGTATATATAGTATATAGGTGACAAAATAATCCAAGAAAAGAAAGAATTCGGTTGCTGAGCTGCTGCCACTTGCTTGGTATCCTCCCACCCACCCCGAAAATGGAGATAATACTTGGCAGAAGAAGAAGAGGGACGGCTTGGATAAATAAAGCTACCTTACCTATCTACCTGTATGCATGTAAAACAATAGAAAAGAGGGGGGGGGTCCCACACAGCATCTGAACTCACTGCATGTACTCAAACAAGGATGGCTGGATACTGCACCAAAGTAGGACAACAAGCCGAGTGGATAATACCAAAGTTACTTCCGTACGTTGAGATAATAAAATTTTTATAATTAATCATTGCTACGCTGCTACAAGTATCCATATTCCATCACCCCTCGGCTATTCAGCGCTGTGTCGAATTGTACACACAAGAAAGCTCATGCCTCCTTCTACAGCTGGGTTCCTCCAATACTATATAGTATAGGTAGATTGGCTACCTGTATCTCTGCATTGGTTTTCCTTCCTGCATTCTTTTACCAGTGAGAATGGGGAGATGAATTGGTTACACCTCATTTTTGTATACAGCATAGATGCCTTGATAGATGTATTACCGAGGAGGAAAAAAGGAAAGAAAAAAGACTTCAGGGCGTTCAATCTTTGTTCCGTTCTATCCACAAGAAGTACTAGACGGGCTCTAAAGAATCACAGAGCACCTCGGCGGCAAAGACTGGCCCAAAGCTTGCGCTGTTGTCATATCATTATCTGCATTAAGAGTAAAACCAGGTGACGAGATCAGATCTCCCCGATAAGACTTGGTGATTCTTGTTATGCCAGAAACCCACGTGGGTCCGGGCCCGTCCGTATCCCAAGAGCGGCAATCTCTATTAGCTCTCATGCTCCCGTCCATGTGTGTGTTCCTTTCCCGACACCACCAAACGCCGTGGCTAAATACATGGACGAAGTGTTCATTTCAAGTCCCAAATCCTCACGATATATCTATGTGATTCCCACCATTGCTCGCTGGTATTTCCGTGTCATGGTCTCTACAGGGCGTTACCTACCCAATCCGCTCTTTCGAGAGGTATCTCGTTGTTCTCCTTCTCCTTCTGAAGGCTGGAGCTTGAGCTTCGGGACCCGGCCTCGGGCGGCACAGAGATCCTCTTCTTATCCTCAGCGGCCGACATGCTGTAGCGCACCGAGCTCCGCTCACTGACAGGCCGAGGCTTTGTCAAAACAGCAGGCCTCCGCCCTTCCTGTGTGCTGCTCCGCCTCGCACTGTCGTTCGTGCTGCTGCGTCTCGCACTTTCGTGCATACTGCTTCGCCGGCTCTTCTTCTCTTCGCTCTTCTTCCCCTCCTTCAACTGCTCTTCACTGGCACCGCTCACGTTGCCACTCATTTGAATACCGTCGGTAACCCCGGGAGGGCCGCCTCCAGGGGGACCCCCTTGTGGGCTCTGGCCATTCTTGCCCTTCTTGATGCTCCGCCACTCCATGCCAAACGCGCAGAGTAACGAGGCAAATGCCAGACCCATGGAAGCCGTAAAGATGCGCGTGCACGCGTAGTTGTACGCATCAATGACTAGGTCAAAGAACTCGGGCGGGGCAACTAGCGACAGATTGGTTGCGCCCTCGTTGACGATGGCTTTGGGATCAAATCCGGGGATGCCCGACAGTCGCGAGACGAGCAGGTTGCTGAGAATCGACTGGCCGACCGACGTGAAGACAGCACCGCCCATTTGCTGGACGAAGAAGTTGATGGCAATCCCAGCGCTCATGTCCTCTTTAGGGAGCACGGTCTGAATGGCTAAACCCGACGTCTGCATGCCAAACCCAAGCCCAAATCCCGCTAGAAACTGAAAGGCGATCCAGTGGGACGCGGGCGTGTCACGGTTGAACGTGGTCATGAGCCCCTCTCCAACCGACATGATCGAAGGGGCGAGGAGCATAGAGGGCACATAGTAGCCAATCTTCTGCGTGGCGATACCCGCGATAACGCTCGATACGACGAGGCTCAGTACGAGGGGCAAGGTGTAGATCCCCGACCTAATAGGATCGGCTTGCTTGACGGTTTGAACTAGAGGCGTGTTGGTCAGCACACGCGGACAAAGAACAGAAACCAGAACGAATATACATACACCATATCGGCACGTAGTAGACCATCATAAGCATGGATCCAGCAAGGAAGAAAGTGAAGGATGTGCCAAAAGCAACACTCCTCTGCGTAATCACACGCGCAGGAACCATGGCCGTATCAGGTTTCAAGATCTCGACAGCAATAAAGGCGGTGGTCGAGGCAGCAAAAAGGGCGAGAAGCAAAATGGTGCGCCAATCATTCCAGGCGTAGGTCGAGCCTCCCCACTGTAGAGCGAGCAGGAGACAGACAACGCCCGGGAGGAGAAAGAACATGCCTATCGGGTCCAGACGCTTGACGTGTTGTGTAAATGTGGCGGGCACATATTTCTCCTTCGGCGGATTCCACAAGAGTATCATGAACGCCAGCGACACGGCGCCGATGGGGAGGTTGATATAAAAGCACCAGCGCCATGATGCACCGCTGGTGAAGCCTCCGCCAATTAAGGGGCCCATGACCGAAGCCATGCCAAAGACCATGCCGAAAAGACCCTGGAAAGCTGGTCGACGATGGAGCGGGATCATGGGGATCATGATAAGCATGCATCCCGAGAAGATGCCCGCCGACGCCAAGCCAGCAATGGCGCGGCCGACGATGAAGATTATGGAAGAGGGAGCCGCGCCGCAGATAGCGGAGCCAATCTCGAAGACGACAATGCTGATGAGGAAAGTCCTGCCGTCGGGTTAGCCTCAGCACCAGACACACACGGGAGTAGTAGCACAGGCCAGGACGTGACGTGGAACCTGACTTACCACTTCATGTCGTAGAACTTGTAGATGCGGCCATAGACAAGCTGGGCACATGCCGTGGTGAGCATGTAGGCGGACCCATACCAACCAATGTCACCTAGGCTCTGGAACTCGTCCGTAATTCGAGGCACGGCGGTTGCAATGATGGTCCGGTCGAGTGCCACGAGGAACAGGGCGAGGAAGTTACACAGGAGCGTCAGCCAAAACCGGACGCTCCTGGGCTGGAACAGGTCGTCCTGGCTGGGGCCCAGCGGTCCTCCTCCAGGCCTGGCGGGCGAGAGTTTCTCCACGTCGTTCATCTCTGCCGTGTTGTCTGCCCGGAGAATGTGATCCGAGTGGCCACTGTCCAGGGATGTCGTCGAACGCGAGACGGCAGGGGCGGCGGCGCCGGCCATCGAGGGCTGTGAGGCTCTTCTCGCTCGACTTGAATACCGTATGCCAGAAGCAAGTTGATGGAGGCGGGCTGGACTGTGTGGCCTGGTTCCAAATCCAAATCCAGGTCCAGGTCCAGGTCCTGGTCCTCGGAATGGGAGGAGAGCGGGTGGGCGGACGGGGGGAAAGGGGATGCAGAACAGAAATACAAGCCGAAGCGAGGCGAGGGAGAAAAGGGCAGCGATGTCTCGTTAATAAACGGCACCAAGTGAGACCTCCGACGGCGTCTCTCACGCCCTAGCAGGTAAAACCGTAAAGTAGCCACCTCAGGTCGAAGTAATGTACGTAAACACCTCAGACACCCAGGTCACTGCGAGGTATGCGGAAGAAGAATATGCAGCACTCTATTGAGTGGGGAGACACAGCCCAGAAGATGGAAGAGCCCCGTCGAGCCACCTTCAGCAGAGAGACCGGACGGAAGCCACCACCCAGTAATCAACAGGCTACAACTCGGTAATGTCTTATGTTGGGATTCCCTGTCACGGCCGGGAGGACGACAGCGCGAAACACAGCGACGGGCGGACATGGAATGTGCTGGCTGTGCTGAAAATCATCACGGGGGGGGGTCGCCAGGAGAGGTTTCCAAAAGCAGAGCGAAGGCAGAGGCGGGCCTCAGTGGTGACGCCGTGTGTGTTATATAGCGTGGATGAATGGCAAAATGCAACAAACACCACCACCAACACCAACACGGCGAGGAGGACGAAGACGAGGGCGAGGAGGAGGGCGAGGGCCAAGACGAGGACAAGGACAAGGACAAGGGCCTCTGTTACTACTGCTCGTGGTAAGACGTCCAGTAGAGCACACGAACACGCCGCGCATGCTCGTCTTCCATCGTACCTGGCGGGCGGAGCTTCAAGTTGGACGGCGAGGTGCTTTGGGAAGACAGACAAAAGAAGACCGAGGCAATCTGGCAGCAACCCAGCAGCAATCTATCCGGGCCGCCTCCAAATTCGCTGCGTCGGACATGGCGAGTGCTGGCTGGCTCAGATCTCCCTCACCCATGAGTGGATGGATGGATATTGAAAGGGCAAAAGGTGGACGTCAAGGTATCCGTCCGTATTGCGAGAGTGGACTTTCCCCATCGGATCCGGCGCCCGCCCCTGCAAGCCTCAGCAAGCCTAAACTGGCGCTAGTTCAAGCCATTGAAACCCCGCCCGATTGGTTCGTCTACCAAGACAACAAGCGTGCCCAACTGTACAAAAAACCTCGCCGTGCCCGTGCTGGTCCCAGCCAAAACGGCGCGCCGCCTGAGGGCCGCTAGTCCTTTTTCTGTCGCGTCGTCGGACCGTTGAAGACCGTCTCATCGCGGCCTAGCGCTCTTTCCGTTTTCCGACTCCAGCTCATGCGCTAGGTGCAGATCCCAAGGCCGGGGGAGGAACGCCCGCCTCGGTCCCGAGCGACCACCTAAATCGCCGCACACCTTCGTCGAACCTCCTCCCCGAGCTAACCAGAATATCAGCAGCTCCTGCCTCAATGCCAAGTTTCGACAAGCTTTGCTTTGCTCCCAGCATGTACACCTATGCCGCTATTCCTAACTGGCCAAAATACGGATACGGATACATACTATGTAAGCTACGGATACTCTAAAGCCAGCACTACGTATTACGGATGGTAGAAACAGTGTGAAGAGCACAAAGGAGAGCTGGCACTACTAGTACTATAGTCGTCAGCCAGCTGCCAATTGCCAGCTGCTAGCTCCGCTAACGGCTCGAGGGAAGGAGCTTCCTTTGCTTTGGCAACGTCTTATCTGTTACACCTGTCTCACGGCCCCCAATGCACCCCTCTTTTCGCTACTTCAAGTCGCTCCCCCTCCTTCCCAAGCTCCCGCCTCCCCCAACCAGGTTTCTCCAAACCTGGGAAAATGCGCCAATGGATTTCGACGAGTGCAACAAGTCTTGCCCAGTGTGGAGCTTGGAGGAGTAGGATCTGGGGGCGGCGGGCAACCAGCAACCCTGGGCGCCCAGGGTTCCAGGTTTGTCAGGCTCGCGCCTTTTTCTCACCTACCTACCCTATTGTGTTGTGTGTGTGTGCGTGTGTGCTTGCTTGCTGTTTTATTTGTGGGAGCTGCCAGCAGCCTTCTTTGGGTATCCTGGGGGCTGCCCTGGGCTTGGGCTTTTTCCCTCTTGGAGGGAGGGGGGTAGGTAGGTTGCCGCCGGCTGTCGCGGGCGTGGGCGCCTTGTCTGTCTCTTTCTCCTCACCTCCTCGTTTCTTTCTTGTGTCGCCTGCGAATTATTATCACGCATTCCCAATTCCGGGGGTGGCCAAAAGCTTCGAGACCCGCATCGCATAAGCTGTTGACGCCACGCCCGCCCTTGGGCCCAAGTCCTGTCTGTCTACTACCTGTCGGTCTGTCTTGTCAGCCGTCAGCTGTCACTGTCAGTCGGGGCGAGCCCAATTCTGACGATCGACGCTTTCGCTATTATCCAACCTTGTCTGTAAGCCATCCAGCAGCCGCAGCCGCAGCGAACGAAAACTCGGAGCACCGGCGCGCGCGCGGTACCCGTGTTGCCTGCCATTTTTTCTTGTTGCCTGCGGTCGGCCTAGGTTGCTTAGCTTTGCTGCTCTTCTTTGAACCAGGCCAGGCGCGCTTGAACGCTTGTCGGACCAGTGAGCGAGCGAGCAGTCGGTCGGGTTCTGCGTCTTTGAGATCCCGTTCGGGTCCCCGCTCGCCTCGCATCGCTGCTCTGGTTCCCTGGCGCAAATCCCACATCGCTTGCTAGCAGCCATTTGGCTCGCCGGCTCGTGCATAGCAGTAACGGCAGCAGCAACATTAGTGCGGAAAACGGAGTACTTGCTTCGAGAAAACCCGACAGCAGCAGAAGCAACGGTAGCCGCAGCCGTAGCCGCAGCAACAAGCAGCAGCAGCAGAGGGAGGACGCGCGACAGGCGAACGGACGCAATAAACGGCAAACCGCCTTGGCCCATTAGCCAAAGAAAATCCCTGGGCCGGCGTCTTGCGGCTCTGCCCCGTCCAACCGGTCATTGGGCCCCTCTGGCGCGCGAGATCCCAGATCCCAGAATCCCAGAACCTAGCCAGTGCGGTGCCTTGCTTGCCTAGGTTGTCCAGTAGGTGGATGTGGTGTGGACTTAGATGTGGATGCCGCCGTTGGCTGCCCTAGCCCTGAACCTGAACCTGAACCACATCCCCAGTTCCCCACGCCAACCTACCCCCCCCCCCTCGGACCCGAGCGGCTGGCCTAGGTGTCCGCGACCGACGACGCAGCATCTAGTCATCTAGTACACGCCCTAACGTACATATTGACAATGGCGTCCGAGTTGTCGTTCGACCGCCCGCCGTCGCCCCAGCGGCTGCTCCCTGTCGCTGAGCAATCGGTGATGAAGCTTACGCGGGGCCATTCGTGCGTCCTATGTCAACAACGGAAGGTTCGCTGCGACAAGCAGAAGCCCTGCGCCAACTGCGTCAAGGCCCAGGTCGAGTGCCGTGTTGTTCCACCCCAACCGCCCCGCCGCCGCAAGAAGAAGCCTCACGAGAGAGACCTCATCGACCGTCTGCGCAAGTACGAGTCGCTGCTCTCCCAGCATGGCGTCAACTTCGACCCCATCGCCCACGACCTCAAGGCCCTCGACCACGCCGACGACGTGGCCGACCTCGAGCAGGACCTCAGCGGCTTGAAGACGTCGCCCTCGAGCGCCGCCGATAATCACACGCCCGACCAGTCCCATGACAAGTCAGTACATACTCCGACTCCGTACCCCCTCGCTGCTCGCCCTTTAATCTGTTTCTTACCTTCCCCCCTACCCACCCCCCTCGACGAGCTGAGGCTGACTGACACTTTACTCTTGCAGAAAATGGTACCCCTATTACAAAGACGTGAGTTTAACTGTGCCCGTCTCATCTCTTCCCCTACCCTCCCCCCCATCCCGTCCCTTTCCCGGCGTATCCATACACACTCCCCCTCCCCCCATCCCTCCTAGTCTTTCTACTAGTTCTTGCTCTCCCCACTCGTTCACGGGGCGGCCCCACGGAGGCCAGGCGTGTCTCCACATGTTTCGCCGCCCCACGCCCCCTCCGTCACATCTGACCGCTTCGCCGTGTAGACCCTCCGCACCCCCCCCGTCTTAGCGGGAACGTAAAAGATATCAAACACTAGAACCTGCATATTTGTAGCGTTTATCTTGCTGATGGCGTCTAACTGTGCCTCGTCCAATAGTATCGGGCTACGGATGAGATGCTCCACGACTCCTCGGATGAGGAGTATGAGGGCCCAACGCTTCATCATGCCTACGACACCATGTTTGAAAACAACGACGGCTTTCCGTTCATCGTCGGCGGCACCATGTCCAGCGTCACCAACGCCCACCCGTCAGCAATCCAGATCTTCCAGCTATGGCAAATATATATCAACAATGTCAACCCGCTGCTCAAGATCAGCCACATCTCCACCCTGCAGGCGCAGATCATCTCTGCCGGGGCCAACACGGCTAAGATTTCCAAACCGCTCGAGGCCCTGATGTTTTCCATCTACTTCTCGGCCATCAACTCCATGACGGACGACGAGGTCCACAGCACCTTTGCTGAAGACAAGGCGGTCCTCTTGGCCAAGTACCACAACGCCACGCAGCAGGCCCTCGTCAATGCCGGTTTCATGCGATCCACGGAGTTGACGGTCCTGCAAGCGCTGTTCCTGTATCTGGTAAGCCTCCGCTGGGCAGCATCTAGCCCCGGTAGCGCTGACGGTCCCCAGCTCTGCGCCCGGCCATATGTAGACCCGCGATCTCTGTTCTGCCTGATTGGGGTTGCCGTCCGGATTGCCACCCGGATAGGGATCCATCGGGACGGGACGCAGTACAACCTTCCACCCTTTGAGACGGAGCAGCGGAGGCGGCTCTGGTGGCAAATTGTCATATTCGACAAGCGGATTGCCGAGATCACGGGCTCCTCCATCACTGCCCTGTCCACGTCTGGCGGCGACAGCCGGTTCCCTCTCAACATCAACGACACGGACCTCAACGTTCATGCCAAGGAACCCCCGGCCGCGTATCCTGGCCCTACGGAGATGCTCTTCTGCCTTACCCGCGTCGAGCTTACCGTCGCCGCCGCGCCCAACGGCGTTCGCCAGCAGCCTGCCACTCCGCCGGGCGCTCCCAGCAACCTGAACAAGCCCCGGGTGCAATACAGTCCGTCACCGTCGTCCCCAGACATCGTAACACATGTGGCCAACCAGAACCTACCACACGATCTCGAGAGCTTCTGCACCTACATCGAGACGTACTATCTCAAGCAATGCGACCACAAGATTCCACTACACCTCTTTACGTTACTCATGACGCAGCAAGCCCTGAGCAAGTTGCGAGTTGTCGACTTCCTCTGTAGGGGGGTTAGCGCCGAGACGGTAGAACCCACCGACCGCGATAACCTCTTTATCGAGGCTATCCGGATGGTCGAGCTTGATAACCACCTGCAGACGGACGATACGCTGCAGGGGTTCCGGTGGTACACATACCAGCACTTCCCCCTGCCAGCATACATATTCCTTGTGTCGGAGCTGCGGCAACGGCCGACTGGTGAGCTGTGCGAGCGCGCTTGGAACGTCATGGTCGAGAACTGCGAGCACCGTGGCTTTACGCGCAATCTGCGCTCGCCAATGCATATCCTTCTCGGCCACTTCTTCGTCAAGGCCTGGGACGTGCGCGAAGCTGCCGAGTTGCATTTGGGCCGGCACCTCCCGACGCCAAAGATTGTCACCCTGCTGCGCAATACCGTCTCGCGGTACAAGCGTCCAACCCCGGCACCGACAGGCAGCACCGCCGGAGCAGCACCAAGCAGCACACAGATGCCTGGCCCCGCACCCCCGGCTGCCCCGCCTAGCTCGGGAATATTACACGCCAATGTCAATGTTCAGGCCGAGCCCAACTCTGCCCCGTCGGCTGGCATGTACCATGGCAAGCCCATGGCCGAGTCAACAGCGCACATGGGCAACTCCAACAACCAGAACATGATGATGAACGACAATATGATGTTCCAGAACTTTGACGGGGTGAACCAGTTGCTCGACACGTCAATGCAGGATGTCGACTTTGGACAGATGGACTGGAACTATTTGGTGCAATACAGCTCCTTCGGGGGGTTCCAACCCCATCTCTATTCGCAACCTCTCCCACATCAGGGCGGAGGCGGCCCCCAATAATATGACATATACGCCTACATATATACTACGACTCACGGTCACGCCTAGCGCTTATCTGCATCTTGCAGGCACTTTATAAGAGTTGCATATTTCGAGGAAAATGTGAGGGTCTGGGGTGGGGGCGAGGGAGGAAAAGTGGGAAGGGGTCCGTTGTCGAGGTTAGGGGGTTCTAATGACGACTGTCATGACGGTTCGTGCTGGCGAAATGTTTTGTCTCATATGAGTGGCGTTATATGGCGTGTTTGGCGCACAAGTCTAGGGGTATTGTCAAGTGGTTTTATCTTGTTTTTCTATTTTTTGTTCTATTCTCTCCCCTTTCCCTTACGAAAAAGCGTGGTCTCGCAATATACACTCCATTTCCTTTTTTTCTGTCGTTAAATATACCACACACATCAGCCAGCCAGTCGGTCGCTCAGCTACTACTACTACTACTATTATTATTATTATTATCATCCAGATCGTTTACGGGATGTTCAAAAAGAGATACCACGAGAAGAGTTTTGTGTCCCCTTTTTTCCTCTTCCTTTTCCTTTTCCTTTTAATATATGCGTATGTTTGTTATGTCATGAAGAGGAGGAATTCAACATGGACTACTCATTTTCTAGATAGGTAGGTAGGTGGTTTTCGATACGATACAAGCGGTAGATAATGGGAGGATGGCGTGTGTGCAGATGGGATTAGTACCTATATATTTAATTATGTATAAACCAGTGCCCCCTTTTCCTTTTTTCTCCATTTTTCACCTCTTATTCTGGAAACATGTGCCCGAAAGGTGTCTTTGAGACTTTATTTCATTTTATTTATTTTATTCTGGGCTCAGTACCGTCACTTTTACGCGGTTGGAGTTCCGTAGGGCTACCGAGACGGTGTATATGTATCACGCATGCCCGTATGTGCCACTGCTTGCTGCAGTCTCCCAAGGCGTCTTCGGGTGCTCGGGCAGTTGCTGCAATCGCGCATCACATACCTTACATATCTAGTGTGTGGAAGCCATACCTCTCTTTCTCTCGACATTTGAGAGAAGCTAAGCTAGGTAAGGTGAGGTATCTATCTATAGGTGGTGTCTTTATTATGTACATCCCTACATTTTATGAAGGAATTGCATGATGCAAAAGTCAGGCGCTGACGAATGATCAAAGGCGTGAGAAGACACAGCACAGGCGCTCGAGGTAGCCTCCGTGCTCCCATTCCCAGATTCTTGGGCTGCTGCGTATTCCCGTGTCGATTCTCCATCGGCCAAATCGTATTTTATTCTCAACTTTTTCTTTTGACTAAAACGGAGTACCAACAAGACCAAACAAAGAATAAAGAAAGTCGGCACTCTTTTCGCCGACCGCCGTGCCGTGGATGTTTATTTATGTGCTTTTTTTTGTATATTTATTTATATTACAGTTTTCTATCGGGCAATGGAAGGCAATAAGGGTAGCCCGGCAGGTGCCTCTCTCGGGACATGGGCCAGCCACACACGCCGGATCCCAGCGGGTGTCTCGACGGTACCGAGCCTTTTTTTTTGGGGGGGGGGGAGCAGTCGGGACTCGGGGCTGTTGTTATTCCCTCTCCAATGATGGACGGCATGATCACCTGGTACCGGTCTTTTTAGCCTGGAACTGTGTTGTTGGTTGGCTGCGAATTATTGGATATGTTCTGCTTTAGGTGCGCTTTCCATTTATGCCCCGTTTTGAAACGAAGAGGATGATGAACGGATGGGTGAGGTGGGTGGGTGCAGCAACAACACAGACAAAAAGGATAAAAGTTAAATGATGAAATGGCAGAGGGAAAACGGAAGCCTGTGTGACAAAAAAAAACTCCTCGCCGCTATCCGTACCGCCCGCTGCTAATTACAACAACTATATCCGTTTCTGCGAAACTCGAGTCCACGCTTTTGTGGCAGGTTCAGGAATTCACCTGTGTGTATGCTGAAACGGAAGTCGGTTTTTGGACAAGCATAGAGCCAGTCGTGATATATCCACCCCACGGGCGGGCGTCAGGTCGCCTTCGCTGCGAGTGTTCTTTCGGTGGTCTGTCCGCCACAACTGATTGCCTGACAACAGCACCACCAATACTGGCCTGATTTTATCCAAGTCACGAGGGAGGGTTCTGAGAAGGCGGCAACCTTGGCAATGTCAACAAACCATCAGCAAAACCAAGGTTTTGTTCAGCAATAGGTGCGTAAATAAATAAACATCACAACTAGCTCACTTTCTAATAACCTTTTCCTCATAGGCAGCGCCTGGCTGAAGGTAAGCAGAACGCAAGAAATACTGTCTTGCATGTTGTTAGTACAGTAGAGGCCAGCGCTCGGCCTTCTTTCAGTCAGGCAACAATGTCCTTTTCCGTCAATTCGACACAAAAAAAAGGCAGTCAGTCAGCACCAACCAGCCACTCAGTCAGTCAGACTCCCTAGTCAGTGCAAGACAAAGGAGCATGCATCCTGGAGCGAGAAAGGCCTTTTTTTTTCTATCCTCGCCAGCAATCAATCAATCAACCAACCCTCCCTCCCTTTCCCCATCGTTTTGGTGTCTGGTTTCATCGGGAGCGCACGCAGATGCGGTAGCTCTATCCGTACAAGCACAATCGGTATCGCAATTATTTCCTCCTTCCCCAAGTCTTCCTCAAGTGGCGGATCAAGACAACAGCGGTCAAACACGCACACCCTCGAAAGTTCCCTTTTTCTTCTTCTCATTCTTTTCCCTGTGATCTCAATATAGCGGAATTTTATCTCTACTCATGTCTCAGCTGATTATTTCTTGTGTTTCCCCAACACGCGCACAGCCAACAATACCCGACAGTCTTTCAAATGATGCTGTACCGTGTTGATCTTGTTGTCTAGACCTTTCCTCGCTTCTTTGTTTTCCTCTGTGGCAGGCATTACAAAAGGACCAAGATGGAAACCCAAGGGACCGACTGAGTGCAGTCGAATGGACGGCACGCTTCCTTCATACACTTATACCATTATCATATCCTGTCGGACGTCCTCCTATGGCCCTCCTTGCAGAGTCTCCTTTACCGAACAAGAGCGGGCCAAAACAGATGCCAACACCAGGTTCACACAAGTGTGCCCAAAGAAACCAACAAACCAAAGGCGTTTAAAATGAGATATCATTGCCGCTTCGTTCGCTGCCACCCCAACCACCTAACTGCGGTAGTTCCACTGCCTGTCTATTATGATGATTATGCGTCATCGACTTCACATGTACATTAGGGAATCCTAATAACGGCAACAAGAGTCGTACACTATTGACAACCTACCATTATCCAAAAAGAAAGAAATTCGCAACGCTTTCTCTTCTTAAGAGCAGAAAAAAGAACTCGAGATTTCATTCCTTCCCGGAGAAACAGCAACAGCAAAGGTCTGTTGCTGCCAAAGTCATGAGAGACTCAAACGAAAGCACCGACGCTGGAGACATTCGATCCCTTTTTGAATCCCCTTCCTACAACCAAGGTGTCTGTCCCCTTTCATGGACGACCAGCCGCCGCATCACTTCCCAGACCATAAATCCCCATACCCATTGCAGCAAGAACCGTCCTTGCTCTCGCTTTCCTTCCAACCGGTCAGTCCCCCAACGCCCCATTAAAAATGTGTCACCAGCCGCCATTTTGTAACAATAAAAAGTAAGAAAGAGAATAAAGATAAGCCATATAGGCCCGAGTTCCCCGCAAAACCAAACAACAACCAAACGCCAAGCTAATCATCATGGAACGAGCCACGGAGTCCGAAGCTGATCGCTCCATCGCAAAAAATCCCCAAAGCCTCGCCCGACCCCAACCATTACAACCATATACCATACATGGGAAGAGTGTCGTCTATATATCTTACAAAGAGCCATTCGTCGAAGTAACTGTAGCAGGCACAGGTGTCGACGTCGAGTTCATCACGTCATTAAGTTTTTCCGCCGTCGGGGAATCCAACGCGCCACCGTTGTCGATACTAGTGGCAGATTTCGGATCTTCCGAGTTGGACATGGGCTTCAGCATCGTCGTGCCAATGGTTGGCCGACCCGCTGCCGCCTTATTCATTCTGCTCTTGGTGTAGTCGCTGAGGCTCAGCTTCTTCTTAACAGGGCTTGGAGTCGCCGCAACCCCGTTGGCAAGTGACGGTACAAACGGATTCGCAAAGGTACTAGCCGAAAACGGAGATTGAACCACAGCGCCTCCAGCAGACAAGGGCGTTGTAGCCGTCGAAGGCCCCGAACCGATGCCTCCAAAGCCCGGTACAGGTGGCATCTGCACTCGCAACTCGGGGGATTTGTTCTTGATCGAGCTTATCGAGGGTAGCCCATTCAGTTTCAAAAGCGTTTGTGCTACGACAGGCGCATCAGGCATTGGGGTATCATCGGCGTTGGCGACAACCTGGGTTTCCGTCGTGTCAGTCCTTTCAGAATCCTTCCCAACTGCTGGTGACGACGGCGTTTTTTGTTCGGCGGCGTTGATGGCGTCCACTGCGGCGACAGTGGCGTTAGGTTCTGGCACCTGCGACTTGCAACTCTTCTCGCTGTCGAAGCGAAGGCGATGCCGGCTGTCTAAAAGCCGTTTCGATAAAGATACAATTCTTCGCTTCGTTGTGATTATCGGGATTGGTTCCTTGTACCATGCTTTATCCTCGGGTTCTGTCTGCACTGCAGCATCGCGATAATTCCCGAGAGACCCAACAGATGTCTGGCGAGACGCCAGTGGAACCGACCCTAATGTCAACTCAGGCTTCGCGGTGGATTGTATATTATGGGGAGAAATGGCGCTTGATGGCGACCCTGACTTGCTCCTAGAAGTCCCGACATCGACATACAAGCGCTCGGAGAACCCGTTGGAGGAGAGCGTTGGTGTTTGCGTCGCAGAGCTGGGCTTATTCGACTTGACCTTGGAGCCCGTCCCGTCAGATACCCGTTTCCTTTTACTTCGAGGCGGCTGATGTTGCTGCTCCATGCGCCGAAACGAGTCCTCAATCATTGTCACCTTCCGCTTGTCCCTGTCGGTAGGCTCGGTCAATATACCGAGTTGGTCAAACGAGCCCTGGCGGGCTGTGGGAGTCATGTCGCGACTGGGCGGTTTGCTTCGAGAGGAACCTGAAACGGATCGGCCGTCATTTTCGGGGACATCCTCCAAATGGCCTTCACTAGCAGCCCGACTGTTTGTGGCATGTCCCGTACTCGTAGGTGAAATGTTGTGTTGCGTCTTGGGCTTGCGCTTCTTGCTTTTGGGCGGGTTTGGTCGCATTTGCGTTTTGTTGAAGTAGTTCCGGTGAAACCGAACAAACGCACACTCTGGCCCAAGAGTGCAGGCACAGCCTCCATGTTCCGAAAGAACAAGGTGGACCCAGCTGGTGAGCTTTTGATACTCCGATTCGTCAAGGGTGGGTTCAGGTTGCGCGCCTGACTCGTCGTCGCCCAGCCCTAGAATGCGAAGCATTCTATCCTTATCTTTTTTTGGAAAGCGGAAGTCCCACGGGATCGTAATCTGTTCCTTTGCCGCAATGCGCCGGTCGCTCACCAGCCAAAAGTGGTATTCCCGACCGTCGGAAAGATACGTCTCGAGTTGGGCATTCGGTCTGCAACTGCGGCGGACGAGTCTGGCCTCGGACCCTTCCCTTCTCGTATCGATGTAGAGCGGGAGCATCGGGTGGAATAAAACGAAGGGGAGAGGAGACGTGAGCTCGTTCCACCGATTGATGGGGTCGGCACAGTAGCTAGCCTGGAATCCGATTTGGCCGTTCACCTCCATAAGCGGAACGTCCTTTTCAATCGCCGACGGTGCTTTCAGACACTGCCAGTGGAGAACGGTGTTGGGCGAAAGAGACTTTTTTTTGTGCTCTATTTCCAGTGATATCCCCAAGGAATCAACATTTGTCGGCAACTTTTGAAAGACATCGCCGTAGGCCAAGCCGGTCTCCTTTTTCATCTTCTCGGGGTCGCGTAACCACTCCGACATGGTATTGGACACCTGAAGACTGGCAAAGCTATTTGTCTGAATGACCTGGACAGCCTGGCCATTGTAAAGGGAGAGGAACCCGGAAGAATAGGTGTGGATCTCAAAGTCATCCGGCAGGTCTGGCGGAGTGTTGGCAGGACTTGGAGGGTGGCCATGGCCGACTCTTGTGTTCCCATTCCCATATGAGGGGCTGCGCTTGGGCGCTTGCGAGATCGATTGAGTGGGTTTGTGGGAATGTTTTGTCTTTTTGGCAGGGGGTATGGAGTCGTGAGGGCTGCTGTGCTGTTTCGCGGTTTCGGGTGCTGCATGGTGGCCGTTTAGTTGCAGATCTGTCGGTTTTGGTTTTTTCTTGTGGCTCTTCGAAGGCGGACGTTTTGGCTTCTTGTCGGCCGCCTCTTCTTCGACAACAGGTACAGCCGTAGTTCTGGCCTTTTGTCGCTCAATAGCCTGCTGTCGGTCGAGCGACCTAGGCTGACACTCGGCGCAAGAATGAGAGAAGTCCTCGCGCAGAGCGTCTTCGATATTGTCAGGGTAGTAGCACTCGATGTGCTGCCACGTGTCGCATTTTTCGCAATAGATCGTGTTCCCATCATCGTCAGGAAAATCGCATATACACTTGATAGTGTACGGCTCTTCCTCTACAGTCTCCTGCTTTCGAGATACATCTCGAACAGTTACAACGGCCGGCAGGGAGAAGGGAGGCTGACTGGGAGGCACGATCGGCGTCGACAGCGGCGGCAGCTTGTCTGTCATAATCTTAAAAATAGCCTCGCGATGGCGGTATGATGTCCGGGGGATTGTGTAAATTGTTTATCTCGCCGGCCTGAAGGGCATGCTGACGCGCTGCTCGACGCGGTTGATGGAGGGCGGGATGCGTTGCAATAAACAGCGACGACGCCGAGAGTGTCATTCGTCAGGGTAGCTCGTGTGCGCTGGTCGGGTTTGAGCAGCTCGAGGCCGTGCAGAGGAGAGGGAGGTTCGTCTTTGGGGATGGGTCGGTCGAGCCGTGTCGTGTCGGCGTCAGGACACGTCGGTAAAGAGGAAGTCGCCGGTCGAGTATTAAAAGCGCGCCGACCAAAGCCAATGAACCACTCAGACCGGTACCCGATGGATTACTCGAGCGACAAGGCGCCTGTGGGTAGAGATCAAGCAATGATGCCGGCGGTCGCCTCACCTCCAAAGACGTGGCGATGGTCACCGAGGGCCCGAGGCGGCACACAATGGAATGGGGCGAGACGTGATGCGCCTCGAGGACAAAGGGACTCGAGTCGGTCGGATTGAATCGCGGAGCGTGAAAAGGCCAAATCCAACTCGAATCCGGGAAAAGTTGAGTGCGAAGAGAATAGTGGGTAGCGCGAAAAGCGGATTGAATAAAGAGAGGAAGAGTTTGAAGGGGAGGAGCGGAAAGAGCAAGAGAGAGGGGGCCCACAACACGAGAGGACGAAGAGTGCTGCGCTGCGCTTCTTCGCCGTGTTCAGACAAGCCCCCCGAGTGCCAAAAAGAATTGGGGACTGGGGGGCGCTGGGGCGCGCAGAGCACGGGCCAATCAAGCCAAGGCAGAGGGGAGGGCGGGCAAAGCTCGAAAAGTCCTGGTGGGAGCAGTGGGAAGGCGGGCTGACATGCGCCGCGACTTTCCTCTGAGCCAGTGTACTTTTAGCGCATTGTCCACCAAGAAACGATGAGCAAAAGCATCCAACCTTGGGGGAGTACCCGAGTACACCCCCCGTGGAGGAAGGTTGGACGCAGGGGAGCCTGAGGCACTGAACTCAGAGCGAGGGAAAGGCGGTGGGCATCGGTGATTTTAAGAGCGGCTTCGGATTGGCGGGAAGGCAGGCAACCAGCGGGGGCACGGAGCCTGTTGGCAGCCATTGCAGCCATTGCACCAGAGAAAGGGCTCCAAAAAGCCGAGCGCGCAGTCCAGCGCGAAAAAAAAGAGAAAAATGAGGAAGGGCCGAGAGCGGGGAAAAAAAGAGAGGTTGCTCGCCCGCTGTCAGCAATCCTGTCTGCACACCTCGTGCATGATAGATAGATAGATATATCTCAGAGTAAATAGTATGGGTTTTGGACGATGTGCACAAACCGAGAGTGGTATCGACCTGAATAGACTCTCGGGTCTATTCTCCTTGACGAAAGGGGTTCCTCGAGAGGAGACGCTTCAGCAGATAAAAATAGGACGTGGACGTGTGAAAGCCCAGCAAAATGAAGCTGAGTGAGTGAGGGGACGCTGACAGGGTCCGAGGTGAAAGCCGAGCAGAAGAGACAGCAGAGGAAACAGGAAAACTGTAATAAAAGCTGGTGAGGCGAAGGGGGCTTTTGCCAGGCGTTAAACCGACCCAATTTTCTGGCGCCTGATGAGTGTTAGAGCTGTGTGTGCACTGGCCGAGACACGACAGCCAGCTGGCTTTTGGTCAGTTGGGTTTGGTAGCGCTGCGCGAGCCAGCCCCAGGCGTGAACAATTCAGCGCTGACTTAGGTAATTGTTAGCGTGATACCGACAGACTGCAACAACTTATTAGAAACAATGAAAAGATATCGAGAGACTTTCTCAAGCCTTCCAGGTAGGCGGCTTCCAGGTAGGTTGTTGGAAATAATCAACTCTTCTCCACGTTTCCTGTCCAAATCGCTTTCTCCAGAACCAAACTCGGATGCTCGGTACCTCAGAATCAAACCCGGGCTGTATTCGTATTGTGTTCCAGAAATACAGGTACCTCGAAATACAGGTACCTAATTCGTATCTATTCCGTACACGACTAATATGGCTTTCAAGGAAGACTAACGACTCCAAAGTGGACTTAGCTCCCGTCGTGAATTCGAGGTCTGGCAAAACTCGGGTAATGTTCGTCTTCCCTCCGTCTGATAAGGCCGTGCAAGCTGCCAAGTCGCCGGCGAGGCTTCCTGTGAATATAAACGATGGGCTGCGTATTCAAAGGTCGATAGACCTTGTTTGCTCGTGGGCAAACGTTTGCTCGCGGACTTGTACGGCGACGGCAACACAACGGCATCGGCTCCGGCACCAGACCTGTGAAATGGTCTCAACCACATCATCGACTTTGCCTTGGGCCAGGGCTTTGCTTCCTCGCTCGGGTGTGTACTGTGGTCCTGATTGGGCTCATGTTTTGCTCTGCATAACGTGTAACCATGCCTTGCGCTATACTACCAATCGTTAGCTTATGTATCTTGTTACATCACAACGATGCTTCGCAGAATAGCCGAAGTCCCGGCCTTTGCCCCACAACTTGAAGCGCGGTCGAGTCACGAAGGTTGCCGTCCTCAATTAGTCAAAGGTCTTTAATACGTATTTGTAGAGAAGGAATAGACCTCTATAATTATAGAATAGGGATTCAAATAGCTATTACCTCCATTGGCGGAAAATCTTTACGGCGAGTTGTAAGATGCGAAGGCCACTTGGATTTTGTAAGCAACACGGTAACAAAACATTCAGGGATTAGATTGCAGGTATCCCCTCTAGAGGGGAGCATTTGAAGCCGGCCTGTCGGCTGTGTTGGATTCGGACGAGTCCCGTCAAGAAGCCGGGAAACCGTGCGAAAGAATCCGTGAGTGTCAAACTGTGATGCAAAGGCTCATACCTACACCCTGCTTTCCCACAATTGAAAGTGCCTACTGTATTATTGAGAACCAACAACCTGACGGATACCTGCCTCGTGTGTCTCGTCAAACGTCTAAAGCAGGTACTTCCTGGAAATGTCTCATGCCCGAGATGAGCGGTCCTGTGCGACATGGTGCGGACGGATATATCAAACAAAAGTGGAATGTTTGGACTATATGTTGTGTACAAAAGCTTGAAAGGTGTCTTTCAAGCCAACCAGACTTTGGAATCTTTCTCGGTTCTGTGAGAGCTTCGATGTTGACTTGATATCTCGAATGTCGCCATCCGTGATGCACACGGGGCGGCTGCTCCTGGGTCACCCCCTTGTTTCGGAGCTAGCATCAGCTGTGATTGGATATTGCCACAAGGTTCCCCACTTTGGCTCACATGGTTCGCCCAGATCTGCCTAGTTCCTTGCTCGCTCTGGATTGGGTGGATTGCACCTCGGGAGGCTGGACTCGGACGCGCAGCAAATCAAAGCCGTCACTCTCGCCCCATGACGTCCACTGAGCCTGGAGAGGTCGCCCAACAGTGGAGATCGAGGCACAGCCGCTTGACTTTGCCCCATCCCGTTGTCGGTACTATCTCGCCTTCATCGATCTTAGTCAATCGTTTACCCCCATCGAACCGAGCTCAACCTTCGTCTACGATCGCTTGACTTTAATTCCAATCTTCTTCTAGGGTTCCATAGACACATCAAACATCCAGTTTCCTCCCAGCGACCGTCGCGATGAGGCTCTCCGCCGCTTTCGCTCTCCTCTCGGTGGGCGCTAGCGCGCTCAGCATTTTCTCGGACGACAAGCAGCACGCTATTGCCGCCGACGATGATCTTGATGTTCCCGGTCAGTCGCCTCTGAAGTTCTGCGAAGGCGACCGCAGCAACGATCTTATCACGATCGACAGCGTTATCCTGACGCCGAACCCCCCCGAGGCGTAGGTGCAATCTCGAGCAAAGTGTTTCTTGGGTGGCCTGAAGTCGAAGCTAACCATCAACTGTTTGGTCAGTGGACAAACTCTGGTCATCGAGGCCACGGGCACGGTGAAGGAAACCATTGAGGAGGGCGCATACGTAAACCTCCAGGTCAAATACGGCTACATCCGTCTCATCAACACGCAGGCCGACCTCTGCACGGAGATAAAGAATGTTGACCTTGAATGCCCGATTGAGAAGGGCAAGATCTCCATCATCAAGACTGTCGAGTTGCCCAAGGAGATCCCTCCAGTAAGGCCTTTTTTTTTAATTCCGTTACCGATGTTGTTGATCCTTTTCTAACGATTCTGGCAGGGAAAATACGTCGTGGATGCCGATGTGTACACCGCGGATGATGAGCGCATCACCTGCCTGACTGCCAAGGTTGATTTCGCTCGGAAATCGTCCTTTTTTGATCTTTGAATGGCGAGTTGCTTTATCTTAGGAGTTAGCACGGCCTGGGCGTGTTGGTGCGGTTAGGGCGTAACCAGATTGTACCCTTCGCACGGCAGAGAGCGAGCGCGCAACTTGCAACGAGATTTTCTCATAGGGTCATTGGTGTTCCTTGGGGGTTTGATTCTGGTCGCATTTACTTCTATACAGCATATTTGAGGTTACGAGGTTCCAAGGCTTTGCTATAGGGAATACACGCATTAAACCAGACACTGACGCGGCGTCTCCGACCCGAGTTTGCCAGGCTTGACCCGGACTAATTGGGGAGATCGATGTCGCTCGGCTTGCCAGCACAATCATTACATAGTACAAAAGGTAGTTCTTGCAATCAATCGATTCTCCTGGGCTGTGGATCTCGCTCGTTGCGGTCTATTCGCCAAACAACCGGCGAACTCTCCGCAGGACACTGTCTTTCTCTGGGTCATAGGGGTGATCTTTGCTCGGGATTTCGAGAACTGCTGGAAACGCTGCGGTGTAGGTGTCTACTCGGTGCCGTATCCGATCGGCGACCTGTGCCATGTTTTAGTCAGAGGGGAATGAATAGCCGAATACTACAGCGCTAGATTTGGCGGTAACGAACATGCTGGTTGATCAAGACTATCCCGATGTCTTTTCTCTCCGCCGTAAACTTCTCGAAGGTTGCCTCAATTGTGGCATTGTCGGTCTTGCTGTCAACCACCAGAAAGTTTTTCTGGTTGTCTGGAGGCGCCGTGACATGCTATCAAGAGGGGGGCCCAAGTTAGACATTTTCGGATATGTGAGGAGGCCGACAATCGAAAACTCACGCCAATTCCCGCAAGAAGCAGCCCAGTAACGGAATCCTGTCCCCAGTAGTGTCAGCGCAGCCAGCTCAGGACCGGATGCGACGTCTCTCGGATTCCTCACCTCGTCCCCAATCACGGCCAGGAACTGCCTGTCCTTGGAGTCTGCTTGCGAGGCCATGTCGGGCCAGACAAGAGAGCACGGTAAGAGTAGGATTAACGAGGAGACGTGGGCAGGGCGAGATGGCGGATATGAAGAATGTTGTCGTTGATGTTCTGTTGAGCCAGGTCTGGTCTCCCGCTCCAACTCCACTGGCTCTGGCCAACCAACTGCCCAGTCCGTTTAGTATCCACTCCCACCTCACCACTAAATCTCCACTGTTTTTTAGGTGCACCCCTCCCAGGCTATTGTTCACTTTGGCAGGCGGCGCAGGCGGCTGTAACAGAACAGCGGTGCCTATTCCAGAGGCCTGTGCTGACCTAGTTGGTTAGCCAGTGGAGCTGGGGGGAGCTCTTCTCACATTATGGATCCCTGCTGCAACAATTTTCCATGACGCCCTACCAAAACTTCGTTTCCGAACATGCAAAAAGGTAAACACTGAAATCAACACTTTGGCACAGCTCGGTTACGTGTTGTAACGACCCGTGGGTCTTACCATACGAGCTTACCGCTCTCATTTCGTTGTCCGCCCGGCGCGGGCTTTTTCTTTGACGCGCCGGAAGCGATTCCCGCATGGCCATGTAACAGTGCTTTTGGCCCAAGTCCACCTCTGCAATTCGCAACCGAGAATTGCGCAACACTACACCTAAGCCTAGCACGACACACAGCAGCCACAATGCCTCCGCGACCGCAACGGCTGGTACGGCGACGGCCGCTGGCAGAGCGAATCCAATCCCTTCTTAACCCCGCGGACCTTTACCTGTGGCTTTCGGAGGAAATTCAGACTTTCGACTGGGACTCGAAGACGTTTGGGACGCGCTTTGGGCTCACGGCCAGCTTTCTCTTCCTCCTTGCGAGGGCAAACGCCGGCGCCAGGCACGGCAATGGGGATGACGATGTATTTGGCGACGGCACGGGTAGCGGTTGGATGACGGTCTTGGTAAGTTGTTGCCCATGCAGCGCGTCCCTCATGGATGCGCGTCGTAGTCAAGGTTACTAATATGCACCCTTCTTCAGGTCAACTTCCTCGTGTGGACTTTGATTCCTACATCCTTTGTCAACGCGTTTTACACCATGACGCGGTCGCGTCATTACCGGCTATTCGAGGCAAACGTCGAGAACGCAGGGCCCTCGACGCCCTCGGCCCAGCGTGTCCGCGTCGATTCCTCCCCCGCGTCGTCGTCTCCTCTACGGTTCTTCCAGGACATTCTCGGGTCGGAAACGGCCGAGTCGCGAGCCTACCCGGACCAGACGCGCGACGTCTGGGAGGTCAAGGTCTGGGATCCATACCCGGCCACGCTGCAAATGTTTTGCTTCTTCAGCCCTGGCCACGTTCTGGTGTACTTGATGTTTCTGCCCCTTACGCCTCTCGACCCGCGGCCGAGCGTCACCGTGTTTAAGTGCCTCATTCTGCAGGTGATCCTGTCAGCCCAGCTATTGCTCCTGCAGTCGCGGTTCACCCAGCAAGCCAAGGACACGGCCATCATACAGAAAGAAGTTCTACATGAGTACGATTCGAAATATGTCCACCCCCGGCTTCACCCGGTAGTGCGCGAGGTTGGAACACAGGTATCCATTGGTGAGCTTGGCAATATTGAGCAGGAGTCTGTTGGCACTGGTACTCCTACGGCCTTGATTAGGCGCGGCTTCCAAACACATCCGAACCCCAACTACTCGAGGCATTATGACCCGGACGGCGGGAAACTTCAGCAGCAGGTGCAGACGCGGAATGTCATGAATCCGAGTTTGTTCACGCCGTCAACCAAACCCAGGGGAACGCCAGAACCCTCTTCCGCCGCGTCATATGCCAGCCGATCTGCTGGGCCTCGGCAGAGTCTGCCCTCACCATCTGTCCGCTCATTTGGGGCGCAGGTTGCTGCGGCATCGTCGGCTCTGCCTCCTCCGGTCTCCAACCCAACCCCCCGTGCGAGCTACGGCGGCAATCTCGGCGTTTTCTCACACGTAAACTCGCCGCTTAAGAAGGCGACCAGTATGGGGGAAATGAACAGCGCGTTCTCCCCCCGGAACTCGCGTGAGATGGCTGCGCTAGAGCAGCGCGACCTCGCCGAGCGTATGATCCGCCAGAGCAGTCCCGTGAAGGATAGCCGGCGTGCCACTATGCAGTTTGGAGGAGGTCAGGAACACTCCCCCGCCAGATTAGAGGCTGCCAGAGCTACCCGTTGGACCCAGGAACGGTTTCCCTCGCGGCGGATCTGAAGACAGAAAGATATCTCTTTTTGTGCTAAACAAATAGCAAACTCGAGATCAGGGCTAACACGCCCAATCTTGCAGTTCCTTGAAACTTCATTACAGCAGCAACTCCTCGTGTGCCTTATTCCCACTGGGGAGGGCGCAGCTGGATAGAGAGGTACAGCAGCGGACGGTGCTCTTTTTCAGCCGCTCCTCTAGAGTGCATAAATTGCAACCTCTAGTGGCGTGAAACTGCTACATCTGCCTCCCTGCACAGAGACCAGGTGGGACGGGCGGCCGCCCCGTAGACAGACAGACCCAGATCCCTTAGCTTGGAACCTTCGCGGGTAGAAATGGAGGCACGGAAATGTGTCTTCCTAGTAAGATTCAAACGAGTAGATTGCGAAAGTGGAAGGCGGGCGGCGGCACAGCATCATTTCTTTACATTTCAGTCTCCTTGTCGGTCTTTGCATGGTGGCTGGCGAAGGGGGCGGCGTTCTTCGGGTATCTTTTGGGCTCATACAAACACACACACGCGCGCATACTTCCGTGGAAAGGGGCGTATTAATACTAGGTTAGGCCGCACAAAATGCATTTCACACACCTCGACGCTGTGTATATTTACTTGATATTTTCGGTACGAATTGCCTCTGGTATTGCATTTTTACGTGTGAACATCTACAAGCTAAAACTGGTTGTTGTTCGATATATCCGTAATGAAAAGGGGACACTTCCTATCAAGAACATTCAAGTAGCTGTTGAGTAGCCAACAGCTCCCAGCTATGCGTACTCGCTAACCATAACTGTTGATGTCTCGTAGAAGAAAAGCCTCCAGTGTGGTTCGTAAGTGAGGCATATGATGATGGTATTTCGAGTGCGGACATCCACGGATGGGCTAGCACGATGATCGGAGTCAAGGCAATACCTATTTGGCACATGCCTGCCCTATGTCAAGTGTGTGGAAGGGCAGGTAAGTGTATTCCACAGTCGGAAGCGTCGTATGCGTTGTAGTTAGGTATCTATCTGATTTGACGAAGGTAAGGTACCTACGACCTTGGGAAGTCAACGTACCAGGTCGGCATATTCAAATAAGGGGGAAGGCGGCAGCGGCCCATAGGTCCTTCCCTACTTGACGGCACGCAGCTCTCCCGGTGGCTACGTATAGTTCCTTCTCGCAATCGCCTATCAACACTGCTGCGTATCTTACCTACCAACCTATAGACGAACTTGCAGAGAGAAAGAGCCTCACGGGTCAGCAGCAGATGGTTCGCCTCCGCTTCCCGGCCCAGCCTCTGCTTGGCTTGTTCCAACACACACCCAGAACGGCTCACGGGGAGAGGCCAGCTTAGTACCTTGACCCATAGAGTGTGCCGCCGTTTCGGTTATTTAACCCCCAGTCGGTTGTCTATAACATTTTGGATTGTGCATACTTAGACCCAGGCGGGCGGGTGACTATGGGCTTATCGCCGCGACAGAACAGCAGTTGTGGGAGACACGACAAGAGACACTTGTCGTCTTCGGCCTTGCTTCAGGAAGAGAGCGAAAGCTCAAGCAGTCATGACATGAGCGTCGTGGCGGACGACACGAGAAGAAAAAGCATCGACACGGGTTCGGCAGCGTTTGCTAGCAACCGCAGGAATTTTGCAACGTCTTTTGCGAGCTTCTTCTCCAAGCTACGACCGAGCAAGCGGGCCGAGCGAGGCGGTACGATACGTTCTCAAGATGGCGACGGCCATATTGATGCCGACCAAGAGATTCGTGGTGGAAGAACTTGCAGCGACGTACCAATACCACGTCGGGCATCAAGCAAGACAGGGCAGGGCACTAGCCCTCTGGACTATCACAACTCGAACATGATTCCGCCGGGCCTTTGGAACATGCCCACGACGCTTCCGCGCAGGTTTCAGACCACCAACCGCAAGGCGTTCGCGCGTAGAGCGCTGGCCACGGCTGCCGCCAATCAGGTGTTAGCTACCAACAATCGACCACCACGTGGCGCGGCAGGCTCTCCTGTTGGGAATTATACTACTCCCATAGCGGACAGTCACGATGTTTTGCTGCCTCGGGGACAACAGAAAAATGGTTGGGCTGATATGCCCATGCGATCCCAAAGTATATCAAAGCCATCAGATCGCGTGCAGGAGCTTTTTCTCGAAAAGCAAGAGGCACGTCGCCAGCGCCGGACCCTGAAAGAGTGCGGCGATTTTCTAGGCGTCACAGGCGTGAACCCATATACTAGAGAGATGGATGTCCTCACCCCGACGACGAGCTCGGATGATGCCTTGTCACCTGCAAACTCACAGCTCGCGGAACTCGCGCAGAAGGCGCACGAAGCCCAGGCGGCCTATAAGCAGGCCAAGAGGGAGATGCAAACCCTGAAAGAGCAAGAGAGGTGGGAGAGGGTCGAGAATCGGAAAGACGCCATCCGCCTAGGCCAGAGAGAGGTGAAATGGCATCATGAAAAGGGGCAGTGGTCTTCAGCTGCAGAGCCAAAGCTGAGCCCTATCGCGCAGTCTCAAGCGAGCGTAGCATCAGCAGCAAGAGACGCTACCACCATTCATCGCAGCCAAAGTTCTTTTTTAGGGACGATAGCGGCGACGGAGCATCGCCGCACCGCACTCAGCATCAACCAAGAGACAATGACACCGACGGTCAACTGCCAACAAGAGCAACGCCGAGACGGCAGGGCAGGGATGAGCAACAACTTGGGCCAGGGAATCCCAATACTGTCGAAAACCAAGATGATACGCTTGCGCCTTCCCCCAATAATTCCCCGCCGGCTTGGTTCAAGCCCGGAGGATGCAAGCCCAACAGAGAACGACAAGAACGAGAAGAACGAGATAAAATCAGAGGCGTTAGACGAGATCGCGGCACCCCAACCACTTCGGTACCGGTTCCCACCCAGCGATTCCATGTCACGGATCCCGAGCGGCAAGGTGCTGGAAGTGGAGAACCAAAATCCAGCAGAGAGATGGGCGAGCAGGCTGATACAGGACCTGGACGACCTCGAACGCAGCCTCGAGATGAAGACAGACAAGATGGGGCAGGGGACGAACTCGTTGGTGGAGAGGACCAACGGGCAGAGGGGGGAACCAAGATCTGCTTGCACACACATCACCACCACTATTGGCTTCGCGTGCAGCCGATCTCGCCCGACACCCAGCCGCGCTTACGACGAGATGATCGGCATGTTAGACCGCGGCCCACTGATGGTAGTCTCGACAGTAGCCGGGAGGCAGACAGCAGCAACACCAGGCCGCCCCCCAACATCACGGAAGTCCTCAGGCGTGACGTTCAGCGGCGTCTGTATGGACCTGCTGGCTTCCCCGCTCACCCTGAGGCCGAGTGTTTGGCCGAGTCTGACCAGGAAGGGTCAGGATCTGAATACCACTGGCCGCATCGTCGAGATCATGACATCAGACAAACGCCCGGCATTACCACCGCCGCCACCGCCGCTACCAGAAGCAGCCAGCGCTACTACGTCGGTGTGCGAGACGCCCACCAAGGATTGCGAGATATCACCTCGAAAAACGGCTACCGGGGGCCAGCAGAAGGAGATAAGCGGGTTACTGATGAAGGCAACGGGCAATGCCGTCCAACAGCCGAGCGTGTCACTCACTGCTTGCCGGCCAAGCATACGGAGCCCGACTCATCTGGTGGGAGGGCCGGAGCTGGACCACGCAATCGCGCGAGGAGCGGCGAGAGCAGCTTTCGTCCAGCACATGCCGATGAGCAAGCCGACAGGAGGGTACCTAGCTGGAGTGGTGTCGGGGTTGGACAGCCTCGCAGGAGTGCAACAGCAAGCAGCCGCACCGGCCCTCGCAGCGAAACCAACAGACAACAAGGCCAGCAGGGAGGGCGGCGGCGATCTTTCCGTGGATAAAGCTCCCCAGCAGCTTGTCTCTGGGCTTTGGACGACGCTGCTGGTTATTCGAGAGCTTGCTTGTGCATACTGGCGGCTGATGAGCCCAGTGCTGGATGCCAACTCGCCGCTCCGCAAGAGGTTCAGCCAGACAGAGTCAACTTGGGAAGACTGCATTACGTGGGTTCTGGCAATGCTGTTCCTGCTTCTGGCCGCGTCAGTCAGTGCATGGGCGATTCGATGTGTTCTTTTAGTGTTCTGGGTGTTGAAGATGGCTTTGAACGGCCTCTTGATACTGGCGGACGTTTGAAAACACCACAACCCGAAAAAGTTTAGACTTTCTCTAGTTTTAGAAAACATGAAACCCTGCTTGTAGAATAACTAAAGAGAAGCAAACCTAGAAGCGAGCTGGTTAGAATGCATGATTCTTGCTCCAGCAGCACTCGTCACTCTGGCTGACTTTTGTTGTCTTACTTACATACAAACTCGAGGCACGATTCCGTCTAGATTTACAGAAGTACACAAGTACCAATCTCTACACAACATACGGAGTAGGGTGATACATACGATAAGAGTCCACGATCGGCACCTAAAGCCGAAACCGTGAAGGCGGCGTCAGATCTATTGAGCCACTGATTGCTCACAGCCAGAGACAAGTCAAGTCTGTGACCCCCGCGTCAGCCGTCACCGCTTCGTTACGTCGTACAAGGCTCTGTCGGGAGCCAGTTTGTACAGTATGTACATACAGCGCGGAGCCAACGGCAGGCTTTCGATAAGCTGTCGGGCGAGACGAGAATGGATGCCTGGCCAGTTGCAGGTCAGGCCAGCCAGGCCAGGCCAGGCCAGGCTGCGTGCGTGCGCTCTGCAGATGATATGCATTCCGACTTAACAAAACGAAAGGGACGCGATCGGATTGAGACGGTGTGATATGTGAGTGAGTGCGTACGTGGGCACGCTGAATCAGTCCCACCCTAGGTATCTCTGGGATCATGTTTCCCCCGCCTCGGAGGACTTCCTGTGTCGGAGGAAATTGGATTGGGACGGCGATGCGGTCCTCCAGATGCCTGAGTGAGAGCTCTGGCAGAGCAGTGGAGTGCAGTGCAGGCAGGCCACTTTGCACAGGGCATGGACCTTACTTGGCACGCTGGCTGCCCGTCCTGTCAAGTTACACACAGTGGCCCGTAGTTACCATACTCCGTAGCCCTGTTAGCACCTCCCCTCCCCCTTGCGCCTTCCTCCGTCACTCTGCATCTCATCAAGAGAGTGGGGGCTACGATGCACATTCGGAATCGTACCTGACCGCATCGCACCTGCGAGTTGGCGGCGGCGAGGCAGGAGCACATCCAGTGCTGTTTTCGTCCTTTTCTTTAGGGCTTTCTCTCGACATTTTCACGCCAAATAAGGTCTATTCACACTACATACGGAGCCCCTTTTCCTTTCGTCGAGTCCTCTCCACCTTGCTCCCGCCAGTCTTGAAGGATCTAGACTACCATTTCGTGACAAGGGTTGGCTGTCCGAGGAGCTGCGTTGCTGGCCCGGCGGGGGCTAGAAGCTTTTTCTTTGCGCTGCCGCAGCGGGCGTTGGTCTTGTGCTCTTGCCCCACTGCCTGACTGACCCGCCCCGCCCCAAGGATCCATACGCAACCCACCCGCAGCAGCCTGGAGCCAATCCTCTGCCGGGCTTTAGAAATTCAAGTGGTCCACCCCGCATTCCGTGAACCGGACCCCCCTCGACAGCTCCGAACATCGGCCGCTGTGTGCGGTCATGGAATTGGAGAATGGAGGCATCCCCATCGCAGCTATAAGTGTCGGGCGGCAACAAACCAGACAGTCGGGAGCTTGAAGGAGGGGCTGTCTCCGATCTTGCTGCTGGCTGCTTCCGTTGTACTGTATAGTATCCGTTCGGACCTACTTTGAGAAGCCTCGGTCCCTTGCCACCCACTGAGTCGGAAACTTTCCGAAGAAAAAAAGGCCATCAAATTCTGGGTCTCGTACTCCTCATCTGCACCTGCTTTTCCAAAATCTTGATTTTCCTCCCTCGTGCCTCCTTTTCTCTTCATACTACTCCCTACTCCCTACCTTAATCCACCCGCTGTAGGATAGGCGCCCCGTTTCTCTCTCCGCCGCGAAATCAACTCAGCTCTGCCTGCTGCCAAGTCCTGATACTGAGCACCATCCTTTATATCCCGCCGACAACCGTTAGAATAGCATTCAAGAAGAAAAAAGGAAAGAACAAACGTCAAATAGAGATCGGCCCCGGCCAACCAAAATTCAAGATGCCCGTCGCCGACAGACCACCGCAGACTCTGTATGACAAGGTCTTCCAGGCCCACATCGTCGACGAGAAGCTCGATGGCACAATTCTGCTATATATTGACCGTCACCTCGTTCACGAGGTCACCTCTCCGGTATGTATTTCCGCATGCGTCGGAAGCGACAAAGCCGCGCATATTTACCATGGGATCTACGACATTTACTAACATGCATGTCTTGGCAGCAAGCATTCGAGGGGCTCAAGACTGCTGGTCGCAAGGTGCGAAGACCAGACTGCACTCTGGCCACCACTGATCACGTAAGTACCACCTTCCTCACGCCCGAGACTGGCTGGGCCACGAATCGAGCTGCTCGGAATGCTGACTGGTCGCAAAGAATGTGCCGACGAGCTCGCGTAAAGCCCTCAAAGATATCGCCAGTTTTATTAAGGAGGACGACTCGCGGACTCAATGCGTGACCCTCGAGGAGAACGTTAAAGACTTTGGCATTACATACTTCGGTCTGAGCGACAAGAGGCAGGGTATTGTCCACGTCATTGGCCCCGAGCAGGGCTTTACTCTGCCCGGCACCACTGTCGTGTGCGGCGACAGCCACACGTCCACCCATGGCGCGTTTGGCGCCCTCGCCTTCGGCATTGGCACTAGCGAGGTCGAGCACGTGCTGGCCACGCAATGCCTCATCACCAAGCGGAGCAAGAACATGAGGGTACAGGTCGACGGCGAGCTGGCGCCGGGCGTCAGCTCCAAGGATGTCGTCCTCTACATCATTGGCAAGATAGGAACCGCCGGCGGCACCGGAGCCGTCATCGAGTTTTGCGGCTCTGTCATCCGCAGCCTCAGCATGGAGGCCCGCCTTAGCATCTGCAACATGGCGGTCGAGGGCGGATCGAGGGCTGGCATGATCGCCCCGGACGAAATCACCTTTGAGTATCTCAAGGGCCGGCCGCTGGCACCCCCGTACGGCTCCGACGAATGGAACAAGGCCGTCGCCTACTGGAAGTCGCTCGCCTCGGACCCCGACGCCAAGTACGACGTCGACGTCTTTATTGACGGCAAGGACATTGTCCCCACCGTCACCTGGGGCACCAGCCCAGAGGACGTAGTTCCCATCACCGGCTCCGTTCCAGACCCCGAGACGTTTTCCACCGAGGGGAAGAAGGCCGCTGGCCGGCGTATGTTGGAGTACATGGGACTCACAGCCGGAACACCCATGCAAGATATCTCGGTTGACAAGGTCTTCATCGGCTCTTGCACAAATTCCAGGATCGAGGATCTCCGGGCTGCCGCCCGTGTAGTGAAGGGGAAGAAGATTGCTGCCAATATCAAGCGCGCTCTGATTGTCCCCGGCTCCGGTCTCGTCAAGGAGCTGGCGGAGAAGGAAGGTCTGAACAAGGTCTTCACCGATGCCGGTTTCGAGTGGCGGGAGGCTGGCTGCAGCATGTGCCTGGGGATGAACCCCGATATTCTGGCTCCCAAGGAGAGATGCGCTAGCACGAGCAACCGGAATTTCGAAGGACGCCAGGGCTACCAGGGCCGGACGCACCTCATGTCACCGGTAATGGCCGCAGCCGCCGCTATCGCGGGTAAGCTAGCCGACGTGCGAGAATCGGCCCAGTTCAATGGTAGCCCGCAAATCAAGGCTGCCGTTACTCCCGAGACCCCCGAGCTGGCTCCTACAAAGGCGCACCCCGACGAGCGAATCGAGACAGACGACACTGAGAAGGAGATGCTCGCTGACCAGCCCCAAGATTCATCTCCACAGGTGAATACTTCGGTTTCACGAACCAGCGCCGGGCTGCCAAAATTCATAGTCCTCAAGGGCATTGCAGCGCCGATGGAGAAGGCCAACATCGACACCGATGCCATCATCCCCAAGCAGTTCCTCAAGACGATCAAGCGTACAGGCCTCGGATCTGCACTCTTCCACGAGATGCGGTATACAGATGGCGAGGAGAACCCCAACTTTGTGCTCAACAAGGAGCCCTACAGAAACTCGAAGATTATTGTGTGCACCGGAGAGAACTTTGGATGCGGCAGCTCGCGAGAGCACGCACCATGGGCGCTCAACGACTTTGGTGTGCGAAGCGTCATCGCGCCCTCGTTCGCCGACATCTTCTTCAACAACTCGTTCAAGAACGGGATGCTGCCGCTGCCCATCAAGAACAAGGTCGACCTCGAGGCCATCCACGCCGAGGCCGTCGTCGGGCGCGAGATCGAAATCGATCTGCCGAACCAGCTCATCAAGGATGCTGACGGCAAGACCATCTGCAGCTTCGAGGTGGAGGAGTTCCGCAAGCACTGCCTGATAAACGGGCTCGATGACATCGGCCTGACGATGCAGATCGAGGATAGGATTCTCGATTACGAGACGAAGATGTCGCTCGAGACGCCCTGGCTCGACGGCAGGGGCTACCTCAAGCGGAAGGGCCGCGGAGGCAAGCTTACTGTCAAGGCGGCGCCCGTTCCGAAGACAAATCGGGGCGAGGTGAAAAAGGAGCCTCTGGAGTGGTGATTGGGGAGGGTGCGTGTGTGAAGAGACAAATGGTGCTACTGGAAAGCGGGTGTTTTTATATCGTTTTATACTATTTCTCCCTTTTTTTCCCTTTTTATCAAATGATGACGCAAACGATCTTTTTTTTTCTTGCTGCATCTTACAAACTCTCTATCTTGCATGCATGAGGAGGCCTAAGTGCTGTTTCCTTGATTTTTTATTCAGCCGTGTGGATAGTGTGACTTTGGAAGATATTTCCTTCCGAGCAGCAAAAAAGGGGTGGAAAAGTTTAGGGAAAATGGGGTGGAGTGGGTAGAATCCTTGCTGGTTTTATTTTTATTTCCCCCTGGTTTCCATCGAAAGAAGGCAAAGCAGTGCCATCATCATATCGCTATTTTTATTTATCCACTCTGCCTAGGCTAGATCGAAGGGGTTTCTTTTGTTGAGGTGAGATCTGCGAGGCGCGCCTGTGTGAGGCATTCGAAGTGATTCCAACACGTTGTCTATCCAGAGTTCCATCCCCTTTCTTTTCAACGCAAGAAAGATAGGGAGAGGGGTCTGAAATATGTTTATTATTGTGTGACGAATGGCAAGTAGCCACTAGGTCGTCGTAACTACAGTACGTGCACTCTTTCCCAGTTGCTCCAGTATCAGAAGTTCATGTAACAATGTTGTATGTATGTACATATATCTGGTGTCAAACAGACAGCTTGCCTCCACAGCAGTGACAATAGCACTAGAAAAGTCTAGCCCACGAAAAAGACAACAATTTCCATTAAATGGTAGCCCTGCCTACTGCCTGCTGCCCTACTGCACCTACCAGCATACGGCACGTACGGGATGCCCTTTTTTTCCCCGTAGGAGGTGTGCATACATGGTCGCCCGGTGTTTTTTTTCTGGGCCGCCGCCATATATGGCGGCCGAAGTTTATGCAAGGGCCGAAATCCTTGGCACGCATGGATGGATGGGATGGGGGCCGCCTCGTCTCGGGAGGATTCCCGGCTTCCCGGCTTCCTGGCCGCGCGCAGGAAAATCTGCGCTTTTTTGCTGTTAACAAAGCTTTCCCCCCCCTCCCCCTCCCCAATATATGGTAATAGGGCTAGATGTTCAATTTTTTTCTCGGAGTTTTTTTCGTCTCCTGTAATTGTAGTGAATAGTGGAGGAGGTGGTGGTGGTGGTGGTCCGTGAATGCCCCGTGTCTAGTGAAGATCATTCTGTGCGTATGGATCATTGATCATGTGGGTAGAGGCTGGAAGAGCAAATTTTTTTGAAGAGTATCTGCACCGGTATACGGATACCTGCTGTCCCCTTTTTTCTTTCTTTTCTTCTCTGCGCCCCCACTCTTGTTCCGTGTACGGATAGCCCTACATAGTATAACAACGGCCCGAACGGAAAGGCGGGAGGAGCGGAACCCTTCAAGGATTGGGGGTCATAAGGCTTGACCCCTGGAGAATAAGGAACTCCGTAGGTTAGGCATCTCCCCAATACAGCTCTACAAGTCGCTGCCTATTTCTACTACTACCGCTACCGCGCTCCTGCTGCTGTAGACCATGGCTTTCCGTGATGTTGATATTTTCCGTGTTTGCTTGCCATCAAGCCACCTCTGATGTGATCTCATTGGGCGCTGTCTTGTTTCTGGTGCCTATCCCTCTTATGTCAGGGGGAGGGGCAAGCTGCCGTTGTGGAGTAGATTCGGGGCTAGTGCCTCCCATCCCTCCGAGCCTTGAGGCTCGCTTGTGCTGCAAAGAAGGAGAATAGATAAGCTTTCGGATGACGTTGATAGTGGAAGGATGGAAAGGCATGTCAGCGCCCCCCCGAGTGCCAGATTTAGGTTGCCATCAAAACTAAAACAAATTGGTAGGTGCGGCGGCGTGGGAAGTCGGGGGCTTTTCCCCCCCTTCAATTGTTGCGCTTCTTGCTTGTCCGCAAGAATTTGAGGTAGAGACCGGAGCTGGTGCGCGAGGGCTGCAGACGTTCATTTGCGCAGAGGGGCGCGAGGCGCTAGGAACCCAACGGCACTGGCGAATGTATCCCGTAGACCCAAAATTGAAACACGGTGGAGGGCACCCAAGAGAAGACTCTGTCTCCGCCATCTCCCGTCTCCTTGGCCACTACTGCAGTCATCTTGCCATGTGGCAGCCCACCTCGGCGGTTCTTGGCGCCCCCCGTTCTACTCGAGGTGTTAACCTGAGGGGATAGGCAGGCAGAGTTCAAGGAATCTATCTGCAGGCAGACCTTGCCTTGCATTGCTCCGTACAACCGGGAGAACTGCACATACGCCGTAGTCTGTAGTACAGGCATTCCAAGCGGACCCGGCTGGTCGTTACCTTTGCTTAGGTGCCGTACCTACGTGATGTTACACGGTGGTCAAGTGCGGTGGAAGCTCGCGCCAGCGGTGAGGGAGTGGCTCTCGTCTCGTTCGTATGCACAAAGCACCAGTCTCTTTCTAGCATTTTTGCTTCTGTTTCTGTTTTGGGATAAATCGCCGATTAAGGCTGGAAAGCGGCCGACACAGGCGGCGATGACCGGCCTCTACTCTATTAATGTCGACAGTGGCAGCCCCCTATACAATGCGATGACAAGGGAAACAAGAAGCGAGACACGAGCGGCGACGAGCGCAAAATAAAGTGCTTCCCGGTCCGGGAGCCAGTGATGAAAGGGAATTTCGGACAGAAGGATTCGAGCTGAGAAAGACCGAAAGGCCTGTGCAGGGCATGGGGTTCCATGGGTGTTCTGGAAAGTGTGCTGAGCGAACGGCAGATAGGCACGTGATAGGGGCTGCCCATGTTATGGCAGCCCAGCCCAAGAGCGTTAGGGTTGGGTTGGGGGGACGGGGACCGACGACCCCACCCAAAAAGTCCCGTCGGCAGGCCAAGCCAAGCAGGGCGGACGGGAGATCTCGATTCCCCCGATGAAACACCCACAACCTAAACTTGGATGCCACGCCGCTCGCTGCCAGCCAAAACACCAACAAACATTTTAACGAGGCAAAAACAACCTCCTGGCTTACAGCTCACCTACTTACACGGACGGCACTGCAATGCCAATGCAACATAGCTCGGTTGTGCCCCAGCGATTCCGCATTAGGACAATTCTAGTCGACCTTAGCCAGTCGAGCCTAGCCTAGGTTCTGGTTGGTTTCCAATCGAGCCCAGGTTCCGTGCTGCCATGGCCAGGCAAGGGGCGATGGACGTTAACCTTAATCGCGGCGAACGGGCATGTATGCAGTGCGGTGCAGAAGCTAACCCGGAGGTAGTAGAATGTTGCGTGAAATAACTGATTAGATCGAGTGCATGCAGTCGGTCTAGGTCTACTGATTCCAGGCATCCCCCCCCCCCCTGCGTCACAATGCACCAGAGCGAAGAAATCCTCTCAGGCACACCTGGAAACCGGGACGCGGTGCCTATGGGCATCGGCATCCATGACATGGCATGCACCGGCATGAGCATGGGCCTACACCGGCAAGCACAAGAGAGGAGAGGGCAACAGCCCAGAGAGCCTGAGGGGAAGGGAGCACTGCAGTGGGTTGTTGTTACAGGTTAGCTTAGGTAGGCCGTTGAAGATGACGGCCCCTTTCCAGGCAACAAGATTTCACCCGCTATTATTAGCGGTGCCACCGCTAAACACGCCCAGAGAGTGACGGCGGTTTCTTAGTCAGAGTGACCGGTTTCAATCCGCTGAACCGCCAAAATTTGCGGCAGCTGATTCGTCTAGCCTTCAGCTCTGAGCTTGCAGCATTCGGATTGAGTTGTCCTGGACCTGGACCTGGAACGAACCTGACCTCCCGCTAGGCGGGTCTCGAGTTCCTGGGCGCCCGTGTTCGTGCCCGCCCTGCCGTCCCCAACCGTCGGGCTGCCAAAACAGCCGTGCTACCCCTGCGGCCGTGGCGCCAGGCCCCTCCTGAGGTTGGATCTGGAGTGGAGCCGAGGCGAGGGAGGCTACACTACACTAGCCCGCCATGTGCAGGTAATGCAACGTGCAGACATGCAGCCCAGCTGCAAGCCGTGGGTCCGGCTCGACTGCCATGGTGAAAAACGCCCTCGACATCCGTAGGGCACACCACACCCTCACGGTCCAATGCGGGCAAGCGTCGAGGCTGCTGGCCTTGCCCGCACACCCGGCGACGCCATGACACGCACGAAAAGGGCATAGTGACGGGTGTGGACGTGGACATGGGTATGGGAATGGACATGGACATGCCTCATCGTCTACCCGCCGTTCCGAGCAACTACAAGGGTTGACCAGGGCAGACAAGAAGAGGGTGGGTGAGGGTGAGGGTGAGGGTGAGGACGAGACCCAAACATGTACTTGCCACATGGCGTGCGTCGCCATGGACAGGAGCCTGGTGTTCAGCTCAATGCCAACCGCAACCACACTTGACAACACGCCGCTCTTGCTTTGCATCTCCGGCCCAGCGTCTCCGGCCCAGGGGAGAGAGAGTCTTGATTAATAAATGCTTCGCTCTCTCGTCTCATGTAGACTCCACTCCCAGTCCCTTGCCAGGCCCGCTTCTAACGGACGATGTGCGGCAATAGCAGCAATCTCCTCGTCTCGATATCGATTCTCCCCGGCTTGACTTCCGCTGAACGGACCCGAGATTCCCTGGCGAGAACAACAACACGATGGCCGAGGACCCAGTTACGCCCACTGAACGGCGGGACAGCTCGTCCCCCTCATCTGCCCATCCGAGTCAGCAGCCAAAAAAACGCACAAGGGCCAGCAAACCAAAGGTCCGGACTGGGTGTATTACCTGGTAAGTGAGATCAGAGATCACAAATCCCCATTCTTGCCTTACCGTCTACCACTTCGTCGTCTTCACCGAACTGAGAAAGCTGACGTACAACTCTCCCCACCACTAGCAAGTAAGTTGTGTTACCGCAGCATAATAGTCGCTACTATCATGCTCGGCATGGCAGCACCACGATAAGCCCCATCACCGCCAGCTAAGACTCTCATGGCTGACCCGGGTTGTTTCGCTTTAGAATCCGGCGCGTGAAATGCGGGGAAGAGAAGCCTGCGTGTGTGCGCTGTACGTCGACGGGACGCACCTGTGATGGCTATGACAAGTCGGTAGTGCCCTCGAGGTACCGGTCCGGTGGTGCTGGCGAGCCATCACTGATGCTACCGGGGGGTGGCGGCGGAGTCGGCGTCGGCAGCAGTAGCAGCACCGCCGAGCAGGCCCAGGTCGAGTTCGTCCGGGCGTGCCAGTGGAGCGAGGCGCTGCGGTCGATGCGGCCGCTCGCGGCGGACATCGACGGGACCGAGATCGAGAAGCGCTTCTTCCACGGCTTCCGGACGGCCAAGATCGACGGCCTGGCCGAACATGTCTGCACGTTCGCCGACTTCTGGAACCGCCTGGCTGTCTCGCCCGACACGAGCACCCACCACCAGGATGACGCTGTCAAGCACGCTCTTGTCGCCGTTGGGGCCGCCTTCACACTCTTTCAGAGTCCGAGCAACCCGGTGCCCGTCGAAGGCTTTACTCGCGACAGCCTGGACGTCTTCATTATCCAACAATACAACAAGTCCATCTCCAAACTGCAGCGCCACGTCGGCTCGGCAAGCACTGCTAGCATCCAGATTACGCTGCTGTGCTGCCTGGCCTTCATCTGTCTCGAGACATTGCGCGCCAACCACACCGTGGCCGTCACACACCTCATCAACGGGCTCAAGATTCTCGAGAGCCTCCCGGCCTCTGCCTTTGACTTTCTTGCTGACCGCAACGCCGGTGTCATGACATTCGGTCGCCAGTCTGCGACGCGCAAGGACGCGCCCTTTGACATGACAGACATCATCCAACTTTTTGGCCGGCTGGAAGTCTCTGCCTGCTTCTTCACCACCGGTATCCGGCCCGTCGTCGCAGAGCGCGGATATGCCTATCGACTTCTCGACGATGGTTCTGATGAGTTGCCATTTGCCAATGTCCTCGAGCTCGACCAAGCCATCCGCCGGTTCCAACGTGATGCCATGGCGCGACTTCACCAAAGTAGCCATCATCACTACCACAGTGCCGATGGCGGTAGCTCATTCTGGAACGACCCCTCGCAGCAGCAGCAACAGGCCTGCCTGAGCGCGCGGAGTGCCCGGCTCGGAGTGCTGGTCGACCAGTTCCTTCTGTCTGGCTCTGGTCTCCCGGAGCCAGACACGATAGAACTCATGTGTGTGCATCTGGATCTGCTGCTCTTCCGATGTGCCCAGCTTTTTGTCGAGGACATCAACCTCAACTTTCCCCTCCTCAGCCCCATCAGCGCCAGCCCAGCCATAGCCATGCACCACCACCGCGCGATTCTACGCCACGCTACCATTGTCCTTGGATCTCCCATAGTGCTAAAGATCCGCAATATCCATGGGGGCAGCAGTAGCGATGATGGCGGGAGTCCGGCTGGCCAACATCACTGGCGCATCTCGATGATGGACACGAGCCTAATTGGCCCGCTTTACACGGTCGCCGCCCAGACCGAGGATCTCGGCATGCGCATGGCCGTGCTCCAGCTCGTGGCGGATTTCGCCACAGGCGGCAACGATGGCGACGAAGATGCTGTCGATCGAATTGCTCGTCTTTTTTCCTTTCCGGCTTCGGATAATACGGCCAGCTTCCATGCCGCTTCAATTACCACAAGTAGTAGTAATAATAGCTATGATAACGACGCAAATGATAATGAAGATGACGACTGTTTTGACGACGACGAGAGCGGCGGCGGCGGCTATGGGAGTAGCGGTAGCGGCATCGCTGCCGGCATCAGCTGTTGGCCCTCGCACGATATTCCTCGGTCTCTGGCTGGGTTGGGATGCGTCCCGCGCATCCAAGAGGCCCTCGTGCTTTCGCCGATCGCTGGCGCGCGCGCAGCGTTTGATCAGATGGAACTAGACCATTGAAATGGTCTGCCAATTCATCTCATCTGCTGCGCGCTCTCATCGTTTCGTCTAGGGACGGAAGTATCATGTGTTGCCCCCCGTATAAGCTGAGACGCTACCTGGGGGCATATATGATTAGCGTTGTTTTCCTTTTCTCTTTTCTTGGGGCTGTATTCTTGTTTTCCCCTCACTGTTCAACATCATCATCGCCATCAGGCTGGCGCGGACATATGAAAATGGATGGGGGAGTTTTGGGTTCTTTGGAGGAGGTTGAATCTTCGTCTTCCCGTTCTCTTACATCGCTGTGTATTTCCCCTTCTGGTAATGTTATTCATTCCCTTTTCTGTCCACATACCCACCCACTTCTCTTCATTTCCAGTTGTAGCGCATTGTTTCTGTTGCTTGCATCCTTGGGGGAGGGAGCTTTGAACTTTTCTTTTGCTTTGGAGCGCGGCGTTTAGGACTGGCTTGGGTCGTTTTGTATTTTTCTTTTGTTGGCTCGGATTGTGAAGATGATCGGCTCCAAGGAAGATGAAGATTTTCTTAAAATAATACGCAAAATCAAAACCGTGAAATAAAATTGAAACAAGACAAAAAAATGGGATTATCGCGCTGTGAGGATATGTCGAGGTGATTGCCACGACGTGTTGTTGATAGGCGGCGTCCCCAACACAAACACCGATAGATATATATGCCCAAATACAAACACGTCAAGCTACGCACAGCCTCCTCCCGCCGTAGAAGGAATGAAATGTTTCCGCTCTTTTCGTTTTAAGAACCATGTAAAAACACACATGAAAAAAAAAACACCGACCTCCGGCGGCGGGTCGTGGTCAAAAGGTGGCTGTGTTTTGTTCCATGGATGCGAGAAGGATTTTGGACTCCCCTCTCTTCTTCCCGTAGTTTCTAGCAATGCCCCCTTTTTTGCCTCGGCGCTAGGAGGCTCGCACAAGAAATCTCGAGAGGTGCCTAGTTTTGTTTGTCGAGCAAGTCGAACTTTCTTTGCATTTCGCCCTGTCTGTCTGATTGTCTCTCGAACTTGACCTAGGTAGTTGGTTGGATTTCCCCGAGTTAGTTCCAAGTGTGTTTCTGTAGCTCGGGTACGGCCATGTGTTTACCGTGTAACCAGGAGGGATATCCCATCTCATTTTTCATTCCTGCCTACCTAAAGTAGGTACGTGGCTTTGAAAAGGCCGGTAAGGAAGAAAACCAACAGGGAACCTGAACATAATAGGAACAGATGGAATAAAACGGCAAAACACTTTTATTCGTCGCTTGTCTCAATAAACATTTCGTGATAATAGTCCATTCGCATCAAGTGAACGAAGGATTGGGGGTATTCGGCTCAGGCGCTCCAACGACGCAGGAGTAATAAAGGAAGCAAGAAAAAAGAAAATAGAAAGAATACAAGATAATTCCCGGACAAGGCAACTCTCCTTCCCCCTTCCGCAAGAGAGGGAAATCCTGCAATTCCCAATCCCTCGGCATGAGCGAGCCCTGCCCCTTGGTTTCCTTAGAGACACTAAGGCTGGCTGGAAAGAAAGAAAAAGAATTCGGGCTATGGCCCAAAATGTTCAGAGAATTCGCTTCCTCGCCATCTTCAAAAACCTACATACATACACATTCTCCGTGCCTAGCAAGCGCTCAGAGACGCCCATAGAGCACTTCTTTCTTGAAGATACGGACACCCCAGACGTCGTAGAAGTGCAAGTTCTCAATCGTCTCGATCTTTGTGTTCTTGAAATCGCCATCCTCGTAGTCGTCCTCGCTATCGCTGCTGACATTCCACGTATCGATCTGTGGCAGTACGGGAAACACGTCGTTGCTGACCACACCCGAGTTGGTTGCCACCTGCTTGCCCTTAGATTTCTTCGGGTCTCTGTCCTTCTTAGATGCGCTCGAAGGGCGAACAAGACGCTCGACGCGATCTTCGTCGTCGATAGAGATCCACTCGAGTTTCATCTCTGGGTGATGGGACAGATTATCTACTAGGAAGCGCTTCGTTTCGCGCATGACCCAGACGCAGGTATCATCGTTGCGGAGCTGGACTATGTGCAGAGCCCGCAGATTGACAAGGCCCGCGAGGCGCTGCATAAAAGCATGCTAGACGTATCATTAGCGCCTAAGTCACTAGTCGTACGGGGGGAGCACTTACGACGGCCTTGATGCCCATATTGCACGCGAGCTCTTCAAGCTGCTTGCCACGCTTGCAAATCAACGCAGTGGTCTTTTCATCAATGTCCCAGGCGGTATCGGCCTGGTTCTTGATCATCAGTCGCTTCAAGGTTGGCATGTGCTTCTTTAGCACCAACCGCCGGATCTGCTCAATTGTCACAGTTGTCGAGGGCGCAAAGCTCTCGGGCTTGTACTTTGAATCTCTCTCGAGAATGAATAATTCATGCAACTCCTCGAGGGTCGAGACAAATGTCAAGAACACCATCGACACGTTATCAGTGAATATTTTGCGTAGCGGCAAAGGCGACTCTTTGTTCTCCTTCTGAAGGTGTAACCAGAAGGGCGCTTGGATGCCGACGTTGAGGAGCGTGAGGCGCTTGAGGGCACGCAGGTCTATAGCCCGAGACAGGACCGACGCCTTGACTGGAATAAGATAAACGCCGAGGGACTGAAGTGCTAGACCCCGCGTCGCTCGTAGGTATTCATTGATGCGTTGGCTCTGAGAGTCTGTCTCGACAGAGCCTTGGCCTTGCTGCTCGGTCACGAGACTCCCGACGGCACGATCAGTCTCGATCTCGACTTCTTCGAGATCCTCCTTGAGCTCCAACTGTCCCGCGTCGAACACCAGCTTTTGTGCTGCGGTATCCTGAAGTACAGTTTTGATAACGTTAGTCAAGGATGTCACCTCTGAATGATCCTCCACGAATGACATTAGGGATAAGTGAAGTAGCACGAGAGGTAAGAGGGACATGAGAATATTAACCTTTTCGGTTATCACATCGTCTATAGACGCTGAAGCACCCTCGGCCATGGGCGAACTCTCCGAAGAAGAGTCCGATGTAGGGGCAAGAGGTTCGCTTGCCGGAGCATCCGTTGTCGGTGGCGCATCTTGCTCAATGACGAGCTGTTCCTCGGGCTCTTCAATGTTGATGTCCTCCGGGTCCGCATCCTTCTGGTTCTCCTTTACCTTTGTGACCGTAGGTTGGTCAAAGAGGCTCACCGAAGTGTCACCAGCTGAGGTAGACGCCTCAGCGGCCTGGGATGGCTGGGCAACCTCGGTAGAGCTCGGCCCCGCGTCAGCCGTCTTGCCCTGCTGCTTTTCGTCACGAAATTTCGCCTCTTCAGCGGCAACGTATTTCCGCGCGGCACTCTCTATAGTGTCGAGAATCTCCTGTTGGGAGGATGAGAAGTCGCTAGCGCCGTTCAAATCCTTCATAAGCTTCGACGACACTGTTTTGATAGCAGTGATGAAATCTCGGCCCGGATTGGTGCCAGGCTCGTCCTTGGCGTCTCTCTCCTTCAGGCGGAGCCTTCTAGGCTTCGGAGCTGGGGGTTCAACGTCGAATATTCTACCCAAGACCGACTCTTGGCTCTTTTTCTCTTCTTGGGCTCGGAAAACCTTTGCCGGGGCGCTGGCGTCATGGTAGTTGGCAGAGGGCGGAACCGGTACGTGAAATTCGTCCTCTGGGTCCGAGTCCTCAGGGTCGAGATCAGGCGGGGGTTTCCTGGCTTGCATGGCAAGCGAGTCGGAAAAGGACAGCTTCAGCTTCGAGAGGGACCCGTATGAGTTCTTGATGCATGTCTTGATCTCCGCGACCAGGTCGAGCGTATCGATGTCGAGAACGGAGAGAGTCTTGAGCTGCTTGAAGCCCGCCAGGGTCGGGGGTTCTTTACTCAAAGATATCCCCCTCGGCGCCCTGGCCCTCGCTATCGGCTTGGGTATGGGGGGTGGCGGCACGCTCGAGGGTGGGATGTAGAATGCCGACGGCGGCGGAGGAATCCCAAATATCGACTGCTGTACGGGAGGAGGCGGGGCAACGCTTGGCACATGATGGGTAGGCATTGACGTGGTCACCTGTGAACCGTTGTACGGCAGCGGGGGTGGTGTTTCGTACAACGAAGGACCTGCCTGAAGTCTTAGATGAAGGTGCCTGAGAGTATCGATCTGATGGAGGGCCTTGTAGACGGGCCGGCTCAGCTCGACCCGAATGTTCCACCTAGAAAGCATCAGCAAGATTGGCCAGGACCAAGACGGGATCAAGACGGGATCAAGACGGGAATCAGCTCCACGAAGAGGGAGGGGGGCAGTGTGACGAACCTAAAGGACTCGAGCGCGCTAGCCTTGCGCAGCGTCAGAAGCAGCAGCGTGTTCATAAACTTGCCGCAGCTGACATTGTACAGGTAGGGCTTATAGGCCGCCTCTCCCTTGTCGCCAGCGCTGAGGGTGTCGAGAGAGAGATCGCGGAGATGCTTGGCATAGTCGTAGTCGCTCGTCACAAAGGTATCCAGGCCGCCGGCCAGGCCGTCGATAGGCGAGTCGAAGGCAGGGTCGTCTTCGTCGGGGAAGACGATGTGGAAGTTGCGGTAGAGCTGGGCGGAAGCGAGCTCTCGGAGGTGCTTCGACACCAGAGAGAGACATATCCAATCGCTCTGCGAGCAATGGCTGACAATGTCCTTCTGCACCTCTCTCGGCAGGCGCGTGAAGGTGAGCGCGGGTTGCGCCGGGGCAGGTTGCGGATCGGGTTCGGCAGAGGCCATAGCTGCTACCAATACAGCTACCAATACATACACCCTGGCGGCGCACGACGAAGCGAAGCGAAAGGGCAAAGATGGGAGAGGTGGGGATCTCCAGCTACTCGTAAGCCAACCCAGTCGGGCAACGAAACCTGGGGCAAGACGACGGCGAGCCGAGAAGAGAGGGTGTTGTGAGACCTGGAGAAGAAGTGAGGTGGGCTGGACTCTGGAGTCGGCAAGGGACGGTCGATAGAGGTAGGCAGTGAGTGGGTGTGCAAAGTCAGCCCGTCTGTATGTACGAATACAGGTAGGTAAGGTGCGCTAGGCAGTTAGAAGCAGACGCCCGCCAATACCCGTCAGCAAAGACTGGACTGGTCCAAGCGCGCTGAGGTGCAGCTGGGGCGCGAAACTGCGGCGGGATGCTACAAGTACAACAAGGCAAGGGAGGCGCGCTCAACTGTCGCGGTTGTTCTTCGTTTTCTTGGTGATGGGCCGGCCTCTTGGGTGGTACAGCGAAGTGCGACAACCATCAAAGTCTCGTCAAGTGTGGTGACCGCCCAGAAGTGAACCCCAAAAGGCTGAGATGCCAAAGCCGACCTCAGTGAAGGTTAAGGAGGCAGAAAGGCCTAGCGCAGACATACAGTGCAGGCACGCACAGTGCTACCAATGGATACCCTACCTCCACTGGTAGAGCGATTGAGGAGTCGGATTTTTTTGGGAATTTGGGGAAGACCCACTTGTGGTCTTTGGTTCAGCGTACTGTTCCTTGGTGAAAGAATGTTCTCCGAGCTCTTCTATCTATATACCTCGTCCAAGAACCGCCTCAGTGGGCTGTTTACTGCCACTGCTATCGCAAACAAACCAGAACATAACAGAAGACTGAGCCGCTCAAAGATGTTTATCCTACCCATGTGTTAACACCTGATGACCACTGAATATTGCCAGATAACCCCAAAAACCCATCACTACCTTATGTAGCTGCGGGTACTTGCCGCATGAGGCTGAATAGAGACTGGGGCCAAAGCGACGGCCAGTGTCCACTTTTCTTCTGCAACGGCTTTCAAACAAAAAAGAAGGCCCAATCAATCCATTGTTGATTCACTAAGTTCCTGTTGTTGATGCTGGTTGTTCGAACATGGCATCCCCACGCATTCAACACCACTATGCACTTCATACAATGCTGCCAACAAAGGTCCTGCAAGTTGCATGCCCGTCCCCGCTTACCTACTCAGTATGCCTGCCACCCAGTTTGACACGGATAGCTGCCTCTAGGATACAGGTTGCGGAATTCCGGCTCGACTCGGAAAAGGCTGCAGGGGCTCCGCCTGCGACACCACATGTGCTAAGATCCCATCATGTCGCGACAGGATTCTGAGGTGGGTTCAACATGGGCGAGGGCTGCAGATCATTGCGCACCGAGTGACAGCCCATGGCAAGGGACTCCCTATACACGCTTACTCGAGCGATCTACGAATACATGTACGTACGGAATTGCGGTACCTTTTTGGATTCGGATCTTCCTCTATTTTGTTTCACGGATACGCAGTAAGCTGTAGATGCGGAGTTTACTTAGTACCTACTCCATAGTAGTATTTTGGCTTGTCGCCATCGCTTTCACCCCGGCTACTCCAGTTTGTATACCAAGTACCTTACAGTATCCGTACAGGACAGAAAATAATCCGAAAAGAACTTGAACAGACCAGGTCTGCCCAGCCAAATGCTTGGAGATCACCTTGGCTGATTTTCCTGAACGCCAGCTTGGGACTGCAAGAAGCGGGAGTCTAGCACAAACTATAAAGGCCTGAATATCTGGCCTCCATGCGCTGCATTAGTACCTGTAGATCTGCTTGCTGTATTGTATTAGCTGCTCTAGTCTCTAGGTATGGTAGACGAGCAGCAAAATCGCCGAAGGTCTGCAAAACGACGGCCCGGCAGGTCGTATCCGGCCCCGCCTCCTCGTTCCTCTGCCCCCTCCATCATTGCCCCGATCCTGTCGGCACCGCCACACTTTTCCCCTACAATTACGGGACGTTAGGAAGGCTTAGTTCAGTCAGATAACTACCTACCTACTGGAGGCGCGCCAGGTTTTCCTAGTTGGTCGCTAAACCAGCTGTCCTTCCCAGCCTTTGCTTTGAATGCAGGTGCCGTTATCCGTAGGTACTGTACTGTACATACTGTACCGCGGACGTCAGTCAGACGCCGCCAACGACCAAACGTCTCACTCCTTGATTCTCGACCCCGCGTTCCTATCAAACTTTTAGTTTTCATCTCGAGTTGTTGCGCCATCATATAGCTACTTGCAATGGCCGAGGTTGACGAGCCGCAATTTAGCACGCTTGCTGAGCGCATTGCTGCTCTGAACAGGCAGAAGAACTTCCAGGCGCCACCCATTACAGTTGGCAAGCGAGCCCCGCCGCCACCACCACCTAATCGTGCCGCAACTGTCATCGGGACGACGACCGTCGCTAGCCCGCCATTTTCAGCTTCAGCTTCGTCCGACAATGCCGCCTCTCCGCAGCCGAGCCCTGCGATCCCTCCGCGCCCTACAAAGGCCGCGAGGGCCGCTACAGACTGGGCACCGCCGCCGCTGCCGAGACGGAAAACAGAGTTTGAGAATGACGAGCAGCCATCAATATCGCCGAGAACGCCGGCCATACCAAACGGCTCGTATGGCTCGTCCCTACCCCCTCCTCCATTGCCTTCGCGCAACTCGCAGCAACAAATCTCGCCCGCTCTCCCCGAGCGTCGCCCTTCTACTCAAACTGTTCACACGCGAAGGAATTCCAATTCCTCAGAAATATCGTATTTGTCCACTGTGTCGTCCCTATCCCTGAACAACACCAGATCCTCGGCTTCTAGTGTTGGAACAGACATCCAGCCCCTAAGGAGACTTCCCCCGGCCCTCGACCAGGCGAAGCTTCCCCCGCTACCGCCCACCCGCCGTGAGCTCGAGGCAAAGGCCAGGGAGAGGGAGAGAGAGGAGAAAAAAAATGCTGCCACAAGGTCACCGTCGCTTACACCCAAGCCGTCACCATCCGTTGGTTCCCGCATCGCGGAGCCCCCGTCCCTTCCCCCTCGTCTCCCGTCAAGGCCCGGCAGGTCCCCAGCCACTGCACGCGCCGACGAGCCATCGCCGGCTCTTCCAGCCCGCCGCTTGCCCCCCACCCCGACGAGTTATCCGTCCAAGTCTCCGCAGGGGTTCGGTGGAGGCGCGGTTGCGAAGTCTCCTGGCTCGTCCCCTCCCGCAGTTCCCTTAAGCTCCCGCCCCACATTTGAGCAAATCGATGCAGTGGCGTCCCGGGCAGCCGCAAGCCCCTCCACGGCGCCGCAGTGCCTAGTCTGTCGCGATTATTCCGGGCCGGACGCGGCGGCCGCCAAGTACCCCATCAGCTCTCTGCCGCGTCAAGACCCCGTGGGCTATCTGGCTCACGTCCTGTGCGACCCCTTTCCATCACATACGGACAAGGCCCGAGCCATCTTCACGTGGTGCCACCACAATATTGCCTACGATGTCGAGGGCTTTTTCGGCGGCTGCATACCGCGCGGCCAGACGACGGCCGAAATGATCTTCAGCGGCAAGGCCGTGTGCGAGGGCTATGCGCGCGTGTTCGAGGGCGTTGCGAAACGTGCCGGCCTTGAGGTGCTCGTGGTCGTGGGGCACGGCAAGGGCTATGGGTTCCGGCCGCTAGCGGCGGGACAGCCGCCACCCCGTCGCGACCCAACGGGACACGCGTGGAATGCCGTGCGAATCGACGGCGGAGAATGGAAGGTGATTGACGCGTGTTGGGGCGCCGGCGCCGTCGGCGAAGGCACCTACACCAAGCGCTTCGCCCCCGAGATGTTCTACCTCTCCAACGAGCTCATCGGGCTCAAGCACTTCCCCTCGGACCGGAACCACTTCTTCCGCTCCGACGGCCGCATCCCGTCGTGGGAGGAATACATTGTGGGGCCCGTCAAGGGCGAGGTGGCCACGTGGTACAGCGGCGGATCCGACGAGGGCCTGAGCGAGTTCACCTTCTCGCCGCGCGAGAAGAAGATCCCCGTCCGCAGCGGCGAGGTCGTCCGGTTCCAGTTCTCTAAGATCTGCGAGCACTGGCGCCCCGAGCAGCACGGCAAGGGCGCCCAGATGCTCTTCGCCGTCCAGATCCACGGCCGCGACGGCCGCTCCGATGACATGGTCTGCATGGAGACGGACGGGTTCTGGTACTGGGCCGACATTGATGCCGCCGACCTCGGCACGCCCGGCCAGATGGTCTCCCTGTTCGGGTTTGACACCCTAGACAACCAGAGCGCCCGTGGCGTCACCAAGGAGGAGTTCCTGAGGAAGAAGGGCCGGTGCGGCTACAGTCTGGTGGGCATAGCGGCGTGGGATCTGGTCTGAGTCGTTGTATGCTAGAGTGCTGTTTAGACTGCGTGTCTTTTGGATACATTTTCCGGGGGCGGGCTAGGTTGAAGATGAATGGGAATTGGTTAACTTGTTGTGGGATCATCCACAGCGAGAACATGATTAGGGACGTTAGAAGACACCCAGGCTGTTAGATTTTATAATAGTGATGATGACGACAGCAGCAGGGATACAGTGCTCCAGGTTCGCGACTGGGTTTGCGTTCTTTGCATCGAGCCCGACCGGGCATTTCTCAGAGTTTGGGGACGTGATCCAATGTGCCATTCGTTGATACAACGGTTTCCAGGAAGATACTTGTTGCAGGACTTTATAATTGAGCAGTAAGAGGACTACCTATACTCCCAAAAAAAAAAAAAAAAAAAAGAGCAGAGACAGGAGTTAAAAGCAAAAGAACCCCTTTTCAAAAAGGGTCACAAAACAAAAAGCAAAAACGAAATGACAAGGGTGGGATTCGAACCCACGCCCCATTACTGAGACCAGGAAGATCCCGGGGAGAAATCTGTAGAATTCAAGTAGTCCTGAACCTGGCGCCTTAGACCGCTTGGCTACCTTGCCGTTTTTCTTGCATGCTTGTTTGCTGATGGAGTAAGTTGTGCGGTAATCCACCTTTTGCAGTATTTCTTTGCCAGCCCCAGATCTTGGAGTTTCGAATATGGTCGTCTCGTTTGCTGCGGAGACGGGGGCGCTCCTTTCTGTAGGCAATTACGGAGTAGGGTGTAAAAACAAGGTGTGGCTGCCGTTCATAAGGGCTCTGCTCCGCGGTTAAGCCAAATTGTGAGCACAGTACTCAGTTTTCGGTATCGTACCGTACAGTACGGAGTACCAAAGGGAACAGCCAACTACGTACAGGTCGAAGGACCGCAGCCATGGTATTCAGATGCTGATTTCATCAGCATCGGCGCACCGGTTAGTTAAAAGAGAAGCAGAGACCAGGGGAGGTACTCGGGTCTGGCGTTCTGCAGAGCCAGCCCAATTGAACACACCTGTGAATAACCAACGACTGGCTCAGGGTTCCTTTCGAGCTCTCAGGTGTATCGCGATAAGGAGCAAACCACAAGGGGCCTCGCTTCCAGGGCAGTGAGTGTGTCGGCCACCGCGAGCTTGGAGACATGCCTGAGTTTCCAGAACTTTACCTCACCTATATTATTTATAATAAATCGATGGCAAGCCCGTTGTTGGCCTGGGGTCTGAACCCGACGCATATAGTCCGGGACCTGGGAGGGCGAGTTCAGAAGGTATACAGACCGAACCTGAGGCCACAATTCAAACTCACTAGCACCAGTTCGGCAGGCTGTTTTTTCTTGGCAGGGCCTACACGTGTACTCAGAGCGTCTTGGGGGTTTGAGATGCCTTTGTCTTTTTTTGTGGGACATGTTCGTCTAAATTCCCTCAAACGTGAGGGTGTTGGAAAAAGAGAAAGCCAACCTGAAATTGCACCACTCGCTGCGCAGCCCCCAGCCTCTCTCAGGCAGGAAGGCACGGGAGGTCACGGCGGCGGTGGTCTGCCAGTGGTGTTTGAGCGAGTTCAAGTGGCTGGCGAGACTTTGGGACTCTGGTGATTTGTCTTGGCGCCTTTGCACAGCCCCTTTTGCAGTCCGACCTTCCAGTTGAGCTGTACATGTTCCATACTCTGTAATCAACCAAAGGCTCTCTCCCCCAGAGGGCAAGAGCAACAGCAAGAGAGCAAACTACAAAGGAGGCCCATCCCGCCCCCATCTATTGTCACGTCACCCCCCTCTTCCATAGTCGCACCTGCCTGCTTGGATTTGCTCCGCCCTGCAAAATGTCGGAGAGAGAAGACGGTGGCGAGCGAGTTCCGGGTGTGAAAACGAAAAAAAAAAAAACCAGGCTCAAGAAAGTGTTTCTCCGAGTCTCAATGGCCAAACCTTCCCCGGATTACATCCATGCACAATACAGACCATTAACGGCTTGCAAGGAGCTTGACTAAGGTAACCTCCAACCTACACTGCCGTGCTTACGTACATACACTACTTCCCAAGGTTCGGTTCCCTACCCTTTTAAGGTGCTTTGGCACGGTAGCTAGGTCCATAGGTTACCGGGCAGGAGGCCTGACTGTGCCTTGCTGTTGGCGCCTCTGGGTCAACGTATCCCAGACCCCCAAGTCCCAAAAGGCCAAAGACCATAGCCTGGAGGTTGTGTTATCGTAACTCGGGCGCCCCTGGCGGTCCCTCGTCTATCCTATCAGGTAGGGTCTGGAGCTAGGAGGTTCCTGGGAATTGCTTACAGATTACAAGCGGGGCTACAGCTTCAAAATGGCGATCTTCTATTGCAGTTGCAGGACAGCCCGTCTCTACCTTCCTACGGTCGGGTAGTTTCACCTCCAGTAGGAAAATAAGGTATGATACAGTAGCGGCTAGGGAGATCACTGTGGCTAAGGTAACCGCCACTAGGGATGAGGCGTGGGCCGCTCGAATGAAGCGGCCTCGGCCTCGAATCTCCCGCCTTATGGGCCCAGAGGTGGGGTGTGTTAGAGTGCCCGATTTGTTCTACTCTGAAGGTGTGTGTTCGAACCCCCCGAGTCCCGCCAAACATAGCCCCTCACCTCCAGAGCCGCGCATTCAAGCGTGCCGCTGGGCTCCCGTAGGCGTTCCGTACAGTGCACTCCCTAACTTTCTGTGCATACTCCGTACATACATACAAACCCTACCATTGCCGCCGCCGTCACTCGGATATCCTCCCGTCGTCTTCGCTTCACTTCTTTCTCCCTTCTAACCGCCGTTCAATCGCATTTCTAGTCCCCCAACCGACCGATCTCTGTTCTCCACGACCTTGTAGTTTTTCTAGGCCTCGCCTTTGCCAAGAACCCTGCAACCACCGCCCCCCGCGTATTTACCGACCTGTACCTCCTGTACTATCCTAACTGGGCAGGTACTCATAAACCCCACGACGACGCACTTCACCTCTCGTCCAACCCGTCTAAACTAAGCGCGGACAAAGCCAACGGCGAACTAGACCACCGCGCAAAGTCGAGAACAAGATCCCGGGCGAAACTAACAAACCCCGAGAAGACAATCCTACTGTCGCAAACTTGACGCCTCCACACACCCGCACCCGCACCCGTCGCGCGCCCCCGGAGGCTAAACCCCCCCTCCCCCCCGCCTTCTCTGACGCGGCGTCAAACGGAAGATACGCACACCACATCCGGCCGCGATGGGCAAATCGTAAGTACTGCGCGCTTCATTTAGGTCCTTGCTCGCGCGAGATTCTGGGCTTTCGAGGCGGGATTCTCCTCGGCGTGCCTTGCACGAGGTCTTTGGGCGTCCGGGCCGTGAATATTGCGATTTCGCAAGCGCCGAAATGCGAATGCGACTGCGACCGCGACTGCGACCACGAACAAGACACATACCCGCCTAGAGTCTCATGTCCGCGTATTGTCCCGCTTCGTGCCGCAAAATCGCTGACACCACGTCCTCCACAGACAGTCGAAACTCTCGCAGGAGGAGCTGGCTGACCTGCAGAATGCGACGCTGTTCGACAAGAAGGAGCTGCAGCAATGGTATAAGGGTGGGTTGGCCTTGTTTTCTCTTTTTATCTCCCTCTATTCCCCACCCTTTCTCTTTCGGAGGAGGGAAGGAAAAGAGAATACCTGAACCGGGGCACCCGAAAAGGAGAGGGGAGGCTCTAAAAGGGGAAAAGGGAGAGGGGATATGTTCAACTAAAACATCGGGAGGCTAACACCGCGATCGCCTTGAACAACAGGCTTCCGGAAAGACTGCCCCACAGGCACGCTCACCAAGGACGAGTTCCTCGAGATTTACAAGCGTTTCTTCCCGTTTGGCGACCCGACGTCGTTCGCCGACTACGTCTTCAACGTCTTCGATACGGACAAGTCGGGGACCATCGACTTCAAGGAGTTCATCTGCGCTCTGAGTGTCACGAGCCGCGGCAAGATGGAGGAGAAGCTCGATTGGGCTTTCCAGCTGTACGACATTGACGGCGACGGCAAGATTAGCTACGCCGAGATGCTAAAGATTGTCGAAGCGATTTACAAGATGGTGGGTTCCCTGTTTGGCAGAGGGTTATTTGTCCTGCCCACAAACTAACCACAGACATGTTCTTGCCCCCAGGTCGGCACAATGGTCAAGCTCCCCGACGACGAGGATACGCCCGAAAAGCGCGTCACTAAGATCTTCCGCATGATGGACAAGGACGAGAACGGCAGCCTCGACATAGAGGAGTTCAAGGAGGGCAGCCAGCGCGACGCCACCATTGTATCTGCCCTGTCCCTGTACGACGGGCTAGTGTGATGATTCCTGTTATGAGTGTGGATGAAATAACCAAGAAGAAAAAAGAACCAGAAAACCAACAAAGTCGATGTATCCGGGGTGTGTGCGAGTGTCCAAACAAAACCCCGGGGATTTTGATTCTCAAAAAGGGGGTGTAAGGGGTTGGGTCGGAATCGGTTGCTAAAGGGGCGGAAAGAGGAAGTGGGGAAGGGATTATTCTTACCCTTGCCAGGCCCTCTTTTTAGGCTTGGGGCGAATGAACGAGCTATGAAACGAATGCCATGAGTTGGATCTTTTTTTTTTGCTTCTTCAAAAATCCCAAGCCCGGGAGGGTGGGGGATATTGGCCGGCGGTGCGATCCCCCAGTGCAGGTTTATCTCTCTCCGGGATAAGGAGCGAGGGAATGGCTGTGGCAGCATCAGAAGGATGCTGATGCCAGGTGAAGGAAGCGCAGACCGGGAAATGGGGGAGTGATGGAGAAGAAGGGGGTATAGATGACGACGCATGGGAGGGGAAAGACATGTCTTCTCTCTCAGGATTTGGCTTCAAAAGAGAAGACGAAGAGATCGGGGGGTAGGCTCGGCGGTTGACTAGTTGCGTTGCGTTGCGGACTGACTGACTGACTGATTTGACTTGATTTGATCTGATTTGACTCAGATGTTTTCTCGGTTTTTTCTTTCTTTTTACTCTTACATTTCGTTGGCGAATTGGTTTGGAATTCTGGGTGCCTGGGGGGGAGAGAAAGAGAGCGTTTGGAAAGGGGGAATGGGGAGGGTGGATGAAAGGGCGGACTTGCCTAAGCAAGGTACACACACACACACACCGTACCTAACAGTTGTTTACCTTTGTTTTTAACTCAAAGGAACTTGAAGGGACGCGGGAGTAGGGAGAGGGGGTTTTTCTTTCTTGTAAACTCTTTTTTCCTTCTTTCCTTTATTTTCTTCATATTCGTCCACCCTTGCCTTCCTCCCGAGCGAGCGTACGCGCGTTGTCGGCTGAGGTCTCCTCTCAGTCTCCCTTGGTTTGGTTCTTTAGTTTCCGCTATATGGCACTTTATTACTTATTCATTGCGTCTCTAGCTTTGGGAGGAATATTCGTCGCTTCGTGTCCTGCTGTGTCTCGAGTCCTTTCTTGTCTTTTCCTATTTATCCTAGGGCTTTTGTTGTTGACGGCGACTCTTGATCATAGGTAGTATTGAATTTCAGTCTCACTTTAACTTCTGACTCTTCAAAACCCTCGCTGGTGATTGCTGTTTCTTGTTGCTCGCCCTCCCGGAGTTTATTTATTGAATGACTAACCGTAACGTCGTACGGCGAACTCGATGACATTACGCGGACGGCACATGGCTCAAGCAACCCACCATGACTTGACATTAAAAGAGTAGGAAGATGGGTACTAGTTGAAAGCATCTGCTACATGGGATTTTAATACACAGATCCAGACAGACCACGAGGACCGAGATAGAAACGAACAAGGAAGAAAAAAAAGGGAAAACAACCGGCTGAAGAACGTCCATCAGTAGGTCAACAACACAAACACATCCATCCCCCCTCTCCCACCAATAAGTGCAATCGCACGAAGTGGTGGAATATTAAACCAAAGAGATCCTCCTAGACAAAAATACCAGGCCGAGGATATTTTCCAAACCTAGTCAATCGCCTTATCTGAGCATCATTCTCAATTTGCTAGCTGCACGCCGCGTTAAGCGGATTAGGAAGCCAGAAAAAAACACCAGAAAAGATGACGGATGGAACTCTGACAAGGGACACTGCACTCGCATTCTCAAAGTCCGAACCTTAACTAGAAGTCGCATACGCCTCGTCCACCTCCTTCTTATACTTTGCAAGAATGCCCTTGCGGTTCAGTTTTTGCGCAGCCGTCACCAAGGTCTGTGGCATTTCTCAGGTTAGCTTTGTTTCCCGGGTCAGGATTTGAGTAAAGACTTACGTTCTGGGGAGTCCACTCCTCGTCCGAGACAACTACACCCTCGATAATCTCAATACCCGAAAGACCACCCGCACGACCAGCCGCCTGGAGCTCCTTCAGGACAGATTGCTGAAGCTTCTTCTCATGGACCAGCTCCTCCAGACTCTCACCCTTGATGCCGATCGAGTTGGCCAGCTTCTTTAGGGCGGGTTCCGCCGGAACAATGATGGCAATAGGCTTGGTCTTGGTGCTGTCGGCGTACACGCAAATATTGGCCACAACGGCCGCGGAGCGGTAAATGGACTCGAGCTTCTCAAGGGCAATGTACTCGCCATTCTGAGTCTTGACCAGATTCTTCTTGCGGTCGATGATATTGAGATGGCCGTTCTTGTCCCATTCGCCAATGTCACCCGTCTTGAACCAGCCGTCCTGCATGGCCTCGGCTGTCTCCTTGGGGTTTTCGTAGTAACCCGACATGACAGCGGGGCCTCGCAGCCAAATCTCGCCCTGCGGGTTCGGCTTGTTGGTTGCAAAATATCCGGCATCTGGGAAATCAACGAGCTTGGCCTCGACTGCTGCCGGCATGGCTCCGATAGACTCCGAAGTCCACTCCAGGGGGTTTTGCAAGGTCCCGTTGGCCGCGGTCTCGGTGAGGCCGTAGCCGATGATCATGGGGCAGATGGCCATGCTGATGAACTTTTGGGTGTCCTTGGAGACCGGACCGCCACCGTTCATGCAAAGCTTCATGCGGCCGCCGGTAGCTTCCTTGATTTTCTTGAACACCACTGCATCCAAGAGTCCCGAGCCGGGAAGGCCCGCCGCCATCAAACGCTCCTTGAGCGCCAAGGCGCCCCAGAACAGGCCGCGTACTATCGGGCTACCGGCGTTCACCTTGGCGACGATGCCCTTCTTGACGGTTTCCCAGACAGCAGGGACACCAACAAGGACGCTGGGCTTGAACTCCCTAATGTCTCCCTTGCAGTTACGCACAGAGTTGTCCGAGAGTGTCTTCGGGTTCCCGTAGCCCATACACGAGCCCCACACAAGAGAAGAGTTCTCAAACACATACTCCAGAATGTGAGCCAGGGGCAGGTAGGTCAAAAGACCATCGCCAGGACCAATAAAGGGCTGGACTACCACGCTGACACTAGCAACCGATGCAACAACATTCGCGTGCGTCAATGGAACACCTTTGGGCGTTCCGGTCGAGCCAGACGTGTACATGATGCAGCAAAGATCTTCGGGGGATGGAGGGACGGGGTCAACTGGGTTTTCCTCGCCGAGCTTGCGGAGGTCGTCGAAGTTGAGAATGGTGATGTGAGGGAATTCAGAGTTCAGCTTGTCGACGTGCTCCTGCTTAACCTGGTTCTGGTTATTCCAAATGACAGCCTTGATGGAGGTGGCATCCTTCAAGACGTTGCCCAAGGTAGGCAGCAAGTGGGGATCCAAGAAGATGGCCTTGGCCTTGGTGGCAACCATCGAGTGCCTCAAGCCCTCTTCGCCCAGCGTGTCATATGCCGTGACGATGGGCATGCTCTGAGTAGCGGCGCCGTGGGAGACGGAAAGCCAGTTCTGGCTCGTGGCGGCGAAAATGTGAACGCGATCGTCCTTCTCGAAGCCGAGCTTGCGGAAACCGGCGCCGACGTTTAGCACGAGGCGCTCGTACTCGGTGAAGGTGATGTACTCGTAACCACTCAGCTCAAAGAAGGTCCAGTTCTTGTCTATCTCGCGCTCCTCGCCGTCGACGATCTTCTTGACCTTCTTGGTCTCCTGATGGGTGCGGACGAGCTTGCGCGAGCCAATGCACTTGGCGTTGCCATACTTGGCAGCACTCACGCGGACAAGCTCGTAGACAGTCGAGATGTTGTCGGCAGGCTTGGAGACGAGCTCGGGAATCGAGGTCGGGATGCGGCGGACCGGTGTCTCGCCCTCGACGGGGGTTTGGCCCGGCACCTCGAGAGTGTAGGGGGCCTTGGCCGAGAGGCGGGGCTGCAGCGTGGTAGACTGAGCACCCATCGTGAACGGTGCTGGCGGGTTATTAGGTTACTACGAGGTTGGTGTTTGTGTGCTCAACAAGAAGGGAGCTTGTTTGGGCGGCACAGCACAGCTCCGAGAGCCTCGGTGACGTGACGCAGCTGCAGGCTGAAGAAAGAGTGCGACGGCTTCTGTGGAACTGAGATGGAGTCAGGAACAAGAAGCAGGATTTCAACGCAGGGTGGTTCAGCGTCGTCTGGCGATGGAGTACGGAATAGGCAGAAATGGGGACAGGAATCGTGAAAAGGCCGGCGCTTTGGAATGCAAGGAGAGAGAGGCAAGCCGATTTTGAGGCGAAGCTGAGGTGGATGGCAGGCAGGTAAGGTAGGTAGACAGGTGTACCCTGGGAAGAGTAGGGAACAGGCTTGGGGGGAGACTTTCGGTTCACTCACCTCAAACAATGGACGGCAGAAGGCGCATTTCATTTGGCGAAGAGAACTTCTAGGTCGACTGGACTGGAGTGGCTCGAGCTTCCCCACACAGGATTTCTTCCCTCGCCTCGCCTGCGCCTGCGCCTGCGCCTGGGCGGGCACCTGCACCTGCCTTGCACCAGCGCCAGCACCAGGGGCCTAGGGCCAAGGGCCAAGGGCCAAGCGTCCTTGGCCGCGCTGTAGGCCGCGCTGTAGGCCCCGCTGCCTAGCCTAGCGGCAGCGCCCACACGAGTGCTGGCAGGCTCGGCATCCCCCGTTTTATGGAGGAGATGTTGCTCTGGCGTTCTCATGCGGGGTTTGCTCCAATACCAAGCACAGCTGCGATTGGTCACGCGCCCAGCATTGGCGTCATGCCAACCACTTGTCGGCCACCTAAATTACACCGTCGCAGTGTCGAATTGCCACCGTTCTTCTCTTTATTCTCACGACCGATGTGACGAGCTAGGCACACAAATATGAGAATCGTTTCAACTGAGAGCCCAGCAGGTCCTCACCTCCCGCCTTTAAGTTCCATCTGTTATTACGGAGTATACTATGCATAGAGTAGGGACGATTGCCGAGCTAGATTAGGTTGAGTCTGAGTTCGGCTGGCAGGCAAGCTTACACGTTCCACGAGAATAGGTAACCAAAAGTCCCGTCCTTGCCCAGAGAGCCAACAGACGGCCAGGTATTCTTACAGAAATGTTAATGCTGTGAACACGTTCACGCTCACCACGGATTCGCATGGACCGGTGCCAACCGAGGGTGCTGGGGGCCCGTTGGGGGGATTTAGATGGCAGTAGTTCTAGGCACTGACACGGCGCGCATGCAACTGACCTACGGCCCAGCATTCAGCCCCGAAAGCTCGCGCTTGGCCAATTTAGAGTTATCGTCATCTGCCTGCCTGCGCACACGACGCAATGCTCTGCTTGTACGAATAATGAGACGGCAACCACCTTACAATCCTCCCGCATACCACACCCGCGGGATTGGTATGTACCCTAAGGCCAGCGGTGCCTCAATTGCGTTCGGAATACTCCGTCCATAATCAGTGGAGTGTCCCAGGAACCAAAGAATGGATGGCACTGCGGGACATGCGGCACGGTGGTCACTGGCCGGCAAGATCCCGGCAGCATCCAATATTTGACAGCAGCAGTATGACGTGGAAAAGCTTCCTATCAACCCCGGGCCAACGAAGCGAAGGAAAAAAAGAAAAGAAAAGAAAATAGATGAGATGGGAGGATGGCCAAGGACGGGCACGCACACGCGCGCGCACGCACGAGAGGAAGGTCTACTAAAGAGAGGAGGAGATTTGACAGACCCCGAGTCATTTTCGTCTGCTGCATATCGACCTTCAACTTCTGAGAGCTCAGGTCGACTTGGCTACCTACTTGGCGTTCAGCCAAGAAAGAGCTGCACGGAAAAATAATCCAGTATGCTATGTTGCTGGCAGGCAAGGATACGTAATATAGATATGACAGTGGAGTCGCAAGTACTGGCTGGAACCCTGGAGCGGGAGCAGAATAAAAAAGGCGATGATCACCAAAACCCAAGGCTATCAATAATCCATCAGTACTGTAGTATTCCGTACCTTACCCATGAAACCGACATCTGAGGCAATCTTAATTATCATTCACGCAAAGACCTTATTACGAGGTATTCGGAAGTACTGATCAATTGCATACTCGGTATATTCACGAAAGAAATACATCAAAGTTGCTCGCCATAGGGTCGCCTCCGAATCCCTCTGCTGTACAAACAGTGTTGGTTAGTTGCTGGTTGCACAGCCCAACAGGAGCCATTCTTAGAAATCCCAGTTTGGCATGAAGCTCGACGCGCTGCTGCAGCTTCTCGGCGAGGAAATATCAACCCCTGACGAAGGTCGGCTAAGAAAAAAAACACAAGCGCCCCTTCCTTCAAGTGCGAAATCTTGACGCCTCTCTCGGTCTCTGGCTGACCCGCCTCCGCCGCCGCCACTGGCACATGTAGAGACCTTTGACCTGTTCTCGCAGCAGTTGCCCTCCCAGAGCCTAGGCTTTGTCGACCCCAAGTCGACGACCCTCGAGCTGACAGTTGCAGGCCGCGACTTGACCATCCACCAGTCGCCTGGCGTTCTGTCCTCGAACCGTGCCGGCGGCACAACCGGAGCCGGTGCGTGAGAAAGCTATTTTTTTTTTAATGTCTGGTCCACTTCGATTCCCGTCAAAATCCCCCACCTTGCTGTCATTCTGCACTACGTTACGGAGTCGGTAGGTAGTCCGTCTAGTAGTCTCACCCCTAGCCCAAGTCCCCTACCTCGTAGGAGTGGCTACTAGACCTACTATCCCCTTACCAAACATCAAAACCAACCTCAAAAACAAACACACGTATTTATGTACACTAACCTGACCGGTGCCCACCTTGGACACCCCTGTACCAATAAAAGTCGTCTGGAAGATCACGCCGCTGCTCGCAGAATGGATCAGCAATAGCAGCAACATCCTGTTCTCGCACGGCATCTTGTCGCCGCGGTCGCTGGTGCTGGAGCTCGGCTGCGGTATCTCTGGGCTCGTTGGCCTGCTGCTGGCGCCGCGCATAGCGCGCTACGTGCTGACCGACCAGCCGTACGTGGCGAGGTTTGTCGAGCAGAACATTGCCGAGAACTACCACCACTCCCAAACCCGCTCGCAGGGGCGGCAGCAGCAGCAGCAGCAGCAGAAGAGGCCAAAAGGCGGCCAGAACAAGCAGAAGCAGAAGCAGCAGGCCGCCAAGCTCACATCCACCCCCGTGAGGGAGTCCTCCGGCGGTGATGGCAGCGGCGGTCTGATTCACTTCACACCGCTAGACTGGGAGACGGACGAGGTGACACGGGCCTTGACCGGAGCAGCAGCAGCAGCAGCAGCAGCAGTAAATGACACCGCGGCGGCGGCGAGCTTCGACGCCGTGGTAGCCTGTGACTGCATCTACAACCTCCCGCTGATCGAGCCGTTTGTGGCGACGTGCGCCGATGCCTGCCGGCTCCGAGACGCCGAGGCCGAGGACGGGGAGGCAGAGAACTCCCACAACAGTCCTCCTACCGTGTGCATCGTGGCCCAGCAGCTGCGAGACCCCATCGTGTTCGAGGCCTGGCTGGCGTCGTTCGTCAAGCCGTTCCGCGCCTGGCGCGTCCCCGACGCCATGCTGCCGGACAGCTTGCGGTCCCACTCGGGCTTTGTCGTGCACGTGGGCGTCCTGAGGGAGGAGGCGTGATAGATATTGCACACGGTGAGGGCGTTGTAGATACTATGCATACATTCTAGTCAGTCCCAGCACTACGGTTTTATCTACGTACTGTGGTTTAGGAGATGAGGGAAAAATAGAATATAAATATTGGAATTGGTATGTCACGAGAAGAACGAAAAAGCTGCTGTTGCCATGTTTACGGTACGTGCTCCGCTACATGCACAGCGATGGCCTTATCAGGGGCATTACCTTGGACGAGACACCGGCCAAATCACAACAGCTTTCTATACATATACAAGCCTGCAGTAGAAACGTCGCGATTACTATATACGCCTCTTCTCTTCAGCCCGTTGCCCGTTCCGACCTCGTTCCGTCATACGTATATACCTAATACCCACCAAATGCCATCCTGACATTGCTTGCTTGCTTGCCGCAACTGAATACGTAGTATCCCATCTGCCCTGCCCTGCCCTGTCCTGTCCTGTCCTGTCCTGTCCTGTCCTGTCCTGTCCTGCCCTGCCCTGCCCTGCCCTGCCCTGCCCTGCCCTGCCTATGCCTATGCCCACCCGCCCGCTATGGTACTGCTGCTGTTGCTGCTATTTAGCTTCCTCCCTCCTCTTTCCAAGACCTCATTGTATATCCACTCCAAATACACAAGAAAAAGGAAAGGAGAGCGCATGTATGTGTATATGTCGCGGGCTCTATGAACAAGTAACGAGGAACCCATGCTGGTTTCTTGACGGAAGAGCAGAGGTGAATATCGAGACGAGAGTAAAAAGGATGAAATAAAAAATAAAAAAAACCTTGCCAAGCAAGCGCAAATAGTCCAAAAAAACGCCAAACCTATGGGACTGCCTTTCATTCATCAACAACGACGCAAAAAGAAAAGGTTGGAACATGTCCTCTCCTGATGCAAAGACAAAAAACAACAACCTCCACCCTAAAAAGAGACCAACCATGACCCCTTTTCCATCCTCGTCATCATCATGAAACTGCCCGTTCAGCCCACAACAGCCTTCATACTCAGACTCTCGAGGAACCCGCCGAGGTCCTCCTTCTTGACCTCGACGACGCAGTGCTCGAAGCTGTCGATGCGCACACGAGCTCTCGTCTCGCCCACGACGTCCTGGAACGCCGTGCCGAACCTGTTCAAGCCGTAGCCGCGTTCCCGCGAGGCGTCGTCGTCTTCGGCGTCGTCATCCGACGAGTCCGAGTCCGACGAGACGTCGGATTCTTCGCTTTCCGTCTCGCCCTCGTCGCCGTTATCCGCTCTCGCCGCCTTCTTCTCGGCGCGGATCTTCTCCTTGTTGCGCCGCTGCTCGTCTCGCGCCCGCGCCTTGGCCGCCTTGGCTTCGGCCTTCTTCTTGGTCGATTCGCGGTCGACAGACACGGTGTCGGGGCCGCCACCGCCGCCGGTGCCAACTACTACGTATACGCCGCGCTTCTCATCCAGGCTGGCCACTACCAGCGGCGTACCGCGGCCGCCATGAGCAAGCTTTCCAGTGGTGTCCTTTTCTTGCTCAGCCAGCGCCTCGCCGATCCAGAGAGCTAGTTTGGTCAAGGCCCCCGGATGGTTGAATAGCGCGGCATCGGCTGAATCCTTGACGACACACATTCGGAAGGCGCGCAGGTGGGAGATCTGCTTCTTCTTGAGAATCGTGGTGCCCGTGGTGAATATGGCTTTGTGAAGAAACTGCGCGGTAGGGAGGCCGGCCTTGAGCGATTCGATACTGATAGCTGTTAGTGAATGGAGGGGGGGTGTGATTCAGGGGCGGATATTCTCACTCTTCCAGCGCGTCGTAGGCATCCCAGAATCTGGGGAGCCATTCTTCACTCTGCGGTGTGTGGTCGCCGTCATCAAGCAGCTCCTGTGATGGGCCCCCAGGAGCAGCCTCGGGGACAGAAGTGCTTTTGCCAACTTCCAGGAGAGCACCAATCACCACGCCAACGTCTTGTGCACTCAGTGTTGCTCGCCACCCCCAGCTGCGGACGAATCCCCAGCCATCTTTAGCGCCGCCGCGGTCTTTGCCATCGGTGTCTATTGTGGGTACCAGCTCGTCAAGGTTATACAGCGATGCATACTTGAGAAGCTTTGTGCGGAGCTCCCGCTTCAACACCATGTCCATGTGGGCGTAACTCTGCTTGCACTGGACCAGACTGACGCCCATCTTGGCCAGCAGCTTGTGCAAGCGCTTCAGGCCCGTCTCGCTCCAGGTTTTGAGCCGAGAAAAGAGGTACGGCGAGTGAAGCATGCTGTCGTAGAGACTCCAGTGTCTGATGAGGAGGAACTTGGGCTCTGGAGACAGACGAATGCTCGTGTCTTCAGGGCTACGTGCCGTCGTGGGAATGATGCCCGTGGCTTCTGGCAAGACCTTCCCGCCGATGTCCGGGGGGTTCAATCGCCGGACCTCGTCTCGTAAGAGTTGACGTATCCTCGCGCCTCGCAACCCGAGCCAACCAGAGGTAGGCCGGAAATCTGAGCTCCGGACCGTCACGGCAACACCTGCGGACGAGCGGCCGTACAGTTCCATGGAAGTGACGCCAATGATTGTCAGCCAGAGAAGATCGTTGTCTTCCCGGCCGAGTTCTGATGCGAGGGAGTACATCATTGAAGAGATGGGCTCCGAGTACGAAGTGCCCAGCCTATAGTAGCTTCGTAGGATATCCTCGTTCTTGCGCCGTAGCCGCAAGAGCCTGCGCCTCAGCGTCTTGGCTGATATCCTCGGCGGCTGGGCTGCAGTTGGAGGGTCTGCTGGGTCGCTGGAAGAAAAGACGGCGTCGTCTCTCAGGATCTGGAGACCGCGCTGTTGGGGACGCCGGGGAGAGTCTGGTAGGGGGCTCGACTAGAAGCACGTTAGTCAGGATGCATGAAGAACAAGAACTGGTTACACGCGTGGCGCACCGAGTTACTCCGCCTCCGTTGAGTGGGCCGGTCGTCGTCCTCGCTATCCTCGTCGTCCAGGTCTGACCAGGACTTGCGCTTCTGGCCTGCTCGCGGCGTCGCATCTATGATATCGTCGTCGTTATCGCTGTCGTCTTCACTTTCGCCTAGATCCTCCCCGTCGTCCTCGACCTCAGGCATGTCGACCAAGGCGAGATACGCGTCTTTCTCCTTGGATAACTCGTCCTCAATATCACCGTCGTCCAACACCATTATCCCGCCTTTCCCAGGCTTGTAGGTGCCGTCAATGCGGCCACCCTTAACACCGGGCGGAGAGCGGGTCGCAAAGGTGGTGGCCTCTTCGGTCTCGGGCTCGAGGGGGAATCCGCCAAAGACGTTGCCAAGGTTCCACGGACGGTGGGAATCGGCGACCCAGACTTCGACTCCGGCGAAGGTGTTGTCGTCGCCCTCGGGCTCGAGCCCCAGGATAGTGCCCAGGTCGGCCATGCCACCCACACCCAGACACACGACAACGCCGCCGGCGCCGCCACGCGTCTCCATCATGGGGCTCACCAGCTCCCTCCCCACGCGCTCGAGGTCGGCATACCCAGCAACGGGCTGGATCTTGTGGGGGATGTAGTCATGCTTGAACAGACGCGTGAGGATGCGGCAGGCACAGAGAGCGTCGGGCTCGAGGGCGACCAGGACAAGAACGGGCGGCGACAGCGGATGGCGCGTGTTCTGCAGGTGCAGATAGAGCTTGGAGATGAGCGAGCGCGGGAGATGCATGGCTACGAAGATGCGAACGCGTCTTGGGCGTGATCCGGCCGATTCATGAGAGGCAGGCGAGAGCGAGATGGGTATGCCAAAGGCTGTTCCGTGCGAGCTGGAAAGCAAGGTAGGTACGGATATTAGGTGACAACGACGCGAATACCCCGCAGCGCGCTGCAAGTCAACAACACGCGGTCGATTGGGAATTAAGGTTCGAAAAGACAAAATGGTTGCCAATGTTTGAAATCCAAGGCCGTTTTACTATCGCGAACCAGGTGGATTATCCCTAACTGCGAGACAGCGGGTTGTGGTGGACGTAGAAGCGAGTGTCCAACAGTGGAGTCGTGTTTATCAACCTAGACTTTTGCTCTTAGTCCAGCAGAGCACGACGCGGTCCATTGGCAAGACGCGACTTTGGCTGTTAGTGCATGGATTGGATAGCGGGGGGGCTAGCTGCTACGGTTGGCGCCGGACGGGTGCACGATCCACGGTGCACAGAACACAGTAACTGTTGCGCGCCCGCACATGCCTCGCACTGGGCAGTCTGCCAGGTGACATCTTTTGACGTCCACTGATGTTCCGATGTTAAGCCGGCACCAGCTGTCGGGTGGGGTAGTGGCGGCTGCCGTTAGTCTGTGAGGGAACGCTGGCGGGGCTTTCGTGACCTAAGTGTCTCGTCATGCTTGCAAAAAGGTGACCGACTCTTTGCAGCTTCCATCTCTCTTCACTGACACCCGACGAGGCCCTCTTCCGCCGCGAGACCGGACTATGGAGCTGCTCGCCTGACCGCTTGTTTGTCTTTTCTTTCGTGGCTAGCGGGTGTGATTTCTAAGCGATGTCTGCATCTGCCTTGGTTTCAGGTTCGTGTTCTCGGGGGCAGGCAGGCAGACTCATCGCTGAGGCTCTGTGGCTTGGATTGGGCTCGATTCGGTGTCGTTCGTTCAATTGGGCGAGGGGCACAATAGACACGGCAGGCTGCGCACCAGCCCTGTCCCTTGTGTAGGAACTGCGACAGATGAACGAGAAAGATCGGGAGGTTCCACTGCGTGCCAGTTGGTCAATAGCCTGCCACTCCGGTACCTATCATCTCTTTACTAGACCTTCAACGCGCTACGCTACGCCAAAGATGAGAATGGAGCCTCGGGTGCTGAGATGGAAGCCCCAACGGCGATGTGCTGTGCTGCTGACAGATGGCGTGCAGCGCCGAGGGCTGTTGACGATGCGATGCAATACGATGCCCGCGCGCGCAGCTCTCGTTGGGCCCAACTCCGTACGCAGTACCGAAACAGTGGTAAGGTACCCAGGTGGATGATGTGCACGCAGCGCACGCATCTCCAACGCAGGGCAGTCGTCAGTCGGAGATGCAGTCTGTCGAGATTCCTGGGGACGAGGATCCGATCCGATCGCCCGCCTGCCCTGACCTGTGCTGCCGACCTGCCATGCCGTTGGATCAGAGCCCAGCGGCGGCCGCCTCCAGCGTTTCCGCCTCGCTGGACTCACACACACGCACGGCTCTTGTTGCCATTCCCAGCAGAGGGTCGAGATGCAGAAATGGCGTTCCCCTCCCACCCCCCCTCAATGCAACCACCCATGCCCGCCTGCCCACCATCCCAGTAACGACAGGCCCCTGATTGGTTCCTCGTCCACCGTCCACATCCACCGCTCCCCCCCTCCCCTTCCGTGGGCTCACGTACTGCACCTCGCTCGCTATGCTGCAGCTTGAGCTGCCGTCGATCCCGCTTCTACGGATCTCCGCCTCTGGATTTGGAGCTAAGCAAGGTGGGTAGTGAGACAGGGAGCCAGGTGGGGAGAGCTCTCCCCAGAGGTCACGCCGGGAACAGCGTACTGTCTGTACACTGCTGTACTGTACATGCGGTATTTGGTTCGCTTCTCTCTGGCCGGCAGCGGTGCCGGTCTCACTCCCCTCTCCCGCCTCGGCCTGGTTGGCTTGGGACCATGACCCAGATCCGTCTCAGGCTCCCAGGAGCTGCTGATTTTGCTACCAGGCCTCCAGCCACCATCCCATAGCCCACCGTCCCTCCCGGCCCCGGTTTTGCCTCCGCTGCCTCGTCGCTGCTGTTCTCGCGCTCGGCTTAGCTCTCACCCTAACCGTGTCGATCAACACAGAGCCCCAATCCCCGCTCCTGGCTGACGGTACAGTACATACCTCCTCTCTGCCGCGCTGCGAAACAACGGCCCTGTAGCACCTGGCCGGTCGACGATACAATAAGTCCCAGGCTCCGCCAACTAGCTCCTCTCCTATATAAATCCACGATATCCCGCACCCGGCCCGCCCTGCTCCCCATGTGCCATCCTCTCGCGACCACGCTCAAACGAACAAGCGCCCGCCCTCGATACTCACCGGCGAGCCGATCACCAACCGCCGGGACCGGGCAGCCTATATCTGTTTGAAAACCTTATAACACGGGCTTCTAGGCTTTGATGTTCTGGCCTTGCGGCGACATAACCCTCTGGCCGTGCCGAGCCTGACAATGTTGCACTTGCTTTGGCTCTCTGGTTTTGTTATCCCCTTGGCTGGATATCGTGCTGCCCCACAATAAGAAGAGCTTGGTCTGCCGTCCCCTACCGTCACCGTACACGTTCTCGTTTCTTGGTATGGAGGGCTGGGTGGATCCAGAGGCTGGCGCCGACGGGGCGTCTCAGGATGGCTTGCCGCCAGAGCAGAGAGAGGTGACCTCGGACTATGCGCCAAGCCTTGCCGAGTCGACCTTCGGATCTATTTCCTCAAGCGTAAATGAGCACATATGGGAATATGGAAGGTGTGTGTGTGTGCCTGTTTTGTCTGACTCAGATTCCTGCCATGTGTGTGTGTATGTGTGTGTGTATGTGTGTGTGTGTGTGTGTGTGTGTGTGTGTGTTTGTGTCCGTGTCTGTTGAACCCCCCCCCAAATGTGAGCGCCATGTGCTAAAGAAAAGACAATGTCGACTACCTACACAAAAGACGATACCATGTTTTTAGATACGGACGATACCCAATTCCAAACGATGAGGACGAATACAAGAGGGAAAGTCTACGACACGCCATGATGAAGGAGATGTTGGAGGGCAAACTCTACCTCGCGCCAATCGGAAACCTGCCCCAGAAGATAATCGACCTGGGGACTGGGTTCGGCGATTGGGCTATAGAAGGTAGGTTCCCAGGGCGAGGAGGGACCTTGAGAGAGATCTGGGCGAGAAAAGAGGCTGGCTGGCTGACATTGACCGTCTTGCTATCTATCTAGTCGGCGAGAAATTCCCCAGTGCCAAAGTCATCGGGGTGGACCTGTCCCCGATTCAACCGCTCTGGCTGCCTCCCAACGTCGAGTTCATTGTCGACGACATTGAGGACGAATGGGTGCAGGATCGTAACTTTGACTTTGCCCACCTCCGCTTCGTAGGCAGTGTCATCAAGGACAACCACACGCTGTTTAGCAGGATATTCGAGTAAGTCCCAGAAGCCAATACTATTTCATCACTTGGCTTCATGGCATCGGCTTCTGACTCTTCTTTGTGTGTGTCTCTAGAAACCTCCGGCCTGGCGGCTGGGTCGAGACGCAGGAGATATATCCGCAGCCGGGGTCGGACGAGACGCCGCTACCGGCCGACTACGCGCCGGCCGAGTTCTACTCGCTCTGCGTCGAGGTGCTGCTCAAGCTCTACGGGTTCCAGGTCGACTCGGTCGGGAGCCTGCCGGCGGACCTCGAGCGCATCGGCTTCGTCAACGTGCAGCGCAAGGTCTTCCACCTACCGCTCGGCGACTGGCCGCGCGACCCGCGCCTGCGCATGGTCGGCGGCTACTTCCACGAGGTGTTCATGGAGTGGGTCACGGCCGTGGCGGCGCGGCCGTTTGTCGAGGCCGGGCTCGACAGGACAGACATCCAGGAGCTCGTCAAGGCCGTCAAGGTCGCCGCCGACGACAAGAGTATTCATGCGTACCTGCCGATACATTTTGTGTGGGCCCAAAAGCCGCCAGAATGAGCGAGGTTGTCGGACTCGGAGATTGAAAGCAGTCCGTATCTCCTTGCTTGGAATAGCCCGCTTCTAGAATCCATAATCCATATATATATATATAACTATACGTTTGAGATGTAGTATATTTACCTGCCTCTTGACTTGAAAAATGCCGTCAATTGGCAGGGCAGGGAGTCTAATGGCAGCAGGGGATTACAAAGATGGACGATTTATTCGGAAAGGGAGCGGGAAGCTGAAGATATCGTGTCGCCTGCATACCGAGTCTTCTCGTGCGCGCAGCGAATTCCTAGAGCGGACGACGGAAGAAGTCGGATTCGCGGAGATGCGCCACCGTTATTGCTCGTCGCTCCAAGCAGGAATGCATAAACCCAGAGTCTACTACTGTGTAAATAGATTTACTCCTCTTTTGCGGATTTCTTGACGGGCGGCAGTAGTCGGGCGGCGGCCCCGGGACCTAGGTAGGCCGGGCCGGGCCGCCCGTGCAAGCATCTCCCGCTATGGGAGGGACAAGGGTGTGCTGTAATTTGGCGAGCATGCGCTGTACTGTATGGATGGATACCGCCACACCCACCGCACCCAGAAAACCCTGCACCTCCATTTTCTTCCTCTCACAACAACATTTATTAGCCATGAGATGTACTGTCTAGCCGAGCTCCTTCTGAATGCATTTTTAACTGCAAAAACAACGAGTCTCGCAAATACCCACTACCAAGTCGACAGTCAGGGCTGGGCAGTAGCACACAGGCCAAGTTAGGTAATTATGGCTCGGAGTCTAGAAGACGAAGGGAAAGTAAAAGGGACGATATCTGTACAAGGTACCTTGGACTTGGACTCGAGTCACTCACGGCGGGAAGGCAAAACCACCAAACCACAACGCCAAATCGACATGGCGCAGCTGCGGGCGCAATGCCTGTCGGCGGCAGATGCGATCGGCGCCGAGTGTGCTGCAACGCTGGCCGCTGGCAAAGGCCAGCACCAAGGCGAAATCGCAAACTACAAAGCAGCAGTCCTCACAAGCCTCGACGGGTGCGGCGAGCCCCTAGTGCAACTACTCCAGCGCCAGGCCCTGAGGCTTGCGAGGCTCTATCGCGACGGCGGCAACAGAGACAGTACCGCGGCAGGACGTCTCGAAAAGGAGTCGGTGCTCGGCCGGCTCGACGATGTCGTGGCTGCCGCGTACGCCAAGTTCTATGCGTTCCCCTTCAAGGACCTGCCCGCCTGCTGGCGCCAGCTTTACACCGACGCCAGCATCCTCAAGTTTGCCTGCCTGTATCTCCTCGACTGGCCGCATGCTGCTGCCGCCGAAGAGCCAGAGCCAGCACTGGTGCCAAGTTACGACGATGCGACTTTGGATGATATGGTTGCCGTCCTGGACCGCGCCCTCGTGTTCGCCGGCGCCGCTGGCGACGCCCGCGGCCGCCCTTGGATCGACAGCGCTTTTGAGCTGCTCGGCCGCACCCAGCTGCCACCGTCTCCTAGCTTAGACCCCGAATTTTTTAGTGAGAGGCCATCCAAGAAGGGGAGACGGATGCTGTCTGATAGCCCCTGGACGAACATTCTCTCGTTCTCCCAGGCCGAGCCGTTCACGCCGCCCGTCAAGTGTCCCGTGCCGCGCGCCACCGCCATGTCTCTCGAGGCCTTCCAGACGTACCTGAGCCGGCCGACGGAGACGGGCCGCGGGCCGTCCCCGCTAGTCATCTCAGGCCTGACCGACGAGTGGCCGGCGCGCACGACACACCCGTGGCATAAGCCGGCCTACCTGCTGTCGCGCACCTTTGGCGGGCGGCGCCTCGTGCCCGTCGAGGTCGGCCGCAGCTATGTTGACGACGGCTGGGGCCAGCGCGTCATCCCCTTTGGCGAGTTTCTACGCGAGTACATCGTCACCCGCAACGAGAAAAAAAAGACGGGCTACCTCGCCCAGCACCAGCTGTTCACGCAGCTGCCGCAGCTGCGCGCCGACATCGTCGTGCCCGACCTCTGCTACACGGCACCGCCACACCACCCGTCGCTCGACCCGCAGCCCGAGCTCGACGCGCCGCAGCTCAACGCGTGGCTCGGCCCTGCCGGCACCATCACGCCGCTGCACACGGATCCGTACCACAACCTGCTCGCGCAGGTCGTCGGCCGCAAGTACGTGCGGCTGTACGGCGCGCATGAGGGCGCGCGCCGCATGCGTGCTCGGGGGTGTGAGGGCGGTGTCGACATGGCTAACACGAGCGCTGTGGATGTTGGTGTCGTCGAGGGCTGGGATGATGGTGGTGATGTGCAAGGGAGGGGTAGTGATGTGCAAGGGAGGGGTGGTGACGAGGGAGAGGACTTTGCCCGCGTGCCCTACCTCGACTGCATCCTCGAGCCGGGCGATACGCTTTATATCCCCATGGGCTGGTGGCACTACGTCCGCGGGCTGAGCGTGAGCTTTAGTGTGAGTTTCTGGTGGAACTGATGCGGAGGCTTGGTGCGAGGGATTATGTACGTGGATGCATGGTCACGAAGACACGATACCTGTAGATGATGAATATAAAAAAATACCTAAACCCCGAGAGCCACACCAAGTAATATGACTACTGGGCTAACACTTGATTTGTTCACTTTTCTGTCCTTGTCCCATCATCACCATTTGGCGTACGGCGGTGAGTTGAAAAAAAAAGAAGAGAAAAAAGGAATACGTTGTGATGTACCTATTTCGTCTGCTCAAGGAGGGGTTTCTACAGCTAAATCTATCACAAAGTGATATAGCTTACACCCATAACCACACACACACTAAACTGAACACAGGGAACACGGCACATCCCTAGTATATTCACTCAAAAAAAATTGGCCGAAAGCTGTAAATACAAACCTAGACAATATCAGATACCGACAAGGTAAAAACAACAACAAGCACACGGCGGCGCAGCCTCACACCAGGTGTTCACTAATCCATCTACCAACAAAAAGTCAACACCCCCCCTTCACCTAAAGACCTTTCCGTCTCCACCTACGCCTTCGCAGCAGCAGTGGCCTTAACAACAGGCACCTCTTCATCCAGCGGCAGCACGTCGGGCAGCGGGCCTAGCGGCGTGATGGAAAAGGGGTTGATCTGCGTGTGCGAGCGCGTGTAATGGTTCTTGATGTGCAAAAAGTTGGCCGTGTCGCGGAACGCCGGCACGCGCCAGTACAGCTCGCGCATCCACGCGTGCAGAGCTGGGTAGCCGGACCGGATGTCGCGCAGGTTGCACTTGAAGTGCTGTACGTAGACGGGCTATTTGTGTTGTTAGATGTGTGTGAGTTTTGAGGGGTAGGGTTTGGAAAGGCAGGGGAGAGGAAAAAGGGGGTGGTGTGTTCAACATGCAAACATGTGTGTGTTTATGTGTACGACGGCAAACAAATGACGGGGGGAGGCAAGAAGGTGTCAGACGGGGGGGGGAAAAATCATACTAGATAGAAAACAACTCACGTCAAATCGGATAATAGTCACAAACCTAACAGCAACCACGGATTAGCGCACATGCGATAAACACAGAAAACACAGAAAAATGCACGAGAACAGAGAGATAGAGAGACAGATGACGCACAGCCGAATATCCACCTCGGTAATGTCCTTGCCGAACCAGTACGGGCCGGCGGTCTGCGCCGCGAGATGGGCCTCAGCGCGGTCGAGAGCGCCAAACAAGGCGACGACGTTGCGCTCGTAGGCGGCTTGCGTGGTGGCGAAGCCCGACTTGTACACGCCGTTGTTGATCAGGTCGTACTGCCATTCGTTGGCCTCATCAATCTCCTTTTGCAGCGCGGCCGGGTACAGCACAACGGCGCGGTACTTTTCGTCGATGAGGTCGTCAAACTTAAAAAAAGGAAAAGTTAGGACCCGCCCCCTTGTTGCCTCTCTATCACAGGGAGAGACTTACCTCGGTGCCAAACATGCGCAGAATCTCGCTGCTCTCGTTGTTGACAATGGTCTTCTTGGCCTTGTCGTACAGCACCGGCACCGTAAAGCGGCCCTGGTAGTCTGGGTTGGCGGCGAAGTAGATCTGGCGGATGTGGGTGAAGCCCGCGTGGCCTTCGACGGGGTCCGGGATCACGTTCTCGCCCTCGGCGTCGCTGTCCTCGGCCGTTGCGAACCGCCATCCTGTGGGGTTGTCAGAGGATGTCCCTGAGATATATATATATATATATAGAGAGAGAGAGATAGATAGAGATGGAGAGAGAGAGAGAAATGGATGAGACATGCCTTGAGCTCCCATGTGCCAGTGCACTGCCGAGAACGAGATGATGTCTTCGAGGCCCTTGAGCTTCCGCGCAATTAGGGTCCGCGTGGCCTGGGACGTGTGTCAGTAACCTTGTTACTTTGTTTTGCATTTTACCGCTTTATATCTTCTCCCCCTTTTTCATATCAAGTGGAGAAAAAGACCAAATCTCGTCCCTCCACAAGTAAAGAGAGAACACAGAGAACAAGGAAAGCACCTACCCAGGGACAGGCATAGCTGACGTAGAGGTGGTATCTGCCCTTTTCCGGGGGGAACTCGGCGCCGGCCTCGCGCGAGATGAAGCTGCGGAACGAGCTCTGCTGGCGTTTAAACTCGCCCGATTTGTCCCCCTTGTAGACCCAGTCGGTGATTTTCTCATCCTTGGAAGCCTGAGCACAGCTATCGTCAGTCAATTTGGTCCCTTTTCCTCAATCTCGCCTTTCATAGTTCATCTTCTCCCCCCTTTCCCCGCTTTTCGTTTGCAGCCACCACCGCCACCACCACCACCACCACCACCACCAGATTCAATGGAACTCACCATTACCGCAGGAGACGTCCCAAAGTTCCTCAAATTAAACCCGGCAGGCGTCAACCGGTGTGAAAGAGACAGGCTCCTCCTGGTCTGGGTAGCAAAGTTCGATTTCGGCGTTGGCGAGACACGGGGCAGAGTATAGAAGGCAGACGAGGTCGGCAGACCGAGTCGGCTACGATACATATAACGGCAAAGTGCGTGTGTGTGAGTGTAGATAGAGAGGAAGAACAGAAGGGCAAAAAGAGGAAATGCCCCGCGTTATATAAATAAAATACTGTCTGAACTAGAACGGGGGGGCTGCGCGTGTGTGTTCGCTCGTCGTCCTTTGCGTGCTGGAGCGAAGAAGCGAACACGTCGATAACTGATCACACAGCATCTCCAAACATGTACATACATTACTGTACATACGTGTATTCGGATGTGGATGTGGATGCAGATGCAACCAGCGAAAACAACCTAACAGTAGGTAGTGCATACCGCGCGCGACATGATTCATCCATGCACAGCATGAAGACAGAAGATAGAAAAAAACACAGCCGCGCGCGCTGACAAAAAGATGCCAGACATCTAACAATTCATCAGCAATGACACTCGCCCTACCCCATACCAACCTCAAGATCCCAGCACAATTACTCAATTACCGCGGAAAACGGCAATCTTGCAAGCAACTTTGCAAGCAACAGCCAGCGACGCCGTCTTTGGCAGCTCTGACAAATGGTGACGTAAGGCCCACTGCTGTGGGTTTTGGATTGGCGACAGCGGGGATTACAAACCACCATTCACACCAATGAACGGGGGTTCTCGGCTCGGAGATGCACGCCAGCAACCGCCAAGGTTGCTGACTCACTCACAAGCACAACAAAGTCAGGTGAGCTTCACTAAAGTTCCCACAAAAGTTAATAGTCAGCATATAATAGTCAATTCGTAAACGGTTGCTGGCATTGGGTCCGATGACCTCTTCGCTGTCTCTGCTACTAACAAGCATCTAGCATTGTGTCTAATGTACCGTCTGAGCCAAAGGCCCCGAGGGGGAAGCCAAGAAAACAAAATAGCCGTAAAAGAGAAAACCCCCTGAATTTGGGACAAGTCTATACCTAGTCGTTCACAATAGCTACCAGGCTCTGCCGCATATCCCTTTCCAGTCCTTCATAGCGCACTACCATGCTCGCCCCAATACGTCGTAGCTTCCCGGCATCCGCCCTGCCCCTGTGCCGATAATTTACCGGACCTTGACCTTGATATAAGGCACCTCAACGTCTTCGCCGTCCGCATCTTCCGTCACGGCCTCGAAGATGACCTCCTTCTGGTGCTCCGGAATGGGCTTCTTAGACACCGCCTCAACCAGCTTGCTCAGCTTCATGGGGTACTTGTCCTTTCTCTTGGCAAGCGGGAAGAAGGCCGCGTATAGCAGGCTGACTCCCGAGCTCAACATCGAGATGGTGAGCCCGCGCTTCTCAAAGTCGTCTATCAGCTCCTGCAGAGTGATGTCCTCGACCTCGAATCGGTCCCAAATCTTATCGAGGGTCACCTTGCCATCGCGTCCCTTGTACTCCACCTTGGGGCTTGCAATGGGCTCGCTGAACCCAAAGAATGGAAGAGCGAGGTTGATGAACCCGTTCTTGTACTGCTCAATGTCATCCTTGCCATCGATGATCTTGTAGAGTTCCAACACCACCAATCCCGTCACGAGAGCCGTCGTCGTCGCAATCGCGGGGATGATCTTGCCCGCAATAAACTTGGTCTTGTGTCGATCGGCCTGCTCGATCTTGTAGTTTTCGGCCCGCAGGTTGCTCGCAGCCGTGATGAAATCGATGTGGTAATTGGTATCGTCATCCTTCTCAAACTCCACCGGCGTGAGCTTGAAGCCGGCTAGCGATCCGGGATTCGGAAGGTCGCCAGCAAGGTTCTCTAGCTCCTTACTGTCGTCAAAGGCACTACCTGCGGCATTCGGGTCCTAGAGAATTGTTAACAACAAACATAAAACGGCCCAAGTGCCTCATCAACGATGGTTACTTACAGGATCCTTATCGTCGGCCTGGATCTTGACGTTGGAGTCCGGAGAGAAGTCTGGAATGATCATGGAATCGATAGCCTGCAGGTAGTCCTCCTTAGTTTTCCCCTTGACATTGATGTTGTAGTTGAAGGCGTGGAGGTTCGCCGCCGACTTGACAAAAGTGTAGTGAGTTGCATTTTTGGAGTCGAACTTGAGCGGGTCGGGCGCCCGCTTCGGACCTGACCAGAACGGGGTTCCGCTAGACGAGGTGGCGTCCTTAGGGAAGTTAAAAAGAAGCTGCTGGATGGCGTTGTTATACTGCTTCTCGAACAGCATGCGAGCCCACGCAACACAATCGTCGAATGTAAGGGCCCTCTCGTTCTTCAAGAAGTCCACCAGCATTTCGAGCGTGGCCTTCTCGTTTCCGCCTTGCTTGAGCGTGTTGTCGAGGTAAGTGGGGTCGGACAGGTAGAGGTTCACCGTCTCGGCCGGCTTGACAAACGAACTCTCGAACAGCTCGCGGGCCCACGCGATGGTATGCTCGATCTTGTTGGGGAAGCTTCGGAGAGTGCACATGGGGAATGACTGCTCTGGCGGATCCTGAGACGATGAGTACGACTCGGTAAGCCGTGGAAGGACCACTTGGGTGTTGCCCTTCGTTCCCAGAGTGCCACTTTCGAGCAGAGGCTTGTGGAAAAACACGCATCTCCTATCGACATAGGTTCTGGCCTCCACATTGTCCAGAGCATTGGTAACCCCATCCAAGCCCGACCAGAAATCTTCGTTGAAGATATGCTCCGTCTCGGGGCCCACGCGGTCCTTGAGCGATACAATGTGGCCGGTGAGATCCGGGTTCATGTGCTGCACCGCCTTGGCGGCGCAATCGCTCTTCATCTGGCCAACATCTTTCGGCCGGAACAAAAACTGGCGGTTGAGGTTGCTCTTTTCGATTGAATCATTATCGGTCACTGTGATCCGGCCGTTGGGTCCGGATCCGAGGCCGATCATGGCCCAATTCTTGAGCATCTCACAGCCGATCGCACCGGCGCCGACTAGGAACTGCTTAACGTTTGAAATCCTGTCCTGGAACTCCTTTCCAAAAACGGCGATCTGTCCATCGTAGCGGGTCCCTAGAGGTTTGCATAGCTCCTCGGAGCGGGCCGATCCCGTCGCGAGGGACTCGAGCGAATCGAAGTACAAGTACTGCTTTACGGGGTGAAATTTACCCGACACAGCCTTGAGCACCTCCTGGGCAGTGAGGCCGCCGAAGAATGCAGCCATGGGGTTGAGATCGCCCACTGCCTGATAGCTCAACTCCTTGATCAGCTTGTAGTCCCACTCGACCTCGACGCCTTCCGCCTTTGCAAGATCCTTGGCAGAGTTGAGAACCACTAGCGCGTCTTCTTCGTTCATTGGTCGAGGCAGGTGGCCTGCAGATTGAATGAACGAGTGCAGCGCCTGGAATCCTATATGGAGTTGCTGAGGTCGATCGAATTTGGCGAAATCGGAAACAACAAACTCGGGGTCCTTAATGGCAGCCGAGATGTTCTTGAAGTCAAGGTGCTTGGGCATCTTGACTTGCTGAAAAAGACCACCTCGCTGGTACTGCCCAAGACCGGACACGTCGCCGATAGAAAAGGTGTAAGGTCCCTTCACAGTGACCTTCCGTGGTTCGCAGCCGTTTAAAGCTTCCATGCCCTCAACTTCCGAAAACGTGACAAAGTCTCCATCCTCGAATCCATGTCTAGTTTCGTCCAGGGCCGAGACCAAGCCCTCCTCGTCGATTCCAGCAACAATACCGTTGACGGGGTTCTCGCCGGTAGAGTCGATGACGGTGAAGTGTTTGCCAAAGTCACAGAAAACAGACCCAAAGAGGCCGAAGGTATCTGCAACAATAACGTAGATGCCCTTTTCGTGACAGTAGTCGCCGATAGCAAGCTGGACATTTAACGGCGTGTTGGTGAGGACGACAACCTGATATTTGTCAAATTGCGATAAGTTCTCGCCGAGGCTGTGGTGGAACTACGTGTAAGCAAAGAGGTAGCGTTTCGATGTCCGCTAGGATCGTGCTCACCTAGCAGAGTTATGAATGTGCACGGGTGTGTATGCGTTGAGCTCGGCCACGCGGGGGGCAGTAACCTGGTCGCGAGGCTTTCCAACATCTTCGGCACGGAGGAAGAACTGCGACGACAGATCGGCGATGCCCACTGGCGCGGGATCGTGGAGAGTCAGGCTCTTGACGCCAGCAAGAGCGATGTTCTTTGCAATCTCGACGCCGAGGCCCTTGAGGCCAACAATCAGGACATTCGAGGCGCCCATGCGCTTCATAGCCTCGTGGCCCAGGACATAGAGCTGGCGACTGTAGAGCGACTCGTCGATCTCGGTCGTCGATCCCGCGACGGACTCGTCCACCTGCATTCTGGTGACGAGTTCGACCTCTGGGAGCCTCTGTTCCTGAGATTAAGCAACGCATGTCAGTCTACTCTTCTGAAAATAGATGCGGTGCTGCAAACGGATGTCGCGGAGCTCCTCTGCGAGGCTGCGAAGGTGATGCCTGGACATGGACTCACGGTCATGGTTCTCTTGAGGGATGTAGGCAAGTCCCCGTCAGAAATTTTTCGCTTCCCCAGCTTGACAGTTGTACTTGTTCTACGCGAAGTGCGCAGGTGTGATTTATTGCGTTAAGGAGAGGGTAGTTGGTCAAGCAGCGAAGAGTGCTTGCGAAGGGCGAAGGTTGCCAGGTGAAGTCAGCCCCGCTAGGTACCCAAGCTGTCCAGAGAATTGCGGGGATGCCTGCGGTGGACAGCAGGTGGCGGCTGTCAGGGCCCAGGGGGTATGTTACTTGGTCTTTTGGAAATGAGGCGGAGCTTGTCCAAGTCCCGGAAGAGCAAACAGCAGACAATATAGTAGTTCTTCGTGGTTGATCTCAAACAAATACACGTCTCGGAAGTAGAGAATGCTGAGGAAGCTGAGTGATGCAGAATGACATGCCTTGCTTGACGATGATTTCTAAACACGTTCCGTCAATGCAGTAGGACTAGGCGAAGGGATGCCTGGGCGGGCAAACGGCAGCACCTACCTCAGAAACGACCCCACCAGCCCAGCAGCGTCTGCCTCGAGATGACCCGTGCGTCTAGTGGGAGCCAGACCAACAGCTGTGCTTATGTAAAAAGCAGATGTATCGTCCTGCGGAATCGCCATGTAAAGGTACCAACAAATGAATCCGCCCACCTAGTGAGGCGCAATCATAGGTAGCTCCCCCCCCAGTCGCCACCGAGCCTCTCGCCCAACGTCCCTCCATTGGAGAGCATCGTGACAGGGTATCATTCCACATAGTCTTCTGCTGGCCCCCAGTAACCATTTGCCTAGAAAGCCATGTGCCAGGCAATAATGTCTGATACCTTTGGAGTGATCTTTTTGCGTCTCGTTGCTGAAGACCCCGACTTTAAGTTTTTTTGAGTCACCAGTAAAGCTTGATTCTAGTGCTTTCGGTCGTCTGTAGGTTCTTGGATACCTGCGTTCGCCACTTCCTTTTCCAGCCTTGAAGGTAGCCAACTAGCCTGCTAGCTTGCGTGAATCTGTTCAGTCCTGATCAGGAGATAATCAGAAAGACCATGAACTTCTTTCTAATAGTTGACACCATTTTTTGACACCATTTCAACTTGAACTGTAATTCCATACTCGGTAAAAACTGCCCACCCACTTGTTTGCTCATTGACCAGTCGTAATTCATTGATAAGTGCAACAAAATAAAGCAACAACGCAGATTGTTCTGATGAACCAGATTGCTACCTTAGTTTCCACTTCAAACCACTTCAAACCACCTTCATCGCGACTCTTAAACTTCTAGGAATTTCTAACATACCCGCGAGCAGCCAGGGTAAACCACCTACTCCTGATACTAGGTCGAGCAATAACTTCCTAGGATAATAATCCGCCAAGCCTGCCACTTATTCCACAGCCTTGAGGAAGACTTCGCTGCGTCGGGGTGTCAGTGCTTATATCCGAATATAGCCCAGTTGATTGGACTCACAATATCAGATCTGCGTTTGGGGGGATATGACCGTGGAAGCCTCTACGAAAAGTGTCAATTGCTAACATCCACGAAGTTGTTGAGGCAAGTGGGACTGGCGTTGGATTGCTATGGGGCGTTGGGGTTGTTAGGTTGTAGTGTGTTGCGCTCATACCTCTGTCCATAGGCGTAGTCACTGAGCTCCAACCCCTTGATTAGCTGAGCTATCCAGTATGAAGGCAAAGTAAATGGTTGCGATTTGCCTACCTGGTGATGTCGAGAATGGCCTTCTCGCCGACATTCATATCAAGAACGGCTTCATCCCAACCTAGAAGAGCATCAGCCTAGATTCTCCGCCTGGAATGTGTGCGGCTCGTGAGGCAGGTATACCCTTTATAAGCATTCCGACGCCAATCTGGGTTGAGAAATCTTCGCCATACTCCGAGGCGTCGAACCTATTGAGCGAAGCCGTCAGAGTCATACTTCAACTGCTGGTGGACCTCATTTTGGGACAAAAACTCACTTGGCACCTTTGTTATCTGGCTGGGTTGTGTCTTTCAACCAGCCCGTGTACTCGATCCAAACCATCTGCCCCTGTTGTGGCTTCTCTCCGGTCCCATCAACAAGAATTGTCTTCTCTACGCCCATATTGTGGACGAAGTCACTCGGCAGTAGGAGTTCTTTATACTCTGTGCCTTTGGGGATTTGCTTGGGTATCGCCCTCTGTTGGCTGGCAGGTTGTGTTGGAAGTAATCAGCAGAATATTTATATGAGAAACCCCCCCTAGAGAGGTCACCAACGGGGCAAGAGACAACAACACTGAACACGAGGAGAAAGAGCCGAGATAGTGTAGGGGTGGTCGGCAGGAGAACGAGCGAAAGCAAGTTGTAGGATAACTTGAGTAATAATACTGACTGGTGTAAACGTTGACGCTGGTTAAGGCGGCACAAGCCGGGTTATCGGGAGGTTGACAAGCCAGAGAAGCTCACGGGGGCACAGGGAGAGCAGGCGGCATCCATGGCAGGAGGAAACATAAGGAGGAGACCGGTCAGCTATTTATTATGGAAACGGGCAGTGGTCTTAGAAAAAGAAAGCTCTGGAAATATCCAGCCACCATGTCGAGACAGCATGGCATGGCATTAGTCTAAATAGTACCTCTCTGTACATCTATCTACCAGGGCTGGAGCCTTGCACCTATGGTTTCGCAGAGTACCAAGACAATTTGATGTTTGCGCCGATCGGCATCGACGACCGGGAGAGCCCAAAGACACCCAAGCTAGCCCGGTCTGCAATATCCAGTCTGGGCGCTGTCGGGTCTTTGGCTCGGCGGGCGAGATTGAGCTGGCCACCATCCATCCTCATGGCGTTGTACGACGCAGGTCTGCAATGGATTCGGCCCTGGTTGGTTCACACCAAAGCCAAGCAAGATCTGACGCGGGGTCTTCCCGTGGGGTCTCTTGATCCCTACCTTACCTGACAGTACCTTTGCTAGTGGTGGAAGGAGCATACCTGACGATGCCTACTTGTGTGGAGTGGAGAGAGGAGGTATGCACTTTCCATGTTAAGAACACTCCATGGCAGCTTCCCATCACGGACAGGTACCAATGGAAAGAGCCGACGAATGCTCGGCCCCTTGGCTTCAGTTTCTCTGGACCCCACTCGATCTCTCGTGCTAGCCAACAGCTCGAACCTGAACCTGGGAATCTCTCATTCCGTGCTAACCTGACCTACTGGTCTGCTACTAACGCACATCCACACCCACACTCCTTCAATCCTAAACCCCGCCGAGTGCCCCCTATCCTATGCCGCACTCGGCATTGTGCACTCGGCATCGTGCACTCGGCATCGCTGACGGGACAATCGCGGATTGCAGCCGCCCAAACGGTGGTTGCATGCGCTAGTGCTCGTTTCTCCTTTCGAATTTGGCAGCCCGGCCTCGTGTGACGGTTGCAAGAGACCTGAATGACAGTGTGACAAGGTTGAGGCCTGTTCGCTAGAGGGCGATCCACTTGTAGCTGCGTGCAACTACCGTTGCCGAGCTGCGTTCACCGCGAGCGACCTCCCGGGAAACCTCCTGCTAGGGCCGTTGACTTTCCCGCCTTGTGCATCGACGCTTGGGACTGCACACGGTGGCCGGTGACTTTGCCGGGAACCTCAAGGGCCAGACATATAGATGGAGCCACCGACGAGGTCTCAACCTGTCACTACCGGCAATTTCTCCTGACTCATCGGACGAGGGAAGGCGTAGCCGGGTATAAGCCGAGCCGAGACTGGCGCAATCACAAACCTCTACCCAGCCATGCTGGAGGAGCTGGAAAAGCGGATAGCGGATGGGATGGCGGATGGCTGATGGCTAATGCATCGTGGGGAGAACGAGGGGCTCCCGTGTTTGTTTGACTGCGAAAGTGGCGAACGCAACACTGCAGCAGACACATACCCTTGCAGCATGGCCATTGCCATTGATGCTGCCGGTGTTGGCGGCCGCGCCAGACACAATACATTTCTCGTCATGCTTGCGACTCACTTCATCACATCAAACTTACCACTGGGACTCGCAACTGTGATGATGTACATGTACGAGAGCTGCAGACAGCTAGCACCCGGAAGTTCGAGGCAGACGAGCAGACGCAGCCTGCCGCTACCACGGACTCTCGAAGGCGCTAAGAGTCGAGGAAGGTGGTGGTTGGGCGCAGACGACCGTCCCGGCACGGCGACCCAACTCGGCGAAAGCCGCCACTTCTCCTTCTGCTGCGCCGTGACCCCCAACGAGAGAGCTTGCATCGCCTAAGTGCTAGCTGACAACCTAATCGACACGTCTGCCCTCTATTCTCGCTGCTCCGGGTAAGAGTGCAGATGAGAGTCGGGGACTCCATAGTTTTGAGGTGTCCGGCAATGTCAACACTTGTTCGGCTGGACGACGACCCAATCGTTTCAAATCAACCTCATCAAAGATGAGAGCCCCATAGGGCCTTTTCTCTTAAAAAGCTGAGACCTAGCCGGGTCTGGACATAGTGGTTCTTGCCAAGGACATGGTCACTTTTGTCGATTCTGCAAGTATCCTTCACCTCACCGGCCAGCTTCGGAACCAAACCGTCGTGCAAGTAGGAACTCGTCCACATTGTCCGTGGGCCTTGCCAACTGCGGAAGATGGTTGTAGATGCACGATAAACGAGACGCCTGCAGGCTGGCGAGATAGCCCAGGGCGAACTTGCTGTCCTATCGTGTCTCGTGGGTTGAGAAGATCGGGGCCTGGGTGCATTGCGAGGGTCCCACCCCGGACGATGGCAGGCGGAGACGTCTCGATCTGCGCAACCATGCGGTGGATATCACATCTGCAACGAAGAGTCTGATGCAAGATATATTGATATGACCGGCGGGGGTCATTGCGTAGCCGCAACTGCAGCTAACATCCCACCCCCCTCCCCCCTACCGATCTTGTTTCGGAGACTCTTGGGGGCAGAGAGAAGCCTTGCCCCTCCGTATCTCGTGTCATACATCGGTCATTGCCGAGTCACCACTTTTGCTCCTCGGATGCCCAGGTCACCAACGTTCCTAACCATTCCCATCTGACTTGCCCCGTGTGAGCTAAAGAGCTAGACAAGCTGAGACGAGCCATCAGCCGGACCAGAGTCGGTCTGCTGCTGCTATTCGGCGGCGGCGGCGTCTACCGTTGAAATTTCATTGAATCGGCAGACAGCTCGGGCTCCGATGTTGTAACCGCCTTGGATTGGATCTTCTTGTCCAGCACGATCCCACCCCTTACCGGCTTCGGCTCGACTTGGGGACAACTAGCGGTAAGCAACAAAACCGGGCAGTTCTCTCGGCCGCCATTGGCTCGCGGCCGACTCTTCACGGAATCGAGATCGAGCCCGTGAGGAGACGGAAAAACACGTGGAGCCCCTCAAGTGGGCAAGCACTTGAGCGTCACAAGCCCGGCCTCCTTGGCCCAGATCCTGTTGCCCTGATCTGGTGATGGCCGGGCAGATCCGTTGCAATGGCATCTTCCGAAGTGACCAAGGTTCTCCGCTACCCCAACAACGACGAGGCGGAACTTGCCTGCCTATCTTTACAACCTCATGATACGCTAAAGCTATACTGCAAGCCAGACGCGAGTTCCTCCCCTCGCATTCGCCGTCACACTTGTGACAACGCAGATGGAAGCTGCTTGGCCCCCTTCGACTGAAACGGGCCCCTTCGGATGAAAATGTCATCAATCAATATTGAAGGTTCTGAACCCAACTCGGGATCAATTTTCGAGGTATCAATAAGGAAGGAGGGGAAATTAATGGGGAGCATAACGCGGTTGTGACAAACAACGGATCGCCTCACAGTACACACAAGACTTTCTATGTTCTTTCCAGGACTCTAACCCGTACTCTCGGCGATCTTGAAACGAGGGTTTGAAGTTGGAGGATGTCTTTGATAGGAAACGTGAATTTTGGCTAATCACTGGCAAAGTATGCCGCGATACTGCTAATTGCAATGGGGAAGCCAACTGCCGGTAATATATTGCACTTGTAACTCGATTGATCTCGTTCAAATCCCGGAAACAGAGCGCAAGCGCTGAGGCTCGGTTCCGACACGGCTTGATATGTCTGCGTCGAGCAGCCGACGAGATTCAACCGTGCCAGCCAGCAGCAATGACCCGCGTCATAAAATGAAAAGGAGCACTTACTATTCAGCGGGAGAGGAATGTGGACCGGCGAGCGGATCAGCAGTTGGACAGATTAGAGGGGATATCTCGAGATGGCTTTCGAGCGGTCGTCCAACCATCCTAGCAATGTCGACTTCTTGAGATGACTAGACCTCGCGGGCCGGAAAACAGAGCTGACGGAGAGGCTGAGCCTCAACTAGGTCGTACTAACGGTGCGAGAGACTGGTCCTCTCCATGAGGAAATGTTGGCGGTGATGAGGTGTGGCAGACATTCTAAATCATCCTTCAACGCAGGTGGTCTGCCGTGCCGCAGCTCCCTTCTTTCTTCAGGTGAGCAACTTGCGGCGTGGCGGCCCAGTTGAAACGAAACGAGGAACGGGGGCTCGTGGATGGGGGTAAGGGGAGCCACCTCGCGAGTGCGTCAAAACGAAACAAGAAAAAAAGCCGGGGCCGACCGCTAATCGCGACGGGACTGAGTAATAGTATGGATTTGTGCCCAGCCCATCATTGTGCGGGAGATAATCGGACCACACTTGGCTTGGGAGTCGGGATAGGTAACAAAGGCACAGTCAAGTCACGCTAACCATTCGTTGCTGCTCGATGCCTGTTCAGGCATCTGGAGGCAGCGAGTATGTGGTTGTGTTCAGCCAACTACCTGTAATCCGTGTTCCGCTTCTGGCCGGACACCTGATCCCCCACTGTCTCGCGACAAATGTTAGATTTCCGAAAACCACGACGAATGTCCGCCAGCTTTCCCATATCAGCAAAGCGGTTCCTGCAGCTGGTTGCTGACGACATACGGCTAGCAGTAGCCCTGCTGCAATGCACCACACACGTTCTCGTCTGGAGTGCTTTGTTTGCTGCGCGAATATTACAGAGCGTCCGTGTATAAAAATATCTTCCCCACCACCTGCACCACGCAGCCCGTCCAAGAGGTTAGAACCCTCTTTGACGTTGGCGTCGCGCAAGGCGTGCGGCACAGAAACAATAATCTTGCTCGGTTGGTGAATAGCGCAACCATGAGTTGCTTTGTTGGCACGCTCACCCCATCTTTCATCTTCATTCCGTCCGAAGCCACCGAATTTTCTCATTCAGCTGAATGAAGCCAAGCAGAGCCCGCTATGTTCACCATTTCCGTGCGATGAAGTGCCAGCCGAGTCGAGTCGCTTCTCACTCTTCCGTGTCTTTGATCCACCGGGTTTTGGGTCAGCCCGGAGCGATTGAGAAAGACGCCCGCCCGTGCGCCCGGTGCCTGGCGAGATCGGTGGAGCCTGGAGCATCCGTACTCCGTAAAGAACGAACCCCGAAAATCCTGTGAACCACCAACCGTCCATCCATGAGGTGGCCTCGTCCTACAGGGCAGCAGCACAGCCCCCTCCGCCTGGAACCCACCGCAGTGGTGGTGTCCCAAACCAGCCTGGGCACCCAATTAATACTTGGTGTTGTGCTGAGTAAACCGCCTTCCTTTCTGGTCACAATTCAATGAAGACCTGGTAGTTTCCATGTATTGTCTGTGTTTGCGTGCGTGCGTGTGCGTGTGCGTGTGCGTTGCGTGTGCGTGTGTGTGTATGTGTGTGCGTGTGGCCGCATGCATTTTAGCCCGTTGCGTTCAAGCAAGCTTTTTTATCTCGCAGAGGAGCGGAAGGGTCCCTTCTCTCCAGGGCGGCCATCTGTCGGGTTCTACGAGCCTCAGCCAGAGCCTGTCCTCGAAGATGGCCGGTTGGGCTTTTACTTGGCCGACAATGTAGCCCATGCAGCCAAAGCAGCGACGCCATCTTATCTGGAGAACGGCAAGCGGCAAGCGGCAAGCGGCAAGCGGACCAGGTCAGTGGCCGGCGCGTCGCTTCTGGGCGGGCGCCTCAATTAGGTAGGTCGGCTGGTTGGCCAGTCCCAGGGTCAACAACACGGACGGTCATTGATAGACGTTAAAAGAGTCTTAAACGACGACTAGGCTTCTTCTGCGTTGAGGATTTGTTGTTTATCTGTAAACCCGCGATCCACATGAACGAAACAGTGAGGGCCTATATTAGGAGTGAGGCAGCTGCGTGCAATACTGAACATGTACAGCAAGCATCTTCCGTGACCCGCTGTGTCGACTGAGATAGACAGGATTCCGCAAAGCATCAAACCAGCTCCGCTGCGCCACCTTGCTCAAGACGAAGAAGAAAAGAATGAAGATACAATACGGAATATCCCGTACTAAAGAGACATTCGTACTCACCCCCCACAATCGCTAAAGCTCCATTTATGAAGGTTTCATGTTCAAAGGAGAGCGGACCCGTCGTTTAGTCGGAATTTTTGTGGGGCAAGTAGAAACGAGGCCGAGCCGTTTTTGGGGCTTCAAGTTGCTGTGCTGCGTACTGCGTACATATATGATCGCCTCGTCCCGAGCATGATCGAGCTATGTACGTCGGTTGCTCTTCCCGTGGCTTGCCCAGCTATTATATTAGAGTCATATAGCAAGAGCTCTTCCTATAAGTGGCGACGCATCTGCAGGTTTCTTTCTCCTTTCGCGGGACTTAATTAGCAGCTTGATTAACTTAGATTCGGCTGATCACCACAGCTCGCAAAGGCGATATGCCACGCCGAAGAGGGCATGCACTGTCCGGTTTCTGCGCCTGACAAAATACACGTCTCCAGATACCTTCCATAGCACAGCAAGCAGCGGCACACGGTAGAAGTCTGCTAGTGGAAGTTGACTGGGAATTGAAAGGACTAATACGGAGACAAGACACACAATTCAGGTCAATACTGCACATCCGAGACCCCTCCTTTCGTAACTGGACTGGACTGGACTGGACTGGACCACCACACCACCCCGTACAGGAACGCACATGTATTGTTGCTGCAGGACCGCAGAGGGCTGTGCTCACTTAGGTTACGATCTGATTGACGGCCAGCCAGCTTCCACTCGTGTCGTAGGAGATGCGCCCGCCGCCAAGCGTGCTGTTCGCTGGAGTGAGTTCATAATTAGTATACTATCCCGAACTTCGAACAAAGGCGCGTGGTCCGTGAAGCACACACGTGTCGCCGGCCGACAAAGCGTTCCTCTGGATGTTTCCTGTTTCCTTCTTTGAATCCTTCCTTTCTCACTTCATTTCCAGAGCCGCGGACAACGGCCACGATGGAGAAACCGCTACCCAAAGCCGGCAGGGCAGGGGCACTCGGGGGCGGCGGCTGGCGTTTTCTTGTTGGTCACGCCCGGTGGGGAAAATCTGCCAAAGAATCCGCAAAGAATCGTAATCGGCTTGACCTGCACGCGTTCGAAACCGACCTTCGTCTTCCAGATCCCAAAGGACCCACATAGTGAGCTGGGGTAATGAAGAAAATTGGCCGTAGCGGCAGCACAATAATCGATGGGCCAACCACGACCCCAGTTGCCCCCTGGTCACTCACCGGTGGGGTCACTCCTTCATTCTTTTGGACGCTTCAAAGTCTTGGTGACTTTGCTGGACGAGATGCTACTGCTAGGCCCAGTAAGCGAAATGCGCTGGCGCCAACGTACCCAGTACCCACGCTTTCCCATTTCTAGTCCCCGGACCATGCGCCACCGCCCACTCTTTCTTGAGCACTTGCCCCCTTGGACAAGCGGCGCAATCTTAAACCACCCCCTCCCGCTCAGAACCCACCACAACCCCCCCTAGCTCTGCGGTGACCGATCCCACCACTAACGGCCGTCCGCGGCTGCAAGGCGTGGGTGCAAAAAAATGGTGCCTGGCGTACGCACTGGAATGGGTCCATCCGTCCCAGGGGCTCAAGGGCTCAGGGCCACATGGGCCCCCCCATTCCGCCGATCGCATTCGCAACCTCTGCATGCTGCCCTGGCCTTGTCGGGTCGAGAGGTTATAAACTTTAGCGCGTTTGCTTCTTGATATCAAGTCCTCGTTGGGAGACAATTGGATTGCATGAGGACACAATCCTAAGCTGAATGAATGCACCGCGTACCTTGTTAGTTTGTGTATGCTGCGGGGTCGAATGGCTCGATGTCCGCCGTCCCGCTGTGACCTGTCTCTCCAAAAGAGCCCAAGATCGAATCCCGGCCCCTGTTGTCCGTTTTGCGCCGTTACGTCCAAAGTCCTCTCGCAGTCAAGTTTGGACAGTCGGGTACCTGCTTGTCTAGCGGACCCCACGGCTTACAAGGACGCGAGAGCCTTCCGACCCATCTTAGCCTAGGCGGCGGCCCTGGCTCAAAGTGGTGTAATATCCCAATACTACCTTTACCTGCTCCCATCGCACACCTGCATCCCTGGCTGACACCCTTGCAGCGCTCCGCCCCAAAGTGCCATTCCCCTTCCATTTGCCAACTCCTTATTGTTTCCGGAGTCCAGTGCTCTCCGGTCGTTTGCACCCTCACCTCCTTTCTCCCTGCCGAACGTCAACCCCATCACGGCATTCTCTCTCGACGGTGTCGTCCTTTTTGAACGCCACCACGACCCGTCGACCGCCCTAACGTCGTCGATTTTTCTTTCTGGTGTCTCTTTTCTCTCCACCGACTCTTGGGAAATCAGGAAAAGGAGACGACCCGCCGCCGAGGTCATCGTGGATCCAGATGCTCGCCCTGCAACGAAATCGAGGACGCGAATCCCTGGCCCGACGATCGTAAACGACGGCTTTCTTATCATTACGCCATTTTGCGCGCCCGCATCTCATCAACATCTTTTTGACGATTTTTCGTCAAGTCACTCTTTTAAACAGTCCCGATATCGAAACAACTATCCGAGTTCAAAGATAAACTTAAATGTAAGTGTGCACGGGTGGACGACGAGGACGGCGGGACGGGTTAAGGGTTCGCATGAGTTTCGAGGCACGTCAATCCGTCCGCAGGGTGGGAGAGAGAGGGGACTCTACGCTCGGCGGACTGGTGTCGACCGCCTCCCTCTTCGCAGGTGATCTTCTGCGGATCTTTCATGCGCGCGAGCGTGTTGGTGGAGTGGTGGTTGGTTGGTGTTGAGAATGCGACTGACATCAGGTGTCTAGACCCACGCTCATTGACATCTCTGTCAAGTCATTCGTTTTCCAACATTCCTGACAAGTGTGAGTGACTGGTCTCCCCAACGTCACCGTCGCCTTTCGAGGCGCTGACCTTGGCTTGGAGCAGACATCGCTATCCATCTCATTTTTTTTTTGGTGACTTCGCCTTCCCATCCGGCTTTTTTGTCGTACGATACCAAGAGCGCATGAAGGATAGGGCTTAAAAGAAAAGAATGCGGACGACCTCACTTTTGGTCGCCGCTTTTGTGGCGGCCACGGCGGTATTTGGCGAGGAGACGGGACCAAGGATTTATTTCCCGCGTCACGTCAAGCGGCAGTTCACCAATGATACGAATTCGAACACGATAACATCACAGGCAGCCGCGGCGTCGTCGTCGTCGTCTTCGTCTTCGTCATCGTCGTCATCGTCGTCATCGTCGTCCTTATTTACGTCTCCCGAAGCCGATACATCTTCGTCAACATCGCACGAGTCAACAAAGAGGGCGAGCACGTTCTCGCCGAGTCAGATCCTCTCGTCCATCACGTCCGAGTTTCCGTTTCCCCCGACAAAATCAGCAGAAGAGCCCGACACAACCTCGTCAACCATTCCGGACTCGAGTACCACGAAGGTGACGACGGTTGTAGTCTCGAGCACTATCATCGTATCGCCTACCGCTGGCACTGGAGTCGCAAATGGCACCACTTCGGATACAAGCACGGGTGCCGAGACTACCACCTCGGACACGGCAAACTCTAGCCCAGTGAAACCCTCGTCAACCGCTCCGACAACAGATGCAGACACGACGGCGCCTACGAGCACGCCTCCAACGAGCACGCCTCCAACGAGCACGCCTCCAACGAGCACGCCTCCGACAAGCACACCTCCGACGAGCACTCCTCCGACGGCCACGCCTCCAACGAGCACACCTCCGACGAGCACTCCTCCGACGACCACGCCCGAGACTACGCCACCAACGAGCACGGCCCCAGCAAGCTCGGATACGGAAACTACTCCGGGCACGACCCCGGCAACCTCGGTCCCGACCACCGCACCGCCTGTTTCATCGGTGCCGCCGACAACTACCGCACCGGAGACAACGCCCGAGACCACGCCGGCAACTACAGAGGAGCCCACCACCGTCCCGCCAACAGAGCCAACGTCGACGCCCCCTACTGCGACGACAGCCCCGACATCTGATATTGTTGTGATTCCCTCGAGCACGACTCCAACCACTTCGTCGATTCTTTTGGCTCCATCGGGTGAGGTGACGACGTCAGCGACCACATCTCCGGATTCGAACCCGATTAGCTCTCTTATTAGCGAAATCAATTCTGTCGTGACGAGCATCCTTAGCCCGATTCTGAATGCAACGGAAACGACACTTCCTCCTCTGAGCCCAACTTCAACCCCCGTTACCGTAACATCGGATGCGCCAACCACGACACCGGAAGTGACCGACTCGACACCAGTCGGGACAGCGACTTCACAGCCGCCTCCGCCCATTTCAAACACGACAGAATCGGCCACGGCCACTGACACAGGGAGCGCCTCGGTCACGGAAGTCCCTCCTACTACTACCGCTCCCACCGCCACTGGTACTGGAACTGAGACTACCCAGCCCACAGTCACGTCGCCACCGGAGACGTCTACAAATGGGACTGTCTCCACACCTCCAGTAACTGAGACATCGGCTCCACCGCCTATCAGTGTAGCTCCCGGGAACGTCACTTCGACTGCCAACAACACTGCTACGGCAACAGAAGGAACGCCGACGACAACCAATATTATCATTCCTTCGAGCGTCACGAGTGTTGCTCCCTTGACTACGCTGACCAACTCGGAACCTTGGCTTCCCACCACAATTGTTGTGGATCCAACTACAGCTACCACTGGCGGGGCCTTGGCACCGACTGCTTCAAACTCAATCCCGCCTACCTTTCCCGGGGCCATCACTCCGGACTCTGGCACGGTTACCCAGCCCATTGACACGACGGTCATCCAGATCGGCTTCCTCCAGGGATATAACTATCCGTTTGTGGTGGATAATACGAAGGCAGCAGCGCAACTCTTCCAACTGCTTCCAGAGGCTCTAACATTTACCGGCAAATTCCCGAGTGACAAAGTTCAGGTAATCAAGCTGATCCCTGCCTTGACGGGGCAGACATTGGGATACATATCGACCCTGGCCATCTGCACTTACCCAACCAACATGATCGATTCTTTGAGAATCGACATCAAAATCCCGAGCTCGCTACTATACAACAACCCGGACAAGCTCATCTACAATCTGACACAGCAAATCAACCCGGCTATCGATATCATCATGGGGTCTCTTCCGGATGATGGAAGTTCCACACCCGGCGGCACCCCGTCTCCGACGGGCGCGCCCAACGGCGGCCCCTTCGATCCTAATGATAGCTCAACCAACCAGAGTTCTTCTCAGCAGGGCATGACTGCTGGCATCACTGTCAGTGCAGTCTTTGTCGCCGCGGCGTACGGAGCCGTTATGTTCATCATTGCTCGGCGGTACAAGAAGAAGAAGCAGCTTCACCGGCGTGCGAGCTCTATCAGCAACCCGTCTGAGATGGAGCAAACGGCGCGGGGCAGTCCGGCACTCATGGGCGGCGCATTGCTGAGCCGAGACTTTACCAGCAGCTACGGGGGCGTGGCGGGCGGGCGAGACAGCCACGACAGCGGCAGGAGCGGGATGGGCAACTCTGGGCGGACCAAAACTATTTCGGCGCCAGTCGCTGCGGGAAACTCGCTCGGCTGGAACTGATGAACGAATCTCTTATGGCGACGCCTCCTCCCACACACAAACGACGGAAACCGATTGTTTTATTTTCAGCTTCGATACCCTTCGAGTGCTCTATTGTTCTACTTTGATCACATCATCATTTTACTACTGCTTCTCTGGGTACTCATGTACTGGGGGGAAAACGCAAACGTTCTATCATAGACCCCGGATTTGAGCGACACCGACCTCACCACGGCGAACTCTTTTTTTTTAACTGTGCATTACTCTTCGACGGCGGACTTGGCTTTGCTGTAGCAGCTAGCCGCCCTTATTTACCAACCCTTCGGCACCGGGAGAGGACTGCAGCCCACCTTTTGCTGGCGGCAGTCTGGTGGCGATGGATTTATACTATTAATTATTCTTTTTTGGTTTAGTTTGTGAAAAAGGGGCGGGGGGCGTCGTCGGCTGATGGCGCCGTGATCTCGTCTCTGGGCGAGAGATTAGGAGATTTGGGTAGGAGACGTTGTGAGGAGAAAATGAAGAGATGAGACTTTGATCTTCTACGATGGTTTGCTCCCCGAACGGGGGCTTGCCTCTTCTGTATTTTTGGCAATTCGGCAGGCCCTGTGGCGGACGGCTCGAGACTTGGACTTGACAGTACATTCGTGGTCAAGCAAGCAAGTTGGCCATGTGGATGACCATTTGGGGGAGATCTTGATCTTATTCTGTTGTAATGTTAGAGCATCTTGCAATCACAGTACAATAAAGAAGTCCGACTCGGATTGAACGCAGAATTTTGTCCCGTCTTAGTCCGTGGAAACAGTATCGGATGAAGGTCAATTGGATATTAAATTTAAGACTAAAATCCATTCGTTTATCTTTTCAAATGAGATCCAACTTTAGACTTTGACTTCGTTGAACTTACAATGGCCGCTGTATCCATGTTTGACAGTTTGGAATCTTTGGATGGCAGGTGGGCCTCCCCTAGGCCTAACCCTACTGTGGCCTGGCGGCTTCCTGGCCCCCTGAGCCTCTGAGGCTCTGGGCCGTGTAGGCCTGGCTGCTACTACGGGTAGCCTCGTGGCGGTGGTGGGATGAATGGCTGGTGCCCAGCAGTTCTGGTTTCACCTTAGTCATCCGGCTGTAAACCGGCCAGCGTGCTGGAAGCAGTTGGCAATTCAGCCTGGTGCACTATGTTCCAGGCAGAGAGTCCGGGCAAGTTCCATTACCTTGGACCAAGGAGGCATGGGGGACCACCATGCCGTTTCCACTCTGAGCGTGCGGCCCGTGAATGCCAGGTGCCCGAACCAGTTAACAATCGATTGCCGCAGTAAGCTTGTCGTCAGCTACCTATTGCTTACCTTACCTTATTACCTATCCTGGCTACCAAGCTCCGTCTCAGTAGCGCCCGCAATTGACATCGAGCCGAGATACGCATCTTACCGAGTCCCCACATCCTTAGCCCTAGTTTGGGCTCGACAGAGTTCTGACTGCAGTGCAGTGGCAGCGCAGCGCACGACGCCGGCGGCCGAGGCGACAGACATGTCGACATGTCCTCTCCCGAGCAGCACACTACGGCAACTAGGCAAGGCGGGGAGCACGGGAAAGACAGCGGCAATGGCTCTAACAGCAGCCAGTGGCACGACGCAGCGCCTTCGACTTCGTCCTCTGCGCAGACTAGCGTCCAGATGACGCCCGACACGGGCTCCGACGGGGGCTCCGACGACAACGTGCTCGTCGTGTTGCCATCCATGGCCAGGCACGGGGACGGGGACGGGAAAGGGGACACGCACAGGGGCCGCCGCCGTGCCGCCAACTACCACCATGAATTGTCTTCCGAGGTATACGAGCTCGAGGACATTGAATCCGAGAAGCTGCCCACTGAACGAGCCGAAGCGGCGCATGACGACGAGTCGGTCGGTACCGACGGGGCCCATGATTTCCCCCCGGCAAGCAACAGCGGCAGCGGCAGGCAGCGGCACCACCACGAGAGGCGGCGGCGGCGCGGAGCCAGCATCAGCACCACCGCCAGCTTCCAGCTGTACACGCCAGACGAGGAAAAGGCGGTCGTGCGCAAGTTCGACACGAGGCTGGTCGTCTTTGTTGCCCTGCTGTACATGCTTGGTTTCGTCGACCGCTCGAGTATGTCCTCTCTCCTTTTCCCTCCCTCTGCGTGCCCTGCACTGCACCTCGCCCGCTAGCGCGACTCCTGCCGCAGTGCCGCATCTCTGGAAGCGGCGGGTCGTTTTAACACGTCCATGTCAAAATGCCTGCCGGACCGTGTCAAGGCATTGCATTTGAGTTTGTTTATTGGGTCGCTGACCGAGTGCCACCTTGGCGCCTCGCTGTAGACATTGGAAACGCCCGTATCGCCGGCATGGACGACGACCTCCAGCCGGTGCTGAGGCGCGATGGCCTGTACGAGTGGGCCCTGGCTGCCTTCTACATCGCCTACATCGCCTTTGAATGGATGTCGCTGCTGTGGAAGGTGATCCCGGCCCATATCTACGTGTCGATGCTCGTGCTGTCGTGGGGCATCGTGGCGTCGCTGCAGGCCGTGGCCGTCAACTACCCCATGCTCATCTTCCTCCGCACGCTCCTGGGCATAGGCGAGGCCGGCTTCACGGGCGTGCCCTTTTACCTGTCCTTCTTCTTCAAGCGCCACGAGCTGGCGTTTAGGACCGCCATCTTCATTTCCGGTATGGCACTCCTGCGTCAGCCCCCCGTTCAGGGGCTTATCCGGCGAGATGATTCGGCTGACCCACTGTGACTAGCCGCTCCTCTTGCCACCACCTTTGCGTCCTCTCTCGCGTGGATGCTGCTCAAAGTGGGCGAGGCGAGCCCGATCGCCCCGTGGCGCCTGCTCTTTCTCGTCGAGGGCTTCCCGTCGGTGCTCGTGGCCCTCGTCGCCTGGCATGTCATCCCCGACTCGCCGGAAACGGCCCACTATCTGACAGCGCGCGAGAAGAAGGTGGCGCGCCTCCGGCTCCGACATGAGAATGGCTCTGATAGTAGTAGCGCGGGATGGCGAGGTAGGGCACTGTCCCTCGGCAGAAAACACGAGACGCCGGGTGGCGGCGGCGGCGACGACGACAGCGACGCCAAGGGCCTCAACACGCACGACGTGCTCGCGGTGCTCTGCGACCCGGCCGCATGGCTCACTGCAGCGATCCTCTTCTTGGCCAACATGGCATACTCGTCGCTGCCCGTGTTCCTGCCCACCATCCTGCGGTCCATGGGCCACGACCCGCAGTCGGCCCAAGCGCTCGCGGCGCCGCCCTACTTTGCCGCGTTCCTCTTCGTGCTCGCGACGGCGCACGCTAGCGACACGACGCGCGCGCGGGCGCCCTGGCTCGCGGCGCACGCGCTCGCGTCGGCGGCGGGCTACGGCGTGCTCGCGCTGGCCGACTCGCGCTTCCTCGCGCTCGACCCGGGCAGCATCGTTCGCTACCTCGCCGTGTACCCGGCGGCCGTCGGCTTCTTCAACGTCGTGGTGCTCACCATCGCCTGGAGCATCAACAACCAGCGCACGGCGTCGCGCCAGGGCGGCGGCTTCGCCCTCCTGCAGCTCGTCGGCCAGTGCGGGCCCCTCGTCGGCACCCGGCTGTATCCCGACGCCGACGCCCCCTACTACACGCGCGGCATGGCGGCCTGCGCGCTCGCTATGCTCGCCGTGGCGGCCCTGGCCGGCGCGCTGAGGTGGGTCCTCGCCAGGCGGAACAGGCTGCTCGACGAGGCCGAGAGTGCGGAGCCAGACGAGGACGCCGACGGGGAGGGCGAGGGTTTTCTGGACTCTGAGCGAGGGGTCGGGGGCGCCGCTAGGGACGCGCTGCGCGAGAGGTTCAGGTATATGCTCTGATGCCGTGTCGTTGCCTGTCTCTTGCGCTTGTATTTTGTGGCTTTCTTTTTAAGGTTTCGTGGGAAACAGCATGGCATGGCATGGCATGCTCGTGGTCTTGTGCATGTGCATGTATGTACATATTGGCAACGGCATATTTATTTAGTGTCTTTGATATTTTTCTCTAGAGCCTTGTTTTTTTTTGGGAGTGGCAGGTCTTAGTTGCACAATGGTTATATCTAATAGGTATCCTAGAAGAGTGTTTGTGTGTGTGTGTAGGTATTTGGAGATACGTAATAATGACAAGATGCAAAATTGGTTTGGTGCCCTTGTGTCCGTCTGTCTGTCTGTCTGTCTGCCTTCGATGCATGCGCGAAAGAGTCCCCCGAGACACTGCGGATACCATGGTCGCCGAATATTTACCACGCGTGCCAAGTTGTCTGTGTTGGCTTTTTTGGCCGTTGCTTCTCTACTTGTGTCGTTGGCGGATTATTCACTGCTGCTACCTTAAAAGCCAATTTTATCCCAACTCTCCACTGCCGAGTTCGCAACACTATATTATGAAGGCAGTGCTCGACTTGGTCACTTCCACGCATCCACTCTGTTGGCGCCCGCCGCGGCACTCACTCTGCGCCGCCTCATCCCTTGAGGCGGGCGGCGGCACGCGGCGGCGGCAACGCGTATTTCGCCGTCCTCGCTACCTACCTACTACGTAATACGCAAGTAAATAAGTCAGCTGGGTTCCTGGCGCGGCACTCACTGACTCCCAGAGCCCCCGAGTCGCATTCCCCGTCGCCGCCGCCACCGATGGAAGGAGTCGGAGTCGGATATTGAGTGCTACTACTAGTGCTGTGCCGCCGCCCCTCCTTTTTTGGGTGTCACTTGGCTGGTAGCCAACAAACAGACAGGCGCGTCTGAATGCGGACAGGGAGCGGCTTCTTGCTTCCGCGGAGCACACACACACAGTTCCTAAGCTAGGGATGCAGGAGCACCACTTGGCTTCGATTCTTTGCATCTTTCCCACAATCTCAATCTCTTTTTTTCTCTTTTCCTTCGCCGCAGCCAGGCATTTTATTTCATAGTAGTGTTGTCGTCAAGGATGGAACGGACGGGCGGGTACGTGACTAGCAGTCTAACGAGTGTGTGTCCCCTGTTTTGAAACTTGCGGACAGAAACGGCGACGGCGAAGGCTGACCGTCGTTTTTAATTTCTAGGCGCCTCCTTTTCCAGAACCAGGTGAATGGGTGACTGTTTGTGTCTTGTCGGTGAATATTTACCTGCCTGCCCTGCCTGTGCCGCAAGCAAATCTGCCCGCCTGCCCTGGATTTGGGTTGGGTTGGATTGGGTTGCATTGTCGATTACGGAGTGACCAAGAGTAATCGCCCGACTGAACAGGACAGGATGGCTCACTCACTACGAACCTACGAACCCAGTTCTATATTGCGAGCTTGTTGGGAGCTTACCTGTGTCATCTCATTTCCTTTCCTTTTCTTTCCAGCGCTAGGCATGATGACATGATAGCCTGCCGTGTCGTGTCGTGTTGAGTCGCGCCGTGTCGTGTTGAGTCGCGCCGTGTCGTGTTGATGGCATGACGTGACGTGACGCAACTGACGGCCATTGGCGGTTAATTATGATGCGGCAACATTTTTATAAACGGAAGAAAACGTTGCCGAGTACGTATTTGGCTGCTCGTAGCAGCCTCGGGCATGTCGTTCTGCGAGTGAGTGTGTGGTGTTTGTTTCGGCGCTCGCACTCGATTGATCAGTAGGTATGGGAGCGTTCGTTCGTTCATTCACTCCCTTGACCCCTGACTGAATAATAACTAAACCCGTCAACAAGTCCGAGGGAGCCCCTTACATTCAGGAGCACATACATACGTAGTACGTAGACAACCTACGATAGAACACACCTGCATCTGACGCATGGATTCTCACGCAAACAGTCCCACCTGAGTGCACTGCTTGCTTGGCGTCTCTTGAAAACAGAACATCCGCGGGACTAGCTAGCAGCGAAGGGACATGTCCCAAGGGAGAGCGAGCAACTGAATACCGTACCTAATTTCCTATTTTACCACCTTCCTGCCCGCGTGTTTTCACACAGCACCACCAATAGCTAATACTGCACATCGTCCTCCGCCACCCAAGCAAGAAGTAAAACGAGAAGCCAAACGTGAAGTGAGACATGAAGTGAAAGCATGGCCGTGAACAAGTGATCCCACGGCCCTATCCCATAGCCTCCTCCCGCTGTGAATCCCCGCGCCCACTGCCTGCCCTTTGTGCTGTGAAGAAATGAGTGAAAGCCGCCATTCCTATCCGTCACTAGCTATATAGGACACGTCACGGGGAAGGGGGCAATATCCATCCACACAAACATGTATGCACACGCAACACGGGAAGAAAGAGAGACAGAGAAATCAAGTCCCCGGAGCAGCAGCCATCCACGCGTAAGCCATGTCTGGCCCCGTGTGTTGCCGCTGCCGCTGCTGCTGCCTCTTCTTCATGTCCCGCATAATCTTTTCCTCCTCATCATTCCCATCACCACCCCTCCGCGGTGACGACAACGGCGACGATGGCGCCGGCGACAGCCCGCGCCTGAGCACCCACGACGCAAACGAGCCGCGCAGGACGCGCATCGACCTGGTGACGCGCCTTGTGCCTGTCGGGCCCCGGCCCCGGCCCCGGCCCCTTTTCTTCCCCCTCCTTCCTGCCGCCGCGGTCGCTACTACCGGCAGGCTTGTCCCGGGACAGTCGCCGTCGCCGTCGCCGTCGTCGCCGTGGGTCCCGTGGTTCTCGGCTTCACTTTCGGGTCTGCACCGCGTGCGGCTCCCAGTGGCCTTCTTTTTCTTCCCCGTCGTCGCCGTCGTGTCCCGCCACCACAGCCGTTTCGTGATGCTATTGCTCTTGTTTTTGGGCTTGGACTTGGGCCTGGACCTGGTTTTATTTGATTGAGTAGTAGTAGTGCCGGCGGCATTTCTTGTCCGTTTGAACTGCCGCGAAAGCCACGCGCGGAGGGTGGCGGCGCGGCGCAACAGGCGCTGGCGCTGGTTGCCGAGGGCACGGGGGCGCTTCTTTTTCGGCTTTGGGGCGGCGGCCGTGGCAGTAGTAGCAGCCGCAGTGGTAGCCGCGGCGCCGTTGTCGCTCTCCTCCTTGTACTCGCTGCCGTCGTCGTCTTCTTCGAGCCAGGTCCGCGTGTCCGGGTTGGTCGACGCGCGCGGCAGACAACGCGTTGAGAGGTTGTCGTCGTCGTCGTCCGAAACGGCAGCCGCGGCGCTGTAGTAGCAGTTGCTGCTGCTGCTGTTGTTGTTGGCCTTGTGCTTGTTTCGGAGGTAATCCTGGATGTCCTCGAGGAAGGACGACGGCGGGGACGGCACGCGCGTCGCGTTGGTTTCTTTCCCGCTGTCTCCTCCTTCGCTGGGGCCGCCGCCGCGCATGCTAGGTTTCTGCTCTTCCACATCAAGGGCCGTGCCAGCAGCAGTGACAGCAGCGGGAGTAGAGATTAGTTCGCTGTGGCTAGGCCCCGCCCCAGGGGAGTTGACGGCCGGGTTACCGCTTGCCCTCCTCACGGAACCAGTATGTGACTTTGCTTGGGGCATGGCATCTGCGTCCTTTGCTGCTGCTGCTTGACCATGTGAACCACTGCCACTATCCCCGACACTGTGTCCAAGCCCCTTTTGCCGTCCATCGCCCGCAGACAGCGCAAGCGCCGACGAGGCGCCGCTGCCGTAGGCAAAGTCCAGATGGGCCGTCGGGAACCCGTAGGCTTCCAGTCCAGAAAGTATGCGCCGGCTCAGCGTCCAGGGCTTCTGGTGATGCGGAAGGGGCGGCGGCGACGCGGAGAGGGGCGGCGAGGCTGCGCCGCCGGCGTCCGAGGGATACGACGACGAGGTGCTGCGGACGGGATAACAGGGGCCGTGCGGCGGGAGCGCGTCGTCGCCCGTCTTGTCCAGCGAGCACGACGACAAGATTGCGAGGCCGCCCTTGTTGGGCAGGACCACTAGCTCGGGCGAGTTCGGGGGGCTTTCGAATTCGAACGAGAACGCCTGGTGCTGCTGCTGTTGCCGCTGTTTGCCTACCCCGCTCTGTCGGGCGGCCTCGCTCGCAGACGAGAACGGCAGCGGCGGCGGCTTCTCGGCTCGCCGAGTATCAGCAGCACCGGCATCCGTAACACGATGAGCAAAGCCGTTCCTGCTGCGGCTCTGTGGGACCATGTTACCGGTACTGCTGCTGCCGAAACCAGAAACGCCGCCGGCCTCCCTGCTGGCATTGCTTTGGGCGGCAGCCGTGCCAATACCAATACCAGTAGCGGCAGTAGTATCAGCAGTAACCCATCTCCGCCGGCGGCCAGCTAGTATTTCTCGCTCAGTGGCAACGGCGGCTGGGGCTGCGAGGGAACTGCGGCTGCTGTCGCCGAAGCGCGGGAGCATGCTCCCCGCCAGGGCCACCATGACATCTTGGCCGCGGCGGCGGGCCGAGCCAACGCTGCTGCCGCCGCCACTCCCGCTGCCCTCTGGCTCATGGCCCACTGTCCCGGGTAACAAATTCACATTCTCTCCCGTGTCTCTCCGGCCTGCGGCTTCAAAGGGCCTGTTTTCGCCTGCAGCACTGGCGAGGGTAGGAGGAAGACCACCGACGTCACCGCCGCCGCCGTCGCTGCTACGGCGAGCACCCCGCGAGCCGCGCTGCTGCCCGTCAGCATTTAGGTCCTTCTCCTAGAGGCCCGCAAACGTGTTTGGGACGTTGAGGCGGCGGCGGACAAACGGGGCTGACGTTGTGCGGCTGACCGTGACTGTGCTGCTGGGCTGGCTTTTCTGGCCCAGGGGCAGCGAGGCAGTACCGCCAGCGGACGCTGAGGCAGTGCTAGCGGAAAGCTCGTGACGAAAGGCGCGGCTGGGCAGCGTCAGCGCCGGCATGCCCATTGCGGCAGCTGTTGCGAAGTCGGCAAATGACCTCCCGTCGAGGGAGTCGAGAGGGCAATCGCTCAGCGCGGAGCTAGGAGACAAATAGTAAGGAGAATCAAAGTATCTTCGCACCAGAGAGCGGGAGAGAGGAGAGACAAAGCACGTGTGTGAACCACAGTGATGATAGATATTCTTCAACCAACAAAATACAAAATTTCTATGCTGTGGGAAAGGGAGGCAGATTCCGCGGTTCCCTGGCGTTCCCATCCTAGCTTACAATCTCGTATGCTACCTACTCCTTCCATGGTTGGCACGCAACCAGAGTGGTGGCCCGGTGTATATGGAAGGTGCAGTCTTCTTGCTACCCCTATCTCCAGCGCACTGGTAAACAGGGCATGGCGACCCCGGGCACTACGGCAAGACCCAACACGCAACCTTTCGTGTAATCACCACTGTAAAGCCCAAAAACATCGTCGTAGACGTGCAGTGGCCGCCGACGCCATGGCCGCCGTGCACAGGACGTGGCGATTCATCCGCGAAGAGCCATCGGCGAATGGCATCTCGACGTACCAAGGTCGGACTTGTACCACTGCACCGTAAGTGACCAAGGTAGGGGCGAGGTGCGTATTATCGTCTGGCGATCCCGTTTCTGAGGCGCCTTCGTTGAAATACGATTTTCACACTGCCATTGCGCGGCGCATAAGTCTGCAGGCATTTGGGATAGTTCCCGTCCGATGGCCCAGGTCTCATGCAGGCACGCCTATAGTAGGCCTCCAACAGGAGGAGGATTTTAGCAGAGACTACAGCTTCGAGCAATGGCGCCGTGGCATGCATAGGTTAGGGTCATTTGCTAACTCAAGCAGAGTATCCAGCCAGCAATTGGCCAAAAAAGCAGCAGAAGGCAATTTAACTCCTGTGGCGCCTTTGTTCATGGCACGGCCATCCGCATCTTCATCATGGACAGCTCTGAGCTCTTGGCCCACGAGCCGCTGGGGGTCTGGCGGTAGCAGATAAGGCGGCCCTCGTCGCCGACGCTGCCAAGAACCTGGCCGTCATCGTCAAAGGCGACACGCCAGACGGGGGTGCGGTGGATGTCGAGCCGGGCCATCTCTTTGGCGACATGCCTGACCTGGCCCGGCATGCCGGTGGAGCGGCGCTCAGTGTTGGCGCGCGGCGGGTTGAAGCCCGCGTCGAGGGCCGACTTGTGCTGCAAGGGTATGTTTACTCCCGAGACATCCAGGTCGGGCACGAAGGTGCTGCCGGCGCCATCATTGCCATTGCCGGCAGCGGCAGCGGCGGCGGCGGTGGCGGCGGCATTGATCTGAGTCTGGGCCAATGTGGCTTGGTGGATTTCCTCGTTGTGTTCCACTTCCTCGCGGTTTACGGGAATGTGCTTCTGCAGCTGGCTCGCGGACCAGGCGGTGGTGGTGTGCGCGATGGGGCAATCGAGGCTGAAGACGCGGACGAAGCCGTCCTGGCAGGCGGTGGCGATGATGTCGTAGCCACGGATGTTGCCGGGGGCCCAGGCAACGTCGCGCACGAGGCCGCGGTGGCCGGTCAGCTCGGCGGCGAGGTAGAACTCCTTGGCGGCGGTGGTGACGCCGAGTGAGGATCTGATGGTGTCGCGAGAGCGGTAGACCCTCACCCTGTCCATGGCGGCGACGACGAGGCTCAGGGTGTCGGAGAGCACACCGGCGCGCAGGGCCGTGTAGCACACGTCGGGGTTGGGGTCGAAGCGCACGCAAAAGGCCGTCTCGTCGCCGCGGGTGGGACGGGGGCAGACGGTGAACTCGTCGACTTTTGAGAAGTCGGGTAGGTTCTCGGGGTGGTCGTTCTCATAGACGTGTAGCTGGCCGTCGGCCGTGGCTAGAGCCAGGTAGGTGCAGGCGGCCTCGTCTATGTACTTCATGGCAAATGCGCGGTAGGGGCTGGTACTGTTGCGTGTCTCGAAGGCGGCCCTGGCCTTGGCCTTTGCGTTTGGGTTCGCGCTGGGGTTTGCGCTGGGGTTTGCGTTGGAATTATTTGGGTTGGGATTTGGGTTGGGGTTTGCGTATGGGTTTGGATTTAGATTTGGATTGGGGTTTGCATTCGGGTTTACGTTTGGGTTTGAGGTTGCGCCGGGGTTGTTGCCATTGTTGCTGTTGTTGTTGTTGTCGCCCGGGTTGGCGGTGCCGTCGGCGCTGTCGCCAATGGCGTCGCCGCCGTCCGGGGCAGGGCCCAGCTTGACGTTGCGGCGTCTCACGAAGCGCTTGGCTGTGATGAAGCGGCGGCCCGAGGTGGCAATGGGGTCCTCGGCCCAGAGCTTGAAGCGGCCCTCAATGCCGAGGGAGGCGATCAGGTTGGGGGCGATGGTGGACGGGAGCCATTGGATCTGGATAGACACTAGTTAGTGGGCTGGATTATAGAGAGGAGAGCCTCGTAGGGCAGGCAGCTCACCTCGGTAATCTCGCCGCCGTGGGCGGTCCAGTTGTCGGACAGGCGCCAGACGCCGTCCTTGTGGCGGTTGAAGACGCGAATCTTGCCGTCGACGGAGCCGGTGGCGGCACGGTCGCCGTAGTTGTTGAAAGCGACAACCTGCACCAGGTCCTGGTGGCCGTGCTTGACAATCACGTCGAAGTTTGGCTGCTCGTCGACGCTGGGCGGGTCGCTGAGGAGCGAATCGTCGTCGGCCTTGTCGACACGGGCTGTGGCCATGTTGCGCTGGCTGGGTTGAATCAGGTATCCGATGGATGGAATGGATATTCCGTAACATGGGATAAAGTGAAGTGAATGGCGGGGTGGTTTATCAAAGTTCAGGTAACCCCTTGGCCCAAGCTCCTTGCATTCACAGTAACAGCTGGAGCAGAGAGCTGATCCGCAGGGGTTCAACGTTTGATTTGAGAGGTTCCTTACTTAGTTAGGTAATCAAGGTATCGGGTATATACATGTACGAGTACGGATACTCTGTACAATACTGTAAAATACATCAATATACTCGGTACAGCACAAGCATGACAAGGCTCCGGCCTGAGGAGACGCCTTCATGCGGACCTTAACATAAGCAGTGGTATAACGACCATAATCTCAATTGCCGGACTCCTGATCGCTTGACAGGGCGGACTGTCACTACCCGCCCATATATCCAGTACTCCATTAGGTGAAAGCTGCTCTTGAAGAAAGGGGCATCATTAAGAAAAAAAAAAAAGAAGGGGGGGGGGGGGGGGAAAGACTTACAAACGACATAGAACAGAACCTCGTCCTGGCTCCTAGCAGGTTATGACTAGACTTTGAAGCCTTTCAGAGGCTATGGCAGCTGTTGACACGAAAGACTCGGTAGAATAAACGCTACCTACGAACCAGCAGACAAGGAGACGATGAGACAAACGCTCCAAACGACATCTAACAAAAACAAAAACGCTTCGACGAGCTGGAAACTTATTGGGATACTAAGTAGCTAAGATAGATAATGATCCAGAGCCATCCATCTCCTCCGCGACAGGAGATGGAGATGTAAGTTTTCGCTCAGAATAATTCGCTCTTTTCGCTTTGGTATTCGTACCCATACTCTCAAAAATCAACAACCCCCACCAACAACAACACCAAACGATACCACTCGGCATAGAGAGCCGTCTAACTGCTATTACCCTCCTCGTCAGTCCCGAGCTCCGCATCCGTCTCGCTTAGTACATTCGGCGCGGCTCCCCGCTGAAACAGGAACTTCTCCAGCTCGTGGTAGTCATACTGCGCAGCATAATTAAGAGCTGTATAACCTTCGTTGTCCTTGGCAGCCACATCGGCTCCCCCGTCCAACAGTGACCTCGAAAGCATAATGTCGTCATTCACAACAGCGTGGTGCAACGGCGTCCGGCCGTCTTGATCCCTCGCATCCGGATCGGCCCCCGCCTCCAGTAGCAGCGACACGACCGCCGTGTAGGCCTTGTCCGCTGCGCAGTGTAAAGGCGTCCAGCCATCTTCATCCTTCGCACCCGCACCGGCGCCCCCCGTTAGCAGTAGCCTCGCGACCGCCTCGTGGCCATGCCTCGCAGCGTAGTGTAGAGGCGTCATGCCACTGTCAGCCTTCGCGCCCGCATCGGCCCCCGCCTCTAGTAGTAGCATCGCGAGCGCCTCGTGGCCCTTCTTGGCAACTTTGTGCAAGGGCGTCCGACCAGACCTGTCCTTCGCGCCCGTATCGGCCCTCCCCACTTGCAATAGTAGTCTCATAATTGCCTCGTAGCCATTATCGGCAGCGTGATGTAAAGGCGCCATACCACAATCAGCCTGCGCACTCGCATTAGCCCCCAACTCTAACAGTAACCTCACCAGCGCAGCGTGGCCATTCTTCGTAGCTTGGTATAACGGCGTAGAACCATCGCCATCCCCCGCGTCCAAACCGGCTCCGTCCTCTCCTAACAGTAGCACCGCGACTGCCTCGTGGCCATTCTCAGCAGCGTAATGCAACGGTATTCGACCATGCCCGTCTTTTTTACTGGCCTCTCTGGTTATTGTATCTGCCACTTGTAGAATAACCCTTAATAACGTCAAGACTCCGGACTTTGATATAAGATGTAAGAGGCTGGTTGCTGCTGGTGGGCAATCCGAGCTGTTCCCATCAATTATTTGGTACACGTGGGACCACAGTTCGATGAGGGCATTCGATGGCCAGGCAAGCAACTGTAGAAGGTCTTGCGCCTCATCAACAGTGTCGATCCGGGCCATATGTGTTACCCACGAGGTGGTAGCATATCGCAAGAAAGGAAACCGAGACTCTATCTCCTTGGCCTCGGGATTGTTTTGTATCGAGAGAGCGATCTCCTCCATGGCTAAGTAGCGCAGACAAGTCCCGGACAGCCGATAGTGACTGCGCCCTAGCATGCCCGTCGTCACCATCGCAGCTTCGTCGTTCCCCGTCGTCAACATCGATAAGTAGTTCCCGATAATGAAGTTTTGGACCGACTGGTGGATGAACTGGACCACGGTGCCCTCGGGGAACACTTTTACCTCGGCAAGGCCACGGCTAAGAGTTTTCACTCTCTTCTCCATGTCGCTGTCGTAATCTTCTGCGCGTCGGGATTCCCGCAACGACCTGTGCGGGGAATCGACATCGACAATCATGGCCCATTGCAACTCGTCTAGTAAAAGACGTCTCTTGGCGAAACAGATCCACTGGAACATTTTTTGTGAACGAGCCTTCTCCACGCCGGCCAGGTCTTGCAAGAGTTCGGTGTAAAAGTCATGCAGCTTCTCGGGGATGTGGCCGATCCCCTTCGCAATCGCCAACCAGCCTAGGCCCTGGCGGCGAGAGCGAAGAATCCGTTCCATAACGAGACGCACCCACATAAACACACCCGTTGCGCGACCCAGACCCGTGATTGCCTCCAGAATTGGCACTGGCAGCGAGATTTCAGACTCGCGGGATTGGACGTAGGCGACGATGTCCTCGCCGTTCTAGCGCTCGGGACGTATGACAGAGACATGGTCCAGGTCTAATTCGAGGATTGGGTAGTGACGACATGTGAAACAAATGTGCAAAAGTGAAGCCGTATGCGGTAGCTGTTTAATCAACGTTTTGAACTCGCCAGCGAGCTCGACCGCGTCCTCCTCGCCACATTCGTCCAATGCGTCAATAAACAGGCGGATCGAGTGGCTCTCCAGCACCTTTGGAAGCGACGACTTGAAGAAATCTTGTAGCTCGTCCAGAGACCAGTGCCACTTTTCGCCAAATGCGCCCCTTCTCTGGCATCGTTCCTGGTAGACAGAGACAAGGCTAGGGAGGGCGTGGGGAACGCTGCAGAGGAGCTGGTGGAGGACTGAGCGGAAGAAACCGAGGCGGGTTTTTTGTAGGTCTGTGCCACGACCGTGAAAGAAAAAGGAGAGAATAAGGTCATTGGGTTGGCGTTTTGTGGTAGCGTTCTCGACTGCATGTCGCAGGAGAGTTGACTTTCCAGAGCCAGGGTTTCCCATTATCAAGAGGAGGCTTCTGTCACGATCATTCCAAGACCTGTATTCTGAGTGTTCAAGAAGCCACTTACACGTTCCGTTGGTAGCTCGGTTGATATCTCTTATTCGATCGTCCATTTCGCGAAAGGCAAGGGATTGCTGGCAACTCACCAGCGAGCGCAAGAGCTTGGGATCTAGGGCTTCAAGCCAATACACAATACATCAACCTCCAGCTACAGGTACCAGTGGATAATGGGGGCTAGCTTCTCACCGAATTTTACCTGATCCTCGAATTGCGTTATCCATCCCCTCAACTCTCCAAGTAGCCTGATCAGTACAGCATTTTGTATAGAACCAAACCTAACCATCTTCACATGATCCGCGTGTATGCTCAATGACGGGTAGCCATCCTGAGTAGCTGTTTGCTGGGGCACCACGAGTTTCCCTAACGCCTCCAGAGGAAGCTCCTCGTAGACGCACGTGATCCGAATGATTCGGCCGTTCTCTCGAAGCTGTCGTATCATGCTCCAGAAGTCGTCTTGGATAAATTCCAGGAGTTGACTATCAGCCTTGAGGAAATCCAAGAGCCCCTTGTGGTTAGGCGTGGCGAGATCAATAACCGAAGCTGCTATGCTGGCATAGTCGTCCATCCAGGACCCCCTGTGAGGAGTGCCAATGAATAAAACACCAAAGGTGTAGTTAAATATACTTTGGAGAGAATCTTCAGCTTTGTTTCTCGAGAGCAGAATGGCCGACTTGCAGATAAGGCCCCCTAGCCCGTGGGCGACGAAGATGAGAGGACGAGACGAAGCACTGGTACCCTCTCTATTCGTTGACAAGTCGGTCAAGAGGTCTGTGGCATGGCCGGCCACCCCAGTTAACAATGCAGCCTCCCCACGCACAACATATACGTCATATCCGTACGTGAGCACGCGTGCATTCGTCAATACTTGTGGCAGGAGAGTCTCCGGCCAAGGCCTGGGTTGCTTTTCGGCGGTCCAGGTGCTCTCACGATCTCCGGTTAAACCGTGGATAAAGCAGATATCGACTACGGCATCGGGACACTCGTGCAACACTTTAACTCCACTTGGGGACGGTGGCGGATGGCTTTCGGGGGGTAGCTCTGAGGGCGTCTCTTCAAGGTTCGGTGGTGGATCGGGCTTGGGAGGACTCCCTGCTGTATTTTCTTGACCATTATTCGACGGGTCGCTGGCTTCTTGGCCATTGTTCGACGGGTTGGCGGGTTCTTGAACATTGTTCGACGGGTTGCTGGATTCACTATTATTCGGCGGGTTGCCGGGCGCGCTATGACGCCTTAGTCCCTGAAGACGACTCTTCATCCTCGAAAAACGATCCATGCTGCGAAATTCGCAGAGCTGAAGGGGTGGGAATGAGAAACTGGGCGCCCGACACTAGTTGTGAGCCGAAGCCAAAATCTCTGCTAGTTAGTTGACTGTCATCGAGCCGGGAATCCTAGCTTACTGAGCCTGTATTCTAAGTGAGACAAAAGAATGTCAAAGGTATTGATGCTGCGCGTGAGAGGCGATCAAGAACGAATGCCGGCGATACATCAGGAGGGAAAATTGTGGCAGGGTTGGGACGTGGTCAGCTGAAGCTTCTGAGCCTGCCTTTCTGGTCTCGAATATGTGAGTCTGTCTTGCCTCGTAGCCAAAAATGGAATCCAATAGAGGCAAGTACCATACAGCGCCCGGCTCCATCGCTCACCAATGTCCATTCCTTCGATACAGGTGTATATAGGTCTCCCGCAGCCATACGCGCGCAACCGTAATCTGCAAATACAGGTATCCTACTCGTGGTGAAATATATAAAACGTAGACTTGTAAATCTATAAACCGAAAGATCCCGTATTTTTCATCCTTCTCACAGTCTTTGGTCGTTAGCTTGGCTTGGTGAGGTTTGGGAGATAGAAGCCTGACTACCTAGGTATATATATCGCAACGGGACTCGGGCTCCAGCTTCCGACATATCCCCGCTCATTATTTTGGCTTTGCCGCAATCCAAGAATGCGAAAAGCAATTTCGGCCCAGCACCCAGGTTCAACTCCGACCCGGCCAGAGACTGCCTGACTCTCACTCTATCACAATACCCCAGTTATCCGAGTCGAAGATGAACAGCGCCAGGCGGTGCCTCACAAATAGGCCAAACAGGCCGACAGCCATCTGCATGGCCGTTATCTCCTTGGCGAGGCGGTCCTCGCGCATTGGGCCGCGCCAGACGAGCCACAGGTTGAGGATGGTGAAGTTACTGGTCTCGACAAAGTTGCCGGCGTCGTCGAGCAAGACAGCGAGCAGGTGCAGGCGGCCAAGCAGCTTCAGCGCCCAGGCGACGGGGGGCCGGGGCTGGCGGGTGGCGGGCCAGGGGGTGACGCTGGGCTCGAGCAGGCCGGTGCGGGCGTTGAAGCGCGGCAGGCGGTGGCGTGGGCACGGCACCAGGCCGAACAGCTGCGGGGCCGAGTAGACAAAGTTTGCCATCTGCGGCACCAGCAGCAGGATCAGCGTCTTGCTGAAGTGGCCGAGGATGCTGACGACGACAAAGACCATGCCGGCGAAGTAGCAGTACGTGTCGCCGACAAAGACGCGGGCCGGGTACCAGTTGTACCAGAGCAGGGCCAGCGACACGCCCAGGAAGGGCAGCAGGAAGTAGAGCGAGAACAGGTGCGAGTCTGTGGCTGGGTGCGGGTACGGTGGGGCTAACAAATACAAGCTGTCGTTGAGAGCCAGCAGCAGGGCGATGACGACCGACTGGGACACCTCAATACCGTTGATTCCGGCCAGGATGTTGATGCTGTTGGGGCTAAAAATGGCCACGCCGGCCATGTAAACGTAGTAGAGGGCACCCAGGTGGAACAGCTCACCCAGGTAGGGCTGCAGCGGGATGGGCACGACGATGGACGTGACGCCAAAGTCGACAAAGTAGACGACCAGCAGGGGGATCGAGGCAAAGGCGGGGATGAAGAACTTGTGGCGCCAGCGGATGTCGAACAGATCATCGCCGATGCCCAGGATGGCGATGGACTGCAGCGAGATGATGGCCGACAGGTACGAGGCCAGCTTGCTGTGGGGGAAGCGATGCAGGAACCGGCCCTGCTGGACGTGCTCGACCTCGAGCACGACGTCGCGGTTGCCGCCGCCGCTGGTGGCGGCCACGATGTCCTTGTAGAAGGGGAAGGGGATAAAGACAATAACAACGAGCAGGTAGACGACGGCGCAGATGGCGCCCATGCACTCGGGCAGCTCGCGCTTGTTGTGCTTGCTCATGTCGACGCCCTTGAGGCCCGCCGCCATAAAGGTCGGCCCCAGCCAGCGGATGAGGGCAAACGTGGCGCTGAAGGCCACCCCGCTGAGCGCGAGCGACGCAATGAGTGGCTCTCCATCGCCCTGAAAGGTATTGGCAAGCACCGCAACGCACGCTGCCGTCAATGACAAGAGGCTAAGTGTCTCAGTCCGCGAGAGCGACGTGGACGTTATCGGCGATGACGACAACGACGACAATGACGCTGACGATGGCGGCGGCGGCGGCAGCGGCGGCGCCATGTCTCTGGCTTTGCCCTTACTCATGACCTGACCTGACCTGCAAAAAGTATCTGCTGCTCATGGCAGACGCCGTCTAGGCAGGTATATTAACATGCGGACAGCAAATCGGGAAAGCTAGCGAGGATATAGACGGGAGTAAAGACGCGAGGCTGACGACCAGGTCGGATTACGTTGGATGTCGTTGAAGCCAGATGTCCCAAAAACCGATTGGGCGAATGGGGCGTTCTGCAGGCGGTTTCAGGTCCCGTCAGCCTTGTGTTGATCTGGTTGACCCAAGCCTACGGCGCTAAAGAGCGCTGTGTTTCGCCCCCCAGCACCACCTCATCGCCTCAGGCCGCCTACATCTATGATATCCACTTCCACTACAATTCCATCCATCCCTCCTATGAAGAAAACAGAATAAATCGATCATACTCTGCTACAGCTAAATACAAGCAAAAACATTCTATAAGGCCAAAATACCATGTCAGATGGAAGCCCGGTTTTCCAGGAAAAAGGTGGTTCAAGCACACAATCTCTAGGTTACGAGGGCAGTCGCGAGTCACAAGGAATCACATTAGGTGAATAAATGAGTCAATTGACCCATCTATTCTACAGGCGCAAGTGCGAGGCGGGAAGAGTCCTTATCAAAATAGAGGGCTGAGTAGGAAGTCACGCCTTGGGATACCTAATATAACCTGTTGTCCCTTCCCGACATGGCACGGCTGTCTCACTCCTTCCCCATACGTAAGGTATATCCAAGTTCAAAAAGTGAAGAAAAACACCGCAACATTAGATTAATTTTTTTCCGTATAGCGAGCATGCAATATACAAGACCAGACGAGATGAAAGAAGCTACAAGCGGAAAGATCGACAGACCAAGACTGTGACGGCCCGCCTTACGCAGTAGGGATGTCAATGTGGATTTGAAGCTGAGGAAGAGAAAGGAATCTATCGCGGGGTCCGCGCAGGGCGCGGGGAAATAGGTGGTGGTTCTCAGTGCGCACAGGCTACACTCTAAACACAATGCAGCCAATAGAATCAATCCTGTCATATGAGCCCTGTGGCGACCATGACAAAGACTAAAAAAAAAAGAATTACCCGAGAATGAATCTGCCCCTTTTATAATAACAAATGACACAAAGAAAAAGAGAAATGTTAGAAACAAATAAAGTATGTGAGAACACGGTGCTACACGCTCCGTGAAAGGCGCCCTCCCCCACCTCTGCTTACTTGGTTTAGCGCGGCCCTTCTATCGTCCCGCGCTCGACTCTAGTATACGTCTTACGCCCGAGTTGATAGAACAAAACGTCTTTCACGGAATATTGAAGACGAGTGGCAATCAATTATTAGGCTAGGCATTTGTTATTTATTATTTTAGCACTTTTGTGAAATTACACGTGGCATAGTCTGGAATAGACCATAGTACCTTACTGAGGAGCTGTCGAAACTGGAAACATATCATGTTATTGACGCGTGAATCATCATAGTCAAACGCTATTATCACGCTATATAACTCTAAAACCCAACGCTAGTCACACAACAACCAGTCCATCCAGTTATAATCATCCCAATCATAGTCTTTCTCATGGTTAGCCGGGTGGCCCGAGTCGTCCGAGTCGTCCGAGTCATCCGAGTCATCTTTATCGCTCTCCCGGTGTTCTTCGATAGGTTGGGTAGGATTATTGTCTTTGTTATCTTCCGACTTTTTTTCAGCAGATTGCCAGAGGCGATGGAGGGATTCGCGAGACGCAGCCTAAAATACACCCTCAGTAAGTAGGTGCCAATAATAAAGGGGTAATTTCCGGAGCCAAACTTACCCAGAATTCACGAGCTTCTTTCCAAATGGGAATACATGCGCCCAGGTAGAGAGCGATAGGTCCGGCGTTGTCAACCTATCGACGTAGAAGCCATGGATGGCGAGGTCCCTCACACTTTCTATCCTCCAGCCTTGCAATTCTCTGGGCAACGTTCTCAATCCTTGCGTCCATCTTCTGCATTTGCTCACGATGTTGTGCAAGGTGGTCAAGTATTGATGTCAACTTGGTATCCTGCAGATCGAGGGGTTTGTTGGCGAGGGGTTTGTCGGCGAGGAATCGTCTATACGATGGAGGTATAGCTGAACGGACCCGAAGAGGAGGTATAGCCGAACAGACCCGAAGAGTCTTGCGAGAAAACATGGTTATGAACTGTCGAAGAATGATGGTTATGAACTGTCGAAGAATGACGATTATGAACTGTCGAAGAATGATGTAGAGTTGAAAGGTACGAGCTGTGTTGCAGTGGGCGCAAATGCTTTTAATACCTGCTCCTGTCAAAACTTTATCGGCTATGTTGGAGGGCGCCTGACCGCAGAAACGAACCTAAAGCGTCCTTGCCTCAGGCTAATGAAGCTAGCTGGAGGAAGGAGCACCGATAAAGTATGTTAAGGGCGCAGAAGAGTGAAGCTCTGAAGGTCGAGTCAGCCAAAATAAAGCAGGTGCAGACTGTGAAATAAGTTCGTACTTACCTCAATAACGAGAAAGAAAGTCGAATATAACCCTCGCCAAAGACGGACTGACACTCGTGGCCGTTTAGGCAGATACTGTTGTCGGAATTGGAATCTCAAGATTGAGGAAGAAAGTCGAGTATAACCCTCGCCAGAGACGGACTGACACCCGTGACGCAGTTTTATGACATGCCAGGGTTGACACGACAATTCAGAGAAGGCGGACAAAACAGTTAGAGTTCATAGTTGCTTTCATTTACCATATGCGAGCTCCATGTTGGCCTTTGGCTCGCCCAGAGATATTCCTCCTATGCCAGTTCTAGTTTGACATTGCTGGCCGAAATCACCACGAGCCATCCTGACCCAAGTCGCCTGCATCCAGACTACCATTGCTGGCAGTGTTCTCCCAGTGACTATCGCTATTACTACCAATTTCCTCGTTGCCTTGATCTAGAGTGCCACTGCCCGCATTACCATCCCAACCACCGCCCGCATTGCCGTTCGAGTTCTCAACGTCAGTGGTGCTGTTGTCAGGCAACACCGGTGCAAATCCTTTGGGACGATCGGCTTCGCTGACGGTCATGTTCATGTCGGCGATCAATCCAGCACGAGCTGAAGGCTCGGCAGCGGGATCCTGCTTATTCAAATTCTGCTTCACACGTGCAGACGGTTGGAAACTCATGTTAGTTGGAATGTAGGTGATCTCGTCGTCGATCCTCTGCTCGGGGCATTCCCCCTGCGAGTGTCCCAAATTGCTGCAGAAAGTGCATTTCCGACTGGGGCAGCCCGATTTCATATGGCCGGATTGCTGGCAGATCTTGCAGGTTTGCTGGTCCGGGCATCTTCTCGTTGTATGGCCATTAGTGTTGCAATGATTGCAATGGTTGCAGCTTGCCACAAGATGCCCCTCCTTCCCGCAGTTTCTGTAGGTAATGCTGCGATTAGGGCAATTTTTCGCTTTATGGCCCGGTTGCTGGCAGTGGTTGCATTTGGTACCTGAAACGCACTCTGACTTGCGATGTCCCTCTTCGTGACAAATTTCGCAGTTTGGGCACTCGTTTCTTGTGTGCTCGGCGCTTTTACAAATGAAGCATCTCGGGACCTTCGGTTGGGGGCATGTATTAGGCGTGTGAAAGGAGCCACCGCAGTTCTGACACTTCAGCTCCTGGCAGCATTGCTTCTGGAGGTGACCCGACTGGCCATAGTTGTGGCATTTATCGGATATATGAGTGTCATCTTGGGGGGGTATGAAGATCATTGATGGTATTGATCATCCCTTTTGTAACCTTGTCGGATATGAGGGGCTTGAACTTGACCTTGAGATTTATCTCTGGATTCTTGAAGTAGTCTTCAACGCGAGTCTTGAAAAATCTCGATCGTCCCTACTCAAGTCATTGTCTTTCCACTTTAGGATGGGGAACTTGACATCAATGATTGGGCGTTGTCCATCTGGGAGTGCCTCGTCCTTTGGAACCAAGGGAATAGTAACAAAGTACGCGGTCAATCCGTCAGGCGTTCCGGCGGCGGGTAGTGAGGCACTTTTAGCTTTCCATACGCCTACGTCTACGGTCTCTAGGGACGGCTCCTTGTGGATAACCACAGAGAAGGAATCAATCTCAGCCCATGAATTGACTAGACCAGTGAGGCGAAGTTGCAGTTCAGGTGGAGACTCGCCAATTTTGCGCTGCAAGTGATCGATATTTTCCGAGGTCAGGTAGTCTAGATTGATAAGCTCCTTGCAGCTTTCGACAATGAACTCATCGGGATATTTCTTTCCCTCAGCTTCCAGTGACACGGTGTGCAGTTCTTCGGTGATGCATTCCAATGACAGCCCGGCTTGGGTCTTGGCGGGTAAAACTCGCGAAATATTGCAGAGAGTGATCATGCACAATTCGCCTTCTTGTGGTTGGTAAACACCGTCTTCGCTAGGAGAATCCACGAGAAGCAGGAACGATTCGCCTCTGCGGTGCGGCAGCTCAATTGCCCAACCGTTGAACTCAAGTTTCTCCAGGTTGAAGGAGCTGTCAACCTCTGCTTGGTGCTCAAAGACCGTGCCCATCACCAATGCAACAAGCTGCTCTTCCGCATTATCGTAACTGTTGACGGCGGGAAGAACTCGACCCATGACTTGGCTGAGCTCCGCGGGGTGGGGCGCATTGCCATAGTGGAGCTGCTGCACGTTTGGACTCGCCCTGAAGATTTTCTTGAACGGATAATCTTCATGGGCTTTGTCTTTGTCGCTGTTCGAAAATTTCTTGAGTATCTAACACATCTTGGTGATGTATTCAACACTGTTATTTCTAGTATGGAAGACGACGCTAATATTTTTGCCCTCGGAGCCACTGATCATGTAATTCAGATGCTTCGAGATCGGCTCGGCGTATAGCGTCAGAGCGTTGAAGATTTGGTCATGAACGGTGAGGTTGACTTTGCTGCATTGTTATCAAAGCGACGATATGCTGGCCACGAAAATGCTCGCGCAGGTCAGGTTAAAGCGGTGGCTCGATTGGTCTTCGAAAACGCCGACCCGGTGCTCGTTGCGGCGACTGGCTACGGCAAAAGCGCAGTCCTATACGCCTGTTCGGCTCTATTGAACAAGATCACGGTGCAAATCGTACCGTTGACGAAGCTGGGCGAGAATCAACGTAATTCTATCGCCAAAGACGTTACGGGCGCAAGGCCTGTATAGATCGATGCTGACACGCATCTCAAGGCGAGTTACGAAAGCCCTGTTGCCCTGAGATTGATCGGTAACTAACCTCCCTTCATTAACAATATAGAATCGAGAGATATGGAACGAAGTTCGCGACGGAAAGTTCACACACGTCCTGTTGAGCCCAGAGCAGGCAGCCAGCGCCAAATTTAAGGCTGTTTTGAGGGACCCTGTCACGATTAATAGGATTATATAGGACAATGCCAATAAGATACCGTATTTACTTAGTATAAAACTAAGCTAGAGAAGAAAAAGAAAGAAAGAAGGATCACAGGAGCTGCGATCGGTAGAAAAAGGTTTGTGGGCAGAGTTTGCACGTGATCCATACGCTAACCTAGTTGGGCTTTTTCCATGAAAGAAGGTTTGCGGGCGAAGCTTACACGTGACCCACAAACTAAGCCTAATTGGGTTTCTTGGAAGATGACGTAACACGGCCAGCGACAATGAACTCACAATGCGCTGTGCCGTGACAGACCCGGGCTTCCACACGCGAGTCGGACTTTTCGCTATCGATGTGCTACATATTGTTGGGGAATGGAGAGAATTCAGGGAGGAATTCACATACCTACATTCTTTAAGGGCCCTGCTACCTCGCGCGGTTCCTTGGTTTGGTTGTACGGCGACTCTCGACTGGGAAAATGAGGATTATCCTGTTCGGAGGACAATATTACTGCGAAACTCTGAAAAAATTACTATGTGAAATTGATAAGACACCTTATCGCCTTTCTGGATTGGCTAACCTATGTGGAAAAGTGGACCCGATTTCTCAGTCACATCAATATGGGTAGCCCCTATCACGTGCCTATCTGCCATTCGGTCAGCACACTTTCCAAAATTGATGCAACCGGTATCATTATGTGTATAACTCTACGGAAATTTTGAATCTAAAGCCCGATTCGTATTATAAGGGAAATTGGCTAAGATATAAGCGTTTAAATGCTTTCTAGCGTGGAGGGGCGTGCGTAAAGGTGGGCTTGCGCACGTGACTACGCGAATTGCCCTTCAACCCCGCGTCGAATTTCCTCGCCCACCTATTACAAACCACTCGACTGTTAGGGTCGTCTGTCTGTAAGGGAGCACGGGCTCCACAGGATGCTGGGGTTGGTAATTATGAAGATAGAACAAAGGGCAAGCTCCTATCGCACGGTTAATACAGTCAAATTGGAATGCTACTCAAAGTGTATGAGTGCAGTGAATGTGTACTGCTTGCTTGAAGAACCAAGCAAGAACTATCTAAGACCGTGGGTATGGTCATCGTATATATCTAACTGTGTAACCAATAACAATGGTCCCACTGGCCCGTGGTCCCGAGACCTTGCGGTCTCGGGACGCCGGGCGCGCGGGACACTCCTAATTGGTTCCTTCCATAGGACGCTCCTGATTGGTCCACACCAAACTGAGTATGCTCCACTATTGCGCATTTCAACAAGGATTCGTAACACCACCCCACAATTGCTTTTCTTTTTCCAATACATTCGTACCGTAGTACCTTCGACGAACCTTACAATCTACCCGCTCTTCGTAGCTAACCTCCTTTCCTCTATAGTACCGTTTTGCCTATTATGGCCAGGTTATTCGGTATCTATAGCGGACGCGGCGGAGGCGGCTGCCCGCAAAGTTTGCCACACCTGCGTGTTACGATCCTGGTTCAGGCTCGCAGGAGGCTGCACGGAGCCTCCCGTTATTGGCTGACGCCAGGAAGTGGGGTAGTTCCCCGCTTCCCTCGAGTGCAGCCAATAACGAGGCGGTCAGTACGATCAGTATGGTCAGGGCGATCAGTGAGAGAACTGACCGCACTGAGCACACTGACCGCACTGATCACCCAGGACCAACGCTCTGATTGGTTCGCCTTAGATAGATATATACGACGACCGTAGCCACGGTCTTAGATAGTTCTTGCTTGGTTCTTCAAGCAAGCAATACACATTCACTGCACTCATACACTTTGAGTGGCATTCCGATTTGGCTGTATTACCCGTGCAAAAGGAGCTTGCCCTTTGTTCTATCTTCATAATTACCAACCCCAGCATTCTGTGGAGCCCGTGCTCCCTTACAGACAGACGACCCTAACAGTCGAGTGGTTTGTAATACTGCGGCGTTGAGAATGACATCGACCAATTCCGGTCGTTCCGAGGCCCTCGACGGATCGTCCTTAATTACGCGGATTGCCGTAATCGCGGTAGGTAGCAGGTAAGTCTATTAGACCTATCTTCCTTGGTTTCCTTACTAACTTTGTTACAATCTGGACAACAGGTCCACGGAGCTAGGCCCGGCCTAGGATTGTGGGGGTCTGGACGGCAGGTAGGAGATGACAGGAGACAAGGAGTATCGTGCACAGATTGCGAAAGACAGGCTTTCAACACACAACCAAAGTATGCTTAACCAGATGCATTGATAGCTGCAGAACCGTTCCCCCAGAGAGAGCGTGCTGCCAGCTCCTATATAGAACTATGAGCAACCAATCAGAGTTCCTGCCTTACATGCTCAGTCGTGCTCAGTCCTAGACGCACTGATCCTCACTGAGCTCCCTGCTCAGTGCGCTCGGTGGGTCTCCGCACTGATCCTACTGAGCTCAGCCATGCTCAGTGCACCTTGGCACTGGCCCCACTGAGCACTCCCTAATTGGATGCACCTTCTCTTGGCGAGAGCCTCACCCTAAGTGCCGTTCCAGCCAATCTGCAGCGGGCGGGCGACGCCCTCTACACCTTTGAACCAGGATCGTAACAAACTTCATTCCTATAGAGCCGCGTCGAACGTAAGAGTTTCTGTAGCTGCTGCCGTAACCCGCGGACAAAGTCCCGCCCTTGCGCCTCGCCAGAATCTCACCTTTCGTTTGATAAGTCGGTATTCTTAACCACAGTCTAACGGCAACAGGGTGAAGACCAGGCTCTATTCCGGTAAGCCCTGAAAGAATTACGGCAGGCCAAAGTATCTGTTTCGTCGTGGGAGCTTCTCACGTCGAGATGTGCGATCAAACTGCCTCCGGCTCAGGTTAAGGCTTTTGATAATGCCCTCCGCATCTTCCACATTAAGGCGTAGGTTAACGAATACAACCATTAGCACCTCCTAGGCCTACGAAAGGCGGTTGTGCAGGTGAACGAAAGCGTAGGCGTAGGGAGAGTCGAGTCCTCCAACGCTAGCAATCTAATCAAACGATTACCTCTTTATATTAGTTGCCGGGTCATACTAACGAGGAACCTCTAGGCCAACGTAGGCTTGTGAACGGTGCCCAGGGTACTATATACGGCATCTCGTGGGCTGAAGGCGCTAACGTGCTGGAAGACCCACCGCAGGTTATTATAGTTACGTTTGATAACTATATTGGGCCGCCGTTCCTGTTACCTAGCGGAGAAGAGCTTCGTAATAGGGCTAAGCTGGTGGTTCCTATCCTTAGGGTTTAGCAGGAGTTTGTTCCTGGGGCTGGCACTGGCTACCGGGAGTAGTTTCCACTGCTTGTTTGCTACGCAATCACAATATATAAGTCACAGGGCGTTACTCTTTTATGATATCTCCGCGCCAGAGTTTGCGTCCGGCCTATCGTACGTAGCAGTTTCCAGGGTCAAGACTTGGATGGCCTAATGTTTGAGTCGCCGTTTGATCGGAGTAGGATATACCGCGAAGTGCCGGTACAGAGCATACAATTGAAGATAGCGGATTACGAGGCAAAGAAGTTGCAGCTATTAGATCTCTAGGAAGATAAGGTTGACTCGAGCGATATGAGCGGGTATATAACTAATAGCTCTATTGTATAGATATAAGATTTAGTTATGTAGGTTTAGCCGTCGTTATAAGAAAAGATCTCTAGAGCATCGGAGTTGTTGGCCTCCGGGCAGGATATTGTCGCTTCGCTTGCTCTCTGCGTTATCTAAATAAGCTAACTATCGCGCTCTAAATTGCCAGGAGCGAGAGAGAGGAAGGAAGCGTCCCGTAGCGCAGCGAAGGGTCACGCGACTGACGAACGAAGCGACGCCAGCAATTTTAGTATCTTTTAGGGAAATCTCGCTAATCACTAACTTTGCCACCTTCTTACGTTAACATGTATTACCCCGGAGGAGGTGTAGCTCCCCGTCAAAATAACCACTTTCTTCCTACAACCTCGCAACACAACCTCAATCAATCGCACGCACGATTTATCGCTTTCCAGGTATAAACAGGTGCGTAGAATGCTTCACGGTCTTCCAGCTATTGATCATTGCGTGCGGCGGAAAATGGCCCAGCCACCCATTCCCTCGAGCGAAGCGAGGACAGGCCGCCGTAGGTGCCGCCGGAGGCAAAAAAGAAAGAAAAAAAAGGAAAAAAGAGGCTCCATTCAGCTGAACCCTTCCTGACTTTTCAGGTGGCTTATTTTACTCTCTATCTCGAGACCCCATACGCAATGGCAGATCAACAATCGCGGTTGAAGATCATTAATGACAACCCCATCGGGAAAGGTCTCGATGCCTTCCGCACTTCGTTCACTTCGATTTGCGAAGGAGCCGCTGTCTCCTGCACCCCAGATGCGTTGGAGCAGCTTGGCCAGAAAGGTAAGAAAGTCAGCGCAGCTTTTTTCTTATGGTTCCCTCTAATTATCGTATAGACCTCTAGAATCTCGCTATTAAACTTATTGCGGCATTGCAAGGCCTCCAGACCTCTCTTCTACTCCCCTCTAACAGCAGTAGTTAAACCCTCATTAGCGACATGTTGAGACTCGTTTCCGCTATTATTTTCAACGACTTCGACCTCGACCGTATCAAACCTCTCCTCATTTTAGCTCTCGATAGCCACTCTAATGATATCCTCATTTGGAAATACGTCTACGACGTCACAGAACCCACCCCGCCCCCCCGACCTGTAGCATCTTCCCTCCAACAAACGCCCTCGCGACGCACCACGAGCAGCTTAGTGAACTCCTCCGAGTACCACGATAATATTGACCCGGTCCTGAAGTCTGAGCTTGGTCTTGTCTATGTCGATGTTCGCCGTTTCCGCGAAGCATACTTTGGAGGCGTGACAAGTCTTGAAGCAACGTCCAAGACCGTTTTCAAGAAGTGCATGGATAGTAGTGCATGGATAGTAGTAATCCGCTCTTTGGTAGCGAAGGGTGGAGCGAATGGCCGGCGGGTGCGAAAGAGGGGCACATACTGGCCTGGTTTAGCGACCTAATCCCAAAGCTGGAGGCATTCGCAGGAGACTACAATTCCACCTCGACACCTTGACGAAAGTTGTTGGCGCAACCGAATACGCCCCTCCCAGGCTCCAGAGGAAAGCGTAGTGTGGACATCGGATTCGTGAAGGATGACTTTACGTACGACCCCACGGCGGACCCCACGGCGGGAAAAGTTTTCAGATATCACTTGTCGCATGCCCTCGTGCCAGGTGAACTGAAGAGCAACCCTTCTGCCGATATACCATCAATTGCAATGATCTCTATCGCCACGTATGCGAGAGAGGTGCTCTCCGCTCAAGATACTCGTCGTTTCGTCTTGGGCTTCACCCTCTGCGGGTCCTATATGAGAATATATGCGTTTGACCGGCTAAGGGCGATTGCGTCTGAAAAATTCGATATCAATAAGGAAGGACAGCAATTCGTCTCTACGATACTCGGATTCTTATGGATGAACGAAGAGGAGCTCGGTTTCGATCCGACATTTATGACAGCCAACGGTTAACGGTTCATTATGATCAACCGGAACGGCTTAACGGAGCGCTTCGTTATTGATAAGGCAATGCAGCGAACACGCTGTATAGTTGGCCGAGCGACGACTTGTTGGAAGGCCCGCCGTGAAGAGGATCCGCAGAACCCGTTGGTTATTAAAGATTCGTGGCAATGGCCAAACCGAGACGAGGAAGGCGACTTGCTCCGGGAGGCGACAGGCAAAGGCGTGGTCAAGGTGGCCCTATATTACCATCATGAGACGGGCCAGGTGAACGGTATGGATGACGATATTGGAAGCAATGTTCGAAAGGGGCTAGATATTACGAGCGCTACCAACTACGGAAAAGGAAGGTCGGTGGTTTCGCCGAGCACGAGCGCGGCAGGTGCCCCACGGAAAGGCCAAAGTAGTAGTGCTACTGGTACGAAGCGGTCGTACAGCCAAGCTGGCGCACCGCTACCACCGAGCAAGCGATCCGGTTCAGCATTTACGATCAAGGCTGGCAGCGATTTGCTGCTCAATCGAATACATCGGCGTGTCATTCTTCGCGACTATGGAAAGCCGATCTACAAGGCCAGCTCCCGAGCGGCTCTGCTTACCGCCTTGGAGGGTTGTATCAAAGGACACGAATCATTGTACATGGCTAGCCTCCTCCACAGAGATATCTCCATCAACAACCTCATGATCAACGAGGACGAAAACAACCCTTCCCTCCCTTCCTTCTTGATTGATCTTGACCTCGCCGTCCGAGTACAACAAGAAGGTGCCTCCGGAGCGAAGGGAAAGACCGGCACAAGGGCTTTCATGGCCATCGGGGCTCTTCAGGGCGAGCCACATTCGTTTATGCACGATCTCGAGTCATTTTTCTGGGTGCTCTTTTGGACGTGTATCCGCTATAACGCCCAGGGCAAAGATATTGGGTCAACCGGATTTGACAGCTGGAATTACCAGAATGACCATATGCTAGTTCAGTCCAAAAAGGGCGAGATCGATGACGAGGAAGATTTTATCAAGAGCGTAACTGAAATTTTCACTTTACACTACCAGCCGTTGATCCCATGGGTCAGTAGACTGCGGAGGAAAGTATTCCCAGACGGAAAAAGGTGGAAGCGGCTGGAACCAGAGCTCTATTCTTCGATGAAGCAGATCCTTCGCGATGCTCGGAAGGACCCAGAGGTGTTGGCAGATAGCATTATGTAGCGTTTCATCAGCAAAGCTCTACTCTCGAATGAGAGGTATTCTTCGGCAAGGCAGAAAAGACTTAGGGTGATAGATGTTCGTGGCAGGCAGAAAACTCTTATTAGCGATGCTAATATCTTAGATTAACAAACTACAAAAAGTAGTATTTCCGAATGGTAAGAGGTGAGAAAGAGAGGATACAGGATTATATACTCGGATAAGGGAGATTATTAGGAAAGCCCGAAAGGATCCAAAGGTGTCGTCATCTCCACAGCTTCCAGCTCCGTTTCTCCCACTTGCCTCGGTGAGCTCTCACTGCACTAGCGTTGGAGACGAGAGGGGGTAGAAAGGCTACTATGGCACAGGTATTAGGTACCCACACGGTGCTTGTAAGAGACTTGTGCGCTTGGTGTCGAAGCCGCAGAAAATGGCGACATGCGCCAGCCAAATTCGGCGGCCAGAACACCGCTTTCTCTGTTTGTGGAGTAAGTGAGAGAGAGAGCCAGACATAATAACCTTTCCCCTTCCTAATTGCCATCTTCTGTCGGCCTTCTTTTCTTCTTCTTGTCTCTTCCCTTGTCTCCTATCCACCTTCTCTCCTCTTTTCAACAACAGTGCAACGGTTAGCACAGCGACACAAGAAAAACATCCCCCTTCCCCTGTTGGCCCGCCTAAATTGGCGAGTATGCAATGCCAATGCAAATGTAATGCAATTAGATTCTTGTCGTGGTAGTAGTAGTAGTAGTGGCAGTGGTAGTAGATAGTAAATTAGATGGTAAGGCGACGTGTAGTATGCGAGAGACATGAGGAATATAGTGATAAATGGCTTTCTGTGTGTAAAGAGGCCATGACTGCCAAACAATAGGGAAGTATTTTTTCTACAGCTGGCCAGACAAGAGCGCTTCCGTGGCTAGATTACCACAGATAAAGTCAGCATTCAGTAATGACATATAACAAGTAAAAGTATATAAGCAGATTGGGGTGTTGGGGAGGGGGGACCTACCGCTGTTGATATACGCCCTCTTCGAGTCGAGCGGCACGCCAAAGCGCCTCTCGAGCTCCAGCTTGATGCCCTTCTTGGTGACCGTCATGAGGTCGGCCGTGCGCAGAATCTCGCGGATCTCGGCAAGCAGCGTATCGTCGCTGGGCAGGCCGACGCCGAGGTTGGTCATCTCGAGCTCCTGCTGCGACGGCGACGTGAAGAACTGCGATCCGCCGAACTGGCTGGCGCGGTTGTTGCCGCCGGGCGAGTTGTTGTTGCTGCCGTTGTTGAGGATGTCCGAGGCGGCCATGGACAGTCGGCTCGGCACCGCAGCGACGCTGACGCCAGGCGCCATCATCATCTTGTCCGTGTATCCCCCGAGCGGGTAGCCCGTGGTCGAGCCCGGCCGGCTGGCATAGTAGCCGCCGCCGCCGTACTCGGACACCGCCGCGTTGGGCTTGGTCGCGTACGAGAAGCCCGATATCTCGGACCGGGCGTCGTCGCGCGACGTCTGCGCGTCCCACAGCTCGGCCTGGTACTCCTCCCACTTCTTGCGCGGGATGCTGGCCGGATCGAACTTGCCCTCGTCCGTAATGACAATCTTCTTGCCCTTCTCGCCGGCCACTACGCGCGTGTTGCCCCAGTTGAAGTCGTCCATGTGCCAGAAGGCATACAGCGGCAGACCGAAGCTGAAGACGGGCACAGCGAGCACGTACAGGATCATCCATCCGATCATCTCCCACTTGCGCCGGAGGATGAAGATGATGGCCTGCAGACCGTAGATGGCACCCAGCAGTACAAAGGCCGTGACGGGCACCACGGTGGCATGAGTGGCCACCAGAGCAATCAGATAGGCAATGTAGGCAATAGTCACGGGCTGCACAATGGTAGACATCAGATCGACAAACACAATGAAGCGCATGCTGAAGCAGCAGAAGCCGCAGAGCTGCGCCATGGGGATCAGCTCCATGAGATTGTGCACAGTCGAGTTGATCCAGCGACGGCGCTGAGAGAGGAAGACCTGCCATGAGTCGGGCGCGATGGTCCACGCGTGCGCATCGAAGATGTACTTGGTCTTGTACTTGGAGTGGTACTTGAGGAGCAGCGTCGTAAGGTAACGGTCCTCGCCCAAGTGTAGCAGGTTCTTCATGTGCAGCGTGTCGACACGGATAGTCGCGTAATTGTCAACCACCTCGCGACTGACAAACAGCGGCTTGCCCGTCTCGGCCGCGCGGATACGGTACATGGAGAAGCAGCCGGGAAGACAGGTAACAGAGCCAAAGAGGGACTCGAAGGCCTTGGACAGATTGTGCGAGATGTAGTATTCGTACACCTGGATCATGGTGATGAAGGACGACTTGGAGTTGCTTAGGGCCGTCTCTCCGCACACGGCGATTAGGCGCGTATCGTCGAGGAAGGCCGACACCATGCGTGTAGCCGAGTCGGGCGCCACGACCGTGTCGGCGTCAATCTGCATGATGAACTCGTAAAATGTCGGATTGACGCCGATGATGTTGCGGATCTGGTGGTAGATCTCGAGCTCGAGAGGGCTCATGGCCAGATTGTAGTGGACGCGGTTGAGGAAGCGCATGAGGATCATCTGAGAGTCCCGCTTGCCACGGTTGCCCGGACGCGACACCTCGGACGGCTTGCCGATCTTGACGACGACTAGGAAGGGGACGATGTGGCCCTGCACCTCGTATAGGCCCGAGTACACCTTGCCCATGTTGTGCTGCTTCAGACCCTCGCCCAGCGACTCGAAGCTGAGCGGCTCCGGGTCTACCGTCTCGGACACGCCGAGAATGTCGAGCACGATGCGGGGAGTTGGCCGGTCGTTGCCCTGGCCAATAATCATGCCGTCGCAGATGATGACGAGAAGTTTGCGCTTGTCGTCGTAGCGCATGCGGGCGGCTGAATCGATAGCGCGGCGAATCGAGTCCTCGTCTTCGGTGTAGGCCGGGATCTGGCACATGACAAACTTGTCCAGGTTCTCGGGTGTATTCTTGGTGCCGAACTGGAGGGCGGCGAAGAACTTGAAGCCAATGATGCTGGCCAGCAGGATCGACACGGCCAGCACGAGGTACTCGGCAAACTGGCAGCGCACCGAGTTACGCGTGTCGACGTCGGCGACATAGAACAGATTGTCCAGGCACAGCTGCATCGACGTCTTCTCAGAGCGCGAGAGCCCCAGAGCGTCCCAGAGCTTGGTGACGTCTTCGCCGGCCTTTTGCTGGAAGAGGTCGACGACGAGCTGGTTCATGAAGTCGGTAGCCCCCGCCGCCGGCGCCGGATCGCCCTCTCTGCCCTCAATCCCTCGCCCGCCTATGATATACTTGGTCATGTCGTAGACGCGGCCATTGAGCATTGCGACCGACTGTTGCTTGGCAGCCAGCGTTCTGACGTACTCGGGAGAGAAGCCCATGTTGCCTTTCTTATAGCTCGACTTGAGCATGATCATCTGCTCTGAGAACCAGTCGGGGCGGTAATCGTCGCCGTGGAAGTAGCGGAAGTCGTGGTACTTTGAGTTCTTGTCCTGGCTGCTGATGACGGCGGCCGAGCCCGAGACGTTGGTCGACTTGTAGTCGAGCAGGACCTGAGGGTCGATGGGGTTGCCGCCCGTGCCCTGGCACATGGCCGACACCTGGACGGGGAAGAGGGACGTGATGTCGAGGCCGCCGTACTGGGTGAGCAGCTTGGTCTGCAGATAGGGCGGGTAGTGCCGGGGCGCGTACGAGCTGATGTCGAAGACCTGGCCGCGGATGGCGGCGAAGGCGCTCCTGCCGTCCTTGCCGTCGTTTTGCGACAGCTCGTCGGGGCTGTAGACGTACTGCTTGGGGCAGATGAGCATGGGGAAGCCGACGATGAAGAAGATAGACACGCCGCAGCTGAACCAGATGATGATGTTGATGGCCAGCTTCTCCCTCCACGCCATGCGCACGTCCTTGCGTGGCATGCGTCCCAGCAGCCGGATGGCGAAGTCGGGTATGAAGAAGGTCAGCATGTAGACGACAAAGACCCAGCGCTTGCGGCTGGCGCTGTCCTTGTACTCCTCCACCTCGACCAGGTCCTTCTCGTTGCCTCTCTCGGCCATCTGCTCGCGCGTGTCGAGGTTCTTGAACATGTCGCCAGCGCCGAACGCCGAGGCGCCGGCATCGGACCGCGCGTCGACGTCGTTGCTGCCGAAATAGCCCGCCTTCTTGTCGCTCAGCGTCTGGGGCGTGCCCGTCGAAGCCACCAGCCGCTCCTTGGACTGCCCAAACGGATTCACACCAATGGCATCACCCCCGTCCGACGGCAGCCCGTAGCGGCCAGAAGTCGACATGCTCTCGCCCAGCTGCGCAATCTCCATCCAGCAGCGTTCGCTGAGGAAGACGCCCGTCGAGCCGATGGCCACCTCGTTGTTCGGCCAGCGCTTGTCCTCGACCACCATCTCGACCTTCTCGCGCTCGCTGCCGACTAGCATCGTCTCGGCGTCGGCCAGGCCCAGAAACTCGCCAAAGGGGAGGAACAGGCTGAAGTCGGCCGACCTCAGGCGCTGGCTGATCTCGGCAATGCCGAACGTCTGCACCTGCGCCCGCACGCACTTGCTATCAAACTGGTTCGCAATGCGCCGGTCGTTGGGCTTGAGGCAGAAAACGAAGTAGCAGTTGGTGCCTGGCGAGGTGAAGGACCGCGTGACATTGTCGAGGGCCGACAGGAACTGACCGGCCGCGCCTTGGTCCAAACTCCGCCCATTGAGTGTCGCCGTTCTACCGCCGCCGTCGCCCGCATCGCTTCCCTGGTCGACCGACTGGTCTCTGTCGGGACGGATGCGGGTAGTGCGCGACGTCGCCGGGCGTCCACGCCGCGACATGATACTGGGAGCGCGCATCGGCCTCGAGCTGACCGACGCCTGCATGACCGTCGACCGCTCTTGCGGATGGACGACGGTTTGCAGGGCGTCCTGGCCAAACAGACGCGAGACGAAGGCGCTCTTGCTCGAGTTGATGAGGTTCATGAGATCACCCGAGATGACCTCGCCATTCTCCTCAACCAGGCCCTTGATGGGGTAGTCAACCTCACCGGCAAAGTGCTTGACCGTAAAGGTGGCAGCCGTGTTTTCGGTAAAGAAGTTGCTACCGGGCAGCTTGGCCGTTGCCGAGCCGACCTGGATAGCCGGGTTTTTGCCCTCGAAGCGTTTCCGCAAGCTCTCGAGCAGCTGCATATCAGTGCGATGGCGGCGCGTCTGGTCGTCTAAGATGCTGAGCAGCCCGTTTCCAGACTTCAGCAGGCCCTTGACGGCATCCGAGTTGTCGAAGTAGCTGGTCGCAGGCACGGCTACCTCCTCCGTCTCGAGCATGTCGGCCTTGCGGTCGAAGAAGTTTTGCAGCGCCAGGTTGTACATGGACTCGGTGGCGGCATTGTTGAGGAGCTGGTCAAGCGACGAGCCCGTGGTCGACTGCTGTTGGAATCCGGGGAAATCGATTACGGAGAGAGTATTGACTATCGAGTCCTCGGCCGCGCACAGCTTCTGATTGATGGTCTCAGTGACATATGCGACGAGGAGCGAGTAGAGCGTCCGCGCCAGTTCGTTCGCGTTGGACCGGGCGCCCGTAGGGTCCAGCATGACCGTCACTCTCTCCTTGTGGATCATCTTGGTCTTGTAGCCCAATGTCGTCTGAAGATCGGCCGCATTGACACCTAGGAAGGCGGCGATTATGCCCAAGACATCCTTGTTTTTCACCGCGGTTGTGGTCTGGCCACCCTCGTGGGAGAAGCCGCCACTGTCATCAGCAGCGACTGTGGTGCTGGACGACGTCTCAAACTCGAGCTGGCCAATGTGCAGGATGCATGCCAGGATCTGGCAAATCTCTGCGATCTCGCTGCGGGGGAACTCAAGCTTCCGTAGAGCTGTCTTGAAGAGCTGGAATCCTTCGGTGTCATTGATACCCACCTTGAGCTGCGTGGGATGCCCTAAGTACCTCCATCGCCGGGCAGTCGCGCCAATGGGCTCGTCAAACCCGAGATGCGTCTTCTCGGCCGGGCTCGTACCGGACAAGAGGTAATATAGCACGTGGAAATTACGCTCTCCGGTCGGCACGTCCGCGATTCTGCTCCTCTCCAAACGGTGGTCCAACAGCTTGGCGCCGATGAGCATGGGGTTGGTGCTGGATGATGTGTCGTACTGCAACTCGTAAAAGAGACCCGCCTTGGAGGCCGTCGGCGTCGTCGCCGTCTTGGTAGTAGTGAGTGTGTCGAACACAAATGCCGCCAAAGACACCTTGTTGGAGAAGGGGGTGGACGACTTGTTGAGGATCGAGGTTAAGAGATGGGATCTGACGGTCGTCTTGCCAGAACCAGATTCACCCCTTGTTTATTTCAGACAGTCAGTACAACAACGAACAACCGGCGATACTTCGCGCCTTCCCCCAAGAGCTTTGCTTACAGGAAAAGCACCGCTTGGTTTTCAGAGCGGTGGCCCAGCCGGATGAGAGCCCTCTCTGCCAAATCCTCGGCAGCGCTCATAGAGCTCGACTCCCTGTTGCCATCTCCCTTGGAGGAGGAGGTGTAGGTGTTGAGGCATATCAGTGCGTGCGACGACAGCCGAGCCGTGGGCAACGATACATGAAAACGGCTGGCGAGGTGTGCTGTCAAGTGCGTGTCCGACTGCAGATGGACAGGTAACGAGGGCAACGAGGGTTGGGTATGGGCCCCTCCGCCGCCTCCGCCGAGCGGGGGGAGATTCAGAGCCATGTTGACGACGCGGTCAGGCGTCCTGGCCGTGATAGATGGGCGAGGAGTCGTCAATCGTCAGTCGTCAGTCGGCGCGTGTTGGGACAAGAGATTGACGGGGTTGTCGAGTGTCTCGAGTGTCTCGACTCGTGGGCAGCAAGCCACGTCCTCCCCTTGAACCCCTGTTTCGTGACGAGCGGCGCTGGCAATTGGGGGCTCAAGCCAGCTCGCAAAAAGGGCCGCCGGTGCTGGTGGAAAGACGAAAGAACAACAAAACGAACGTTATGTGCAATTGTAAACGTCTAAAACGAGCGTCTGAAGAAATGAGACGGCATGAGAAGCCCGGCGAACACCCAAGGTCGCCTCTACAGAATACGTCCTGTTCGATCCAACAGTGTGCTACAACGGCGCTTCTGGGATGGGGCTGGATGGAAAGGGATCGCTTGTTTTTTTTTCCCGAATTCGAGGCCAGTACGGGGACCCAAATGAAGCAGCCGCGCAACGTCAGCCATACGAGGTACCTTACCCCTTAGACTTGGGCCCACCATCTGATTGGAGACAAGCATGCAAGACCTCGGGTCTAAGCCGGGTTGGCTGGAGGCGGTGGTGCAAACTGGGAAAAGTGTCAACAAGTTAAGGGACGGATGGCAAAGCCTCAGCCTTTGCCTTTCCGACATATCCACGACGAGAGAGCTATTTAGAGATTCAGCTTTTTGCATCTCGCAGTGGAAGTCTTTTCCTTCCTCATGTTTTTCGCTTCACGATTCCATCTCGACAGTGCTTCCTGAATAGGGACAGTCCGTTCCCAGGGAAGACCAATAACGTTAGCCGGCGACGATCCCAGTCAGACCCCACCGTCGCGTCATGACAGCAGGCTTCCCAGGGGTACCAGCGGCAGGGGCTCGGGGTGTTATTCGATTAACGAATCCTGATTCCTATGGGCGAACTTCCCCATCCTTTGCGGCTCGAAGAGCCCCTAGCTACTGTATCCAATACGCTGTTGGTTCCGATTCTGTTCAAACATCGAGCAAGCTGCCATTGGGCGTCCTAGATTTTTGTTTGTTGTAAACTCCATGCTGCGGCAACCTGGAGCCTGGCTAGCCAAGGCTCTCCGCAAAAGTGCTCCCAACATTCATTGTTATGAGGAATGTCTTGGCTGCTCCGAATCAGGGGCCGCAAAAATGGAATGTTGGGATAAATCTCAATCAGACCAACAACCTCGACAACGAGACCTGCTCAAGACCTCCTTGACACCTGCTCGGTATGGGGTGGGATGCTGCTTGTCCGTAACCTCGGATGGCAGAGTGATGACAGCCCGGACTCTGCAGGCGAAGAAGGTTCGTTTGGCGTCGCAAACTAAGAGCCCCGTATCGCCCCACGCCGCCGCAAATTCCCGGCAGCGCAGGCACGGAAGCACGGAAACAACAGGAGAAGGATCTCAACTTGTCTGCTCCGCCCACATCTGTGCCTCTTTGACGTCCTAGCATGTTAGCGGGACAAGCGGTGCAGTGGCCTAGGTGGCTAGTATGACTGGGGCGTGCACAGTGTTCGCGATGGCCCGCAAATCAGACGAGACGGGCCCAACTCAAGTTGCTTTGGAATGCAACAGGGCATTTGTTTCCTAAGACATTGATAGGCACCTAGTATCTGGTATTAATTCGAACCCGCTGGTTGGCCCAATCCGCCAAAGGCGAGCATCGAGCTACCAAACCTACGTAAGGTAGTGAGTGCATGTGTACTGGACACAATCCGCAGCTAGGATGCTACGGGCCAATGCCTGCTCGGGCTCAACAACAGATCAGAATGAGACAACCAGCACACAATTGGAATGCGCCCGTGTGTGAGCGAGCGGGAGGGGTCACGCGGGGGCGAAGAAAGGACAACAGAAAGCCAACAGAAAGCCCACCCACAGAAAGCTGCGATGCTCTGCTGGTGCTGCGCCTGCGGAGTTCGTTCGTGTTGTGTGGATTTCGATGGACGGATGGATGGCTAGTTGTTCGAGAACTGCGGCGATCGGTTTGTTGTCGGACCCAGCCAGCCCTTGAAGGAAGGATGGATGGATTGGATGGCTGGCAACTTGGCAGATCGACTAGGCCCTGGGCCAAGGACGCACTAAAAAAAGAACCGCCAGGGCTAGAGTGGCGGAACAGGCTATGCATTTATACGACAACTAGACCGGGTTCTCAAATAAGGCGGCAGCTAACAGCTAACGGATAGACAGTTATGCATGTAAAAATTAAGATTCTCTAATCACAAAACACCCCTCCCTCTTTGAGTTTGCATGTCCCTGCGCTGTCCCACCGTCGGTCCCAGTGGGGTCTAACGGAACACTGGCACAACAGCAAGGCACCAACCACACCACCACAACAGGAGGGCGACAAGTTACAATTGGCCTTGGGGTTATTATTCCCGAGAATACGGACACAGTCACACGCGTGCAACCCAATAATTTTGCTCTAGTCGTCTCCCGCCCAGAGGCTCCTCGTCTTTCGGTTTCACATCCAAGAGACCTCGTAACGTGGAAGGCGAATTGCCGGCGGGAAACCCATGCAGTGGGGGTGGAGAGTTTCTTTCGACATCCAGTCACGATGCCATCCGTCGATCGAAAGGGACTTTTTAATTCTCCCGCTTTGTCCATTTCTCGTATTCAACGGCCATCCGATGTCAGGCATAAACCAAACCCACCCTCTTTAGGCCCGCATCGCCGCACTGCATTCATTCACTGCACGCTGCACGGCAGGTGTTGGACCGGAGCGAGCAGTCAATAACTTTCGATTCCAAGGTGGGCTTTGGACACCTCGGACACCTCGGACACCAACAAACAATCAACAAGTACAGAACTATATAGTGCAGGAGCGGAGACGCCACTCAGGTCTCAGAACGGGGCGAATCGAGCGATTGAATGGGCTGCAAGTCGGAACACGGATACATGGACTCTTCTCTTTGCAGTACTAGCGTGCGCGCGCGTGTCTTCGCCAACAAAAACGGCGGCCGACTGACCAAGGAGAGAGACAGCGTCGAGACCGAGACAGTCATCAGATGCAAGTGTGACGGCAGTCTGTTAGCACGTCGTTCTTTCGCCAACTCGTCTCCTCGCTCCATTGGCGGCCTGCGGGAGCGACGGACGAAAACTTGTTATACTAAGTAATAATGGGACCACAATTGAAGTGCGAAACGAAAATGGGTAAATTGAACGCCAGTTACGCCACTGTCGGCTCTGTTTACTGCATACCACTCATGTAACTGCAAGCGGGCGCGAAGGCATGCTTGTTGCATGGGGGATGGCTTTAACTCGCCGGGGAACCCCATCCCAAGATCGGCTGCACGAACCGGGAAGGCCTTGAATCCTTTTTTTAATTCCACGGCACATCATGCAAATCGTCCTCCACCCCGGCACCTCCCACCTGGCGACGCGGTCTTGGCGTGATTGAGCAGGTGGTCGTTGTGGGCGGCCGTAGTGCCATCGTGGTTCGCTTTTCCCCCTTGTTTTCATCCACCCAGCAGCCGCCTGCAGGAAGCGGAACCCCCTTCACTGTCGCTGCCGCTGCTGACTGCTCTTCAGCAAGGGCCGTGATATTTTCTGGCACCAGACCAGACAGGCGCCGTATTCCTGCTCACCCACTCGCTACAGTGCAGCCGCCTCTAACGCCGCTGTCGACATTCGCTTTTTCCCTTGTGCCTTCGCCGTGTTTCACCAGCGCCGCCTCACTCGCTTTGGCCGCTGTTTCTTCGCCCTGTCGTTTTTCGTCTCTTTCCCAATCCTAGGGGCCTTTATTCTTTTTGTTTTGTTGGCCGCTCCCGTGGTCTGTCTACCTAACTTGCCCGCGTGGTCTTTCGTTTTCGCGTGCAAACGTGGAAAGGGGTCCAAGGCCTGAGTACTCTGTACCTGACTGAGGTCATCACGTTGCTCCGAGCGACCAACTTGCATCCTGTGCAGCCACGGCCGCTCACCAGACTGCAGTTGCATCGACCCCCTCAATCTTGGATATTGTCAACTAGACTACCTAATAGCAATTGCCATTCAGTCGGCCGGCTCTGTTCCGTACCGAAGCCCGACCCTCTACACTCTAGGCCTAGGGTACCGACAAACCACAAAAACACGTTAGGCGAGAAGAAAAAGAAGAAGAAAATAAGGGCACCACTCCGTTTCACCCGCCACCATTCGACGGGCGGGAAGAATCTTGTCTTCCTTTTCGTACCGAAAAGGGGCATCGCGGCTCGCATCTCGACAAGATGTCGAACCGCATGTCAATGTACTCGGTGGGCTCCGAGGCGGGCATGGGTGGCCCTCGCGGTGCTGGACAACAGTCTTCCCAGGTTTCCACCACGACACTCCTCAACGCCGTCCACAACATCTACCTCTCCTCGCAGCCATACCGACTCGATGCCGGAACAAGCCTCGTCGTCAACACGTGGCTCACTGCGTCCCAAGCCGGCCCCGATGGAAACGTTGGGGGCACAGTGGATGCTGCCCTGGCAGTAAGAGTATGGGAACATGCTCGCCGCCGTGCTGAAGATGGCTGTGTCATACTCGGGTATATTTCTTGCTTCGCTGGCCGTCTTCCTCGAGTTCTGTACAGTATGCTAACATTTTCAAGCTCGACACACTCCTCTACCCCTTCTCTCCTCCGGCCATTCCTCTCTTCGGTCCCAATCTCGATCCCGTCTGGTCTCTTTACGGCACTTGATGCCATCGAGCCTTTTCTACGCTGTGTAACCCCAAATAACCCATCGATGCCACGGCAGACTGCGTTGGGAGTTACCTTGACGCTCAATCTTGCGGGAAACTTGACCGCGGCTTCCATTGCCCTCTCACAGGGTGGCATTGACACGGACAAGGGGCTGTTGAACATAACCTCCGAGCCTGGTTACCGGGCCTTCGATGTGTTTTACTATCTTCTCACATCTGCCTCAACGCCCGCGGAGCGAGAGTTTCTCGGGCTCAAGGCAGCTTCTCACTACAGCCTACTTGCCCGGTCCGGCACCTACGGCCCTCCCTCGTACCTCCCAACTGCCGACGACGCTGCTGCCGCCGACGATTTCCGGACAGCCCTGAAAGACATCGGCATCAAAGGCTCAACCCATCGGAGTTTTATCTCAATCCTCGCGGGTCTCCTGAAGCTAGGCAACACGATTGATTACCATGTTGACGAGGACGCTTTGGAAGACATATGCGAGGATGTGGGTGGCCTGCTCGGGTTGGATCCTGAGATTCTTGCCAGACAATGCACCACCGAGGACCGGAGGACATTGATTGGGGGCCTTTACGAAGCCTTGGTCGACTGGGTTATCAAGAAGGCCAACGATTCCATTGCCGCCCAGATGGGACGCATTAGGGACGGAGACGAATCTAGCGACGGTCGCGGCGACCGGACACCCACTTCAAACGAAGACACCGGTGATACCGTTTGTCTGACCGTGCTCGAGATACCCGACCCCAACCTTGGCAAAGCCGTTGCCATGAGGGGCATCTTTGACGACAGTCAAGGAATCAACTCCGAGATGAAGCAGGACGGAGTTGATGTGTCCACGGCCGGGAGCTCCGTTCTGCGGGAAATGCAGAACGCCGTGGCCGAGTGTGGTCCTGAGCTGGGGATTATGGTCGGAACCCTAGGCAGAGAGAGGCAACACACGCTGGAAAAACGCGAAGAGGTTCTCGAAAAGATTGTGCTGGCCGCGGAAGATGATGGCTTTTTGAAGAAGCTCCTCCTCCCCGTCCCGGCTGAAGGCATCAATCTGGGTCGCAATGGCCGCATCGACCTCACTACCGTTCTTGGCAGCAGTCGCGCGTGGTATCATCTCTGTGTGCACCCGACTGATGAGTCGCCGGCTAGCCTGGCAGCCCTGCCGTCAGTCACTTCTGCTTGGTCTGCGGGAACTGTGTCGCGCCAGCTTCGTACATGGCGGCTACCTGAGTGGTCCAATCGGCGGAACAAGCACCTCGACTTCACTGCCGATTTCGACCACGAAGAGTTTGTCCAGCGTTACCGCATGCTAGGGTGCATGGAAGGCCGAGACGGCATCGAGAGCTGGATCCTGGAGCGCGGTTGGAGTAATGGCGAGGTCGTTGTTGGCACGGAGCGAGTGTGGATGAGAGAGACTGCATGGTGGGAGGCAGAGAGCATGCTCGATCTTAAGCCCATGGAGGCTGAGAGGCTCGGAAGCATGCCTCACATGATGCCACCAAGCGGCATGGGCTCCGGGTATTCGCACAGCGGCAGTGGCTTCTTCCCTCCGCAGCAGTACGGTGACAGCACTTCGAACGGGAGCCGCGACCAGCTCGTTCACCACCAGCGGAACATGAGCCAAGCCACCCTCAACGCCGCCCACCCAATGGCCGCCCCGTCCATTGCCCCCACCGCCATGACTGGGATGCGCAATGTGAGCAATGGCGACTACGGCCTCGGGGCCAGAGGCGACACGGTCAAGGACCAGGTCTACTACAACAGCGACGGCGAGTTCATCAACAACCTCGATCCTGAGCTGGCCCACGGCAAGACGATTGAGGAAACTGGCACCACCACCTCTAGGAAGATCTGGGTTGCCTTCGTCTGGGCTATGACCTGGTGGATTCCTTCGTTCCTGCTCCGCTTCATAGGGCGTATGAAACGCCCCGACGTCAGGATGGCGTGGCGGGAGAAGCTAGTTCTCTGCCTCATCATCTTGTTCTTCAACGGCTTCATTATCTTCTGGATTATCTTCTTCGGCCGTATTCTCTGCCCGAATTTCGACAAGGCATGGTCGCAGTCCGAGATTACGGGCCATCAGGGAGCCGACGACTTTTGGGTCAGCATACATGGCAAGGTTTACGACATATCAAGTTTCTGGAGGCTGCAGCACAGCGACACGGCCATTGAAACGAACTCGGAAAACATGCAACCATTCGGTGGCCTGAACCTCGATGGCTATTTCATCCCGCCACTGACTATATCGTGCCCCCTAGTGGTTACCGATGACATGATCAGGCTCGAGTTGAACAACACGCCGACCCTCGTTGAGGGCATTCATACGTCGGGATTCTACCAGACGGACCCGACGACCAAGCTGCACTCGGCCGGGTGGTATGTCGACTACTTCCTGCCCCGCATCAAGGAGTACTACCACGGCGACCTCGTTTGGGATACCGGCGTGGTCAAAAACGAGGGAGCCAATGGCAACCACCCGTGGTTCATTTATGAAGGAGGCATCTACGATCTGTCCGACTACATGAACACGCAGAAAATATACAACAATGCCGCTCGGTACGCCTTCCTCGACCAGTCTCTTGTCACCCTTGTCAAGAACAGCCCGGGCCAAGATCTTACCGACAATATCAACGGCTTGTTGAGGAACGCGCGGTCGAACCAGACGCAGAGCGCGATACTCCAGAACAACATGAATTGCATCAAGAACACCTTCTATATAGGCATTCCAGACTTCCGCTGGTCGGCGAGGTGCCAGGTGAACAATTACATTCTTCTAGCCTTCACCGTCATCGTAGGAGCCGTCATTATCACCAAGTTCGTGTCGGCTCTGCAATTCGGGTCGAAGCGGCGCCCGTCGCCCCAGGACAAGTTTGTCATTTGCCAGGTCCCAGCCTACACCGAAGGCGAAGATTCGCTGAGGAAGGCGCTGGACTCGCTCACGGCCCTGCAGTACGATAACAAGCGGAAGCTGATCTTTGTCATTTGCGATGGTGTCATTGTCGGTGGCGGTAACGACCGCCCTACTCCCAAGATTGTTCTCGATATCCTCGGCGTCGACCCCAAGGTCGACCCCCCTGCTCTGCCCTTCAAGTCGGTCGGCGCCGGCAGTGAACAACTCAACTACGGCAAAGTCTATTCCGGCCTGTATGAGTACGAGGGCAACGTCGTGCCGTACCTCGTTGTCGTAAAGGTGGGCAAGGAGTCAGAGCAGTCCATGGCCAAGCCTGGCAACCGTGGCAAGCGTGACTCGCAGATCCTGCTCATGAGCTTCCTCAACCGCGTTCACCATCGCTCTCCCATGAACCCTCTCGAGCTGGAAATGTTCCATCAGATCAACAACATCATCGGCGTGGATCCCGAACTGTATGAATACATGCTGATGGTCGATGCCGACACCTGTGTGCGTGAGGATTCTCTGAACCATCTTGTTGCTGCTTGTGCCAACGACGCCAAGATTGCCGGCATCTGTGGCGAGACGAGTCTGCAGAACGAGGAACGCTCGTGGTGGACAATGATTCAGGTCTACGAATACTTCATCTCGCACCACCTCGCTAAGGCCTTCGAGTCCCTGTTTGGCAGTGTCACCTGCTTGCCAGGATGGTAAGTTGTCACTGATGCCCTGCTAAGATTGCGTCGCATATTGACTAACGGTTGGCCAGTTTCACCATGTACCGACTGCGAACCGCCGACCGCGGAAAGCCCCTGATCATATCTGATCAGGTCATCCGCGAGTATAGCGACTGCCGCGTGGACACCCTTCACAAGAAGAATCTGTTGTCTCTCGGCGAGGACCGCTACCTGACTACCCTGATGACCAAGCACTTCCCGTACATGTCGTACAAGTTTGTCCCAGAGGCCTACTGCCAGACGGCAGCGCCAGAGACCTGGAGCGTCCTTCTGTCCCAGCGTCGTCGGTGGATCAACTCTACAATCCACAACCTGGTTGAACTGATGTTTCTCCCCGAGATGTGCGGCTTCTGCTGCTTCTCGATGCGGTTTGTCGTTTTCATCGACCTCTTCGGTACTCTCATTCTTCCGGCCACCTCTGCATACATCATCTACCTCATCTACCTTGTCGCGAGTCACTCTGGACAGTTCCCCTTGATCTCCATTGTGGTTATAGCGGCCGTCTACGGTCTCCAGGCGCTCGTGTTCATCTTGAAGCGCCAGTGGCAGCACATTGGCTGGATGATCATCTACATCCTCGCCTTCCCGATATACTCGGTTGTCCTGCCCGTCTATTCGTTCTGGAATCAGGACAACTTTAGCTGGGGTACTACGCGTATTGTCATTGGGGAGTCGGGCGATAAGAAAATAGTCGCCGTCGATGACGAGGGCTACGATCCGCGCTCCATTCCGCTTCAGCGCTGGGACGACTATGCGATGGCCAACAACCTGCCCGGCCGTCGCGGCGGCCCCTCGGAGAAGAATGGCGTGGACGCCACCGTCATGGGGATCTACGATGAGGGTAACTATGAGATGGACGACATGAAGTCGGTCTACTCGTCGGTCCGCCAGCCGTCGGTGTTGACGGGTCTTCCTGGCCGCGGTAGCAACGCGTACATGCCGCCCCAGAGCCCCGGAACTCCATTCGGCGCGACGCGTGCCAGCACCTTTGTCGGCGCGCCACCGTACTCGGACAACCCTCTTGCCCACCGCCAGAGCATGGCGTCGATGGGCCAGAGCCCTTACCAGGACTTCTCGGCTGGCGGGCCCAACGCCAGCCACCGCCCCAGCGTGGCCAACCTGCGCAGCATGACCAACACCCCGCCAGGCTTGGGCACGCCCACCAGCCTAAACCCCCGCTTCTCCACGGCCACGGGTCTCAGCGGCTACGGTGCCAACAACAACGGCCGCGCCAGCGCCCTGTCGTTTGACTTCCAGCGCGGCAACGTCGGCCCCGACGACGCCATGATCATTGAGGCCATCCAGATGGTCCTGCGCGAAGTCGACCTCGACACCGTCACCAAGAAGCAGGTCCGTGCCCTCGTCGAGCAGCGCCTCCAGACGGAGCTCGTCGGCGAGCGCCGCACGTTTATGGATCGGCAAATCGATAACGAATTGGCAAACATGTAATACCTGTAGACTTGCTGAAAATGGCTGGCGGTTTAGCTTGCATCTTTTTTTTCTTCTTTTTTTGTATTTTTGATTTTGATCTTTGTGTGCTGGAGGCTAGAAAGGATTCTCTCTATCATCATCTATACTAAGGTGCTTATGGTTGTCGATTCGCATCTTTTTTTATTTTGGGGAAGGGGAACTGGCAATAATGCAGTAATTAAAACCATGGTATATAATATACACATACATCTTTACCTATTTACTTTTTTATCTACCTACTCATGTCCATGACTAAATCTAAACCTGACACTGGATGGTCAACCCTCGTCAGCAGAGGCGAAGAAAAAATAAATATTCGTGTCTATATCCATGACTTGTTTATTCCGTCTACTCTAGGAGCGACTTCCACAGCCTGATCTAACGCCAAAGTGAAATAAATGGTTTATATTCATCACCATGCACACACTAAAATGACTCTGTCTTTTGTCTCATCGAAGCGTGTGCTAGTGCTGGTCATCACCACCTTACTCGAGATGAGTGATAGCTCTTTTAGTCATGCATTATATTTTCACATTTGTTGTTGCCACTCGTGGATGCTCCCCCCACCCCTTTTTTATACCTTATATCCGTACACGCTTTATCCTTGTTATCTTTTTCCCTTCCCCCTTTTACCTTCCCCCTTTTCCCCCTTTCCCCCTAGTCCTTATTGTTACCGTGTTCTATTTTACTATAGAATATAATAAACATAGCGATGGGCTATATGCTATCTATACCTGCTAGTTTCTTCTTGGTTGTGGTTTCCGTGCCTACAGTGGAAATTTGCTTTCCGGTAAGGCTTGGTTGATAAGCAGGCAGGCAACCTGGAACTAACTAAATAGATATATCCTTTTCCTGTTGCTCGTCGTTAACAGAGGTGGCGTTGGTGATCTGTATGGTCTCTCTAGTTCTTTATTTACTTGTTTTCTTTTCACTTTGACTTCACTATCGCTCATTTAGCTGTGGTGCCCTGCTAGCCCCGTTGTTCTTGCCTTTTCTTAACCCCCAAGCTGGATCGAACGCCCGGGGTTGGGTAATGTAATTGGGGGTTGTTTTGATAACCATTGGAGGTGTACGAAGTATAATACGGTAAGACCGAGGATTCTCTTTTTTCTTCCTCTTGAGGAATGGACTCTTGAGTAGACGACACTCCTCTGAGCGTAGACTTGTCTGAAATCAGCAGTGAGAGCAGATGGAAGTAGATTTACAAACTGCATAGCCCCCCTTTTTTTCCCGGTGGCTTTACTGTTTGTCGTCTAGAGCTAACCTAACGGAAAGTCGACTATCTACTTTTCATATCATAGCTGTCTAACAAAATAGCCTGGCTACACAACAATTACTCAATCTTCCCCACGCCCTTGAGCCTCAAGTACACGTCGGTGCCCCAGCCATACAGGCTCTGCACAGCGATGCCGCCCCCAAAGTACTCCGCATAAGCCCTACTCAGAGGCAGGCCGTACCCGAGGCCGGCGATGGAGCTGCTGCCCACGCCGCTGCTGCCGCTAGTCGCGCCGCTGCCGCTCCCGCTAGCGGCCGAGATGACGCTCAGAGCGTCGTCGTTCCAGGCGCCCGGCACGTCGTCGGCAGCGTCGTCGCCAAACGTCGTGAACGAGTACCCCCAGATGTGCGGCAGCACGTCGGGACTAATGCCGCCGCCGCGGTCGCGGATGCGGATCGTCACGCCTGGCGCGCTGTCGTCGAGCGGGGCGATGGCGTCGTGACTGAAGGCGCCGCGCGGCTCCGTGGGCGGGTCGAGGCGGACCGTCTCCCGCTTCTGCGGCGACATGTTCGGGGGCTCCGGGGCGATGGTGATGACGATGGGCTCGCGGTTCATGCCGTTCTCGACGGTGGCGCGGAAGGCGTTCTTGAGCAGCTCCGTGACGATGTACTCGAGGTGCATAGGCACGAAGGCGAAGGTGGTGTCGGGCTCGCCGTCGACGACCCACTGGGGGCGCACGCCATAGTTGAGCTCGCAGATGTCGGCGACGAAGCCGCCGCAGCTGTCGACGGTGGCGGCGGGGCGCAGGGCCGTGTCGATGACGCCGATGTAGTTGGGGTGCTCGGGACAGGGGGTGGGGCTGGCGCCCGGGTCGAAGTGCGGGGTGCTGCTGAAGTGCAGGGCGATGTGCTGCTCGGCGACGAGGCGGGTGCCGATGCGGGCGCGCAGGTGCTCGTCGAGGAAGCGCGTCACTTCAGCGGCCGAGATGTACTTGCGGCACTCGAGGAAGCCGCGGGCCAGGATGGGGATCGTGTCCGTGTGCGTGTGCACCAGCTCGGCCAGCACTTCGGTGAAGCGGATCTCGTCGTCGAGGTTGCTGATGGTTCGGCCCTGCCACGGGAGCAGCGTCGACAGCGAGTGCTGGTAGTTGTTGTAGATCTTGCTGATGTTGGGGTTGGACACGACAATGTACGGAAGGTTGCGGAGCGCCTGGATCCGGTGTGCTAGCCGGATCGGAAGCAGCGACAGCGTGAAGCGCGCCGACGACAGGAGCGCCTCTGCGGAGAGGGGTGGGCGGCCATGTCTAAGGTCGGGCAGGGTCGACGACGACAGATGGTGAGCACGACAGAAGACGGACACAGACGCTCGAATGATCAATGGACGAATGGATGCATTGGAAGCCTGCCTACCTGACCAGGTCGGCTAAACTCAGCGGGTGCAGAGGCTGCTTGGCGAGCCACGGGACTTCGTCCTTGACGCCCTGGCGATCATCGTGTTGCTGGTGTTGCGGATAGTGGTGGCGGGCACTCGACGAGAGGCTTCGCGCCGAAGACACGCGCAGTTGGAAAAAGGCCCTAGGGCAGTTAGGCAACCGCAGTGGCCTCGCGATGCATTTCATGTCGGCATGTTTGCGCGGTAACGGGAAGATGGCAGGAGCGGGTCGGACTGCTAGTTTTCGGCTTGGAAATAATTGATCTGGACTGCCGTTCCGTCATGCCATTTCACTCGTCACTTTCAGTTGGGTGCCCGGGTCGGTGATGGTCATCAGCAGGATTTGATTGGCAACCTACCCGTGCAATCTATCCCTGTTTCCTGTTAGTGCAGTACTGACTCTGACTCGGTCTCACTTTTTGTAGGCATTTCTAAAAGGCTTGGGCGCCAAATACATGATTCAATTGGTTGCAACTGGCGTTGCTTGTGCCAACTAAGTAATCCACTAACAGTTAGTTAGCTTTAGATTGAAGACCTGGCAGGGCAAGCACGTTCAGCGTAGATTGAACATGAAAGAGCTACCTTCCCTTACCTTACCTTTTCACACTCATATTAAATGGATTAACCTCTAATTTCACTAGTAGAGTAATAAATGATCGTCGAATTCATAAGCTCTATGCGTGACGCTGATAAGGCAGCTAAAATGTCTGAAGCCGCCTTCTGCGATAGCCTAGACCCCAGACTGAGATGGACCCTGGCTCATGCTTATGCCCCGCGATCTAATGCCCCGCACTCCTTGACACCACCGCCCTGTCCATCCGCGCTCAAACTACCGCCTGCGTCGAGACCTCGCCATCGGCCTCGACCGCCTTCACGTTCTCGTCCTGATCGAGAGTATGCACTACATCATTGGGGAAGGTGACTCTGTGGATTTCACTGTTGTCAGTGACATGGATTGACTCTCCCTGCTTGATGCAGGGTACTATCGCCCAAGACGAGCGGTTGAGGGGTTAGCCTACTGAAACCCCTTGATGAGCGAGTACTCGTGACCGATGGTGCCTCCCTGCTCTCTAGCTTTGTTCTTTGCACTGACTGGAGGTCAATATGGGTGTTCTGGGTCTGCCAAAAGGCAAATCCTAATCGAGAGCAGGGGCTACTTACTCCTCAACATCTTCAGGGGAGGCGCCGTCCTTGCAGGTAACCTATGACGTCGGATGTCAGAAATAACGGCAACCAGATAAGGTACCTAAGCATTTGACATGGGTTGTCCAGATCGCAGCACATACAATGTAGGAAGGCATGGTTGTCGTTGGGTTGTAAAGGCGGTTTTACGTCTGGTGAGCGATGAGGCAAGTGGTACTGTAGTACGTTTGTGGGGATTCCAACATGAGGGTGAATGCAAGAGAGGCGGCGACAGTCTGCTGTGGATACCCTTTGGCTTTGGGATATCTCTTCCTTTATACCTAGAACTCTATGGGGTTTTAGCATCGGCGGCCTTCCATGGCCGCGGCTGAGTAGCTGAACGGGCCATTCAAAGTGACGCGGCAATTCGCGTAGCATGGAAGCGACCACAGACGAGTGGAGAGGAAAAGTACGTCATGCCGCCCATTATCGGCAGCTAAGACATCCATCACACCCTCTCGTGATACATGGTGGAATAGGGGTGACACGCCTCGAGAACCAGAACGCTTACTTACGGCTCCTCCCACTTTAGCAACTGTTCAACGTCTTAGGCATCTTACCTATGTGCCGCCGGACGCGCCAGACTCGGGGCTGCCGTTGCCCAGCCAAGCCTGTTGGTACCTCCCGCATTTGGTGACTTGCATGATTTGCAGCCGAGAGAGTTGCCCAAGTGCGCAATCATACTTCCTGCGAGTCATCTCTGAGGTGCGCGATAAATCCCCGACGTCCAAGTTTCTTAGTTCGACCCAAGTCAAAGTCGTTGACAAAACGTGGAAGCCATGCGTGTTGCTCAGAATTCCAAGATAGCATCTCCTCCATATTTCTTGGGTCTTGCAATCCAACTAGGGATAGAACCTGTGAAAGGGCGAGATTTGACAAATCTATCGGACGGCGCCGTGGATTTGCCTAGATCTCACAGCCCGCAAAGGCTTTGAGCAATGGAGGAGTCGAGTACCGAGCACAACGGGAAAGGGCGGGGGTTGACCCCACCATTTGGAGATAATTGATGTTTAAACCCCACTGAAAAGTCCTTATCGATAAGATCGTAATCGCGCCCGAAGATCTACCGTCTAAAAATTTCTGGAGCGGCTGGCTGCACAGGACGCGGAATTGAGGTTGAGATTTGGAGCTGTTTGCGACGGGCATTTTTTTTAATACAGGTCCCCAGTCGCCCCCTAGAACTGGCACCAGAATGGACGGACAAGCCCACAAGCCGCATAGACAGGCAAAAAAGTCGAAAGACAAGAAGAAAGAACACACAGGAGGTCAGTTCCCGCCCACAACGGCTTTCCCGTCACATTTCAAGTCGCAGGGTCCTTTTGCTCACAGCAGTCAATCCAGCGCCGAATCCGAAGGCCTTTACCTTTACCAACCCCGGCAAGCTTGCGAAACACGCGGCGCGAACTCACGATGTGAGCAGCCTCTACTACTTATTTCAGCTATCCTCATGCGGTCACTGACTTCCCCGAACAGATCAGAGAAAAGCGTCTTCATGTACCTCTCGTCGACCGCGTTCCCGATGAGCCAGCACCGCGGCTGGTTACAATCGTCGGGCCTCCGGGTGTAGGAAAGACGACACTGCTGTAGGTCTTTACTTGTTGGATTGCCCGGTAGCCGGAAGCCCAATTGCCTTACTGACTGCTCCTGGGGCGAACAGCAAGTCATTAATCAGGCGCTATGCGAAAGAGACCATCTCTGACCCTGTGGGTCCCATAACAATCGTCACATCAAAAAAGCAGCGATTAACCTTCGTCGAATGCCCCAACGAGCTCGAGGCCATGGTCGACATCGCCAAGGTGGCCGACATCGTGCTGCTGATGATTGACGGGAATTATGGGTTCGAGATGGAGACGATGGAATTTCTCAACATCTTGGCCGCCACTGGTATGCCGGGTAACATCTTTGGCGTGCTCACCCATCTTGACCTCTTTCGCAAGCCGCAGGCCCTCAAGGACGCCAAGAAGCGACTGAAACATAGATTATGGAGCGAGTTGTACCAGGGCGCTCACCTTTTCTACCTCTCCGGCGTCTTGAATGGTCGATACCCGGACCGCGAGATCCACAATCTTTCCCGCTTCCTCTCCGTCATGAAGAACCCTCGGCCGCTTGTGTGGAGGAACTCCCATCCATACTCGATAATCGACAACTACCGAGACGTGACACATCCCACAAAAATCGAAGAGGACGAGGACTGCGATCGGTCAATCGAACTCTCCGGTTACCTTCGCGGAACCAACTTTGCTACCGAGGGCCAAAGGATTCATATTGCAGGGTTGGGCGACTTCACAATAGCAAGTATGGAGGCACTGCCGGATCCGTGTCCGACGCCTGCCATGGAGCAAGCTCTTGCGAAAGCCAGCGGCAAGACGGGGAAGAGGCGTCTTGACGAGAAGGACAAGAGGCTCTATGCACCCATGGCTGATCGGAGTGGGCTTAAAATCACTGGCGATCATATTGTTATCACTAGAGAAAACGGGTTCGCCTTCGACAAAGATGTCGAAGACGTCGAGCGAGGCGAGGGTGAACAGCTCATCATCGACTTGCAGGGAGAGAGACGTCTCCTTGGCCAAACCGACCATGGCGTTAAGCTTTTTGCCAGTGGCGAGGAGATCACGCAGGTGCCCGAGGAAGTCGATACTGGGCGAAAAGGCCAAAGGAGAGCACGGTTTGCGGAACGGGGCGAGTGGGACGACGAGGGGCTTCCAGAAGACGAAGGCTTTGTCAGTGGTGACGATCTGGACTGGCCCGATGTTGAAACCGAGTTCAACGAGCAAAAACTTGGCAAAATGTTCCGGAAAGACGCAGACAAGACCCAGGACGAGGACATTGCTTTTGCCGATAGCGACTCTGATCTCGGGTCACTTTCCTCTGCGGATGAAGATCTCGACTCGGATGACGGCGACGACGATCTCAACTCAAACGAGGAGGGTGCCGCTGTTAGGTGGAAGGATAACATGATGCAGCGCGCAAAGATGCTGCATGGGAAGAGGCAGCCCTATCGCGCAGTTGACCTTGCCAGGTTCATGTACGACAACTCATTATCCGCAAAAGAAGCCCTGCAGAAATGGAGAGGCGAGGATGAGGAGGAAATTGAGGAGGACATCGAGAAGGAGGAAGACGACACTTTCTTCCGAAGGGTTGGGAAGGAGGGTGACGACGACGCTAGTGAAGACCGGTACATTCCCAAGTTCGACTACGAGGCGCTCGCCAGGAAATGGTCAACTAAGGATGCTATCGAAGCCCTCCGGACTAAGTTCTCGACGGCCAACCTGGTTGATGAGGCCGAAGGCGATGATGATGAAGGCGAGGATGATGAGGACGGCGAAAGCGGAGAGGATGAGGATGATGAAGGTGACGGTGCGTTCGAGGATCTCGAAACTGGTGAGAGCCACGGTCCCGAAGAAGCCAAATATCCCGAGGCAACACTGGAAGCGGAGCGCGAAAAGAATGCCCGGCGCAAGGAGGAACTCAAGCTCCGCTTCGAGGAAGAAGATCGAGAAGGTTTCAAGAACGACAAGGCGGTTGCCCGGCGTGAAGGGGGCGAGGAAGAGTTTGGAGAGGACGACTGGTATAAGTCGCAGAAAGCGATGTTGCAAAAACAACTCGACATAAACAAATCCGAATTCGAGAGCCTGGACGAAACCCAGCGTGCCTCTGTCGAGGGTTTCGGAGCTGGAAAATACGCAAAGATCATTCTGGAAGGCGTCCCGGCCGAGTTTGTCAACAACTTCAGCGCCAAGGTACCGATTATTGTTGGGGGTCTTTCAGCCACCGAAGACAGATTTGGCTATGTTCAAGTCAGAATCAAGAAGCACCGGTGGCACAAGAAGATTCGTAAGTCTACCTCCCTATGCAACCCGGTGACGTTTGACTAGTGGTCAATATGCTAACCTTGGTTCGTAAAAACAGTCAAAACGGGTGACCCCCTGATCTTCTCTCTTGGATGGCGCCGGTTCCAGTCGCTCCCAATCTATTCGATATCAGATTCCAGAATAAGGAATCGGATGCTCAAGTACACGCCGGAGCACATGCACTGTTTCGGAACCTTTTACGGTCCTTTAATTGCGCCCAACACCAGCTTTGTCTGCTTCCAGTCCTTCTCCTCGGCCAACCCAGGCTTCAGAATATCGGCCACAGGCACAGTCCTGAGCGTGGACGAGTCCACCGAAATCGTCAAGAAGCTTAAACTGGTAAGTTTTCTTACTAATTTTAAACAATTTTCTCGTGTATATTAATGCTGACCCTGTTTGTTTTATAGACGGGCACACCCAGTAAAATCTTCAAGAACACAGCTTTCATCAAGGACATGTTTAACTCGCCCTTAGAGATTGCAAAGTTTGAAGGTGCAGCTATCAAGACGGTGTCGGGAGTTAGGGGTCAAATCAAGCGCGCTCTGGCCAAGCCTGAAGGGCACTTCCGAGCGACGTTCGAGGACAAGATCTTGCTCAGCGACATTGTGTTCCTGCGGGCCTGGTTCCCCATTAAGCCCCACCGCTTTTATAACCCGGCTACAAATCTCATTGGGTGGCATACCATGAGGTCTACGGGCCAGATCCGGCGGGACGAGGACCTTGCCACACCGCAGCTGAAGAACAGCCAGTACAGGAAAATCGAGAGGGCCACGCGGAGGTTTAACCCCCTCCGTGTTCCCAGGGCACTGGCGGCAGACCTGCCGTTCAAGAGCCAGATCGTGCAGACCAAGCCCCAGAAGAAAGAGACGTATATGCAGAAGCGGGCGGTGGTGGTACGGGGCGAGGAGAAAAAGGTGCGCGATCTGATGCAGAAGCTCACAACTATCAGGAAGGACGTGGTTGCCAAGAGGCGGGCCAAGAAGGAGGAGAAGCGTGCCGAGTACAAGAAGAAGACGGCTGAGATCGAAGAGCGCTTGCAGAACAAAGAGAAGCGGGAAAGCAAAGCCTACTGGGAGCGCGAGGGCAAAAAGAGGAAGCCGGGCGACGCGGGCGGTGGCGGCGGGAAGAGGAGAAAATAGCTTCCGCCTACCGTTGTCGGGGGTAATATAAGACGCTGTTACATGTACCAAATGTATACTGTGCATATACCAAACGTATTCTGTGCATATCTACCTGTTCTCCTGATACGTAGTTATTCATCTCCTGGTTCTCGATAGTAATATTTAATGCCATATTTGTTGGTTTGGGTATACGAATTTTGTTGGAAATGCCTTTCAAATACCGAATACGTACATATCTTATTGACCAAAGATCGGGAGATACTTGGCCTCGCAAGGTCTCTTTGGGAATCATCGTAGAGAAGGAAAATACATAAATCCTTGTAGTTACAAGAGCCGTGTCTCATCTAACATAGGAGAAGCTGTCGAGATGGTGGGGAAATTGTTAGCGCAACAGACTCCCAATGGCAGCAATCAGCATCGCGTCATCAACTCCCTCGCACCTTCCTGATAACCTACCTGAGTACTGAGTATTCCGCACCTGGACTTCGCTTATCTTGGCAACAACCTGTTTGCATTATCTCAGGCTGCGATCAAGTATTACCGAGTAGTGCGGGCACCTCGAATGCCTTGTTGGATCTTTGTATAACGAACGACGCAACCAGTCAGTTGAAGCGATCCCATCTGGAATGGCCTCGCAATGCCATCGACACTACTCCTAAGAAGTCTCATCGGCGGCAGCCGGCAGCGGCCAACCGCGGCCGCCGCAGTGCTACCAAGTCTAGACAGCAGTGGACGCATGCGTCGTGCCCCCCTGCACCTCGCGCCGCCGTTCCTCCTCGACGCTGGCGACTTCACGCCCCGCCACCAGCTGCTGAGCGCGGTCGACGCCGCAAAGAAGCGCGCCGCCGCCTATGCACACCTCCACAACTGCAACCTCTGCCCCCGGCTGTGTGGCGTCAACCGCTACGAGACGACGGGCATGTGTCTCATTGGGGAGAAGGCCAAGGTCAATGTCATCGCTCCGCACTTTGGTGAAGGTGTGTGTGTGTGTGTGTGTGTGTGTGTGTGTGTGTGTGTGTGTGTGTGTGTGTGTGTGTGTGTAAGAGTGAATGTGTTTGTTTGGTTTTGTGGTTTTACATAATTTTCTTGTTTGTGTTATACGGATTTGGATAGCCTAGAGCATGAGCGTGACCATTCCTTGCTTGTCTTGTTTTTGCGTTGACACTTGATCTCGATGGCTGACTTGTTTGGATTCCGTTGCAGAGCCGTGCATCCAGGGCCACAACGGCAGCGGCTCCGTTTTCTTCAGGTAAAGTCGCTTACATGGACATGACTCCATTCAGACCGAGACTAACACGCGGCGCCTCGAAGCATGTGCAATCTGAGATGCGTGTTCTGCCAGAACCACGATATCGCTCACCAGCGCAACGGCCAGGATCTGACACCAGAAGAGCTTGGCGACTGGTATCTGAAGCTACAGGATGTTGGAAATGTGCACAATATCAACCTCATCACCCCTGAGCAGTGAGTTGCTGACCTCTGACCGCATGAGTCTTAGCCATCTGGCTTAACGCGGCCTTTAGTGTGGTGCCCCAGGTTGCTTTGAGTATCCTCCATGCGCGGGATCAGGGCCTTATGTTGCCTGTCATATACAACACCTCGGCGTATGATTCGCTGGCCTCGCTCGAGCTACTCGATGGGCTTGTTGACATTTACCTGCCGGACTTCAAGGTGTGGGAGGTCGCCACCTCTCGTCGGCTGCTGAAAGCGGACGACTACGCGGCAACGGCCAGGGAGAGCATCAAAGCCATGCACGCTCAGGTCGGCGACCTGTGCTTCACTCCCGATGGCATCGCCAAGAAGGGGCTACTAGTGCGCCACCTTGTCATGCCTGGCCTTGAGCACGAGGGCGCCGAGATCATGAGGTTCCTGGCCGAACACGTCTCCAAAGACTGCTTCGTCAACATTATGGAGCAGTACCATCCAGACGCCTATGTGGGGAAGCCAAAGAGGAGAGAGAGCCAGTCCGTCAGGACCGGACGAGAGCCCGCCGAGAAACGATATGCCGAAATCAACCGCTCTGTGTCCAGGGACGAAATTTCAGTAGTAAGAAAAGCAGCAGAGTCAGCCGGGCTCTGGAGATTCTGCGACCCCCCAAGGCATGATGGGTTCAGTCTCTGAACCATTTCTCGGGGCCGTGCCGCTCTAGGCCGTCGTGGTCACCGGGCCTGTTCCGCTAGGCTGGCATGTCAACAAAGTGGAAAACCCGAGTGCGATCTTTGGTAGCACATTTGGCCGATCTTCACGACCGCTAAGAAATTGGGCATCGGATCTAGAACTCCTAATCTACTGCCAGAGTGCATGTCACGCGCGTGCTTTGTTAGGGACCTAAGCCCGCGGCTCGGGGAGGCAGTGATTCTAGACTCCTACTGGCCAGAGGCAACAAAGGGAGCTCTCTCTCCCTTCTTTATTTGGGTGGCGGGCTTGGAGCTTGCCAACCACGAAGCTGAGCTTCAGCTTCTAGCTAGCTATCCCACAGCATGGCGCTCCTCCACAACAACGAACTGGATATGTCTTTATATCCTGTAATTTTCCCGTCTGGTATATGGGCAGCAATCGACAAGATGCATCTCCCACGACCCTTTGGTATGGATTCTTTCGGGCTCAATTTCCAAGACGTGCAATACTCGGTGCCATTATCGCCCGAGACGATTCCGAGTTCCAGCTCGGGGATGCAACGGGACGACTACTTCAGCCCTCTTCAAAACAGCAACAAGATTTCCCAGGAAGGGCAAGGATTCCTGGACCAATCTCAGCTAGTAGGATCTGTAGAAACAGCTGCCCCGAGTGGGACTTCCCTGCAACGTCCGGTATTGCAGGCGAGAACCAGTCAGCCACCGCCGGTTCGAAAGAGCTCTACACACGGGCAAGTCTCGTTCTCGGCTAGTAACTATACGCCTACGCCTTCATATCTAAGCCCCCAGCCGCTCGGGGATCTGGACAATGAACGTGCCTACCTCGTATCCAATCTCCACCAGCAGAGTGACAAAGCTACCAAAAACTACGAGAGATATGTTGCACTTGAAGCACAGCTCCCCGAGGCCCAGAAAGGAAGCGAGACCAGGAAGGTCAAAAGAAAGATGAGCTCGTTGAGAAACAAGATTGGGGAGAGCTCGCAGCAGGAACAGCTCGTACTCTTGCGACTTGGCGAGATCTTCTTTGAGTCGCAGAAAAGGCAACACAAGCAGCAGCAGCAGCAGAACTTCACATCGCTACAGCAGGTATTGCCTATGGCGCAGTTCCCCCCGATGGCTGAAGCCAGCCCCTTTCCAACCACGTCGTCCTCTGCGGGAACATCGTCTGACTACTTCACCCCTTCGTCCGCGCTGAGCCCCCTATCGCCTGCTTTTGTTCCTGGTGCCATCACGTTTTCCGAGGACATATGGGGCGAGAAGCCAGCACCGGGGAAGCCAATAGATGAACCCCAGACGATAAAGGAAGAGAGAAAACCGGAAACGGCGGGAGGTATGGGAAGCTTCGACGAGGCGATGCCCGACGCCATTGGGAATTGCGGAGAGTTTTCGGAGAGAGTCGAGTACAATGATGATCGCCAAATGGCAGGGGACAGTGGAACGGAAGAGGCACAGATTGACGATGTCATGTGGGACTTTGACGGCGACGACTCTGAGCAGGCGGGGGTTGATAAGAAGAGACAGCGACTGAGCAGCCTCTCCCTCCCGTTACTGTCGCCTTCTCCTAGAGAGAAGCGGATGAGCATGCCGTCTCTGAAGAATCTGTGGCCCAAGTCATGGACCCACAGCTCCCAACCGGCTTCATGAATGCGTCACGACGAAATTTGCAGGAACCGATACCAAAATCGCGATGGCTTTTTTTTTCTTTTTTAGTATTCCTTCCTTTTGTTGCTATTGTGTTGCTCAGTGTTCCGAGCCTGTAACACCAGAGAGACTGTATGTCCAAAAAAGAAAAGCGGTTAATAGGTAATGGGACTGATCTTTGTCGCTTCGTTTGCTTGCTTGCAAAGCAATCCATACAGCACTCCGATCAAGATACACACACACACACACACACACACGAGACGTTTTAGGCAAACTCGCCAAATTTCCCGTCATCAAACCCCAGGTTCTGGGCAGACATTCTCTTTTGCGCCCTAATCTCCTGGGCGGACGGAGGCGGGGGAAGGAAGGCGTTACTTGACGTCGGCGCCGGTGCCGCTGCCGACGGCGGAGGCGCCAAGGCAAACGACGACAGACTTGCCGTCCCGGCGGTCGGGGACGGCTCCTGAGTTCTGGCCGCTGCCCTGCGGCCAAACTTTGTGCCGCTGAGGTTGACCGTGATGGTCTCGCCATCCTTGAGGCTGTAGTCCTTTTTGTCCTGCTGCTGCTGCTGCCCGCCGCAACCACTAGCCTTACCTTTGCTCGTCCCGGCCCCGGCGGCGTCGTCAGACGACGAGTACAAGCCCAGCGCCTTCTGCGCCTCCTGCAGCGCAATGCTAAAGTCGAACGCCTCGCTGCGCTCCTCGAACCCCAGCCCCAGCAGCGCCCGCCGCCCCCCGACGGGTCCGTCACCCGGACCGCGAAGAACCGGCTGCTGTCCAGCGCCGGCTCAACCACAGCCGCCGACGTGTAAGGCGCCGCCGCGAACAGCTGCCCCGTCCCGGCGTCCTCGAGGATTACGTCGACTTTAACGTCCTGCGCCGGGTCGTTGTTGTTGATACTGTCGGAGCCGGGCCGCGGGATCGCCGTCTCGATGATGCGCGCCCGGCACGTGAAAATGTGCCGCGTCGGGTCCTCGGTCCACGTCGCCGCCGTGTGCCCGCGCGTGGACGTCATGGGCGGGATGTTGTAGACGTGCACGGCCCGCGAGATGTGCAGGATGCGCTCTGTTGTTCCGGGGGTTGCATGTGCATGTTGTTAGTGAATCATTGTGTCATTGTGTCATTGTGTTATTGTGTGGGTGGTTTGTTTTGTTTGCTCTGTTGTTGGTGGTGTTGGACTTCGTCTGAACACTGGAGGGGGCATGACTAGAGTTGGGATATACAACGAAGAACGAAAAAAAGAAGAGGGAAAAAAACATACGGATGGCGTCGGCCGGCAAGGCGCGGCCAGTCGCGGGGTCGATGATTGCGGGCTCCATGCCTCTCTCGAGTTCCGACTTTATTGCGTTGTGCTATCTTGCTACGTATTTGGTTCTGGCTCTGGTCACCGGATGTTCGGCGGGATTGCGTTGGCGAGGGGAATCGACGGCGACGGCGACGACGAACGCAGTGTCATTGCTGGAATTTATTTTGGGAATCTGTGACACGACGTGCTTCAGTTGAAGCTTGCCTCGTCTGCCGAACCGAACGTGGGCAGCCTGCTAGCAGCTACCCCCCCTACCCCCCCTGACTGACCCGAGGCATGTCCTGCCACTATTACGTACAGTATGTACATGTATACCATATAGTACTCCGTATGTGTTACCCCAAGGCGTCCTGCCCCGCTTCACCCCTCCCTCTTTGTCCCCTCCTTCATCCGGTGGACGAGCGCCGTCCGTATCCGGCCTGGGTTCAATAGGTGCTGGCTGGATCTCGGGAATACGTCTTCTTGGTTAACGGCTACTCTGTTGGCGAGGTTGTGAAAAGATCACCTTGTCTCTTGACGAAAGCCGCAGGTGACTGTGCGTGTGGAAGAGTTGGCGGTTCTCCTGCAAAGACTTCGTGACGCGTCATGGTACATACATGTATGCACAAGTAGGTACATACGGACGGAAGAAGTGAGTAAGTGCATTGCGGCTTGTCCAGGAAGTCTTTCCTCAAGAGCGGCAGTAATTGTTGAAACGCCTAATGTAATCCCATAGCTGTCTCCTTCTTACAGGTGGCGTCGATGGCTTTAAGGAAAGATTTCTCTCAAAGAGGAGTGATAGCAACTGGAACCTACTGGCAATATGGAATCACAGAGCCCTATTTTCTTCGTATAGGTGCCTGCCAAATGCTTCCCAGGCCTCAAGAATACCTCCATACACAATTGTGAAGTCTTACCCCGCGCCAATAATCATTCAGGGATCGGGCTGTATCGATAACGTCGTAACCTCTGATGACAACCCCACCACGCCGAATTGAAGGCGGTATGATCTGGCAAAAAGTTACCGAACGCCCTGAACGCTCCTGCTGGGCTGAACCAGACGAGCTCCCGCGATCGTCAAACTTAGCGGTACAGTACTGCGTAATTGACAGCTGTTGACTCATAGCTGCTATTTCTGCCCCCCTCCCCCACGCCAGAACCCCAAGCTTAGAACCACGCGCAAGGGCTTCTTATATGCTCTGGCGACGGCCGCTGCCCCTTTTCATCGCATCCTTCCACTTTCAGGCCAACGGCAAGATGGCCACAGACGACTTAGACACGGATGCCGGCGCAAGCGTCCAGTTGCCGATTCGGGCAGCAGGGAATACCGACGAGAGCAACTCCACAGCTTTTGAGTATGGCAAGCCTCCTCCCAAAGCAGCAAGCAAGCAGAGAACTGACGTGCGATTCCAAAACAGCATCGTCAAGACATACCGTTCGCTCCTCGATGCGGACCCGGACCTCACAATGCCCGTCGCGGCCATCGAGTCGCTGATAGAGCTGCTCCACGCGACGCCGTCGTCGACGGCTATGGAGACGGTCGAGGTGGTGAAGAAGGAAAAGGCGAAGCTGGTGGCCTCGGCGCCGAACCCGCTGCCGATCCTGGCCGGCGCCGACCTGTTCGAGCAGTTCCTGCTGCGGTCGCTTAGGGGGCAGACCGCGTCGGGAAGCGCCGACGTGGTGCTGAGCTTCGACGAGACGCGCCAGCACCTGCTACGCAACAAGCTGCTCTTCGCCGAGCGCGCTAAGGCCGCCCGCGACATGATCGCCAAGCTGGGCAGCGAGCGCGTCGTCGACGGCGGCGTCGTCATGACGGCCGGCGGCTCGCGCGTCGTCACCAAGATCCTGCTGCACGCGGCCGCGATGCAGAAGAAGCAGTTCAAGGTCATCTACGTGCTCGACGGCAGCCCGCGCACCGACGCGTCGGTCGCGGCGCTGCGGGACGCCGGCATCCCCGTCGAGACTGTCCTGTTCCAGAAGGTCGCCTACATGCTGCTCAACCAGAGCCAGATCAACGTGGTCATGGTCGGCACCGAGGTCATCACGTGGAACGGCGGCGTCGTGTCGCGCATGGGCACCTGCCAGCTGGCCCAGCTGTGCAAGAAGCTGCCCGGCACCATGCGCCGCTTCTTCGTCGTTGCCGAGTCGCACAAGATCCACCGCAACATGCCCATCGCCTACCCCATGGTGCTGCACCTCGGCGTCCGCCAGCGGCACATTGGCCGCTGGGAAAACCTCGCCAACGGCAGCGTCCGGGACTTGGACGGCAAGCCCATGGAGAGCTGGCTGGCCGACCAGGACGAGGTCGAGTACACAGAGCCAGAGTTTATCGACGGCTTCATCACCGAGCAGGGCATCAAGTCGCCGGGCATGATTGTGAAAATGGTAGAGGACTACAACTAAAGGGAGAAAGAGTCAAACTACTCGCACCCGACCTGTGGTCTAGACTCTGACGCGGTTGGCGATGAGCGGGGGGGTGGGAGCGAGGGACAGGAAAAGGGGGGTGAGGGTGAGGTGTGTGATCATCACCACCTTAGCATATGGCTGGCCACCTGAGCCACGGCGTATACTTCAGGAAACAAAAACCTGTCACGCGCGTTTCCTTTCTTTTTTTGGGTGTTTCTCTCCTCTCTACCCCCCAATGCAGCCAAGGGACGGGCCGCATCATCCGAGCCCGGGGGAAGAGGCCTTGCCCTACTTTTAGGGCGGCAGCTTTTTTGCAGGATTTCTTTTTTTGCCGTATTTTTTTGTTCCCCGGCAGGGAGTCTCCGTTTGGCTTGTTGATATACCTATACAGCCCCCGTGGGCCGGTCGCCCAGTTGTCTAGACACACTTCTAACGCTCAAGCGTCTTTTTACATTTTGGCGTTTGGGGGGGATCAGAGGCTTGGCATGGGGAAACCCAGGAAAATCGGGCGTAGAGGCAAGGGTAGGCGGGGAGGGTCTGGCGGGCTTGGCCTGGCAAACGGTCGGGAACCATTGTCTCTTCATCGTCGTCGTCATCAATACCTAGGCAGGTAGGTATTTGTTTATGTTTATGTACTCATATGTACATGTAACAGTTGGTTCTCTTGCTGCGGCCTGTGTCCATGTCTATGTCAATGTCAATGTCAATGTTGTCTGGCTGTTGTTCATCAGACTTGTATAACCAAAGAGTCTTTACCTATTTTATTGGAGTACAAGATTGCTAGTGTTAGCAAAGATCGTGATTACGAAGGTGAGCTTTATATAAGAAGACAGTATACTCAGACCGTAGAAAACGTCTGTTTGGAGGGACGAATAACAAGACAAGTTTTGTTTGACAAAATTGCTGCAGAAGCTGATTTTTTTTATCGTGACATTGACAACTACAGAACCTTTTTGAGTATGCTACCCAAATTCTCACAAACATTTATCCAAGATCAGAGAGAGGAACATAGAGAAAACCGGGTTGGCTGAGCAATGCCAAAAGATCGGCGCAGTCAACAGTCCCCATTTTGGGCTGAACCAGCCTGACTCCCCCCCCCCCCCCCCCCTTTTTTAACCTGCCCGGAACCCCTCCTTTTTTCCCCCAAAGTAATGTAAGCCGGTTTTGTTTTGCCCACCTTGTAAACCATTCAAGGAAATGCTTTTTTTTGGCTTTCCGGTTGCAAAGGCGAAGTTGAGTCACCTGGCATGGTTTTTTTCCATTCCGAGTTGGGGTTTCTTCGCGCACTAGAGCGCTTTCCGATGCGAGAACCGAGGAAAAGAGGCAAGATGAAGACACTTGAGATGAAACTAGTCCGTATCTCGAACAAGGCGTGCCCCAACCCAGGCGTAGGGGTAATTACGTTGATACCAGTTCACGCTGTACATCGGTCACGTTGATTAGCCGATGAACTCATTAATACTTGTTGGTCTCAAGATGAAAGCAACCAAGGTGAGCCGGAGAAAACTCACAATGTCTTTCGTCCTGCAATGCGCGGGTGCGTGGCCCAGGAGCCGCCAAGCACAATGTTATGCTTCTCGTCAAAGAAGTCGGCCGTGTAGCCGGGATAGAGCTTCATGGGCTGGAAACCCTCCCAGGGGCGCAAGACGGAGCTGGTCCACTCCCACACGCCGCCCATCTCACACTGGCCGGCCAGGGTATTGCCGCGCCCCGTCACGGCCACCGGGTGCCAGTGGTGAAAACCAACGTTGGCACCCTCGAGGTCAATAAACAGTTGTTCCTGCCTATTGACCTCAGATGTGGTAGGGGTTGGCGGTGGCGATATCTCGACGCCGTTGTTGGAGAGATGTCTAGGGTGTGACGTGTGAGTAGTTATCCCCAAGGTGTTACAGCAAGCGTTTTGGGTCGGTATCTTACCCGTTGACTGCAGGGACAGTCTTTCCGAGCTGCCTTTCGGCTTCCTTCTTCTTCAGAAAATCTGCATGGTCGTATATACTCCGAGCTTCCTCAACAGTAGGGATACGCCCACCCATCCAGGCGGCGCAGCCCGCAAGCTCGTCGTACGATGCAAACATGGGCCAGTCCAGGGCGTACTTCAGGGGCACAAGACCATAGACTGTGCGCACAGCCTTGTTTTCGACAAAGGTTGCAGGAACGAGGCCATTGCTCACATGACCGTTACCTCGACTGTTGGCGTTTCCATTGGTGTGTCCGTTGGTTTGTTCGTTGGCGTGGCCATGGGTGTGATTTTCATTGGTGCAGTACCCGTTGGTGTGGCCGTTAGTATAGTCATTTGTACCACTATTGATTCGAGCCACATCCTGTGTCACATCCGCGCCTGGTTTCACAGACGCCTCAGCCGCCATCGCCCAAGACGCAGGCATCTTGGTGATGTGCATGCTGTACATGTAATTTGCATACTAAATAATTCAGCATACGAGTTAATGATATGTGGTCGTGCGATTTACTTACATCTTCATTGCTGATTGGTCTCGCCTGTGCTTGGAACGCATGGACCTTGACGTGCCTAGCCGGCCTCTCGTTGTCCCTATTCGTCGTTAGTGATACGAACATGATGCCGTGCCGTTAATACCGCTAGATTCAGGGGGTGCTACCATCCAAAGTGGGCCTCTGGGTCGTTCCCATCTTCGGGATTCTCCGAGCCTAGGGTTATGGCCTGCGCGGGAATGTTGAACCACTTGTTAGGAACTCTTTCAGAACGAGCCTTGGCAGCAAGTTTCTCAAAGTCTGGCCGCTGGACATGGGATGGCGGTTGCGTCTTGTCGCTTTGGAGCATCATATACAAAAGGGTCTCGATGTGCATGATCTCATGCTCGAACCCCATCCAGACGGCCTGGCCCACATGGCGCGGAATGCTGTCTTGGCCAGCTGCGTAGTAACCCCGGAGCCGTGACCGGACTCGGCCCTGATAGGTCAGGATCGCGTCCAAGGGAGGCCATTCGTCAGGTATCTCCGAGTGTGCGTGGCACAGCTCAGGATTGTCAACGTCGGGATCAATGCCCCGCTCAAAGATTCGCGAGAAACCTGCCGGCTCGGTAAGAGGCTCATTGGCCGTCTTGGTCAACTGGATGTCGAGGAAAGTAGGGATGTGTCCCAGGTAAAAGATGCAGGCATTACGGAGCTTGATGGGCTTGTCCAACAGCTCCTCTCGAGTCATCATTTCGCGTGTGACGACGTCCCAGGCTGCCCACAGCGCTTCCCAATCCTCCATTGTGGGGAGTACGCTGCGGGCATACATCGAGGGGATCAGGCTGAACGACATTCTCGGTTTGGCGAGCATATGGAGCCCTGCAGAGCAAAGATCGGTCAGTAAGAGGGGGCTACAGGGTGCAGATAAGCAATTGTCGCGCCGTCGCGGGCCTTTAGACGACGGCCCCAGAACCCCGCAGCCCAACACCATCAGACCGGTGTAAAGGATTGGGGCACATGAGACACGTTAAAATCTATTCCCTTGCGCCGAAACAACGTATGACTAGTCCCGCGTGCTGGGAAAACGTGGGGTCGGCTTGGGAAATCTGATCGGACGACTCGAAATAGACAATGTCATACGAGTAGGGACGACTGAAGAAGGTGGGTATAAGTTCCACTCACCATACTCGTCCCGGCCGTGCCTCCAGTGGCCAGCCTCGGCCATGCCCGCCAGCCCCCAAAGCTTCTGCGCCTCGTCTCGAGAGTATTTCAGACTCTGCTCGACCCGAATTCGATCGTGGGGTCGGATCAACTCGCCCATGACCGTGGCGTCACGGAGAGGAGAGTAAAAGGCCTGGTGCCGTCCCCCCTCCCCGTCGTACACATACTCTCCAATGACTCTCCAGTCGGTCTCGACGAAGATATTCTGGCCGAGAACTTTGTTGGCATGCGAGAGGCCGTTGAGCACAAATCTGGATTCGTCAGTCGCCGACAAATGACCCAGGCGGTGCATGATTCGAGGTCTGGGAGGGGTGGTGGCATACTCATGTGTTAGACCTTCTCTGTCTGTAGTGGCAGAAGAGGGCAGGTTAGTATGAATAAATGGTGCAGTGGGTTACACATACCATTATATGCGTGGCTAACTCTTGCCGTCAGCCAGAGCTTCCGCGAGAACCGCGAGGGCGGGTGATATAGGGGCTTGCACGTACTATACCTTGGCTGGGCTGTCGCACCCGTCCAGCCCAATCAACATGGTGTCACCAGGGTTGAGGACATCAGCAAAATTCTTCAAGAACGCCGCGGCTTCTGCTCGTTCAAAGTTTCCTAGAAGCAACGTCGCATCAGGCTCTGCGAACTGGTGGTGTTGGGCAGAAATCATCATACCAATGCTAGACCCGAGACTCAGGATACACTTTGGCCTCGAGACGTTGGCCAACTTGAGCCACTCCCGTCCGTCGTCGTACGTCCCCAACAGCCCGTGGCAGCTCACATGCCTGTATACTGGGAGCTGGGCAAGGGTGCGCTGGAGCTCCTCTTGCGACAGATCCAAGGCATAGTAATCGACATTCTTGCCGGCGTCTTCGAGGGCTCGCAGAAGGAAATTTACCTTGCGGAGGTTTCTGGACAGGGGTATACGAGTCAGTTGAGGTCTGGCACGGGGTTTTTTTGTTTGGTTGGTCGGCTGGCTGGCTCGCTGGTGGCAGCGGCGAGACATACCCACTGCCGAGCTCAATGACCATGGCCCCCGAGGGGATATGTTTGACAATCTCTGCGGCAGACGACTTGAGCACCTCGATCTCGTCGTTGGTCAGGTAATACTCTTCTAGATACGTGATCTGAAAACAAGTTAGTTGGCGACCAGTAAACTTAAGGTTCTGGAGATGATGTAGCGGGGCGCGCCTCACATCCTCGAAAAGCTGCAGTCCCCTCTCGTCATAGAGGAGAAGCGTGGGAAGCTTCCTGGGCCCGTCCGTGGAATGGAACATGGAAAGAAGCTCAGTCTTGAGGTTGAGCTCAACGGCAGCTTGGCGGATGTCGATGATGTCGAGCTCGGCCCCTGAAGCTGTCGGCAGCCTGGCGACGGACTTCCCCCTGACAGCCTTGAGGCCGAACAGGGCGCCATCCGGCACAATAATCGTCTCTCTTGAGACAGGCATTTTTCACTTCCGATGGTGCCGAATTGACGAGAATTGAAGTTGTTTGGGGCCACTGAAGGGGGGGGGGGGGACCGAAACGAAGCCTTTTATATATATCGCAATACATCTCGGCCTAGGTACCCTGTAAGGAGACAAAGACGAGACGGGTCTAAGTCATTGGAGCTCACCGGGGAAGTAGCGCGCCCAGCTGCCACGGTAAACGCTAGCATCGCAAATAGCTTAAAAGTAAGTACAGTACCCTCCAGGTTAATAAGAGGGCTCCGCATATGCCCCAGCTTAGATGTGGGTTCATGACCCTTACAGCAGAAGCGGAGCATCTGGCTGGCTGGCTCGCGCTGGCTTGGTTGCTTGGTTGCTTCCATGGGATGGATGCCGTTGTGAGCGGCCAACGCCAATTGGAGCGGCATTGGACACGAAAACTCGAGGCGTCGGGAAGGGCGGTCGGTGAAGCTTGTTGGAAACCTAAGCCAAACGGACGAGAAGAGACAGACTCTGGGCGCGCCGGATGGGCTGCCGCTCCCGTCCAAAAGGAACGGGTATTCCAGGGGTCTCTGGGGTTGTGTCTCTCTCACATGGCGGGAGCTTCTTACAGCGAGGCCAAGAAACACGGCAGACAGGTGAGGTGTGAATATACCTCACTGTACCTGGCCTGGGTACTGGGCAGCTAAGATTCGGCATGTAGGTTGCATGTACCTCAGGTAGGTTCTGAGAGAAGTAGGTAAGGTAGGTACATACAAGACTTACTTCACAGTATTATATGGTATGTACCTCCCAAGGACCTGAGGAAGAGCGACAGCCATCTGCAAGCAACGAAACAGCACAACGCAAGCATTCCATCCACCCCATCCACTCGCCATCATCCATGGACGGAACCCGCGAGCGTGCAAGAGACGGGACTGCGGACAGGGCAGGGCAGCGGACGGTGGCCCAATGCTATCCACGCAGATAGTGCGCTTGGTTCGGGGACAGTAACGTCAGCAAGCGCGCGCGGCGACCAGAGCGCGACAGCGACGAAATCTTTTGGTAATGGAATGCAGGGCGCGCCGCCGCATCCTGGCGAGAGTGGGAGATGGCGATGCAAGGGAGCAAATCACGAGCCAGCACCATGTTGCGGTAAGCGGGAGCCCCACGCCCTAGGGCAGCGAGCTTTAGCCTAGCGTTCTCCTCGTGCATACGGTGTTCCTGAACCACTGCTGGGACGACTGAGAACATGTTGTGTGAGGTGGGCCAAAATCTGGGGAATACGAGGAGGGAGGGTACGGGAATGGAAAGCTGAGAGAGACGACGCCAGCCGTCGACAACTGAAACCTGCCCGGCCTGACGTCCTTGCCCCGGCCCTGGGCGTCCATTCACATTGAAGTCAGACGAGAGATTTCAAGCTCCATGTCACGGTTCTGTGCCTGACGCTCAACGCCATCTATGGAAGCTACGACAACGACACAATGGTCTCGTGGGCTGTGCGCTGTCCGAGAGAAGCAGGAAGGATCCGCAAGTGATCGTCATTGTTCACGTCACGTCACGGTTGCCGTTCCGACTCGATTGCTCTTGCCTCAGTATTGTTGCACTATTGCCCACAGCCTACGTTTCTAAGGTGTCAGCCAGCGCCTGCACACCGAAACTCTGCATAGGTTGAGGCAGGCACGACTGGGCACGCACACGCAAGACGTTGAGACTGAGAGGAGGGGAGGTGCAGCCTGGCAGAGGCACCGCTTAGCTCTTGCAGTCATCAGTATTGTATTTGGAAAGGCATTGGTAATTAGTAGTAGCAGGTGCGTATTCCACGAGTATCAAGCAAAGTCTTGGTACGTAGAGTTCGAGAGAAAAATGAAATATAAAAAAAATAGAGGGTTGCCCGTAGCTAGGCGCATCAAGAAAAAGCAAAGAGCCCAGCTGTGAGGATCGCCCACTCACAGTGTCCACGTTTTCGTTGTGTGAATCTGTACTGTACGTACATTCTGATAGATTTCTCCTTTCTCCTTAGTGTTCAGGGCTTACAAGAGTTATTACGTGGATAAACAGATTGTGCCCTCCTGCCCTAGCACCGCACAGCTTGCCGAGCGTCATGACGCTTGACGCTTGTGCTCCGCAGCCCCTCTCGATTATCGGGAGACCCCGCCCTGGCCTGCCCTGGCTGGCCTGCCCTGCGATAGTGATGGCGGGCGGGAGATCTGGATTTCTCAGTCAGGTAGCTCAGGGTGTATGTATGTACCCCAGCATGGATGTTCTTGACATTTTCCAGAAGGCCCACCCCAATACCTACCTCAAGGTACTCCAAAACTTGCCAGCGGACTTAGCGGCGATGCGTCGATTGGCCGAGCCGGCCGCCAACCGTCCAACACTGAAGGATGCCTTGTCGGTCTTGTGCGTTCCCGGCGTTCCTGCCGTCGACGGACTAGATCAGACTCGGAAGTTGCAAGACTCTGGCAGACCAGACCAGCAAAGGTCGGCTACCGCACGCACAAGCACACGCCTACGCGAATGTGTGTATGCATAGTCATGGCCTCAAAGTCAAAAGGCAGTTAAGGCAATGAATGTACAAAGTGAGTTGCCAAAGCTTGGCTGGCGGTTGACAAGAGAACAGCCGCGTAATATTGGCTGGCGGCAGCAACAACACACGATTAGAGCACCAGTCACAACAGTCGTCGGCAATGCCTCGAGTCGTTTGCGGTCCAAAGACGACAAAAGGTTCAGTCGGAAGACTGGCGTACCTCTAGGGTCGGCTTGCATCTTCACCGTCTGCCGCTCTGAGAGGTTCCCGCAGCCGGTGGACAGTCGTCGACGTCATCCGAGGCCGCCGTCCAAGCCCCGTGTGTTAGTATTAGTGTACTGTACATGCCCCGTTTGTTACCCAAACCCAGGTATAGCATTTGTCCGTCGCTCGCGCTTTGAAAGTCGTCGCATCCTAGCCCCGAATCGAGCAAAGAAAAAGAAAAGACGGACAAAATGCCCGACCAACCCCACGCCCAGAAGCACCAAGCGAATTGGGCGGAGCCAGATGCAGGCGTCGCCCAATACAGCGCACTGCAGCGATTCCATGCCATGCTGGACAGATGCATGTCTGGCTAGCAGCAGCCAGCACTCTGGAATGTGGAGTGGAGGATGGCTGCATGTCGGAACATTGCGGGGAAGCCTTGCCCATCTTTGTGCGCCCATGTTGCTCAGAGACACGCTGTTGTTTGTTTGCTTGCTGCTCGTATGTTTCAACTTCCATGGCATTGCATGGCCTTGTCCACCGAGGACTCTCGGAGCCCGAGCCCGGAACTGGCCTGGAACATGGAAACATGGGACAGATATTGAGTTCTGACAAGCTGAAGCTGGTCTTAGACTAGTCTAGGGGTAACGATACCCTCGTGATTTATACTACGTATTACCGAGAATGGAGATATCGAGCCCGGAACGTAGCGTCATCCACTGGAGACACACAAGTCACTTGACGAGAATCCAAGGGCCTTGCAGCCCCGCCTCCCAAGATGTTCTCGAACCTGGTTTCTCGGAGCAAATCATGGTGTCGTTACGGCTAGCTCTCGCTTGTGCAGGCTCCCCGAGTCGCTGCCCGACGTTGCCAATAGCGGGTAGCTGCTCGTGTCCCTAAGAGACTGGCCGGCGTCGGTTCGTCTCTCGTAATTTGTCCTACGATCAGCTGATATGTTGGCAACAGAAAACTCTGCAATAGCGTCGGGCGTGCTGCCACGAAAACGCTCTTCCTGGTACTGTACAATACAAACCCTGGCGGGCTTAGTGTACAGGAGATCATGTGGTGAGCTGAGGACGAATTCGGTTGTCTGGGGCGGAAAACCCGGGAAGGAATGGTCAGACCCGAGAGGGTCTTCACTGGCCCCGCTAGACGGCGCGGAACATGCGGGTGATCCGGCATGGGGGGCACACCGACTCGGACCTGGGCCTGAGTGGAAAATTGAGCCTGGGTTTCCACTTGTCACCTGCTGTGCTGGGCGCCAGAATGCGCTTGCGATTAGACGAGGCCATGCCCTGGAATTGTTGCGCTCTGGAACTGCAATGCCTGCCCCGCAACTTCCGGCGCCAGCAAGTCGCGTGACCAGCACAAACCCATTCCGACTGAACGGCGTCGCCGTGGTGAAGCCGACCCGGTTCCGGACTCTCGCTCGACATGCGGTGTAGCCAAGCAAAGGATGGGCCCAGCCAGGGCAAGCAGCAACGGCGGAATTTGCCGTTCTGAGCTGCGGCGAGCTGCGTTTAATAATCAAGTGCCCCCCTTCGAGGTTGATTTGAGCACCCCTCACGATCCACGGACAATGGCTGTGAGCTCGGACGTTGCGTCGTGGGCTGACTGACCGACGGTCCTGCTCGCCGCTGGCAACATCTTAACCCTAACCCAATTTACTCCGTGCCAATGCCATCCCACCCCACGCCCAGAAACTCCCAAGTCTCAACAAAACAATTAACACCCTGGCCCTCAATTTGACTAACCCATTGTGAGTCACCTGATAGCGTGCAATTTCGCGACGCGGGGTCTCTTTCGAGACGTGTCAGTTCATCTTCTTATCACGGCCCGGAAAAGGGGTTCCTTGACTGAAGGCGCACAGACAGTCTCCCCCCTTTCCGCGTACCGGTAGATGGATGCTTCCAACTGCACACCGCAGGCGAGACGTTGGAGCAAGTCGCAGGTTTCGAGAACCACCAATCAATGGGGGATCTCGAATCAGCCTGGCGAGGCCCGTCCGTCATGCCGGCAAGATTATAGGCCGGTGTAGATACGAAGCACAAGCATGTAAAAGTCATGTCTTAAAATGTGCCCTATGCGCCTTACCCCTCTTTTTGTGACCATTCGCTGCATTTAAGGCCTTCCTCGCCGCGAACAGAGAGCATAGAACTGTTTGGCCTGCGGGGTTTGTTTATCCAGCAACAAGAAAAAGGTGAGTACCGCGAACGCACAATGTCTGGACTAGCAGAGGAAACCGCCAAAACGTACCGTGGCAACTGCCACTGTGGCGCCTTCATCTTCGAGGTCAAGGTGCCCGAGATCAAGTCAGCGTCCGCCTGCGACTGCAGCATCTGCTCCAAGAAGGGCTACGTGTGGCTCGTGGCCACCTCTGACGCCGTCAACGTCGTCAAGGACGAGGGCCTGCTCGTCGACTACGCCTTTGGCGCCAAGAGCCTCGTCCACAAGGTATTTTGTTTTGGGGACTGCAGCTGCTGGTAGCATCGTCCCCCGGCTCTGACTGAGTATTTCCGTGTATTAGTTCTGCGGAAAATGCGGCACAGCCACCATGGCCTCCATGGCTGATCCGTCGGCCAAGACCGTTCTCATCAATGTACGTGCTGCGAGGGACTTGGATTGCTGCTGCCTGGGACTTTCATCGAGGAAGAAGAAGAACACTAGGAAATAACCGAGAGATAGAAACAGAGACACTAGGTCCTGGTTGCTCCAAGCGCCGCTGGCTGACCTTTTTCCGGACGAAACCAGATCCGTGCCTTTCAAGATTTTGACGTCTGGGGCCTAGAGATCCGCAAGTAAGCACGCATTTACTTTCATGGAGAGAGAGAAAGAGAGAAGAAACAAAAATGAGAGCTGACGTGTTTCTGTCTGATTCTGTTCAGACGCGACGGCGCCAAACATGGCGACCCGTACCAGGCGACCCCGTACACGGGCCCGGAGCCGGCCGCCCAGCTCGACGGCGACGACGTGCACGTCTACCACGGAAGCTGCCACTGCGGCGCCGTCACGGCCGCCGTCAAGGTCGACGGCGCCCTGGGCGGCTCGTACAAGGGCATGGTCCTCGAATGCGACTGCAGCATCTGCGCGCGGGTAAGCCCACCCACTACCATTTTCCTCCCCACTCCCATCATCGTTTCCTTACTGCCCGACCTAACAATCCTGGACCGGACTGACACCATCCCTTCTCCCACACACAGGGCGGCTACATCTGGATCTACCCGACGAAAGAGCAAGTACGCGTCGTCGAGCGCGACGGTCTCGGGGCGAACCTGTCGCACTACGTGTTCGGGTCGACCGTGTGGCGCAAGGCCTTCTGCCGTACGTGCGGCGTGCACCTCATGAACGACCTCAACCCGCTTAGCGACGCTGAAGTGGCCGCGCTGCCCGAGCCCGCGCGCCAGTTCCGCGCCGTCCGCGGCCACGCCCGCCCCGTTACGCTGCGCGCCTTCCTTGACGGTGCCGAGCTTGACGGCCTGGCGCCCCAGCACTCGACCCGCGGCAAGACGCTGGAGCCGCTGTATGTCAATCCGTGAGGAGGAAAATGGGGGGGGCTGTTTGGTCGTTTAGCTGTGTGTGTTTCAGTATGCGTGCGTGCTTGATTTGTCTCCCGGTACGGAATAAAGAATAAGGAATAAAAGACAGGGAATAATGAATATACGGATTACGTCCAAGAGTGAGGTGCAGTTCCAAACATGATATACCGAGGGTGCGAGTAAAGTAAACACGAGCAAACACACAAGTCCACCGTAACAAAGACTTCCGCCTATATTTTATGTTCACGGGTCTCTAAAGCTCTTGCCTGTCACGCGGCATTTTGACGAGGCCACATGAACACCCTTTGAACACCACACCGTAATATGATTATTCTTTCTTTTTCTTTTTACTCTACTTTTACAATATCTACCAGACGACACAAACGCCACGTAGAAGCCATTACCACCATCATGCTCGCTCACACAAGCTCATCCCGCCAGGGAATCGAGTCCTGCGCGCCGGCTCTCTCGACCGTCCTAGCCGCAGCGCGGTTCGCCTTGCGCACGGCAGCCTCGACATCGAACTCGCGGCCCGCGGCGGCGGCCGCGACGGCCTCGAGCGCGTACGCGCCGACAAACGTGTCGCCGGCGGCCGTGGTATCGACAACAGCAGCCACCTTCTCGGCGGGCACGAGCCCGCTGCGGCCGTCGGCCGTCAGGAAGAAGACGCCGTGGCTGCCGAGCGTCGCCACCACGTTGCGCACGCCCTTGGCCACGAACGCACGCGCCACCGCCCTGAGCGCCGCTGGTACCTTTTCGGCGTCTACCGAGGGGACCAGCGATGCCGAGTCCGCCACGCCGCCCAGCAGCGCCGCTTCCGTCTCGTTGACCACCAGGTGCGCAAGCCCCGCGTACGCGGCGGCGGGCAGTGGCTGCGCGGGGGCCGGGTTCAGCAGCACGGCGACGCCGGCTTCGCGCGCGCGCGCGAGCGCCGCAAGCACCGTGGCCAGCGGGATCTCGAGCTGCATGATGAGCAGGTCGGGCTTTTTTGTAGACTCAGGCTCCAAAAAGATGCCCGCCACGGCAGCGTCGTCGGGCAGCACGGCGTGGTTGGCCTCGGGCGACAGGATGATGCGGTTCTCGCCGGAGGGCGCGTCGACGACGATGAGCGCGACGCCCGTCTTGAGCCCTGCGCGCGCGTCGACGCCCGACACGTCGACGCCGTGCCGCGCCAGGTTGCCGCGCAGCAGCGCGCCGTAGCTGTCGTCGCCGACGCAGCCGACCATGCCGACGTGGGCCGTGGTGGTTGTGGCGGCTGTGCCCGATGAGGAGGAGGAAGAGGACGGCCGCGGCCGCGACAGCTTGGCGCATGCCACGGCCTGGTTCGCGCCCTTGCCGCCCGTCGACGTGGCGAACTTGTCGGCCGTCATGGTCTCCCCCGGGGCCGGGTGGTGCGACACGTAGGCGACCAGGTCCATGTTCAGCGACCCCAGCACCGTGATGCGCGGGAGGGCGGCCATTGTGAGCCTTTTTCAAGCGAGGCCCCCTCAAAACCTGGAATTAGAATTTCGTTGATGGCTCAATTGATGGTAGAGTTTCATTCACGGCGAGTGAGCCGAGGTACTGTGCGACGTGCTATGTGGTGTGGTGAACTTGTTGCGCCTTTTCGGTAAAGGATTGGGAGGAGTGGGGAAGGGAAGGGGAGGGGGAAAAGGGGCGCTGAAGTAATACCTCAGGTATAAGGTAGATTTAGAATGCGGCGTGACCTTTGCTTCTTTTATCCCATTAGCTAAAATGGTATTAGTATTGAATGGCCTTGTTTAATACCGTCTTTTGGGAGGATGGAAGAAGGAAGAGAGCCATGAGGAAAGAGCCAGCTGGCGAGCACTAACACGATATTTTTCGGCCTTCTGGGGCTGACCCCGATGGTAACCGGCGAAACTGGCCCAGCCAGCCTGGACTTCTTGGACCTTCTGACTGATGTTTTTAGACGAGATATCACTTGGGTCTGCAAATATGCACCATTAATTGTGTCGATTACTGACAACCTTCATTTTATAACATATACAGAGCTGCGCTTCACCCTGGACTCGCAGGGGAAAAGTGGTCCCTATCCCGCAACCAAAGCCTTCCCGGCCTGGCGAGGCCCCCGTATCCATATATCTAACTAACAAAAAATCCTAAACTCCCTAACTCCGCTAAATGCAGTGGTATCATAAGAACAACCATGTACACGCCTGATCGAAGTATACAATTCAGACCAAAAAAAGAGACGAAAGAGAAGGCAAAAAAAAAAAGGACGGCCCCGGTACGTCTCGGAACCCTGACATTACTGCTGGTCTGTTTCCAGCTTTTAGTCATTCTTCATCCAGCGCCGTCTTCTTTCGCTTGCTGGGCCGCCGCGGGGTGCCCTCTTCGCCAGGCGCCCAGTGGTTCTTCTCAACCTGGTGCTGCCGCAGGTTGTCGGGCCTGTTCTTATACTGGCTCGAGCAGCCTGGAAACGGGCACTTGTAGAGCTTTGGTGGCGCTTCGCTGTGCTGCAGCTTCTTGTGTTTGGCCATGCTCCCCTTGAACCACTTTGGAGCTCCCTTTGGCCGATAACCGCAGATCTCACAGCACGAATCGGCTTCGATTTTTTCCTCTCCGCCTTGGGGGTCCTGTACCGCCTCGGACTGGGCCGACTGACCTTGCAGCGTGGGTGTGGGAAATACAGGGCTCGACGAAGGAGACTCAGGCGAGGAGAACTCGGCAGGTGCCGTTTGGTCCAATGGAGGTTGCAGCCCTTCACACGCTCCATACAAATTGGGGCTGCTCTCAATGTCGAATTGTAAATCCGTGTCCAGCCTAGCAAAGCTTGTCGGTCCACATCCAAAGTCCGAGGGAATTTCCAAGAAATCCAATTCGCGGTCGCATGTCACATCGCCCGTCAGATTATCAAACTCGAGTATGAGATTCTCAATGAGCGAGACTCCGAGCTTATGGTATATGCCGCGCCTAGATATCCCCGAGTCGTGCTGCTCGTATAGTTGATCGCAGAAGTTGCAGACTCTCGGGACAAATTGATCAAGGAATTTAGCAGAAGCCATAGAGGCCTAGGTTATAGTTAGCTTGCCTCGAATCCTTATGGAGAGAGAGCCAAATAGGTCTTACCTTCCCAGCAAAGAGCAGCTCGATCTCGATTCTCCTAACGGCAGAGATTGTGCCATCGCTGACCCTCCGGTAGATTTCGCCCAGCTTCCTCTCGAGATTGCCAGTATCGTCAAATACTTCGACAAGCGAGTTCAGGATATATGAAACAGTCACTGCAAAGGCTTGATTGACTGGGGCAATAGAGGTGGCGTCTTGGACATGCTTGCCGTATAAATCGGATACCTGTACGTCGCTAATCGAAGACTCTCCAAGCACGAGAGAGCTTTCCAACTCTACATGGAATATTAGTTATACGTTACGCTGCCTTCTAACTGAGGGTGATTTAAAAACATACCATCGAGGAAGTTCCGGGCCGCGGTGAGCAGAGCATCCGGACCACGGCCTCCGTAATAGTCTCTTCCCACAACCTCGGGAGATTTTCCTTTAATGCTAAACGATGTGTTTGGTAACTGGCGGGCCGTTGTGGCTAGAAATGTCTTGATATCTTCTCGAGTGACATCCGAGGGTTTCCAAATAGCGATGGCTAGCTGAGTATATGGCTCTTGGTCGCTGCGCGGTAAGAAGTGGACGTAAGACAGACATTGCAAAAAGAAATCCCTAGACTTGTGAGATGCATCCTGCTCGTGCACTACTAATGACAAGGCATAGGCAAGGTGTACAAAACAGAGCACGTCGCTTGCGGAGGATGGCTGCCCGCCATCAAGGAAGGTGCGAACGGTTCGGAGGCCTGCCATCGCTACCGTTTTGGACGACATGGGCTTGAGTTGGTCTGCAAGTGGGTTGCCCTTGACATTGTCCAGCTTGAGCATCGACGAGAGGATATGCTCTTGCAAAGCATCCCAAGCGGAGCCCACCAGTGCCTTGGTTTCGGAGCAACAGGCATCCGTCTGCTTAACTTCGGGCTCGGGTTCGGGCTCGCCGAGGTCTACCAATCCGGCCTGGTTCTCGGACAGCTCGATTTCAGGGGCGTAAGAAACGTCGGCTTGGGGTGGGTCGTCGAAAAGGAAGAGGGGGTCGCATGCCATGCTATTAGGGTGCCTGACGAGGGGAAGGTCGGCCGGGAGTTCGGAGTAAAAGTCGTGGAGAAGACTGGGATAGCCGTCGGTCATATCATTCACCACATCCGCGAATGGGTCATCACAAAGGAATCCATCCACAGGGGACGTCAGGCTTGTGTTGATTCCCGACCCCATCGACCACGCCCCACTCCAGTTGGAGATGGGAGAGATGAGAGAACTGTTGTTGCTCGTCGAGCTGGCAGTCGTATCGGTGCTGGCATTAGACCGTACCGAGGAGCTCGGCGATAGACCCTTGCTACGCGGCACGGTCGGGGCTGCTACGGGCCGTGGCGCATGGCGGCGACCTTGGAGACCTTGGGTAGTCAACTGAAGGGCCGGCTTCGAGACACATTGGCTTCGATACTCGCCGTCTTCCAGGGGAGCGACGTCAAAGGAGGACGCCGAGATGGCAGGATGCGGCTGCCATTGCATGAATGATTCGCTCGACAGCATCGTCGAGTCGAGCTCGGGGAGGGCCGGCATGGCAGGCACGATGAGGGCTTGGGGGTTTATTGACCCATCGGACGCGGTTACCACTGTGCTATGGACGTGTATTGCGCTCACTTCGATCGAATCGATCTCGACAATCTCGGTTGACGACAGCTCGGTGGGGTTTCCGTTGGATGGCGGGATGCCGAGCGAGTCGTAGCTGGGCGGTGGCATCAGCAGAGTATCGTCGGCATCGAAGCCGAGACCCTGTGTCTTCTTGGATTTGTGGCCTAGCGTGTGGAAGAAACTCTTGGCCATTGAAAGCATCTTCCTCCTCTTTGACGGATGGCCCAGACAGCGCTTGCACTTGATATCGTCGAAGCGTTCCACCCTCATGTGATCGTAGCACCAGAACTCGCCCGACGCCAGATGGCGGCAACATGCTAGGTGCTTAAGCATCGTCTCATGGTCAGGGAACCGTTGGGTACACCTGAGCAGGGGGCACTCCAGCTTTTCCTCAGCATTCATACGCACGCATGAATTGCGCTTCACGGCGGCCCAGACGATGAACCTATGGCGTGCACAGTCTTCCTGTGACGTCTCTCGGGACCTGCGCTCGTAGTCAGACATGTCACAATTCGCAGGATCAAAAGTGAAAGGAGGGCGGCGTGGCATAAGCAGGACATACACGCAGGACAACGCATGTCCGTCACCCACGTCAGGGACGTCGGCGTTGTGGGACGAGGTCGCGTGCGCACTTTCCGGCTCTCGCCTCGACGCGGACAAGCGGCTCTTTCGGAAGGGTGATAGCGGCCGGGTGCTGGGGCTGGGGCCCGGGCCGGACCCGAGAGAGTCGGAGTCATCCTCCAGGAGGGAGGCAAACATTTTTTTGGAATCCATCGACGGCCGAATAGACGGGCGCTATGATGGCTAGCAGGCCACTTAAGGCGAGGTGTGGAGGCGACGAGTAAGGTGGGCGTGGATGTGCTTAATTCGGATACGTTCGTTCACTTGCTTGCTTGCTGCTGCTGCGGATCCCATGAGGGGGCGACGGGACGACAGACGACAAACGACAACTGACAAACGGCGGGTCTCGCGAAACCAAAAATGAACAAACAAGAGCACTCGAATCAAAGGGCGATGCCATCAAAATAATCCGCCACCCATTTTTGTTATATTCCTGTCGGACTAAGGCAGAGCAAGAGAGGCCTGTGGGGGGTTTGTTGGTGACCGTCACCGAGGTCCTAACCCTCGCAACAAAGCCTGAGGTGAGCCAGCTCGTGAACCGGTCGAGTTTAGGACTTGGGCCGGGGTGCGTAGGACTTGCAGTTGGGATTTGCTACGAATGCATGAGTGGTGTGCGTGCGTGCGTGGTAGGTAAGGCGGCAGGCGCCGTATTAGGGACGGCGCAAAGAGGGATTGGCTGCCTCTCCAAATCCCGAACGAACCGCTTGGGTAAGGTAGGTCAGGCAGGTAGCAGCCGCGGGCGCTGCGTGCCGTTATGGGTATGAGCCTAAGAAACACACCACCAACCGAATTACCGACGGAAATCCTCAATCCCTTGGACGTCGGCCTAGGTAACTAGTGGGAAACGGGCTGGCGCCAACAAAAGAAGGAGCCGTGCAGGAGTAGTACTGGTAGTTCTTGCACTGCATCGGCAGACGACGGAGGGAAGATTGCAGATGGTAGATGGAAGATGGCAGATCGGTTGCAGGTGGCAGATGGCAGATAGCAGGGCAAACGACTCTCGCGCTCCCGAGTCCCATCAACACTGGATCGTGACTTCCTAGATTTGCCTTTGTTTTAAGGCCGCCGGTCCCTTTCTTTCCTTTTTCTTCTCTTTTCCGAGAGTCGTCAGCTCGCTCAGGACCCAGTGTCCAGGACCAACCAATCAGAAAGCCGTGGGGGCCCCAAGCCGACAAGGCAGACTTGATCGGTTTGCCGGCAATGGAACTCTCGTCGCCAGGCTGAGCAATCGGCATCCCACGCGCACCACCGCCCGCGATTACTGTGCAACTGGCCAGTAACAGTCGCACGGCGTACGGACAAGGACACGAGATGCACCTAGATATGGAAAGTCTTGCGTGTCTGAGAGACATTGGACCTTCGCCCGTCCCCCACTTGCCATGGTTGCTTCCGTTTTGCCTCGCAGTGTGAGGTGCTGGCCTACCCCCTCGGCACTGCGAAGACATTCTTCTGACTCGGAGAGGCTGCGAAGGGAATGTAACGGGAATCCCATGGCTAATGGCACGATAAGCTCCTCCCAGGACTTGCAACCACCCGTCTCCAAGAAAGTCCTGCATTCGGAACCCACCCTGCCGGTCCTAAGACTCCCGTGGCGTAGGGCTAGGCCTCGGGTTTTTTGGGCTCGCCCATATTAATCCCTCGATGCGGTTGACTTCGCCGACGCTCTTGCACCGTGTATGTGGGTGGGATACGGACCCATGGGCGGCTTCACCGAGACGATCGCCACGAGGCTTCATGTCCTGGTTCCGTCTTTGTCTGATCCCTTGTTGATTGAGCTGCTAAGCCCAATACCTACAAAGGTCTAGGTTCGCCCAGAACCGTCGACAAATTCCGACAGAGACTGGCGATGATATCAATTGCGAGAATCTGGCGGAGAAAACAGCTTGCGATGGATTTTGTGGAGAATCCTAGCCATCTTGTGTGCCGCTTCTTTCGCAGCTACACGAGGACTACTAACCGTTCGTCAGTAAGCCTCTGCTTCTTGGGCGACATGCTGACGATGCACTGGGCACGCGGTTGAGATGATGAGGCCAATCGGCACTTACCTTAAACTGTGTGGCGTGCTATTCAACATTTCGTCCTTGGTGACACTTGAAGAATCTCATCGGTTTATCTTTGGCTGGGTGTTCTAGTTACGTACGTATAGCATGGTGCCTGCCAGGACTCAGACGGCTCCTCCAAACTACGGATCTCTAACTATTAGTTACTGAGTCGGCCAACTTTTGAAGCGGTCTGGCAACTACCTACACCAAGGAGAAACCTGGAATAGACGGCTGTGACCTGACATCCACGAGTCCTGATGAACGCAGCATCTTGCCTGAAATAGGCCGTTTGCGGACCCCGTGTGAGCCACGTACTGTTCCGGACGCAGGAGGCGTGTCCGTGTTTGAGGTTGGGGCTCTTGGCGGGGCAATGACGGCGGGGCTTTGGGTCTGGGTGAAGGGCACTGACAGCTCTCAAACAGTGGAGCGATGCCATCAGCCGTCTGTATCCAGGTTCTCTTGTTGTAAACCTAACCAAGGGTCAGGGCGATTCTCGCTCAGGGTTTCCGGCAATTCTCGCACGCACGCCTCATACACTACCTTATCTTGTTGTCTACACAGTCAAAATCACTGGAAAATCAGCCAGGGAACTATCCCCTGTTCTGAGTAGAGCAGATCGCCGTCGAGTTTCGATTGATGGTGGGGGTTAGGTATCCAATTCCAGCCGCCCTAAGAGTCTTCCGGCCTCTGGGACTAGTTCTAGCCACGGATTGGACAAATCTATCTGGGGTCGAGCTTGGAGGAGCGGTTGGACCCTGGGAACCGCCCCATGCTTGGCCGCCGCATCATCTCAGATCGGTGCCCATTCCCGGCCCAGTCATGGCTCCATGTTTTCGTTTTCGAAACAGCCATGAGCCCACTCATCGGTAGTGAACACGCAAAGTCAACAATTCAGGCGGCGCTGTATTGGCTAGCCAGACAGTCCTGACTTTGGATCTGCGGCCTACATCCTCGCGAAGAGTTGCCCTGTCCATGCAGCACGCCTGTCGTGATCCATTTCGACACCAGACAAGCAGCCCGCCAGTGCTCTGGGTCGTCTCCGTTCTCCGTGCTCCGTGCTTCGTTCCAAGTACACATCTACTTGGACGTATGTACAGATTACTCCACCCACACAGATGCACTGGCTGGTGGTGCTGGCTGGTGCTGGCTGGTCACTTGCATCATTGCATGTGCGTGCTCCGGCTCTGAAGACGGCTCGGGTAGTGTTATAATAGGCCTTTTCTTATACATGTTTCTCGTTGGGCCGTTTCGCGGCGAAGTCGTGACCGTGGGATGGGCTGGGGCCAGGATGCTGGCCCCTGATCCTCCATGCCCATTGGTCTACAAATTTCTCCTTATCGCGCTATCAAACAAGCTCTGCAGAATTTCGTGGGACGACGAGGCCATCAATGCTGCCTTTGTTGGTTCCCAGCCTCTGGGCCAAAGAGTACGCGCAAGATATCTCTGTCTCAGCGGGTGCCGTCTGCGGAATAAAGAGCACGAGGCCTGCATTCTCTATATCCGTGGATGTCTGTCTGTCCACGGGTACGCAGTAAAGCGTCGATGGCCTAGACTCTGGACCGGATACTGGCTTGGAGGCCAGAGACTTTCCTTCCCCCGCAGCCCTGGCTATCGTCGGCCCAGCCTCTGTCGTCATCCTACGGGCGTTCGACATTATCGCCTATCGGGACCAAGGGCTATCTGTGCTGTGTTCAGGCTGACGCCGTCGTTGGACATATTTTCTCCAGATTGTCTCTCCAGCACCCTGAAATGTAAGTCATGGGTACCTCGTCCTGATAACCCCCCACTACCAGGGGTCTTCCTTCATATATCCAGCACTATCGGCCGTTGTCAAAATTCAGCCCAGGGGATATTGAAAAGCCGATGAAGACGACGAGTTGCCGCAGCGCGGCTATACTCCGAAAAATCACCAATAAAACTGTTAACTAATACTTTCTGATTCTCGCTTCCCAGGCGTGCAAGTCCCGTTCACTGCCGGCGTCCGCGGTTATTGCCTCCGCACCTCAAGGCTGCTGCCGTGAGCTGTCAGCGCTCCAATGAAATGGACACCTCAAGACACATGGGCTCTGTCGCCGAGCTCGACCTCAGCGCCTGCAACCCGAACACCATTGTCGACAGGATCAATGCGATGCCCGGCCTGAAAACCAGCACCGGTAAGTTAAAAAAATCCTTGTTTGGCTTTTGTGACGTTAGTCTGCTCTTTTTTCTTTTTCTTTTCTAGTTTCCCCTCTTTACCAAATTTTGCATCAATTTTCTGCCTCTTGGCGCGGGGATCTTCTCTTATGTGTTTTCGCCCCTAGACAACACGGGAACCAGACCAGAGGGCTGAATACACTTTGACATTTGGGCCTGTTCTTGTTTGGTGTTTTTTTTTTTTTTTCATACTAGCGTCCCCCTCTCCGTTCCACGTTTTCATCTCTATCAATATTTGGAGGGAAAAAAAAACCACCCCTCTTCTCTGTCTTGGAAAGGGGCTGCTCCACATTGAACCCCTCCAATGTCGAAAATACCGGTTCTCACTTAACGAACCCCGTCTTCCTTTTCTGACGACGGCTACCAGCTTTCTTTACATTCCTCCGCGCCAATCTGGTGCTGCCGAGTTCCGCCATGTCGTCCAATGTCTCAACGCCAAATCTCGAGCCGTGGTCAACGCACACGCTTGCTCCCCCATCGCCCTCGCCCCTCGGTGCTCACCCGCCCCTGACGCCCCTGACAGCTCTCGACGACATCCCGCCTCTCTCCTTGAACGTCTTAAAAACGCACGACGACAAGGTGGACGGGCTGAAGCTCATCGCGGACAGCATCGCACAGCAGCGGCAGCAGGCCGCATTCCATCTCGTGTTCCACCCCTTACTGGTCGGCTCGCTGCTCGTCCTCCTGTCTGGAGTCTACCAGTACGCATGGGTCCTGCGGCAGCACGACCTCGGCACCACCCTGACGTTGGGTAGTGGCGTCGTCATGACTTACCTCTTGGGTATCCGGTACTTCGTGTCGGGCTACATTCGCGCCGCCGAAGAGCTGAGCTGGGACTGGCTGGTGGGCGACGACGGCGAGGAGGACGTGGTCATCGGCACGCGGTTCGGCGGCGATCTGGTCGGCGCGCTCGTGCTGCGCCTCGTGCCCAGCAGCCCCTCGGCGCCCGCGACGTCCAAGCGCGGCAGCAAGAACAGCCACCACCGCGGCCCGGCCCTCCGCGGCGGCCGCGGCGTCATCCGCGCCTGGACGACCAAGCTGCGCTACCGCCACCGCGGCGTCGGCGGCGACATGCTGCGCGAGGCCGTGCGCGTCACGCGCGACAAGTGCGGCCGCGACGCTGAGATCGGCTTCGCCCTCGAACACGCCAACAGCGTCATGGTCCTACCCGAGCTGTTTAACAAACCTTTCCGCAAGGGTGAGATCAAGGCCGCCAGGGCCCTCGAGGCCGTCGTGAGCGAGTGCGACAAGCGCAAGAGGTGATGGATGCCAATACCCAACCCTTACCCTACGGATCTCGAATCTTTGTGTGAATCTTTCGGTGTTGCATTGCATGCCATACCATACCATACCATGCACATAATTATAGGTACATATACGTTATTCCATCGGATATAGAGGCTGGAAGGAGGCGGCTTTTGTTTGGGGGGGTTTTTTTCGGTCATAGGCGGGACGGGGATACATACCATTGGTATCGAAATATGGAACACGGAGCACGGAGTACGGAGAATAGGAATTACCTGACCTAGGTACCTAGGCATGACGTTGGCTGTTCGGCTGTGGGGTGGTCGGTCGGTCGGGGCGGTTATTAAGGGCGGGTTAACGACTTTAAAATGCCTCTCTATTTTTCCTTGTCTTTTCGAGATACCACAGATACCACATAGAACTTTCGTTAATATACCCTTCGAGGTTGGTTAGTTTTTACATAGGCCCACTTCACAGAACCCCATTAATCATTACCGGCTGCTAATGAAGTCGTCCAAAAATGACAGCAACCGCGAATGTGGGAGACACTGATTATAATAATACTCGATTCAGGACTAGACCGCGTCATGCTTTCTATTTCGGCTCGGATTTTTCTCGAAAGATCCTTCCTTTACGGACGGCAGCCTTACAATAACAGCTCTCGCTTAAGGCGGATATGGACAGCCGAAGAACTAGACATGTAGTGAGATGAAAAAAAACCTCTTCTAATCTATCTATCAATCCATGTGTACATCCGTTCCTGAGCTATCATGTCCACGATCCTTAACTATCACCCTGACCGGGAAGAAAGCAATAGCGTAGTCATAACCCTCATGAAACCAAACCAAACGCCTGCTATTTTAACGCCTTAATATTGTCCCAAGTAAAACAAACAGACCCGTCTAGTAAAGACTGCAATCATGGGGGTATGTGCTGAATCAGCCGCCCGTCTCCGGACGTTCGTGTTTTCGGCCGATGCTCGATTTTCGGGAACCGTTTCTAAACCGTGGGTGGTAACAGGTATTACGCCGAACCGAGTGAATCGGTAATGAGTATCCGTACATGAGAGAGCCAGCCGGGTAAAAGAAGGTCATCGTTCGAGTAGCATTGTGAGGCGGTGTAGTCGTTATACCGCCGTGGTTTTTAACCATACACGCTGATGATCGAGCAAGATCAGCCGAACCGTGTGATAGCGGTAGCTGAAGAGATGTGTTGCTCAATCGTCGTCCTCTAACGGTTTTCCGAGACCGCCGCCCAGCTTTTTCTTTCCTGAGTGGAAAGTCTCAGGGTCGAAGCCGTAGATAGGACTCCCGAGACGCCGCAGTGCGAAAATGACCTGGTTATAATCGTTAAAGACTTGCCCCCTCATATCCCACATCGTTGACAGGGTAAAGGGTAACATACGTCGTTGACCGTGACTGTCTTGGTATTGCGGTGTTCTGTGAATGCCACAACATCTCGGATAACCTATTGTTTTCATAACGTGTTAGCGAAGGACGAAAAGAGAGAGCGAGAAGGATGAAGGGGGCTTACCATAGTGAGGCGCTCCTTCAGCGCTAATCGTATAGTATCATAAACACCCGCCGAGATACGCTTCACACCACCGCGTCTAGCGAGGCGTCTGTGTTTAGAATGTCAGTGAGTGTCAAAACCATGAAGGATGAAGCGCAGCAGTAGTAGCTTGAGAGGAGCCCGGGTTGTTGCGTAAGGAACGGCCCGCAGGTATTATCAAGGTACTTGTTACAACACGTGGTGGAGACGGCCCGAGGCAATCCCTTGATTGAAAATGGGAGCTCTCCGTTACATGAAGAAACACGAACGAGTAAAACGGGGGGAAGTAAAGTTGTGGTGTTCCGGCGTCGAAACGCGGAGTGCGCCATGCGAAAACCGTGCAGTAGTGGGGAAAAATGGATATCGAACATACCTGATAGTGGGCTTGGCTGGAAAAGAGAAACCACCAGTCAGCGCAGGTCCCATAGGTGATACCTCGGTATTGAACCGAGCAATCCAAGATGCAGAGTCATGAATAAAATAAAGTAGGGAGGTAAGCACTTACTGATGCCGCGTATATGGTCCTTCGTGATTTTGCTGTTTCAAGTCCTTGGGTTAGCTAGCGGGTTCCTGTCTCTCTGAGGCGGGGCAATCGGGGCAATCCCCAATATCCATTTCCTTGAGGTAGCGCCCCGCACAGTTCACTTACCGGTGGCGTTGTGCGCCCATAGGCTTTGCGCTTAGAACCGTCTTTCCTCCAACCGCTGCGTGCCTGAACTTTAGGCCGCTGGGGCCTCCCCGTGAAGGGATCGTAGGAGGCATTACGCTGTAGGTTGTTTTGCCGGATGGAATACAATTCAAAGGTCGGATGAGGCTTTCGGTGGGAGGGTTAGTTGCGGAGTCACGATTGGCAGTCGCAGATGGAAGTTCAGGGTTGTTGTGCAGCCTGTTTGTTTGAAGTGCAGGTGCCTGAAACTTCAATGAGTGAATGAAAAGTATGTGAGGCTTGCGGACTGCGTATGGTTGGGAGCTAAAGTTTCGCCCCCTGCTCGGGTACCGACAAGCCCCCAGGAGCGCAACGATTTGAAAATTACGGCGCCCTTTCAATCGCAATACAGCGTGAGCATAGCAGGGACTGCACTGGCCAACATACCCTTGCCGGTACACATACAAGGGGGAAAACATACCCATCATACCATAGTATGTATGTATGTAAGAAAGTGAGCAAACACCCTAAAACGGATTGATGGTTGAAACGCGACTAACCGGATAGGGCCAAAATTTCAACAAGCGCGTAGAAGGAAAGCCACGCGTACTGTTGTGAGCTGGAAGCAGAGACGAAAACGACATGTGAAAATTGGGGTGTGGCTTGCGCCATGAACTTCACATGTAGCAATACAGTACGGTACGGTATTAGGCAGAATGTCCAAATCCAATTCAGGTATATATTAGGTAGGGCCAACCGAGACCCTATGTTATGGCGAGATCCATACGCTACTTATTCAAAGCCCGTCGCCCACTAGTCCAGAGCACGAGGAAAAAAAACCATTATCGAAGTTGTGTGTACAGCATGGCCACAGCCTAACGAGTGACCCAGCTTCCAGCATCTCTCAACGCTCACATGACCGCTACTTCTACAGTAGGATTACCCAACAAAGCGCAGCCGTTCCCGGTGATCACGGCAGCTTATTCTGAGATGAAGGTTGCCTCGCTGAATACAAAGCCTTCCTCAGAGATCTCCTCATCGCCGATTTTGAGCTTGAGGGTCATCTTTGCCTTGTGGGGGTAGTACTGATAGGATATTGTTAGCATAAAACACACGCTAATTTCCCCCTCGGAGATCACTGTACCTGATATATGTAAGGCTTTGTGCCTGCAGCCCCGGCCACAATCTTCTTTACGAAGCCAGGAACTTCTGCCATGACGTCTATTCTGTCGAGCTTCTCTTCGAGGGCGCCCTCTATAGTCGCCTCGACTGGCTTTCCATCCCTAGTCGTACCCTTCCAGTGGAACTTGATCTTAGTCGGTTCCGGCCAGTCATTCTCAGTGTCGCTCTTTGTTTCAAGGTGGGTGACCTCGTTCGTGCAACCGCCCATGATGATTTCCCCATCCTTGGCAATGCCGCCCACGTTGACTACAGTCGAGCCGTACGACGGGGGCGTCACAAAGTTCATCATGGCAGCCGAGTAGGTCGGCCCCTGGAAGTCGCAGAAGGTCCACTTGGCAGCGGCGTGGTGTGGCTTCATTCCTTGGAGGGCGTGGACGAAGAAAGCCTGGCCCTTGAAGTCGATGGGGCCGTCCTTAGTGGTGATAGTTCCTTCGGCAGCGCATCTCGGCCAAAAGACGTGGCGCATGGAGCCCCAGGGGTTGGCCAGATCAGTGCCGAACAGTGTTTTGCCAGTGGTTCCAGCCTTGAACCCCGGTGCCGTCCTCTTGACCGTCAGATTGACAATAGCCCTATCATCGTTCATCGACTTGATCGTATATGTTGTCCCATCCTCCGAGAGCTCAACCGCGCAGTCCGTGGCGTAGAAATTCGACTTATCTTCGCTAAATTCGTAGTTGTGGAGCTGAGTCGAGCACCATAGGTGCGGCTTCGACGGGTCTAGAGAGAAGACCTTGGAGCTGAATTGACAGGTTGTCCGGATGCCGCTTTAGAACAACGGGTTAGCCAAGGCACGAGGGGGGACGGCGGAGAGACAAGAGCCAGAGCAGAGTCGAGCTTACGCCACGTTACTATAGATGACCTGGGCAAATCCGAGAACGCCGCCCTCCGACATGAAGTAGAAGCTCTGCGTCTCGACCGAGGTCGAGTCCATGACCTCCCATTTCAAGTCATCCTTAGTAAGCTCCGAGTAAGGTGTCGTCTTGGCTTCCTCGGCGACCGACTTGATGGCCGAGGGGCCGTAGATGGGCTCCTGGGTGCCGGCAACATTGGCCAACCTGAGGCGCTGTCAGATCAGACTCGTCATGGCGCAAGGTGGGGCCGAGGACACCCTTTTGGACACTTACTGCTGTTGCGCCCACTTAAACATGATGGAGATATTGGAGATATCGGGAAATGAAGGAGGCGCGAGAATCTGGAAGCAGCTAGAGGACGCGGGAGGGACCTTTCAATTTTCCAACGCACGAGTTCTGGTTGAAGGTCGAGGTCACTCACCGCTGACGATGGGACGGTCGCCCCTCGGCCATCTCGGCCACGGAGAAACAGCCAGTGGAGCACGAGGGGCTGCCGCTGGTACTGGCTCCCGTAGTGGGCTAGGCTGGGTGGCTAGACCACTAAATCGCCGCATTGACAAGGGACGTCACTGTGCCTCTTGGCATGCTCGACAGGGGTTCTGGCCAGAAGTGGCTTGAACATGTTCGTGCAATTTGGGCTGCATGGGAGGATAAGTGGCTGATGCGATAACGGGCCTATCGGCAGTGACACCCAAAATTTTTGGCCCAGGCGCGCAGCAGTCGCGAATAATCGAGCTTCGAAACCATCCGGCGTACGGATACGCGATCAACCTTCGCTACCGCTTATACGCTTCCCGACGATCCGATCAACCTTTCAACAGCGCATCCGCTCGAGCTACCGCAATGTCGAAAGTCAAAGGCCCCGTGGATCAGATAGTCAAGCTCATTGTCGGGGCTGGCCAGGCAAGCCCCGGTCCTCCAGTCGGCCCAGCACTGGGAAGCAAAGGCATCAAGTCGATGGACTTTTGCAAGGTCGGTGCTCTCTCGCCGCTAGCTGCTAAGGACAACGAAATTGTAGGCTAACCAGGATTTACCACCCTCTGCAGGAGTTCAATGCTAGGACGCAGCACATCATCGCGGGCACTCCGATGCCCGTCCGAGTAACGGTCAAGGGCGACAGGTCATTCCACTTCGATATCCGGACTCCGCAGACGTCATGGCTTCTGCTCAACGCAGCCGAGGTTGCGCCTGGGAAGAAGGGCGTAAGGAAAGGCGCGAACTTTCCCGGAAAAGAGACAGTCGGAACCGTGAGCCTGAAGCACGTCTATGAGATCGCCAAGATCAAGCAGACAGAACTGCGGCTCTCTGGGCTGCCGCTAGAAGGCCTCTGCCGGGCCATCATCTACCAGTGCAAATCAATTGGGATTGCTGTGGTCCCATAGGTTGTCGATCTTGGCTGGAGAGCGGAGCATCAGGCGTTTGGGGGCATTTATGGAGTGATGGGATCTGGAAAAAACCAACTGCGTCGAGATACCAGACGAAACAGACATATCTTGGCCATGTATATGAGCGGTTGTATGTACAACTATGTATTGTAATGGAGGCATACGGAACTTTTAACTGACAACAACGGCGAGAGTGGCACAGGCTACACAAGTCGCCTATTCTGCGAGAGCTAGTCTTTGGAGTGCCGAACTGACGTGGGATAGCGTCCAATGTCTTATCGACACTAGTTTTCCGTGTGTAGCTCACTCTTACTACGTATGATCTGCCTTACTCATTGAGTGCCTAGTATGTAAGGTAGGCAATGTATGGATGCCTTAGTAGTACCTTATCGTCACGAGTTCTAATCTGGTAGGAATAGGGTCGTGTAACCGTAGCGGCGTACGTATAGACTCAGGTTACCTGATATACTGTCCTCGACAGCTTCCCTTATCACGAAATCCCGAGTTCCATGTGTCCAGTGTTCAGGTCGTCACAAGTTTCGTCTCTCTCGGGACCTCGGTAGGACGTTGGCAGCTTCCCCTAGCCTTGTTTGTGATTCCAGGTTTAGGAACGTCAATGTTACAGAGCACACTACTGTAAGCACCTTACCAAGACTGGTACCTACCCTTCGAAGTGGCAGTCCCGCGGTATCCGAGTAAGCGCGGGCAGCAAGTGGCAGGTAAAGCCACGCTCGCGCCGAAGAGCTTCAGCGAATCCATGTCAGACAACCCCGCAACACGATTCTTCCCGAAACAGTCTGGAACTCGGATTCTGCGCCTCGGGCAGCCGATCGTTCTGCGAGTCATTGCCTTCGAGAAAATTTCCTGTCAATGCAGCCGAACCCAGTTCACCTGGAAGTGCACTTTAGTTAGTCCCACCTGCGGGTATTGCGGTAACTCCCTAAAGTAGAGTACACCCCAGGGTACCTCGTGCTACCGTATCGACCAGCTGGGAGAAGCCGGTCTGGGCTGATAAAAGTGCCTCAAGGGACCCCGCGCCGCCCCCAGATGACAACCAACGACGGGTCTTTGTAAGGGACCCGGGATGTACATACATGGGACATTCATGTACATGTACTTGGTCTGCAGGCAAAGTATAGCCCCACCATCTTCGTAACGACGACTTCGATTCCCTTCGCAACGCCGCCGTCATCTTTAAATCTAATTCTATTCATCCACACCCGTGTCGTTGGTGGCATTCGTTATCGCCGCCGCCCACCGACCTCATCCGCAACGAAGCGCATCGTCGAGCAATTTGTGCAGTCTGGTGTGCAGCGGTCAAGATGGCAAACGTCGGCCAAGAGCCGGATGAGCTGGATCGCCCAGCTGAAGAAGGTAAGTGAGATGTCTGTTGGGAGGAAAAACTGCCCCTCCTTTGCAACCCCCCCACGCACCCTCAACCTTGATCCGATTCAGCAGCCTGCGCCGCAAGTCGGGGTTGAGGCGATCACAAGCGCCTCGGCTGACAGTGTCTGGAATTGTGCAGACCGTTCAGGATCCGTGCCGGATTCTGTGCCGGACCAGAGTGCACAACCGCCGCCTGCGGTTCGTTTCAAGTCGACCGTTGAAGAGATTGTCACAAGAGATGCGGAATCAGGCAGCCCCGCGGGGGCAGCAACAGCAACACCTTTTTCTCTGGGTGAGCCAGGCGACAACGTGACGCCCGAGCAGATCCGCCATCTTTCTGATCGACTCAAAGCTTGCCCGCTGCAAGAGCGGAGGATGAACATCTTCTCCTACGAGCCGTTTTCGCTTCCTGCCTCTAGAGTACGTAGCTTTGCGTCAAAGTTTGTCATGTTGTCTTACCCCTTTGACTTTTGCATTCCCGGCGCCTTGGTTTTGCTCCTGCGGCATTGGCCTTGCACAAACAATTAAGGCCAGCCCGGGCCGCGTACCTACCACTTCTCCCCCAATCAACTTCTTTGTCCCCATTTGTCTCTTTTTGTGACGGCAGTTTGGCAATCTCGCATGGCCACCAGCTGATATTTACCCGACAATAGACTGCCTCCCATGAGGATGATTCTCGAGAGCCGAGCCGCGAGCCAACCCGGAGCTCGGCCGGCCGCCAATCGCCGCTCCTAAACACCAGTGTGAGAGCTTCGGAAATGCATACTCCCCCGCTCACCCCAGCGGGGACCGCCTCTGGCGAAGGCCTTCACCGTGAAGCTGCCAATAGCCGGGATCCAGATCAACTCGGTCGCGCTCCCGACATTATCACACCCCTCGACTCCGCCCAAGATGTACCCTCTCCTTCGTCTCCTCGACCGTCTGTACAGCGGGGAGCGTCGGCGGACCAGGCTTCGCCGAGACCGGTTACCTCGGACGAGAAAGAACACTCCCACGGATCGCTAGGCGATCATCGCAGGGGCCTTTTCTCTCTCAGCACTGCCAACAACTCCCCAACCGGCTCGGTGCCGGTTTCCCGCGAGACCAGTCCGTCAAGAGCTGCGGCTGCCTCGCAATTCTATACTCGCCATGCGCCGCCGCCCGGAGAAGTGAACGATCCGTACGCTGCAAATAAGCGCCAAGCCCAGAAGGGGATTGATCCTCGGTTTGTCTTCTCAAGGAAGAAGAAGGGGAGCTCTCCAAGTTCCTCGACGATCAGTCTGCCAAGGGCTTCGACAGATAAACGCCTTGGAAGGCACAAGGACGAGCATCTGGAAGAGAGCTTTGCCCAGAGTAAGAACAGCTCAATGGCAGACTTGAAACGCTTCTTTAAGCTAGGCTCTAGTAACAAAGCGAAGCGGACGGCGTCCCCGGTAGCGTCGATCCGATCAAATGCCAAGACACCGCCCGGTTCGAGGTCATCTCAAATTCCCTTCGGAGATGACCACGGACTTACGTCCAAGTACGGAAAGCTCGGAAAGGTCCTGGGAGCCGGCGCCGGCGGATCCGTGAGACTTATGAAGCGCGCCGAGGATAGCGTTGTTTTTGCTGTCAAGGAGTTCCGTCCTCGCCATTCTTACGAGACGGAACGCGAGTACGTCAAGAAACTCACGGCAGAGTACTGCATGGGCTCTTCGCTGCACCATGGCAACATTATCGAGACGCTTGACATTGTTCAGGAGAAGGGTAAATGGTACGAAGTGATGGAGTATGCGCCTTACGACCTCTTCGCCATAGTGATGACTGGCAAGATGTCTCGCGAGGAGGTGAGCTGCTGCTTTTTGCAAATCCTAAGCGGCGTCACATATCTACACAGCATGGGCCTTGCGCATCGGGATCTGAAGCTCGACAATGTCGTGGTTAGCGACCGTGGCATTATGAAGATAATCGACTTCGGGAGCGCCCATGTTTACAGATATCCATTTGAAAATGGCATAGTTCCTGCTGGAGGTGAGTAAGCCATGCCAAGTCGACGGGTAGGCTGAGTGATCTAATCAACCGTGTTAGGCATTGTGGGCTCGGACCCGTATCTCGCGCCAGAGGTCTACGACGAGAAGAAATACGACCCGCAAGCGGTAGACATCTGGTCATTAGCTATTATCTACTGTTGCATGACATTGAGGCGGTTCCCGTGGAAGGTGCCTCGCCTAACCGACAACTCGTTCAGGTTATTTGCTGCAGATCCGTCACCGGGTCACGATCCGAAGAAGCTCATCCTTCCCCACGCCAGTTCTACTTCAGCCCTGAGCTCCACCCCCGCCAGAGACTATGATTATCCAAGTTTCGTCGGTCAAGAAGGCAAATCGGGCCATGAAGCCGACAAGTCTACGCCAGCCGAGTCGACACAGCGGCATGAGGCCGCCGGTACTGCGAGTACTGGCAGCGCTGCGGGTGCTGGCGGTGGTGGCGACAAGAAAGAGGTGGTGCGCGGCCCATGGAGGATCTTGCGACTGCTACCCCGAGAAAGCAGAAACGTGATAGAGGGCATGTTAGCAATCGACCCCAAGAAGCGAGCCAAGATGAGCGAGATCCTGGAGGATCCATGGGTGGCCAACACGGTGATTTGCAGGCAGATCGAAGCCGGTGTCGTGGTCAACTCAGATGACCACACACATGTTCTAGAGCCGCCTTCAAGTGCAGCCAGCGCCGGCAAATAATCAGCCAGAGGCTCTTGGCATCGAGATATAGATGTGGCTCACCCCGCGATGCTAGTCGAAGGGCTGCAAGCGTAGTGGCTGGAGGCGGTTGGTGCTATGATTTGGAAACGGGAGGGCTCTGGGGAGCGGTAGCATGTCAGTCGGGTTCTCTTATCAGATGTGATGTTCGCTTGGTAAGAAGATACTTGGACTTGAAAAGGGAGTGGGAGGCTGCGGACGGTACGTTATTGGAGTCATGAGGTATGCGAAGCGAATTTCCCGGGCTTTCTTAGATGAGGGCGGTCTATTGGGCATTCAGCGGGTATTTAGGTGTTCCTCTTTTTTTGCTTCTTGTTGTTTCTTTGGCCCCTTTTACCTCTCTGGGTCTACTAAGTACAGGTTACACGCATTGAGGGCTAAGAAGGATTGGATCACGGTCCTTGATAGAGTCTATGTGAGACATATATATCCTTTGGTTGTGAGAAGAAGAGAGTGGCAAGCCTGGGTACATTTGAGGAGAGAGCGGAGCCGAGATTCGACTGTGTTGTGAGGGACCAAGCGGGGACGCTATTTTACAGTTCTTGTTTTATATTCTTACGATACTATTGGCGAGACGCTGTTCTTGAAATACATCTACATTGTAAAGAATTGCATGCAGCCTGCAGGTTGAATATTATCTTTCGCATTTCGGGCTGGATGGGCGAAGGATGAGCAGGCACTCAGATCATTCACGGACATTTGCAAATTTTACAGGCCAATAACATCCCGCTCCTGGCCGGGGAAGACATTTCGGCCCGCTAAAATAAGATGTTTGCGCAGCGAGCAGGGGGCTAAAGTACGTACCTCGGCGGGGAGAAACGTTACCTCCGGGCCAAGCCCAGAAAAAAATGGGGATCTTCTAGATGCTCTTGGAAGCTCGCGATCCGCGATCGAGAAAAAAACGGAGCTAGTTTTCCCTTCACACCGAATTTGTTCTCTTCAAACCTCCACTACCACTACCTACCGTATCATCCACAACATATCTCGACTCTCTTCCCCAGCCGCTGCTTCAACCCAGTCAAAATGGTAAGGCACCCCCATCCTACGTGCTCCAATTTATCGTTGCCGCCGTGGCAGAGACAAGCGAGGGAGGGTGCGGACTTGATGAGAGCTACTAGCAATGCGGCAGCAGCAGGGTAGCAGGGAAGCTTCGGCGCCCTGGCAATACAATCGCATGCACACGGCTTTGGGATGAGAGAGAGAAGCCGTGTGCACGACAGCAAGATGGACTAGAGAAAGACAGAGAGAGAGAGAGACGCTTCCGATGCTGACATTTCCGTGCTTGCCAGTCTACCACAATCCGATCTATCAAGTCGCTCGTCCCGCTGCTGGACCGCGTGCTCGTGCAGCGCGTCAAGGCCGAGGCCAAGACGGCTAGCGGCATCTTCCTGCCCGAGTCGTCGGTCAAGGAGCTCAACGAGGCCAAGGTCCTCGCCGTCGGCCCCGGCGGCCTCGACCGCGACGGCAAGCGCGTCCCCATGGGCGTAGCCCAGGGCGACCGTGTCCTCATCCCCCAGGTATGTGGCATGTGCAGTGTCGCGAGGGCGTAGTCTTAGGAATGCATTGAGGGGCGTTGCGCTGACATCGGGATCTTTGTATAGTATGGCGGATCGCCTGTCAAGGTTGGCGAGGAGGAGTTCCAGCTGTTCCGGGATAGCGAGTGAGTTCTACATCCTTCCTACTCTCGTGCTTTGCGTGGTGGTCTGACAGTACGCCTAGGATCCTTGCCAAGATCAACGAGTGAAAGAAGACCAACCCCCCAGAAAAAGCGATACCCCATGATATCACGAACAACCGCTGTGTAATAATATAACTATGCATATAAATCTGTACCATGTACCAACAGAAACAATTAAAAGCTGGGGAAGGGGACGCGCCATGTAGGAAAAGGAACCCTGATGGAGAGGAGGAGGCGGCGGCGGGAAAGTCATCTCTGCGGTTGCATAATAGACGCGGTGTAATTCTTCCTCGAGGCTGGTGGTGCGCCATGTTTGCGCTCTCTAGCAGCAGGTAGATGGTCTGCAGGCGCTCAGCAACTGGTTGGCTACGGATTTCGTACTTGCCTTGCGCAGACAGAATATAGCTCTCCACTCATCTAGGTCTCTGTCGATGGTTGCCTCCCCATGGTGCTAGCTATGCAACACTGGTTTGGGACCGAGTGTTTGCTGCGAAGGGTTCGTACTGGGGTTCTCGCATCCAGCAAAAAACAATAGTCATATCCTACCCCCAAGGCTAGGAGGTATGTGATAGCTGGCTGGTTGACGCCATCTCCCAGATAGCTGGGGTGAGGATATATCGACTAGGATGACATAACGTAGACAACAAGAGAATAGGGACGTTGAAGAATACCGATGTGGATAACTGCTGGACAATACCAGCTTTTCAGCTTCGCGCTCATGCAGCAAAGCTCATCATCCGCTTTGTTGTCTCCCTTGGAGAGAGGAGAGAGGAGAGGTCGGGCGTTGTAAATGTTGAATAAGAGCAGCCGCGAGCTGGCATATAAGAAGGGATTTAAATAAATAATATATATCCGGCGGGCCTAGATGTCTGTTTTTTTTGTCACGTGCAATCGTGCATACGTTCCTGTTACCGCTTTGCGAATGAAATGCCCGCCACTCAGATGTTAAGAATAATTAACTGGTTGGTTGTCAAGGAGCTCTGGAGTAGGCGAGAGGCAAGCAAGCGTTTCGCCCAAATAAGCGCGCGCGCGCGCTCACTCACTCGCAGCCGAAAATTATACCTTGGAGGGTTTCCGGTTTCGAAACAAACGGCGACCCGCGTGCTTGGGTGGGTGGGAGCTCTTCCGGTGAAAAAACGTGGCGTCTTGGCGAAAACAATCTTCCCAAGCGAGAACGGCCGATTTCACACGAAATTGCAATGCAGACAGACAGATGGACAGACAGACGGGCAGAGAGACAGACAGACAGACTCGCTCGCTTACAACCACTCCTTTCCTCTCGCCGCTGCCAACTTCGAACGCGCTTCCGTATCTGCCTTGCCTTGCCTAGGTTGTATTGTATGTATGGACAATGGGCGGCGTGGAGAGCCTGTCTGTGGATACCGGATACGGTATTCGTACAGTACAGAGGCTTTACACGCGGGCGCCTTTCAATTGGCCCGCCCCTCCCACAAGAGGAGGAGGCAACTACGGCATCGGTAGGTACCCGTTGATCGCCGCTTGTTCGCAGGCACAAGCGACGCCGTGCTCCCCCACAATATATCGACGGATATAGACAGACAGGCAAGTAAGGGGCAGGAGGCGGCTCAACCTCGAACACGGGTCGACTGAGCGAGAAGACGGCAGGCGGCCTACCTATCGATTTGCCGTCCCTGGGTTTCTGAGGGTGGTGCTATTCCGAGTCTGGACGACAGACTACTACTACAGAGAGAGAGAGAGAGAGCACAACATAGCGCCGTCGTCACAGACAAACTCGCGTGTTGTTCTGATTATCACCTGCCTGCCTTGGGCGACACGCGCGGTGAGCAAAGGAGGCCTGGCTTGGCCTGGCCTAGCTCCCTTGCCTTGTTTCTCTGGCTCTGCCCAGTCGTCTCTGCCCTGTCGTGTGCCTCTGGTAATGTCTGCTAAGGGGCATCCATCTGGTCTCTTCCCTTGTGTCCCACCTTGGTTCGCCCTGCCCTGCCCTGCCCTGCTGGCGGTCTCTGTCCCTTGTTGCGTGTCAGGGGCGGTTGATCATGTAGAACTAGTCATCTACATGCTCTTCTTCTTCTCCCGCCTGCCCCCCTCCTACTCTTCCTCCCTCTTACACACTCTTTCTCTCTTGCCAACTGGTCTTTTGGTCCAGCTTGTACATTCAGCCATTCTCTTTCTCTTGCTGCAGCTGCTTCTGGCCAAGCAAGTTCTTGCCAACCAACCCCAACTCGCTTCTCACAGACGTCAGAGACTGTACTCTTCTAGGCCATCTACATTCACTTTGCCTTGTAGCAACACACAACACAACTGCAACCTTCTTTTCGCTTCTACTTCAGGGCTGGCCACCTCCAGAACCGTTCGCGAGCGCCGTGTTGGACGCAATAATGCCATCGCCCATCTTGCTGCTCGGCCTGGCGGCCGTCTTGGCCCCGCTGTCGGCAGCCCATACTATCTTTACCACTCTCTTCGTCAACGACGTCAGCCAGGGCGACGGGACCTGCATCCGCATGCCGCACAACGGGGGCACCTGCACGTTTCCCATCGCCGGTCTCGACAGCCCGGACATGGCATGCGGTAAGTTAACGAGCCCCCCCCCCCCCCCCCCCTTCCCATCCTGTACATGACATCTGATACACCCACGCAGGCAAAGACGGGCAGAACGCAGTCGCCTTCAGCTGCCCGGTGCCCGCGGGCGCCAAGCTGACGTTTGAGTTCCGCGCGTGGGCCGACAAGTCGAACCCGGGCGCCATCGACGCGTCGCACAAGGGCTCGGCCGCCATCTACCTCAAGGCCGTCGCCAACATGAGCGACGGCGCGGCTGCCGGCGCTGCCGGCGACGGCTGGTTCAAGCTGTGGGCCGAGGGCTACGACGAGGCGGCCCAGCTGTGGGCTACGGACAAGCTGATCGCCAACAACGGGCTGCTGAGCGTCGCGCTGCCACCCGCCGGTCTCGCCGACGGGTACTACCTGCTGCGCACCGAGATCCTGACCCTGCAGAACGTCACCAACAACGCCGTGTCGCCGCAGGTCTTTGTCGGCTGCGCCCAGCTGTTCGTCCAGGGGTCATCCTCAGCCTCAGCCTCAACCTCTTCCGAAATCCCCACCGTCGCCATCCCCGGCCACCTGCACGCCTCGGACCCGGGCCTGACGCTAAACATCTATCAGCAGCCGCTCAAACTGCCGTACATCGTCGCGGGGCCACCCGCCTGGATCCCACCCACCACCAAATCTGCCAACATAAAACAGCAAAACACCGCCAGCAGCACCCCATCCGACGCCGTCCCCGCATCCTGCCTGCTCAAAAACGGCAACTGGTGCGGCTACGAACTGCCGGCCTACACGACCGAGACGGGCTGCTGGGACAGCGCGGCCAACTGCTGGGCGCAGGCCGACGCGTGCTACAAGAGCGCGCCGCCGTCGGGGTACGGCGGGTGCGTGGCGTGGAGCAAGCGAAAGTGCCAGGTCGTGGCGGACGCGTGCAGCGCGCGGGCGTTCGTCGGGCCGCCGGCGCAGGGCCAGAAGATTGTTACCGGCGATCCGGATGTTGACGGCGGTGTTGATGCGGGTGTCGCGAAGATTCCGGCGGCGGTTAATGCGGCGAATGCTGGTGATGCTGTTCAGCAGACGGTTTCGGCTTCGACTACGGCGGCTGCGGTAGAGGCTTCTCCGGGCCCGGCGGTCGTCGTGGTTGAGCCTGGCTCAGCGTCGGCGTCGGTGTCGGATGGTTGCCAGCAGCCGCAGCGAAGGCGGACGCGGAGACGGCTTTAATGGCCTTATTTCCTCTTTTTCTCTCTATTCTATTGTAACAAAAACTTTGAGACTTGGTTTCGGCACGGGTGCATGGGAGCATAGGTCAGGGGTCCGGTCGGAGTTGCCTTATCTACTTTCCAAAATATTGGCGTCTTGGGGCGAGAAAGGACAGTCTTTCTCATTCGTTTCATCAGATGGGCTTTGCTTTACTTCACTTTGTTCTGGGCCACCACCCCCTGTTTTGGTTGAGTTGTCGTGGTTTTCTTTTGCAAGTGCAGAAGCTGTGCCTTCCATTAGACTAGGAACAGGCACCATATTTCTTGCAGTTATTTCGTTGACGTGAATCGTCAGATATGGGATCAGTGCTGTACAGCAGGAACTAGTTCGCTGCGTTTTCCACACCTTGCTTCTGACAAACCTGTATGCTCTCCTCAAACCACGCAAGGCAGTGGCCAACACTAATACAGTGAGTGCTCTTATACAGACAACCCAAATCTCAAGCCAGCCCAAGCCGCCATGATACATCTCGCCATGACACCAACCCCCACGTAAACATCCACACGAACGAAGGGTCATATACTTCTAAGTGCTGCACAAGTCATTTGTAAAATACACAAACACAGCAGCAAAGCCGCTATCGCTATGGGTATCATTTTCAGCACCCATCCCACCCCCATCCCCGTAGCCACCCGACCCAAAGTGTACGACGTTGCACGGCTTGATGCACACCCCCTTTCCCAACCCAAAATTGCACCCTCAGCCGAGCAGCTTGACTAGGTCCGCTATTCTCGTCTCCTTGGTCTTCTTCTTGTCATCTTCCTTGAACGCCTGGGTGACCAGGTTCCTCTTCTTGCTCTGCACGTCAAGGACGCGCTCCTCAACGGTACCTTCCATGACGAGTCGCCAGACTGTGGTGGGGCGCGTCTGCCCGAGGCGGTGGACGCGGTCCACGGCCTGGTCCTCGATCGCCGGCGCCCACCAGCTGTCGGCGAGGATGACGGTGTCGGCTGAGACCAGATTTAGGCCGACGCTGCACACGGACAAGCTGGCTAGCATGACGCGCGTGTTGGGGTCGTGGTCGAGGGCCCGTATGGCGGCATCGCGCCGGCTCGTGTTCATGCTGCCGTCGATGCGCGTGTACGTGTAGCCCGCCTCGTCGAGCTGGCGCTGGATCACAGTGAGGAACGAAGTCCACTGCGAGAAGATGATCACCTTGGATCCTTCCTTTTTCATCGTAGCCTGCAGGATCTTGAGAAGCGCCTCCGTCTTTGAGCTCTTGGTGTCCTGGTCGAGATCCTGTCCTTCGTCCTCGGCCGAGCCCTCTGGCGCAGGCTCGAGCAGCTTGTCTTCCGACAGCGGGGCTCGGCACATGGGACACTTTTGCTGTATTTCAATGACCTTGGAGATGCAGCCGCGGCAAAAGACGTGTTTGCAGTGTGTGATGACCGGTTTCGTCAACGATTCCATGCAGACGGGGCACTCTTCCTGGCTCTCGATAGCAAGCTGAAGCGCCATTTGCAGAACTTGGCAATTCTCAGCATTCAAGGGAACGATATCTTGGTCTTCCAAAAGCTTCAGCAGGTCGGAAATGCGCTCCTTGCACAGCGTCCAATGATTGCACCTGGGATTGTCAGCAGAATGCACATCAGGCCTGATAGACTTGAGACATACGTTTGGCGAAGGCGTAAAAGCTTCTCGAGCACGCCTTGAAACCTCCCCTTTTGTCCGTGTTTGGACTTGTCTTGGAATTCCTTCAGAGCACCTTTGGCCTCGGAACTGGACGCCGTTAGCGCGAACTCGAGATATTTGAGCGTCATGCTTGAACTTACTGTAATGAGTCGTATTTCTTCTTCTCGTCTGCCCAAAATGCGATGCGGTGTATGTATTCGGTTTTTGCAGGTAGCTTAAGGTCCACAAACTTCATGTCCTTACGGCGGCGGAGACAGATGTCGGCCATAAGAGTCTGCAACAAGGCCTCGCCACGCTTGTCGCCATCCGCCAGAGGCCTGCCAATGGCCATGTTGAATATTTCAGATTGTTCAATCCCACCTTTGATGCGAAGGAACTTGACCAGCGAATGGAGGTCCCGAATGTTGTTGATGCTGAAAAAGAACAAGTTGTTAGAAATGGCCAGTTAGTTAGCTAGAAGCAAGATTTCACTCACATTGGCGTCCCGGTCAGGACCCATCTCGATTCCGCTTCGAGCTGGCAGGCCGCTAGGGCGGCCTTGGTTTTGGCGTTGCGAATGGTGTGGCCTTCGTCCAACACGACTCGACGCCACTTGACCTTCGACAGAGGACCGCCATCTGTCTCGCTGGACAAGGTCCCGTAGCTGGTAACAACCACGCCAAAACTGCCGAGTGGTCTGTTCATGGATTGTCGGGAAGCTCCGTGATAAATGAGCACTTCCGGCACCTTGTCCTCGAAGACGTGGCGCTGGATTTGCTGTGCCCAGTTGCTCATTACACTAACGGGAGCGACAATGAGGGTACTCCCCGGCCCGCCAGTCTGGATTAGACTGATAATCTGAACCGTTTTGCCCAATCCCATGTCATCGGCAAGTATACCGCCAGAGGCGAGGGCGGGAGGCGTCGCAACTTTAAAGTTGGTGGCTACGTTAGCGTACTGGCCTCGAGCGTCACGCTTCCAGAGCTGTACAGCATCCGGAGACCCCGGTGCTGGGAATTCAGGCTTTTCTTTGGTCGTCAGCCAAGCGAGACCCTGCAGCTGATATGGAAGCAACGTAGCGCGAAGGGAAGCAGGCTGTTCAGCTAGTGGCATCTTGCAGAGTTGGTCTTCGTCTATTGCAAACGACTGCACCATACCTCCGCCAGTGCGGAGCGTCACAGCCTGGCTGACTTGGGTCAGCTGCTCCAAGGAGACTTGCGGCCCGTGCTCATCCAGGGCAAGCCCGTATGTCGATCTGCCACTCTTGAGACCCATAGTCTTCCGTTGGACCTCGTTGGCCGCTCGGGTGTGCTTGAGTTGGGTGGCCTTCAAGAGCTTGTCGGTCTTGAGGCGCTCTTCCAAGGCGTCGCGGCCACTCGGATCAGCTGTTCCAAAGATTCTGATGAGAATCGGACACTCATACATGCTCCTGGGGCCCGAGATGGTAGCTTCAATAGTAATGTCGTTGGCATCCTGCAAAGCAAGCCATGAGAAACTGTTCCAAATCACGGCACTCTTTGAAGTGCTCTTGGGGGACTTACCAGATAAGGAGCGAGTTTCGCCGCAATAGACCGTGGCACATGCCCGGCCTGCACTCCGAAAACATTATCTACTCGGATGGCATTTCGGTCGTACTAGCAAAAGAACACCATGTTAGGAAACAGTCGCCGCGGAAGGTTCCAGCTGTTCAAGATAGCTATCCATAGTCTGACTTACCTGGTTGGAAGGCTCTCTCTTGCACGTGACGAGTTCACCAATTGAAGCCACGCCGTTGTAGTACCGAACGCCAACAATATGAGCATCTTGAAGATTGTTAGCTTTGGATGAGCAGACAGAGGAACATGACAGCATACTGAATGAACCATAATACTCGTAGTTGGGGCCATCGTCGCTCTGAGTGAGGTCTATGTAGCCAGGCTCGCCAGATTCGCTGTATTGACTTTGCAGCGACAAGGGCTGCGATGGCTTGGACGATGACGGGCCCGAGTAGGATATTGATGCTGGGGGCGTTGGTAGGTACGAGCCAGCGCCTGATGGCTGCCTGCTATATGCCGACGAAGCTGGCTGCGAGGCATATGAGGAAGACGGGTAGCGCGGTGCTTTGGCCTGGCGGTCACCGTCGACGTCGACAAGGCCGGTTAAGTCGATGACCTCACGGGGCCGTTTGCTAGGGGCCCGTGGCATCGCGAGTGGATGAGTGGTGAGTGGATACAGTAGGTAGCTGCGTGCCAAGATTGAAGGATAGCTCCAGGGAGATGGACAGCTTGATTCAGCAGATTGCAAGGTTTTTCACTGAAGGCGCGTAAACAGTGTGCACGAAGACTAAAAATCCACTTGGGCACAACAAGGCTATCTCTCAAATCGCCGGGCGTGTATAAACAGCGACAAAAAAAAAGGTCGGGGGAAAAGACCGAAATAAGGGTTTGTAAGTGATTGGAACAAATCGGGCGACGCGGGCCCCGGGGCTGTTGACTTGGGCTAAAGCGTGCCCCTCTGGCTGCAGCGATGCGTGTGCACGTGAGTTGCAGGCGGCTGGTGGTTGCGGCTTCCTTGCCGGGTGCCGGCGCCTTCAAGTAAAATTGCCGGGGCGCTCTTTCCTTTCTTTTTTCTTGTGATGGTTTCCCGTTTTGCGTGCGCTAGGTGATCGTCAGAAATTTCTGACGGAAATCTGAGTGGCAGCTTGAGGGGAAGGAAGCACGCGCGGTGCAGCGTTGCAGCAATAAAAGACATGACACGACGGTGAGGTGAATTAAATTGAGTTGGCTCTCAATTGCTCCGTATAGACTACACTATCAACACAATCGCAAAAATAAAGCAACCAACTACAGCTATCAAGTACAACCACAACCACGGGTAAATCGTGTTTCGTCGCACTGAAAATCATGAAAATTTGTCATTAACCCAAAACCAGCCCATTCTCATTTCTTTGTCCTTTTCTCCCCGTCGCTTTTTACTTAACCACCGACAGTTGCCTGCCCGAAACTGCCCATTTTTCCTTTTGCTTCAACCTACCCTAGTATGCCGCCCAACAGGCCTCCCTGCTTCTTCTTTCCGGCCGACTTCTTGCCCGTGATGCTGCCGACTCCAAGACCTTCAAGGACACGGTTGATGCCCAGTGTCCCCAGCAGTCCGTCGAGAAGGCCGCCCAGGCCAAGTCCGCTCAGCTATTCGTCCAGTGTTAGCATGACCAAAATGGTAAGGTAGGGAGGGAGGGAGTTGCTTACCAGTCTGCCCACAAGCCCGAGGACGCCGGCCAGCAGCAGACCAACTGCCGCAAGAATCTGGAACAGAGGCTCGCTGAGCAGCCCCCAGAGGGGATTCAGCTCTTTCTTGGCGTGGGGCATGTCTTCGAGCTTGCGCTTGGCGTCCTCGATGCACTCGGTGACGCTGCCCGTGAGCTCCTTGAGAACGTCGGCCAGGTGGTACTCCTCGGGTGTCGCCTCGCGCGCCGCCGTCTTGTGTTTGGCGTTGGCCGCGATTCGTCCGTCGGGATCTAGCCCCTTGACTATGCCCTTGGCCTCATTGAGGATGCGACCGCCCTCCTCGATCAGCGGCCGCACCGCCTGCACCAACGCCTCCTCGTCGCGCTCGTCCTCGGGCGTGCGCTCGGCTTGGTCGATTTTCTGCGTCGCGGTTGGGTCAGTTTGGCATTCTATATACTTGTGTGTTTGTGCGTGAGATAAGCTTACGTCGGTGATCATGCTGCAGATGGGCTTGATCTTGTCTAGGCATTGTCCGATGCAGACAGACATCTGCGCTGCCAGCTTCCTGTCTTGCTCGGTCCTTTCTTTCAGCTGCTTTTGCTCTTCCGTCTCCTCCTCCACCGGGATGTCTTCGAGAAGCGAGCAGTGGCCGACGACGGTGCCCTTGTAGTCGACTACATCGCCATCATCGTCGATTTCCTTGCCCGAGCATTTGTTCAGGTCGCCCGAGGTCAGCTTGCCAATGACGTTACCATCCTCGTCGACTACCTTGCCCTCTCGGTTGACCTTACGGCCCGTCATGGGGTTCTTCTTCCTCTCCACTTCCTCGGGTGCCCAGCGCTCGGCCTTGCCGATGACGTTTCCATTCCTGTCCAGCACGTCTCCGTCCTCGTCCACGGGCCGGCCAAACAGTGTCTTGCCGTCTCCCTGGGTGAGTCTGCCGACAATGTCTCCGGCCGGAGTGACAACAGTGCCGTCCTTGGCAACAGTGCAGCTCTCGAGCTCGGCGAAGGGGCCTTCTTTCAGGCCCTCGCGCTCGCCCTCGGGCACGACGTCGGCCTTGCCGAGGATGTCGCCGCTTTCGCTGAGAATGTTCCCATTCTTGTCGCACATGCGCCCGACCATCTTCTTGACGTCTCCCTCGATGACGCGGCCGTAGATGTTGCCGCTGCTGTCGACCACGTTGCCGGCCTTGTTGACGCGCTTGCCTGCGAGGATAGAACGGTCGACCTCGGGCTCAGGCTCGGCTTCTGGCTCGGGCTCGGGCTCCCAGCGCTCGGCGTGGCCGATGACGTTTCCGCCCTTGTCGAGGATGTCGCCGTCGGCGTCGACTTGCTTGCCCCGCAGAACGCTGACATCGCCCACGGTGACCTTGCCCACCCACTCGCCGTTCGACACGACCATGCCGTTGCCGTCGACGGTGGCGTCGGGAAAGCTCTCGAACGGGGACGGCTCTCTCATCATGTCCTCGCGCTCGCTGTCTGTGATGGGCTCGGCGTTGCCGATCACCTTGCCGTTGTCGCTCCAGATCTCGCCGTTCTCGTCGACCTTCTTGCCGACAAGGTACTGGAGGATGCCGGACGTCACGCGGCCGACTACCTTGCCGTCGCCGTTGACAATGTTGCCGCCCTTGTTCACCTTGCCTCCTTTGAGCACGCTGAAGTCGAGATGCTCGGCGACCGTCTCGGACTCGGGAGGAGCTTGAGAGCCGGGCGCTTGAGATCCGAGCGCTTGTGAACCGGAACCTTGCGTGTATTGGGCTTCCGAGCCGCATGCCTCCGAAGCCGGAGCTTCAGAGGGCAGCACTTGCGAGCCCTCCTGCTGGTCAGGCGCAGGCTCTTGCTCTTCGTTGAACTGCTGGTCTACCTGGATATGAGCCTGGATGCCCTGGCCTTCGCCGTCCTCACCGGCTTGAGAACCGGCAGCCGCGGACCGTGGCTGTTGCGATCCCCCTGAGCCGTACTGCGATCTAGCCGCGGAGGCGGCGGCTTTCTCCCAGTCGGCTGGTTCCTGTGAACCTCCCTCTTGAGACATTGCCTGTGGAGCCATCTCTTGCAGCTCGGAGGGTGCTTGCTGCTCCCCCGAAGCGCTCGTAGGCTTGCCGGCCGCCTCGGACGGCGGCTTTTGAAGATCGCCTGGAACTTGCTCTTCGGCTGCCTCCTTAGCGCTCTTCTCTGAGCCCTGTGCCTCCGATTGCTTCTGCTCGGACTTGTTGCCGGCAATGCCGGTCACGCCGCTTGCAGTCGCGAGGTTGTCTTTGGCGGACTGGATAAATGATTCTCGCGCCTCGGACGTCGGCTGGTTCTCCGAGGCCTGGTCGAAAGCCTCTTTGGCCTTTTCGGTGAGTGATGTTTGTGTGCTGGTGGTCTCGGCAGGTGTCTTGGTGTCGGCGCCCTTATCTTCCACGTCGTCCTGGACATCCTTTACCTCGCTAGGCGCTGCGTCGGCAGCGCCCTTTTCGCTAGCCTCGGACACACGCTTCTCGGTCTCGACGTCACCGGTGCTCTCCTGAGCATCGTCGGCCATCTTGATTGGCCCCTCTCCCTCTTCAGCATTGCCCGGCAAACTCGACTCTCGCTGGTGTGTGTAGTTTACCTCCTGAGACTCGTCATCATGCTCAGGTTCCGAAAGGTCCTCCTTAGGGAGAGACGCCGTTGTCACGGACCGGGGAGCCGCAGGCTCGGAGCTCTCGGCCGTTTTGGACCCGCTCTTGCTCCCGGCCAACTTGCCGGAAGGGAGCGTCTTCTTGGCGATGTCGCTCATGTTGGGACCGTGGTTGAAGAACAACTCCGTGGTGATGATGTGGTGTAGATAGTGAGTGGTGCAGTAAGTTTAGATGTTTTGTTTGATGTGTTTAGTAACTGATAGAGCTGGTTGCTGAGTTTCACTGTTTTGTTTTGATTGGAGATGGATCGTTTTGATCAGAAGAGAAGTATTTTCTCTGGCTTGTAAACTTTATTCAACAGTCCTCCTCCCTTTTATGCTGCCCTTTACTTGTGAAAATCGTATTCTCGTCCTTGGTGTGGGTTTCCAACTAACACATCTTTCCCTCTTTCCCCTTGTATCGATCACGTCATGGCAATTTCGTACCTTACGTCACGAAGAACGGCTGCTATAGCTATCCATTGGCCAATTCCTCCATTTAGCCCTCTTTCTTTCTCTCTAAATCTCCTTTCTTCTTCATGCCTTGCAGGATTCGTGTGTGGCTGTCCCTTGTGGTGGCTTGCGCGGTTCCATGACTTCATCAGCCCTGCCGGGTGTGTGGAGGGGAAGGGAAACTACTGGACGGACATGAGGGCGTGTGTCAAATAAGAGAGGAGAAGAATTATCGTTTTCCTGCGCGTCATTCCTGTTACCCAGCATGAAGAAAGGCATGGAATATCCATGCAGTGCCAGCCCTAGTGTAGGAAATACATACACCCCCAAGTCATTTTAACCCGCTAAGAGATGAGGTGAACTGAGCTGGGGTGCTAGAATCAAGCGTGAAGAAGATACTTTCAGTCATTGGCTACACTAAGTAGGTAACTATGCAACTCTTGGTAGGGAACGAATATTGGCCTAAAAGGGAATAAAAACCCTGCAAATGATATCAGAGTGTTTAGTGTTGGTGGGTTGTGGCGGCGGTGATCTACAGCACGGGGCGAGATCTCAGGAAAGGGGGGCTTGTGTGTTTGTGTGGCTGAGGGAGGAGGAGTCAGTCTATCGCGTGGCGAAACGCTACAAGCCCACCCACCTTGATATATCCATCACTCCCATATAGTCACCCCCCAAGGTTAGGGATCTAGCAACTTTACGCTAGGTGTAGGCTTTCACCGTAACCGAACAGAAACCCTCTGCTGCAGGTTTTATCCCCCTTTTGTTCTCTTTTTTTTTCGAAAGAGGATAGGTGGGTGTAAATGGAGCGATACACTTACACCGCCCCCTTTACCTCTTGTCCTCTCCTGGCCGCTGTACCCAGGTCAGACGCGTAACCCAACCCTCCACTACCCCGTGCCGGTTTTCCTCTCCGTATAATGGGTTCTTCCCCGTTTGGGAATACGTCATTCCGTTACGGGTAGGTTGTTTACTAGTCCCGCAGGCAGTCTTGTTCGCCAGTCCTTCTGGACTCCTTCCTCCTGGCTTCCTGCTGATAGACAGTCTGCCAGAAGAGAGAGAAAAACCTGATTTTTTCTGAGGGGACACGGAATGAAGCACAGTTTTTGAGATGTCATCTCCTTTAACCTCGAACCTGCTCGCACAGTCTCCTACTCGAAAGACCCGCCTCTTCGTGGGAATCGAGATTCGAAAAATATGCAGCAATGTCCAAATATCTCATATATTACCCCCCCGTGTGATCAACAACCCTCCTTCTTCCCGCCTCCCCTCTCAGTAGAAAGGAAAAAGAAACTCTGACGCCTACACTTCCCAAATTGACCCAGCGGCCAGAAAACTAACCAACCCTTGCCCACGGACCCCGACGCCTCTCCTAACGATACCTTGAAAATGCATGCATCGACAATATCCTGTACCGAGATACCACGTTCCCGGGTCCTCCCAAGTTTTTAGCAGTTAACCGACCTGCGCCACAACAACAATACGCGACACTGCCGTCTGACTTTGAAACAAAAAACTATGAAAACGATATGTTCGGCCGGACTTGCTGGCCGCCCCCAAACACGGTAGGTATCCGGATAGTGAGCTGGATGCCTTCAGTCGTCGACTTGACATCCAAGAAAATGTCGGACGGGCTCTCCCCCGGCTTCTCCTTTCTCCAGTCTGCCGCAGTCTGTCTCCTCTCCTCCTCGGTTCTCCTCGGCCTCCGCTCGCTCTTTTCCTGCTCGCCCCCCTGCTGCTGCTCCGGCTGCTGCTCCGGCAGCTCCTGTGGGGCAGGCAGAGGAGGAGGGGGAAACGGGCTTTCGGGTTTATTAGTTCTAGAACCTGACGGCTCATTTTGCTGCTGTTGCTGGCCCTGACTCTCGCGCTCTTCTCTTTCCTTGCGGTGGAGCGGGTTATTGTTGTCGTGGAACTTGCCCACCACGTTCCCTCCCGCGTCTAGGATGTTGCCGACGTGATCGACCATCAGCGAGGCGTTGCTCCTGCCCATTATGTCAAACAGGCTGCGCGGGGGCGCCGCGTGTGGGGACTGCATAGACGATCCGGCGCTGCCCTTGCGCTCAATCTCAATGTCGGCGACGTAGCCGAGCAGCTCGCCGTCTTCGCCCAAGATGTCGCCCTGACGGTTCGAGACTTTCCGGCCGACAAGGGACGGGAGGTCGCCGCCGGCGCGTGCAAGAACCTGGCCGGTCTTCTCGTCTACAATGTCGCCGTACTCATCTACTGGCTTGCCCATGAGGAAGGAGCCCACAAACGGCGGTAGCTTCGGCCGCTCCGTCGGCGAGAACTGGATCCCCGGCGAGAAGGTGGGGATGCTGCCGATTTTGGGAATAGGGGCAACATAGGCAGCGGATTTAGGTCTTCGAGGGACGTTTGTTTGTTGAGTGTCTGCATTTCCCTGCTCTTGGTCATTCCCGCTGTCATCTGCTTCTGGCTCAACAATGTCGTTCTGTGAGGGTTTGCGGAATTGGCGTTCAACATCCGGCCGCAGATTTGACGTCATGGTTGCTAGTTGTAGATCGCAGTGGATATATTCTTTCCTCACGAGTGTCTAGCACGAATGAAACTCCCAGAACAGCTGATGTCTTCGGCGAGGAAAGCAGAAGTTTGCCGAAGATCAGACTCGGTAGACCTATGAAGGGACAAGACAGACCCAGTGTGGTAGCTAGCGAGTCCGGATGATGTCGAGCTAGGAGCCTGAAAGCCTGAAACAGAGCCACTACAAGCAGGCTACAGTGGACGACTCGGCCAGAGCCGTGTATCTAGAGCTGTCAACGGGGCGGCTACACGGGATGTGTAGGTTTTCAGGGTGGAGGATGGAGATACGTCATAAGAAAGGGGGTTGAACCGGGCCCGAGAACGTCCAGCATTCGGCCAAGGCTGAGACCTAGCGACGCGAAGGGGGTGATGAGTGTGTACGGAATACCAACACTGGATAAAATGGGAGGTGGGAATGGGCTTCAGAGCAATTGCTGAGAGGAAAACAGACCAGCCCCGGTTCATGAGCCGACGGGATCAAGGTGAGGGTGCACACCCTCTCATGGAGGGAATTACATCAGTGGCTGCCCATCCCTGCCTCCTTGGCCGGGACGCATGAGATGGGCTCTGCGATGGGTCCGGTGTGCACAGATCCATGTGGTTTGTTGTGGCTGGCTGCAACAGTTTTCGTCGACAGACATCCCGCCCGCCCTGCTTGGTTTGGGGTCCGGAAACCAAATTCTTCCACAATCCACGGTTGTAACATGAAACGCGCGGCAGAGGCCGCGTCGGCCGTCCCCAGTGCATCATTGCATGCAGAATGCGAGAGCGCAAGCAGCATAGATGAAGTACAGTCACACATGCCCGGCAGGATACTAGAAACTATGTTGGCGAGAACTCTCGGCTGCGCACCTAAGCAAAATATGCAGGACCTCAAATCTAGAGCCCATATGCGGGCACGGGTGAATAAATGCGACCCAGGAGCTTGGAAATGAAATTGCCTGAACTCCGCAAGCTGGGTGCCAGTGAGACATGTCTTGGGTGTCTGAATGTCACCGCGACGGTGTTTTAGCACATCCCCGTGATTGACGTGATGGACGATCGATTTAGTTCGGTTTTTGCGGGCCGGCCGATGAGAAACCTGTTTGTGTCGCTCATTTCCAAGCTCGCATTAGGCCGTTAACGGGTCAGCTAAGATCGCCGGGAATTATAGTCACGAAACAGCTTGGCTTTGGCGACTCGGCAACACGTGTCAAACCTGTCGCTTAAGGATGTTGTTTTGTGATACCAGAGTTTAAGCCAAGAGTCAAAAGAACACAGCGTAAGTAGCATGCATGCAGTAGCATTAGGTTAAAGACGGCCTCGTAAGACATCATGTGGTGAGAATCCAGGGGCTTGGACATCGAAAGCGACGAAAAGGGGACCCAAGATTTGGGCAATGGAGGGATAAAGACGCTAAGAAACCAACGATATTGCGCTAGCAACAAGACGCTTAAAGAGGAAAGCAACCTCAGCCTGCAGCGGGGAAAAAGGTGTGGCTTGGCGACTTGCAACGGCGGGTCAAGGGCTGTCGCAAGTCGTAACTGCCTCCGGAGCAACGAGATGGCGCAGCCGATGGGTTTCCAGCATGCTCTTTCCCCGCACGTCATTCAGCAGGAACGATCGGGAACAGATCACTCACCGTTCGCCGCCCGCCTTTTCCTTGAACATTTTCATCATCTGGCACCTTGAATATTGTGAGTAAAGCCCCCCATCTGCCCGGGCCGCTTTGTCATTTCATCTGGCTAGGCCTTGGATCGCGTTGGGCCGTCTTTATCGTCCGCGGCGTTAATGCGAAGGCCCCCTGGCCCTGGCAATATGCCCTGCGGATTATACCCGGTGTTAGCGCTCTCCGCGCTCAGCCCGCTACTGCCAACAACAACCGTCGTCACATTCCGCTGCGGGTGATCACCTCGCCCGAGAATCGCCGCTTGTAAGGCGTCTACAGAGCCTTGCACCGTGTGCATAGCGGCAGATACCTGGTATATAGGTGGTACCTGCTAAGGCGCTGCAGTCCTACGCCGTACTGCCAAGGGGAGATAAGAAAGTGGTATTACCCGAGACTAACGACATGCAACGACATGCCAACCTGAGGATAATCGAGACAAAGATGTCAAAATATCCAATTCGCGACGCGCGCAACGCCAGACAAGATTCTCTGAGAATACAAGCAAGAATTATAGTACAATACAGCTTTGCTCTAGTCGCAAGCAACGCAAGGTGTCAAAGCGTCAACCTTTCCGATCTGATCCCCCGTTTCGCCAATGACAAAAGAAAAAAGGAAAAATGAACGCAATCCATCTAAAATCTCCTAAACACGGTATGATACGATAACCAACCCACCCCCCCCCACTCCACGTGCTCCCTCGCATCAATAGAAGCGAGCCCTGAAAGGACTCGTGGCTGCCTTCTAGTTACTTCAGTTCCTAAGGAATTAGCCCCGTGTTCCCTTTTGATCAAGTCTGCGCGCGCGTGGTGTATATGTGCAGCAAAACATCCGTCCTACTTGACGACAGCAATAACAACAACAACGACAGCCAGTCGCGCCCATTTCTCAGGCCTCATTCTCTCTTGCTTTGTTCCGTCTCTTTTTCTGTGTTTTCCTTTTTCTTCTTCTCCACGGCGGCGTTTGTAGTCTTCAAGAAACAAGAAATATCTCTTGCTCAAGTTTCTCTACATCGTCCTTTAGCCCAGGTAAGAGATGTGATGGGGTGGAGACTCGGAAGAAAGAAAGAAAAAGTACAGTCTATAAGCTGGGAGCCAGCGTCGGCATTTATGTTTTTTTTTATAAATGCGCCATTGGAAACAGGAACAACCAGAAGGGTTGTGATGGGTGGCTCAAAGGGAAACATACAGACATGCGCAAGAGAATTTGGACTTACAAGAGAGCGAGTTCCAGATCACCATGGATCTTGGCCTTGAGCGTGATCTCAATGTCAAGGTTGAGGTCGAGCCGCAGGCGGAGCGTGTCACTCTTGCCGCTTCCGCCGCCGCCCTTCTGGTCGACGGCGTTGCCGGCGATGCCGCCCAGGGCTCCGGTTGCGCCGTTGACGAGGCCGCCTGCCGTGTTCTGGACGCTGTCGAGGGCGAGGTTGTCTAGGGGACCACCGCCTCCCTTTTGCTGGCGCTGGCCGCGTCTCCGTGGTGGAGGCGCATACTCTTCCTCGGACTCTTCTTCAGACTCGTAGGTCTGCTGCTGGACGGGCTTCTTTTGCTGGCGCTTCGGCTTCTCCTCTCCTGAGCTGCTTCGGGAAGCCATGGCTGTGGATGTTTCTGGTTTGTGTTGATGAGGGACGGGGCTTTGCTAACAGACTGTTGGAGGGCAGACAGGAATGATCGACTGATGGGCCGGATATGGATAGGATTTCAAGACGTTAAATCTTTCAGAGTCCGTAGGTAACGAGGGGGGATGTGAACGTCTATTAAAGAGAGCATCCCAAGTTCCCCCCGCATGAGACCAAAACAGGATTCCGAGGAGTTCCAGGGCAATGAAGTCATCAGACTAGGATGGCTCATGGTGAGAGAAGCTTTCCTCCTGAATCAGCCGATCTCCTGCCCTTGACTTACAAGCGTAGACGATCTATCCAATGAAACACGGCCATTTATCCAGCCCAAGTGGTCTGGGCAGAAAGAGAGGAAGGGTGTGTATGAATCTGACTCTCCACCCACGCCTCGATCCCGTGTTAGCTGCATGGCCCAGGCAGTGAAGGGCCGAGAGGGAGTCGTACGCGTGTGGTGTAAATTAACTTGGCTACTATGCCATAAATGGTAGATGGCACGTCCAGGGGCCAAAATCCTACATGGAGGGCACATTCCCCCTTGGCCATCTACGTCACCCCCGCAAACACAACTCCCCTCTCCCATCCCACGGACCCACGTTTGCATTCAGCCTTTCTCACAACTCCACGCTACACAACACACACTGCAGAGTGCGCCCAAGCGTTGCACATTTTGCATTAACATCTAGGTCTACTCAAAGTCTTCTTCCGCGGTGCCTACCTGAGTGGGTCGGCCCCTAGGTACAGCAGTAGGGTGGGCTAACCGGCCCCTTGGCCCTTCACATACCGGCTCTCCATGCCTAGCTGCATTCTTCGATGCAGCATGATGGGAGCCCGCTTTCGTGGCTGGTGGCTCTCGTCCTCATCCCCGTCCCCGCCTTCGTCCTCGTCGTCGCACCCCCCGTTGCGGATGCTCCCATCTCGATCCCAGGCGACGGCCCATTTCCTGTTTTCCTGCTCGACGGCCACGAATCGAGCGGCATCGCCCTCCAGGGTCAGCCACTGCTCGTCACTGCTCCAGTTCCACGGCCCGATGGTGTGGCCGCCCAGCGTGTCCTGCCGCCCCCCGTGGCGCACCATGTTGCTATCCTTGTCGACAAAGATCCAGTTCAGCGCTGGCGGGTCATCCTGGATCGTGCTCACCATGCCCAGGTGCTGCGCCTCGGACGGGTACGTGAAGTACCAGCCCAGGAACTTATGGCCCGGCATGGGGTAGGCTGGGTGGTCAATCCATAGCTATAAATTCCGGGTGTTAGTCCCCCTCGGCTCGGCACACAGCTGTAAGGCGGAAGCTTCTCCGGCGACTGATGTCATGCGCGAGTCTAGCAGTAACCGATGCACCCCCGATGAAAGGAGAGGGAGGTGGGGATGGGGTCCAGGGAAAAACAGGGTCCAGGGCGTTTCCACGACTCACCTTCCCCCCCTTCAACACGCAGAAGCACTCCACTGGCTCCTCTCCGTCAAGCGAGACGGTCGTCGTTAGGAAGAACTTGGCCTTCTCTTTTGCCGCGGCGTCGGCTTTCTTCTGCGCGCTCAAGGCCTCACAGACCCCGATCGTCGTAGGGATCCCCGCGATGACAAGCAGGCCGATCACCATGGTAGATGGGTTCCCTGTTGATATGTTGATATGTTGATATGTCGATATGTTGTGAAGGGGCTTGTTCAATTCCTCGTGGGTTATTACGTGTGTAGACAAAAAAGGGGTTAAAAAGGCTCCTGGATTCAACTAACAATGTAGGTGTGTATAGACAATACGGAATAAGATACGAGCTGGTTTTGTCGTGTCTCGTGATATTCTTTCTATTCTGCGCCAACAGAGGCTAATGGATGGCTGACCGCACCTTCGTCATATACACCCCCAAATTCCACCGTTTTATCCAACCGACCGCAGCGGCCGTTAATGGTAGGTTAATGCGGCAGGGCATTGGAAGTATCTCGGGGTTGCCTCAACGACTTACACGCCCCCCTGGCTCCCCCCCCCCCCCCCAAAAAAAAAAAAACGATGTCATCCGCATGCAGCTAGGGCTGCTCAGTGGTCACTTTTCCCACCACCCCCCCCCCCCCCACCCCCCCCCCCCCCGAAAGCTTGTTTCATTACACCTTTCAGCCGCTGATTTGTGCGTAGTGCAGTGCTCTGTCGGCGCACCCCCCCTCCATGCAGAACAAACGTCACCCGCCTCTTACACTTCACATTGCGGGCTCTTGTTCTTGGAGATGAGTCTGCGCAACGTAAGTTTTTGTGCGCTGGGTGTGGCTGGAAACTTGATTTCATATGTCGTCACTGACCAGAAAGCGAGGAGGAGCTGGCGTCCATTTTACCGGCTACTGCGCTGATCATGGTTTCTGCAGGGTATGATGTATAGGGGTCTAGGGACCCTTTGGTAACGTAAGGTGATGTGATGTAGGACTGCTTGCTGCCCAGCAAAAAGAAAAGTTGTGGATGCCATCATCTCTCTCGGCCCTTTTCACAAAACCACCACCGCTGCCCGTCTGCGCAAAGAGCTCTTACTTGTTCACCCATACATACTTTGATCCAAAGATCTTCTCTCTATCCGCGAAAGTAGGCCCCTGATTTTGCAGCATCAACTGCGACATCAACCTTAACAACATCAACCTTAACAACATCACCACCAATACCAACAAGAAAATTGTAAACATGTCATCAGTAAGTAACACTTATTTTCTGTGCACGAATATTAGATAGCATGGTTCTGACCGCACGCGCAGACACCAAAGCCCAACGAGCAGGCTGTGCCGAAGGAGGAAGAGCCAAAGTCTGTCGGCCAGACTGAGATTACGCCGCAACAGCCCGAGGACGCCCATGCCCAAGCCGACACCATTAACAACGAACACGACGTGGCAGACCCTGCAGGTGCCACCGGTGAGGCTGGTGAGGCTGAAGAGCCCGAAGACGCCGAGGATGCCGAAGAGTACAACGAAGAAGACCCAGAGGGCGAGGACGAGCAAGTCTTAGACGACGACTTCCAGGACGACGAAGAGCCTGAGGAGGGCGAAGAGCAAGACGTCGAGCCCGAGGCCGAGCCAGAGCCAGAGGAGGAAGAAGAAGAGGAGGAGGAAGTCCCAGTCGCTCCTCCCAAGAAAGCTAAGAAGCCTAAGAAGGCCGCGCCGCCCACCAAGGAAGAGGATCCCACGACACCGGCCTCCTCCCAGCCGCCCACCCCCAAGGGCGAGGAGGGGCCGCAGCCAAAGTGGATGCGTAAGGGCAAAAAGGCGTCCAAGGACCAGCCGCGCGACATGGAGCGGCCCAAACGCCGGCCACGAAAGGAGGACCAGCCCATGTCGTACCGCCAGCAGCAGCAGATGCTGTACCAGCAGCAGCAACAGCAGATGCAGATGCAGCAGCAGCAGCAGCAGATGCAGCAGCAGGGCGGCGGCGGCGGCGGCGGCAAGAACCCGCTCCGGCTGCGGCTGGACCTGAACCTCGAGATCGAGATTGAGCTCAAAGCGCACATTCATGGCGATTTGACGCTGGCATTGCTGTACGTGAACACTTTTTTTATATCTGGCATTTTTTCTGCCCCCTTTCCCTTGCCCCTCTCCACCTCCTCCCCTACCCCCCCGTCCCTCACCTTCAAACTTCCATTTCCTCTCCCATCCATCCATCCATTCCTTCCTCCCTCCCTTCAAGCGTTGCTGCACTGCAAGCGTTGCTGGCTTTTTTTTCTGCCTGTCACTCCTGCCATTGCCACATCGCGAGAAGAAAAAGAAGAAAAGAATGCATGCGTGAGATAGAGAAATGCCGAAGCAAGAAGAAAAGAAAACGGGATTCCCAACTTTTTCCCCCCTTCGTCGCTCTCCGCCCAACCCATGGAATACAATAAAGTCAATAACTCATTCGCAAAAAAAACCAATGCCATACTCTTTTTTCTTGGAATACAGTAATTAGAAAGAGTCCGAAAAACACACAAAAAGAAAAACCAAGACACACACGAGAAATACAGAGAGAGATCGGATCTGCTGACAAGTCCACCCCGTCTCGTCATTCTAACCACTACAGGGACGGCATGTGAGGAAAGAAAGAAACTTTCTCTTTACTACTTCTTCTTTTCATGGCGACTTTGACGATGTATACGTCCGCGACAGCATCGAATCGAATAGAAACGAGAGTTTTTAGGATGGGTTGTCGGGTTTGGAACAAGAAACTATGGATCGACATTGACCTTCAACTCACCCATCTTTCCTTTTCAGTAATTTTATATTTTTCCTTTGTTCTGTTATTTGATCTGACCTTGGTTGGTACTCACTGCCTGGCGAGATTGCTTGGGGTTTTTGCTTTGTTTCTTTGGCTTCTCTTGCTGTACACATACCTTTCTGATACATACCTGTTTGTGTGGGATCGTGGGTTCGAGAGTGCAGCTTGCTGAAACGTAATGGGAGAGTCAGGGGCGGGAGAGTGTGGGATGGATGATGGTGATGGTTTGACGATGTGGAAGAACTGTTTTTTGTGGCACTGCACGATAAATAAACATCATATGTCTGTTGGTTTTTCTTCTGTGGAAGGAACAAAATAGATCACGAATATTACCGGCCTAGCAACCGCTTGGTAATGTATGGGCTATATCTTGACTGTGGTTTCTCTTTGGGCAGTGCGAATGGCGTCATCGTCGGTGTGCTACACATTCAGGCCTCTTTTTATGGCTATTCCACCCAACATTCGAGGTAACATGTTGTCTGAGTAAAACAAATGCCTATGATGTTTCTTCACAACCGACTTTGGTATTTGTCGAGACCCGAGGCACCCAACTGCGTCAGCAACCTTCCTACTACATAGGTTGACATTGCCACTTCCAACTTGGGGATACCAAGACTCGCCGTTTGCACTCGTCAGGGCTACATCGCTTCCAACTGACTCGCAAGCTCGTAATTTACTCCCTTGGTCATGGGTGCTTATGAACACCTGGTTCGAGTTGCCCTGAAACAAACACGAGTGGAATCCCAGCATCGCGGAGTAGCGCGTTGAGGTTCCATGCTGAGGACATGCCTTACTGGTAACATTCAAGGATTCTCAGAATAAAAAAGTAATCGAAAAACATCAATTGGTATTGTAGGTTGAGAACTAACACATGCAACTACCAACTATATCCGAACATTGTCCCACAGTACCTCAAATGATACAGCTTTTCTCAAAAAACCTCTCAATAAAAGAGGCCGGTCAGACTTCCATCGGCACCCACCCTGCCCGAGCGCCCAAAGGCAAGACCTCGAAAGACAGGGTACAGATCATCGCCACTCTCTATACAGCCACGGCCCGAAAGCCAGCGACCGCCGCCTTTGCAGGCAGAACGAGAGTAAATGATTCTCACTGTAGGGAGCCGAGGATATGAATCATCAACCCGGGTGGGATCTGTAGCTCCTTTAGGGAACACAAAAGTGGACGACTACTATAGAAATGATTCTCCTGTTGGGAAGAGAAGCGGTTAGCATCGCGAAGGCAGGCCAATTAGTTACTGATTGCTGTTATTGGGGGTGTAGCTTACTGAAGTATTGTCGACATGAAGAAAAAAAGAAAAAGAAGAGGAAGGGCGGGCGGGCGAAGATTGTTAAATAGGTGTATGAAGTGGCCTGTGCGCAGCCGTCGGTGGATACCTGGGCGTGGATCTGGCGGGATAAATTTTGCGATTGCCCAGGACCAGGAGGAGCCGGGTGGGTTTGCACTTAGAAACAGTGGTTCGGGTACCTTCAGAATGCGCCGGCTATCTTGGTGTTTCCATCTACGTACCGGGCGACACCTTTTTGACCTGTTGTAGCCTCTTGTTGCTATCAAACATTAGTCGTCCCATAGGCTGGGCTGGCTTGTGAGGCGCGACCTGACCTACGGAGGAGCTGCACCCTGGATTCGGCCCCTGCAGCGGTACAAGCGTTGCAGCGGCAGCGGCAAGACGCAGCGACTTGGAGACTCAAATTGGGACGGATTAATGCTCCGTATTCCGCACCGCGTTTACATTCAAAGCTCACAACCACATTCCCTAACTCGCGACGGGAATTTTCTGTGCTTGTGATTGTGTTGACGAGCATCAAGTGCTCCTTGCCCACGCATCTGATCTGGCTGCTGGGTCTCATTGTTGTACGCCACCCAGTTCGCACCAGTGCGTCAGAGTTGCTTCGTTGTTTCCACACCGCCAATTGCTGAGCGCACTGCTCGGCGTGGCAAGCTCTCAAGTCTCGCCTGCCCGGCAGAGGCAGCAGCACTCCAATCTGGATATTCAAGCTCGGTGCCCGACTCGGGGCTGAATTCGTCTTCGGATCTCATATGCCTATTCAAGACGAGGATCAGGATCGTCGACCGGGCCCGTCAAGCTGTGCCTCCGCCGCCGACAGCGACAGGTTCACTGCGACCCAGAGGGGCTTGGCAACGCCGACCGAGCTTGAGCCGAGCCTGGGTTGCACAAATAAACCTGCTCCGTTTCTTTGCGGGGAGAAACTGGGCCGCGTGATTGGCTCGCCGCGCTTCCCCGCACCCCATCCGCCATCGTCTCGGCAGCCGTAGAGGTGTCGCTGGGAGTCACCCTGAAAAAAATCCTGCTCGCGTGATGTCACACTAAAACGTTTTATGAGATCCGATTGATATTCAATTTCTCCTGCTGATGGCAACAAACGAAGGAGCCATTTGTATGAAAAGAGCGCCGGGCCTACAAATAGGCAAGCCGCTTCAATTCCGCATCATGGTGAACTGATGACGGAGGTGTGAATGTCTCCATTCTCACCTAGGGATTACTGTAACGAATCTAGGCCAAGTGTTCTTAACCACTTTGACGTTAGTTGGCGCTTGGCGGCTTCCGACATCGCCACCGGGAGCCGTATAGCGGCCCGTGCACGTCGCCTTAACCCCACATTCTACACTACAGCCAGAAAATTTCACGTTCGACGACTCACGCAAACGACTCAGAGGTGTGCCCCGGCTACTGGTTCCCGCTAGACTTCGGGTTTCTTTCACGGATCAAAACCTCCAAACTCTCCACTCCTAGAGCCAATTGGCCTTCCAATCGTCCTCTTATGAAGGAGATAGCATCTTGCGAATTATACCCTCGGTGACGATTTTCACTGCTGCGCCCAACTTTTTTTATTTAATTCTTTCTGTGCTTTTGCTCGGCGCTCCCCTCGTTCTCCTTAATCGCCATGCTCCGCTCTCGCCAGGCCACGCGCGCCTTGAAGGTGCTGGCCGAAGCCAAGCCAAGCCGACTACCTCAACGATCCTTCACCACCTCCCAAAAGGCATTGGCCGTCGCGGCGCGGCGCAATGGCCCTCTCCAAGTTAGGAATCAAGCGACATCAGCGACTGCAAAGGCCCCTGCTGCGTATGTTCTTTTGTGTTCTGCTCTCCCTCCCTCGCTGCCCCTCACCTATTCCCGATGACTCACCGAACCACGACTACGCCACAACTAGTCTGCTAACCTATGCTCCGGACAGCGAGGTACGGCCAACTCCCAGCCCAGCCTTCAATGCCGCGACCCCGAAACAACAAAGCCATGTACAGCCTCTCTCCAAAGCTCGGAAGCCTGACATGGACGAATCGTATGTCTGACTCACCACCTCTGCCGCCTCTCTCCTAACAATTGTTGCTTCTCGAACGTGGCTGACGGGGACTGTATGTGCAGGTTCATTGGGAAAACTGGAGGAGAGATCTTCCACGAGATGATGCTCAGGCATGACGTAAAGCATATCTGTACGTCGCGTTCTAGACGGACTTGTTGTCCCATAATCCAGATGACCCGGCTAATAAACCCACCACAGTTGGGTATCCTGGCGGTGCCATTCTCCCCGTGTTTGACGCTATCTACAACTCACCACATTTCGACTTTATTCTTCCCAGACACGAGCAGGGAGCCGGCCACATGGCAGAAGGTTACGCGCGTGTCTCAGGCAAGCCTGGTGTTGTTCTGGTGACGTCCGGCCCCGGCGCCACAAACGTCGTGACACCTATGGCCGATGCGCTCGCCGACGGCACCCCAATGGTTGTTTTCACTGGCCAGGTGGTTACGAGTGCTATAGGAAGCGATGCTTTCCAGGAGGCAGATGTCATTGGTATCACCCGGGCCTGCACAAAGTGGAACGTGATGATTAAGGACGTCGCTGAGATGCCCCGGAGGATCAACGAGGCTTTCGAAATTGCCACGAGTGGAAGACCTGGCCCTGTTCTCGTCGACCTCCCCAAGGACATCACCGCTGGTATTCTCCGGAGAGCAATCCCTACCGAGAGCGCTATCCCCACCATTCCCAGTGCTGCGTCTCGAGCTGCTATCGATCTCAGCAGGAAGCAGATGGATGCGTCGATTAGCCGAGTTGCCGATCTTATCAACAAAGCGAAGAAGCCCGTGATTTACGCCGGTCAAGGTGTTATTTGCTCCGAGCGCGGCCCGGAGTTGCTGAGGGCCCTCGCGGACAAGGCATCTCTCCCAGTGGCGACGTCGCTGCACGGCCTTGGTTCCTTCGACGAGCTGGACGAAAAGTCTCTTCGTATGCTTGGCATGCACGGCGCAGCTTACGCCAACATGGCCATCCAGGAGGCAGACCTAATCATCGCTCTCGGCGGGCGGTTTGACGATCGCGTAACCATGAGCATTCCCAAGTTTGCGCCTGCCGCCAAGGCTGCCGCGAAAGAGGGACGTGGAGGCATTGTTCATTTTGAGATCATGCCCAAGAATATCAACAAGGTGGTACAAGCCACCGAGGCGGTGGAAGGCGATGTCGGAACCAACCTCGAGCGGCTAATTCCGCAGGTCCAGGCGAAGTCCATCGGCGACAGGCAGGCCTGGTTCGACCAGATCAACGAGTGGAAGCGGAAGTGGCCCCTTTCTCACTACGAGCGTGCTAAGCGCGAAGGCCTGATCAAGCCCCAGACCCTGATCGAGGAACTAAGCAAGCTCACTGCCGACCGGAAGGATAACACCTATATTGCCACTGGTGTGGGCCAGCATCAGATGTGGGCAGCCCAACACTTCCGCTGGCGGCACCCCCGCTCCATGATCACCTCAGGTGGTTTGGGTACCATGGGCTACGGCCTTCCGGCCGCCATTGGCGCCAAGGTGGCGAAGCCGGACTCCCTCGTCATTGACATTGACGGCGATGCCTCATTTGGCATGACGCTGACCGAGTTGTCCACTGCTGCGCAGTTCAATATTGGCGTCAAGATTATCGTCCTCAACAACGAGGAGCAGGGCATGGTTACACAGTGGCAAAACCTGTTCTATGAGGATCGATACTCGCACACGCACCAGAAGAACCCGGATTTCATGAAATTGGCGGATGCCATGGGTATCCAGTCCAGACGTCTGATAAAACCCAACGACACTGTGGAGTACTTGAAGTGGCTGATCGAGTCTGACGGCCCTGCGTTGCTCGAGGTGGTGACAGACAAGAAGGTGCCTGTGCTTCCCATGGTCCCCGCTGGGTCAGGCCTCCATGAATTTCTCACCTATGACAGCGGTATTTATCCCCCAATCCACCGATTCCGAGAGCCTCACTAATACGGAGCACAGCTAAGGATATGAAACGGCGTGCGGTGATGCGGGAGCGCACATCTGGCCTCCATGGGTAAAAAAAGGGTGCGTGCTGAAAACGACGCCCATTTTTTCGAAGCCACTTTTGATGGGCCCCGCATCGCCATCCGCTTTGGACGGCTCACACCTAGCATTGCTCTCTTGGCGACTAGTCGAGATTGGAGCTATTGAATGCTTATCAGGAAGGCAAAAAGTTATTCTCTCATCAGGGTTCGAGCTGCTTTTTTTCTGCATTATCGGGCAGGCAAAATCGCGTTTGCAGATCCGCGGCTGGGATCTCTCTCAAAAGCAGTGCCGAGCTGGGCCTCACCCAGCTCATACTGCCACTACCACTACCGCCGTAACGGGTGGACTGTACATATTGGACGAATGGATACCATTGTTTCGGAAATGCTTGACACGGACGATTCGATTCATTGCCTGGTGTCGTACCGTGACTATGAAGAGAAGTGCTCTGGACCCTGGCTAGATGGCAACCTTCTCATTGTCTCTGCCTTGCTCGATGTGACACGGAATAACTACTCCACATTCTGGCTTTTCTGTCAGTTTACGGCACTTCCGGTGCAGCGGTCCAAACATTCTCAAAATAGATGCTAATTTCTGAGCACCTACCACTCTAGAGATACCCCAGAGCCTCCTCACTTCCCTAAACCAAGTTGCGTGGGCCCCTACCTCCGGCTAATCCAGGTAGCAAGTACCACTCCCTGCCCTAGTGTTCTTAGAATGCCGGGCGTGACACCCAAGGTTGAGGTCATGTGGGGGGGGGCGGGTGTACTGCGAAGCTCGAAGGGCTAGAAGGGTTTCGTGACGCAAGTAGGAAAATGGAATTTGATCTGACGCTTTTTTGATCCCACCAAAAGAAAAATGAAAGGTGCACGCTAGCCCTGCAGGAACCACGGCGCCCAGACGTGATGGCGAGGAAAGCCGGGTATGATTGCGATCAACTCGATCATGGATCCGTGACCTCTCCGCACACTCCGAAGCAGATGCAACGGGCAGCCTTTACGAATCCATCGCGAACTCGGCATCCTGTCAGGCAGTCTGCACTTTCTACTCCTCAATTCTTTCCCAAGCCAAGCGAGGATGGGTGACATTGTCCGAGTGTCCGTATCTTGGGAAGAAGTGCAGTTCACCTCACCGCTCCTTTGGTTGACAAGAGGTGAGTGCCCCCACCGAATCATCCGATGCTCTGCTCTCTGCATCATGTACTTTCTCGACTGCAGATGTACGAATACACACCCGAGGTACGGATAACCAAGCACCTATAATAGTAGGGTCAATTGGCAGGGGTGTTGGATGGCCCGTCTCTGTCTTGACAATAAATCGAAACCCACGCTATCGAGGAGCCAGACACCCCTGTCTTCAGCAGGCCAGCCATCCCAAATCTGGCGGAAATCTACCTACGGGGGGATACGGCAGGCGTCATCTGTTTCGCCGCCTCTAGCCCCGCGAAAAGGTGAGCACCCCTGTCTCGAGACAACTGGCACTCTCCGCAGATTTGCCAAAGTCAACACCACCCACCGAGCCACCATGGACCCTTTTCGACCCCTGCTCTCGCCCGGCAAAGGGCGCCGAGACAACAAGTGTTGAAATCTTCACCGCGATCTTGCCCCAAGATTTGAAGCTGCGTGTTGATGCGAACTCCTCTGGCAGCAGCTCCTAGGGTTTGACAATTGGCTGCGAACTTGAGCCTAGTGGTTCAAAAGCTCGGCAGCTGACGACTTCACCGCCGTCGCCACCAACAACGGCCTCAGCCTCGCCCACAACCGTGAACCCGCGCACCTTAGTCCACCCAAGAGGAAAATCTCCGAAAACCCGAGGCGGCAGTCATTGGTATCTTTGGTGCGTGTTTCATCGACTGTGGGCAACCAACTAAATAGATGGAAGCGGGTTGCTATCCAGGTACGCAGCAGGCTGGCCGCGGCAAGATTGCTTCTTCTCGGTTCACGCCCATTCCGTCATGTCTGTGAATCGCTTGCAGGGATCCCCAAAATGCACTGCAACTTTACAGAGCCTTGCCCTGAGGTCGTTTTGGACTTGCTGTGGCGGAGGCAAAAAATCTTGCGTGCATCCCACCTGGGGCTCTTCGATTCTCCGCGTTTGTCTACCTACCTGTGACCTTTCTCAGACCCGTCCTCTCGTCCGCGGACATTGAGAAGATGTTGGTATAAGGATTTCAGCTGGCTACTACCTCGCGTTTCCCATTTCCAGCAGAGTTGATGCAGGAACAAGATAGCTGCTTGACAAATGGAAATTGCTGCCCGTACACCATCCCACCCACCCTAAGGAGGATGGAGAACTTTGCGGACAACGAGAGACGTGGCGGCCGAGCTTTGATAACCCCTGGTCGTTTTGCCTACCTACCGACCAGCGGGCACACAATGGTGCGCGCAGATTCAGGCCAGTGCGTTGCCGTGGGGCTCTGTGGACGAGCAAGACGATTCACGCGGCCATGGAGTTGGCCATTGTTCTTCTTTCTTCTCTCGACGAGTCCCGCACTCAGGTAATGTACTGCCGTATTGTATTTAAGTTTGGGAGAGTCCGCATGTGTCCTGGCTGTTTCCTCTCTGCATCCATCCATATGGGCAGGCGTTGGTGTGTTGAGTGCCGTCCAGATAGTTTCGCTCTTTTGATCTGGGCTGGATATTTGCGTTCTGTTTTCCCGTCTCTCGTTTCGCCCCCTTGGCTACGGCCGGCAGCCCAGCATTCATTATTCGCTCTAATTCATACATTCCTTATCCTCTACTCACCCCTTTTACGCATACAATAAGATACGTCCGAGCCTAGATTTCCACCGCGCCAGCACTCCCCCCCAGCACGCCCCAGCTGCCCCCCTGTCTAATACCGTTGCCGGCTGCTCGAGTCCGGCACAGTCGCCATGCAGAACCGCGAGACAGTTGAAGAGCTTCTGACCGTGCTCCCGCTGGACAAGTCGATCCAAGTCTTGGGAATCCTCAAACCGTTCCTGACGGATAATGGCAAAGCTTGGACCACTATCCTCGAGTCCGAGTTTCCTTCGAGCCGGAGCCGCTCCATGGCTACCCAGCCTCCCTCTGGCAGGTTCTCGTCGGCCTCGACAAACTCGAGCATCCGCAGCAAGATGTCGTCCCAGCGGTCGTCGAGTAGAATGGGCTACTCGGACGACACGAGCTCCATCGAAGAGAGCGTCCACTCCATGTCCATACCCGAGCACGACACAGCTTCCTACCCTACCCCGTTGACGCCAGCCCCCATGTCGCACCAGAAGAGGTCCCTCGGATACCGGGCTGTGGCTGCACCGCACCGAGTCTCCAAGGCGACGCAGAAGCTCAACGGATCCGCCGCACTGTCTCCCATGTCTCCCAAGAAGCCTTTATTCGAGTGCCCCTTTTGCTTGGAACTCAACATGAACTCTTCGACGCTGCGAAAAGCCGACCTCAAGCGCCACTTCAAGTCGTTCCATCACACCGATGCCCAGTGGCTTTGCCCGGTGCGCAGCTGCGGCATGTCATTTGACTGGCAAAAGGCCCTCGACCATCACCTGAAAGACGTACACGGAGACACGCAGCACAGCTCAGAGGAAGCGAAGGTCAAACTCTGCCCCCAGGTTGTCTTTGGCTGTGGCTTCATCAACTGCAAGCTTGTCCTCGAGGCATCCAGCGAGGACGACGCCGACAAGAAGGCCACCGAGTACTTCAACCACGTCATCAACCACTTTGAGGATAATCTCTCGAACCGCGAGTGGTCGCACTCGGCCCGAATCAGGAACCTAATGCGTCAGAAAGCCGTCGAGGGACACTGGAAGGACCGCAAGAAGAGGGTAGCTGGTCCGCAAGACCTGGAATGGCAGTCGCACACATCTACCGTTCTTAGGAAGCTGCTCGAAACCCGCCACTTCTCCGACGTCGAGTCTCTGATTACGTGGGCCGTCCGTCTCGGATCCAAGCCATACTGTGAGCCAAAGGGTCCTCTCGCGAAGCTGCCGCTTGGCCTGCGCCTGCCGCTCAAAGAACATTGCACGTCGACCTCGAGCTCCCACAGGCCAGTCCACCACCTCGATTCACACCTCTATCTGCAAGACGACGCGGCCGGCGTCGGCAGCGGACGAGTCGACGGCTTGCCGGCACCGCCACACGACCATGCGTACTCGGCCCGCGCCGCCTCGTACGGACTCCAGGAGTCCTTCGCCTACCAGCCATATGGCGCCGGGGCATATGGCGAATCCGCAAACGGAGCACTGGTCGCCCAGAACGCCATCTCGGGCAGCGATTCGATGCCGGCGCTTCTTCCCCCACAGTCCGTGGTGTGGGTCGGGGGCGGCGGCAGCCTCAGCGACGAGTACTCGCCGACCTTTTCCATGCAGCCCCAATTCGACTCAGTCGCCGGATACGCTTCCGGCAACGATGGCCTGCTCTCACCTGCGTACCCACACATGTCGGCCGCCGCCGCCCCCGCCGGGTACATGACTTCGCCCCAGCTCTCGGCCGTCGGCTCTAAGGAGCTCGACATGGACGACTACCACAACGACCACGACCTTGACGGCGACTGCTACGAATCCATGTGACCGCGCGACCCCTGACTGACCTTACCTACTACACCTACTACGCCTAATTGTTTGTAATCCTGTTAGGAGATATCGTTTTCTCCTTCAACTTCACTTCACTTCATTTCTCTTCACTTCTCTTGACGCACATCTTTTGGGTTAGCTATTTTTTTTATCTCCCAGTGGGTTCCGGACTTGCCTTTTTTTTTTTCGGGACCCTCCTATCTATCAATACCTATTCTTTTTAGAATCATTTGTATTTAATTCGGCTGGGAAACGGAAGAACAAAAAATCACTTATTTTGGGGGCATTTATTTTTTTTATTCTTTTCGCTTCTGGGCGTCATGAGGAAGACAAAAACAAGGATGGCCGGCCGATCACCACCACCACCAACCACACTCACGGATGGATGCATCATATGAGTCATGACTTGGATGTATTATTCTTTTTTTTTGTATTCTTTTCTCTCTCCTGTCTCTTCTATCCCCCTTGACCTTTTTGGTAGAGGGGTTTATTTGTTTGGCTTTTGGTTTTATTTGGGAGAGGGGTGGGCGATATAACTTGGGAAAGAACAGATTGGGCATACACAAAACGAAACTGTGGAACGAGGGATGGACGGGAACACATTGGACAGACACAGAGAGAGCTCGAGATACCCCCTCCCAAGCGCTGTTGGACTTGTTTTTCTTCCCTGGTTTTCTTTTCTGGCGGATCTATATAAAATGTGCAGACGGTGGGGCATACCTTCCAGTCCTGTTCTTTTTTCTCTTCTGTTGCCGGCCTCGGGCTTGCTTACTTGTTGCTTGCTTGCTTGCTTGCCTCCGGGCTTTTAGGCTCGCAGAAACTTCGATTCTTTGGCTCATAGCACCCTCGACTGATTGCAATGGAGCACTTGTATTACTACTTTTGCAGTTTTTACTGACTGCCGCGTTGTGTGCTTGCTGGGCCTGACATTAGCAATCTGGGATAGGTTTGCCTGGTAAAAATTCGCTTTCGCGTGGCAAACCCTGTCTATTGACCTTCAGCCTATATTGGTTGACCTAGCTAGCCCATACTCCTCGTCACTCGGGCACGACCTGATCTGTATATCAAGACAAGAGAAGAGAGAAAACAAGTGTAATTTCGTTTGAAGCTTTTCGTTATTCGCTTCCCACCCGAGCCGTGAAGTCCAATCTCGCCTTGCCAAATTACGCGTGGTTTACTTGTTGGTGTGCGACTGCCACCCCCCATCCGCGAGTCAGTTGCCTGTCCCATGTCGCGTAGATGTACGGGCAAAGGGGGGGGGGGGGGGGGGGGGGTCGACACTTACAGGGCAGTTGGTGCATGTGCACTTGCCCGCTGGGCAGCCGCACTTGCCCGACGACGCGCAGCCGCAGTCTCCGTCGCCCATGTTGAACGGATGCTTTGGTGAAGGATTTAGGTAAGATGATTCTCGTGCGAGACGAATCCGAGGCGCGTTTTTTGTGTTTCTCTGTCGAGTTTTTGCAGCAGAGTGGTGGCCAGGAAAGATGATGTATGTAGTTGCAACAAGAAACTGGAACAGAAAGGAGAACCACGCCTCACTTATAGATGGGAACAGGAGGTGGCGTCATTAGCAGCCGTGCTAATTTTCCTAAGTAGGTACCTAGGACAAATTTATGGGGCTGGGGGCATCTGCGTGGTAGATTTGCTGTCAGTTTCTAGCGGACAGAACAAAGAAGGGGACTTTTAGGTCGATACCGGAATGCGAAGTGAATGGCGGGGGGGGTGGGATGGGATGGGGAAACCGATGCAATGATGGCAGTGGCGGAGTGACGTCCGAAAGAGACGGGCTAGGCGTCATAAAGAAAGGGTGAAATATGGAGCCGCTGCTGCTATGTTTCCTCTCCCGCAAACCGGTCTAACCCGCCATGACTCTGGTTTAGATATTAGACTTCGAGATGGAATTGCACGCTGGTTGGTGGACGGAGGGCCGCACCATCGGACTACCGTAGCGTCGATCCGGCAAGTAAACAGAAACCCCTACAAGCCAGGGCCATAAGCAGTTGGCGGAGATGCTCGAGAGGCGGCGCTATGGGGTGATAGAAGCCAACAGCGGCGGTTGTTGCGTCCAGCGTGGTCGAGGCAAGTCCCTTTCCAGAGACGACTACACCGCACGCTGGGAGACACTGTTCAGCGTTCGCTGACAATGCCGCCAAGTGGCCGCTGATTTAGTCTATAACTCTCAAGACTGTGCTATATACCTGCGCTAAACCTTTTGACGTCTCTGACAACAAGCTAGGAGTTCTAGAAAAGAGAACGGCGCAGTCAATTCGATGGGAAATCAAGAGTGACTGACTAGGAAGCGGGCCAGCCTCTTGACCGGACAGGACGAAGACGAGACGCCAGAAATGTTTACAGCCCACTTGTTATTTCCAACCACGGCTGCGCCGAAACTGTCATCTGGCCGTTCTCTATGGCGACGCTCCTGGGGCTTGTCGCGGTGATAGCCACTGGAGTTCCTGCTGAAGACACGAGTTTCTTCGACATGACATGCTCGTGGTATTGGTTCCCTCATCCTCCGGATCGATATTGTCGTCTCTATTCTCTTCGGATTTCTCGTCTCTGTCGTCTCCTGATTTGTCCTCTCTTGTTCCATCCTCTTTCGTTCTGTCCTCCATTCTCACGTCCTCTGTCGGCTTATCCCTCTCGGTTCGTTATCTCGGTCCGTTGGCTTTCCACACATCTGCCATCATCATCTCCTCCTATCATGAATCCCCCCCCTCGCCTCTCCAGTTTAGAAATGCCCATTCCGTAGCACGTGCGTCTAGCACCGGGCGCGGATGGCGGAATCCCTGGGGGCTTTCCGAACACATTCCCCATGCCAAGCGGATTGCCAATTGGTATATCCTATCCGGTACAAAACTGGGGTAACGGAAAGATGACTCAGCCCCAGCCCTCCCGACGAGGCCGTAGAAATGATGGATCATTTGTACCGCCCAGTGCCCTTGACGGTAGTCGCTGGTGGTGGTTGTGAAGCTGTGATCTGGACTAAGGGACGTTTCGAGCAAGTCGTGCAGCGTCTGCTAGCGGCTGCCCTCGGGTAAGTCCCGCTGATAAACGGCCTTCAGATGGTCCAGATTCAGCTCAACGACCTTGGCCAGGTATACGAGATTAGGCCAGGTGTTTTCAACGTCAAATGCGGCCGGCCGCCTGGCTACTTTCTAGGTAACGGAGTCGGCGTTCGAGTTCGTCGGGGAGATCTGGTACACTGTGCCCCATTTCCCCGCGTAGTGAAGGTAAAGGTTCAAGTTCATATATTTCCGGAATGCCTCCTCGGAATTCAAGTGAACCTGACAGGATGCGCCGTCCACATTCACGTATAGACCTCGGGGGTAATAGGTGACGTGGTGTTCAAAGTTTGCCATTAGACATAGGTCTCCTGGCTTGAGCGACACAGCCATTGTATCTTGCAGGCCAGGGGGCATGTACGATTAGCGAATTTAGAGGGCATGGCGAAAACGAGGTGAGGGTTGGCCAAGATGAAATGTTAACAGGGAGAGTCCGTCAGAGGCGTGTTTCTTACCTACTAGACCTGCCATGGCGCTTGGCGCGAGTCAGGGGCTGTAGACAGGTAGACAGACAAATAAAGATGGCGATGCAATGGCAATCGATGTGCCTTGCTGCTGGGAGGAATAGAGGCAATAGGGGATACTATATTATTTGCTGTTTTGTTCCTGTTCTGAGAACCCTGCGATTGCATGGTTCAAAGGTCAGAGCAGGTTGCATCTGTCTGCCATGCTCAAGTCTTGGCTGCTCACACCCACAGCTGCACGCTTGAATTGTTCAATTCCAGCAACGGCAACGGCAGCCGACAGTAAAGTCTCCTCGGGGAAGTTGGAGCCGGGAGTTGGGGCCTGCTGGGGGGAGGAGGGCCGGGAGGGCATCCGGAGTGGAGACGCGAGCCACGGCGGCGCTATCGTTCCCGTCCCGGCTTCGACCGGGGCCTTTTTAGTGCAAGGCATGCATGTTAGGTAGGTAAGGTAGCTGCAACGCTGGCAACGTAGTGTACCTCGTACTTGTGCAGCGGATGTTCAAGAAGCTGGTCTCTCTCTCTCTGTGGTGTCTCTGCGCGCGTGTTGGACTCCGCCAGCGGCCAAATGCTCGGCGACATAAAATGCACAACAGCTGCAGCGCCACACGAAGAGTGGAGAGGCAGTCGCATGACAGCCCAAGTGTGTGAATGCTGTCGGGTGCTCCTCAGTCGACTCTCGAGGGCTGCATTAAAGGCTGAACGTGTTACTTGTTAGGTTGGGAAGCTACCAACCTAAGAGACGGGAGGAAGGCAAGTGCTTCAGATCCGAGTCCCATCGCACTGGCAGGTGCTTCCGTCCCCGATTTCACTTGGATGCAATTGGGGCGAACCGTAAGTTATTAAGGCCTTCCAGATCTTGGAGAGCCCCCGACTAACAAACATTCAAGGATTGGAGTGTAGCTCCGCTCAAGCTCATTTCCACCGTGGCATCTTCCCCTTTTCCCGTCCCGCGATCGCAGCCATCTCCATCCATCACAGCCCGAGTGCGGGGTCTCTCCGCTCTCCTCTTGACGTGACGCGGGGCAGCTCTACGAGAACGACCGAATTCCTGCACGATCCTTCTTGCCATTCTTTACATGGTAATATTCTTCTGTTCCCATATACGTACATACACATATACCTTGAACTGCAATAGTCAAGCTTCCAGTACAAATAAACTACCAAAATATTTGCGGTTGGGATGGCCGGTTCCGTGCCCATCGCCCGTTCGCTCAAGGACATCTACACCGAGGATGCGCTGAACGCGCAGGCACAACGATGGAGCAAGCTCCTCGCCAAGTTTGAGACGACTTATGGCCACGCCCCCGAGTTTGTGTCGCGGTCGCCCGGCCGTGTGAACATTATCGGCGAGCACATTGACTACTCGCTGTACTCGGTCCTGCCCATGGCCATCACGGCCGATGCCCTGCTCGCCGTCTCTGTCTCGCCGGTCAAGACGACGTCAGCCCAGGCGGACTCGTACAAGATCCAGATCGCCAACGTCCAGGAGGCTAAGTTCCCAACGCGCGAGTTCGATGTTCCTTACGATGCAGTCGACATCGATGCCACCGTGCACGAGTGGACCAACTACTTCAAGTCGGGCCTGCGCGGCGCTCTCGAGCTGCTGCGCAAGAAGCACGGTCATGACTTCCGCCCCAAGAGCATGCAGATCCTGATGGACGGCACTGTACCCGCCGGCGGCGGCCTGAGTTCGAGCGCCGCCTTTGTCAGCGCGAGTGCCCTGGCAGTCATGGCAGCCAACGGCGAGCGCGAGGTCGACAAGACAGCCCTGACCGAGCTGGCCATCGTCAGTGAGCGAGCCGTCGGCGTAAACTCGGGAGGGTAAGAGAAGAACAGCCGCCTTTGACTTACCGCATCGAGGACAGCTAACACTTGCATTCCAGAATGGACCAGTCGGCCTCGGTCTTTTCGGAGCGCGGCTCGGCCCTCTTCGTCTCGTTCACCCCCTCACTCAAAGCGCGGCCCGTCTACTTCCCCGAGACCAGCCCGGAGCTCACCTTCCTAATCGCCCAGTCCTTCGTCACCGCGGACAAGTTTGTCACGGGACCCATCCACTACAACCTCCGCGTCGTTGAGTGCAGCCTCGCGGCCGCTTACCTAAACGCCGTCCTCAACCCGCCAGGGGCCCGCCTCCCCGCCGATGCGGCGCCCCTCGGCGTCAGCTTGTACGGCTTCCACGAGACGTATGTCGCCCTGGCGGAGCACAACAACCCAAACTCCGCCAGGCGGTCGATTCCTGCGCAGCTCGAGGAGCTCATCGCGCTTACCACGTCGACGCTGACCAAGGAGGGCTACACGCGCGAGGAGATCGCCGCCGTGCTGGAAATCACGGTTGGCGAGCTAGACCAGCAGTTCACCTCGCGCTTCCCCGTGCGCGCAGAGCGCTTCAAGCTGCGCCAAAGGGCCCTGCACGTCTTTGGCGAGGCCCTCCGTGTGATCAAGTTTATGGAATTGCTCGAGGATCCCGCCTATCTCGCCCAGGGCAGCCGCGGCAGCGACACCAGTATCTACAATGCGCAGCTTGGCGCATTGCTCAACGAGACGCAGGATTCCTGCCGCCAAGCCTACGAATGTAGCTGTGAAGAGATTGATGCCATCTGCACCATTGCGCGAGCCGCAGGCAGCTACGGCAGCCGGCTGACGGGCGCTGGCTGGGGCGGGTGCAGCGTGCACCTCGTCCCCGCGGACAAGGTGGCGGCTGTGCGCAAGGCGTTGCAGGACGAGTACTATAGCAAGCTGGACTTGACCGAGGACCAGAAGGAGGCAGCCGTCGTGGTGAGCCGGCCAGGGAGCGGCAGCGCCTTGTACCTGGTTGAGTGATACGCTGCAGTGTGAAAGTGGACCTCATAAAGTCGGACTGTCCGTTTGTGTGCAAAGAAGCTTGCCTCCCCTGACATGAGCGGCGGAATGTTTTTGTACATGTACGTACTAGAGTATTGGATTACCTATGCAGACCCATGTTACTAAAATTTTTTTTTTTTGGAAAAAGTTCTTGGCCTATGACAGACACTCGACTCAACCTCACTTGTTTCCATTCAGCACTGTCTGGGGCCTAGAGTTCTCGAAACATATAGTTGGCAATACCCTAGCTACCTTAGCTAGCCGAGCTACGGATGATGCTAAACCTAGCTTGGTGACAAAAAAAGAAGGGAAAAGACTACAAGCTTTTATACATACAGAGGTTATCTATCGCTAGGCCGGAAAAAAGGGGTGGCGTGTTGTGCTTTCCATCCCACCACTGTCCACTGTCTGAAATACCTATCTAGGTACAGAACAGTTCAGCATTATCCCCCCCGCGGGTTTCTCTAAACTATTTATCTAGCTAGGTAGGTCATACATTAGGTGGCTAGGGATGTAGTGCAGTTTGCAGGCGGCCAGCTAGGTAGGGAAGTAGGCAGGAGGTAGGGAAGTAGGCAGGTGGTAGGGAAGTAGGCAGGTGGTAGGTACCTTTGTAAGTGCATAGGTCGGCCTAGGGGCACGGCACGGGGTGAGTTTGGTTGGGTCAGCGACTGATATCTACAGCTAGGTAGGTAGGTAGGTAGGTGGGTAGGTATTCAAGCCCCACCGGCACCAGAAGCAGCACGAGTCTTCTTCTCGACGTTGCGGACCTTGCGGTTTAGCTTGACCTGCACGCGGCGGTACTTGACGTACAGCGCGAACGCGTCGCGCAGCACCACGAATAGACACCCGCCCACCAGGCTGCGGCCCCACGGCTGTTGCAGCAGGCCCGTTGGGGACGTCAGCAGCGGGCTGCCCCGCCGCAGGAAGATTGACGACGACGACGGAGGCGGAGCGGGCCGCGTCACCCACGCCCGCGGCACCGCCAGGCTCAGCAGCTCGCCCATGCCGTACGAGAAGGCGGGGAAGAGGAGCGACGTCATGATGCTGTTGAGGATGGTGGTCAGCGTGCCGTTGACGCGGTTCTCGTCGGCGGCGGCGCCGCCGTTTTGGTTCCGGCCTTGGTTTTGGTTCTGATTCGGGGCCGGCTCCGGCGGCGGCGGCGGCGGCGGCGGCGGCGCGGCAGCTCGGTCTGGAAGCGGCGGCGGGTTCTGTTGGTGTGCGGGCTCTGGCTCGGGTTCGAGTGCCTGCGCCGGCGGCGGTGGTGCAGCATCCTCGTGAGGCGGCGGTATTGGTTGATGGTCGTCTGGTTGCTCGTCCCAGGCGCCAGCTGCTGCGTGGTCTGCAGGGTCGTCACGGACATGTACTGCCATCTCGATAAAATCCTCGTCGGCAAGCTCCTCCTCGTCGACCGCGCCATCGTCCCCCTCGTCGTTTTCGTCGCCGTCTCCACCCCGTATCTGGAGCTCGACCTCCATCGGACCGTCCCCGAACATTCGCAAGACAAGCTGGCCCAGGTTGACGACCGAGTTCCACAGCCCTGGCTCCTCGTCCTCGGCCGCTTCGCCGACGGGCGCCGGAGCGACCGCCGCAGCTTCGGCCGCCTCGTTCTCCAGCGCTGCCGGCGGCTCCTCGACGGGTGGCCGCCCGCGAAGAGCGCGATTAAGGCGCATCTCGAGAGGTCCTAGGAAGTCGTAGTAGAAGAAGTTGTAGCTGAGATGCACATAGGGCATGAGCGCCACGGTCCACTCGGGAGAAGGCGGCCATGTCAGAACCTCGTCTCGCGCTACTAGGGTCAGCGCGTACTGATCAAAGACGAGCAGTGGTTGTTAGCTAGACCATTGATAGGTTGCCGCTGAAAGGGCGGACGGGGAAAGGGCGTGCCTACAAAGAAAGAGGCGGGCACGAAGAAGATGTGCCCCAAAGACGGGATTGCGCGGGTGACGACCAGAGTTGGCCCGATGGCGGCCAGGGTCAAGATCTTGGGCAATAGCGACATGTACTTGCGGGGCCCGCCCATGAGGGTCAGGCCGCCCACGCCGCCGGCCATCCACCGCTCGATGGCCTCGGGGCCGGCAAAGGTCTGCGCCGCGCTCCACCCGTACCAGGCGGACCCGGCGATGCTCCCGCAGCCGAATATGGTGACCAGCACGAGGGGCGACAGGCCGCTGTAGCGGCGGTAGAGGTTGTCGCGGAGGGCGAGGAAGGCGTCGTAGGGCTCGTCGACGTAGATGGGCTCCTTGCAGGCGGGGCACCGCATGGCTCCCTTGGACCGCCCCGAGCGCTTCTGCTGCTCCGTCTCGGCGATGAAGCGCAGCATGCACTCCTCGTGGGCCTCGAGGCTGCACGGGCACGGGTTCACAAACGTCGCGCCGGGGTTGTCGGCGTCGGTCTGCAGGCAGATGTAGCAGACATGCTGGTCCGCGGTGGCGATGGGCGCCGGGACGATGGTGTAGCTGGCGCGGGTGCTGTTGCTGGTGCTGGTGCTGGCACTCGCGCCGCCTGGGGGAGTTGCCATGTTGTGGGAGGGCGATGGGAGGATCTCGATGGCGACGGCAGGCTAGAGACGATACGAGCGGTCGGGGTTAATGGTTTATCTATCTCCGGGCTTCTGCGCCTTGCAGCCAACGACTTCAGTCCATTAGACAAATAGAAGTTTGATCGGGCCAAGTTGCTGCGCTGATCCGCCGACTTGGTGTTGGCGGCGCTGCTATGATTAAGACAAGGTGCTGTACGTGGCTCGTGGCTCGCAAGTACGCACTCACTTTCAGGCTCCGAAACGGCGGCAACAAGCCCGTTGCTGTTTGGCTGTTGGAGCTTCAGCAGCTCCCGTCAGCACTGTGCTTTGTTGAAATGAGCACGGACCATGGGTGCTAGCTAACGGCCGTACAGATAAATCGGCTTAGTGCTTTCCGTGTCTGCCAATTCCCCACCAAAAACTGCTCTAGCAGTGATTTATTGTCCAGGCGGAAAACTTACAGTGAATCTTACGGAATACGTGGTGAAATCATACGTGCGGAAGTACAGTTCTAGCGAACAGTAAACACTCACACTGTAAACACTCACACTGTGGAGATCTAAAATCCCTGCCTACAACCCTTGCCTTACCATACGTAAGGTGCCCCTCCACGGGAATTGGGTAGAGACGAGCCCCGGCGCCATCCGTCTCGACCTCCGTCTCCATTCGATTCCACATGCACCTTAGACTTCCCAAGCAAATACCTGCCCAGAACGAAGCCGGAGAACCGAAACATTGCTACCGCTTCCTCACTCCTTCTAGACCGAAGCAACAGCCATGGTACGTTTGACCGACCACACCCAAGGCGCCAGCAGCTATCCGTTGGCATCTTGGTGTCGTCCTGCCTCTACCCGCCCCGACCTGAACTGAACTGACATGTCGGACCGACAACCCACCACAGGCCACCACATCCAAGCAGCGCCTCGCGCTGGCCATCTGCGACTTCCTCACAACGTCGCTAACGGACGGCACGCTGCAGGCCGAGGACCAGGACTCGGTCGACATCGCCGTCAACTGCATCGGCGAGGTCTTTGGCGTCGACCCAAGCGACAAGGCCGCCGTGTCGCAGGCCGTCGGCTCGCAGAGCCTGCTGCAGATCTACTCCGTCTATGAGAAGCTCAAGAGCGCCACGCCCAAGCCCGCCGCTACTGCCGCTGCCACAGCCAGCACCCCGTCGTCATCTTCAGCAGCAACAGCGCCCAGCGACGAGCAAAAGAAGCAGGCCGAGGCGCTCAAGTCCAAGGGCAACGCGGCCATGGCGCAAAAGGACTACGCATCGGCCATCGACCTGTACACGCAGGCCCTGGCGCTGCACCCGGGCAACGCCGTGTTCCTGTCGAACCGCGCGGCGGCCCACAGCGTAGCTCGCGACCACGAGTCGGCCAAGGCCGACGCCGAGGCCGCCGTCGCCGTCGACCCCAAGTACACCAAGGCGTGGAGCCGGCTGGGGCTCGCGCGCTTCGCGCTCGGCGACGCCAAGGGCTCCATGGACGCGTACAAGAAGGGCATCGAGTTCGAGGGCAGCGGCGGCAGCGAGGCCATGAAGAAGGGCTACGAGACGGCAAAGCGCCGCGTCGACGAGCTGGCCGCCGACGAGGCCGACACGACGCGCGACGTCGGCGGTGCGCCCGGCGGCGGTGGTCCGAGTCTGGGTGATTTGGCTGGCATGTTTGGCGGCGGCGGAAGGGGAGCGGGTGGCGGTGGCGGCGGCGGCGGCATGCCCGACTTTGCGTCCATCATGAACAACCCCATGTTTGCGTCCATGGCGCAGAACCTCATGAGTAACCCCGACACCATGGCCAACCTCATGAGCAACCCGCGCCTGCGCGAGATGGCCAACCAGTTTGGCAGCGGCGGCGGCCTGCCCGACATCAGCTCGTTGATGTCGGACCCCAACATTGCCGACATGTGAGTTGCCGCTCGTGTCCCTCATTTCCTGTTCCCTTTCTTGTTGGCTAACGAGAAAAATCTCTACTGACACACATTCCTCCAGGGCTCGTTCCATGATGGGTGGTGCCGGAAGAGGTGCTCCGGGCGATGGTCCCGACGGCGGCGCTGGGAGGTGAAAAATACATGCATAAAACTACGCTGTCATTTTATTATCCATAACACATTTTTGTCCCTGGTTCTTTTTCTACTCCTAGTGTACTTTTGGTATAGCAACGGTGGCGGCAGTGGTAGCGGCGGCTTCAGAGGCAGAAAGGAGTGCACGCCTAAAAGAATCATTGTTAAAGTCTAGTTAAGGTATTTAGTCAGATTAGCGTAGCTACCTTACCTACCTAAGTTACCTGACTTGTGCAAGCAAGCTTGGGGTATTCTTCTGGATTCTTTTGGTGCTGGGTATGTGTGTGTGTGTGGGGGGGGGGGGGGGGGGGGGAATGTCTTGCACAGCGCATTTGTTCTGGCACACGATATGAAGCCTAGATCACCTCGTCGTACTTAGGATCATGGGCAGTATCTTATTGGATTACTGGAGCTAGGCTGATCTGGCAGTCCGTCATTGCTGGTAGATAACAAAACAAAACCATTCAGGAGGTGTCGTAGGCTGCGGTCACACTCCCAGACAAAACAAATAGCAGTTGCTTTGTACTCTGTGCAACTGTGGCGATATTTGCTGGTGCGTATCCATCACAGGAGGCAACACTTGGCAGGCCCTGCTCACAGCTAAGATCATCAGCAAATATATGTACCAGGACAGATTCTACACCAGAGCAAAGATTTCATTTCTTTAAGAAGAGAAATAGAGAAGAAAACACAAATGAACCGACCGAGCCCATGCACTGTACCAATCCAACACTTGCCGTTAAATTTTTCGTCTACATTTAAAGTCCTGTCCTGTCTAGATCCATCTTTGTATCTTTTTATCTAGCCCACCCATCTGCGCGCGCTGCGGAACATGCGCAGCCACGGGTTGAAGTCGCCCCATTGCTCGACCTGGCCGGGCGGCACGTAGCTGCCGACGTCGGCCAGGATGGTGCGCTCGGGGTGGGGCATCATGGCGAGGACGCGGCCGTCTCTGCTGGCGACGCCGGCGACGCCGGCGGGGCTGCCGTTGGGGTTGCAGGGGTACTTCTCCGTGACGTTGAGCAGGTTGTCGACGTAGCGGAGGGGGATGGAGCCGGCGTCGGTGAGGGCCTGGAACGAGGCCGGCGAGTCGAACTCGGCGCGGCCCTCGCCGTGCGACACGGTGATGGGAAGGGTGGAGCCGCTCATGCCGTTGAAGAAGACGGACGGCCGGCTTGGGTTGTCCTCGATCCTGACCATGGTGAAGCGCGCCTCAAACTGCGACGACGTGTTGTCCACAAAGGTCGGGAAGTCCTCGGCCCCTGGGATCAGCTCCTTGAGCCGCGAGAGCATCTGGCAGCCGTTGCACACGCCCAGGCTGAACGTATCTTTGCGCTGGAAGAAGTCTGCCAGCTCGCGCCGCGCCTTATCGTGCAGCAGGATCGACTTTGCCCAGCCTTGGCCGGCCCCGAGCACGTCGCCGTACGAGAAGCCGCCGCACGCCGCCAAGCCCACGAAATCCGCCAGCGACCGGCCCGAGATGATGTCGGTCATGTGGATGTCAACCGCATCAAAGCCGGCGGCACGGAAGGCGAACGCCATCTCGGCATGCCCGTTGACTCCCTGTTCTCGGAGAATCGCAACGCGAGGTGCTTTACCAAAGAGCCCTGTGATGGCCGCCGTCAGGGGGATGATATTCTCGGCGGGATCGAAGGTGAGGTTGTAAGAGAGTCCAGGGTCCCCCGAGTCCTTTATGGCGGCAAACTCGGACTCTGCACACGACGGGTTATCTCTCAGCTTCTGCATCTCGAACGACGTCTTGGTCCACCACTGCTGCATCTCGCTTCTATCCAGGCTAACGAACGGAATTCCCTCGCCATGGCGGATTATCAGCGTCTGCCTCGATGTCGGCTGCACCACGCCGAACTTCCTGATCAAGCCAGCTGGCGGGCCGCAAGTGGCAAAGCATCTCTTAAAGTTAATCTCGTCCGACTTCCGGACTTGGAACACAGCACCCAGCTCTTCGTTGAAGAGAGCATCAACCAGGTCTGCAAATCTCCCAGACTTTGAGATGCCATCCATCATCACATCCACGCCACACCGGCCGGCAAACATCATTTCGGCGATGGTGGTGATCAGACCACCGTCTGACCTGTCGTGGTAGGCGAGGACAATGCCGCTCTCGTGCAGCTGAGCCAGCGCATCGAAGTAGTCTTTCAACATCTCCACGTCCCGAACATCGGGAGCCTCATGGCCGATGGCACCCAGAGACTGCGCAAATGCAGAGCCTCCCAGCGCCTTCTGCCCGTTTGCTAAGTCGACGAATAGCAAGATGGTCTCTCCGACTTCCTCAACACGCCGGAGCTGCGGTGTCCACGTTCTCCTGATATCTTCCACCAGTGAGAAAGCCGAGATGACTACAGATACCGGCGCGGTGACGCTCTTCTTATCTTCGCCCTCCTTCCACGATGCCTTCATCGAAGTTGAATCCTTCCCGACGGGAATGCTGATGCCAAGTTCGGGGCACATTTCCATGCCAATGGCCTCAACAGCCTCGTAGAGGGCCGCTCCCTCGCCTGGGTGGTTTACCGCCGCCATCCAGTTGGCAGAGAGCTTGACGCGTTGCAGATCTCCGCGCTGCGAGCCGCCCATGATATCGGCGGCTCCAAGATTCAGTAGACTCTCGGCAACCGCCATCCTTGCTGAGGCCGCCGGAGAGATGAGGGCGAGAGTGGGCTTCTCGCCCATGGCCATTGCTTCGCCAGTCTTGACGCCATTCAAGCTGAACGACGATGCCGTCACAGCCACATCGGCAACCGGTGTCTGCCATGGCCCAACCATTTGGTCGCGCACGGTGAGGCCGCCAACAGTCCGGTCGCCGATCGTGATCAGGAAAGACTTGGATCCAACGGCCGGCATCCAGAATAGCCGCTGCACCGCCTGCCTGAAAATCTCTGGCTCACTCGTCGCAGTACTGAAAGCCTCCGTGAGGCTGGCAACAGGATCGAAGACGGGCCAGCTCGGCGTCTTCGAGCTAACGATGCGCTCCAGTTTTCGCCCCTTGGGGAAGAGAACATCCATGGGTACGTCGATGGGGCGAGGATACTCGTTTGATCCTCTGTCAGAGAGAATGAGCTTCGAGATTCCGTCGGCCTCTTTAGAGAGGACCGTTCCGACATCCGAGAAGCCGCAGCGCTCCCTCCCTATAATTTCCATTAGCCACCGTAGTTGCCGAGTGGGTTTCGAATTCAAACTTACGGCAGATGCTAACAAAACGTTCCATGCTGTCGCCATTGACGAGGACAACATAACGCTCCTGCGCCTCGTTACACCAAATCTGGAGAGGGCTCATGCCTTTATCGACGCTCTCGACTTGCCGAAGCTCGAACCTGCCACCGAAGCCGGCATCTTGGACGAGCTCTGGCAGCGCGTTTGAAAGACCACCCGCTCCGACGTCGTGGATCTTTGCAATTGGGTTCTGGGCGCCCAAGGCCACGCAGGTGTTGATGACCATCTGCGCCCGCCGCTCCATCTCGGGGTTGCCACGCTGGACGCTGTCGAAATCCAGATCGGCGTTTCCTTCTCCGGACGCGTTGCTCGATGCCGCGCCGCCGCCCAAGCCAATCAACATGGCCGGCCCTCCGAGAACAATAACGTGAGCGCCTTCTTGGACGTCGGGCTTACGCTTGAGGGCGTGCTTCTCTCTGACAGTGCCAACACCTCCAGCAATCATGATGGGCTTGTGATAGCCGCGGAACTCGCCTACCGCCTTCTTATCGTCGGCTGTAAGAAGCGTCCGGAAAACACCTGCGAGGCAGGGGCGTCCAAACTCGTTGTTGAATCGCGCGCTGCCAATGGGTGCCTCCAGCATGATGTCGAGACTGCTCGCGTAGTGTGCAGGGCGGCCGGCGTCGATTTCCCAGGGGGCACGGTGATCGGGAATCAGCAGATCCGAAACCCAGAACCCACAGAGCCCGGCTTTGGGCATGGAGCCTCTCCCAACAGCACCCTCGTCGCGGATCTCTCCGCCAGATCCCGTAGCCGCGCCGGGGAAGGGCGCGATGGCCGTCGGGTGGTTGTGGGTCTCGACCTTGGCCAAGACATGGATGAGCTCCTTGTTCAACTTCCAGGAGCCCGTCGAGTAGTCGGGCGCCCAGAAATTGGCAGTCCCGCCTTGCATAACAGCGGCGTTGTCGCTGTAGGCAGACACGGTATACTCGGGCGTCGTCTTGTGCGTGTTACGGATCATCTCGAACAGGCTCTTGCCCTTGGAGATGCCGTCAATGGTCCAGTTTGCGTTGAATTGCTTGTGGCGGCAGTGCTCCGAGTTGACCTGGGCGAACATGAACAGCTCGATGTCGTTGGGGGGCCGTCCCAGCTGGGTGAACTTCTCAACCAGATACTCGATTTCGGACTGGTCGAGAGCCAGGCCGCGCTTCTTGTTGTACTCGCTCAACACGTGCAGCGGATCCTGCTTGTGGGCGAAGATGTTGACGACCTCGAGGGACTGAGGCTGGCCCTCGGCAAACATGGCGTTGAGATCCGGGACGTCGTGGGTGAGGTTCTCGGTCATGCGATCGTATAGGACATCCCGGAATGGGATGCTCTCGTCATTGTAGGCCTCCTCAAACTCGATGGTGAGGACGCGGCCGCGCTCAATGCGGTGGATCTGGGGCTCGAAGCCGCAGACATGGGCGATGCTCGTGGCCTTTGAGCTCCAGGGGGACAGGTAGCGCGGCGTGAAGCACAATTTCCGTGCGGAGCCGATATGCTCGACGCCATGTGATGCGGGTTGGGCGGGCAACGGGAGCAATTGGGCGAGCTTTTCTTGGGCTTCAGTCGCGTCGCCCTGGATGTGGGCGTAGTAGGTCCAGATGCCGGCGAGGGAGGCAACCTTGACGGGCGCCTTCTTGTTAATCTGCTCCTTCAGCTTCTCGGCCTCCGAAGCAGTAAAGCAGGACTCGCCTGCGAGCGTGAGGTAAGCCATATTGCAGATCTCTGGGAGCGCGCAACGGTCGCTCGCGGGAAGCGCTTGTGGCTTTCTGAGGACCGGTCTGTCTTCGACGTCAGCCAGGCACGGCGACAGGCCTACGCTGAAGGCGGGGTGGTGGGCGCTCGATTTTTTTGATGGTGGGGTTTGCATGAAGGTCCGCTTTGGCGGATCTAGTGGCTGCGCTTAATTGGCCTCGGGTCGCTATCGTAGATCCAACCCTGGCCCGCTCGCTTATCGCATGGCGGGGCCGTTTGCTAGGTTGTGGGGCTGTGAGGATCCAGAGCTTGATCCATCACCCTCTTCAACTCTCGGCTGTGTCTTTCACCATCTATGCAGCAATATACAGCCCCTTGGCCTTCAATCCGGGCACTCATGTGACGACATCCTGTTTTCGATAAAAGGCCTCGCCAACGGTATCGAATCTCAGACCTGCAAATCTATAGAGAAGTAGCCCACATCAGAACCTTAAATAAGGGGTGATAATAAAAGTAGATCCGAGCTCCGAAGTCGGTTGACCGAGAAATCACTCAACGGCTGGCTGCCGTGCCACTGCCGATGGGTGGCCCACTCCGCTGTCGTAGGTCCAGCAACTGTGACCATTTTAAGGTTTGAAACAACTTAAAACCAGGCAGAAAAACAATAATGAAGGTTATTACACACCGTGTGAAATCTAGTTGGAACAGATAAAATTAGAAATAAATATCAATTTATCCGTCAATCGTCACCTCAGAGGAGCGCGCAGAAGGAAAAAACAAAAAACAATCAGATCCTTTCTTATCACCAACCCTATTCAGGTTGGGACAGAAGGCTTACTTAGATGTTGTTATTCGGATACGGGGAGTCGAACCCCGGGCTGCTGAGTGAGAGCCAGCGATGTTACCGCTGCACCCGATGTTCTCCAGATGGGACTGGGGATGCTTATTAAGGTGTGGTCTGCCAAGTGGATACAAGGAAGCAAAGACTGAGGGCTGCTGTTTTTAATCGTGAGTTACTTAGGTGGTCCCGTTTTGCGGATATGGAGAGTTGCAAACAAATCCGGGGTACCTGGCTACCTAATGTTGCTGCTATAGAGGATCTATTTTGGCAATGATCCGTACACAATAATCAGCATTCTCTCTCGGTATACAATTCCATTCCAATCAGCCCTTCCTCTATTCAAACAATGAATCTGGGGCAACAAGGCTCAAGCGCATTTCAGTTGCCGCCATCAGAGTCACCGCTGTCTGAACCGTAAACCGCGACATTGGACGCGTCCGAGTCAGCGCCATTCGAGTCATTGCCGTCACCCGAGGGATCTTCTTCCACCTGGTCGTAGACTGGCGGGTCGCTGCTCTCCGCGGAGTATTCGGGCAACCAGTCGTTGTCTGCCATGTTTGGAGATGGGTAGTGTTTCGGATCTGCGCAATGGTCAGCGTGTAAGTTAACGTAGGTACGGCGTGTTTAGAAAGACGACTGGGACTCTTTTCCATACGTTATGCTTGAGTTATTTCAGTTGGGTTGGCAACTTTCACGTTCGAGTTTTGTTTGATGAAGCAATGAGGAAGAGCCCTGCTGATGTTCACGCTCGTTGGTGTCGGGCCGGTGAGGGGTATTCTGCGTTGTCCATCAACTTGCGGGGAAACCCAGAGAGGCGTGATTACACGTGATGCGATATCTTCCAACCGCTTCTCTCTTGGCGTGCCGCCATGTTGAGCGAGGGTTTATTCGTTGGGTCTCGAGGGAGATTCCTTGCTACAACCTGGTGACTGATCCTAGGTTGCCCTGCGCCGACTCCTTGATGTCTTAGTTCGTACTAGGCAGATAACCCATTACCCGCTAGCCGGTTTCGTTTTACATGCCGTTCCGATGAGACGGAAAAGACCATCCAAGAGATGTTTTAGGTACCCAATTAACCTCGTTACATTTATTTGTTACCGTACCAAGTTTTTGATATTGAAAATCAACTAGTACCTGTTCTAGCTAGATTATTCATGGCTGAGGCTATTAGCAATATTATAATATAGCTCGTTCTTTATCTGAGCTACTCAATATTCAAATTAATAGAATCGTGCCTTAAATCTTGGTACTTTGAGTAATAACTTAATTAGTGATCTAATCACCCCTTAACCTGATACTCGACTACAGTCTACGAGGAACTCGGCATTAGACTTGGAAGGCAAAGGGCACAAATTTGAGCCAATTAACTCCCGAGCTAAAAGAAATACAACAAATAACAAGCTAACATTGATGTGCTACGCTCAACTTCCCAAGCATCCAGCAGTGATTCACTCCCACACCTCGAAAAACAAAACCAACGTGAAAACCAGACTGTCCACTCCCCCCTCGCCTTCAGACCTAAATCAGATTCGGCCTCGGGCGGCAATCCAATGCCCCATCCAATTTCCTGTCCCCTTTGGCTAATTAGATGTCCGCTCAATATTGTGTTGTCGCCCAAGACATCATCCAGCCGATAAATGTAGCTCACTGGAGGTTTAGCGGCTGAGGCTCTTTCTGCTTAGGACATTCCCAGCACACGTTGTGTCCGCAGGCCCCACAGACCTGTGGATTGCTGAGCTTGTAGACGCGCAGCCATGTTATTGGGCGCCCCCACTGGATGCATTCGTGGCACTGCCACTTGTAACGTCCGAGGTGAGCCATTTTGCGTGGTCGTGGGAACTACAAAGGTTGTGTTAGATAGACCAAGACCCGAGTAGTTCAAGAGCCCGAGAGCAAGTCTTACAAGGCAACTAGTTGGCTTCGTTTGATGGTTTGGTTTGCAAGAGTGTCTAGATCTGGCGATATCGAGAAGAATGCGAGGTTTGTTGGATTGTTGTGGTGCTTCCCTGGCTTCCTCTCTGCAAACGAGCGGGCGGCAAGGGTGTTTTATAGCCGGTTCGGCAGGGAATTGCGCACAAGAGTTTGGAAGCACAAATAGACACACAAACACACGACCACAAACAAGTGATAGGATCAAGGAGCGTCGTACGAGAGTAGTCGGTGGCAATGTGGGCCTCGTCCAGATGAAACGTCCGAGAATCGGTGTTTTGGTGTTTTCTGATTATACCCCCAGGTGCCACAGAGTTACATCTAAATTCCAATCTCCACATCTCTCAACTGTGAAGAAGCCAAAGACGTGAAACTGGTGGAAATGCGTTTGAACCCGATTCAAATCTCAATTGACACGATGGCGGAACTTGACACTACATCCTTTTGGAACTTGCATCGACTAAGTATCTAGGCACGTATCTATTGGTTGGTTAATTGGAGGAATCAATCAAACACTAGGCTATACCGCCGCCGAGTTTGAAGTTCACAAACATATAGCTGTAACAACAGCGATTGTCCAAGATTGTCACGGCTACAAAATAACTCTCAATGCCGCCAAACTACCGAAGAAAAATCGGAAAACTAATTAGCATGGTTTGGCATGATGATTTGGGTATGTATCCACCTTGAGGCGACGTGGCCCCAGTGGAATACCTGGCGAGTGATCGATATAAACCAACCCCAAATCCCCCGTGGCAAATCTGAATGCGCTTGTCTACTTCGGAAACTCGTTGATACTGGCTCTTATATACCTACGGTAGTTTATATCCATGATATACCAGAGATAACTTACTGTTGGTTAGAAAATTAAAGTTTCCCTTCACAGAAGTGTAAATACGCCTTCAATTAAGAAACAAAAATATAGTGCTGGGAAAAAAGAAGTTACAGAGGGCGTCACAGGACCTGGATTTCTATAAGTTCTGCTAATCAAAACAGAGAATAACTTGGTAAGAGCGCCCCGAGCTGGACACATCATAAATGAAGCATACAACCGATGTTGAGAGCAGTCTACTAGAACTGAGCGGACATGAATTAGCTGGTGCGACAATTGGTTTTATTGATAAGGTTTCGAGAATCTCTGGTCGAGAGTCTCTCGCTAATCATCAAGGAAGTAAAAATAACATTTAAACATTGGTTCCAGAAAGAGTTCTTCGGTTGGGTTACTGAGGGTCCATTAATGCCCAGCCTCACTGTCAATGTCGACCTATCTATCATCCAATCCTTCCAATAACCACTGGTCTATCCCAAACCGTACTGTCCTTTCCCCGCATGCCTTTAGGTGTTTCTCACCTGGAAGCGACAGAACAATCCGTCTGTTCTAACAACAGCGACTACTAACCGACCAGCACCCCTATTCACACGACAGTGACTATAGACTTGCTAAATACTTGCAGCCATTAAAATCCGGCCATGGACGCCACCTAACACTGAACAGCACCACTCAACACCCAGAGAACGGCCCGACATCTTCTCTCTTGACATTTTGACTCGGGTGCAACAACAACAACATCACCACTCACACCACTCAACACCTAGAGAACGGCCCGACATCTTTTCTTCGACAGTTTGACTCAGGTGCAACAGCACTCATACCACCAAACAACCTCAGACTATACACCAATCAGATCACCCGACAAAAATGGGGCAGATCTCAGACGCTTGGGCGACCGAGACGGTCATGCAATACTGGTCGCCAATCGAGCACTACCTTCTTCCCGAAGCAGCCCAGAACTGGGCAGCACTCGTGCGACAGGAGGAGTTCACGGTCTGGGAGCGACGACTGTGGAAGCACGCGAAATCCAGGAACAGCCGGTCGCGGCAGTACAACGGCATTCCAACAATGGCCATCGGCGCGCAGGGCCAGGTGCAGGTGCACGTCGGCTTGCTCAAGGAGGCGCCATACATGGGCCACAAGGGAGGCAACCATATCTTCCGCATGGTGCAGGACCCAAGCATGGATGGATTCTCTAAATGCCTCAAATACGAAGGCCAAGCCCCTGAGGACAGCGGGGAACAGCTGCGGAGACTTCGAATCATCCTCTTGCCCGACATTCTCGACATGGTCATTTGTCTCTTAGCATTCACCCCGTGTCCGACACGCGGCCAGACCAGACAGATGGTCCCGCAAGAGCTGCAGGTGATCCGCGACAAGCAGGGATGCGTAAACCAGGACGACATCGACCTCCTGCTCAACATCTGGCAGCTCAAGTTTAGGGACGACGTTGACAGAAGAGAGACCAGGATGAGAACCAGCGACCTCATCCCAGGCTCGTCCACACGCCCAGCGATGCGGAAGCTTGCTTACGCTGCGTGGCTGATCTATACGCTGCGCCATTCGAACATGCTGGCACTTGCCGTCTCATGGGACTCACTGGCGCAACTCATCGAGCTCGCCAGCGACTCGCCGTTCAAGAAGCTGCTGCAGCCGCACCACCGGAACATGGAGGAAGAGGGCCTGCGTATGTTGTATGGGGAGGAGGGCAGCCGCCGGCGGGTGCTGGTGTACCGCAGCCAGGAAGGTGCTGCGTACGCTGCGGCACTAGCGGACGAGCGTCGAGGTTGGAAGAAGGATGCGGCTCACGGCGACGCCTTCAGATGGGCCGCACAGGTACCAGCCAGGGCTCCACCAACCCCTGTGGACGGCGCTAGCCAATCAGCCCTGGTCACGCCAAGGTACTTCGGGGACCCGCTTGAGAGCTCACTTTTTCATCGATTTTACCGGAAGCTCTCTAATCCCGACGCCTCTTCTTCGCAGGACCCTGAGGATTCCGCAATCGACGTCGACTGGCCTTCACCCCCGACCTTGCAATCATTCTCTTCAACCTCGCCATCATCGACTAGTACAGAATAAAGCGAAGTCGGCCTGAAACGCAGCAGCAGAGGCTCAATTGGTCCCCCACAATCCCACCATCGGCCATCTCGGCGCGTCGAAGCATTGCCAGTCTGACCAAAGCGTGTCGTCGCTCCCTCACCACAAGGGTCTAAAAATTACGACCGACCAAAAAAGAGCAGCATCCAGCCTGGGCGCCGAAGCCGGCTACGAGCATTAAACAAAACGCAACCATGTCCTTCACTTTCAGCCTCCGAGGCCTTGCCTCGCGGCTTCTCTTTTCTCGACCGACGCCGACGACTGCCGCCATCGGCACCCGCGCCGCCCTCGCCGCCCTTGCCCCACAATCCAGCATCACTATGCCGTCGTCGTCCGTAGTAGTAGCCTCGTACGCCACGGCGGCGCCCGGAAGCGGGCGGGGTGGCGGCAAGCCGTCGGGCAAGGACCTGTGGGTGGCGGCGGGCGCGGGGCGGAAGTCGGGCAAGGGCAAGGGGCCGGCGCGGGACCCGCGGATCCTCAACATGCTGTCCCACATGGCGGCGCTGACGCCGCGGCGGCTTCCCGCGCCGCTGCGCATGGGCCGCAACCGGCACCTGCGGCACTGGACGATCCACCGCGCGTGGCTGCTGTTCCGCCGCCGGCAGCGCGAGGCGCGCGAGGGCCGCCTGATGCTGCAGCACCAGAGCATGGAGAGCGCCTGCGAGGCCCTGCGCCTGACGGAGGGCCCGGGGACCCGCGACCAGGGCTACCTGTATCGCGTCGCCATGGAGAAGAAGGGCGTCTACGGCCACCACGGCATCCCCATCGAGTACGCCCGCGCCCAGGTCGATACGCCCCCGCGCGTCCCGTGGAACCACGACTGGAAGGCCTGAGCATGTCTTTGGCGACTGCCTACCTCTACGTGGGTATGAAATACTTGCACAGCGAAAAAGCTCATGCAAGCGTACCAAAAAATCACAACATTATTTTTATGCCTAGCACTCTCGCATATCTCTAACGAGACTGGCATATTACCGCGGAATCTTGTGAAGATCAGGTGCAAAAAGGACCCGAACAGGCATATCAAGGCCCAGGGCATGGAAGACTGCAAGGAAACATAGTCAGGAATTGGAGGATTCTCTCACACCAGATTTCCCGGCATTGTATCATATCTATTAAGGGAGAGCGCCCTAGAGCCTTTAGACAGAGGATAGCGGAGGGCACGCTTTGTAACAAATACACACATGTACATAGATACCTACCTATACAAATAGCATTGTCGAATGGCAACGATACGGCCATGGAAGTGAATTACTAGGCATCAAAAACCACATATTATCTTCTTTAACGTGATGCAAACATGTTCAGACATCATGACGTTGTCGTAATAGTAGTTATTGTAAAATTATTAGATTTGACGCTTTGCTTTTTGTTTTTTGTTCAACAGGCACGAAAACAAAAAGAGAAAAAAATTAAAGAACAGGAAAAAAAAGCAAGACAAAGTGGCCCTCTCAACCAGTCAATCGGTCAGTCAGTCTGAACCATTGCCCATGCTCCTTTTCCATCGCCGCTGCCGCCAGCCGCCCCTACCGACCCCGAAATGTTTGGATACCTCGCGAGAGTGTGATTACCGAGAGAGAGAAAGCAAATAACCGCTGTATGCTGGTCCTACATTCCCGTCCCATCCGCCCCATGGCCGCCTTCAACGATAGTTGTACTAGAGGAAGAAAGAGAATATGGCTGACAAAAAGAAAAGAAGTGGGGACAAGAAAACTACGCTTTGCCCTTCCCACCCCCCCGTCTGGCAGCAAAACAAAAAGGGAAAAAGCGAGTGAAGCGAAGAGACCAAGTCTATGGGTATTAATACAGTGCAGATGTTCGACGCGGAGGGCCCGGTAATCAGTGATGCGGCTCGAAGTGGTGTCATTAATGTCGTCTCTGTTTTCCGCTAGATTGGGGTGGGGGTGATTTGACGTGGTGTGGGGCGAGAAGGAGGTGATCAGACTGGTTTTCCTGGCTGACCTGGCCCTAGAGGTTCTAATTCCCGAATGACTCTGGGACGATAATGGGAGATTAGCGGTTGCCGATCGCCTCTTTCATTCTTCGGAGACGACGGAGGGAGCGGCTTTGCTGTTTCGATCGAGATCTAGGTTTCGGCGGTGGGCGTGGCAGACCTTTACACCCTCCCCCTTTTCTGTTATTTTCTCGTTCATAAAATAACGCAGCAGCCGCTCCCGTCGCCCCTCCTCTCGAACATGAGCAGCGAGGCTCTCGTAGCCGCCTCGAATACGTCGTCGACGCCCTCGCCTGTCAGACTAGAGCACTCGAGGTATTTTCGCGCGCCGATCTCCGCGCCGGTTCGGTCGCCCTCGGACGTGGTGACGAACGAAAGTGACTTTTTGCGCATCTCTTCTATTGCCACGGGGTCATCCCGCAGGTCTTTCTTTAGGCCTACGAGGATTATGGGAACCTCGGGACATCTCTCCTGCGCCTCCGGGACCCACTGTAATTGACTGTTAGCCTCCGGTCTTGCCCTGATCGTTTTTCCTGGTGTCTGGGGGCACCAGCGCTGTTCCGTTGCAGGAGAAAGAGAAAAAGGGAGTGTGTGGTAGGACAACGGTCGCACAATGGGAAGAAACACGGCGTACGCCACGGGGGTGGTGACCTCTTGTAATAGCGGTGGGGAGAGTTGGGGAAACAGCCATGTCACCGCGGCATTGTGCACCTACCTTGTGCCTGACATTGTCAAGGGAGTCTGGTGTGTCGATGGAGAAGCCTATTAAGATGACGTGTGCTTGTGAGTAGGCGAGTGGCCGTAACCGCTCATAATCTTCTTGTCCGGCCGTGTCCCATAGTGCGAGCTGGACCGACTTCCCGTCTACCCTGCAGTCGGTTACGTAGTTCTCGAAGACGGTCGGTATCTGCGGCGGGGAGAAAACATCATCGTTAGCTGGCGGAGGCAAGCGAAGGGCAGGTGCAGAGGACGGCACGGGCATATAAAGAGAGAGCCGCGAGATCGGATATGCCAGCGAGGGAAGTTGTTAAACGTTGGATTTCGGGATTGCTAGTGCACTTACGTAGTCCTGTTGAGGAGGGAAGTGTCAGCGTCACGAAAGCTTTGGTTGCACGCAGAAGACGACGAGGACGTGGGGAACTTACAGTTGGGAAGTGGCCGAGGGTAAAGACGCTCAGCAAACTGGTTTTTCCGCAAGCACCATCGCCAATGATGACGAGTTTCCTAAATAACGGCCGGCCCTGTCAGAGAATCGCGCATTGGGACAAACAAGATGCTGCGGGACGGTCTGGGGGTCAGCGGGTAGGAGGTGTGCCCCCAGCTGATTGTCGCGATAAAGCATCCATACCTGCGGATAACATTCTGGGCGGCGGCACTCGCCATAATTCGGCAAATGGCAGTTCCGCGCGTCTCTTTCTCCGAGGAAAGCGCAGCGCAAGCAGCCTGGGTTTGCTCGGCAGCCGGTCTTGTCGTAGGGAGGCCAGGCAGAGGAGAGAGAGCGGCGGCGGTGGGAAGAGACGGGTTGGGCCGTAGTTGGAGAGTGAAAAAAAAGGTGCAGGTTGACCGACTTCACGAGAAGGGGCGCCTACATATGCATTAGCAGCACTGCACTAAACACACCCTATAAATTTAGAGGGGAATTGACGGGCTGATAGCTGACCGGCTGGAAGAGGGCCGATTACATAACGCTAACATCCCCCGTCTAGCAGCCTCTCCTGCGCGATACGAAACGATTTCTCTAGCCCCACACTCATGAGGACCAGCGGCCTTCCACAGACACGATCGGATGGACATCGAGCTCTAGTGGTCCTAAGCGGGGTGTGAGCCTCCACGATTTCCATCAACCTAACCTCGCTCCTCGTGTTACTGCTTCTACCTTACTATCCAGCTTAACGCGGAGGTGGTGAGGCGGCGTAGTGAAGATCCCTCTACTAGGCCTAAACGAAGGGCACAATTGCATGCACCACAAGGGCGGACAGAGGTAACGGGGTGCGAGTTTGCGAGTTGCTCGGGCAGCAGAATACGGCACTGCCAGCGCGCCAATTTGGACATGATAGGCTGCAGACCGTTGACGGACGGCGCCGAACTCTGAAGCAGGTGAGGCTGTGGGCTAAGCTAACAACCGAAGTAGTACTCCGTAGGTGAGGCCGTCGTAGATGCATGTCCATTCGCAGCCAGGAACGAGCATCAAAGCTTCGTTCAACGCACAGACCAGGCCGTGGTGCGTAGTTGTGGGCTGAAAAAGCTCCGGCCCACCTGCCGCGACGTGGGCCTCCCTCGAAATGATTTTCGCGGGCCGGGTCCGTTCGCCGTTGGCTGAACCAACCATCCGAGTTGGTCTCAGCCTCATGTTAATGGCAACCTGGCTTATTTCCTAGCGCGTATTCGGCCATACTATGTATTAAGGTGCCGTGCCGAGCTTCCGTCATGTCGTGTTTTCTTCAAAAGCCGAAGACCGCTGGGAACTCGAGAGTGAGGCCTCGGGAGTCAGTTTCTTTACGAACCTTTTCTTCGGATGGATTCCGTCAACACAACACGGGTCTCGGAGATGGACCAGTGATATCCGCATGTTGGGAGTGAGTGCCTTCCAGCCCCCAACGAAGAGTCGAATATTCCATGGACACAGGCTGGCTGCCCTGTCTTTAGAATTCTGTTTGGCGTTAAAGACGATGCAGTCGCCTTCGTTTAGTAACACAGTTGGATAACTTACCGGTTATCCATTCCTGGTAAGGTAGCCAATCCGGGTAACGAACCTGCCATGACCCCGAATTTACCGGCTTTATCGACCGCCTGGGGAAAGGCAACCAACGCGACACGGAAGAGCCGTACACAGTAAGGGCACAAGGTCCAAGAGAACATGGCTAATGGGTGGCTACATTACGGCTAGAGCTGGGAGGTTGATGACTATCGTTACGTTGCTTTAGGCGACTTGTGTTGTATAGTTCGGATTGGATGGTTCAAACAAGATTCTGTGCGGAGCAACATTCGCTCATCGGCCAATGTTCCGAGAGATCTCGTTGCTCAACTCTTTGGGTTGCCCTGTACAAGTGCGCTACTGTCAGAATGACTATCGTGGCAGACAGTAGCAGGCGACAGCAGCAGGCAGTGTTCACTTAGGGAAGGGACTTAGGGTTGATCAGGCTCCTCACCTGCGACTCAAAGAGACCACCGAAATGTCTCCAAAAAGGTGCCTGTCGACAATTATCCAAAAGACAAAGAAAAAACAAGCATTGCGCATGTAAGAAGTAAGATGTTTCGGATGCCGCGCCGCGCCGCGCCACCATCGTCTCGATCACTCGGTCGAAGTTGCGGTCGCCGCCCGTGTCACAGTCCCCACACTAGCAAATTATATCGTCTATCTGACTAAGAAAGCCGCCTAAATAACAGTAACGATGTCGACTCGAACTCCCGGACCTGAGTCACTCTCACCAAGATCGTTTCATTTTCACCGGCTTCGTGGGCGCGCGATACGATGACAGCACGACGACATGAGATGAGCAGGAGTGTTGGAGGGGGGTTTTTGTTTTGGGGGGGGGGGGGGGGGGGGGAAGCAATGCAGCACCTCGCTGGCGGATATTCCGAGAATCGAATTCCGGGGCTCGGTATCGCGGGGGAGGGGAATGCGTCTCACCCACTTGGGCTTGGCCTCACTCAGGCAAGGTATGATGAAAGATCTAGGATGACGGAGTGACGACGGCGCGGGAAATGAGGTAGGGATAGGCACCCGCGCCTGGGGGGCAATATTGCGAGGCTGAAAAGGTCACGTGCTGTGGCTGACCAATGGGAGTGGTGGGCCTGGGATGGGGAACCGTGGGTGGAGCAGCGGGCGCCGGGACCACCAAACCACCATTCCCGGGGGCATTTCGAACATCCGAACCGAACACTGGCCTGGGAAGCGCACATTGACTTCCGGCGTACCCCATCCTGCAAAGCACACCTGTCGCATTTGCCGCCTCTGATACCGCGACAACACCGAGCACCCGCGAGTCTGCCGCTGCCGAGTCTGGAAAGTCGAAAGTGAGTGCTACGTGAGCAAATCGTCAATAAGCCCTCACCTCGTTGAGCGAGCACCTCTACCTCTACCTTGACTCCCGTCTCTCCCTGCGTGCGTCCCTCAACTCACCTCGACCTGAGGTGGCCTCGACCGACCTCAACCTCGAAGCTCAATAACCCCCCTAGCCCTAAACCTGCCCTACATTCCCCTGCCCATTCCCACTTCTAGCTACTGTCGCTGTCACCTGTCTGTACCTACCATGCCCGCTAGCCGAATCATTTCGACTTGCTGCTAGCTGTCTAGGCAGCTGTCCTATCCTCGCCGCCATCTTCATCCCAGCCCTACCGCGCCTTCGAGCTTCCCCGAGCCGCATCTCCCCTGATCTTGTGACCTCAGCCTTTTCCCCCGACGTCTAGTGCTAGTGGACCTGCCAACCCCCCCACCCTCTACCCCTTGACCCCCTCCTCCCGTCTCCAGGTTCTGCTTCACTGCCCCGCAACACCATAAACTACCTTACCTACGCCGTATCGCGCTGCACACACACACATTTCGTGTCCCGACATTGAGACACCCGTGCCGAGTCTCGCGTCACTTTGCTTACTGTTGCTGTGCAGTCATCGACAGGTCCGGAAGCCCGCAGCAACAGATCACGGCCGCGCTGCATGCTCTCGACGTCGGCAGCGTATCCGCCGCCGCACTAACGAATCACCATGAAGGGTAACCACCGGCACCCGCCCGCGGCGCCGTCGAATGCGGCTCCCCTGTCACCCACCTCCAAGGCGACGGCAAAGTACACCAACAAGGACGGCTCCAAATACATAACAGTTCCAAAGGCCACCACACCGGTAGACTCGTCCCAGCCCTCCCCGACCATGGCTCCTGCCACGAGCACGAGAGCTGCGCCACCGAGTGCTACGCCAGGACCGAGCTCTCAGGAACCCCCCCAGCCCGTCAACCGGAAGAAGCAGAAGCGACGCGAGAAGGCGGCCGCCAAAGCCGCCGCAGAGCAGGGTGTGCAGACGGAGCCTTCGAACGGTTTGCCCAGCCCGCCTGCGTCCCACGAGCAGCACTCTGTAGACGCCGACCCCGGCGATAGCGGCGACGAGGACGAGCGCTCTCCTAGCGGTCACGCTCGGCAGCATCACAGCTCTCACCAGAATGGGTTCGCGCAAGGGACGTCAACGAAAGTGAAAAAGGCCAAGAAGAGAAAGGGCAAGGACGGCGCCGGAGCAACCGCTGGTGAGGCTGCAAATAACATCCACCAAAACACACAGTCCGCCCAGGCCCGTGCGCCAATCCCGCCTCCTGCTTCACCCACCCAACATCGCCATAATCACCACCGCCCTGGTATTTCGAGAGAGAAGATATGGAACACAAGCTCACAAGAAGAGCGGGAGCGGATCAAGGAGTTCTGGCTCGGGCTGAGCGAGAGCGAGCGCAAGTCCCTCGTTAAGGTCGAGAAGGATGCCGTCTTGAAGAAGATGAAGGAGCAGCAGAAGCACACGTGCAGCTGTACCGTGTGTGGGAGGAAGCGGACCGCCATCGAGGAAGAGCTCGAGGGCCTCTACGATGCCTACTACGAAGAACTGGAGCAGTACGCAAACCACCCCAACCAGGGCGAAGGTCCTCCAATGCTGCGTCCTCGCCAGTCGTTTGGCTCTATGGGCGGCGTGCGCCCCCGTGGCCTCCCTGCAAGCTACTCCAACCACCAGCCCTCGCGGGGCCGGATAGTAGAGCACGTGGGGGACGAGGAAGAAGAGGAAGGCGAAGAGGAGGAGTACAGCGAGGACGAACTAGAAGAAGACGACGAGTATAGTGACGAGGAGCCTTCCGACGAGCTGCACCGCCCTGGCCCCGACTACGCCAACGATTTCTTCAACTTCGGAAATAGCCTGACTGTGCAGGGTAGGGACCGATTCCCCATTTTCTCATCGTTTCTGCGTGTTTACCCCTCCTCGCGGACAGGCTATAACGCTTATGGCTCATCCTTTCTAGGCGGAATCCTCACTGTGGCCGACGACCTGCTGAAGAATGACGGCAAGAAGTTCATCGAAATGATGGAGCAGCTGGCGGAGAGGCGAATGGCGCGCGAGGAAGACGCAAGGGAGCAGTATGAGCGCAGCTATGACCACGCCAACGGTGACCACTACGGGCACAGCCACCCCCCACCCGAGGAGGAAGAGTTTGAGGACGACGAGGACGAGTATGAGGAAGAGGAGGAAGAGGAGTACGACAGCCAGGAGGAAGAGGTACGCGCCCAATGTGTTGTTCGCCCCGTAGAGTTGTTAATGTGTTCGAACAGGATACGATGACGGAAGAGCAGCGGATGGAGGAAGGCAGGAGGATGTTCCAGATCTTCGCCGCGAGAATGTTTGAGCAGCGGGTGCTTACCGCCTACCGCGAAAAAGTGGCAAAGGAGCGTCAGGCCAAGCTTCTCGAGGAGATCGAGGACGAGAACCGCCAAGAGTCTCAACGCAAAGCCAAAAAGGCTAAGGAAGCCCAAAAGCGGAAAGACAAGGCGGCCAAGAAGAAGGAGGCCCTGGCTGAGGAGAAAGCTCGCAAGGAGGCCGAGAAAGCGGCCGAAGAGGAGGCACGAGTTGCCGAGGAGGAACGCCGGGCCGAAGAACAACGGCTCAAGATCGAGGAGAAGCGGAAGAAGAGGGAGGCGCAGAAGAAGGCCGAAGAGGAAGAGCGTTTGCGCAAAGAAGCCGAGCGCCAACGCCGCGTACAAGAGCGAGAATTGCAGGAACGCAAAGTTCGCGAAGCTAAGGAGCGCGAGAAGAAGTCACGCGAGGAGGCTCGCCTAAAGGAGAAAGAAGCCCGCGACCAAAAGGAGCGCGAGGTTCGGGAAAGAAGGGAGCAGCAAGAGCGAGACAAGCAGGAGAAGGATGCTCGTGCCCGGGCCGGCCGTGAAGAGAGGGCTGCGCAGAAAGCTGCAGCTCTCGCAACCGCCGTCCCAGTGCTCCTTACTCTTCCAAAGCGAACCGCACCTCCTCCGGTGCCCGCAGCCGTGCCAGCGTTGCCACAGCAGCCTTCGGCGTCGTTCGCCTCCCCGCAGATTTCCGTTGCAACGCCGGCGCTCCCCAAGGCCCCGACGCCGATGCGCGCGCGGCAGGCGTCCCAGCAAGAAGGTGCTACAGCGTCCTCGGGATCAGCCTCCCAGACGGGATCAGTACCGAGCCAAAACCCGTCTCCACACCCCATAACGCCTGTTCATGTCAGTCCCGGTCCCATAGGCCCGCCCAGCAAGTTGGTAGGGACGACAAGCAACACGCAGGGCACATCGCACCCGTCTCCGCACCCGGCGTCGCCGCTGGGTACAGCAGCCAAGACACTGCCGCCGCAACACAGTCCGTTCGGCATTCCGCCAATGGGCACGCCGTTTCCACAAGTGATGCCCCAGATACCGCCAGGGTTTGGAAACCACATCCACCGCGAGCCTCCGTTCTCATCCATGTCTGGCTACCGGCCCGCGCCGCCAGTCATGATGCCAATGCCGCCCGGACTAGGCGGACAACTCGGGACCCGGGGCTACTCAATGCATCCTCCTCCTGGTTTCCCTGGGCCCTTGGATTCGCCCATGGCGACCATGGCCCAAGTGTTTGGTCCATCTATTTCCAAGGAATCCCCTATGACGTCCCACTCACGCCACGGGTCAGCGAGCTTTGAGCAAAGCACCCCAATCACCACGCAGCAGCCCATCGGACGTCCGGCGCCTATTGGGAGGCCGTCAAGTGTTGTGCACGGCCAACGGCCGCCAAGTGGATCGCCCCGCACCGAGGTACCAAAGCTCGACTTAGACGCTCATCTCGGCAGCAGCGCGCTGCTAGATGGCTTCGACGAGCCACTCCATGATTTCTCCAGCCGACCCTTACGGGGTCAAATGGCCTCGTCAGCCCCGGGGTCCCGACCAGGAGCTGCTTTCCCGGTGTCTCCCTTTGGTGTCGACCCCATATTTTCATCGCACCACAGCCCGTGGGCGCCGGCGGCCGTGCCGCAGCCGCACCTCTTCGGGCCACCTCCACCGCCAGGTTTCGGTCCCGTACCTTGGGGCCCGCCTGCGCCGATTAACTCTACATTCGGCGGGCATGGGATAATAAACCAGCCCACAGTGTCACGATCGGTTGCCATCCGCAAGATGCTCAGCCGCGCGTGCCGTGAGCTTGCCGACCCAGACAGCATCAATGTGGAACGGAGTACCGAAGTCAACGACGGCTTTATCTCACTCGAGGATATCAGGGCACAGCTCGAGTTGTTCAATACAGGACCTCCTGTTGGCGAAACAGAACTCCTCGATATATGTGAAACAGAGGGCAACGAAGTCAACGGCGGGGGCAGCTTCGACGTGCGTGACGGCGGATCGGGTAAAATCTCTATTCGCTTTGTCTCGAGTTCCGGGCGGTCTAACTCGCAACCCCTCCACCGGGCAGTCGGGGCGCCCGGCGAGATTGGCAGTCCCATTGTCGGAGCAGGCTCGTTTGGCCACAGCAACCGTTAGCACTGGGACCTGGGGAAATCCCGTCAGTGAGGAATGCAAGAAACTCTTTGTTCGGAGCTCTTGTCAACAGAGGAGACGTCCACGGTAAATTTGGCGCTCTCTCATGCCCTTCTCGTCTTCGATACACGGACCATGCTCAGGCCGCGGTCGATGTTTCTCATGTCTTACGAGTTACCGGAGACTTGCAAGCTCCTCTTTTCTGCCACCGCCTTCGCTGCCTTACCATTAGAGACCCGGGTTATCATGTGGAATAACATTGTACAGTAGTTTTAGCTAACTACAAAGCATTCGATTGGGCCGTAGCTGAAGCTGTCTCAATTAGCATGACCACCTGACTTCTAATCGTTTACCGGGGATCGCTGAGCGAATCATGGTGAAGCTTCTTTCTGTCTCCTAGCGAATGGTAATTATGTTTAGTAGTGACTGCTAATTGCTGTCTGCTCCGAAAGTATTAGATTTGATAGAGTAATCGTATTCTCACCTTCCACCTTGCTCAGTTACCAGATGACATATGTTCTGTTGCCGCTCGTAAAGTTGACACTGCCATCTTGATCAATCACATTGTTGGTGAAGCCATCTCACGCAAACGTTAGATACACTGCTTGCATAGGTTCAAAGCAACAGTGGGGTTCAAAGCACCAGTGGGGTATAAACGCCCACTAGATTCACAGGCTAAGTTCCCTCACGCCTACTATCATGATTGTTAAAATATAAGTGCAAGTTCATAGACCCACCAGCTTCGGCCGCGCGCTTGAACGTTTGCTAGCCTAATAAAAAAAAGACTCAACATGAAAAACTGTATAACCCGCTAAATAGATAGGTACCTACTCTGCATGTGCAGGCAGCTTGCCTCTAGAACCTCCTCGGATAGCCAGCTTATCAGATTCTGCTCCTGTCTCGGCACTATGTTCTCCGATCTCTCTCTTCAGCCGCCTGCCATAGAAAACTCCGAACAGTAAAATGGCGTCATCACCTCAGCGGATGCGCGTCGCGCGAGTCAGCAAACGGGTTCTCGGACCCTCCAAAGTCCTGCTGCTGCGCGTACTGCTGCTGCTTCTGCGACCGCGACTGCGATTGATAGCCCGCGTCGTCGGTATACTGCTGCGGCATGGGCGGTAGGGGGGGCAGGTCCGACGCGGCGGCCATTAGGGGCTGCCTGTCGAGGCCGTCCTCGGCAGCAGCCGCCGCCTCGGCACTACCGCCAGCGCCAAACGACTTCTTGCGCGCCACCATGGCCGACGTCTTGGCCTCTTTCACGATGCGGGCCTCGTCGGCGGCGCGCTCGAGGCGCTTCTGCACGCGCCGCTCCTTGCAGCACAGGAAGCACACGCCGAACACGGACGCGGCCACCGCCACGGCGAAGATGATGGCGATGATGATCCCCGCCAAGCCTAAAGACGTCTGCTTGTACATGCAAGACCCGGCTCCGGCCTTGTCGAACTGGCAAATCAGGCCCTCGCGGCACACCTGCATGGTCGCTTTCGCCGGAAAGCACGCCAGCTTCTTGCCCGCGCCGTCGCCTGTCGACTGCACCGGGCACGACGTCGTGTCGATAACCGTCTCCGTCGAGCATGGTGACGGGCTGCCCGTCGGGCTGTTGTTGGCGATGGCCGGCGCGGCTGTTGTCGGGCCGGCAGCGGCCTGCCGTGCAGCGAGCAGCGTCGGCAGCCCTGCCTCGCGCAGCACCGGCATGCCCGCGGCGGCGGCGCGAGCAGCGCTGCGGCGTCGCCGGAGATCAGCCTCCACCTGCGATGGGGAGGTCTTGTCGCTGTCGTCGCACACGCGCACCACCCACTGCGCCTCAATCGCCGCCTCAGCCCCCGTGCACCCTGCCGCCACGAAGCACCGCTCCACGGCCGGCACCAGCGCGACGCCGCGCGGCGTGAGTGTTTGGGACAGGCTCGAGAAGCAGTAGTTGAGCGACCCACGGTCGCCGCACGCTGCGGCGTCGGCTAGCTCGGCGCTGCGCGCCTGCACGCACTCGGGCCGGCTGTGGTGTTGGGGTTGCTCGACGGCGTAGGTGCCTCTGGCTGCGAGCAGCAGTGCGAGGGGTGTTGTGCTGCGCATTTTTTTTCTTTTTGTGGAGTGAGGTGCGGTGAGGTGAGAGTGATTGGTGCTTTGTCCGTTCGGCTGTTCGTAGGCTGCTCGGGTGGACCGTCGGGCTCGAGGTCGGGTTACACGGAGTTCTTTCTGTTCTCTCGTCGTTCCAAGATCGTGAAGAAAATTATCGGAATCACCAGGCGGGAAAGGTCGAAGTTTATAATGTAACCGGGCTCGACTGAGATGACAGATGGATGAGGTTTGCTCGAACGCGTTTTTGGGAGGGAGCGAACCCGTCTGACACGCGAGACGAGCGACGACCTAGGGGGCGGGAGGCCGATGGGAGTGGCTAGCGCTGACGGTACGCAGTCCAGAGAGATCGTAGGATTATAAGTTAGGGTAGGTTGTGTCGTCACCGCATTCTAGAAGAGTAAACTAAATGGGTCTTGACGAGAAAGAACCACGACGATGACAGCTTCCAAGGGAGAAAAGACAGACGAGCGGACGGAATGGGAATGGGAGGGATGTGCTGGGATTTTGAGCGAAAGGCCCGGCCGGGCTGGGCTGCTCACCCGCTGGGCTGGGATGGGATGCGATGGGATAGGCTGCGTCCAGTCCTGAGCGCCTCGCAGTCGAGACCCCCTTTTCCCGTTTCCCATGCGGCATGCATTTACACCTGGCAATTGTTCCAGGTTCCAGCCCGGCCCAGCCAGCCCAGCCAGCCCTGCCCTGCCCTGCCACATTGCAAACGGCAAACGCTAGGGGGGAAGGAAGTGGTTAGAGTGAGGCTGGACCGTTCACGATGCACAGCCGCAATTGGGTTTTCCAAGGGTGGCAGGGGTCCAGTTCCCCACTATAGCACTGTCTGGTCCAATCAGACTGCGCAGATTGGTGACGGGGAGGGGGGGGGGGGGAAACCCTTCTTTTACTTTGAGGTTTGCTTGTGGCCTGTGCTTCGTGCATCCTTCGTTCACGGAACCTGTCTGGGCGCCGTTCGAGAGCTGCAGTTCCTTCCACGTAGCCCATCCAGCCCAGCCCACGAAACGACAACGTTTAGCTAGCATGCCTTGGTAAACTCTTTTGTTTCGCCCCTTTTCGCTTTTAACCTACATACGTAATTTGTGCTAAACCAGGTCTCATTTCTCTTTCTCTGTGCTCACCAAATTTGTTAGAAGCTGATCACTTGATCCAGCTGAAAATTCTCACTTCTACTTAAGCCCAAACAGTTACACCACATAAATAACCCATTACGAGAAAAGTGGTTCGGGGTTTGGTTGCTGAGCGTATCAAAAGCGTATCCATTTCGAGTACTGTCTCGGAGAGAGCACAGACAGAGAGAAGGAGGGGGCTTTTTCACAAGTCACAATCCAACAAGCGAGCTTCGGACGCTGCGTTACCTTAGTCTCGGATCTGACAGAAGACGGCGAATCTACTGAGTAGAGTTGTTTCACCGGCGAATCGGGCATTGAGCAACTGGCTCTGCACTGCACGTGCGGTCTACGGTCTGCGGAGTAACATTCAACTAAAGCCGTTTCAACCCTAACCCTTACGAAATGGCTGTCACCCCCCACTAAAGCCGATGTCGGTGGCGAAAGGGAAAAAAATTATGGTGGATGGATGATAAGAAAAAAAGCTTGACCTAGCAGATCCAATTGAGTCACGTTGAGCTCGACCTTCTCTCAAGCGTGACTCCCCTTCCCCGCCTTCAATTGGGATTTATTTCCTACGTCAATTGGCTCCTCCCACGAAGCTTTGCCTGCTCCTTCCCGCTGTCTTCCCACTTGCAAGCTTTCCCACCACCTAATCCTCAGTAACCACCTCAGTAACCACCCAAAAGTAGCAGCCATGTCCAAGGGTCGCGTCTGTCTGTAAGTTCCTGTCCCAAGCTCAATTGTTGGCGGTAGCGGCCATAGCTCCCTTCCTGGTCCGCTTCTGGGCACGGGCTAACTCAATTGACGTAGCGCCTATTCTGGAGGTTCGTCGCTTTCTGTCAAGGGACCCATCCCCTCCCACCACCACCACCACCACCTTGACCCACGACCGCTTGACACCAGACACGAGTTCTCGCCTTTGCTAACCTCGGGCTTGCGTAGGTTTGGATACATCGACAACGCTTGTATGGCTTTTGGAGCAGGGCTATGCCGTTGTCGCCTTCTTGGCCGACGTCGGCCAGGAAGAAGACTTCGATGAGGTCCGGAAGAAGGCCCTAGCTCTCGGCGCCGAAGCCATGGTGATTGAGAACCTCCAGCAGGCCTTTGTCGAGGAGATTGTCCACCGTGCTATCCAGTGCAATGCCATCTACGAGGACCGCTACCTCCTGGGCACCTCGCTTGCCCGCCCCATCATCGCCCGCGCCCAGGTCCTGGCCGCCGAGAAGTACAACTGCGAGTATGTCAGCCACGGCTGCACCGGCAAGGGCAACGACCAGGTCCGCTTCGAGCTGGCATATGCCGCCTGCAACCCGGCCCTCAAAGTCATTGCCCCGTGGCGCATGCCCGAGTTCATCACCAAGTTCCAGGGCCGCCAGGATCTCCTCAAGTATGCCGCCGAGAAAAACATCCCCGTCTCTTCCACGCCCAAGGCCCCCTGGAGCATGGACGACAATCTCGTCCACTGTTCGTACGAGGCCGGCATTCTCGAGGACCCCGACCACTCTCCTCCCAAGGAGCTCTGGACCCGCACCGTTGACCCGCTCGACGCCCCCGACAAGGTGTACCAGTTCTCCGTCCACTTCGAGCACGGCATTCCCGTCAAGGTCGTCACCGAGGACAAGCAGGAGGTTACGGAGAGCGTTGAGCTCTTCAAGCTCCTCAACAAGATTGGACACGACAATGGCGTCGGCCGTGTCGATATCGTCGAGAACCGCTTCATCGGCCTCAAGAGCCGTGGCTGCTACGATACCCCTGGCTTGTACGTCAATCCTGGATCTGGGCTTGTCGTCAACACCTAACATTCTTCCAGGACCATCGCGAGACTTGCCCACATTGATATTGAGGGTCTTGTTATGGACTCGAAAGTCCGCGAGCTTCGCGACCAGTTTGTTACGCAGGCGTGGAGCCGTCAGCTCTACAATGGAATGTGTACGTGCCACCGGTCAGAAATCTGGGTTGAGTCTCACCTGCTGATTTTGTGACACAGACTTCTCTCCTGAGAGGGAATTCGTCGAGGTTGCGCTGGTCGCGTCCCAGAAGAACGTAACCGGCGTCGTGAGGATGGGTGTTTACCGTGGCAGTGTAAGCGAGCGCCCCTAACCCCTTTTCCGTCTATTTTGACTAAGTTGTGTTACTAGGCCTTTGTGCTCGGCCGCTCCAGCGACGCCAGCAACCTCTACAGCCAAGAGTGAGTCTACCACAGTCTGGCGATCTTGAGTCGGGGTCGGACCAGTTCATTCTAGAACTGGCCTTTCGAGATTTTATTCCTTTTGAGACCTGATGCTGACTCTGCAAATAGGGATGCCTCTATGGACTCCCTCGAGGGCTTCTCGCCCGAGGACACGACTGGCTTCATTGCCATTCAAGGTAGGATGCCGCGTGATTCTTTGTTATTTTGGAGCAACCCCGCTGACCGCGTTTATAGCCATCCGCCTGAAGAAGTATGGCCTGATGAAGAGGCAGCTGGGACAGCCCCTCAGCGAGTCCTAAACTTTTCAGCGACGCCTTATGTGTAGTGCGACCAGAGTGCGGCAGGATATGTAGTATCTCGAGGATAATGGGCAACTGGACACGCGGAATCGGAAAATTTCTATATCAAAATACCAAGACTTGCTACAGACTGTCGGTGAACTGTGCAGCTTCCTTTCAGGAACCACACGTAAGATTATGATGGTGTTTATGTAGGTCACACGACTGAGATAGCCTTCTCATGAAGATTCACGTTGTTCAACGTAGATTCACTATGTTACATGGCCGCTGATAGTCTCTAAATGAAACCTCTACAAAGCTTTGCAAATCCAAAAAGTCTCACATTGAAGATGTGCTGTGAACCCCAACTACACATCGACGCTCCATAACATCCTCTGCTGAATCAGTGAGAAGGAATCACAAGACAAAAACAACCCCAGGATCATGACCAGGGCGAGCAAAACAGAGTGTAAATTCCGATGTCTTCTTCAAAGGAAGAGAGCCCTGAGCAGAGTTGTATCGTCGAACGCATAGGCCGCAGGGCAGCCACCCCTGACTTGTATCCCTGACTAGTGTGTGTTTACTACGCAGCTTAGATTCACTGTCAGTCTGTGCTGAGCTGACTCTGGCCAAAGAGAAGATCGTCCCAGACTGGACACGCTAGTTCCAGCCGTTTGGAAAGCCCCCATAACTTCTCTTTTTCCTTTTCTTTTTGTCCCGGGGGCCCCGCAGGTGTAACGAGACATTGTTGTTGAAATTTCAGCCGTGTGTTTGAGACTGTCACATGACTGGCGTCGACGTCTAGCATAAGTAGGCAGTCAAAAGTATAGCTGCGAATGACTTGTCACTTACTACTTCCACGTCGCCTAACTCCGTACGTGGTCTGCGAGCTTCTTCTTCCACTGCCGTCTATTGCTGTTGTTGATCTTACGCCGTAGAAGCAGCAATTAGCTTCTACCCTTATGGGTATTGTGCGGTCACGTTTTTAAGCTCGTTGCCGCTTGCGGGGGCTCTATGGTTTAGGGGAGGTGCGCCCTTATCATATATTCTTCGTGTCTTCTACTTTTTCACTTACAAATCTCATCTATTTACCTTTATGGCACCACCGTCCATCTTCTTCTGTTTTTCCGTGTCAGATAACCCCCGGGTTGCGACGCTGAGCGTCGCACCTGGTTTGAGATGACTGGATGGGTCAAGTCCCCTGGCCGATAATTAACATGGATACCAAGCCGGGGCCACCCGCAGCGCGTTGCGGTGGTCCTCTCCGCTACACGTTGCCTTTGTCTTTGTCTCTGTGTCTGTGTCTGTGTCTGTCTCTCAGTCTCGGCTCTCCGCTGTCCGTGGCGGAGGATACTGGAAGCTCAGCTCGGGCTACCATCTCAGTCGTGCTCGGTTCTGGCAAGTAAGTATATATAGAGACGGGTTTCCGCTGTTATGTTGATGTTTTCCTCATCATCCTGCAGTCTTTGCATTCACTTCCCAATAAACCTTGACGCTACCTACCTGGCTTGCATTATTAGGTCACCTCACCGGGGAAATTACCGGCCAGACGACAGCATGGACGGCCGCAAGGAGTCCGACGATATGGAGATGCCCAATGACGTGGAGATGTCTGGTACCGCGGCCAACTTTAGCGACACGGACGATTCCAATGACACGTGCTGTGAGTCTTCTGACGAGAATGAGCTCGGAGGCTTAAATGTGGAGGACATGGAGTTGTCAAGCGAAGACGAGTACTCCAGCGACGACGACGATTTTGTTGAAGATGGAGACAATCTCGTCGCAGGTAAGGCAGCCACTTCTATGCCTCCTTCTCCAGACGACTCACGCAGAACCCTAGGGCCTTCGACGGGCCCGGTGTGGGACTCGGTGAAAGCCGCCACCGCTTTCGGCAAGGGCAAGGGCAAGGGCAACGACGGAGGAAAAGACGGCGACGGCGACGGCGGAAAGGGCGGCGACAACAGGCCTACGGAGTTGCCTATCAAGCGATGGAAGCACCACTGGTAAGCCGCCACTCTTCTAGATTTCTCATCCGTTGGGAAAGGTTCGTTTTATTCACATTGTTAACTTCCCTGGTTAATTACAGCCCATTCTGCAAGGGCGCGAGGTCGGACACTTGCTTTGACAAGGGCCATCTGGATCTGTGCATAAACGAGAGACACCCTAAGGCGGCAGCTGAGTATGCGGTACGGTACGGATGTACCATGTGTAAGCGTAAGGATATAGCCCAAGACCGCAAGAAGAAGAAGGCTGAGAGGCAGGCCAAGGCCCAAGCGGCGGGCAAAAATGCAGCTTGCAAGCCCAATGGCAGACCTCCGGGTAAGGATGGCAAGAGAGACGGTGACGGTGATGGTGATGGTGATGGTGACGGTGATGGTGACGGTAATGGGGGCAAGCGGGGCGGTGGTACCAAAGGAATGAAGGCCTAGGGTTCAACTGCTCCGTTGGAGATTGTTTGATTCTGGACAAGTTCGTGTGGCGTGTTCTGTTTGGGGTAATTTTCGTTTGGCTCGTTAAGTTTGGCAAGAGTACTTGGTTTGGAGGACTGGAGGGTTGAATCATAGAATGTGCTTACTGGAGATAGAGATAGAGGTCCGAAACACTGAATATAGTTGGGGGTTTTAGATTTCTATTACAATGTTAAGGAGGCACGTCTACAGCCATTTGAGTGGTAATGATTGTATTGCCCCTGGATTCTACTTTGATTACTGATTTCAGCTTCTGTTAGAGACCCCTGAATTGTTTACTTTGGCGGTATTTAGGTTATAGTAGAAGTCTGTCTTGATGTTTCTGTTGGAATTTGTCAAGCAGAAGGGCCTCGAAGGTTCTAGATAGAGACTTCGCCACCCACTTCGCCACCACAATAGTAGTATAAGAACGGGCTTTCTGGCACTACCAGAAAGCTAGAGAGAAGAACAGACATCTACAATCCATCACTTGAACCACCAGTTTTCGGCGTGCAGCCACGCCCTGTTGAGTCCAGTACCGGTACCCTGGTGAATCCAACAGTTTCCGTCTCCAAAATATTGGTTGACGGAATTATCCTAATTAGTCTATTTCATGCGACCAATTTGTCATATTACTCACTGGTTGACGGGATAGTTTTAGAGTCCAAGATCGTCTCTGATTGCCGTTTTGCTGGCCGTTCACAATCTCCATGATACTACTTGTGACGTGTGGTGACTGTCAACTGATGTCTTTGTGAGTAAGATACTTGGACGGGGTGACGATTGGTAACTTGGCCACGCTGGCGTTTGCTGCCTCTGTGATAGAAGAGACAGGGGGTATATTTATAGGTATAAATAGGTAACGTTCATGATATGCGAGTTAGCCATGATAAGCGAGTTGGCCACCTTAACGAGATTTGGTGGGGCACAAGCAAAAAGATGTTAGTAAATTGTTAGTGATCCTATCAATTTCTTATCGCATTTGGCTGCGCACGCTACCCGGTCTCGTTAAGGTGGCTAACTTGCTTATCATGGCTAACTCGCTTATCAAATACGTTAGAGCTAGAAGGAATATCTACCAATCTGCTCACAATTAGGTACGCCACTTGTCTAATAATCACCCTTTCCAACACCACAGTATCAACTGCCAATGTCGAGTTTGCCCATTCTGCTCTTAGATCCTGGCAGTCCATGTCATTGTCTGAGATGAGCGTCGAGAACAGGTGGCGCTTTGGCCCAGAGCGGTGGGATACAAAGAGAATACCCGATTTGAATCGAGATTGCGACCAAGCGATACAAATCCGCAAGTTGTACGGCGCCTGGTAAGGCACGTCGCCGGACTGTCGCGTCGAGTACGAATACGTCGACAAATTGCCGCGGCACGTGGTAAAGGACTTTAGTGATTCATTTCTTGTCCTGTTCAATGACGGCGTCGTGCACGAATTCTGGAGATTCTATCCGAAACGGATCAACTTTTCACATATGAAAACAAGAGCTGGTGGGCTAAGCAGCGTTGCAAAGTCTGCACTGGGCTGTTGTTGGACTGCGTCGAAGCCGTCTCTAGCCTGCCCATCTCTCGCATCAAAGCTCTCTTTATGGATCCCGACGTCCCGCTTAATCTGTTGCGGGAAGCTCCCATGATAGCCGAGGCCGAGAGATGTGAGCCACAGGGAAAAATGAAGGCATGGGATTTCTGGCACTGGACGAGGACAAAGGAAGCAACAGAGAGGCGAAGACTACGCGAAAACATGCTACGCGGTGTTGCCAAGCACATGGATGGTCTGAACAAAACTAGCCCAATGCTTCCGAGAAAGGGCTTCCTCAAATGGCAAGGCCTCGAGATATGCATCGACGAAGGTGTGCGAGACTCCGAGTTTCAAACGATGACATATGGTCTCCTTTACCCATGGGTAGACGACGTGAGATGGTGCCCCGAATTCCCAATGGACTGGATTCAACAATGCGGAGTCCAGGAATACATCAAGACCATATCCAGATGGCTCCCCAGCATAGTCGAGAGCAACACGGTGGGCCAACAACAGCTGGTCATGACGCATTCGCCAGAGTTTATCATAGTCGACTGTCGTGATGGCAGCGTCTGCCGAGTATCTGAGAGAGTGCTTGGCCAAGTGAACGTAGTTGAGCGCCGATATGGAGTGAACGAGGCCTACCCAAGGTGGCTCCTGTACATAGATCCGGATCTTAAAATGAAGAAACACCCTCTACTCTGGGAAGAGGAAGAGGAAGACGAAGACGAAGAGGAAGAGGAAGACGAAGACGAAGACGAAGAGGAAGAGGAAGAGGAAGACGAAGAGGAAGACGAAGACGAAGAGGAAGAGGAAGACGAAGACGAAGACGAAGAGGAAGAGGAAGACGAAGACGAAGACGAAGAGGAAGAGGAAGAAGAGCAGGGAGAGTTGCCATACGAATCCCAATACTGGTGTCAACGATGGATTGAGATGCTCGTGGACCAAGCCGAGTCGCAAGAGGAGAAACAAAAGGTCCGCACTCTGGCTGCCCTGTCCCACTGACGTCCGGAATCTCCAGTGTAGCTAAACGCAACGATATATCAGCCTGTGTATGGGGGCCTAGGTTGCCCATTGGAGAAGACGCCGGGATGGAGATCTGCCTCAGCCACATCGTATGGCTGCCACACGGTACGTGGGTGACTCTCAAAGGGAAGAAGCATGTGGTTATAGGCGAGAGGGTACTCACGATTTTGAAGAGAGCTGATACCGTGTCATTTAACGACCTTTACACCGCTCGTATGGTCCTGGACGTGTTTGGAAAGAACGAAGTCACACCTGAACAGCTGAAAGAACTGGAGAAGGCATTCAGGACCTTTTGCAACTTGCAGCTTGAAGATTCCAATGCAGAATTCTCTCGAACCAAACACGGAGATACAAACCCCAGTTTAGAGGTTGAGAGAACGATGAATTTGGACGGACGAGGGAAGAGAAGAAAGTGAGTCCACTTGAACATGAGTACTTCATACATAGGTTCTAGGCATCATGGCAGGCATATACTTCCTCAAAATAGTTACAGAATCCAGGTAGGACGTAATTAAAACTGCACTTTGCCATTATTTTGGATTCTGCATGTCCCGCTTGTACTTAAATAAGTCTAAATACAACCAAATGTGGCGTTACAGAGGAAACAACGCTCATACAGCTACACTTCCAAAGGCAGAACGTTAAGCAGCTGAAACAACTTCACCGTAGCCCTCCTGAACCTAGTTCACGACACCGTGATATGGAATACCTACCGTTTGAAGCAAAGAGATATACAGGTCAAGGATGATGTTCGACCTCTACGAAGTAGGAACATACATAAGAAAGTTGTTGCAACGCGGCAAATGCTTAATTGTTTCACTTTGGTAATAGTTGGATCTAACTGCGGAGGTCGCTTCTTGAGTAGACGAAATAGAATATGAAGCATACCAAAAACTTATACAAGCTAAGCATAGACACAGCGTTGAACCGTACATCTGCATCTGTAATACATACCTTGGCATATTTAGAAGTAATTAGTCGCGCCCTTAACATCACACCTCCTCCAAGACGGACGAAACTTACTGTGCTGCAAGTCCATAGCGAGAACCGCGTTCAAAGCGAGAACCGTGCTCAAAGCCAAATGCACAAACCACATCTGAAGGCGGCTATGTGCCGGATATGTGGTTTAAACCATGGCGTTGAACTGAACAAGGTTTGGAGAACCGAAGTGAAACCCAAAGAAGGCCACCATCTCCTTTAGAGGCACCAGCAATACCCACCAACGCCATCAGCCTCGTGCTTAGAAGCAAGCACCCATTCAGCATAACTCTCGACAAGACTAGGCATACCCCGATAGAGCAAGCGAGACGCAGGAAGGACAACGCTAGTCATTGCAGTGGTAGATAAACATAGCACCGTCTCGGGACGATGACGACGACGTGGCAACCAACAAGGCAATTGTACCGCGGCCCCTCCCCCCTTTCTACAAAGACGCTGTAACCCCCGCCACACAACCAAAACAACGCTAGTCAATCGTCAACCGCCACAGCCCGTCGCCGAGAAAGTGCGTCTCCTCAATGACGGGGCCCTTGCCCTTGGCCTTTGTCTCCTTGGTGCCCATGGCCAGCAGGCCGACGGCACAGGCCTCATCCTTGCCCTCGGCCATGACGACGACAGGCTCGCCCTTCTCCAGTTCCCTGCTCCAGTGGCCGTCGGCGTCGACACCCTCCGTCTTGGGCGCAGCAGCTTCGTCGTCGTCTTCCTCTTCGGACTCTGATTCATCGGAATCGGACTCTGATTCATCGGTAGCGGGTTTACCGCTGGCCGGTGCGGGCAGCGGCAGGCGGCCGCCGGGGCTCGTCAGGCCGGGGGCCATGAGGGTGGCGCCGCCGAGGACGAAGCGGATGGCGCCGCGGTCTATGCGGACGGTGGGGAAGGCCTGGGGGAAGCGGTGGACGAGGCGCAGGTGAGGCAGCAGCGGCGCGTTGCTGGGGATGTCGAGTTGGAAGAATAGCGGGTCGCTGTCGAGCACGAACAGGCTGATGCGGTCGGGCAGCTTCATCTGCTCCAGCGACGACTTCTTGGGCAGCACCTCGTCAATGTGCGGCCCCAGCAGCGGGTACGTCGTTAGCAGCGACTGCCGCAGCGCCCGCTGGATCGACGATTTGAGCTTCTGCTTGGGCGACGCCGTGAGGCTGGTGGGGGGGGGAGGGGGACAACATCTTAGCCAAGGCGGGGGGGGCGGGGACAAGAGACAAAACGGGAGAGGAAAACTCGGGGAAACAAAAACAATTCACTCGATTGCGGTTAGAGTGGCTGAGGGGAGAAGAAACCTGAAATCGCGGCGTACTCTTTCTTAAACATCTTGGTAATCTGTAAGCGGATAGGACTGCTACTTGGGAAACTGAAAGTATGGTGGTGTTTGCGATTTTCTGCCCGTCGCGTTTGGGTAAAGCTGTCTGTCGCTGGCCAGAACTTGCCCCGCGATGGAGGGGCTTCAATGGAGGGGTTGCTGGGGGCCCGCGAAGGGTGGAGCTGCTGAGGACCGCCAAGGAATTGGCGGGGATCGGGACCCTTGCAGAGGCACGCAGCACAGCCACAGCCACAAGGGTGTCGTCACTGCGGGGCTTGACACAGAGAGCTAAGCGGACAGAACGCGATGCCAATAACACACTCAGGAATGTAATGTGAGATAAGTAATGCCGGTTGCGTCTTGGGTATTGAGAAATGTTATTGTACAAGAAATGATTGTCATAACGAGGACCCGCGTGCGTGAGCCCCCTTCCTAATCATCGCCCGTGAACTCGGCCGCGCCTTCCCATCTCAAAGCAGGCAGCCGCGCCTGTACATGCATGCTCCAGTTGACTCAACCGTGAACAACGTGCGAGACGGTCCCGTCATCCTTTAGGTGCACGTTGAGCCTGTCCGGGTTGTAGTCCTTTGTCACCATCGAGCCCGGCTCGATGATGCGAGATTGCTCAGGCAGATCACTCTTCAGGAAGGTCTGGAGAAGGGTTAGTTGCGGCTGGTTGAGTAGACAAGCTTGGTAAATGGTTGAAGACGAAGTAGCACATACAGTCTCGTCAGAGGAGCCGTCTTCGGCCAGCGTCTTGCCGACCAGCTTGTTGGTCCATTCCTCGGTCTTGTCGGACGGGTCCGTGGTGATTCCGGGTACGACGAGAGGCATCTTGATCGCGCGTGTGAAAGTTCGTGGTACTCTATTGTTTACTTGATATCGTGATTGTCTCAAGAGTAGACTGGAAATGGCTTGCATGGGAAGAAGAAAGTATGGGATGGGGGTGGTTCCAGACTTTTAATACCGGCGTGTACCAGGTGCCGTGGCAGCGATGACGTAGATCGTTGGCCAGGTGGCTCAGCCATAGCGTGGACTGTGGATCAGTTTTGTGCTCGACGGCTTAGTCATTGAGAGGAGTTGAATAGGAGGCCTCCACGTGACAGATTCCCCAGAACCGAACTCCAACAGCAGCCCGACTTGGGTGACTTTCTATTTTTGTTGGGAGGTGACTGCAACATGCTACCCTTCTATTCCGAACAAACTGCTTTCCGAACACTGCCGCACCGATGTAAACAAGTGGCTTGGTCTTCTAATTATGACATTGACTTCCCTGCAACCTTCATTTTCTTCATTCCGTTTCCCAAATTTCCCTGCTATTACTGGATGACCTGCTGACTACTCCATAGGTACTTGGCTTTTCTTATCAGCTAATCATCCATCTTTTGCTTTGGGCCTGAAGCTCGATCTCCTCGGCATTGGTATGTATGATGCCATGATCCCACTTACCATTTACTGCATAACTGATTAATTAGCAACATTTCTGAGGCCAGCTGCATCTGCGGTCTACTGCCAATGAGAGATGCAGTTTGAACCCTATCATGTCGCAAGTAGCCAAGACCGGGTTGACCAAAATCACGCCGAGCTTTTATCCATTCTTGAACTACCATGGTAGGCTCCAGAGCCTTGTGGAATACCCCTCGAGCTATGTGACGAACCATGACCCACCTGGAGGGGCTGGCGAGATCCGACGTTGAGAACGCTTCCGCCCAATGCTCGATTTTAATAACTTTTTGATCAAAGATATGGCACTTGCAGCATCCTTGTTTCGACCCGAAAGCTGTCGCGTCCGCGAAACGGCATTTCAAGCCTGCAGGCAAATCCAGGCAGTCGCATGATCGCAGGTTCTGGAACCACGGATCCCCTGAGTGTCTTGGCTATTGTGGCCGCAGTGGTCCAGTTTGCGGACTTCGGTGTGCGCTTGCTAGGAAATGGGGGTCGGCCTAAACCACAGGACCAAAGCCATGAAGGCAATTTTGCTTTGCCTTTGGTGAGTTTCTTATTTTCCATGTGGGACTTTGTTATTAGCCGATTCTCGCTGTAGTTGCTGGGTATTGCTGGGGGTTGTTCAGATTGACCTAGAAACTACTTTACTATTTCCCGCGTGATATCTGAAACAGTATTGAGACTGATCCGCAATTCTATCTCGATTTTCTCCGACAGGGACGATGCAAAGAAAACCAAGAAACGCGAGCAGCAATTCAGTCCCCAACTGAACAAAGTTATGGGTAGCTTTCCAGACTGGCTGGAGAGGCCTTCAGATTCCACCTACTGGATGACAGGAAAGCCTAGTTCGGGAAAGTCGACACTCATGAAGTCTATACTTGCACAACCTCAACTTCAATCCTACCTCGAGAAGTGGGCAGGAGGTTTACCCCTTGTCGTCGTGACGTTCTACGCTTGGCATGCGGGCTTTACCCTGCAAAAGTCCTTCTCCGGGCTGAAGAGAACCTTGCTCGTCCAGGCATTGCATAGCCACCCCAGGCTGCTGACAATCGTAGTTCCACGACGATGGGCAGTCGTGCAGATCCTTCGAGGGAATACTACTTTCCCGCTGTGGGAAAATTGGGAGGTTGACGAAAGCTTTGACGCCCTGTTGTCCGAAAGCGGCAAAAGTCTGCGGCTCGTCATTTTCATTGACGGGCTAGACGAGTTTGATGTCGACGCCAACTAGATTGTACAACTGGTCAGCCGCATCACATCGTCCTCTGGTGACGGAGCCAAGGCCTGTGTGGCAAGCCGACCTTTGGTGGAGTTTGATGACGCATATGGGGACTCGGCGAGTCTCCAGATCCATCTCTTGACTGGCCGGGACATGAAACTCTACGTGGATAGCCGGTTCAGAGATTGCAAGGAATTCAGTGATCTCAATACTATTCATCCAAGTGAAGCGACCCGCCTGTTGGGAGACTTGGTACACAGGGCGAGCGGAGTTTTCATTTGGCTTCGGGTTATCGTTGATGCCCTCGTCGATTCTGCCACACAAGGGTCCGGCATTTTCGAGCTCCACGATATTTTGGAGAGCCTCCCCGTCCCGAGACACTAACCAACCCTTTTGTAATCTTTTCAACCCCCTCACTAGGATGGGGAGCTTGAAGAGAGGCTCTATTCCAGACAAGGGCTTGAACCCGGCAAAGACTTCAAATTTCGTAAGGCCAATGGCAATTTCAGGCTTATGGTTGGGGTCGGTGAAGCTGTCGGGGTCTTTTTCATAGAGTTTGGCGGCTAAGTCTTTACTGGGATGTATTTGAAGGGGAAGGGCCTTGGCTATAGGCAGTATCTAGATCGCAGTCAGTTGCCAATGTATGTGCTAACCTGGAATCACACTTCATCATAAGCTCTATTCTACCGACTTAATCTCTTGAACTAGCGCACACTCACTTTAGGTAGAAATGGGAGCTGGCTTCCAAATTGCGCAATCGTCTTTGCGCCAAGCAATGTGTCCTTGTCCTGTTCGAGGCGGTCTCGGAGAAGTTGACCGGTCTCCAATACCGCGCCGGAAAGTCCGGATAGTCTCCAAACCAAAGCTCGGAAAATTCTTTGCCATTGTCAATTGACAGATTCCTGTCTGTCTTGGCACACCTGGGCAGCCAGCGACTTTTCGCCCTGTTTGCTCCACGGGTAATTGTTGCAAGTGCCGACAAGCCGGAAAACACCGTGTGTCATGATGGGCAGATAATTAAGGCAGCCTCAAAGCGATATGTAAGTTTTGCTCGAGAATATGTCATTTAAATGTAAAAGTTCGGATGACGCGCTGGTAAGAGCTCGAATTACACGAGACGGACTTCAAGTACATTAATACTTCCAGGTTGTTGCACACTGAAATGGTGTCGTCACTATCCTCACAGTGGGGCGCCAAGGTTTGACAGCTGTGTCTGTGCGGCCCCCCATCGTAACCGTTGCAATAAGGCGAGGTCAGCTGAATATCAGTTCAGGGCCGTTCAGAACTTCAGCGACAGCTGGCCGCCATCCACGCCATCCACGCCATCCACACCATACCATAACTCTATAATGATAAGGAGAGTGCACGTCCAAGAAAGAAGCAGGACTTGCCTCCGGAAACGGCAAAGTGGAAAAGATTACCGAGTGGCCGTGGAAGCGACGGTCTATTGCAGTAACATGAGTGGACAACAGGGAACCACCTAGTCCATCGCGATCCCGGATTTTAGAGAAGCTACTGGGCCAGTTGCGTCACAGCGCTAAGTTCCAGAGGCTATGGGCTGCCAAACCGATGCCATTGATGTTATAGGTTTTGGTTTGCAGCACTCAGCGTCTGTGCTGCCTCGACCTACGGCGCGCTACTAATTAGAGTAGACGAACGTCCCCAACGGGCTTTTAATTCTCGACGGCTTCAACCTTCTTTAGCACTATTGTGGTGACATGCAACCCGAATCCAACGCACTGGTAAAGCGCGCCAAACCTTATCTCTGAACAGCGAACGAACGGAAAATGAACGGCGATGCTAGTGCCCGGTAGACGCCACCGGCGGCCCCCGTAGTCGAGGTTGACAGAGAACGGAATGCTGCAACTAGAGACGCCGGTCCGGGGACGGCAATCAAGGACCTTTTGCCGCTGCCAGCAACCCACCCTGCAGAAGAATCGGCTGGCACGACAAGGAGAGCGTCGCTTATGCCCCTACTCTCTCGCATGCGCTCGCAACCGACGATCATGAGTTGAAGGGCGTCGCGTAGCAGGACCACGCCGACGAGGTGCGCGATCTGGGATGGAACGAGACCAAGCAAAACATTGCCGCGCCTTTGGTCGGCGGCCTGGATAATGAAAAACTATGGCTGCTTGTTCGGCGGTTGAATAAGGTTGGACACCGACACCGAACTGTTGATGTTTTGACTACCTAATTAGGTGACTAACAGTAATTAACACTAGCAAGTATACCACCTCAAAGCCGTCACCAATGCGCCCCCCGGTGGCCTGGATCTCAACGAGGCCAAGTTCAGCCCGGATAAGATGAGGTCTATAGTGGAGCGCCTCTACATAACGGTTGGAGTTGGCCTGTTGGCTGGTTACAAACACATCGCCCGGTTGCGGTCATGGCGCGAGACTCAGCGTACTTCTTATTTCGCCGCCGCATACTTCGTCGCCTGGCTGTTTGACTTTTTCGTGCCGCTCCTTACGGCTATGCTAATTACTCTTATTGCATACTAGCCATCTCGATATATCTTGTTCCCCCCGGCCCCCCTCGCGCTCGTCAACACCGATACCGGTGGAGTATAGAAGCCCAAGGCTGGTATGTTGGGTAGCTATGATAGCGTTACTGGTGCCCCCGAAAACCACAAGGGAGAGGCTGTCGAGCAAGAGGCTAGTAATTTCTTCAACGGCGTTACCACAGTTGCTCTAAATGGCGCCGCCGGGAAAAATCCCTCGGGCGACCCTAAGGCCGCCGAGGACGAGGAAGTAGAGACCGATTCGACTCCCGATCTAACTGCTCTTGCTAGAAACGCGGCGGGCGCAAAAGATAAGTCTACTGGATCCAAGACGGGCGACAAGCACGATAATACCAAGGTTCCGACAGAAAAGGCTATAAGTTGACCATGCCTATTTTGGCCCAGCCCACTTTTGGCCCATGCGCAAGCCACCATGCACTTACACCACATGTGATCGATCCTTTTTCTTCAACACACCGCAACTTCCTCAAAACAACACCAAATTCCTTCAATTCTAGTACATTCGAGAGCCCTTTCAATAATCTTTCCATCAATGCCTCAATATAACGAATTGGAAATGCTGTAGGCTATGCAAAAAGTCCGAGAAGGCATTCCGTTGCTGCGCGCGGCCGAAGAATGTGGCGTTCCAAGGACTACCCTTCGCAACCGGCCGGCCACAAATCCCGCCATAATTATTGCATTCGAACACATGCAGGTTCTTCCGCATACAACGGAAGCCCGGCTCGCCGAATGGATCATCCTTCAGGGCGCTCTCGGCCTACCTCCAACGCATGCAACAGTCAGGGAATTTGCCCGCCGGCTGGCCGTGGACGGAGGCAAGCCGGAATACGTAGGACCGAAGTGGTTGCGCGGCTTCATGGCCCGGAACCCGTCAATTCGGACCCAGCGGGCACAAAGCATGGATGCGGCCCGGCTCAACGGCGCCACGGTCCCGGTAATCACGGCTTGGTTCAACTACCTGGCCCTCCCGGCTATCAAGCTGATCAAGCCGGAGAACCGTTGGAATAAAGACGAGACTGGCCTTCTTGAAGGCCAGGGTGACAACGGCATGGTTCTTGGATCTGAGGAAAGGGCCAACAACAAGAAGCTGAAGAAAAAGCAGTCAGGATCACGGAATTGGTCCACGTTCGTGGAATGCATCTCTGCAACGGGCAGGTCAATACCTCCTTTGGTGATCATGAAGGGGAAAACCTTACAACAACAACACTACCCAAATAAAATGGGTCCCTTCAAAGGTTGGAAGTTCCACACGCAAGAAAAAGGCTGGATTGACGATGAGAGTGCGTTAAAATGGCTTCAGGAAGTCTTCCTTCCTAACACCCGTACGGCCAACAACGAACGCCGGCTCCTCATTGTTGACGGCCACGGTAGTCATACAACTGATGATTATATGTGGACCTGCTTCCAAAATAACATTCAGCTTCTTTACTTACCAGCACACTTATCACACGTCCTTCAGCCGCTCGATTTAACGGTTTTCTTGGTCCTGAAGCGGGCATACCGGAAGAGGTTTAACTCTTTACCCCGGTGCTCCGATTCAACGGTCTCCGGCCGGCGCAATATGTTGATCTGTTACCGGGCTGCCCGGGAAGAAGCATTCAAGGAAGAAAACTGCAAGGCAGGGTGATATGCTACCGGCTTGTGGCCGGTAAACAAGCTCAAGCCACTCACGAGCCCTCAAGTGCTAAAAATAGCAACAAAGCCGGTAAAAGTACGGCTTTAGCTGCTCTCGAGGAAGAGAGGGATACGGCTCATCAACAACAACAGTTGCTTGACGATTACGGCACTTGGAAGACTCCTAATAAGGTTACGGACCTTACGGTTGCTTTGGCCAAAGTAAACATCAGCTCCCCGGCCCGCAGGGCACGTCACCAGCTATTCAGGAAGGTCAGGAAGGCATTCACCCTCAGGGACTTTGAGATGGCTAAGCTCAGACACGAAAATGAGGCTCTGAAAGCTGAGCTTGAGAACAAAAAGGGAACCAAGAGGAAGAAGGTGGAATTGAGCCCAAATTCCAAGTTTGCCTCAATAAAAGACATTCGGCGCGCGCAGAGAGCAGTGGGGCGCGATATTGACAGCTCTGACGAATCAGAAAGCTCGGAAGAAGAAGAGGAAGTCAAAAGTTGTATAGTAATTGGTTGATTTGGCGATATTTTACATGCTTCAATGTAGGGTGTCATTCATGTCAGTGGGCGGCTCAGCACGGGCCAAAAGTGGGCTGGGCCAAAATAGGCATGGTCAACTTATAGGATAAGATGGAACTAATTATATACCCCTTGAGCGATGTCGCCGACACGTAGGAACGGTTTACCAAGTACTTTATTCTCGCGTAAGGACACACAATCTGCCTGCTATGACTGTACCAAAACTATATCAACTATTACTGACGCTCTCGCCGTAGTGTACTATCTCCGACTCGCCCGTTTCCCCGCGAGACATCTCGACTCCGTCTTACGACGCTCGTCATCCCCCTATTCGGCATATCGCTCTTTATTACCTCGTACATATTGATGAAAGGCGTTATATTCGGCTTCGGATTCGGCTTTTTTGGCGACCCTGTTATTTCGCGAGGTCTTAATTGGCTTAACAGAACATTCCCAGACTGGCAGAAGCTCCTCGAGCTCCGAAAGTAAGTCATCTAAAGCCCCTTCCCTTTACCAGCCAACATTCTCAAAGGGGTACCTACTAACGCGTAGCTCACACTCACCCTCCTTCGCCTGGGCGCAGTACCGCCGGCAAATAACGTGGCCATCAGCGAGCCAGTCGAATTCAATGCCAGATACAACGGCAAAAAGGGTTACGTTTATCTCACAACGTCATCTACCATTCCCGCCATAGGCTTCAGTACTAAAGAGAAGCGCGAGCAGATTGGCAGTACTCTTCGCCAAGATCTGCATCCGATTTGGAGTATGGCTATTCCCGATATCGTTGAGCTGAAGAAAGTGGGCGGTTATGGATGGAAGGCGAGGCTGCTGGTTGGCTGGTCGCTCGAGAGGGAAGTCGCCGACGGCCTAGAGATTAAGACGGCGACGGGCGAGGTTCACAAGATCACGGCTCTACCTCTACGTGACGAACTATTCAACCGACTGATTGCTATTGGGGGCCAGAAGTGGGAAGCTCGGTGATATAATCTGATGTTTGGGATTGACTTACGGGACGAACAGGAAGCCTGAAATTATCTCACTGGGGCCGCGGTATATTATTATATATGCCAGCGAGTAGTACTATATTGCGATCTCTTACCGCCCGATTTTGCGGCGCTTCAACGATATTCCTTGGCCTCATCTTCCAGTTCGCGGATTCTCCGGAGCACCGCCTCTTGGGTGTCTACCGACAGTCTCTTGCTTCTCCCATCATCTCTCGGCCGGTTTTCATCTCTCGCCAGCCTCGATCGAGTTGGCAGCGGACCATCTGGGCGTGGATTTCCTGCCGCAGTTAGCTAGGATCTTCATTCAAAGATAAAATCATACCCCAACGAACATGCTTGGTTCCATCCATTATACTTCGGTTTCTCGAGGGTAGTAAATATTGAACTGGCGCTGGAGGTCAGTGATGCGAATGAAGGACAAGAACGAACTTCTGAAAGAACTAACGGAGCTGTAACATTATATCGACGTCCTTAGTTACGCTACTAGAGGCAACCGTGAGGCTCTGCTCCCAGAGCTGTCACTTACCATCCATTTGAATTTTGAGGCTCTGCTCCCGGAGCTGTCACTTGCTATCCATGTGAACTTGAGGCTCTGCTTTACCGTACAGGGATAGTGACGCCCGGTTTGCGTGGATAGCCGTGGCGTTGGGCCCAGACGTTTTTCTGAACGAAGCTGGGACATCCATTTAAGCTAGCCTAGAATGAAATGCGGCTTTACAGAGATTGGTCAAAATCGATACTCAATAGACCCAATACCCAATGCAAGAAGCGCGAGGCTGATAGAGTTACAGGTCTCTGTTGAGTTCATGCGACTATGCTTTAACCTGTTTTTGGAAGCGGATTTTGTTGAAGCCTTTGCGCACAAACCACTTCACCACGCTGGGCAATTGAAAGTCCCGCCTGCAAATAACGATTATAAGAAGTTTTATAGTTAAAAACTAATATTCCCGTTACCGAAGAGTTGAGGAGTGACGCAGGATAGCGTTTCTCGTCGCTTTTACTCAGGTTATTTCACGAAGAGAGCTGGTTCATACATCCCGCCTCGAGGCTCTATCCTCTACCCAATTGTTGACTCCTACGGTAATATAAAGGGCCGAGATTGTTATTCAAACAGTGAGAGGCAATGCAACTCGTTCATTTGAAGCGGGCGGCTGCAGTGACAGCCCCTCTGCGGCCAGAGCAATCCACATCACATTTGGGAGGCGCAATCCGATACCTTTCGTAATGCTGCCTAGAAGTCCCACTTTTCTCAAAGCCTCATACAGCTGTACTACTACAGTATGTGACCAAAGCCCGCTCCCCCTAAATCCACAAAATCCACTTCACAACGCACCTTCCCCCAAAATTCAGTTTTGACCAAAGCCCACTTTCCCCCGAGGTCCACATTTCCCCAAAATTCACTGTTGACCAAAGCCCACTTTTCTCTAAAGCCCACTTCTGACCAAAACTCAGTTTCTCATCAAAGTGAACTTTAGACCAAAGTTTACCCCCTCCACATTTCGCGTATGGCTTATGAATCTATGACCCCTCCACGTTTTGCGTATAGCTCATGAATCCATAATCTCTCCACATTTCGCGTATGAATCCATGACCCTTCCCCCACCGCAATGGTACTTCAACGGCCAATGGCTTGATCTAATTCCTTTGTCAATTCGCGGGGATCGCCCCACGTTAGACAAGAAAAACTTCATGAGCGCACTTGAACACCCATGATCTGTCCCGGTTCTCTATAACTGCGCAGCAAGCCCTAGAGAATCATGGCGGCTGTATTGAATGGCTGTAGGTACTGAGTACTATACGGCTGAAAGCCGCAGAGAGTTCCGGAGTTGACACGCTCACGGTGTTAAATGGTCTTTCTGCAAGCCTCCTGTGAGCGCATTCTTGCGTATGAGATGCTGGCGCATCCCTGGCCCTTCACTTCAAGGCTAGGGGCATGCATCTCCACGTGGAGGACCACCGTAGTCTTTCCGGTTAGTTCTAGCACTAGCTCTTGCTTTCGGACTCGATGCCGGGGGGAGTGTAGCTACTGCCGTTCGAGGTAGGGCGAAGCAACAGGTTGATATTGGAACATGACAAAAGCGAGACCACGTCAAGGCCGCTTGCAGAACAGATACCTGCATGGCTGCGCTTCCCGTGACAACGATGCTTGGACGGCCAATGGCTTGATCTATCTCTATATTGATTTGCGGGGATTGCTCTACGTTAAAGAGCTGAGGCGACGATCAATGTTGACCGGTGATGCATGTCCGCAGGAGTGTCTGACCAGATTCGGTTGCTAAGGTGAAATTTACTCCGTTACGAGACCCTGAAGCATTTACCGCGTCTGAGTGGTCAATGGCTTCGATCTGGTGCATCGTGGAGGTAAGCATGCCAGCTTGGGCTGCATGACCAGCTGCAGCAGGACGAGGAAGTAAGGTATATATGTGTGAGCAACTGTCGACGGTCTAAAGATTCGGACTTCTATAAGTGGTACTCTGGACACTGTCAAACAGATAGTCTCCTCATCTACCATTCAACACAACCACATATTGATTCTATGTAAGAAGACTCCCTAGAAAGGATGGCGGCTAATATCCTGGAATTTCACAGAACGAGGACTGACATGCCACTTCCACAGGCTGACCCCAACGCACTCCCATAGTCTCTTCGCCGCCTAATACCTCGCAGTCAACAATCTCACCTGCCACTAAGCCTAATCAGCACCGATCCACAAGCACCTCCCACAGGCGAGTTCCTAGGACGGGTTCAACACATCACGAGTCTGGTGTCCAGTCACCCGGACACGCTCATCCTCATTGGCCCAATTCTATCTTCATCCGCCCGCTAGGCAACTCGACAGCTTGCTCTTCACGTAAGAGACTACCCAACAGGGCGGCGGCCGATTTCCTGGGGCTTCTACAGAATCAAGACTAACATAACACCAGCCTCATAGGCCTGCTTAACACTACAGTGAATCTCATTGTAGGTTCCACTCTGTAGGCGGTGCTACAGACACCGTCAGGCTGACTGAGCAAACTGTGCTCTCTGCATCCTTAAGTGAGAGAAAATCCAGGTGTGTAAAAATGTCTTGGAAATTACGCGGAATGTTGACAGATGGTTGCGTAGACTCGATTTGCTCCAAAGCCGGAATTTCTCTAGCTTATCTTCCTGAACTCTTTGGATTGAGATTTTGCTCAAAGAGCTTACTTAGTCTGTGAGCCCGAGACAAGATGTCGGACGGTGGACCCAACGGACCGCTTCTACCTACGGACAGCAACTCGCTTCCAGATGAATTGCCTTCCGGCGATCCCACTGGCGAGACGGCTCGGGGCGATCCGCCTCCGTACCCCACCAGCAGCGGTGAGAACTCGACTCAGGTTGATTCCCGTGACGACTCCACCGACGCCAACGGAGGGAACTCGGCTCAGGATGATTCGGCTCTTGATCTCCCTACTAGCAATGGTGAGAATACATCTCCGGCCGGCTCAACTCCTAGCACTCCTGATGGCAATGACGCCAATAGTACCAGATTACATGGGAATCCGGGTCGATCCTCCACCTTAATGAAGGGATAGGCATTCGGCCGCTAAAGAGAGATCTTATTTTTTATTTCAGCCTCTTTCATCTCGGCGCAGGAAGTACGGCAGCGACAGCGGCACAGGGTAGCAGCGGGATGTAGGGGGTTCTATGAAGCTCTCTGGTACTTAATAGATTGGAATCTAATCCAAGTCTAGCATATCGTTCATAAATATATCCGAAGCTGTCGGGTCATCCACCTCCTATCCCTGTTCCTGCATCGTCTCGGCGGCTTGCAGAAGTTCACCTACTTTCGGCGCTAAAGAGCCTCTGTTTCGGTGTGCGTGAGCTAACAGTCTTGTCAAGCCACTGTGGCCCGAAGTAAGAGAGAAAGATTGCCCTGTGTTTGCAGCCATAGGTTGGGCAGCAGCCTCTGCAAGCATTTGGAGAGGCGACATAGATTGTTGGTCGTGTGCGGCATCTGAGAACGCCGGATCAATGTTTCCGTTGGAGGCGTCCGCGGATCTCGGGTAGTACTCGGTGGTGGGCCAGAGTTACGAACCTGTTTGATGACCTCCAGCGACCGCATGACCGGGCGGTGTTCCCATAAATGTCCCATCACGTTCACTGATATCCGGTGCAGTCCAGGTGACCTGGCGCCCGTCCGGCCAGGTCTAGCTAACCCTCGTTGATAAATGGTAACGTGCGTGTCTCCTGCGTGTTTGCTCCTTCGATCATATAACTAGTGCGTATAGGAGTCCGCGGGTTGGTGTTGTTATTGTCGGGCCTCTGCGTAAGGTTGTTTAGCAGGGCCTGAGGCTGTGACAGGGGCGGAGAAGGAAGCATATTTAGAGGGCTGCATGCATGAGTTGCAGGCCCCAATTGATGCTCCATGCTTTGGAATGCAGGCTCTGAGCGGCTTGTATTGGTGGAAGGCAGGACGCCATGGGCTGTGCCACTATCGTTGTTGCCTGGATGCGTGCTCGTTGTTGACGGAGAGTTGATAGGTACGAACTGTATGCCTCCCTCCTGTATGTTTGCCCCTATAGCGGCGCCATCATCATTGCTCGAGAGTGCCCGCGGATTGGCGTCATTGTCCTTGGATGTTCGTACCTGGCCACTCTGTAAAGGTTGAACTTGTAGGGCTGGTAGCAGAAGAGGCTGGTTGTGAGGATCTCTCGGCTCCGCACCGGCTCCGCTTGAAGATTGCTAAGTGGAGTTGACAGGCTGTTTATGGGGTTCTGGGTCCTCGACATCGGATCTGCCCGGTGACGAGCGGCGCGCGTCATTAGAAGTCTGCGTGCCGTGAATGTCGACGCCGTTGAGTCTGTTCGCCGGCTGAAGCGTTGACGAAAGTGCGTCAAGAAAATGGCCCCCGGACAAATCTGTTTGGCATTGTAGCTGCTCGCTCGCACCTGGCTCTGGCTGCGTGGAAGTGGTGAAGACGGGGGTGGAACGCCGTGGCGTGTTGTCCCGGATTATATCTGCTGAAGCCATCATGTTTGGGAGCTGACCTGCGTGCTGGCCAACGCCCCGTGATTGATCCTCATTCTGGCCCTTGCTGGACTCCAAGCGGCGCGCCTGGTTGTTTGGGTGGCTCTGAGGCTGCGACTCGGATGGGGAAGGAAGCGGAGGATCTAAGCGGCGCTCCTGTTGATTTGATCTCTGAGGCTGTGACGCGGGTGGTGGAAGAAGTAAAGAGAGTGAATGGGAAGCACCTCCCAGATGACGTCCACGGCGACTCCCACCGTAATGATCGTCCTCACGTCTCTGCCGCTTCTGTGGCCGCTCCGGTACTGCTGTACCCTCTGCGATCTGACTTGCATTGATAGGTTTGAATCTTGCAATCTCAGACCTCGGCATTAGTGCGGCCCTGAAGGCAAAACCAATACCGTTTTGTTGGAGTTTGTTCTCGCAAGCAGCAACCTCTACATCCATGTCTAGCTGTGCAAGATTCTTTAATCCAACTGCCTTGGATACCTCCTGGTATCTACAGCAAAGTCAGCGAGGTGCTCTATTTGCCACGAACAAGAACGTACCTGGGGCATCTTAGCCAAGCAATGAGCACGGCGGGGTTGGGAGCTGAAATGCCCTCTGGGAACTCGAGCCCAGACAACCCTTTGGCAATAAATCCGACGAACTTCGACTGGCTATCAAGTCGTGAAACTCTCGTGATGCGTATGTTTCTCTCTAGTGTGTGTCAACAAAACCTCGCAAGAATATAAGCATCATCTTACCTGCGAAGAATTCGTAAAGAACGAAACAACTCTCTCCCTTGCTGCACTGAAGTTGATCCACGATTTCGTTGAGGAGATGACATGCGTGTCTCTTATAACGTTCCATCTTCTCTTTATTAGAATCGCCTGTCTCCAAATTTGTCCGGTCTTTGGAGACTCTGAGCATCTGAGAACACATCTCAATGTACCAAAGCACCCATACAGCCTGTCGGCTATCCCATGTAATTCTGCTGGCTTCAGTGCGTAATATCTGTTCCAGTATTTTGCCATCGTCGCTCTCCCTCTTCCGATGGTATTCGATGAGCTTCTGAACGAGATCACCCGATGTCTTAATGTCGTTACCGTCACTATCACCGTCAACACTTTCACTGTCATCGCTGCCACTGTCGCTGTCGCTGTGATTGCTGTCGTCGCCGTCACCGCTGTTGCTGTCGCTACTGCAGTTGTCGTTCTTCTCCTTTCCTCTGCTCTGGCTGCCTCCGTTTGTGGCAGTCTCTTTTCCGTTGCGCTTCAGAAGCCACTTATTGAAATCATCCACTAGATTTTTGGCTAATTTCCGGAGCTTCTCGGCTGCCGTTGTATTTTCTTGTTGGTCGGATTCATGACCCGACCAAAGGTCCCCGACGACAAGCGCAAGCGCACCGCCCAGGCTTGCCATTCGTGCAAACGCCGGAAGCAAAAGGTAATAAAGCAGGTTACGGCAACTACATACTCGTACGACGGATTAGTCCTCTATCGCCAATAGCCATTGTTGATCCTTTATAAAGGAATCTGATAACTCAACCCAGTTCGATACCAAGTCTAGGGACGTCGCCTGCCCTCAAACTCAAACTAATGGGTTGCCTCTGACTGCCTTTGTGGGGGTCTGAAGAGGGCGGCTACAGACGCCTTCTGGGTAATACGGCCCACCTTCTCACTACCCTTCTTGGCAATCGAGGCTGTTCCCCTGATTGACTTCTTTCCCCAATTCTCGACCTTTGTCGATATAAGGCTCAGCTTTGACGCCTTCTTCTCAAGTTGTAGAATCTCCCTGCTCCTTTCGTCTTTGCCAGTTATGGTACCGCTAGGCAACTGCCTCTTGAGAGTAGCATGCAAATCTCCAGACTCTTCTTCCTTGAGATCGCCCATAGAACTCTCGCCAAGCTTGTCCCACTTGAGAGTAGCATGCAAATCTCCAGACGATTCTTCCTTGGAATCGCACGTGGTACTCTCGCCAAGCTTGTCGGAGATAGCTAGACCCTTACCCTTGCCGCCAAGGTGATCACCGGGTCCTGAGTCCTATTCCAGCACCGCACGAGTGATGCCATCGTCACCGACATTATCGTCTTCAGAGTCGGCCTTCCCAGCGTCTTTATCTTCATCGCGCACTGCCAAAGTGGTCATCTTATGAGCATGTAGAAAGTCTTGTACCAACCCGGGAAGCGTCCGTCTTCGTCAAGGAATTCGGGTTTGTCCGGTAGGTCGAGCGTTTCGGCCCTTCCAGCCATGACTATGAGGCGATTGATCCTCTGCTGTGTATCTATGCAAAGCTTCATATTCATGACGTACTTCTGCTGGATTCTCGCTTCAAAGACCTCGCCATGTTCGATGTTCCACCCGGTGGCGGGCCGGCACATGGCGAGCAAGGGATGCGGGTCGGGTAGGGCTGGGTTACCGCAAATACGCCTCCTCTCGGAGATCGAATAATCGGGAAACGCCGCTTTAATCTCCTCGACTGTTCGCCCTAGCTGCCCTACTGGCTTTCTTTCACCGATGGGTCTTTCTCTCCACATTAACCACTCGAACTGAAGAAGGACAATCTGAATCTCCTCTGGGTCGGCGGAACGAGGAGGAGCAGGCAGCCCAATCCACTTGAGGTCGAAGCAACCCCGCGACCACCAGTCATGTAGCGTTGGGTTGAGCGAGAGCATATTCCACTTCCGATCGCTCGCTCCGACACTGGACGAGAAGATATGGGTAATATCAGAAGAAATCTGATCCAATTTTCCAGTAAAGAGAAAAGGGACGGCACAACGGAGCTATTGCTCGATATTTATTCTGTTCTCTTCCGTATTATTAAGGCAATTGATAGGGAGGCATGACTCATTGATAGGGAGGCATGACTCTTAGGGAGGCATGAAAATCCCGGTCGTTGATTGGCCCAATTTTTATTGTTAGTGCAAGTGAATTCTGCCACCAACCTTCCGAAGTCCTGTCTCAACTGACCAACAGAAGCTGCCCAGAGCTCCCTTCAGCTTGACGCGTTAAATCTAATGCACGTAACGAAGCGAAGCCATCACAAGCCCTCTTGACGAAGAATCCCTTGCTTTGCCAATATGGAAGCCCGTTCGAGTCGTCATTCGAAGCGACAAGTAGGGAGCGATGATCTTGACGATCAATCGCATTCTCGGAAGCGCCAACGAACCAACAACAATACCCCACGATCCGACCCTTCGCCCTCGCGATCGGCCGTAAGCCAAAGCTCCAGTATCGGGCAATGGTACGGCATTGGGGATGAAGATGTATTGAGCAACCTCTTTGCTTCTCACCCGGAAACGTTTACTACTTTCCCACGCCCCCACGGATCACGCGGGCTCCATGCGCCCACGTGGCAGTTGCGATCCGACTATAAGCTTTACTTTTCGAACGATTTCCCTAGACCGGGGGGGCGATCGATGCAAGTCACGATACTGGTACCCGGGCCAGAGCCTGATTTGCTGGCCAGTTCCTCTCCCGAACCAAGCCAGCAATCCAACGGACCTCTCTCTCCTCGGACGCAGTTCTGATCTGCCCTGCGATTGGTCCGAGAGGTCATCGGCGAGGAGCGTCGGCTCACTCAGGAATGTATCCGGTCTTTCGAAAGAGTATGCGCCTGGCGTGAGAAATGGGGTTGGTCGCCGGCTGGTTGCGATACACTCGACAGCCCTCCGCCGTATTCGCCACCTCGCTCGCCACCTCGCTCGCCTGGAGCCGATCCAGCCAGCAGTACATCTCCGAACCCAAGCTCGACTTCTGCCCTCTCTGCCTCGCCGGCTCCGCCTTCGATCCCCAACCCACCTATCCCAGGTAACCCTGCGCCTTCAGCGGAGGTTCTCTTTGGCTTGGTCAATATATTTGCCAAAGCTAATGGCTTTGGCATTGTTCGGCGACAAGGATATTCATATATGGGTCGGAGGATCCGATACTCGTTCCAATGCGATCGGTTTGGAGAGCCAAAACCCTCTCGCGGTGCAGGACTACGGGAGCGAAAGAGCAGGAAGTGTGGCTGTCAGTGGATGGTCATCGCCGAGGCTCTTCAAGAGGGGGAATGGCTTTTACGCCAGCATACAAATACCAAGCACAACCAGCATAACCATGGGCCAAGTCTTAATGCATCTGCACATCCGGTACACCGACGGCTCGGTGATTCCGTCAAGGCAACCATTGAATCGTCAAGTCGTCGAGTCGGTATTCGGTCTCGGGATATTCGAGCTATCGTTCAGGAACAGCATCCTGATTCGGTTTTTACTCGCCGAGATATTTATAATGCTCGGTCTCTTATCATCCGAGAGAAACTGGGAGGTCACACTCCTACCGCAGCCCTCATCAAGCTGTTCGATGAGAAGGAGATCCCATACTTGGTCAAATGGGCCGACGAGGACCCATACCGACCCGTCGGGCTTGTCTGGACCTTTCCATACTGTATCCAAACGTGGCAGCGATTCCCTGAAGTAATCAGCTTCGATAATACCTACAATACCAATCGCTTTAAGCTTCCCCTTTTCCAGGCGACCGGTCAAACCTGCCTCGGCACGGTCTTCAATGCCGCATTTGGCCTAATTGATAACGAGAGGCGCGAAGGATTCCAGTTCCTTGCAGAGAGTATGCGACAATTGATGGAGCAGCATTCCATCCGGCAGCCCGACGTCATCATTACTGATTTTGACGATGCGATGAAGGCTGCATTGGATCACCAATTCCCCGAAGTACAGCAACAGATCTGCATCTACCATATCAATTCCAATGTCCTTCTTCGGGCCAAACAGCGATGGGTTAAGGATCAGCTTTCGTTTAGCAGCAGTAGTAGTAGCAGCAGCGATCCTTTCCCTTCTTCCGATTCTGCCGACGACACTCCTGCCCCCTCTCAGCCACCCCGGCTCAACAACCGGGACAGGAAATTAGTCCACGCATCAGCTCCTAATACCATCCCACATACCTACCAAGGGGTTTTGGCGATGTGGAAGTTGGTTGTATTCGCTGAAAGTGAGGAAGGGTTTGAAAAGGCCTGGGCAAATCTTTGCAAGGAATTTGACGACCAACGAGTCATCTTGCGGTACCTCTACGGGACTTACATCCCCGTTAGAGCGCAATGGGCACGCTGTTTTATTCGCAAGTATCGCAACTTCGGCATTCACGTCACGTCGGGTACGGAAGCAAGTAATAATAACGTCAAGAGTTACCTTTTGAATGGCATGAGTCACCTATATCGCCTTTTCGAGGCGATGCAGGACATGATTGTCGACCAGGAACGGGATTTTTTTGATGCCTGTGCAGCGGATGAGGTGCTAACGGCACGTAGCAACCGAGGCCCAGGCGCTGAGTATTTAGGCAATCTGTCGGGGGTGATATCGTCGAAAGCGCTGGGGTTAATTACTGAACAGTATCGGCTGGCGCGGAAGGCAATGCCGACGGGGAGGGTTCCTCGCCCGTCCCCGCTAGGTGATTGTACGGATGATTGCTCGGTCTCGACGGAACTTGGGATCCCTTGCCCGCACAAGATCTACGCCAAGCTTACAGACGCCGGCGCATTCACCAAGTGGGAGGTTCACTCACGATGGCACTTGCGACAGTCCACATCTCGCAATCCTTACCGGCGAATCCTCGACCCAAGGATTGCAACCAACTCCGTGGCAGGCCTAAGAATACCAAGGAGGCAATTCCGTTGCAGCTTACAGTCCGGGCGCCAGATCAATCGAGGTCCCAGCCCGCTAGCCAGGCCAGTCAAGGTCGACGGGGTCGGCCGCGAGGGAGCCGGAACAAGTCGATGCTGGCTCGGCTGGCGCTGGAGGAGGGCCAGGAAGAGAGTAGCCAGGCTAGCATGCCATCCCCGCGCAGGACACGAAGCCAGTCGGCCTTAATAGGGGCTGGGAACATGACAGGCGCCCGCGCCAGCGGTCGTAGGTTACAACCCAGCATTCGCAGGTGACGGAGCCAGTGGGAGATGTTGAGTGATGATGTATAGAGGTGACGGCTGTAAATTATAACTTCGGGTCGCTCTTTCCTTATTATTATAACTTCGGGTCGCTCTTTCCTTATTATTATAACTTATATACGTAACCGAAAAACCTACTAATTTACTTCACGGGCTCGAGCCGGAGTTTCAGTCTTTAAAGTTGCCTCCCTCGATGCCGACCGTTTTTAAAGTCTGTAAGTCGGGCTCGAGCCCGACCTGCGTACCCAAAACTGCTTTAGGCATGTTAAGCGAACTGGCTTCACCGCTTTTGGTGGGGGAGTCCTGCACTAATAATAAAAATTGGGCCAATCAACGACCGGGATTTTCATGCCTCCCTAAGAGTCATGCCTCCCTATCAATTCGTCATGCCTCCCTATCAATTGCCTTGTACAATGACCTACTCTTCAAGGGGATCGAGATTCCGAGAGTTAGCGATAGTGTTTGCTCGAGGGAAGATTCCCTTTAATCGCCGCTCAAGTGTTTTTCGGGGTACCGAATACAGTTTTGCAGCTGCAAAAGGCTTTAGTGATTTATTGCGTTCCATAGCTTAGAGAGCAAGCTGTATTTATGCTTCATTTCGTTTAAGTAGTATTTTTAGTTTTTTTGTAGTGTTGGTGTGTCGGGCGAAAGTTCAATTGGGGTGGGGAGAGTGGCCACTCGCTATACATGGCCACTCGCTATGCAATTACGTTACGCGGGTTTCTATAAGCTGACTAAATTAACCGGCAGCGGGCACCGTGGTTAGTTTAAGGTTTGGTTAGATTGGCTTCCCCAGGCAGGGGCTAAGTAATTAGCGCCGCAGCTGTGCATCTGTGTGTGCCGCACTCCACCCGATTCCCCGTTTCAGCTTTCCGAAATCGTTCTTGGGGGCTGCGACGCCCGTGCCGCCTGGCCCGCCTGCTCCGGAGAAGCGTAAAGTCATGTCTAGTCTTTGAATACTTGTCAGCGCTTAACTTGGGGAGGATAGTGAGCACGTTTTTGGTAAGTAAAACCAAATTTGAAGCAACATTATCTCGTCTAGCGAGTCAGTTGAATTCAAAGCAAATCTATCTAGCTAAAAGCTACAGGTCTAGCCTGTGTATATTCGCCTCCTCTATTACCATCTATTGGTCCGGCCAATCTGATTATTGCAGCCGCCATATCTCTAGGACACCACGGTCTGCGACATCTCTGTTAGTAATCATTGGTCAAAGAGGATTTCTATACTCGAACTGACCAACACGAAACAGTCGGCAGACAAAAGCGAAAAGAATTGAAAGAAGAGAAAGTGGCGAGAAGAAAAGGGTGAGAAGAGAGATTAAGGACAAAAAGGAGGATCTTCTAGGATAATCGAAAGTGGAGAGTTATGAGAAGAAACGAAACAAAGCAAAGCGAAACGACAGTACGACCGGGAGAGGGAGTGTGGGAAGAGAGGTTGAGAAGAGAGAGAACCCTTCAACCAGCTCAACAGCTTCGAGGAGACGGAGGAAACAGAAAGAGAAACGGCACTGGTCACTTTTTCTGCGGGGTGACGAGGGTTGTCCTTCACGTCCATCTTCCATGTTCGCTTTTGGAGAAAACGCTGTTGGTTCCTCCTCGTTTGGAGCTCAAGGTGAAGCTGCACCTTCTCTCCGGCACAGTTGCTTCAGTTCCAACTGCGAACAATCAAGAGACAGACAGCTCAGGGGCGCTTAGATGCATTTGGCCTGCCCGCTCGCTGCCCAAACAACCCCAATTCAGCAACCGCACCTACCCAACTTGTAATTGATTGACCCGTCCCGTCGCGTTGCTGGCCTGGGCTTACCGGCCGACCGAAGTCAGCTGGGTTGTGACTGCACCGAAGCGGGATCAATGAAATACCCGGCCACGCCTACCTGAAAAATTATCCACTGAACAACCTCAAGTCGATCCTGATTGCATACCTGGGCCCTTTCCCCTTCCTTTCTGTTCTAACTCGCCATACACGCCCATACACCCGCAGCGCCTTCCCCCAACGACCAAGAAGACCAAGATGGCGACAGTGATGGCGACCGTCACGGCCCCGGCCATAGCCCCGGTCACAACCCGGTGCCCTTCCGAAAGCGTCTCTCGGCCAGCTACATAGAAGAGACAATGTACAGGGACAGATGGGAGGCCGTTCCCCACCTTGAAATTGTCTTGTCACACCCGCCCGTGGACGCACCCCCGCCCCCTAGCAAGAAGTCGCATGTTCTCACTGTCGAAAGCTTGATCAGCGTCAAATCTTGCGAGTTCGACAACGAAGACCGTGTCTAGCGCTATGGCGGGCCATGCTTGGTGCGCTGCTACTTCGACGACGACTCGTCGGTCAGCTTCGTCGCCAAAATATACGACGCTGGGTGCGCATGATCCTCATGGAATACTTACAAGGCGAGACCATGCTGGAAATGATGCAGAACGCTGCCCGTAGCTCGGATAATAGCCCGGGCCGAGAATCCACGAAACACCACCGGCCCATTCCGCCCGATGCAGAGCGCCTCGACATGCTCGCCACCGTGGTCGAGACAGACGTCCAGCTTTCCCATGCGGGCATCATAAACCAGGATCTCGCGCCGCGGAACGTCATAGTTCTACCCTCTCCAGCCAGGCGCATCGTCCTTATCGACTTCAACTTGGTGCGATTCGGCCCCCCCACAACCGATCCTGCCGAGCTACCAATGAATCCCGTTGACAGTTACTGCTCATGGCACGAGTTTGCCTACTCGGGTGCGTTTGCGCGCTGGGTCCCCGCCAGCTGGGGCAACGACAGGGGCCGGGCGATGGAATGGCTGATGGAGCGACGGGCCACGTCCACCAAGTTTGCTCCCCTCCCGACCAATCTCGGGCTCTTTCTCAAAGGAAAAGGCACCAGCGAGGTCTTTCAAAGATGCTATGATTGCATATTCAAGACATCCCCCGCCGCTGCTTCCGCTCCTGCGGGTTTCTGTTGAACCAAGAGGTTGGCACTACTAGCTCTGATAGATAGATGATAGATGATATTATAGTATATTTCGTCTGCTTCAATAAGACTTGCTGCCTTAATGAAGGACTTCCACAATAAGATTTATCACAAGTAAAATGGCTCATACCCATCACCACATACACAATAAAGGTTGACACAGGCGTTTGCCGCGGTATAGCAAAAGTCAAACAATTGAACGGCACCAGCAGAGTCATACCGGCCGGCCCACGAACCTCACCACCGTCATACAAGATCAAAGTTTTCGCCCAGGGCATATGAAGCGCGTGGCTGCACAGGATCACCCGCCATCTCCCTGATCCAGTACACACCAATCAATCCACGCCTCAGTCAGCTCGCGCGACCTAACACATCAACCAACGCGCCAATCCAGCGCTCAGGTGTACCGCCAACCCTCGGGCTCAAGAGCCGTCGTAGTACTAACACCTGCTCCAAGACTAGTACAATGCCCAACCTCAAGTGCCCGGCTATACCCCATAACTAAGCCGACAAATTAAAGACCGGATGGGTCGATATACCCGGGAATCCCCCGAAAGGGAAGGCAGTCCTCAAGCTCGATGAATCACAACGGATTGCCTTATTACGGAAAGGCCTAGGCCTAGCGTTGGTAGCCGCTGAGAAAGCCGACGAGAGGAAGCTGAAGGCATGGTTGAAGCGGCTAGAGGATGTGGAAAGCCGTGGGAAGACCTAGCCAGGGGCATGAGAGATTGGGTAACAGGTATTGGAAATAGATGTTTCGGCCGCCTGTGGGCCTTTTGAGCTCCAATTAAGACCAGGTCGTCGGTGGAGCATAGCGAGACATACGTTTGGTTCGATCAACGGATTCCAAATGTTCAGCTAGATGCCAGACCCACAATCGCAAATATAAAGACACAGCTGATGCCTTTTAAACGCCATGCCTAGGGCAGTAGATGATACCATCTTTTGTTTAGTCAACCGCCACTGGATACGTTTACCGTTACCGGAGGTCGGCGGTTGTGTAGAAGTTTGGGCAATTGCAAAGTATTAAATGTTACTCCTCCGCTTCGAGTCTTGCAGGACTAGTGTTGGTAGGCCCCATGCTCTAACAGCCAGTTTCCGGTTGTTCCAAAGCGTTCGCGCAGGGTCATCGCGTTCATCAACTCATACCACATCTATATCTGTCGGAAGAAGGTGCGCCACGTGACGTAATTGACCATTTCCGGCCAAAATTTGGCCTGATCTACATTTTGGAACAAAGGCTTCATTTTCATCTAAGTAGCAGCGCACCTAGGCTATACAGGCCGCTCTTCTTCTTCCTAATACAAGCACTCTTTTGACGACGTTTTCTTGCACCGTTGTATGCGACAACACCTACGTCGGCACCAACTTCACCGAATGGCACACCTGGACTTGGACACTACCAATCCACAACCACTGTCGGCACGACCACCATCGAGCTGGCGGCAGCTCCCTTTCTCGGCGGCAGCCGCTACCAGACCTTCACGCGTCACCGGTCGACCGTGACCGAGACGCACCGCTCTTGGTAGGTTGCCTACGTGACGTCGCGCAGCATCGTTCTTCTCGAGCCCGCGGCCACGTTCACGTACGCTGCGAAATGTGCGCCGACGAACCAGCTCGGCGAGCGCGCAAAGCATGGGTTGGGTGTCATACAGCGGCAGCAGCCGGATGACTGGTCGTCGCTTCCGAGGTATTACCCGGTGGTGGTGGTGGTGGCGAGCGTGCCTGGGATGATGATAGGTGATGCGGCAGCGTGCTGCCAGGTTTGTGTCGAGAATGAAGGCTATACGGCGAGCGAGTGGGCGCCGCCGCCGCCGCCGCCGCCGGGCAGCAGCGCAGAGGTGTATTACCCGGAACTAGCTTCTTCTTGTCGCTTGTTTTTCCGCAATGCGCCGACCACGAAGAGAAATGATACCGAAGTTGGCAATAGTGGTGGTGAAGAGTTGAGGGATTGGACGTGTGGCGGTGGGCTTGCGCTAGGGTACATGCTGATACTTGGATGTTGCCGGGGCAGGGGAGATTTGTGCAGGCTAGGCGTGGAAATTTGACCTATGTTGGGTTCGTGGATTCGAGTTGTCCGCCGTGCTCTGCGAATAAAATTGACTGAATTGGTGGTCGTGTAAGTAGGTAGTGGCCCAGCGAGTTATTTCTCATATAATGATAAAGAAATAAAGGATGGGCTTTTTGCCCTTCTCGTTGGCGCTCTTATTCTTTTCGGCCATTGATATTCTGAGTGAGCTTGATTGCTCGTGAATGAATAGCGATGGTAGGGACTTACTTCGTGGGTTTGATGTTGTGTTTCCGGTCTTTGGATGTGCTTCAGAAGTGTTCTGGTCTTTGTACCCTCGGACGCGAAGAGAAATGCTTTTAGTGGCAGACTACCTAGGTAAGATACCTTGATTATGCATGGAAATCCGAGATAGGAAGGGGAGCTCTCAGCTCTTCAAGTCACTCACGTGCTCTGGCCGAGGGTCTGTATGTCCAAGGTATCTAAGAACTGGCGGCGCAGCTCTGCTCAACTTTTCACCGCAAGGCTCGATGCAACCTCAACACTGAAGCTCAATTCAAGCCAAGCATGATATCGGAAGAAGCCGAAGGACTGCATAGGTGGCGCATATACTAGCCATCTGTGGCCTAGTCCATGATGACCCGAATACAGCACAAAAGTAGGGTATCTAGGCTATGCCCACCCTCTTTCTTTTCCCTCATACAAGCACGCTTTATACCACTTTCTACGTCCCGTTGTACGTAACAAACCACACCACGCTGCACGCAACTCCCATTCTGTCATCAGGCAAATTAAGATGCACCTCCTCCACTGCGCCTGGGACAGGTCGTCCAGCCCGTGGACCCTCTCCATCTCGCTGCACGTGTGCATCAGCAGCGTGCCGCCGCCCTACGCCATCTTGTCGCACCGCTGGGCCGCGAACCTCGAAGATGAAGTCACGTTTGATGACATGATGGCCGGCGCCGCCGACCGTGCGCAGGCCAAGCCCGGCTACGAGAAGCTCAGAATGACCTGCAAGCAGGCCCTGCTCGACAGCTTGAGCTGAGCGTGGATCGACACGTGCTGCATTGACAAGCGCAGCAGCGCCGAGCTGTCCGAGGCCATCAACTCCATGTTCAGCTGGTAGAGAAGTCGGACAGGTGCTACGCCTACCTGGAAGACGTACGCAGCATCCCAGGCCTGCTCGGACACGCTTTCGAGTGGGAGCTGGGGTCCAGCGCCTGGTTCAGTCGTGGCTGGACCCTCCAGGAGCTACTCGCGCCGGCCGAGGTCGAGTTCTTTGCGCAAGGCTTGCGCCCTGTTGGCAGAAAGACAAACATGACACAGCTGTTGTCTCAAATCTCAAGGATAGCAGAGAGGGCACTGTTATTCGGTGTTGACGTGTACCAGGCGTCCGTAGCCGAGAAGATTTCCTGGGCCGCCAACAGCATAACGACGCGCCCCGAGGACCGCGCCTACTCGCTCATGGGCCTGTTCGGCGTTAATATGCCCACTCTGTACGGCGAAGGTCACCACGCCTTCAAACGCCTCCAGCACGAGATTATGCGCCTAACCAACCACCAAAGTATTTTTACATAGGAGAGAGGGAGTTCGAGAAGCAGCATGCTGGCTGAGTCCCCTGAAGAATTTGCCAATGCAGCCATCTACCAGCCGTGCAGCTACCGGCAGTTTGTCGACACTTTCCGCATCAGCAACCCGAAGCCCGACTTTACGGTGACCAGCTTTGGTCTACACATCCAACTACCGCTAGCACTGGTTCCTGGCTATGAGGACTTCTACTATGCCTTTTTGGCATGCAAACCCATTCAAAGTGAAGAAGGGGATGATACGCACTTTGCCATCATCCTGAGTCGCTCTTCCAATGGCTTCCTTCGGCATTTCGTCCGTGTAGGTCATAGCGAGGGCATGCTTAAATATCTCCAGCTTTCCAGCTTTACTAAATTTGACACTAAACCGATCTGGATGTCTTTGTCGGACGGCCTCTCGCCTCTTGTTTGGAACCCAACCGGTGGTAAACCAGGTACGCAACCATCGAGGCCACCGCAAAACGGCCTGACAATCTACATGGACAAGTTCTATCGACATATTAACATCGTCGACGTGTTCCCGCCCGACCTGTTCCACCGCAACGAAATCCGTTTCCACGCCCCGGATTCTGGGAAGAGACAGCTGGCCGTCGTGGCAATGCGAAACAAAGAAGCAAGGCCCCCAATCCCTGTACGATACTGGTTGACAGCGACGGAGTATTGGTCGGATGTAACGAGTCTCTAAGCCTTCGAGCCCGCAAAACTTACAAGCAGGTTGCTGCTGACTTGGCTGTATTTGACAGTACTAACCCTCCTGGGAGTTACGACGACCGAGGAGCCGTTCACCACCTGCGCTTTCCATACTTGATGTCACTACCCTTCTCACAGGTCGGGACAGAAACTGACAGCTTCAATAGCGGGAACTACCAGATGTATCTCCAGCGAGGAAACAAGGTCGCTCTTTTCTATCGCCTGATCGTTGGGTTTAGGCCAAAATAAATGCTCCTCACTTCTGGCCGCCGACGTGGATCCAGAGATCTCCTTTTTTGATCGGAACAGCTGGTTGGAGAAGCAAAACTGGGTGTTGAGATTGTTTAAAAACTGGTAATGTTTTCCTAGTAAAAACCCCCCCTTTTTGCTAGCCTGGCTAGTCACAGCTTAAAACTTGGAGCTCGGAATCGCTCAGTGCTACTTAGAAAGGTCATGGGTTGGACAAGTATTTGAACGTTAGTAAGTCGTTGAGATCAGGAAGACCAAAACATTATGTCAACTGTGGATATAGTGTTGCTCGCGTCCAACGAGGCCAAGATATAACACTAAGATATAACATCCGAGGAAGGTTGTTTAGAAGATTGAGAATACAGGCCCCACCGACAAGACAAGTTGTTTAAATTCCACTTTCGCGTTAATGTTTGTGGTTGAAAATGGGTAGCGTTTATTACTTTCCTATGATAAACTAGGAAAATCCAAAAAAGCTCTTGCTCGGTATTAAATTCCCGAGGGCGTCCGCTTATCTCTATCTCAATAAGGTAGGTAGATAGGGTTGGGATTGTAACCTGCAATGCGGGGAAGCGCTCCCACCCTGGGTGGGTGGCTAATCGGGCCGAGAATCTTGTTCCCCTCTTCCTCCAAACTTGAAACGGCTATCCTCCAACGCAGTAGCTAATCGCCCAACGCCATGCCCGATTAGAAGCTAGCGCGTGGCCGTTCTCCCAACCAGGGCGCTGCCTACTATTTCCGGTCGTCGCCGCGCGAGCGGCCGTACGGATGCTGTTAGTTCGACTCGAGAAGCCCCTCGTCACAGAGGCGTCGCTCTTTCCACGATAGGTACAATGCGACCTTGCAGCGCTTTCCCTCGCTACTACGCTTTTTTTTTTTTTTTTTGGAGAAATACTATGGTACAATGCGGAGAACCTGGAACGAGACGAACGTGATAGGTGGAAAGTGGTAAACACATTGCGGCTATTCAGATGGTTGGTTACGTCGGACGGCTTTTGGGCTCGCAGTGCAACACTATGGCCACCCGCCCGCTGTCAATAATTAATCCCGTGGAAGCGCACCTATCAGAAGACGGGAGCAGTCCGCCTCGGGTGGTAATGGTGACGGGTAAGGTATTCCAGTAAAGCTTCCATCTGGGTAGGTACCACTTCGTAATAATTATGAGCATATTGGGGAAAGATCAGCGGGTGGACAGGGTAATTAAAAAGCTATGAGAACCCGCCGACCTGTCTCTCAACTTTCTACCTGCGCAGTGCCCCTCTTGCCCGCTGATTTTGTCTCGATTATCTGTCTCGCAAGGCTGTACGACATCTGACCTAGCGAGCCAATTTCAACATCATGTCGTCGGCGGAAGGCGCAGAGCTGAAGAAGAAGGAAACGGAGGAGGTGCCCAATGTCGTTCACCAATCAGAAACCGACGCCGTGTCCGGACACGGCGTCACCCATGCCCCCGATCCCGATTTCGACGAGAAGAAGGCGGGATTTGCCGCCTACAAGGGCGATGCCATCGAGGCAGAGAACGTCGAGCATGACATGGGCGTCATCCAGGCCGTGAGGGCCTACCCCATGGCTGCCTTCTGGGCCTTGGTCATGTCCTCTACCATTGTGAGCAGCAGCCCGCTGATATTGTCAAGATGTGCATCTCTCCCCCAACTCTATGAAATCATAACTGACACGCACCTGTGGTTGGTTAGATCATGGAGTCGTACTGTGTCTTCCTCATGGGCGCTTTCGTCGCCTACAACCAGTTCATGGACGAGTACGGCGTCGTGGACAAGGACGGGAACAAGGCCATCGAGGCGTCGTGGCAGTCTGCGCTGCAGGTCGGCGGGCCTCTGGGCGCGCTCGTCGGCGTCCTGATCGCCGGCCCCATCACCAGCCGCATCGGCTACCGCTGGGCGACCATCGGCGGGCTCATGTTCCTCAACGTCTTCATCTTCGTCTTCTACTTCGCCAACTCGCTCGCTGTCATGTTCGTTGCCCAGCTGCTCGAGGGCGTGCCGTGGGGCATCTTCATCGCCAACGCGCCCGCATACTGCAGCGAGATCGTGCCCATGAAGCTGCGCGCCCCCGCCACCCAAATGCTGCAGATGTTCTGGGCTATCGGGTCCATTCTTGTCGGCGGCGTTACCTACGCGTTGCAAGGCCGGACCGACGCGTCGTGTTACAGGTCAGTAATTGACCTCTTTTCCGTGTCACGTCACAACCTCCCTTGTCTCTTTTGCTCATAAGACGTGTGTGTCTACAGGATCCCTATTGCCCTCCAATGGATGTTCCCCACGCCTCTCGCTGTCCTCATCTTCCTGGCTCCCGAGTCGCCCTGGTGGCTGGTCCGAAAAGGGCGTCTCGAGGATGCGGCCAAGTCGGTTCGGCGCCTGGGACGCGCGTCGAGGCTCGAGCATCTCGACGAGTCGGTTGCCATGATGCGTCGCACCATTGACCTCGAGAAGTCCATCAAGGAGCCCAGCCTCCTGGAGCTGTTCCGCGGCACCGACACCTACCGCACGCTCATTGTGTGCGGCGTGTACGCGGCCCAGAACCTGACGGGCAACCTTATCGCGAACCAGGCCGTCTACTTCTTCAGACGTAAGTTTTCGTTTTGATGGCTTGTGTGTGTGTGTGAGTGTGAGTGTGTGTGTGTGAGTGTGAGTGTGTGTGTGTGAGTGTGAGTGTGTGTGTGTGAGTGTGTGTATGAGTGTGAGTGTGTGTGTGAGTGTGTGTGTGTGTGTGAGTGATTGTGTGTGTGGTGTGTGTGTATGTGTGTGTGTGCTAACCCGAGGCGTAATTACAGAGGCCGGCATGGATTCGCAAACTGCGTTCGCACTCGGTCTCATCACTTCGGCCCTGCAAACCATCTTCGTCATGCTTTCCTGGATTCTCACGACATACCTCGGCCGCCGAACTATCTACGTCTGGGGCTCGCTCATCAACGTCTGCTTCCTGATCGCTCTGGGCGTCGCGGCCTCCGTCGGCCCTTCCAAGTCGGCCAGTCTGGCGCAGGCGTCCTTGGGTCTTATCGTCTCTGTTGGCTTCACCCTGGGACCGGCGCCTGCTTCGTGGGTCATCATCGGAGAGACGTCGGCCATCCGCCTCCGTCCTCTGACCACTGGCGTCGGACGCGCCTCGTACTACATTATCAACATTCCTTGCATTTTCCTCGGGTCTTATATGCTCAACCCGACGGTACGTGTGAAATCGATTCTTCCCTCCTTCCAACAAAGCTCTGCAAGAATGTGACAAAACAAACCCGCTGACATGAACGTGGGAATAGGGGGTAAACCTTGGCGGCAGGTGCGGCTACGTCTGGGCCTCGACTGGTTTTGTCTGCTTCCTCTTGGCCTGGATCTACCTGCCAGAGATGAAGGGCCGGTCCTACCGCGAGATCGACATCCTCTTCAACCGCAAGGTCCCGGCTCGCAAGTGGAAGCAGACGGTCGTCCATATCGGCGACGACGAGTAGATGGACGACTTGGGCCGAAGCCAGTGAGTGGTGAGATGGAACCCGGGCGCAACATACCAAGAAGAGGGTAGACCTCGAAAATGCTCTGCATGTATTCCTAGTAATCCATCTAGGCACCTTTAAACTTTCCATCATTGTCGACTTCTATGACTTTGCTCTCGTCTTCTACCCCATGGAATCTAATTACCTACTTCAAGATGCAGAAACTGTATCGGGGGATAGTTACCAGCCAGATGCCGACGTAGCTTCACACGAGCGCCACCTTCATCCTTATGCCATCCTTCGGCTTGGATGCCATCCTTCGGCTTGGATGCCATCCTTCGGCTTGGATGCCATCCTTCGGCTTGGATGCCATCAATCGGCTTGGACGTGATCTCCCTTGTCTGCGTGAAATCTAGATTAGCACTCGGTCTCGACCCGAAGCCAACTACAAGACGACGACGGAAACAGCAGCCAAAACTTACCTGGTACATGTCCGACACCACCTTGCACTGGCCCAGACTATCTAGCTCGGGCTCGCCCGCCTCGTCGAGCGCCACCGCGCCCGTGCTGATCTTGGTGAAGTCGTAGCGCCGCGCCGCCATAGCAATCAAGACGCGCCTCAATGGTCGCCAGCTCCTGGCCAATGCAGTTCCTCGGCCAGCGCTCAAATGCCCGCCACGCGCCCGTGGGGATCGCCTCTTCCTCTTCACCATCCTGATGCAGCCAGCGCTCCGGCACGAACCTGTCGGCGGTATCCCCAAACGCGCGCGGATCCCGCTAGATGATGGGCACAAGCTGGTACACGAGCAGGCCATCAAGGTTGAGCATCTCGCCCGTGCCCGGATCGCGCACCGCCCACCCGTCGCCCGGCCGCGTCATGCGCATCGTCGACTCCGGCGGCCACAGCCACAGCGTCTCCTTGAGTACCGCGAAAGTGTAGGCTATGCGGTGCACGAGCTCGTCGCCGCCGGGTGCCAGCAGCCGATCGCGCACCGCTGCGGGGGTCGCGTCAGCCCCGAACAGCTCGTCCAGCTCGGCGCGCACCGCCGCCAGCGCCCGCGGCGTGCGCGCCAGCTCGTACATGGCCTACGCCATCAGCGTCGACGTCGTGTCGTGGCCCGCGAACAGGAACGTGCTGAGCTGGTCGCACGTCACGTCGACCAGCTCGGGGGTTAGTGTTTTGATGTCGCGCAGGCCATGGGCGTCGGCGTGGCGGGCGCGGACCATGGCGCGGAGAGTCGTCCAGATGCGCTTGGACAGCTGGCGGCGGCGCAGCTGCGTGCGCGGCGTGCACCACCACGGTATGTCGAGGTGGTCGCTGGTGTACGTCTCGACGAGGGCGCGGAAGTCGCGCATGAAGGGCGTCGGGGCTGCCGTCTGCGCGTCCATGTCGAAGTCGAGCACGACGCGGCCGGTGATGTCCAAGGTGAGGTTGGTAGCCATGTGCTGCAGGGAGAAGTCTTCCCCAGCGCGCGCGTGCGTGTCGAGCTGGCCGAGGCAGAGTGACACCTTGTCGAGGATGGCCGGGAGGAGCGTCACCAGGTGCTGCGGCGCGAAGCCCGGGTTGAAGCGCTTGCGCAGCGCGCGCCACTGCTCGCCGTGCGCGGCGAGGATCGACGTCGGCCCGGTGAGCGGTTTCATGCTCTCCCAGAACTCGGGGCCTCTCGGCGGCGTGTGCGGCCAGCGGTCCGTCGGCCGCAACACCTGCTCGGCCACCTCGTGGCTGCACACGATCACCATGCACGACGACACGGGCCGCAGGTCGACGAGCAAGACGGCTGGCCGGCCGAGCGCCTCGTGCATGGCTGTGAAGGCCACGTCGGCGTGCCCCCGCGGCGGTTCCTTGCGTATGAAGGCGTCGACGACGCCGAGGTGGCCGAGCAGTAGTGATGGGGCATGCTGCGGGAAGTGCGCGTACTGCTGGAAGCGCATGTAGTGCAGCCTGCGGTAGAGGACTGCCAGCAGCAGCGCGGCGGCCGCGGCGAGGAGCGGGACGAGCATCTGGTGCTGTGGTGGGAGAAGACGTGGATTTGTTTACTTTGGGAGACATGTCGTCGAGAGAAGGCCAGGAGGCGTGAGCATTTAAAGCACCAATGCCACCCGGCATCTCGACATGCACGGGGCGTGGCTTGGCACGGAATGCCGAGAGCGCCGGGACAGGGATGAGATCGGCAAGAACCAGCCCACGCAGTAGCTAAGTGGAAACTATTTGGTCTGCGAGGGCCTGTTAGTTCCGTGTATGCACAGACCAGCGGCCGGGGGATGTTGATCTGATAGGCCGTTAGATTTTGGAAGGCAGCAATCTTACACGGACTATAAAAACAAGACATGAGTAAGTGCCAAGGGAGTAAGACGTGGAATATCATTCTTTCCCCTTTTCCTTTCTAAAAAGGAAAGGAAACCTGGAGCAACTAGTTCTGTAACCTCGAGGTGCGTAAACACTGGAGTTTTACATGCCGATAAAATGTAGTAGTGCTCGAAGCCACAAGTAACGCAGTTTTGGTGCTATCGGCTGCTGCCCCCCTCCTTGCTCCGGCCTGGAGTCCGGGGCGTTGCAAGCATTCATGTTGGAATTTCCGGCTCAATATCCGTACGGAGTACGGGGTACACAGACAGTGACCGGGTAGGCCGCAAGATTTTCAGCTGCTGCCAGCTGGTGGCGGCTATGACGGCCCGCCTTACGCAGTAGGGATGTCAATGGTTGAAGGCAGTAACGAATGTGGATTTAAAGCTAAAAGGAAGGAAAAGAGGAAGCTATTACAGGGACCGCGCGCAGGGTGCGGGAAATAGGTGTTGGTGGAGGGCACGTGGTGGGCGTGCGCATGGACCACACTCTAAATGCAATACGGCCAATAGAGTCAATCCCTGTCACGTGCGCACCGTGACAGCGGCTGGATGGTGAGTGCTCACTCACAGCTGGCTCCAGCCAATAGTAAGCCTTAGTCGCTCAACTCTGGCCCGCAGGGTGTTACTAGGGTTAGGGTTTCCCCGCAACTAGGAGGGAACCATCTGGAGTTTGGGGCTGTGGGCTTTCGTCCTCAGAACTTGGAAAAAACAACCATTCTTCGAAAGAATACACAGTTGTTGAACTCCCGGATACCGACCTCACTCCTCCATATGCACAGCCTGAGAATCAATTGCAGCTGGCTCCATGACTGATCATTCGAGGCTCTGACTCTTCAAAACATCATATTACTAAAAGGTGCCGTCAATGCAATTGACGTCACCGAGGCCTTCCGGCGCCGTCAGGTGGATTTCTTCTGGCTCCAGCGGGTAACAACGGGGCTCGGCAGGCTGTGCTTCTCGAATCGGGATTGAGGTGGCCCGTGTGTGGGCGCCTGTGATCTGCGCGCAGCGCCCGGAAGGATTCCAGGGGGCTAAGGGCTGCCCAGCCGAAGCTCGCAGCCGCAACGCCAGGCCCAAATTAGCGACGAAAAGGGGCACTGCCAGGCCCACGCGAACGCCCGCCCGCAGGAGCGTGTGAATCAATCAGAATCCCAGAATGCCGGGTCTTTGATGACGAGTTTGCACTGGTGCAGCGCATTGCTCATCAATTGAGAACTATGTCTTGGTGCTTCTTTCTTTCCTTTATTCACGTCATCAGTGAATTCTTTACTTAGCGTTTTCTCTTAGCGTTTTCTCATTATCGATCACACTTGTGCTAACTAGCAAGTCCAAGTCAAGGTCGGGTGTTGTACTGTATGTATTAGGAACGGGCAGTGAATCGGGATTGCGCGAGGCGCATTCAATGATTCCATGCATCGTGGTGGTGTCGCGCGCCGGTAACGCGCATTGCGCAGAATGGCCCTAATGTCCAGCCAAGGCTCCCAGGTACGACTGGCCCCTGTTCCCCCCTCCACTTGGGTGGGTGGATTTATCGACGCCCGCGTTCTCGGCCCACGTTCTCTGCCCGCTGGAAGCGCCCACCGGATTGGCGTGTGCCTGAAACGACGAAAAATAACATTGTGCATGGAGCATTTCTCATGCTCAATGTAGCGATTTGGAGGCCGCAGCGCAGCCTTGCGCCGACTCTTTGGCCAAATGTCGAGTCGGCGCCCCAATTTAAATCTTTAACCACAACATAGCCTTCTTCGCTTTCTTTCCCTCAAGGTACGGGTGACAGCGTGACAAGCTTGCATATCTTCCATTCTTGTTCCGGCCGCTTTACCACGCAGGCACCCCCCCTGAGCCCGGCCCCAGCAGTCTGTCTACCTTATTGTATATTGATTGCCCGTGCCACCGTGGCCCAACTGCATCCCACCACGTACGAATACCAAGAATTGGAACACATCGTCTCACGGAACGCCCAGGCGCTACCACTGTTACCCGGAACCCTCCCGCAGTCCGCTGCAGCTGGGCGCACATCATGTTGCCGGCCACAGAGTGCCCGACGAAAGCCTCGAAGATGGGCCGGTTGCTGCGGTTGGCCGGCACAGGCTCAGGCACAGGCACAGGCACAGGCACAGGCACAGGCACAGGCACAGGCACAGGCACAGGCACAGGCACAAGCACAAGCACAAGCACAAGCACAGGCACAGGCACAGGCAAAGGCACAGACAAAAGCGTGGATACCCACGGCCAAGACACCGTCCCCGACCTGAAGCCGTCGTGGTCAAGGTCCATCCTCGACCCCTTCAAGAAGTCGCACTCGTACCCTCACCGCCCAAAAAGCGCCGCCGACCTCAACTCTTCCCGGCTCAGGTCCGACTCGGAGTCGCCCGCTCCCCCGCCCACCGGCCTCCGTCGAGCTGTCTCGGCTGCAAGTGCCGCGGCGAAGAGAATGCGGCGCCGGCGAAACTCATCTTCCATCCATCCCCTCGATGAGAGTACGGCAGTCGACCAGGATGTCGCCAAGAAGACAGTTGAACCGATAACGGAGGTGCCGACCGAGGAACTCGGCGCCGAGTCTGCTCCTGCTGCCCCCGAGTCCGGAGATGCCAGGTCCCCCTCCCCCGTCTTGTCTGCTGTCGCCGAGGAACAGCCGCTTTTCCCTTCTGGAGGCAACCGAAAGCGCCGTATCGATCTCAGCGACGACGACGACGACGACGCCGATGACAGGATGTCCTCTGGCAACAGGCGGCAGCCCAAGAGCCGCCCCGGTTCTTCCTCAGATGGCCTGCAACGCAAGCCCTCGGCCAAGGACCGCATCCGCATCTTCGACTGGATCTACAACCCAGCCGACCAGGTCAAATGCACCCCGTCGTCTGAGCACCTTCCAGGGCCGTCTGCCGAGGGCAGTATCTTGACAGCGCCGGCAGATGGCGACTACGACGACACTCGGCCGTTCAAGTACCAGAGGCACCACACCATCCCGATCCCAGCCGAGAAGCAGAACTACCGGCTCTCGCCCACCATGCGGGGTGGCGTCCAAGATCCTAGAATGAGCCTGATGAGGGGTAAGTGCGCTCGCTCTTGTGTTGTTTCAGCAACCAATATCGAGCTCGGGTTGGCTCCTTTCGACACCCGAAAAGCGAGTCCTGACAGATTTACAGTGATCCAGGAGTCTCAACATGACCAATTCGCCAACCCCGAACGCCGGAGCACCATTGACACCCCGTACAACCTGGACGCCGTCATATCCGCACCCCAACGGACCCTGGACCCCAGCCCCTTTTCACGATCTCCCATGGCGAGCCAGTGCAACTCCCCGCCGCTCATAGACCAGTCTCGCTCGACAAGGAGAGGCTCATCGACCACCATCGCCACCAGCTCCGGGACCGTTTCCGACTCGATTTTCACCAAACGCTGGTCGGCGTCCACAGGCCTAACAGCTCCGAGCCAGACAACGCTGACAGTCACGGCGGGTGCAGAGCACGTTTCGGCACAGATGAAGCGAATCCGCCCAGAGTCTCCAGCAAACTCTTTCTTTAGCAGGTCGACGGCCTCTCCGAGATCCTCGACCTCCTATATCAACTTTCCACCCAGCCGGACCAGGTCATGGGTACCCTACGATATCTCGTGGGACGATGACACCAAGGCTCTCCCGCCTGTTCCAGCCCTCCCACAAAACGTCGACCACCTCCCCGGAAGTGCATTTCTGAAGCACCTCGGCGCAGTCGGTGTAGTCGGTGAAGTGGACTTGGTGCTTCGGGCTGGGAGTCGGGCCCAGGAGCGGCGGTTCAGGCGAATGGTCAGGAGGGACGTGACGGTGGCGCAGCCGGACATTCCCGCCGATGTAGCTACCGCGTCTTGTGCCGCACCTGAAGAGGACCACGACGTCCTCAGCATCATCAACGAGCACGCGTCTGATACCCGGTCGTCAAAGACCAGATCATCAACCCAGTCACTAGGAAACAGGAGCGTCGGCCAGGCCACCGTCGGGACCGTCAGCGACACGCACGAAACCCCTTCACTTTCAGCACGCGACAGGGCCGGCCGCCAGTCCTCCGAGACCGCCACGACCGTCGTGTCCCGCGAGACGACCGCGCTCCGGTCAAATACCCCGGCCACGTCGCTCGGCGACCTGATGGAGCCAGAACGAATGAACTACGACGTCAGCGACTCGGAAGACACAATGTCGGATTTCACAGACTACACCGACGTGTCGCTGCTCGAGGCCTTTGACGCAAGCCCGGTGCCGTTCAGCCCCGTTCTGCTCGCGATCCTGGTCAGGCTCAAGGAGGACGTGGTGGCGCTGATCAGGCAGCGGGCGGACACGATGTTGCAGGCAGGCGGCGGGCAGCAGTCTCGTGGCAACAACGAGGGCAGCTTCGAGTCGTCTGCCTCCGGGTCCCCGCCCCCGCCCCGACAGAACGGCAACGCGTCCCAGAACGTGCAGAACCTACGGAAGCGGGCCCTCAGTGAAGACGCGGATGGCTCAGGCCCTAACCGGGGCGACGGCGACGACGGCGAGAAGAGGCAGAAGCGCGATGCGTCGTCCAGGGCGCTGCTCGAGAGGCGCCTCAAGCTCTTTGCGTGTCCGTTCCTCAAGCGCTATCCAAATAGGAAGTGGGAGAATAGGGCCTGTCACGGCCCGGGGTGGAGGTCAGCGCATAGAGTCAAGTGAGTCGAGCACACACGATATCTATGCTTCCCATCCCTGACATGCCTGGCTAACTCTTGTCTTAGGGAACACGTTTACCGATGCCATGCGCCGCTCCTGAGGTGCAACAGATGCTTTGCCGTATTTGCCGACGAAGCGACGCGGGATGCGCATGCCCGCGCAACGCCAGCCTGCGAGCCCAGGAGCGCGCCGCCCGAGCAGGAACCGACATGCATCAGCCAAGGGCAGCAGGTCGAGCTGAGGAAGAGGCAGAAAGGACTCACGGACGAGCAGAAGTGGCACAAGCTGTACCGTGTCATCTTCCCAAACAGCGAGGCCCCGTCACCCTGTAAGCGATATGCAAAACATACGTCTTTCTGCTCCCAAGCTAACGCAGCTAGACCACGAAGTCCACCTGCAGAACCCGCTGCCCGACTCGGACACGATCACCTCGCTGTGGGGGTTCATGGACCAGGAGTTGGTGCCCCGCATAGTCTCCGACGTCGGCAGCCACCGGCAGCGGAACAGCGGCAGCAATCCCGATGCCCGCGCCGAGACCGACGGTAACGGCGACCTGATCGAGATTGTGCGCTCGGCCATCAAAGAGTGCTTCGACTCGTTTCTCTCCGGCTTCGTCGCCGTGCAGGCCGAGGCGACGCCCCTGACGATACAGGACCCGCCTAGTTCGCTGCCCGAAAGCCCCGACGTTCCCACCCCGGTCGACGACCGCCGCGGTTCATTCCCCCCAGATTATGGGACTTTGCAAACGATGAAACGGGCTGCTAGCCCCTGGGGCCCTCCTGCCGGTGGACCGAGCAGGACTGCGACCCCGAAGCCCCCGACACCAAGTGTGGTTTTTAGCAGCGTCTTGCCAACCGCACCGGCAAGTGGGAACTGGTACGCAATGCTCGCCGCGAGCCAGCAAATGCCGGCGCCACAGGGCTACCATAACCATCATCGGCGCCTGCGACAGCAACACTTGCAGCAACAACAGCAACAACGGCAGCATCAACAAGAACAACAACATCAGCAGCAGCAGCAGCAGCAGCAGCAGCAGCATCAACAACAACATCAGCAGCAGCAGCAGCAGCAACAACAGCGCCAGAACTGGTCCGCCGCGCCCGCATACATTGACCCGAAACTGACCGTCTTCGACCACGGGGCACGATACCACCACCAGCTCTCTCCGCTAGCGAACCGTCTCGAGACGACAAGCTACAGCACCAAAAATGTTGATGACAACGATTATAATGAGAATGATAACGAACACGACAACAACCCATCAAACAGCTTTCCTGAGGCGCCATCCACGGCCGCATTCGACAGCCACATCACCAACCACTTCTCGTCGCTGAATGAATATGACAACGGCAGTGGCACCCATGACCATATCCCGCGGCGGGGAGAGAACTATGGAGGTTTTGATTTTGATTTTTGAGTTTTGAGTTTTCTGGTGGGCAAGGTGTGTTTGGCCCATGAAATGTGAATTTCTGTTTCTTTTCTTTTCTTTTCTTTTCTCAGGCTTTTTGGGAGACGGTTTTGGAGCGAGCTTTTTTTTTAAGATACCCATTTATTGCATGGCACGGTAGAAATGAGATCTGACTGTTTATGGCCGGCCTGGTTTAGGAATACTAGACTTGGACTTGATATAACTGGTGGAAGACGCTCCTCGATAGAGTTGAACAAATAAACACACTTGGCTTGGCCTGTGTATGATGTAATCTGGAAGTAGCATACCTAGTTACGATGAAAAGGAGGTCGAGCAGAATCCAAAGTTTGCTCAGACTCGAGTTGTTATATATGAAATTATGCTCAGAGAGAAGCTCTGCCAAGTCTCGTGTGACTTGAGAACAATAATATGATGTGATACTCGCATGATACTCGGCTCGACTTGTAAACCGGACTTTCGGATGATCGCGGGAGGACCAAGGCATGCTTCTCTCTGCACAACCTATCGGCAATTATGTCAACGGAGAACCGCCTCTTCCTGCTCAGTTATCTCACCGCCGTCTCTAGTGAATCACGGGGCATCAGATGGTACTACCACACACGCGCAACACGTCTCGGCAACCCAACTCTATTGGTAAATACAAGTCCAGTCTCGACAGACAGCAGCGAGTAGAGATTGCATAGGTAAGGATGGGGGACGACAGCGAGGAGTGGAAATCTCACGCGCGTGAACCGGTTAAAGCAGATATATATAACGCCTCTCTCGTCTGATGATGCGTTTGTCTTTGTCTGAGCCGAGAGTCCCCCAATAGTCTGAAGACATGTTCTTATTCCATCCCACCTTCGAACGCACTCCACAAAAAAAAAGAGAAAAAAGGCAACGCGTGTGTATTTAGACAGGTCTTGTTAACAACCTTAACCTCTACAGCTCAATGATGAACGCCTCCTTGTACAGCGTCGCGACGCCGTCGCCCCAGATGCCCACGACGGCCATGGCGAACGCCAGCCCGGCTACCGTCGTCTGCACCATCTGCTTCTTGAGGAAGGCCTCGACCTTGACGCGCACCTCCTCGCCGTTAAGAGTCTCGTCGTCTGCTTCCGCGGCGTCGTCCGAGCCCGTGGTGCCCTCCTCGCTGGCCGCCTCGTCCGAGGCCGCGTGCAGCACCTCGTAGCTAGCCTCCATGCGCGCGCGGGCTGCAGCAGCAGCGGCAGCGGCGCGGTTCTTCTTCTGCTTACGGGCGGCGGCAGCGGCGGCGGCGGATGAGGAGGATGATGATGAGGCTGGCGCGGGGCCGAGAGATAGGTATGGGGCCGCGAGGTCGGAGATGGCCAGGCGCGAACCGAGCACGAGGATCGACGTGTAGATGAGGTATGGGTGGCGGGCGGCGCGCGGCGACAGCAGGTAGGCGAGCGTGAAGGCCGACGCCGAGACGGTTGTCAGCGTGTGCAGGTGCTTCTTAGCGGACGCGGTAAGCGAGTCGAAGGCGCCGACGGCCGCGCTGGCCGACGGCAGGCCCAGCAGCGTCGGGATCGTGAGAGTCGACAGCGTGTACGATAGGCCCTGTGGACGGTTGCAAGCATCGGGTCAGCCAAGCTATTCATCCATCCATCCATCCATCCATCTCATTCCTCCGAGACACAGGCAATGTTCGGACGGTGCGTTGCTCTACTCCCGGCCGTCGTTCAACAACATTACATTGCCATCGACGTGGGCAAGCACGGCTGTTGCCGGCAGGTCGGACGGATGACGGCTAGGGATGGTGGTGGCGGCATTGAACTGCAATTCAATGCAGCGCAGCGCAGCGGCCCGGCCGCGGGGAAGCAGCACAGCAGGGGTTCAGCTTACCGTCAGGAGGCCTAGCGACACGGTGCCGACAAACTTGAGCACAGCGGGTCCTCTCGCGGCCATGGTTGCAATCGTCGTCGTTGGGAGGTAATGACTTAATCGCGGGCGTTAGGGAAGGGCCGATGGGGGGCGGAGTGAGAGATTGGCAAGGCGCTGGGTCAGGCTTGGGCAAGTGGAAGAAAGCTTGATGGGTTCGTGGTGGAGATGAAGAGGGGCCCTGGAGGGGCCGACTTGGCTCACTTGACAGCTTGGCGCCCGGCTGCAAAGAGTGGGTCCTGTCCCAATTGAACTCAGCTCACCCTAACCCTAGGTGAGAACAACCCTAACCCCGTCTTCTTTGAACAACCGACTCTCTTAGATTCTCGTCTTACACCTCTTTTTCGCAAAGGATAAACTCTAGTTGGACCTGACGCCACCCACCCCTCGAATTGTCAACCTCAGTAGTTGAGGTTACAGGTAATAGAAAAGAAGTAATCTCTTAAAGAGCCGGGAGTTTACTGGCGTATATTGGGACGGCTTGGTGATAGATTCCGAGCAACTAGGCTGATATGGTATTGATAAACATAGAAGAGCCACAAATGACAAAATATTACAAAATTAAAGGACTTGACCGTGGATTTGTCCTTAACCAATTAATATCGAGTATGCCTATAATAAACTATGTCATAATAACTGCATATGTTGGGCTAGGCTACTTTCCAAGAGACCTCATAATGCAAATCGGCTGCGCGGGAAAGATTCAACAAAGCTTACCAAGGGCAATCGGATCACAGTATGAGAGGTAGGAGGTTCAGCGTGACCTTGACCTAGCGCGGACGATGGTGACGAATGTCCATTTGTCAAAGGCCGTGTCCACTATTCCTAAAAGAATCCCGGGGGCTATGGCCCTCCTCATGCTCCTTTGCAGGCAGGCGAGATGCCTTTGCGAGTCCATGCCATGAACCTAAACAAGTTGAGATTTATGTGTGGCGTGGTGGAGGAGGAAAGAGGGAGGCAAGCTGTCGGTCGTGTGTCAGGCTAGAATGCGGGGTCTCGCTTTTGGGTTCTCTACGGAATGTGTGCTACCTACCTCATCAGCCTACGTACGTACCTGCCTAATAAACCTGTGGCTGCCAGTGCCATCACGTGGACATACATACCTACCCGTCTGACACGAGTCGGGCAGCATCGTTCCTTCCAAGTTGGGCCACAAGCAGCTGGTCATCTGGTGAAGTTCAAAGAGGGAATAAGGTACCTCAGGTAAGTGCCCGCTCGACTTGCCTTGAATAACCGCACTAATTAGTAGCTTCCACCCAACCCTCCCCTCCGATCTCCAAGAGACGGGGCAGCTGTTCCACACAGCAGGAGAAGAGAGTGATAGAATGCCGCTCTGCGAGTTTCTGCGTCGAGCGGCAGACGGGTATGCAGCTCAGCGGGATTGACTACGGACCCAGGTTTGGGCCTCTGGATCCGACTAGGGGTTGGCGGGAAATACGACGCCAGAACAATCGCATCTTGGACTGCAACCGCCTCTACGTCAGCCTCTGTGACCGCATCGTGGGATTCGTGGCTACCTCCTGGGACTCCTGACGGGCCCGTCTGAACGGCCGTTCAAGAAGTTGGTGCGCTTTTGTATTTCGACGACGGCGCCCAGAAGGGTTACATCTATGTCTACAGGCGTCCGTGGCGTAGCGCCGTCAGCTACCTGGCCGAGGCGGACTACAGCGAGCTCATGTCGAGGGGCCGGGTGTGTCAGGAATGGTTTCTGAGCAGGCGCATCGTACATTATACACCCTCCGAAGTCTACTTTGAATGCCGGACACTGCGGCCTGCGAGTATTTGCAATTACGCCGTGGGTCTCATCCGCCGCAAACTCATAGAAAATGAAGAGGACGACAATAACGGCGAATCCAGTATTCCATTCCGGGTTGGCTTCAAGTCGCGCTTCTTCGCCGTCTCTGCTGACAAGCAGCAGGCATAGTATGACTTGATCACGCCCTACTCGCGCATGGAGCTGTCCTACCCAGCCAAGGACCACCTAGCCGCAGGGGTATAGCAGCCGAGTTTAGCAATATAGCTATCGTCTCCAAGCAAGAGTAAGACGCGAAGAACCCTTCTGCCAGCAACATGGTCAACACGGTCAACACCACCACTACCAACCCGCAGCAGTACCTGGCCGGCCTGTGGCTCGCCGGTATGCACTACGGACTGCGCCGGCATGCACCACGGACTGCGCCGGCACGCCACCGACACGGCCGCCGCGAGACCCTGCGCCTGTGGCGTACCGTCATGGTCATGGGCATCGGTCGGCGGCGACGGAGGAGTCAACTGGTTTGGGCAGCACTCGCGCGCCGTAAAGGAGAACTGCGACCTTATTTCCGCTAAGGACTCAATCCTCAAAGTCAGGGGGAAGCTCCTGCCCGTCGTCATCCGTGGGCTGATGCAACCGAGACTCGCGCAGGACTCACAACGCCGAGTGGGAGCTTAAGGAAGGAGACGCCAGAAACCAGAGCTCCTCTGCAAAGCCACCAGACGATCAACAATAACATCGCCGGCCGGTGGCTAGTGAGCCGAACGACGAGCCTCGGCACGGCTAGTGGATGGGGCGTGTTTGAGCGCGCAGATCTGCCACACGAGTCGCCGGCAACCGACGGAGAAAACACCCTGACGCTAACGCTGGCACTCGCAATCGCCGCGCGCAAGAACTGCGGGGGCGTCCCGGCCTCGTTTGCCTACGACGTTCTTGGCGTGCTCTTTGTCGAGCCCGTCGCCGACGAGGAGGCGGCTTGCAGGTTCCGCCGCGTCGGCGTGGGGAGCCTATTCGAAAAGGAGACACTGCATGTGTTTAACATGGCTGAAGTTATGGCGATTGAATTGGTGTGATGGTCGAATGAAAGATACACCTGAGGTAGGGTAAATTTAGGGCGAAATTGTCTTTGCGCTGGGGCTTACAAGCTGAACACACCCACTTACAGAGCCCTTTTGTTAAGAATAAAGCACGCACTCGCACCACCCCTTTGCGACTCCCAGAGCGCTCATCTCGACAAGGACTTCCAACTCGACATCGAACCTTTGCACCGCCACCAGCGTGGCCGAATTACTGCAACACGAGCATCTGGCAAACAGTTCACTCTTCAAATCCACCGCAGGCACGCACGCACCCGTTCCCGTTAGTGTTCTGTTATACACCCTCCAGTCTGCCCTACTGCCACACCAAGCTGCTGTGCGTGCTGGGCTGAATCACCAAGTCCCAGCCAGGCGTGCTGACGGGTGCGAGGCTTTGAGGATTGGCGTTGCAGCCGAAATGCGGCCAACATGGCCGCAGGATGGAACGAGGTGCACCGTGAACCTCTCCCGTTCGACGAGCCCTGCCAGAAGCGTACGTCCGAGACGTGCTGGTGATGGCAAGCAAACTGTGCTGCACGGCCAAGATACACATCTTACACTGTTCCTAGTGTGTTTGTTGCACAACAGGTCGACTTCCCCTTGGAGCACTAAGGATTGTAGCTTGGTTGTTGCATGTGCACTCAATCACATACACATTCTTGTGAAAAGTCGACGAGGGGCCGAGGCTGCCTTTCTGCTATCTGCTGTCACGTTGTACAATAAGGCACAGCCAGGCAAACCAGACCACAGAGATGCAACACAAAGTACTCCAATCTATCGGGCCTGACCATCTTCGGCATGGAACTGACGGCCTGGAACTGACCGAGAAGTGGCTATGGTGGCTCACGGAGGGCTGCGCGAGGGGTTGTGGATGCTTGCCCCTTTTTACCGGGGGCGTAAGGTGTCGCAAAACAGCGAAATCTCTCCCGAAATAAGAACAAAGAGGTTTCGACACCCCTCGACAGGCTTTCTGTATGCCCGTGGAACACAGTAACTAGGCCGTCACCATTGCCATCCGGCTGACCACCGTCAAGGCCATTGCCGAATGTCTGCGCACACCCGCCAGCACCCGCCCGCACCCGACGGAAAACCACAGGACCTAGCGATACTATCTGCCTAGTTATGCAAAGTGCATAGCACGAAACACACATGCACTTGCAGGATGCTGAAAGGCAGACTAAGAATAACCATAGTTCTAATTCCAGGAACTCGGATTGAGTCTCGCTCTGCGTCCGTTTTGTTCGTACGGACATACCCCACATAGAGCCTCGTCGTGTTGTAGGAAGACGCATGAGCCAAGAGAGAGGTCGGAAACCTATAATAGGTCAGCGGGAACCGGTGTGGTGTCTTCTTTCCACTGTCACCTCACCCATCACTGCAGAAAACGGGACACGCGATAGTAGCAAACATGGGCGCATGCGTTTCGGCTGAAGTGTGTGCGCACTACAACAAGACACTGAACTGTGTTTACCGCAACGACACCAACCCTCCCTCGGCGGGTGGTGTTAACAAGGGACAAATTCAACCCAACCCAGATGTTGCCGGTATCGGTGTGCGTTTGCTTTCTTCGATGTATTCTGGATGGGACCACTTACTGACTGCTGTTTCTAGATCATCTCGGTATTCATTGGAATCACGTCTTTTGCCCTCGGCCTGAGCGCCATTGATGTCCTCTGGAAGCTGTGCAAGTTTTCTGGGCTAAAAAGTGGGAAGTCTTTTGAGTGAGGCTTCCACCCTTGCCTGACTAGCACTGAACAATTACTTGGCATTTAGAGCTAACCACGAGACCATTTGCCAGACACAAGGTTAGTAGGAGCATGAGAAGATGGTTCAGTTCTATCAGCATCTCGCTCGTGTGTGAGACGCTTGTCATGAGCTGCAGTGACCAGCAAATCTTCACGGGTGCCGCCTACGCTCTCACGCTGCGATACGTATGTCCTGAACCCTTGCCCTCAGTATGCTAGTAGTGAAGGTAGATTTGTTAATCCATGAAAAATGAAGTGGGAAGGGTGCCAAATCACGGCGTACCACTACAACATCATCGCCAACATGATGCTGCTGACGTGCGCGACGCACCTGATGGCCGTGACCGTTGTCCGTAACTACTGGCGGTTCCCATGGATGGGCGGGATCCGCGTACTCATCATGACGGGCGTGTTCACCGTGACGGGGCTGCTACTGTCCAACCAAAACAGCGACGGAAACAACCAGACCCAGTGTGGCCAACAACACTATCAACCAATAACAACAGGTTGATAACGTTGTCAAAAATTATCAACAGAACCCCTGCCACTATTCGGACCCCTGTACGCCGCCGTCCCCCCCCACCTCCTCCCCCCCTCTCCCTCCTCCCCCTCAGAAATAATCCCTGAAGCAAACCAGCTCTTCAAGCATTGCGTCTTCTCAATAGTAGACACTCCTAGCTGCATTCGATCCCATGAAATCGTCCTCCGTGCACCTGAAAAGACCCTTTCAGGTTCGTCGCTCATCGCAGGGATCGATAAGATATCAATCGCCATTTGCGATAACCTTGGCCAAGTTGTACGTCGCTCCTCCGCTAGCCACCAGTTGAGTGCAGACATCTGAATTGGGATCGCTTTCTCTCGTGTGTACGATTCGTACTCGTTGCTGTCTTGCATATCAATAGCCTCGAGCTTTCTTGCGATCTGGTCGTACTCATCGAGATCAGGTTCGTCAATCTGAGGATTTTCGATGACATCCCGGTCTTCGTACAACTCCCAAAGCTTCTTGACCCCTGTGAACGCTGGCTTCTGCCACTCCTTCTTCCAGTTCTTCTTGATGTATGTAAGTCGACGAGATGGATGAAGGATAAGTGCAGCAGCATACACCACAACTGCTTCTGTCTTCGCGTAATACTTGTCAAATAGTTGCCAACTTCGTACGATATTTGACTGAAGTGGTGACTTCGCAAAACGCTTGAGGGATTTGTCGTAATGCTGAACCAGAATATCCATCGAGAGAAGCACACCATCAAGTGTTCCGCTGTGGCCTTGAGTCGCGAGTGTTGCGCGATGAAAAGGAGCGAGGAATGCTGCAATGTCCTTGAGATAGCCCCAGTCGTCCAAGTCGAGATAATCGTCGCGAAGGTCGTCAAGCCACTTCTCCAGATACGTATGAATTGAGCCAGAGATCTCGATTGCAACCTTGAGCATGGTATACCAGCTATTCCATCGGGTCTCGTTATCGAGAGGGAGACCTCGACCAGCAAGTAGACCGAATTCTCGACTTCGAGCAGGAGAGCCACGGATATGCACAGCGATGTTGTGCAGCTTGCCGAGAGGGCCTCGCTGCCTCCATTGTGTTTGCCGATCGCTGTCGCTGTCGTCATCGAAAGTCTCAAAGAGAAAGGCCTGTACAGCAAGGTTGATGACATGGCCGGTACATCGAAGCCGGTGTTGTGAAGCATTCCATGGCAAGGCGAATTTCGATTCAAGCGATCGGCAGAGAACGTCATTCGATGGGTGATTATCTCCAATGAAATACCCAATCTTGTTGACGATCCCAAAGCTTTCGAAGACCTGGAAGATTTCCGCCGCTTGTTCGTCTCCACGATGGGTGAGAATTGGCCGGAGGCCAAGAAGGACTCGTGCCAGTTGAGATGTCTCTCGGTCAACAAAATGGACACAGATGCCGAGGAAAAGATGGCGATTTGGTGAGGTCCAGATATCAGCCGCGAAATGGATCATCGAGATAGACGATTGGAGGCGCATTCGTAGGTCGTCTTTCGCAGACAGCCAGAGAGAGTCAATCTTGTTCGAGACCGATGAATGACTGGAGATAACCCCTTTCTCAACCTCAGGATGTCCCAGAGACAAAACTGCGCGCATCGCTGGCCATTCGACAGCTCGAAAAGGGAGGTTGTGCCGTACAATGAGTTGGAGAAGAGCTTTGTTGGTTCGCTCTTGTAGCTGATGTAGCTGATGAACGGAGGAGGCCGAGGGTATCGAAGCCGGACTGGGTAGCTGCTGATCTCGTTCAACCTTGTCGACTAGAATACCATGATGTGACACAAGATGGCCTCGTGCTGCAGTTGTGCTTATACAGCGGTATTCAGGGCAGTATTTGCAATACCGCACAAGATGCTTGCCGATGTGTTTGGGTTCGTCCGGCTTTGGTGGTCGAGAATGGTCCCATGTGGCGACAGCCCTCTTCTGACGGCCTTTGGTCCTGATCCCGGTCCCAGTCCCGGTACTAGAGGGAAAATTCGTCGAACCATTCGATAGAATAGAGTCTGACATCTTGAACGAAAAGACTAAGGGTTTGATGCTGTAGATATAGGAAAAATGACAGGAGTAATGAGGGATGGAGGGGGGAGGGGTAAAAAAGTGGGTCTGTGAGCCTCTGTTGATAGTGTTGATAACCGTTGTTATCGTTATCGATTGATAGCTTATCAATGTTGATTGTTGTTGGCCACACTGACCAGACCGGCTCTTTCCCGAGTGGGATCCCGCCGCTCGACGAGACCGGCAGCAACATGTTCCTAGCCGCGGCGTGCTTCCAAAACGCATCCCAGCAGCTCACCAAGACACTAGGCCAGTCAACGGCGTCGGCCCCGCAGGCCTACAACACCTTCTTCAAAAGCACGCCCGGCAGCCACATCCAGGGCTGGAACTGGTACATTATCATCCTGCTATGGTACTGCGTGGCCGTTGTTGTTGATGTTGTGCGACTTCTGCGGCACGACTTGTCGGAGGACGGCGAGGGCGCCAGCCCAGAAGAGCACGGCATGGGTACGCACGGCATGGGTACGAAGATCTGCGAGGGCCGGCTGAAGACCTGTTGCATCCCGAATGAGTCTTGGAAGAATATTTTCAGGGGGCTTTTTGCCATCTACATGGTGGTAGGAGTTTCCATCAGTGGCGTTGCCGTCGTCCAAACTTCCCAGTACCTGATGGGGCTACGGTCATGGGTCAAGTGGCGGGCTGGCTCCAGGTCGGCAAGGGCAGCGAGGACGACGCCACTTCATTTGGTCAATTGGTGCCCATCTTTATGTCCTCGGCGATTTTTTTCAACTTTTTCCAGATGACCAGCGGTGAGTCTACCAAAACCTTGGACCATCTTCTCTCGAGACGGCAACGCGACACATTGCCGTCGTCCACATGACCGCAGAAATGAGCAGGCGCTACAGCGAGAGGGTCTATAGCAAGGCCGGCACGCTGGTGCACGACCCCAGCAGCAGCCGGCTGCACTTTGGCGCGCCGGTCGCGAAGAAAGGGATCATGAGCCCCGTCACGCCCGGCTCCACGACGTCGTGGTCGCTGTCCCACAGCCCTGGCAGCACCCAGCCGGGATACCCCGTCTTTGTCGGAGCGCAGCACGGCCACAACGTGCCGTCCGTCATTTACTCGGACGCCGGCGACCCGCACCGGACCTGAGAACGCGGCCTGGAGTTTCCCCGGCAGGGTTACATGACTTGCATTAGCCTTGTCACGAAATTTACGGGTTCCAAGAGTCGATTCGTTCCATCCCCACTATCCTATCCCCTTTTCCTTTTTTTCCACTCTCCTTCTCCTCTGGCTTCCTTTCTTTTTCCCTCTCTCTCTTTCCATTCTACCATGTCTTTCTTGTTTTGAAAGACAGCTGCGGGACCTGGCTAGGGTCTGTAGGGTCGTGGACTTCTTTCAATGGGGCATCACCATGTCATTCCTTGGGTAACTAATTGGCTGCGGTATACGTATGTACCAGAGCCCAGACACGAGAGATGCAATATTTTACATACCCAAGACTCTATCACAGTGCTCGACGACAGGCTACCAAGCCGTCAAACAGTTGAACACGGGATCATCAATCTGGGAATGTCATCCCGGAACAAGTGCGGCCAACGAATCATGCTCCACACAACAAACACCTAATCAGGTTGCTCCACACCCTTATCAAGCATGTTAGGCAGTCAGACCTGCATCGATCCACTGCCATGCCTTGCAGCATGGGGTCGGACACGGTCGGGTGGCGCAATGGTAGCGCGTTACTTTCCGGTTGAACTGGCCCGCGCACACTACGCGTCGGGCTGATATTCTCAGTTGGTAAAGGTTCTGGGTTCGAGTCCCAGCTCGATCGGATACTTCTTTTTGCCTTCTCCCCAGAACAAGTGTGGGCCTTTAGTTTTTTTTTTTTTTTTTTTTTTAAACTTTTGGCCCCCATCTCCCTCCGTGACTGAAATTCGCTGATCGGTTAGGTACGAAACCATGCGCAACAGTCCGTCCGCATGGTATTTAAGCAGGCTGTCAGCGGAAGGGCGTCACACATAAATGAAATTTAAGTCTGAAATAATTAATTGCCTTGCTTGGGATTATTATCGCAGAATTGGAGATAAGTCGATATAGCCCTACGTCATGTTCAATCCACGTTGCGATTAACACAGCAGCGGCGAAGAAAGGGTCTGACTACCAAACCACCAAATCCCAAAGAGGAGGTAAAGGCTCTGAACCGAACCAATTGCGAAAAATCACGCCAGAGACTCTGCCACGCACGCGGCTCGGACTTGACAGGTTCGTCCTATGCCCAATTAGGCAGCCAGCCAGTGACATTTTTCAACTTACGTACATGACAGACAACGTGCAGGGCTGCGTTGCTTGCTTGCGTGGCGCGATGCGTCTGCCATATTACAGGGGGAGGATGATGTATTTGGTGCGGGGAAAGGAGAAGGCAACACACAAAAAAAGAAGAGATTTATCGTGAGCGACATGATAACCAAGCCCTCGGACTCTGGCTCTGCAGATCATATTAATAGAGGCGACACGCGTGTAGATTTGACGGACGGTGTAGTATTATTACACGTAAGGTAGTAGGCGTAGCGTGCCTTGGATCGGGTCCGGTGCTTACACGCGTTCCAACCTCGACTTTACTACACCCCGGATTAAACTCATTTCTAGATAAATATTGAAAGGCAACATTGATTGTCCCACCCCATCAATCATCCGCCACATTCATTTTTGGACTTCACAGATTGCTGCCCAAAATGAACAACATGATGGATACCAACAGCTCGGCCGAGTGGCTGCTCGAGGCCGACTTTGGCCCGGCGGCGACGGGCCGCTTCGACTTCACGCTCGCCTTTGAGGGCGCCATCCTGTCGATTGTGCCCTCGGCCCTGTTCCTGCTGCTGGCGCCGCAGCGGCTGGTCTGGCTCATGAAGCAGCCGCGCAAGGTGGCCAAGAGCCCGCGGTCCATTCTCAAGCTGGTGATTCATCCTCTCCCCCGTCTCTCGTCAGCTTGGCATATCACTGACAACCGCCCTCTCTCCAGGGACTGATCGGCCTGTACACGGCCCTGCAGCTCAGCATCCTGCTGTACTGGGCCCTCGGACCCGTGCGCACGGCGGTACAGACGGCGGCGGGCGTACTGGTGTTTGTCAGCGGGCTGCTGCTGCTGGTGGTGTCGCACGCCGAGCACGCGCGCGCGCTGGCCCCGTCGACCGTCATCACCGTGTACCTGCTGTTCACGCTGCTGTTCGACGCCGTCATGGCGCGCACGCTGTGGCTGCTGCACATGGACACGGGCGCCGTGGCCCGCCTGTTCACGGCCGCTGTGGTGCTCAAGCTGCTGGTACTTGCGGCCGAGGCGTGGGAGAAGCGCTCGATTCTGCTTGCTCGGTACCAGAACCTCTCGCCCGAGATGACGAGCAGCATTCTGAGTCATGGCGTGTATTGGTGGCTTAATCCGTTGTTGAGGACGGGGTTTGGCAGGTTCTTGACCATGCAGGACATGTATGTGACGTGTGCCGTTCGTTTCTTTGGTGTTTACAGTTGGTGTTTACAGTTTTTGATTATCGATTGTTGACAAACTCAAACTCCCAGGTATCCGATCCACGAGGACATGGTGGCGAGGAAGCTGCTCGCCAGAGCGCAAAAGGCGTGGGCATCGGGTATGAAGACTTCTGGTTTAGTTCAGTCTGGGCAATTACTCACCACTGTCCCAGCAAACCAATCTAGGAAACACAGCCTCGCCTCATCTACAGTGTGGGCCAACAAATCCGTCTTTTCGTCTGGCGTGCTGGCTCGTCTCTTCCTGATCGCCTTCAAGTATTCGCTGCCGTTCCTCATCAAGACGACCACGTCGTTTAGCGGGGATGCGTCCCAGCCTGATGCCGTCGGCTGGGCCTTGACCGGGGCATGGTTTTTGGCCTTGATTGGGCGGGCGGTAAGTCTTGGACTCTATCATGGGCTACTGAAAGAGGGGTGTTGACAGTCGTCAGATATCCAACGCCTTCTATTATCAGAGGACATATCGGTAAGCTGCTCCGGGTCAGACAAATCCCTGGGATCACCAGACTTGACGTGTATCAGATTTGTCACGTCAGTAAGGGGCAGCCTCTGCACCCAGATCTTCTGCAAGACCCTCGACCTCAGCGTGACAGCCCTCGACGAGTCGAGTAAGAACCCTACTATCAACGCGACCCAGCGCTTTCCGCTAACGGCATCGCCATCGCAGTCGCAGTGACGCTCATGTCCACGGACACGGAGACGATATGCCAGACCTCTGCGCTGCTGCACGAGCTCTGGGCCTCACCCATCGAGTGCGGCGTGGCCCTGTATCTCTTGTACCAGAACCTCGGCCCGGCCGCCGTGGCCCCAATCGTTGTGACAATAGGTGCGTGATTTCACGTTCGGTGCCGCTCAAGAAGTCGATTGACATCCTCGTAGGGGCTACCGTTGCCGTCATGCAGTTGGCCAGCTACACGGGACAAGCGCAGCGCAAGTGGGTCCGCAGCATCCAGACACGGGTCGACGTGACGGCATCGGTGCTTGGCTCCATGAAGGTTAGTCCGGCCAGAGTTGCCCAGCCAGAGTTGCTGTTATCCGCCCTCTCAAACTGACTATTTGTCATAGGAAGTCAAGATGCTTGCCCTGTCGGACATCGTGTCCGACATGGTTCAGGGTCTCCGCGTGAAGGAGCTGAGGCTGTCCAAGGACTACCGCAAGCTCTTGTGCCTGCGCGTGCTTATCGGTAAGTAATTGGATCCCACGCCTCCCCCAACACCGAGATTGCAGGTAAATGCTAAACGTCGAGCAGGAGGAATCACGCAGGTCGGGGCGCCGCTGGCAACGTTTGCCACCTTTGTCATCATGTCCAAGACCACCGGCCAGCCTCTGGACACTGGGACCGCTTACGCCTCGCTCTCCCTGATTTATCTCTTGACGAACCCCATAGTCACTTTCCTCCGCGCAATCCCCATGACCACCACCGCCCTGGCATGCTTTGGCCGCATCCAGAAGTTTCTGTTGTCAGAAAGCCGCGCAGACCATCGCCTGCCCTTGCTCCCCGGTGACAGCCCCAGTGGCGAAGCCTCGACAGATGTCAGCTCCCGGCCCCGCGAGAGTGGCACGGTGATGGAGCTGCAGAACTTCAAGAGAGAGCCGGTGCTGCCAGCCGGGGCCCCGCTAGTCGTCGTATCAGACGCCAGCTTCGGCTGGACGCGCTCCGGGCCGCCGATCCTGAAGGACATCCCCGTGGCGATCCGCAGGGCGCACTTCACCTTCATCATCGGCAACGTGGGGGCGGGCAAGAGCACGCTGATGAAGGCCATGCTCGGCGAGACGCAACCGTGCAAGGGCTTCGTGTACACGGGAGCCCGCAACGCCGCCTACGTGGGCCAGACGCCGTGGATCCAGAACCTGACGATTCGCAAGAACATCCTCGGCGTGTCTAGCTACGACAGAGACTGGTACGGCCGGGTCGTCCACGCGTGCGGGCTCGAGCAGGACATCCGGGACCTCCCCAGCAAGGACGCCACCAAGGCTGGCAGCGCCGGCGTCTCGCTGAGCGGCGGCCAGCAGCAGCGCCTTGCGCTGGCTAGGGCCGTCTACTCCAGGGAGCAGATTCTGTTTCTCGACGACGTCTTTTCGGGGCAGGACGCCGCGACCGCCGAGCACGTCCAGCAGGCCCTCTTTGCTGACGGGGGACTGTTTCGAGAGATGGGCACCACTGTAGTCTGCATCACGAGCACCAGTAAGTCTGGCCCCCCCTCAAGTTCTGGCATGCGTGTCTGTAATCACTGACAGCCCCCCTCCCCTCCCCTCCCCTCCCCACCCCCACAGTCCACACGCTTGCGCACGCAGACCACATCATCGCGCTGAGCGAGGACGGGCGCGTCCTGCACCAGGGATCCTTCCAGCAGCTCCACTCCGAGACGGACTATCTCCAAGGCCTCAACATCATACGCAACGGCTCTGCCAAGACACCCGAAAATGCCAAGCCGCCAAAGACCGACCACGGAGCAGCGGGCCCAGACCGACCGCCGCCCAACACCAGCAGCAGGGAGCCCGACCCGCCGAGCCGCGCCCCAAGCGAGTTCGCCACCTACCGGTACTACTTCAGCACCGTCCGCGCGCGGTACCTGGTGCTGTTCATCGCGTCCATCTCGCTCTTCGCAGGGGGGTACAAGATGACCGAGCTGCTCCTCAGCTTCTGGACGGGCCACGAGGCCCCTGACGAGAGCACCAACAGCTTCTACCTCGGGCTGTACGGGCTCTTCTCGGGCGTCGCGCTGGCCAGCATGGTCGTCGCGCTGTACGTGTGGGGCATCGTGCTCACGCCGCAGAGCTCCGAGGTCCTGCACGCGCGCCTGCTGCGTGCGGTTATCAGGGCCCCGCTGGCCTTCTTCTCTGGGACCGATGTCGGGGTTACGACCAACCGCTTCAGCCAGGACATGTCGATAATCGATACCGAGCTGCCGTTTGAGCTTATTGATCTCTCGCATGATCTGTTCGTGCTCGTCATGGGCGGCGTGCTGATGACGGTGTTTTCGGGGTATTTCGCGGCGCTGCTGCCGCCGGTCGTGCTCTTTTGCTGGCGTGAGTTCTTTTCTCCTTTTCTCCTTTTCTCCTTTTCTCCTTTTCTCCTTTTCTCCTTTTCTCCTTTTCTCCTTTCCTTTTCTTTCGTACGCACTCCGAGAGAATACTCCACTAATCGCAGCCGTGCAGTGCTGCAAAAGTTCTACCTGCGCACATCTCGACAGATCCGACTCCTCGACCTCGAAGCCAAGTCGCCGCTGTTCACGCAGTTCCTCGACCTGCTGCAGGGGCTAGCGAGCGTGCGGGCGTTCGCGTGGGAAGAGCCCTTCCGCGAGCAGTACCTCGAGCTGCTGGACGCATCGCAGCGGCCGTATTACCTGCTGTTCTGCGTGCAGCGGTGGCTGGGCGTGGTGCTGGAGCTGATGGTGGCGGTGCTGGCTGCGCTTCTCCTCGTGCTGGTCGTCAAGCTGCGCGCGCAGTTCTCGCCGCATTTCGTCGCGCTCGCCGTGCTCAACGTCATGTCCTTCAGCCAGATGCTCGCCGCCGTCATCCAGGAGTGGACGCAGTGCGAGACGGCGTTTGGGTCGGTCGCGCGCGTCAAGGCCTTCTGCGACGATACGCAAGATGAGAACCTGCCGGCCGAGCGCCTGTCGCCCCCCGAGCAGCAGCACTGGCCGGCGCGCGGGCACGTGGTTATTGAGAATCTTGTTGCTGCGTACACGGCCGGCGGGGCCCCCGTCGTGCGCGGCGTGAGCCTCGACATGCCCGCCGGCGCCAAGGTCGGCATCTGCGGGCGCAGCGGCAGCGGCAAGAGCTCGCTGCTGGGCACGCTGCTGCGGCTGCTGGAGATGGCGCCGGGGTCGCGCGTCCGCTTCGACGGCGTCGACATCGCCACGCTGCCGCGCCAGGCCGTGCGCGCCGCCGTGGCCGTCGTCCCGCAGCACCCCTTCTTCCTCAAGAACCGCAGCATCCGCGAGAACCTGGTTCCGCACCGCCGGCAGCAGGAGAGTAGCGACGAGCGGATCCTGGCGGTGCTGCGCCGCCTGAACATGGGCGATGTCGTGGAGCGGCTGGGCGGTCTGGAAAGCCAGCTGGACGCGGACAGGCTGTCGCAGGGCCAGCGCCAGCTGCTGTGTCTCGCGCGGGCGATTCTCGCCGACAAGAAGATCGTGCTGCTCGACGAGGCCAGCAGCAACATCGACGAGCGGTCCGAGCGGCTGATCCGGGATGTCATTCGTGAGCAGTTCGTCGGCTGCACCGTCATCGCCATTGTGCACCGCCTCGGCGCCGTCGCCGACTTTGACCATGTCGCTGTCATGAGCGGCGGCCGGCTGGTCGAGTGGGATAGCCCCCAGGCCCTCCTGGCTCGCGACAGCGAGTTCAAGCGGCTGTGGGATCTCGGCACGAACTAAGGTGCGGTGCGAGAAGGCTGTCCTGGTTGAGGGGGTCGGTGCATCGGGCTCTGCGGTCTGCACCATGTTGGTTCTGATGACGTCTTGGCCGTGGATAAGGCCCGAAGCAAGTTGTCTAGATAAAATATGGATAACGATAAAGGGGAAATAGCCAGAGAGAGCGCGTCGTGACAATTCGCGATCATGAATATTCCTAGTATAATTAAGACGTAAAAAAATGGAAAGTCGGACGAAAGAAAGCATGTAGTTTGCCATGCTCCCACTGTCGGTGCCAGGAAAAAGAGCATTGTCCGGGACTAACAGCCCATTATCTGAGGCGAGAGAGGCAGGGAGTGAAGGAGCAGGGGAACACCGGTCTAGCGTTACCTGGCGAACAGGCATCAATGATGCCTGGGATCGGACATAGCAGGTGTTCTGCCTTAGGGGGCGGCGAAGTTTCCCTCGGAATTGGCTAGTCTTGCACTGCTGACGCGTCCCAGCCGATGTGACTACTGTTCAAATTTTGCAGACACGATAAGGATCCTCCTCGGCGGACGGGACAGACACCGTTGGGAGCATCTGAAATTCAGTCGGAGGCAGCCCAGAGGCATTAGGATATGGGTCGAAACTGGAAGCCCAGGGCTATGGCATCAAGTTATTGGCCCGTATACGACCGACCCTCCGTTGGCTCCGTCCTCCTCCCATGAAGAGCCGAAGAAACCAAGTACCATTCCCGATCATCCCCCTTTCCCCCTTCTGCACTGCCATCCTCAGATCAGGGAGCGTTTCATCACTTGCTCACGGGACTCGGGTATTCTGAGCCCACCTATCCTTGAGTGTGCCTCGCTCATGCGCGGTAAATAACCGGCGATGCCGAAGGAACAGAGATAGTGGACTTGCATCTTAACGTCGATTATAGGCCTAGAAGATTCCACTGGCGTGGCAGGGTTTGGCGCCATGAGAGGCAGGGCCCAGTGGCCATGCAAATAGGTGGCAGAGTGCGGCCCTTTCGAGCACAGCAGTTTCCCCTTCATGCGAAGAGGCTGGTGGCTTCCAGGCATCAGGGCAGCTGGCGGTGAAAAAGGGGCTTGGATGGTCCCGGAAGTTCCTCTCAGTGATCAGCATCTCGGGACAGCAGCAGGCAGAATCTCGGGGACAGCAGTAGACAGAAGAGGCTTAGAATCATGCAGTTCTAGATCCGAAACTTCGCCAACAAAGCTCCGGCGACTCATTCGAAGACGTTCTGGCATTGGACCACAAAGGTGTGCAAGGCCCGGAATGTTATTCTACCTTGGTGGCGAGCGACTTCGAAATCTTATGCCGGCTGTCGAGTGCTGCCGGGTCGCTCTGCTGTAAAATACCGGACTTCACGGTGGCTATTCGTAAGGATGACGCGATAATCGTGCGAGGATCGACAATCCACCTAGTGAGTCAACACAAAGATGGCGATGTAGACGGTCAACGTTTCCCTACCGCAGGGGAATGTGGAAGGGTGCCAAAACAATCAGCCGGACGGCGCTTTGCTGGGCAGCTGAGGAATGGCACGAAGCCGTCGTCCAGCTGCTTCTAACCAAGGGCGCCCACGCCGATGGGAAGGGCAATGACTATTGGTGCTCGCTGCCCTGCACGCCGCTTCCGCTCAGAATGGGCACCAGGCGGACGACCTTAGTTAACGGAGAAGCTGTCTCCAGCCAGTGCGACCCGTACAGCCTATACGTGCAACTGTCGCGGTGTCTATCACTTGACGGCATCATGCTATTGTCGAGGGCGCGGGAGCGGGACATCGTGGGTAGCATCGTGCCGGGAAACATGACCGCCGTCGAGAATAGGCTCGCAGTTCTAGCGTTACCTCATCGAGCTTCCTGTTTTGCACTTTGTAGTCCGTGCAAGCCTTCGCAGCGTCGGACCTCCCGCCGCGCGGACTTGGACCTGAGTCTATGCCGCTTTAACATGAGCTAGGCTGAGCGGCCCTTAATTTGTGGTTGAGTGCACCGGGTTCTGCCTCTCTTGCTATTGCCCCCTGACATTTTTTCTCTTCGAACGCTCTGCAAAGCCCTCAACACCGACCCAATCCGCCGGCGATAGCTCCGACGATGGAGTGGACAACCGGGAATTTGCCCGACAGCTAACACCATAACCTTAGATTAGAAGGAAATTCTCGGGGACTCGCGGGAGTGGAGAGGTGCAGTGCGATTGTAGTGTAACGACTATGTATAAGGTTAGCACATCGAGAAGTGGAGAGTTGAACGCCTCTCCACCATGGCAAAGGGGTAGCCCGCGCTACTACTTACAGGCTTGTCCGATGAGAATAAAGGCATCGGCGTGCCTCCTTAGAACGAGGGGATGGAATGCGCCAAAAACGTCGACAATCAAATCGCACGGTTTGGAATCACTAGGAAAGAGGCCCAAACATCCCGTACCCGAGAAGCCCAAGCACCGACCCACTGCGTATTCCTTCATGGCGGCGTGGATTCTCGTGCACGGATGGGCGGCAACACCGTGGAAGACGGACGGGACGAGGTAAGCTTTGGGCCTGTTATCTGGCGGATCTATCCGGCGGATCTATCCGGCGCATCTATCCGGCGCATCTATCCGGCGCATCTATCCGGCGCATCTATCCGGCGCATCTATCCGGCGCATCTATCCGGTGCCTTGCCACCTCTGACTTCGGGGGAAACACGGTGCCATCAGCTGCGTAGGTGAAGTGGTGTGTCCGCGTGCGGATTGATAGCGAGTCCAGCCACTCCTTCTCGCTCCGCTCCGATAGCAACATGTACTTCATGGAGTGACGGTAATCGGGACTCCGCTTGCTCTCGAAGATGGGGTCCGCCGCGAAAGTCTTCCAGCGCATGAACGTGTCCTGAAGCGCACTTTTGGTGTCGTCCTCGCTAACCACATTAGAACACAGCACAGCAATGGAGTTGAACCGAGTTCCTTTGACGGTTAGGATCTCGGCACCGTCCTCGCCGCCAGAGGCAATGCTGGTAGCGATGGTCCTCATCGCTGACGACCATCCATCCTTCTCGGGGATCGGCCGCGCTTTCCAGGGCTCCGCAAGGTTGGGAACCCACGACGGCAGGCCGTTGAGTCTGTCAGGATTCTGCGCTGCGCAGAGGATGTCCAGCTTGGACGACTTGGAGATGACGGCGCGCGCGAGAGTAATCACGACCTGGCGCGGTGGGAGCTGATAGTCGGGCACGAGGCCGTGATAATCCGGGTCGGCCATGCCTAGCATGGCAAAAGCCTTGTCTCGCGGGTCCGTGGCTTGGCAGGACCTTCCGAGCACCATTCGCGACCCGAGATTTGTGTACTTTGACCCACTTATAGTCTTCGACTGCAGGCTGTAGAGATCCCAGGCATGGGCGAGACGTACGGGGAGGAGTGATTGCTACTGCTGCTGCTCCGACGCGCGCGGCTGCTCCCTCAAATAGGACTCGAAAACCATCTCCAGCTTCATCAGGCCATCCATGGTCTTGGCTAACTTGGCGAGGTGGTGGAAGTAGCCGGCGGCTTTCCCGCAGCGGACTGCAACGGTGTTGTTCATCGCGACCTCCTGCCGGACCCAGGCGCGCTGCCACCATGGCCGCGCAAAGATGGCCGCGAACGCCTTCCAGTTCTTGCGTCTCTCGTCGTCGTTAATAGCGATGGGGGCCGGGGTTGTAAGTCCCGGTCCTCGCCGCGGTGGTCCCTTGTCGAGCTCGATGGCCAGCTTGAAAGCGGTATCGCTGTCATCTGCCTCTTCGCCGACCCAGACCTGGACCATCGAGGCGCTGTGGTAGATGCGTCGCATGATGGCCACCTGAGCGTTACGCTCCAGGACGTCGGCCTGGTTGATGCAAACGGCGTCGATCCACCAGTACGACGCGGGAGGCACAGCGAGGTCATAGGGCCGATTTGCGTCGACCCACCAGTACGACGCGGGAAGCACAGCGAGGTCATAGGGCCGATTTATGTCGGGGTCCGGATCCTTGCGCAGACGCACAAGAGCCTCCTTAAGGTTCTTGGTTATGGGGAACGCGTGGCCATCGACTAGGATGGACTCGTCGAATTTGGGCTTTCCCCACGTGTACGACAGGGCCTTGAATTCGTAGAATGGCTTGAAGTCAGGATGGCTAGCGCGGATCGTCCCTTTGTTGTCAAGATTTACATGGATGAGGCTAACACTCGATGAGATCGGATTTTGTCTGGCAGGTCGCGACTTTGAGCAGCCGGATCTCGGACTTGTCAGTCGCGAGGGGACGGTATTTATACGGGCCACTCTTGACGACGGGAGCGATGGCGACCGAGGGTACCGTAGACGGTCCGCCACCGGCTCCCACTGCCGATGTGCCCACCGCCGATGTTGCGGTGAGAAACGGGATCTTGGGCATAGTGAGGCCTAGGCGTGCAAGAATCAGGCTGATACCGACTTCGACGCGAATCATCCGGTACTCCAGCACCTGAATGCGTGTCGCCATAGCATCATGTTGGGACGCATCCGGCGGAGGCGTCTGGCCACTGACGACGTCATCCACTGCTGCCTATCGTGCCACGAAACCTCACCCCGAGCAAAATGCGTGTTGCTTCCCAGTGAAGCCGGGCCCAGTTTTGTGACGTATTTCAGGTCCCAAAAAGGCCCAAAGACAGACCGGAAACACGGCCATAGGACAACTCGCACTTCGCCGAGGAAGCGGTGTGAAAATGGCATCAAGCCATTGCCCGATGATTGGGCAGGTGGCAAGAGACAACAACTCGGCGTAGGGCTCTGCTTGTAGCAGCCTGCGTGATCCATCACAAGAGAAGCTGCACAATGAAGAAAACGGTGGCCGGTCTGTCGCATTTGTCTCCAAACAGGTTCGGTCGGGCGGGTGTGAACAAATGAAGGCGACCTCTGCCACTGGTCTTGGGCCAATAATTTTAGCCGCCCCCAACTTTTTGATGCCCGAGGTGCTTCAACTTGACCAGCAGTGGCATCAATTCAATCAGGCCAAATATGAAGCCTTATTTGACTGTATTTGAGGCCCAAAATGGTGTATTTATCTGTGTAAGAGGCTCTCTCTGATTGGGTGGGTTTTATTTGACTTGATTGACGGAATTTGCCGCTCCACCAAAAAACAAGGAAATCGAGCCCCGAATGGCACCCTGAGACCGGAAAAAAGCCCTTGACCTCCAGGATCCCCATTTACTCGCCCAAGGACGATTTTCGGCGGTAGGGAGGCTCGTCGAAAGGGCCGTGACATCAACGGTGGAGGCAGGCATGTTGTCGAGAACTCGGGAGCCAAGGAAGCAGGGAAATGGCTGCAGGAAGGTAGGATTCGGCAGTTTGTTTACAGCGGTTGGCGATGGTTGCATTGCAGCGGCACGGCGGCACTCGAATTTAGGGCATTCGAGGATTTTCAACTCAAGAAACTAGGATTCACTGTTCGCATTCTCGAGACATCATCCCGAGTGGGTGGCCGTGTGATCACTCTTCGAGAGCCCCTCTTCGCGCCAAGTCTGCACGCCAAGGGCGGTGATGCGCATTCCAGCCAACCACTTCCTCTTACGCGCTTACTTTAAGAACTTCAACATTGACTCGTACCTCCCCTTCGAGATGAAAAACAAGTTCATCTACCTCTCAAGCTACCGCGGAGGCACCACCATGACGTATGACGACTTCGATGACAAGCTGGTGAAAAAGGAAGCCGAGCTCCTCAAGCTCTTCCCAGGCCTGAAGGATCGCGAGCAGGGCAAAACCTGCGACCAACTCTTCTTCGAAGCCGTTGATCCTGTCGTCAAGGCGTTCAAGAAGGCGTACGATGCAGCCAGCGGCGACACTAATATCCACGCCGGATACCAGGCCGTCACCGACGCCTACGACAAGTACACCCTCCGCTCGTTCTTGGAAGAGGTAGCCTGCTGGAGCTTCGACGCCATCAGACTATTCGACCTCGGCAACGCGCACGTCGTGTTCGAGAACGCGTTCATCGAGTCCTGGAAGGACGCCTTCCTCTCGAGCAACAGCAGCGGCGAGGCGGCCGGGATGGAACAACTCCAGGGCGGGATGGACCAGGTCCCCAAGGCCTTCATTAGCCCCGACCGCGGCGCGAACTCGCTCGCCGAGAACGTCACCTACGGCGCTCGCGTGACACACATCGTCGACGTGCCCGCCACCGGCGACCAGCCGTCCCAGATCCAAGTCAATTATGAGACCCCCAGCGGCACCCAGCAGAGCGTCAGCTCCAACTACGTCATCTTCGCCGTCCCCTACGGCGCGCAGCGGGCCATCACCAAGTCGCGCCCCTTCTCTCCGACCGTCGAGCAGGCGATCCGCGACGTGCGCTGAATCGAGATCACCAAGATCCTGCTGCAGTACCGCACGCGCTGGTGGGAGCAGGCTGCCTTCGGCGCCCATGGCCAGGGCACCGACGGCGGCCTCATCAGCGACCTGCCCATCCGGTACACCATGTTCCCCACCACGGTCAATAACGAGCAGTACAAGAACACGACCCGCGGCGCCGTCATAGCGTCCTACACCTTCCAGCAGGACGCCACCACCCTCGGTGCCATGTCGCCCGAGCGCTGCGTGCACGTCGCCGCCGAGAACATCGACCACATCTTCCCGGGCGCCGGCTCGCTGCAGTACCTTAAGGCCGGCGCGTCGCAGGTCTTCCCCTCGGACGAGCTCGCGGGCGGGAGCGCCTTCTGCTACTTTGGCCCCGGCCAGAAGAGCACCTACCTCGAGACTATGTGCACCCCGGACTAGGCCGACCCGGCGGACACGCAGAGCTACAGGGTCTTCTTTGCCGGGGAGCACGCGAGTTACACGCATGGGTGGATTCACGGGGCGATGGAGGCCGGGTTGAGGTGTGTGCAGCAGGTGTATGCGGCTGCTACTGCCACCTGATTGGTACTAGGCGAGTAAACATATGAAGCAACAAGAAGGTCTGGTTTGGAAATATGTGCACCGTGTGTTGTCAAAATGAAATATACTATTGATATTGGCAGCTTAGCTTCCGCCCCTTGTCCTTGGTCGGCATGATCTCGAGCCCAGGCATTAGCGCTCCTGCCTAGATGTGATTGGCACACGCCATGCTCAAGCATTCAATCTACTAACTTTGCAGCTCTGTTGGGCGGCGATTCGCCTGGCCCGACCTCGATCGCGAGCGTTTTGGAATTGAGGTGCTCGCTACTCGCTAAGACGCCAGGTTTTTACCGCCAGTCCGCGGATCTCGAACTTAGTCAAGCGTACTTCCTGACGCAGCCGATCGGGGAAAGTTGCGGATCAAATTCGAAAGACATGCGAGACTCGTGCTAACGAGTTTGATCCGTCCCTCCAATGCTGGCGTCGAGGGTGGCTGGTCGAGTCGCGTTACGTTAGGCGTCTGAGCTTGAGTGCGGCATTTTTGCTATTGGCTGGAATACGCAAAGCTAGGGCCATAGGAAACGAAAGGACGAGGAGGAAAGGCAGAATCGTGGGGAGGGACCGAGGACATGAAAGTATTTATCATCAAGAGTTGACGTCGCGATCTAGCAGCTGGTACGTGGGGCACTAGGAATGAGGGACACAATTTGAGTCCGTGCGCTGGATTATGATTGGTGGATGCCGCGGCCGGAAGAACGTCGGCCATTTTGCGCCGCTATTTTGTGCACTGACCGGATTAGCCTCAGCGCCTGCAGGAGTCAACTACAGGCGGTCACAATGGACGCTGCGTCGGCTCAACAAAATGGTCAGTGGGCAGAGACATCTGTGTCAAGCCAGTAAAGTAGGAAGAAGAATGAATCGACTATTTAAAGGGAGGTCATCAGTTAAGGGATAGTAATCGGTTGAATGCAAGTATACAGTATTAAAACAGTAAACTTATCGCTGACGATTCGTCGGAGTAAACGTGGAGCTGTGGAAGCGATTACGAACTGTACTACACTGTGCTCCCCGAGAGCTGGAGTACTGGCCCTGTATATTACATGACCGGAAAAACAGGCACTGTGTCATTGCCAGCTGGTCTTTGGTCCGTGCTCAGGATTAATTCACAGTGTCTAGGGGTGAAGCCAAGCGACGGTATACATACAAGGTAAGGTATCTGGTGCATTTAAGAAGTAATAGGTACTGTGTGACGTACATCCGTGCGCCGAAACACTCTTTAAGCAAAGAAGGCACCAGTTTCGCACATAACTATACAGCACTGTAGTCAATGACTTGCTAAACTTGACGCTAATCCTAGATTACCTCCGATGAGGCCTCCCATGAATTGCGACGTGGAGGTCCCAGAACAAGGCCCGGAGGACTGAGCCCAAAGCCGGGCCCGAGGAATAATCGCAAAACAGGGGCCTCAATAGGGTCAACCAAATCACCATCCCAGCCAAATAACCGTCCCAGCCAAATCACCATCCCAGCCACATCACCATCCCAGCCACATCACCATCCCAGCCACATCACCATCCCAAGCAAATCACCATCCCAGTCAAATATTACCTTCTGACAAAGGTAGCACAATCGAGATTCCAATCAAAGTAGCGATCTCCTAAATTGGACGACGATGATAGGCTAGTTTCGAGACGGTCTGAGATGCTCGTCCCTCAGTTGGGGCCTACGCGTCAGGACCGTTAGACGATCAGCACGCTTCCAATTAATGGGAATCTTCTAGGACGGTTTGGAAATTCTATGTCACGATTCATTCTGCTATAGTACTAGGAATAAAACCCTTCATATACCTACCATTTCTACAGCAGCCGCTTCTTGTCCATTCCAAAGCTCCAACTCGCTCTAGGCTATTAGGATAGTTATATTGTCAGAAGATACATATATCACTGTTAGCTCTGCGGCTATTAGTGGAATTTCACTTTTGGCCGTATGGTGCAGTGGTTAAGTTCTGCGGCATATATAAATATCCGTAAATAAGGGCTTCAACCTAATAAGGATAATCTAAACCTCACAACTCCTCTTCGTGCTGTTCCGCTTCGAGCTCGCTAGCTGTAAGACTCTCTAGCGGTTGCTCCTTCGCGGGGTGTTTTTTAGGCTGTCTAGCTGTTAATAACCTCTTTTGCGGTGGTTTCTTCTTTTCGGCTCTGCGTCTGTGGCTCCGGATCGCATTCACTGCGGAAATCATCTGCTGGCTGATCTCTTGCTCTTTAGAAACGCAAATTATTTGCGCCTCGTTCCTTACCACCTCGTCGTAACAATTATCGGCTGTTAAGGAACGTCCGTTCGTATTGTACAGAGTGTAGCCATTGTGCTTCTTTTTCTTCATTATTCGCTTTACCTCATCTTTATTCATCGCAATTGATGCCTCCTCACCCCATTGCCCAGCTTCCCAAACCAGGACATAGATTCGGTCATGATAATCCTGTATTTTATTAATATTTGGGCTGAACTGAAATGATTCTTTTCCCACCGTTATTTCGGCGTCAAGGGCGGGAGATGTTGATTCTTGCGGTGCTTCGTTATAAGTCTCTCGAGAAGCTGTATCGTTCAAGGTATCTTGTGAGATCTGTTCTGCATTTAGAGTTCGCGGTATGAACCCCGAGTTACCTCCTTTGTTGTCTCGGGAGTGACTTAGTATCAGATTTCTTGATTCGGAGGCAGATGCTGCCTTTATAGGAGGACCGATTTTGGGTCCTATCGGCTAGAGTTGAAGCAATTCTACCTGCTGCTGTACGGCCCTTGCCTAAAATGATTGCTAGGGTGAGCAAAGGTGAACAGGGCCTGAGCAAGCCTGAGTAAAAGCGGCGACTCATCACGTGGGTGACGACGGGGGGCAGGTGTCCAGATTCGTCTCATCTAACAGACCTAATTAGGTGCATGAATGTCATTGGCTGCTGTTATCAACTGGCCTCCAAGACCTCCTTGCCGTACATCATGCCTTTATGGTCTAATTACTCGTTATCGGTATATTTCCCTGCCGCCCAGGCGCCGATGCTAACAAATAACGACATGTCCCGGGCAGACACGAGTGCCATAGCCTTCTTTCGTTTGTGACGGGGAAGTAGCGGTAGCCCGCCCAGATTCCGTATAATGTAGGTAATTTCTGGCTCTTGCGGGAGTGAACTATCTGGTGTGATGCATGAAGAAGACAAGGTCGATGGAGGGATGGTTGCTTGGGCTGGTGTTGGTGACGCTCGCGACGCCAAATTGAACTCGAATGGAGTGAACTGCCTTGAGATTAGTCAGTCCGGTTTCAATCATCTCTTGCATGACATTAGTGCCAGATACGACGTGGGGGCTTCTGGGGACTGGTGTGATGCTGGCGTGGTTGACATGGTTTCGTTGGGAATGTTTGGTGACTGCGCCGTCATAGACAGTGGAGCGGTTACCGGGAGTCTAAATCAGAGTTTGGCAGGCTTGATCCTTGCGCTAGTCTAGTGGAATGATGGGAAGTTGGAGGTAATTGAGACTGGGGACCTGGAGTGAGGACCTTTTTGAGCATCCTTATCATTACCTTACCTACCCAGCGCGCTGTACAGCGCCCAAGGCAGAATCGAACGGGCCCGAACTCATTATTTCACACCATGGCCAGGATTCTCCGGGTTAGTTCACTTCAGAATGATCTTTGGTTAGCATCTAAACGCGACCTAGGTACACGGTTTAGACACATCAGTGCCGTTTTCGAGGCCTTTGGTATTGCTACTGATATTGGAGGCTCGGTTTCCATGCCGGTTGCCTACTAGGGAGTTTACAGCATCAATCCCTCAGCAGGTCGTTTGTCATTCAAAGATGTAGCTAATCCAGTGAGTGGCTCCTTGCGAATGGATGTCAGTCGCAGACAAAGGCTCGTCTCACAGCAAAGCAAAGTCGCGGCCGAGGGGTGATGCCGACCGTTGCAGGAATAATGGCACATTCCGTAACCACTCTCCGCTCGTCTTCAAGTCTCTGCTGTTAACGGAACCCTAGACCCACGACCCGTATAGGCTGCCACTTCCGTGGAGAGCGGAAAACTAATACCAAACCAACACGGGATCGAGCCACAAACCGGCGTTTAGGTTTATGCCAAATGACGGCATTGTGGTTCCCCACCCGCCTGTGGCTCTAGCCTTGGAAGTGGTGAAACAAGCATTGATAGATGCCGGTTTTGAGGTAAGAAAATACAGAGTCTCAAGTCTTGCTTGATGCTTACAATCCAATCTCTACAACTAAGCTCCTGGGTTGGGTACGTCCCTCCGTCGAACTATCTCCCCTCGGAAATACATGTTAGCAACATCTTTTTCCCTCCTATTTTCCCATATCCTGCGTGACTAACTCTCTATGCAGAGCCCCATTGCACGCGGGGACGGTTGCCCTGACGCCTGGGAGGCGATTTACCAGTCTGGGGACCCCATCGTCCCCGAGATCGAAAACGGTTTTCCTGGCAGCAAGATCAAAGCGCCAATCCCGCTCCAATAGCATGAGTAGGTAGTGCTGAAAAGGAAGGACTAGCGCTGAAAATACAATAACTACTGGTTGTCTTCTGTATGTAGAACAAGTTCCAGTATTGCTATGGTGTAGAGAGTGTGAGACGTGCATGATACTAACTTCATTAGGCCGGCCTGCTGACGTTGTTATCTCCCCTGTTAGTCCTTATACCGCTATTCCACCTGGGAAATTCGTCCATTCGAGTATGTAATAGTTCTCGGCCCCAGCGTTAAAAAAGACTGCTCTGTGAGAAGGCCGTGGTTGACATGCTACTCTAGCTTACACTAGCGCTCTCAACGTCCTCGACTTTGGCAGTGTGGGATATATCGGCAGGGTTTGTCGGCATAATGACGTAGGCATCTTGTATGGAAACCAATGAAGAATGACCGACTCAGCACCTACATATGTGGCATGTCATTGATTGGATAGGCCTCACTTTTTTCTAGCTAATTTGGTGGTGCAGGCTTTGTTGCTCTGGATTGTGAATGGTGGGGGCCCTATTACGAGCTTATCTCGATGGGTAGATAAGAAATGAGGCACAAAATTGTCGTATTGGCATGCCCAGCCAGGTTCTGCCTTATTTACTGGGCCGTTGGGACAGGGAAGAACCGTCTTGTTTTCCAATATTCATGCCAAGGTCTCACCTTCGTTAAAGACCTCACACCATCACTTCAGCCTCCACCGTAGCCTAAAACCCCTACCCCGTTCCTATTCTGTCTTGCGCGATGCACTCAAAACTCGCCATAATTCGTCTCTAGTCACAATATTTCGAGTTTCTCTCTCCAAACAAGATCATCTCCCTCCAAAAATGGCCCAAGCCGGGTTCCTCATCGCTACTGTCGACAACAGGCCTGGCAGGGACTATTACTTTCAAGGCCTCCGCGCTCGATTCCAGATCGACGCTATGCGAGCCGCCACCAAACCCAAGGTCGTAATATACACTAACATCGGGTACGCCGTTGATGAAACGGTCTAACAGCGGCGCTCTAAAGTTCGTCTTACTACAGGCGGACTCCCTGCCCACCTTCCCGACGGCTTCCCGGCTAAACTCTCCGGCCCTCTTGTGTAGTCTACCAATGATATGGAAGACGAGTCTACCTACGTCTACCATCTGACCGACGCTGACAAGGCCGAGATCTTGGCTGCACTGGAGGCATTCAAGGGTGAGTTTGATGGGCGTGTATCCCCTCCCCCTTCTGTGGTGATGGCACTGAACTACTGGTACTAAAATATCTGTCAACAGACAATATAGCGCGGCCTTGACGGCAACAGTGTCTCTCCCGATACATTCCCCCCCCCCGAACCTTGCTGCCAAGCTCGGCAGTGTGTGCACCGACATATACGATGGCCGAGGATTCGGTATCGTGCGTGGACCTAATCTAGAGGCATACTCTATCGAGGACCTTACCATCATGTACCTAGGGATCTCCAGCTACGTGGGTGAACGACGGGGCAAACAAGACTACAATGGGTCTATGCCTGTATCAAATTCTGCAAGCCACGGCACCCCTGTTTCTCGGCGACCTCAGCGACGGCATTGGCCGGTGGCCCGTCTATGTGCTCTCCTTCTTGATCTACCTCGGCGCCAACATCGGACTGGCCATGCAGCACAGCTATGGTGCCATCCTGGTCCTGCGCGCCCTGCAGAACGCCGGTTGCTCGGCCACGGTGGCCATTGGCAGCGCCGTCATCGCCGACTTCACGACGCCGGCCGACCGAGGCGGCTACACCACAGCAGCAGTATAGGCCAGCGGCATGTTTGCCCCGGCCCTAGCTCCAGTTCTACGTGGTATCCTGACCCAATTTCTAGGCCGGCTTTCGATATGCCGGTTTCTCGTGATTGCCGGCGACATATTTCTCGTCATTTACATCCCCCTTGTGCTAGAGGCAAGTTGAGATTCATAATCATCTCTCACTGAAATATCCTAACCACTCCACATGCAACAGACCGCCCGCACCGTAGTCGGTAATAGCTCCATTCCACCACCAACACTCAACAAGCCCCTAGCTTCCGCTTGCTTTCCCTCCCGACAGCACCAAGACCTCGAAGCCAACTCATCCCCTTCCTTAGCCCTAGTGACCTGCGCACCTTCCCCATCGAGCGCGCCCGCCTCGGCCTCCTCTGACCATGCACTTGTCTCGCAGTTGCGACGACAATCGCGTGGGGCTGGGCCGTGTCATCGGCGGATACAAGTCTCGCAGTGCCGCTGGTGGTGTCATTCTTTGGCGGCGCAGGGGTCAGTGGGCCCGTGAGTATCTGTTCGACGCTGTTGGTGGACTTGTATCCCGATAATCCGGGGCGCGTGTCGTCAACGTTTAATCTCACGAGGGCAGCGTTTAATGCTGTCGGCACGGCGGTCGTGAAGTATATTATCGATGCGTGGTGGTATGGGTTTATGTACCTGTTTTTGGGTTTTTTGGCGTTGGCGGCGAGTCCGGCGGTTTTGGTTGTTAGGCGGTAGGGGTCGAGGTGGAAGGAGGAGAGATTTCAGAGGCTGAGAAAGCACGCGGACGGGGAGGTGGGGAGGTGAGGGTGGATTGTGAAATAATGCGAGGGTGATGGTTGACGTGTCGATAGATTCTGAAGAGGAATGACCGTGCGGTGTGAAGTCTTGCTATTGCAGCAAACGTCGCTGATGGGATTATAGCACCGCAGTGGGGTCTACTTTTTGACCTGCAGGCTTTCGTAGTCTCATCGCTATTAGACTAGACTAGGTATGAAGTTCCCGGTTGACTTCGGGCCAGTTACTAGATCTTTTTTCTGCACATAAAAATATGATAGAAGACATAGATAGGTAACTCCCAAGATAGATGCTGGCATTTTCTGTTTAATACTCAAACCTCAACGGGGCGTCATCTGGTTCCCTCTTCTTTCCACAATCAAGATGATATCGCACTTCACTTCGTCCACTTGGTCCTTTAAGCTGTTCTAGCTTTTAGTGCGCGAACTGGAGAGGCAATCTGCCTATATAATCCGGTCCTCCCCGAGCATTCCCCATGGTGCCGTTTCATCGCTATATACACGTGCAAGTCTCCGCAGTGCGACGTCAACCTTGGTCGTTGGCGCTTGCTCTATAATCTTTGTCTCGTTCGACTTGTCCAAAAGATCGACGAGCTTGTTTGAGCCGAAGCTGTAGTCTTCAAACTTGTGCAATGCGAACCGTTTGGGCGGCCCCATGCCGTTATTGAACCGGCTCGTCCACCGCCAGCCCATGAGCGACGAGACTTCACTGATGTACACGTTCTGGTACCAGTCGTCGAACTTGTCTGCTGTCGTGTTCGTATCAATGGCTTCCGTAACAAGAAGCGGCCCTCGAGCTGTGGCCAGTTGTCGTAGGGAAAGTGGCCTTTTACTCGGGCTGGACGCTAGATATGGGCAGGAAGATGTCCGGACCTGTGCCGACGAGTAGGAATGCCATAGTCGGTTATGAGTGGAAGGTGGTGAGAACCTGAAAGTTGTAAGGACTGGTTGGGTCTGTGAACTGTGTATTAACCGGGCTCTGTTGCTGTCTCGAGTGCGCGTCTGTATTTCAAGCCTAATCTCACTTTCGCCCGCATGTTATAAAAGTGGGTGTCGGAGAAATCACGCTTATGCGACTTTTTTTTACTTCTAGTTCGATCGACACCATTAGTCTCGAGTTGTCTGTACGAGCAGATCGTGAAACTTTGGACTCGTGTAAGACCCGGCACAGCTTGTCCCGACACGACATAGGTTCGTATAGTCAACAGCTAATAAACGATAATAATTATCATCATTAGGAACTGCCGGCTCTCCGTTACAGATATTTCCCGTCCGCCAACTATTACATCCTCCATCGGCGCCGAATCTGGCTATTTACCCATCTCGCTACCGATGGCCTGGTTCAAGAGACCCGGTCCGCTTCCAACTCGTCCGATTACTTGACCTGCATAGGATAAATCGGCTCCATATAGCCGCCCTTTCAATTTTTGTCGCCCTGATGTTCCATTAACAGTCAGTGACCCCTAAGGCACTCTCTCCAGCACATGTATAGCGTCGCAATAGTCGCCGGCAATCCGATCCCAATTCCACAGCCCAACGCAATCTTGTCCGAAGTTGGCAACCCTTCACTCTGTCCCGCTGCACCTGCCGTCCCTGCTGCACCTGCCGTCCCTGCTGCTCCTGTCGCCCCAGTTGTTGCTACCCCAGTTCTCCCCGTCGGGTCCGCAGCCGTGCCTGTGTTCTCCGACGTCGGCGTCGGGCCCGTCGCCACTCCGCTCGTCGCAGCATCGTTGTTCCGTCCAACCACACAGCTGCCCGTAGTCTTGTCACATCCTCTCCCCTGAAGCGAGACGCACCCGTCCTGACACACGGTCTGCGAGGCATCGGTCTGGCAGCACGTGCCTGAGCAGCAGCCTAGGTCTGCGTCGCACACGCTGCCGTCGTCGCAGCAGTCGTGGCTCTCGTCAAGGTTGTAGCACAGGATGCCCGACTCGCTGACAGTCGCCCAGCCCTGGTCGTGGCACGACCGCCATCCGGGCCCGCTGAGGTGCAGGCAGCACTCGGTGAAGTCGCCGAACCAGTCAATGTTGTTGCAGTGCGTCTGCCAGGCCTGGGTCGTCCAGTTTGCTGCCGCTGCGCCTGCGCGAGGCTGGTGCGGGTTGAACGACGGCGGGAGAGGCTCGGCGGCGACGAGTAAGATGATGGATGTTGCTAGGAGGTGTAGATAAGGAAGGTGCATTGTGCTTTCAGATTTGATTGGGCCAATTCTGTCAGGTGTGCATTGGCCTTGTTTCACTTTGTTGTCTGGGAGAGCGCAGCCGCATATTAGGTGGTTCTGGGATTGCTGTAACAGAGGAATGTCCTGCTAGTTGTTCGCTGCATTTAAGTACTTGTTGCGCTGGGGCTTTCATAGTGACGATGTTTAAAACGCCGGGAAGAAGCTTCAATATTGTGTGGTCACCTGAGGCGTGGGATGTTCGTGTTCTGATGAAGCGTCGAGCTGGGTGGGGGGAAGCTGAGCTGATTGGGCTGTGCCATTGAGGGCTGAACATGCCACCCAAACTGTGGCTGAGAGTGAAAAAGAATGGCATGATCACTCCCGATTCGAAGCACACAGCCAACTATCAAGGGCAAAGGCAGTTGGCAAGCGGCTCGTTGGGAAACACCACGCAGAGACGTCTCCCAAGAGACATGATGCTTATCCGTCTTGAAGTGCCAAGGAAGTCAAACTCGAACGGTCTTTTTCGGAAACCGAGTCCTTTTCGCCTCCGGAACGCCATCTCAATGATCAAGCGCGACTCTTTGCAGGCCGTCCAGAGGCCACTGTCGATGAGATAGGCTGACGGGTTGTTTTCGGTCCACGTGACAGAGGCCGACGCTTCCCAGTTAGAGTGAAGTGCGGGTCTCGAGGCAAGTTTGCGGCGCCCCCAGGATATTCGCACCGAAACAATGGCTCCGATTGAATTCCATTTCGAATATATGATCCGCCTGGCTCGCCTCGCTATCGTGGTGGATTCGAAGTATGTGTGGCCCCGAGCGGAGAGGCGAAGCGCAAAGGCCCAGAATTCGTCCCTGAGCTCACGCGGGAGGAGGGGCAAACAAATGGAATTAGCCTGGCATCTTCCTGGAAGCGTGTGCGCGGAGTGAATCGGAAGAATGACGAGTTCGGATGCGGCAGGAGAAAACGTGGCTCGATCGAGTTCCTTTTATGCTCGTTAGCTAGATGTTGCGAAAGCAGACTTTGACCCATAGTTGAGCGGTGTGAGCTTTGGCCGTGGCAAGCAGACTGCTAGAAAAGCCCATGTCAGGCCGCGCGAGGCTGAGTGGTGGACAGATGATCGGCGAGTCAATATAGTCTACAGTGTAGATTCCACATGGGCCTGTTCGGCCGCGTCAATTCACACGTCATTTATAGCTTCGTGTAATTAGGGGGTTGAGACATGACCAAGAATGGGAGGAATAAAATTTCCCATCTTCAAAGGCAATAGTTAATTGGGTCAGCGTCACTCTTTTTTAGTCCGCCAAAGACGCCAATAGTTACCTCCGACAGGGGGGTTTTTTTTTTTTTTTTAGCTAAATCCGTATTAGGCTTACTACACCCCCATACAAAAAGTCTGTGTGCACAGGCCAACCCACTAACTTCCACGATCTGACACTTCATTCTTCAACCATCCATTTCTTACTCAACTTACTAGCTACCGAGTTAAAAACAATATCAAAATGAAGCCTAAAGACAGATCTTTAATATTTGGTATACCAGCTCCTGGCCCGGCGCACTGCAAGGCGCCAGCGGGGCACAGACTCCAAGAGCGCCCGAATAAACTCCTAATCTATAGCTACCCACGCCTCCTTAATCCACATAATCGCAAGAGCTGTGTCGGCCTCGTTATCCTTCAGGTCCTCAAATTCAGGGTGCATTTCATACACCAGGTCCTTCAAACGCTTCCAAATATGCTCGATTGGGTTCAAATCTGGGCTGTGAGGTGGCCAGTCGATCAGCTCGATGCCGTGCCCTGCGAAGTACGCCTTAGAATCGCGAGAAGTGTAGATAGAAGCATTATCTTGTTGAAATAACCTTCCCTCAGCCTCGCCAGACTGCAAGTGAGGAAGCAGACCTTCCTCCAGCGCCCAAATATAGCTCATAGAGCTATATCCTCCTCGGGGGGAGTCTAGATCCCTCTCCATAAAGATAAGCTCGGGTTTTCTAGTCATCCAGATCGCTGCCCACACCATAAAGTTAAAAGAGGCAGCTTGTTGGGTCTTCTGGACCATGCGCCTATCAAATTTCTCGTGGTTGTAACGAAAAACCCACCCAGAACCTTTATCTGGGTCGTTCTGGATCGAGCATTCGTCGGTATAAATTGCCTCTTAAGCTCGGTCTCTCGCGGGAGCCAGGAGCGGCAATGGCCAAATCTGCGGCGTGCATCGTTTTCTGTAAGCTTTGGCCTCTCTGGGGAACGCCAGTGCCCTATGCTGGACGCGTAGATCGATAATGAGTCGGAGTGCGTTGATAGAGATAGAGACGCCATCTTGGCCTAAAAGACGGCGGAGAGTTTTCCACTTGATTTTGAGATCCTTTCGAACGTAACGAAGCACATTACGCTTATCCGCAGCACTTAACTTCATGGGGAAAGCCACTTCTAGGGAGCGAATCCAAGGTTTTGTAGTCTAGTAAACGTTCCAAGGTTCTGTCAATAGTGTTGCGGTGGAGGCGATGGTCGCGCGCGCCACCTGGGCCTTAGTTGTACCGGCCATAACTGCCATGACAATGAAAGAAAGCAATTCTTTGATCGCTCCTGGTTAGGGCCGCGATTTCCGCTTATTTCTGTGCCAAAAGCTCTGAAATTGAGCGCCATTGTGGAAAGTTATGGGTGGTTGAAGAAAGAGAGTGCTTTTGACGCGTCGCGAGATTTGATGGTGGGGTGGTCAATGCACACAGACTTTTTGGCAGGGATTGTATGTAGATCCTGAGCAAAAGCTAAGGCGCACTAAGCGTAACTGTTGGAATCACCAGGTACCGGTACTGGAAACAACAGGGCGTGCTGCACGCCGAAAGCTGGTGGTTCAAGTAATGGTCATTGTTGTCTATGTCTATCTAGAAGAAAGAGGTGGCCGTAGGCCACTTATATGGAATCTGGGACCCCTACGCCTCCACCGCCGCCTGTGTGGCTGATGAATGCGTTGCTACAGCCACCTCTATGTGGCTGGAATGCGCGTTGTTCCAACAGTAACCCTGAGCCGATATCCCGGCTATACTTGCCGCATCTAAACTAATCTTAGTTTTAAAATTCCTATTTCTAATTTCTATTTTCTCCTTACGGACGTAATTCGTTATTATTATTAATTAAATTATAGCTAGTTACCGGGCTTGTAGGTATAGACTCTCCTATGTGGTCCTAAAGTGTAAGACACTACAGTGGTTGTGTTGGTGTGGCTGGTGTTCTCCGTATCCCTGTATTCCCGTTCTACTACCGCCGACCACACCCCTCTTCTTTCTTATTTTCCACACCTTGCCACCTTTCTAACTTACTTTTAGCTCATACTTTACCCACCTTACAATACCGAGAAAAACGAGTGTCAGAAACAAGGCACCTTGGACTGTATTGGGCTGTGACTTGTGACTTGTGAATTGTATTGCTTGTTTTCTCTGTCTGTGATTTCTGGCTTTGCTAGAAGCCGTTTTCTTGTAGTTGTGAGGAGTGGCAAATCTGGTTAGCAAGCCCTGTGGCAAGCATTACCAAGCCCAGTTTTTACCACCTGTTAGCATCTTCTGCCACCCAGTTAGATGCCAGAAGCCTTCTTTCTGGCAGGTGATAGTGAGACATCGCGTTTCAGCGCACATCATCGACATATGCAGAATAAAATAACCAAAAAACTTCTAGCACTGTTTAGGGGAGGTATTAATTATTGGCTCGGTGTGGGAAAGTCGAAAAGGAATACGAGGGGGGGAGAAGGTACAATATTCCAGCAGCTGCTAGTGAGGCGCTCGAAAGGGTTAGCGTAGCCGCGGTCACTCAAACCGCCCCCCCCCACCTTCCCCCCCGCCCCCACATCGCTCTGCATGATCTTCCAGGCATATAAAGACCAGGAGAGCCTGTGATTAATATCTGTGAGCAGTCCTGCTCATCACAGCAGCTATCCAGACCTCACTAAAGTCGCCAGTGCTTTAAACACACCATACTGTCTACTGTCTCGTATTATGCTCGTTACTCCTTGTGCAGCATCTTTACTATTCAACATCCCAGTCCTGCAACAACAGTGTTCCACCATGGCTCCTTCTGTCCTTGGCATCGGCCTTCCTGCCACCTCTGATATCGTCCCGTGGGTCTTCCGAGGTTTCCTGCGAAAATCACTCGACGTGATGGAGGCGGACATGACCGCCTCTCCATACGATTGGGAAATGCTGTATCTGACACCAGACATGCCGTTTGATGTATGCACAAAGAAGCTTGGAGAGAAGAAGTGGGATGTTGTCATGGTCGGGAGTAAGTGATTGTTTTGCGGCCGGATCAAAGAGATACTCGTATGTAAGAATACGTTGACTGATGACAATGGTGGCAGTGGGCCTTCGGAAAACTGACATGCTCGTACCCTACTTTGAGCGCATCGTCAACGCTGTACATGAGGAGCTACCACAGGCGAAGTTCGCTTTCAACATCAGCATTGAAAAGACGCGGGAAGCTGTTGATCGAGTTTTGGCCGGCGAAGACAGAGTGTGAAGCACCCGTAGGACCCAACTTATCAGATAATGCAGACTCGGGATCTTGAAAGCCACAGCTCCGTTCTCACACGAGTAAAACTCGCTTGCCCAAGCTCCTTGTTGCCATTTTCCAATCGCAGTCAGCTCCGAGCTCACGCTGAGACTCTCTCAACCGCCAACATTCTTCCATGACCATCAGCCCTTTCCAAGACATGCCCAAAGGCCGGTTTTGTTCGACCAATCGCGTTATCAGGCCCCGAAATCTATCGTGCAAAGTTTCGCCAGCCAGGCATCCTGTGATCGTGAAAGCCCAGTTGGCCCGAATGACAAGCCCCTCTGGGAGCGCTTCTAGCATCTGCAAGTTCCGATTGACGAGGAGGGTAATCTCGGGGTCAGCTGGATCGGCGCCGAAGATGATGGCCTGCAAATATACCTGCGCTGCGCTGACAAACTGCAAAGTCACCAAGCGGCTGTTGGCTTCGAGTTCGGTCATGCCGAGCATGCATTGTTGCTCCAGCCCCAGTAACTGGTCCCGCAGACGAGCGGCCATGGAAGCGGCACGTCCAGAAAGCTCCTCAGTGTCTAGCGAGTTGCTCTGAAGCTGAAAACCCTTCCAGTCAGCAAGGCGGGTGATTTCGGTGATGCTCGCCATCACAGATGAGTGACACCCCATAACCTCGTGAGTTTTGAGGTCATTGGCATGGAGGTAGGGGACGTAATCAAAGTGACGACGAGGTTGTAGAGGTGATCCGTACGTTGCGTTGGCAATGATATCAACCCAAACAACGCACGTAACATGGAATTCAAAGGTCCTTTGCAGGTCTGGAGACGAGAAGTCTTTGAGTGCCATCTCGATCGGCGACAAACGCGATTCGGTTTCAATTTGATCGCATAAACCAGGGGGGCGGTAGGTGTGAATCGTGTCCAGCAGAGTCAAGGTCGCCTGGTGGTGTAGTTGCCAGGTGCCTTCCAGCATGCTGAAGACCTCCAGACTGAGCAGTTGATGCATGACCTCCAATATCTGGAGACCTATCCTAGCCACGTCTCTCGGGGCATGACCCTGCTGGTTGAAACGCATAATGATCATCCGCAGATCAGACGAGGCAATAGCTTGCCGCTCCGCCACCTCTAAACTCAGACCTTTGCCGTCCACCTTCTCTGGTTCGCAAAGTGAGGCCTGGAAAGAGGCGCTGACACTCAGCGCAGAGTGATATCGTGCCTTGTTGCCGCACAAGCCGCTCATGAGCCAGCTATGATCTGCTGCAGTAGACATGGGACAGAAGCCAAACTGTATCGGGAAGATGAAGTCCAGGTAAAGCATGACCAAGCGCGCATCCTCATGCGGACGGTTTCCAGTAGGCAGCGAGGTGCAGAAGGCACCATCCCACCATAAAGACTCTGGCGCAGACAAGCGCCCCACGGGGCTGATGACGAGCTCACCGGTCTGTGGGCAATTGGGGTTACCTCTCGCCACCTTCGCTAACTCTTCTTGCCCGTAGCGTCTACGGGCCTTGTACTGTGCATCTGCGACAGATCGAAGCCGTCGGGCTTCTTCAGTGTCCATAACCTCCTTCCAGTTCCGCTTTCCCTGCATCCAGTCGGGCGGAGGAACATCGTAGCCGTAGCATTGAAGATTTCGGCTCTTACAGTTGTCGCAGCAGGGTTGTTGCTCATCACATTTCTTCTTGCGCATGCGACAAGTGTAGCAGCCAGTCCTACTTCGCGAGCCTGATAACATCTGGGATGTGTTGTTCATTAGGGCGTTCGACAGTGCAGTTGTCAATGCAGCGACGTGAGACTTTGGACATGACGGCCTAATCCTTGGGGAGTGGCTTATGTGCAAGCATCCCTTTGAGCGCCATTCGGCAACGAAGCATATTTTTATCCGGACCCATTTTTCGATCAATTTCAGCTAATTGAAACGGTTCTTGGTGTTCTGACTAAGCTGGGGAGGAGCAACAGTTGGCTAAAACCAACTCTTATTCCCAGTATTGCCGAATGGCGGATTTACTCTGTAGGCTGGATGGGCCTGTGACGTACGTACGTGACATCGACCCTACCAACCAAGCTTGCCCGCCCAATACCACCCCGGTCCAGCTTACCAAAAAGGCTAGCTTAGCCGCAGTCAAATCTTTGATCCCACCCCTGAGTGAAGGATGACGAATCGCTACCAGAGTGGTGTCTGTCCCAGCCGCGCTCTCTTGGCCGGCCGACGGCAATGCTGGAGAGCCGACGCATGAGGATTCATGCTGACAAATTCATCTTAGTGCTGAATCTTTGGTCGAGTGCAGCCGCCCTGGAAAGATCATCCTTGCTACGCACTGTAAAGCCGCTGCTGTGTTCAACATTGACCTTGTTAACGTGATGCATGAGAGATGATGATATAAGTAGACGAGATGCAGAACCCCGAGAATCCTATGCTGCCCATCGCTATCAACGATATTGCGGTCTATAAAGAATACCTCACTGGACTAACACTTTTAAGGCCGTGTTCTACCGAATGAGAATCCACAGGGACGGCAAAGCCACCAGAGGCGCTACTTCCGCTATGCCTAGCTGCAATACTGAGCCTACTACAGCAACCCTGTGTATGATGCTGCCTCAGGCCTGCCTTAAGGGTACGCATGTCAATAGATTCAAGTCCGGAGTACAGAGGTGATGAGCAAATACGAGGCATAACGTCCCGAACAATCTCTTTTGGTGGGAAACGGATGACTGCATTGCTTGTTGGAGGAAGACTCACTACCTAGGCTACCGCGGAATATGTATTGGAAGGTGATGGTCTGGATAAGTGGAACCCATAGATCCACTGGTTGGCCTGACAACATGTGCCAAGCCATAATCTCCGTTGGTCAGATCTCTATAGCTAGAAATGTCTATATCGACAACCTAAGAGGCGCTAGCTAGAGGTAGTTATAAAAGTATCAATTGAGAACTATCGACAAATACTCTATATTCCTTATACAACACACCGTCAGACGGCTTTTACAGGAGCTCGATGAGTATCTTACCTCTATGTATAATTACTTCATTTGTAATCTATACTTGATTTCGTCTCACGGTATTTCTTGTTAAACATAGCATAGAGCGTATATATACCCGTCCTTTTCGTCCCCATCTAGCCACCTGTTACGATCCTGGCTCAGGCGCGCAGAAGGCTGCACGGAGCATCCCGCTATTGGCTGGCGCAAGGAAGCGGGGTAGTTCCCCGCTTCGCTCGAGTACAGCCAATAACGAAGCGGTCAGCGCGATCAGTATGATCAGGGCGATCAGTGGGAACTGATCGCACTGAGTACACTGACCGCGCTGATCATCCAAGGCCAACGCCCTAATTAGCCCACCTTAGATAGATATATACGACGGCCGTAGCCACGGTCTTAGATAGTTCTTCCTTGGTTCCTCAAGCAAGCAATACACATTCACTGCACTCATACACTTTGAGTGGCATTCCAATTTGACTGTATTACCCGTGCGATAGGAGCTTGCCCTTTGTTCTATCTTCATAATTACCAACTCCAACATCCTGTGGAGCCCGTGCTCTCTTACAGACAGACGACCCTAACAGTCGAGTGGTTTGTAATACCACCCCCACCCTCCCCGCCGGGCAAGTCGTGCACAAGCCCGTTCCTTAGGCAAAGTAAAATCGTAGCTTCACTTTTACTTTCTACTCCTTAAGGCCTTCTGAATCCGTCTCTAGGCTGGTACGAAATAAGAAAAGGAGTCTATAAAGCAAAAGCAAAGGTCTGCTAGCTTGATATTACTAGTCGAGATATTTGACTCGATCCTTGCCCTCGACCTAGCTAGCGCCGGCCAGCTGTTAGTCACGAGAAGAAGACTAGAGAAAAGGAGCGGTCCTCTCAAGCGAAGCGAGCAGCCCGCCGCAAGGGGGCCCCGCAGAGCTGCCGTAGGCTAACACAAACGAAGAGAGGTGGAGTAGACTATATTCATATATTCTCCCGTACAACAAAAGGCGCAACGCTATTCCTAGTTATTCATGACAGCATTTATCATACACAGCTCAGTCCAACATAGGGCCATCCGTCACCACGTCCTAACGAGGACCGACTCGCCGCGCCCGAGATGATGAGGTTATGACTGAATCTCTACGGGACCACCGCCTCGCCCTCATTAGGACGCTTGACTTGTGCCTGCGCCCACATCTACGGCTCGGTCGGCCCCATATCGGCAGGGGGCACGGACGCGGCTCGCCATAGAGTCACCGACGCAACAGGTCTTGGTCAACTTTCCAGTACCTAACTTCCCACTGCAGCCAGTTCTCGAGGCCGGGGAGCTGGCTCGGATTGGCATCCTGAAGTGACCAATCTTCAAACGTCACACAAGCAGCCTCGTCGAAAGGCGAGAGCATCCGCAACTGCGGCGACGACGAGCATTCCATGCCGGTCCAGCTGCCCAAAAGTGCTCGCCCACGTGGAGGGTTCGAGCAGCATCTCAGGAAAAAGAAAAGAATGGAAAACGTTATTGTTTGATGCCGCGTTTCTGGTAGCTCCTCAATGTTCCTCTCCATGATACGTGCGCCCGACGTCTAGGAGAATATTTGCTCTTGCGGCTTGGACGGCCATACGCGAAGTTGGATATGTTGCGACCTTGCTTTAAGCGACTCCCAAGCCCTTGCATCGAGGAAGAGACCCACATCCGAAGATAGGTGAGGTGACGGTGGTGCGCGTCGTCTCGGAGCTGGCGACCGTCGACGTGATGGTCAACGTGACGGTCGACTCGGGGCCGCCCTGGACTGTTGGCCAGACGTGAATCAGGGCCGTGTTGTACGCCGTACACGACACAAGCGTGGGGTGCGAGGCGGGGAGCGTCGTGTTTTGGCCGGGCACCGGCATGTAAGAGCCCTTGTACGCTGTCACGGTGGGGCCAGGCGTGCCGCCGTTGGTGCAGACAACGGTGGGCGAGGTGACGGTGGCGATGGTGGTGTTTGTGTCACGGATGAAGATTGTCGTTGTGGTTTTGTCGACGACGACTGTTGGGAAGAGGGTCGAGTAGGCCCATGATGTGACGGGGGTTGTGACTGTGGTGCTTGCTGTGACGTAGGTCGTTGAGTAGGGACGCCTAGCTGCGGCTACCATAGCTATCAACGTCGCCGGCGTTCTAAACTAGGCCTCGAATAGCCTTTAGCACTAATCTGCAAGACCAGAAGTCGCACCCAGTCTCGGGGAATATGCTGTTGGGAAAGGCAACAACTCTGCAAGCTTTATTATCCTCCTTCATAGTATAGACTTTCCTCTACATATACCTCTTTGCTAAAAGATTTTCAAAAACGTCGGTATGACGTTTAAACGCGCAGCGACCCGCATCACCAAAGATATCTACACCATTTCATTCCCGCTTAAAAACTGGCCCATGCTTCCATACGGAGTTGCCGTTTTCAAAACCGCTTCTATCATCCGAGCCTCGAACTCCCTTTGATCTGTTGCTGCAGATGTCACTGGAAAGCCGGCATACACTTGAGCTTTCACCTCCTCAACGGTCGCATTGTCTGGGACGAATAGGTAAACCGAGTAATTGAAGTCGAGGACGTTGCTTGACCGTTTTCTACCTCTAGAACCGCAACGGACCACGCAGGTCTCCTGCGCCTTGGGGGGCGTTATCGCTTTGGATGAGTCTATGAAGCCCACAGAGCTCAAGCCGCTGCTGATTCCGGGCGCCCGCTTCTGCCGTTTGCTGCTCGTGACTGGGGCAGTGTCAACAGGGCTGGCGGGAGTGGTGGCAGTTGAGATGCTGGCTGAATTTGCGTTGGCTACAACCGTGGAGGCATTGTAGGTTGCAACAAAGCAGCATCCCAATTCAAACGTCAGGTGTTCGCAAGGAAAGTGTTGCGCGCAATATGTGACGGTAGCTCCCGGCTCTGTGTAGCATTGCTGGTACGCCGGAGAACACACAGCCCTGTCGTCGTATACCCAGCACTCCATCCATAGCACCAACTGGCCGTGGAAATCACCCATGTAGTAGCATTGATATAGCGGGCCATCGTACTTTGGGTCACAGTGCCAATCATCATCGCGGCGTCCCAGCGGCGGAGGGGCCGTGCTGCTTGCCGCGCAAACAATGATAAGACTCAACAGAACGGATGAGAGAGTCGCAGACAGGCTCTTGCTGAAGGATTCCATGATGGAGGTGGTGCTGGAGAATAAATGCGAAGTGTGGCTTAGACGAAAACCGATAAATTGTCTCGAAAGGGTGAGAATCCCAGAGAGTGGAATGGCCTGCCAAATATATCTTTCTCTTTTTCAAATGAAACAACCACTTCCATTCAACCGATCATCTGGAAGGAGCGGATAGGGCCGCGGCAGTTTTATGGGTGTCTCATAGCCGCTGTGAGAGCCTCGGGGGCCGTTCGTTAATTAGCTACTTACTCGGGCTCCGCTGCTGACCGGTTGTCGGTAATATTTTTAGAGTGTCTACTGCAGTCAATTAACGAGATATGGGTGGAAAATGCAGAGTTATCTTTGTCTTTACCCGAGTAAGCGGGCTGATTTTGAGTTTGCAGCTGGCAGCTCCCTTCTCCTGTACTGCAACTACAGAATGCACTGCATCATCCTGCGTATGCCCCTTTACCTCTGGTTGAGTGTTCCAGGGCTCGGATGTTTTTGTATATCCGACGCTATAAGATGAACTTGCAATGGCTATTAGCGGTTTTTACATCCTGCACCGTATCGTGGATGGAAGGAATGTCGTTGGGGGCAGAAAAGGAGCCCCAACACAGATGCCGTTGGGGGCGGAAAAGGAGCCCCAGCACGGATGCCGGCAGTTCAAAGCAGCAACACCAGAGTCTATGCGATATTTAGATGGCCCTTTAGAGCTTGTGGCGGTGCCCCACGACACGAGGTTCTTGGTGCCGTAAGGCTCCCTGTGGCCTCGGAAACGGAGAGCTGAAGCTATTTTTGGGTTAATTGGCCGTACCATGCAGGGCCACCTACAACAAAATCCGTTCCTCGATCGTCCCTTAACCCATAGATAGTTATAAGAACCTCGTTCAAAACAGTCAGGGGCCTGTTTCCTCATCGAGGGTTTTATTGAAACTGTCGTTAGATATCTAACTTTGACAGAGGATACACTATCCCATCTCGCAAATCATGGAAGATTCGGAGAAGAATGCTTCTTGGACAACACATGAGGTCATCCTTCCGCAGAAGAGGGAGAGGGAAAAAACAGCAGCCTCAAGCAGCATCACCAATAACCAGTGTCCCTTGGCCACTCCCCCCCAAGAAACAGTGAACGGCCGAGCCGAAAGCCATCTCTCACTACAACTATGGCTGTTCGAGATATTTTGTTTGGTCATGAGTCTATGCTCATTTTTCAGTAAGTGGAGAGACCCTAATAGAAACAGGATAGTGAACAGGATAGTGTTAACAGAAGTTTTTGTCAGTCATCATTTCAGTCCTTCGGGCCTACGACAACCACCCTTTGCCAAACCTGCCCATGCACATCACGCTTAACACATTTCTAGCTTTCTTCACCACCTTTACCAAAGCCGCATTCATGGTCCCAGTGGCTGAGTGTCTCAGCCAGTGGAAGTGGAATTGGTTTCAGCGGGAGCGACCCTTGATTGACTTTCAGACCTTTGACAGCGCGAGCCGGGGCGTGATGGGGTCAGTTTTACTCATGCGCTTGTTGAGATGGAAGTGGGTGTTACTCCTTTCTCGTTTGACTCAGAACCTTTCAGCCCGAAACTGACCGTCACCAGTCACCTCGCGGTTGTTGGTGCGCTGGTCTCAGTGTTGGGAATAGTCACTTCCCCCATGACACAACTCCTTATCCAGTACCCAATGCGTCTTGTTCCGGCCCCGAGCCCCGGCGGAGCTAGTGTCCCTGTTGTACAGCACTACAGAAGTCGCGTGGGACTCATTGGCTCTTGGTCAATCGACATCGCCAACTATGTGACAGGGGGGTTGGTCCACTCGGCAGGGTCACGGATTGACGAGGCTGTGCCTACCTGTCCAAGCGGAACCTGTCAGTGGGGCCAGTTCCAGAGTTTTGGGATTTGTAGCCGCACGGCCAATATTACGGACAGGTTAGTCGTGGTTCAAGTTCCATTCTCGACGGCGGATGACTGGACAGTTTGGGACAACACTGTGGATTTAAATCGCCTGCGCCTGAACGGGACGCTTGCATATAATGTCACATTTCCCGACGGAGACGGCTTTGTCACGCCCGTTTCATACACGGTGTATAGCGCACCACTTACCCACTCCATCGCGTTCAGCAACGACGCGGCGCTCACGACCGCCACCCTCGCCCGGTATAAGGTTGCCTGGGCCGACGCCGGTAACGCGACGTATCAAGAGTCCAGCAATGCCACAAGCCCAGATCCTTGGCAGTTCGGAGCCGCAGAAGTGGTCTTCTACGCCTGTGTCAACACTTACAACGCCAGCGTTAGAGACGGCGCGGCCATGGTCACGACGAGCAAGTCACCATCGTACAGCGTGGTGTCCAGCACCTTGACGAACAAGACCCATGGTATAGTCAACATCAACTGCACTTCTCCCAGTCTTTTGAGCGGCGGCGGCGGTTCCATGACGTCTTGCACCCAGGACACGCGGACGCCGAACCAAGGTGTCATCGCGCTCCACGGGTCAGGCGAGCCCGGCGTCGCATTCTCGAACGAGACGTTTACGGCCGATATCCGCAGTCTCACAATCCTCAGCAAGTACATCCTCCAGGATTCGTCGGGCATTTGGGCGTGGGACGGCGCCGACATATTCATAATGGCTGGCAACAATGGCGTCCCGACCCTGGCAGATGCAGTCTACGACTACATGCCCGACGGCGGGACGAGCAATGCGCATAACCAGCGGCAGCGAAAGGCCGGGGACCATGCGCTACAACTCCTCAGGCTCCAGAATGTGGCCGAGAATGTGGCTGTGAGCATAACCAACGGGTAAGTTTTGACACACCTGCTTTCTACTCGCGCAACGGGACTGAGTTGACACGACGTGATTAGCATCCGCTCCATTGGTCCATATGAAGACACGGAAAACGCATTCTCGTTTGACGGTACCGTTTACGAGACTCAGACTTTTGTCTACGTCCGCTGGGGTTGGTTAACATTTCTGGCCGCCCAGATTGGACTCGCGCTTGGCTTTTTTGTGTGGACTGTTGCTGCAACGCGTCGTCTTGGGACCCAAGTTTTCAAGAGCTCAATCCTCGCGGCATTGTTTGCTCTGCACTCGGACAACATGGGAAGTGAACAGCATAAAGGAAGAGGAGACATGGAGGCCATGGCGAAATCGTCGAGAGCACAGGTCACTGAAAGATCCCTTCTCCTGTCGACCACGTCGGTGAGGGGAAGCGCGGCGAATGGCATGGATGGCGGTGCTTAGGCGGAGGTGAAAAGAGGACAATGAGGACGGAGCTGATGAATTCTGAGTCTTGGGTAATGGAGTTGCTTGTTTCCATAGGCATTTTCGACGTATTCCTCTGGGAGGTTCAGAAGCGATGAGTGTCCGTATTCCAACACTAATAGTGACTAGAACTAGGCTAGAAATAAGTACCTAAATTACGCACCGTTTGGCTTGACAAAAACCAATCCATAGTGGGGCTCGAGTGGTTTCCGCCTCACAATTCAGGCAGCGACATATCTTTTACGCACGCGTCGAGCGATGCACAGGCGCCGAGCGATGCACAGGCGCCACCCCCTGTGCGCTCAGCTTTCTTGGCAAGCTGGGATTGAAAAAATCTTTGTGCGAAGACCCTAACCCCGCAGCGATAGTGAAGCATCAGACATCCCAGTCCAGACGCTCGTGAATGCAAAGCACAAGAGACTTGAGGGCAGAGCGCTTATTTTCGTGCCCGTACCTACCCAAAGAGCGCTCAACTCTCACTGCCCCACATCATGTTAGCCTCAGAGTCAACGTTTCCTTACCCTCGACTGCCTCTTGTCGACGCCATCCGCATCCTGACGATTGAGCCTGGCGAGTTTGGCGAATCGCTCAACTGCAGCCTCACAGCAGCAGCCTTCAGTACCAAGCCGCGATACGCAGCTCTTTCCTACACGTGGGACTTTCCTCAGCCGGACCTTGAAACTCTGTCGCAGGCTATCCCCCGCAACGATGCCTCAGCACCCGCCGACGCGGGAACACGCCACGCAGACGGCGGCGGGCCTCAATCCGACTCCCACACGACATCAATAGCTCTCACCGTCAATGGCCACCAGTTCCCAATCCATGCGAACCTCTGGCTTTGCCTCATGCATTTACGCTCTGAAACGTACCCGCTGCCTCTGTGGGTCGACGCTGTCTGCATCAACCAAGTCGACGGACCTGAGCGCAATGCCCAGGTCGCCATGATGTCCTTCATCTACTCGCGCGCCCAGAAAGTCATAGCCTGGCTCGGCTTGAGGGACATAAAATACGCCACCCCCCATGAATCGCTTCGTATCCTGGCCGAGGAGTGGCGACAGGGCTCTGTCCAGGACCTAGCAGGGGCTGTCGTCAACGGCACTAAACCTCTCTCTTCGCCTGCGCCGGCTCAGAACACCTTCGACTTTCCTCGCATCGCTACTAGCGCCTACTGGACAAGACTGTGGATCGTGCAAGAGGCGTGCTTGGCACGCGAACTAGTCTTCGTGTTCGGAGCCAAGGTTTGGACTTTTGAGGACCTGGAAATGTGGGAGCCGTTGAAGCATGCACGAAACGCGGCCCGGAAGGCCGGGACGTTGAGGCCAGCAGACGTCGGGAACGAGCGGGTCGAGGCAAGAGCTTTGCTTCGCATTGCTGAGATCCGACTCTTCAGACACACAGACGCAATGCGCTTTGAGTCTTTGATCGAGCGATTTGCGAACCAGGCGTGCTCCGAGAAGAGAGACAGAGTTTATGCCCTGCTCGGTATGGCTAATGATGTCCGCGCCAGTATTGGAGATGAATCGAATTCGAATTGTGTCCACTCGAGCTCGTTGGATCCGGCCAGCTCTCTGTCAAGTGAGATACCCGAGCTTAACAGGGGTCCTGGGACAATCCGTATCGACTATTCTCGTCAATATTACGATATCTGGGCACAAGTGGTCAGTGTCCTCTTCTTTCGAGTAAAGCCCATGCACGGTCGGATCCGAGGGCCGGACGAGTCATTGTCCCGTGATGAGAGAGCAATTACCATTGTCAGAACCGCTGGAGTCATTCAAATGGCTCTTGACGGGAAGGTCGAGCAGGAATTGCTCAAGCCCAACATTGCTCCTCAACAAGGTCCTGTCATTCGGGCCTTGGGATATCTGGTTGCTGAAATCACCCAACTCGGACCCGACTATTCTTCTCTGATAGGTTCTTTTCGGGCACAACAAGACTGGCTAAACTGTTGCGAGGAGGCTTATGAGGAGCCGCAAGACTTGGAGCTGATCCGTACTCTCAACGAAACTTACTCAGCCAAGATCATCGGCTATAGAGACAAGGAGCTTGGCCGGATTCGCGAGATTCGAAACACAACCACGGTGGCTTGGCGCAGGGGCGAAACGAGTCTTCCATCTTCATGGAATTCCGCCAAACACATCCAGAACTACACGCAGATATGGTCAGATATAGACAAAAGGACGCACGGCCTTCCACAGGAGCCGAAAATGTGCATCGCCACAGAGCGCCTCATAGCTCTCGTACCTAGGGCGGCAGAGGTTGGTGATGTTGTTGTGCGGTTTTGGAACTGTGATGCTGCCTTGGTCATGCGACGTGTCGCTATGCACGTATCGCCGGATGCTGACGTCCCCTCTTCCGATTTGGAGTACTGGATGCTCGTGGGAAGGTGCGATGTTGCTGATCAGGGGGGCCGAAATGAACCTTCAACCGATACATGGAGATTCTATATCAAGGCGACGCAAGAAGCCAAGCGGGCTGTTTGGATCGACCTGGATCTTCGGACATTACAGCTTCTCACTGCTTCAATCGCAATCTACGAGCACTGAACCTGCGACTCGACCCATGCTGGATTAGATCGAATCTGTCCTGATGTTCAGAAATCCATGCTACAAAAGTCATAGACAGTTCTCGTTTTTCCTAATTCACAATCTCCACGCTCAAATTATCAGGCCATATTCGGTAGACGTGGGGATCCATTCCCATTATTGATTCATCACTGAAACAACAGAGAGCTCTACTAAATTCTTTTGGGCAGGCAATCCAAAGCGCTCGTCGCCGAAAGTAGCCGTACAGGCGATTACTTGATCAAAGGTACATTTTACATGGAAAAAACTAAGAAGAAATGGGTGCTGGATTTATCAGGGCTAGCTAGGGCTGTATTAGCGATATAGCAATGTTTGGAATTAGTCAAGGATCATGATATCAGCAGGAGAAAGTGAAGCTATGCAGGGAAACTCTGAGATAACTTACAAGTAAGGGATAACGACACCTAACATTTGCAAAGAAGGGACGAGATGATAGACGTAGTGTAAAATTATAGAGAATCAAGACGCTGCAAGCTACTGAGTTTGTTTTCAGTACTTCAAGAGAGCCGCTCTTGGGCTTCAATAAATGTTTGGCAAACAAGCCATTACTAGCCGCAGCGGAATAAAATGGCCCTTGGAGAGAGTTGAGACTAGGGACGCCTATCACCATTCTAGACTAGTCGCTGCCACCGACCCTCCTCCTTCCAGCCTCCTAACTATCTGCATTACAGTCTTTCTTAACTCCATCAAGTAGGCTAGGACAGGCACGCTGATGTCGCCCCAATGTATCTTTGCGGCTAAAAGCGCGGTCGCAAGCCTCGCAAGTGAACCCTAGGCCACCATGAATAGTCCCGCAGGTGCCGATTTAAATTGTTCCTGTCGGCGAACCCTACCAGGCAGCTGGTATGGCAGGACCGAGGACAAAGTATCTGGCGAGGTTCATATCCTTGTCCTTGTTCTCGGCTTCGACGACGAGAGCTGGCCCCGGCTACCCCTACCAAAATAGGGGGCGACGAACCATATGCCACCACGCAGCTGACAATTTAAGGTCCTACAAGTAGTCTTCAATCTAGTCATTCTCGCGACATTTATGTTCGTTTTAGCTCCGGCCGGAGTAACGCAGTTGCGGGACCAGTCTTCTTCACGATGTTGGGGGTGTTTACCGCCCTCCCCGCTGCGCTGCCGATGTAGCTCGAGGAGAGACGCCCTGGCTCCGTTAGAGGTTCGTCCACTGCACTGGCTTGCCAAGTTTCCAGGTTTTCTGCAATTTGTCGGCCCATTTTCATGGATGGATTCCCCGACGGAGTTGCTGGGAACGCACAACCGTGGCCGCACCTGCGGGATCCTGGACGCCCTGGGACGCTCGGCGAGCTTGAGGCCTTCTTGGTTGGTTGCAAATCAACAGAGGTCGCGTATGATATCATACACATAGACCTCCACGGCAAAATTGAGTGAGAATCCTACCCGCTTTTCCACCTCCTTCTGCGGCGCGCTGGTGCTGGCAGGTCGGAGCTTCCGCGAGGCCTCGGCTGCTGCTAGGGTCAACGCGCTGCAGATCATGAAGGAGCGGCATGCGCAGCGCCCTGGATGCGAGGAATATGTTCTTCCGTCTGATTCGTCGCCCGACTGCTCTCGGCACCACCTTTCATGGCCCCGTCGAACTCAATGGTATGGGTGCATGCCAGCTCCTGGTCGAGTTTGGTCGTGATGATGACGTGCCCGCGGTGTCCGGACACGCATGGAATGGACCGAAGGAGCTTCCTCCAGGATGACAAGGGTGCACATCGCGAATGTCCAGTCAATCAGCGACAGCGGTAATGGGTAAAGAGTCGTGGGATAGGTCATCGAGAACGAGAAGCCACTTCTTTTCGTGTGGCTGCTCGAGCTAGCTACTCCGTTACGCCTTGAATAAGACAACCAAGTTTGGGATCCGGCAGCTCCTTTGCGCTTTCGAGGTCTTGTTCGTCTAATCCGAGCGTTCGCTGCGCTTGCTTTGCTGCATCCGATCCTAGGCGCCCCGCTATCTCTCGTGCGGCTCGTCGAAAGCCTTCTTCAAGAGACTTGCAGTTCGTAGCCATGATCCACAGTACTGACCCATATTTCCACTTGTTCGAGTGTATGTACTCGAGAGCAGCTTGTGATTTCCCGGAGCCGGCTGGACCCTGTAGGGTAACAATCGGTAAAAGTTCCTCCAGTCGCTTCTCGTCGCGTGAAGTCACTTCGGTTCCGTTGGTTGGCCACTTATCCAAGTATTGTTGTAGCTGTACTACTCATCGTAAGGTATCTCGGAAAATCGGCGATCTGGCTAGAATTTGATCTCGGATACAGGAGTCGCAGTATGACGGAAGGTCAAGCTTGTTGCTTCTATTTCTCCTCTCTGGGGGGTTGATGCTACCGCTCACTCCGTGATTTGGTTGATGGTCTGGATGATTTTCTCGAGAACTTCATCGCTAGGCCCGGAAAACTTGCAGATGTGGTCAAAGTCGCGCCAAGTTTGTGGCCTCTTGTGGATCGGCCGTATTAGCTCGGCATCTTGTTGTGGTTTGGCATGATTTGAGCCAGGGCGAGAAACTGTCTGTGCAATGGGGTGTGCTAAAGACGAGGTTAGCTCGGTCTCGAAGGAGACGCTGCCACTCTCCTGGAAATCGTGAATGTCAATATTTGCTGCCAGCGGCTTGAAGCGTTCTAGTACATAGGCTAAGGATTTTGTTCTATCCTCTAGCTCCTTCTGGTTGAGCGCGCTGCTGGCGACCGTTTTGAGAACGGCCGCGATCGCCGATGCAACATCGGTGGGACAGCCAGAGTGAGGCAAGAAAACGACACCGGCAGTTGAGCTGTAGACGTGATGCAAATCGCCCGCCAAGTCGCTCGCGACGACTAGCGCGTTCTTGACGAGTAGGCCGCCGAGGCTATGGCACACTAAGACGATGGGACGCTGGGCTGCGCGATCCTTGCGCAACGCGGCGAGGCGCTGTATGAGGATGCCGGCCTTGTGTAGTAGGGTGCGGTTGGTGACAAACTCGAGGCTCCAAAATGTGCTGTCGTAGTCATAGGTGATGATCCTGAGTCGGCGCGTGGCGTCGAGCGGCAGCTGTGTCCTCGGCTAGTAAAAGGCGTGGTCGGGCGCCTCCTATATGCCTCGGTACTTTTTGTCCCTAGGCCGCGGAGAAATACGACATCGACCTCGGCATCGCGTTCCTCGTGGATGACGGACGCGCGGAAATCGCCATAGCCTTTCGACGCGTGCCGGCCGGACCATCGCCAGAGCCGCCGCGCCCAGTCGTTGACCGACTTTGAGGCCCAGACTATGGGCGCCGCCAGGCTGGCGACGGCCGTCATGTCGCGCGAAGACGTCGACGGCAAAACGATTCTACTCTGCGCAGACGGCGCTGCAGATGGCTTGGCTGTTGATGAGGCTCGTGGACCTTGCATCATTTGGACACCGAGTTGCAGGAGCAAAGTTGGGCGGCTTGGTGGGACATCAGGCTAGCAGCGCGATTCTCATTTGTAACAGCATTCCGAGCAGCTGGCACACTCCCAAATTGGTTTAGAGTGATTCGCCATTGTCAGCCCACTGCGTCTGCCTCTTGGTGAGTTAGAGTACGGACGGTCATGGTTTTTTAACGTCAGACTGCAAAACTCGGGTCACTGGTCCGAGCCAATCAAACTCCGTAGCGATGTGCACCTGGGCGCCAACTTGCCAGGCTTCATGCCCTCTACGTCCAAGGTCGCACTTTCACTGACACGTTCTGCCGCCCTAGAATTGACCCACTTTTCAAACAATTGAACCACATTTTCCAGGCCCTGGTTAGTATGCCTCTGTACTCCCTTACACTTTCTTTTCCCTTCATTCTTTCTTTTCCCTTCATTCTCGGTCTCGGAATGCCCTCATTTCATTCCGAACGGCTGATTACAACGCTTCCTTACCCTCTCTCAACAGGTATAAGGAAGCGCTCTTTTCTGTCTTTCAGACCTATGTGGCCGGACAATTCAATGCGCGGCAAACTTCGATCACGTGCAAGAAATATTCAGCTCAGTAGCCGAAAGGTCTCTCTTTCCGACCACCCGGATGCCGTTGTAGAGCGCGGGCGTTTTCTCGCCCACGAAAAGATACGGGATCAACTCTCCCTGCTTCGGTTTCTTAGTTTTTTCCGCAACCTTCATGCGGATTTAGTCAAAGAGCTGAAAGGCCCCGAAGCGGGTGCCAGTACCAAGTCAGCTGTTGGAACAACGCGTATTCCAGCCACATAGAGGTGGCTGTAGCAACGCATTCATCAGCCACGCAGGCGGCGGTGGAGGCGTAGGGGTCCCAGATTCCATATAAGTGGCCTATGGCCACCTCTTTCTTCTAGATAGACATAGACAACAATGACCATCACTTGAACCACCAACTTTCGGCGTGCAGCACGCCCTGTTGTTTCCAGTACCGGTACCTGGTGATTCCAACATCAGCACTCACCACAATCACATGGAAAAAGAAGTGTCTAATGGCCTGTCCATGATGCCGATCTTAGGGAAGCGCATGCACCGACGTCGTAGTAGCCGTGGTCGCCGATGGGTATTTGTCGTCCTTTTGCTCAAACTTGTGCGTGTACAGGCGGCCGCCGAGCCGCTTGGGCTTGTTGGCCTCGAAGATGGTGTACTTGGCGTTGAGATCGTACTCCTTGTTCAGGTAGTTGAGAATCATGGCTGTGAACAGACCAGCGACGCCGGCACCAACAATGGCAATGCTGAACTCGTCAATCTGCGGCGTCCCCTCCCTCTCGCCATCCCGCGTGCTGGCTATGGGGCACAATTTCGTGATGCCCTTGTTCTTGACGGTGCCGGCTGGAGAGGTCGGGCCAGTGTAAACGGATGTGGCTGCCTAGGCATCTGCAATCAATTACACACCAGCACGCCTATCTTAGCTTGAGTGATGACTAAACTCTCGCGCAGCGACAGGGCCGCCCACCGCGCGCGGAAGCTCGAGTTCTTGAACAACGGGGTTGGTTGATTGTTCCTGCTAGAGGCCATGGTGAATGCCGGAAGCAGCTTGAGGGGAGCTTGGCTGTGGCACGCTTCAATTTCGGAAGAATACAGAAAATAAAATGGGGTTGAGCGTCTGACAAGACGAGAACCAAGAGTTGGCCGCAAGGCTTCTTTTGTACTAAACCAACAACCGCTATAGCTACCCAGACACGGATAAGCCACGCCGGAGAAAGCTACTATTCGGGGATACCGCCACTAATACCCTCATGCAGTTCTGCATTTAAAAATATTCCCAGCTGAACTTAGACAACGCAATCAGTAGTTTCACTCGTTGGACGTGAACGACGTGCATCGGAGTGCAAGCTTCCCCGATTCGAGAAGCTCAGCTCGACACGAATTAGCGTAGCGTCGGGTCTGGGTCGCACTAACCCTCAATCCGGCCACTCAGTTGGCGCTGATGCGTTCGAATTCCTCGCTGTACATGAATAGTTGCATGTAGCTGCGGTTTAATCATGTCCCTACGCGGAGGGGTCGAGCCGAGTTCTGCTGAGCTTGGATTTCGTCTCAACATCGGCCAAATATTAAGATGAGACAAAAAGAGAGATAAGGCGAAAGGAAAGAAACCAAAAAGAATGCACAAGCGGCTGCTGATTCTCATTTGCATGAGTAACAAACAGAGTAGAAAACGACAAAAAAAGAGGTGTTTGACAAGAGTGGGATTCGAACCCACGCCCTTTCGGACCACGGATACTGAGATTAAGGGTGGATTCCTTAACGTGGCGCCTTAGACCGCTCGGCCATCTTGCCTGGTTAGATGCAAGTGGCGCAGCATATGCCGCTAGATGAGGGGTTGCGGGGCTACGGTTCAATCGCTAGAGCACTCCGCGTGAACACTTTAGATGAATGAAATAATGCCTAAGAAAGTTACTCATGAGTTATTCTTCCACTTCCAGTCTTTTATTTTGTCGCTTTATAAATTTGTGGTTCCGCGTATTGGTCCGCGCCAATGCCTGCCAAAGCATATTACCGGCGGCCGACTTGGAAAAGCCTTGAGGCATGCTTCAATGCAACTTAGACTGCGGCGCTGTTGGGCTGCTCAACCCTTCTCCCCAGAGTCTAGGCTCGAGGCAGCCAGCGCCTTGCATAGCCTTTCGCAGCTCCTGGCGCATAGAGATCCATAACATTTCAACTCCCCCGCGTCTCAATTCCCCCACGTCGGTGTTTTTGAGTGGCTCTGGTGTCTCTGTCGACACAACCATTGACGATAACTCCAGCGGTGATACAAAAAAATATCGTCCGATTATTGACTAATTGGCGCAATCACGCCTTTCGATCCGGAATCGAACTCGGACGACGACACGGACGCGCCTCTCCGACGTTCATGAGCTGCTAGCTAGCACAGGGCTGGGGCATCCACATCCGCGAGGGCCCCAACTGGCCGGTGCTCGCCGCGCTGATGCTGTTTAGTGGGCTTGTAGGTGGGCTGCACACCTGGCGCACCGGCGACTCGCAGACGGCAGTGGCCATTGGTGCGTGGTTGACAACAGGGGGATGTCAGAGGGGGGTTTGGGTGGCGGATCCGCCGCTGACCCCGCCAAATCCGTAATCGGCTCGTGACATCACCAAAACTGGCCTTCGCCGACTTTACACGGCGACTACGTACGTAATAGAGCCTACAATGGCTTCAAAATTGGCGCATATGAAGAATTAGTTATAAGAGTACTAGATGCCGATTTTTTTGAGGTCAAACGGGCTATAATTGAGCGAATGTAATTGTTTTGCCCTTGAACTAACCAAAAACCCTAACCCTCAATCTATTTACTCTGGCCTTTCCGGCCCCCTTTTATTTGCTTGATGAGCTTATCCAACGATGCCTTCCCCTGGACTCGCCGCCGCTCTAAGGTCTCTATTGCAACCGCTATTCCATCTGCATTGTTTAGGCTCCCTGCCATGGCTATGATCTCGTCAATGATTACCTTACGCATGGAGTAATACTGCCGCTCTGATGGAGACCGCCAACGTGTTACGATCCTGGTTCAAAGGTGCAGAGGGCGTTGCCCGCCCGCTGCGGATTGGCTGGAACGGCACTTAAGGTGGGGGGCTCTCGCTTGAGGATGCATCCAATAAGGGAGTGCTCAGTGGGGCCATTGCCAAGGTGCACTGAGCATAGCCGAGCTCAGTGGGATCAGTGCCGAGACCCACTGAGCGCACTGAGCGGGGAGCTCAGTAGGGATCAGTGCGTCTAGGACTGAGCACGACTGAGCATGTGAGTCAGGAACTCTGATTGGTCCTCCTTAGATAGATATATACGACGACCGTAGCCACGGTCTTAGATAGTTCTTGCTTGGTTCTTCAAGCAAGCAATACACATTCACTGCACTCATACACTTTGAGTGGCATTCCGATTTGACTGTATTACCCGTGCGATAGGAGCTTGCCCTTTGTTCTATCTTCATAATTACCAACCCCAGCATTCTGTGGAGCCCGTGCTCCCTTACAGACAGACGACCCTAACAGTCGAGTGGTTTGTAATACAACGGCTCCCGTGCGCTGCATCTAGCGCTGCAACTGCTGGAAGGCCTGCCAGACCTACTGTCCACTCCCTCCATAGATCAGGGACTGTGGCTATTTCGCGTGAGAGTTTATATGACGGTATTGGCATTGGTATTTGTGGTGCTCTTAGGTTACCGAGGGTGGTAGCTTGCGGTTGGCTTATATTTAGGTTAAGCGGAGACGGTGGTGTATGTTGATGGCGGTATTGGCTTGTAGGATCGTGGCCTTGGGGTAACATCCGGCTCCTCCCCGGTGTAAAGTGAAGACTAAAGGACCCTGTGAGAAAGTCGTCGAGTTTGGCGGCAAGCTGGTCAAGCGAGCTCGTTACTTGAGCCAAGGAGGTTGCTTGGGCGGCCTGCCCGGTCTGGATAATGCTCGATATTACCCGCAAACGCTCGTTAACCGAAGGGATTGCTTTTTGGATGGCAACCAGATGTGGATCTTCGTGATAGAGCGTATCGGTTGCTGCTATAACTGCGGTGGCGAAGGTGGCATATTCGGCCGTGGCAAAGAGGCTATCACGAAAGATGGGATGGCTTGGATGGCTTTGCCGGATAAATACCGAATCTTGGAGGAAAACATCGCGGAGCCTATCAAGAAGCTCAAGGAATCCGCCCGCGGCCAGGTTTGGCTCGACCACTTCGCTAGCACCAGGGAGGTCAAGATGTGCTTGGCGCCAGCGGTCGAGCTGTGGCCAGACCTGGCGGCGTAGAGAAGGCGGCGGCTTGATCGTTTCGCGTGGAATAAAGTAGCTGGAGGCGTAATCTGGCTCAAAGTCCGCTACACCTCGCATAAACTGGCGCGGCAACTCGGTCAGGTAACAGCCAGTCATCTGATCGCTATTCCAATGTCCTCCACGGCGAATCTGCGCCTCAGGTACGTTATTCGCCTCAGCAATCCGTGCCCCTAATGACCGTGGCATATGCGAGACTTTGGAGCCCTGGATACTGCTGAGAGCATATAGCCTCCTTGTCCACGAATTCGCCGTTGAGTCCGAGAGCTTCTTATCGAGGTTGGCGTTGTCACGCTTGAGGAGCTTGATATTATACCAGCCTTGGCTTTTGTAGAAGCAGGGAAAAGACTCGCCTGACATATGCCAACGCCAGAAGAAGTATGCCGCAAGAGCGCCTATAAGGCACGATTGGTAGTTCCGGTGGCGGAGAACAGCGCCGTACTCTAGCCGCCCGTGCTGGTTTGTTTTGCCTTGGTCCATAACTGCTACTAAGCACCAGCCATCGCCATTAGTGCCCTCTTTAGGTAATGGCATGAAGAAAAGGTCTGCAAGTTCGAGCGGCAAACGGTTACTCAAGCGTAAAAGCATCGAATTCCCCAGTAAAAAGTCGGCCTGGGTCCGTAACGCTTGTTCAACTGTGCCCCGGCCTAAGCCTTCGCTCCAGACTTGGTGGTGGAGGTCGGGAATCTGCGAGGCAACATAGCCATCACGGAACGTGGATATCCCCCGGTCTGTGAATTCCTCCCTCCGGCGAGTATGCTCGCCTCGGATGATCGACATTTCCAAAGCCTTCAAAGCAACGCGGCTCGGCTGTGGTGCATTGTGTAGTCCTTGCGAGGTTTGTAAAGACCAAAGCTCCTTGACCGCAGAAACGTAGCCCCGAACAGTGTTATACATGAGTACAAGGTCCGACTGCTCTTCGTCGTCCTCGCCCTCAATAACCAGGTGATTAGAGGAGCGAGGGCCAGAGCCAGGGCCTTTCTTAGAGGGCGGCTGGCCTTGGGCCTAGCTTGCAGCCTTACGCTTCCTCTCTTCGACGAGCCTCATGCCTTTACGCGGGGGGCGCGATTCCACCTCCTCCTTGATGAAGAGCAAGAGTTTACCCTCATCGACCCAGTCGCCAGGAAGGTACTGGCCCCCAGGGGGAAAGCCCTGTGTAACACACCAAGCCTTCCACTTCTTTTGCTTCGGGCCATAGCTCCGTACCGTGTTGGGCGGCCGATGTGTGCGGTGGTATTCGAGGGTCTCATCGCGCGCGGCCTCGATGCGCCTCTGGAGCTCCTGGCTCAGGGCACCCGTCTCCGGAACAGTAGGCGGGGCCAGGACCGGGGCAGGCGCCGCGAGGAAGCCCTGCGCGGCCTGTAGGAAGGCGTTGGCAAGTTGGGAAGCCATAGGGGGCTACGGCTTGGGGCGTAGTGACGTTGTTGAGAGCGGTGTTGGTTGTATGCGCGTTGTGGTTGTAGGAAGAGGGCACATTCGGCGCGTGCGGGCCAAAACAGACCTCTTGACATCAGGGCTAGCGCAGTCATCCAACGCGTAATCTAGGCAAAAGGGGCCCCAGTACGGAAGGGCTTGGCATGCTCTACCCCCCTGCGCGGGCGGGCGTAATCGGTTGATAATGGCGGGTCTGGTTGACGGAAAAGCGGGGCCTCGATGACGGCCAGGCCCCTGACACCAGTGCAGGCTATGGGCGCCGCCGCGCTGTTTTTCTAGGGGTAGAGGGGTAGCTGCGGCTTTCTTCAAGTCGGTGGTAGACTGCTATACGCAGATGGAGGGGGTCGGGAGTAAATACCCCTGAGACCGGACACCGGCCTCGAACCAATGTTGCAGTGCGTTAATTAGGGTCATTGTCTATGAAAGCGTGGAACACACTATGGCCTATATCTATTATGTCTAGTATATAGTCTACAACAATCCCACCAGACTACAAAGTCGCGACCGGACACGTTCCCCTCCTCGCTCTCACGCTCTGCTCAATCTCATCCATCTCATCGCCCCCTTTCCCGACCAGCCGCGCCGGCCCGACCTCGCGGATCTTGTACCCCTCGGCGTGGAACCTGTTTTCATCCTCCACGCCGCCTCGCGCCCAGCGCAGCCACGCCCGCGGGCCCCAGCGGCCGCGCCGCGCGTACCAAGGATGCGCGATCCAGCGCGCCACGTGGTACCGGCCCGTGTGCGGGTCCGGGTCGTCGAGGAGGTGTCGCATCCGCAGCCAGTGCGGCCGCGGCAGACACAGGTGACGCACGACGAACTTGCGCGCCGCGACGGCAATCCGGAATATCGTCTCGTAGTGCGCTGGTGGAGGGGGGAGTCTGGATGTATGGATTTAGCTCCGTCCTCTTGTCTGATTAGGCATGCAGAAATTGTGACGAAAGGAGAAGAGAGACGAAACGGCCTACCCGACGGCATCCCTAACCTCTGGCCCGAGCAAGATGGAAACCACGTGGCGGCCGGCCAGCTTCAGCACGGCGGGCAGCTCGAACAGCGCAATGTCGAGCGTCGCCGCGGCGAGCGCAACATTACTCTCGTGCAGGCGGACATGGCGCGCCGCATACTCGCGGCGCCAGGCATCCAGCTCCTCCAGCCAGTGCAGCCCGTCCACCCAACCCGCACCACCAGCAGCGCGCGAGGAAGGCAGGGCGCGATACGGCACATCAAGATCCTCGCCCAGCGCCTTCCAAAAAGCCGCCACGGCGCAGCGCTCGGCCGCACTCAGACGACGCCACTCGAACTCGTCGACCCAGCGCATCGGCTCCAGCGTGAACAGGCTTAGCGTGTACAGCATGTCATCGTCCGAAATCCGGCCGGCGCGCCGGTGCGCCGCGTGCAGGAACCGCGTGCGCGCGACCGCCTGCACGGCGCGCGCCGACTGCGGCCGCGCGACCACCATGTTGGTCAGCAGCACACTCGTGTCGGCCGCCCGCTTGGACGTTTTCTCGACGTCGCGCCTTCCGTTGCCGCAGCGGCCGATCTCGCCCGTCTGCGCGAGCAGCTGCGAGATGGACGGCACGCTGTAGGTCTGCATGCAGACGGCCGTGTAGAAAGGAGGCACGGGGTTAGTTCGTTGGTTTTGTGAGAGGGAGAGGGATTGGGAAGGAAGGCGCACCTTGAAGAGGGCAAAGAAGATGGAGCCGGCGATTACGGACGGGAATTCTTGCTCGCCAAGCCATTTTTGGATCTCGTACGCCTGCGCATGCGTCATGGATGCCAGCGACGCGCGCGTGGGAAACGGGTGTGCGGCTTCCATGGCGTGCTGCTGCCGGTGTCGCAGCAGCGCGCAGAGCAGTGCATACAGAGCCAGTGCTGAGCCGGCCCACGCCCACGCCCCAGAGGGAAACCGAAGGTCGACGGCGGCAGCCATGGTGACGGGTGGATAGTGGTGGGTTTTTTGGTGGAAGGTCTAGAGTCGAGCGGCGTGGCGCGCCTCGTGTAACTAACCGTGTCGAAGCTTGTTGGTGGTCGCCGTTGGAGTGGCCAAGACCGAGTGTCTCGGAATTTACACTAGAAAGCATATTCTACTGTGTACTTTGGGACGCCGCGTCGCAACTAGGCCGGATCGGGCGCGACTAGCACCGGCCCACTTTTCATCATCCTTGCGCCTACTGTATTCGGAATTGCGATTCTGAGAAAAGCGTGGCTGCCGAGTGGGCTCCCGGCGCGAAACTAGAAAGATGAGAGCAATTAACTGACGCGAGTATTAATTGAGCTGAAACATGGCTCTGCAAGACTTGGGCAAGGCTCAGAGTCACCCATCTGAGGATGCTTAGTTACTGCCTGGGTCTGTAAGACGCGTTTGGAACTTATGTCCGTCTTCATCACGACTGTTCAATTATGGAGGCTCTGTGGAATATGAGAAAATGAAATCAAAAGACCGGTAACGTTACCGGAATAAATCTCTATTCACAACAAACCAACGGGCTTCTCCACAGGTCGACCTCGTATCGCGACGTTGCATTTTGACTCCTTTTACTGCATGCAGCATCCCCAACCAGCCTGCCGCCTCAGGCCTCACAACCCCTCACTTCACTCCCCCACCATCAACACAACCACCATCAATACACCCATCAACACACCCATCAACACACCACCATCAACACATCACCATCAACACACACACTGGCATCAACTCAACACCACCTCACAACAAACCTACCATGGCCGACACCAATTCCACGGCCCCGGACGTAGTCGGCAACCCCGACGCCAGCTTCTGGCGCTTCAGCCGCTCGTCCGGCTGGGACCTAACCCACACAACCTCATCACCGCCCGCAGGCCAGCGCCTCACCCTGACGACAACCACGGCGCCCATCACGATCGCGGCCGCCAAGACCGCTCTCGTCGTCGTCGACATGCAGAACCTGTTCCTGTCGCCCGCCATGTCGTCGTCGTCCACGCCGCACACAGACACAGGCACAGACACAGGCACAGACACAGACGCAGACGCAGACACGAAACTCACGCCCGGGCTAGCCGCCGAAGCGGCGCTGCTGGGCACGGCGTTCCCAGCGGCGCGCGCCGCCGGCATCCGCGTCGTGCACGTGACGTGGGGGCTGGACGAGGGCTCGCTGGCCGCGCTGCCGCCGGTGCTGCACCGCGTGTTCGGGTTCCGGGCCATTGCGCGCGGCGGTGACGGGGAGGAGTTTGACGAAGAGAACGGCGGCATCGGGCCTGGAGGCGACCTCGGCTCCCGCATCCTGCCGGATGGGACGTCTGTGGCCGCGGGCCGCCTGCTGGTGCGCGGGCAGTGGAACACGGCGCTGCACGGGGGGTTTCAAGATGCGTTTGACGAGTCGCTGCAGGAGGCGGTGCCGCAGGTGCGGTTCCAAAAGGAACGGCTGTCGGGCTTCTTTCTCGGGCGGGACGGGGATGCGGGGCGTGGTGGTGGTGGGCCGAAGGATTTGGTTGAGTTTCTTGACGAGGAGGGGATTACCACGCTGCTGTTCGCAGGCGTCAATACCGACCAGTGCGTCCTCGCGTCGCTGAAAGATGCGTGCGATCTGGGGTTTGATACTGTCTTGCTGCGCGACGGATGTGGGACGAACAGTCCTGACTTTGCCCGGCTTATGGTTGAGTATAATGCGCGCAGGTGCTGGGGGTTTGTGTCGTCGTGCGAGGCGCTGGCGGCGGCGGTCAAGGCTGCTGAAGGTGGTGTTTGATTGTTTGTTAGGTACTCGGTATATACTCTTCTTATACGCGTAACAGGATGGAAACCGGGATTCTAGCTGCCATTCGGAATCCCTCCGAGCCAACCGTATGCAGCCACTCACGCGGCAGGCAAGCGGGGTTGTGCGAAGGAGGCGGTGCCCTGCTTGGCTACTAATCAGCAAAGCCGACATTCTCTCTTCTAGAACTAGTTCAGTCCGGATCACCAACCGCCCGCTTTGGTCTTTCTTCTCCGACTTTGACCGGACCACATTCACATTGCCAAACATGTCTCAGCTCTGCTCCATCTGTATATGGCTTCCCCTCCCGAACATCGCGTGTCCTACCGCATCCGAAATTCGCAAGGCACACGAAATGCAACCGAAAGAGCTACGTTTCCAGCCTTTTGTTCCTTTTCGTGTGCTGCCAGGTCTGGGCAGCTTGGAATCACCGACGAGGGAACTCGGGTCTCTTCGGAGACTCCAAGCTAGCTCCGAGGCATGCCAGCTGTGTTCCCTGTTCCACACCACCATCTAGAGTGGTGCCTTAGAAGCCGGTGGTCCACTCCTCCTACCCTACAACCGCGCCAGAGATCGAAGCCCGAAAAGGCAACGTACTGTCGTCCGACGGGCAGCGTGCCGTGGTCGGGACCGTCGACGCCATGGGGTGCGACCACTGGCAGCAGCAGCAGCAGCAGCAGAGCGAGCCCGATACGGACACGCGGGACTGCGGCTGCACGAGTTCGTGGCCGTCGGCCGCCGCGCCACGACCATTACCGACACGCACCTATCGCATCTGCCGGCCGTCGTGCTGGCGCTGCAGGTCCGGCGGGGGGAGAACGGCGTTGTGTCGAGGGTCAATGTTGCGGAGATTGACGAGGGGGCGTGGATCGCTGCCCGCCCGGCGTGGAAGTTCGTTGTGCTGATGTGATGATTATCTAGGTATATGGTCATGGACGAGTGGGCTCGTTTGGCAGCATAATTACACTCCATCTTATACAGGTGGGAAATGGGAAATTTATTTCTTTGTTTGCTGCGACTTCGCTTCTACTTCGGTCGCCAATTCCAGCTCAAGGTCGTTTTCTTCAGGAGTGGCGGGTTCAAGGTATATTCCAAGCTACAGCCTACCCACCTACCCAGGCAACCACGGCGATTGAAGCCGTTAGGCGCAGCTGCACTTTGCACTTTTGCTAGTTCACATGCAAGTCCTCCGTATATTATTACAATTACTACAAAGTATCGTCCTACAATACACAGTACATAGTGTCACATACAACGCTGCATCAATTGAGGGCAAAAAGTGCTTGTATTCGGAAGGTTCAGAAAGATTCGGCTGACACAGTCTAGGCTGTAAACGGTCTAGCATGTGCGCCACCTGCGCCCATATGTGGCTTAGGTGCGGCTCCTTCCGACACATAGCAATTTCCCCATTGCTTGGCCACATTGACGCCTACTTGGAATGCCGTGAGGTCAGCCCCTATAACCCTATACATGGCCCCGTCAGTCGTCACTGCAGTTACACAAGCACGACATCCAGTCCGGTTTTCAGTCTACAGCTCTCCGCTTCATACCCGCAAATGGAGAGTCTCTAATGACGATAGGCTGGGCAGCCGTGCCACCTGCCTGTCGCGGCCTCTCCGCTATAGTTTGCTGCGCTTGAGCTGCAGTTCCGGTGCCAGGGAAGCGGAGATGGCGCATGCTCGTGATCCTCTCGTAGTGCGCACCAAGGAGCACCTTCAGCTTCTCCTGATCGAACTTGGTGATGTCGTCCCAGGCCTGGGTGAACTTGTCGGTCCACTCTCTCTTCGCCCTGGCGCCGGAATCAATATTCTTAGTGACGACGAGCGTGTGCGGGCTGCTGTACCGCAGCGTGTTGAACGAGCAGCCCGCGCCTCTCGACTCCAGCACGGTTTGAATGTGCCGGCGGCGCCTCTCGGCGGCGGGGAACTGCCACTCGCGCTGGTTCGACGCGAGGAACCGATCCATCGCAGGGCAGTCAGTGCAATAGCAATTTGGGTTAACGGGTCTTTGGCTGTAGTTGACTTCGCCGCTGGGCTCCTTTCCAACCGCCACGTCCAGGTATAGCTCTAGAATGGCACAGGCGACTTCCTGGTAGCGGGGAGTCGAAAGTGGCACCCGGTTTTCCTCGAGGGTGGACATCAAGCGGTGAATGAAGGGGATCCAGAGGTGACGGAACTCGGGCACGGGGATGAGGCCGGCTCTGTCGACGATCCTGCGGCACAGAAGCATTGACGATTCATTCCAGCCGAGCTGGATACAACGGGAAACGCATTCGGCCAGCAGACTGGGGCTAATTAAGAACTCGAGAGCCTGGGGTTCCGAGCGGCTATAACGATATTCCTGGTAGTAGCTGTATCTCTGGGCCTTTGTAGTGGCGGCCGTTTGCGCTGCGCCGTTTTTGCTGCGCAAGGTGCCAACGTCCATGGAATTGATGACAGACTCCAGCAATGGCTTGCAAAGCTCAAGAACGGCGGTGTGGACAGGCATCTGATCGGCACCCCTGTCGGCGAAAGAGACACATTTCAAGAAAGCAGCCAATGCAAAGGGGGTCAAAGCAGCCCGTTTCTCAATGGCAGGAATCAACCTGCCCATCGCAGTCAGCATACTGTGTACTGCTCCAAGGGTTGTTTGTCTTACTTTGTACTCAGATAGTCAAGGTCATGGTACTCTTCGACCATGGTGGCCAATGCGCTCCCATCAGCCTCAGTCACCTTTTGTAACCGCAAGCAATCGTCTATGGCGGCAGGAACAGCTTCGTTGGCTGCCCAATCCCGGATGTAAAGACTGCGGTTATCTCCATTCAAAGACACGAGCGATGACAAGAGCGCTGGACGGGCAGCCAGCGAACAAATGGACAAGTTCTGGAGGAGACTGAGAAGTGTCAGCAAGAAGCCAGCTCTCCATGACAAAGCACGTACCTGTCTTTCACTTTGGTAAAGTCAAACAGTTCCTCAGCTGCGGCCGTCTTGACCAGCGCAAACAGCGGGGTCCCCACTCGGGTTCTGAACCAGCCTAGGGCCTTGCTAAACAGCTCGTACTGCTGGCAGAGCAAGACAGTCTCCAGAAATTGCAAAACAACTTCCATGCTGAACTCCGACTCGGGGATGTACACATAGTTCTCTGCGGCACTAGTGGAGCTTGCCGATGACCAAGCACGTTGGGCAAGGTATTGCACCGTCTTCATGACCGAGGCGCGATTCTTCGGGTCGGAGCACCGTAGAAGGTATTTGGGCAAAAGGCCTTGCGCATCGGTTCTCGTGATGGCCTTTGTAAGAAATTCGTCCACAGCATCGTTGGCTACAATTACGGCGATCTGTTTATCACAGTTAATGGTAAGCGGAGCTCCCAGCCAAGGTACAACAAGAACAAGAAGGGCCACGGACCGTCACCCGGTACCAATGTCGGGCAGACACTCCCTAGGGCACACGAAAATGTCAGTTTAGTCCAAGGAGTGTTATTATGGATAGTGCATACCTCATTACCCGTGAAACCCGAATAGTCCCTCTCGCCATGATCCGCCGTCTCGAACGGGTCGGCATAATCCTGGATGAGGTTTCCTTCGAGCTCAGCCGTGTCGATTTTCAAGCCGGTTCGCAGGGTACGTCCTTCGGGGTTGACGAGCTTCTTGATGCTCACGTCGGTCTCGAAAACATCCACAAATGGATGCCACTCAGAATCTTCGTCCTCAATGTCGTCATCATCTTCGCCATTATCGCCCAAGTAACCACGCCGCCCCCCCCCCCCGCGACCACCGTGGGGGCCATCATAGACTTCCGCGCAACCTCCGAACTCCTCCTTCTCCAGCACGCCAAGAAGTAGAGTAGCGTTGTGGTCACTGCACACGTCGTTTAGACATTGCATCCGGGAACGATCGGCGCCTTTCAGCGCGTTGAGCGAGATGTTGGCCTCTGTATACGTGTGGTCGAGCAGATAGTACAGGTAGCCGGAGTGGGCACCGTCGCCTTCGCGGCTCCGAAGGCCCAACCACGCAGCCAAGGCTCTTCTGACCTTGTCGTGTCTCGGAGCGTTGAGCGCGGCGCAGGGCCGGCTGTGGAGAGGATGCGAGATGGCGAGATTGTAGGTCAGGACCCAGCGGCGGCCGGAAGTGACGGGCAGCACCTCGTGGGAGACGTCCGAGTACCAGCAGGCCATCGAAGGCTGAGCCTCGGAAGTTTTAAAGATCTTGGTGACATCGCGATGCTTAAGGACGAGGTCGCCGCCTTGATGTTCTGACGGGAGGCAGATGACGAGAGTGCCAAACATGCCAGGAACCTTTTCGGTGCTGTTCGCAAGTGTCAGTCCAGTCAAACCGCGGGGCTATTGATGGTACCCACTCGGTATGGGCCTTGAACATGGCACCTTCCTCGTAGATCAACATCTTGTACAGCTGGGCCGTGATGGGGACCGTTATCCCCAGCTGCTTGGCGGCCCACTTGCAGGCACTATCAACGGTCGGAGTCCACTGGGGGACCATGTGGTCGAGCTGAGAGGCATCCAGCTCCCAGGTATTGCGGACCGACGTATCAACGAAGGTCTCGCTGCCCTTGCCGTAGGGAGCTTGGCGCGCCTTCTCAATCAATTGACGCGCCGTGGATTCTTGGAGCGGGAAGTCAACCGGGCCGACATCTTGAACGAAGAAGGGCTTGATAATTGCCTCCTTGATCTTAGCAAAGGCAGCAAAGGTGCCGGCTGCCTGGACAGAGTCGAGCGCCTGCGAGAGCTCAGTATAGACATCGGCTGCTACCTGGTCGCGAGGCGCTGGCGCGGGCGCAGCCATGCTGGTCATTGGTCAATGTCCTATGAAATTCTTAAAATGGAAAGACAACGTCTAGAACTAATAAAGCGGGGAGGGGGGAGGGGGGCGGAAGGAGGTTTGTTCCTCCAAGTTTTCTCAGGATGAAGGGTTGGGGAGTTGGTGGGTTGACGCGTCAGGATCGCGGTAAGCCAACGCGATGTGATGGATTGAGTTTTGTTTTTCCGCTGATTTGCCCTGGATAGGAGTTTGCACGTTGAACGCTATCTAGGTCCTAAGTCCAGCCCGACTGGGAACAGAATCCTTGTCCCGGCAGCGCGGGTCAAAATTTAACACCCATGGCCAGGGCCGTCTTGTGCCCTGTGCGCGCCTGGTCCAGGTCTGCCTTTTTGTCTTCATTTCCACACTTCGGCAACTTCCCCGGGATGCCCCACATTCCCCTTTCGGCATTACACTTTAAACCCCAACAGCAAGCACTTCGCCCGCCACCCCAACTTCATTTCGCGGAGGGGTTGGAGGGCACTAGGGGTGTGGACATACCGAAAGTGGATGACATTCGAGTCAGCCGGCGCCAGCACCATGCAATAATGATATAATGACATGAGGCTGTCGAGCGTCACGCGTGACAGTACCGCCAACACGCGGCGCAACCGTTGCGCGCAGCCCGCCAATCGGCAGGCGCACCGACGTCGGGTCCTTTGTCTCGCCGACCCCACCCCCCGTCACCAGGTTTCGGACGGCTTTGGGCCGCTCGACGGGCTCTGGGACTGACTGCGACGCTGGTAGGAACGTAACGACGTTCTCCTCAGCCTTGGTGTTGCTAAGTATCTCGCCTCTCTGCGGTTAGATGTGCACTTGCAGGAGCTTGTGCTTGCCGATGCGGGGATTCTGTGGGAGGCGTTTGTGAGTTTCTTGACCTTGTCTTTCATTCTCTTCTCTTGATCACTCCGGTCTGTATTGTTTACCCATTTACACGCACATAAGCAACTTGCTAGATAGCCTATGAGACCGAGTTTGCATTCGCGAGCTGGGGATGGTGACGACAGTCAGCTGCATCTACGAGACGTTGTCGCCGGAGCCGACTCCCAGAGCCCCGCCAATCACAAATATTGCGAGCGAACCACAACGTACTGAGAGATGAGGTGTGCTAGGCAATGGCTGGGAATACAACGTTCACACTTCAATTTTGCGAGAATCTAACGTGTGTGGAAGTCGCATTACAGAACACGAAATAGCATACAACCTTTTCACGATGACGCGCTATTAATTAAGAGCTTTGATGCACGCACCCACCACTTTTTTCCTCGCACCTACCTGGGGGTCATTGGCAGCTGGCAACAACGCAGGGCCGCTTTTTGTATGGTAAAATGCCGTATTGCATGGCAGCCACCCAACGGCCTATCGGGCATTAAGGAAGCATACCGGGCACTAAGGAAGCCCGGCAAAGTCAAAATGACACTACTTACACTTCCACATGCCGGCATTTGTGTGCGCAGTTGGTGTTTTAATGTCTGCAGCGGCCAGGTGGCCTTTGCAGGCTTTTCCTTTGCCAAACAACCCTTGAACACATCATCAATCTACCTTTCCGCTCACAGTCTTCGTAATGCCTTTTATCGAGATTTGGTCTGACGATTCAAGCTCCCTCGCCCTCGCCGTCCCCGGCTCCCTCGCGCTGGCTGTCGCTGTCCCGTGAAGATGACCCTTATCCTCGTAGGAAGGGCGGCGAGGGTGACCAGGTTGACATAGACTAGGTTAAGTTAGGTGGGGGAGTAAGCGAACGCCACTGATCCAGAACATTCTAGATAAGCGAGGAACACAACCAACCCTCTTATATAAAAAGCCCATAACTCAACCAATTCTTTTCCAATTCTCTTCATCTTCAATTCGTTTTATTCTTCTCTTGACAATGGTTTCATATACAGAAGAAGACCTCCGCAACGCTTGCGAGGAAGCCGTCAGAACACATCGATTACGCAAAGTCGCGCGAAAATGGAACGTTCCACCCTCCACCCTTTATGGCCGTCTACATGGCTCCCTACCTCGAAATGTTGCTCATCAAGATGAGCAAAGGCTTACACAGACCTAAGAGGATCGTTTAGTCGAATGGATTCTTCTTCAACAAGATTTAGGATTGCCCCCTACACATGCACAGATCAGGGAGCTTGCACGCCGTATTCTAGCTGAAAGGGGGGACTCCTTACCACTTGGAAAGGGGTGGTGCCGTGCCTTTCTTAACCGCAATCGAATTTTGAAGACTCAGAGGGCCAAGAGAGTCGATTCGGTCCGCGTCAACTGCGCTACAGAGTCAACAATTCGACCTTGGTTCAACCATTTCCAAACACCAGCTATCAAGGCGATTAAGCCAGAGAATCGCTGGAACAAGGACGAATCTGGTATTATGGAAGGCAGAGGAACCAACGGCCTTGTCATTGGAAGCCGTGCCTTTAAGGCGCTTCAAAAAAAACAGCCTGGAACCCGCACTTGGACCACTTTTGTCGAATGCATCTCAGCAGCTGGCCGTTGCCTTCCTCCTTTGGTCATTTTTAAGGGGAAAAGCGTTCAACAACAATGGTTTCCTTTGGATATGAAGCCATTTCAGGATTGGTTCTTTACAGCAACTGAGAAAGGATGGACTACCGATGAGACAAGCCTCAAATGGTTAAAAAATGTGTTCATTCCTCTCACCAAGCCAGCAAACTCCTCTGAGAAACGACTCCTTATTATTGATGGCCATGGCAGCCACACAACTGCCGATTATATGTGGGAGGCATACACAAACAATATTCACATTATTTATCTGCCTCCCCATACTTCCCATGTCCTCCAACCACTAGATTTGGCCATATTTGGCCCCCTAAAACGACTTTATCGCAGACGGCTTGAGGACCTTCTTGCTAACGCCTTTGACGACTCTTCTGTAGCCGGAAAACGTGCGTTTCTGGAATGCTACCAGATTTCACGCACAGAGGCAATTACTAAGAGTAATGCTAAGTCAGGATAGAAGGCATCAGGCCTTTGGCCCTTGAATGTCAACAAACCGCTAAGAAGCCCACTCCTCCTCAAGAATTCTAATACTTCACGCCCCTTAAGAACTACTATAGTTACCCCAGAGGTTCGCACACTCCGTATGCCAATCCTGGAGGATTATGGAGACGATCGGGTGCAGTGGAGGACTCCTAGAAAGGCACGTGATTACGTTGAGCAGGCAAAGAAGTTCGCACGCATCATCAAAGCAATGCCAGCGGATAAGCTCTTCCTCAGAAAGATTGGTAAGGCTTTGGATGAACAGGCCTTTGAACTGGCTATTAGGAAGCGAAAGATTGAAGGTCTAGAACACACTCTCGAATCAATAAGAGCCAGAAAGAAGAAGAAGGTTGAAGAAGATCCAAATACCACCTTTGCGAATATTCAGACTATTCGTGAGGCCCAGAGGGCTGTAGGGCGTGCAGCAGAGGTTTTAGAAGATGCGGAAGAAGCGGATGATTCAGAGGATATCAAAGATTGTATTGAAGTTTTGTAAATAAAAAGATCACCCTTTCTTTTGTTGGAGGGTTAGTTGGGACTCCTGCTTATACAGAATGTTCTAAATCAGTAGTGTTCGCTTACCCCCCCACCTAACTTACTAGATTGATAGAGTCGACGCCAATGGATGAATTTGTTACGAGTCTGGGCCCACTGAACATTTATTCCTGCTGGAGCTCCCTCATCCTCTTCGTCCTCCGATATTCCATCACTAACCCCTTCACAACCAGTGCACCTGACAAAATGCCGAAACCAGTCACCAGCAGCAAGGAGGACGTCGTGACCGTCCAATACAAAGATCTTGATGGCAATATGTTGAACTGCATATACTACCGCTGGGTGTTGAGCGACGCCAAAGGGGAGGACGAGCTCTACTACGCCATCATCCCCGGCTCCGGGTCGGACCACACGGTCGAGCAAATCGATACCGCGCTGGAGAGGATGCTAGATGAGCGCATCTTCTTCCCGATTCCTATTCCCTGGTACCACTACCAGACGCCCGTCACGATCGCCGCAACGCCCGAGGCGGAGCCCGAGGACGGCATCTTTCTCAAGAGGCCGTGGCTGGCCGAGATTGAGCTGCACAAGATCTCAAACATCCCCCACAACATTGCCTGTTTTCTTGCCGCCGAAGTCCGCATGCTGGAGCGCCTCTCGCGCTTTCCGCCGCATCCCAACATTGTGCGGTATCACGGCTGCCGCGCGCGCCGGGGCCGCGTCACGGGCATCCAGCTCGGCCGCGTCGAGGGCAGCAACCTGTTTGACCACGTGCGGTCGGGGCGGGCGGTCGACAAGGCGCCGTTCCTGGCGGCGCTGGCGTCGGCCGTCGACCACCTGCACAGGGTCGTCGGCATCGCCCACAAAGACCTGCACCCCCTGAACGTCATGGTGTCGCCCGACGGGCGCACGCCGACCATCGTCGACTTCGGCTCGGCCGACGTGCTGGGCGCCGAGCTCCGCCACAACCGCCACTACACTATCTGGGGCGAAGATTCCCTCGACCTCGACGTGAAAACCCTCTTTGACGGCCTTGACGGGAATCCCACGTCCCGCAGGTCGAGGGATCTCGCGTGCCTGAAGAGGTTGGCCGCCTGGATCGATGACCCTGTCGACATGGTTAAACCGGAGGTCCGCACGGGTTCCGATGCGGGTTCTGACACACATGCCGACGAGCTCAGAGGGGGCGAAGAGGAAGCTGGACGCCGAGGCTAACTGAGTGCCAGACCAGTGTTGGTATACCAGGGACAGAGGACAAAGAGCTGCAGTTGCAATCCAGATTGAGTCAAAGCAACTCACCCGTCTCACCATGGTACCATTTGACTGTGAATCGACTCCGAGAATGTCTCGACCAAGATGTGTGCCCACCAATACGAGACTGTGTTTTTGTCCGGGAATTAAGCTCCCTGGAAGAAGTATGCAACTATCCGAACCCGAAACCCGCCGAATTGCGGCACGCCAAGCCACAACAAGATCCAGTCCCAGAGCTCTCTCTCGTGACTCCTTGAGTCACTGCCAAACAGCTCATCCAAACAGCTCATCCCAACAGCTCATCCCAACAGCTCATCCCAACAATGTCTGACGCATCCAAAGCCGCACAGCGCGCCAGAACCACCCACACCCACACCATGGCCACGGCACCACCACCACCACCACCACCACGAACCCGCGACAGCCAAACCATTCTCCTCCCCGACGGCCGCACGCTGGGATTCGCCGAGTACGGCACCGGCTCCGGCACACCCATAATATACCTGCACGGCTACCCAACCTCGCGCCTCGAAGCGTACGCGCTGGACGCGCTCGCGCGCCGCCGCCGCCTGCGCCTGCTAGCCCTCGACCGCCCGGGCTTCGGGCTGTCGTCGCCGCAGCCGGGCCGCCGCATCGCCGACTGGCCCGCCGACGTCGCCGCGTTCGCAAACCAACAGCGTCTAGCGCGCTTCGCTGTGCTTGGCGTGTCCGGCGGCGGGCCGTATGCCCTCGCGTGCGCGGCCGCGGCGCCCTTGCGCGGCGTGCTCGCTGGTGTGGGGCTGCTGGCGTCGGCGCCGCCGCCGGACAGGGAGACTTGGGGGCAGCTGCCACGAGTCACGCGGCTCGGGTATGCTGCTGCGCGGTACTTTCCGGCATTAACGCGGGTTTTGTTGAGTGGGTTGATTGGGTTGACGAGGTGGGCTGTTGCGACGGGACCGGTAGCGAGGTGGATTGATGCGTTGCTGGACCAGGCGACGCAGCAGCGGCGGGAGAAGGAGTTCGAGGAGCAGAGGCACAAGGCAGAAACAGAAGGTCGGCCACTGCTAGCAGCAGAAAATGCCGAGGTTGATGACGACGCAACGCGGCCAACCGCCGAGCGGCGCGCGGCGCTGGTGCGCATGGCGTTTGACGGCTTCGCGCAGGGCTCCGGCGCCGCCGTGCAGGAGGCGCGCCTGCTGAACGAGGACTGGGGGATTTCTCTCCAAGACGTCGACCACCGCCCGCTCTACATCTGGCATGGCGCTGATGATGCGCGCGCGCCTGTGCAGCTCGTCCGCGGCCTCGCGCGCCGCCTGCCGACTGCGACGCTGGTTGAGTTTCCTGGGGCCGGCCACGTCGCGGTTGGCCATTATTTTGACCGGGTCCTGGCGGAGCTGGTGCCTTCTGGCGGGGAGGGTAATTTCCAGGACGGTGTGAAGGGCGCGTAGCGTCAGGCTGGGGGGATGTGTGTTGTGGTGTTTTGTTGCGTTGTGTCGCTGCATGCGTTACTCTTTCTCGTCTTACTTGCCTTGTTGTATTCTGGCTGTGTGTTATATACCCTGGCCTCGCTGCTATTGTTTGATAATCGAACTCTCCCTGCTCATCAGTCTCTGATTTTGTTTTTGACTTTTGACACTCAAAACGCGACTGCTGATTCCGAGCCAATTCTCAGAAGACTCTCCTCAACTAACCCTCTGGGATTTTCTCGCACCATTGGGATTTAACTGCGACGTTACACAAAGAGGAGGCGATCAGCAAACCCTAAAACCGGAACGTGAGGTAGGTAACACAGCCGATAATGCAGCCGACATCTCTGCAACTCGCCGCTGTAGTCTGACGTCATAGTTCATGACCTCGCGATCCGATGACAGCAATTGCCACCTGTGATATCTCGAAGGATGAACATCAAAAAGACGCCAAATTTCACAGAACATCGCCTGAAAAAATTCCCACTCACCTTTCAACTTGCGAATCGTCACACTGAATTGAACATCACCGCGGCAACCGCTTATCATGCCTCTCGCGCCACTCAACCAGCGCGACGAGACAGCATCGAAGATCCCTGCGCCGGCGCACGGCTTCGGCGCCTTCTGCGCGCCGTCGGGATATGCGCAGGGGGTCTGCTGCCCGTTCGTGGTGGTGACGGTCATCGTGGCAGCCATCCGCAAGAAGATCAAAACGAAACGGCAGGAGAAAGCAGCGATGAAAGCCGCAGAGGGACGCGTCAACGGCAACGGCAACGGCAACGGCAACGGCAACGGCAACGGCAACGGCAACGACAGTGGCTTGTCAGCTGCAGCCACACAGCCGCAAGAAAAGCCCAGCGCGAAGCACCGGGATGCACGTGTGTCAGCGACCGCCGATGCGGCCAAGAAGCGGCTTGAAACCCACCCAGACAACCCGCGCGTGTGCGATCCCTTGTGTCCGGCGCGTACTGCAGACGGCTGCCCGGTCCATACTGCTCAAAAGCTCGAGAGGCCGGCCAGTCCGGGGCTGTTGGCAGTTTGAAGCCTCGTTTGGGGTCCGGTCGCTTACGACGGGCCAGCGAGGCATGATTAATAAATGTAAGAGAGTGTGAGTAGGACGGTGTGTGAGAGAGTGTGTGAGAAAGTGTGTGAGAGAGAGGGGCGGGCCGAGCCCGCAGTTCAATATGTCAAAGAATGAAATGAAATGAGGGAGAATTTACGCTTGAAGACGTTGTAGGTTACCGCTTATTCTCGTTCCATGGCCTTTGAACTAGCAGGCTCAGGGATTGAAAGCTGCCAAATTTCGTAATCTGGATCGCGGGGAAGGGAAGGAAGTGGGGGAATCTCGCAACGAGCAAATAAACAACGAGATATTCCCTGCTAGCTCAAAGGCGAAAGGAACGAAAATAAGCGGTGTGCAGATCGTAAACTGGAGCTGAGTGGCGCCCAGCATTTTGTTTCGCAGGCGAGATGTGGAACACTGAGCACATCAGCCACAAAACACACAGCTTGATGTGAGAACTTTGTTGGTCGTACTCGACCAGCGCCCAGCCAATCAATTGGTGTCATCTTACGAAGCAATCACTAAACTCAGTTTGGCTGAATTTGGAGTGCTTGCTGGTGGGTCCCAACCAGAGTGATGCAACGTCGAAAGCCTCGGATTTGAAGGAAGATGCGGTTGACAGAATGAATTCCGAAACATATCTGGCTCATTGCAGACCCATTTGTCCAATATTCGTGACATCGGCCCTGGGATTGAACAAATCGATTTACAAGCACAGCTTCCGAGCAAAACTCGACTCTCAACCCCATCTTGCTAACAGAGTCGGCAAGCCACGTTTCGCCATTTCGCAAAACATTGCGGTCTGTTTCGGGCTTCAGAAACCGTCCTGATACACTTTGACGATACAAAACAAGATTCTGGCCGAGACAAGAGGCTGATGCGGCTGATGCCAAATGGCCGTTCCCCGGCCCCTCAAAACCCACCTAGGAATGCTCGGACGGCAGAGTGGGGAGCGTTAGCCTGTATTCGCTAGCTAAGGTATATATATACCTTGGTGTCACCCCTCTCGAAATTTCCACCTGGCTGCCTCACTCAATGTGATTATTCTTAACACGCCATTAATTACAGTCGCCGCCAGGTCACCACCGTTCTACTTGTCTGTGCACATGTCTACCAGTCACGGGACCCCCCAAGCACCCGGGAAGGGCGATAAAAGATTATGGGGACCCAGACTAATGCGAAATGGCGCTGCACCTGCAACAATCCCCATTCCAGTCGCCGTCGAGCGAATACAGCCCGAAGTGCCTACGCAGACACCTGCTTTAAATACAACTAGTAATAGGCCAATTTTGACACCCCTGATCATACCAGTTTCCCGCCAACCCGCGCCACCTGCACCAGTTCCAAGACTACAACAGCCACTCCAACGTCAAGAGAGGCCACCCTCACCCCCAAAGGCTGGCTATGCTTTTAGCCTCGCATGGAAGGGGACGAGGAATGAGCTTGACCCTGAAATGGTGCGCATTGGTAACACGTTTAGAAGCATGCTGAACTTCGAAGTAGAAGAACACCGGATGGAACAGCGCGGTACAAGCACAGAGGGAGTGGCGGCAATAGTCGAGTCATGTCTACGAGACAAAACCAAAAACAAATTCCTTCCCTTCGTTTTTTATTACCACGGCAGTGCGACATTTTGCGGCAGCGATTCCCATGGAAGTCCCCTAGATCTCATCCTGTATGGTTCCCGGTGCTTATCCTAGCATCTCGCTCATTCGCGTCCAAGTTAGCCACCCCTACTAAGATATTTCACAAATTCTAGGCACGCTACGGGCCAAGGGCAAGAAAATGGGATAGACTATACACAAATTCACAATCTTCTTACGGACAAGACAGTTTGGCCCGTTAAGATTATAGCTATTCTCTGCAACTCGGAGAACTCTTTAGGAAATCCGTGGCCTTTCCCGATGCAACGCGGCGGGAAGTTTATGGATGACAGAGAGCGCCACCTAGTGGGTTTACCTCTTGATTCTTCTTCATTTGACTAGCAACGTGCTGATATATAGCCGTCAAATATAGGAACTACTTGCTGGCTGGGGGCCATTCATGAGTGCTAAAATCCAAAGTAGTTTCGAGGCACTGAAGAGGGAAAACGCCGTGATTTCGGCATTGTCCCTTTTTCATGACATCCTTCTAAACACGGTTCCGCGGAAGTTGGAAAAGAGAGGACACATGAAATCGCAAGACGGTGCTTTCTTATTGAATTTTAGATGTATCGATGATATTTATTTTTGTACCAACGCTGACCTCGACGATCAGAGTTGGGGGGTACCACTACACTGGAACACCTTTAACCGCCTGCCGGCAAAACCCCCAAGCCGGCCGCAAGTGCCCCGCACACTGTTTGTCACGAACCTAATTTCACCCATATCGAGTTCGCACACAGCGACTCCTTCCAACGGCAGCTCTCATACTGCGCCAGCACCTCCTCCGAGTCTCACTGAGCATACGGTGGGCACCATGTTGATTTTCTCATGGTCGGGGGACAATCCAAACAACGATGTCGATCCTAACCCTCATGGTATTGAGATGATTATGGAAACATTTAAAGGCCTGAACTTTAATGTACAAAAATATAACATGGTACCTGGTTATATGAATGTGGAAACCATTTGGGACAACCTTGAAATACTTCTGCAAGACAAAGGCGATAATCATCCCTTCGTCTTTTGGTACTACGGCAGTGCGACCTTTCCTGAGTTGGCACGCCATCGCATCGGCGAGAAACCCCTAAATCTAATTCTGTACGTTTTCTCAATCAAGCCTAGATTACCGCATCTTTTCTAACTTATTTACCCACTGTAGTCACAGAGATGCGAAGGCACCAAGGTTCTCGCAGGGGCTACAATATTCCGACATACACGACATGCTTACGATGAAGCTAGGAAAACGTACTTCTCATTCTCAAGTGTTGGCGGTTTTGAGCTGCCACACCCATTTTGACGCCACGGGCCGTGAAAATCCGTGGCCAATCCCCATTTTCCAAATTACCGATACCGACCGACTTCCCCCCAACACGAGGGGCCCCAACTTTGCGAGTCTCCCATTTATTATTTCTTGTCTTGACCGAATACCTGCTAATGTGTAGGATACGCACAACAGAACATGCTCGTTGGCTGGGACGACGTCGCCAAAAAGAATGCGCAGAATTCTTTCCCTGATTTAGTCTGCGAGGCCATTAAGAAAATGAAACGCAGAGGCGAGCAAATCACTGCGTCGTCAATCTTTGACAAACTACACTTCGACCCGAACAACCCCGGTCGCCTGAACACTGGATACATGGACTGGGTGAACCAAGAAGGGTTGATGAGTGTCAAAAGCAGCGGTTTCGACTTTTGTGGCGCTAATGGCCACATCGACAATTCTGTCGTCCTCAAAGCAGCAGCTACTAGGACTACAGGCAGGGGAAATAATGCACTAACGACTCGCCGTTGAGTCACCAACCGCTAATTAAGCGGACTTTTTATGGGGGGTTTTCTCATCATGTCCCCTCCCTACATGGGCAATGCAATTGGCATTTGCCGTAGGTCTGTGTTTGTATGTACAACTTTGGGTACCATTGTTAGGAAGAGACAAAGTAAGTAGTTCCCGAAGACTTCTATTGCGAAAACACATGGACCTATCGTCGGAGAACCGTCGTCATCGTTGTCGTCGTCGTCGTCGTCGACGACGACGACGACGACGACGGAAAGGATCGTAAAAAGGAGCGTGTACTTAAAGAATAAAACGATAAAACAAAGAAGAAGAGAAGCCCAAGGACTCAAAGAAAGGAAAGGGATTCGTTCGAGCTAGTCCCAGGTCTCAACATCATGGATTTTTATCACATGCTTTTAACCTACCTACCTTACCGGCATCAACCAAGGAGAAACCCGAGTTAGAAGCCCTAAACAACCACACCCTCTACTTGGCCAGTACGCCTACTAGTGATAAATCCACACCCAAGTTAAGAGGGGCGGAAAACGGTTAACGTAACCTACCTTACATATCGAAAAAGGCGCCCTTAGCCTATGCTCAGTGACCGAACTTGGTAATTACCTGGTCAAGTGGTTTTTGAAGTGTTGCGTTAAGAACTGGGAATGTGCCCACGATAAAGTGCAAGCCTACCTAGTCTAGGTTACACCAGACATGCTCACGGTCTGAGGTAACAACCAATTTAGAACCAAAGCCAAACCCTGCCCTGAAAAGCATGGTACTTCGGCACAAGGTGAGCAAGTAGTAATCAATATTAAGACGTAAAGTAATTGGAATAGTCGAGGTTAAATAGTTCGGCGGCCTACGGTTGCTCGTCATGAATAGCAATCAGGGTTCCTCGGTCGAATTATGTCGATTGCCAAATTAGCGCATGTAGCCAGCTATCCGGTATTTGAAGGTTTCCAGCGTGATGCAGTAGGGTGCATTATGTAACTTCAAGAAGCAGTAGATCCTCCGAGCACTTGGCGACATACTGCCGTATGAGGCAACGGGACGACATTGGCAGATAGGCTAATCGGTAGGGGTGTTGACTTCGAACTTATTTATACAAAGAGCGCTCGTGGGGACCACAGACTTGGAAGAATCAGGTTCATCGGCAAGCAGTGAATTATTTCTATAATTTGTGTAACTGTTGATCACCTAGCCTTGTGGTACGAAACGTGTGTTTGTCGGAGGGGCGTCCCCGGCTTCGCCTCGCAGGTGTGTGGCCGGTCAGCAGCTAACAATGTAAGAACTTTGTTGTTGGCCGACCCGAGGATCTTGCAGTGCAAAAGTCGAAAGCGCAGATGCACTTTGTCAGATGATGATCATTTGGATCGCCCATTCATCTTTTGCTACTGCGGCTATGCATCCTTTAAGCCGGAAGAGGCTTCTAGCAACACCCCCTGGAACTGATGCTGTGTGTTTTCTGCCCTCTCCTCAACTCTCCGGCAGACATGTTGTAGCCCGCCCGGCGGAGCACGGGTTTGCCGTCTGACATCATGAATAATAACAGGCAGAGAGACGAGAACTCCACTGAGAAGATAGATTACGCGATAATCCACGACTTTCTCAAGGACAAGTTTCCTTCCTCTCGGAACCCCGGCCAAGCCTCTTGTCGAGTGTTGAGAATTTTGGGATGCCGGTACCCAAGAGCCCTGCAGCCTCGAAATCCGTGGCCCACCGTCATATCTCGTCGTGGCATGCATCACGCGGGCGGCCAGGATCACGGCAAACTTGTGGGTCAAGCCTCGAGATCACGCTTAATTATCAGTCTTAGCAGTTGCTGACTTGCGACACAGAACCTGCTGGTTGGCTGGAACCATCGCACAGACCCTGTCGCTGCATTGTTGATTGTGATGGTTACTGCAGCTTAATTGGGCCTAATATTACCACATTTGTGAGAGAATATCTTTTTTGCTAATAGGGTGTTCAGCCAAGACTTTGCCCAGTGCGCACTCCCACTGCGGCACCCACATGTCAAAGAATGTTGATTACTTGACACAGACTATCTAATTAAACCAATGGGGAAATTTGGCATTGCTGGACAGGCGGACTATTTGCAGGACATGACTTCTCTAAGGCTGTGAGAAATAGCTTTGTATGGTTCTTCTTTTGAGCTAACGAATGAAAACATACTAATTGATAAATTGGTGGATGGGGAGCCTTCAAAATTAATATGGGTTTTCGGGTTTGGGGGTTTACGGGCTCCCCTACCACATAATACTTGCCTTGATTAGCAATTGACGGAATGGTTTAATGATTTGTATATTAATTAATTTTTATTCCTAGTGCACCGAAACCGGTCTATGGCATGGTCGCCTGCGGCGCCGGCTCGTGGGGTGGGTTGTGGCTCGTCAGCAACCAGGCTTGTAAGAACTATGTTGGCCGCATTCAAGGGGCTCGGAACTACAACACGCACCAGTATCAGTTCAGTTAATTTCAAATCATGATGATTAATCTGCAATTGAATACTGATCGATATTGTCAGCTGATGTTTCTGGGCCACTGAGCCGGCCTTGAAGCCGGTTTCGGGCCGGAGCAACGACTTCGAATGGCTGAGACTTTCAAACAACCCTCCCTGGTCCAGGGTTAGTGAACAAAGTTTCAAGGGAGTTAAAAGGTCTCCTTCAAACCCCCCGACTATCTGTCCCTCAGCTCTCCACTCTGCTGCAAGCCCCAGTGCACTATTTGTACGATATCTTTATCTGCAATTGCAGTTATTCAAATCACGGCTCCCAACTTAGCCCATAATGGCTCCCTTGCGGTCGGATTCCAATGATTCAACTGGATCCGATTCCACGGCCAACTCCGATTCCACGGCCAACTCGCAGCCGGGTCGGCGACGACTTCCACCTACACCGCCATGGTGTCGGGACAAGTGACAACATCCGGGTCTGAGTGAGTCAATGGCGAGCATCACGAGCTTAGAATTGTCGCAAAGTCTACGGAAACCCGACACCAAACCACCAGCGAGTGCCGCAGATCCAAAACCACGACCTCCCTCTGGTCCACGGTCTCAGCCGGTGGCAAGCACGACATCGGGACAAAAAACACCCTCCAGATCAGGGTCTGGTCTACAAGCGAGCAGTGCAAGTTCGAATGCATCGCTAATTCTGACGCTGCCGCTCTTGTTTCAGGGCAGTTCAATTAGTCTAGCCAGCCCAGCCAGTCCAGCTTTTTCAATAGCCCCGTCACCACACGAGATACCCAACAAACCCAAACCTGGCGTTCTTTTTATTGTTTCATGGGACCTTGATGGAGCCCTAAGGGTCGACGCTAATATTGCTGCAGTTTGCGGCGCCTTTGGCGGCCACCTCAACTTCGAAGTGTTCAGGTTGAAGATAAAAGTCCCATCCAAAAAAGAGCGAACGGAAACAGACGAGATTGTTAAGCAGATTGATGAATTTGGGGTACGAAGAGGCGACGAACTCCTGCTTTATTACCGCGGTCACGCAAAAGCTGATTTGGACATTAGACATCATCGTGAGCTGTTAGGGTGCGTTTGGTTCTTCGTGTAAGGTCCAGTAAAGAGGGCCTTCAGGGTTAATTGGCTTCCTTACCGGGATCCATTTGGCGAAAGCCAGTGGGTTGAAGTCAGATTTTCCACCTACCGGGCCCCCGGTAGGAAGATTGCTCCACACACCAAAATCAGCCAATAATAGCCCAGGGTTCGCCCGCTAGTTATACTAGATTCAAAATCCCAGTTCATGCCCGGTAAAGCCTACCGGAGGATATGAAGGGGGTCCGGTAACGGTCTTCCTAAACCTAAAAAAGTGGGCTTTTTACCGATCTTTACACACACAACCAAACGCAGCCTTACTAGTGTCGTGTTTTCTAGATGCTGTCCGTGCCGACATTGTTTGGGCAGGTCAAATGGCTGACATGGTTGGGCAGGTCAAATGGCTGACATGATTGGGCTGATAACCGCAGACACTTCGCCACAGTCCCAGGACACTGTCAGATATGCGCAGATCACGTATCCTCGGAGAGGACCTTGACACTATAAATTGGTTGTGCCCCGTCAAATGCGTTCACTTTCAGAATCAGGATCAGACCACCTGGAGGAACAAAGCTGAGAAGGTGCGTCGGCTGCAGCTGAAGCTTTGCTACGTGCACAGGTTGCAGTCTTTAACATACAACTAAAGAGCTGTGGAGAGGAAAGGCCGATTCAGTTTCGCCGACATTGCTGTGGTGGGTGTACGTTTCTTTCAGCTGCTTGCGGCAACGGGTTTTGCGCTGATGTCGTGCTTCCATTCGAAGCTAAGTCCAAGGTCTGAAATCCGCACAGACAGACTAAGTGCTAATTATATAGACTCAAAGGTTCTTGGCAGGAGTCAGAAGATAGGCCTGCATCTAGAATCGGCGCGTTTTGGCCTACAGTCATACGGGGAATCAACGACGGCCTCTGTGTTGGTCTCTGTCTACTTGTTGATTGATTATCCACTGACTCGTCGTCGCTATGTGAACAAATTTGGCCGCCTCTGAGAAAGAAGTGACGCTGTGTGGCAATGTCAAAGGCTCCAGGTATTTACCTAAGTATGGCCCATCCAGCATCAGAATCCAGGTCTAGTTCATCAAAGCTCGGCTGATTGCGACTCTTAATCAAGTTGCCGCCTTATCTAGCTGGCCCCACTGCTAACCTCGTCCAAGATGCCCTCTGCATTCGCGAACGCGAGCTCGTCCATCGTCTCCTTCCACAGCTGCGCCGAGACCTTTTCTCCCTCGTCCGTGTAGACGATGGGCGCCATGCTGTGGTTAGGTCATTAGCAGCTGCTACGCCTATTATCTAACTCAACTTGTGAGGTCTTCTCCGCGTTCGGACAGAAAACGGGAAGAAGTGCAGACAAGAGCATGGGAGGGAAAAAAACAGAACACTGAAAGAAATAGAAAGTACTGAGATGACAACAGGAAAGAAAAGAAATCAGAACAGGTAAACTCATGGCACGGCCCTCTGGAACGACAGAAACTGCCCATGCGTCTCCGTCCCAACCTCATCCTCACGGACGGCGGCATCCACAACCATCCTCGCAGCGACCGCCGACGTGTTCCCAATGCGGTTCACCACGAGCAGCCTGAAGAACTTCATGAACCACGTCTTGCCCGTCTCGCGATCGAAGCGCGAGTCGGTGACCATGCCGGGCGAGGCAGCGTTGACGACCACAACGGCAGCCGGAACGCGGCGGGCGAGCGCGCGCACAAAGGATTGGCCCAGCAGCTTGGACGCGAACATGTGGTCCGACGTGTCATTGTGGGGCCGGTCGAGGGCGGCGAGGACGGACCCTTGCGCGGCCGCGCGCGCAATGTCGAACTTGGTCCACGCGGCCGCCTCGGACTGGGTGAAGGTGATGCGGCCGGGGCGGCCGGTGCGCTTGGCCGTGGCGTGCAGGGTGGGCAGGAGCAGCAGCGCGAGCAGCGCCGTGGACAGGTAGTTGACCTGGATGGTGTCGTCGTGGCGCGTGAGCGGGTTGACGCGGCGCGCGGCCGGGCAGAAGGCGGCGTTGAGCACGGCGAGGTCGAGGCGCGCGAGCGATTCGGCGCGCTGGCCAAAGGCGACGACGGACGCGTAGACGCAGAGGTCAAGGTGCCAGACCTCGATGGTGGCGGTGTGGTTGGCTGGGAGCGACGCAGAGAGCTCGGCGGCGGCGGCGCGGCCTTTCTCTTCGTCGCGCACTGCAAGGATAAGTTTGCTCAGGCCTAGTCTGAGTAGCTGCCGGCTGGATTCTAGGCCGATGCCCGAGTTGGAGCCGGTTACGACGGCTGTCTTGCCAGCGAGACTGACGTTGCGCACCTCGAAGGGTTTGTAGAAGTATTGCTGCCGCATATAGCGGCCGACGCTCGCCTGTTGCTCAGGCGACACTTCGAACGCGGGTTCCATGGCCGAGTTGGTGATGCAGGTTGTTTGTCTCGCGGAAGAGAGGGGCGATACGACGCAGGTCTGGATACGAGGGAGCAGAGAGGAGTGGGTCCAGCCGTTGGTTGTCATATCCTGCGCCACCGCGGTCAGCAACGACCGACGCATGACTGACTCTCGATCCGCGTGAAAAGGTAGGATTCGCTATTTCTAGGAAGGAACTCGGGTTACAACGCAGATTCATTATTCTCGACCCCGCCTTGCATCATGATTGGCCGTCCTCAACCGTCCTCAACGCTGCCGCATTTCTGAATAACAATTAATAGTCGCCTACAAGTTCTTTAGTATGTAATATAATTACTTCATTATGCTGATGCAATCGGCTACGAATAAGCTCTCTCTCGATTAGCGTCTTCTCATCTGCCCCGCCCCATCGTTCTTCAAGGTGGTGGTATAAGGAACCGCATTCTAATTACAACTTCTTCGACATCTCATTGCTAGACAAATCCCAAGCAAAATCTTGTTCCTCGCCCTCTTCCCAGCGCATGTTCCGGTCGTACATCTCCCGCTCCGTCAAAGAAGTAAGAACATGAAGAAGGACCAAATGACAGCCCACAGCGAAGTGAACGACATGGATGGTCCTAAGAAGGAAGCCGCAGCACTGCTAGAAGTTGGATTAGCTGTTGTCGTTGTCGGGAGGTTGGTCGTTGCCGGGAAGTTGGTCGTTGCGGTAGGCGTTGGCTCGGTGATAGTCGGAGAGGGGCTTGGAGTAGGCGAGGTAGAGAACTGGACTGTTGATCGCGTCGGTGCCGGCTGTTTTAATGGATTCGTCAGTGTCGGTGAGGGAGTTTCAGCGGGAGAAGAGATTCTGAGAAGGGAATCACGCACAAGTCCCGTGCCGATCACGGACGCAAAGTTGTCGCACAGCGAGTAAAAGACCATGTCGGACACGGCAAAGTTGCTGGCGTGCATACACGACACGGTCTGCAGGTACTCGCACGTGTAGGCGTTGGAGAGGAGCTGCGGCTGGCAGGTGCACGAGCTGAACTGAGTGGCGTCGTGCATGCTGTTGCTGCATCTGGAGAGCCCGATGAGGGCAGACTGGCACGCCGACACGACGTCGGTCAAGCAGAAGTCGTCATTGCGCTGCATTGTGGAAGCGATGGTGCTGACGGGCGGCGTCGTCAGGGTGACGGCGGCATACTTGTCGCAGGCCTGGTGCCACTCCTCGACGGCGTTTTCAATGGTGCTGTCTAGGTTCTTGGCGAGGAAGCAAAGCCGCAGCTCGCTCTCACATCTGTAGGAAGCAAGCTTTGTTAGAGCCGTGTGGATCGACAGGAATGGAACATGCTGGTGTAGAATACGTACTCGAACATGGAATTGAAGAAATCCTGGTTGCAGAGACATGCCCTCCGCTGCTCGACGGTAGGGAGATCCGGACACGAGTTGAGACGACCATTGAAGTAGTCGCAGCTAGGAAGAGCGGTGACGAGGCTTCCTGCCGCACACTTCGTAATGTTGAACGACGGGTCTAACATGGTCGTCGTCGTCGTCGTCGCCGTCGTCGTCGGCGGCGGGGCTGAAGCCACCATCAGTGCGTGGGAAACCAGCAACGTGCTGGCGATGATGATTTGGTCGGTCTTCATGTTCATGTTATCAAGAAATTATATAGTAATAACCAGTCATGGTAAGTCAAAGGGGGGGGGACTGGAATTTCGTTGAACGGGGGACATTGCCACGGAAACACAGCTCCTATTAATTAATACCGGGGAGACAGTAGGGATAATAAGATATGCAGGTAGGTGTCCGTTTGGGGCCCAGAGGCCCATTGGCCCTCAGCTCATGACCCACCGACGCTGCCGTTGCCTGCTGCGTGGCAATTAATTATCGCGAAGGCATGGAATAGTGTAGAAGCAAGGCCCGGCCCGCCTCGCTAGTCAACAAAACAGATAACGACATGTTCCAACCAAAGACCCATGGTCACCCAATTATTCAATGAAAACCACTGCATCATGGGATGGTCAGGTGGGCAAAGTGGCAAAAGTTGCGTCTGTCGGGCGCGAAACGGGGGGGGGTCTCTTCAGCTTTCAGCCTTCAGGGCGTTAACAACCCACCACTCTCGCGAATGATAAGGCCCCAAAAACGCCTCCCAACTCAGACACGCCAATTTACGCCGCCGTTCGCTGATAGTGTGGTGATGGGTGGCATGATCTCCGTTCTCGACGGTCAACTTTCAATTTCTGTCTGCTGTTGACGGACGCTTTTAATCTTGGCCTGAATTACTGTTTTTCAGGCCTTTTTTATATAGCACCAAACCTGGTCGCGTTGTTGTCGGTCAAATCATGCCAGTTCCGACAAGACGACCAGCACAACCAACATCTCAGAAACCTAGACCGGCGACCCAAAGCCAGCGACCCAAAGCCGGCGACCCAAAGCCGGCGACCCAAAGCCGGCGACCGAAACAAACAATGAACTGCCAGAGCGACGGCCATTCGGCCTTTCCCTGGCCACTCTGCCACGCAAAGCGTCAGTTAAAGAGCGCCTGCCGTTGGCCCTTTCAGTTTTGCTGGCCATTCGGCCACAAAGATGACGAACCGCCAGAAGCCAAAAGATGCACAGTGCCCGAAAAGCGGCTGCCGCTTTCCCTCCGCGAGACCGGTCTCCGTGCCAACATGGCCCTACAACTAGCCATCCTCTCAGGCATCGTTGCGCTATGGGTAGTGTCCAGCAAGCGCGACGGCATCGTGGCGGTGCCCGACACGCCGTCCTCCCTGTTCGACTCGGGCGGCGTATCCATGTCCAGCGCGCGCCTGTGGACCTACGCGCTGCTGTGGACGTTCCTGCCGACCTTCATCCTGTCGCGGTATGGGGACTGCTTCGGCGCGGTACTGGACGAGCTCAAGTCGTCGCAGCCCACCATGGAGCTGTGTTCGCCCTCGGGGTCTTGGGAACCCACCTGCCACGCCCCTGGATGCGGCAAGGAGCATCGGTGGGAGGGCAAATGGGAGCTGTACACGCCGCTGCGGTTCCTGCCCGTCATCTTCAAGTACCACCATCGTATGATCCGGAGGCGGCGTCAGCGGGCTACGCCTCAGCAGACCATCCTGCTTGACTACGGCAGCCTAGGCTACTCGCTGCCCATCTACAACGCGTGGCGAGCCCTTGGAAACCGCCACTTCCTCGTGGCCGCGTGCATGCTCGTCAAGTCGGCCCTCTCGGTGGCGAGCGCCCTGGCGTCGAGCATCCTGGCCGTGGCAACCGTCGTCACCTCGGTGTCCGTCACGCTCCACGCCGACAGCTACGTTTTCGACAGCTGGGACCTGTCGTCCACCTACTCGAACAGCACCTCGCTGCGTCCGGCCTTTGACCTTGTCTCGGCCACCGTGGTCAATTACGCGTCGCCCTTGCCGTGGATGACGCCGAGCCATTCCTTCCGCCCCTTCTACGGCGACTTCTCGCCCGAGCCACTGTCGACCGTCACCGCGCTGACCACGGCCTACTCGGCCACGCTCGACTGCGACATCCTCGACCCACAGGCCCTGGGCCGAGCGGGAGAGGTCTACATGGAGGGGCAGGTCGGCAGCGCCGACGGCGTGGTCAACTTCAACTTTACGCATCGCGGCTGCGCCGTCTTCAAGTGGCTGCGCCTCATGGAAGCGCCGTCGACCGTGTACGTGCGGAGCTGGGCCGTCACCGACTGCAGCCTCGCCAGCGGCAGGATGCGCTATGGCTTCTTCGCGGGCGTGTCCGACGCCTCGGCTGCCCTGGGGCTGTCGAACCTGACGCTGGTGGCGTGCCAACCGGTCTTCTGGAACTCGTCGGCCCTGGTCACCGTGTCCGCCGCCAGCTCGCCAGCCCCCAGCGCCCCCAAAACAAGCCAGGGACAGAGTCCCGAGTACGGCCAGGTCATCTCGTCGTCCATCCTGCACTCTGACCCCTTCATCCTGTCCTCCTACGGCACCTATCTCGGCGACATGCCCCTGTACGCCCCGACGGACCCGTCCGAGGAGTTCTCCATGGACACGGTAGGCCGGCTCTCGTACGACTGCGCCACGGAACAGAATGCCACCGACGCCCTCAGCTCGACGCTCCTGACGGCCGCGTTCCAGACCGTCTATGGCGCCGTCTTCGCCACCATGGTGAGGCTCGCGGGACTGAAACACACCAACACCAACACCAACACCAACAGCACCAGCACCAGCACCAGCACCAGCCCGCCCGCGGACGCCGCAGCGCCGGTGATGGATGGCCTGCTATCCATGCCGCAGAACCGCCTGTTCGTCGTCCGCTGGCCGGCCGCCGCCGTCATGGCGGCCGTCGCGGCCGCGTTCCTTGTCACCGTTTGGACGGCGTTCTACGCCGCTATCAACGCGCCGGCGCTGCTCCAGAGGCAGGACCTAATCCTGGGCCATGCCATGATGGTGATGACGGACCACCCGAGCCCCGACTCTGACTCCGATATGGCCCGGTACATCGCTGCAGTCAAGGCCGATGCGCTGCAGTGCGTGCGCGATGGTGGGGAGGATGAGGAGGGACGGCGGAGCTCGCAGTACACGGGCGAGAAGAATAGCGCGCAGATCAAGCCACCACCCTCTTCGGACGACGAGCAGCGGTCGCTGCGGGGGAAGGACCTGGTGGAGCATGCGGGCAAGGCAGAGGGCTTGCGTGACTGGGAGTGCTGGCTCGAGGGAGACGAAATTCGGCTCCGCAAGGTTCCGTATGATGATACTGGTGTTAATCCGGGCAATCAGGCGGTTTGAAGAAGGGGGCAAGGGGGGATGGGTTTTAAGTTAATGCTAGAGAAATAAGATAATATAAAGCAAACACGTGGCGCCTTTCCACCGCTTCATTCGCTGACCAGATGATTGCACCCCTGGCGGTCAAACAGAACATCTGTCACGAATCATAAGGAATCCCGTAATTTCTGCAGTCGTTGCCGAATATAGTCAGCAGTGTTAGACAGGACAGGAAACGAATAGAAGAAGTTAAGAACCCACCAGCAGATTCCCCAGCGCCTCTGGCTGCTGACCTGCGGCGGCGTCCGCAAAACCTATGCCGGAGAGAGACACTTTATGCCGTTGCCGGTCTTTAGTGTACTGTGAACCATGGAGTTAAATCCATGTCCGTGCTTCGCTAGTTTTCCTCTGGTAGTGGTTGGTTGACAGGAAGCGGGGGGACTCACGCTCTCAATAGAAGCCGGGACAATATACCGCACAACACACACGTCTCTCGTCTGACCATACCTGACGGCTCGACCAATCGCCTGCTTCTCGACAAATGGGTTCCATTGCGGTTCCAGGATGTGCACTCGTGTAGCCGCTGTGATGTTGAGGCTGGATCGCGCTCGTTAGCCAATTACGTGATAGGTAAGGTAGGGAGGCCTCCGACGTCACCAGAAAGACGTAGAGGTCTTCTTACCCTACTGCGCCGGTGCCGAGTGTCATGACCAAAGCTGCCAGATTGGGGTCTGTTCGAAAGGCCGTCAGAATTTTTATTCTCTCTGCTGTGCTCGTACTTCCGTCGATGCGTCGAAACGGTATCCCTCTCTGGCTTAGCGCGTGGGTGACGATGTCGAGAGTTCTCGTCCACGAAGAGAAGATGATGCTTCAATAACAGTCCTGTAGTTAGCCAAGGACAGGGTAACGGCAATATAAAAAGAGCTAGTCAGAATACGGCGTACGCACCATTTGTCCGAGTTCTGGTGTTGGTCGACATCTCGAACCAGCAAGAAAACCTTGGTGGAATGTCCTGTTAGATCCAGACGGTTGGCGAGTTCAGCCGGTGTCGTACGACTTGACAAGCCTCCCTTTTTCCTCTACGCCTTGGGCGCCTTTCTTTCCCATTTGTAGTAGCAGTCCGCACAGAGAGTTTTCTTTCTGTCTGGTGTTGGCCGCCCTGCATCCATTATTTCGCAGTCGCAGTTGGGGCAGAATCTGGCGCCCGCCACGCCGTCGTCTTCACTAGTCTCATTGCCAACCACATAATTCTGTATATCCTGGTCCATAGTTCCGTGGTTGCAGATCCGGCGCAGATGCATCACCATCTGCAGGACAGCCTTACTAGTTTTAGAACCCTGTGAACTGGAGATGGCATCTTCCATCTGAGCCTTTGCCTGCTCCTTGACCATATCGTAGAGACGTGTCTCCTCATCGGACAGGTGTACGTCGTAGGTGATCTCCTTCGGTTCCGGTAGGTTGATAAGTTCCTTGGTCCGTCTCAAGCATACAGACTGAAGGAGAAGGCGAAAGTTTGCAGCAGTGCCACTCCTGCTCTTGTCTTCTATTGGCTTGGCGATGTGTTTGTGAAACTCAGCTTTGCGGTGGAGCAGAGGAACCCGGAGGAAGCTTATTAGAGACCCCAGATCCGTGAGACTGTTGTGGATTGGTGTTCCTGTCAGACACCAGCGGAACTTGGCTGAGAGACTGGCGGCAGCTTGAAACTGCCGGGTTTGATCGTGTCGGATATAGCGGGCTGCACCCGTATGAGCAAGTGTCCCTCACTCCATGGGCTAATGAATGAAGGAAGGGTAGAGTAGTGTGGACTTGCCTTCATCCAGGATAACGCGGAACCAAGTCACCTAGTAGGGCAGCCCGGCGCCTTGACGGAGATCGGTTGCTAGGGTAGGATAAGTGGACAAGACAACGTCGTAATCGAGGAGCTCCTCTACTGTTTAGCCTTGGTGCTCCCGTGGTGCTTGAGGATCCGCAGCTGTCGCGAAGAAAGGTGACTACAGCACCAGTCAGGAAAGAATGGGGTTCGAGAATTCACGCAGTAGGCACGCACTCTTGAATATCTGACAACCACTCTTCGAGGACAACTTTTGATTAGACGGCAGCGGTTAGCGGGCTGACCAGCACTGTAGGCTTTTTTCCACAGGAATGGGAATCTAGCACTTACGTACTGAAGGCGCAATCACAAGAGTAGCTCTTGATTGCGGCCTTGGCGACAAGCGATTTCCGCGGCGGAACTCACAGGACGCTGGGAGACTGTCGGCAACTGCGGCAAGCATCGTCAGAGTCTTGCCAAGCCCCATTTCGTCCGCCAAGATTCCCCCAAAGGCTTCGTCTTCTGGCCGTGACCTTTTGGTGCCTATAATAGTGTGCTCATAGCTAAAGGGCCTTAGTGTAAGCTCATCCGACCAGCATCGGACGGTGGTTTGGAGATTGAACGGACCATTCAATGTTGTTGATGCGTTTTTCATCCCACAGCGATGAAAGCCGGGTGGGTATTCTCCCTTCCCGTTGGGCAACAAAGCTGACACCCAATACCTGATGCCTTCAAGTCTGTCAGTGGGTATAATTCAAATCTGTCAGTAGGTATATGTTATGAGTTGCAGCTTGCTACTAACATGTTGAGCTTTGTTGTCACGATGTCGCTCGTCGGGGCCTCTGATTGCAACTCGGCGTGGTGATCTAGATTCTTCAAGATTGTCTCAACCTCTTCCTCACGGTCATCAATTGACAACGGAGCGTCAGTTTTTAGGGCTATAGTGTTGGCAGAATCTCCAAAGCTCATTCTGTGAGGGTTGTCGTATCCCGATATTCCATGGCGTTGGTGTGTCGGATCCTGAAGATAAAGTCGGGCTTTGGAGAGAAGCCGTCCAACCTCGCCCGCTGCTTCCGAGGGCCCGTAAAACATAGCCGAAGCAACAAATTGGATCTTTTCTCTCCGGACTTGAACTTGCTCCGGAGGTTTTGAAACTCTGTTCCGGACAGGAATAGATCGACCTGACACCCGAAAACCTTGCTGACCGCTGAGAGAGCATGAGCAGTGATCTGGTCCAAGACCGCCACATCCGCCTCCGTGTCCGAGTCGAGTTGAAGAAAAGTGACATTGTCTCGAGAGACTGGGCGCAACTCATAGGTATCCCGCCTTGCGGGGAGGGAGAGCAGTCCGGACTTTTCGACAGCTGTTGGGTCGTCTAGTAAGAGCCCCTTTGAGTCGCATATCTGCATATAGAAGATGTATCAGAGTCTAAATGACGCAAGTAAGCAAATTATACACACCATCCCAAAGCAGACCATTCCGACTGGGGGCTCGGACAACTGGGAGTTTGGGTCGAGACCGACAAACTGGTCCTGATCTCCCCATGGTGCATGCGCATCGCTCATCCACACATCGGGTGGTTCCGAGCAATCTTCCAATACTAGGGAGGGACTGCCAAAGGCGCAGCCCAAGTCGGTCCGTTGAGTTTGGTTATTAGGGTTCTCGGACGATTGAGCCAAGTCAAATGACTCGACGCCAAGCCCCAGCCTTGCGCGCTTTTTATCGCCAGCTTCCCAGTCCAACAGATCAGGAGTTCCTAATCGTTTGGTGGCAGGCGGATGATAGGACTCCATGTTTTTTCCGCGGCCGCATTTCGGTGTTGTCGGTTCCAGCTGAATCTGCTGTGAAAGACAGACAAAAGAAGGGAAGTCGTGGTCGGCGGTCTGGACGGCCACACAGCTGCATTTGTGCCTCAGGCCGAAATTGATGAAAGCCGCCATCAGGGTGGCTGAGTAGGCAGACAGCCACATGCATGCTGTCATCTCCCGATAGGTGCCACAAGCGTCCACGTCACAGGCATTTCCCACGGCTTTCCTTCGCGTCGCTGCAATATTTTGGGCTGCGCACATCTAAAGGGGACGATGCAAACCCCCTCGTCTCTGCCAGCGATTCCTCACGTCAGTCACTTCTCATAAGAGCAAAGGCGACTACAGCAGACACACCTGCCGGTCACGACGGCGCGAATCTAATCTCAGCTCAGTGGGGGCGGGAATTACACCGATTCATAGGCCAAGCAGTCCGGAATTGGAGAGGGAGAATACAATTGTGCAAGCCCGGGATGGCACGCGATATCCCAGCCTAGAGACTGCATTAGGACGTAGCATCATAGCGTATAGGCCATTCCACCTTGGTGACAGATCTAACTGTGAAAGTCCTCCCTGAGCAGACGAAACAAAATATAAACTCCTTGCTACCAAGCCCCTGAACCCTTGATCACCAAATACCATGCCCACTCATACCGAGGCATCACTTGCCTCCTCCCCAAATGATTCTTCAGATGCAATGTCTGAATCGCCTTCCTTGACGGTGGAGATAATCCGGGTTTCTTAGTCCGCATCTTTTGTGGCGTGATGAGATGGAGCCTGCCGTGATTTCTCATCCTCTTCCAAGAGTTTCTTGATCTTCTCGAAACCGAGGAGGTCCGCTAACTCCAAAGCTGACATCCTGCTCTGCCTAATGTCGAACCCAAGACGTCTAAAATATAACGCCTTGACGGCGACCTCTGCCGTGGTGTCAATAGCATCACACCCCAGAAGTAGCTCCACAATTTCCTCGTCACCATTTATGCTGGCAATGATAAGCGCCGTGGCTCTAGCACGTCTATATCCCTATTCCTCTTATCCAATCTAACTCCACCATGGTGGCATAGACACGTTTGGTTAATGAATATTCGCTCCCTTGCATGATCCAACAGCAGCTTGACTGTCTCCTTCTTGTTGTTTTCGACGGAATGAAGAAACGGCGTGTACAGGTCTGAGTCTCGAACGTCGATCGGGACATCTGAGTTGAGGATTCTTGAGACGACTTCATTGTCTCCAACGATTGCAGCCTGTCGGAACTAAGCGACGCTGATCAGCGAGCGAATGACGTCGGGAGCCGTGTATGCCTCTAGGATACGTAGTACCGGCTCATGGCCGTTTGCAGCTGCCATGTTTGCCGCTGTGCCCTTGCCACTGTCGTAGTCAATCGTTACCTGTGTGCAATGTTGCTTCTCCAGCAAGAATCTGACGATGGTATCGTGGTCTTTTTGCGCCGCTTCCATGAGCACCGTGCGTTCTCTGTGAGTGTCGTTAGCGTCCAGCCCACAGTCGAGAACCAAAAAACGAACACAGCTAAGAAATCCACGTCTCGCCATCAGGTGCAAAAGCGAGCGTCTCCCATTTAGCTCCACACTTTAACGATAGTGCTTTATCGTCCTTAAGCACAGGGCCTCGTCACGATTGGGGAGAGAAAATGATATCGTTTCACAGAGCGCTCCCACATGGGTCAACTTCGGCGGCGAGTAGAACACCCATTCTTCAACATCCAGCCACCTCCGCCAGTGAAAAGAGCAAGCCAAAACCAATATCTTTGCTAGTTCAACATCCTCGGAATTTTCAACCAGGTATTTTAAGATGTCAAGTCGGTTGCTTGCCCAGACACCCCTGATGAGCATATAAGTATGGGGAAAGCCCAAATACCTGGGTTTGACACTATTATTGGGACTCTTTGGTATTCCGAGACGCCCCAGAGGGATCGGTCCGTTGAACTGTTCAGCCCATCTCTGAACTGCAGAGAGGTTTCCACTCTTTGCGGCCGCTTCCACGTCGAAAGATTCGGGGTTATCAAGGACGGGGAACTGGATCTGGAAGCTCTGACTAGCATTGGTACCGGTATGAACGTTGTCGGTGTGGGCCGCAAGGGATTTTGAATCGGCAAATCCTGTAATCCCATACGAACATCCATCAAACACACAAAAGAAGGCGCGGTCGTGCTTGGTCTGATGGGAATCCCGCGCCGACTTGTCGGGGAACCCTGTGTGAAAATAATCGCAATGAACGAATTGACACTTGAAGAGGCCTGAACCATGGTAATTTTGCAGTTGTAGTAATCCGGTCGAATCTTTCAGTCTTTGTGCCACCTTGTCAAGAGATGATCGCAGCCGAGGAATGAAAGTTTCGAGTCTTGGCTTCGGGCCCAGTTTCTGGTCATCCTTGACGTTAGGTTCTTCCTTCCGCTTGCTCGACCTCTTGGCGAAGTGCAGTGATCACGTGTAGGTGGCCTGTGACAATTCACCGAGGAAGTCTTCAGGACCAAACGATGAACGAACATCGAATCCTTTAGCGAAGCTTAGTGGAATACTTTTTGGGGCCACCTTTTGGAAGTGCTGTCCGAGGAAGTGACGGATCTCCCTACCCAGGCGCTCCACAGAGGAGGCATCAAGTGTGGCGAGTTTGGTTACTGAGATCGTGAGATGGTCCAGCCAATGTGAAGCGGCGTAATCAAAAAATGCGTAACAACCGTTTATTATGTTGGCCTCGACAATCTCATCGGACAGTGAAACGTCGACGTGGCCGACGGTCAGGTATGAAAGGCATATTGTAGCGAGATTTAGGTGTCCTTCGGCAATGTTGACGTGATTCTTCGTCAGAAACCTGAAAGAGGCTCTTAGTTCATAGTCCTTGGGTCGAAGCTGGGACTTTCACACTTACAGTCCGGCGGTAAAATGGACTAATGTAACAACTCCTCCAGGGGTCACTTCCAGCAGTGATCCACAAAGATCCTTGGGACCGTCTTCGTCGGAAAATCGCCGGCCTTCGAAATCAATCACCCGATTCTCAAGGTCAAGGGAGACAGCGCCTTGGATTTCATGCCATCTCAGATCTCTCTGCGCAATGGCAACCCAGGAAAGAATCTGTATCGCGTCCCGGTACCTTTCGTCATCCATGTCGTGTCTCTTGGATCGGAAGATGCGGCCATATCTGGATGCATGTAAATATTCTTCTCCAGTTCGGATAGTAGAATGCAGAAGGATTGGGAATTGGCACTCACGCCTCGTCCAGTTTTCCCATCACGCCCTGTTTTTCGTTGTCTTCGCTGAGCCACTTCAGCTCCTCCTCCAGTCTGAACGCCCTGGACTGGGTATGCAGGTGCACCATGACGAGTCTTGCGAATTGGAACATGCCTTAGACCTTGAGGTTAGACCAGCCGGAACGGATGGGTAGATGCGTCTATACTTACCATCCGCACGTTTAAGAACGTTGCTAGTGATGGAGTTGCCCCCATCGAGCTTCACGGAGGGATGTTTGGATCTGATCTTGGACTCCCAAGCTTCGCAGTAGGCCTTGATATCGCTGTAATTATCGGCAGGAAGAATCTTGAGTACCAGATAGCCTTTCAAAAGCCTGGAGGATTCACTGTCCTCTTGACTCACGAGAAGACACCTCACCAGGGTTGGTTCGGCGTCCTCCACTTGATCGGCGGTGCCATGTTTATCAGGGCCAGGCTCCAGATCTGAGTTGACAATTGACTGGATCCACGAGAATATACCCTTCTTCTCTGCTTGAGACATTCGTCGAGGCCGTCTACCACGATGAAGAAGTTATCCTGGCTGCGAACGACAATGCGCAGAAGGTCTTTGGCAAGCTCAGACCGCTGCAGTGTCATCTGCCCTTCTTTAGACATGATAGCGTCGATATACTCTGTAAGTCGGTCGTCGTTTTGAGACAGCTGATACAGTATGTTCTTCGCAATGGAAAGAAAGTTGTTTCGGTTTCGATTTCCGTCTTTACAATAAACGAACGCAACCTTTGCCGTGCTCTGCTTCGCCGCTGCTTCGATGATAGCAGAGGCGAGAATCGTTTTCCCTACGAGTTGTCAGTTATGAGTTCTTCGGGGTGTGAGATCGTGCGATTCTCGCAAAACGTACCTGCGCCAGGGATGCCGGTCACCCATAATATGGGGTTCACGTTCGCGCCGGGATCGAGCCAGGCCATAACTAGATTCCTGCGCAGAATCCAATCCCCGGTGCCGGGATACCCTTGTCGCAATTCTGCTTGGTGTTCTTGGTCCGCCATCATGTCATCGGGTGAAAGCCAGGAACGGACCCTGTCTAGTTGCTAGCGTCTTGCTTCACGTCTCTGCAACTTCAAAGCCTCTGTTTGGTCATTGGATAGTGCTGAAATCCTCTCAAGGGCGGTCAGATTAGCGTAGTTCTCTAAAAGCTTGCGATGCCGCCTCAAGTTGTTCATGGGCTCGGAGAAACGGGTGCGGAAGTTGTTCCACGTCGCATCAAAGATTATTCGCCATCCTAAAATGTTAGTATCCACTCAGTGACAACCTGGACGACTAAGCGAGCTGCGCTTACTCTTTTGCTGGAAGTACGACAGGGCCTTTGCATGGAAGTCGAGAATGTCGCCGAAGATCATCTCGAGAACGGCGTTAAGATGGCCGTTCTCCCTTAGCTCGAACAGGGGTTGATGATGTTGGATTGGCTACATCGTACCAGCTGAATGGAGCCTAAAAAGATGTGTAGGCATCAAGGCCTACATACGGGCCGATCATCGTTGGTGGCCTAATGAGTGGCAAGTTTGATCGAAAGGGCATTATTATTTGCCACCTACTTCGCCACTATGTCCATCTATAATAATGGCTCTCTGGCTTCGCCAGAGAGCAGGGGGAGAATCAATTCAAAAAATTCTCATCAATATAATCCATCCGTGTGTCGAATCCAACAGATGATGCGCGAGAACCTCAAGCTGCTCACCCATGTCCTCATAATGCTCAAGGAGGGCATCAAAGGCTCTGACGTGATTTCGTGTGACCTGTAATAGGAACTTCATGGGCCCCTAGTAGTAAATATCATTAGCAACGAGAAACCAGGGGTTGGCCGGTTAGAAATAATTAGAGGCCCACTTAGGGCGACTTACCCACACAAAGGCAACAAATTCTGATGCGTTGAGAAACACCTCGATGAGCTGTTCGAGAAACACCTCGATGTACTGCTCCATTCCTTCCAAGAACTTCCTCAATCTGTTCATATTGCGCATTCTGGCTTTAGACGCTTGCTCGTCTTGGATCTCCTTCATGGAGGATTTGAAGTCCACAAGATTGGTGAACTGAAATTGTTCGCTCTCCGATCCATTGAGATGCTCATCCTTAAATTGCTGAAGCACCCCCCGGAAGCTGGACACCCCGGGTGCCCATCGGCTGCAAGATATTTGAAGACGCAGCGAGCACGCACTTGGTTGCCAGACCCCCCGCAGATAAGGTAATTGGCAGGCGCCGAAGAGCATACAAGCCACTCCTGCGCCCTCCAACCCCAACCTACCAAGGTCGCCAGCGCCTGCAGACGGCAACATGGGACAAAAGCGAGACGGAAAAGACGGAAAACAATGGGGTGGGGAAAGACTGCCGCGGATTATACTCTTAACCAGGTACCGTACCTGCCTTAGTTGTCTAGATTTGTCCACCTGCTCGTTCCGCGGAATTCCAGCTCCATTTCGGTTCCCGCATTGCATCTTGCATGGTCGCGTCCATATCCAAAAGGGGGCGAGGTACCCCCCCCCTCCCCCCATATACTCACCTCACACACTGGCACTTACGTGCATAAAGATCAGCAAATGAGCGGGGCACAAACCTGCCATCTCATCCATATCTTGCCCAGCAAAAATTTAACTTTGGCGGCAGCGCGCAGGAAGACGCCAAGACCTCTCAGCCCTCGTAGTCTGGATCCGCGTATGCGTATCAGCCACCGTAATACCCCAAACGCATAGTAGGTTGCCCCTGCGTTTTTGGGCCTCAAAGCTATATATTCGAATGTAGTTTGTCGAGTCTAGGCAAGCCATATCGCCATTAAAACGGCGGCTCCCAAGGCAATCAGCAGCTTCGCATATCTAGGTGTGTTTCGTGGGAAAATTGACGCCACAGGGCGCTACGCCGCTCGACGAGATGGCATAATGCAGTGCAACCACCCATACGGCCAGATGGGAAGGATTTATCCCGAAACTTTCAGAGTTCTTGGGGGGAAACAACGCAGGTATCTCTGCCAAAGAGAGATGCTTGCCTATATTGGCAGAGGCGTAGTATATTAAACTACGCTATGGAAGGAAAGCCTCTCGCGGCTTTTTCGTTCCCGAATACTGAAATAACTGATATGAGTAGAAAAATATTTCGTGGATTCCTGAATTGCTAATGTGAAGTTGACCTGTTTTGACGTATAGCTTTCCGATAAGATAAATTCGGAAAAGGGGCTGCGAATATAGATCTAGTGTAAAGTTGCCGCGTAAAAGTTTTGTTGCCCGCGGTCGAAGTTGACAGCGCACTGAATTGTCTACCTCCATCCGGTCTAGGGATACATGAATGAAGGCCTTCTTATACTTCAAGAAAAGGATGAAGGAAAACACCGTTCAGCCGTACAGGGCTTTCGGAGCTCACCGACTGTGGATTAAAATGTGGCTCAGAGTGGCTCAAATCCAGGCGACAACTTTCCATCCCCGTCTCTCGACGTAACCCACCCTCCTACCGTAACGGCGTGCCATCCGTCTTAGGAGTCTGGTTCTGGCCCCAACCCAGCCCAGCAGGGCTGCGGCTCAGATAGTGACAGTAATTATGGGGAAAGTCCAGCCCTCGATGGACGGGCATATTTGTTCCTAGATAACCCGTCCAATATAGAAAGAAAAAAATCCAAAAAAAAAGCCTTCTTATTCCTTACTTATTTAATGATAATTAATTAGGGTCCGTGGCCCCCGCCCCCCCGGCCCACAGCACCCCCGGCCCCACTGGCCCTACAGGCCCCACCAGCCCCACCAACCCTGCCAACCCTGGTGGCCATCTGCCCCGACGGCCCCGTCGCCGTCCTGTGAGGACCCGTCCACCAAACTGGCCCTCAAGCAGCCAGAGCCGCCCAGAACCCCGGGCCTATCAGAAGCCGCCTCGAGGCCCCACCTACCCCACTGATAGATGAAAACTTATTCGCGAGCACGCGACGCGTTGTTGGACTTTTCCTTCTTTCCTTCCTCAGTTTAGAATCTTCGTCGATAGCACCCAATGGACTGAGTTCACCTCAATGCCTTGCCTTGGTCGTGACACGTCCCACCCGGCACCGCCCCCTTAGGCCCCGTCCCCAGGGCTCCCGTCCACCCGGGCACCGCCGCTCAGGCCATCACCCATTGGGACAGAGCCTCCAAGAACCGGCTTGCTACCATGAACGTACGCACGACCACGCCAATCACCACCACCACGACCACCGCCAACAACACCCACGCCGCCTCGCCGATCTCGATCCCGAACCAACACTCCCCCTTCTCTACCCGGCTTAACGGCGCTCCGACGCCGACCTCCCCTCCCGTTGTAGGGTCCGATCCCCTCACCGACGTGACTTTATGTACGACGGTGCACGACTTGACCTATTTGATACCCATCAACGTCAGTCTAAGCCGTAAGGGGTAAGGGGCAAGGGGGAGGAGGGAGGGGGGTTACTTACTTTCTTATCGGTAGGAGATCCGACGGACCCTTCGGGGATAGGGGGGTTAGCGGGGGAGACCGTGGTAATTGTCGCCGGAGGTTGGGAGGGAGAGTTGGTCGAAGGATCGACCTCGGCAGTAGGGCTGCCGGTGTTATTGGTGATGGTTTTAGTGGCGAGTTGGGTGTGGTCGCGAGTGGCGAGCAGCGCAGCCAGTTGCTTTGGGGACAGGGCCCCGCGCCAGCGAATTTTTATGATATTCATTTCCTAAAACCAGTTAGCACACATCACCAGGTCCAAAGACGTGTGCGGACGAGAACAGTTCTGGGTGCAGGGGCGGCGAGACAAAGAGGGCGGAATACAGATCGTGGTATTAGTAGGTACTCACAGCGATATTTTGAGCATGCTGAGGAGCAAAAACCCAGCGTGCGGGATCAGCGGGCTTTGTTTCTTTTGTACAGTCGGTTTCTCATCCGTCCCTTCCATAAATCTGTCTTGTTTGAACAGGACATACCCACTAACCCGTCCGTCCCTTCCATAAGTCTATCTTACTTAAACGGGAACATCTCTACTAACCCGTCCGTCCTTTCCATATCTTCTAATTCGAACCAGCTGGGAGGGTAACTCCTTTACTTTAGGGTCACTATAGCGGAAGGAGGGAGCGGAACTGTTGCCACTAGGGTACGACTTATCTTGCCCCCAGCTAAGCCCCTGATTCCCAGACCACTTCAACTGATGCGATGCCCCTCCTTCAAGTACTTCATGAGCGCGTACTACGCATCCTGCGCCGAACTTGCCGCGTTATCTTGCAGGTCTAAGACGGAATGTGCTGTGATTAGGGGTCAAGGGGTCTAGGACAGCAAGTGGTCTAATTACACCCTTACTTAATTATAATCTCGTAGGCTTTCTTAATTTTTCTCCGTCCACCCACTTCATAAGTTCATCTGACGTAGTTGGCGCGCTCTCTAATCAGAGGGCTAACATCAATATTTTCCTTATTTCTTAGCTATTCGTTAAGAATCTTATTCTTTTTTTGATATGTTGATCTTGTATCTAGTACATGCTGCAGTAACTTTTCTTTATTATATCGAACTACTCGACTATGACTGCATGTCTTTATATCCTCTAAGACGAGTCTACAATAGGCGTTCTTCATATTGCTATTTTGTGGTATTATTTCATCTATTCACCTGGTGTGGATCTCGATCATATGGCTTCCAACCCCCCGATCCTCCTTCGCCCGCCTCGACCCGTGGAACTACACCAGTTATGGGGCAAACCTTCTATTACAGTGCTTTTCACCATGGATCGCTCTATGATAATCTTGGAGAGAAAACCTGGAGAAAAGCAGCCCGCGCACGGACTAGGCTTTGCCAATTTTGCACAGTCTGCTTTGCTTGTTGCTCGAACGGCAAAAACTCCACCGTCCACACGTTCTTTCCGTACGTGTCCGGGAGGGAAGGTCCCCTCGTAGAGGCTTAAGTCGGGGGAAGGAGAGCTCATTTCAAAAGCGATACTAGACCTATCAATCGATCCTACTGGCTACACATAATACGAGACCAATAACGATGAAAGACTCAGTAATGTCTACACCTTTCGAGTCCAACGGGGTTTAAGACCTATATGAGATACAATCAAGCCACCCCATAACATTTTGGTGAGAAACTTCTGAAATAGTGACTTGAAATCACTTATATTTGAGGCTTAATATACCTTATCCCCATTAAACCCCCTAAGCTCGCAGAATCCCCGGAAAATGTCACTGCAATAAGCTTTCAAACCCGGGGGGAGTTATATTAATACCAAACACCCCTATCGGGGTAGGTGTAATAATAATACCCACCCTTCCCACGAGACGCTCCTCCCGCCAAGAACCAGATCCACCAGCTCCACAAATAGCACGACACGCCCACCAGCCCGAGTACCACCGATACGATCAGCAACCACCCCGCCCAGTTAACTTCGACCTCGAACCAGCCCTCCCCCACCTCGTCTCCCACCCGACGTGACGATATGCGTATGAATTTTCGGTCGACAGGGTGTAAGCGGGACCCGTCAGTTCCAGGGTCACCGCCTAGGGGGTCTGGGTCAGCAGAGAAAGAGGCCGTGGTGTTTCGCGCCGGCAGGCTGTTGGCGACTGAAGCGTGTTTTGACGGACCGGCCCCGTGTAAGGAAAAGGACACCCCAAACACCAACTGCGCGCACAGGGTGCGCGCCCACCACTTGTCACCAACTGGCTAGAACACTGCCAGCTGGCATACGCTACGCCGTGGCGCCACGACCGCAGACTGATGCCCGGGCCGAACCCCTGAGCAGGTATATAAACAATGGCCCTCGCCCATCTTCCTTTGCGAGGGCCAGGTTGAAGTCTTACACCAATACAAGTCATTGCTCCCCTACCTTCTTGCCTGCATTGTGACCACCTTGATCAGGCGTACCTACCTTCTCTTACACCCCGGCAGTGGGGTTTTCGCTGCTGCTGCTGTTGGTAATCTGGGCCTGCTTGCGGGCGGCGAGGAGGACGGCAAGGGTAGCCGGCGACGGGGCCCGCGCCAACGGAAGGCCAAGATAGCCATTTTCTAAATCCAGTCAGCCAAGGCAGATCTGGCCCAAGGAATGGGTAGGCTGCGGTAAAGGAGCAGCGAGATGAGGAGGGTGGACGGCGGCGTGGTACTTACAATCTATCAGAAAACTGATTGGTATGCGTACGGACTAGCGGATGTGTTTGTTTTGTGAAGATTTTGTTTTCGACGATGTTGGGAATTAGAAATAGAAGGGACTACCGATTGTACTTGTTTTAAAGAAAAATTGCCTTGTAAATTTCTTGCTATTCGCTGTTTTTTAAGGGCAAAAGTTACCGCGTACTGTGTCCTTTCTATAATTATTTAAGTTATTCGGCTAAGTGGACTGTAAGCTATCTATGGATATTTAAAGTATTTTTGGAAGTTGAGTTTCATCGGATTACGGAGCCTGCGAAGATAAAGGTTAAAGGTGCCGAAGGCTTATAATGTTAAGCAAATTTCCCAAGAATCTTAAACCCGTACGGCCGTGCTATATTTAACGATTATTAGATAGCTTCGCTAACAATACGAAAGGTATAAGAATAGCATTAAAAGGCATATAGAAGATAAAAAATGGGCAACTGTCACGAAGGAGAGGATTCGACTGGCATAACACGCAGTATAACCGTAACCTGTATTATGGAATCTAAAGCTAAAGAAGGAAAAGGAAGATGTTGCGGAGAGCGGGGAAGGCGCGGGGTTCTAGGTATGGTGCGGACCACGTGATAGGTACGCACAGACCACACTCCAGCACTACGTCATTGACACCACCACGGCACTCGCCGTGACAGCAACCGACTTCCCATGTAGGGCCGCGCCCTTGGCCTCTACGACGTGTATCAACGTCATTCTCGGCAGCCGGGACCTATAGAAAGGTTAAGGAGGAGGTTGTTCAGTTGTCGGTCGGCAGGGCAGGGGGTTATGCCGAATATTTTTTACACATAGCTCAAATGCTGCGTGGAAGACAAATGTAAACACTATATCGACAGCAAGGAACCTGTCGCCTGGAATTGACCCACTTTTCATGGAATTGAACCACATTTTCCAGGCCCTGGTTAGCATGCCTCTGTACTTCCTTCATTCTTGGCCTCGGAATGCCCTCATTTCATTCGGAATGCCCTCATTTCGTGATTATAACACTTCCCCTGCCTTCTCTCAACGAGTATAAAGAAGCGTTCTTTTCTGAACTTTTAGATCTATTTGGCCAGACAATTCAATGCGCTGTCAACTTCGATCACGTGCAAGAAAGAACGATCAAAGTTTTCATCTTCGGAACTTCGCACATGGCTTTAATCCACATCTCAAAAATTGGGTTGGCAGCATAAATACCCAGCACCCCCATTTCCCGAGAATTTTTTTTTCCCTTTCTCTTTCCTCCTCAAGTTACATGTAAGGTATGTGTTTATCAGACCCAATATCCCAGTTCAAGCAAAAAAGGCTGTATGCCAAGAAAACTAACAATGTTCCAGTGCCCGTTTGTTTACTGTTATTCGCATGAACACGTCTATTCCCCTTCTGCCAAAAAGGACCCCAGTTCCTTGTCGGAAAGTGCAACAACAAAAGCTGGATGCTGACAAAAAGTAATGCTTCAGATAGGTACGTTTTTCATCATAAACAAGTGCGATCCCGCCCCCCACGGAGGCCGACGCACTGTCTAGCATTACTAGCCAGTTGGAGTCTCTGAGAGACCCAGGAAAATTAATTCCAAGGTAGCTAATCCCAGGATTGAGCCTGTCCATTTGTTAGATGAACAAATTAGATTTTTATTTTTATCATCATTGGCATTGACCAATGCGCCGTGTGGGTTGGTCGTTATGGTCGGCCCCATGGCTTTTGGTTCAAATGCCAGTGAAGGTGCCTCTGGGGGAAATACCGACGGGTAGATGACCTTCCAGGGGTTGCTAAGAGGAAGGTATGCCGTCCGAGATGGTGGGGAAGGAAACATTAGCCCATGAGGCCTGGGCGTAGTCCTAAACCCTTCGGCTTTCCCTCGAGACGAGACGGCGTGGTCACGACTTCTTCTTCGTTAGCTTGAGGGCGACGGCGCCGATACCATATCTTGCCGATGCTGGTATCGGCAACTTAAGGACAATGAAGAAATTGAGGCACCGCAATGTGTTCGTGAGTGACATCAGCTTTGATAGAGGTCCAATCACGCGGCCAGCCAAGGCTCTGAGTCACCTGAAGTCTGCATGGGAGAAATACCTCATGTTTCCGCTGCTAGAGACGGGAGTTAGCTGCTTCCGTAAATTCCCTTGGCCTCGTGGCGTGGGATGAGCGGAAGCCGAGGTCTTCTGACCAGGAAAGGCCCAATGTTGTGCAGCATCCGAACCGACCTTGTGTCGAGAAACACGCATGCGTCGGGACTTTTGCTGGCACGTTTTCTTTCGAGGTGTGAATCCCGAGAGTGGTGCGATTGTATGAACTCGGAGACTTTCGGACAGAGTTATATGGACTGATGGGCATGTTGAGTGAGTCCTGGTTCGAGATGGGAAAGGACCAGGCCGTCAGACAGCAATCAGCGACGCAGCTGACCTGTCGGGGATTTTGAAGATATCTTCACTTCTTTTTCCTCAGTTGAATGGAATTTTGTAAGAAAGAAGAAGAATTTCAATTATAGACCTCGAGTGTTTCATCAAGAACAACTGCCGTCTTAGGGCTCTATCAATTTTCCATGCCGGATTGGACACAACTCCTGAAAACACGCGACAATATTTCCCTCGCCTCAGCCCACATCATACGATGAAAAGCAGGTTCCACGTGCTGTTGCACAGTGCAGAGCAGCGGGTGCAACATCGGAGCGCGGCCCTGTTTTTCTTTATGGCTGGCCGCCGTTTTTGCAGGCTGTGGCGCGGGTGCTACCCTCCTCCTACAGTACATGTACGTCTCGAAAGCCTGCTTAGGTGCCACCTTGGCGCTGCCCCTATTACATCATCTCGTCAAGCTTGCTTTCCTGAAATCCGCCAGTTTTGATCCTGCCGCTCACCAGGCAGGCATATATCAAGCCCCTCATCCCCGTCCATTATTCTCACATACTTAATCCATCTCATCAACCCCAGCATTCTATAAGATTCCTTAGCCACATTCTCACAAAACAGAACATCATGGATTTCGTCAACAAGCTTACCGGCGGCAACAAGCAGGAGGACGTGACGGAGCAGACGGGCCAGTCACAGCAGGAGGGCTCGGCCGGGTCCGGAGGCTTCATCGACAAGCTCAATACCGCTGCCGGCGGAGGCAAGGAGAGCGAGAAGAACGAGGACGCGGTCGACAAGGGTGCGTTCCTACTCTTGCCTCTACTCCCTACCTATTCACCTAATCTGCTCTTCAAGAAACAAAGCGCCTTAAGATCTAACACACTCCTCTCTCCCCAACAACAGGCGTCGACTACGTGCAGCAGAATGTCTTTGGCCAGGGGGACCAGACCAACGAGAGCGCGCTCGAGCAAGCCAAGGACGAGCAGATCTCCGACTTCATCCGCGACAAGTACAAGGACGCCACGGGCAAGGACGTGCCCATCAAGGACAAGTCGTAGTCTATAACTACCGCCTTTGGACTACTACCCGAGATTTACTGTGCCGAACCATTCTTTACGTGCACTTGCGTCTGGGTATGGCGAACGAGGATATGCAATTCGTTGACTGCTGCCTCTCTAGACTAGTATAATTAGGTACTTGAGCAGCAAAACAAAACAATACAGGATCTGCATTCTCCCTTCCACCTCATTCTTCTATGTGGCACAATGCAATTAACGAACGGAAGCAGATCATTATCTGAAACCGTAGCTATGCCCAATAATCAAGTTGAGCAAGTAGATGAAAGAATGATGCACAGGTTTTGACTTCACTTCCACACCCACTTTGAGACACAAAGACTGAAAAAGGGAAAAAGGGAAAGGAAAAATGAAAGGACTCGCAAGAAAGTGCACAATACCCTCCTCAAGTTCAACAAACAAGAACAAAGCCCGCATGGCTCAGTGGTAGAGCGTATCACTAGTAATGATAAGGTCCTCGGTTCGACTCCGAGTGTGGGCATTTAAATCCCCTGACGCAGGGATGGTGCAAGTGCCCCAGTTGCTTGGGGTGGAGTATCTATCAGATATCTTTTTTGCCCCATCTTCCCCTTCTTTTTGCAGCTATCGAGTGAGGGGGAGATCCACTGCATAGGCTTGACTGACTGACTGTACACACGAAACAAAACCAGTGTCTGAACCTCCCCGCCAGACGACGACACAACATCACAACATCGCGTCAAAGTCCCACAGCACAGTCCAAGACCCAGGTTGGTACAAGGCATGAATCGTTTCATATTCATCGCCGGTATAATACAGAAGCGAGTTCAGATGATCCCCGCGCAGCCGAGGCGCAGAGAGAGAGTATCCTCTCGCGCAACCTGGCTGACTTCCTCCGTTCCCGGTGAGCCGCCAACCCGATGATGATGCGATCCCATTTCCCTCCCCATGTTCCCTAGCCTCGCAGCCTTCTAGATGCCCATCATCCCCCGCTTCAAATGTGTTGTTATGCTTTCTTTATGTAAAGTGGAGATTTTTCTATACGGGCCACTCGGGGCGATGCCGATAGGCCCTGGCCAAGTTGCCATTCCCAACCAGTCCATCCTAAGTCAATCCGAAAAAAATGCAAGACTAACCGAGCCTCACGAACTTGCAAACTCAAGTCGGGGCCCCCGGTTGTGAAAAAAACCAACGCCTTTCGCTGACCAGTGACCAGAAGAAAACCGAACCCTTTTTATGTTAGTCAAAAAAAGGAAATGACACAGGAAACGTGGAATGATAATCTTCGGCACAACAGGCTGATCAAGTGAGCCTCACTTTCCCGGTTCCCGCCCCGTGATCCCCGGGAACAGACGCGCCTCAAATTATGAACTCAGCCGAACCAGCCACATCGGTTGCACAGGGGGGTATCATACCAAGACAAGAAAAATGCAAAGGAAAAAAGAAAGAAAAGTAAACACAAGAAAATAGAAACGAGGTGTGCACAGTTATGCATTGGCCGGGGTAGGCTCATCAGCATTTCCGCCCCTCAACAGCGCCGTAACCTTGTTCACCACAGCATCCGGATATCCGCGAGTGCGCATCTCGCCGACGACAGCTTCAGCTTCTGCACGGTCATGAACGGCAAGGAACGCTCGCGTCATGGCCTCGTAAGTGCTTGGCTCCCGCTTATTGCGTCCGAGAGCCGAGTAGACCTGCTTTGCCTTGTCGATATTTTGCTCGGCAGCCCAGCCGTGAATCAGAATGTTTGCAATGTACGGGGTCGTGTGCACACCCTTGCCCGCCATGTTGACGAGGACAGGCTCAGTGTCGGCAACCCGATGGTTGGCAACCATTGCCTCAAACAAGGCCTGGAACAGGGCAGGAGCAGGGGCCACCAACGGGTTCTCCATCACGTTATCGAAGACAAGACGGGCGGCTGGCAAGTCGTGGTGGACGCAACCGTAGGCATGAATCAGAGAAGCATAATGAACGGATTCGGGAGCTTCGCCAGAAGCCCGCATTTCCTCCAGAACTCTTTCGGCGGCCTTCATATTCATGGGCTGCAGGGTGGCGTGAATGTCGACAAGAAGCTTGAACGTGTGCGAAGTAGGAGCGAGACCCTGCTTCTTCATGCGCTCATAATAGTGGAGGGCCTTAGACCTGTCGCGCTTCGTGAGCAGGAAGAACTGCATCATGCTGTTATACGGTGCCGCGCGTGCCTGATAGCCGCGCATGGCCTCCATCTCGTCGAATAGCTCAACCGCGAATTTCTCGTCACAGACCCGGCACAGGGCGTTCACAATGGTGCCGTAAGTGACCGAGGTGGGCCTAATTCCGAGATTGCGCATCTCCCCGAAGTAGAAGAGACAGTCGTCAATGCGGCGAGCCCTGCCGAGTTTGCCAATGAGGGCGTTGTACAGGAACGAGTTGAGCTCGACCCCTTCTTCCTTGGCGCGGTGGAAGATCTTGACAGCTTCCGTAGCTTCGTCAGAGCTCTCCGTTTTCTTCTCCAGCGTCGTGATGTAAAGGCCGTAAGTGTTGGCCGATAGTTTGCCGCCCATTGAAAGCAGTTCCTGGTGGTATCTCTCGGCCATATCTCTCTTGCCAAGGGTTAAGCAGGCGTGAACCATGGAATCCAGAATTTTGGACCAGCCAGAGCAGACTGCCGGATATTCGGCCAGTGGCGGAACATCGTTGCGCGCAAAGACAAGAATCTCAACACATGAATCTAGCTTGCGGGCGCCAATGCGGGCTGCAGCAACAATGAGCCGGGCGTATGTTTCGTAACGCGGATGACGACCGGCCCGGCGAACGTTCCGAAGCCGTGCGAGTGCTGCTGGAAAACCATTTCCCTGCTTACTGCTCGACTTTGGTGCCTTGAGGCTGGAATCCAGGTCCGCAGCAATCAAGCCTGAGGCCCTGACGTCTAATGTATGGCCGTATGGGTCGTAATGCTCTTCGTGAACCGTGTCGGTGGGTGTCAGCGGGAACACTGAAGCAGAAAGAGTCGTAGGAGCGTGGGGTACCAGCGGCATGCTATTCCGGGGATCGGAAACGCCTCGAGCAGCCATGAATCTCGAGATAAACTCTGCGCCCTCCTCGAGCTCATCTATCAACTGGACGCTGGGCTCACCCGCGCTATCACGGACCCGCTGAAACATGTGCTCAGCCTCGGTCAAGCCTTCGCCTACCTGACCAGAGCCAATCATGGCGATAGCGTACATGGTTGCCGGCTCAATGAAGGCTGGCGTGGGCTGAGTTTCGGGGTGGCTCAAGACAGCCCAGTACCGCGAAGCAGTAGCAACGTCACCCTCGCGAACACTCATGGCGAGCATGGCAATGGCCGGTGAGGCAACATCGCCCAAGGGGTTGATGCTGGAAAAGGCGGCTACAGCGGTATGCTTGTCGCCGTGGTCAGCCGCAACGATTGTAACCTCGCTCATCGCACGACTTCTGTTCTCGTCCTCGATTTTCTGGGCCCAGCGGAGCGCTTCCGAATAGATACCACGGTCGACCAAGGCCTTGACAAACCCGCCGGCAATGATAGCGCCGTTTATGTCCGACGCCCGAACACCATACTCGTTGACAATCTTCTTGTAGAATTTCATGGCACCTTCCAGTTTGTCCGAGATGACGTACGCATAGAGCACGGCAGCGTAGACCTGAGCATCAAGCCGGTCTCGCAGAGATGGCTCGTTGTTGTCGTTGGCAATTGCAAGATTGCGGTACTCGTTATAGCATTCGACGGCGCTGATAAGGTCCCCTGCCTTGGCAAAAGCGGTGATCATGACGGGAAAGGTGGCAGCGTAGGGTGTCGTCCGGTGTGCCTCCATATGCTCGAAGAGCTTGAGCATATCAGAAACGCGGCCCGACTGGGCACAGGCCGAGATGAGTTGGTGGTATGTTTCGGACGAAAAGAACGCCGTGCCTGACTGGGCTGAAGTCTCGAAGAGCTTCAAGGCCAGGTCCAGGCGGTCATCCTCAGACAGGATGTCATGCTCAATCTCGTGCGACGCAAACATGAACTTGCCAGCCTCTTCCATGCCTCCGAACCGCAGTCGCTTGTCCTCGAGCGACCTTTTGAGGGTTGAAACCTCGAGCGACCGAGACGCGAGCAGACCGACCAGGATGTTAAACGTGTCAGCGTCCGGGGAAGCTTTCCGCCGGAGCATATCGGCGTAGATATCTAGTGCCTTGGAGACGACGTGGGACCTCTCCGAGGGCATGTGGATAGCCGACATGAGCAAAGCATTGTAAGACTCGGCAATGGGCTTAACACCAGCGACCAGCATCGCCTCAAACACGGCAGGTATCTCGGCATAGCGCGATGCCTCGGAGAGCTTTGTCAGATGGTGTGCATAGGTCTGAGACTGTGGGTCGACTGGGGGTGTCGCGGTCCGCACGATGCCAGCTGGTGTTCGAGCGCGAGACACCGGGGTGATCATACGAGATCGGATCTCCTCAAGTCGCTGGTCAGCCAGGGCGGGCGACACTGCTCTGAGGGATTCGGCCTCTTCTTCCAACGCTTCCAGCTCTTTGCGAACCTCAACCTCCTTCTCGAGAGCAGCATCGATCCGGGCCAGGACTGCCTCGTCTTCAGGCGACACAGGTATGCGGGCCTCGTGGCCGGGAGCTACATCGCCTTCGAGCGCAAGAGTCCTCGTATCGGACCCAAGGAGAACGGAAGCCGGTGTAGGGTTCCATTCGATGCGCTTCGGGAACTGGAACTGAATCCACTCGCCGTCTTCTTCACCGGGCTGTTCCGTCGACTGCTGCAGCTGCTCAAAATAGGCGTCCAGCCCGCCATGCTCGACGGGGACATCATGGCGAGGCTCTACCGGCACAGCAACATGCGAGCTGGGGCCCGAGTAGTGAAAGGCACTCTGAAGGCCGAAGTTCGAGACACGGCTGATCCGAGTGCTGTGGCGCCGCGCAAAAGACGGGCGGTTCTGGGGGTTTAGAACATGAGGATGAGTGGCAGCTACGACCGACTGGGCGTAACCAAGAGAGATGGACTTTGTGAATCCCTGACGGATGAAGTTCTGGAACACGGTCGAGTAGACGGAGGGCATTTAGGAGACGCCTGGAGAGGAGAGATTCTACATTATAGAAACGTCATTGTTAGTAAACAGTGTACCAAAGTGCTAACATCTAGCTCCCAAGGAACTCCAGGTCCATGGTGGATATCGATATCACATGAGGAGCTCGTCGACGGCTGGGAGGCCGTCAAGTATGCGCATGGCCCGGGAGAGGGGTGGAAACGAAAGGTACGCGGGAGGCGCACGCGACACGGGCGCGTGCGGAGGGCAAAAAAAAGGAAGCAAAAATGGGATGATGGACTTACAAGAGGGGATTTATGGAAGCGCAATTGCAGGTTCATTTGACGACAGTGAAGTCGTCAAACAAACGCGCGATCTGGATTAGGTTTGGTATTACTGGGTGATTTGGAGTCGAGCAAAAGAAGGGCAAAAGTAGGGAGCGACTGAGGAATTGGAGAGGTTTTGTGGCAGACAGCTTGACAGATTGCGATTTTTTTTTCCCTTTCCTAGAAGGGGGCAGCTGGGCGTTGGGGTAGGTAGCGCGGGTGGACTCGGAACGTCAGTTATTAGTCAGGGCTGGCTCTGCCTCAATAGCAGGCACCTGAAGTACTATAATACCGCGCACGGCTCAAATGCCTAGAAGTTGATGCTTTGCTGCGTGAGGGTTTCTCTGCTCGAGGTTCGCTTTTCTTCCTAGGTCAAGCGTTGATGCTGTGTTCTGTTCCTCGTGTCTTGTTTTTATAAAAAATAGTCAAGCCGTGTCAACCCAAATAATCGAGCGAGGTCGAAGAGAAGTCAAAATGGCTAATGATGTCGACGACATTCTATGAATGCGAACGTTATATGTTGCCCCAATTGACCACCTGGTATCTTCAAAGCCTCCAGGGGTGGCCCTTATCAAACTCTCTCACTGCATTGCACACTGCCACTTGCACGACACCCACCCAAGCTTGAAGCTAGGAAGCTGTGAATGTTTCGTCGCCTGAAGCAGCAGTGTGGGTGTCATGGCGAGGAGCGGTGATTCATCCTGCACACACTTCCTCCTCTTCTCCCGCACCACCTTTCTTTGATCGTCCGCAACATGTGCGTACGTACGCAAGTCTGTCTGCCCCTCCAAGCTTCAAAAAGGCAAGCCAGGCCTCCAGGCAGAGCCAAGATGACGAATGGCAGGAGCCTAGCGGAAGACTCGGACGCGGGCTGAGCGGGGCGTGGCTCCTTCCGCGACGCGCAAAACGAAGACAAACCGGACACACAACGGGGGCGATTTTGTGGGGGGCTAGCCTCCGGCCCCACAATTGGCCATTACCGAACCCTGTCGCAACGCCCAGCTCGTCCCGTGTCCAAGCCGTTCCTAACACATTCTTGTACTCTTCCATACAAAGTCCTACGTAGAGTACTTTGCACACGATAGGACGCAGTCCCAAGCTACGACAGCTCGGGGCAAAGGGAGCTGACCCGTCACCGTCGCGCTGGGATCGCCTGCCGTCGGCTCTTCGTACCTCAGTTTCAAGCGAGATTTCCGTAAATTTCAGATCGTCATGCTCCGCACTAGCCTGGCTCCAAGAAGGAATTGGAAGCCAAGCTTTGACGTCTGGAGGCTTCTAAAAGACGAACCTCAGGGCTCCGTCGCCGTGATCAAATCGGCTTTCATCTGTGCCTGCATCCATTTGTCTTGTTTTGAGCCGAGATTCGCGATGTCAGAGATTCGCGATATCAGGACGTAAACTAAGAGACAAAAGGTTCGAGTCGTTTTTGTCTCGGACGAGTGTGCCATTCATGGCCGAGGGTTGGGACGCACTTTCCTGCATCGTTATCAGATCGTGGTCCCAATGCGGAAAGGTGGTGAACCGAGGAGTCACATGTGCATGGTGGACGAAAATTGGCCGCTGCGAGTCGGGCTGATGTAAAGCCCGGTTTGCCAGCCCAGCCCGGCGGGTGGCCGATCGGTCCGTTACCCACTAACTGCGATACCTCCGTCGCGGTCCCGATAACCACCGATGGTCGAAGGGAGATGCATCTTGAGCCTCAGGAGTCCTCAGGCGAGGCAAGGCCACCCCTTCCTGGGTCTAAGCCTAGCAACCATGCTGCCCTGAACAGGTTAAATGATAGACCTCCCCGGGAAGAGGCTGATGGCGGCTTTTAGTTCCGATATGTCTTCGAATGAGTTCAGCGAGGTGCATCGCCCATCCGACATTCCCGACATGCACTGCTATGGCCAGCGTAACTCCATTGACAGACATGGAATGCACTGCCTCATATCATACTTGCGTGCCCCATCAACTTATAACGTTTAGCTGAACTCTGTTTCCGTGTCGGTGGTGGAGCATTTCGACGGCAAAAACACGTTGCTTCTTAACGGCGTCATCAGTTCGCAGCGCCAGGCGTTGGAATTCTATGTTTCAAAACGAAGAGAGCGGGGAAACGGTCAAAAAAAAAATAGCTGCCTCCATCCAGCGGGAACCAGGAAGGGAAAGCGCCATGGAAGCTGCAGACAGATTCAGGCATTCCATTACTTCACCAGACTCACTCGCATGCGCCGCAAATGGCAAGGTCGAGGCTGGTTGATACTGAGGTTTCGTGGACAAGCGAACAGAAGCTGCCTTCTACGCCGTTTTGTAAGGGCCGTGGAGGAGTTCTGCAAGCAGGACCACCCCTCTTGCCCCTTTCCCAGCTGAGGTGAAGAAGCTTCAGCTTGATTTGCCCCACCACCCCCTGGACTTCTCCAAATCAGGACTCCGCTGCCACCATCGACCCCTCTCGCCTTTCGAAGTCGCACACGACTCAAGCATCCCGGTTCACGTCATTGAAGCTATCACGGTATTGCTTATTTGGTATTGTCCAAGAATTAGGCTATACAAGGAAGAGAGGGCTTGGCTATTGTCTTTTTGGAGGGTCTTTGGTGTTGTCTCATCTCTGCATCCTTTCTGTACAGTTTAGGGAGCTTGGGCTGCAACGATCCCTCGACAGGACGACACAACTGAACCCCGCCTTGTTCGTCTCACAGGGTCTTCGAGCAAGCAAGAAAGCAAGCAAGCATGAGCAGCAGCAAGGACCACGTAACGGCCGTGTCGGCGCCCGGCAAGGTGCTGCTAGCCGGCGGCTATCTTGTGCTCGACCGCGAATACACGGGGCTCGTGTTTGGCCTCAGCGCCCGCATCAACGTCGTTGCCCAGGAGATCCACACCAGCGAAGGCGTCCATCTTACTGAGATTGTTGTCGAAAGCCCCCAGTTTCTCGAGGCACAGTGGCGGTACGGGTACCATCTCGCTGCAGAGGATGGTGGCATAAAGGTCACCCAGCTGCAAATGTAAGTGTCCCAGTATCTGGGCTATCTTGGCGACGAGGTGCAACGAGGTGCTGCAAGATCAGCAGAGAGGAATGTCTTGAGCTGCACTCGAGGGACTACATCTATCTTGCACTGCCTGCCTTGCCCCCTTACTTGTCTAAACTCGTGTGTTGTTCAGCGCTCACGCCATCCCCCCTCACAGTGGTTCCCGCATAGTTGCGAACCCCTTCGTAGAGACGACGCTAAACTACGCGCTCACATACATTGCGCGCGTCGGCAAGCACAAGCCGAACCACAGCGTAAAGTCTGCCCGCCTCACCATCCTCGCCGACAACGACTACTACTCCCAGCCAGCCGGGGCAGGAGCAGGAGCAACGAGCGCTGTGTCGCCGTCCACCTCGTCATCCTCTACGACACCGCCCGCCTCGTCCATCAACGCCATCAACACCAGCCGCTTCGCCCGGTTCCCCACCACGCTAGGCGGCGCGCACAAGACAGGCCTCGGCTCGTCGGCCGCGCTCGTCACGGCCCTCTCGGCCGCGCTGCTCACGCACTACCTGCCCACGCGGCTGTTTGATCTCGGCTCGGCCGAGGGCAAGCAGGTGCTGCACAACCTGGCGCAAGCCGCGCACTGCGCCGCGCAGGGCAAGGTCGGCAGCGGGTTCGACGTGGCGGCGGCCGTGTACGGGTCGTCTCTGTATCGGCGGTTCTCGCCGGGGATCCTGGCGGCGCTGCCCGAGGCGGGCGCGCCGGGCTTCGCGACGCAGCTGGAGCGCGTCGTGCACGGCGACGGCGACGCGCGGTGGGACACGGAGGTGGCCAAGGATGCCGTCAGCCTGCCGGCGGGCGTGGCGGTGCGCATGTGCGACGTTGACTGCGGCAGCCAGACGGTCGGCATGGTCAAGCAGGTGCTGGCGTGGCGGGCACGCGAGCCCGCGGCCGCCAAGCAGCTGTGGGATGAGCTGCAGCAGCGCAACGAGGCGCTGGCGCGCGTGCTGCGCGATGGCCGCACCACCGACCTCGCCGCCGCCCTGCAGGCCGTGCGCGAGCTCGTCCGCGCCATGGGCGCCACCAGCGGCGTCCCCATCGAGCCCGCCAGCCAGACGGAACTGCTCGACGCGCTCACTGCCGAAGTGCCGGGCGTCTACGGCGGCGTTGTCCCCGGCGCCGGCGGCTTCGACGCCATCGCCCTGCTCGTCAAGGACGACGTCGACACGCTGGCCAAGATCGAGGAGTTTGTCGAGGCCTGGAGCAAGTCCAAAGGCAGCCAGGTCAGCTTATTGGGTGTCAAAGGCGAGATGGAAGGCGTGCGCAAGGAGACGCCGGGAGCGTATGAGGGGTGGGTCCGGTGAGGACCGAGTCTTTTCTGCTGCCAGCGTGTCGAGGGGTTTGCTCCTCCGTGAGGGTTCGTTCTCTCTCGCCTCTGTTGAGGTATATTCGAAAGTGGGTTTTGCTGGGACGATGGGGGTCGAGCGGGGAGTCGGGGGGTGTTGATTTGGGTCTCGATTACCAACGGGTCTGCGCATGAAGTCCGAGAAACGTATGTGTCTCACGAAGCGGGATGCAGAGCAGGGAAAAGTTGTAATACGTCTTTATCAAAATATATAAAAGTGTTTACCTTGGAAACGCGTTATTTGATGTTATTCTTGCTACCTCAGCTCCGCGGTAGCCCCCGGGCGAAGTCCGTACTCCGAAAATTATTGAGACAGCAGAGAAATATACAAATCTACAACAAAAAAAGAAATACCTCTTTGAGGTAATTGAATTAGTTAAGAAATCATATTATTGAGCAAGGCTCAACGCCACACCGAGCCCGATATCATGTTTCACATCAGGTTCCTTCGCAATGAGCAACATGACTTGACAGCAGTAGTAGCTCATTCCTCCATCCCATCACTTGCGCGCCAGAAAAAAAAGGGATAAGAAAAGGCCAATGTTAAAATGTTCAGCTAGCTAGCTTTGCCCCTTTTCCCTCCTTTGCGTGTCGCTGCCGAACATAAGTAAATATCCGGTAAATACCGTCTAGTGTTTTGGAGGCAGAGTTGTACATTTCTTTGTATTATTAAAAACATTGTGATATGACGGGAGGGTAATGTAGATGGATAGGTCGTAACCTTCTCCTGATAAAAAAAGGAGTGGAAGAAGGAAGAGAGGCGCTAATTAGAATGAATAAAAAAGGGGGAAGAAAAACAGCAAACGCTTTTTATAGGTAGGTATACAAGACACGCTGAAATAGAGATAGAAGGAAACATTAGAGAGTGATAAAGGGGTAGATAGAACGGCATCATCGTCGTGATACCTCACCACTCCACGCAACTTGTAAACAAGTACAAGCAGCAGCAGCAGCGTACACGTACGCAAACCAAGCATACATACACTCCGTACCTAAATCGCCACACCAACGAGCCTCCCCCAAGCAGAGCGCGAGCTACTGCGCGGCGACAGCGGGCTGACGGGGCTGCCGGGAGCGGCGAGGTCGAGATCGAGATCGAGATCATTGAGGGGGTCTCGCCCAAAACACGACGACGACGACGACGACGACGACGGCGACATGGCAGTAGACGACGCGGGCGAGATGGCAAGAGTAGCGTTGGTGCTAGTGCTGGCGGCGAACAGGGCGCGGCGGGCGCGGTACAGCGAGCGGTTGGAGCAGGCGCGCGAGGATGCTGCCGAGGCCGACGACGTCAACCGCGTCGGCGGGCGGGCTGTTGCTGCTGCTGCTACGGGGCGGGCTATCATTGCTGCCACGGCGGAGAGCGGTTGTTGTGGTGTCCACACCCCCCGCAGGCTGCCGCCGCCGCCGCCGCTGCTGCTGTGGCAGTAGTCCGGGACGTCGGGTGTAGTGCGTAACCGCGGTGATGGTAGGGGTAGGGACAGGGACATGGAGGCCGTGTCGTAGTAGAGCAGGTCTGCGATGCCGAGGCAGCTCGCGGCGGCTTTTTCGCGCATGACGGTGATTCTGTAGGGTGTGGATGTAAGTCTTGTGGGAGTGGAAGCTATTTCGGTTGGAAGACCCAGAGGTCAGGGGCACGTACTCGTTTTCAGTCAGGCCCGGGATGACCGTGTCTTCCTTTCTGAAATTGAACGGCTCAGACTGGTCTTGCAGTCAGTGACGAGATCTTTTCCTGTGCTTCTAGAGGGGAAGCGTACAATCTGCAGCTGGCGCCTGAGGTCCTTTCTGCGGCGAAACGAAACTAGGTCCTGCAAGGACGAGCAAAACCTCTTGAAGTTGGAACAGACGTGCATCGTTGCGACTGGACCAGACATGGTCATTGTTCCGTAAGCGTAGTCGTGTGCAGAGCAGCCAGCTGGCCAGAGCCAACCGCGCCTGCGATGCGATGTGTCTGGATGTGTCGAGATTCTCCAAATCCCAGAGTGTAGCAAGTCGATCGAGAGCCAATCGGCGACTACCGAAGACCTTAAGAAAAATCGGCGAGCATCTAATGCCGTAAAATCCCCAGGTCGATCTCTCGGAGAGTTGTCGGGGACTGGATTTTTCAGGCCGTAGCGGGATAGACACCAAGCCCGGACAGACGGGAAAGGGGTCGGGCTTGCCCCTGGCCCAGAGTCTCGCAGCAGCAGAGAGACAAACGAACGGATGATGTCGCGCAAGGACACGGGACGACCAAGAGGTCGGTAAAAGATGACGCTATCAGAATGATGGGAAATATCCAGCAGGTGTTGGCAACGAAAGCGGACGCCGGAACAAGATGACCAGGAGAGGCAACAAAGGAGTGTCGTCGGGGTTTAGACAGGAGGCACGACGGTCAAAGACGGGCCGTGGCTGTCGAGTATTCCCCGTTGTGCAGGAAAGAGTGTGAGGTCGCCGAACACTAGTCACCGTCCGGCGTCGATCGGGCTCTACAACAAAGCAAGGGCTGAAGAAGTTGGCGGAGGGTGGGCAGCGTCAAAGAAGATATACGCACGCAATCGCAGCATCGAGTTCGCGGGCCCGCCCTGCTGGAACGTATGACCTTGACCAGGAAACGAATAAGGGCTGAAGCTAAGGCGTGTGGGTGGAATGTGGGAGAGATTCCGCGATGCCTCCTGGGCTGCTTCCGCCCCTCCATGGGAAATGAGACATTTGAGGAATGCGAGGCAATCATTTGGGATTTTTCCCCTAGAAAACTAATGAGCCTGGGGCCCTTTATGCATTAAAATGGTATTGTCGCTCGGTTGTCAGACTATCTGCCGCCGAAAACAACGTGTACGCGCCCCGAGTCCCTGAATCCATCCCTTGCAGTGTTTCTCCTTGCGTCGAGCCGCCCCGACCAGCCACGAAAAGGACCTATTTCGGATAATCCTTCAAATGGTAGCTCTTCAGCTTGACGAACTGGTCGAAGCCGTACTTGCTCAGCGTGACGCCTTTTCCGGAATTCTTCCATCCCGTCCAAGCCAGATCCTGTGATGTCTCAGTCAGCAGTCACGGAGAGGTTTCTTTTGTGGAATGACCTACCGGGCTCGGGTAATCGCAACGATTGACGAAGACAGTGCCAGCTTCGATGTGGTCGCAAATCTCAAACCCCTTGTCTGTGTCTTTGGTCCAGACGCTGGCCGTAAGACCGAATTGGCTGTCATTCATCAGAGATATGGCCTCCTGATCGCTCTTAACCTTCATAATCGGAATGACCGGTCCGAATGTCTCCTCAGTCATGACCAACATACTGTGATCAACATTAGTGAGGAGCGTTGGCGGAATAAAGTTTCCTTTGGCGGGCAGATTGCAGAACGACTCGTTAAATGGGGTGGCGTTTGTCGCGCCTGCATCCAACGCCTGTTTGATGTGGGCCTTGATCGTCTCCTTTGCCTTACTTGAGATTACCGGCCCAACATGTGTTTCCTTGTCCATGGGGTCTCCTATTTTGTACCCTTCGAGGACTTTTTGTACAGCGGCAACGAACTTGTCGTGGATGGTATAGTCCACGTAGACGCGCTCTATCGAGCAGCAACTCTGGCCAGAGTTGAAAACGGCGCCGTCGACAATTTCCTCGGCTGCCCATGCAATATCCACGTCTCCTCGGACATAGGCCGAGTCTTTTCCACCAAGCTCAAGTCCGACATTGACGATGTGATCCGAGGCTGCTTTCTGAACGGCCAGTCCAGCGGCGACCGAGCCAGTAAAGCAGATAACTTCAATCCGCGGGTCTTCCACAATCTTCTGGATGGTGGTGGGATCGCCGGAGTGGAAGTACTGTAATACCCCGGCTGGCAAGCCAGCTGCGCTGAAGACCTTGGCAATGCGCTCGACGACAGTGGGGGTCTGGGGCGACGGCTTGAGAATAACGGAGTTGCCGGCCAGCAGTGCCGGTATCAAAGAATTGACGAGGATGAGATAGGGGTACTGGAAAGGTGAGCTGTACGTCCCATAGGGTAGGGGAGCCAGGGAGCGGGGGAGCGGGCGGGGGGTATGGATGTTGACGACTTACGTTCCAGGCGAAGATGATGAGGACCGGTCCGACCGGGACTTTGCGAATAAAGCGCCTGAAGCCGTTCTCGGCCTCTCCATCCGTCTCTTTGAGAGCCCCGTCGCTGATCTTAAGAAGATACTCGGCCCTCTTGACGGCGGTGGCAATCTCTTTGCCGGTATAGGCGATGGGGCGGCCCATTTGCGTTGTCAGCTCCACGGCGAGCTCATCTTGCCATTCGCCGAGCAGTTCCACGGCCTGGCGGACTATGACCTGGCGCTCAACGAGCGGAGTCTGACGCCAGTTGTTGAAGGCCTCAATGGCGACGTCTGGAAGCTTGTTGAGCTCTTTGTCCGACACGCCCTTGCGAATGATGATCGGCTCGCCCGTCGTGGGGGACACGGTCGTGAGAACTTCGGCCGGCATCGTGATCGTGACCGTGGCTTGCGGGTTGCGAGATGGACCAAATCGTGCAATTAAGATATGCAAGGTATCAGAACGCTGATGGTGGTGGCTGGTGTTGGGGGCTATTTGTACCAAGTATTTCGTGAAGATTCCGGCACGGGCACTGGAACGAATCCGCCAGTGGCACTATTATTTATTAGGTTGATGCAACTGGAGTCCTGGAGTCCGTCGCCTCGTTCCCTCCTTCCCCAACCGTCCGGGCAGTTTGCTCGAAAGGCACAGATACCACATTGCCCCTCCTCCGCCTTACAGCTGCTCTCCGTCTTCGGCAGGGCACTACGTCAGACTGATAAGATAAGCCGGTGGAGGAGCACGGCAGGGTCCAGGGTTATCTAGGAACCAAGAGCTGTAACTGAAGATGCGGTTCGCTCGCCCTCCACTCTACGACAGATGCGTTTAGATATTCAAAAATTTGGCTATAGACATTAATGGGAACTATTTTATTATTTTTCAGTTCTTCTTTTCAGTCCATAATCTATAGCTCCGTGATAAGAGTGCGTGATATCTGGCAACCAGCTAGTAATCTTGTAGCAGTGTGGAGCCGCACAGGCCAATCCGCCGCCCCAGAAATTTTATGCGAAGAAGACAAGCATCAATAATTTTGGAGACACTAGGAGAGCAGAACCGTGGCGATACCCCCAATTCAGCATCCAACCGCAGTGTTGTTCCCAGCATGTCGGCCGAAAACCGAAGCCACTTCCTCGATGCTGGCGACAGCGAGGATGACGTGAGCCGAGGCTATGACTCGGACGAAGATCTGCAAAAGGGCGGGCGGAGCGCCAAGCGACGGAGGGTCGAAGACGACGACGACGACGACGAGGGTAGCGACGCAGCAGATTTCAGCGGTGCCGAGTCGGACCAAGACGACGATGCCGGCGCAAAGCTAGGCGACAAAGATAAACCGGCCGGCGGAGAGGAGGAGCAACAAACAGGCAAGGACGGGAAACCCAAAGCGGACGCGAAGAAGAAGAAACTGGAGCTCCCAGGCATCTCGCAGCCTCTCAAGAAGAACCTAGTTTCCACCGAAGCAGGAATCAAGAAGTCGGGCGTGGCCTACATCTCCAGAGTGCCGCCCATGATGAAGCCCGCCAAGCTGCGCTCCCTCCTCGAGCCCTACGGCACAATCAACCGGATCTTCCTCACACCCGAAGACCCCCTCTCACACACGCGCCGTGTGCGCAACGGCGGCAACAAAAAGCGATCCTACACGGAGGGGTGGGTCGAGTTCGTGTCCAAGAAGGACGCCAAGAAGGCGTGTGAGTTCCTGAACGGGAACACCATTGGCGGCAAGAAGGGGTCGTACTACCGCGACGACCTCTGGAACCTCATCTACCTCAAGTCCTTCAAGTGGCGCGACCTGACAGAGTATGCAATCCCCTGTTCTACTCGGTTCTCTTTCGGGGCTGACACATGTTTTTCTGCAGGCAGATCGCGTCCGAGAACGCAGAGCGGTCGAGCAGGATGCGCGCAGAGATTAGCAAGACGACAAAGGAGAACAAGCTGTTCGTGCAGCACGTGGAGAAGGCCAAGATGCTCGACGGCATGCAGACCAAGGCCGCCGCGAAACGGAAGAAGGCCGCCGACGAGGATGGCAGTACGGATGTTGCGGGTGAGGCTGCCGTGTCTAAGACGGACAGCAGGCCGCCGCAGGCGAGTAAACGAACCTTTAAGCAGGTGCCGCTAGCAAAGAAAAGGAAACAGGACGAGCAGCAGCCAGAGCAGGTCCAGAGAGTCCTGAGTAAGATTTTCTGACCTGTCTGCCTGAGCGGATGGAAATTCCGCGAATTTGTCTGGCTTCTTCTGTGTACATAACGAATGGAATGAGTTTCACAGACGCTGTCACCAGGCTTTGATGGCTACTTTGTGTGTACAACTTGTCTCTGTCCAGGTATCAAGCGTAGGCCATGTCTCAACTGCTTTGTAATCAAGAGGACACAACGAGGTTGAGCTGTCGGCATCGCATTAGATGTGTGTATATGTTGCAATGTCCTTGGTCGGCTTTCTCTTCCCAGTTCACCTGTTTTCCCCCGTCAGTTCCGAAAGTCAAACCTCGCCAGTTCCTGGATTCTACTGTTCCGTCGCCAACATGGAGGGATCACTACCTCCATGGAAGGTGTTTGAAGCCGGCCAGAGAGCGCTCAACGAGATCACCCCCGAGGCGGTCATCACCAATCTCGGGGTCTCGCACGAGGAGGCAGCCGAGCTTCAGGGATACATTAAGCGCCTCCTCGACGAAGAAAAAGCCGGGCGCAAGCCGTGCCCGCACTGCAGCATCGAGCAGGTCCTGCTAGACCGGTACCGGGTGGACTGGAAGGGCCTGGAGATTTGGGACAGAGCGCCCTTGCTATTCATCCAGGCGGCCTTGAAGAGGTGCATCGAAGCAGTGGCCCAGGGAGAAAGCCTCGTAGCATTCGCGAGACACTCTTCAACAATCCGCGTCAAACATGATTCCTTTGGATTAGCCCGCGTCAGAGATAGTCCCACGAGTCAGCAGGCGCCACTGCAGCCAAGGATACGCCATGCTCGGGTGGAGGAGGGTGACGATGAGGAAGTGTCGCAGCACTCACGAGGAAAGGAGCACAGCCCGGAGAAAGACCGCCCTCAGAGGCTAGTTACCCGTGAGGCGAACGACCCTTCAGCCACGATAGCGACATCAGTGCCAGTCCGCCAACCCAACTTTGCTTCTGATCAGGTCGACCCACTGCTGTCCTCCACTGGCCACAAAATCTCCCGGGTTCCACCAAACACACCGACTGGAACCCAGCCGCGTTCGAATACCGCGAGACGGCCACATTCTGCACCCGAGCTTTTCAGGCCTAGAGGGACCTGGGCAACACGGGAGTCTCAGCCTTCCCAGAGAAAAACCACAAGGGCCGGCAAAGGCACGAACGAGAACGCCATCTCCCTCGACAACCTGCCGACGGAACCTGAATGCTACCCCTCTCCCGTAACTGATCCGCTGCCGACCGGTTCTTTCGGGGAACGATTTATCCGACACGAACGGGCTCGCGCGGGTTTGTCGTTCCCTGGAACCTACAACCACAGGGCCACGCGATCACTCGGCAATCCGCCGCGGACATTCACGTTCACCCAGTCCGAGCCCGTTCGTGGCGTTTCCAACCACACGGACGACAACAGCTCGTCCGGCGCTACTACCGGGAGTGTGAGCCCCGGGCCCGAGCCCGATGGCGAGCCATACTTTGTCGGCGTGCGCGTCCGGCCCAGGTCCCACACCAGCGCCGTGGTCGAGACCATCCAGCCGCCCTACCAAGCAGGCACTGGCACTGCCCGCGCGAGCGGCTCCCCACGCAGCCAGCGCGGGACATCCCCAACCGTGCCATCCCGCTACCCGCCGTCTGCGTCGAGATCCACCCCTGTCCCCGGCACCGCCCCCGTACCCGGGCCGCCCCAGCGGACCTCGGCCGAAGCGATCAGGGTTAGCCACGCACCACCGCCAACACGACCGAAAGCCCCCTCGACACTCGCAACACACAAACCACCCATCACAGGACCGGACCAGCCATCCCCATTCCTTCCCTCCCGGGCACCCCAACCACCACTACCACCGCCAGCACAGCCCGCCGCTTACAGCGTAGTCCCGCCCAACCACGGCCACCGCACCATCCATCCCCAACACCAGAGCGACAACACGCGCCACTCGCCCAGCACCGGCACACACACCAGCAGCACTAGCGACACCGTGACGACCTACTACGCGGCGGTGAGCCACATTAGCAGCAGAAGCAGCCGTAACAGCAACAAACCCACCAGTGGCAGCAACGGCGCACCGAGATCGCGCTTCGCTGAGGCGCTCGACTCGGCCAACAACAACATAAGACAGAGCAACGCCATGGCATATGCACACGACAACGACGGAGAGAAGTGCGCTGTAGCAGCACGGGAGCAGCCGCGAATGCAGCCACAGCCGCGGACACGGGTAGCGCCTGGGACGCGACTCCCTCCGCCCGGGACGCGGCAGAGAGGGCGCCATGCTGCAGGAACTCCTCCGGAATCCGCGGGCCGCGAGCGCAGGGGGTCGCTGTCGTGTCTGCGGAAGATGGTGTGTGGGTGAGACATTTCAAATGTATGGCCGTGGAAAGTTTCACGGGATTTACTCCGTACACCATGTCAGGGTCAAGATCGTTTTCTATCCCGTTATCAAAGACAAAAGACTAGGTATTTCCTGCTAGCTTTAGTATTGTTCTGGAAGGGCGAGGGATACGTTACATTTTGTGCGTTGTCAATGGAAACTTGTCATCTCTCCTCTTTCCGGCCTTTCTTCTCCCCTTTCTTTCCTGTTGTTTGGGGTTTCGGCGCTCTTAACGTTCGATTTTATCGACGGTTTGCATTTGTTTTTGAGATCTCCTGTTGTTTGGGCAAACCATAGATATCGGACATGGGCCATGACTTGTAGTGTTTGTAGCAATCATCCACAGCCTTGGATACAGTCCTTTATTTTATTTTCCCCTTCCCAGCCTTAGTCCCGTCGCATCGGAAGCGTCATCGTGATCTATCATGAAACCCCAAGGCCCTCTGCGACAACATTAAAAATCAGGTATTGCATCATCCCAGTTCAAGCGGCGGCCTCCTCGCCATCCTGGATATCTAGCTCATCAAAGTCGTCAAGTAATTCGTCCATATTGATCCTGGGCCCAGCGTCCTCGCCTGTCATCTCTGTGTCGGCGATGCTCATGGCGTCGGCGTCCTGGGGTTTAGTCTTCTTCGTATTCTTGTACAGCGCCAGGGCCGCGCGGAGCTCCTCGTCTTCCTCGACGTCACGCAAGAACGTCTCGTAGTCGGCCTCTATCTTCTCCTGGTCCGAGGCCTTGGGCAACAGGTCACCGTCGTCCTTAGCCATGCGCTTGAGCTTCCAGACTCTCTTTCTGTTCTTGCGACGGTTCGGGTAGAATTTCTTGACGAGCACGGCGTCAGGGATTGTCGAACCGTATGCCTTAGACTCTTCGATGGCGTCAAATGTCGCCGAGTTGAAGTTTCCCCCGTCAAGGAGGTACCCCAGGACTGAGTCACCCGGGTAGAGGAGGTTGCCAAGATGCGTCCGCACAAAGTATGTCTTGTCGTTTACGCCCAGATCCGACGCCCGTGCTATCGTCGCCTCTGACAGTAGCCACTTACCCTTGCGAATCCCCGTGGACTCAATGTCCATGACGATGAATTCGACTAGGTCGGGTGTCCCGGCGAGCGGGTGGAATGGCGCGCGCCAGAAGATGTCCGAGTTGACATCGGCGGTTTGGAGGGTGTTGGGGTCGAGGAGGTTCAGCGATGTGCCTATCCGGTGGCAGAGGACGAGGGGGGAGATGTTGCCGATCGACTTTGCAAGCTTGAGCGGCAACGCCACCAGGTCCTCTCTGCAGATGGGAACAATCTCGACCGAGTAGGTAAACTTGTACGACTTGTTGCCCGTGTGCGTATCTGACGAGATCAAATGTCTCGAGTCCCTGATGTTGATCGGCACGACCGACTTCAAGAAGCTTATAAAGGCGTCCGCCTGGTTCTTTTGCGCAAAGAAGAAATCGATGCCGTCCCGCTCCTCCTTGATATTTATCGTGTCCCGATGGGCTTGGTGTTTGAGGATGAGCTGCTCGAGGAACAGGAACGTCCGCTTGTGCTGCACCTTCTGGCGCACCTGGACCACGGCACGCCACGTGTTTGCGGTGTACGACTTGGCGCACTCGCGGCACTGCTGGGAGGCCACGACGTACACGACCTCGAAGCTCTGCTGCATCAACACACCCTCGGAGACCGAGTCCTGGACCGTGATCTTGACGCGGATTCTCCGGGAATGCGGTTCTGTCCAGACGAAGCGTGCGTCTGTGATGCGGACCTTGCCCAGATTTCGCAGCCTCTTGAGGCACAGCGACAGCAGCTCTCGAGATTCCGGGGCCGCGGTGACCCAGGTTGTGGGGGGGCTGAGCCATCGATCGCAGTCGCGGCAGAAGTTGAGGACGCCGTCGCGTGGTATGCCTTTTGAGATGTCGACGGTGGATTTGATGCTGCCGTCCTCTGTCAATTTGCTGATTTCGACCGAGACTCGGGATACAAGCCAACCTACCAGTCGTAGCAAAGCGCGCCGGCAGAAGCAGTGCCATCGATAGGAGCTCCGCAGTTGCAGCAGAGAATGCTGTTGAGCGGTCAAAGTCAGCCAACCTCATCACAGGGCACGTCATGAATGGAAGACGCACGTTGCGCCCGTCTTCGCCGTGCCCGCGAGCGGGGCCATGCTCATGGGGGCGTCGATATCCATGGGAGCGGTTGGCTCGATTATTCGGTTGCGAGTTCTTGGCCGACTGTGGTAATATCGGCGTGTTTGACACGAGTCCTAAGTCGTGGTCCGGGTTCTGGCTTTGTGACTTTTGTCTTCGATACCAAGTCCAGGGTGACGGCAACTGAGGGCGGGGCATGCAATGGCCGAGAATTTTGTGAGCGCAGAAAATTGCCCCGCGGGCGACCGATAACGATCCGGATTGATAAGCGTTCTTATGGATTCGGCGGGGATGCCGGAAGGTGTGGAGTTCTGCCAGCTGCGGGCAGCTGGCAGCATTTGTCATGTCTTGGTCTTGGACGGTTGGATCTGTCATCGGAACTCGTCAAGTGAAACAGGACGACTTATTCAGCTTATGAGAATAATATCCTAACTCTGGTAATCTGGTGCAATGTTGACTTCTGAATCTAGCCAACTTCACAAAATTTGTTTGTGTTTAATTGCCCTCACACAATAATTTCACCAAAGCTTCAATTTCAGGAACACGACCTTGTGTCTCGACTACAGTAACAGACTCAAAGAATGAGAGAATACGATTATGCCACAGATACCCTCGAATCGAACATAAGCTTCTAGTTTTCATGAAATAATCACTCAAGTCTGATACCTCATGGAAATTGCATTTTTTGTATCCACCGAAACTAGGGAAGCGCGCAAACAGATAATAGGAGAAGGTGCTGCCTTTGTCAGGATCCATAAGTGCATACTCAGGAAAAGAACGCTGTCTCAATTATTATTCGACCAGTTACAATGAGATATGATATGGCAGTCAGGCTTTAAAGGTTGAGATAAATGAAGCTCAACTCCTTAGTTGTGGGCCTCGCGATTATTCGTGTGTTGCAAACTACCACGCTCGGCTCATTCCGAAACACTTCCAATCACACCCAACTAGGGCCCTTACCAAGCTACCATGCTGAGCTCTTGCATCCAGTGTCGAAGTCGCTAAATATTTTTTGAATCTGGAACCAACATCCTATCCCGCTGACAGCCCGAGCCGATATGAGCAGTCAGCTCAAGCACAGGCGATCCGGATGCACTGGACAAAAAGGAAGAGAAAATGCCTATTCGTAGCATGCGCAAGCTAGTCCATGTTCCGGTCCTAGTTTGTCACAGATGATAAAGGAAAACAGTCGGACTGTCTTTCTCTAATTCACGCACTAAGCCAAGGGCAGACGAAATTGATACGATATCATCATCACCATGTCACATGCGAGGGCTAGATGGCAGTGAGGCTGGATCTAGAATCACCACAAAGATCGCACACAGACTTGCACAGACACCGTTCGGGTCTAGACTTGAACAGCAACGACTGCCGGCGATGTGGGGAGTTGAGACGGAGGAGAGCCGGGCTGGTGAAAGAATGAAACAAAACATCCATTTATCCAATCAGGGGCCGTGTTGGGGATTTGAGAGTCGCCTAGCCGCAAAAGCCAGCCCCCCAACGCTGCCCGTTTCAGACGTGTCGATCAGATCGCTCAGCGTCCAGAAGGATCCCGGCGCCACACTTTGCCGAGATGAAATAGCCGGAGCAGTCAGGCCGGCTAGACTACGCGTACCTGCCCGACTTGCACTCACCCAGTGCAAAAGGTTCGTGCAGAACAGATCAAGAGATCACCTTTAGTAGGGCTGAGGCGGGACGAGGAGAACCTAGAAACCCCCACCTGCCCAAGGAGGCTGCCGGGGGGTTTGGCAAGCTGCACCTGCCTGCCACCCGCTGCAGATGCAGGAACCCGCGTCTCGGCAACCGTTTCTGTACCACCAACAAAAGCAGCCCCTTTTTCTTTCCTTTTGGGATCTTGGAGATTCTGGTGGTGGTAGTGGTGGGTGAGTGCATCAGCCGCACACCGCACAACAAAGAAGGCCGCGCGGGCAACTCGCGTCCCGCGCCACGGAGCACAATACTAACGACACCTCTCTTATTGCTTTCCCCGCAGCAAGCACAATATCAAGAGCCAATTCTCTCAATTGCGAGTCGACGTTTAGAGGCAGTGATGCCGCGCCCTCTGCTGCCAGTGGTCGCCGAGTCTCCACGCAGAGCCGGGGCAGCCTTCCGCTTGCGGCTCTGTCGTGCGGGCCCCTGTCTTGTCCCTGATGATCACTCGACCACCTCGTGCCATTGACACCTCGCCGACCACCTGCATGGCCATCTTTTACCCGGTGAAACGCGAACCCCCCCTTCCCTGCTTCGATGAGCTAAAGCTTAGCGCCACTCTGATAATCGGCATGTACCGTCTACGTCTGCTGGAGCTGTGATGATGGGTCCGGACAGAGATAGGAGATGGGGTATCATTGCCATCTGCCAATGTCAATGCCGTTTGCCTAGACCGAGCCCAGTATTAATAGGAATGATCTGCCCAGCCATGCCCCGACATGGTTTTCAGATTCCGACTCGGTCGCACCGGTGCTCTGGGTCAGCAGCAGAAGCAGAAGCAGCAGCAGCAGCAGCAGCAGCAGCAGTGGTCCTTGTGTCTGTGACATAGGCCAAGCAAGCACCGCCTTTCAGTGACTGCCTCTCATTGTTCCGCTCGTACGAGTTTGCCAGCCAGGTTGCGTACCCATAATTGCGGCACCTCACAGTCTTACTCGCCAAGATGCGCTGGGCTCACGCACTTCCCGCCTTGGCTTCGGCCCTTCCTACGGCCCTCGGCGCCGCTAACCTCAAGTTCCTCCACCCCGAGCTGGCCGCCAAGCAGTTCGCTGCGAGGGAGAACGCCGCTGCCGCCAAGCCACCGCCCGTCGAGAAGCGGCAGCAGACACAACCTCTCTTTCTCACCGACCAGACCAAGAGTACAGTGCCCCCCGCTTTTCTTGAACTAGGGTCTCGGGAACTAGGGTCTCGGGAACTATGGTCTCGGGAACTAACCACACTGTGCGGCCAGAATTCGCGGTCAACGGCACGGGCCTTCCCGAGGTCAACTTCGACGTGGGCGAGTCGTACGCGGGGCTGCTGCCCATTGAGGGCAATGACACGAGCAACGAGCTGTTCTTCTGGTTCTTCCCGTCGACGAACCCCGTGGCGCAGAAGAAGAAGGAGATCCTGATCTGGCTGACGGGCGGGCCGGGCTGCTCGTCGGTCGGCGAGCTGCTGCAGGAGAACGGGCCGGTGCTGTGGCAGCCGGGCGTGTTCGCGCCCATCGCCAACAAGTGGAGCTGGCACCACCTGACCAATGTCGTCTGGGTTGACCAGCCGATCGGGTCGGGCTTCTCGCACGGCGAGGTGACGGCGCGCAACGAGCAGGACGTGGCGCGCCAGTTCCTAGGGTTCTGGAAGAACTTCGTCGACGCCTTCGCCCTGCAGGGCTACACCGTCTACGTCACGGGGTCGTCGTACAGCGGCATGTACACGCCGTACATCTCGAGCGCCATGCTGGACCAGAACGACACAGCCTACTACAACCTGTCGGGCATGATGATCTTCGACGGGCTCTTCTCCAAGCAGGCGCTGGCCACGGATATTCCCGTGGCGTCCTTCGTCAACCAGTGGACCGACGTGTTCGCCTTCAACGACAGCTTCACCCAGGGCCTGCAGGCCGCCGCCCGCCAGTGCGGTTACATGGACTATCTGGAGAAGTACCTCGTGTTCCCGGCGGCGGGCCAGCAGCCGGCGAGCCTGCCGGGGCAGCAGCCCGACGACCTCAACGAGACGCCGGGTTGCGGCCTGTTCATCGACGTCTACTTCGCGTCCATGGAGCTCAACCCGTGTTTCAGCGTGTACGAGATCGCCGACCGCTGCCCGCTGGTGTTCGACCCGCTGGGCTTCAGCGTCGGCACCGACTACATGCCAGTGGGGTCGGGCCCCGTGTACTTTGACCGGGCCGACGTCAAGGCGGCGATCCACGCGCTGCCGAACCAGACGTGGGAGTTCTGCGCGTCGCAGCCCGTGTTCGTCAACGGGACCGACGAGTCCGTCAACGCGGGGCCCGGCAGCCAGCCCGTCATCCCGCACGTCGTCGACCGCACGCAGAATGTGCTCATCGGGCACGGCAGCCAGGACTTTGTGCTCATCGCCGACGGCACGCTGCTGGCTATCCAGAACATGACGTGGGGCGGCCAGCTGGGGTTCCAGCAGAGGCCCGCCGGGCCGCTGTACGTGCCGTACCACGCCAACGACAACTTCGAGACTATCACCGGCGCCGGCGTCATCGGGACCGCACACACGGAGCGCGGCCTGACGTACTTTGGCGTGGCCCCCTCCGGGCACTTTTTGACCATGGACCAGCCCGCCGTGTCGTTCCGCGGCCTCGAGATCCTGCTCGGCCGCATCGACAATTTTCAGTCCACGCAGCCGTTCACCATCGAGATTGTCAACGCCACCGTCCAGCCGAGCGTCGCTCTCGGCAACGGGACCGTGCTCGCCGGGCTCGTCGACCCCGGCCAGGTCGTCGCCATCAACGGCAACGGCACGCTTGTTACTACGGGCGAGTCCAGCACCCAGGGTGTCAGTGCAGTCCCCACGTCGGCGGCTGCCGCGGGGCGCGGGAGCGTCGTCGGCAAACTGGCTGCTTCGCTCCTGTGCGCGCTGGCCGTGGGCGTCGCGGCGCTGCTTTAGTGGGTAATGGGATTGCTGCAATGGTTGGGCTAGGGGTTAAGGCACGTGGGATTTGGCGTTTGTAAGAGGGACCGGGGATTGGGACATAGGGTACACTCGGAATCTTTGGGGCTGTTCGCTTTTGTTTTCGTGTTTGCTTCATAGGATCAAGTAATAATAGTCTCGCAAGAGTGTTCGAAAAGCTTTGTACGAGTAGCTCGTTTAGGGTGGGAACATGAGGAGGTGGGCGTTGGAAGGAATTTGGTCAAATTTGAAGTAATAAGTAGGGGTTTAAACAGAGCTTGAAGTTTAACATTCGAGGATTGCGGTGTTGTGTGTTGTGAGTGGGGAGGATCGAATTTCGGGGTTGAAAATTATGGGAAACTAATTCGCATTTGATCTGTAGAAGTTACACGTCAATAAGGTTGGAGAGGAAGGTGCAATCTCTTGGCGTAGCTCGGTGTGATCACAGTAGACTTGTTTTCCAAGGGTTAGGGCTGGTGGCTTCGCTTCGAACCCCTGCAGAAGGCCGGCTTTTTCTGGGCATCATCCGAACCCCGTCCGTCCCGTCGTTACCCGTCCTCAAAACTCCGCTGCAGAAACCATCACAGGATGCCTCTGCACATATAAAAAACCCTCAATACTCGCCTGCGCTGGCCGCTGCCATGGCCCGCCTATCCACTCGTTTCTCTGCGCGCCCGCCCTGACTCACGACACGCTGTCTGCGAGACATTTGCTCGTTCATTCCTCTCTCGACAAGCCCGGCCCTATTCCTGTTCCCCATCTCTAAACCAAGCCTGCCAACGGGCCACCACGATGCAGCCCCTGCTGCCGTTGCGAAACGCCGTCCGCCCCGCCCTCACCGGCTCGCGTGCCCTCGGACTGGAGAATCCTCTCCTTTCGTCGTCACCTGTCCGACAGCCCAGCCAATCCCCTCTCTCCCTATCCACCGCCGCCGCAAACCTGCCATCGTCTCGGCGCACCATGGCCTGCCGCTCGACCTCGCCCTCGTCCTCCTCGGCCGTCGAGAAGATCCCGTCGACGTCGATCCGCATTCTGCGCAGCGTCGAGGCAGTGCGGCGGTGGCGGCGGCCGCACACGCTGGACCGGCGCACGGTGGGCTTCGTGCCGACCATGGGTGCGCTACACGAGGGGCACGTGTCGCTGATCCGGGCGGCGGCGCGCGAGAACCACCACGTCATCGTCAGCGTCTACGTTAACCCGGCCCAGTTCGGCGTCGCCGAGGACCTTGGCTCGTACCCCGTGACGTGGGCCGCCGACAGTGCCGTGCTGGCCCGCCTCGACCGCGAGCTCGCCTCCGACGGCGCCGGCTTCCTCGCCGCCGGCGTCAGCGCCGTCTTCACCCCCTCCACCGCCGACATGTACCCCGCCGGCTTCCCGGGCCAGGCCCCCGACAGCCCCGGCAGCTTTGTTACCCTCACCCCCATCTCCAGCGTGCTCGAGGGCGCCTCGCGCCCCACCTTCTTCCGCGGCGTCGCCACCGTCTGCATGAAGCTCTTCAACATTGTCCAGCCCGACCGCGTCTACTTTGGCCAGAAGGACGTCCAGCAGACCGTCGTCATCCGCGCCATGGTCCGCGACTTCATGCTGCCCACCGCCGTCGTCGTTGGCCCCACCGTCCGCGCCCCCGACGGCCTCGCCCTGAGCTCGCGCAACGTCTACCTGGGCGCCCGCCGCCGCGCAGTCGCCCCCGTGCTGCACGATGCCCTGCGCGCCGCCGAGACGGCCTACTCGTCCGGCGCCGGGGCCCGCGACCGCGACGCCATCCTTGGCGCCGCCCGCAGCCTTGCCGACGCCGTGCTGGCCGACCAGATGGCCCTTGCCCCGGCCCAGCGCGTCCGCTTCGAGATCGACTACCTGTCTCTGTCTGACCCGGAAACCATGCAGGAACTCGCACAGGTCGACCCCGCCCGCGGCGCCATCCTTAGTGGCGCTATCCGCATTCTCCCCGTCGAGGACCCCCAGCCCGATGAGGACCGCGGCCACAGCGACGGGCCCCTCGTCCGCCTCATCGATAACATCATCATCTCGCCCGCCGACACGGCTGCCGCGTAGCCCAGCGACGGCGCATTGTTGACGTCCTTAAGGTCCATTACAAAATCTTCGTTGTGTTTTCTCCAATTCAGTTTTACTTTTGGCTTCGGCTTTAGCTTTGGCTTGGATTTACTCGCATGGGCATGGATCCGGCGCATCGGTTAGCAGGCAGGCATTCATTCACGCAGCTGGCAGGCACTTTTGTTTTGCACCTTTTTGGCATGCAGGTATCAGTTCATTTGTAGAGGGAAAAGAAATTCGCACAACGCGCGCGGTGAATTCACACTGCTCTGGCAGAGGTAGCTACCTAGGTGAGAACGGGGATATGTTTGTTTGTGCTTTCAATTCTACGCTGCGAAGCTTTCATGGTTTCTATGGACTTGGTACAGCAGTATGTTGGCCGCGTCCAACTAACTAGGTACCTACTGTATCTCCATCTGTTTGTTTCGCTATATGTTTCTGCGCTCTGCGCCGGCCGATGTAATTCCATCCATGTTCTCTGCCTTGGGGTGGTTCGTCTGTCTGATGGTACAATGGGTCTCGTGCTTTTTTTTTTCTTTTTTTCTTTTCTTCTTTTCTAAAAAAAGTGGGTTATTGGGCTGTTGGGTTGTTTAAGGCAGTTTACTGGGTTGTATAAAAGAAAGGGGGTTCTCGGGTTGGTTGGTAGGTAGGTAGGTAGGTTGGTAGGTAGGTAGGTAGGTAGGTAGGTAGGTAGGTATCTACCGAATGTGCGGATGGGAGAGAGAGAGAGGGAGAGGGAGGGAGAGAGAGGGAGAGAGAGATTACGATGATAATGATGGTGGCGATGATGGCGACTACTTTACGAATGCGCAAGACCCCGATCGTCGGCAGACCCGAGCTCGGACGCATTGGGGCTGGTGTCCGCCGCCCGGCGCTGCAGCTCGCCCGACTCGTCCGAGCCCGCGCCAGTATCCCTCCGCGACACGGTGCCGGGCTGCTCGTCGCCGTGGTCGTGGCCGTCGTCTCTGTCCTCGAGCGCGTCCTTGGCAACCTAGGTGCCGGCAGGGCTGGCCCTTGGCGATTTCTTGGATGACGATAACCCAAAGGGGTTGGAGAAGCCGCCGAAGCGGCCGCCTCTCGGATCAGGGCTTGGCGATCGCCTTTCATGGCCAGCAACGTCGTGCTCAACGTGGCCTGAGTCTCTATCCTCGAGCGCGTCCTTGGCAACCTCGGTGCCGGCAGGGCTGGCCCTTGGCGATTTCTTGGATGACGATAACCCAAAGGGGTTGGAGAAACCGCCGAAGCGGCCGCCTCTCGGATCAGGGCTTGGCGATCGCCTTTCATAGCCAGCGACGTCGTGTTCAACGTGGTCTGCATCTCGGCGCGTGGCAGCCTTCACTATAGCTTTGATCCCTACTCCAAAGGGGCCAAAGAAGGGGCCGAAGCCTCTTGCAGGGTTCGGCGATCGCTTCTCAAGGCCATCATCCGTATTAGACCCGGTGCCGTGCTCGACGTGCTTTCCGTTCCTCTTTTGGAAGGCGTCTTTTATGGCCGCGGTGCCTCCTCTAAAGGGGCCAGAGAAGGTTCTCGGACTCAGGCTCGTCGCTCCTCTTTCAGGGACAGCGATCGGGGCAGCTAGGGCGGTTGATACGAGGAGAATCAGAAGAACTAGTTTGCCCATGTTGCTTTACTTAGTTTCCGTTCAGGGGGCAGTCCGCGCGTTCTAAATGGCCGTCTAGGACCCGGCGTCTGCACTAAGGCTTACTATCGATGGCGTACTGAAATGAACGGTGCGGTTGACAAGGACGTGTCAACTACAGAGAGATAAAAATAAAATAAAAGGCCGAAACAGCTCAAAATGGTGGTAAATACGGGAAATAATGCGAGAGCTTGTTGCAGACCGAGAAAAACAAAAGCCAGCTAACACAACAGGAAAAGGGGCGGCGATTTATATATCCATCAAACATCGTCAAGAACCTACCTACCTACCTACCTACCTACCTATCGACAACCGGAATATCATCTAAACCTAGACAAGCAACTCGTAAGTCCAGGCTGGCACGAGAGCAGCTATCATAATACTTATGGAACTTGGCCGGCGGGGGGAGACCCGGCCCGGACCCGGGTCTGCTGGGCTGCTGGGCCGCGCGGGCTCTGCTGAAGAGAGCAGCCGCAGCCGCTACTAAGCTTATATCTGGCGCCGCCAAGCATGGGATGAGAAACACTGGGAGTAGGAGAAAATTATCGTCAGCGGAATGTATCTGCTTACCGGGTGCCGGGCGGCCAGCCGGTCGACCTAGTAACTTATTACTTTTCTAGGAAGGGGCCAGACCAATGCCCCCTTCGCCCACAAGGGACAAAGATAGACCTGATCGGGCTGTTCCTGTTTGCCCACATTACATAGGTATAGACGTAGTGCTCTTTGCTGAATTACTTCCCCGACATTTTGGTGATAGATGTAACCTTGAAAGTCGCTCCCAGAGTGACGAAACAAAAAAAAACTCCTCCGACACACAGTAAAAAAGTCACAAAGACAGAAAGAAACAGGCAAACTTGGGAAATATTAAAGTCTTCCTCGGCACATCGCAAAATTGCTACTAATTATTGCCCTTTCCTACATCTCGTGTCTCTCTTCTCCCCTCATCGAACACCATAACCATAGACAACGACGACAAAGTCGATGCGTCTCCCGTCCCAAATAAAACACCCTAAACAGCAATGACAAAGTCGATGCAGCTCTCGTAAGTCTGCTTGGCCGCCGTGCCGAACCAGAACCACTGCAGCACGCACTCGCCCGCAGTGAGGCAGCTGTTCCCGAGGCCGGCGGCGGGGATGGTGACGCTAAAGGCTGTATTGTTGGCCGGCAGCACGGCGAGCTTCTCGTCGGCGTAGCTGTCAAAGACGATGAGCGGCTGGCCGAGCACCGTGTTGGTGGCCGTCTGCACGATGGACACGTTGGCGGGCCCTTCGTGCGGGATCGGCAGGATGGCCGTCAGCGCGATTACCTGCCCCGGGGTGAACTGCTGCACCAGGTTCACGTTGTCCGCGAAAACGGCGCCGCGGCAGAGGTTGAGCTGGCCTGTGTTTGGATGGGTCAGCGGACATGTTCTCACTGCTTTCTCCAGCATACGCACACCACCCTCTGGAGAGGACGATGGACTTACAGCTAGCGAGAGGGCTCGCGACGCTTTCCAGCGGAAGCGTGCCCTCGGCCAGGATGCTGTTCACGGCAGCCTGGCCACACGCCTTGACCATGGCGGCACCGGGCAGGCGCGCCGGCGGCGAGGTGATGTTGCCGTGCGCCGACGCAGTCGCAACCAGCGCGGCCGCCGCCAACATTATCCACGATTTGCCCATTTTCCACCGGGGAACAAGATCTGGTCAAGGAAGGAATCGGGTTGGTGACCGAGAAGTAAAAACAACGAGCGACCGGCACTCACGAAAGCAAGAAAAGAAGTCTAGAGGCGAAAAATAAAAAAAATTATCCAGTAATGCAAACTTTCACTCGAACGGGGACGTAAACGGGGGGCCAAGGTTCTCTATTATCCCACCGGCCTCTCAGTCGCATCCACATATCTAAAGCAGCCTACTGTCTCGCGCCCCATGAGAGACGCCTAGTGAAAAAATGCATGAGGGAAAATCTCTGCGTTCTTCGCCCGGCGACGGTTAATATGGCATCGCGAAACGTTCCAGGTCGGAGATGCTTGGCTGCTTGGCCCAACGGCTGACGCATTTGCGGTTTGGGGGATTAGCGCCCAGGGTTAGCGCCATCGCTGCTCTGAAAAGCGCTGACAATGGGCCACAAAACCCCCCCAATTGGCTCCTGTGCCCTGATTGTTGACACATGGCGAGCGGATCGGCCACAGGCCTCGAGGTATGATCTCTAGATCTCATGCCAAGTCCCCACGTCCAAAGATCGCTTGCTTGGCTCGGCAAGCCGATCCGGGCACTGACAAGTGTCAAGTTCTCGCCTAGCCTTCCCTGATACCATGGTGTCGAGGCCATTGACCCGTCCCAGCCAGGAGAAGGGGGGCGATAGAACTATCTACCGCACAAGATGCAAATGCGGCGCCGCGTCCTCTCCACGTTCGCTAGGTTTGGTCTGGCGCTCGCACGAACTAACTGAAGATGGTAATACAACGAAATGCTAATTGCAGAGACAGACAGGTATAACCGAGACTCTGCTGGACTGGATTCGTTAAAATGGACGCGTGTCTGCTCTGCGTGTTCGAGCGGCGTCGCAAAACTTGGCAGTCAAGTTAGACAATTCGAGGAGGCCTCAAAAAGAGCAGGATGATTTTTGGTTGCGCTTCTCGTTGAATCGCCTTTCACAGCTTCTTTGAGAAATGGACTCTAAACTTTTTGTTTGCGCGATCTGCCGACCTAAACTGGAACTGATCGCCGTGGATCTCGAATACCATATTCTGCGGGCGATCCGTCTCATGCTGCTCGGGCGTGGTGGCGGCGGCGCCATCGGCATCCTCCGCGCCCGGGTCTCTGCTGCCGCTTCGTGCGTTCACAGCGGGCACCTCGAACCGGAACACGGTGCCCTCCTTGGGTACGAGCTTGAGCGTGTTCTTCTTGGTGACGATCTCGAAGGCAAACTTGGAGTCCTTGACGACGATGCCCTTGATGCCGACGCGGCTGACGCAGCCGCTGCGCACGACCTCGACGCCGGCGCCGTGGTAGTCGGCGCTGGTCAGCTTGGCCGCCGCGCCCTCGCCGCCCGTGTAGATTTCGCCGCCCAGGATCTCGCGGATGTAGCCCAGCCACAGGTTGTGCAGCGGCTCGAACAGGGCGTACTTCTGGCCCTCGCGGGGCACGTCGTAGAGGCCGAGCTTGCGGCGCTGGGCCGCCGACAGCGGCTTCGGCTTGAGCGCCTTCTTGCGCTGCTGCTTCTTCTTCTCGCGCTCACGCTGCCGTGCCGCGCGCGCGTCTGAGGGCGGCGGGGATGACGGCGTGAGGAAGAGCGGCCGGTGCTGGATCTTTTCCGTGAAGATTCGGTTTGCCTCGTCTGGCGTGTGCGCTCGCGCCAGCAGTGCAGCCGCAACTGACTGCTCCTTTTTCCCCTTGGCTTCCATGTCGAGTGAGTAATCGATGTGCACTTGCCAAGTTGGGGTTACTGCGCATCTCTCGGTCGCAAATTTGAGGGATTGGGATTTCGTGATAACTTTTTTCGTTTTCCTTTTGGATTTGGATTTGGATTTGGATTTAAGTCTTGCGCGGATTTAATTCGGCTGGCTGCACCCGCTGGGATGCCAGCAGCTTGGGCGCCACAGCGCTTTTCTGGGCTCTTCCCCGCGCTGCCATCCCCAGGCTCTCTCCACTGCCCGACCCCTGTCCCCTAGGCCTGCCGCATGGCTGCCCCAGGTAATTGGGGGCTGTCATTGGCCTGTAGCTCCTGAGGCATGGCCTGGGAACATCGGAAAGTATCGCCTTAACGAGGTGTGACCAGCGGCTCTTCGATCACAAGCTTGTGGTCGGCCCAGGCCTGCATCACGCGCTAAGGCAGACTTCAACGCCGTCGCTTGAAGATGAAGTCATGACAGCCTCTCCCAGGTCCCTCTAAAGCCACAGCACACGGCATCGAACAGTGCAGCGCAACGCGTCCGTCCTTCTCTACATACGAGACTCTCAGCGCCAATCGAGAACTGGACGTGGCTGACAATCTTGGGAGGACGGACGACGAATGCCGCCGCCCAAGAAGCCATCGCCCACACCACCGCCGCCTGCCATGGCCGACGGCGGAGACTCGGCGCCCGACTTGCGCATCCAGGGCGACAGCATTACGCTTCAGCCCAGTGGGTTTGTGGCGCCGCTAGATGCCGTCCGCGACGGAGAGAAGGAGGAGGCACTGATGAAGCACATGGCCCGTTTTCGGTCCGAACCGTTACAGTACGTTCGATCCCATGCTCTTCCTGCCCGCCATCGTCATCCGGAGTCGCGCCCTTCTTCGGCCCGCTCCGTGGTTTCTGTCTCCTGGCTTCCGCGCCGCCCTGCCTCCCGCTGTATCTGTCTTGTCATGCATGCCTCTCCCGAGCCGGGCGCCCCCCCCTCAGCCATCTCGTTTGTCCCCTCGACTGACCCGACATGGTCCAGGTTCCTCCGCGAAGTCTCCCTTTATGTGTCAGGCACCGGCTGGCGCGCCTACGACGATGTCATCGGCCAGCCTATCTTCTACTCGGGCTTTTCGGAGCACATGAAGTCCCTCGTCATGTCGGCCGCGCTTCTCCAGACAAAGATATCCCAGCTGGCCGACATGCGCGTGGCCGTGGAGGAGAAGGAAGGCTTGCTCAACAAGCACGACAAGGACTTCCAGACGAAGCGCGCTCGCCGCCGCGCCGTCCTAGTCCAGAGCCTCCAGGAGGTTGCCGAGAATCTCACGGACAACATGATCTGCAAGTTCGAGAGCAAGACCTTCATCCGAGGCACCTACTACGTGGTAACACAGCTGCTCTTGAGGGCGTACCACCAGGGCATCCATGTGTCGAGCGAGGAGGTGTTGCGTCTCCGGAGTGTGGCCGAGGAGGCGGCGAGAAAGAAGCAGAGCATCATTTTCCTGCCATGCCATCGGTCACACGTCGACTATGTCTCGTTGCAGCTTCTCTGCTACCGCCTGGGCCTTGCGCTTCCGGTTGTGGTTGCCGGAGACAACCTGAATTTCCCAATCGTTGGGAACATTTTACAACACGCTGGTAAGTCTTCTCGGGAGCCTCTCTATTCTGTCCTGGCCGCGGCAGCCGCTTACGCGTAATCCAAGGCGCCATGTACATCCGCCGGTCGTTTGGGGATGACCAGCTCTACACAACTCTAGTGCAGGCTTACATAGACGCACTGTTACAGGGCGGCTACAACTTGGAGTGTTTCATCGAAGGTGGGCGGTCACGGACGGGGAAGCTGCTGCCGCCCAAGTTCGGCATCCTCAGCTTTGTCATCGACAGCCTCCTCTCCGGCCGCATCGAAGATGCGGTAATCTGCCCGGTGAGCACTCAGTACGACAAGGTCGTCGAGACCGAAGGCTACGTCACCGAGCTGCTTGGGGTCCCGAAGAAGAAGGAGAATCTGGCCGACTTTTTGTCTGGAGGCTCGAGCATGCTTTCACTCAGGCTGGGGAGGGTCGACGTGCGTTTCCACGAGCCGTGGAGTCTCAGGGGGTTCATCGATGAGCAGATCGCCCGACTCTCCAAGGTGCCGTTGGCGATCAACATCGACTGGAAGGACACCAAGAATGCCCTGGTTCGCCAGAAGCTGCTCCGGGTCCTCGGCTACAAGGTGCTGGCCGACATCAACGACGTCTCGGTAGTGATGCCCACCGCCCTGATAGGGACTGTACTCCTTACCCTCCGAGGCCGAGGTGTCGGGAGGACAGAGCTGATTCGCCGCGTCGAGTGGTTGACGGATCGAGTCCGGGCGAAAGGGGGACGGGTGGCTCATTTCGGCAACGCGCCCCTGGCTGAAGTCGTCGAGCGCGGGCTGGAGGTTCTAGGGAAAGACCTGGTCGGCGTTGTTGACGGGCTCGCAGAGCCCACGTATTACGCTGTCGACCGCTTCCAGCTGTCGTTTTACCGGAACATGACCATCCACCTTTTCATCTCTGAAGCGCTTGTCGCGGCGGCCCTCTACACCCGCGTCAAACAGGGCGGCGGGCCCTCTAACCAGGATATCCCGTTCAAAGACCTCCACGACCAGGTCTTGTTCCTCTCATCACTCTTCCGCGGCGAGTTCATATACTCTGGCGAGGGCCTGGCCGTGAACTTGGAAAAGACACTGGCTGGCTTGGAGGCAGATAGTGTGATTCTCATCCAACGCGATGAAGAAGGCAACATTACAAAGGTAGGCCTCTCGGACGCTGAAAGGGCCGCCGGGCGAGAAAACTACGACTTCTACTGCTTCCTGATCTGGCCATTCATCGAGGCCAGCTGGCTGGCGGCGGTGTCGCTCATGGGCTTGAGCCCGCCTCTGGGCCAGAAAGAGGATATCTGGATCCAGCTGTCCAAGGCCCAAGACAGCGCGCAACTGGTAAGTGCTTAGCCGTAATATCTCTGTCGACACGTTACGAAGTCCTCGCTAACACGGATTTTGCATAGCTCGGCAAGACGCTCTACCACCAGGGCGACCTCAGCTACTTCGAGGCCGTCAACAAGGAGACGCTCAAGAACTCGTTCCAGCGCTTCCAGGAAGAGGGCATCATCCAGGTGGTCAAGTCGAAAGACGCCAAGATCCCTCCGCGCCTGCGGCTCGCGCCCGAGTGGCGGCCGGCTCGCGACGACATGACGGGCAACCTAATCGCGTCGGGCCGCCTGTGGGACTTCACCGAGAAGATCGCGTCTAGCCGCCGCGAGGGCAAGAACCGCCGCGACGGCGCCACCGTCAGCACCCGCGTCGTGCGTCTCACCGACGACCTCGGCCGCAACCTCTTCGAGGACGCCGTCAAGAAGCCCGACACTAAGGGCAAGGGCAAGGGCAAGGGCAAGGGCAAGGGCAAGGGCAAGGGCGTCTCGGCCCCGCCCACGCTCAGCCGCGAGGAGGCCAGGAGCCTGGACAGGACGGTCAGCGAGCAGAAGCGACGCCGCACGTTTGAGAATAGGGCGCATCTGTAGAAGAAGACTCGGTTTCTCGTATTACGAGGCGTTGGAGTTGCATTGGACTAGGCCTAGAGGTAGACAGAACTAAGGAGTCGGAAGAGAAGAAGAGCGTGTACATATGGAATGCGTACATATATATAGCCATTGAGTATACACCATAGACTATGGGACAGCGCGAGAATTTCCTCGCATCACTTCAGATGAATGGTTTTGTTCAGTCTGAACGGTATGAACGGATCAGGACCCAGCTTTCGGCATCGGTAAAACTGCCATGACACAATCCACTCCTTTTCGAAGCCTAGTTATCGAAAGACAACTTGGTTTCTTTTCTCTCTAGGCCCATCTTACTACCAATTTTAGACTCGAAACATTGTGTTCTTATTTACTTAAACTTTTGGATGACAAGGAAGTTTTACTAATGCTGAATGTTGAGTCCTTAGTGGGGGAGGTTCCTCTAAGTGTAGTGCAAAAAAATTAAGGACAGGCAACGAACCATCTCCAGTAGGCTAACTTGGGCGGGTGGCAGGCAGCGTGTAATCACGGCTTCTTACGTTATTTTTATTCACGTTATTTTTATTCGCGTTCCATTTGACGCTATAAATAGTTAGGCAGCTAGAATATGTCCCACAGGCTGACCTTGCCGTCCTTGCTGCCGGCGGCAAGCCAGTGCGCCGTTTTTGCTTGGCGGATGCGCGTATCGCGAACCGTCAGCGCGACGAGCTTGGGCACGAGCGCACCACTGCTTCTCCCGCCGCCCTGCACCTGTGCTTGCATCTCCCTAGAGCTGTTGTCAGGATTAGCGGGCGCGCGAGGAGGCGTGGGGGTCTCGGTGATCTCGGCTTCCTTGTCTCCGTCTCCGCCTCCCGCCCCTGGCTCGATTTCGGCAAAGGCGGCGGCGTAGCAACCCGTCTGATGCCACTTGAGCACGGCGAGCTCCTTCAGCGTCTTGGCCGAGTACACGCGAATCTTGGCGTCCCAGCCGGCAGTGGCAAACACGCGCCCGTCAGACCGCACCCTCAGACTCTGCTGGCCCGAGTGCTTGGTGTTGGAAACCTTCAGCGGCGCAGCTGCGACATAGGCCTGTGTTTGTTGAAGCTGGGCCGCAGTGTCGCCGGCGGCGGGCACCGGAGCGGCCCGAGCTTCCTGTGCTAGCGCTGCCGAGAGATCTTCGCTATTGTTTACTGCTGCTGCTGCTGCTGCTGTGCCTTGCTTGTTATCGTTGCTAGCGCCTTGCATGGTCGCGGCGGCACTCGTACCGTGGCTAACCGGAGCTGGGTCCGGCAGTGGATGTTTGGCAATCACTGAGTCCGCGCTCGATGTCAGGAAGTAGTCTCGGCCGGGGGAGATATCCAGGGACAGAACAGGCTGCGAGTGGCTCTTTGCCTGGTACTTGGGCGTCCAGCGGCGGAGACTGCCGTCAAACTGGGCTACAATCGCCACGCCGTTCTCGTAGCCGGCAACCAGAGTCAGACTCTCGCCCTGGAAGTAGAGGGCCAAGGCCATGACCATGCCGTTTTTGTCGCCCAGTCTTACCGTGTGGCGCCGGCTCTGGGAGGGCAAGTGGAAAATGTCAATCTTGTTCGCGGCGTTAGCTGTGGCGCCTATGACCAGGCTAGACTGATGTGAGGAGGAAACGAAAGTCAGCTCACAGCTTCAGATGCAAGCGTGTTGGGGACTGCAATCAGTATTTCGGGACGTTCAGAACTGTCGGGGCCCGGCCGAGGCGAGGCGGGGCAATGGGCAAAAGAGCAGAAGTTCATGGTGTTGACCTCGAGCATGTGCAGGATCCATGGCTGTGGCCGAGGTTCCGGAGACGAGCCCAGCGGCAGGCAAGTGCTCAACCGAGGCTCGTCATCGTCAGCGAGCTTCCATGCGATAAGCTTGTTGTCCCTTCCATGTCTATAATGGCATGGATAAAAGGTCGGGTCTCAGTATCTCGGTGATGGCTTCGCGGCACAGCGAAGTGGGAGGGCGGCGCAGAACACAGCGTCTAGGAAATAAGTATACAACGTACGTTATGACTGAGTCAGCACCCCAGCCCGCGACTCCGAGTATTCCACCAGCGTGTGCTTGCCAGACAGCGCGGGGTCTCATGATGGTGAGATCCCAGACGACGACGAAGCCCTCGGCATCAGCCGTGAGGAGGCGCTCATTGGCGCGCACAAAGGCTGCGGCGTGGACTTGGGCCTTGTGTCCCCGCAGGATCGACTTTGGCTGCGCCGGCCGCGCGTCAGTCGCCATCGCTCACTCAAAATGCAAGGACAACGGCAGCAGCTAGCAGGTGAATGCCGGTGCCAGTAATGGCCATTGCTCGGAGTTTTCTCCGTCGATCACACGCCGAGGAACCGAGGTGGATGGGTGGCGCGGGAGAGAAGGAGTGCAAGGTGAGAATGGGATGACAGTGCTAGAGCCCCAGGGGTTCGCGCCGCAGCACTTCATAACCTTACCAAGGCTTCTGGGTCAGGTGCTCCATGTGGGGGACGAGCTGTAGACCAGACGGGAGTGTTTATGTTGTCCCAACCAGCCTCAACGTCACCTAGCAAATTGATCCGAGTGCAGGAACTTCCAATGAAGCCTTCTAGAACAACAGCGGGCTTCGTGATTCAGCGCCCACCCGCTAAAAGTTGCCCTCGACATTGCTTCAAATACTTTGCGGCTTCGACTCGGTGTTACATACAGATAGTGGCGATTAATCACGAAAATACGGCAATTGATCCTCCCGCTGAAACTTCCCGATGGTCACTGGCAGCTTCTGTCTTGCCGGGACAGGACATCGACGGTTTGCATACCTTACCTGCCTAGGTATCCACCGCTCCGTACATGCAACCTAATTATGGATTTCCAATCCATTTGGGCAGGAGCGGTGGTTTGTCTTTGGACCCCATTGCTCTTGCTTGCCTTCTTGCAGATCCTGTGTGACAGGTGACAAATGTCCAAGTAGGCAGGCGCCCTGAAATGGAGGGGATTCCCCGGGCCCGACGCTTTGGGGGCCGATTCCAGGACTTGGTTCATCCCTAGGGTTGCATCTTGCCGAGCCCAGACCTTTTCCTTTTTCTACGCCCTCAACACATTCGACGTGATGGCCCCGTCCGACATCAGCGAAGACGGGAGCATAGCTGCTCCTAACTCCCTCTTGCTCGGGCACGCCGGCGACAATGCAAGCAAAAAGGCAATGCGGGTCCTGGCGTACAAGACAAAAGCATCAGCATTACGGAATACTGGGTCGTTGGCACAATTAGAGCGACACCGCAATTCCATGCTTCTGCCCTCTCGTCTGCATCACCATCGGCTATGTTTCAGCGCTGCAAGAGGACGGGACCACCACTACAGAGTAATCCTACCTTGGCGAGTGTGGCATGTAGGGCAATTTACATGCATCCATAAGGTATGGATGTATGTAACCAATATGCTGTCTTGTATGGACATTAACACTCCCGTCGGCAATCGCGGACTGGCCCCTGCGAACACCTTACTGCACATGGCCCGCTCCGCGTGCAGTATTCACTCCGGAGTCCGAACATACATACTCAAGGACGTACACTCACAACCCACCTCACTTGCCTTACCTATCCGCCTCGCCGTGTGTTCCACGGCACATGGCACAGCACAGGGTTCAACAGGCCGCAAGACAGGTGCAGACCCATCACCAGACCAATCACCAGTCATACCTTGGCGGAGTTACACCAGGCCTACGGAGCACCTTACCGACTGTGGCTCCTCAGGTCTCAGTCTCTGCCACTGCATCAAGTTACATGCACATGGACAAGCTGTGACGCACAATTCCAAGTCTGAGCTCCCATTCCGCTGGCCCAGGTGACGCACTATCTGCTGCCACGCAATTGGAATGATGCACACATCCGTATCTTCTTGATCTTCTGGGTGCCCGTGGGACCAAGCCAATGGAGACAGGTCTTCTGAAGAAATGTTCCGTCGTTTTTGCATCCCAACTGGAGATCAGAGAAACGCAACTCGTTCCTGCTGTTGTCGTGGCAAACAATGCCCATGGCCATGGCAAATGCAACATTCTGAAAATCAGAAACGAAACGATCTAGGCTCAATCCCTCCAAATTTCTTCCATCCGAGCCGGCCGTCAGTGTGATGGCCTCGGGACGCAGAGGTAACCCCTCGAAACACGCCAATGCAAGCCTGCGGTACTTGGAGTTACGCAAGGGGCGGGCCGGGCAAAATCCTGCAAGCCGTTGAAACCGTCGTGTCTTGGTATTTCATTATTGACGAAAAGAGTCGTTGACTAGATATACGAGCATTCCAATTGTTCGGGCGCCCTTTGGTGCAAGTGAGTGATCCAATACATCCTGTCTTGGTGCGGGGGATCAAACGGTCCCAAGAAGCCAATGCATGGCTTGATGGCATTTCAGCAGAGTGCTGATGCATAATAGAAGCTGCACCGAAGGTTCGATCGACTGAGGCTCTTCTTGAATGGATTCAATGAACGCACTCCAGCAGGTTTAAACGCCCGGTTGCATGTCATTTGTTCGTGCCTGTTGCTTGTAGCATGGCATTTTCTACGCCAATTCAGGAAAATACGCATGCCACTGGATAGCCACACACCCAGGATTGACACCGATACTGAAGTCTTACTTCGAGTCATTGGGAAACGCTTGACATGCGGCCAGTTCCCCCTTTCTTGTATTTGGGTTTGTTGTTCGGTTCTACTGCTACACTGCGGAGTTCCTACTATGTTCGCGACGCTCGAGGCTCGGCGCCGTGAACAGCAACTCAAGCCGAAGCACCCCTCCTTTACCTGCCGCTCGGCATGCCCAGGACAGGGGTCATGGCTTTCTGTGGATGTGTGACGACTCCAAAGCGCAACGGTTCCTGTTCAATCTTGACCGTTCGCAAGTTGCTAAATATGTCCACGAAAAAGGTCTTTGCAGCTCATAGCGACCCCAACTAGGGACGAGTCGCAAATACCTTCTCGATAGCTTCGATAGGGGCTATAAGGACTGGTTCTTGTTGTTTGCCTGCCCGCGCCGCTCTACACTCCTGTCAACCTGCAGACAGGCGCTAGCATGACATGCAAGACTTCCAGCTTTCCCCCCTTCAAGTCACACAGCAACCCGTCTGGGCATGGTTCGGTTCTTGGTATGCACTCCGCATCTGTGCTGTGCATATCATCCCTACTCGCAGGCGATCCCTCGCATGGTCACACGCTAGACGATTGTGTGTAGTGTGAGGAACAAAGCAAAGTGGTTTTTGCCAGCGCTGGTCTCTCCAATTGTAAGAGGCACTTGCACTTGAACCGGACTTTGAGGCTGCTCGAATTTGAATATTGTGCGTAGGTATGGATACATATGCTGCACAGTCCCTATATTCAGGATTTAGGTCAAGGGGGGCTGGATAAGGAGCTAATATCAGTGCCGAAGGCTGGATTTCCAAGTGCCAGTGGCAGACTTCCGGTCCGAGATCAGAGGTCTTCAGGGGGGCCGCGGCGCACATTGGGATCGGGTCCCCCCCCATGTCTGGCCTGGGCAGTGGACACCCAACCAAAGACCAGTCGCCCGCAGGTACGCCGCTGCAACGCACCTTACCCGGGACCTGCTTTGGTTCTCGACAAACCCTTCTCCTTTTCTTCAGCAACCCCCACCAGGAATATCCAGGTCCCCTGCTGTGACATATGTCCAAGCCGAACCCAGAACCCTTCGTGGCCAGCATACAACACTCACTTCGTATATGTGCAGCTACCTTGTCCCTGGTTCAGTCAGGCCTCTTTAAGGACATCTCAGACGAGGCAGTGATTTTTCGACCTAGCTGACGGGCTACACGCCGGCGCAGTTGACTGGCGCATCCCACAACCCCCAGATTAGGTCCTTGTTTATCCCGGCGCCGGGACAGGCCGAGGACGAAAGCGCTGGCGTCCATAGCGGCTATCGCCCCGGGCTTTGATCTCGGGGCCATGAGCCAGGCCTCCCATCACAATGCGCTCTCTCAGACGCAGCCTCGTTACCAAACTCTCCCACCACTGTCAACCCCACATGCGCAATATGAGCAGCCATCCCCGCCATACACGGTTGCTAGCAGCCACTACAGCCCCAATGATCACCCGGACGCGTCACCTGGCAAGCGACGCAGGATCTCTAACGGCGACCATGTTGAGGGCGGCAAGGAAACCGGCCAAGCGAAAGCCGCCGCCACTGGCGCGAAGTCAAACTCTCGCGTCGTGTTGGCGGCACTTCCGGGTGGAGGAATAGGCCGTGCCAAGGGTGGGGACGACGATGGCGACGACGACAGTGGCGGCCGGAGCAGGCCTGTTCCTCCTGCCAACCCAGCAGCGAGCAAGTCTCGACGCGTGCGCACAGGCTGCTTGACCTGCCGCGAACGCCATCTCAAGTGCGACGAGGGCATGCCGGACTGCAACAACTGTCAGAAGAGCAACCGCGAGTGCAAACGAGGGGTGCGGCTGAACTTCATCGACGTGCAGGTCAAGAACCCACCCTACGTGCCTCCAAGGCTGGAATGGTCAGGTGCGTGGTTCGGTCCTTAGTCTGGTCATACCACTTAAGCCTGCAAGAAATAGCCAATGTTGTCGCCCGGCTTCCATTTGCAGCAGCTACTGACACCATGTGTACATAGTCAAGTTTCAGGACGAGTCGAGGTTGATTGCGTCCGAGTATCAGGGAGGGATAGGACGATATCTCCAGCTTGACCGAAAAACCATTACGCCACCGCGAGAAGCGGAGCCGGACGAAACGCGCCGCCGGCTGTCTATCCCTACGGGGGCTGACGACGTGGTTGCACCCAATGACGGGCCTGGAGGTAAAGATGTCGAGTTCCCGTCAAGATCCCGAGATCCACATTTTCCTAGCCGCGTTGAACAGGCCGCTACCCCCGCTCAACATCCAGGGTATGACGACGGTCAGCTACCTCAGATGCGAGAGTTGCTGTCTAGGCATAGCAGCAGTGCCTTTTTGACAGCTTCTGCACCGACGCCAGCGACCCAGGCACCGTCTCCGGGTGACGCCTTTCTGCTCAACGATGCGTATGGCATCAAAGAGGAATCGGTTCCTCGAACCTTTTCCACCAACATGTCGAGCACTTTACCAACCCTCGCCCCACAAACTAGTTCTGGCGGCTCAATGCTGCAAATCCGTGGTTCCAGCGGCCAAGGAAGCACGCCTGAGGGATCTACAACACCAAACGACAAAGCAGCGGCTGACCGCGACTATCTGAGCACCAACGACGAGATTCTGTTTATGCGCACATTCATTGAAGAAGTTGCCGTCTGGATGGATATCCTGGACAAGGACAAGCACTTCACCAATATGACGCCGAACCTGGCGCTCGAATCACCCATGTTGCTGAACGCGTTTCTTGCATGCGGCGTCAAGCAGCTGACGCTGGTCGAGGACTACAACGAGGAGAAAGCAGTCTATTACTACGACACGGCAACGACGCAGCTCCTCCGGTGCCTGCAAAATCCGGACCGCAACATAGACGAGTGCGCCACCACAGCCGTCGTGCTCAACGTATACGAGATTATGACGGAAAAGCCAACGCGGCGCATGAGCCACATTGCCGGTGCTCGGGCGCTGATTCGAGAATGCGGCTGGAATGCGTCGACGGCTGGCATTGGGTCGGCTTGCTTCTGGATTAACATCGGCATGGAAGTGCTCAGTTGCCTGGCCTATAACTGGCATACGGCATGGGACCCGGATCAGTGGGGGTTGGACCTGAGCTTCACAAACTGGCCTTCAGGCAACGAGAGCCGTGACGACAGCGGCCCAAACGGCGACAGGAGAGACAGCCACGCGAGACACATGCTTGAGACGGCCGGCCGTGGCGATGAGGAGAGCTGGGTGCACCGCATTTTGTACATTGTGGCCAAGATCTCGAACTTCCGCGCAAACATCCCACGCTTCCAGGAGGCGTCGCCACACGATGAGCAGGTTCGCCTGCAGACTCGCTTCGCCGAGTGGAAGAGGTTCAAGGGCATGTGCGATGCTTGGAACAATAACTGCCCCCGCCCAATGCAGCCGTATGGCTATGCGCACTCGCCATCACGCAAATCGCTCTTCCCAAACGTGTGGTAAGTCTCCTGCCGGATGCTAGTTGGAGAGATACAAATAGTAGCTCATGCTAATTGACATTTCTCTCGAAAGGCTCATTAATCGTCCGGCAATCTTAGGGCGTCTCTTTTATCACACAGCCATGTGTCTGCTCGCGCAGATCAACCCTATCAGCCCGCGCGATAGCACCGAGAACCGCGCGGCGCAGCTGCACCACGCCCGGCAGGTTTGCGGCATAGTCGCACATACCGAGGACCGCGGCGTCGCGTCTGTCGCCATCCGCAGCCTTACCATCGCCAGCTCAGTCCTGACAGACCGCCCGGAAAAGGACGAGGTCCTGGCAATCCTCAACAGGATCAACAAGGCGACAGGCTGGCGCCTCGGGGGTGTGGTGGCGGAGCTGAAGAAGACGTGGGGGTGGGAGGTGGGCGCGCCGCTCGGCCTCGCCCCGATGAGCACCCTGCCTCCAAGCAGGAGCAGCAGCAGCAGCACCTCCGCCGCCGCCTCGACCTCTGGCGGCCCACCTGCGTTCCAGTTCCCCGTGTCACAGACGCAGCAGCAGCAGCAGCAGCAGCAGCAGCATTCGAGCCAGCGCCAGCACCAGACAGCGACAAGTGCCGGCTCTTCGTCTTCCCACCATGTGGTCGCGACGCTGTCTCCGCCAAACGTCCACCCCCTGCTCATGCATGCCGACTTTGCGCACCAGAACCACCCGTATCAAAACTACTACGAGCCGCCCAACCGGAACAACCAGTCCAGGCCGCACACGCGCAGTCTCTAGCCTGCGGAATGTGTAAGAAGGTTGTCAAGGCAGACTTAAATACTGCATCAATTCCAAATGTTTATATTTTCTGCTGTACATTTTAGCCATTTCATCCTCATGACGCGGTTTCTTTTCCCTGCTACTCATATTTTGGAGAAACTGTTACATTACCCTTCAGGTCATTTGTATACCTTTCCGCTTTCCGCTTCTGCATATACCCACCTTGGTGTTCATTTTTTCTTTTGAAGTGCCCCTTTTCAGGCATACAAGCGTTTCATAGACAGCCTTGTTTTTATTATGTCGGAATCTGTTTAGAAACGCCTAGTCACGCGATTTCGCTATTTCGCCCCTGACGCGATATCTGAATAGCATGGAATGGAATATTTACTATCTGTTTTCAGCCAGTAGGTCTCTGTCGGAGCAGTGCCGTTCAATTATTTGACTTTTTCCTGTACCGCGGCAAATGCTCAGCTGTGTTCGCTTCAGCTTGTGCGTCGTGTTACATCTAACTGTGCTAGTCCCTTGAGCAGACGAAATACAATATAATGTACCATCTGTAAGAGCAGCAGTCTAAACAGGGAATTTTAGTAGTCTGAACATAACTTCTATTTTTATTAGTAGGGGGGAGACTCGAAGTCATCCAGTAGGGGCAAAATGATCCACCCCCCCTCCTCTAGGTCACGACCTTTACGGATCACAGGTCGAGTCTCAATATACGTTGAGAATTCAATATGACCCTATCGCATTTTCTCGGGAGTCCTCTCCTAGACGTGATAGCCTTCAGCCCCGATTCCTATCATGGAGATGTAGACATCGATATAGAAAAGCTTAAGCCGTCAGAATGTAGAAGACACCAAGTGAGGGGTTTTTGATAACCACAAGGCTTCAAATTGCTCAACCGATTGGATTTCAACGGTTGAGGGCCGTTTATACATACATACATACTGATCTTGGTCAGCTGTGATCAATTTGAGATTCTTGCTCTAACCACGTTATGTCGGGGGGGGGGTTTGACTTGATGAGAGTGGCCTTCTCAGCATCCAGTAGGGCGGGAGATCAATATGCCGTATGTATGTATATATATAAAAAGGGGACATGTATCTAAACTCCTCTACTGAAGGCGGTAAAGGGAGGGCTCTAGATACTTTAGGGGTTTTGGGAAATCTGGCCTCTTGATCGAGGCTGGGCCTCCCGGACTTCACAAAAGGTAGATTCCCAAGCTCGTGGATGCCAGGACTTTGGACACCAGGCGTCGAGAAGCGAGAGCAGCATTACTTCCTTCCCATCATTCCTTTCTCTTTCTTGCACCTGGTTCTTGCACCTGGTCTTGTTTTTCTTGTTCTCTTAACTCTTCTATGTTCCAAGGGTGACGGGGCACTAGTTATCCAATAAAGACTTGTCACGGCTCAAAGTCTAGACAATGACATAGTCAGCCTGGTGAGAGTGGGCAGGAGTGAATGGGGGAGTCGGGAGTGAAAGCATCGAGACTAGAGCCTCGGTGTTAAGATATTATTGACAAGAGAAACGAGATGTCTAGCGCACGACATGTTATCCATTGGCTATCACGTCACGTTTCAGCTCACTAAACAAACAATCTTCTCACTTGGGAGGTCAGTTAATGCACTGCAGACTAGGTAGTTGGTCCTCGTCTATTGGGAATGTCTGGTAATGCGCCTGTCTATGTTTTGTCATATTCTTCGTGATGATGCTCCCGTCCCCAAAAGGAATAACATGTCAAGGCCTGGGCCAAATCCTCGCAGAAATCTTTCGGCCGCTAATCACGCACGCCTGCTGCTGTAAAGACAAAAAAGAGAATGGTTCCTCGACTTCCACTTAGGCAGCCGGTGCCGGGGCCGCAGCGTAGTCGACAGCCTGGATGACCTCGTTGTCATCGACGCGGGCCGTCTCCTTCATGTACTCCTCCTCGTCGACGGAAACGGGCGGGACCGTGATTCCGTAGCGGTCGTACGGGAAGTCGACCAGCGTAGCCAGATACTCGGCCCAGCCGTCGTCAACCTCGCCCAGCTGGTGCAGGTCGACCTGGCCGGCCTCACCGGTGCGCGCGGCAAGCACCTCGGCCTCGCGGCCCGCGTATTCCTTCTTCAGCATCGGGTGCGGGCACCAGATGACGCGCATGCCGGCGCGTCGGCCGGCCTCGACCCCCGGCACGCTGTCCTCAAACACAAGACACTCCTCGGGCTTGATGGGCGCCTCGCCGGCCGGCAGCGACTCGTTGATGGTCTGCAGCGCGAGCAGGTAAATGTCGGGGAGGGGCTTGCCACGACCGGGCGGGATGCGCTTGTCGTCGCCCAGAACGCGGCGCTGCGTCTCGAACACGCTGAACAGCTCCTCCAGGTGCGCCGTCTTCAGGCGGAAGTTGGACTCGTGCGACGAGGTGGCTAGGGCAATATGCACGCGCTGCTTCGGGGACTGGGTTTGAACGCCCGGCTGCTGCTTTGTGTTCTGGGCATCCCAGTACCGGGTTCGGCCCAGGTCGTTCAGGAGCTTCTCGATGCCCGGCAGCGGCTGGGTGCCGGGAAAGTGCTGGGCCTGGAGGGCGTAGTACTCCTTGCTGTATTCCTCCTCGGTGATTGGGAGCTGGGCCCAGTCGTGAAACAACTTGTTCGCAGCGGGACCCGGGCGGCCTTGAAGCTTCGCCTTGATGCTCCAGGGGAGCTTGGGCTTCTGGTACTTCTCCAGAACGAGGTTGCAGCAGAGCGAGTACAGGTCTTCGGTGTCGAGCAATAGGCCATCCATGTCAAAGAGGCAGGCGCGAACAGAGGGGAAGCTGGCAGAGAGCATTGCGTCAGTTTGTGCCTTGGAATTGGGCTATGCCCGAGGAGCCCAAGCGAGGCCAAACAGGGGGGAGGAACTTACGCGGTGCGCGGCGCCATTGTTGCCGGTTGTACTGTAGGACGAAAGGGTGAGGTTCGGGGAAGGAGCGAGGAAGGAGGTGCGCACGAGGGAATTGCGATTTGAGGAGAGGCTGGATTCTGGAGAAGAGCGACGTTTCTGACGGTTACTGCGCGCTGGTCTGCGGGGCAGGAGAGAGAGGGGTTTGGTTGCAGCGAAGCTTTTGGTAGGTGGGTAGTTAAATATCGGGAAGTTGGCGGAGGAAGTCGGGTGCTTGTAGGGAGGGCGACTGGATCCAGGCACCAAATAGCTTGCTTGTCAAGGTTGGGTTAATCTTAAACTGTCTGGAGTAGACTAAGCGCGTTAGAGGGCCGACTGATGTATGTTCGCGATGGGAGGACTGGGAAGGAGGGGTGGCACAGAATCGGCCCCAGATGGAAAAGGCAAACAACCTGGAAAAAAATATTAAAGTTGGAGAAGCTCTCAGCGAAGCGGGGCGGGGACCCTTGTAGCCGCCAATCCATGTAAGGATGACACACGGCAGCCCTCCCAGCAGATACCCGAAGCGCTCTTTCCAGGTTCAGGTTCGCGACATTTTCCGAGGCCGGGTGGCTCGCACGCAATACGATGAAATGAAAGCAGGACGGCGGGACTTGTCGGGCCTTTTATCCTGGCGACTCGGTCTAGGTCTTTCGTCAGCCGAGGAAGCTACCAACGGCGGGAGACTGGGAGATAAGCATCCATCCAAAGTCTCGAGGCACCAGCGACGAAAAGTCCACTAGACGCAGTCTCGGGTTGCAGCCAGATTGGCGGGTCGCAGCAGTTCAGATGGGCCGCTTCCGCCGGTCGCCCTTGACGTAAGGCCTAACCGAGCTGCCGGCCAAATTGGACAGCGGGGGCGGGCGGATGCGCTAGCGCGCGGCCTTGTTAACAAAGCCACCGCTGATAACGTTGGAGATGAGGGGTTGAGGGGCAGCAGAGGGGCCCAAGTTGCATTATCAGCGGGGAGGTGGGGTTTCACGGGTTCGTTTCCTGTGCCACGGGCAGTGGACGTCACGTCAACCAACCAGCGTTGGGTACCTAGACATGCATGTGAAAACAACGACGAGCTTCGCTGCAACCTCTCCTGTGCAATTACCTCGCGGTCTGTCCAACGGCTTAACCTAACACATCCGCACCTTCGCATGACGCCGGTCTAGCTTCAAAGCCGACTCCACCCGCGAGCGTTGATTGCCCCGGCGCAAATCTTTATCTGCCCTGTTCCGACGACATTTGGAATTGAAGAGTCAAACACTGCCGTCGCTGAAACATGGTGACCAATAGCGAGGGCCCCCCGACGACTGGGGTTTCGGGCCGCAACAAAGCGGGTTTAGTGGACAAGGACAAGGAAGCTGGGGATGAGGAGCAAACCTCCAGATTCTCGCCTAAAGAGGAAGCGGCAAGACTACCCTACCCTCCAATTCCCGCTGTAGCGGCCCCGTTTACCTACTACCGGGTGGTCTACCGCTGCCTGACAAGTTAATCGTCGCTAACTGCTAGTCTCGGTATGGCTGCAGGACATGGTAGCCGAGTCCAACACGCTCAAGGTCGAGGCAAACACGCTCTTTAAGTCGGGCAGCGTTGATGCGGCCATCAACAAGTACGTCGAGGCCATAGCGGCTTGCCCTACCTATCTAGAATACGAGCAGGCCGTGCTCCAGTCCAACCTTGCCGCCTGCCACCTGAAGTTGGACGAGTGGAAGGAAGCCGCCGACAACGCCACCGCGGCTTTAGACTCTCTCGACCGCCTAGAACGGGAGGAAAAGGAGAAGAGTGCCGAACAGGCCAAAGCGGAGGCTGACAGCAACGACGTCGAGGCCGAGATAATCAGCGCGGGCGCTGCCAAGGCTGGCCCAGCCATAGTGAAGCCCGACGAAGACCCAGCCGAAGCTGCTCGCCGGAAGCGCCAGGACGACGTTGCGAGGATAAGGTCCAAGGCGCTGATGCGGCGGGCGCGGGCAAAGAGCGAGCTGGGTGGATGGTCAAACCTGGAAGGCGCCATTTCCGACTACAAGCGCCTGGCCGCCATGCCTGACTTGAGCGCCGTGGACAAGAAGATTGTCCAATCTCAGCTCCGGGTGCTGCCGCCCCGGGCCAAAGCCGCCCAGGATCAAGAGACTGCCGAGATGTGGGGGAAGCTGAAGGAGCTGGGCAACGGGATCCTCCGGCCTTTTGGCTTGAGTACCGACAGTTTCCAGATGAACAAGGACGAGAAGACGGGCGGGTACAGCATGAACTTCCAGGGTGGGGGTCCCGGCGGCGGCACCGACAAGCCGTGAGGGGGTTAGGAGTGTCTCCCGCCCCTTTTCTGAAGCCTAACAGGTTTGGATTGCCATCTCGACAAGAATACATCCATTGCCAAGCCTATCGTGAGGCTGCCGCTGCGCCGTGTAAATGAAGTCAACTGTTCCACCGCTCACCAACTTCGCTGTTGGGTTCAAGCATTGAGTTACAGTTACAAATCACCTTATTGCAGCTGGGATGTACATGCCAACATTCCCGCTCAATAGTACAACAGTGCCTACAAGTCGAGTGGAAATAAGCAAATAAAATGAGCTCAGAAGAATAATGGAAAAAACAAAGACACAAAGCTCATGTGAGCTGTTAACCATCACATGATGACTACTACTACTGTGGCACGATATAAGATGGGCCGAGCTGCATGAGGTGTGAACCTCAATCGAGCTGTCGTGGGATCGCAATCATGAATTTCTCGATATGCCCCAGGTATCAGCTTGAACATCACCGGTCTCTTATGAACAAACCATTTCTCATCTACTGAGAGGGAGGTTGATACTTTGTCCGGGCGTATCCCCCCAATCAGGCCAGATACCAACAGCTCTGGCCAATGAGTCGGGATCGGGGTTCATGCAGCTCATGCAGTTCAGCCTCGCCAGGAAATCGGACGGACAGGTGGCTGCCCGCCGCAATTGAACAGGGGATTCACTCACAAATACGTCATTCGAAAAAAAAAAAATCACCCAACCAGCTTCATTTCAGTCTGTCAACCCACAATCCCCTTGCTTCATCGAGCCCCTCAAATCAAACCACTACAATACCGTTACCCACCCAGAACATGTCGCCCCCCACGATCACCAAACCAGCCGATGGCAGCGGCGGCGTCGCCCTGACTAAAACTAAGCCTAATCTCAGCGGCGTGTCTGAGACGATGCTGGTCGTGCTGACGGCGCGAGCCGAAGACGCGCACAGGCCTGACTCGGTGCTGCACGACACGTGGGCGGCCGACGTGCTGGGCAAGCTGGACTACGGCTTCGGGCGGCGCACCCCGCTCAACGCCGGCTTCTTCGCTACGGTGCTCCTGCGCGCGCGCCTGCTCGACGCCTGGGCCGGCGCCTTCCTCGCCGCCCACCCCGCCGCCACCGTCCTGCACCTCGGTTGCGGCCTCGACAGCCGCGCCCTGCGGCTAGCTCCGCTCTGGGCCGGCAGCAGCGATTTGAAAGCCGTGCGCTGGCTCGACGTCGACGTGCCCGCCGTCGCGGCGCTGCGCCGACAGCTGATGCCCGCGCCCGACGTCACTGGAAAGGGAGAAGCAGAGTACGCGCTCGTCGAGGCCAGCGTGACCGACGACGCGTGGCTCGACGCCGTGCCGGCCGACCGCCCGACGCTCGTCGTCATGGAGGGCCTGCTACCGTACCTGGCGCCGGCCGACGCGCGGCGTCTGGTGCAGCGCATCGCCGGCCGGTTTCCCACCGGCCAGCTCGTGTTTGACGTCCCTGGGTCGTGGTTTTTGAGGATGCAGGCCCTCAACCGCCCTATTAGTCGTACGGGGGCCGTCATGCGGTTTGCGATGGATGATCCGGAGGATTTGGCGGCTGCGCACCCTGCGCTGCGCGCTACGGCGGTTGTGAGGATCTGGGAGATGCCGGGGAGTGAGACGTTTGCGTGGTGGTTCCGTGCTATGCTGTGGGTGTGCAGTTGGGTGCCGGGGCTTAGTACTGGGCTGGTTTCGTATTTTCGCTATGATTTTTGAAGGGGAGGCTAGTTCTTAGGTTTAAAAGTTTTTGAAATACTTGGCTGAAGGGGTTGAACCCTCAATTTAAACTGTACGGATGCTTAGGAATTGTGAATTTCCCGAACATTTAGGAACGATGTGAAAGTGTGCATTTTCCACGATTGTTCTTTCAGAGATTTATCTTGAGCACTGAGATTCCTTTTTGAATGGAATTGTGGGAACTACCAGTCAATCAGAGGATGCAGTCGCACGTGATTGGTCAACAGGCTGCACAGCCTCAGTGGCTGACCACCACGCGGGCCGCTATGCGGCACGTGCGCGAGGCGCACCACCCCTCACGTAGCCTCCTGCATCGCCAATTCCAACGCGCATCCTGTCCCCGTAGTTCGTGACCTTAGAGATAGAGCAGACCAGAATACAACCACCACAACCACCTCATTCGCATCGGTTACTGCAGTGACTATGGAACGAATGACCTTGTCATTCCAACAGAATGAAAACGAGTCCAAAAAGTTGTCCTGGAGCAGTGCATGCTGACTGAAAGATATAATTTAATTATAAATTTATTTTATTAAATTTTAGATATGGGTTGATCTGGCAGCGTATACCTGGAAATGCTAGGCTGTGTAAGCAATAATTGATTCTACACGTACAAGACTGACCATGCGTTTCCTTCTGATTAGGAACCCGAACCAAAGGAAAGCAGAGTTAGTGTGTCAAAGACTTTGTGCCCCAACAGAATAGGATCCCTTGCAACTCAGAGGCTCAGCTAAAAGCCCGTTGAAAAAAGTTGACGACTTCGCCCATACCATTATACCCCTTGCAAAAGGGTACACATATTTCATTAAAGTCTTCGACGGCCATACGGCGCCGAAGTTCACTCTGGTCGTTTCGTTTATACTGGGCGATCTTCTGGTCCTGGTCTATGACAGTAAGTGACAGAACGACTGCAAGGACTAGAAAGAGCAAGCAGGCGTTCTGCAAGGTAAACAATGACCCGAAATTCTATCGGCGGGTGCGTTCCGGTAAAGATAGGGGGTCCCTGTTCTCGTGCGGGACAGGTTCCGGGCAGGGACCGTCCCTTGGCGGGCTCTCGGAACCACTACCTGCAGCGCTTTGGTCTTGGGTAGCATTGGTGTTGGGATCTGCCGGCTCCCCGGGGTTTTTTTCGGGCAGTGCTGGGTCGGTTCCGCCTCCGTCGGATGCATGCTGATTCCGGGACGTTCTGTCTTGGAGAATATCAAACATCTAGCTCTACAGCCCAACAGCCTGATATTACCACCGACAATCGGCTCAGAGTTATGTACGAATGTCCTCAACAGGTTGTCACCAAGACCTCACCCAGTCTTCCAGGATACACTGCGCTACCTATCGAGGCCAACCATATAGTATGTCTGCCTATTGCCAGCCTCTACCGTCAGATCCTGGACCATCTGGATGTGGATGACAGGAAAGATGACATGAAGATGCTTTCTACAAGAAGCTTCACTGTGCTCTTTCGAAATTGTTTGTGGTCATAACAGGTGGCTAAAGCTTGACTGGACCTTGGACGCACGACACACCGCCTAGAGGCATTGCTACCCCTTTCAGCTCGACGGGTCTCGACACAAATCGGGCATGCTATCACATGTCTCTAGGAGCGGCACTAACCAGGTACCCAGCTACCTACTCCCGAAGTTTGTGTTCACGGCGAATGCCACATATTCCTTGGTGCGAAATAAGAAAGAGCAAGTAGCGCACAACGCGTGACGACGTACGTACCGCACCTCCTCGCTGCCAGGGCCCGAGAGCAACCTACCTAGTTGCTGTGTTGTATCACTCGCCTTCCCTACAGATACGGGGGGTGCCGATCGACCGCTCCACTCCACACCGCGGCGTCACACACACAGGGGAAAGACGCGTTAACGGTGGTGATTTGGAATATTTACAGTTACTTGCTTGCTTTCTCGTCTTGCTAGATGGCACCCCCGGGGGCGCCGGGAAAGTGCTTTCCTCGCTACGGCATTATTTGTTTTGTGTGCTATTACAGGGCAAGGGAGTACACAGTCTTTTTGGTATTAGCTGAGAAGAGGTATGATGGGTAACCAGGGACTGGGCGAGCCCGGACCTTATTCTGACTGCGATGGAATGCCACATGGCGGGGAGTCATTGCCAGGCCAGACCCCCTCTCCAAGCATACCAAGGTATCAACCGTGCAATCTTTTCTTCTCACTCTCCTTCCTTCTAGGCCTCCTTTCCACTTGTGACACGTCGGTAACTGCGTAACGCCGCCAGTCAACCCAACTCCTTTCGCACCCTCCTCCCGGACGACCCTCCTCCCGGACGTTCCCAACATCAATTATCTGTGCGGTTCTCCTTCTTCCGAGCCACCACTGGCTTCACTGGCCCGTCAGGATGAACGGGACCACTCGGGCCCGACACCGAACGCCGCTCCTGCGGCACCACGTCCTCGTCGAACACAATGGTTGCGTTCTGGACATCCTCCGGCAGAATGAACCCAGCCTTGAACGAGCACTGCGGGTGAAAGCCCTTCAGCTTCCGACGGACGTCTTGTTTCCAAAACGTATTGGTTAACATCGATTCGCTCTGGTAATTCTGAAACGCGGCCGCTCGGCAGGTTTCTGCAGCCGGATTTCCTAGACACACGACACCGCCAGAGCCGCCTTGCAGGGACCAGTCGTCGATTAAGGTCCGCCAAATGATGGCGCGCTTGATCTTCAGGTGGCGCTGCTCCCACCAGTACTCCGTCCCGGCCACCACGGCGTTGCGGGCGGCACCTATCACAAAATGGCCTCCTCGCCAATCGCGGTTGTCGTTGCTGAACCGCCAGTACGCCTGGAACGCTTATGGCGACTCTGCGTTCAAAATCTCATTCGGCGTTATGAACGTCTTGGCGATGCGGGCGTGTTTGGGGATCTGCGTCATGGGGGACAGCAGCGCGCCCTCGGACGCGGTGATGAGGCTCAGGTCGTGTTCAATGCCGAGGGGAAAGAGAAGCCCGACCTCCAAGCTAAGGGGGTTGTCATAACATGCGCTAATGGTGCCGATCTAGTTGCTCGCTGTTAGTACCAGGGTTGACGATGAAAGTAGCGGTCACGAACCTTCGTTTTCTCACCCGCGACGTATATGTCGGTCCCTAGTATAACTTGCTGCTGGCCGCGACTCTTGGCCGATCTTTCTCTGTCCTTGTTGAGCCAGCCCTTGGTCCGTTTCGCCACCGTGGCTATGTTGGCGCCAAACATCCGGACGCTGCGTTCCAGCTTGCCCATGCTGAATGGTGCCGCCCCTTGTAGCCACGGGTGCGTGACTGTGGTCCAGCTGTCATGCGTGTCGCCCTCGCGACGGATGCGGAGCCCAGCGCAACCCTTCGGATTCAGATTCGACATTTCCGAAGCGACAGGCACGCTGGGCTGGACTGCGCCTCGGGGTCCTGGGTGGCCAAAGCCGGCATGTGAGAAGGGGAAGGCCGTCTGGGATGCCGTCAACTCAACCTCAACGACCTTGAGGGTGTAGGCGTGGTCGATCCCAATGTCGCGGGGCCACGACTTGATGTTGCGCATATCCTTGCGCCTTGCCTTGTCGTTTCGGTACAGGATCTCGACGGCGCCATAGACAAGGACTCGCATTCCAATCGAACAAGGGAACGCCTCTGCAATGGTCTGACATGTCAGATCGCTTGCAACGGCTCGGCTGTCGAGGTGAACGTCGAGGTCGTGGACGTATATATAGGGGTTGGAAAGGGGAAGGATTCCTGGTGCCTCCCTGACGTGGACTGGACACTGGCCAACGAAGAGCGGGATGTCGACCGGGCGACCGAGTTTGGATCGCAAAGAGAACATCTCGACCAACCAGTAGCTTCTCGTGTAATCAAAGTACACTTGGTCGTAGGCGACGAACTCCGGGACTGTGTTTCGTAGGTGTGTGATCTTCTTCATTCGCGCGATGGTCTGACCCTGGCCGCTGACATCTTCATGCTCGGCCAAATACTTGGCCTGATGGATTGGCATGCTCGACTTCTTGGTGATTGCAATCTCAAACATTGTCTTCCACTTCTGACGGAACTCTGGGCTGTGTTAGCCCCAATGGTCCTAGAACACTAGGTAGTAATACCATGTATTGATTCGTGGGGAAAACTCACCATAGTTCTGTTCGGTGAGGAGCACTTCTCCCAAGTTGCGTTGTAGTCGGTCGTCCGCTAGTGGGCCATATATGGGTGAAGCCGTTGTCTCCGTCATGCGGCGCCTTTTGACAGGCGGGATACGGGACGGGCCCGCGGCCGCGCTTGCGGCAACACTTAACATGGTCGCATACGGCAGAGGGACGTCTGTTGTTGGGTGTTGTAGCGAAAATAGTGTGAGACAAAAGCTAACGGTTTCGTGGCGAAAATGGTGCGAGACAAAAGCTGAAGAATCACTGTTTACTTATTTTTTTGGGGGGTGGGGCTCGGGCAAGCTTTTTTATTTCTTTTGACTTCGTGAAGAATGAAGGAACGTAAATTACAGTTTCCATTGTACGTATTTTAGGTGGTGCCTTACCAACTTTATCGGACGGCACCTGCCGACACATCAGCACTCTAGTTAGGTAGGCAAGGGTGCATCGGTGTATCAAGAAAAGACACCAAAGCAATAACAACATGAACAACGCCCCAAATACTTCCACAGCTAAATATATGTCCGAGTCTATATGCAAGGAAAGAGCACCAACTGGCGAGGCCACTGCCGTTGGCACCAGCCACTAAGCCGCACTACGGCGCCACAACCCCACCAGCTTTCACAAGCACACGCAGGACTGAGCCCCTGAGCATGTATATAAACAGTGGCCCTCATCCCTTCCTTTGCGAGGGCTAGGTTGAAGTCTTACCCTAATACTAGTCATTGCTCTCACTTCTTGTTACCTTCATTGTGACCACCTTGATCCGGCGTACCTGCCTTCTCTTACAGTTCTTCAACCTCCACACCACACGGTAAGATCGAGCCGACCACCATGGGAGGCAACAACCGCGGAAAGGGAAGGGACACCCCCCAAGCCGGTCCATCCCGGGGAACAGCACTCGAAGACTTCGAGGACCCTGACAGCCAGACTCTGGATCGGCAGGGAGAAGAATCCCCGACCAGGGAAGGCTAGCCATTACTGGAACCCCCGGCAACCTTTTCTGGCATGGACCCCCAGCCGTTTCAAACCTTGATGATGCAGGCCACGACTACCTTTTCCACGGGCCTCGGTAACCTCAGCATTACCTTAGCCAACCTCGGACATCAAGGAGGCCCGCCTCGGCCAAGAGACCACGCCCCCCCCCGCTTATGCGGTCAGCAAGCTGAAGATCGACGCCTCTTTCCAGGATGGGGAGGACTGGCTCCAAGCCGTGGAGCAAGGAAATGCCACACGCCAATATCGACCTCAGTGGCTCCAGGTCCAGTGGGCCAGTACCTGGATGGAACCGGAAACACAGCAGCAGTGGCGAGCCTACCAGAAGCAGCTCTACGACGGAGACTTCGAACGAGTTGTATGGTAGGAATTCAAGGACTACGTCAGCTCGGACTACCTCGGTAGTAAGTCTGGCGAAGTCCAGGCCCACAAGGACTGGCTAGTATGTAATCAATACGTTAGGTCCCCCTAGGAGTTTGCCGAGAATGGGCTATACTGTTACGATCCTGGTTCAGGCGTGCAGATGGCGGCGCTAGAGCCTCTGCAAATTGGCAGGTATAAACAGAAAGGTCCTCTGCAGATTGGCAGGTATAACCAGAAAGGTGAGGACCGCTTACTAGATTGGTACAGCCAATTCGGAAGTGCTCTGAGCGATTAGTTGCCAAGAGCCACAGAGCAGTAGTGATCTGTACGCTCTATGAGTAGAGCGCTCGGGACCCGTAGAGCATCTAAAAGAAAGACTCTAGTTGGTTACTTATAGCACTATATAGGAAGCTAGAGGAATAGTTGTCACGAATCCCTGTTCGTACTGGTTGGGAAGCAGGGCAGGGGTGGCTGGACCCGCCTCGGCTAGTCACGTTAAAGGAGGGGCTTGGACCCACAGTTGCTCTGTTCGGTGGAGAACAGAGCAGAAGGGCCCGCATTTGCTCTGCACGGTGGAGTACAGAGCAACAGTCTGGTTGGCTGCTCTGTAGCTCTGTCGGGGAGCAACAGAGCAACGGTTTGGTTGGCTGCTCTATAGCTCTGTCGGAGAGCAACAGAGCAACGCTCTGTAGCTCTGTCAGAGAGCAACAGAGCAACGCTCCAATTGGCCCAGCTTAGATAGATATATACGATGACCGTGGCACCGGTCTTAGGTAGTTCTTGCTTGGTTCTTCAAGCAAGCAATACACATTCACTGCACTCATACACTTTGAGTGGCATTCCGATTTGACTGTATTACCCGTGCGATAGGAGCTTGCCCTTTGTTCTATCTTTATAATTACCAACCCCAGCATTCTGTGGAGCCCGTGCTCCCTTACAGACAGACGACCCGGACAGTCGAGTGGTTTGTAATACTTGCCCTTTGTTCTATCTTCATAATTACCAACCCAACATCCTGTGGAGCCCGTGCTCCCTTACAGACAAACGACCCTGACAGTCGAGTGGTTTGTAATAATAGTCTCTAGGAGTTAGTTCCTTAGCTATTAATATATATAGTTTATTATTTAATACTGAACTAATTAAGAGTAAGATGTTACGATCCTGGTTCAAAGGTGCAGAGGGCGTTGCCCGCCTTCTGTGGATTGGCTGGAACAGCATTTAAGGTGGGGGGCTCTCGCTCGAAGGTGCATCCAATGAGGGAGTGCTCAGTGGGGCCATTGCCGAGAGCCACTGAGCGCACTAAGCGGGGAGCTCAGTAGGCTCAGTGCCGGAGACCCACTGAGCGCACTGAGCGGGGAGCTCAGTAGGGATCAGTGCGTCTAGGACTGAGCACGACTGAGCATGTGAGTCAGGAACTCTGATTGGTCCTCCTTAGATAGATATATACGACGACCGTAGCCACGGTCTTAGATAGTTCTTGCTTGGTTCTTCAAGCAAGCAATACACATTCACTGCACTCATACACTTTGAGTGGCATTCCGATTTGACTGTATTACCCGTGCGATAGGAGCTTGCCCTTTGTTCTATCTTCATAATTACCAACCCCAGCATTCTGTGGAGCCCGTGCTCCCTTACAGACAGACGACCCTAACAGTCGAGTGGTTTGTAATAACCGGGTCTAGCTCCGTAGAACTTGTGAGGGCCTGGTCCTCAAGGCCTCCCAGACGCTCTGACTAATCAGACGCCAGCCGGGTGGATCCACCCGACCAGCCAGAGGGATCCACCCGACTGACCAATGGAAGCTCGGCTAGAGCCCCACCTTGAAACGCCCTGGAAGAATCTCGCGAGGGGAGGCTTTTGAGCCTCTTTTCCCTTTTCCCTTTAGTTTAGAATCTTCGTCTATAGCGCCCAATAGAGGAGTTCCGCCCTCATTCCAAGCCGGCCGTGACAGGACTCTCGGTATTCCAGATTGTAACACTCGCGGCGAGGGTCTTCCACGTCGGCAGCCCAAGCGATATTATAAAACTTCCGAAGTAAGGGCTCTACCCAGCTGAACTTCGGGATAACGGATTTACAGCTATTCTAGCCCCTCAATACCAGAACAAATTCTCATGATAATTCGATGTTTCGATATTCATGGTGTAATTGTTAGATTTTTAGGGGGCAAGCCCCCTAGGACCCCTGGTGCCTGCGGCGCTCTTGGCTTGCGGCGCTTGGAGTTTGCGGCGCTTTCTTTCATACAGCTTACGCGTTATATCTACTAATTGGGAAATTGCTCCTTCCTGACACACACCCACGACACAGCAAAGCGGCATTTCACGGCTTAACCTGTCCGAGGTTCATCCGATCGACCAGTCCCTCGAGTCCATTTCGACACGGACGAAAACTGGCCAATCCTCGGGCGAGAAACTTTCGGCACCTTCACAGTAAAGTAGAAGAGACAGCCTCTCTACGCCACCTCCGGCTCGCAAGCTCGCCTACGGTGGCTCCGTTCAGCTGAATTACTGCGGTGGCGTTTCGGCCTCTCACCGTCGACGAGTTTCAGTACGCCTTTGAACATGGCCCACAGCCACCCAGAACCCAAGCCCAGCCAATACGGAAACGCATCGAGGCCATCTGTAACGGACTACTTGATGTTCAATGTCGACATTGGCAAAGGAAACAAAGAAGGCCGGATACAAAGCTCTCCACACCATCTACCCCTTCAACTTTAGACCCACATCACTTCGTTATTACTTCAAGCTTTGCAGCTCCCTGACGGCAGGATTTAGGACTGAATTTCAATCAGGTCCACCCGAAGTTAAGTACTCGATGTTCAACGCCAAGAGCAACAGCAAAGTGTCAAGGGAAGAAATCGAAATCGACGTCGGATGGCCCGGCTCCGGCCAAGATCCCCCAACCTCTGGAGCTTGGCATGATGACACGTATACAGAGCCAGTCGACTGAATCCGTGATATTGAGTTTGTCCATCATAGCCTTGAGCTTGCTTTTGACTACCACAATATGCACATCACGACAAACTGTGCGCAGCCGACCTTGGGAACGAGATTATTCGCCTTGCCACTATCCAAAACAGAGGATTCGATCCGGGGCTGAAGCAAAAGATTGAAACAATCTGCGGACCGCCTCTGCACTTTGCCGCCCACCACTCTCTCCCGAACCTCGTAAGTCTGCTGCTGCAATACGGGGCCGATGTCAACATGCGGTCGCCTAAACATACAAAATTATGTCTCTTCCCATAGGTCCAACCAGGCTGATGGTCCAGCTCAAATCCATTTCCGCCCAAACTACTTTACTCGCCGTTAATTCCTAATGACCGGCTCCATTTTGTAGAATATGCTTAAGAGACGCAAGCTAAAGCTAAACTCAACCGTTAAATAGAGCCCTTCCGGAAACTCTAGGGTCTCGGAGATGCCCGGCAAGATTAACAAGGGCATGCAAAGTGCCCATGTTTCTCCTAGGAGCCCGTTTCAGCGCAATAGGCTCCTGTTGCTTATAACACATGTTAACACGGTGACCAGGCAAGCTGAATGCTCAACAAAACCGAGACCGCAACGTTTCAGTGGTCGGTGCTGGAGGCTAAAGGGGACCTAACAGTTCCTAGCAATTTAAAAACAATTCTACGTTGATTGGCATAGGTCCAAAGATAGTGTTTATGCACGATATGTTAGCGTCAAAAGGTCAGATGACTGATGACTGGATGGTACGGAATACGTAGAGGATACCCGGGCAATGGGGCGTGCCGATGCAGGGATGGTCCTCTTTGCAACATCAAACCTCGCGAATCGAGATTGCTGCCTAGAACGTGGCCCAACCGCCCAAAGCAAATCCAACAAGGGAATTGAAATTTTTGACTCCGTACGGGCTTCCCGTGAGCGGAGTGACTTCAACGTCAATCAGCATTGCAAACATGTCATTTTGCGGGCCATGCGAAGCCATTTTTATTCGCCAGACGGTTTTTGTCGACAAGAATTATGACCATCACCGGACATGGCAAAGCTTCCTGGCAGCGGCGGACCAGGGCTGCCCCGTTTGTTGGCGGAGGTTTGACACATTAGCACCGGACCACCGGGCATTGCTACGGCAGCTTGGTGCAAAATGGGATCAGGACCTATCAACTCATTCAATCCGATGCGCAACCACCGTCAGATTCACCATGAACAGCGTGGGGTGCCTGTACATGGCCTTCTGGTCCCAAAGCGACGCAGAATATGTCCCGGTCCCCGATGGGCAGGAGCGTCCAGACCCGCGATATTTCCTCGGTCGCCACCTTCGCACTCTTGTCTTTGTACCTTCTGGTAAATTTAGGTTCTCACCGATTGGGGCGCCTGTCACGGGGATTCGAGTCCGTGTTAATTACCGAGTGTGCTAATTGGAAGCCAGAGGAGGGAGATGGATACGTTGCTCCTCTCCAAGGAACGAATTCGTCCTCAATATATACCTGGAACAATGTACAATCCTGGATAGGAAAATGCGAGTCCGATCACAAGGAATGTGCTGGTCGGAGTGATGCAGGCTGGTATCCAACGCGCCTGATTGATCTTGGGGCTCAAGACCAGCAACCTGCCATCTCTGATATGTTCAGAGTGGTGGAAAGGGGTGAAGTGTCACCGGGAGAACGGTACACCACACTCAGCCACCGGTGGGATACGATGCAAACTGCGCGGTTGACAGTCGCTACCATGCCCACATATCGATCTGGGGTTTCTATTTCAACGCTCTCGAGGACATTCCAAAACGCAATTGCCGTCACACGACGCCTTCAGCTTCGGTACATGTGGATCGACTCGCTGTGCATAGTCTAGGATGGAGATGATGGCCGCGACTGGGCCATAGAGTCTACGCAAATGGACAAGGTTTATCTGAACAGCTTCGTCAACATAGCAGCGAGCGTGGGCTCCGGAAAGGAGGGTCTTTTCTTTGAAAGAGACATTGCTTGGTCGGAGAGACTACAGCTGGACCTGAAAATCGATCGGGGCGACGGCAAAACCACTAGCGGCAGCTTCCTCCATGTCCCCTACCACAACTGGGAGCGCATTGATATGTCGCCTCTTTCGCAAAGAGGCTGGGTTCTGCAGGAGCAGCTATTGTCTCCTCGCATTTTGCATTTCGACCGGAGGGAGGTCTTCTGGGAATGCTGCCAGGCGGTCGCCAGCGAGAATCTTCCACGCGGATGGCCGAACATCGACGCTGACAAAATGGGCAAGGTTGCCATGGTAGTCGCGAGGAAGCGGCTAAATCCCTTGAACGACAATCTATGGGCCTATGCCAACGACAATGACGCCCCGGTCACAGGTTTCGCAGGCGAAGGCCTCCACTACATACTGTGGTTCGGCCTCGTGCTAAAGTACAGTGCCTGCCAGCTGTCGTACGAGAGCGACCGACTTGTTGCCATATCTGGCGTGGCGAGATACTTGAAGACTATCAACAAGGATCAGTATGTGGCCGGCCTGTGGCGCAGGCATCTGGAGAAGGAGTTAGCCTGGTCGACCACTCGTCCTCTGCCTGCTGACACGTCTTACCCGTATTATGCGCCGTCATTTTCCTGGACGTCAGTCAATGGGCTCATCGAACCCGCGACCCATCTCACCAGCGGAAAGCCCCTGGTACAAGTCCAACCCGTTCACATGCCTTCAGCCAGCAATTCAGCCACCGGACCTGCGCAGCGGGACCAACCATTTCAACAAGACGTCTTCGGCCCCGTCTCAGGGCCGACGGTGCAGATCAAAGTCACAGGACAGCTCAAGTCCATGTCCATGTTCACGTATGGTGGATCATGGTACCTACTCCCCTCCGGCAGTTCCCGCAGCCCGCCGCCGCCCAATACTATCACCTCTATGGTTGAAAACAAAGCCTTCGAGGCGGAGTTGGACCACACAGTGGAAGATGCTCAAGTGGCGTCATTCCAGGCTAAAACGTTCTACTACGTGCCGTGGCTTGTCTATGAAACAAGAAATGTCATACAATGCTGCTTAATCTTGGAAGAGCACGACCGCGCTATGAGACAGTTTCGTCGCATAGGCATCTGCAAGCCCCTCCCCGCGCACCAGCATAAGGCATCCCTTTTGCTTCGAGAAGATCCGCATCGGGACCTCCTGCCAGGGTACGATGAGAAGACACAACTGCACACGATATACATCATATGAGGCCTGTTGCTTTCCTGGTGCGGATCTGTTGGGAATGCTGATTTCGATCGAGTAGGAAATCACCAAGCGACACGGTAGTACCCTCCTAGGTAGTGGGAGCCATGTGTGTTAACCCTGAGTATAATTTAGAACTATTTGTCGTCGTCCATACGGCAGCAGGATGCGGGGGCTATCACGCGATCTTTCCCGTTACTGTGATTTTGGACGCTGTCGGTATCCATGGCGGGCCACAAAAGTCGTCATTGACGAGGGGATAAGTGGCCGAGGAAAAGGGGGTTATTTACACAGAGCCCAAAGGGGGTAATATCCCTAAACAAGCAGCTCACCACGGGCCTTTCCGTGAATCGCTAGCACTCCTAACTATTATACTCGGGAGTAATTCTTGATGACCAGCTCCATCTTGTGGAAGATACTCGAGAGATGCGAGCCAAAGCTAAACTCGACAGTCAAGCAGAGGCCTTCTGGAAGGTCTAGGGTCTGAGAGACGTTCGGCAAGATTTCTGGGTCGTTGAATCTCTTGCGGACGTCGTCGAGGTCAGTCCCGCTGGCGAGAACCATGGCCGCGTGTATGCCGGGGCGGTCCCGAAGGGGTTCTGGGGCAGCGGCTCGAGGCTGACGACGACGAAGCTGGCTATGTCGCGCGTCTCTAGGATCGCGCCCATGGCTCTGTAGTGGAAGTTGACGAGAAAGTAGCCCAGGACGATGCGGCGTTCTAGTTTTGTCGCGTCCAGGCTCGCGGCTCGCGGGTCATCGTCCTCGTCGATCTCATCGAAGACGACCATATAGGCCTCCTGCGACGGCAGGCCCTGGCTATCAGACCGGGGCTAGGTAGCGCCGAAGCCCACCAGCTCCAGCCAACCCTCGGGCGACACTTGGCGGCGGACGGACGGGTGGACGAACATGCCGGCGATGGGCTCCGAGGCCCGCGGGACCGGCCTGACGAAGATCAACTGGTCGCCCGTGTTCATGTAGTCCGCTTCGACGCCGATCCACGCATTTTGCTTCGGGTTGTTCAGATTGAGGTTGTCGTTGTACAGGGTCGCTGCGACGTATTTCCTGTGAGCGGCGGTCAGGCTGCCGCAGGGGACCGAGAGGCGGTTGTCCCGGATCTCTAGCAGGAGGTCGGGACAGATTCGGGCGTACTGCTCCTCGAGGACCGAGGCCCGCTGGAGGAGGACGGCGAGAATGCAGCCTAGCCCTTCGTGACGGTTGCGGCACTGGAGAATGGCTAGGAACACGGACTGCGACCTATCGCCTGGGAAGGGAGCTAGACGAATGGAGATGCGGAGCCCGCGGCTGGTCAACTCGAAAGCCGATGCGGGCTTTGAACTGCGGCCGGACGACGTCGTGGGAGCCCCGGAAGGGCCTCGGTGACGTGGCCAGCAACCCCCAGTACGGCTTTGAAGCGGCCTCGTGCTTCTCGGCGCGCCAGGCTAGAATGGTCTCGTCTTCTGAGATTTTCAGGATCTCGGCCTGCAGCCGCATGAAGGCCTTCTCCTCGCCCTCCCCGTAGAGCAGAGGCATGTGGACGTCAAAGAGGCCTAGCAAGCAGTAGGCCAAGTCTTCGGGCCTCGTTGTGACACGCCCCGAGGCCCACGCCATCTTCGACGCGACCGACATGGAGCCAACCGTCGCGTTTCCCTCGAGAATCTGTCTTGGTATTCCTGTTCTTCTTGCAATGTGGTCGGCGAGCTCTGCTCTGGTGCCGAGGGTGACCCGGCCGCGCGAGAGGAAGATGACATTGGTCGGGGCGACAAGCTCCTGGAGTGTCCAGCCCCTGGTGAACCACTTGCTCTCCCCGAAACGCGACCGGTCCTGGACTAAATCGTCGAGATTGTCCACGTCTGCGAGATAAGCATACCAGACCTCCGCGCTCCGGTGCCACTGGAACATGGAGTTGATGGCCTCAGAAAGATCAGCGCTGCTGGTCTTGTCGATACAGCACGTGTCGATCCAGATGTAGCCAAATCCCTGCTGCTGCGCCAGCTTGGCGCTGTTCACCAGCTTGGCAAACCCCTTCAACTGGCTGACATGTTCTCGGGGGCCCATCATGCCCTGGAAAGTAGCCTCATCATCCTCCCACGTGTGCGACAGAATGGCATACGGCGGGACATCTCCGAGGAACGCCTTGAGTTCTAGGGTGCCCGTGTCGAGGAGGCGCATGTTCTGGTGTGGTTGGGGGGCGTCAAGGGGCTGCTTGTTTGTTTTGTTTCGCGGTTGCTACTCAATAATAGTTCACGAGCGGGAAAATGGAGTCATGTCACGATCGTCGACACTTCGATGCAGCTGAGCGCCACACTCACGTGATTTCAGGCAGCACTGGGCTGTGTGCATGGCATGGAATTGCTTGGAAATAAAATGGGGAGCACAAGGCTCTGTGGCTGTCTGCAATCGCCGTTGCTGTCCTCGAACCATCACCATCGCCTCGAACCATCACCATAGCCTCGAACTATCACCATTGCTTCATCTCGACTACCTCAACCTAGGACTACTACAACCTCGTCGCAAAAGTGTCGAACCAACATGGCCGAGGCGCTCGCTGTCGTGGGAAGCGCAGCGAGCGTGCTACAGCTGGTCGACTTTGGGCTCGGTCTCGCGCGCGAGAGGCCTACTCGTTTGTCTGGGCGGTAAAAGACGCACGACGAGACACGCAAGACTTTGCCGCCCTCATCGGCGACATCCGCCGGGCCATGGAGATTGTCCGGGTGTACATTGCCCAACACGCACCGGCGCCTGCCGCCCACCCGGACCTACCAGCGGCCTTGACAGATGGCGTCCGGAACTTGGTAGAGCGCCTGCATGCCGTTCGAAAGCTGCTGACGACCACACCTTACACTGCCTCCGGCTCCAGCACTGCAGCCGGCACTGGCACTGTTCCCAGTCTTTCTCTGGCCCGTCGAGTAAAATGGGTCCTGGCATCCAAGAAGTTTCACGAGGCATTCATACTCCTTGAGAGCCAGAAGACGTCGCTGCAACTACAACTCCAAGTTGCGAGCCTGTAAGCGATCCGTCACTCACGAGGGGCTTCAATACATAACAGCACCTGACTAGGAACATTGAATGCTGACTGAATGATGAACGTTGGACGGCGTGGGCCAACGGCAGCAAGCCGCGTCCCTCGAACAGAAGCTGTCCCAAAGCCTGCAGAGCTTTGTTGACGGCTTCACCCAGGACCAGAACACGATTCTGGACAGACTAGACAACCACGGAGCGTCACTTAGGGACTCCTTTGAAGGCCAAGCTCAACTCCTCTGTGATCGCCAAGACGCCTTCCAAAGCGTGTTGAGCGGCCGTGTCGAGGACCTCGAGCAACAGTTTGAACAAGGCAAAGAGCGAGACATGGAAATGATGGGCGCGTTGGAAGCCATGCAAGCCAAGGTCCAGGCGTCAATCTGCCGTATTAGGGCCCTTCAGTCTTTAAACAGCCGACTCCTAGAGAGGATCTCGAATATCGAGACGTCAGACGCCGCAATAGACAGCGAAGCCCTTGCCGCAATCGTCCGGGCAGAGATGCAGAATGTGTTGCTGTCCCTTGGCGGCAGCCTCCTACCTGACCGGCCAGTGACAGATGGCCCGCTGGCCCAATTTGCGCAGAAGATCTCTGACCAAATTGGAAGGGACTTCCTATTGTCCGAGGAATCAGGGCGAGGTGCGGGTACGAGCGCAAGTACCCAAGACGCTGAACCTCAGAGTCATGAGCGCCATTCAATGGAACTAGTCGACTTTGGTCCAAACACTGGATCGATAAGACCAACCAAGCAAACCAAGCAAACCGCTAGATTTTCTCGCAAGTTTCTAGGAGGCATGGGTTTTCTAGACGTGACCATCACCACGACTAAACAACCGCGGGATAACGCTTCTGGACGCATTGGGAAGCGAAAAACAGTCATCAAGGTCACCTTCCGCCCCGCTGCGTGGCTCCCTCTCGTCGCGTGGAAACGTCTCTCAAGCTGGAGGCGAGCCACAGGGGTTTCAACAATATCCAGCCCGGCTTGAGATGGTTCTCGGTCATCCCTAATGATTCTCTCGTGTTTAAAAGTATAGAAACGTGGGATTTGGATCACCTTAAATACCTCTTCACACACGGGCTTGCTTCCCCGTTTGATCAAAACGATGAAGGATGGACCCCACTCCATGTGAGATCTCCCATTTTCATCATTTACGTACCTTGAGCACTTGATTACTTGATTGAAGGCTAGCGAGTTAGCTACTCACCTTTATATCTTAGCACGCCGCCATGGTTGCAAACTCTGAGATCTGCAGCTACTTGATCAGCGAGGGCGCAGATTTGGCAGCATCCCAGAGGTAAGTCGAGCCAGAAGCGCCAGTTCTTGTTTGCCGCTGCATATTGGTCTCCTTGCTGACATGTTATGACCCGCGCCGTGCGCCATTGGTTAACTATTTAGTGATGGCTGGCGGCCTCTAGACATCTTTCACTTAAGGGCCATTCAGCAGGTTTCCTTAGCCGCAACAATGGAACATAACCGCAGCCAATTTTTGATGCAAGATTCTATGCATTTCAGTCGAATTTTCACTAATACGGCCCATGATAACTCTGACGCTTTCGATGATAATCCGGGCCTTTTTTTAGTCTCACCAAGGTTTCATGAATCATCCTCCCGTGAAATTGAGGTTTTGGAAGCGACTGTGGAGAACGGCCGCGAGTATATTAGACGATGGTGCTCCTATTTAATCCAACAGGACGTCCGGTGCCCCGACCGCCCATTTCCTAGACTGGAGAAGTTAGGAACGACGCATCTTCATCTGGAAGCCGCGCACGCGATATTGAATCCATGGGGACTTGATATGCTGGTATTCTGTGGTGCCGACGTCAATGCGGTGAATACAAACGGCGAGATTGTCTTGACACTAATACTTCAGAGTGAATCAGGCCAGCGAAGCCGACGCCTTTTACGCAACTGCCTCCGCTCTCTTCTTGCCCACGGCGCCAAACCCAGCATGGTCGATTCCTACGGATTGACACCAACACTACACGCCTCGAAGTCGGGAGTCCTTGAAGGCTGGGCCGCTGAGCTCCAATATGCAGGCTACGACGTCTGTGAAATTTCAAAGAAGGATACGAGCCTCATGGAGCAGCTCATCGCTGATCGGTCAATTAAGGCTAGGAGAGGAGCAATCTCGACCTCACTTGAGGGCAATATTGATTATCGACAGTTACCGACACGGCGAGCTCCGTGGACTGGGGTAACAGAGCAGGAAGAATGAGAAATGGCCATGACCGCTACGAGGGAGCGAGCTGGCTCCATGCCACACAGATTCATGCGTCATCATGTACAAGGAATTATTTCTCCGACTTGCATAGGTTTTTCACAGCCATGCCACTTCAGTGGCAAACTGCTCGGCACCGCCAGCCTCTGCCGGCGAGCGCTTTGCTCGTGTGGCGGTTTCGAAAGCAATGCGGTGCAGATAGCTCGGACCGCCTGAAACAAGTCGACGTGTTTGCCGCGCCGCCTCATTGGACAAGCAGACGGCTGGGAATGGCCAGGTAGCACACGCCCACCACCGGCTCGGCACTCTTCCCCACACCCGCATCTCTCCCAGGCTAGCCATAGGGCGGCAGGACGGGACGGACGAGACCAGAGCACACAGCATCTCGAATCTGTGCCGCTAAACCTCTCCCTCCCCCGCCCCCAAAGCGGCTTATGACAGGGGGCTGGGCCACACAAAGCGGTGGTCGGTCCCGACAGCGCGGATGCAACTCTGCTGGCAATCCGCGGCAATCTGCTGGCAATCTGCTTGCAATAAAGGCTCTGGTGAGGCCCGCAAACGAAAAGAGGCTAGCCCTTTGTCAGTTACGGCCTGACACCTAGCACGATGCAGACGCGACGGAGCAAGCTGGGTTTTGTTCCTGGCCGAGAAAACATGGTGAATCCCCCGAGGGCGGTGTTCCGGAGGGAAGAGCTGGCAGAGAACAAAGAGGCAATTCACATCCGCCAAGGTCCAGTTCCCCCTCCTCCGGTCTTTGGCGTCCCGCCGGGGAAGCCGCCGTTTATCGGGAGGCCGGTGACAGTCTGGACCAAGACCGTAACGAGCACGAGCACGGATTCCGAACTGCCAGCTCCCGTCTCATCACCAACTTCCCCCTCCGTGCCAACAGCTCCAGCAACTACCCCCACCTCTAACTCACCTCCAAGTCCGACATTACCAACCGAAACCCCAGACCACGCCTCAACATACTCGGCCCCGACGACGACAACCACCTACGGCGGAGTTGGGCTTCTGCCCTCTACGCCAAGGACAGCCACATCTACAGGTGCCGCCTCAAAGTGCTGACGACAGCCAGGGTCACGCATACTAACACTTCGACGCAGATCCAGGACGCTCCAGCACAAACCCCGCAGAAGCCCTGGCCCCAGTCCCAAGCACTACGCCGAACAGCAATCCGCTCTCTTCTGACCAAACAGCAGGCATCGTGATCGCCTCCATCTGTGAGTCCCCCTCCCCCTCCCCCTCCCCCTCAACAACCCCACGATCCGAATCTAACCCATCTCCGCATCCAGTCGGCACCGTGTTCATCGTCGCAGCGCTGCTCTTCGTGTGGAGCCGGCGCAGCAGCCGCCACCGGCCCGACAGCGTGCTCGAAGAACAGATCGACGACCCGCTGCTGCTCGAGGCGCGCGGCGGCCGGCGGCCCACGGCGGGCGCGCACAACTGCAACAGCAACAGCAACAGCAGATCCATCTTCCAGCGCCCGCCGCCGCTGTCGGCGTCGGGCTCGTTCGTGGCCGCCATGTTCTCCCGCAGCAGCGGTCACAACAATAGGCCTGAAAGCGGGCGCAGGGGGAATATGCTCCTGCCGGCGTCGTTCTTCACCCGGCGGTCTGAGGCCTCGGTTGCTGGTGCGGGCGTTGGGGCGGGCGGCGAGTCGATGCAGTCGGTCGCTGTGTCGGAGAATGAGAGCGTCTCGTCGCTGTGGACGGCGCCGTCCGAGGCTTATAACGGTGTTGCTGCTGCTGGGGGCTTCGTGTCGCCGACTGCGCTGCGGTATCCTAAGGCGTCGCTGCAGCTGCCGCTGCAGGGGGTGCGTGCCGTGTCGAGGCTGAGTGTTGGTGCCGGTGCCGGTGGTGGTGCCGGTGCCGGTGGTGGTGGGCTAGCCGGGGAGGAGTCACGAGGTCAGGCTTCGCCTGTAGTTGCGCCGTTGGCTGATGCGTCGTCGGAGTTTGGCTTGCGCGGGGGTGGTAGGTATGAAAGCATGGGGTCCGGCAGGGAGAGGCCGGGTTGGTGATTCCATTGTGAAAGCGCTGGATGTCATCGCGGAGATTATGCAAATTCCTAGTCTCATCTACTGTTTGACAAGATCTTGGTGTCACGGAGCGTGTCTTGGTATGTGAGGAACGCCCCTCAGGTAATACGAGATTGTGGAGCGTATTCACAGAGCCTAATTAGCCGTTCAGTTACAGACGGTGGCTAAATTCGGATATAATTATGATAACGTTTTTATAACTGTAAAATCGTTGTCGTGCACTGTAGTCTGCCACATATAACCCTAACCCTAGAAACCTACCCCGCCCTCCAGTACGTCCAAGATTCTGCCGCGTAGTAATTTACCACTTTTTACCATAACGCAACCGAACCTTACCTTTCCACTACAACCGACCTTCCACAAGCACTAAAAAACACTTCAGCACCGCATCAGTCGATGCATCGGTATGGCTTCATTTCTTCGTCGCGCAGTACTAACTAGTGGTAAAAAAGGCCGCTTTTGAAGATCTAAGCGATCTGAGCGACTTTGGCCATCTCAGCGATGCGCCTGATGAAAATGCGCTGCCGCCATCACCACTCTCGAACCCACCGGCCGGCCATAAGCTCTTCAACACCAAGGCACGTAGCGTGTTAGCCGGGGCGGTACAACATCACGAGCTTCACGTGGCCCTGCAGCCTCTGCAGTGGCTGAAGGTCGTGTTGTAAGGCCTACACGAGTGGAAGGGTCCCGTGACCGAGTGCCCGGGCATTGGAAGGTATGGATTAGACGTGGCGACCCAACAAAGAAATCGCCCCACAACGAAATCTCTGCCCCTGTCATCTAATTTCCCGCCCTTCAACTTCAACACAACACAACTTCATCAATTCAGGCTCGAATAGCTTCAAAATACATCATGTCGAACCGTCGAGAGCAGCTAATTCAATCTGCAATACTTGCAGTTGAACAGGGCGCATCGCAGAAGCAGGCCGCGCATGACTTCGGGATCCCTCCTTCTACCCTCTGCAAACGCATCCACGGGGCAGAAAATCGAGCACAAAGTAAACAAGCCGAAAGAAACCTCTCCAATGCGCAGGAAAGCTTCCTAGCCGACTGGTGCCTCAATGAGGAGGCTGCAGGCAGGGCTCCTAGCCGTCGTCAGGTGCAGAGATTCGCTCAAGCTATACTCAATGAGGCCGGCACGAAAAAGACCATTGGGGAGCGATATGTGGACCGCTTCCTACGCCGCAACCCGGCGGTAAAGATGAAGAATTCAACCTTGTTGGAATCCTCTCGAGTCTGCGGATCTACTCGTGAAGCTTATGAAGCTTTCTTCAAGCGCCTGGCCTTCCAAATCAAGGATAAAAAGGTCATCCCGGCCAACATCGCTAACATGGATGAGCACGGCATGCAGGAGCTCGAGACCCGGGCCGGAAAGGTCATAGGAAGCTCCCTGACGAACCGAACCTACGTGAAAAGCTCTGATGCAACAACCTGGGTTTCAGTTATCGAATGCGGCACTGCTGAGGGCGTTCGTTTGAAGCCCGTGATCATATTTACCGGGGCCAGTCTTCAAGGACAACACTTTCCTGATAACTTCAACCTGACGAAGGAATTCCGGGAATGGAAGTACGATTACTCAATTACAGGCTGGAGCAACGCCAGTATTGCGCTGAAATGGCTCAAAGAGGTCTACCTGATCCAAACAAAGCCCCAAAGGCCGGGCGAATGGCGTATACTGATCCTTGACGAACATTCGAGCCATATGAACGAAAAATTCATGTTAGCGGCCTTCCAAAATAAGGTCCAGTTCGTCTATTTACCTTCTCATACATCGCACAAGTCTCAGCCTCTCGATCGCTCGGTCTTTTCACCTTTAAAGACCTATTTTAGGGAAAATACCAAGGCCCTCGCGAGCTTCACATCGTCAGCTCCTGTCAACAAGGTTCGGTTCCTTTACTGCTACAGAGATGCCTCGGGTAAAGGCATGAGGGCCCGTAACATCATGTCGGGCTTCAGTAAAACCGGGATTTGGCCCTTCAACCCGGCTTGTTTACTTGATGACCCTGAGGCGGTCAAGGACAATGAGGCACTCCCGGCCCGGCCTTCAACACCGCCGCCGACGGCCCCGAACGACGATGACAGGCTCTTCAAAACACCGCACGGCAGTCAGGACATCAAGAAGTACCAGGACAGTATTCGGAATGCCCTCAGTCCGGCTCAGCGGCGTGTGCGGGCCTTGTTTACTAAGGTCGGGAGGTCCCTGGATCTGAAGAATACAGAGATCGCGTCTTTGAAGGCACAAATTACGCATCTCACAACCGAATTAGAGGCTTCAAAGCCTCGCACGCGTAAGAGGGTATATGAAGATGGAAATGAGCGATTTGCACGTATAGAGGACATCGCCAAGGCACAAAAAGCTAGTCAAATACCCCCAAAGCGGAAAAAAACGGCTCGGGCAGAAAGCCAGCCACATGCAGTCGAAGAAGCCCGGGAAATAATCGCCCGTGGGCTCGAACAATATAGACAGGCCGAAGAAGAGGATTGAGTATTTTTTTGCTAGTTATTTTGTGTAGAAATGGATAATTTGCGCCCGTGGAGTGGGTGTGGGCATGGCGTGGGCCAATTTCGTTGTGGGGCGATTTCTTTGTTGGGTCGCCACGTCTAGTAGGTATGGATTAGTAGTTGTGAGCAGTTGTGACAGGCCGCAGTTTTTTATTGCATTTTTGGCCATGCTACTTAAGCGAACTATACGAAGTCAGCTTGTAGATTTGAACGATTTGAGCGATTCCACGGCCCTGGGCTGGAAGTACCGCATTCGGAAGTGTGTTGAAATTGGCGACGGCGGCGAGGTGCAATTGGGGTACAATTGCGCTGCTGGTGCTTGGAGCGGTGCAGCTAGCGAAAGTGGTAATTTCTTGGGTGGTGAGCTGTAAGGCCTTGGCACCGATGTACCTACAGTGCACGACAACGATTTAACAGTGTGTAAAAACGTTCTCATAGTTACTCACAGGGCTACAAGCAGCAGAGCAACAGCAAATCCCATGCCCATCGTTAAGGAGCCGCCCAAAGCCAGGCCCCGTGGAGTTGCAACACCTCCGCTGGTGGCACTCGTGGAGCCGTTCGAGGCCGGCACCGTCGCCGCCAAGGGTGGCGGAGCCGAGATGGTGACACCTGCTGCCGTAGTTATCGGCGGGCCCGGCGGAGCGGTGGTGAACTGGGCGGTGGGGAAGTCGGCAGTGAAGTCGCCGTGGGCCGAGTAATAGCAGTCGGCGAGGGCAGTGACGATCTTGAGCAGCGCTTGCTCGTTGGGGTAGGGCGTCTGCTCCCAGCCGACCGGGCAGCTGGTGGGCAGCTGGTCGCCAGCACCCACATCATGGCGCTGTTGGCCTCCCAGAAGGACGTGACGGCCGAGAAGTAGGTCGAGTAGCTGGACAGGACGCTGGCCGGGATGGCCGTGGTAAGGCCGCACCACGACTTCGGGTCCGTCACGTTACAGCCGAGACGGCAGGTGCCTGTCGCCGTCTTGTCGCACGTCACGGCCACCGAGCCGCCGTACGAGTTGATGCCGCCGAGCACGTTGCCCGTCGGCGTCGGCATGGACGAGAAGTACTGCCCAATGTCCTCCGTGATGCACTCCCACGAGTCGGGCGACTGCGTGCTGTAGGGCGCCCTTCGGCGGCTCTGCCGGCCATGGCAGCCACGTGAGTCGCCGCCGGCATGTCGGCCAGGAACCTCGCGAGTGCAGTGTCGGCGGCCGTCGCGAGGATGACGAGTCCGCAGAGGGGCGACTTGAAGTGCATCGCGACGAAGGGGTTGAGGAGCGTGAGGAGCGTGGGCGACAGCTCCTGGAGGCTGGGGTCGACTAGATGCAGACGGCGAAAGAACTGAAAACAATGACGACGAAGAGGTTTGCGTTTTAGAAATCCGTGAGGGCTTGGGGCAACGGATTGGTCTAAATCATGGAAATGGAGCCTGAATTCAGTCCTGTTGCTGCTGCTCGCTGAGCTGGAGCCGTACCACCAGGGTCAAGTTACACAGAACAGCAACAACCAGGCGAAAAGCTGTACAAGCTCTCGAGCAACAGAGATTGCGGTGGGGTTGTTTCATAGCTTGAACGACTTCAACCAGCACGACAGTAGTACTGTATCCACCCGAAATTCACAACCAACAGTCTCCAACCACCCAAGCGGCCATTAGATGAGACCCCTAGTCGTTTGTGAATTCTGCGAGGTTACTCTGTACTCTGCGTGCGGTGAATTTGGTTGGTTTGCAAATTCGGCTTGGTAGTAAGAAATATCCTGTCGTTCATTTGCTCGTTACGAAATTCACCCATCTCAGAAGCCAAATAGCATGCGAAACAGTCAAGAATGAGGGTATTCGCAGTGTGTGTTAATTGATGTGTGTAGAAGGAAAGGTCTGCCCTGCAGGTCGGGGTCCCGTGCTGACCTGTGGAAAAGGTGTTTAATTACAGTGGTCTGTGCAGGCCCTGCATTGCACCATACCCGATTTAGGTAGGTCTTTCTGACAACCCACATTTCTCCCCTTTCTTGCTGCTGGGGCACTTCGTAGACGGCTAGAAATTAATAAGCGGGATTGTGGTTCTTGGGCCGATCATTTTCGTCCGGACTTCGGGTGAACAGACTACAAGCTACAGACAAGCCCCCAGATCAAAACGGCCATGTGGATTGTCGCCCACTTTTGAGCCACTTTTGAGCCACAGTGTCAAGTCACATCCCTGCATGTCCCTTCACTCGTTACTTTCAGCCCTGATCCCTTTTTTCGGGCTCCCGGACTTCTGAATGCCCTCTTTTCTCTCTTACTACGGGCTCCCGGACTTCTGAATGCCCTCTTTTCTCTCTTACTACGGGCTCCCGGACTTCTGAATGCCCTCTTTTTCTCCCTTGCTACGGCTGAGTCCCTTACATAGTACGACTGAACAGACTGTTGAACCAGGTTTCCTTTGTCCTTTTCTTGGAAGCATAAAAGGCCTTCTTTCCTGTATTATGAGATTGGAGGGGGACAGACAATTCAAGACCCTTCAAGTTACTGTCAACTTTGATCACGGGCCAGATGGATCCATTGTCATACCAACCGGAAGGCCAACGTGTTCAGACGGGCCTTGCTTCTAAGTGAGGACAGGGCGGCGTTAAGCGTCTTAGCAAGGCCGACAGGCCAGGGCGTTTGACCTCCTCCATTAGTACCCGTCTGACGGAGCTTGCTCTTTGCGCTTGCAAGATCAATCCATTTTCTGTTTCTCGCTCGATCTCGTACCACACAATACCATTAATTAGACCAGCCTCTGCCACAATTGCAGACCCGCTCAGAAATGTCTGATCTGGAGGACGTTACCTATTCGCGGTAGGCGATAATCGCCGCCGTGACGGACTACTACCGGTTCCTAGCTAAAATGTACCTGTCCGACTCTCAGGTCGTCTACCCACCTAAAGAGGGATGGCCGTGCATTACCCACGGCAACCCCAAGCTATTGAAAACCCTTGGCAAAACGCGCGAGGTCCTGCCGCTGCTAGCCCACCTGCCTTACATCGACCGCGGCGACAACTGGACCGACGACTTTGACGGCACGCCCGGCTGCTGCGTCGCCGACTGAAAAAAGCTAATCGCATCGCTGACCAAGCCAGGGGGCCGCTCCCCTGCCGAAAGCGTGCTCACCATCACCGAGGGCCCGGAGCTCACGGCTTTTACCTCGCCCCAAGTCTTCGGCCTGACCTGCGGTGGCCGCGACACCCGTCTCATGGCCCTGGATACCATCAGCTGCCATACCGTAGAGGGCGGGGATTGGAGCAACGGCCGCGGGATGAAGGGCAGGGCGGCCATGCTCAAGGACATCTGCTACCGCCAGCACGGTTGGCCTGACAGCACGCACTTCAAGGAGTCATACGTCTTGTAAAGTACCACAATCAGTCAGTTTGGGCACACATAGTTAACTACTACTGTTGTTAATATTCTGCTCGGTATCCCACATTTCCCAACCATCTATCCAGGCAAGATGTTCAAGAAAGTGAAGAAATCCAAATCCAAACGCCAAAAGCCCAAACAAAGCTCAAGTCCTAATTGAGAAAAGTCTCATCGCAAAAAGACAGACCGCACCGACACAATCCAGTTATACAGAAGAACCAAGTAGCAGGCCACCAAGACAACAACAAAAACGGCTCTCTGTAGTTGTCATCTCGAAGCCTCCTCACCCTCGCTGTCCTCCGCCTCATCCTCGCTCGGAACATACTCAAAGTCATACTCGTACTGCGTGATGTCTTCAGGCCAGCACTCTCCCCCATCGGGAGTGGTCAACTTGAGCTCGGGGCCCAAGCTCGGCTCCACCAAGTTCTTGCTCAGGAGTAGCACCCATCCGCACCGGCTGAGACGTCCGTGTGACCCCCCCTAAGTGAAGGTTGGGATTGTTCCATGTGTTGACGAAGCCGTCTTCGTCAATGAAACTGTGCCGGCCCCAGCTCGTTGCCACGAGTCCTGTCGGTGGGACTTGGTCTTCGGGCTCGTGCTCGTACTCATCTTCGTCGCAGTACTGGCACTCGTCGTGATCAACATTCTCCTCATCCTCAGACCTCTGGTCTTCGTCATCCGGATCCGAGACAAACGAAGAGCTCGAGTCGCTCTGGTCCATGTACTTCGGCGACGTCGTCGAGGTACTCGGCCGCCTCGTCGACGGCAAACGGAGAGACAACGCCCGGGTAGGCGGCCTCGAACGCGACCCGCTACGTCCTATTGACCGCCTTATACAGGTCGTCGTTGGGCCTGTACCAGTACACGAGCCCATTGCTGCCGAGCCCGTAGAGAACCAAAGAGCCAGGCGGTCCGGGCCTGGCGTGGTCCTCCGGCACGTCGAAGACGTCTACGATTTGCCAGGGATCGGAGGGGTCTTCCTCGTCCGAGGGTTCCGGGTGTTCTTCGGCATCGACTGGCACGGAGGCGCCTTCATCGGCGTTGTTTCCGGTGGCAGGGGTTTTGACCTCGGCATCGCCCGCGCATTCGTCGCCGCCGAGGTCGGTGTTGTCCGCGTCGGCAACTGACGGTTCACTCCAAACTCTGCTCCCTGACGATGTTGCACTGGAGCAGCTGACGGGTATGTTGGCACATGTACTACCAAGCTCTTGCATTAATGTCGAAGTCAAGCTTACCCATTTGTCGAACTTGAGAATTGGATTTTGTTGATCTCAGTGGTATCGAGATCTTTCGTAAGTTGTGGCTTGGCAATGGCCTGTTGCTTGTCTACCAGAGTCTCGGATGTGGTCTGGTTCGTGGCGGATTCGGTTGCATGCGCCTCCGTCCATGAATAGACAAGCTTCTCCTTTACCAATTGCTGCTCCGACTTATGCGTAATGGGCTCCGGGAAATAAACTCTGTCCCCGGACTCAGTCTGGAGATGCCTCTCGAAACTTTGGTCGAAGGTGCTCGACGCGACAATGTGGAAGTCATCCTTCTCCTCCGTATGGGTGAGGGCAAATGACTGTGATTGAATAGTAATGCGGGATTCCTGAATGGTTGCCTTGGTGTATTTGACAACCTTGAGTGGCGAAGCCACTGAGTCCACCGGTGCTGAGACAACCGGAGCCGAGTTTATGATCAGATCGGCGAAAGGAGCCGCGCAGTGGGCTTTGTTGAAATGAGTGAAAAAAGAGACAACCACGTCCGACAGTGGCTTTAGCGGCCCCCCGTGGCGAAAAGGCCGCAAAAGTCCCCGAAGATTGAGTAAGCGGTTAGTTGATTGGAGTTTCTTGTTGCTAGTAGGAGCGAGTGTGGACGGGACAGATAATGTGTAAGACTTTGCAGGCATGCAGGCAGGAGGCAATTATGTGCGATGGAGATGCTCACTATTGATTGCGCAGTGCTGAGACTGCCGCTGGAAGTTTGGACTCCGCACGAAGTGGTAAGAAGATGCTAAGGTGGCGTTTGACAATCAATAAAGTGATTGAGGATCAAACTCGGTCACACAATCGAATTGGGAAAACTCGGAGGGTTGCGGTGCTTGCAAGATGAGTGTGTTGAAGAAGAGAGAAAGTTTGGGAGAAGGACCTGTACTGCTGTCTGCAAGAGAGCTTCTTTTGTACATACTGGGGCAGCAAGAACAACGTATACTGTTCCAGTGAACAACAACCCGAGTTCTGGATGAACAACACTTTTATTCTGAGAGAGACCCACAGCCCTGCCAACCTAACTACGCAGTGAGGTAGACGCTCGTGAGTTAAACGTGACTTGGTAAGTTGCGTTACAAACGAACCTGACGTCAATGTTGGCAGGATGTCATTAACACATGACTAGTGGCTTGATTCGTATCCGATCCGGCTCCGTCTCCGGTCCGGCCCCTCTTCGAATCAACCCAGCCATCTTACCCACTCACAAGGGCAAGACCGCCGGTATCCACAAGGAAGCCCGAGCTTATTGCCGCCTTTGCAAAACTAATACCCACCACCCTAGCTCTATCTATGACCCTGGCTTGTCCCAGACAGGCCGAGTCCACATGAAAAAAACACCAGAAGCGTCACGACTATTTAGGTAGCATACCGCGCTATGATTGATGAATCGGAGTTAATGAAAGTTAAAGATATATGGCAAGAAAAAAATTTTCGAGTTGCGTTGCTGTTGTTGTTCAAATCTTCCCTAACTCTGCAAAACTTTCACATTACAGCCTGGTACTCTGAGACGAGCCTGGGCAAACGAAATTTCCATGCCCGTTCGTAATCCTGAGCCGCAGTAAGCTATGGCTGATTTGTCCTGAGCTAGGGTTATTCCACACGCGGGCGCTGCGCAGCCCCTGAAGCCCGTTTCTAGTCTACCTAGTTAAAATTAGCTTTCTAGCGCCTAGTTCTGGGCCATGAAGTAAGCTAGCGTGGGCTGAGAATTAGGTATCCTAGTCTATGGTTGTGGGGGCTCAGGTTGTGAGTTACGCGTTGAGTTAGGTGTTTTGGAGAGTATCAGGGCGTCGGGCGAATGTCTCACGAGAAACTGCAAGGCAGGTTGCACGATCCTATCGAGCCGCTCTGCCTCAGGCACTCTGGGCGGTAAGCGCGCGGGGTTGGGCAGCAAACATGGGCTTCAATCAGAGCCTCATTACAAGTTTGTCCATGGACCTTCCCCCTTCCTTTACCTCGTCAATCTCGATTTCTCAACTCCCGTCTTTGCGTGTGCAGCAACATGGATCCCATCTCGGCGATTGGTGTCGCGGCCGGGATCGTTGCATTTGTTGATTTTGCCTGGAACCTCGTCACGGGGACACTCGAGCCTGGAAAATCGGCATCGAACAGCATCGCTGACGACACTGATGTGTTAAACGTCATCAGTGACCTCCAAGCCGTCAGCTCAGCCCTGCGTGTCAGCGATCGGAAAGCGGACAACTACGAGTTCTCGGCACACTTGCCGGCCCTTTATGCCATTAGCGACGACTGCCACACGGTAGCGACAGACATGTTGGCGGCTCTCGAGCAGTTACAGAAGAGTAATACAGACCGTGTGTGGCGCAAGTTGAAGGTCCAATGGATGAGGATGAGGAAAGAGGAGAAGCTCCAAGGAATGGCCGCCAAGCTCCGGGATTATCGCCTGCAGATTATTCTTCGCCTGAATCTCATTTTGAATCTCATTTTGAGGTACCGACACCCCTCACCCTCACCCTCATCTCCCGTGGATGTTGATCAAGAAAATCATTATAGAGATCAGCAGTGCTCCCTCCTGTTCAGGGTCGAACAGCTCAGAGCCGAGGCTATCATGAGCAGGATGGAGACCCTGACTCGGTTCGACTCGCTGCGTGACAAACTGGTAACCGCTGTCTCCAATCTGGAGAGTCTTCTGCAATCTGGCTCCAATATTACCAGCAGAACCTCTCCTCCTCAAGACGCGGTGACGTCCTTGGAAGCTGTGCGGGAGCTGTTGTTCGGTCTCCGGTCTCAAGACACGGAAATCCAGATCCAGCACCAGATTCTACGCCGGCTCGCCTGCCCCTCTGTTCATTACCGGGAGGAAGCAATAGCAAATGCGTCTGACGGTACGTTCGGCTGGATTTTCAGCCATGCCAGCTCCCAGAACGCTCAAGATACGGGGGGGGCCTCTGACCAGCGGCCTATGCCGCACCACTTCGGATTGCCCTTGGAGCAGAACGGCCCGGGCCGTCCCTCGTTAGACGCCGAGCGGGACGCCGAGAAGCTCCGAAAGTACGTTCGTGAACTGTTCGAGTGGTTGCTGGTATTCGGAAGCCGTGTCTTCCATCTCTCCGGAAAGGCAGGATCGGGCAAGTCTACACTTATGAAACATCTCTGGCGTCATCCACTCACAAAAAAAAGGCTACAGCAGTGGGCACATCCAAAGCAGATTGTAATGGGGCGCTTCTACTTCTGGGCCGCGTCCAACGACGGAGGCCTCACGACTCTGGACGGGCTCTACCGCTTCCTACTCTTCGAAGTCCTCTGGCAGTGCCCGACCTCATATCAAAGGTGTTCCCTCGGCAATGGAAGGCAATTGGAGGCCATGGCACTCCACAACCCTTTTCCGCTCTAGCCTCTGAGATGTTCCACCTGACCGCCATGGTGGCGGCGTTTGATCTCCTTATCGAGCTCTCAGCGAGCGAAACCCGTCGGTTCTGTTTCTTTGTCGACGGACTCGACGAGTTTGCGGGTGACTTTCTTGCCCACCGAGACCTCGTGCAGAGGCTTCTCAGCTGGGTCGAGTGTAGCCATGTCAAACTGTGCACTAGTTCCCGGCCAGAGCCAGAGAATCTGGAGATGCTTTCGAAACCCCCCAGCTGTCTTGTTTCCCTTCACGAGATGACGAGGATTGACATTCAGCGTTTCAGCCAGGCCATGCTAGAGAGCGACAGGAATTTTGACTACATCAGGGGAGAATGTCCAGAGCTGGTGCATCGGATAGCTGAGAGAGCAAATGGTGTCTTTTTGTGGGTTTATCTCATCATTCGGCTGCTGTTGGAGTCCGTCGCGCAGCAAGACAGTATTGAGATACTTTACGCCAAGCTGGAGTTCGTACCCCTGGAACTCAACGACCTTATGTTTCAGCGCCTGCTGAAACCCCTCAACTCGATCGACGAGCTGCGGAGGAGACGTATGCTCTACTTTGCCCTTACGGCGGCCGAATCGCCCTCAGTGCACGCATTCGCTTGGCTAGATGAAGTAGATCGCCCCGGATTTCCCTACTGCCTTAATATCGGGTCTTGGTCGGAGGACCAAGTCAAGGCCCATGAACAAAAGACCTCTGCACTCCTTCAATACCTCACCAAGGGCCTGTTAGAGACCGTGACAGTCTCCAACGCCTATCAGCTCGGCTTCTTGCCGTGGGACAACCGCACTCCAGTATCAGCTAAGCTATCATCGTCTTACACAACCGTCCGATTACTACACCGCAGCGCCTACGACTTCCTCATCGAACCTGAGCGGCTCGCAGGATTCAGAGAAGCCTTTAAAATCCTTGGGCCATTCGAGCTAGTTGAACTCCGAATAATGGTCGCCGATCTCATGGTGCTGCAACGTGCGGGCAAAGACACGCTTTTCCGCAATCTGACGAACCTCTTGCTGGTAAAACGCCAGCACGACTTCCCCGCCGAGGAGTTGGACCGCCTGTTCAGCGTGGCATCAAGCCTCGATAGCAATGGCCGCGCCAGCACTCTACTTCGAATAGCATCGGGGGCGGAAGAAGACTTCCGGCAACTCGTGTCGCTTTCCCACCTGGCCGCCTTCTGCAGGCAGTCTCGTTACATAGAACGCAAGGCGAGGAGTCTCGGGCTTGGTCGGCCCCAGTCTGCTGACATGAGTATCCTACTGAGCGCATTCTTTGGGGGTGGTAGCGCAACGAGCAGAGTCATTTCTTTGCTGCTACAGAGCGGCGCTTCAGTGACGCAGAAGATACGGCTGTCGGCGGAAACTGATTCGTCATTTGCTCCGGGCGCATCCAGGTATCCTCCGTTTGAGCCCAGAGAACTGGTCCCGGTCTGGATACCCATCGCTCTTCGCATTGCCCACTTCGTCTTACACGAGTACTTTACGACCTCTCTCGACAGAGCCGCAGACATGATGCGGGCTTTCAAACTCATCCTTCGGGCGGCTCCGCCTGGGGTGGCGGATGACTGTTTACTTGAGCTGCACCCCCGAGTTGGAGATTTAGATCCGGCCAAAGTGGCGTATTGCGCGCTGCGAAACTTTGCCAAGAGCCCGTATCACCCATTCGACGACGTATCATTTGCTGAGACGAGCAGATCTCACGAGGTCGCCGGCCACCACAGGGCTGAATGAGAGCTTCAACTGCGGCTATCAAGAGATCAAAAGCCAGCTGCTGCTGGCCGTCAGATACTGCCATGGTCTGCCATCTGGAACTATGACAGGCAGGAGGGGAGTGAGTTAGGAATAGTAGCTTTGAATTGGAAGGGTATTCGCGTGGGATCCGGGCTTTATACCATACTTTACGGCAAGCGATAGACGACTTCGCTATGGTCTACGTCGAGGATATCTTGGTTTATAGCAAGACCCTCAAGAAGCACAAAAAGCACGTGCACCAGGTGCTGAAAGCTCTTGCGGGAAAGGGACTCTCGGTTAACCACTATAAGAGCGAGTTCCACACGCAGAAGACGACTTTTCTGGGATTTGAGATATCGCCAGGGGAAGTTCGAATCGACCCAGCAAAGATTGCGGCAGTTAGAGACTGGCCCGCACCAGAGAACCCCACAGACGTCAAGTCCTTTATTGAATTTATAGGGTTCTGCCGGATGTTTATTAAGGGATTCGCGGCTATTATCGCGCGACCGCTTCATGAACTCACCACCAAAGATACCCCTTGGGTATGGGAGGAAAGGCACCAGCAAGCCTTCGACTTGCTTAGGCAGAGGATGATCGAGGAGCCTGTTCTAAAGCTCCCCGATTTCAGCAAACCTTTTGAAGTCGAAACAGACGCTTCAGACTACGCTCTGAGAGCAGTACTCAAGCAAAAGCATGAAGGCCACAAGCACCCAGTCGCCTACATCTCTAAGGCTCTCCACGGCGCCGAGCAGAGATGGCAGATTCACGATAAGGAGCTAAAGTCGATCATCTACGCTTTTGAAGACTAGCAGCCATACCTCAGTGGAACAGAACACCCCGTACAGGTGTACACCGACCACCAGAACCTCCAGCAATAGGCCAAGAAGCAGAAACTCAGCGGTAGACAAACGCGTTGGGCAGAGTTTCTCGCGCCATTCAACTTCGAGATCCACCACATCAAAGGCACAGAGAACGCCAGGGCGGATGCTCTTAGCCGGAGACCAGACCATCGGGTCAAGGGCGAGCAAGTAGAATCTCCACCGCTCTTTGAGAAAGACGGAGACGTACTACGCCATCCGATCGAGGATCGGTACGACTGTTGCATGGTCTACAGAGTAGACTGGGCCAACGAAAAGGAATACCAATTCCAGGTCACTACTCTAGAGGAAGAAGAAGACCTTCCGTTCGGTACTACTACCGACGGCCTAGGCAAAGTCTGGTACGAAAACAAGATGTACGTCCACCCGGACGTCCAGGCGGAAATGATCAGGGAGCATCATAGCGCTAGGTTCAACGGACATCTTGGGCAAGCAAAGACGCTCGCCAGAATCCAGCAGTGGTACGACTTTCCCAAGATCAGGTCTCGGGTGAAGGAAGTACTAGAGGAATGCGAGGAGTGCAACAAGAGCAAGGCAAAACGGCACATGCCGTACGGACTCTTGGAACCACTACCAGTCGCGGAAGATCCATTCAGTTCGATAACTATGGACTTCATCACCAAACTACCACCCTCGAAGGACCCAGTTACGGACGTGGTCTACGACGCGGTTTGGGTAGTTGTGGATAGGTTTACGAAGTATTCGTACTTCGTACCCTTCAAAGAGACTTGGGATACCGCACGGTTCGCCAAGGTCTTTTGGAAGCACATCGGGTCAAAACACGGATGGCCAAGAGAGATCATTTCAGATAGGGACAAACTATTCGTCTCCAAGTTCTGGAAGAGTCTTACGGAAGAGATGATGACGAGAGACAAGCCTTCGACATCACACCACCCGCAAACCGATGGGCAGACAGAGCGGCTCAACCAGATCCTGGAAACCTACCTCAGGATCTACGTCAACTTTGAACAAGATGGCTGGGTCGACCTCTTACCAAGCGTAGAGTTTAGTTACAACACCGCGGTTCTGGAAGCTACCGGAACCACACCCTTCTTCAACCTCTTCAAGCACGACGCGGATCTTAGGCAGGGACCACCTGCGGAAGCACCAAGCGCACCCCGTGCAAGAGTGGTTGCAGATCAGGTCAAGGAACTCCATAAAGTTTATCTCTCTACAAAATTTTTGACGACAAAACGGCCAAGAAGCTGGACTTCAAGAGGATTGGACTGTCCAAGATTGAGAGAAAGGTTGCGACTTCCAACTACGCACTTTCATTACCCAGCTCGATGAAGCTGAGGACCAACGTCTTTCATATTTCACTTTTGGAACCAACACCCAAGAATGCCGGCTGGAAGAGGATTTCGAAGTCGAGGACTTCGAAGAGGAATACGACGTCGAGCGAATCCTGGATTCACGACTCGTACGAGGAGAACTTCAATATCTCATTAAGTGGCTTGATTGTGGGAACGAGGAGAACTCGTGGGAACCAGTTTCACTATTGAGTTGCCCAGAAAAGATCCAAGAATTCCACCAGCAAAATCCAGATCGACCCAGAGAGCCTGCAAGGGCAGCTCCAAGGCGCCGAGCGCGGGCACGACGATAACCCCTACTCAGTTGTTAAGAACCCCACCGCGCAAGGCGGTACGTCAGGGCCCAGGCGAGGGGTCTGCGGTAGGAGCCTGCGGGGATTCGGCCAGATGGGGCAAGCTGTCGGCCCAGGCGTAGAAGGAAGGCGTGGGCGAGAAAGAGCCTGGAAACGGGGGACCAAGAGCGCGCGACGAAGCGGCTTGGGCTTCAAGGGCAGGAGCGTCGGGCACAGGGTTGGCCTTTTCAAAGTCCACCATGCCGCGACCAAATAACTCCTTCCCTCTAGTCCGAAGATTCTTACGGCGTTGACGGATAGAAAGGAGACGGGTGATAAGTTGATCTTCTTCGCCCAGGGCTTGTTTTTCCTCAATATTCCGGGCTACTAGAAACGGAAGCGAACGAAGAAGATAAGTAGGAGGAGGAAGACGCACGAGCAGAAGCAAAGTCGTTGCCGCTACAAGCGACCTTACGGCTGATACACTCGCTACAGCGTTTCGATTTTTCGGAAACGATGCATTCGCGATCATTGCGGTATGTTGCACGCGATCGAAGTTGACAGCGCATTGAATTGTCTGCTCCCTAGGTCTAAAAGTACAGAAAAGAACGCTTCCTTATACTCGTGGAGAGAAGGCAAGGGAGGCGTTGTAATCAGCCCGAAAGAGGGAATTCCGAATGAAATGAGGACATTCCGAGTCAAGAATGAAGGAAATAACAAAGAATGAAGGAAGCTCAGAGGCATGTCAACCAGGGCCTGTCCAATTCCATGAAAAGTGGGTCAATTCCAGACGACACGGTAGCAATTGGTGCAAGGCATTTCTGCAGGAGTACCGTACGCGCGGGTATACGAGAGTAGGGAGGAATCGGAGGCGAGCTTTCGCTGTGCGCGACGAGTCTTCATCACAAGGTTAGCCATTGCGATTTGCGCGACGAAAGGGGGAACAGAACTCACGACTGGGGATGGGCTTCGATTTGACGGAAGGCGTCAGTTGTCGGGGCGCCAACCTCGGAGGAGGAGTATCGTGTTACGGATCCCTGAAGGGATGCACCTCGGTGGGTCCTGCTGAGTCAATCTCGGCCAATCAGGAGTGTCCCACGCCTCTGGCGCGTGACATGGGACCGGGCCTGGTTGACAGCCAATAAGAGGTGTCCCGTTTCCCGTTCGCGGGACACGGGACCTTTCTTTCAGGCCCCGCGTCCCGGGCACAGGGGCCGGGACCCTGTGACCATTTTTATTGGTTCTACAGATAGATATATACGATGACCGTACCCATGGTCTTAGATAGTTCTTGCTTGGTTCTGCAAGCAAACAATACACATTCACTGCACTCATACACTTTGAGTGGCATTCCAATTTGACTGTATTACCCGTGCGATAGGAGCTTGCCCTTTGTTTTATCTTCATAAACCAACCCCAGCATCCTGTGGAGCCCGTGCTCCCTTACAGACAGACGACCCTAACAGTCGAGTGGTTTGTAATATCTAAGTGGCAGGCCTGTAGCAGAGTTCTAGAGACCTGTGGCAGTTGTCACGACCAGGGCAAGGCATTGAGGTGAACTCAGTCCATTGGGTGCTATCGACGAAGATTCTAAACTGAGGAGGGAAAGAAGGAAAAGTCCGACAACGCGTCGCGTGCTCGCGAATAAGTTTTCATCTATCAGTGGGGTAGGTGGGGCCTCGAGGAGGCTTCTGATAGGCCCGGGGGTTCTGGGCGGCTCTGGCTGCTTGAGGGCCAGTTTGGTGGACGGGTCCTCACAGCAGTCAGCTTGCTTCCCTCAGTGCCCTACACAGAGCACTGTTGTACTGGACCGTAGGGCACAGTTCCCTACAGTCTACTCTGCAGAGCCGGTCGAACTACCCTGCACTTACCGATCTACCCTGAACTTAGCTCCCGCCTTAGCTTCCGCTTCAGCTCCGCCAGCTACAGTACCGAGCCCACTGTAGCACCCTACACAGGTGCCCTCTTACAGGCCTGTCAGGCACGCAGTTCAATGGTAAACAAACAATTGTAATTATACCATCAGCCCCTCTGTAATCACGAACTTCTGCTCGAGTAGTGATCCTGCGTGCTGATGGTGGGAGCCGGAAAGTCCGGATAATCATTCGACCAAAAAGACTTTTCGGTGCATTGTTTGCCCTTGCACACTTGCCGTGTCTTCTACTATATAATTTCTCGAGACAGCACCAGTCTACCATGGACGAGAAAATTTTCGAATGAAACGGTAGTCCTGAACTAGGTGTATCTACACATCGAGTTGCAGTTTGTAGAGCAATGATCAATCACGATGGCAAAAGTGCGGCTCTGCTATCAATTTCAAAATCTATCAGAAAGGCATGGTGCTCCCTGTGTGCATGCGTGGTTCAATAATTACAAGCCCGAGGTTGCATTCCCCACGGGAGACTGCACCGAGAAATACCCCGTGGCTAATGGCCCGAAAGTTGGCTGCCTAGCACCACCATCGGCGGCTGGTCATGCAGCAGATCACCTGCAGGGCGACGCATCGGGAATAGCCCCGATTCCGGGCAGGACCACGATAAGACACACACTAGCAGCTAATCACTGGAATTGTTGCAGGACGACGGGAATCAGACAAATAAACCGCTCACGAGAGATTTTTTTTTTTGGGGGGGGGGGGGGGAGGGGAGGGAGATAAGGACGGCCAACCCCGACGGATGGGGTCTAGACCTATATAGAGAACCAAGACCTCAATCATCGTGCCTAGGTCTGAGACAGGTCCAGCTGCGGTCTCCACATCCTAATTAATCCCGGCTCCGAATCCCGATTGTCGAGCAAACATTTCCTTCCTCTCCCGTGTCAGTCATCACGTAATATCCTCCGGCGGCCGGCATGGTGTGTCCCGACTGCCTCTCGGGGCGCGTGCGGACCGAGACGCCGACGGGGACCGTGACCAAGATCCACGGCCTCGACACGTACGTAGCGGCGCCGCCGGACGGCGCCGCGCCCAAGGGCCTCGTCGTCATGGTGTCCGACATCTTTGGCTGGGACTTTGTCAACAGCCGCCTGCTGGCCGACCAGTATGCCGCCAGCGGCGGCTTCCTCGTCTACCTACCCAACTTTATGAAGGAGCGGGGCGTGCCGGGTTGGCTGACGGTATTTCCTAACCTTTTTTCATTTTTTTCTTTCAAAATCTTTTTCTTTCTTTTTTTTCATTTTCTTTTCTTTTTTTTTCTTTTCGTATCTAGTCATTAGAGACTCCTTGGCTAGCGCGTCACGGGTTAATTTGACGAAATCGAGCTAACCACGGAACAGGAAGTGCTGTTTAAGCTGCTAAGCAAGTCCGGCGTGGTCGGCTGGGTGCGCAAGCCGTGGTACGTGGCACAGATCGCCTACTACGTGGTGCCGTGGCTGTTCTCCAACCGGTGGGCCGTGTCGTGGCCGATCGTGCGGGCGTTCTTTGATGCAGTACGCAGCGACCAGACCACTGCAGCGCTGCCGGTCGGCGCCGCCGGGTTCTGCTGGGGCGCTAAGCACTGCATCTTCCTGACGCACCCCGACAGCGTCACGTCATCGGGCGACAGCAGCAGCAGCAGCAGCAGCAAGCCGCTCGTCGACGCCATCTTCATCGCCCACCCCAGCGTCGTCAAGTTCCCGGCCGACGTCGATAAGGTCGCGCGCCCGGCCTCGCTCGCCATCGGTGATAAGGACGTCACTATGACCATGGAGCACGTTGCCCTGACCCGCAAGGCGTGGGACGCCAAGAAGGGTGTTGTTGATACCGAGGTCGTCGTGTATCCTGGTGCCAACCATGGGTTCGCTGTCAGGGTCGACTACTTCAACGAGAACATGCTCAAGCATTACCAAGAGGCCGAGGAGCAGGCTGTGAGGTGGTTTACAAAGCATCTCAATTGAGACTGCGGATGTATGGTGGGATTCCTTTCAGTTTGGTCAGGCGAATTCGAGTCTTGTCAGCGTTCGGCAGTCACAGGCGGGAAAATTGAATATTTGCAAGGAACACGGGAGCCAGCCATTATGGTTGGTTATTTTCTGGTTTTCATTCTGCTTTCTCTATTGCATCAACTTAAAACAAGGCAGTAATTTTCAATTACTTACCATTACAACCACCGCTCAATCTAAACACACTGCGTTGGCAACACTGGATAGGGGCAGAACTTACAAAACAACAAGCACAGTCATAACAGCCGACGACGGGGCGTCCGTCACATCGCGCGGGGCGTCCGTCACATCGCGCAGGGCGAGCTTGAGCCCGTAGAGCTCGACAACGTGCTGGCCCTGCTCGTCACCCTTGGGGACGCGGTCGGGGATGCAGGCGTCGTCGGCAAAGTCGATCCCGGCCAGAGTGCTGAAGGAGCGCAGAGGCTTGGCGTGTGGGTCACGCTGCTGGCGCGAGAGGAGCCAATCGCTCTGGTCCAGCGCCATGAACAAAGTCGGCGTGAAGACGCGGCGCACGTGGGCGCGCACAGCGAGGCGCACGAGCAGCTGCGTGATGCTGACATCGCCGAGGCGCTCGGCCGTGTCCAGACGAAGGGTTGTGCTGGGCACCGTTACCGTGAGCCGCGCAGCCCCGTTCTCGTCAGACGGGGTAGAGCGCGCCTCGACGTCCTGGAGGAACCGACCCGCGAACTCGTCGTCGAGCTTGATCCGGTTGCGGCGTGCAACCGATTTGGGGTGCTGTAGCCTCTCGACGGAAGTCACCATGTGTGCGTTTGCCTCGGGCCCGAGGGCCTGCCCTCCGAGCACAGCCAGCAGCCCGCGCAACGCCCATGTTGATGCCGCCTGGTGGAAGAACTCCTTGTCGGCTTCCGACGTGTACGCGTAGACCTGCCCCCGCTGCAGCGCGGGAGGCGCCCGTAGAACCGTGCTCAGGAGTAGCTGGGCATCGGGCACGGCGAGGTCCAAATCCATTAACAAATCCGCCATTCTGCTGTTCTGTTCTGGGCTTTGCTTCAACTCGGATTTCTGTTCTGGGCTATGCTTCAACTCGGATCTGGATTTGTGTCTGGGGTTGATGCTACCGATGCAAATGTCTATATCAGCAGAAATTAGTGGTGGTAATGGAGTAAGAAAGTTGTGTTGAACGAAAGAGGGCGACAGGGTTTCAATTTTATAGGGAGTATTCGACGATTAACAGTGGAAGACCAGTCAATGCCATTGTTACTTCAAAGCGGTCAGGGAGGGAAGAAAAGGGGCTATCAAAGAAAAGACCTTATTGTATTGTGGAAATAAACGCATCAGTGGTTGGTGGTTACTTGATTGTTCTTCAACGGACAGACAAAGAGAAGAGGGATCGTTGCCGCGTCTAGTGCATTCCAGAATGGACCTGTTCTATATTGAGGTAACGCTGAGCTTGGCCTAATGCTGCCGAGGAAACACTTCCTGAGGCCAACGATCGGATTTCGGTCCCGTCAGCTTGTGCCATGCTCGCAACCACGCTGGCTCATCCCTGTCCATGTGCCCGTGTGCGTTGACGGGTGCCCTTCTCTAAGTTCTCTTGCCCTAGTTGATGTAGTGGGACTTGTAGTAGTTGACGCAGTTCTCGTCTTCGCAGCAGTAGATCCCACGTGTCTCGTCGTCTTCTCAGAGCCCATACGAATCTCGTGTGCGGAGTATGGCCCGGCCCTCCAATCCATACTGGGGCTCGAGGATATTCGCATGGTCCCCGCAGTTTCCCTTGTGGTCACAGGTGAGGGCTGGGTGTTCGGGACTGTGCTGGGAACAATGAATTGGCTCTTGCGACTTCCCTCCTCCTTTTCCTTCATTCAGGGATGATCCAGATAGCCGGGGCAAGACATATTCCTTTGGACATTGGCAATGTCCGGGGTCGAAATAGGCCCTTTACCTTGCAAGATGCCGTCCCCTCGCCGGGGAAGCGAGGTACGATCCGCCACCGCGGCGAACAGAATCGACTGCGCTATGCAGGTCGGTCGGCAGTGGCGAGACCGCCTCTGAGCCGAAGGCTAGGAAGGTCGTGGTGGGAGCACCAGGAAATCAAAATCCCTGGTTGTTTGCCATGCCACATAGAATGCGCACCTCTCTTCTCAAATCTAACCCTGACCGCGCGGTTCTTTTCGGTGCCGCATGGCACTGCAACGCTAGGTGCGTGACTCGCGTGGTCGTAGGTCAGGTCCAAATGAGATGAGACACTGGGTTCGCCGGCATCCAAGGACTCTTGTATCGTTGCCCACGAGATTGTTAGATGGTCGCAGACGTGGACATGCCCTTCTCTCCCTATGCAGATGGGCGTCTTGGAAGAGCCGTGTCGCTGCGCCATGGAGAAGAGACATGCCGGGTGCTCAGTTTTACAGCCTGAGCAATACAGAAAGGTGCCTTCTAATAGCCTGCGTCGGGCCTCACGGGACGAGTTGTGCTGGAACACGTCTTGCAGTACAAGTCCCTGCGCAGTAGGGGAAGCAAGAGTGGTCTCAGTGAGTCTGGGATTTTCTCCGTGTTCCACGGTGTTGACTTGAGGTAAAAGCGCCATTTAACGGGAGAGTCGTCGTGAAACCTGCGGAGACGCTCATCCCCGAACAGCCGGACGAAGACACGGCTTATGCGCTGCAGACAGAAAAGACTAGCGTGGTCCGCCTGGCTCATTATTTGTTATGCAAATGGTCTGGAAGCCTTGACAGGAAATCCGAGGGCTTGTTGACCGGCAGCGCATGTTGGCTATGCCGTGATTGGTATCCATGGTTCATTCGTGACAAAAGCAAGTGTGACGGCTCGTGGATGCTTGACTAGTTGCTCTCGGGTCATTGGATCCTCTTAAGAAAGAAGAGAGTTGGTTAGTTCGATTCTGGGAGGAAGCCGGTTTACATCATGGGCTAAGGCTGTGAACCTTGTCGGATCTTGAGTTTAAATTTCACGCTGGCCGAGATTCGAGCCTCCGTAATACGTTAGTCAAGGCGTAGAGCTTTTTATTCATCTCTTCTATTGGCACATGAGAGCAGTGAGCATATGGTAATATCTACTCTCTCTCCAGAAAGGAGACCAGATCCATGGGGATGACGGCGCCACGGGAAGTGGAAAGTCTGCTACATCATGGGGGTCGGCACCCATTTGACAATTGAAAGCACACAGCCAAATTTCCTACACTGCTTTGCACCCAAAATCAACCGTACTTTAATTTATTTCCAGGCATCGACCAGGATGGGAAAATTGCAGTATAGTCCCCGAGTGTTCCTGCCTAGCCTAATTGCTGGTGCGATCCGCGCCCCTGCTGAGCCCAGTCGCACGAGCCCCGTCGATGCTATTATTGGGCTGGCGAGAATTTCGGTCGGTCGGGATGTGCAGCTACTCATCGTTGGCGTAGATGGTGAATCCTCGAGGGAGGCGAGGCGCAGCGTAGACGTCCAAGTCAACCACGGAGACTATACCGGTCTAAACCGAGAGCGCCCGCTGCAACAGGTGCGAGTTGATGGCGGCGAGCGTGACAAAGGAGGCGATTGCCAGTATGCTGGGACCTCGGAACAGGACGCTCAGGCCGGCATCGAAAACACCCTGGCTTGCTGCCCATCGCCAGTGAAGATCCTGCACACGGCTCGAACGGTGTGTGGCCATAACCACCATCTCACGGCTGCTCCGCGGGCGAGGGCAAAGTTGAGCAGGACGGTAACGGCGGCCGAGGCGACGGCGAGCAAGACTGTCGGCGAGACCTCCTAGCTCGCCACGCTTGTCCCGTCGACCGCAATGGTGATGGCCAGCATCAAGGCCACAAAGAGCAATATCGACAAGACTCCAATTGCTGCCGTCCAGGGGAACCGGACCCAGACTCGAGTCCGCCATGGCGGGTGGATGCGGTGTTGGGTCGATTTTGCGAAGTCGCTTTCGTGGTCGCTGCCCTCGTCGCCGGTCGGCACGCGCTCGTCCGCCGACACGCACGGGAAACGGGACAAACGGAACGGCGCTGGTTTCTAGCGGCTGCGGCTCCCGCCGTATCTGTTGGAGGTAGCTCATGTCGGACGAGAATATAAATACTTGGACCTGCAATCAGGTTTTTTATGACAAGAGCTTGATAAAATAGGTTACCTGACTGGTCAGGAAGGGGTCAGCTGAACGGAGCCTCTTTTTTTCTCGTCTTTTTGCCTCTGGCGGCGCCTGCGGTGAGCTGTCCTCGCTTCGCTCGAGGGAATGCGAAAGGAAAGAACCCCAACCCACACACCCACACACCACGACCAGATTGCACACACACCCAGCGGGCCAAAACCTCACTCCTTTGTCACGACCTCGCGCCCGCTAGCCCAAGCACTCCGTCATATATATAAGCAGTGGCCCTCGTCCCCTTCCTTTGCGAGGGCCAGGTTGAAGTTTCACACCAATACCAATCATTGTCGCTCTACTCGTTGTCCACATCGTGACCACCTCGATCAGGCGTACCTGCCCTCACTTACAGAATGGGTAGCTGGCTAAGGAGTGCTGGTTGTGTTTAACCAAGTTATAACCACGGTATCTCTTGTATTCTAGAGCAATCTAGTCGTTCGGCATCTCTTTAGGTATAGGGAGGATCGGGCGGTCCGGAGGCTGGCCACCGCGCTTGGACTTGGCGCATCGGGTCGTGGGAGCTGCGGCTCGAAAAACACACGTTCCTAGTGATAGTAGGGATTGATATGGTCATAATCGTGAAGTATTCGGCGTGTCTGCCTGTAGCTGGAAAGCGACAAATCGTACGTGCGATTGACTGAGATTGAATTGCGAGATTGAGGAAGAAAGTGGTTTATTTTGAGGGGGGGGGGGGGTTGGCTAGAAAGTTGCATTCTACCACCAAAACAAATTCTCGTGATAATTCCATATTTCGATGTTGGTGGTCTAATTGTTGGATTTCTAGGGGGCAAGCCCCATAGGACCCCCAGTGCCTGCGGCGCTTTTGCCCTGCGGCGCGCTCCTGCAGCTTACAAAGCTGCAATTTGGGATCCCCCCAAGGCGATCCATAACGGCCTCACGACAGCAAAGCGGCATTTAACGGCTTAACACGTCCGAGGATTATCCGATCGACCAGTCCCTCGAGTCCATTTCAACATGGACGAAAACTGGCCAATCGCTGTGCGAGAAACTTTTGGCACCCTCACGGTACTCCTACCTCCGGCCCGCAAGCTCGCCTACGGTGACTCCGTTCAGCTGAATAAACCCTTTGCGACGTGAGCGGCGAGAGGGACAGACCAGCCCACAGGCAACCAACTCCCGCCATACCGTCGCTAGGGTAATATAGGTCAGCCAGCCTCCGCCTTAAGAGCTTAAGAGCCCGGCAATACGACATTATACTGCGCGGGGCCCTATTCGCACCCTTTGTCTTGTTGCTGTTCTTGGCGGGATTTCACGGCAATCTGAAGAGCACAGCAGAACTCACAAAATCCAGTCTAGACCATGCGAGTGGCGTTCTTATTGTGTTCTCCTCTCTTGATTGCGAGCTCGCCACTCGGGATTTGGGACTCGCGTGATTGGTCTGCAGCGAGAAAGTGCATGTACGTGCATGTCCTTGGGGTTCGACGATAACGCCAGCCCGATTAGCGTCTTTCTCTAGTCGGGGGAAGCTGGGTGTAGCATTAGAAATTCTTTTGTTGGAGTTTAATGACATAGGACTATTGTTACCCCAGCACTAGAAGAGCACGTCGAAGGAAACCAGGTTCTTGGAATCTTGGATGGGCGCATAAAGTAATTAATGTTGGGGCGGTTACTCCTGATGTACTCACCTTGAGCTAGACCTAATATGCTTTGTGCACAGCCTCCAAGCAGCAGCTGCGCAATGACGCCCTCCAGGTCCCGTGATCACTACCACACTTGATATACTCTCAACTTCAGGCTCTGACGAAGCCTTGAGCGCTCCCAACATCTATTTGCGCTATTTAAATACTGCAGAATTTCGTTCCAACAGTTTACTCCGGCACCCCGCGGTAGTCATCTACTACGATCTAGTGCCGATACCAAAGAGCTGCTTCGAACGACTTCTCGGGTTCTCGGTTGAAATATTCGACGAAAATGCCTAATTCTAAACCCCGAGGATATGTATGGAGATGCTGCCTATGCGGAACGATCAACCATTATAACACGGATTTTGTCTGCGTACACTGTAGCAAGGCACGGTGCTTCTTTTGTATCAAGGAAATTTACAGGAATCCAGTTGACCCGTACCTGGGGACAAACTCGGCCAACAAACCAGGGAGCCAGGCATCAGCACGGCGGACCTACAAACCCCCGAAGACCACGACACCTTACGAACCCTCGCTTGGACCACGTCAATCCCATTCGGTGGGGACAACGACGCTCCCAGATTCGGGCTACGGTTCTGCCTCCAAAACTACAGTCAACGTACATCAATCCCCGGCAGCCAGCCAGGCCAAGTTAAACGACAGTATCTCTATCCTAGCCGATGACATTATATTTATCATAACCAATAACTTATCATCCGATCATTCCCCAGATCTTGTCAGGGCAAACGTCGGAACTTTTGCGCGGTGTCTCTTGGAGTCTACGCAAAGTCAGTCCTTGAAATTATGCCCACAAGTTGCACAGAACCTGCCTCGCCTGCTCCATACATTCACGCTCCGGCTCGCATTGGAAGATAACTCGGCCCGCGGAAAGGCCGTGGCTAAATTTGCAAGACAAAATACACTGTGAGCACCTCTCTTCTTTGTGTTTCGTGTACTATCTAACTCATGGAGCGTCGTAGTCGAATTACGAAAGCGTTTGTGGCAGCGGCGGAATTTCTTCAAGATGCAGAACAGGACAATAATCAAGAACGGGCCTCAAACAATGAAGAAGAGACGCCCTCTCAAGAACATGACAAAAGCATTGCCGGCAAAGAGATTACAGCGCAAAGGGTCGTCCACTGGCTTGCGTCTCAGCCGTTGTTGGTCTTAGCTATGGACAACCTTGAACTCGAGGATGCCGCGATCACCAAAATGTCGTGGGGTGTGAAGGAGGACGAACTAGGCGATTCTGGCTTGGCGAGGATCGACTTTACAGTGAAAACGACTGCATTCTCCTGGCTCACGGCTGCAGTGCAGCGTACAATTCGCCTCGATTATTCGAATACCCATGTCCTGAGCGCCGTGCAGACCTGCGTTTCGTCCGTTCTCCCCCAAGCAAGTGGAAGCAGAGCGCTCTGCCCACAGTCTCTATAGGTAAAATTGTTCTGGGACCCCCGGGATTTCATCAACTAACAGGGGTACGATGGAGCCAGCTCACTCCTCACAGCCGTGACAATTAGTGGATCTGAAGATAGCCCGCGACTGCTTCCATGCTTGCAGTATGTCAAACAGACATGGCCCCTGGTTGGTGAGCTTGTCATGGACGCCATCGCGTCCGCGGCTGCAAAACCCCCAGGCACCGCCATCAAACGTGAGTGATGTTGAGAGTTTGTTGTGGCTGTGATTGTTTATCATTTTTTCTTTTGCTTGTTGGTTTACTCGTCTATTGACGCTGTTCGGTATCAATCTTCCCACATTTTTTTCCAGTTAACTAACTTCATGTGTAGGCACTTTATTTGATAATACCGAGATTATATTAGGTATCAATAATGGCGCTGTGGCTGCTGTCGAGTGCGCGGGTCTCTTTGATTCCATTCTCGAGGTAACCGAGGCTCTGGCCTGGGCCGGCGCCGCCTTGCGGGAGGCCTTGGATCAAAATTCAATCCGATATAGCGTCATGAATATGAGCCGTGCTTACCCACTGGAAGGCTCTCCGATAGTAGTGAGGTTCTCTGAAGAGGATCTTTTTATGGAGAATGGCCCTAGATTCGGTGCTAGCGACTGCTGGCAGGGCTTGGTTAAGAACCCCGTTATTGCGAAGGGGTTTCCAGTCCCATTCCGGCCAAACATGGGCGCAAACGAGACGTCGTCTGCATCATTTGACGCGGCGCTCTCTTCGACAAACTCCCGACTATCTGAGGTAGGTACCACGCTAATTAATATTCCGAGATTAGACTAATTACAGCGAGAGCATATAGACATTAGACTATGGTGAACTCCTACTAATTACTTGACGACGGCCAGCAACTTAGGCCTGCGCAGGCATAGGCGGCTGAGCATTGCTACTGTGGACTGTACCCTCTTCCGCCGTTCCTTCTGCCGGCACGTCCCGTTTATTTGATGGCCAGTCGTCTTTGCGTATAGCCCAGCCGCCAGACCAGCCAAACCACCCCTCTTCCCGGGGGCCGCGAACCAAGCAGATGAGGATAGCAAGCGCAATGAAGGCAACTGTTGATACTCGTGTCAGTTTTCAGCACAATCACAAGCCCAGGCTGACATACTGCTGCAGCTGCCGCTATAAACCCAGCCGCCCTCGGCGTACAGCCTGTTGCCGACGGCGGTGCCGGTCAGCTGGCCGGAAAAGGCGGCGACCATGTAGGCCGTGTTGACGCGGTTGCGGGCAAGGGGCTGGATGCCGTAGATGGCGGAGCGGTTGGCGATCTGCGTGAATTGGGCGCCAATGTCGACGGTGATGGCCTGAATAATGGGGCCGACCACGTGTGTCGAGCCCGTCACGGTGCCCACCACCAGCCCGGCTAGCTCGATGGTCAAGCCTAGCAGCGCCGAGAATAGCGGGACGACGCGGTCGATGACCAGGCGGCTATAGATGGGCGCCGACACGATGACAATCACGCCGATCAGGCCGAACAGGCCGATGACCGTCGACGAGTAGCTGTAGGGCGGCGACGACAGCAGAAACGACAGCGTGGTCCAGTACGACGTGAAGACGGCGCTCATCAGGAACGACACCAGCGAAGCCTGCAGCAGCAGCGGCTCCGTGACCAGCAGGCGCGCGACGCTCCACAACATACCAAAATAGTTGAGCCCGCCGGGGTTCTTGGACGGGTAGTCGGGCAGGAAGACATACAGCAGCGCCAGCACGAGGAACTGCACCCCCAGCCCAAACCAATAAATATCACGCCAATCCGTGTAGCTGGCCATGACGCCCGACAGGATGCGCGCGACGAGGATGCCCAGCGACAGGCCGGAGACCACCACGGCGAGCGAGCTGGCGCGGCGGTGGGCGGGGGCGAGGTCGCCGACGAGCGGCAGCATCAGCTGCGGGGTGACGGTGGTGGCGCCGCAGACGAACGAGACGCCGGCGAAGGCGGCGAACGAGTGCGTCAGGCAAAGCACCAGCCACAGCGCGGCCGTGAAGCCGATCAGCGCCAGCATGAACGGCCGCCGCGGGAAGATGTCGCCCAGCGGGCAGATCAGCAGCAAGCCCGCCGCGTACCCGGCTTGCATCAGTGTCGCCACCGACGACGCCTGCTCGAAGCTCACGCCGAACGTCTCGGCCATGCGGTTGAGAATCGCTTGGTTGTAGTACAGGTTGGACACGGTGAAGCACGACGCCTTGTTTCCGGGGAGGGGTGTCAGAAGAAAAGGGGGAAGGTAAACAGGGGAACTGAGAGAGGGAGGGCTCACAAAGCCAAACAATATGTTCATCCACACGGTGAACTTGGGCGGGTTGTCCGGGTCGTATCGCGCCGGCCTAGGTTTCCAGTTCCACAGCCGGCGGTACAGGGGGATGGGAAAGGCGGCTGCGCCGGCATCTTCCGTATCCGAGGATGTCTGAGAGGGCTCGGTCGGCGATGGCGTCTCGACCTTTTCCGCTAGCCTGCTGTCGTCGTCCGTTCTGGACTCGCTGGGTGGGCCAACATCGGGTGGGAGCAGCAGGGGCGGCGGCGCCGGTGGCGGCTTGGCTCTCTCCGCTTCGGCCATCTATAGTTGTCTGTCAAAAGTGTAGATAATATCTAATTAATTTTCAAACGCTGGGAGGAACCTTGGCTGCCGAGAAAACGTGGGACTGGCTTGGAAGATGGATCATTGGGGGGGTTAGGGGGGTGCAATTTGAGTGGCTGCCCCCAGCAAACCCAAACTGGGCCAACTCCGATGAACGGCTGTGGCCCGGACTCCGACGGGCTATTGCGCTACATTAGCATGCGTGCGCGCCATGTGGCCGAGCTGCGGCAACGGGCTTGGCGCGAGCGAATGCCCCGGGCTATATGCGGGCTGAGCTTGGCTGAGCTTGGCTGTGAAAGTTGATAGGGGTAGTTAGCTATTGTCATAATTACTTGTCTGGTTTTTGCTTGCTTTTATGTTCAGTCGGATCTATCCAGACCAGCCCTGCCGGTATTGACCAAAGTAGCCCCGGGGCTAGCTAGACAAGCACGTCGGCCGATACCGCTAGTCCGGCAGTGAATCTAGCTCCGCTGACGCCATCATCAGTCATGCTGCGATCGGCGTTTAAACGCCGTGTCATCGAAACCTTGGCCAGCCACAACAGCCGCCGTGCACTTTCTGCGTTTGGCCTGGCAACGACGGTAATCAAGACTAATTAATTATCAACATTACTTTAGCCTCTTTGAGATTGGTTGCAGGGCTGGCGAATGAGAGCTCTTCGAAAGACACAATGCAGCATGGAACCGTGCTATTCTCTCGCAGTTACTAGCCAGTTAATTAAAAAAAAAATGCGGGATAAAAACAGTGCTACAAGTATCTTAAACCTAGGTATTCCAATTACTTGCCGAACTTACGATCCGGGCGGTGTAAAAGCTCAAGACCACCCACTCCTCCATCGACATCCTCTGAAACCGGACCCCAACAACCCAGATCAAGCGATCATGCCAGGCAGAGCTGGCAGCCGCAATACTCCGAGTGGTTTTTGAAAGCGATTCGCGTCCATCCCTTGCAGGTGCTGGGAGTGGAACTAATTGCCAGGCAGTTGGTTATTATTGTCAGTTAATAGGCGTCGGACTCTGGGCTTCTTTTGCAGCACTGGTTTGTAATTACCATTTGACTTTATTGATGCGCTTGTGTTTGGAGATGTTCGAGCATTTGGGGCAGATCCACTGCTCCAGTGTGTAGGTGCACATGGTTGTGGTTTTGTGGATTGGCACGTGGATCTCTCTGTTCGCGAGCTTGCACTGAGCAACTTCTCGTTTTCAACGTCCGAGTAGAGTCTATCCGCTCTGTTTTGTGTGTAGCTATTGTAACGTAGCAGTCTGTTGGCAATGGCGGTGGAATGCCGAGGGAATAATTAACATTGGGTGGGGCCGGATCCCAATGTTACTTATACAAAAGCTTGCTTGATAGAGCTACTGTCCCCTATGTCCTCACAAACCTCTTGACTTCCCAAGTTTAAAACACTTCGTACAGTCTGGGACAAACGATTCCGTGGCAATAATTCACAAGTCTTCCACCAAATGGCTGGCAAACTCGTGCGGCCGTTTAACCTTGCATCAGGACAAGGATTCTCAGATACTCGCTTAAAACTCCACTAGAATTCCTCAACTAATTATGCGAGGGCACGTAGGGAATGCATGTATGTGTATTGCTTTCTATGGAAGCTAAGCTATCTACGCGTGGGCGGAGAATCTATGTGCGGGGGATAGGCTGGATCTGCAGGGGCCAACCAGTGCCCCGGGCTAGGCCTGGGCCTAGCACACTAATACTTCCATCATGATGAAGCAAGAGGACATCTGGATCACGTTTGGGGATAAACCGACCCTGAAAACGTTTTTACGAGATCGGCCATACCATCAAACATGCCGATGCTATCTATAACCACTGCTAGTGGGATTAGGAGTACCCCTTCCTTATTCCCCGGATGCGGAACTTTACTCCCGGCCAGTACGAGGCAGACAAATTCGCATCATCCAGCAGTGGAGCAAGAAGTGGAGGAGCTACCCGACACGCCCATAGTCATGAGCAGCTTCGCTGCGCCCGTCCTACAAAATCAGATACCGCTGTCTGGCAAGCACACACCAGAGTGCCGTGTAAGCATCATACCCATCCTTTCATTAACACTAGCGGTTACTAACTGACATTTTTTTTAGGAAGCGCTGCACCCGCTGTAGCGTCGACTATATTCTGTTTCATCTGCTTCAATGAGACTTGCTGCCTTAAGGAGGGACTTCCACAGTTGGATTTGTCACAAAAGTGAAATGGCTCATACCCATCACCACGTACACAACAAGATTGACACAGGCATCCGCCGCGGTATAGCAAACCGGCAAACAATTGAACGGCACCGAGAGAGTCATACCGGCCGGCTCACAAACCTTACCACCACCATGCAAGGTCAACGTATTCGCCCAGGGCACATAAAGCGCACCAAATGTCTGGCTGCACAGGATCGCTCTTTCGCGCCATCTCCCTGATCCAGCACACACCCATCAATCCACGCCTCAGTCAGCTCGCGCGACCACATCAGCCAGCGCGAAAATCAAGCGCTCAGGTATACCAGCAACCCTCGGGCTCTGCTAACCATTTGGAATCAAGAGCCGTCCTATTGCTGATACCTACTCCAAGACCAGTGCAATGGCCAAGTTCATGTACCCGGTTATACCACATACTTGGGCCGCTTTTGCTAAAAGAAAGGAAGACTAATATATCGATCTACCCGGGGAACCCCCTGAAGGGAAAGCAGTCCTCAAGCCTGATGCTCAACAGCGAACTACCTTGTTACGGAAAGGCCTAGGCCTAGGCCTGGCGTTGGCAATCGCTATGAATGAAGCTGAAGATAGGAGATTGAAGGCTTGGTTGAAGCAATTAGAAGACGAAGATAAGCCGTGGGAGGACCTTGGAAAGAAATCTAGGTCGTGGCTCTATTGGACCGAGGAAGAGTGCTTTGACGGCCTGTGGGCCTTTTTGAGCTCTAATTAAGACCAGGTCGTCGGTGGTTTGGTTCGATCAACGGATTCCAAATGTCCAGCTAGATGCCAGAACCACAATTGCAAATGTAAAGACACAGTTGATTCCTTTTAAGCGCCATGCCCAGGGCAGATAGCACCGACTATTCATTCAGCATCGCGGCTATTCCCGGACGCAGAGGCGATGCTTGGTTTTCACCGTCCAGAAGCATTTAGGAGACAAGGAGGGACGAGACGGAGACTGGAAATCGCTTACAGATTCGAAAAATACCTTGCTGCGCCCCCTCCAACCTGGAGATGTATACCAGGCGCACGAAAAAGACGCGATTGCATCGGGCCAGTTAAATACGAACATCTATGAGCCGGACCTGTCGATAGGGTATGGCCTGGCTTCTCAAACCCGAGTGTCTCGCTAGAGATAGCGGGTCGGAGGGATGAGAAATCAGGTGTGGGAAGATCGGCGAGAGCGGGTCATACCAGAAATGGCCTACCACGGCCCAAGGCTACACTCAACAGTGGTGCCTATGGACGTCTGGGTGAGATACACAACGTAGTGCAAAGAGAAACTTCGCGCACAAGCAAGCAAATATTTACTCCCTGTCAGACTGCAAAGAGAAGCCAAATACTGGTACATGTCGTCGGTTCAGGGAGTCACGCATGACTGTCTATGTGCCTGTACGACCTAAGTGAAAAGTCGCCAAACAGAGACCCTTTCAGCAGCGTCTATCCAACAAGATCCACGCTTTCGCTCTGCTTATAATGGTAAGCCAAGCCAAGCATACCCTGTTGTCGGCTAGCATCTCCATGAAGCTCTATTGTAACTCCCAGCATGTTGTTACAAGGACATAAGCGACTACTATCTCTTGCCATCTATTAAAGCCGACCTCACTTGTCCTTTGGCGGCTTGGAGCACGTGTTGCAGAGCCCAAAACGGTTGATATAGTTCCGAAAGGTCGGCTTCCCACACTTGCCGGCGTCCTTGCACGCGATCGCGTTGACCTTTTTGTTCTTGTAGAAGGCATTGCATTTCGTGCAGAGCCACTTCTCCTTGTCGAAGGTGCACATTTTGATTAGTGATAGTTGATGCAGCGTGTCAAGTGTGGTACAAGAGAATTAATTGGATATGTATTGGAGCGTGTCTTAATGGATTGTGGGGACGAGGGATGGTTGGTGATGATGATTCTGTGTAGTTGGTTGGATGTACAAGACGCCCTCACGCGGTATTTATATGGAAGGTAGATTAATCTCGATAAGCACAAACAGAGCCTGTACGCAATGTTGTGCGTCGTGTCTTTGTGGCACTGCAATACGAATACCTGCCGAGACTATTGCTATAAATGTTACGATGTTCTTCGGGGCAAAACAGTTCAGCAGCAGGATCCGGACTTGGTGACGATACCTTCGGCGACTGGCCACAGCTGCCCGCACTGCCTTAAGGCTTGTTGTTCGGTTGGCAAATGAATGACTTCCTGCAAGAGTCAACAACCAGTCATCAACTAGTATTCAGCGTATTTGTGTGGAAGCTGGGTAACATCGCTTCCGATGGCTAAGAGTCGAAATTAGCGTCGTCAAAGTTCCCAGAGATAGAGACTGGCACCACATAATTATAGACGTATCAAGCGAGCAACTGGGCGGTTATTGTTTTAAGTCCATGGCTGGCTTTGATCTGCTAGATTGGAGGCACAGAATGAGGAACATTGCACAAGAGGCCATGACTAGTAGATGGTGAAACTCATTTTGGCCAAGGTAATTACAAGTAACTATACCTAAACAAATCGACAAGAGCGCGCCGCTGTGGCGGCAAACAACTCTGAACAGACCCCAGCCCGAACGAACAAAAAACATGACTCCAGTTTCGCTACCAGGCGTGCAAACATTTCCAGACACAAAACAAACTCCTCGCCAACAGTCCCCGCTGCACAGATTCTCCGGAACAGAAACACCCCAAAACGCCGCGCAAGCCAATATCAATATCAGGACCCAACATCATACTATTAACATTTTCATTCTTCGTTGTGGCGGGTATAGATGTTATCCATCTCCTGGTCGCCATCCTTCGGCGGCTTCGGCTGGCGCGTGCAGCGCCAGATGCAGAAGTATACCGGCAGCAAGAAGATGACGACGCCGGCAGCGAGGACCGAGTAGCCGAGAACGAACATGGTGGTCTGCTGCGACAGCTTGAGGCCCCTGTATTTCCCACAAAGTCAGATTGCGTCACAGAAGACAAAAGACGAGAAGAAGAAGACTCACAGGCCGTTATTGATCAGAAAGAACAGCCACACGAGCCGGCCGAGCCACGTGTGCGCCGTGCTCAGCGTCTGGCTGCGCGGCGACAGGTCCTCGCCGCGGCGCTTGGCCGCGCGCTTGGCAAAGCCCAGCGCGAGGCCCCACGCGACGACGCCGAACATGAGCACGATGGTCAGCAGGCCGAGGACCTGGTGCGGCGTGTTGAACTTTTGCGACTGTTCATGGCTGTCAGCTGGGGGAACAGACTCCAGATTTCCATGGCCAAGACAACTCACCAGAATGTGCTCCTTGCTGATGAGAATTCCCGGCACCATGGCGCCGATGACGAGCGCAAAGTAACCCAGCGACGACAGCATGGGCAGGGTAGGCCAGCGCCGCAGCGCGACGGTGACGAGGGTGTCGAAGGGGGCGACGGCCAGAGCGACGGCCGCGAACATGGCGCCGTGGGCCGTGGCGGCTTTGTCGGTGTCGCGGCGGAGGCCCGAGCCGACGAGGTTGGCGCCGTCGGACGCGTTGCGCAGCGTGCCGAACACTGTGCCACCCAAGCTGCCGCGCGCCTTGATCATGTCCACGGAGAAGGAGCCTAGGTAATTGCAGAGTGTCAGAGCGTGGTTCGGATCAGCTGCGTGGGAAGGGAGGGGGAAAACACGAACCGTAGCCCATGTGCCGTCTGAGCGGGGCGGCCGGGTCGTCAGACGTCAGGTCCAAGCTGGGGCCGAGCGCAAAGATCATGGACTGGTTGCGGTCGCCGAGGTTGAGGGCGCCCGTCTGCCACGAGCGGCAGTTGTGGCACGTCCCGTTGACGAGGATGCTGCCGTTGACGATGCCCGTGCCGGCGTGCAGCGTGAAGCGGATGTCAGGCGAGTACACGGGTTCCGTGTCGCCGCTGAAACGGCGCGTCAGCCATCGCTCATCACTGACTCACTCACACGCACACAAGCTTTCAGTGAGGGGATAGGGGCAGTCCTTACGTGCTGAATCGCGGACTGAGTGTCACGCCTGCGGAGAAAACGGTCAGCCACGGCCCGAACGAGGGCGGTCCGGTGCGGGCTCTTACCTCCGTTCCCCGAGAGACTCTTCTGGGCAAAGTCGGTGGCAGGGTAGGCGACCAGCATCAGGGAGGAGGCCATGTCGCGGCCGAAGCCGAGGGCGACGTACTGGAACCACGTGGGCGCCGTCATGAAAAAGTTGATATCGTCAGATGTGTCATCGGCGGGGACGTTGATGGAGAACTGCGTGTTGGTCTCGAAGACGAAGAGCGTCGACACGGCGCTGCTGTTGGTATCGGCCGCCGCGGTGGCTTGGATCGTCAACAGGCCTTGATAGTGTCGTCGACGACGTTAGTCCGCTGCCCTCGTTCATGATTCACTTTCACGGCGGCGGGTCGATGGCGGCTCGACTTACCGAGGAGCAGCGCCGCAAGCGCGGGCCAGGACCGCGGGTATCTCGCCATGATCTCTGAGGTGGCGAAAGAGCTAATCAGACAACAATTGAAGCCGGGGACAAAGGGGAGACTGTTCGAGATGCACCGGTGCAGGACAGTTCACGTTGGAATCTGAAAATGGCAATTAATCATGGACGGCCATGTTTGGGATTCCACGGCGTGGGAACTCGCCCGTAGTCACCCCAGGCCCGTCCCGCGAAGCACGCTGCTGGACCTTGTGCACCCATCACTCCCGTCTATTTTGGGCGGGCTGCCCAATGTCAAAGCTCCTGCAGGCAGGTGCTGCCGTTCTGAACGATTGCAGGTTGCTGGCGCTAAACCGGAACATCCCGGCGTTCTGATTGGCTGGCGTTGAAAAAGGAGAGGCGGCACATCTTCGCTAAACCCTTGGCCCCCCCCCCTTGGCAGCAAATCCCCAGGGTCGGGGTCCCCAACCAGCGGTTCAGGGGCGCGTTCTTACTGGACAGCAGGCGCCAGTAAGCTTACCGTCCGAGGGCGCGAGCAGCCCTGCGCTGGTTGGGGGAGAGATTTCGCGTGGGGAAACAGAAGCCTGTGCCACACGCAAAACCGCAAAAAATGCCTATTTCCATGCTTTATCCGTATCTCCAAAACCTCAAGTAGGAATTTCTACCGCATATTGACCACAACCAATTTTTTTCACAGGTATTCCTTGATCTGTTCCTCGGTCCACTCCCAGAACTTGGCCGTACCCCCCGTGCCGCCTTCGTCTTCCAGCTTGGCCGCGTTGAGCAGGTCGGGCCGCAGGTTGCCGAATCGCCCAAACGGAATAACTGCAATCAATGCGACGATTAGTCAATCGGGGTCTTGTTTACCAGGCGATCGAATAAGGCCTGGACTGGAAAGGTGAAAAGGTAGCACTCACCCCAGCTGCCCGACTTCTCCATCGTCACGTCGGGCGACAGGGCCGCGAACAGCTCGGTTGCCGCGCCCATGGGCGGCGGATAGCAAATGGGCGTGACGAGAAAGCGGAACAGGGCCGTCTTCTCGCGCGCGAGCTCGGTGCGGAGGTTGCCGGGGTTGATGGGCACGCTTACGATGCCGTCGGCGCGGTGGCGGCGCGCGTACTCGACGCCGAGCGCCCACACGCCGACCTTGCTGAGCCCGTAGCGGTCCATGCCCGGCACGGGCCGGTGGTAGTCGAGGTTGTCGGTGGGCAGGCCGACGTCCTTCTCGCCGTACAGCTCGACGCCGAACGAGGCGAGCCACACGACGCGCACCGACGCGGGCGGCGACGACGCCGCCGTCACCGCCAGCGTCGGCGTCAGCAGCTGCGTGAACAGCAGCGTGCCGACGCAGTTGATGCCCAGCGTGATCTCGTGGCCGTGCGCCGTTCGCACCGGCGTCTTGACGTCGGACCCCATCACGCCGGCGTTGTTGAACAGCACGTGCAGCCGGTCCTCGCGCGACAGGAATTCCTGCGTCGCTGTCTTGACCTGGTTCAAGTCTGCGAGGTCGAGGTGCAGGAAGATAAGCTCGCCAGCCGAGTCGGGCGCCGCCTTTTTGATCTCCTCGATCGCCGCGTCGGCCTTCTCCGGGAACCGTGCCGCGGCGTACACCTTGGCATTCTTGCTGTAGAGCACCCGGGCGACTTCCTTGCCCAAACCGCTGTTAGCGCCTGTGACTATGTAAGTTTTGCCGCGCAGGTCTGGCAGATCCTTTTCGGTGAAGGTCGGCTTCGGCGGCCGAAATTGCGTCCAGGAGCTGGAGAATGATGGCGAAGGCGGCATGGTGGGCGACGGAGGTGTTGTTCTGTGTTAATTACACGATGGTCAAACTTCCACGTCATTCATGTCAGCGGTCATGACAAAGGACTTCAGGCCCGAAGAATATTGGGGGGCAAGCGCTGTGCGTATAAATGGCGTTCAATGCTAGTAAATCAAGTCTGTTTCTAGGTCAGACTGGGAACTGCGGAACACCCGGTGACTAACTACTGCGCCACCATCCCACCTTTGTATTCAATTACTCCGAATTGCGATCCTATCTTCTTCCAGGACACGACATTGAAGAGGCCAATAAACGTGAAGTGTGGAAGCAAACTGTGGGGGCGAAGGACGAGTTGTGGTCGCGACCCTGGCTCAACAGCTGAGGCTAGTTCAGAAAGCGGTCAAGTTTGGACCGGTTTGAGAGGCGGTAAACCGGCAGGATCGCCCTCACGGGACATGGAAAGGGTACCAATCGTCGGCAGTGAGGCAGGCCGGGAAGACGCTGTGGATACCTTGCGCCGCACGCGTGGCCGACATGGCCTTGAGCCTTCCTCCTGGCGTAACCGTACCTCTAGTTGGGGGGTAGAGTAAAAAGCAAAGCCAACCAACGGCGAGGTTTCATTGGCCAGGTCACCACGAGAAATCTACGGAGCCCGGGTCTAATTTGGCCGTTGGCATCAGGCCGGTCAGCCCATTTTACAGAAACTTGGCAATTCCTGCCGGACCCCGCCACACCAAAACGGAGTTGCATCGACACAGCGAGACTGCACTTGCTTTATGTCTCGGAAATAGCTCCTAGAACTAGGTTCTAATTACCTTATTCTCGATTTCAGATTAATTCTCACCGTAGCTTTTGCTCACTTTCCCCCAGCGACCCCTGCCAGTACATTAATCTGCAGAGCCTAGGTAGGATTACGCTGAATAGACGAACCAAAGTTGGTTCTGAAACACCAGAATCACCACGTTCCTGGACTGGAAGGGTGATATCGCCATCGCCAAGGCTGGTAAATACAATCCAATCCCTGAATGTCTGTTGGCGTGGTATCTAAGGAGGAAAAGAAAATAACAAATGAACCGGCCAGGAAAGGTCTTTATGATGGATATTTCTAGAGAAGGGATAGGCCTCCAGAATTCTGAAATAGGTATTCAAATAGCTATTACCTCCCTCAGCGAAAAGCCTTTACAGCGAGCCGTAAGAAACTACGCAGTAAGTCTATTCGGATATTGGAAAGTACCACGCCAGCGAGCATTCAGGGATTGGACTGTAGGCGGCAGACACGGCAGACACGGCAGCTCCAGTGAATCCCAGCAAGGTAACGAAACAACGTGCCCAAGAAGCTTCTCGTTAATTAGGTCGAAATATAGAGTTTAACAACTGCCGGCCGTCATAATTAGAAGACAAAGTCGAGATATGACACGCCTGACGTGCTGGTATCAGCCGACATATAGGATCTCAGGTCTCAAACGTAATAGTAAATCTTCACGCAGGTGTGCGACCTCCAGTAGAAGGTGCGCCTATGGTTGTCCTTGTACCCGCCGAAGGTTCTACGTCCGTTCCAGCCCCGTCTAGCAAACAATTAGTTAGCCGACTTGTCTTTCTACACGCGACAAGAGGCGGAGCTGAAAAATGCAAAATGTTAACTCACCCAATACCGGTGTAGTCCGGATTCGACTGCGCATCGAGCGGAATCTCCCACGAAAAGGTGATTCCAGACGGGAAGGTGCACGACTTGTTCCCGCCTTCCCACTGATACCAGTCCTCGTACCAAGTCGTGGTGTGCTTTACGCACACGCTATTCTCGTCGGGCTCGTACGCCAGGTCGCTGCAGTCAAAGTCATTAGTGCAGTCCTGATCGTAGACAGAATCAGCCCGGCCCAGCTTTGCAAATTGGGCGATAATTATAACTAGTTGATGAAAAAAAAACACTCACCACGACAAGAGACATCAGTCGAGGCTCTCCTTCAAAGGCGCAGTTCAACAGGTGGACGCCCTCAACTAGCTGCGCAGCGCGGGTTTCGATATCGGAAGTCAGGGCGCCAAGAATGCACCGAAGAAACAGACAGCCGATGAGAAGCGCCACGTGCAAAGCGCAGCCAGCCATAGTAGATTGAAGGTAGGTATATTAGTTGAGCTTTATCGCAGAGAAGACGGGTGGAAAGGCCACGCCGGTTTGATTGCGTTGTCTACTATGAGACGAGGGAAATATTCTTCACGCTTCAAAGGAAATTCGAAGCAGCTCGCAAGATTGAGGAAGGCGCGCAGGAGTTTTTAAAGGTAGGGAACGTGCATGAGACGTTCTAGGGCTGTGAGCCTGAAGAAGAAACGAGGAAGGAAAAGAGATGCCGGGAAAGAGGCCACTATTTAAGTTTCGAAAAGGGGCCCGGAACGTTACAGGCTCAGCTGAGAGCTGTGCGGATTGAAGCTGTTACGACATGATTCAGCACGACTCAGTGGCCAACGAGCAAACACGGCAGGAGGGTCCCACACACAGGGCAGGCACGGCCAGCTGAACTAAGTTTGGCCCGAAAGAGAGCCCAAACGGCAGGGGCCACGAAGACGCGGCGCCGAAACAGGTAATTACAGAGGGGACGGACGGTTTAAGGCTTGTTTAAGAAAGATTTGGGAAATGCAAGTCGCCCGGCAAGAAGAAGTGTCAAGTAAGTAAGAGTAGCAGCTTGAATGTAGACTATATATATAACGTGGTTTATCACCGAGCGGGCCACTTTTCCTCGACTCCATGACTTCTAGACTCAATTACAACCGCACCACAATAAAAATTCAATCGGAATCCATCTCGTTGTCTTCACCCGATAGTTCTTCATCCACGGGACAGGTTCGTACATTATGCCCAGGCTTTCCGCATCGTCCACAGCACCGAATAGTCGCCGGCCCTGCCTGCGACGGACCCCTATCCTCGTCCTCTTTGCTCTTTTTCTGGCGACTAGAATCTATTTTGGCTATCAAACCGCGCGCATCTTCTACAGAAAGTGCACCGCCTTCTTGGAGTCTCGTGCGCTTGGCCCGCCGGCGCTTTGCAAGGGCCTGATTGGCCTTCTGAGTCATACGGAGCTCTGCCCGCAAGAGTGTCATCTCGTACGCGATTGCCTCCGTACCCTTTGCTAACTGCTTAATAGCGTTAAACATTGAAGTCGGCGAGCTCCCTTGATGGTCGCTAATCCTCTTCCGTACGAATTGGGATTGCGAAACAGCCTCGGCCGCCGTACGTGGCGTCTGGGAGGTCCAAGGGCTGGCGTCGGCGGAGGGGGGGCCAGTCGGTGTTGGCGTCCGAAGCTTAATATCTAGCTTCGATAAGACGGCTTCTGGGTCGAATGGCACTAATCCAGCACCGCGGAATCCAGCTATAATGTTATTAAGCGTTATAGTGTCGTAGTGGGCGGCGATAAAGGCGATCAAGAACTCGGGCTTAGTAATATGGTTGATATGAGCTCTAATGAAGTCTTCAAGTTGCTTGCCGTACGACCGTTTCAAGGCGCTAAAACAACCAATATCGAGAGGCTGGGTAAGGTGCGAGGAATGTGCAGGGAGACAGAGAGTAATGATGTTCTTCTCCTTGCAGTATTGCTCAACTCGTACGAAAGATGGCTTTCATGACCGTCCAAAATAATCATGCGATAACCACCCTTCCGCCGGGAAGTAGTATGCTTATTGTCACGGTCGCCACAGGGCTCATGTGACAGGATTGATTCTATTGGCTGCATTGTGCTTAGGGTGTGGCCTGTGCGCACTGAGCACCACTACCTATTTCTCCGCGCCCTGCGCGGACCCGGCGATAGATTCCTTTCTCTTCCTTAGCTTTAAATCCGCATTCGTTGCTGCCTTCAACCATTGACATCCCTACTGCGTAAGGCGGGCCGTCACACTTATCAAAGTGCCGAATCCAATCCATAGCCGTTTTATTATCAATCCAGCCGTTAGAGGAGGGCTTGATAACCCAGGAGGCTGGGAGATCGGTGTCTTCGTACCATGACTTGAGGTGGTTTTTGCCTTGTACGATGAGAAATGACGGTACCACAAAGCCGTCGCTACTCACGCACTCAATTGCTGTCGCCCATTATCAATTACCTGGCTGTAGTTGCTTGCCTCGTCCGCGACGGTCTGCACGTGTAACGACCATTGCAGCGCAAATAACGCCCATCATAAAGCCAGTCTCGTCGAAGTTGTAGAAATCGCAGTCTTGGATACCGTACTTCGTACGCATATTCTTTACCAGCTCGAACCACTTCCTGATAAGGTCTGGATCCTCGCAGAGGGCCCTCTGGAAGCCGTAGGCGCGAGAAAAACGCGTCTTTAGCTCTTGACGGCGTCGTACGAAGCGGTATGCCCAGTTCTTGCCGACGCGTTTCGCGCCACGCGTCGTACGAAGGAGATTCGCCATTTCCTCAACACCCTCGATCCGGGGTGGAAATCCTCGCGAATCTAGGTCGAGAACATATCGGACAATCGTTTCTTCTTCGACTTCGGTCAATTGATGGGCGGCGTTACGCGCTTCGCGTTTCATAACGCGGCCAGTCATTCTGGCCTGGAGAGTAGTTCTGGGTACGTCGTACATCTGTGCAGCGCGTCAGATTGAAATTTTCTTAGATGTATGGATAGCCTCGATAGCAAGGATGATTTTGGCTTCTTGGGTTTGGTTAGACATTGTATTGGTTGTGGTGTGCGATAGTTTGAAGTGTGGAGGTTATGGAGCCGTGGAAAAGTGGCCCGCTCGGTGATAAACCACGTTATGGAAATATACACATAATCATATATCTGTCCTAGGCGCTGCGGTATCACCATGCGTTGGCAGTGTTCCGTTGCGAGGCCATCCCATGGCACAGGTCAGACGTTCTGCTTCTTGGCACTCGAGATTAATACATTCAAGGCCCCATCCATCCAATCATGAGGCCAAGGCAGGGTACCTTCGTCCGATGACAAGTCGGTTATTCAATATTGAATAGTTATCTATTCTGTCAACGACCCATCAGGTTCAACCTAGTCGGGTAGCTGTCTGCGTTAAATGCCATTCAGCCTCTTGCGGGGAGATAATACTAATGTGTCACGTCGCCGTGGTCCCTTGGTGACAGTGACGGTATTTTTATGGAGCATGGAAATAGTACGTGTGCTATAGTTGGACCGAAAGAGGCCTCTCGGCCTGTTCGTTACTTCAAAGTGATGGGCGAAGTTGCCGTGGCTCTGGGCGACAAGTGATTTGTGTCGAGTCGTGCGCGTTGCATCAGTGCAGGGTGCTGTAGTTCACTTTAGGATAGAAAGCAAAGCCGTGTCAATTAGTAGATTAATTACGCCCCGGGGGCTCTATCGGGTCCAACACCCACGACACTTTCTCCGCTGCCGCCGCTGCTGTCTTCAAAAATCCCCTACCCTGACATGGGAGAAAAATTCTAGGCAAAACAGTTCTTGTAGACCACTACGGCAGTTCAGAAATGGACTTCGGAACCCAAGAGGCTTCTTTATCCACCCTTCTTTCAACTTTCAATCATCCCGTGGTTGCCCTCGGCCCTTTGATAAGGTTGATAAGATAACAGCTTATCGCGTTATCGATAAGCCAGAGAGCGCAGGCGAAAACAAACTGTGGGCATGTAATAACAATAACCCCCGGCTTACTTTCGCTTCCAGCTTCCTCCTGTCAGATGGAATGGCCTAGAAGGTTCTGGAATCTATGATGCGTAATCTTCGCCACTGGGTTTCGTCATGTAATTGCCACATAAGGAAGTATAAGAGAGAGAGTCTTTTGTGGAAAGACTGGAGGAGGAGAATAAGAGCAATTCACTCTGATGCACACAATCCTAGAAGTGCTGTTGCAGTCTGACACCTCCACTAAATAGGGCGTGGAAGGAGGGTCTCCACTACAGTTATCCCTGATTCACCAATCAAGGTAGATTTCTGCAGGATGGTAGTAGGTAATTCCAACGATAGAAACAAGGCGAGAAAAACAACGCTAAGGCGAGCCTGACAGAGTGCAGGTACAGGAATCCATAGCCGGGTGGTAGGGGAAAAAAGTACACTAGATTGCATTGGGTAAGGGTGTAAACAGCCCCCTTGTCACCCGGCCCCTGAACCCCTGATCAACGGGAGTCTCAGGCTTACCAGTGCAGGTATGGTCTTCGTTAACTGGAGATGCGCGCCGCAGAACCCGAAGTTTGATCACTCGACGCTGGCAAACGTGGGTATCCAAGATGATAATTGGAATGAATAAACGCAAATAGACTAATCGTGTGATTCTGGCGAGGGAGCTCAGCTTCGAGGCCTGCTCTTTTGGTCCCCAATTGTACCAGTCAATGTGTGGGACCCTCCGAATCCAGTCGTTTCCCCCCTCTCGTCGAAGTTCGCCCTGCGAAATTCCCTTCTTGCTCTCCGCTCTTACTCACTTTGCTGCAGTCCGTCAAACCTTGCCACTGAAAGGTGGGCGAACAGCGTCAGTCAACCACGTAATTAAGAGAGAGCGACAGTATTTTTCTTTGGGATATGCAACATACCAGTCGGGACAGGCTTCCCGTATGTGCGATTCCCCGAAGGGTCGATATTGGTGTCTCTGAACTGCTGAACCTTTTGGTGGCCGGAGGCAAGGAGGGGTTTTCCGTATTCGGAATTGGCGGGCTTCGGGCCGAGAAGAGCGTGGCAGGCATCTAAGGCGTGCTTTTGATTGTTGTGCGTGGTAAAAGTGACATAGCAATGGCATCCAAACCCGGTTCGCTTCGGGTCCTTGAGGTCGGCGACATGGGGCGTTCCGGAGCCGTCGGGTAGCATTCTCAAAAGAAAACGTAAATAAAAATAACAACAAGAATAATAACGCGGCTAAAGATCTTACCAGAACGGGCTGTTGCAGTTGTGTGCGATCGTATTCTCCCATCCATAAAGCGGCCCCGAGTATATGTAGCCCCACGGTGTGTCGCTTTGCATCGTCACGTCTTTGATAATCTGCGAGGAAGGATATTTCATCTCGCCGTCAGTGTCTGTGACCACGGAGAAAATGAGCAAAAGAATGGGCAACCTACGGGCCTTAGGACATTGCCCTCGGATTTCCTGCCAAGGGAGTCGAGCATTGATCTCAGTACAGCTGCCAGGTCGAAGCAGTTGACCATTTCCTTCTCTCGGAGGAAGAATGTCGACAGCTTCAGCGAGGACCCGAGCAGGTGGTGAGGTATGCCACCGAGGCCACCTCCTCGGGAGTCGTAGTACAGAGCCTTATCGGATCCCTTGTTGGCGCCGAACTTCCAGAGATTGACCACAGCAGCCTTTATTATGTCGGCCTCGACCTCGCTCCACTTCTTTCCAGCTACAGAAGCGTACTCGGGGTAGACAAGTCTGATGAGCTCCAGGTGATATTCATGGTCATCATCGTAGAGAACTTTATGCGGGCCGAACATAAAGAAGAAATCTAGCGAGGTAGTTGCGGTGCCGGCGTGTTCCACCGGAGTATGCTTGTCGTCGTTGTGCAACAGGGTCCACTTGAAGATGCCCTCGGCCCTGAAAGGGGAGCCGGGGGCTTTTTCAGTATTGTGGAAATCCTCAAAGGTGGTTGCTACGGCCGAAATGGCGGCGTCGGTCGGGTTCTCGACGTAAAAGGGCGCGCTGATAATCTCGAACCCTCCAGATCCAGCCTGGGTGCCCTTGAGGCGATACGTCTCTTTCTTGGGTGGGTCGGACTTTTTAAATGCGTACTTGAAGGTCACCACCAGGGGGATGTCCTTTCCCTCGTACAGAAAGGCGCATGGGTTGACTTGGTTGGCGCTGTTATGGTCGTGGATGAGGTTGCCGACAACAGTCTGTGTCATACGATCTTTGAAGTCCTTTCCGATTTTGTAGTTGTTGTCGTGCCCTGGGATTCTTCCAATCTTCAAGATGGAGAGAGCGTTTGATGCGCCGTCTCCTGTAGCTGCTGTTGCCATTATCTCTGGGTGGGGTATATGAATACGGTAGTCGAGACAGAGAGAGGATACCAGGACTGGGAAGTCGACAAAAATGGAGGAAGCAACTAGGTAATCAGTGAAAGAATGTTGGAAGCCCGAGTTAATCCTTTCGAATTAAAGGAGACGTGAATGGGATGGCGGAATTTGTGAAGTAGAAGGGTAGCCGGGTGGTGGTCTTGAATGACGTCTGCTAGGTGGACGTGTTCTCTCAGCTCTTCTTTTACCCTCGAGGAAGATACATCGGGTGAGGTCCAGTATTAATACCAGACCCTCCGTGTTCCACGCATCAACAATAGAAGACGTGGATTTCGTTGGCATAGGCTCGGCATTCTTTCTACGAGGTAAGGGGTGTAACTATCTGAGGGACGGTGGGGGTAAGAGATGGAAGCAGACCTGTTAGCCTAGACTTGCCGCACCGCATCGAAATGAGGCGAAGTGATCCAGGATCAATGTTTCCGTCAGTCAAGCAAGAGTTGGATGACGCCCATGTCGTGTTGGAAGATGTTTTAGTAGGTACCTTGGGTATTGGCCGGAAGAGATAGTTCTTGCCACCCTCAACGCCAAACGCTAAACACGCTAATACTGACTAAACGAGTGAACTATTTTGGGCAACAAGAATGTGCCGGGGCCTTGCCTGGGCCCCTGATGCTTCATTGGATGGATTGTGCTTTACAGCCCCGTCTCGCCGCATGGCCCCAATATTGGCGCGAAGGAAGAAATCGACTGGAGAAATCGACCGGAGAAATCCGGCACGGAAGGGCACACACCGGTGATGGTACTAATTCCCGGACCTGGTCAGTGGTTTTTATTTTCATTAATATGACAAAAGTTATGCTGATGCCCGGGACCTGTTGGTGGCCGGACCGCCAACCGCAAGATTTGAGACGCCGAGCCGCAACCCCGGCCGTGGCCCCAGATTTGGAGCCTATTAAATCCGGAAGCACTGCACCACCACCATTCCTGCCCCCATGCAGGCGAGTGACACACACACACACACACACACACACACACACACACACACACACACACACACACACACACACACACACACACAAACACACACACACACACACACACTCTCTCTCTCTCTCTCTCCCGCCACTTGAGCCACCACGATCTTCCAGGCAAAGTCTCTATCATTCGGCTTTGAACTACTCTAGCGGGGTTCAGGATTGGACGCCACCAAGTTTCACAGTTGAAATGGTAGGAGCAAGAAGGCACAGCGTGGTGGACTATGTCAAATAATAATCGAGAAATTGTTTGCTAGTCCGACCCCTTCCCAAGTAACAGAGTTTTTGAGGCTCAATCCCACTCAATGACTTCAACAATCGCCATTTGGCTGACTAAAATCAAGGCTAAAAGAGCCGCGATCCTGCGCCTGTGCCGCGGCCTTTTTTGCCCCTGTTGGTGATAGTATTCTAAAATTAAACGAGGCGTGCTCTTAGGCATTTTACTTTGCGAGCCTTGGTATCTTAGCTACTTAGTAACTAATTAAGTCATCAAGTCAAGATACGGCCTTCAGGTCCCCGATTTCACATTCCAGTGGCTTGATGAGAATGATACCCATTCCCACACCTAATATATATAGCACCCGCTGGTCGGCGTTCTCTGCAGCCCTTTGTCAATAAGCACACCGCGCACATTCTCTCCAACACTTTTCTCTTACAATGACAAATCAATTACGACATCTGAACCTTCTTGTTGAGCCCTTGGTTATTCAGTTTTGCCAAAATCGCAGCCATGTCGGGCGCTGACGCACTGAGAGCCAAGGCCAAATATGCCAGTAGCGACAACAAAACCGTCACCGGCCACTTTGACAAGGACAGCATCATGGCTGTGGTGAAGAGACCCGAGACGAAGCTGGGCGACAACATATCTCTGGAGGGGCTGAATGTCACCGCCAACCCCTCGAAAAGCTTTGCGACCGTGCAGTATACCTTCAGGGGCCCGACAAAATTCACCCTCCAATTTTCCCGCCATCTCACACATGAAGATGCGGTTGCCCAGTTCTCGGAAAACTTGGCACAGCACCAAGCCAACGGCGAGGATTTTTTCATGGAGAGGCCGAACGAGACGTTGCATCAGTTTGGCGACATGGCCCTGGCTTCTTCTGGCACCGTCTCGTGGGTCTGGGGGCAGTTCTGGGTGCTACTCTTCGAGGATCCCAACAAGACACAAGTCCCAAAGGGTACGCCGTTCCGTTCCTCTCCCACATTTCCCCTCGGGCCTCTTTCCGCTCTCCCGCTAACCCTGTCTACCTGTCCGAATCACAGCTCTAAAGCCACCAGCTGAGATCCTAGGGCAGCAAGCTGCCGTTCAGCCTTCGGCCACCCTGCCTAGTGTCATCAAACCACCTTCGAGACAGAACACGGAGAATTCGTCTTCGGCAGCAGCTAGGGCATCAACAGAGGTGGCGAAAATCAACTGCTACCTCATGCCGCTAGCCACCATGCTCGACACGCACATGACGACACCAAGCAGGGACACGCGCGCTACCACCATCACGCTCAAGAAAGACTGGACGGTCAAGATTGGGTCGCAAACCATGTTGCACGAGTCCATCGAAATAGCCAATGCGCTCGACAACTTCGTCATGTTCAAGCCGGTGATCCCCTCTCCCAAGCCCCTCAATTACAGAGAATTCTACGACATGGTTTCACGTAACTCGCTCGAAGGCGACAAGGTCACTGGAGAGGCACCCGCTGAGTTGGCCGTGTATACCGTGGCCAACAACCTTTCCACTGTCCAGAAAAGGGGCAGAGTGACGGTCACCAAGGTGGCTGCTGCGGGAGTATAATTAGAAACTATCGCTGAACACGAGCTAGATGCTTGGACAGGATAGGGTAGGACAAGACAGGACAGGACAGGACAGGACAGGACAGATAAGGGGGATGGGTAGAGGGTGGAAAGAGGGGGTGGTTGGCCAAGGTATCTTAGCTATTGCTTCGGTCTGTTGTTAGATCTGGCACACATCATGGAACATTGTAGGCAGGGCCGCAGGGCGTGACCTTTTTTTTACGATTTGCCCCGTTCTCTGGGAGAAACACGATTATACCATGCTGGGAATGGAGATAATCAACTCGTTTTTGACTAATCTTGTGGTTCTATCCTTGTGTTGCACGGGAATTGAATTCAAAAAGTAGGAAAGAATGAAAGAATGAAAGAAAGAAAATGCCACCTGTAAGTCGCTTTGCGGTTCCCCGTCTGTCAAATTTGGATGGCCTGGAAGATGCGTAATCTTGTTGAACTGTGAAATATTGGCTTGCATTCTTGACTCGGAAGCTCGCGTATCTACCTCGGCTAATTACGGAGGTGCTGAGGTCGACTTCGTTCTACAACGTGGAGTAAGGTAGTGAAACTCGGAAGTCTGGGTCTGGAAGGCAGTAGGCCATCTCTAGACAGCCTCCACGTGACCTGTGAGTTAGCCTGGAACGCGGTTGCTTCATTCGCACATAAATTGCAACCCCCCTTCCCCGCAATTCCCTCCCCTCTTGCCTTGTCTGTCTTTTTCACCCAACCACAACATGAGTTCCGAGGACGCATTCCAGCATGCCCAGTACGAAAATAACACGCCCAGCGGCAAGATCAACGGCGCCCGCTTAGACAGTGCCACCCTCGCACCTCTAATACTTGACGCGCTCGCATCACATACGCTATTGCTATCGTTTACAAAAGACGTCGACCAGTTGAAGTTTCGCACCTCGGGCTCGATTAGGCCTCCCCCAGAACCTACTACGCCAACGTTAGTCATTCCATCAGCGCTAGTGTTAGCAACGAACCGTTTGAATTCTCAATAGAATTCAGCAAGCATGACAGCCACGAAAGCGCCGCCGAGAGCTGCAAACTGGACCTGCAGATGAGGAACATGTTATGGTTTACTGCCCGACCGACAAGGCAACTCGGCCAGATGGCGGTGCAGAGCGGGGGCACCATCACCTTTGTGTGGGAGAACATCTTCTGCAAGATCTCCGAGGGAAGTGGCACGTACGCTTCCAGCCCCCGGACGTCGACGAGCCCAGGCTCTAACATCGCGGCATTGTCCAAATTGATCCCAATACATCGAGAACACGCACCTGACTCGCCCAGAGAATCCCCCCTCCTGCCCGTCGCAGAGGCAATGTTCCACCACCTGGAAAGCTACGCCATGGACGAGGAGCCGACAGTCGCCGTCAGCCTCGAATCGCCGGTCACGAGCGAAGTCGAGAATGTGAGCCTGTTCAGAGTCAAGATGATTGTCAATGACTGGATGGCAAACATCTCGACGTTCAAGATTGACGGGGAGGCGGTCTTTTGCTCTCGGTCACACGAAGATGGGTATACCTTCGAAAGCTCCTGGGCCCCTCGGCAGGAGAGTAATTTGGCTACGCTGCACTTTTTTGCCTTGGGTCCTCATTTGGGCATCGGCACGGCCGAGATGACTGTCAGGGTAAAGGACACCAAAGCTTGAGTTGCGAGGTGCGCGCCCTTGTTTTTGTTGTGCGGGGACCCTACAAGCGGGCGAGGGTAGATATCAAGCTTCGCGCCGTTGAGCGCATGGCAAGCATCAATGACATGCTCGTGACCACCTAGAGTGCGAAAGACAACATAACAATAGCACGAGAACTGTGTTCTTAGAGCGCTCTTGCGATCTTCCAGATAGGGGTCGCTGTGCTAGTGGTTGTCGGCCCAGGATGGGCTGTTGCAGTTGTGGGCCCTAGTATAAGCCCAGCCAAACGGCGGGCCGGTGTGTATATAGCCCCACGGCTCGTCAATTTCGCATTTTGCATTCTCGAACACCTATTACAGTGCGTTCCCGGTAGTCAGTCTCGTGAGTACGTCGGCATTTATTTTCTCGAGGCCCTACCGCTGGCCCGGATGACGTGAAAGTGGACTCACGCTGGTTCCGCTAGTCTTTTTACCAAGACACTTGAGCATCATTAATAAGACGGCGGCTAGGTCGAAGTAATTAACCATGATTTGATTTGGGGAGGCGAAGAAGCTTTCCAGGTTGACAAGGCGACCGTTCATGTGGTGGGTCTGTCCTCCACCGCTTGCACGGGAATCGTAGAACAGAGCCTTTATTTCTCCTTCTTGTCGACTTCTTTCTTCTTGACCACCGACATCCTAAAGGCCGCGTACGAGCCTTTTGATAACTTCGCCGCTGATTTGGTTCCACGTCTTGCCAGCAGTGACAGAATATGGGGGGCATGTCTTTTCGATAAGTTCCAGGTGGAAGTACTCCGGCTTCTCAGTCGGGACTTTGTTCTGGCTGAGCATGAAGAACATTTCTATTTTTATAACAGGCACCGACGCCCTCGACAGGGTGATGTGCACTGTCGTCATTTAGCAGCGTCCACCTGAAATCGCTGGCTGCCCTGAACGGAGAGCCGGGAATCCTGCTCTTGTTGGCGTCTTCGAAGCCCTCGACCGTGACCGTAGCCGGCGCATCTGGGCCGTACTCGATGGAGAATGGTTTGCTAATGATCTCGAGCGAGGTTTTTCCAGGCTAAGTTAACTGGATGCATTTGAGCCGGTGCATTTGCTTCTTGGGAGGCGTCTTCGCCCCCGCTTCGGGCGCCGAAGTTGATGCCGTCTTTGGGGCCGAGCCCGCGCCCGCGGTCGCGGTGCTGGAGCTGGAGCTTAGGCTCGACTCGGATTTTTGGAAGGGATTATTGAACTGCACCGAGAGGGGATTTCGTCTTAATTATATAGAAAGGCGCAAGGATTGACTGCCTTCGCTCTGGGGCCAGTGGCTGTATAAATGACATTAAGCTCGACGGTGAGTCTAAAGCTGGGGCCCCGCCCTTTTTAGATTTGGTAGTTGTTGGGATGCCCAATTATTCTCTTGATTTTATCAATGACGAGGAAGCTCAAAGTTAGGGCCGCATGGGCGGGCGATCCTCCGGCGGTTGACATTGGGCTAAGATTAACATATACAATTAGACCAAGAACAGAACGCCGAGGGGCTCGAGCAAGGAGGGGTTGGGATTTAGAGTAGAATATTACCTATCTGCTGCAATAATTAATTAATGTAGTGAGGGCAGAGAACTTGTTGTTGAAAGAAGGCGGCGAATATTAGGCTGTGGACTGTCCTAGTTGAGAAGAGATTATTATTGAGGTTGAAGCAAGATGGGGAACTGAGATGGCCGTAGCTAAGAGGTTTATATCATGCCACTGAAACCCGGTCGGCCCCACCCCGGTAGGCATTGTGTGGATAGGTAATTGGTGTGGTGGACGTGGACGTTCCTCCTCTCCCCCTTCCCCCCTCTCCCTCTTTCTTTTATTTCCCATACTATTCATCGACTTGTCCCACTCACCCGGGCCCATCTCAATTACAGCCATTTCAGACACCAAAACCTTAACCCCCATCCAGCTAGTGTTCAATAATGCCAAATACGATAAACCCGAGGCCAATCAAAAGCAGTTCCTGGGCAAGCCCGCGGATGGACACGCTATAAATGAGCCCCTCAAAACGTGTCTGGCACTAGCCTCTGTTGAAAGAAGCAGGGCATATAGTAACATCAAGGCTGGCGATAAACTAATCGACTACACTGGTGTTGAGCACATTGTTTTGGGTGCGCTCGAAGGCATCAAAATCATCATCAACAGGTTCAGCGGCCCCGAGAAAGCTTTTGCTGCCTTTAAAAGGAATTTGCAACAAATCCAGTCCAACCTGGCAGCTTTGGTGCGGCTGGAAGAGCAGCTTGGCGACAGGGCGCTGGCGAGCAACACCATGGTCTCGTGGGTATCGCAGAATTTTCTCGCGGTGATTCAATGCAGGATCAAGGCTAAGGTCCCAGCATCAAATTGTGCGTATAATTGCACGATTGATTATGATTCCTTCCTTCCAGTCTTGCCCCTATTCTCTTCCCATCATACCAATTAGGTATCTACTAATGTCGATTCCATGTCCACCTGAGTTGCAGACAAACCTCTAAATCCGAATGCAGAGAATGCAACCCTGGAAGCCAACCACTTAACGGATGGTTCTCAAGTTCGGATGGATTTGCTCTGATATATTATTTGCGCAAGGGAGATATTCGGGTTTATGTCTGCGGGAGATGGGACGAATCAATGTAAGACACTTACAACCTCCATTAAGAGGGAAGAAAGCAAGGGCACGAGGGAGAGAGGCTGGACTGCCATGCTAGGAATGGATGTCCAGCTCCTCACTCAACTAATTATGCTCTCTACACAAGGTACCTAGACCCTCTCTCCAACAGGTCAAACCGGTGCTGTGATTGTAAGATGGCTCTCAAGCTACGTCCTGGCTGCGGTATAATGACATGGTAAAATACGTGCCGGGATCGGAGAGTGGAACGAACACACAGTCGTTGATTGGACAACACACGACAACAAGGCGCGTGTGGCCATTGGAGCGCGTGCAGCTGGAACAGTGTGTGTTACAGGTGATCGTATTGACAGCGCATTGAATTGTCTGTCTAAAAAAGGCATAAAGATACAGGAAAAGAAGGCCCTATTTATACCCAAAAAGTAAACAAAGGAAATCTAGTAGTACTAGGAAGTGAGCGTCATGGAGGGCTTCTTGAAGTTCAACTCGGTTGTGGCTCGGTTGCGGCTTAAATCTAGGCGACAGTGTGCAAACAATGCAGATGCTCATCATCGACGAGGAACTATTCCGCAGAAAAGATTTTCCGCGTAACGAATTCTCGTCCACAAATTTTCCCAACAGATTCTTCCGCGCAACTAACTGCCTTTCATTTTGTGGCGAGGGAACGATTAACTTGAACGACCATTAACTTGACCAGACATCAACTAACAAGTGCCGTACCTAATTACGTTACCTTTAGTACCTCTTCAACTTACCGCAGGCTTTGGACAAAGCGAACATGACTGTCGAAACTGAAGACGTCGCCGCCCCGCCGTCAATCGCATCCTCCATGTCAAACACACCGCCGCAATTGACCCTGCCGCAGCCGACCTCGCCAACGCCTACATCACCAGCCGAGGAAGAGAACGACGGCGTGGACCAAGGCATGTCTTCGTTTGCTTGTCTATGAAAATTGTTTCTCTCGCCAAATTTTCCCACTGACCAACGCTGTACAGTCGCCGACGGTGAAGTCGAGGACGATCCCCTTGGCAGCGATGAGGCATCCACCGATTTCACCGACCCGGCTGATCCACAGGAAAGAATCATTGAGATGCACAACCCAGAAACAGCTGCCCTGTGATTGAAACCCAACCCCCCACACTTTGCAAAGCCGCTCACCATACTGTGACTAATCACTCACGCTGTCATAGACTGGCCCAAGTAAGCCAAATAATGAACGCAAGCCACCAAGACTTTTCGTTTGCATGCGGCGGATCAGTGCCCATTGCCCTGCCCGCGGAAACAAGCGAGACCGAATCCCAGAGCAGCAGCGGCAGCAGCAGCAGCAGCCACGAGATCGCCACGACCGCCGCCTCCAACCCCGTCACCATACGATGGGATCCCCGAGACCCATCCACGCCCGCGGCGAGGTGCAAGCTGACCTTCCCCCTCGACTCTTCGGGGGACGAGCACCAGGCAATGGACGGGCTGCTCGCCAACATGCTGCCGGCCACATTTGGGCTGGGAGGCAAGGACGTGTACGACGAGTCCTACCGCAAGGCCGCCAAGCTCGACCCGTCGTCCTTCTCGACCAATTTCTCGCCCTACGAGACCGGCATCATAGCCACGGTGGCACAGATGCTTCTCCCCGATATCGAAGGCGACTTTGCCGTCCGTCGAGCCGTCAAGGCCGAGCTGTACAAGCTCAACGTAATACTCTCTACGTCCTGACCCTCGCAACTCGATCTTCAGCATAGCAATGCGTCGACGCTAACATCTCATTCCGTCACATTAGGTGTACGAAGGCCCCTCGGGCCATTTCCACGCGCACGTAGACACGCCGCGGTCGCGGTCCCAGTTTGGGTCGCTCGTCGTGTGCCTACCGGCAGCACACGAGGGCGGTATGCTCGAGGTCCGACACAACGGCAAGGCGATGCAGTTCGACTGGTCATCAACGGCTAGCAACAACAACAGCGACGAAGGTGACGACAACGGCGGCGGCGGGGATCTCGCCGCCACCATCAAGTGGGCGGCCTTCTACAGCGACTGCGAGCACGAGGTGTTCGAGGTGCGGGCCGGCCACCGTGTCACGCTAACGTACAACCTCTACGCTGTCTCCGCCGACACCACGCGGTACGACGCCGTGCGGGCTATCACGTCGCCCCTCGTCGGCCATATGAACGCGCTGCTTGACAACAAGGACTTTATGCCCGAAGGCAAGCCTGAGTCTCCCGTCGTTCTGCGTGTGTGTGTGTGTGTGTGTGTGTGCGTGCGTGTTGAGGCTGCGGCTACGGCTAACATGACAAGCTTGGGCGTCGGATAGGCGGCTATCTCGGCTTCTACACGACGCACGCGTACGCGCACACGAGCGACGACTTCGACCCGTCCTCGCTCAAGGGTGTCGATATGGTCATCTGGCAGGGGTTTCAGCGGCTCGGGTGCGGGGTGTGCCTGCGGCCGATCCTCAACGCCGACTGCTGGAACCCTGAGGACGCCGAGTTGATCGTCGGGGGCGAGGACTTTAGCATGCACATCAGCGAGTGTGAGCTCCGGGACCGGCGCGATCTAGAGGGAATTCTCGACGAGTGGGACAAGGACGAAGACATTAAGCATGACGACATCGCGTGGCTCAACGAGCCGGGCAACACCCAGACCCAGTTAATTTACACTGCTGTGAGTGGGTACCAGTTGTTAAACCCCCTCCTCAAAATGGGACCAAACCGGGTGATGATTAGCTATTGCCATCGCTGTCGGCTCGCTCGCTTACGTTAAGTCTTCATCCCGCAGTACGGCAACGAGGCATTTGCGACGGCATTCTACTCGTGGTGCAGCATCATCATCGGCGTGCCGCCACATGGCGACGAGGGCAGGATGGCGCTTGCAGAGCCGTATGCGTGATCAATAAATACGCATGAGACCGAAGGGACGTGGAAGTTCAGAGATCAAAGCTACGGTGGCACCAACTCAAAAAGATTAAACAATTCAAACACAAGTCATACCGCCTTGCATAAGACTGATGTTTTCCAATTATGCGACCGCTTTCAGACGCTTTTTACCCTGCTTCTCAATGGGTCTAGGCAATTAGCCTCTAACAAGGTTCTAGATTATATTCTCAAGCTCTCTTCTTTTATTTTATTTTTTCTAATTTACTCATTCATTTCTTAGCGGATGAAATAAATGATCTTTCGGGTCAGATTTAGGTATGCCGAGCGGAATTTCCACAGTTGAATATAGGCTCTGTCAAGTCACGGTGGTGGTACAGTCTAATTACAGTAATTGAGTGAAACCTTACCCTCAATTTGGTTGAACTTTGAGTTGTTGCAAGCGCTGCCCAGGTGTTACCATTACCATAGAGAGACGTGGGAGTCGTAGCAGAGGCTTTGTACGGATGTGTTAGTTGCTAAATATACATTCTTGGCGTAGCAGGCTTGTGAGATAATGAAAAGAATCTGCCGCTAGACTTTCGGGAACCAGATGTTGTACGGAGACTCGGGCCAACAAAAAAAGGTCATCAAACACAACAGAGGGAATAAGATCCTTGCCTAGTTTTCTTCTATTTACATTCTGTATTGTGGCGGCAATCACTGGGTAGGTGACTGATGGGAGATTTGATGCAATTAAAGACTGCTGAAACTAATTTCCGAGTAGAAACTTTCATCCCTTTTTTCTTTTTCCTCCGAGTTCAAGAGACATGGCAAGGACGGACGACAGAATGAACCCCACGTGCATGGGCACGTGCGTGCGGGGAAGCCCCCGTCAAGCACGGGCTACATTCCGTACAGTGCCGTGATCTCAATCGACACTGGCCTGTCAGGCCCAAGAGCTGCCCAGCAGGAGAGTAGGCTTGTGACATCGAAACAAAAACCGAGACTTCAGAGCTGAATCGGTGCGACGATGCAGGTTTTTCCCGACCAAGCGCATTCACCATGATCTAGCTGCCGTTTACCAATTTTCCTCGCCTTGTTTTTTCTTTACACATGGGGAGCGAGCTGCCCGAAGTTGCCCCTCTCCCGGTCAATTTGTGCAGCACCACTGCCCCCAGGGCAGTCTACGGGCGAGGTAGGCACTTGACGTCAGGTCAATTGGCAATTGGCTCAACCCTCGAGTCTTTCCACGACGTCCGGTGCTGCGACAACTACTGCAATTGTGCGACGCAGCCAGCCGGTTGCCCACATACACAGACCCAAGTCCCAAAGTGCTCCGCCATGGCCAAAAAGAAGAAAGGCGCCACTACCGCCGCCGCCGCTGCCGCCGCCAGGGAGGACGACAAGGCCCTAAATGGCATTGCTATTCCGGCCGCGACACCCTCCACGCCAACAACGCCTTCGCCCACCATGCCTGTCGCTGCCTCCTCCGCCGCAGCTAAGAAGGCCGCCAAGGCAAAGACACCTGCGCAGCCGCCCTCCTCACCGGCTTTGATTATTTGTCGAAACAAGTGCGTCTCGCCCCCTTTCGTTCTCGCTGCTTTAATTACATGACCCCTAGAGGCTGATGGCGAGAATGCCACTCGTCCCTCTTGCGGTTCTGGTCGTCAATTGCTAACGGTTGGCTCGAGTCCATAGGCATTGGCGGTACATTTCGTCCTTCCATGGCCCCTGGCTTCAGCTGCCCCCCGACATACTCGAGTCCCTCGCGAATACAAACTACAACACCCCCCGCCCGCGCCCCATCGACCCCGCCGTCTTCTTCGATCTGATCAAAATTAGACGTCTTGTGGATGAAGCTACCAACCTAGCCGTTCGAGCCGCCAGCGGAGTCGCCGCCATCACGCAGCAGAACACGTCGGGCGCCCCCCATGCTGCCTTGGGGCTGGGCTTCGGTTTTGGACCCGGCACCCAGACGAAGCTTAGTCGGGAGAGGAAGCATCGCATGCGAGAACAGGCGACCCAGAAGCTGTCAAAGGCGTACCATCTGGACGAGATCGCCTGCAGCGTGGCCACCATGCAGAGTGCTTCACCTCTTGAAGAAGTAGCCTCGCTCGTCCTGCAGCGAAACCCCGACGATTCCGACGCCAAGTATGTGCATTTTTTCCACGAGAAGATACCTAGCAGGCAGCTCGCGGAGTGCACAAACCTGGTGGCGCTGAGTGAAATCATATCGGACAGGCCCACCACGGCCGAGCCTCTGAGAACCCGCGCCACCGTGCGTGTGTTCAAGGAGGACCTCGAGGGCGCTGTTTCCGACTTGACAGAGGCTCTCAGAATCCATCGCTCATACCGGCCACCACATACAGCCCCCAAGCCGCAGTCGCAAGAGCTCTATCTCTCCGAAAACCTGCAGCAGCGGAATGGCCGCTGGCATGAGGATATCATTCTCAAGGAGGAGGACCAACCAAGCAGCGTCGAAATCCAGTTACTCTTTCAGCGTGCTGGGGTTTATCTCACGATTGCTTGCCGCCATGTTGCCGTAGCCTTCTCCGACATGCCTACATCTCCGCAGAGGTCTAACGCCCCGGGTCCGAGCTCTAGCACGACCAGCCAGCCTCCAGAGGGCTCGCCAACGGGGGAGGAGGAGCCAGATGTACAGCCCGGACCCTGGCCTACGTCTGAGCCCCAGATGACAGCCGAAGAGAAAGAAACACAGCGTAAGGCCTTCGAGGCAAGAAAGCTTGTTAAGCTTAATGCCAAGCGGGCACTCCGCGACTACATGGCATACTTGTCACATTGCGAATACTCGCCCGACTTGTCGCTGGATATCGCCGAGGAGTTTGCGCGCAAGGTAAATTATACTGCTAACGGTGTCCGCGTGCCTCGATCGCATTCACATCCGCCTAGGTCAGGCTCACCTGTGGACGATACCGCGACCAGCCGGCCCCACCGGATATACGCACTTTCCGATCTCTTCACGGCGACCCCTCCCGCCGATCTGCCACCGTATCCGAGCACGGAGATGGTTTCGATTTGTCAGGTCCATCCCCGCTCTCCTCCCAGTCTACTTCAGACAACCACGGAGACGCTAACCTACCACCCTCTTCTCACCGACGCGCTTCATTCCCTACTCTTGTGCCACTGTTTGATGCAGACGTCAGCCAAAGAGCTTTTGCGCCACGCCTACATGGTCGCTCGACTCACCCGTCTTGCCGATGGCTATCCTGTCTTCCAGGCTAGTAGGTCTCCAGCTCGGGCTGACTGGGTAGAAGTGCTTCGCGCAGGTGGCAACTGGATCCAGCTCGTCGGAACCTGGGAAGACCTCTGCTCACCGGCCCCTCTACCGTTGTTTCAGCCGTCCGGTAATGGCGCCGGCCCTGTCCCAGTCCCTCTGAGCCAGTTCCTGCCGGGTGCCAAACCCGCCAAGTCGCCACCCGCTTCAGCTATTACAGACAACGAGAGCATTGCAAGCACAGAATCGTCAATTATTTTAGCTCCGGGTGGTGGTTCGGGTGGTCGAACTAGCGAAGATGGGGAGAAACGCAAGGAGCTTGTCCATCAACAAGCAATTCTTGACGCTATTGAAAGCGAGCGCGCGAACGAAGATTCGTTCCGGCTGGCTATCCGTGCTCGGCAACTGCAGGCCGAGCGCGACTACCGCCTCGATAATGCAGTCGCCTCCCTCGATGCCAGACTCATGAGACGTGAGATTGCCGAGGGTCGCCCCGCTGAACAAGTTAGGGGGCCGGGAATCTCCGCCATAAATGTCCCTGCTGACCTCCTCACTAATGCATTGTCCGGAAACCCAGTTGAAGACAAGGCAGATCCCGGAACCCTGAAAACGGCGGGTGCCGCAGAATCGAAGCCTATTACGCGGACCAGTAGCTCCGGGACGAACGGCACCAAGACCTCGGCTAATGGCGGCGGTGGCGGCGCAGCGTCTGCCCCCCCTCGTCGCTGGGCCCACGACGACGGCAGGGACAATCCCATGACAACAGATCGCGCTGCAGCCGTGGCCCGCTGGGTAAGTGAGGCCCCTGCACAAGGTGGCTCCAGCCTCGGAGCCAACGCCGATGGCGCCCGCAAGCGTAAGAAGAAGCCGGTGAAGCGCGGAATGACATCGGGTGCGAGCACAGCTGCCGTGCAAAGCGGCAGCAAGACGGAGCTAGGCTTGTGTGAGACCAAAGGCGACGGCGCGGATACAGAGACGGATATTGCGGCTTAGAAGGTCCCCCAATTTTTGCTGCCGGGTACGTGGGCCGTGGCATGGTGGGTTGCAAGCGAACACGATTCTCCCGACAGGAGTGCTTTTCGGTACCGTCCCTGTGTAGGGGTCTAGGGAGCCATTTCGGGACTATTGTTATTAGATACCTAGTTACCTGATAAACGGCGGAGGCAAAAGCGAAATATCGTGTAGCGTTACAAACACGCCGAAATTGCCATCGGACCGCGAATGTCGTGATGTCCGCCAATGCTCAAGATCAATTGGGGATACAGAGCCAGCATCCGATCATAGTAGACAAGCAAGGCGCCGTTTCGCGCATGACCCATTCCATATCTCCACCACCGTCGATGCCATAGAGAGAGATCTAGAGAAGGTAACAGGTGATATATATATATATATATATGTGTGTGTGTGTGTGTGCATAACGCCATGATTATCCTGTGAGCCGCATCCAACCCATCTGAAGACCTATCCATTCACCTGACTATCCGTCCGTCTATTCATCCATCCCGAGGCAGATGGTATCTGAGCTTTGACCCACCCAACCATCCTTTCCAATGCCATCCATCCCGGCCATTCCCCGCCAGTTCGTTCATCTGGTTGTTCGTTGGCGCATCCATCCCCCAAGCCGTACCTCGTCCGTCCTACCCCTACCTTTGACGACCAGGTCGCAATAAACGAAACCATCAAGGTAAACCCTATATAACAATAACAAAGCCAGAATAAAACGGAAAGAAAACAAATAAGGAACAGTGACAGAGAAAGACACGATATAGAACAATGCCTGTTCGTCGTTGCCCTCGTTAATAAAAGGGGCAAGTAAAAGGGGGCGGGAACCTAGGTGGAGGCTTCTCACCCCCACCTCACCCCACCTTCACTAATACCACCACCCCCAAGCCCCATGCCCATGTTCAAAAATGTGTCGATGTCGCTTAGGCCCTCGGTCTCGAGCACGTCCATGAGCTCGAGCTGCTGCTCCTGGCTGAGGCTACCATGTCGCTCTTGCGAGAACGAATATTGGTCACCCAAGCCAGCTGCGCCGGTGAACATGGCGCCAAACCCGCTATCCATGAGACCGGCGCTCGAGACGCCCAGACCGCTGGGCGGCGGGCCGCCGGCTACCCCTCGACCGTTGCCCACCGTGTAGCTATCGCCGCTGCCGCTGCCGCCGCTTCCAAAGCCGAGATCCGAAAACGGGGACGATGTCGCCGCAACCGCGCCGTCTCCCCAGTAGCCTGTGTTCATTCCACCGCCGCCTCCGCCGCTGGAAAACGCGTGGGGCGAGATGAAGGGCGGGGGCGGGTTGAACCAGTCCGTCACCATGGTTGGAAGTGCGCGCTGCTGGGTGTTTGGCTGCCGCGGGGGAGGTATCGTAAAGGCGGGGGTCCTCGGGGGCGGCATTCCAAGCTGCTGGGCGTGTTGCTGCTGCTTCATCTGGTGCGGCTGGCCAAAGTCTGTGGCCTCAAACTTCAATCCTGGTACCGGTGACGGGCTGGCCTGGAGAGACAGGGGCACAGGGCTCGCATGGGGCAGTGTCGGGGTTGGTGTGGGGCTCGCAGTTCTAATTGATGCTCCGTTTAGCCGCGGAGAAAGACTTGTGCTACTAGGGTTGGCAGAAGGAGGCGCAAGTGACTCCGGGGGCGTTGGCAAGGCAGCAGCAGAGACAGAGGGAATGCCGGGCGACGGATGAGTGTTGTACATTCTGGCTATTGGGGGCGGTGTCAGACCATTGCGTGGTATGGATGTTCCTGGTGGCGAGAGATCTTCCATCCGGTCCGGTCCATGCCCCTCGTTTGAATGGGTAAAGTCTGGGGGAAAATAGGAGAAACGGCGGCCGTTAGGATCGGTTGCTGGGTTGAAAAAGATGGAGTTTGAACGGAAAGCAGGCTGGTTTTGGAACGGGGAGTTGGGATCAAAAGCGAACTGGGCTGCCATGTCCTCTGGGGTGGAGTTAAACACATAACCAAAAGGGGACGTATTGAAGAGCGATGCCGATTGGTTTTGAGCTTGGTGAGGCGAAGAGCCTGTCGAAAGGTTGTTAGGAATAGAAACCTCGGAGTCGGGTGAGCTTGCATCGGCAAACGAAGACGGCGTGTTAAAGATATCACTAGCCCCCGAAAGGATAGGCGTCTCGATTATCGCGTCGTAACTCTGAAGACAGGCCCTGGAAAGCACTGTGTAGAGTTGCGAGGCCGATGACGAGCCAGGCCACCGGTTAGAACACTGATCGATGATGGCCACAGCCTCGTCTACCAGCTTTTCTAATTCTTCCCTCGGGTGTTTTTCGCGAACCTCGCGGTAAGAAACTGTCCAAAGCAAGGCATTAAGGCTCGAATAGAGGCTCAGCAAGAATATCCACGTTATGTCTACGGCCGCCTTGGACACTTGTTGGCTTGACAGGTTGATGATATAATTCGCAGCATCGAAGCATTTCATTGCGGCGCGGCTGGTTGGCTTCGGGACCTGAGGGGATGGCCGATATAGAGAGATAATCATGCTGTAATAACGCCCAGTGAACCTACCGAGGGCCTATTAGTCTCAAGGCCGCAGCATGGCTTACACCAACCTCTACTTACCAGGGCTTGCACCATTCCGGCTTTTCCGGGGCTGTATTGCGCCACTTCTCGAGCTTTTGTTCCATCTGGATGAACCATGGGTGGCTTTCGTGATTCGGTTCCGGCCTCGACTTTTCGTAGAGCATTCTCCTAAGCTCTGCCTGCAAAAGCCGCATCTTGCAGAAGTGTATCGCAACTAATTTCTTCTCGCAAATGGGTCCTTGACGAATACCCTCTGGTGTAATATCCTCGTCGCCGACTGTTTCGAAAAAATTGACGTCCATGAGATCGTCCCCTTTAGCGAAGCCATTGGGCCTGCCCATTATATGGGACAGGCCAAACTCGTTGGTAGTAACGATCCAGCTAAGCCTTCTCCTCATGTCCAGCGTTTGAGGATCTGAGATTCCGAGGGCGATCGTCTTCTCCTCGCCGAGACCCATCTGCTGGCATATTCTAGTCGCAAGTCCGATCACATAGTAGACGGCCGTCCGAGTCGGGGTCAAGAGAGAATATTGGCCGATTAGAACCAGGCACTGCAACGTCCTGAGGTCCTTGGGGCGCACAACCTCTTCAAACTGCTGCATAGCGGCAAGGTAGTAGCTATCTGCCAACCCAGCATACTGGGTGTCGAGCTTCTGCAGACTAATTGCCATGACCATCCGCACAACAAAATTTTTGTACGGATCCGTATCGCCGACAAACACGGCATTGAGATCATCTGCAAATATCTTTTCGTGTAGGGTGGGAGTAAAGATATGGGCTATGTTTGGCAGTTAACACCCCCATTTGGCCGTTCGCCATCATGGAAAGGAGGAGGATCACGAACCTCTTTGGTTGAAGATTTCGACCAGCTTGTCGGCAACATGCCTGCTGGGCAAGCCCGGCGCAGGATAGGCACTAACCATTGGATAGCTCTTCTTCCTGCCCGCAGGTCCGCTAATACTGCCCGCCATGCTCACGACACTCTGCATGCGATTGGAACGATCTATCCTTCTTTCACGAACCTCGGGGATGAGGTCTGCTATCCTGTTGGACTCGGTGTAGCGCTTGGCCTCTTCCATCAACAGCCTGGTCATGGCAATGCCACTGCTCGGCCCCAAATACCGCGGTGTCTCGTCCGTCTCGTTGAGGCGCACCATGCCGCCGGGGCGCACCATCTCTTCATTGTTGCGCGGGTATTCGTTGTCCTCGTCAGTGAACTGGGACAGGTCGGCCTCAAGCTGTCGCACCTTTTCCTGGAGCTTGACCACGTAAAACCGGCTGATCTTCTTTCCCTTTGTCGTGTCAAAGTATTCGCAGGTCGACCCGGAGCGCTCGCAGGGCAAACATCGGGGTAGAGTAGGGTCGCATCTTGTTTTGCGCTTAGTTGCAGTTAGCAGTGAGAACAGGAAAGCAAACTCGGAGGACATAAAGCCAGACGCATTGCAAGAAGGGAGTGGTTGTGTCATCAAAGCAAGGTGGCTGCTCACCTGCCTGCATCTGCAGCACGCCGTCAATGTATGCGCAATTCGATGGACCGCATCGCTCTCGAGGTCGTCTCGGTGGTGGGCGACAGGGATTGGAGGTTTCCTGGGGAAATAATTCAGGGGCGGTCTCTGTACCATAGAGCCCAGCCCTTGACGAAAGATGTCGGCAGCGTCCATCGTCGAGCTTGACGGGCGTGTTTCCGTCTCGGGAAAGCCACCCGTGGCCGACGACGTCGAAGCCCTGCGTGGGCACCAGGAGCTCGAGCAAGCTCGGTTCAAGCGCGACAGGAGCTCTAGACAGGGAGGCAGGTGCGAGGACGATCAGACCAGGTGTATTGAGATGCGAGTCTACGAACTGGGCGGGAATCGCTTCGCACTCGTCGACATCAGACCGATAGTTTTAAAAGAGGTGCGGGCCGAGATGAGGTCGTAGCATTGTCGTCCGATAGTTCAGACCTGATGCCGTCTTCGGGGCGGAGGCTAGTGAGGTTCAGGGTTCAGATGCTGGAGCGGGACGCAGCATGTCAAACCCCCGAGGCTGGAGAAACAATAATTGGGGTGGGGGCGACCGCCCGATTCGTTGAAAGGCAGCCCTTGCCAACTGACAACGTCGCTGCCTCAAGTGGGAATGTTGCCTTGCATTCGCTGCGACCCAATCCTGTGTAATCGAATAGATAAGTGGCTAGTTCCGCCTGCTGTTGAGCAAATGCAACTTCAAATTGACGCAACGCAGCACACAGTGGAGGTCCGGTATTCCTGACCGCTAAGGTTCCTCACATTCATACAGGATTCCTCTGTAACTGCTGAGGTGGTCCACGCTCCCAAGCTTTAGGGCAAGCTTCTCCCTGCCCCACCCCAGCATAATTGGCCCACTCGAGAATCTTGAAATGGGGGTCATGAAAATGACAGCCAGCCCGTAGGGATTTGCAGGTTGATTCTGTAACCAAAGTTTATCAAGGCTGACGGTCTCGCCGGCCTCCCCTAAGCTTTCGGTCCTTAACTTTTGGGATGCATCGTTTTGTTTTCCATTGCATCCGTCACTACAACAAGGAATCCACAAATGGTGTCTCGGCCCAATCCTGAGGGTTGTTGCGCCTGCCTGTTCTTGCATGGCGCGTCAGCACGACCCGCCAAGTGATGTTCCTTCCAACTGGCAGAAAATCAATCGAAATGTATATCCAGGAGATAATGCCTATCGAGTTGACGAATACAAGTCCGGAGAACATATCCAATTTTTTTGCTAGGTATTGACAAGGCTGAAATAGCTATGACAATGGGGCAGACAGTACCACATAACGACGGAATATTCGTATATGGAGCTTCCAGGTTCGGCCATTGCAACCCATAAAGCCTAAGGTGGGGCCAACTGCTCCGTAAGGCGAGGCAGGCGAAAACGCGGCTGCATGGACACATGGGGACGTGACAAGTGGCATGAGCAACTGCACCTCAGCTTCCCCGCCTCCACCCCGCCTCGGGGATTGACAAACGAGCGGCGTACTGCACGTCTGTACGGGGCTTTAGTCGAGGCGGCACAGCGCGATTTTAGCGCTGCTGTCAAACAACACCCATGCCTGGCTGTCCCGCTGTTCTGATACACGTCGCATCCATCAATTCCATTCCATTCCCCCTCGGTCGAAACGAAACACTGAACCCATGTGGGGAGCCTTGTCCCAAAATCGTGCGAAAATTGCTGCACTGAATCCGATCAGATACTTACCTCATAGGTGCCAAGACCAAACTAGAAGGCAAATGCCGTTTTGGATCTTACCTTACCTTCTACTACTCTTCTAATTCCATAGGCTAGTGCCTTTTGGATTCACTCTTACCCGGTCCAGTTTGCCGAAGCTCCACGGCGAACCACAGCGTTCCAGATCTTTAAGGCCTCTGTTTGCTACCTTATACATAACCCACCCCACTCTCCCACGTCAACCCTCCCGTCGCTAGACGCCGCTTTCCCCCGAAGCTGTCGCCTTGTCAGATCTCATGCGGCTGAGCGCACCTGAGCTGTTCGAGCCATTTGTCTAGCCAGCTCGGGCGCATTTTGAGGCTAGTTCAAAGCAGAGAAGGGCCACGGTCAATTCCATTCGACGTGGAAACCGCACCGCCCGCTCTCGTCTCAGCAACGGCGGCCCAGAGAAATCGACGCGACCAGCGTCCGCGAGCGCCCTCTCGACAAGCCTTGATATTCGCAAACCACCAGCGGCCAGTCACGCGACAAGGGCTATCGACCCTCTTGACGTGAAGACTCGGACGGTGAGGCCGCAAACTGCGTCTCCACCTGGTGGAGCCGCCATGCCTCGGGGGTCGAGTTTCTCAGAGAACCCCTTGCTCAGGGTTTCCCGGCCAGTATCTGCATGTTCGAGATGTGAGTGCCGGCGCTTCACGCTCCCGAGTCTCTTTGTTATGGATTGGGCTGACACATCTCCTGCCCAGGCCGCGGCGCAAAAGTCAAGGTGACTGATCATCTCACCCACCTTTGTCTCCTCTGCTGACCTCTGAGAAGTGCGACGGGAAGCTTCCCGCCTGCACGGCGTGCGAGAAGGCTGGGCGTGAGAGCGAGTGCTCGGCTGCAAATGACCAATTTGCTAGGGGCAAAGAACGAAGGTAAGACGGACAGAAGTGGGCTCCCTTAATTCTTTCCTGAGACTGATACGATGGTGTCCTATCAGCTATGTAGCAGCGCTCGAGTTACGGATAGAGAAGCTTGAGAGGCGCTTGACCTATGCGCGGTCCAGGAAGGCTTCGGTCGCGATGCATGACTCTGACGCGGCTCCCTCTGTTGATCCTAGCCGCAAGGATTCGCTGGCCGTTATCCGAGCCGCCATTCACCGCAAAGCGGCCCGGAAGCGAGAGAACTCCGACGTCAACTCATTGGTCTCCGACTTTGGGTACCTGTAAGCCTCCCGCAGCTTCGATCTGAGGCCCCCGTATTGCTACTGACAGCTACCCAGCTCGATCAATGCCACCACGCGGGACTTCGAGCCGTCAGTCACAAATATGACATTTGCCCGCCTGGTGTTGGCCGCCTCGACAAACGTTGCAGTGCCGCCACCTACGGATAACACGCTTCCACCGAAGGCGACTGCCGCCTCTCTTGTGCAATTTTATTTGACGAACATCTTTCCACTATATCCCGCTTTCCCGGAGACCTCTTTGCTGTCTCTGGTCGACGATATATACCAAGAAGACACACGACCCATCAGGAGCTCCGAGTACTGGCTTCTATTCATGGTCCTTGCTATAGGGTCCACAGCACAAAGCCAAACTGTTGAGGACGAGCACTATTTGAACGGCCTCGACTTCGTAGCGCGTGCTCTACCTCATGCTGACCGTGCGCTTATGCCTGGTTATACCACACAGCTCCAGGCACTGCTACTTCTCACTCAGTACTCGATGCTCGACCCTGCTCACTTTGACAGTTGGCACCTGATTGGTTTCACCTGCCGCGCTGTAATCGATCTCGGCTTCCACCAAGACCCGCCACATACGCAACCGTCCGACAAGGCGGTATTGGAAGCAAGGCGCAAAACATTTTATTGTGTTTATGCCCTGGACAGGTTGGTGGCACAGCTTGAATGGCCAAAAGCTTGACTTACTCGATTTTTTTCTAACTCCTTCCTACAGAGCAATAAGCATGGTCCATGCCAGGGCCTTTTCCTTCGTTGACGACGCCCTATCGGTAGCACTTCCGTCCGCCACTCGCGCGGGACGCTCGCCCTTAGTCAACTCCATATCCTCACCAACGTCTACCGATCCATCTACATTTCTCTTTAAGCTCCGCCGTTTGCAGTCGACGTGGTACCAGGAGCTATTCCAGTGTGATCCTACTGATCCGCTGCACGACGCTGCTTCCTTCATCTGGCAAATGTGTCTCGAGATGCGCGAATGGTCTGAAGCACTGCCAGACAGCCTTCCCGTCGGCATACGAGAGATGTTCGACCTCGAATTGAGATACAGCTATGTTTATTGCATCGCTCCAAGCGCAAGGGCTCCCCACATAACCCCGTATGGAAGGGTGTTAATCTTTGAGCACGCCATTGCATATATTGACCGAATATTCGAAGTCGCCAACGCTCAGACTAACATTGCGTTCTACACTTACCACGACGCACTGCGGGTATATTTTATGGGCTCCCAGTTCGTCGCCGTGATTCGTGATGCGGCCGACACATTATTATCCAGTTCGAGCGTCCCCCGTCCACTCCCAGTTCCAGGCAAGGCACCACCTCCACACCTTCCCGAAAGATTCGATCGTGCTACTAGTGGTGACAACTTGGACCGCAGCCTCCGAACCCTTGAGCGAGTCATTCTCACCTTGAAGAAATATGGTGAAAGATGGGGTTATGCCCAGGCTCTCATGTCCAGCTTCGAGATGATGTCAGCTGAAGTGACAGAAAATCTCCGGTCCAGGAGAAGCTTGAAGGAGACCACAACGAGCCAGGGCGGACAAATGCAAAGCCACCAGCCGCTCACATCGCCGCAATCTGGTTCCATCAAACAGCGCACGCCTTTACCTCAGCAAATGCCGCCGCCGCCGCCGCCGCCGCCGCCGCAATTGCAAGAAGTGCAATGGGTTGGGGTCGATGTTGCGGAGATTATTCGAGAAAATGGTCACGTGTAAATGGATGGAGGGTGTTACCCGGAAATACCCAGTATTCCTGTTCTGGATTATTATCAAGGTGCCTTAGCATAGAGGATAGCATCCGGGTTGTAAGACCTCATAAGAGGTTCAGTGCTGTGTTTTGTCACGTTTATACCTGTAACGACGCACGAAATTAGGAGTGGCAATTCCTGGGTTTATTCGCTGGTCTGCGATTTCGCAAATTGGCAACTAGACTTGGATGTTTGTAGTAGAAAGTCGGCATCGATCGATATTGCAAGACATGACAGAGCGGACAGCTGAACTGCCGTAATTCGGAATTGTAGTTTAACGAGGCCGTGATAACAGATGTTTGGGACGATTCTTTCCAGATAAGTTCCCTGTGATTGCTCTCATTGACGGCGACAAAGCTAACAGGTAATGTAATGCCCAAATTAGGGGGATATGATGAAGTGACCAGAGTTCAAAAACTCTTCCTACGCGAAGATATCCTAGCCCGGCGCAATCTCGATGACTTTCTGGAGGAAAATACGGCGCTGATCTTGCGCATATAATTTCTACTTCTTGAGCAGCACAAGCCATGTCCGGTAACCCCATCTTGCCCAGACCTAGGAATGGCAAGGCCTAAACAAGTATCAAATTTACCTCGTGTCTTTACTTTTGTGTATTCGTGCGAGCAAGGTAAGTGAAGATGATAATTCCTCTCTGTGGCACCTTTCTCTTTCGTAAACTAAGCCAGCCACCTCAGCTGGATGGATAAGAGATCTCATGGACAATAACAACAGTCTCATATATACCGCTCCTTCCACTACACTTACCCGCGCTCTTGAATTACGCAGCACGGCAGGTACGTAAATCGTTCTCGGTGTTTTTTAAAGTGCGCCTTCCCCCTTTCACTTTTTACGGGGCGGATAATCGAGCCTTCCCCTTCGAACACCGGCCACCCGGTCCTTATCAGTGGCACGAGGGAAGGAGCGGATGTAACTGATAAACATATTCCCATCAGCCCTATCTTCCAGGTTGACCTGTGACTCACTTTGGTATCAGTGCTTCTTCGAGAGTCTAGGGTCTTCCATAGACCTTCCGAGACTCCTGAGGAAAGACCGAGGCGGTTGGCCCGGGAACCAAATGCACCACCCCCCAGGCCGAACGCCAGGCCCTGCTATAAATTCCCTTCCTCCCTCCCCAAAAAACGAAATCTTCCCTCTCACACCACAACCCACATTCATCATCCTCGAGAGTCAGCCCTGCTTCGCAGCTCTAAATCTCACCACCATTCACTCTCCATCATCGACCCTGCCTGTCGACTATACACATCGTCCGAATCTACCTTCTCTTCACGTTGTGACCTTCATTCACAAATCCACGACATCGGTCATGTATCTCGTGCACCTTATCCTTGCCGTTTTGGGCGCTTTCATGCCCATCGGCTTTCACGGCCTGGCCGTAGCGGCCAGTTCCTTCTCCACTGGAAATGGTATAAGCACCCATGGCCGCCACGGTCATGTTGTTCGCGCGAACCATTCAGCTGAGACTGGAGCGGGCTGTTGCTTTTCGCACACCTGCATTGATTGGGAGCTGACTGGAGATGGACACACCCTGCAGGCGACTTGCTACCACATCTTCGACCCCCGCCACTGGTTTAACGTCGATAGCCATCTCGACTTGAACTTGTGCATCGGATATCAGGGCGGAAACTTGATTCCTGGGTAAGTTCACAGAATCCAACCAACTCTTCATGCCCACACAAATACTGAGCAGCATCGCTAACAAATACCTTTCTGCTGAGTAGAAATCACTACACTGAGTCATGCGCCCAGTGCTTCCTGATCGACACTTTCCTCCAGTGCGGCTGCGGTGGCCCGTCTCCGGCCGCTCACAAGTCTGGTATCAATCTCGGTGAGTTGCTATCGATCCGTGCTCTTTTTCTTTTTTAGCATACAGTCCAGGCTGACATTAATTGTGATGCAGATGAGTTCATCGAGAACAGCCACGGAGTACTCAAGTGCTTTGGAAACACTGGAATCGATGACGACAGAGTGCCTCACACGGCAAATGTCACCGCGACTGCCAACACGACTTGCGCCGGCGATAACGCCTCGTTCTGCCCTAACATCGACGTCCACGAGGGATAAATGAAGCGGGCAACCTTCTGTCGACAGCCTGTACGGAAACGGCTGAGATGCGTGCTTATCTAGCTGTCGTTCGACGTTCCTGTACCGTGGGTGGGTATCGGTATCATAAGTGGATTATATCAACGACTGGGTTCGCCATCTTCAAACGATGTTCCAGAATGAATTCCTTATAATCCTCGAGGATATCGGCATGTTTTTTTTCTTTTCTTCATCTTTTCTCCTGTCAGTTGTTAATAGGTCATGGGCGCTGACAATGTCGCGAATGGGAGGTTAATGGGACATGGTGTCAATGAGGGCAACAATGTTTGCTAGCATCACTTTGGTTTTGTTATCTAGTTCTGCGATCGGAGCTGAATGGCGATATTCTAGGTGTTTGTTACTTCCATATAGGAAACTCAGAGCACTCGTTTGTTTGCTACCATTTGTTATGGCAACAATCATCGCGTTGTGTCGCCCACTTTTGAGACACTTTTGAGCCACATTGTCAAATCACATTCCTGCATATCCCTTCATTCGTTACTTTCAGCCCTGATCCCTTTTTTCGGGCTCCCGGACTTCCGAATGCCCTCTTTTTCTCTCTTGCTACGGCTGAGTCCCTTACGTATTACGACTGAACAGACTGTTGAACCAGGTTTTCTTTGTCCTTTTCTTGGAAGCATAAAAGGCCTTCTTTCCTGTATTATTAGATGGGATGGAGATAGACAATTCAAGACATTTCAAGCCACTGTCAACTTTGATCACGGGCTAGACGTTGTGCCGTAAGCTTTCCCTGACTCTTCATCCGAAATGACAATTAACCCCCGCGCTCAAGGGGCAGTTGTTCCTACAAAGCCAACCCATGCCCTAGTGCATATTCCATTTCGGATTTGACCATATCACGAAGACCAAAAGCACCTTCTAGTCAATGCATCGCGGCTCTCGCAATGAAGCACGCAGCAATTTTCACCCTTGCAGTCGCCACCCAAGTGCTGGCCGTCGCCGCCATGCCGATCCAGGTTGCCGTGGAACGGGATGTCCATGAGGCCTGTCCTTTCAGCAGGCAGCCTAGACTGCACCTGACCCCGGAAGAAATTGCCAGTAGGCTAGCATCTGGGACTGTAGACGAGATCAAGGCTACGTACTACCATGACGCTACCTTTGATGTTAATTGAAAGGATCTAGTGGAGGAGGATTTGTGGCTTGAGGATATCGATGTTGAATGAGTGGCTGGATCAAGTGCCAGGACTACTCGCGCCATTAATTTCAGTTATCACTTGTAGATTACCCAAGAAAAATTCGTCGGCATCCTCACCTAGTTGCAAGACCCCAAGCCCTCGAGTACTGTCTGGAGGGGCTGATATGGGATCTTCTTGATGAGATCCCCAGCATCATGCATACGACAGCCTTGGCGTGGCTGACTTCTTGCACTCCTCGACCAGTAGGCCGGACAAGATACTGAAGGATCTCCCGGCCGGCCGCATTACCCTGCTTGATGGAGACTTTAACCTCCTCCCAGCTCGTATTGAAGGCGGCGACGGCGTGGTACTCCAGATTCTGAATGATGCCCAGACAGACCGCCACCACTAAACTTCAGTGCGGCAAGGTTGCTAAAAAGCGCGCGGAAGGCGCCGGGCACATCTTCGTCATTGTTAAACTCTGCAGCCCTAGTCGACAGATTGACATTATAATCTTCAGCCTCCGCAACAAAAGCTGCAACCCGGACGAGGGCAGTTCCAACCGTATCCCTAAAGAAGTGGGTAGTGATTGAGCGGGCCTCTGCCTCGGTCAAGGTGTGGGGAACGCTCGAATTCGATTTTCCGTGTCTCACTATTACATCGAGGCCGGCAAGGGCGTCGCACGCGGCGGCTCGGAGGCGCTCAAGGTCGTTGATGGTGAAGGTATCGCTAATGTGAAGCTGGATGCCGACCGGGCCGTTGGGGTTGTTCGCGCCATCCATTTCATCGTCGTCGGTTATGATGAAATCCCGCAACACTCTGTGGAGGAGGAGTAACAGCCGCGAGTCTTGTGCAGCCATCTCAGATTGGGCCGTATTGTCTGGACTAGTTGACTTCGACTGTCCTAGGAAGTGGTGTGAGTTGAGACAGTTAGGGGGGGCAACAAAGTTGACCGCTTGGCGTTTCAAAAAGAGAATGTCTATTTGCACCATAATTACCCCTATTTCCCCCCCACCTACAAATACGTAATTTGTGTTCCCAAAGCCTTCCAGCTCGTTGCCAGGGCAGTCCTTGACCACGCAGAAGCCGGCCCTAGCAACCCATGGAGTAGATGCCGTCGCTAGACCTGGCGCCGTCGAAGCCTACGAGAAAAGGTCGTCCGAGAGGGGAAGTCATCGCAGATGAGCCCGCGCGGGTCGTAGAGGTCTGATTTTCGGCGAGCATCAGAATGTTGCTAGTTCGGAGATTCTCGTGAACCCAGCCGTAGCTGTGAAGAAAGAAAAGAGCAGTGGCAACGGTGGATGCGGCAGAAACTCGCACGTCGAGGGCGTGCCTCGGTGCGTACGAGATCTTGGTTGGGTCCGCCGCCGCAGGCGTGCCTTGGGTGATGACGGAGCGAAGAGTGCTTGGCTCCCCTTGATGTCCCGCCTGCGGACACAATTCATAGCTTCGCAGTACCTTGAACAGGAGGCCAAACCGGTACATGGCAGGCTCGGCAAAGTATCCGGCAGAGGCGAGAATCCCAGTCGACACGGAGTCGATGAGCGATAGAAACAGGCGTGCCGACCACGGGAACCAGACATCGCAGGGAAAACCCATCTTCCCACGGCTCTACCTCGGACTACAGCCAGAGTTTGTCAAGTCCGTCAAGACACCGCCGGATATGGCCAGCGGACGGCTTATCGCTGAGATGGTGCTGCACCTCCCCGCACAAGACAGTGACATGACAAGAATACTGTCGCTAGACTTCGAAATATGTCGACAACATTGACGCTCCGGACGAATGGGACCTCGGCCCTGCGCATTACCTCATTCTCTTTAACGAAGATATGCCTGAAACGGTCATGCTGCTCGCTCGCTACGGGGCTAATCTCTCACGGCGGCTTTCGAGCACTAGAGCGAACGCCTTGCAGATGATGATGCTGCGGCAAAGGAGAGCCCTGCACGGCTCCGTGTTGAGGGTCGGCGCGCGGGATAAGCGTAAGCGATGCATAGACATAAGCATGATACTTCTGATGGACGCACTCGTGGCTCTCATTCTAGTTGTAGTCCTCCACAAACAAGAAAATCTCCGCCCTCGCTCTCGCTGAGCGTCATCATGCTGGTCTCGCTTGTTGCATTTCTGGTTGATACAGCAACCATGGCTGCCTGCCGTATGCGATACATAGATTAAAGTTGGCCCCCCAAAAAAGCCAATCCCCGGCGGAAGCACGTCCAACACGAAGAGTTCTCGGATCTGACTAAAACTGGCGTATCACATACCAACCGCTCCGCTCCACACACCCGAACTTTGACAGCCCGGAACCGTTAAAGTTCAGCACAACCATAGATTTGCCGATGATACGTATACCGAGAAGACTCATACCGTGCCGTAGTATCAAACTCAATCAGCCGGCACGAGTACAAAGAGCAAGAATACTATAATTGACGAAAGGGTCCTTCGAGTCCTCACCTAAATCCACTAGATTAACTACATCTATTAAATTAACTATAACTATGTACTTGACGCTGCCCAACTAGCATAACCGGTACGTTCCGATCTATCGTACGCGCTAGAAAAAGGAGGTATTCGGACGAAGCTTACCGTAAAATCTAGATTAAAAAGGCGTATACGGTATTCGGAATGAAATGAAGGCATCCCTAGGGCCAAGGATGAAGCGAAAAGAAAGAATGAAGGGAGTATAGAGGTATGCTAACCAGGGCCTGAAAATGTGGCTCAATTCCTTGAAAAGTGGCTCAATTCCAGGCGACACAAACGCAAGTTACGCTATCAAAGATGCCCGTCTCGTCCAGAAAGAGGAGGGTTCTTGATATACCCGGAATTCGATTCGCCGATACGGGTTGGGTTATCCTGATATTGATAATTCAGCAAATATTCTTCCTCTTAGGAAGGATATATATAAGATGTTTGACGATCGATGCTTCATCATTGTTCCAAAGATGATCACTACACATTCTTCCGGCGTCGACGTATCCCGCAAATACGTCTCACACCGGAGCTATGGCCGGCCCGAAACTTTATACCATCAAAATGTACCTGGATAAAACAACTGGGAAAGTAGAGTATATTAATAGCCCCTGTGCTAATTACTGTGATTATAGATGTTGTAGAAATTCGGGGTATCTAAAAACGGCAACGTAAACTGCGGCACATGTTTTCTCCCTGGGAAACTGGACCCTGCTCGATTCGCTCAAAGTTGTCAAATATGACGATAATGCAAAAGAATGCTTGGGTAATTTAATGACCTTCTTAAGTCGACGCTGGGAACTCAGCTTAGCTTTTCGACACATCCTGAAACTCGACATCGTCAGATTGATCCGGAATCATGGTCAGGCGTTTCTTTTGAGACGACATCGACACCAGAGCAGCGCCTTGAATGGTTCTCCGCAATTCCCACTTGTGCTCATCCTATCAGGATCCACAACAGTACCGGAGGAGACGTCCAACTCATGAATTTCGAGGGTGAGTCTAGTTGACGGGCCCGGAATCTCCGACGTCAGGCCCTTGAAGGCTCGAGCTCCATCTGGGCTCACCTGCATTAGGTCCAACAATGACAGAGAAACTGTAACCTTTTCCAATAAAGCTCACCAGTCAAACACTCCTTTTCCTTTCCTGCCCACAATCTCACGCAAAGCACCTTTTCCCATTGATTGCACGTCACGCACTCTCTTCACGGTCCTCTTCTTTCTGGCAGGTTTGGCGTCGCCAGTCCCGGGCTTCGTCTCTTGCCCCTTCGAAGATACTGCTGTTCCCAGTACTGAAGCGGAGTGTTTTGGCAGTCATTTGAGAAGTGTGCTCTCTCACCGCTCCCGTTTCTACGGAATCCAGTCACCCCACCACACACCTTTTGCAAATTTAATTATGAGCAAGTTTGTCTAATGCAGTAACCAGAGGATCGTTTCATATAGGCAAACGCTTGAGCAGGTCGTCTCGACTTCCCCACCTCCCTTCACCTACGGTCTTCCCGTGCCCGCGGGGGCGGCACTTGGTCACCTGCCCGATTTCAACTGATATGCAGCATGGCTAGCGATGGCATTTGCACTTCAATGTGTTGCGACAGGCCGATCTCTTCGTGAGTCTTGGCACCGACTTACGAAGGTGGTCAAGGTCCTGGGCGAGCCCGAGAATACCGTCCGAGCGGGATGCACCACACCGTCTGCTCGGGCGGCCGCGGAACAGGAAGGGCCAAGCAGCAGGAGGGGAAATAGCGGATAGCGGATAGCGGGTCTGGGGGTCCAGGCGGCGGCAAGGGCTCGTGGGACGGCAAATGCCATTGCTCGAGCCCCTAGCGGCATCGGCATGCCACACGGGTGCCTACTCCGTTCAGACGACAGCATTGACAGGCCCTGCATCGGCACCCTCCTCGTTCCCCTCCTTCCCGCAAACGCCTGCCTATTGCATTTGGGGCCTGCTGTTGGACATGCGGTCATGCTGAAAATACCTAGCAGGCTTGGGACGGCACTCGGCGCGTACCCCAATTGGAATGTTGCAGAAGTTCGGGGGGTATCTAGCCCTTTTGTCCCCGACCCGCGGGCTCGGTCCCGGAAAAGGGGCGTGGCGGCCAAGCGTGTTTGTGAGACGCTGGACACCCGCCATCCCCATTAGTGACATACCATTATGCTGCCGACCACCAACCCGCGCCCTAGGCGACTGCTCTTATTCCCCCGACCTCGAAACCCACAGGTGCCTGCCTACCGTCTAATTCGCAGCGTACATAGCCCGCTGATAACAGACCCGCACACAGTTAGTCCCATGCCAAGCAGGCACGGGCGGCTTGGGACCTGTTGCAACCCCAGCACAAGACCACCGTCCGAATATACGACGGCGACCTTGCCAGTCTTCAACAAGCGGGGGTCTATTGAACACTCGACTCTTCCTTGCTCTTCCTCTCTTTTCTCCCCTTATTATTCTCGGCGGTCGCTCTTCCTGTGGTCTTCTTTTACTGCGAATTTAGACGGGCCATTGGACTGTCTTTGATAGTTGCCGCCCCCCGAGCATTTCTTTGTCACTGCATGCACAATTGAAAATCTGTTGCGAAGATGGCGTCCTTCGTAACCGTCATCAACCACCAACTTGGCGGCGTGGACGCGCCGGGCAATTTTGCAGGCCCCGAAGCTGTCAAGACTCTCTTGGCCGTCCAGGAGACTCTCAATGCCTTCTTTGCGAAGAACGGGCTCGGCAGTCACCAACCAATCCCGACCCCTGAGCCCAGCCCTACGATGGCGCCCAGCAATGACCGTTTGAGTGACACGGCTATGGTCGCGCACAAGCACGCGCGCACACAAAGCGACACTATCAGCGCCGACTACACGGCCATGCGAGACGAGATTGACCGTGGCGGCGCTGGAGAGCCCAACTCATCGGCCACAGGAAACCAGCAGGAACCAACGGCGAACCTTGTAACCGCTGCCCCGGTAGCGGCGACGGATGCGGATCCTGGCGCCACCGACCCAACAGCAGCCGCCGGATCTTCGGAGATAAACGGACCCCCGCCAGCCGTCGGGAGCATCTCGGAAGCAGTCGGTCGAGCCAGCGTCAGCAACGTACCCGAACCACAGCAGCCCGTCGACGGTCACACAACGCCAGAGTCCCTCGAGTCGCCCAGCAAGCCAATTATTGGCGGAGCCGTTGAAGGCAACGACTCGCAGCAACCTGAAGCAAGCGAACCGATTGTCACCCAACCCGAACTCGATTCAAATGGCACTCGAGGCGATGTCGCGCAAGAACCCAAGAGTGAAGCCGCCACTGCGCCGGGGCCCGCTGGAACTCTGCCATTGGGCGAAGAAAAGAAATCACCCCAGCCTAGCAAAGCCAGTCCCGCATCTATCCCCCCTGGCGCAGCCGGGCCCTTGAACCCGGAGCGGCTGCGGTTTTTAGCTGATGAGATCAGCCGAAATGTTGGGCAAGTCCAGACCGAGGAGGTGGCCCGGCTCCGCACGGTCACGGCGGCGCTCGAGCTTGCTGGCGCCGTGCGGCCACCGCCCGATGCCATCATGAGTTGGTTTACCAATATGAGCATCGTCTCGGCAGTGCGTGTGTTTCAGTCCTGGCGTGTCTTCGACACCATTCCTGCTGGCAAGGGGGAGTCGATCTCTTACGCCGACCTCGCGGCCAAGGTGGACACCGAGGAGGCCTTTTTGAGTGCGTTCTCTGTCATCCACTGCTCTGGCGTTTACGTCAAGCTAGCCGCGGCGCTAACATCTTCTCTGCAGTTCGCATGTCATGGATGTTGTCTTCCACAGGGGTCCTCCGGCACATTGATCCCGGCCGGGTAGCGCACACGCCAACGTCGATGATGTTGCGCGAAAACGAGACCATGGGCAGCATGTTCAAGATCATGTGCACCAACGTGGTCGACGTGTCCACGATCCTGCCAGCCTACTTTGACACGTACGGGCGCCGCGAGCCCCTCGGCCCCGCCCACATCCCCACGTCCTTCCTCGCCGGCCGCCCCGAGCTCGAGTACTTCGAGTTGCTGAATGAAGACCCCAACCGCATCAAGCTCTTCATGTGTGCTATGGCCGTCGCCCACCGCCGCGTCCCCACCATTGGCATGTACGACATGTCTTGGGTCCTGCAGCGCGCTGACCAGGACCCCGGCCGTCTTGCCTGGGTCGACGTCGGCGGCGGAAACGGCCACACGGTAAAGGTGTTTCGCGAGGCGTACCCCGGACTGCGTGCAAACCAGTGCGCCATCCAAGATCTGCCCGAGGTGCTCAATGAAGCGCAAACGCAGGCCGAGAGCGACGATGCGTTGCGGGGAGTAAGCTGGATTCCCATGAACTTCCACAAGGACGTGCCTGTCAAGGGTAAGTAACCTTGAAAGCATTCTCTCCCGTCCCTCCACCATCCGTTTAATAACGGCCCCGTCTAACTCGTCCCAAACAAAACACAGGGGCACTGATCTACTACCTCCGCCACATCGCGCGCGACTACTCGGATCCCGTATTCACCACGATCCTGCGCAACGTCGCCGGCGCGCTTGCCCCCGACAGCCGCGTCCTTGTGTCTGAGCAGCTGCTCGCCGGAACGCCGCCGCCCGTCTACGCAGCCTTCAAAGACTACGCGATGCTGTCGCTCGGCGGCAAGGAGCGCACGCTGGACCAGTTTGGTGCCGTCGCAGCCGCCGCGGGCCTGCGTGTGTCTGGCGTGTTCCGGGACCAAGCCACGCCGCACGCTGTTGTAGAGTTCGCGCTGCAGGAGTAAGCCGGTTATCAACCACTAGAGGGCGTGGACTTGCAGACGGAAAGAGCTGGTATTATCGGAGACAGAAAGATGGCAGCTGGGGACTGATTTTGGAGGTTGGATTTAATGGATGGGCATTTTGTCCTCGGGGATGGTGCGTTATGGCACCCTCTAACCACTGCGACAGACAGGGAAGGTATCATCATATTGGGGCGGCACAGGCCCTTGCATATCCAGCCATCAAGGGTGATCTAAAGTTTTCCATTTAGATCAAGTCGGTTGGGTTTAGTTTGGTCACCGAAGGGGCACATGTGGTGGTCTTGGGTACACATGTACCTTGGGTAGCTTGACTTCTTCTACTTTTCTGCTATCTAGTCTAGACCTAGGCGAATGCAGGCACGGCAATCTCTGCACATGGCATAGGCTAAATCATTCTCCCAGCACCGAATGCTATTTGGCGCTCTATTGGTGGTCATATTAGTGAATTCACAGCTTTACGTCTTTAGGCACTCACTGAATCAGTCTTCAAGAAGTTAGAAGAACAAAAATAGATGCATAAATGTATGTACGTCGAAGAGAAAAATATACAAAAGAAACAAGTGCCGTCCAACTATATACAGCCAAGGATGCAAAATCTCCCGTTTCCCCATGCTATGCTTTCACTCACCAGGATGCGCGCTTGGCATAGTCTCATCCATCTTTTCGTTTAGACTCTGAAGTCTCGTCCACCAATCGAATCGGCTTCTCACTCGCCCGTAACCCTCTTCCGCCGCTGCCTTACAGGCACTGAGAGTAGTAGGGGTTCGAGACAGTGCAGGTCCACGGGCTCTGGCACGAGGTCGGGCCGCTGAATCCAATACCACCGCACTGCTCCCAGTGGCCAGCCTTTGCGGCGTTGGTGGGAGTGGGGGTGACGCTGGTGCTCGACGTCGACTTGATGGAGGTGGAGCTGGTGGGCTTGGGGGTGCTGATGGAGCTGGAGCTGCTAGTGCCGGGGTTGGGGACGACGACATCGCCGAGGCCGGCAACGGTGGAGTTGATGGGGCCGAAGCGGATGTTGGAGTAGATGACATTGGAGTTGGGCACCTGGGACTCGACATCGGAGGGCACACCCGACGTGATGGGACAGGCACCGCGGACAGCGCCGAGGCTGGTGCTGTCAGTGGGGTAGGTCGAGTCGAGCCAGAGCATGTTTGCGGCATGGTCATCCCAAACGGACATGGTCAAGACCATGGGCTGGGCGAGCGCCTTGCCCATCTGAACGAGGCCACCCTTGCGGTTGAAGTCGCCGACATCGCCAAAGGCAGTCTTCTGAGCGTCGCAGAAACCCGCCGTGATGGAGTTGCCGGTAACGCCCGCGATCTTGGAGTTGGAGTTGGGGATGATCTTGCCGTTCTGGACATAGAAGCGCTTAATCTCGGAGAGCTCGCCGGCGGCGTTCTTGAGGAACTGGGTAACAATGGTGAACTTGGACTTGGTGTCAACCGTCTTGCCCTGCCCGTAAAAGCCGGTGTCGCCCATGCGGTACGAGTTGAAGTCGCAGCCATCAGGGTCGCACACACCGCTGTAGCGGTCACTGCTATAGGTGCCGCCGCAAGCGTCGCCCAGGCACCTAGTTTGACCGATTTCGGTGCACGGGTGGGGAGTATAGGCAGTTGCCATGTTGTTGGCCTCCCAGATGTCCATCTCGGAGCAGCAAGAGCCGTAGTTGCCCGTGCCAGCATTGGCATCGTTGGATGAGCTCTTCCACCCCTCAATGTTGGCCTCTCCGTTGATGAACTTCAGGTCGCGAGGGCACTGTGCGTCGCAGTATCCTGTTCCGTACTTGGCACCGGCCTTGTTGCCAGAGAACTTGGAGAGGCCGCCATCGAGATCCATGGAGACGAAGTAGAGAGCGCCATTGAGACCACAGCCAAGGTTAGAAACGTCCACGTCGAAGGTAAACTCGTTGCCCAATAGGGTGAAGCCTGTGAATTGCTGGTTAATCGACAACGTCCTCAAAGTTCTCGAGCTTCACAAATGCATGGCACATACCCTGATACTTGGTGTCGGACTCCATAAGGTAAGTACGCGAGCCAATGTTGGTCGAGTACTGGCCCTTGGTGACAAACTTGAGGCCCAACGAGTTGCCGCTGGCAGTAACACCGTACGTGTTGGCGTACTCGGCGCCGTCGAGGCAGCACTGGGCGGCGCAGGTCTTGTCGGTGCTGCAAATGGTGCTGTTCCACTTGTTGCCATCGTAGCAGTTGGTGGCGCTTGTGAGAGCATGAGTCCAACGCCAGTTGGCATCAACGGTGACGGACCCCGCGACAGTGCTGCAGCTGCCTCCAGATGTGCACTTGGACCATTGCATCCCAGGGTGCGTCTCGGCGGTAAGGGAGCATGCCTGCTGGGCAGCAGCCGAGGCCACAATAGCAGCGAGGGTAGCGAACTTGGCGTACATGGTGGCAGATTTCCGGAGGAGCTTGAGATGCCTAGGATAGAGAAGGGTGTGGTTGAGGATGGAGACTTCAAAATCAGAACGAGGCATCGGGTTCGACCATGTTGGGTTATATACGTGATCTCCAGGCCCAGGACCGACCGCAGTGACTCGTACTCTCTCCCTATCGCCGCCAGGCCGGGAGAGCAGGAAGCGCGGCCCTGGAGTGGATTCACAACCCGACAAACTTGGCCATGGGAAGACGAGGTCGCGGGCACGAGGTGACGGCTTCCGGCCCGCCTATGCTCCAGCGACTCGCAAGCGACCATCCGGACAGGTCACCACCATGGCCCATAATGGACAGCGTTACCTCGACATGGTGAAGCCGGAAGATCGATGAGGAGGAGGGCTAGTGTGAGGCGAGGTTCAAGACCTGGTCGGCCGTCATCCCTGGGCCGCCGGTACGTTGAACCCCAGGTTCTAGGAGCTTACCCCTCACACACACGGGGAGGCATGGGTAGACGTTGAGGCCTCTAGGGCTCGTTCTAGAGGGGCGCCCAGGACGAAGAGGAGGCAAGATTGGAGAAGGTGGATCGCAGGTTCGTCGTTGGCACCCAAACGGTCGACCATGGCCGGGGAGCCGAGCGACGATGTCACGCCGCGGGCCTGTTTTTAGGGAGACTGGACCGGGCACGGGCTGGGAAAGCGTGGAGCCGAACGATTCGATAGATTAAGGTTGCGCGCCGATGGCAGGGCTAAGTGCCGCTCATTGGCGGGCATGTCTTGTCGAGTCCAGTCGTGACCGGGGTCTCACGGAGGCCATCCGCCGAACCGACTTTGCCCGCTCTGAGCAGCGGCCCGCCGTGCGAATCCAAACCACCCCACAAGTCGCTTCTCCAACCAGCGCCAAGCTCGAGCTGCCATGGTCCGAAGTGCCGTATCTCCAGGTAATTATCACTTGCATTCCGCGGACTGCATCGTTGCTGGGCTGCCGGCCGGGCGCAATTAGCAGGGCGTTTCGTTGCCTGCCTCTCCGCTTCCCCACGCTGACGGATTGTCTTACGAACAAAGTTCTTGTTTTCCGACTTCTCCCACCCCGCACTTTTCTGGTTCCGAGTTCCCGACATCCCCGGGCTGTGGCGTCGATCGATTGGGTCTCTGTCCGTGCAACATCCTCTTGTGGTTAGTAACCCGAACAAGCAGCAGGGGTTGATGAGCGCGAGGGCAAAAACTTCTCTGTCGCCAAGTCCAATGACGACCCAGGCAGGCGTCACGCTCAGGAGGAAGCGACCAGCCGAGGGAACCCAGCTACCTAGCTCGCCCGTTGTCTGGTTGGAGCAATATCGCTTACGGTACGATGAACTTGCTCATGGAATGTCGTTGGAAAATTGGCTGAGGCTCAAGCTTTTGCGAGCCGCGCAAGACTTCGAGAACCGGGAAAGTGGTAATTTTGGCAATATGCGTAAATTGGCACATGTCATTCCCAATTTGGCAGTCCTTGTCGGCCCGCTGTTGCAGATGGCTGTTTCAAAACTTGTATGTACTGTACCTGTACCGTATAATTTTCCCTCCCCGCCTTGCCGCGCGCCATCTGTTGTCGGTACCATATTTAGACAAGGCAAGCTCGTTGCTCGCTGGTCATCGACGGCAGGCGCTTTCCGCGACTTTGCTCCAACCTTTGGGGCTATTGGCCGCCAGTACCTTCCTTGCCTTACTCCAAGTCGAATCCAAGTCCCATCCCACTTGGTTGTTACTCCCCGAAGCAGCCGCAGTGGCAAGCCGACCGAATTTTGGGCATTGGATCAAGTTTTGAATGGACACCTGTGATTAATTCCTCCACGAATCCGTACGGGGAAAGAAACTCCTTCCACCCTCCAAGCACTTTTCTGTTTCTTTCTTGCGTCTCCCATGTGGTCAATTGTGGCTCTTCGAGTTGCGTGCAAGTGTACCTACCGTTCAATGTCATCTCGCTGCGGGCGCAAAGACTACAATCTCTGGGAATTTGCAGCTCAATTTGGAGTTTGGAATACCCGACTGCAACCACCTCGTTATGTGTGCTGATGAGACCCGCTTGGTTTGGCAAGAGAGCATAAAACTTCCTGAGAGTGGGTTTAGATGATGGAAAACACATTTTCCTCGGGTTCATCAAGTCTCAAATCTCGCAAGTCATATGACTCTGCCATGCTAATTCTTTCAAGCTCAGCACGGCTCTCGCTGACACATGTCAAAACCAGGAAAAGGTTGGACCCATGTCGAGTCTCCCCTCCAACAAAGAGGCAATGCACAAGGGCACCTGACTCTATAAAACCTTTTCCAGGGGTCATGAAACTATAGTCAGCATAGGTCGCACCCTTGTTTCCTGTCTGCTCAGTGAGAAAGTCGAGGCTATAGACTGAGATAAAGTTGCCGACCGGGATCGCCCGATTTTCCAAGGGTAGGTGAGCCTGGTCGCTAACAGCCTACCTCGCAAGGTAATAACCGCGGACGCGAGCTCTCCCGCCATGTCGTTACCTTGAGGTACACACTGCAGGTACACACTGCAGGTCTACCAGCTCGCACGCGAGCTCGCCGAGAGCCAAAATGCAAAAGTCGCGGGGAGAGAAGAAGTTCCTGAAAGCACCAACCATGGGAGAATAGTGAGACCGGCAATGGCCTATCGTCAAAAATTTAGTCCACTAACGACATCTGCTGATAGAAGGCCTCGACGCGGACAAATGCATTGATCTGACGACTCCATCCACCTTGGTCCGCCGTGCAACCGAGACGGCAACAATAAACCATGTTGTCTGGGGCAACAGAGAAGAGACCGCTTCCGTCATCAGGCGATCTTGTTGCGACCAGTGTCATGTAGCAGCCCTGGTAGATCGACGCCATCTTGGCCGCCTCTTCCCGCTGGTCGTCCTCGTCGTCTTGGATGATACACCAACTGTCAACCAACAAGTACCGGATCCCCATTCGGCGGACAAAAGCTATTGCCTCTTTGTAGGTGGGGGGGAGCGCTGCCCAGTCAATCGACTCGCAGTGAGAGGTGAGATTACTAGCCAGAATCCGAAGCCGGGGAATAATCCCCCAGCAGTCAGGTGTAGTCCACCGTCTCTCCGGCCGAAATGTGCAAGCGCACCGTGTTATCAAAAAGCCCAACGTCTAGGATACGCTTTGGCAAGGGGGACGATATGGCCTCGTTGGGTGGGGAGTGACTCTCGTGGCACTCTCGAAGCCGCTCTTGGGCCCAGTGAAAGCTTTGGTCGGAGGATGTATCGCCAGGAAATGAACATCCTATTGGCCAGCCGCTCAATTCACTCGGAATGCTGGAATTCCCTTCCGCTCATCAGCCTATTTATCAAGCTGACAACAAAGAACAGAATGGCTAATTCTAAAGTACAGTATCTCGTTCCGTTGTGAGGAGGATGAAGAATCCTAGTTGGCGTGAACAGCCTCGATCACCAACTCTCAGCAGCTGCAACACCAGCAGGCCCATATTCAGGACGGCATAATCGATTCTTTCCTGGAGCAAGGCACATGAAGCACAGCCTGCCGTAGCCCGCTCTGATATTTCCCCTACGTTAATTCGGCATGCCCAAGCCCCGAAAGAGTCCGACTGGGAAGATTGAGGGTAAACGCTTATTCGGCAGCTAGAGGGACTCGATGCATGGAAATCCGAACTTGGAAACCGGTAACTCCAAGGCGAGGGGCTCACCTCCCTCGGAGGTTGCAGTCAGTGCGACAAAGGAGGAAGCCATCAAAAGAAGGGTGTCGAGAAAATAGATGACAGCCCTGTGAGGGGAATGCCCCAGCAAATCATTCAGAGGCAAAGAGGTTGTTGAGAGTACGCAGTCTCTGTCTCAGGACCCCGCCCCCCCACGACGGTCTACAGGCCCGGACGACACAACTCAATTCCATGGCATACCGAACTGAGCTCTCATTTGCTTGTTTCAAGGCTGTGTAATCATGCTGCATTATCGGCCTTGCGGCTGAGGTGATGGCTGCTTATGTCTTTACAATCAAAAACAGCCCTCTTAGCTAATACCCCATGTTTCTAGAACTAGTTACTCTAACCCAGACCTATCAACACGACTAACGATGCTGCCAAGGGATGCTAATTACGACGCTAAATCAATGCAGCTCAAGCACGGCATCGCCACTTCCGCCCGGGTTGTTGCAATGTCAAGCTTCAAGAAGACTATAGACTTTCGGCTGCAACGCTCTCTTAGTGGCAGCCACCGCCATCCCGGTTTGCGTAACTGATTCCTAGATGGCCGCCCCATCTGAACCTCGATGAGTGCACAAGCAACGGCGCAACGGTATCGATAATCATGGGAACATCGATGCAGCCACAAACTGTGGTGAGGGATTTTTACGATTCGAGCTAGGCAGCAGTGTGGCCGAAATCCAAAGTCACTACTTCTGAGCCTTGAATCTGCCTGGCTGACACTTTTCTTGTGGCAGTGCTGGTGAGTGAAACGCTTTTGCCCTCGCGCATTTTCTGAGTGTGAAGAGCCAAAGCTTACGCCCGATTAGCTCCGCCCCCAGGGCGCATCGGCATGCTTCTGTGGGGGCGGCGCAGCACAGGCCGAGCAGGTACGTATTCCATGCCGGCGTGGGTGCAAAAAATCACTTCGGGCAACGGCAAGTATGAGGATACGAACGGACGGCTGTCGGGTGTAGGGTGGGAGACTGGAGGGGATGACAATCTCGTTCTAGACCCCGACTATAACATACGGCCCCCGCACGAAATCCTTCGGAAAATCCATTCCTCATCCGTCACTATACCCACAAAAATGCTCGTCTCCGCCGTAATGCAGTTCAGCCTCGCGTTCCTCGGGGTAGTTATCGGCCTAGCACCTTCCGCCGTAGCCGAGGACGACCAGAAGTTTCGCTCCTGGTACCCATACTACCGTTATCCTCTAGACTCGGCTCTTGAAAAAAACTGTTCGAACGAGTACGCAACGTACCTCGATAACCAAGCCGGCGTATGCCAGTATTATTGCAACGCTACATCCACGGCCGGCGAACCCGTCATTGAGTGCCTGCTATCTTCCCTAGCAGACTCTGTCAAGTCCAACATGCAAAGCGCCAGTGCGTTGCTGGGCATTATGCCGGTTGCGCTGCCCTTCCTCGGCACGGGTACCGAGGAGAGCGCCCTCCTCATCGTCATTGCGCAGCGGCCCCTACTCACTCTCCTCCTGGTGACCGGCTCACCCGTCGCCTCCCCACTGCAGCCGTTCGAATACAACCGGCCCGTCGACATTCTGCACCGGCGCAAGGGGCGATTTCGCAGCCTCGGCACCCCCCCGCAGCCCGTTGTTCTCGCGGCCGAGTATGCCACGGCACTGCTCGCCCTCGTCAACACACTACACGTTTCGTGGCAGCTCGGCCTCGGCGTCGTGACCATGGTCTCGTCCGGTGCCATATACTTACCGAGCCTCTGGGTCGTTATGGGCGTCGCTGCGCACCTCGTTGGGGCTCTATGTCTGCGCTCCTTCATCTGCGTAAAGGACAGTTCGTCGGCAACGTCATCGTCGTGCTCAGTTCTGCGCTCCGAGTTCACCATGTCGTCCGAAAAGAGCATCACCTTGTCGACTCCTAAGGATGAAAGAAAGCAGTTTCTTGTTTTATCCATGCTCACGTCGGCAGCCACGACATCGTATACTATTTTCGGCTTCCTTTGTTTTGCCAGTATACAGTTCATCTCTGTGTACGATGCCTTGATAGTGATTGGCCGTTACACAGTCTCTGTCGTGGTCTGTCGGTTTATCGCCTTGTATGAGCTGTCTGGCCTGGAGAGCGTCGTGACAGACGGTGACAATGACAAGTGAGGAAGGAGATGGTGTGAAGAAGCTAGAAGATTCTCGTCTCGTATGGGCGCTTCGTCATCGATGAGGTTGTTGTATTCGCGTATGAGCAGAAGTTATGCGGAGAGAGCAGCTTGGATGGGTCAACCCAACGCCCGCAAGCGGGTGACGTATCGGTATGATATGTGATTTTTAGCGTGTTACGCGGAGAGGGTTCTTTGGCTAAACCATCTCCAGTGGTACAACAATCATCTCCGCTCCATCCCTTGATAAGTACGCCAAGACCCAGACCATGTTGCTGACAAGGCGCCAGCCTCCCGATTCTATAGAGAGACTTAAAAGGCTGGCTGGCCGCCCGGAGCTTACCCGGGTGCTGCTTACATCGGAGCGGGCATATAAATTCTCCGCAATCACAATAGCATAACTTGTGCGTAAAACCATGGGACCTGAGGAGCTGAGCTTTTTATGCTCACCCTAGGACGACGTCACCCTGTCGTCATCAAAGGCCGCCCGTGCCTTGGCTAAGGTTCCCACATGCATGTGGCTGCACCCTCCCTCGGTTCCCAGCAAACTGGAAAGCCTGATCGCTGCAAGGTATTCCAAACTTTCAAACACCATGGCTTCCGACTCCCGAGGGTGTGACCCGGGAGCCTGCTGGGCAGCCATTCTCGCCTGTGACTAGCCGCCTGGTTGCGAAAGCAAACATGCCAAAGTCCAGCTTCAAGCTTCTCTACCTAATCTCCGTCTAACGATAGCAGAGAAGCCAAGATGGCGTATGGCGATTGGAATGGCAACCCAACCACGACTCTCGTCGCCATTGCCCTGGTTGTGTGCTTTTGCTGGGTCCCGGTCCTTGCCGTTCTCAGCATTTTTAGGAAATGCCGAGTTCGTTTTCGTGCCTACTTTGAGGAGCGGGGGTGGGTTGCCCCAGTCCCGGACGAGGAGAAGCGTCTCGCCCGCCAGCAGAAGGCACCCGAAATTCGCATGCCCCCGCCCGTTCATAACCGTAGGAGCCATCAGAGATCCTATTCAGCCCTAACCTACAACTCGGCCGCTAGCAACGAGACGCTGAGGAGGGTAGACACCGCCTCGAGCTGGGAACCCATTAGGCGTTTTGACTCGGCCTCGAGTTGGGACCCAGTCCGGCGCTTCGATCCCACGGGGGCTGGTTCACCCCCGTCGATAGCGCCCTCGATGGCCAGGAATAATTCTCTACGATCCAACTTCTCTCGGCCCACACAGAGCCGAGAAGCCTCGGTGCGGTCCGTCTCGAGTACAACGACGCTTGCGGTGGCCGGTGTCCAGGGCCGTACTCGAAGGCCATCCACTTCGAATGGCCCCCCTGTCTTCTTCCAAACCGAGACTGCCTACTACGACACCACCCCACTACCAACACAGATGCCGAGCAATATCAAGTCTGGCTATGCCAAGTCTTTTACGGGCAGGTCACACGCCAGCGGGTCGCCCAGCGCTTCATCGCCGAACCGTCGAGGAACATCCCTCGATACGGCAAGGTCACCTACACCGGCGCGAAGTCCGGAGCAGCCTCAAAGGCGGCGGGCTAGGACTAACGAGGAGCCCTGGTGGGAGAATCGGCCCCAAGAAGCCCATCCATTTGGGCCCATGCCACGGGTGCCTCCGAGAAGAGGGTCACTTAATGCCACACGGGCCCCGGAGCGTCCTTGTTGGCTGGACATGCCATATGCAATGTGAAACAAGAAAATAAATAAAATGCCCGGTACAATTTCTTGCCGTGTAAGTCCGGGATCCTATCTGCCGTATCTGCCTACCTATCCTCTAGCTGGACCTTTGCCCATGATCACCGACACTGACCGTCACATCGGTAGCCGGCCATCCCACCCCCCCTCCCCCTCTTCTGGGCCCTGATATCTGGTACGATCGATCTTGACGGGCCCGAGAAGGGCCGATCGCGCCGGACTGGGACGCTGGGGCAGCATCGGCCGATACGGAAGATGTTGGGGGTTCATGATGACGAACAAGTTCGTCACCTTGCATTCTTCTAGGCACTGGGATGAAGAGGACGGTTGCAACGCGGTGTTACGGTTACACTTGGAAGTCCGGAAAGGCGGCAATATGGTAGTGATGTGTGTGTCAAAGTGGGTATTGGTGGATGTCTGATGATTAACTACCTTGGATTGTGGTTGTGAATTTAACTGCATGAGCGCCTGGAAAGCAAGGTCTTTGGGGGGGGGGGGGGGGACTGCACATAAATTACGGTAGAGAAATCGCGGGATTCGGTCTGGTTGTGGCAATCTTGAATGTTTCCTGGGAGCAATGCGTGGGGTCGAGTCCTGGGGTACTTGCCCTGGTTATATTAGTGCAAGCCATGATATGCATCATGTATCAAAAAATTCATAGACGCATAACGTGTGTGATAAGCGAGATGAACAGACAAGCGAGTTGAACACTTTTGACGCGACGCGCCTCCTCTCTACAAAACACCAAATTCCTCAACAAACTCAAATGTCTCTTCCTTCATACGAAGCTAGGGTGAATTTGGCCCTCAGGGCTATTCAAAACGACCCAAAACTCAGTATTCGAGCTGCAGCAACAACATATCAAGTCACGGTAAATACTATACGCAACCGACGCGACGGCAAACCTGCACGACGTGATACTCCAGCCAATTCGCGTAAGCTTACGGATTTGGAAGAGAAAACGATTGTTCAGTACATCATTGAGCTATGTGCGCGCGCATTTCATCCCCGGCTTTCGTACGTAGAAGATATGGCCAATCGATTGCTACGCGAACGCGACGCGCCCTCTGTCGGTACACGCTGGGCTCACAACTTCGTCAAGCGCCAGCCAGAACTTCGGACGCGTTTTACGCGTAAATACGACTACCAGAGGGCCAAATGCGAAGATCCAAAAGTTATTCGCGAGTGGTTTGCGCTTGTGCACAACACGAAGGCCAAGTACGGTATCCTTGACGAAGATTTGTACAATTTCGACGAGACCGGCTTTATGATGGGCATTATCATCCCCGCTATGGTAGTTACTACCTCTGATGGCCGTGGTAGGGCTAAGCAAGCCCAGCCTGGTAATCGAGAGTGGGCTACAGTCATCCAAGGAGTGAATGCTCTAGGCTGGACTATCCCACCATTCATTATCTTAGCTGGGCAATATCACCTTGCTAACTGGTATCAAGAGTGCAACCTTCCGGGTACCTGGCGTATCGCAACAACCGACAATGGCTGGACTACTAATGAGAAAGGCATGGATTGGATTCGGCACTTCGATTTCCACACAGCATCTCGTACGAAGGGAATATACCGACTGTTAATTCTCGACGGCCACGATAGCCACCACTCCGAAGAATTCGAGACTTACTGCCGGGAGCACAACATCATCACACTCTGTATGCCTCCGCACTCTTCACACCTACTTCAGCCATTGGATGTTGGTTGCTTTGGGCCGTTGAAGAAGGCGTACGGCTGTCAGATTGAGCAGCTGATGCGGATGAACATCACACATATTAGCAAGCTGGAGTTTCTTTGTGGGTTTAGAGAGGCGTTTTTTGCTTCGGTTACGGAAAGGAATATCCAGGGGGGGTTTGCTGGAGCCGGCCTTGTGCCGTACGATCCAGAGAGGGTGATATCCAAGCTGGATGTGCGTATTCGGACTCCAACACCCCCAGCTACAAGCCCAACTACATCGCTACCTTGGGTCTCCCAAACGCCACAAAACCCGAGAGAGGCTGCCTCACAGTCAGCGTTCATCAAAACTCGAATTTCAAACCATCAGGGCAGCTCTCCAACACCAATGCTGACTGCTGTGGATCGATTAGCTAAAGGTACGATGGCTATGATGCACGAGGTGGCTCTTTTGCGTACAGAGGTCTCAGCACTTCGGAAGGCCAATGAGGGGCTTAGTAAGCGACGGAGAGCCAAGAAAACACGTGTTCGGCTTGGAGGATCACTTACTGTACAAGAGGCACAGGATCTACTGGATCAGAAGGCTGTGGGTGGGCAGTTGGTCCAGGAAACACGACAAAATGGTGGTGGTGCAGGGGGGTCTCGTACGAAGATTCGATGCTGTGGCGTATGCGGCAAGCCTGGCCATAATGCACGTACGTGCAAGGAGGCTGCAGAATCGTCTGATTCATCTGTTTCCGATTCAGTTATTGTTATTTCCTAGTGTTGTGGTTGTGTAATTGAGGGTAGTTGTGGTGAGGTTGTGGAAATTGTTCAACTCGCTTGTCTGTTCATCTCGCTTATCACACACGTTACACAAGTGTGCACATGACCTAATTGATCTTTGGCGTGGGTTGTCCAGTACCCAGACTGCGTCTAAAATGTCGCTAGCTAGACCCAAGTAGTACTCTGGAACTGCGTCTTCGGAAATTCAGGAGAGGCGTGGTCCAAAAGCAGTCGGGGCAGAGTCTTGGCATGCGCCGTCCGCTGTGCTAATTTTGTCTTGAAAACAACAATTAGGGGCCTACTTATTGTTGGGGAAAACAATTTTGGGGGAAAGAAACAGAAGTGCAAATCTAGCCTAGCCGGCGATTTCTTTGTGCAACAAGCCCAGAACGTGGTGTTTAGATGCGAATAATTTCTTTGTCTACCTAAAATTTGACTCTGCGCTCACAATAAATCCTAGATAATTCTATTCAATTTAGTCATTTGTTCATCCGCCCTGTCACAGTTTTCACGCTCTTTATGCACAGTTCGAGAATTTAAGCACGATAGCGCCCTGTGGTTCTCGGTACGTCTCGGTTTTTAAACTGAACTACATGAAGATTAGGCTTCGAAGGAGCTCACTCGTTGCAGTAATTGGCTAAAATTACATAGAACCAGGTAAGCATCTCCCGATGCCCGTCCTGTTCGATCGGGAGGAGGATGGCTCCGTCTGCTACTATGAAGACGAGGAGGCCAGAGATAAAATAGACAAGGGCGTCGAGATTACCATCATTGTGGGCATGGCCATCGTCTTCTTACTTCTCCTAGCTCTCTTCCTGTCCAAGTGCACTACCAGATCTAAGCCTCCTAAGCAGATCTCGTACCAGAACAATCCGGCTAACAGGGATAGTTACGAAATGCAGCCGCAACAGGGCTGGGCAGGCGGCTACCATCCGCCACAACCGCTAGTAGCGTATAGGTACCGTCCCGAGCTAGAGCCGCAATCTCCACCTAGGTTTAGAAACAAGCTGAGAAATGAGAGAAAGGAGAAGAAGGAGAAAGAAAACAAGAAGAATAAAAACGACAAGCCGAGAAAGAAATCTAGAAGAAAAAAGTATTTCGGCCTTTTCGCCCGCATTTTAGGGCTCAAGAGGCGCAGCCGCATCCGCGCTACTAGCCCTCCTAAGTTTAAGTCCTGTAGCGGCAAATCCACTAGTTCTGGGTCTAGGTTCGCTGGGGGTTCTTCGACTGACACGAGCCCCGAGTCTGACGGCCACAATCCTCGTCCTCAGCGTCCTATGCCAGCGCAGCCGCCTCCCAAGTTTAGTGTCTACGATCCTCCCGGGTCGGTGTGGCCTCCCAAGTTTGTCGACTACAACTCTCCCGCGACAGCTTAGCCTCGCGCCATGATGGATTTTCCCGCCCCTCGACGGCCGGCTCTCAGGGGCGAGCCATAGCGGACGCGATATCATGGCGGACTACCAGCCCGGCAACTACGGGCAGCCAAGCTGGCTCGCTGAGGACAACCCGCCTCGCAGTGTTCGCTATGACGACCGTGGTGGCAAGCACGGTGCGGTTTAGATTTTTCATTCTTAATATCTGGTCCAAGGCTTGTGAACCACTTTGAATTTGTCTTCAGAAGATAATTGAAGAGATACTTGGGCATCTAGATTCTAGATTGTAATTTCGGTATTCTTGTTGTGTAATATTGTTCGATGATGCATGCTTAGAAACTTAGGAGGAAGTATCTCGATGTAAAGGAAACCACTAGACCGCATGGAGTCGGACAATGGCGCACAACCAAATTGATGACTTGTCAACTACGATGGCATCGCACGATCTCGAGTCAAAGGTCTACAAGGAGATCTACCTCCTCGCATCCTCGGGCACCAGAGCCCAGAGCAGCGCTGCCCAGCTTCTCGACAAGCTGAAGCTGACCCCCGCCGGCGCCACCACCAGCCTCGCCGAGATTCTCGTGAGCCTGAGAGACATGTTCGGCTGGACCTGCCTTCACTACGCCGCTGTCCGCGGAAACGAGGGTTAGTTTTTCTACATTACAGCTTTTGAGTTATCGGAACTACTTTTAGAGAACACAAACCCGATTCCTACAAGTTCTTTCACCCTCTTCCGACAAGCTCTCTCACCCCTCTTCTTACTAGTTTCTTCACCTTTTCTTATACCAGTCACCCCTAGTTACTAACCAATGGTCACAACCCCCTTTATGTAACAGAAATGATCAGCGAGCTCTGCGGCGAGGTGAAGAAGGCGCTCGAGGACGTGACCCTGAACAGCTGGGTCAACGCGATGGACACGTCCTCGCTGGGCGACACGGCGCTGCACATCGCAGCGCGCGAGATGCACGTCGGCCAGCCCGCCAAGCAGAACCGCGAGGGCCAGACGGCCGAGGAGATCGTGCAGGCCGTGGTTCGCAAGGGCCAGCAGATCCTCCAGGCCATGGCCAGCCCGCCCGAGCCAGTCCATGAGGGGCCGAGCCGTATGTCACACCAACAACGGCAACGACCTTCTCCACGCTGCCGTCTAGCTCAGTCCCCTGCTTTTTGGCCCGTACCAGGCGCCGTTTAACTGTGGCGCCGTGCTTGGCAAGTTCCGCTCGGAGGATGAGTAATTAGCTGAAGCTAATTAGGGGTGGATTTGGGTCTTTGCTCGCAGGAGAGGAGGAAAGCTGGCCGGGGTTTTTCGGTTTGTTTTTCTTTTTTTTAACTCGTATTTTACTTTCTGTGGTGGGGAGAGCTTTTGAGTGCTAGAACAGCTTGGGGGTCGGTAGTTCATACTATAAGTAACGAATCCGAAGCTGCATCTGCCCACCTACATAAGTTAGGTGGGGGGGTAAGCGAACACTACTGATTTAGAACATTCTGTATAAGCAGGAGTCCCAACTAACCCTCCAACAAAAGAAAGGGTGATCTTTTTATTTACAAAACTTCAATACAATCTTTGATATCCTCTGAATCATCCGCTTCTTCCGCATCTTCTAAAACCTCTGCTGCACGCCCTACAGCTCTCTGGGCCTCACGAATAGTCTGAATATTCGCAAAGGTGGTATTTGGATCTTCTTCAACCTTCTTCTTCTTTCTGGCTCTTATTGATTCGAGAGTGTGTTCTAGACCTTCAATCTTTCGCTTCCTAATAGCCAGTTCAAAGGCCTGTTCATCCAAAGCCTTACCAATCTTTCTGAGGAAGAGCTTATCCGCTGGCATTGCTTTGATGATGCGTGCGAACTTCTTTGCCTGCTCAACGTAATCACGTGCCTTTCTAGGAGTCCTCCACTGCACCCGATCGTCTCCATAATCCTCCAGGATTGGCATACGGAGTGTGCGAACCTCTGGGGTAACTATAGTAGTTCTTAAGGGGCGTGAAGTATTAGAATTCTTGAGGAGGAGTGGGCTTCTTAGCGGTTTGTTGACATTCAAGGGCCAAAGGCCTGATGCCTTCCATCCTGACTTAGCATTACTCTTAGTAATTGCCTCTGTGCGTGAAATCTGGTAGCATTCCAGAAACGCACGTTTTCCGGCTACAGAAGAGTCGTCAAAGGCGTTAGCAAGAAGGTCCTCAAGCCGTCAGCGATAAAGTCGTTTTAGGGGGCCAAATATGGCCAAATCTAGGGGTTGGAGGACATGGGAAGTATGGGGAGGCAGATAAATAATGTGAATATTGTTTGTGAATGCCTCCCACATATAATCGGCAGTTGTGTGGCTGCCATGGCCATCAATAATAAGGAGTCGTTTCTCAGAGGAGTTTGCTGGCTTGGTGAGAGGAATGAAAACATTTTTTAACCATTTGAGGCTTGTCTCATCGGTAGTCCATCCTTTCTCAGTTGCTGTAAAGAACCAATCCTGAAATAGCTTCATATCCAAAGGAAACCATTGTTGTTGAACGCTTTTCCCCTTAAAAATGACCAAAGGAGGAAGGCAACGGCTAGCTGCTGAGATGCATTCGACAAAAGTGGTCCAAGTGCGGGTTCCAGGCTGTTTTTTTTGAAGCGCCTTAAAGGCACGGCTTCCAATGACAAGGCCGTTGGTTCCTCTGCCTTCCATAATACCAGATTCGTCCTTGTTCCAGCGATTCTCTGGCTTAATCGCCTTGATAGCTGGTGTTTGGAAATGGTTGAACCAAGGTCGAATTGTTGACTCTGTAGCGCAGTTGACGCGGACCGAATCGACTCTCTTGGCCCTCTGAGTCTTCAAAATTCGATTGCGGTTAAGAAAGGCACGGCACCACCCCTTTCCAAGTGGTAAGGAGTCCCCCCTTTCAGCTAGAATACGGCGTGCAAGCTCCCTGATCTGTGCATGTGTAGGGGGCAATCCTAAATCTTGTTGAAGAAGAATCCATTCGACTAAACGATCCTCTTGGGTCTGTGTAAGCCTTTGCTCATCTTGATGAGCAACATTTCGAGGTAGGGAGCCATGTAGACGGCCATAAAGGGTGGAGGGTGGAACGTTCCATTTTCGCGCGACTTTGCGTAATCGATGTGTTCTGACGGCTTCCTCGCAAGCCTTGCGGAGGTCTTCTTCTGTATATGAAACCATTGTCAAGAGAAGAATAAAACGAATTGAAGATGAAGAGAATTGGAAAAGAATTGGTTGAGTTATGGGCTTTTTATATGAGAGGGTTGGTTGTGTTCCTCGCTTATCTAGAATGTTCTGGATCAGTGGCGTTCGCTTACTCCCCCACCTAACTTACCTACCTTACCTATCTATATGTCGATGAGTCTATTTCACAAGACTTTTGTCATAAGAATGCTCCTGGCCTTTCTAAGGTCCAAGAGCACAGGGAAGAATGGAACTGACACAGCATAACAGGAGTGCCCAGAGACAGAGAAAACACCGCTCACAATGACTGGTTGAATTAGGACGCTTCGGAAACTACCTGCCCTCCAGTCCCTACATGTTTCTTGGCGTAATTATTACTTGGGAAGAGGGAGGGAAATCCGAAAATGAGTCGGCTAGAAAGGCCATCAATAGGCTTTTTTAGACGAGAGATACGCCTCCATGATTCTAGAATAGGAATCCTAATCTCTATTCCCTCCCTCGGCGAAAAGTCTTCAGGCCAAGCCGTAAAGTGCTAAGGCCCTTTAGATCTCGCAAGGTTCCGGGCGACATTTTCTGAAAGTACCTCTGCTTGACGCCTGACTGGGTGCAGTTGGTCCTCCAATAGATACCACATGTGCCGTGCTCTGTCGTTATATTGGTCTAGATGACTGCAGTTATTTCTCCTCGCAGATCCTGGATATTGTTTTCCGAACCAGATGACAAGACCTTCCGAAGACTTTCCGCCAAAAAAACTAGCCGCCTTCGGCCCCTGTCTATCGGGTTCCCGAGAGCTTTCTCATCATGTCGTCCTCCGATCTAACCACGATACCTAGTGTCGCGCCGTCTTTGACTATACCCAATCCGAGTTCGGCACTAACTGTCGCAAAAGGTCGGGACAACAGTGCTGTCGGAAATGACGTAGAGCAGACCCGCAAAAGCTTTACTAGGCAGACTAACTACCAGGTACTTAACTCACTATCCTAGGTAGCTCATCAACAGCTCTTGAGTAATTACGCTTGGCCAGCTACGGTTGAACTAGCAATGGCTAGAGTCAGCAACTCGATGGTTGTAGCTAATTAGACTCCGTTGCATAGAACAAGTGCTGGGAGACAGAAAGACACCTACACTTTGCACTAACCACGCCAGGAACAATCACACGTACAGATAACCCTACATCAATTACTCAAGAGGTTAACAGTACACAAAAGTCTTGTTACAAACCTTCCGGGTAGACGAGGCAGGGCAAGGTGCCTCTGAATGGGGTACAATACATAATACATGTACGAGAGAAACCGGAATGTTGTTTGCGAGCAAGACCTGTGTTTGCCAGCCGGCCCATTCTCAACTCTCTCCCCTCCCGCACACTACTCCCTCTCTCATCCAGTCCACACAGTCTCACACACTTTACTTCCACCCTGCAGAACGCCAAGACAATAATAGAAAGACACCTCGGTTATCCATGCCGTCTCCAAAACAGAACGCCCCCCTTGCAAAGGAATATCGGCTTTTTTATTTTCTTTTTCTGGCATGCATCATGCACACGAAGGGGTTAGAGAGAATATAGTCCCTAGCGGGGTCGTCTCTTTCCTTTGAACGATGACACGGGCGCTGACACGGGCGCTGGCTCAACCGGCTTCTAGACAGGTCGACTGTCGGGCAGATGCAGGTTTTTGCTCCACCGCGGGAGCTTCCTATCGCGCTCAAACATGAAGCCGCAGTTGTTGCACAGGCTCTGTGGGGACGTGGTAAGCCAAGGCTCGGGGATGACGAGAACAAATGACTAATTGCCAGGGGCGGAGGGGTGGGGTCAAAACTTACCCTGCTTCCATAGGGACCGTCGCGCACGGCCCAGACACTAGTTCCCCAAACCTTACAGTGGGAGCAGCGCCATGACGAGCGCTCGTTCTCGGCCAGGGTGCCGCCGCCGCCATACCCGCCTCCAGCCACGGCGGGGGCCCCCACATCCGGCGTGAACCTACCACCGCCGGGCGTGCCGGACCCCGCCAGAGGGGAAAGGCTACGGAAGCGGCGCTTCTTCTTGCTACGCTCGCCTCGGCCCATACGCTCCTCCTCCTGCTCGATGAGGCCGCCAAAGCCGAAGCCGACAGGGACGCCGCCAGCCATGCCTGTGTTGCTGCTGAAGCGAGCCGTCTCACGCCGCAGCCTGCGTATTTGCCGCTCGCGGTCGCCCTCGCGCTTCTCAATCTCCTCCTTGCTGAGCGTCTCCAGCTTGGGCTCCCACTCGTCGGCCAGGTGCTCCGGGTCGTAGCGCCAGCCAGCGCCCTCGGCACCAGCCGTGACGGCCGCGTCGTTAGGGTACTCGGACACGCCGCCGGTCGAGGCGCCGAGCATTGCCGCGCCCCAGCCTGGTACGAGGCCGCCGGATTCGCAAGCCTCCTTCTTGAGCTTCAGAACCGCCTCGTAAATGGCGTGCGTCATGGCCGGAACCCACTCGCCGTGCAGGCCGAGGTCCGCGCACGTCTGCTTCGCAAATGCCTCTGCCGTGCCTGGCGGGTGTAGCAACGACCACTCAAACCTGTCTGTGTATACTTGCGACGAGAGGTTGATGTTGAGGTTGATGATGCAGCGGTATGTGTCGTCCGGGCTGAAGTCGTCGACGTCTAGCGGTATTGGTGTCGCGGCTGCTGTGACCTCCCCAGTCGATGTCGGCACCACGGCGGGTGTGGCAGGAACGGGGAACTTGGCCGGCGTCGATGGCGCATTGCCAGTCCAGAGGGGTGTGTCTGCCCTGCTCAGAGCCGCCGTGTGTGGGGGCGCGGGGGTGGATGGCTCGAGACGGTTGGCAGCCTTGAGGGGGTCTGGCGCGCTAGGGCGGTTGGGATGGTTGTGGAAGAGGGGGTGGAGGGCAACGCCGGCATACTCCTCCAACTGTGTCCGTATCTGCTTGCTGATCTCTGCAGTGGTCTGGGCCCGATTCGGCAGATCCAGGTCCTGGACCAGATGAGTTGCGAACTGGTCTGTGGTGATGAGAGTCTCGTGGAGGTTCCACAGGAAGGTGTCCCGGAGTCGGTAGGGAACTGTCAGTTCTTGTGGCTTGAAGAAGGCGTGGTTCGGATCGGCGTTGGGGGCAGGGAACGGCAAGGGGGCCGGGGGCATGTAGGCTGGGATTTCGAGGTCGATCCGGATGGGGATAAGAGTGAGAGGAAGACAAGCCTGGGCGTAGTTCTGCGCGTCGGAGCGGGCGAGGCGCATCTTGCCCATCCAATCCCGCCACACACCCTGCACCTCGACGGGCTCGTGTGTCTCCTTGCCGACTTTGTCGCTCAAGTCGCCTTTGGCACCGCTGTCATCGCGGCGCAGACTGCGCAGGCCGGTGGGGCGGCGGCGGCTATCGTCGTCATCGTCGTCGTAATCGTCGTACCCGTCCTCAGCATAGTTGATGATGGTGGTGCCTCGCTTGGTGGTGCGCGAGAGTGGGTTCGAGGGCGCTGCGCTGGGCAAGACGGGGGCGAGGAGGGAGTTGTTGTAGGCACGCAGCCTGGGCGCATACGACGAGAATAGCGCCTGCTGCGATTGTGGCTGTAGTCGCCCCGCCATTGTGACTGTGCTGTGTCGCGTGGGCCTGTTTCGGGTTCAAGGTCTGATGCTGGCCGTCACGGCACTGCACTCGGGCGAGAGAGGCGGGAGAGGAATCGCGAGCCCAGGGAAAGGCAAGGGCGAGGTCGCGGCCGCGCTCCCGCAAAACCCGCTAGTGCGAGCTGAAAAGGAAAAGGCTTGCGCGCAACCTTAGGGACTTTGATAGGGCGATATCGCAATTGGCCCGGAATGGCCTGTTGTAATGGTGCGCTACGTTTGCGGTTCGGTAATGGGGTGGGAGCCGTAGCGCGGGCCTCGAATCGTTGTTTGGGGTGTTGAGGGTTTGATGCCTGTCTGTTCGACAAGCTTTCTTTTTCCCTTTGCTCGCTGGCCGCCAAAACGCGACGCAGGCTGACCTGACCTTTAGGGTCGCCTGGAACGGTTTAGCGCAGGCGTGGAGCGCGCCGCTCCTTCTTACGTAAGGCTGCCGAGTGGGGACTTGGTGTGTGGATAATCTTCGGCAAGCGCACAATTTCTCGTTTCATTACGTGCCTCACCGCTTGCTTATGCAATTCTTGAATTCTTATTCTTAAACATTGATTACCATGGGCATCCGGCCTAACTCAAGTGTGGTGCTACCTTTTACTATTCCATTCTATTCTTTCTTTACCCCTCTCATACGGGTCATCTGTCTGCCACTCGGCCAATAGGGCAGTGTGTTTTCTACTCATCGGGAGTGGTCCACATCAGAATGAGAAGTCCCGATTCGTGTCCAACAACAAATTTCGGGTCCACGATAGTGCCAACGGTAACCTGTTGAACTACTCCAAGAGATCGACAAAAGGACGGGGTCTGGTGAGGCCAATGTATCCTTACCATTTAAATCAAGCAACCAGTAATGACCGTGTCTATATTAAGATCTTCTCACAAATGCCTTGTCTCAGTACCTAGGTAGACGGAGCTAGACAAAGGACAGAAACCCCTATGCGACTGAAAAACTACTAAATCTCAAGACCTAATGCATAGCAATGAATGGCTATAGGTAAAGATACCAAGACACTACAAAGTAAGTGTGATGGATGCCCCAGTAGACGATGATGCTAAAGAAGACTGACCCTTGTACGCCGGACTGAACTTCACGTTCTATCACCCCTCTCTTTCCGTAAATATATACCTAATCGTCATAGGCGGCCGTTGCCTGCCAACTTCCGTTGGAGAGGAGACTCTCCTGGAGTATGCCATTCGCCATATAATACAGTCGGACCTGGTCGTCCCAGCCAGTGGCGCCCATTCAAAAGTCGGCATTCGAAGCGGTATGTGTTCGGGGTTGGTTCATAGCACGCGGCAAGCGACGTCGTGGCGCTCTATCCCTTCGGCGTCGAGTCGATCGTCTGGGCTGTCATCCAGTTAGCCACGGTCGACCACCACACGCTTAGATCGAGACTTACGGGACTGCCAGTCTAGATTAGAACAAACCGCTACGGTAGGAAACCGCCGTCCAACGACGTCTAAAAGACGTTCACGGTGGGCCCCAGGACTACGCTGACGGCCATGCCCGAGTCGGCGGCGGCAATCCCTCCGACAACCGTCCATTTCCCGCCGACCGTGGTGTCGGCGCCGTCGCCGTCGAGCTCGACCATCTCTTCTTGATCGGATTGGCAGTAGATCTGATGATGTACCCGCCTCCTATCCGCACAGCCGCTAGGGATGTCTCGGGGTGGACCTTGCTATTGAAGCCGCCTGTGATGATGCTTGACCTTGTTTCTGCGCAGCTCGCTGCCCTTTTGATACATTTGAGGTCCGCCATGGCAGTTTCGGTTCTTTTTGCGATCTTACAGAGGTAGAAGAGGCGCAAGATGCTGTTCCCGGAGTTGTCGGTCCGCGATGCCAATGCCATGGGCCTTTCGGAGGAAGGAGGCAGCGACACATTAACAGGATATTCAGCCCCGAGCTGTTCATTCGGGATGCTTGTTGTGGAATAATGTTGGTGCTTTTGTACAATAACTACAATTCATTCACAGTGGTGGTTGTAGACAGAAGCTTACTAGACTCGGTACTTGGTTTCTGCCGAGTTGTTGTTCTAGAAGAAGACATGAATTCGAGGAGCTTGTCTACCATGTTCACGGCGGCGGCAATCCCTAGTAGTCGCGAAGGGGTTGCAGTGGCTGTTGAGGTTGAGCTGCCCGTCGAGCTCGTGGCGCCATGGACAAAGGAGCTGGTTGTCAGAGGACTAACACCACTGGAGGTCTGAGACTGAGCACGACTGCCCAGGACGCCACCCAGAACAGCTCCAATCACGACGACTATACCGAATACGACAATACAGAGGATGAAGCATGTTTTTTTTTTCCAAGTCCACGCCAGCTTCCTGGGTTTGAGGCCCGGGTATGGGTTTTGGGTATATCAACGACTTCAGTAACGACTTCTGGATAGTTATTAGACTTGGGCAGCGGGACTACCTCTGGAGGATAGGCGCCGCGAGAGTATTGGAGCTCAGGTGCCTGGTGCTCGCCCGGCGATTGAATTACTTGCGGCAGTGGGTTGGCACCTCCAACTTCGGTTGCGGCGGTAACAGGGAAGGCCTGCCCGGTCCTTGGATGCGACTGTGGTTGATCTCGCTGTCAGTCTCATCCTCCAAAGTTGCAGTTTACCTCCTGAGCATATCGCCCTCTAGTAGCGAGCAGACATGACACACTAGATGCTGTCATTTGGATGGTTAATATGACGAGTGAAAGACTAGAAACAAATACCATCGAGATCGGTCCAGCGTCATGGGACTACATGACGTGGGAGAGGTTGGCTCGGCATCGACAGGGAGAACCGGTCCACAGAGAAGCGACTGGGCACAGATGAGGGGAAGAAGACCCATCTCTATTTTTGGGGCGGGGGTTCCCTTTCAAGCGTCGTATGTCGCAGCCTTGCCCAAAAGAGCCCAAATACATACAAGCCACGGGACTGGGTTGGTGGTCTCGTTGATAAAAAGAAAAAGTGCGCATTTGGGTAGCAATATCTCCAATGCGGCTTAGGTGAACTACGACTTGGCGTGGGGAGAGCTGAGGCTGCAGCAGGAGTAAGACTCTACTAGCGGGCAGGCTGGGAGGGACGGCGTGGGGGCAGTGTGTGTTCTGGTGGGGGTGTTACTGGGAGAGCGGGTGGCGAGCATATCGCGCGAGGCTGTCTGGCCGGTGGACTGCCAAAATTTCTGCGTTGCTGGGGTCGCAATTTTGCACAGAACACTGGCTGGCCTGCCTAGAGAACGGGCATTGCCGAACCACGTACGAATACCTAGGCTAGCATCACACGGGAACACGTCTGTCTAACTATTAACTTATCACAACGCTTTGCAAACCCAACAACCGCAGGGTGGTTGAGGAAGGAGTGGCTGTGAGACCCCGAGAGGTCTCCGCGTCGGCAGTCCCATTCCACTAAAGCACTTAGTAGCCTTAGTTTAGAAACTTCGTCGCCCAGAATCGCCTACCTAATTAGAATCTGAACACCAGAGTATGAAATCATCTCACATGAGTGTGATTTGCTGTCGGATATGCGGAGATAGTGCTGTCTTTATCGAGTTACGGCTCCCAGAGTCTCAAATGCTCTGAGGTCCTGATCAACAGACCGGCTAGAGCGGTCGGCTAGCTAGAAATTGCACAAAATTATGAGGCATAAGACGTGGGTGCATGCTTAAGTAAAAGAAAGCTATAAAACTTGGCGGTAGACTGATCTCCTAAACTGGTCTAGAAACGGGACCTTGCAACTTATCTACACCCTATGGCTATCAGGTCCAAGTTTAGGTTATAACCCGCGTCATATTTTTTTGTTGTTCTTCTCTATTCCGCATAGCGATCACTTTTAATCGCTCTAGCTATTTCTTGATATCGTTGAAAAAGTCCCCAGAGCAGTCATTCAGGAATTCCTTCCATTTCGGGTCGTCCACAGATATCATATTATTACAAACCACTCGACTGTTAGGGTCGTCTGTCTGTAAGGGAGCACGGGCTCCACAGAATGCTGGGGTTGGTAATTATGAAGATAGAACAAAGGGCAAGCTCCTATCGCACGGGTAATACAGTCAAATCGGAATGCCACTCAAAGTGTATGAGTGCAGCGAATGTGTATTGCTTGCTTGAAGAACCAAGCAAGAACTATCTAAGACCGTGGCTACGGTCGTCGTATATATCTATCTAGGGCGGGCCAATCAGGTCGTTGCTCCGTTGCTCCCTGGCAGAGCTACAGAGCAACCCCGTAGAGCCAACCAAACCGTTGCTCCATACCCCACCGCACAGAGCAAATGCGGGTCCCTGCCCCGCATACCTGTCTCGTCATCCCTATTGGCCGGCCCCACTTTCAGAGCTATGACTAACCCAGAATGGGCGTGGTTCATCACATATATACGACGACCGTGGCACCGGTCTTAGATAGTTCTTGCTTGGTTCTTCAAGCAAGCAATACACATTCACTGCACTCATACACTTTTAGTGGCATTCCTATTTGACTGTATTACCCGTGCGATAGGAGCTTGCCCTTTATTCTATCTTCATAATTACCAACCCCAGCATCCTGTGGAGCCCGTGCTCCCTTACGGACAGACGACCCTAACAGTCGAGTGGTTTGTAATATATCGCCACCGCTACCAGGGCCACGCACTATCGCCACTACCACCCTGGCCACGCAAGGGTGACTCGTAACCCCTTTCACGTGTATATAGACCATGTGTTACGATCCTGGTTCAAAGGTGCAGAGGGCGCTGCCCGCCTTCTGTGGATTGGCTGGAACAGCATTTAAGGTGGGGGGCTCTCGCTCGAAGGTGCATCCAATGAGGGAGTGCTCAGTGGGGCCATTGCCGAGACCCACTGAGCGCACTAAGCGGGGAGCTCAGTAGGATCAGTGCCGAGACCCACTGAGCGCACTGAGCGGAGAGCTCAGTAGGGATCAGTGCATCTAGGACTGAGCACGACTGAGCATGTGAGTCAGGAACTCTGATTGGTCCGCCTTAGATAGATATATACGACGACCGTAGCCACGGTCCTAGATAGTTCTTGCTTGGTTCTTCAAGCAAGCAATACACATTCACTGCACTCATACACTTTGAGTGGCATTCCGATTTGACTGTATTACCCGCGCGATAGGAGCTTGCCCTTTGTTCTATCTTCATAATTACCAACCCCAGCATTCTGTGGAGCCCGTGCTCCCTTACAGACAGACGACCCTAACAGTCGAGTGGTTTGTAATACCATGGCCTTCGCACACCTCTTTAGCTCAGGCCAGGTTGAAGTCTTACGCCAATACCAGTCATTGCTCGCCCTGCTTGTTGCTTCTCCTATTGTGACCACCTTGATCAGGCGTACCTGCCTTCTCTTACAACATGGTACTATTGACTTCTTTATATATAATTATCTAACTAATTAATCACGTACTCTCGTGCCAGCAATTCGCGTAGGATATTAAGAGCCTCTTCATAAACGATACTACTTCAACCTTTGGCGCTTAATTATAACGTAACTTGATTATGCAGCCTAGGGTCTAAGCTTTCGTAGCGAAGCTTGTAAATTGCCTGGCAGGGATGATGAGAGCCGGGCCTTGGCGATTGTAAGGAAAGAGCACCCCAAACGCCCGGTCCGGCCCAGGCGCCACCAGCTGGCCCCAAACAGCTGGCCCGGCCCAGGCGACCAGCTGGCCCCAAACACCCGGCCCAGGCACCCGCCAGATTGAGCCACCCAACTATGTATATAAATAGTGGCCCTCGCCCACCTTCCTTTGCGAGGGCCAGGTTGAAGTCATTTACCAATGCCAGTCATTGCTCGCCCTCTTGTTCCCTCCATCGTGACCACCTTGATCAGGCGTACCTGCCTTCTCTTACAGCGATCTAGTTAATAGATGCCTACCAAGAAGAAGCTTAACCCGACGTTATATTTCTACCGTCTTATTAGCTAGATAAATCTCCGTATCAAAATCCTATAAATACTCACGAATACTACGGATTAAATTAGTTAGCGGAGACGGCTCTCGTCAGGAAATTCTAACCCACGACGCGTGCTCCTGCCTCGGCCGCCTAGCAAGCGGTTTATATCAATCGGATCTCTTAAAGCCCGTATCCAATAACGACCTACAAGCGAAAAGCAGCTCGAGCCCTTAATATACAGCCGAGATTTCAGAATGCAGTACCCGCACGAAGGCCTTGGCCTTATCGAAAGAACGCTATTGGGTTTCGCCAAATACACTCCGAATGGACAACCCATTTACTAATAGGTAGTCCCTTCTCATTTCGGCCGCAGCTAATACTAGCGTTGCATTTACGTCGCGGGCTATACGGGACATGTTGGAATGACGCGCTAGTCAGCCACGGAGGGTCATCCACGAAGGTGGCTGTGGTGGCACAGGGCCACAGATTCTATATAAGTGGCCGTAGGCCACTTCTGTCACATACAACACTGCATTGATTGAAGGCAAAAGAGTGCTTGCATTCGGAAGAAGTGAATGAATGAAGAAATGGCAGGTGCCCTTCTATATAAGGAAAAAGAAGTCTTTGTTCGTTGAGTGGCCGGAAATGGTCAGTCGGATTACGTGACGCGGCTTCCTCCGCTAAGGCTTCGGAGGACGAACTCTGATCTGCTGTTTCCGCGGCTTCACACCCATTTTAGCGGGCACCTTCAGGCCCTAATAACTTACGGAGTAAGTAAACACTTGTGTCGTCAAAATGCCACTTAAACTCATTTATTTGATCGAAGCTCTGTCGAAGACTGACTTCTACTAGTATATCACAATAATGAAATAACTGGCTTATACTTATTACCTAGTGGCACTCTGTAGACTTGTAAACTCGAAAGGTTCCTAGTCTCACAAGCCTCTGAGTCACTAAGGTCCCTAGCTAGCTACATACAGTGACATGCAAAGCCCTGTAATGCAAAGTTCAAGCCCACAAGAGAAATAGATTTATCGCCAAATGTGTAATTGATTATACAAGTGGTGTGATCAAGATATCTGAGTAAATGCCCAACAATAATCCGCCTTTCCTTTTGTCCCTGAGCATCTTGATATCCTAACACAGTCCCCAAATCCAGTACATTTGGGGGGCCGACCTACATCTAGTCGCACTGCATGACACGCTCCCCTGCAGGCAGTGCAACCTCGTACTCGAGCATGAGCTTGACGCAGCGGCCAGCATTGAGCTCGACATCCCAGGACACTTCGCCGCCCTTCTTGAGCACTGCCGAGGCCTTGCCCCAGTCCTTCTCTTCTTTCGCGTCTCTGCCAGGGCGTCCCGTGGGGATTCCGTCGGCGGCGGCGATCGTCATGCCGCGGGGATGCAGGATGTCGATGCGGAGCTTCTCATCCTCGGACACGGGGACCTGGTCAAACACGGTGAGGTTGACAGGCTTGCCGGCTGTGGCGCGCGTGTTGGCAATTGTGATGGTGCGTGTATACACCGAGTTGTCACCCTTGGTGAAAACGCCTGTCGTGCTGCGCTTGACGTCGGGCTCGGGGTAGATGACGCGGATGGCCGGATCGACGCCTAGGCTAAGGGGAAAGATGTCCCCGGCGCTCACACGCGGTAGCCTTGAGCGTCCCATGAATGTACCATCCAGAGTGAGACCTGTCGGCCCGCGGAGGAGGGTAAGTTTGCTCGTGTTGCGAAGCCGCGCCTTGAGATACGCCACAGGCCTGTACTTGGCGACTACGGTGCGAGAAAATTGAACGTTGGAGAACGAGATACGCGCCACGCGTTGTTTGGAGGCCGTCGAGCTGGGCTTTAGTGTTTTGAGATTGGGCAGGTCATACGTAGCGGTGAGCCCCGTTTCCTCGAAAGACGATTCCTGGAAATCCAGAGCAGGCGTTGGTTCGAGCATTGTTGCCCCGTCGTCCTCATTCTCATCGTCATCCTCAGCGAAGAATCTCCCGCCTCCACGGCGTGACACTTCTTTCCTCTTCAAAGGGGCGGCTGCAAGAGCATCGGATAGGGTGGTGGGGCCTATGTTCGAGTTTGCCGCAGCTCCGAAACCGCCGCCACCGAACGCAGTAGGTGCCGGGGCCGCCGGGGCTACCGATCCGAAAAGACTCGCACCGGGCGGTGGAGGTGCCGACCTGTAGGCTGTCCTCCCATGTTGTTGATACGCCATCTGTTGCACATGCTGCTGTTGCATTTGCATTTGCATTTGCTGCTGCTGCGGCTGCATCTGCTGCATCTGCTGTGCCTTGGCCTGGACGTGGGCCTGCATGTACGGGTTGACCGACCCCTTGATACCAAAAAGCTCAGCTCGAGGCTTCTGCGATTGGTAGTAATTCAGCGAGGTCTGCCAGACATTTTGCTCGGCCCGCTCCTCGCGGCTCTGCACGGCATCGTTGACCAGTGTGCCGTTCCCTTTTCCAGCAAGTTTGATACGCCAGGGCTGAAGGATCGGGATATCATCCTTGAGGCCCGAAAACGTGGTCTGCGACGTGCTGAGAATAACCTTGCAGTTTTCCCAGGTCTCAGATGTCATGTTGGTCAGCTGGGCATCGAAGCAAAGCAGGGCACTACTCGTGGTGGTTGAGAGAGCAAGGTCGTAACTGGGAGACCAAAAAGCGGACGAGGTGACATAGGAAAGAGAGAGGCTGCAAGTAAAGTCTTCCGACGGGGGCCCGCCCTCTTTCTCGGAAACGATTTTGACAATGTCGCTAGCGCTGGCAATAGAACTCCGGCGAGACGGTGTTGGGGAGAAGCTGGTGGCATCGAGGGTGATGCGCACGGTGTAACAAGATCGAGGCCAGAACTGCTCGCGCTCCGTTCGGACTCGAGTCTTCTCGTTCAGTCGCTCTTCCTCGCGCCGGCGCAGCTTCTCCTTGAGTTTATCTTTGGCACGTTGCACCTTCGCCTTGGCCTTTGCAGCCTTGTCCTTCTCCTTGCGCTCGGACTTTTCGAGGCGCCGCTGCTCCAATCGCAGCTTGGAGATATCCCTGGTCAACTCGCGGTCGCGGATGATGCCCTCCATATGGTCCTGGAAAACCTTCTCGCGTTCCTTCCGGTAGGTTTCGACGCCCGTCTCGATGTCGACGTTGCGCCTTTTGTCGAGAGAGACGCCATAGGCATCAAGCATCTTGAGCCGGCTCTCGGCGCTCGCAATGATCTCCTTGGCGCGCTTTTGCTCGTCGCTGAGGCTCGTGATGTTGTCGCGCACATCTTCCAAGGCCTTATTGATGTCCTCGGCTTCATCCTCCTCCTCGTCGTCTTCCGACGTGTCCTTGTCCTCGTCGTCATCGGAGTCGGGGTAAATATCCTCGAAGATGTCGTTGTTGGGCAGGAGCGTGACGGCAATGTCGGTGATGATGGCTGCGCCGGTTCCCTCGACCTTGATGGAGTCCTCATCGGCAGTAGGGGTCAGGCCTACAATCGTGATCTCGTTTGCGCCGGGCTAGATGAGTGAGCGTTAGTTAAAGGGGATTGGACGAATATTTGGGAACGAGAAGGGGGTGGCATGGGACGAACCTTGAGGGCCACGTCCTTGATCTCTCGCACGACCTGAGCTCGAGTGGGGAAGAGGGTAACGGAGCGGGTTGGGAGATCGCGAATGCGATACTCGCACTTGTGAGGGGCCTCCATTGTCTCTGGCAGGGGGACCCTGAACGACTTTGTTCGAGTAATAACAAGACGGGGGGTTGGCAAGAAGGAACCAAAGTTCGGGAGCGAAGCGCAGGACGGAAGAGACTTGACTCTTCCGGTTGCGTCAATGATGGGATGGGGGAGTGGAACAGAGAAGACGGGAATCGAGACTCCCAGGTATACTTATACCTCGAGGAAGCTAGGCAGTGCAAGGCAGCACTCGGAATTTCCTTGGTGGTGTCGGTCGCGCCCTGTCCCTCGTTCTCGCGCAGGGCATGAATGTGTTTGGGGGACGCGGGCAATTTACTGGGAGCTCCGACGGGCAAGCTGCAGCTCCGCGCGCTCAAAATGCGTCACACCTAGGCACCAGTGGGCAGGGAGTGACTCAGTGGGGTTTTCATTGGTCAATGGGATTTAAGGCCTGACAGATCAGGCTTTAACTCTGAGGAGCTCCTCCAACAACCACCCCATTTGCGGGGATTAGGTTATGCCCAGTTGAGCAACACGCCGCCAGTTCCCAAAACCGTATCTAGCTCCAGAGCTTGGGACGGTGGGTCTAGGTTGGTAGGACTTGAGATTGAAGTTCTGCGGCTGAAAAGCTGAGACGCCAAGAACAAGATTGTGGGCCAGACTACAAGTTTTGGAGGCAGCCCACGGATACAACTTAACAGCTTCTCAAGTGAAATTGCCTGGCAGTTTGACGTGCGCGGTCACGCAGTTCTCCCCGGTCTTCTAAACCCGACCGGGAGCTGCAATGTCGACACCCCGCTGGTAGCCGGAGCCTGCGCTGGTTCCCGTCCCGTTCCGCCCAAATGTTGACCCACAGAGCAGCCCGGCGGGGCGAAAAGGTCTCCAGCTCCACTTGGTCCACGTGGGGAAGGTTGATCGGATGGAATGCCCCGCAAATGGCTGCCACATCGACCCCCAACTCCCAGCCCCTGGGATTTCGATGGAAATGCCTCTTGGGAAACATCCCAAGTTCCGAACGATGTACGGCTATGACACGCCAATTTGCTTCACATCGAGCGCTCATCGCGTAGAAGAAGCAGATACTTCGACGTATTTACCTGATTAGCAATAATTCTATTTTTGGTTTATTTTATTACCTGCAACCAACGAAACTCGCCCGACTTCGTTAGCCTCGACCGTGGCTCCTTGGGTGGGTCACTAAGGTGAAGATCGACGACGACGACGACGACGACGACGACGACTAGAACGGCCACCGGACAACCAGCAATACAGTCTCCAAACCATGGCAACACAGGCACAGACCAAAGGTGCAGCCGACGAGTTCTACGCCATGTCGGCTCCGAATTCCGGCCTGCTCTACAAGCCTGCAGCGGCAGAGCCAGCATACGGCCCTCTGCCCCCGCTCGCTGCGGCTGGCGCTCCTGGCACCACCATGGATGCCTCATCTTACCGCCCGCCGTTGCAGCCGTCGGGGCTGACGTACCCGCCCCCGGCGCAACCCAACTCGGTTCCGTCGTTCCCTCCACCGCCAAATGTCAACGGCCAGCCCATGGCGGCGCCGCCGCTGGTGGTGACCGACCCCATGACGCCCCTCCCGTTGGCAACCAACAAGCCCGGCCTGCAGGATGCGCGCACATCTACGGCCCTTGCGCTGCGCGAGTACATGAACCTGCTGCGCGCACGGCTCCGAAAGGACGAGGTCGGAATCGGCGAGCGCCTGCGCATCCAGGCCTCGACGGTGCTCGGCGACCTGCAGACGCTGCGACAGGAAGTGGCTGATCTCGTCACCGAAGCCGAGTCTCACCGGTGGCGGCGATTCATGATTGGGGGTGCAATGTAAGTCTCCAGTCAGATCCACCTCCCATATATGAGCTTAATCCTCGTCGGATGCATATATGCTGACCGCACTCCCTCCAAAAAAGCGCATCCTTCATCCCCATCGTGCGCGCCATCTTCCGGCGGCCCAGGCACGAGAAGGGGTCGTCCAACGACACCGAGTACGCGTTCAAGAAGAGCAAGTCGCTCGTGGCGCGCATCCTGGACTCGGCGCGCCGCCCGGGCATCGCCACCGTGGCCTTCTTCGTGTTCGCCGTCATGTACGTCTTCCAGAACGAGGTGTCGCTGCGCGTCGGCCGCACCGTGGCCAAGCGCCTCAAGCGCCTCAGCACCAAGATCGAGAACGGCGAGGAGGAGCTCAACGAGGACGACCTCGGCCTGCTGGAGGGCTGGAGGTGGCGGGTGTTGATGTGGAGCTGAGTTGGTCGGGCGTCGATGTGGAGCTGAGTTGGTCGGGCTTGGGTTTGGCGTATGAATGCCGGCCAGTTGAGATGTGCTTGAGATTATGTCTCTTTTGGGTGTGGCTTTGGGATGTCTCTGGTGTCTTGGACTCTTGGGTATTGTCATTGGCGTTGAATGTTTACATCTTTGGAGCGCATAAATATATCTGGTATGGGATTATGAGATTGATGTTTACAGTGTCTTTTCTCGACGATCTCGGGCCCTATGGGCACATTTGCTTTGTCTACTCCTTGGACTTGCTGTTTTGTTGTTTCTTTCTTGGACTGTCGGCCACCAATATCGGTGTTAAAGCGTGCCCTCCTTAAATCCGGCCACGTGACGAGAGCTTAGTTGAACATCGTGGGTGGAGGCGGTCAGCACCTCGACCCTGCAATACAGCAGTCTGAAATCCCACCTGCACATTTGACTTGGGCGACAGGCGCCACTGCCTTTGACCGCCGAACACGCGATGGGGGGAGTGTGGGCAACATGGAACAACCGCCTAAACCTCCTGCACGCGCCAGGCAGGATCGAGGCGATTCCCGTGTAAACTGGAGGCCGAAGAGGAAGGTCAAAACCGGATGCCAGACGTGCAAGTAAGTCATTGAGCACCTTGCCTGTCCAGTCTTTGCTCACGGTTCTAGAGAATCCGCAAGGTAAAGTGCGACGAGGGCCGGCCTGCATGTCTGAGATGTCTGTCGACTGGCCGAGTCTGTGAGGGCTATGGCATCTGGGGCGGCGGAGGCCGAGGCGGAAAGGCAGCGCAAGGGAAGACACACAACCCAGACCCTGTTCAGCCCAGCTCAAGTCCTCAAGCCCTGGTTCTCAAAAGCAACGTCGCTCCAGAGAGCCAGCTCGAGCATGAGCTTCTCGACTGGTTCCGCTACCGGACCATCGCCAAGCTCCAGGGCCCCTTTCGCTCGCAGTTCTGGCATGACCTCGTGATTAGCGCGAGCCTGGAAGAGCCGTCCGTCTTCCACGCTATGCTGGCTCTCAGCTCGCTCCACAGGGGCGACCCTAATGCCGACCAAGCACGGGGACGAGCTCGGGACAAGCCCCTGCCCAAGGACCCTGGAAGCGTGGAGTCCTTCACTCTGTCCCAGTACAGCAAGGCCATAAACCACCTGCTCCAGCCTCGCTTCACCTCCCAGGACAAAGCCGCGCTGCGTGTTGCTCTAGTGGCTTGTATGCTGTTCACCTGCCTCGAGCTCCTGCGCGGGCGCTACCGGGCAGGCAACATTCATCTGCAGAATGGGATCAAGCTACTGGCCGTGCTCCAAGGACACGATCATAAGCTGCCACGCAGGGGTGTGTCACCCAACCCCAGTTTCAATCATGGATGGAACCGGGACTCAGTCGACGATTGGCTCACCACCGTTTTCAGTCGCATGAACCTGTCGGCGGTACAGTTTAGCCAAGGCCGCTGGACGTGTCCGAGGCCAAGCCTGACCCGCCGCCAGTCACCACCGCTCGCCTTTGAGTCCCTTCTGCAAGCCCGGGATACTCTAGACCGTCTAATCGCCGATATCTTGGGGCTTTCTTGGCAGCCGAATGCCCTAGCAGATGGCTCGGCAGACTCGGCCACCGCCGGAAAAGATCTGCTTGACGAGCAACGGCGGATCAGGTCGGACTTGGCGGCATGGCTGAACGCGTACATGGCCTTTGGCAACGGCGCCCCGGGCCGGCTAGATGGCCTGCTTGAGATCGGCTACCAGCTCCTCTTTCTCCACTACAACATGGCGGCAATCATGGCCGCCACGTGTCTGCGGCCCGCCAGCGACGAGATGGCCTACGACGCCCACCACCACAGCTTCGCCTTCATCATCACCCACTCACTCAAGTTTCTCGAGGCCATCCGCGCCATCCACGCCTCGGAAGACCCCGTGTACGGAGTCTCGGCGTTTGTGCCGTCGCTGTTCACCGCCGACACGGGCTGGACGCCGCCGCTGTACTTCACCGCCCTGCACTGCCGCGTCCGCCGCGTGCGGCTCGCAGCCATCCGGCTCCTGCGCGCGCTCCCCGTCCGAGAAGGCATCTGGGACGCGACGGTGGCGGCGGCCGTGGCAGGGGAGGTCATGCGCATCGAGGAGAGTAGCGCGTATTCCGAGGACGTCGACCTGCCGCAGGTTTCCGACGGCTTTCCGTTTGACGGGACTGCGCGCAACCTGCACCAGCTCACAGAACTCGATGTACTGACTCACCCGCCGCCGCCGGCCGCGTGCAGGGTGTCCCATGTCCAGGTCGCCCTGCCCGACAGCCCGCTGGGCATCACCACGCTGACTTGCAGGCGGGAGAGGGGTGACGGCAGCGGCTACGAGGTCATTTCGGCGGAATGTGCCGCAGCTGGCAGTTAACGGGTGGTGAATTGTGGCGGTGCGGAACTAGATTATAGCAATGTAGTTAAAGATGACCAAGAAACTCAAGTTACTAAAATAATTGACTGTTTGCTCAAAGTGGAATATGAGATGAACGCTCATGACAGCAGCTGTGTTGATGCAACTGCGCCAAGGGGTGATCCTTGTACCAGATTCTCGAGACATCCATCTCTCGCTTGCCTAACAGAAGTGGCAGAAACGCTAAAAAAACATTCGGGGATTGGACTGTACCTAGAATCGGGCTTAAAACTTGAGTATTTTATTTTCAAGAGAAATCAGGAGGCACTGGCAAGGCGATCGAGATAAGCGAAGAAAACCCGGGCCGTCGTTACCCCGGTAGGCAGGTACTTATGCCAGCATCATCCAGCTGTTGATGCAGGGCAGTTGGCTGTCGAGCACGTGCTCTGAGAACAAATGCCTGGAGGGCCACTGCTGCCTAAATACCGGCTTGAGCCCACTTAAAATTTAAGGAAGGCCTTCCTGCCGACAGAACTCAAGCCTGCAGTCACTTACTTTACCGATGAGTTTATTCTTACTCTTAAAAGCTCGGCAAACCTGCAGCCTTCACCAACCATCATGTCTCCGGTAATTGTGACTTCTCCCTTCTTGGCTCTCCCGACCTTGGTATCCTTTCTCACGAGGCTGCACTGTCAAGAGCGCATACGTCCATTCTCCCCTGTCAGAGCCTGGCAGCATTCGCTTGCTTCGCCTCCTGCCGAGAAAGGACAGTACTGAGCGCGTACAATGCCAGCTCATCGAGTACCCCCAGTTCGTCTCGGACCATGGGGCGCATCTGTACGAGGCGTTGTCCTACGTCTGGGGCGACTCGGACGAGCCCTATACTGTCTCTATGAACGGGTGTGACTTCGCTGTCACGGCAAATCTCCACGCTGCATTACTGCGTCTCCGAGACGCAGTCTTTGAGCGCATCTTGTGGGTTGATGCCATTTGCATCAACCAGACGGACGACAAGGAGAAGGAAAGCCAGATCGGTTACATGGCCGAGATCTACAGCAAAGCGAGTCGCGTCATAGTTTGGCTTGGGGAGGCCGGGCACGACCGCGGCGACAGGGCGCTGGACAAGATTCGCCGGATTGCCGCTTCGGTAGCAGACGACACTCCCGACCACGAGGGTTTGCCAGCCAAACGAATGGTTGCGCTACTTCGGCGGCCGTGGTTCGAGCGTATCTGGGTGCTCCAGGAGGCTGCCGCTGCTCGAGACATTGTCATCAGGTGTGGATCCGCCGAGATCGATGGTTATGCTTTCAGCGTAGCCCTCATCTCACCGTCGTTCAACTACGTATACAAAGCCTCGCCAGACCTCCGGAGTCTGCTCGGCCCAGTAACCTTCTTGATCCGAGGGGCCGCCTTTCGTTCAAGAGGCGTGGCCACCCCAGGCCGGCCGGGTCAGGTCTCTCTGGGAATTCGACCCCTGGGCGAGCTCATCGACATGTACCATTCCCGCAAGGCCACTGTCCGCCACGACAAGGTGTTTGCCCTCCTGGGTATGAGTTCTGACCACCCAGATCTACTGGCTGACATATTACCCAACTACGACGTCGCTTGGGAGACACTACTGAAGCGTCTGGCGGGGCTCCTGCTCGGGAAGCAAGTATCTGTCCAGACGTGGCCCGACACAGAGATGGCTGTTATCAGGGGAAAGGGGTCCGTCCTCGGCTTCGTATCGGCGGTATCGAGCCATCACGACATGGACGATCGAATGCGCACGGTTATCGACATCAAAAGATCCATGACGTCGGACCAGCACTGGGGCGACAATAGGGGCTGGACTCTCCAGCCATCCGCGAAATCGGTTCAGGAGGGTGACCTCGTTTGCCTGCTGCGCGGGGCTACAAAGCCGACGATTGTCAGGTTGTGCGGAGACTTCGTTTCTGTCATCATTATTACAGCTCCTGTTCCGTTGCCCGACGAGCCGATAGTGGACTTTGAACGCGACTTCCTACTTCTCTGGAGTTGGGATGAGCTTGGAGACTCTGGGGACTCACACGGCGCAGAGAAGATGGACAAATACCTGAAACGCGGAGTCGACGATCACCAAGACGGACTACCAGACAAAATATATTCTGACAAATCGGCCAGACTGTTGCAAGCCGCGTCAATATATGAAGACGTGGGAAACTACGCCAAGGCGGAAGGAATACTCCAAGGAGTAGTAGAAAGATCCAAGAGAAATCCCGGAGCAGACACCCTAACCACGCTTAATCTCCAAAGGAAACTGGCAATGATGTACCAGAAGACGAGCAAATTCGACAAGTCGATGCAACTACTCGATCAAATAGCCCAGGCAAGAGCTCGACTGCAAGGCTCAAAGCACCCGGAGACAGTCCGAAGCAGGGCAGACTTGGCACCTATGTACAGACGTAGGCGTTTACAGCCAGAAAAATTGAAAGCTGTGGAAATGATACTTGGGCCAGAAGAGGTGGGAGACAAAGTGGCAGAGCTTGCAGCATCAGTCGATACTGACGCCGAGGTTATGGATATCTTGCTCGATCACCGAGGAAGTGAGTTTAAAATCACACAAGACGTAGTCCTGGCGGCAGCGGCAAACTTGTGGCTAGGAGAACCGGTGATGGAAGTCCTCCTTGCGCGGAGAGGAGACGAGATCAAAATTACACGGGCCGTGGTCGTAGCGGCAGCGGGGAATCTAGGAGAAGAACGGATGATACGACACGTACTCGAACATAAGGGATGCGACATCGAGATTACCGAGGACGTACTCGTGGCGGCAGCGGGGAATGATCACCAAGGGGAGGAAGTGATGAAATATCTGCTTGAAGAGGGAGATGAGATCAAAATCACAGAGAATGTTCTCGTGGCGGCAGCAGGAAACGAGAGAGATGGCGTCATGCAGCTCCTGCTTCGTTGGAGAGGAAATGAAATTGAGATCACAGAGGGTGTTCTCAAAGCGGCTGCACGAAACCAGCATTGTGCAGAAAGAATGGTGAAGCTACTCGAGTCGAGCTTGCCGGAGGTGTGATGGCGGCTGCGGCAGAGAACCTGAGAATCTTAATGTCCAAGTAATATGTGCAGCAGACGAGTTCCAAACCTATTTTGGAATTTGGATGATCTGCATTCAATCTGTCATCTTTAACAGTCTATTAATAGCCACCCGTTTTTCTTTTCAAGTTCCACGACTACCAGGCACAGGTCCAAGCGTCGCGGCCGGCGAAACAGCGTGAAAATTACTTGCATTTACTCTCGGGCTATTGTTTAACCAACAAGCCCATGTGCTCACGGCACTTTCTACAGGCCAGACGGCCGAATCATGACGTCCGGTTCTCGTAGGTATGTTGATGCACATTTGCCGGGAACCGAAAATGGCCTGGGGTAATTATTTGCCACGCATCTGATATAGTATAGGGCAATCAACAAAGCCCGCCAGTAGGCCGTCCATACAGTGGCCGGGCAATTAAATCGTCCACACCACCAGATAATAACCCCGGCGGCGCGGAGAAGAGCCGATTCGCAGCAGACTGAATATCCTGTCATTTTGATTACACACACCTCGCTTGCCCGCCAGCGATTATGAAGAGCAATCAAGCTTTCTCGGTTAGGCGGCAGGGGGTGTAGAGATCCAGGCCCTCAGATATGCCGAAGGCTGCGCAACTTCATCAGGGCCTGGCAACTGGTAAGTGGAAACAACCAAGATATGCCGAACAGCAAATCTAAAACACGTTACTTGGAATGCGAAAACCCTATAAGAGGCGAGCACTGGACCCGGGCATCCGGCCGAAACTTGCTTCCACAGACTTCTGGAAGAATTCAAAGTAAACCAACCACCCTCGCCTTACTCTCTCCCCTGGACTCACTAGGTCTAGTGCCAAATCCAGCCGAGTCCATCGCCGCCGCCATGAAGACGCTCTCCGGAGTCTCGGCAGCCCTCGCGCTCATCGCGCCTGTTCAGACCGGCCTACGCTTCCCGTGCTCGACGCTGACCTTTCAGCGCCTCGACCCCGTCGTCGAGCCCGGCGCCGTCCCGGCCGCCCATGTGCACCACATCGTCGGCGGGAATGCCTTCAACGCCACTATGACGGGAGACGTGGGCGAGCGAGGCACCTGCACCACCTGCTAGATGTCCGAGGACTTCTCCAACTACTGGACGGCCGTGCTGTACTTCAAGCACCCGACCAACGGCACCTACCACCGCGTGCCCGTCCTGCCGGTCCAGCCCCTACTAGGCGGGTCCCAGGGCGCCTCGGGCGGGCTGACCGTCTACTACACGCAGTTCGACCTGAACAAGGACAACCTGAAGCAGCAGAAGGTTACCGCGTTCAAGCCGGTAAGCTCGGCCCAGCCGCGGTCGTTGCCGCCACGCCGTCGAACAAGTTAATGATGTCTGCCACAGGGCTTCCGCATGACCGTGGGTAGCCCGGCCGCCACCTCCAAGCCGTATGTTGGCTTGAGGTACCAATGCCTCGCCGGTCAGAACCGTGGCGCCGAGATGTCCGACTTCCCGACCAAGCCATGCACGGGCGGTATCTTTACCACACACCACTTTCCCTCGTAAGTGGCCTTGCCCAAGAACACTACCTCTTTCCAGATATGTCTTCCGGCCCTCAGAAAAGGAAGGGGAGAAAAGAAAAGAAGCCGTCCACTAACGCAAATCCAAACAGATGCTGGGACGGCAAGAACCTCGACAGCCCGGACCACCAGTCGCACATGTACAACACGATCAGCCTGGACGGGTTTACCAACGCGCCAGCATGTCCATCGTCGCACCCGGTGCGGATGCCGCAGGTCACCTACGAGACGGTGTGGGACACGAGCAAGTTCAACAGCCTGTGGACGACGGGGCCGAACCCGTTCGTGTGGAGCTTCGAGGGCACCAGCGGCTTCGGCACGCACGCCGACTACATGTTCGGCTGGAAAGGCGACACGCTGCAGCGCGCCATGGACAAGTCCGAGTGTTTTTATGATGGCTGCGGGTCGATCAAGAAGCAGCAGATGACGGCGGCTAATACGTGCACCGTGAAGGAGATGATCAAGGAGGAGACTGTTGGCTGTGAGCAGTTTACTTCCTTCCCCCTTGGGTGTGATGCCGGCTTGGGATTTTTTTGACGTGCTTGCTAACTGATGCATGCGCAGGGCTCAAGGTGCTGCCGGGCAGAGGTGGCGAGATGGCTCCCATGTAGGGTAGGAATGAGCACGTAGACGGGGGATGGCGACGCCGTTTCCTATGAGTACGGTGAGGTGGTGGCATTGCCTTGGATATGACTGCGTTAGTCTGGCCCGTGATCAAAGTTGACAGTGGCTTGAAGGGTCTTGAATTGTCTGTCTAAATCTAATCTAATAATACAGGAAAGAAGGCCTTTTATGCTTCCAAGAAAAGGACAAAGGAAACCTGGTTCAACAGTCTGTTCAGTCGTACTACTTAAGGGACTCAGCCGTAGCAAGGAAGAAAAAAGAGGGCTTTCGGAAGTCCGGGAGCCCGAAAAAAGGGATCAGGGCTGAAAGTAACGAATGAGGGATATGCAGGGATGTGACTTGACAATGTGGCTCAAAAGTGGCTCAAAAGTGGGCGACAGTTAGCTATTACGTACTTTTGTCTGTGGAGGGTGCATTGAGTGCCGGGTTAGAATATTAGGTCCATGTCACCACCAACTTGGATGTGTTGCTAACTCTGAGTTGGAAATTCGACATTAACTGTTAATTATCTGCATGTCAATATTTATCCAGAAACTCGTACTAAGCAGGTACCAGGCACCTAGTCAGGCAATGGGATAGCCATCTTCCACAGCCCAGCTTCATGAGAAGGTTCCGATCGTAGAGTCTCGATAAGTTAGACCAGATTGACCGAGCCGCGCAACGCCTGCCTTCTCCCAGCTTCGAACCCAATACTTAATCTCACAGCTCCGGGGTATCGCCGAAGGCGGGGGCCATGAAACTAGGGTAAAACAAGAACAGTTAGCCACGAACGGCGTTAACGCATTCTAGGCAAGGCGATATGGAAACAAATCCACTCACGAAATAGGGCCCCGTTCGCCGGGCAGATTCGTGGCCTCAGCGACACGCCGGATCTCTTTGATCTCCTCGGGGGTGAGCTTGATACTGGCTGCGGCCGTGTTCTGTTCGAGGTACTTGACGGTCTTGGTGCCGGGGATTGGGATGACGTCGTCGCCTTGGGCGATCAGCCAGGCGAGGCAGGCCTGGGCGGCCGTGCAGGCGTGAGCGGCGGCAACGGCCTCGAAGGCTTCGACAAGGCGCAGGATCTTGGGAAAGTTTTCGGCCGAGTACTTAGGCGTGTTGCGGCGGAAGAAGTCGTCGGCCGGTAGGTCGTCCCACGACCGGATCTGGCCCGTCAGCAGGCCGCGACCCATGGGGCTGTAGGCCACGACAGCGATGCCGAGCTCGCGGCACGTCTGCAGCACGCCGATCTGTGGCGACTCGATCTCGAGGCAGAAGGGGCTGTATTCCATCTGCACGGCGGCGATGGGGTGCACAGCGTGCGCGCGCCGGATGGTGGCCGCCGAGACCTCAGACAGGCCCAGGTAGCGGATCTTGCCCTCCCTGTGAGACGTGTTTAGTTCCACGGCTGTACCTAGCTAAGCTGGCAGGACAAGGGACGGGGCTCACTTCTTCAGCTCAACCATGGCCTCGATTGTCTTTTCAATGGGCGTCTTGTCACTGACGCGGTGGCTATAGTACAGGTCGATGGTGTCGATACCTAGTTTCTTGAGACTCCGCTCGCAGGCAAAGCGAACGTACTCGGGATCGGTGTTCACCGTCTGGATATTGTCGGTGTAGTCGAGGCCGAACTTGGAGGCGAGGAAGATGTCGGCCCTCTTGCCCGTCTTCTTGAACCACTGGCCGATCAGGTCCTCGCTGTCGACGTAGACGTCTGCCGTGTCCCAGAATCGCTGGCCGATCTCGTAGGCGCGGTCGAGCAGCTTCAGCTTCTCTTCTGTGGTGCCTCCGCCCTCCTGAGAGCCTGACGACCCATAAGCAGCGACGCCCAGGGTCAGGGCACCAAAGCCAAGGGCAGGGACCGTCGGGCCATTGTGGCCGAGAGTGCGAGTGGGGATTGCCATTGCGAATGTGAAAAGTCGAAAGTGGATTGTCGGATACTATTGTGCCGGGAGTATCAGCGTCTCTGGAGGCTAAGGGATGGAGCAGAAGAAGAGAAAAGGAGAAGACGGCTATGCTTATTTATACATGGTTAGTCGAATGAACAATTACATCTTGTGCTCGCCCAAGCCGAACGGCGCTTGGCAGCGGGCTCTCATCATTCCCATCCTAAGGTGGGTTTGTCAGAACCAGCGTATTCGAGTCTAATTCTGGGAAGACTGCGGATTCGCGGGCGCGGTGGAATAGATTTGACCGACGAGTCCCAACATTGGCGGCGTAAAGCCAAACCCATGCCCGCTAGTTTGGACCAATAGGGGGCTTGGAAAAGCGACCTGGCCAATGAGACTTGGCCGCTCTCTTTGTTTCTTCCCCTTCCCCACATGACTAATGCTCGTCACCCCTTGGCGCTTTCCGACTTCATCGATGCACATGTTTCCGATTCTTCTTTCCTCGGGCCCAGAATCTGGCCTATAACCCCTCTCTGTCTCCGTGAATTCAACGAATGAGACGGCTTGGTTCCCGAGCCCGCCATTGACACACATTGATCGTTGATCCCTCGAAATGGGCCACGAGGCGACAATGCCGCCCGAGACGGCGCTGGCCGCCCGCGACCCAGTGGTAAATGTGATGGTCATGCCAAGGAGAAAGACTAAAACAGGGTGTCGGACATGCAAGTACGCAAGCCCTGATTTTTAATCCGTTCTTGGTAATCTATAGGAAACTGAGGCTCATGCCTCATGGATTAATCACCCCGCAGAATCCGACGCGTCAAGTGCGGCGAGGAAAGACCAGCTTGCCAACGCTGTGTGTCGACTGGCCGCGTCTGCGATGGCTACGGCATCTGGGGCGGCGGCGGAAACGGCTACGGCAGCGCCGAGAGAAGGGGGGCTACCCGCCTGCAAGTGCCACGCCAGACCCCATCCCCGACCACGGACAAGACGCCCGCCCTTGTTCCTGGCATGAACTTGCAAGACCAAACAGCCCTCGACTTTTTCTGGGCACGAACGTCCATCAAGCTGCCCGGCGTCTTCGACTCAGGCTTTTGGGACTCGCTCGTCTTCCAGGCCAGCTTCAGCGAGCCTGCCGTGCTCCATGCCGTCATTGCCCTCGCTGCCACTCACCGGCGGCACGGCACGGGAGCCCAGCCAATGGGGGGCGGTCGGAAACCCCTGAGCCCGTCCACTGTGACCGAAATGGACCCCGACGAGCGACTGGCTTTGCAGCATTATAACAAGGCCATCGCCCACTTGCGCTGCCATTTTGAGAAGAAGGATGTGCGGTCGCTGCGGATCACCCTGATTTCGTGCATGGTCTTCGTCTGCATGGAGTTTCTGCGAGGCGAGTTCCAGACCGGGCTCGCTCACCTTCAGAGTGGCTTGAAGGTCCTCGAGGAAGTTCATGCCCGCGATAGGCTGGCGGCAGCTCGAAGGGGGGCACGAAAGACCCAAAAGTCTGCCGCTACCACTGACGCCGCCCCTAGTGCAGCTGTCTTGCTGCCGCGCCCCGAGTCTGTTGACGACTATCTGCTCGAGGCCTTTACCAGGCTCAACGTGCAGTCTGCCCTGTTCGGCCAGGGGAGTGAATTTCTCTACCGAGTGGGCCAAGATAAGGCGCGCAACGGACGGCTGGAGTACGACATGCCCACTGTTTTCGACTCGGTCAACTCGGCTCGCCGCCACCTCGACGGGCTACTCAATGCCGTCTACCTTCTGTCAACAGAAATTAGCCAACCGACCTGCACCCAAGGCGACAGCGGCAGCGGCACAGCGCGCATCCACGCCCGCCTAGTGCAGCGCAAGGACCGTCTCCAGAAATTGCTGGCCTCGTGGATGCACGCCTGCACATCTTTGACGTGCCTTCGGCCTGACACCTCTTTGTCCGTGGTGCCGACTGCAGACAACTACCGCGCCATTCTGGGGCTGCCGCTGCTGCGTCTCTACCACGGCATGGCGAGCATCATGGTGGCGACGTGCTTGCGGGGCACCGATGAGGGCGTGTTCGACGCCTTCACGAAGGACTTCGCCGCGATGCTGTCGGAGGCCATAGAGCTGTGGGCGCGCGTAGCTCAGGTCATGGATCTCAACATCCCGGCTGGCTGCAGGTGTCGCCGCCTGGCCAATCAGGCCGACGTTAGCTTCACCGTCGACATGGGCTTTATCCCGCCGCTCTATTATGCCGCGCTCAAATGCCGCGTGCCGCGGTTCCGGCGGCAAGCCCTCAAGTTCCTGCGTGCCACGCCGCACCGTGAGGGTCTGTGGGACGGCGCCCTGGCTGCTACTGTTGCGCGTGCCGTCATCGAGATGGAGGAAGGCGATTTCTACAGTGCTCGCAATACCGATGGCCCCGAGCCTGCAGATATTTTTCGGGAGGACGACGATGGCCTTGACGTGAACCAAGTTCCCACGGCGCTGGCGCTCGACGACCTGCCCCTCGTTCCTGTATCCAGCAGGGTCAACGATGTCACGGTGCTCTTGCCAGGTGAGATAGGCGGCACGGCGACGTTGGTCTGCCGGCAGTACAGACACGGGCCCGGAGGCAGTGGAGGGGGGTGGCAGACCAAGAACGCAGACCTGCCTTTCGATTCCAATGTTCCAGTCTTCTGATGGGCGTACTTTCTCTCGAAGGCGGGCCGAGCGAGTTGCGGGACGTCTCGGAGCACGGACGACGCTCTCCGTTCCTTCGATGATCTTCGGTCCTCGTTGTCTCGGCTTCGACATCCCGACTCATCCGCCAAATACGAGAATCCAGTAACAATATTTGACTACCTAATACGCTGCGAATCATACGCGTCGTGTTCAGGGCAGGGTCGGAGTTTAGACAGTAACCTGCTAACCTCCGCCCCTTTCTCAATGTCGCTCCGTCTTATCGGTCATTGGCTGGCTCGGAAACTATCGACGTTGATTGGCCTGCTCCACATATCTCGACCCACTCCACATAGTGGGCCATGATTTACGGCCCTCCATTCCCAGGGTTGGAGAGAAGATGAAAGATCTCATGTTCCGTAAATCGGTAGCTCGGTGTCTTTTACTCGCCGTAGGAGAGTGTAGGGGTGGCGCTAGGGAACTAGGCGGGAAGCAAAGATTCCCCGGCCCGTGTGAACCAACTGCTTAAATACCAAAATTGCGCCCAGTTTTGTCATTACCGCTCTAAACAAGTCCAAATCAAATATTACAGCCGCTTGGAAGATCACATCTTCATCGTTATTGTGCTCGCTCTTATCTAGTCGTCCTCCTTGTCGCGTCTGAAGATGGCGACCACCCAAAAACCGGGCTTCAACCCCTCGGCCGACATCCCGTCGCTCGCTGGCAAGGTCATCCTCATCACGGGCGCCAATAGCGGGCTGGGAAAGCAGTCCTCACTCGAGCTGGCTAAGCACGGCCCGGCCCAGCTCTGGATGGCCGCCCGCAGCCCGGAGAAGGGCGTCGAGGCCGTCGCCGATGTCAAGAACAAGGTGCCCGGCGCGGCCGTCGCCTTCCTGGAGCTTGACCTCAGCTCGTTTGACTCGATCAAGTGCGCTGCCAAAACCGTTCTCGACTCCACACAGCGCCTCGACATCTTGATGTTAAATGCCGGACGTGAGCAAGCCGTTTCATTCCTTTTGCTTTTTTTCCTTTTCTCGTAGCGGCAGTCCCAGGACTCACAGTACACTGACACAAACATGCAAAAACACAGTCATGGGCTGTCCACCCAAGCTCACGGCTGAGGGCTACGAGATCCAGATGGGCACCAACCACATGGGCCACGCGCTGCTGCTGGAGCTGCTGCTGCCGCTGCTGGAGCGCACCAGCGGCGCGCGCGTCGTCAGCATGGCGTCGTCGGCGTGGAAGCATGCGGGGCCCGAGAAGATCCAGTTCGACACGCTCAAATCCCTCGACCGCCGCGTCGGCCCCGTCCAGCGGTACATCCAGAGCAAGGTCGCCAACACGCTGTACGCGACCGAGTTCGCCGCGCACCACCCGGGCCTGCTGATCGTGTCCATCAACCCCGGCGAGGTCGACACGAACCTGTTCACGCGCGAGCCCGGCGACGAGGTCATGCGGAGCCTGCAGACCGACGTCGTGCCCAAGGTCGTCAGGCCCGTCGAGGAGGGCGTGCTGAACCAACTGTGGGCCGCCACGGCGCCAAGCGAGAAGCTCGTCAGTGGCTTGCACTATGAGCCCGTCGGCGTGCATCACAAGCCTGAAGGCCTAAGGCTGGACACGGAGCTGGCGGCGAAGCTGTGGGAGTGGACGGAGAAGGAGCTTGAGGGTCAGAGAATCTGAGTAAGTATTTGCCTATCTAGTTGTGAGTGCGTGGGAAGCCGTGTCTCCTTCGCCTAGACTTGAGAAACTTGAAAATTATGCTCGCCTCGAGGTATTTAGTGTAGTTAAATACTTTATGTAGTCAATCAGCAAGGGTATGTTACGCGAGCACTGATAGACATCTGCAGACAGCCCAAGATTATCATATGCGGTACCTAACTAAAGCAGAATGAAACGGAGCGTGTTGTTCCCCTTACTTAGATCATTTTTCATGCCCTGATCGACAAGTTTTGCTCTGAGGGATTGCGACAGGCAGCCAAGTGCTCACATGTGAACAACTACTATCTTGCTCGGATATATCTCGGACGCCGGCGCCGCCCAGATGCCTCACCTTCTGTCGCTGCGGAATTTCAATTTCCACCTGGATCGGATGTTTAGTGTTGGACTCCCCGTTCAAGAATATGCAGAGGCACTAGCTGAATATCTCGCCATCGTCTACTAGGAATCTTATATGAACGCTTATAATATCGAGTTTGTCCTAGCAAGCGACGCCGATATCTCGTACGCAAGACATATCACTAAATTGCCTAAGTCAGATATCGAGCAGATGGCAAGATACCCATACACTCGGACATTGAAGGTTCGTAGGCCATCAACTCCCAGAGATGCGCGACACGTTTGCGGACTCTGGACTTCAATCTCTGCAACCCCAAGGTGGCAAGGATGCCGCATTCATCCTCAAGCATGAAACGGAGGTGATTGAGCAACTTGTCACGGCATTTTCTGAGAACGGCCCCTACCTCCATTTGCCTCTCATGGAGCTGGACGTGGAAAAATACCTCTAGGCTGTTTTCAGGCAGAAGTACATAGAGAAGGTAGGAGATATTAAGAATACCAAGGTTGAACGGCGAGAGAGGCAAAAGAGACGACACAATTACCGGAGTAGTGAATCACGCGAGATACAATGGACCATCTGTCAAGTTAAGCCTTGTGGGTGCGCGGTCTGCAAATCGCCAAGTCTCGGCCGGGGCAAGTGAGATTTGCCATAATTTAGGTACCCCCCCCTGAGGATTGCTTTTCTCTTTATCACTTTTCGAGGCCGTGGGAATCTCTTCCAGTCCAACTTCCGTCACCCCAACCGTTGCTCTGGATCATCGAAGCTCAAATGTAGGAAGAAGCAGTGGGACTCTGGGTGGAGAAGCTGGACGCCAACAACTACAGCCGGATCTTGCTAAGTGGGATCTTGAAGACTTCAAGCCCCCCGCGCCGCTCCCCCGATTCAACGATCTCGACAAGTATGCAACGGCGATTACCTCAAAGACTTTCAGACTGGGACAACTTTTGGTCGAGCAATAGCAGTTGGAGGCTATGGTAGCCGGGCTTGAGGGAGCAAGCAGTCTCGATACGCAGCCAGCAGCAGACCCTACCATCAATGGTCCCGAGATTCTCGAGAGGCTTAAGGAATGTACTGAGGCTATAGAAGAAGTGGAGGACTTCCTTGATGTGGGTGACGGCGACCACCGCGAACATCTATCTCCCTGGGGTTGATGAAATTGTGTTTCGCCGGGCTAGGTTTGGATTGCGGAGATTCTTGGATCGATGGCTGCCGGGAGCCCCAAGAAGGAGTGAACACTAGACAGCCTACTATCCTCTTTTTTTCTCTTCCTTTCTTCCCTCTCCAGCACGACGGGTTAGGTTTTTCGGAACGCCTCCACATAAGCTCCCCTAGATAGCAGACAGAGTCTGTATCTTAGATAGCATAGCTTCAGCGAGTTGTTCTTCTATAATGCTCTAAAGCTTGTGATGCACCCGAATGGGAAAAATAGCGATTATTTTTTATTAAAAGCCTAGTATATGTACATAGTACTACTAGATTTTCTTTGTTTACTTTTTTAGGTAAAATGGCCTAGACCTTTTTAGACAGACAATTCAATGCGCTGTCAACTTCGATCACGTGCAACACCTGGCATACTCTGCTTGACCGCGGATGGGCCGATTAACTAACCTGACTTACTAGCTTGATTGACTGACTTGTTTGGCTGGCTTGACTGGATGGTGGGTGGCTACATGTAATACACTTTTTTATTAAACCCTATTTGCTTTATTACGTTGTCGCGTTGATCAGGACATAGGGGAAAACCCACATCACAAATACGCCCCGATGCGAACCCCTTGTTACCCGACCCCTGAACCCCTGACCATTAATAATTCTCAGTCTAATCCAAGGCACGAGGCTCCACGAGATTTGCCGGCTAGGTCGCGTAAAATGGAAGACGTGAGAGGAATTGTTGGAGCCACTCACCCAACTACCTTCCCATCTCTTGAATCACCATTGTGTGTGATGTGATGGTCGGATAATTATTGCCCTTAATTCCTGGTTCCATTTGTCCTAACTACTCCTTTAATCTGATAATTTGACTTCTTTCAGAGCCCTAGCTCAAGCACTGACCAGAACACATGATCGACTCCAAATCGGGTACGAGCTCCTGCAGAGCTAGGGCAATGGGCGGCAATCTGCGGGCGCGGAAATGTAAAAATTGACCGCTACAGCCAAACAGACAGAGTTGCAATCCAGCCCGGGATTGATGCTCCCACCACGGGCCCCCATCTTTCAATACCGCATCGCCCTCGCATCTCCCACCAATATTCCAACCAACGCCGCTCGCAACCCCATCTCCTTTGCAGTGGACCGCTACACCAACAGACAAAACAGGCGCCTGTTACCTGACACTCTTGGCAACACCTCCCACTACGTCTCGAACTAGCGCCGCCCGCAGCCCCATCTCTGCGCCCTTGGCAATCTACCACAACGGGCTCCATATCGGCCACACCATGTGCTACACCTTCAGGATAGTGTGCCCAACCGCAGCGTGCAAGAAGCCGCAGGAATATATCCAAGTGTCTGGAAACCCCCGGAAACGGTTTTTCCCGCGCATTTTCGAGTACTGCAAAAAAGACAAGACCTGGCCCTGTTGCAACACGGAGGAGAAATACCAGGTCGACGCTCCCGTCATGTGTCCCGGCTGCACAGAGTAGTATCTCGACTCGCTCGAGGAGAGCGCCATATCCGCGCTTGCCGAGCTAGCAAACAAGCACAGTCTCAATGCGCAATCGCCAGTGCTGGACGAAGTCGGGAAATTCTGCGCCACGACGGCCCGAGGGTACCTTGGGCGCATTCTAGAGCCGAGATGCCGGGCGGCGCTGGAAGCTTGGGAGAACGGCCTGAACGAACACGAGGAGCGCGAAGCTCTCCCAGCACATGGTAATTGCCTGGCTTGGTTGATCCAACCCCCCGAGGAGCTGGAGACGGTGCTGAAGCACCTCAAACGTTGTGCAGCTGGGATATCGCGCAAGGCCAAAGAGCTCGGCGAGCTCTTGATGCGCATGGAGAACACGTGGAAAATGGAGGTCGGACAACTGGAAAAGGAGGCCAAGAGCCTTGGTCTCGAGGGAGAGCAGGCACTCGCTCACATCAGCAACGGACTCGTCGACTTCGGATGGCGCCATGCCTCTTGTATCTTCTTGCCTATCAAGGCTATCTACGGATCCTTTATGCTTTTTCACAACATCGAGGCACCGCATTCCGGAAGACAAATGGAGGATTTGGTTCGGGAGGCCCTGGGTCTAGAACAATCGATTGATTTGGCTCTTTCCGAGCGGTGGGCTATTACCTGGAAGGCGAAGAAGTAAATACCAGCCGGGACAAGTTGGCGAGTCAGCACGGTTTGGCTGTGCGAATTGGGCCTGACCTCGGCTCCGGCCAAAGCATTGAATTTGGTCAAGGATCACACTTTTCCATTTTTTTTTATTTTTTTTTTTATCTTCATTTTGCACATATCTCAGATGACTCTTAGTTCCGGCTGGATAATTGCACTGTGCTTTCCTACCCCATATTTATTCATTGAACATCGAGTCCAATCGAGGCCACGCAGTTTTGCATCTTCTGTCAATGGATTTGATGTATCATTTTGCCGTTTTGGGATGAGGTGGTATTGGCTGGCTGCAGCAGGCAGCGCTAGCCAACCACATCACGCGATACCCGACGGCCACCCTGACTGTCTCGTGTGATAATGCAGCCGCCAAGCTGGGTGGCGCTCGTATTGAGGCATATTCCGGCTGGGCACCGCTCTGTTCGCCTAATTCAGCCTCAGCCAAGACGTGTTGGTGTAGAGAGCATGGTGTTACAATGAGGTGCGAGTTGGGTGGCCTGTCATCCTCGACACCTCTATAAAGCCCCAAGAGCTGCCCATCAATGTCTCGCAACAAAAGCCGCTCGACCCTCGAGTCATTACTAGTAATATTTGCTGAATACACTACTCAACCAACACCAATATCCCAACAAAACAAAAAATCCTCAATGCAGCTCACCGTCCTTCTCACGGCTCTGTCTGTCTTCGCCATCGGCACCGCCAACGCCGCCGCCGTCGGCGAGCGGGTGCCGACGCTCGGCGGCTTCGCCACATCGGAGCAAGCCGGCTGCCCGATCGGCACGGGCCCCATCTGGGTCGTCGGCTTCGGCGACGGCTGCGGCGATTGCAAAAACTTCTACAACAGCACCGTCGTCTACACGACGGTCCACTCATACGGCTTCAACCCTTACTGCATCCTGACCCTCTTCCAGACCAAGACCTGCAGCGACCCCGGCGTCGTGTCGGGTCTGGGCTGCTGGGAGCCCGATGGCGGCATCGCCGCTTACAAGGTCTCGTGCCCTTATTGGCCCCCGAACTCGGGGGGGATACCGTATTGCAACCACTAGCAGGCTCGGCTCGGCTTTGACGGTTGGAGAAGCAAGTTGGGGAGGATGCGGTTTTGTTCCGAGGCGAGACATAGTCGGGCACTAGCTGGGTTATTTACATGTTATTGGAGGAATATGCAACAGGTTCATGTCACATAATTAGCGTCTGGTATTACAAAATTATTGGACTTGTTTGATGCGTCCAGCCCTCAGCAACTATTACCTCGGTAGTCACCCCCGACTCTTCGAGTCCCTCGAAATTCTCGGAACCTTTGATGGCAGGGTCTGTTATTGGTTTCGTAAATTCGTATCGAGACGGTTTGCTCTCTCGAGGCACGCCGGGTACTGCTTTAAGCCCGAGTTTAACCTCGCGTCTAAGTACCTCTACTCTAGTTCTAATCAGGGAATCCAGTCTAATTAAATGTAGTCTAAGCCCAGCCGATCTTGAAGAGTCTGTAAAAGGACTCATCCCCCCGCCCAACTCCGTTTCGCCGCTCAATCTTCTTTAATTCGAGTACGGTCAGTGAGCGACTGGCGGAGCTCCCACTCTCCGAGGGTGATCCCTTCCCAAACACCTGCTCCACCGTCTCAGTCACTTCGCAGAGATGCCCATTCTGCCGCACAGTCTGAAGTAGCCAGAAGATACCGTCTGCTGCCAGCAGCCGCGATGCACACCCGTGCAGCAGAGCCGTGTGCGTTTTGTCGTAGATGACGTCGGTCGCAAGCAGCACATCGGCCAGCCCGTCGCCCTTCAGGGGCCACGCAGGATCGAGCTCGGTCTGTGCCCAGTCAAGCGCACAGGTTTGGGCCACTATTGGAATCGAAATCTTTGAAGACGAGTTGGCTGCAATGTTGTCATGCAAATTCCTCAATACGGAGGGGCGGTAATCGGTTGCAACCACCGCCGGCTGGTCAAAACCTAGACGGGGGAGCAGCTGAGCGAGGACCAAGCTGACGAGCCCCGTGCCGGCGCCGAGCTCGACAATGCGTGGCGAGAGACCGCAGGATTCTGTCGCGAGCCCGAACTGCGACGGCGCGCCGCACATCATCTGGCAGAACAGAATCGAGGCGCCCCATGTTTGCAGGCCGACGTCGAGGTGGTCGTCCTTGGTGCCCGCGAGGCCATCGTTGAGCCGGACCGAGATGCTATCCTTATCGCCGCACACAAAGGAAAATTCTCGACAGAAGCCGCCGTCCTCTGCATCCTCCGCCTCCTGATCCTCCTCGTCCCTTCCCACAGGGTTCAGCAATGCCACGAGCAGGGCGGCTGCTTTCTCTACGGCCAGGTGGCGCACGTCGTCCAAGGCGAAAATGCACCGAGGCCCATCATCATCATTTCCATCGGCACTGGCAATGAACCGCTCCAGCCAGCGGATCGTGCACCTGCGCTTCATGTCATCGGCGCGAATCACGCGGAGATCCTCGTCGAGGGCAGCACTTGGACTCTCCTGACCCTCATCGTCGTCCTCGGACGCGTAGCCCGAGTTGTATCCCGAATCGGTCAGAGGGGAAGATTCGGCCTCCAGCTGGAACGGCCTGTGAGAAGTCTTGTACAAAGCCGAACTGTAGGAAGCCGCCGCCGCCGCGGGACAGTAGATGGCGATAAGGTTGTCCAGTGCGGACACTAATTCCAACTCGGAAACTTGGTGTAGATTGGGCAGGCTGGTGGTCATGGTTGGCCGTCGCCGGCCCACAGCCACTCCCATCCTCGCTGCGTCGTTGGGGGTGCTGAGGACTGATGAAACCAACGGAACAGAAAATTGCGGCGGGAAAAAAAAAAAAAAGGCTAAGCCTTTTTTGCCCCTTATCGGGGGCCCACTTTTCTGCTTATGTAGACCCCATTTGGCCTAAAAATGACTCCATCGTGATAACCCCTGATAAAGCAGATATCTGTCACGAACAACGAAGCGGTTAAATTGAGAGCCAAAGGTTGATATATTGAAGAAGCTGCCCATCTGGCCAAAGGATTCCATTTTCGTCCTCTTGGCCTGAGAACTCTGTGCAATAATTACATGATTGCAATATGAGCCCTACAGGAGTTGGAAATTTGAAATAGATGCATGCAAGCCTGGTGTTATTGTGGGCCCTACCGATAAACGATTTGCAGGTTGAAATAAATATCTCACAGAAATAAAATTGTTCGACAACCTTGTCACGCCTTGTCAATGCTCATCGGCCAGCACAAGGCTGACTTTGGTCTCATTCTAGCTGCTCGCCGAAACTCTCAACTCCTCGACCTACTCGGCAACCTCATCTCTTCGTAACTCGTTAGGGCCATCTTTGTGTGATCCGTCTTTGATCGAGGGTTGATATGAAAATGTGTGATGATTGCGATGATGATGGGTGCTGAAAGAACAGCTTGTGCCACTTCTTATAGCTGAAATCTTAGACCTTATCGAACTCATCTATTCGACAAAACGAAAAAAACCAAGTTCCAAATGCCGTGCCGATCCAAACTCGCTGGTGATGACTGGCTTGTCCTGCGTGCGCTGGTAACCAACCCACCCCCTTTCTCCCTCTAATTGTCGCAAGTCGTCGCAGCAGAGACATTTCTTCCGTACACTCACTCGTTCATGTTCTTGCCGCTAAGTACATTTACACTATGTTTAGATCTTCTCTCTTGGAAACGCGGCAAACATTCTATATGGTAATTAAATCCCATTTTCCAACACCCCGTTCTTCTGCTTAAAGTAGTACTAAACATGTAGGTAGTGGATCAGGCGCCGTCAAGGCAGACCTCGGCCAGCATATCAGCCTGGACTCGGAAGGATTCGCAGTCAACGGTCCAAAGGACCCTCGACATCAGCGTACCTACCTACTTAATGGGTATATTATTGCCGTCTAGCCCAATCTCATCTGCCCAACCTTGAACCGAATAGAATTCCAGCTGGAAAGTAAAAGTCCATTTCCCCACACTGAACAGCTCATCTTTCCCATCTTCCAATCACGCCACCTTGCAACCTTAATGGAGCAGCCAACAGATACAAGAAGCAAACCCAAACTCCCGACACCATGAACCCCCCACTGAACCCAGAAGCCACAGCATGCCCACAGCAACTACGCCTTCAATCCAGCCAGCCCTCCGCATCAGGCAACGCCGCCCCACGGGCGTCGCCGCGCATGTCGTAGATGAAGCCCAGCGCGACGTCAACCACGTCGACAACCAGGAGAACATATTTCTCGTAGTCGAGGGGCGTGACGGCGGCGGCAGCGCAGACGTTGCCAGCGCAGACGAAGCGCTTGAACTTGTTCATGGCTCTCACCCTGTCGGCAATGAGGCAGAGTAGCAGCTGGTCGGCCAGGTGGTCCATCTCGCGCGCCTGGGCGTCAGCCTCGGTGTCGGGCCCACTGACACCGGCTGCTTCGTGGTGGTGCTCTGCGAGCATGCGCCGGGCATCTCCGGTGCGGGTCGTGAGCAGCGCTACGAGGTTTTGCTCGCACTTCCAGCAGCTGGCTGGGTACTTCAAGGTCTTGTTGTGCACCGTGATTCCTGTGCAGGACTGCTCGGGGTCAAGTTGGCACTCGACGAGGGTCTGGTTTGTGGTGGCGGCCTTACAGCAGGAGTACTCGATTTTGATCAGGAGGCACATGATGTCGGGAGCTGCGTGTCGAGGCTAGAGCGGCGGCGAAGCTTTCCGGGTTGATGGTGTGTTTGTTTGTCCTTGGTTCTGGATATTGATTCGAGCGAACTTGCTTGTTGAGAGCAGGCTCCGTGCTGAGAGTGGCACGATGGCTTGGTCTTATAGTTTCTTTAATTAGATGCCGACTGTCCTCTTTGATGGAGTGTATAACCTTTGCGGCTTAAACTTTTCTTGCGTTTGGGTTGTAATGAACCACCTCTGTTTCTGGCGTTTAACTTCGGCGTTTCCAGCCATGAAAAACCTTGACGACCGAGTCCACTTAGCTATCGTTTGAACGGCTAACGGATAGAATCCGAGGAGAGTCCCGCATATAATATCGTCTTTCAACTCATATGTTATTAGAACTCGTCGACGGCGCTGTGGCTCGCTTGTTTGAGTCTACAGTCACGGCGTCCAGTTCCCTGAGGCACAAACAACTAAATGGGTGCCCAAGGTACCTAACTAGAACTAAGATGAAACTAGACGCTCCTAGGCAGTTCTAGACCTAGTAATCACTAAACGCCTCCATTCCACTTCACATGCTACGTCTAAGCAAACCAATTAGTCGCGTTTGCTTCTGGAGAGTGTCAGTTGTGGCAGCACAAGAGTGCCAATAAACGCCAACATCGCCTAATTAATCACATACCCTGCACAGAACGTCCCCGCAAAGGATGGCAATATATAATAGTTATTTCTCAGCTCGACACACTCTCAGCTCACTCAGCCGTTCGACTCTATCCGCACTACTTCACCAGCAATCACCCTTCGAGCCTCGACCAACCCAAGCCAGACGTTAATTGCCTGCGGGATTCGGTGCTTCTTCTCCGATCCACGGAAAAGGAAAAATTAACAAAAACAGAGTGTTTTTCCACAATGCAGCCTCCCAAAACCAGCCCAGCCAGACCCAGAACCTAAAATGCAAGTTGACCCAAAACATGTTCCATACCTATTTTCCCAAAAGAAAAAGAAGAAAAAAGCCAGGTATTTTCCTTTCTCGTCCAGTCCGGGGAAAAAAAAAGAGGATGGAGGGTAGGTGAATTGCGCGAGGGAGAGGGGGGGGGGAAAGCAATCAGGTATCACTCAAAAGTACGGACGGAGACAAACAGAAACTGGTAGACGTAGACGAGAGACAGAGGGCAAAGAAAGAAGGGAGGATGACATCCTCAGAGATATACATGTCACAACCCGGTCGTTGGGCGGGTGGGTGGATAGGTTCACAGTCTGCGGAAGACAAGACAAGACAGGATCAGGTCCTCCACCCCCAGTCGCGCACACGGCCGCGGTGGGCGTAGCCGACCCTGGCCTGCATGCCGAGGCCGACGTTCTCGCCGCCGCCCCAGCCGCCGGTGCGGATGGCGCTGAGGGCAAAGACCTGGTCCTTGGCGGCGTTGGCCCAGGCGGCGTCGTTGGCAGCAGAGCCCGTGGGGCCGCGGCGGCGGGAGCGCGGAGACCGGGCGTCCTCCCATGCGAGCTGGAAGCGCATGGTGACGTGGAGGCCGTCGCGGAAGAAGGCCAGCAGGTCGGCGGGCGGCAGCCACTCGGCGCCGCGGCCGAGCAACCCAAAAATGTTGCCGTCGGCGAGCAGCGCAGCCACGCTGGCGATGCTGCTGGGGTCGCGCGGCAGCACGTCGTTGGCCTTGGGCAGCGCGAGCCACGAGGCCGCACCGAACACGAGCGCCGCCGCCAGCAGCGCCTGCAGGATGCGCGTCGACACCATGTCCTGCACGACGCGCCGCTGCGCCCCGCTGTCGAGGCTCGTCACCGTCAGCAGCGCCTGGAACACGTGCGCTGTCGCGTTGCCCATGACGGCCCCGGCCGTGTCCTTGGGAAACACGAGTGCCTGGTCCGTCGTGTTTCTCGAGACCGTGGGCCGCCGGTTCCACGCGCTGACCACTTGGGCGCGGATGAGCTTGTGCTGCCATGTGATGGCATCGGCGACGGCTTGCAGAGTGGTGGCGTCGGCGCTGCCGAGGGCCGGCGCGGGGATGGCAAACTGCGACGACACGAGCGAGGCGAAGAAGGGGTCTAACAGGTGGCGGGGAGTCTGCTCCAGCGTGACCAGGTCGCTGTAGTTGAGATTTCCGTCGATGCCCACAAACACCGGTGTTATGGTCGCGTCGTCAGGCTCGGGCGGGTTGGTGCGGTCGATGTCGAGCCCGGCGCCGACGTAGCGCGTCACCACGTTGACCTGCTCCATGGTCTCGTTGCACGCGAGCGCCGACACAAACTTGACCAAGGCCTGGTTCGTGCCGGCGGCTGCGAGCTGGCCCCAGACCCAGGTCCAGTGCGCCACGGCGCCGTTTGCTGTCGCGATGGGCTTGTACGACCCTGCCCCAAAGAATGCGTTTGGGTCCAGGGACGCGTTGGTTGCGTTTCCGAAGCTATCGAGACGCCGCGCCGTGCTGATGACCGTTGCACTGTCCGCCGCCTCGCCCGCGAGGGTTATCCGCAGGGGGTTGACGATTCCGGCTGCGGTGGTGGTCGAGGTGGCAATGGCGGCCGTGATCTGGGACGGCGAGAACATCTTGCACGCCATGATGGGGCGCACCACTGGGACCGTGGCGGTTACAATGACGTCGTCAGGCAGGTCACCGTCGTCGTCCATGAGAGCGAGAGTGGGGAAGGTCATGTCTTCAAAGGTAAAGTCGGGGTACGATATGTTGCCGTTCAGCACGAGCGACGCTAGAATGGTGCCATTCTGGCATGTGGTGCAGAAACTGGCGTCGGGTATCCCGTTCGTTTGCGAGAAAAAGTCCTGGCTCAGCAGAGTATAGGGGGCGGTGACGGGCACCGTGGCCGCCGAGAACAGGGACGCGGTGAAGATGGCAAACAGGGAGGCCATGAACGCCGCCACACTCGCCCCTCCCACGGAAATGTTGCGCAACTTGAACGATCGGTATAATACGATCGGGGAAGCGCTGTCGGCAAGGTTCAAGCTGATGGACTGCTCAAACGAGGCGCCCCCCTGTCTGAGAGTCATATACGGGGCGAGCACCCGATGCGTGAGGTCGACGGCAACAAAGTACGCGGCCACAAGACCCAGAATCAGCGACGGGATGACGCTCCAAAGCAGGTAGAGGTATGCGTCATTGTTGTCGGCGTCGCCAAGGCCTCCGTTCTTTGCAGACGTCTGCAACATGAGGTCGAGGGCCACAATGAGCCCAACCGTTACGAACAAGGCAGTCAAACGCTGCACCGGATGCAGGAGAGCCGGGTAGGGAAACTTTTCTGTCGACTTGACGTAGGTTGGCGTTAGGTCCGACGAGCTGTGGCCTCCGAGGATCTTGAAGTAGCCGGATCCGTTGGAAGCAGCGTGCTCGTACGGCTCGACGCCGGTGGCGTACTTGGAGCCCGCCAACCTGTCCCGGACTGTCGCCATGTCCGCTCCTCCGACCCCTCGTAGTGCCTGAATCAGATCGCGGCTGTTGGCGAGCAGGACGGCCATGTCCATGACGGTGCCTGGATCTCGAGGCAGAAATCCACTTCTCGGCACAAGGAAGAGTGCGATAACGGTCAAAATGGCGCATACACCGAGCATAGAAACAATTATCTGCGTCACAAGAGAGCCGAGAATAAGCCTCTCGGTCGTGAGCGAGGCAGTGGCGGTAATTGCCGAGGTGTTGCTCTGCGCCAGCGACTTGGATGCCAGCAGCACGGCATATTGCTGGAAGTAGCTGCTCGCGAGCCCCGTGAGCGTCGTGGGGTCTAGGAGAGACGCGGGTGCAGCGGGAGACCCGGCCGTCCTAAACTGGAGATCCATGGCAAAGAACATGGCGGCATCGACGTTAACCACCCGAGGCTGGTAAAACCACGGCGTAGTGTCGGCATATTCGGCAGCCAGGTCCGTCTTGTACGAAGAGAAGAATGTTTCGGCAAGATCCCAGGGCTGCACGTTGCTCAGCACCCTGTCCTGCCGCGCAGCTGCCGGCGCAACACGGAGAACCGTGTCGTCGGTCTTGGTCACATCCACCCGGCCGAGCGCATACGTGGGCTTGCAGAGAAGGTGCATGGACTGGGGGATGCTACCGCTAATGGGACCTGTTGCTGTCGACGGGTCTGCCGGCAGTGACCGTGCATCGATGGTTTGCGTCCCGAACACGATGACGATGCGCTGGTCGCTCGCGCTGGCGGAACCCCCGCAGCTTCCCCGGCCAAACCGGGCGAAATACATTGTCTGGTTCCTGCCAGACCCTTGAGGGGCGACAAAGTTTTCACTCGAGATTGGCATTGCAACGGTGCATCCCGCAGCAGAAAAGGACGTGTTGAACTGCTGGGTGCCCTGGATGTTCTGGACGCCCGCGAGACTCAGCTGCGCGACATCGCAGTCGAGCCCTGCAGAGAAGCCGTCCACGGTAGCCTCTATTGTTGTCCCCAGGGGAACGTCGGAGGAGAAGCACTGGTAGGCGAAATTGGTCGAGGCGCCGTCAGGATAGGCAACGCCGTCTTCTTGTATGCCGACCATGGCGAAAAGCGCCAGAGGACCTGCGTCGGCCAAGACCGTCGCGTTGTTGACAAACGCCGTCTCCAGCGTGGCGGGTATGCTCTGGTTGGGCATGTCCACCAGGGTGAGCGTGATAAGGCCAGTCGAGATGATGACTAGCATCTTCAGAATCAGCGCTACGCCTGTGGTGCAAGCCACCACGTAATCTCGGTTTTTGAGGGCCTGGATCATGGCCCACGGCTGGTACATGGCGATATAGTCGAGCAGCAGTGTCCTCTCCACGTCGGCCGGGCCCTTGGAGAGACGGATCCACGGCGCGGCATGTTTGGTCTGGTACTCGGCGCGGCTCCAAAGCGCGACTATGACTGTCAGAAGAGTCGTCGGCGCAAATCTCCAAAGATAGCGGCTTGCTGGGTCTGCGGTTCCAAGGCCCGAGTTCTTGGCCGAGTGGTTGTACAGTGCCTCGATTGTCACGGCGAGCCCGGCAAAGACAACGGCGAAGCAGGCCAGGATCCTGCGCTGGAGGTAAAAGGGGCGCCACGGGAGAGCTACGTCGAGCAGCTCTGGCTTCTTCTCCATTCCCGACTCGAGCCCTTTCAGCTGGTCAAGCTTGTGCTGATGTGCGTCATGATCCCACTGGTCGGCGGGAAACCCATCGCCCCCCTTCTGCGAGGCCGAGTTGGATGGACTCAACGAGTCGGACGAGGTGCTCGACGCGCTGCTCTGGAGCGTCCCCCTGCGTGGTACGCTGAACGACACGATGGAGCCCGTATACGGCCGGTCGGGTCGGGTCCGCGGAGCTTGCGCGACGTCGCGATTCCGCCGGGTGTTCTTTCCGAGCTGTGCATACTCCTGGTATGACATGGTGAAATCAGCGGCCAGGCTGCTTGGCCAGCTTCGCCAGTCCAAGCCCCGCGCCGCCTCTTGGGGTGGTGGTTGTCGACCTTCTCGCTGCCCTTCACTAGGAAGCTAACATCGCGATTCGTGCTCGCCGAGATGCCGCTATAGGTCGAACGAGTGAAGAAGCAGCAACAAACAGCAACCTCTCGAGCCAGCTGGCGATAGTTGACTTGTCGGCAAAGAGGGCGGTTCAATCCTGATATGAGCGGCACAACTTGTCCCGGGAAATCTCCAGAAGATCTGGAAAGGATGAAAACAGGAGCAGCAACACAAAATTGCGGACAGGTCGACTTGACGGGACTAAGCGATGTTGGTTTCCTCAGGGGAAAAGGGTGACGGGAGGGAGAGTGGCCTATACGGGCCCCATGAATGATCGTCACGATTGTCACAGTAGGTGGAGAGAGAGGGCGACGGGATGGAGGAGCCATGCCCAGCTTGGAGAGAGCCCAGCTTGGCTACTACCGAGAAAGCAGACAAAGTGCAGCAACCCACGAGGCCGGAGGGTCCTGTAAGGCTGGAAAGGGCAAGAGGCAGAGACGAGCTTCGACTTGGCGGGGGCGCCACCCCGTTTCACTCACCCTGCCGCATTGGAGAAGCGTCTGTGGAGGGGCCGTACATCAATGTACGAGCTGGGACGGCGTCGAGGACGGGGCACATGGCAGACACAGACACCGGTGGCAGCGAGATGAGGTCCAGGGGGGGCGAGCATGCCTCTGCCGCCCAGCAATTGGCTGACGACATTTACCCTCGACCCACGGAGCGTCGATGTCTGGATCTTGTCTCATGTCCCAGCTTCGCGGAGGCCCGTGCCATTGAGATGCATGACACGGAGCATGGGAGACGGGACGAGACCCTACCACGAGAGACTGCATAGTCAATTGTGCGGGGAAATCTGGGCCACAAAGAAGTAAAACGAAAGCGAAGGGGAAGGAAGGTGTATAAACACCCTATAGTTATACATACCCTAAAGACTATGTGCCCAGGAGAGTCTCTTTTTCTCCTCTGCGCCCGCCGGTCGGTCAGCTTCTGCCAAGCTCGTTACATTTTTAGTATGAGGGGTTGTCGTCGTTGCACCGTTTCAGGGGCAGGGGTCACAGAAACTCGGGGTTTGGTCTGTGCGTCATCGCTCTCACCGAGTCGAGATCGCATGAATCTTGATCTATTCCGATGTTCCACTGAAGACTTTCCGGGGTGCTTGACGATCGTTTGTGGCCCGACTCCCTAGGTGGCTGATACACACCCAAAATATGTACTCGGCCCAAGAGCCATGGAGCCCTGTCCCTGCCTGACTTTGACCCCCCTGGCAGATCGTTCCCGGCCTCTGGGCCCATCGCCGGACGCATGTTGGCTGGGAATCCGAATCGCTCCACACAAACAAAAGAGAAGGCAATAAATATTTCATCTCTATTCCTCGGTCGTCCGTCTATTCGCGCTGTATCGATAATCTGCCATGCCTTGAAGGCCCTTAAAACACCAGCACAAGCTGTCGCATTTCAAAGTTCGTTTCTCATCATAGAGACCGTTCGAGCCGGTCGCCCTCTAGCTCTTTTCTTTGTCCTCCTTCAGCGATACTATCCGATTCAAGATGATCTTTTCATCTGTGCTATCCGAATCCAGTGCCTACATCGCTTATTAGCTGAAGTCCCATGCTGGCCCGTTGATGCGGGGTTGAGGGACTCACAAAGTAGGCTACCCGCATTGCCTGGAATCGTACAGTCTCGGGGCCGCTGCTTGAACTCTTGCCTTCGCCAGCTGCCTCAGGCCAAGGGGCGCGTCGTTTGACCTCGTTAAATCCGGACTCAATCATTGCATCGGGATAAACAACCTCGCTGTCGGGGTTGATGTCGTTCAAATACCCACCTTCGGCCGATGCCGGGTTCTCCGAAAAGAATAGCGAGTTATAGATGCGGACCTCGCACTTTCGCGAGCCAGAACCCTCGGCAGCAACCCATTGGATGTACGTCTTGGGCTTCTTGATCTCGCGATCAAAGACAGCGCGGATCTCAGTGACCTTGCCCGTGGCTTCGTCTTTTGTGAAGCTGGTGGCCTTGATGGGGAAGGGGGCTTGGAGAAGGCCAACTGTCTTGCCTGGTGCTAGGCGGAAGTAGTCCTTGCTATCAGCCTCCCGGAAATCGGATCGATCGATATAAACCGTCTTAGTAAACTTGATCGTGTGATCCCCCATGGCTGACTGGGCCTTGGGAGAAAATGGCACGGTAAGCTCCGTGCCATCTAAATCGTCCGCGTCCTCAATGACCACAGGCACCGGGTCGAGGACTAGCATTAGCCTCGGCACAGTGCGTTCAAGATAACGCCGGACTGTCTGCTCAAAGCGTGCGATCTGAATAATGCTGTTTGTGGTCGTGACACCGAGCTCATTGACAAATTCAAGGATCGCGCCTGGCGGGACACCCCTTCGACGGACTGCGATGAGCGTGTAGAGGCGGGGGTCATCCCAACCTCGCACAAACTTTTTCTCGACCAACTCTCTCAGCTTGCGTTTGGAGAGGACGGCCCCAGATAAGCTGAGGCGTCCGTATTCTCGCTGCATTGGCTCATAAACCCCGAGTTCCTTGTTCAGCCATTCGTAGGAAACCCTGCTGAGGTAGAACTCGGTGGTGCACAGCGAGTGAGTGATGTTTTCGAAGCTGTCGCAGAGACAGCTGTGTTGCTGGTCAGTAAGGGGAAAGTTGCGGAGGCTAGTGGCTAGTAACTCACTGTGTGAAATCGTATGTGGGATATATTTTCCACTCCGCCCCGGTTCTGTGGTGAGGCTTGTCTAGAACACGGTATGCAGCAAGATCCCACATCTGAGGGTTGCCGTCGGTGATCTAGGGACGTCAGGAAGCTTCAGAGGCTAGCGTTTCTGGGGAGCTCACATCTTGCTTCATGCGCAAGAAAGCCTCTCTGGGCTTGTACTTGCCGTCACGCATGTCGCGAAACTTCCGCATGTTCTCTTCGACGGACTGGTCTGCGTCAGCGCACCGATATCGGGGGCTCGACCCCTTTTCACCGCCGCGTTGACGTTTTATCTCGTCATCTGCATCGTACAAAGTCAGAAATCTACCGTCGGGCATCAATTGCCTCGGAAAACATACCGTCGCAATGACAGACATAGGCTTTGCCGAGCGAGATCAGTTTCTCCGCCATCTCATACAACTTTCCAAAGTTGTCACTCGAATATGTGATCTTGTAAGGCTCAAACCCAAGCCACCGTACCATGTCGGCAATAGCTGTGAAGTAGACGTCTTCCTCGGCCTCGGGATTCGTGTCATCGTATCGCAGGTAGCTATGCATCAAGGGTCAGACCATGCTGGAAATGTGGTAAACAAAAACGGACAGACTCACCATTTGCCTCCGTGATACCTGGCGAAGCCAAAGTTCACTGCAATGGCTTTGGAGTGGCCAATGTGCAGAAAGCCGTTGGGCTCAGGCGGGAACCTTGTCAAAACGGGCTTGACGGGGCGCTCAAGGTAGACATCGTTCAGGAAGCCCTGCTTGAACATGGCTTCCGGCTCCATTGGCACGTCTTCGGGCTTGTCTTTGGATTTCTTTGCCGTGGCCGCAGCTTGGGCATCGAGGGCGGAAGGGGTGCTCTTTGACTCCTTGCTCTTTTCTTTAGTCGCCTTCTTTGCTCGCTTGGCCAAGCGCTTCTTCAGCTCGCCCTTGGAGACCATCTCTCCAGTCTCCTCGTCGAGCATGAGCTTGGGCACATTGTCGCCCGGAGCCTCTCCAAGCTGGAGCTTGGAGGTGGCATCAGTTACGGCGTCCGCCATGGTTGGCTGCTAGGGCAATTTCGATATGGCCTGGACTTGAGGTGAAAGTTTGAAGCAAGAGGTCGCACCGCTGTCGAGGTTCGTGAACTCGATGCTATTTGCAGACAGAGAATTAGTGTAGGTTGAGTCAATCGGTGAGGGTTGGCAGGGCCGATGGGTTGGCAGGGCCGATGGGTTGGCAGGGCCGATGGGTTGTGTCGGGTGAGTCAGTCTAGACAATTAACGGCAGAATTAATTGTCAGAGCTAGCTTGGAGGGGCAGAGGGGCAGAGGGGCAGAGACCGGATCGGGTTTCAGGCTTCGAGATAAGATAAAGGCGTAAATGTGGGGCCAATGGGACTGTGTGGAGGTGACCTTCGATCCAATCACAACCCTAACCCCAGCACTTTGCCACTACCCCGCCATTGATCAGGACGTCGAGCGCCCTAACACCCCGCTTTCGTCATCGCTCAGGCGCATCAGCGGGCAACAGCTCGGTCGCGGGACTGCGTGCCGCCAGTTAACCGAGTTAGCCAGAAAATTAAACTACCTCCTACCTGGGGACCTATACCTACCGTAGCTCTGCTCTCCTCGATTTTCCACATCGCGCAATCAACTACACAATTCCACGCTCACGGCACCACTACACGCCAGTCACAGTACGCTGTACATGCCCTTGCGCCCGTTGGTCAAGATGACAGTCATCAACGCGAGCGACATCCCGACCCTGTCGCTGCTGTACAAGCTGCACAAGCTGGTAGCGGCGCCGGCAGGCACGAAGCCACGCCCGACCCTGGCCGGGCCCAAGACGATCCCAGCGCCGTCCAAGGCGCTCAATGACCGCGTAGGCGTCGTGCTCAGCGACATCACCACGCTAGGGGTCGACGCCATCGTCAACGCGGCGAAACGGTCGCTGCTGGGCGGCGGAGGCGTCGACGGGGCGATCCACCGGGCGGCGGGCGCGGGCTTGGTGCGCGAGTGCGAGCGGCTGGGCGGGTGCGAGACGGGCGCGGCCAAGATCACGGGCGCGTACCGGCTGCCGTGCCGCCGCGTGATCCACGCCGTCGGCCCCGTGTACGACCCCGGCGAGCACGAGGCCAGCGAGACGGCCCTGGCCAGCTGCTACACGCGCAGCCTCGAGCTGGCCGCCGAGAACGGCTGCCGCTCCGTCGCCTTCAGCGCCCTCAGCACCGGCGTCTACGGCTACCCCAGCCGCTGGGCCGCCCCGGCCGCCCTGAGCGCCGTCCGCAAGTTCCTCGTCGACCACCCCGCCCGCGCCGGCATTGACAAGGTCATCTTTGTCACGTTTGAGAAGAAGGATGTCGATGCGTACAACGAGAGCGTGCCGTAAGTCTGCGTCCAGTACTCCCTCGCATCTTGGGGTCTCCCGAGAACAACGTCCGTTAACCAAGGCGTCTGCTCTCTCTCACTTTGCAGGATATTCTTCCCTCCGGTTCCCGACGAGGAAGTGACGACTGCGGCCGAGCATCCAACAACAGGCGAGGCCAACGACAACCAGGAGACAGAGGCTGAACTCGAGGCCGAGGCTGAAGCCGTCGCCAACGAGCTGCCCGACCCGCCGACGGGCGACCCGGTCAATCCGGAGAATGACGGGAAGAGGCAGAAGCACGATTAAGGGGCGGCGGGAAAACACGGAAAAGGAAACTAGGCTAGGGTGGGAATTCAGTCTTTGGCACACTTGGGGCTTTGTTTATCTTGATTTCGTTGTGTTATCAAGGCTGGTGTTTAGGGACCTTGCAAGCAAACGTGGTACGTCTTACATAGGGTCCCGGAAGATTGCAGGGGGACGAGGAGTGACGGGAGGAGGGAGATTCTTTGCCGGCCAGATGCAATGCAATATTTTCTCCAGGTCTCCCTCCACAGCCACCAAAGGATTCGATATGGGCTGACGGGTACGGATAGCAGAGGGAAGCACCTGGAATTCAGTCTTTGCGAGTTACTGTCGCAGGCTGTGGTGTAAGGGGCATAGAGAGAAACGAACTAATATTTTATAACTCCCGATATCACTGTTTGGGGGGTTTTGGTTTGTTTATTTCCTAGTGGGTTCCCCTCCTTTCCTTTTCCTTCACTCCCCTGTTCCTTCCCTTTCTTTTACCTTCGGACAAATTGGAAAAAACAAAGAGAAATACGTACTTAGAGACCAAGCACTCACACAGCCTATCAATGACCAACCCCCCGCGTTATCATACTCCTCCCGCACCTCTCCGTTTCTCCTCAGCCTGACTGATATAGCAGAAGGACCTAGCGGCCTTGCTGTCCCGCTCTGGTTCTGGGGATCAGCTCGATCCGCCTCACCTTGGCCCGCCGTCTATCCTTGGCGGCCCCTGGGCCTGCGCCTGACGGCTCGCCGTCCGAGGACTCGGGATCCCTCCTCCTCTTAGCGCCCTTCTTCTCTGGTTTCGGATCTTCGCTCGCTTCCATATCCATATCCATCAGGTCCGCGGCCAGGCTCCCTAGCGAGAAGTTCCTCGGGCGAGGAGGAGCTGTCGGCGTGTTGCGCGGCGGCCCTGTCGGGCTCACCGCTATCTCAGTCGGGCTCACCGCCACCCCAGTCTCCGCTTCCTGGCCCGTGGGCTCTTTCAGCCTTCGTCACTTGTTGCCAGCCAGGCGTTGATCTCCGGCTCCCTGGACGTCTGTTGTTGTTGTTGTTGTTGTTGTTGTTGTTGTGGCGGGTGGTTCGTCGGCTGAGGATCTGGAAGCCCTCCTCCGCTTACCCCCAGTCTGTGGTGTTTTGCCCGCTTTCCGCTCCTCCTCCAAGATCTCAGCCTCTAACTGGGCAAGACCGCCTGGCATATTCGGTCAGCGTGGGGCTGTTGTCGGCATGTGTCCCGGTGGCCCTACCGCCGTGCTCCGCGGGACTCCTGTTGGCTTGTTTGCCGGAGCCCCTGCTTTTGTGCTTCCTGCGGCTCCTATCGGTTTGCTTGCCGGGGCTCGTGGTGGTTTGTTTACCGGGGCTCTCGCCGGCTTGCCTGTCGGGGCTCCCGCCGGTTTGCTTGCCGGCACCGTTGCCGTCGTTTTCGCCGGTGCTATTGCTCGTGTGCTTCCTTAGGCTGCTGTTGGCTTCCCCCCCCCGGTTCTCACTCCTTGGCTCTTCTTGAGACTCTGCTGGAGCTGCCGTTGATCACGGAGTCTATCCTTGGCAACCTGGTCCGGGTTCATCAAGGACTGCTTGTACGCCGTGGCGCCGAAGAATTTCTGAATCATATCATCGGTGACGCCCTTGTCCTACAGTTCCTTTTCCACCTTTGACTCGACATGTCGCGAGTACGAGGGAGCCCTCGCGCCCCACTTGTCTAGCTCATCGTACCACTTTTGCGATGCTGCTACGCTGTTGACCGATGGGGCCTTGGAGCCAGGCAACCCGCTCCAGAAAGGGCCGCTTCCATACGGATATGTGGTAAGGTTTGCTGCCCTCAGCCGTGGTCAGAACCAAATATGCTTGTTTTTGTGCCGAGTTTGGCCCGCGTCACCATCAGGCAAGGGGGGTTTGACGGGTGGGTACTTACATCTACCTTCTGGTCCTATTAGGGGGATGGCAGGCGGGACGGACTCAAAGACTTTGGCAGTAGCATCCCATCTTGACGGTGTTTTCCCGAAGCTCCGGTTCGCCACCATGCTCTTGATCTTGGCCTTAATGTTGGCGACCTCTTCACTGGCGGAGGCGGGCGGGTCCGGCGGCCTGGAGAAGCCTGTGACGTCGAAGAACTTTTCGATGAGACCGCGGACGACGGGCGGCGCAAGGAGAATCTCCTTGGCCGCCATCTTCTCCAAGATCTCGACACGCTTGAGCCATTGGCTGTGGCCAACTGTCTCTAGGGACTGGTGGCCCTGGTCGAAGACTTGGCCCGTATCTGTCAGGTAGCGGGTACCCGGCTTGAGGAACTTGCTAGTGTCCCGGCAGAGCGTCCCGGTCCTGGCTAGCTCACTTGCAGCGACGCGCAGCTTGACGGCGAGGGGCTTGAGATCAATGGGCCCGCGCAATCTTTCTACGCAGCCGAGGATGGCGTTGATATGTTTAACGACGTAGTCGATCGTTTCCTCAAGGTCGTCGTGGAGAACCTGGTATAGTTGGAGCCCACCCAGTTTGTAGAGGTCTTGGCGCAGGCCAACACTTGCGGTTAGGAATTCTCGCACATGGATCTGGGCTTGCTGGATCTCTTCGACGAGGAAGTTGTGGATATCCGTGATGGTGCCGATGGCAGAGTCCACAGCCTTTTTCATGTCGGCGGAGGCGGTGGTCTTGACGGCGCGTGTCGAGTTTAGAGCTACCAGCTTCAGGCACGCCCGGGATCCCAGAATCGACTGCGTGTTGAAGACTGCGAGAAGCTTGTTCAGCTGGGCGGAGCGAAGGGGCCAGACATTGCTGAGGTATCTCCATTTCCGCATTGCAGTGGCGGGCTGCAGTCGGTCCAGTATCATCTGCGTCAGGTACATATGAACGATGGGGTAGCCAGCCTGTTCCAGGCGGCTTAATGCAGCCATCATCAACCGACCGTCTTGGTGGCCAAACGCGCGGTACACGTCAGCCGACGCAGGCCTCTGCCTTCGAGTGAGAACAGAGATTTGCCCCCCGTCGTAGAGATTGAGTGCCCGGTGGCCATATTTTGGCCATGCCTCCGACCATAACTCTTCCTTGAAGAATCGTATCGGCTTTTCGAGGGGCACAAACGACATGTATGTCTCGATAGGCAGTGGAGGGTGAGCAATATCTGCTCGCTTTTGCCTTGACTCTGACGCTGGCCTGGACCCGGCCAGCTCTCCAAACAGACGTCGACGGCCATAGCTTGAAATAGAGGTAATTTACTAGTTAGTAGTTGCTAGTTAGTCGGCTAGGTGATTTTTAAAAAGACGAAGACCGCCAAAGGGGTAAACAAACCAAGGCCTAGCACAATTATCACTATTCTCCGGCAGTGCCCCTCCGCCCCACAGCTTTCCGTGCAAGGGGAAGTCAGTCGTAGAACTAGCAGGCCCGAGAAACTAGAACTGTGAGTTATAGTAAGACTAGGACCGAACCTACTTGCTTCTCGAATGCCCACCCCAGCTCCGCAACGGGTTCGTCATCCCAGTATGGCTCTTGCCAGCCCATGTGTCCCGTTTTAAACAGCTGTTTGAGCGCTCGCCGCGCAGCGTCATTCAAGCCCTGGAGTTGTCTGGGGAGGTCGGCTGGGGGGGCATCGGCATGTCTGCACAGCAAGCCACCGGCGAAATGCGCAGCGTGCTAAACTCACTCGCAAATGAACATCAAGCTATCGGGTGTATATATAAGGTGGCTAGCCAGCCTTGGCTTAGGTCCTGACTTACCGCCAGCTCGTGCAGAATAGTAGACGCTAGCATGAGGCAGCAGGCTACTTTCTCGGCCTGGTTGAAGACGGGCACGAGCAGAGGCCACAAGGCCTCGGCCGCGATCTGAATCCTAATGTACGCCTTTGTGGCATCACTTGGCAGCCGCGTACTTGCTTGGCCATAAATATGCTTAAAATTGTATTCGGGCATGTCGTCGCTCATCCTGTGGCCGCTGCGAATACAGATGCTGAGCCGGTCATTGAGGAATCCGTTCACGGACGCGACAGAATCATATCCCCCATTCTTGGCCTCCGTCGCGTCTGGGCCCAGTGTGGCAGCGTCAAAGTCTGTCTTTAGCTGCATTGGGGGTCTATCCGCCTGTTGTTTGGCAGGGGGGTCGCGGCCGTCACTGCCTGTCGTTGTAATGGGGCGCCGGCTGTAAATATCGAGAACAGCTCGCCAGAACGGATGGCCACCTCGGAGGACGCGCGAGACGAGCTAGAGTGCGGGCTGCATGGCCATGCATACGACTTCGTTGCTCTAACCATCAATCACTTCCTCTTTAGTGTCTGTCGCGTCCCGGCCCAGTCAGTGAAAAAAAAGGGGGGGGAGGTGCTGCTTACCGCCGAAAGCTCTCCCGTCGCGCCAAATAGGTCGAACCAGTACATTGGCAATATGTCACCACTCCATTCTCCGCGATCCTCTAACCATTTGACCCATCGATGTCGCTCTAAAAGCGGGTGCAGGGGCCCAGTCAAGTCCGAATCGAGAGACATGTCACTGGCTCTGATGTGGTTGGCCATGACTACGAGCCCAGATCGCTCTCTCTGTTCCATGTCGTCAGCCATCTGTATGTACAAGTACTCGGCCAGTTGGTACCCGTGTTGGCAGTCGGGCCTACCTCGTCGGTTGTGAACTCGGGATAGAAAATTCTCTGATAATCTGCGTCGTCGTGCATCATGGCTATCAACTTCTTCATATAGTAATAGACATCTTGGTTATCCTGGCCCTTGTGTTTGGCAAGGAAGTCGATGAAATTTCCCATGCCGCCAAGTTCACGGGCTTTTTTCTCGACGTCGGCCATGTCGATATATTTATTCCCGGAAATGTAGTGTCAACTTTTCGGCTTGTCGATCGCGTTGGCGACATCCTGGAGCGTCCAATCGGGCGTGCCTGGGAGTTGATGCCGAATCGTTGCGCATACATAGTCGGCTTCTTCTTCTTATCTCCCTCTCGTAAGGCAGGCCGCAGAGTCGCCATCGGTTCACGTCTCATGCTCACGGTATCCTTTCCCTGCTTGATCAGGATGGGTTCCAGGTCTTGCCACGCTGGATTTGTCCATGGCGGGATGTGCTCGACAGTCACCCAGGTACCGTCTTTCGTCTTCCTCTTATTCTTCTCATGGTCTTTATACGATGGCTTTATCCTGGCTCTGCTCTCCTCACGAACAGGAATGTCCTGATCTCTGATAGATTCGATGGCCTGTTCTATCAAACTCAAGTCATAAACAACCGGCTGAGAAACGGGACCAGGGCCAGCGGCGGGCCCAGCGGCGGGCCCAGCGGCGGGCCCAGCGGCGGGCCCAGCGGCGGGCCCAGCGGCGGGCCCAGCGGCGGGCCCAGCGGCGGGCCCAGCGGCGGGCCCAGCGGCGGGCCCAGCGGCGGGCCCAGCGGCGGGCCCAGCGGCGGGCCCAGCGGCAGGCCCAGCGGCAGGCCCAGCGGCAGGCCTAGCGGCAGGCCCAGCGGCAGGCCCAGCGGCAGGCCCAGCGGCAGGCCCAGCGGCAGGCCCAGCGGCAGGCCCAGCGGCAGGCCCAGCGGCAGGCCCAGCGGCAGGCCCAGCGGCAGGCCCAGCGGCAGGCCCAGCGGCAGGCCCAGCGGCAGGCCCAGCGGCAGTACCGGTCGCCATGGCTGAGAATAGAAGCGGGAGTAGTAGAGTTACAAGAGGGGCCGGAACCGAGGAAGAAGAGGGCCGACGGCTGCGAGCTATGACTGACAGCTTCGCTCCGTAGACGGAACGACGCTGGAAAACGAAGGCGGCAGGGGATGGCAAAAGGGCTGGAGCATGCAGCACTACACGGAAAATGGCCGTGCTAAAGCTTTTCTGGTTTCCAAAACCGCAAGGAAAGAATGTTCTCGCTGCATATGACATTGAGGATACGTACCTATCTACTTATTGTCGCCGAATCAAGGATTTGGAGCTCCAGTGGAACCCATCAAACAAAGAGTCACGCCTCTGAGCACGGTTGGAAGCACCTTCAATTACACAAAGCCTCCGTTTCCGGAGCGGCATTGGCTTGGCCAAGCAGCCAAAGAGCTGAAAGAGGCGAAGTCAAAGAGAATCCAAAATGTCAATTGCTTCCTCAAAATCTCATGCAATGGTTAGGTTAACTGAGGTAGTCTTCATTTGAGAACAAACAAAGGAACTCGCATGGTTGCCCGGCTGGCCATCTAAGAGGCCTGCATCGACAAACATGGCTGTATTTGCTTGTATGGGATTTTTGAATGAGCTTCAAAACTCAACTACTAAATTTTACTGTATTTACATAGAACGGGGGTTAATAGGGGTTATAGTGCAAAGGGGGCTTCGAGATCAAAACAGGAAAGGGAGCAACTCACAAACTGCAGGCGGTTCCATGTTTGTAAAGATCATTCTTTCTATTGATCTATGTCCGTCCTCTATTTTCTAGACTAGCCTCACGATCCAAGCGCATTGCCCAGTTCGTCCCTCTGTCCAGCCGATTGAGAACCATGAGCCAATCATCCCGCGGGTCTCCCGTCCTCGGGATGATCAGGCACGCTCCCAGCCGAGGTCACACGTACGCATGTCGTGAGAAATTATCATCATTGGCAAAACATAAAGAGATACGTAAACCTGAGATGCCTTTCAATGCAAACCAAACCCTAAAAAAGCAACTGTTTTAATATCCGTAGAACAAAAGGCGACGAAATCCACAGCGCGAACACATCAGTCGTCCTCGTCGCTAAACACCTACCCAGAAAGTTAGCACCAGTCATCGAAAGGGGGTTTGCGAATGCTAGACATACCTCCTCGCCACGCTTGCGACGCGCCATGCGATCCTTCTTCTTCTTCCGCAGCTCAGAGCTGGTAAGCTTGGCCTTCTTCTTAGTCGACACAATCTTGTTGCCCATAGCGTCGAACTTCTCCTCCTCGTCGTCGTCATCGCCCTTCAGGCGGGGACCAGCGCCCTGTCCCTGCACCCAGTTGTGGCCGGAAGGCGTCATCTTGCCGTCCATGACCGCCCACACCTCCTCGGTGATATCCTTTGTGAACTCAGCGCTGTGAGTGATAATGATGACACCACCCTCGAACTTCTTGAGGGCCTTGGACAAGGCGCCAAGCGAGTCACGATCGAGATAATTGGTCGGCTCATCCAGAACGATCAAATGAGGACGCTGCCACGAGCAGGCAGCAAGAACAACCTTAACACGCTGGCCACCAGAGAGACCACGCATACGCGAATGGGACACCAACTCGGCGTCGATTCCAAAGTTGGCGCAGTGAGCCTCGATCTCCTTCCGCACCAGGGGGCGGAACTGTCCAGAAGCAAGGGCCTCCTTCATGTCGACATCGGCAACCATCTTTTGATGGGACGAGATAAGCTCGTTGCGGGGAAGCCAGACATTGTCTGCCGTCATCATCGGCACCCAGCGCTCGTTCTTCATGCCCACGTTCTCGCCCAGAGAGAACGAGCACTCGTACTCGTAGCTGTTCTTGAACTTTCTCCGGGAGCTGATGCTGATAACCTTGCGCTGGGTATCCTGAATCTTGAAGATACGGTCCATGGCCTTCTCGTCGGCCTCGGTGATGATCTTGTTGGCGCGGTCCATCGTCTCGCGATCCTCGCCAGTCTGGAAACGCCACTGGATGTACTCGGAAGGAGTCTTGTCGAGGTGGTTATCAATATGCGCGAAAGCGTGCTGCTTGATATAAGCAATACGAATGTTCTCGTGCTGGTAAATCTCGCCTTGTGTGGGGATCAGCTCTCCGGTGAGAACATTGATGAGGGTAGACTTTCCGGCGCCGTTGGGGCCGATGACAGCGATACGGGATCCCAGAGAGCACTGGAACGAGATGTCCGAAATCTGGGGCTTGGGCGTCCCGGGGTACTGGAAGCTCATCTTGGTGGCACGCAGGATGGCCTTTGCCTTGGTCTTGACACCCTCCAAGAAACCAGGCTCCGGGAACGTGAACTCAATCTCAGACGCGCCAAGCTCGTAGTAAGACTTGGCAGATGGAAGACGGCGGACAAAGTCCTTGAGGTTACCCCGGTAACGCTTGAGCTTGTAGCGCTCGTAGTGAACGATGTGCTGGCAAACGTTGTCAAGGAACGAGCTGTCGTGAGAAACGATGATCGACGTGCAAGGAGAGTTGATCAGATACTCTTCAAGCCACTTCACGTTCTTCACGTCGAGATGGTTAGTGGGCTCATCGAGGAGGAGAATATCAGGAGCCTCGAAGACGGCACGGCACAGGGCCAGCTTCATCTTCCAGCCACCAGACAGAGCGGAAATATCGCCGCTGATCATCTCTTTGCTGAATCCGAACTCAAACAGGCGGGCCTCGACGTCCTCCTTCGAAGTGCTGACGCCAGCCTCGCCGAGCTTCTTCATAGTCCAGTCGATCGTAGTCATCTCGGTATCCTCCGAGTCGAGGTCGTGCTCAACAAAGACAGTCTTGACTTCGCTCTGCTTGGGGAAGCCCTCGACCTGCTCGTTGTTGATGGCACGCATGAGCGTCGACTTGCCAGAGCCGTTGGGGCCGCAAAGACCATAGCGCTGACCACGCTTGAGGCGGAGGCTGGTTTGATTGAGCAGAATCTTGGCACCGTAGGCAAGCGAGAACGTGCAGTTGCAAAGATCCTCGCCCTCTTCGTCATCGGCATCAACCTCTTCCTCGTCGGCGAGGGCGGGGGAGGCCTTCTTGCGGAGGGCATCGACAACGGCTTGAGATTCAGCCTCGCCAACGAGAACCGTGACGTAAGGCTTCACGTTATTGGTCCAGGCGATGCCCTCCAGCTCCTTCTCGTCGACGAGCTGACCGGCAACAGCTGCGATAAACTCCAGAACAGGGGCAAACTTCCCAGCGACCACGGCGTGCTTTCCAGAGAGAACCTCCTTGAGCTTGGCCAAGACGATGGCAAGGTCACCATCATTGCGAGCCTCGGGGATAACACCATCCTTGACGTTACCGACACGGATGATGGTGTCGAGAGCCTGCTTGGTCTTCTCACGAGCCTCGGGATCGGCAAGATTGTCGTAGTTCTTTTGAAGACCGGGCATCATCTTGGGCAGGAAAGGAGCAACGATGTTGGGGTCGTCGACGAGCTTGCACATGTTGTCAACAATGACAGCTGCCTTTCGCTTGATGGCGGTATCTCGCTCGGCGAGACCACGATCGAGCAGGGGAACCATGAGCGCGAGAGTGGGCTCCTGGACTTCGGTTACGAAAGTGGTGGCGCCTAGCAAGTGAACCGTCTCAGGGACGTTCTCGGGCTTGGCAATACACTTGATAAGCTCCGGAATGAAGCGCTCGATATCGCGATTGACAATGAGCTGGCACAGCTTCTCCATCGTCTTGTATGCGCGATCCTTGACCTCCTTCTTGGTGTCCCACATAGCCTCCGAAATGACGGGGATCAAGTTGGGCACGCGGAGAGAAGTCTGAGAAGGGGCGGTTCGAATGAGCGTATCAATGAAGTCGAGGGCCGTCATCTTCTCGGGCCACTTCTGAGCGTTTTTGAGCGAGTCGATGAGTGGCGGGAGAGCAGCCTTGATACTGTTGGGGTTCAGCGCCTCGGCAACGGCCAGGGCAGCCGCAATGGCGGCATTTTTGACGGCCGTGATCTTGTCGCCGGCAGCAGCTAGCACCAACGGAAGGAGGACGATGAAGTATGGCTCGACGTGCGAAGAGACTTCCGAGTGCTGGGCTATGTCCCGGATGGCCACAAGGGCCTTCTCACGAACGGTGGCATCCTTCTTGTTGGCGAGCTGCTTCTTCAGTGCCTCGATCGTTCTAATTTGAGGGGTTCACATGTCAGCTCCAAATTCTCCAAATTTTGGTGCGTTGCGCCTAAAGTGTGTGGGAAAAAAAATTTTGTCGGAAAAATTGGTTGCCTGCGTTCTGATTCGATCGCCCGCGCCGCCCAACAATCTGTCCCCGTTGGAGCCCCCATTGCCGCACGACCAAGGAAACAGCAATCTTAGAAGGCGCCCCGTGGCAGGGCTAAATGCACACATCAAGCAGAGAAAGGCAGACGAGAAAGCCGAGGCAGCCTCTCGACCAGGTAGAAGTTCAGCTTACTGGGTCGGGGTATCGAGGTCCTCGATAGGCCCATTGATGAACGAGGCAAGGGCTCCGGAAGCCGCCTTGATAGCATCGGCATCCTTGGAGACAGTGAGCTTCTGCATCAGCTCATTGAGCACCTTGACGCTCTCGGCGTTCTCCTTGGCGGAAGTGGCAGGCATTATGGTTGACTTTGAAGGGGGGATTTTCGGGAAAAGAGAGACCGCTGTCTATGTCGTCGCGATCCGAAACAATACGTCGAAAGCGCCGTCTATCGGCGGGGTATATTATGCTGCGCTGGCGAGTGGCCAAGGGCGAGCCCGTAGGAAATTTCGATGGGAAAGTCGAAATTCCTACTCTATCCTGGCTCTTCTAAGAAGAAGACGCAAGAACAAAGTAAAGACTGAGCGGAGAGCGTTCGCGAGAGGAACGTGTCAGTCAAAGAATGAAATTGAGAAAGAGAGGAAGGAGACCTGAGGAAGGGGCAGAAAAAAAAAGTCGTGGTGGGCGAAGGTGGTGGGCGATATTTAAGGATGCGCACAGCCCATTCTGGAGAAAAGTGGGTGAGGGGCGGGAGTAGGGTGCCACTCGCCGCAATAGAGGGGAAGGCGCCGCTGAAAACTTTTTTCGGCCTCCCGCTCAGGGAAACCAGGTTTCATCGCAATTCTGCCCAGTAAGATGCTAGTCTAGGTACACAGGTAGGACTCGTAGGCGCCCCGAACTCATCATTCTTCTGCAACTTTGGGGCGACTCGTCCCGACAACCCTCCTTTTTGCCCCTCCATTGATTGGGCTAGGTCCCTGCTTATCCATGCGGATCATTTGTTATCGCTTTATCAGTGACACCGCTATTCCTCATTTGGCTGCCCGGCAAGGCGGTGAGCAGGAACGTTCCGCAAAAGAGTTTTGCAAAATTCTAAAAATTAACTCCCAGGCGCTCCCGCTTTGAAGTCCCTTTGGCCAAGTTCTCTTTGGCCACCGCCTTTGATCGAGGCCATCCATGATACATCGCACGTCCTTGGCTTTGTAGCGTTTGTTTCCACAAAGTCGATGGGCAACGTTCGGAACCTCCACCATGGCGGGGCCAGACGGGCCCAATCGTTATCCTGGGTGGCTATCTCGCTGGTGTACGGCCGAGGTTCTTCCTGAATCTTCCCGCCTTTGGCACATCATAGAAGTTGGAGCTTCCAACATGGGACCCTGTGTACACAGCAAAGACTCCCGGCCCACGCTGTGTCTGAGTACAGGTGCATTATAAGCTTGATTGCCCATAGTGCCGAAGGGGATGGCCGCTCTACAATGGCGGGGATAAGCCACATCAACTTTCCAATGCGACACAGGGTGATACAGCAGTGTTAATTTGCGACCCTCTCTGTCAGCTTGTCGATTCCAGCCAATATGTACAGTACCTGACCCCCATCAGCTTGCCACAGCCCTCACTCCGCCACCCAGACCTGGAACATCTGTGCTCGCCCTGCCATTTCCAGACGTGCATATGCCACCAATCCATCAATTGATGCCTCCAGGGCCCTTGTATGTGCCTTATGTACATACAGTAGCCGTACATGTACGGTACTGTATGTATGTACGTGCGAGTGGCGAGCGGCGAGCGGCGAGTGTCGGTGCTCCGTACAGACCTAAAGCGTACCCACTCTGGAAATACGTATCAGACAGATTGCCTCTGTTTTAGCCCAAGCTGTGCGGATACTGAAGTCTAGTTTAGACTCGTTAACACGTTTCTTTTCAGAGACTGTGGCTCTTTCAAATTTGCCACGTCTTATATTGGTCAGCTCCCCACAATGCACGCTGTCGCGCTAGCATCTATGTCCCGCCTCTCGCCCCGGCCTCTAGGTTCTCAAGCACCTGAAGCTGCTGCGGTTTTGTGGGAAGGCACGCCATAGAGGCGCGCATTCTCTCCGTACTCGTGCATTTCTCATCGGGACATAGCTCCAGTCCATGTCGAGTCCCGCAAAATCAAGTCGCTGCGTACCTTACTACACCGTTGGCCTTTCTCGAGACGGGCCTCCCGAATCTGGGGGTTATCACCGCCCCTGCCAGGTACGATAAGATAGGGATGGCGGGGAAGTTCTAGCGTAGTTATTTGTGGTTATTTTCTTTTTTCCTATTTTTATCTTGTGCATTTCATAGCCGAATCGCGATATAGTCAGTCCGTTTGTGGTGTTTGGATGCCGATTCACGCACAGGATACTTGGCAAAATTAGTAAATTTTCGAGGTACTCTGATACATGAACACACCGACACTCGACTCAGCCAGCCCACTACCTGACACCATTTGGCCACCGTAGATGGAGAATGTTGACCCCCCATTCTGAACCCGGATCGTTTTTTTGGAAGGATGGAGGCCCGAAGGCGCTAGGTTGACTCGGAGCCTGGGGTCCCTGGCGCCCAACTATTCGGTTAAGGCAGCCGGGCATCCCGGGTTCTTCATCGGCATTATAGATGCTCATCGTAGCAAGCTTGCTCTACCTTGAATGTCTTCTGTGTTGCCATCTCAAGTCCTGCACACGTCTCAAACATTTGCGGCTGCAGGGCACTTATTATGGTTTGCCCAGGGAATGCCATCCATTGTTTTGGTTGTCGCCTAGCGCATGCACAATGTGGTGTGAAGATCTCGGTCCCTGTCAACTGTCGAACCTAAAACACCCCGATTCCCCTGGGCCTTCCCATCGGGCGGCGCAGGACATTGAAGCGACTCCCAACACAGCTTTTCTTTATGCTGCCGGTTGGTCAGCGCGCTGGACCCGGTCAGCACTGGTGTGCGTTGGTGGCATGAGGGTCATCCGCAATTCGTAAAATCTTGGGTTGGATAAAGCATTTCACCAGTGTGGACGGCGCACAACCTGCAAAACCCTCCAAGTATGCTGTACGTACAAGTACGAAGTACTCCGCACAGGTACAAACATGGGATACCGCTCAATACCTTAGATGCACGTACGACCTAGAATATTTGGTTAATGACTCGGTATTTTGCCTCCAGCCCACGTACTGCTAACCCTAGGCAGTGTACGAATACCTACCTCCATTGCCTACCTATGGAGGTACCGAGGTTAAGACCAACGAGTTCGCAAAACTGTTTGCGAGAGCGCTTTCTGTCTGAACTCCGTATTACCAGGGACCTATCAACCAACCTCACAGCGATTAGACTTGTATCTGTCACACCCAAGTGGTTGGCTGGCTACAGGCTCTCTCTCCATCCCCCTGGCCTTGGCCTCGGCACCGGAGAAACTACCGTGTAAGCCCAAGGCAGTTTTGGTAAATGATCATCGTGGAAAATTGTTAGCGACACAAAGGAAAAACGTCTTGATTGGTTATATTCGGCAAATTCGCAGACATGTTTGACTGGTGCCGAGCCCAAGGCCAAGGGGATGGTCAATGGACGTGCCCTGCATGTTTTCAGCGCTGCTTATCGCTTTAGGGCTGACAGCACTGGTGTGGAGGCATTCAGGCGGGTGGGGGTAACGGGTATTATTCCAACAGAGTTCGCGGTTGTCTAAGCAGCAACACGAAATCCAATTAAATGCATGACGTCAAAAGCGGTCGACGTCATCGCTTTTAAAGTTACACGGGCATTTTAGCCATCAACTACGGATTATATAATGAGAATTTCTTCTGTTCTGCATGCATATTTCGGTCCAAAGTGCTATTTCGTACAGCAATTTACCAATTATTATCTATCTGATCAATATCGGCTTCCAGACAACATGTCTTCCAACAGCTCGCAGAACCAGAACCAGGGCCAACCGCGGCAGCAGCAACAGCCCGGCCTCGTTGCCGGCCATGCCACTTACATCAAAGGCGCAGCTGAAGTGAGTTGCAGTCGCGGGTTCAAGACGGAACTGTGCTAACCTTTGCTGCTCTCCAACCTACTTACAGAGCGCAATCGGCAGCGCCATAGGCTCGCACGCGTGGACCACGTCGGGCGAACAGGCTAAGGCATCTGCAAAGGCCTCGCTGAAGGCCGCGATCGAGAACCGCAACCCTGCCACCGACGGCTACGGCCGCGCCGAGGAGATTGCCGGGAGGGTGACGGGCTGCGAGGGCATGAGGCAAGAGGGAGCCGCAAGCAAGCCACATTCCGAGTGATGCTGTCGTGCTGCGGTCGCACACACAACTGTCTCGGGGAAACCCAGGAGGGCGGGGATGCCGGAGAGAAATACAACCAAACGACGGCATTGTAAAATATCTGCACTAGATAATTACAGCAAAACAAAATTTTTCAAGCCTGAAAGTCTAGTTTACACGCTATTCATATTTCTGAGCCCAGGAAGGTGAAAATTGTCACAAATAAATTACGTAAATCGTAGGTCCGGACAACTATCATGACCTGTAAAGTCTTTTACTGCTGGAAATTTAGTAGGGACGTGGTCATTCTTGATCCGAGCAAGCATGCTAAGGTTGTTACAAATATCCAAGAGGCAAAGCACACGTGTAAGTTCGTTTTTATCCACCCCTAAGATCACTTGAACTAAGCAAAACCCAGTAATCAGTTTCAAATCGTAAAAGTTGGGACGGAATATCGTGGCGCAACATATCAGCAACCTATCCTACCTGCGAACGGTTGGTCTTTTGACACCTTGAAATGACTGTTAAGTGCCAAGACGACGATTTTAAGCCATTGAGTTTTCAGAAAATATTAGGCTCTCGACGAAAGCCAGTTAATCAATCTTTGATATTCGGCGGCGCCCAACATCCTCAGGTTCTTTCTTCTTCCTTCCAAGTTCGCCATGGCCACGATCTCTCTGCAAGTACTGACCAAAAACTCCAAGACCACCCAACCAAGAATCATCACCCTCCCAGTCTACTCCGGCGCTTCAAACCGGACACCGCAGTCCGCAAACATGTCCCTCAGCAGGTCTGCTTGACCATCATCCAAGCTCCCCCGCGACACAGCCACGGCCTTCAGGTGCGGATACGCGGCGCCGCGCGCCTTGGCCGCCGCCATGCTGCCCACGTTCTCAAACAACCCGTCCTGGCCCTTGGCAGCACGCCGCTCGCTCACCACAGCGAAGCTGGCCAACCGCGTCGGCCGCAGCGCCGCAAGGACCGCCGCCAGGTCGCCGCGCGACAGCCGCGCGTTCTTGAATTGCATTTCTCGCAGCCGGGGCCACTGCAGCAGCGCCCCCGCGCTGCCGCCGCTTACACCTGTCTCCCCGCCCTCGCCCGCGCCCTCGTCCTTGTCGTCCCTGCCGTCGTCCTTGTCGTCGTCGTCGTCGCGCGCCACTCCCATGCACTGCTCGCACACGAGCGCCTCGAGGTTCGGTGCGGCCGCCACCAGCGGCGCAATGTCGCTGAGGAACCACCCATAGGTCGGCGAGTGGTACGTGACGACCAGGCGGCGCAGGCTCGGGAAGCCAACAACACCGCCGCCAAGCGTCTTGTTGTTGTGGCTGTTCAGAAACTCGAAGCGCATCAGGTTCCAGAACAGCATCAGGTGCGCCTCGGCCGCGAGCGGACATAGCGCCAGTGCCAGTAAGAACAGCGTCTCCAGCAGCGGGCAGTAGTTCTCGGGCGCGAACTCGTTGAACGCGAACCCGAGCGGCGTCGTTGTGCGGCGCGCCGGCGAGAGCTGCTTCTTCCTGGCGGCTGGAACTATGCCGTGCCGTGCTAAAGCCCGCTGGAATAGCACAGCGTCCGTGTGGGTGTCAGTGCCGGCCATGTCCGAGGCAAGGGAATCCAGTCTAGTGATGCTGCTGTCAGCGCCGCCGCGGCAGATATCGAGGACGCGCACGTGGCTACCATGCTCGGGGCGGCGGAGCAGGGCGCACAGGAAGCGGAAGGCGTCGCGGTCGTGCGGCGCCCACAGCCGGTGGAAGAGGAAGGGCGTGGCGAGGTGGTGCAGCGCGCGGCACGTCCGGCTGAGCGCGCTCAGCGCCCGCCGCCGCGGCGCCATCGCCTGTTGGAACTTGGGACATGTCCTCCGTCCGACGCTCGACATCCCCAGGCAGTGCATGCATAGCTCTGAGAAGATCTGGTCGAGGAGCTCCCGCGGCAAGTCGAGGAGGTGGGCTGGCGCCATGGTTGCTGCGGCTATCATGGATGTGTGACGTGTGTGCTATGGCAGCCGAGGTAGTGGTGTTGAAGACACGGGTGTGTACTTCATTAAAAGAACTGGTTCTTAATATTCATTAAATGGTTGTTCGGCGGTGAGGAAGTTGCAATAAAACACAGCGAAACACGCGAGGTTAGCCTTATATGAGCACAGCTACCATTATCCAGATCCGATTGTTTTAGCTGGGCCGCATTACAGCTGCAAGGGCCCGGCCCCGGCGGAATTCCGACACACTAATTACCGTAACCGGAATTGTGTGTTGGCTGGCGTTGGGCCGCGGCGATGTCCATAACCAATGGCACTATTGGATGGTTGGATCGAGGGAGCGGCGGAACGTCAGCCCTAGTCAGCATCCCAGATCCTGCCTGCCAATCAACAGATGCGGTTGCAGCGGCGGTGTGGTATTCACGACAAGGGACCTAGGCCAGGGGACGATCATCTCGCAAGATATCAATATCGAAGCAATGGGCTCTCAACTCACTAGTGCGAGCAAAACGGATCCATCACCTGCCTAACTGGGGTAGTCGGACTCTTCAGCAACTCATTCAGCGAGTGACTGTTTTCGTCTCTTATTACTACTACCAACTAGATGATTAATATTTTCAGGCAAGGACACTCCAAGCCTCCTGCGCCATCTCTGAGCCGTGGCCGAGTCACAGAATCCCAGATAATCCCCCCTTTCCACTTACATCAGAAAGGAAAACATCCACTGCTATCTCGCGCAGAGGCCCACACCACGAGTCAAAAACAGCAGCGGTAGCCTAGCAGATATCAGCGTCCGCGTGCCAGTTAGTAGTACTTGGGCTTCGTGGGGTCCGTCAGGTCAAAGATGACAGACGAATGTGGGCGGGCGCCGCCACGGCTGGTAGTGAAGATATGGTTGAAGTCAATGGTGCGGTTGAAGCTGAGGCTGCCGTTGGGCAGAATATCAATCCAATGGGCCTTGTAATCGCCTGGTGTGTTTAGGACCGAGATGTCTCCGGCCTGGACAAAGTAGCCCGTGACGAGCAGGTTCTTCTTGTCGGGCGAGATCTTGACGTAGTGGGGGCCGATGATGGGCTGCTTCTCGTTCGGGTTATCGAGGCGCTTGACGTTGTTCAGGTCCGAGATGTCGAGCGCCGCGACGTGGTTGCCCAGCGTGATGGTGAAGTAGGCGAGCTTGCCGTCGTCTGAGATGTCAGAGTAGATGGCCATGGAGCCCCGGGCCGCGTCGCCGAGGTCGAAGAGCGGCTCGGCAACACCCTGGCTTCCGTCCGGATTCGTGCGGAACGGGTAGATGATCCACACCTGGCCGAGGCCGACGGCAGTGGCCAGCGCCGCTGTCTCCTCGTTGCCGGGGATGAACTTGACGTCTTGGATGCCCTGTCCGTCGGGGATGGTGATGGTGGAAATAATGGAGCGGGACGAGAGATTCCACAGCCGGAGAGTGTTTGCACGCTGTATCCTCAAAGTCGGCTTCAGAATGGACAGGGGGACGACAAAGTCCGAGGTCAAGGCAATGTTCTTGTTAAAGTCGATGGTGAGGCCGTGGGGAGAGAACTGCTCTCCCAAAGTGTTGAGAGTGGAGGAAACATCAAGCACGCTCGGCCACTCGCTCAAAATGTTGCCCTTGGCATCTGTCTCGATCAGCTTGCCAGGCGAGGTTCCCACGGCGCTGCCCATGTAGGTGATGTAGAAGCCGCTACCGAAGTCGTTAGCCCTTAATATTCCCTCGGACCTATGCTAAATGCGCCTCTACTGCGCGGCTCATCATGTCACTCACCCATCAGGTTTGGCACGGATCTCGTCGACAATGGAGCTGAGAATGGCACGGTTGCTGTGCGAAAACTTGGGGCGATACGGGTCGGTGACGTCAAAGTAGAACGCCGTGTCTTGGGTCTTGAGCAGCGACAGCAGCCCACCGCCAACTAACAGCTTGCCGTCGTGCGAGACGCCAAGATGGTGCGGTGAGTTCCCGCTGGATGGAACATCCGTGAGATAAATGATGGTGCCGAATGTGTCCTGAGCGGCCAGTCAGAGGTGTCTCTCTGCCAGAGTGACAAGGCAGGTCTTTCACAGTCGACTTACATCATCGAGACTGGCGGTGGCCAAGAAGTCCTTGTGCTGGTTATCGCCCGCACCGGTCCAGAAGTAGCCAATCTTCTTGGGCTTGATATTAGATGGCGTAAACGGGTCGCTAGGAAGAGCCGGGGTGGGGACCTGTAGGATAGGTAAAGGAGGAGCGAGGTTGCCTACTAGAGGCACAGTGACTCCCGGAATACTAGGAATCAGGGGAGGGAGGCTGATCCCCAGAGGGCTCCTCTTGACGGTGCCTGGAGTCGCGGGCGTGGCAGAGGCGAGATGGGCAACAAGGTGGCCCAGCAGGGCAAACCTGACGTAGGCGGCGTGCATGGCGGCTGTTCCGGGTGGTGAGATCTGCTAATTCCTGAGATGGATGTTGCAGGGCTAGAGATCTCGGGGCTGTTGAGTGTCTAGGATGAATGTCTAGCTGGGTCTGGGCTGCTTCTTACTAGGTACTTATATGTCCATTCTGATCTCTGTTCCTAATCATCTCTCCCACCTTGAAATCCTCCTCCTCACACCAGGTAGTCACCGTCTGCATCTCAGCCATCGTGTCGTGATAAAATGAAAAGATGATGCCATTGAGCTCTCCAAGGTGTCGTTTTCAGACAGCCTGGGATGTTTGGTGTTCAGAGTTAAACCCCCACAGCCGCTATAGCAAGATCATTGGAGCGATGTCGACTTCTCATGTCGTCCAAGGGTCAGGTGTTCTGCATTTCAAGATGAAGATGAACCAAGGCTAGCCAGACGTGTCAAGGATCGCCGTTCAAGAGGACCGGGGGTTGGGAGCGTGTAAAACCATCGCGAACGTGGTCGAGAACGTGCCCACGCGTCGAAATCTCTCACATATGAATAGGTGCTACTATTTTGTGATCTGCATGCCGGCAGCCATGTTGACCGACGTAGTGAGGTGCCATGTACACCCTCCGCATGCAGCTTATGCGTGGCTCCCAATTTCACACTACTTCCCAAGGGTTACATCGTGACATCACCACCAATCCTGTGAAAGCTGGGGAAGGTAACCAGCCCGTTCGCACTTAGTTCGGAATGCCCGCACACTTCTTTGATGGGCGGGAGCATGGGTATGAGCAGCAAGATAACTCCGTTAAATACAAGCATTCTTGAAAACAGCACGTCCTATTCCTTGTCCCTTGAGTGGGGCTACACAAGACTCATGCTTGAAGGAGGTGGTCATGACTATCGGGTAGCATTTAGCAGGCAAGCGGACCTGGCCTAGCGTTGAACGTGCTCGTCGATCGTTGACCAGGAACCTGGATCTGAGTTGTCACTTTGCGGTGTGAGTCTCTAAAGGAGACAGGGCTCTGGTATGCTCTGCCAAAAAAAGAAACTAAAACAAAAGGGAGAATTATGGCCGAGATGTAGAAGATCCGGATCGACGCCAGGCCGGCCGCCAACATCAAGCCTCGTTTTCTTGCATGGGAAAACAAACAGCGAATTGGACGAGGCCATGGCCTGGCAAATGCCGGTTCGTGGCGGTTGATAGTCGGAGATTCGATGTCGTGATCGTGGGGTTGGCGCTAGGGCTCGATCAGTCGATGACGCTATCAAGCCTCGGCCTGTCGACTGGCTGATCTGTTGATCTGTTCCTGGTTCTGAACATCTCGGTTACCACTTTCGGGCGCCGCTGCAAATCTGATCTGTATTGGGGGCGCGGGAAGCAAGTTAGGTCGTTTTAGACTTGTAGATCCTCCCCTTCAGCATCAAACTCTTCAACTCACACAGCAATGGCACCTGCCCTTGTTTGTCCACAGAGAGATGCATCACAGTGTCAAAGTCTAGGACTTAGCGCTCACTCACTAGATCTAAGGGACATATTTGTGAGTTGCCGTGAAATATAATAATCAGTAGACGTTAGTTACCAAGTGACCGTTTATGAATTTATTTAGTAGAGAGTTGAATCCAGAAAAGAAAGAAGGAGACAAAGCAAAATAAAGTCTTCGCTCAAGGGTCTGTCTTGTTCAACGCCGAAATGCACACTGTGAGTTGCAATATTAATTAAGGGTTAGGGTTGTTGGAGCCAACCCGTGACCAGGGCTAGGCCAGTCTTGAGACTAAATACCGAGACAGACCAATCAACATACATCTAAAGGCCGGCGTGGCGCAATTGGTTAGCGCGTCAGACTTTTACGCACAAGGCATCTGAATGTTGCGAGTTCGAGTCTCGCCGTTGGCGGCTTCTTTTTTGCAAGTATCTGTATTTGCCAGCTTTTGCTTTTGACTTTTTTCCGTTTCTATTCCATCCGCATATTTCTTTCTGTGCTAGAAATTGCCGACGACGCCAGATGCGCAGAACTCGCCCTCGATGTATCGAGTCGCCACAGTTGCGAAGTAGGGTTGTACTGCCATGTAGATCTCATGCACTCGTCTTCTCAGGGAAATGCAAGCAGGCTGACCTGCATCTGCGTAGGGGTGCTGCAGTATAACTTGGATACTATATAGCCAGAATATATGTGCAGTCATCTTGTCGGAAATTCGCGAGTTTTGTTGTCTAATTAGACAGGCATTAAGAAAAGTTACCTACAGGAAATTCAGCTTCGTGCATTCTGCCCGCCTTGTTTTCACGTTCCAGCCCAGCCATTCACGCCAAGAAACCCCCAAAAGACACGGAGCCCATCCTCGTCAACCCATTTGTTCCCAGTGGCCGTAATACGTTTTCTCATCACACCAACAAACGGGGACGTCAGAACTGCTGTGATCAGTCACGGGAGCAGGAGAAGACTGCCTCATCTTGGCCATGCTACCTACCCAGCTCCACTCTCGAACCATTAGACCAGGTCTTGCTTGGTTACCTTCCAGCCTTGGAGAGCCTACCTTAACAGTCGAGGCGAAGCTGTCCTAGAATCTAGATGCATATTCACCGCATTTACCCTTCTGGCTGATTTACACGAAGCTTTGCATCTCAATCGCAGCATATTCGATCGTGGTATTTATTATTCAAAAAGTCTTCTCTGGTCTGAAAGCTATTATCCAAGGCAGCTATCCATCTTCCGGGGGTATTCGATTAGGCGAAAGAACGAGGGTGTCTCAGTGCTCAACACTAACTCCGTGGCTCGACTCTCCATTCTTGGCTGGCTTCTCGCTGGTGGTGACACCGCCCAAGCCAAGCTCGCCGTCGTTGGTATCGTTTGTTTTCAGAGCGTGTCCCTGGATATACCCGCTCTCGGGGTCGTGGGCCTCGCAGGGGCCAAAGACATAGGGCACCTCGCCGTGGACGGCATCGTCGCCGAGGAGCAGGTCCCCCTCGGCCATCCGGAGAGGAATGCGCAGGACGTGCTTGATGAAGAGCAGAATCAGACTGGTCCAGACGAGGTTCCATCCGATGACGAACAGGGCGCCGGCCACCTGATATCCCAGCTGGATACCATTGCCTGCAATTGCGCCACCGAGGTTGGTCAAGCCAAAGGCCGCACAGCCATCGATGGTCGCCCAGAGGCCAGTGCCGAACCCGCCGACAAATCCGGCCACCATGTGCGTGTGCATAACGCCCAGAGTGTCGTCAAAATGGCGCTCGAGGATGGTCGACTTTTTGCCGAGGATGTTCATCGTCACCCATGGGACCGACCCTGAGCCAAGTCCGAGGAGGATGGCACCCCAGCCGGCGACAACACCAGCAGCGGGAGTGATGGCGACAAGGCCCGTGATCATGCCCTGCACGGCGCCGATGACGGACGGCTTCTTGAAATAGACAATGTCGCAGAATGTCCAGGTCAGCAGCGATACGGCAGTGCACAGGTTGGTGTTGAGGACGGCAACGCCAGCATCGGCGCTGGCGGCGTACGGGTCGCCGCCGTTGAAGCCGTTCCAGCCAATCCAGAGCAGGCCAGCGCCGATCAAAACAGTGAGGATGTTGTTGGGTCGCGCGTCTTCGCGGTCCTTGGCCAGGCGTGGCCCAATCCAGTAGCAGCCAATGAATCCGGCAGTCCCCGACGACAAGTGGATAACGTAGCCGCCCGAGTAGTCGATGACGCCGAGCTTGAACAGGAAGCCGCCACCCCAGATGGAATATGCGCCGACCGTGTACGACAGGGTCAGCCACAGGGGGACAAAGACCATCCAGGCGTAGATGTTCATCCTCCCCAGGAAGGCGCCCGCCATGATGACCAGCGTGATGGCGGCGAAGACGAACTGGAAGTATACCATCGTGGCGAGCGGGAACTGCTGCACTGCCGGGGTGCCGGCGGCTGTTATGATTGAAGGCAGAGTCGACTGGGCGAGCATTCTGTCCATGCCGAGGACGTTGTTGGGCTTGCCGACAAAGGGCAGCATCTCTTCACCAAAGGACGCCTCGTAGCCCCAGAGAACCCAGCAAATGAGCACGGCGGCGAAGGCGTAGAAGGCCATGAAGGCGCTATTGATGGCCCACTTCTTCTTCATGACACCGGCGTAGAGGACCACGAGTCCGGGCACCGACTGCATACCGACGAGCGTCGCCGCCGTCAATTGCCACGCATTGTCACCTGCACGCCACTCAGTCAGTCTCTGAAGCTCTGCTAGTACCCAGCGATCCTCAACACAGCCCAGTTTACTGGCACGAGGTCACAACCGAGGGGCGCTAGTCGACCATCCCTGGGCTGTCAACTGCTGTCGAATTGAACGCGATGCCCATCGGGAAAAGAAACCCATTGGTTTTCTCGGGAGACTGCCAGAAGCAAGACAAAGAAAGACAGTCGGAAAGACAGCGACTTACCGCTCCCAACTCCTGAAGCCGGATCGGGTGTCCACCAGACGGGTGATGGGGCAGCACCGCCGCCGTCCGCGGTGGCGGTGGAGTTGTCTGACATGTTGACTTGTTTGTCCGAACTTGGCACGACAGGCAGCAAATTCGCTGGAGATGGTGTTTCTAGGAGAGGGTACTATCGGCTGGAACAAGTCTGCAAGATTCCAGGTTGCGTCCGCCGTGGGCACTCAGCAGGGCTCTCGATACCAAAACCAGCAACGAGACATGGGGGAGAAGGAGAGAGGGTGGGATTCGCCCGGTCTTTTAAATACCAGCGGCCTCTTGCTGCGGTACAAGACAATACAGGCAAGGGCCGACGGGCCTCTGGCAGCTTGTCGAGGAGCTTGCTTGCTCGGGGCATGGAGCTCATGGCATGTCACAGGTAGGTAGCTGCTCCTGGGATTAGAGATCCTTATCGCGTTGACAACACCAGGTTACGCGACAGAGATACCGCCATCATCAGATTCCGCCCTGAACCACGAGCCGTCTTGTCCCGAGGCCCATTGGGAACAGCCAAAATGACAGGGGTCGTCTTGTCTCGCCTTATCGGAACCTTGTCATTGGTATTGGACATGGTCAGACCAGCACGAAAAAAGTCCAATATTGGAGGATGGGTGTGAGGTTCCGGTGCGATAAAGCTAAGGGGAAGCAGAGGGTGGGGAAGGCGGCCTTGACGGTCAAAGACCCGCAACCCAATCTGTACTGTACCACGAAATGCGATATCTCTCCATCTCCACACCTACCTTACCTATCACGTCCCTCCAACCCTCAGCTGCCAGCCTTTGGGGCAAGCAAGGCACCTGCGCTGAAAGGAGGGGAGGTACATGTACCTTTATTCTGGAAGAATGGCCCGGTGCTGACCCCTCCCTTCCCCAAAAGCCGATGCCCGCTTCTCCAGAGAATTTGAGGCATCGTGACGAACTTCCAGCACCTCCACAAAGCAGACCCAGGCAATGCCGTCGCAATTTCGAGATGGAATCGTTGCCGCGGGCCGTTGAAGATCTGGCCAAGCCGGCTTGGCTCTGGGGAAGTGGGTACTCAAAAAGCTTAGCATTGCTAGCGGCTGGGCAAGTCCCTCCTTCACCCTCCTCCCATCGCCCCCGTTTGGAATACAATCGACCAGGCCTCCTTCAGCTTGTCGGGTTCGCTTTTTTTATTTATTGAAACATGGCTTTGGCGGCCGTTTCTGGCTTCTACCAATAGCAGGAGACAGGCTTATCTGTGGCTGACTTAGGCGAGGGGACTTCCCCCCAAGCCCCGCCTTGCCCGTTCAAGCCCGTGGAATCCCTCCGCTCCCGTGGGGGGCCCTACATGCATATGGCTTGCTCTGGTGTGGCTTTCTCCCTCACGCCACCAAACATCTTTTTGGACCGGTTAGCCGACTGCACTCGGCGTCGCCAGGCCGAAAACTGAATCCCACTCTGAATCCGTACCGAGTGCTTGAGCGCTTTTCTTTGACGAGAAATTTGGGAAATAAAGGTTGGGTGCCCAAGAAACCGCCGACTTATCTCTCATCCGTTTTAGTAGCCCATCATCCACGTCTATCCAGTCCAAACTTGATGAGATCATCACGCCGTGCCCAGTATATCCATAGGCAATGGCCTCGACTCCCAATCAGCCTCAAATGAGGCATTCTCTTAACGGCCAGGTTTTTCATTACTTCGTGACGGGACTACCCTTATCACATGCTGGCTCAAATTTTGTTTGACACTGTGGAGGTTCGCTCCTCAAAGGGGTGAGAAATGAATATATTTCGAGCCCCGTTTTGGCTGTCCAGTCTTCGTTACCTGGAGAATGGTCGACGGAAAGAGGAAAAGACGCAGATAGTTGACGTCCGACACCTCAATAAGATCCCCTACCAGATGCCTACTCGCTCCAGGGCCAAGACGAGATCCTTCGCTTAATAATCGGATGAAGTTACTTCACGGTCTTCAACGATTCTTCAATTTTCTATCAGTTACCGATCCAAGAGCCACACCAAAATCGAATGGTGCTGGTCGCTCATAGAGGCCTAGAGGTGATGAAGGTAGCCGGTATGGGTTTCAAGAACCCGCCTTCATATGCCCAATGGTTCATAGACACCAGGCTCAAACCATAGAGGTCGTTCACACGAGCATGTATCGACGATTTTATCTCATTTGATCTCTTGTGATCAACCACTCAGACAAATCCTTTGATTTGGTTGTCCGCCTAAAGGAGCCAGACCTAGCCATTTGGTCAGTTGTAGAATACCCCAACACAATCAGTCGCTCATAAATAAATGCCTAGCCGTCAACTAGAGCGCAGAGAGGAAGCCTGGAAGCTGATAATTCGAGCCAAATGATAAAGAAAAAGAAAAAGAGGTAAGTTGAAACCACTGAAATAAACACAAGTGCCACAGGCCAGTTGATCGACTCTTAAGGTGACCGAGTGGAAATTAGAGCTCTTGTCTGCTATCTCATATTAGTAAACCGTCTTCTAACTTTCCATAGCAATGCTTTAATTACCTAGAATTAGTAGACTACCGTATCACACACACCACGCCCAGTGAAAGTCAATCTTCCTCCAATTACTCGTTACACAACGCTTAGTCTCGTCTCAAGAGAAACACGCGATCTCGCTACGAAGGGCAGTATAAAACCCACCTCACAGATCCACCATCCAAGACACGACGTGTGACAGACAAATATAAACAGGTCTGCCTTTCTCTTTGATATCGAGGCCAAGTGGGTCTTTTAACACACAGCTATCATAGGTAATAGAATCCAAGATCCCGTCTCCATTTGCTGCCCCGTAGAACAAATAGGACGTTAAATAGTCCCAGGAGAGCCCTAGCATTTTTTGTAAGACACTAAACCGGGTGTTCTGTGCCTGGATATCACGGGCTCGAAATTTCCGCCCACGTGTATCACAATTCCGAGCTTCCTCCCCCGCAAGAGGACGAGTTCAAACTTTTTGGTGCGTCACTACACAATTACACATATCATAGGAGTAATGCCTCACATGCGGCGATTTACAACGAACAATCCCTCTGCTGCAACGCCAGAAGACGGGGTAAACACTGTCTCACACTACTCTTTTGGGACAATTCTCAGAGGCGAGACGGCGGAGTGGAACAAGCCATGATCACATATGTACAGCCAAGAAAACAAGAACGAACCAAAAGAAGGCTGTGATACTTTGATGTGCGTGTCGTACCCCACACACACACTATGAGGAGGACAAGTCTCGTCCGTCTAGCACAACACCCTTGTAGCATGCTGCCATGGGACTCGGGACCGCTACCCACCAACCATTTGCGCCACATGGCTGGAACCACGGCGGCAGTACTCCATAATACGTATCTCGTGCAGATATTAACCAGACACACCTTATCCTTATCAACAGGGTCGTACCTACATGTCGCCTAAAACCTTTGTGGATCTATTATGCAGTGATCGGCGGGACAAGGTCTCTTGTGACTGTCCGTGGCACAAGTCCGAACGTCTCTTCAACTTCTAGGAGGTTTTCTTTTTCCTTTTTTATTTTGAAAACATCCCCCATATCGACATACGTGGAGACTAACATCTGCATGCTTGACTGAGATACCTGTGGGTAGATGATATAGATTTCTTATCATATCGGATTCGGCTATGTCTTTCTTATATACACATACACAGCCCTACCACACCGCATCAAAAGAAAAAGATAGATACGGGAAATAACCAATCTTGCCGGCTCCAAGGATTTGTGTTCGCTATAAAGGACTCCGTACCCCCCTGTCCATTACCGACGTGAAAGAAAAGACACCCTCGCCCCTGACATTGCGATCCTTATTATGTTTCGTCTACGTCAAATTCAAGTAATACCTCTTCATCTGTAACGCAGGTCCTGACACCAAGCTCTTTCTGTATGATCCCTCTCAGTATCTGTCTGTCAGTATCTGGGCCGTCGTAGAGGCCAATCTCTTTGAACATCTCATAAGCAGTGGCCCCGATGGGAATCTTTAGCCTAACGCAGTGGGACAAGAGCACTTTTGCCGTCCGGAGGGTGCAGGATGCAAGGCTATGTTTCTTTGGTTCTTCCCAGAGGTGGCGGAGAAGACTCCCAAGTGGTGGGTTCGGGCATCCCTCCCCGCCTTTTGGACACGCGCCCTTGCGCAGTAGCATGCTCAAGACTTCCGTGTTCGGGTTCTGGCAAGCGCGGTGGACATATGTGAACTTCGATCCTGGGCGGATCTGAGGCAACTCGTAGTGTGACAGCATTTCCTCGAGGATAGATGCTCGGTCTTGAGACGCAATGGCAATATCAAAAGCGGTATGATAGCGGCGCTTTACGATACGCCATTCGTCATCGTCCTCGTCGAACAGCTCCTTAAGTAAATCGTCCGATGGCACGAGGTGTGGGTCGGCCACCTCTCGGATGAGTTGAGACGCGACTACCTTGTTGTTTTCCGAGACTGCGATAGATAAAGGCGTCCTAAGCTCCCTGTCGAATACGTTGACCTCAGCGGCTCTCTCGAGGAGAGCCTTGACGACATCAATATCCCCCCACTGACAGGCCATGTGTAGGTAAGTCTGCCCGCCGTAAAATCTGGGATCACTGACGACGACTCCGCGCTCAAGAACCGCCATGGTCAAATCCCGATTCTTTTGCAGCAAGGTCTTGAACAAGAGCACTTCATTCGAGTCCATCACCTTCCCGAAATCCATCAGGCAGCTGAAGGTATCGCGCTGGTTCCACGGGTCATTTTGTTGGATAGTCAGATCCAGATACTCCTTGATGTCGTCATCGGAGATGCCGTAGGTCCTATCACCAAATTTGAGGAGCGATCTCATTGCCTTGTAATTCCCGCTAGAAGCGCACTTCTTAAGTGCGTTCTTGAGCTTGGATTCCGTCAGGTTGACCTCGTCCGAGGCATTGAGCATCACCTCAAGAATGTCGCTATCGCCCCATCGGACGTGCTTGATGGCCCACTCGAGTGGGCTGTTGTTGGGGTCCTCTTCCAAGTCCAAACGCGCCCCATGCCGCAACAAGACGGAGGAGATCTCTGGAACCTCTGCACGATGATCGACCCGCACCGAGCAGGCAAAAAATAGGGGGGTTCTTCCGACGCGATCCTGTGCGTTGACGGCAGCCCCGCCCTTGATAAGCGCCGTCACAGCACGTGGCTCCGCAAGCTCGCAGGCCAGCATCAACGCAGTCACATTGCGGTAGCCACGTTTGTCAAACAGGGCGTCGACCTCAGCACCCGCGTCAACCAGGGCCTTGATCAGACTTACGCGGTTGCCCTCAAACTCGTCGTGCTTGACTGGCGCCTCGTCGAGATCAAAAAACTCGGAACGAGGAATGGTGCAGTAAAAGAGCGGTCGGATGTCTCGAAAGTTCGGAATGTGGCGGTGCGGATCGGGATTCGCGCCAACGCTGATCAGGCGGAGGGCGGCGGCGTAGTTGCCTCGGTAGCAAGCGTTTAGCAGTGGCGTGTGGCCGCTTTCGTTGTGAGCTTCCAGGTCGGCGCCGAGGGCAAGAAGCTTGGTGACGGTATCCCTAATTTCGGCACAGTCACGAGCTCCCCAAAGCTCGGCCACATAGTGAAGTGCTGTGTTCTCGGTGGCGTCACGCTCCTCGATGACAAAGTTGGGGTCGAGGGCCAGGAGTTTGATGACAGGAATCAGGCCGTTGGCAGCGGCGGAATGCAGGGCGGTATGGTTATGCCCGGCTGTGACATCTAGGTCCAGGTTTGCGCCGCGAAAGATGAGAAGCTCGGCTACCAGGCGCTCTTGGAAGCACATGGCCGTGTGTAAGGCGCGCCAGCGGGGCCACTCGGTTAAGCGTCGCGAGGGATGCCTAGCCCCCTTAAGCGACTGACACTCGCAGAGCCGGAACGAGGGGGCATTCATGTCGGCGCCGTTGTCGAGCAGCCATTCGACAACTTCACGGTGGCCGCCCTTGGCCGCTAGGTGGAGCGCGGTTCCCCAGGGCTGGATGCGTGAATCGGAGCTCGCCTCGTCGTCGTCGGCATTCTCGGTGGCGTCGCCATTAGTGCCGCCATCGCCGTTGGCGTTCGTAGTTGCGCTCTCAGCGGCAGCTTTCCTGTCGATGGGACCCGAGGCATTCAGATCGGCGCCGGCGGCCAACGCATGCTTGAGGGTGCCAAGCTGGCCGTTTTCAGCGCCCCAGAACACGCACGTCGCGCGCTCAAGCCTGACATTTGTCGTGTAGATGGTGGGGTTAACGATAAAGTAGAAGAAGCGGCTCGTGCGATCGAGGGCAAGCTGGTCTTTAGGATCGAGCAACTCGAGGATGAGGAGGACAATCTCAGGGGGGAGGCGCAGAACAGGGATTGGGTGGGGAGTAGGCTTCGGCGGCGGCTTGGGGCTCGACGCCCTCGTGTCGGCCTTTTTTGTCTTGGCCTTTGGAGTAAGCTTCCTCAGCTTGACCATCGTGTGCGACGCCATCATCTCCTTCATCGAGAGGCTGGCGCGCTGCGTGCGCTGGACCCAAGACGACTTGTCGAGATTTGTGCAGGTATTCCAAAGGCAGGAAGACACGAGGATGACGGTGGTGACTGGAAGAGGAGAGGTGAGGCAGGTTGGTCTTCGGGCTGTGAGGCTGGGGCGGGGTCGGGGCGCATAAGGCTTTAAGCCGTGGGAATCGTTGCGGGAGGGTCGGCCGGTGGGGGGGCGGTGCTAACCCCTACGTGCGCATGATGACGGGAGGTAATGTGGGTGAACCCAAGGGGGAAGAACGGATGGTACCCGTATGCCAGCCTAAGTAGATACCCAAAGCCAGGTAGGTAAGGTAATGTAGGATGGAAAGTACCCAGTGAGGAACGTCCGTAAGCTCTCTGGCGGCTCTTAAAAAGAAAAAGGATGAACGTCACATCACGGTCTTCTTTTCGTAGCCTGCCCAGTGATGCTCATATTAGTTCATCCAACTCCGCTTATCGAGGTCGGGGGGTGGGTTACTAGCCTGTCAGACTGGTGGCTAAAGGCGGGGGTGGAGACAAGCGCCTTTCGACACTTGCAATTGCGTATTCCGTAGAGAGCAAGCATTCAACTGATTTACCGGGTTTGGGGGAGGGATGCACACTCGGTCCGTCATAAAAGTGGCTCGGACGGAGTGAACTTTTTGGATAATTGGAGCCCATCGGGCAAGCAGCCTGATGTTTGTCCTCACCAGGCGAAAGCACCTCAAGCTGCAAGGCAGCTTCGATTCCTGGGGGCCACACTTTGAGGCCGAGCGGTCAAGACTCAAGCAGGAGCCAAGGCAGGACTACGGCGGGGTTCGCGGGGCCTTGCGGAGCCATAGCCAATGACGACACTTTCAGAGGCGTCTAGCCCGTGAACAGTGAGTGAGCGCACTTGGCCTCTGCTGCTGCCCGCCGCTCCGTGTTTGCCTTGGCCGCCCAAAGGCCCAAGCCGGTGCGGCCCATTTTCAACTAGTTCAGTTAGCGGCTGCAAGGCGGGCGATTTATGCCACTGGGCGAGCGATTTTGAATCACCCCTCCGACTTACGAGGTTTCGCCACAAGCTAGGCTGTGAGGCTGGCTCGGAAGAAGGCCACGCTCTCGAACGGGAATTCTGTAGGTGTGAAAACCTGGATATCTACTGGTCCTACTTGCGAGATCCACCGGCTGCCAGCCAACCTTCCTTCGATACTTTGAGAGGCCACTTTTGGTTGGCTGGGGGCTCGCGGATAAGCCGCCGAACGGTCTTGTGCTGGCTACGGCTGGACGAATCGCGAGCCGAGTCTTCCCAACAGTCCGGCAGGTTCCCACCGACTCAGCATGCTAGGGCGACTAGCAAACGTAACCTACACATGCACGCCAAACACTCCACCGATGTACGAGGAGCGAATTTCGTGCAGGTCTGGAACACCCTGATTCTTAACCATCAACGAACTAAAAGGATGCATGGCGCCAGAGACCCTCATTAATTTTGAAAGATATTCCTTCCAGCTCCTTCTCAATCCTTTTACTGTCTCTGTCTACTTATCGCCGTACGTACATATTCACTTGTGCCATCTAAACCTGCCATAACCCCCCCTTGTGGACAAAGAGCTGTCAGGGCAGGTGACGAGAGTGACGGGCAGCTCGCTTACCTACAAAGTACGGGATACCTAAGGTATATATCGGTGCTTCGTACGAATACAGTAATATATGCTACACCTTCGTAGTCGCGAGTAAGGTTACCGAGGCACACCCCACTTGTTAACAGTATTGTAATACGCTACTGGTAACATGGGTAGCCCGAGTCTAAAATAGCCTTTGGAACCCGAAAGGCACCTTGCTGCGTAGGAAGTGATGGGCCGTAATATAAATGAGACTCATACAAATAGTAACGCGAACACGTTGCAGTTTTTGGGGAGGTTTTAAGTGTACGGCACGGTACCTGACATTTCCAAAAACCAAGAAATGGAAGCCCACCCTATTTTAGATAGCTTCGGATGACAACCTAGAACTAGCCCGAGTCCAACTACGCAGTAATAACGTATAGAGAGGAACACAGATGAAGCACTTTGACGGATTACACTAAAATGAAAAATTAAACTAGGTACTATGGCCGCAACCATATCGCTAGTCTGCCATGACCTTTATACTCCGTGATTTTCTGGAAGCCCGCTCCAGCCCGCAGCTTGTTACTCGCACGATGACCTTTTCCACCTTCCATCTAGTATTTGGCCTCTGGGGTGGCTAAGAACTCCTTGAGGATGGCCACGATCTTCTCGAGAGCGGCCAGGTACTCTTGGAGTTCCGAATCGACTTTTTCCTTGTTAGGGCCGAGCTTGGCGTAGAAGTCCTTCCGGTACGGGCAAGCGCTCATGGCGGCGCTGAATATCGGCTTTACCAAGAAGCTGTGATGCGGCTTGAGGGTCTGACCGTAGGCGCCGCGAAAGGAGTCGGAAAGTTCCTCATCCGACTTCTCCAAGTTCTGGGTCAGGGCAATGCACGTGAACTCGAGGCCTCTGTGAAAACACCCAGTCAGCGCCGGCTTTCCTGGCCGTGTATTCTCCTCTTACCTGACAAGCCAGACCAGACCCTCGGTGGCCTTGTGGGATTTCGTTGCGAGCTCATTCCGGACAAGGTCTTGCAGGTTTTCGGACTCGAGGGGTGCGGCGAGCTGCCGGGTTCGGATTTTCTACAAGTTTCTGCAAGTCAACACAAGGCGGAGGAAAGGGGGACCAAAATCGAAGACGCACCTGAACGTTGCCCAGCATGTCGTTCTTAACGGGTTTAAAGGCAACGCTGCCGAGCACGTCTTGTGTTTTGCGTCAGCATCGTCAATATAAAACGCGGCAGGCCCCTTGGGCAAGGCGGGATTGGCTACCAAACATGGTCACCAGAGACTCGGCGGCATCGAGGAACTCGGTTGTCGAGATGGCATTCCCGTTCTCGGCGTCGACTGGGACAGTGACAAATGACGCCTTGAAGGTGTCGAGGAACGTGCCTTCCTCGGGAATATCAACGGTCGCCATGATGCTGTCTGCCGTTATCCTTGTGGTCTATAGTTGAACTAGCTAGTCGATGGCGCAAGAGGTTGAGAGGAGAGGGATGGGCGTTTGGAAAAGGGGGAAAGCAGGCGGTCAACAAGCTGGTGGATGTGACAACTCCAAAACGCACGCCCCCACAAGACGCTCCAATGCCCCGCCCTGCCCCAATTCAGCTCGCAAGTGCCCGCAGGCGCCAGCCAAGGTCGTGCCCCTCCCCCCGCAGCCCGGAGAAAAGCCAAGGAAATGATCACGTGAGCGGGCAACTGAACGTGAACGAAGCATTTTTGTGAGGAAGAAGAATCATCCAATTGTCCCAGAACCGATGCCGCTTGTGGATCGCACTTAGTATGTAGCACATACAGGCATTCATGCGCGTCTATGGCCAGTGTTTGGATTGCGGGAGCCCGCTTCAAAGGAAATGGAAAGCCAGCTTCCTACCTCTCGACCTGACAGAGAAAAGAGCTCGGTCGGGTTATCTGCGGCTTATTAACATATTTCGTGGTGCCAGTGTTCTGTCTGCTGCACCAACAACCTATCTGACCGAGGGTGACGTCATCCCTGTCTGGATTCCAGAGATGCTTAGGAACAGAACCTCGAGCTCCCACGCGGCATTTCCCTGCAGACCGTTTCTAGCCTTTTGCTAGGCCTTGAATGGCTAATTAACTATTGCGTGTGCTGGGAAGCGATCCGCATTGCGACCACCGATCAACCTATTAAGAGCACGGATACGGATACTTACCTTACATGAGGAAGCTTGGCAAGGGGGTCGCCCGTCACCTGCCTACCTTCGGTGCCTTAGGTAGGTCCATTCCTTTACCCGTATCCCTTACGTTCGTCCCTATAGTAGCCAAGGTAGTGGATTATTAACCGTCGCGCCCCTTCCAGGTTGGAGCCCTGAGGCTTGGAAGGCGGGGTTCAATCCGCCGGGCTGGGTTGACTGCGGAGTGGAGGTCGCGTGTTTGGATTCGACTTGGACGGGAACATCACGTCACCGTCACCAGCGCTCCCCTAATGCGGCATCCGGCATCATTTCGCCGACCACAGCGTCCTTCTGCCTTGCTTCCAGGCTCGCTCAGCAATGGCTAGTGTAGATTGCACATAAAGAACTGCTTGGCAAAAACAGCCTCTTGACTTTTGTTGTGTGGCACAATACCTGTCTGTGGACCAACTTGGTTGCTGACCCCAACACCTCCTGCGCCCCCTCCTGGCTTCCTTTTGGTCCTCTACGCTCTCTTTTCTCCAATATTCGCCCTCTATGCTTGTCGTCGACCTCGACATAAATCTCCACGCCAACACTCGCATTGCACCTCGACGTGCCAGTTTTAGGGACCAGCCCAGCCCCCTTCCCAGTCGCAGCCATGAGCGATCCCAAAGAGAAGCATGACGAGAGCCTCGGCCATAAGCTCAAGCTTCCCTTCCGCGAGCTCAAAGACAAGATCGACAACAATGACCACATCCGCGACGCGAAAATCCGCATGATCCAACAGAAGTGTGTATTGGCCCACCCCGACTGTTTCGCGTTACGCGGAATCCGCCTATTGACTAGCACTTAGGCACAAGATCGGCAAGTTTGCGAATCTAGTCAGTTATATCCTATTCTCTCTTATCGTTCCTAGCCATACCCTCTACTCTTTGTGGTTGCTAACAAGACTTCCTAACAGTTCAACCCCCAACATCGCCATGACGAGGCGCACGAGAAAGCCTGCGACGCGAAGCGCAGCAAGATCGCCGAATCGCATCGCTTTGATTCCTATTTTCCCGAGCGCGAGGGCAACATAGCGAAGTGGTATGTGGATGGTAGAGACTATTGCTGGGTACGTGCCGTCATTCGGGTCCCCAACCTCTGCGCACATGGTGTTGGGGGCATAAGCTTACTTGGGAGACGCAGGCCGTGTCCGCCGCTCTTGAGGGCGCAAAGGAGACGATATACATTGCAGACTGGTGGCTGTCGCCTGAGCTCTTTATGCGCCGACCCCCTTACTTCAACCAGGAGTGGCGCCTCGACCAGATTCTCAAGCGGCGCGCCGAGGCAGGCGTCAAGATCTATGTCATCGTCTACCGCGAGGTCCAGGCCGCTCTGACGTGCAACTCGGAGCATACCAAGCATGCACTCCAGGCCCTGTGTCCCGAGGGCTCCCCTGGCTATGGCAACATCACCATCATGCGCCACCCCGATCACAACGTCTTGGAGAACGCCGCCGACATGACTTTCTATTGGGCCCACCATGAGAAGTTCGTCATTGTTGACTACGAAGTCGCCTTCATTGGCGGCTTGGATCTCTGCTTTGGCCGCTGGGACACGCACCAACACGTGCTAGCTGATGTGCACCCAGAGGGCGTCACCAACGAGGTGTGGCCAGGTCAGGACTTCAACAACAACCGCGTCATGGACTTTAAGAACGTGCAGGACTGGAAGCAGAACGAGCTGAGCAAGGCCGAAAATGGCCGCATGCCCTGGCACGACGTTGCCATGGGCATCATTGGGCCGGCTATATACGACATTGCCGAACACTTTGTTCTTCGCTGGAACTTTATAAAGAGAGATAAGTATAAGCGAGATGCCCGGTTTGACTGGATCGAGCTGCAAGGACGTCAGGGTGATGATGAGGATCTTGTGGGCGTCCAAAGGCCTGGCCATCCGGTGGGTGACTATGTACTCCACCCGCTGTCCTCCTTAGATACCAAGAACCTTGCCGATCGCGGCACTGTCCACGCCCAGATTGTACGCTCCAGTGCAGACTGGTCCAGTGGCATCCTCACAGACCACTCCATCCAGAACGCCTACAGCGACCTCATCCGTAACGCGCAACACTACGTCTACATCGAGAACCAGTTCTTCATCACAGCAACGGGAGACAAGCAGAGCCCAATTCACAACACGATAGGCCGTGCTATCGTAGACGCCGTCGTCCGCGCCGGGAAAGAGGGACGCAAGTTTCGGGTCATCATCCTGATCCCTGCCGTGCCCGGGTTTGCGGGCGACCTGAGGGATGACGGCGCACTCGGGACTCGTGCCATTATGGACTATCAATACAAGTCTATATGCCGAGGGGAGCACAGCATATTCGAGCAGATCCGGAAGCAGGGGGTCAATCCGAAGAAGTACATTTACTTCTTCAACCTCCGGAGCTATGACCGCCTAAACAAGACACCCGCCATCAAGAAGCAGGAGGAGCAGTCGGGCCTCAAGTACCAGGATGTGCAACGGGCCGAGGCCGAAGAGATTATGGGTGAGGGTGTGAACGGGACTATCGATTCCGAGGTCGGTCACGATAAACACATAGGCAAACGACGCGAACAGGACGCTTCAGCCCACGGGGTACTTCACAAGAACGTAGCAGAAGAGCGCAAGCCGACTGCCGAAGAGAAGGCGACAGATACCAAGCGACGCTTCGAAGCAGCCCAGCCCGAGGGGCAGCATACGGATTCGCCGTCTGGCGTCGGACAGCGTGCCATGGCCGGACAACCTCTGGTTTCTGAGGCGCATTGGGACGGAAAGCCGGAAGAGGAGGTCGCCAACTGGATACAGGAAGAGCTCTACATCCACGCCAAGCTTCTCATCGTCGATGACCGGACTGTAGTGTGCGGCTCGAGCAACCTCAACGACCGAAGTCAACTAGGATATCACGACAGCGAGCTGAGCATCGTCTTGGAGGATACGGAACGATTCTCGTCCACCATGGCCGGAAAGCCGTACGAGGCAGGGTGGCACGCCGCGACGCTGAGGCGCTATCTGTGGCGAGAACATCTCGGACTATTACCGCCACAGGAGCTGGACGGCAGCAACGACCCGAATGCCCAGCCGCCGGGCGACGATTCGCCAAATAATGTCTATGACAAGGACAAGTCGTGGAAGCTCGTAGAGGACCCCCTGAGTGACGAGCTGTGGGAGATGTGGACTAGCCGGGCGACGAAGAACACCGAGGTCTTCAGGCATCTGTTTCACGCTGACCCCGATGACCATGGTGAGTACCACCCTTGCTACCATCGCACATTCACCAATGAGCACAGGAACTGACAGGCTAAACAAATTTGTAGTCAAAACATTTGACGACTACAACGCCTTCCTCCCAGCAAGGGGCGTGAAACCGGGACACATATTCGACCGAATGGTTCCTCCAGGCGATATTCGGAGCAAGCTGGACGAAGTCAAAGGTCATCTGGTGTGGATGCCTCTAGATTTTCTCAAGGACGCTCAGATGGCGGAAAAGGGGATGCAGGTCAATTCGTGGACGGAGAGCGTCTACACGTAGAGCCACGGCGCTGGGGAGTGGGTGGCTATTTATGCCCTGGTTATGAGACGCCTAGTGTTTAACGGTAATTAATCAACAGTATAGAGAGATGGAAAAGGGGTTCACGGAGTTGGGTTACTGGTCGGGTTCAGGTTATCGTATTGATACTATTGCTACCTTTTTCTCTTAGCTTAGAACTAGTTGTAGTAGGGTCGAGCTAGGTGATGCTTGATTTGTTTAGGTGCCTGCGGAGAAACATTAATGACATTCCCCTTTCCCGTTATCCTGCACAACCCGTTCACCATTATTTCAAGCCACGTTTTTGACTTCAATCTCACCAAGTAGGCATTCGTTTATTCGTTAACATTTGTGATCAGCTAGTAAGAGCATGGCATGTATGTCGATCCCTGCCACAAAGCAGATCCAGATATGCCGGGTCCACCACCTCACTACAACACAACACTAAATCGCGATCCCTTTTTTGAACCCCTTTTGAACCCCTTTCGAACCCCTTTTGAACCCCCTTTTGAACCCCTTTCGAACCCCTTTTGAACCCCCCTTTGTTGCCCCCGTTTTAAACCCTCGCGCCCCTTTCCTTCCCAACAAGGAGACTATTACCTCCACCAAGATAGTAGTTACATAGTTGCCAGATGTCGCAAAGTCAACCGCGCACGCACTTATGGCAGCGGAAGTAAACTCGCCAGGTCCACGCACACCAGAGACCCCTGCTTGACGAGAACCGAGACGGGACTATACAGCCCGTGCTGCACGCCCTGGCCCTGCTAACCAAAGAACGGCGCGATGGGCCCTGCCAGGACTTCCAGCCTTCCGTTGAGGTGACGTTGCCCTGGATTAGCTTGCCGTTGTCGTAGGCCGAATATCCATGGTTGTCCGGGTAGTTCCACCACCTGATGGTCGTGTCCCACCACGCGTCCAGGAACGACCCCGGGCACAGGCCGCCGAGACGGTCGTAGACTTCGAGCTCTGACTCAAGCATTATGTTGACAGACAGCCCGACAGGCCCCAGCCGCGAGCCACCGCACATGTACGTCCGTCTTCACGAGCTTCGCGTTGTAGAGCGTTCCATTGCAGTACGTCCCGAGATCCTCGGGGTCCAGCGTGCACCTGGCCTCTGCCACTTCGGCGAAGGAGACGGCCAAGGCCAAGACGGCTGCTGCCTGGGTGTTGAGTCTCATGTTGGGCGATGGCCTGTTCGCGGGAAGACTTGAAGGTGCAGTTGCAACTCAGGAGAGGTGATGGGTCGCATAGATGTAAACAGCTGAGGCAGGATCCGTCTCCCGGCTACATTATATAGAGCTGTCATGATCATGAAGGCACTAGTCTATGATCCCCCGAGCCTGTCACGAATTCCAAAACCGCCAAAGCAATTCCAATATTTCACGGCCATTCCATCAGCCTCACACAGCAAATGATGCCTGTCGTTATTAAAACATTAGGAAACTGCTGCTGTGTGAGACACGCGTGTGCTGTCTCGCGTGCGATGCCGGCTGTTCGACTCCGGGCCGAGCCCTGCGCGCCAGTTGGGATGAGAAAGAGAAGAATACCGCCGGAGCGAGTAATGGATTGGAGACCACAAACGACTAAGATGGGGAACGAAGTCCACAATGGATGCCATTGTTGAAATTCCCTCACTCCTTATATCCCCCTCTGTGCTTTATAGAGAAATGGGGAATATCCCGTATTCCTGCTTCAAGTGGTTTCAGTCCATGGAATGTAAGTCACAGTCGTTAGATGTGGCCATTAATAGAAACCACATTGGTGCCAAATGAACGAAACTGAAGATCGACTGAATCCATCATCTCACTTTCTTTCTTACATAGGTCAACTTGTGAGCGGTGTCACGAGTTTGGGAAACATTCATGGTAACTAGATAGTTGGCTGATGAGACAGATTAGTCCCCGAGTAATTCTGGAGCGGAATGATGAGTGGAGAGCAATGCTTTTTTAAAGTCTGCAAGGATGTACAATCCAATCCCTGAATGTTTTTTATCGTGGTATTTCCCAAGATTTAAAAGGCCCCAATTCCTTACGACTCGCCCTATACGCTTTTCGCCGAGGGAGGTAATAACTATTAGAACCCCTATCCTAGAATTCTAGAGGTATATCTCTTCTCTAAAAGTACCTACCTATTCAGGGCCTTTTCTACTGGTCTATTTGCGATACTATTCTCCTTGTTCCCGGGTGCCAGGCCAACAAACATTCAGGGATTGGAGTGTAGTTGGGCAATAACATAGACCAGCTATCACAGAGATACCTGTTTCTGACTTCTGGCCCGTTTTCTTCCAGATTTCACCACGATTGCGACATGACTGGTTGGGTGTAGCTCTAGCTAGACATGAATAACTATGTTGAGTGAAAGAGAAGATCCACATGGCTGAAATATATCAGGTAAATAATACCGAAAGAAATACAGCTTCAAAGACATGCCTTGTGCTACCCGCTCGAGTGTTTCAGGTAGGCGACCTCACAACCTGGCCACTGTCTCTCATAACCACTACCGTCTCTCCCATCCGACCTCGCGATTCCCTGCCCAGCCCGGGTTTTAAACCCCGCGTTGCGCGCTGTGTGCCAAACAGTACGGGTTCTATCTATCTAGCAGAGATTGCTTGGGAACTGCCAAAGACGGAAGCTGATCTCTTCGACTACGTAGCGAAGGTTCTCAGCTATCATGTCGTGCATCTCCACCAGCTTGTCTTCCAGTCTCGTGAGCGGGTATTCGGATTCTCGCATTAGCCGCAGCATTAGAACCTCGAACTGCAACTGTGTCTGCAGCAGTACCGGCGGGCGTTCGGCATTGTCGGTGCTGTTGTCGCAGAGGTTGCTGTTGTCGGCTGTGGCTGTTGCGTACATGGTTTTAGGAGGAGGCTTAGCTTGGAAAGGCTTCTGCGACGGCGGTAGAGCGGGCGAGGGCAGAGGCTGCAGGACGCCATCGTCTTCCACCGCCTGCGCCCTCTGGCTCAGCCTTTCCCGCAGCTGGCTGGCTGTGGCTCTGTTGATCCAGCCCTCTCGTTCTGGGAGGGAACTCGATGCCGAACGCTGCAGCGAGCCGGTGCTGCCTGGACGTTTCGCCGGGGCGGGTGTGTGTGGTTTGCTGTTGGAGTCAGACGCCACGGCTTCCACTGCCTCTGGTTGTCCGCTTCTTATTTCTTTGGCTGCTTCTCCGTAGTACCCTAAGATTTCCTCATAATCCGACATCGGGCTATCTGCCCTGCCCCATCCGGCCACGTCGCTGTTCCCATCAACCTCGTCCGCGCTGGACGTTCCGGGGTGCAAGACGAAGATCATATCTTGTTCTTCCGCCTCGGTCGGGTCAATGTTGACAAAATCCCCTGGGCCTGTCTCATAAACCTTGGAAACCGCTTTCCCGAGGGACTCTTAGTACTGTTCTTGGGAGGTCATTGCGCAATGAGTAGTTGCTCACTCAAGCAGGTTGGAAAGAGGGACGAAAGATGGTGGGCTGCTCTCTACGAAACGACTGTAGATTTAGGGGCCTGTGAAGGGAGTTAGGGGGAAATATGAAGAAGCCAAAAAGAAACTGTTGCGCCAGAGGATGGGCGTTTTAAGCATGCCCTCTGTGGGTTTTTCCTGTTATACATTTTTGCTGTAAAACCCTAGCTCGGGATTTCCAGGTCTTGTCAATACAGAATTCAGGGTAGGAAGTCAAGAATTGAAGTTTAACTACCTATCAAGAGGAAACAGAACTTTTGTTAGAACTCTCCTGGGCATTTCCTAAGGTCCACCAACCTGGTCACCGAAATAGTTAATTAAAGAAAGATAAGATGGTAAAAAGAAATTTGCTCTTTGCCACCTATCAATGGAAGATGATGCAGCCCCAGCGGCCAACCCGTCGAAGATGGCTAGATCGTCCGGGCGGCTCGACGGAGCAGAGTACCTCAAACACGGCGAGAAAGGCAGTCTGTCAAATATTGACGACTTTGGCAGTTTCAACGTCAAATGAACATGGAACCTTTGGCTTTGTGAAGTCTCCTGAAACGACCTTTTACCGGCTCGTAAGGAGATAACGGTAACCTTCATGCAAGCCATCAAAGTCTACACTTCGTGGCGGCACCGAGATAGGAAACAGGATACAAAAATACATGTCTTGGGTAACCGTAAGAGAGACACGGGGGATAGCACCTTATATATCCTTTCTATATAATTATCTTAGGGGTATAATGATACGTAGACATCTCATCAGATAGCTAATATAGATAGTAACCTTGGTACGCAGCAACTGGCAGGCGTCCCTTCTTACCCAATGTTGAACTCGCTCGCAGCATTCATGACTCCCATCATCTTCTCCCGCATCCTGCGAGCAGCCGTCTCGTCCACGACACCTAGCCCATCGTCGTCCTTGTCGCCCGCGCCGCCTTTGCCAACTTTGCCACCCCCCGACTGCCTGCTTGTCGCTGCCGGCTTGCCCATGACACCCTTCTGCGCGGGTGCCCTATGAGTTTGCCTGGCAACGCCTCCGCCGATGCCGCCCGGTGCCTCACGAAGCCCAAAACTCTTTGCCATGTGGCCAAGATGTAGCCGAGTTATATCGAAGAATCCACGCTCGTCGCGCACGTGTGTTGCGTACGCACGTATATGGGATCGGAATGCTTGCCGGGCAGCGTCAAGTAGCGGGTTGTCCTGGGCCTTGATGTCGCGTCCCTTGTTCCCCTTAGCCCCCTTGGACTTAAGCCCACGGTCGGCACTCCCACCACCAGGAGGAGTAGCAAGCAGCCGCTGCTCGAAATGGAGCTGCAAAGCTTCAGCCCGGGTGCTCCAAGTTTGCTTCTCGCTTTCGGCACTAGAGTCGGCTGATGGGAGATTGACAGCTGCCGCAAGCCCCTTTTGGAGCACAGATTCGTACAGTTGGGGCGCCACGGGGTTCGCTATGCCGAGAAGACTCGTGTACCCTTCCTCTGAGCCGGGAAGCAGAAAGAGTACTGCTCGTCCAGCGCGACCAGCCCGCGCAGTTCGGCCAATACGATGGACATGATCCGATATGGAAAAAGCAGGGTCGTATTCTACTACGAGGTCCACAGCCGGAACATCGAGGCCGCGGGACGAGATATCTGTGGTAATGAGAACGGCAGGCTCTTTGCAGACGGTGAAAGCGTTGAGGGTGGCCGTCCGAACGGGCTGCGCGAGGGAGCCGTGGAGCTTGTGGAGCGCCACCTTAGGATTTGCTGGTGATGTGATGTAAGACGCTAGAGCGACAGTTGTTTCCGTGTCGGGATTTGGCTTTTCTGGCGGTGTGTAAGGTGTATCAGGTGTCGGGGCGGGGATTTCGGGAGTCGTTGTCGACTTCAATAGCGAAAAATGATAGTCGACAGAGTCGGCACATGAGATAAAGATGATGGCCTTGAAGACTGTGCCTCGTCTAGCAAATGTCGACTTCAACAGGGCAGTCAGCGTGACCAATCGTAGCTTGGCTGGCGTAATGATGCATTGTTGTTTAAGCTGAGCCGGAGCGGAGAAAGCGGCGTCGTTGCCAGTTTCGCTATCCTTGTCGAGCTCGGATTTTGACGCAGTAATGTGCGCCGCATCTTCTAGACTGATCTCGCCCAGTTTCTGAACATTCATCTTCATGGTGGCCGAGCAAAGAACAGTGACTCTCCGAGTAGGGAGAACGCCATCCAGAACAACGCCCTCCGAGTTCTGCTTCAAGAGTGTAACCTCTCTGGTCTTTCCAATAATGGTTCGAATATCGTCCTCGAAGCCCATCTCCATCATCCGGTCACCTTCGTCCAGAACCAGCCACCGCACTGTGCCGACGTCGAGGACCTTGGTATTGTCTAAATGATCGGTCAACCGGCCCGGTGTTGCGATCAGGATGTTGACGCCTTTCCTGATGCGCGCCTTTTCTGACTTCTTGCTCTCGCCTCCAATAACTGTGGTGCAGACGAGCCACGGGGTACAGCGGAGCACCTTCTCGGCCACCAGGGCGATTTGCTTGCAAAGTTCGCGGGTTGGCGCCAGGATAATGGCAAACAACCCCGAGTTCCTGTGCACCTGTATGTCCTTGGAAGTGCCGTCTTTGTTGAGACTCAAAGCCATTATCCTATGGATGATGGGCAACAGGTAAGCCAGCGTCTTGCCGGAGCCCGTCTCGGCCTGCAGAAAGGCGTCGTGGTCCTCTTTGATCAGCAGCGGTATTGTGCTCTTCTGGATGGCGGTTGGGGCTTTCATCTCCAACTTTGTCGCCAGGTGTTGAGCGACTCGCCTGGAGAGTCCCAGGGCGAGGAAATTCTCGGCTTCGTCTGTGAGTGGCGCATTGGAGGGTTGCGCAGGCTCGGTTTCCTCGTCTTTATGGTCGTTGAATGCCGAAACGGCTGCTGGGTTGGACGTGAACAGACCAGAGGATATCTGGCCAGTCTTCATGGCATAGCTCGGTGGCTTGTCGTTCGCATTGTTGGCCTTGGCCACTTTGAAGCGCCGCCCCGGGACATCGTCGTCTGTTCTTGGCCGTTTTGTCGGTCTGTCGGCCTCGTCGTCGTCTGTCGGGGCTGCGACTTGATGGTCTTTGTTGACCGTCTTCTGCGCTCGGACCCGATCTCTCCAGCGGCCGCCCTTGAATTTGACCTGACTTGTCAGTGGCACATCCCCGAGTTCGAAATTGAGCAGCAGGCCGTCGTCTGCCATGGTCGCGAAGTTTTGTACTGTGTACTGGGGCTGCCTGTTTCTGGAAATTCCTGGCAGAAAAAAGTTCAATGCCTAGAGAGCCCCGCGAAAGGGCTGATGGTTTGGCGCTCAGCGGGTCAAATTGGACCAAACTCTCGGCGGCTGACCACGCTAGTCTTAAAGCACTCACCGCCTGCTGTACTAGTACTCCGGACAACCAACTTTCGTCTTTTACAGAGAACAGGACGCGGGAAGTCACCGACTTCACGGCGGCTGCAAGCTTGTCACGGAGTGAAAAAGCACTCGACATAGTCTAACTAAAGCTGGAATTTTGTACTCTACCTAGGTACCAGGTATCTTGAGGTAGTATTTGCAAAAAATGCGTCGGTTACAGGCGCAAGACTTTCATTATATTATACATTCGTATATTTTATTATTACAGGAAAAGCAAAGGTGATCAAAGACAAGAAAGAGAAAACCCGCTTTTACAAAAATCGCTGCATTTGCTGTGCGTTCCCAATGACCCCCTTTTTGCCCGCTTCTTCCAGTTCATGCACATTTTTACAACTCACCTCCCGTCGACTGCATCCCTACCAGGGTTCTTATTCCTCACGCGCGGCACCGTATCTCTTGTGGAAGTAGGAGCTCCCACTTGAGCGATATTTGCGTGAGGGTATTCCTCGCTCAGAAGCCTCGACAATCGTCGCCGTGGGTGGCCAGGAGCCCCATCCGTCGACGCAGATGCCAGGCTCTCGGCAAACGGAGAGCGTTTGCGGAGCACCGGGCCGTAGTAGTAAATCGCATAGACGGCACATACCAGAACAAGCGAGATGGCGAACAGGATAGTGCTCGCAATTTCTAGGTGTCGCGCACCCCCGATATTGGTATAGAATGGCGTGGCTGGTACTGTCAAGACACCGGCTAAGAAGTCACGAGACCATCCATTCCCGCCTGTGGCAGACGCCGAGTATGGCCCATAAGCGCATATCATATACTTCAAATTATCTGGTAAGCCTCGTGGAAGGAAGCGAAGCGGATGCACTTACGTCAATAGTAGCCATGTAAATGGAGTAATTCGCTATGCCTATGATGGCAGATCCAACCATGGTGCCAACCCAGTGGATTGGAGGCCCTCCAGAGGTCCAGGCAAAGATTATGAGACCAATTGGCAGGCATGGCGCTGTAAACAAGAGCCACCACAGACGTGACTCATACTGGGCATGGTCGTTGTCTGGGTTCCGCTCGCGCTGAGCTTTGTTTCGACGGATGGCGGGAATGAACGAGATCCAGGCGATCACGTAGCCCAAACCGATAGGGATGAAAGACAACCCAATCTGTACCGAAGAAAACCCCCATTGCTTGTAAACGAGGGCAAAACTTTGTATTTGCATGAATATCAAAGCATCTGAAAAGCCCGAGAGAAGTGAGAGGGTCAATACAATCGGTTCTGTCAAGAACATCCGAAAGGGGCGAATCCAAGTCCACAAGAGCTCCTTGAAGGTGAACCGCTCGAAGAATGGCTCTAGTTCGTCGGGGCCGTAGATATTGGGGGACTGTCCCGACTTGCGCCGCTTCTTTGCGATTCTGTCGAGCAAGAGGGTTGTCCTGGTCTCCGGGACTAACAGCAGATGCAGGATCTGTGCAAACCCGCCGAAAATGAGCTGTATCCATATAGCCCACCTCCAGTCGAGGTACGCTTCGACAAAGCCGCCAATAATAGGCCCGAGGATGGATCCGCCAACGGACGAAAAGACGATGTAAGCAACTGCGTACTGCTGCTCGTTGGCTTCGAAGATGTCGGCAATCATACCCAGGGTAACGCTTCCGCCAGCCGAAGACAGACCTCCAAGGGCGCGGCCCACAAGCAATGTGGCAAAGTTTGGCGCCAAGGCAACGGGAATACACCATACGTTTACCAGGCCGAGAGACATTTGCAGGACTGGTTTGCGGCCAAATTCCTCGGACCATGGCGCCCACAGCTCGCATCCAAAAGCATAGGTGATGAGGAAGATGGCAGCCCCGACGCGGGCAGCCTGCTCACTGACACCAAACTCTGTGGAGATTCCGGCGAGACCGTTCGAGTATAGCGAAGTATTGAAGTTCATCGACGTCTGCACAATGAAGATGACGCTGAGTATCGTCCACTTCTTCCACGTTGAGAAGGAGAAGCCGAGTTCGTCGTACGCATCCTCCTCCCTTAGTTCGATCTTGTCGGCTTCCCCACTTTCATTTTCCTTCACCAGTTCTTGGTTAGATGGTGCTGGTAGGTCAGACGGTGCCGACTCGTCGTGGAATGCTCCAGGCGCCTCCCCCAAGCCATTCTGGACATTTTTGTGCCTCAATCCTTCGGATTCCGAATTTGTCCAGTCTGGGTCGCCGGTGCCGGTTGGTCGAGACATGACGTCACTTTTACACGGGGGAATTTGTATCGATAAGTGTACAAATATCAGGGACAAAAGCAACTCGTGAGCGAGGCGCCGTCGTGAACAGTCAATTAACAACACGACGGAGAATAATGAGCGAAACTGCTAGACTTCAGCAGCCAAGACAGAAACGATATACACTGAGCTTTAAAGGGGTCAGGAACCCATCATAGCCGATCACAGTTGTGGTCACTTGACAACGTCGTCATGATCGGCCATGGCCTTGCTAGAACTAGTGTATGTACGCTCGGAGAGGACCCGCAAAGGTCGGTTGGCTCGTCCTCGTACGCACTTGAGGGAACTGAAGAGGAAACTTGCTGAATCATGCAACCTTATAAGCTTCAAGTGTGGAAAGCCAAATAGGGGTTGGAACCTCTCCTGTTGGGAGAGAGGGGAAATGGCCCGTTCACAGGCATCTCGAAAGCTGTCTTCTATTCGTCGTCTACCTCGGTGCTAAAGCCGGACATGACTGTTTGTGTAGAGCATTGAAGATGTATACGTCGGACGGAGTGCAAATAACTACTACGCATCCACATCTTCAAGGAAGAAAGACATCGTGTACAATGTGCTTGGAAAACTGCGGAGACTCCTGGTCAGGTGGGTTGGGTTTGGAAGGAAACTTGGCGGCGGCTCTTCAACATGACTCCATGGCCAGGTCGGGTTTAAGACCGAAAATAAAACGGTCGGTCAACTGGTCGCTAGGTCCGGACCCACCCTGCGCAGTCGGTATCCGGAAATAATAACCACCGATTGCGGTCCCGTTCTGTCTCCACATTTTCCACACCACTCAGGCGCCCTCTGTTTGTAGCATAGCGCATTGCGAGTTGGGACCAAATTCTCGGGTGCCTGGCCCAGCGATGTCCGGCCGGCTAGCGTCGCTTCGACTTCGCGTCCGAGTGATTCGATTATCCGCGCGCTGGGTTGGGTTAAGAATTGAGACAACCGAAAGCACAGTGCCTCGCCACTCCGACTGCTCCCGCGCCTCAAGCTGTTGGTGGCGGCCAAGAGCATCATGCCACTTCATCGTGCCAACAGTCGGCGGTGGCGGCCCTTGGATGCGCCGTCGTTGATCCAAATCTCTCGACTTAATTGCTGGGCCACACTGTAGGCAACCTCTCATCCTTTGATGTTGAACGGAGAGCGCCTGCCCGTCGGCCGCCGCCAAGCCCAGGCCCAGCGCAGGTCGTCACAGCATAAAAACGACGGGTGTTGGACTTCCCCATAGACGAACTCCGGGCAACAGCAGCCGTGCAGGTTGTAGAGACATTTTATCCGGACTCGGTCCATTCAGCTGCGGTTGACAGTCAAGGTTCTGTACAAGCCAGCGCCCCGTGTCAGCGCCAGCACCAGCACCAGCACCAGCACCAGCACCGGTACCTGCGCCAGTACCAGTACCAGTACCGGCAACTCAGCATCGGTGGTCCGGAGATCCACGGCGCAGTACTTCAGCCTCAAGTTGTGACTAGCGGTCCCCGTCCGAACAGTACTGTCTGCGGGGAGTGCGGCGTGCGTGGCTTTGCGCAGCGCCGTCGCTCGAGCAGCGTGTCTTGTCCTGACTTATTTAACCGAGTGCCCATTGTCTGATCTCGCGCCTCCAATATGCCTCCATCTGGGCCCTTTCCGCAATTTCTCCGCGCCAAACTCACTGCAAGCTCAATGTCTGGCACTCAAGTTGCTGTCGCAGCCGCCGTCGCAGGCGTGGGCGCCTATGCTTTGTACCTGCGCAAGTCTGCGGGCGCCAATGCAACCGACAAGCCCAGTCTGGCAAGCTTCGGCTTCCATAGTCTGCGACTCCATAGCACCGAGCTGGTCAGCCACAACGTCAAACGCCTGCGCTTCGAGCTCCCCAACGCGACCCAGCCAGGCGGGCTCTCGCTGACGTCAGCTCTTCTCACCATCTCCATTCCCGCTGGTCGGTGGCTGCCCGTCCTCCGGCCATATACTCCCGTGAATTCCCTGGGTGCGCATGCTTTTCTTATTCCCCACCCCCCCGAGAACTGTCCGGTGATGGCAAGGGTTGTTGTCGCCGTGTTACCGTGTTGGAGCTAACATTGGCGGACCACCGCAGACGAGACTGGCTTCGTTGAGCTTATGGTGAAGCACTATCCCGGCGGGAAGCAGAGTTCTCACCTCCACTCGCTCAAGCCGGGCGACAGACTCACCGTCGCCCCCATCAAGGGACTTAGCTGGACACCAAATAAGCACCCGCACGTGGCCCTGATAGCCGGCGGCGCCGGCATCACACCCATGTACCAGCTGACACAAGGCATCCTCAACAACCCCGGGGACAAGACGCGCATCACGCTCGTCTGGGGAGTTAACACCGACTCGGAAATTTTCCTGGCTGAGCAGTTCGGTGCGCTGCAGAAGAAGTTCCCCGACCGCTTCAAGGCCATCTACGTCGTGGCCACGCCAGAATCTTCCTCTCCGCACCCCAAGGGATTCATCACCAAACAGATCCTCGAGGATGCTGGCTTGATCGCGAGTTCGGAAAAGAACAAGGACATCAAAGTCCTCGTCTGCGGGCCGCCGCCTATGGAAAAGGCGCTGAAGGGAGCCATGTCGAAACCGGGCGTCTTGGCAGAACTGGGGTATTCTCCGGCTCAGATTTATAGTTTCTAGTTTGCGTTGGCTTGCCTTGAGCCGCCTGTAGGTAATTACAAATTCAGACAGCTTAATGAGAATAGCCATTGGTACCCAAACTTTCAATATTGAATTGCGGTCGGTATTAATCACCAGACCCCATCTTTGGATACTTGCAAGGGATACCAGGTTGAGTAATCACTGCTCCGTGCGGAATGCAACCCAAAGATGGCGATTCTCTGGAATAGGCAGTCATAACGAGCCACTATCTCGGGATGACATCAAGACGCCTAGCCCGGATACACGGACGGGCCCGGGGAGTATACTGATTATTAATCTCTATTTGCATTTCCGGAGTTTTGTGGGACAGTCCTTCGCAGGTTCCGCCAGACGATAAAAGCGCTCAATCATGACAAAAGGGCTCAAAAATGCGAGGTAGCTTCAGCTTGCGCATCCCTACTCGGTCCATTTAGGGTTAGTTACCTTATTAGTTGCACCGATTGCACCCCGCCTTGACAAATACCTCAGACTGGCAGTATAGGGCGGCAGGTGCCAATAAGGTCGGGTCTCCGTTTATGGCGAGAAACCTATGTCTCGTTCAACTTCTAGCGCGCGAGTCGCTGACGCGCGTGACGCAGCTAGCCGGGGCCTTTACTCAGCCTCCCCTCCTCCCCACTGTCCTAATTTGATATGAGAATACGAATTGGTAGCTCATGACGGTTGATTTACCAATATGTGGCTCAAATTGCCTTGGCTCTCGGCCTAATTAAACATGCATTGTAGCAGCATGTCTCAGACCTCTTCCTACACCACGCCCACCCAGGGACTGCTACGTCAATCAGTAACTGGACTTTGGAGGGATGGGATTGGCTCCGGCTCCACAGAGGATTACCGGGACCAGTGGAAGAATTTTCATTTGCATAGGTATATAAGATTTCAAGACTGGAACGTATTCTCAGGGACACGAAAGTGAGTGGAGGTTGAAGACGAGCCAAGACAAACCCGCAACACAAGCCCGAGCATTGCTGCTACCAAAAGGATCCAGCACTTGCCGAGCTCCTCTCCGAGTCTTAGCCACAATGAAAACACATACCCTCTTGGAGAGCCTCCTTCTGGCAGCAAGCACCATTGCCGGCGTGGCAAGCGCTGCCAACGCAAAGACATGCAACTCGTACAATATCCCTGTCACAGTCACGTCGACCAACCTTGTCTTCGGGCTGCCTCACTTCCAGACCGACTTTGACGTGGCCGACTTTGTCGACACGATCACGAGCAGGAATGTCACCACGGCGTCCAGCGTCATCGCCCCTGGTGTCCAGGTCGTCACGGCAACCTACAACATCGCGGCCACCTTCTGCAGGCCAGGCAACGGCAAGCCAGATTCCAAAAAGAAGAGCACGGTGCTAATAGCCACCCATGGCCTGGGGTTTGACAAGACGTAAGTTTGGACGGGTGTGGCATGCTCCAGCTCGAACCTGCCAGAGTGATTATCGTTTCACTTTTTCGCTAGCTGCTTGGCTCCCCCAATTGACATTCCACCGGGAACCAGGTACTGGGATCCGCAGCTCAACAAAACCATGTACAGCTTCACGGACTGGGCGATCGGGCAGGGGTATTCCATCTTTTCGTATGACCGCCTCGGCGTGGGCGCGTCGTCACGGGTCTCGGGTTACGTGGCGCAGCTTTCAAACCAGGTCGCCATCCTGGCCGAGCTCACCAAGCTGGTCAAGGCCGGCCAGTTCGTCGGCGGCACGGGCAAGCCCCCGGCCGTGGTCCTGCTCGGCCACAGCTTCGGAAGCGTCATCTCCATCACCGCCCTCGCCAACAACTTGTCGATTGCCGACGGCATTGTGCTTACCGGTGCGTTCTCCACGTCTAACTGCCAAGCAAAAATTTGATGAACCGCACTGATGAGATCCATGTGTCGTTCTGCAGGCTTCAGCTTGAACAAGACGTTTGTGAACGGGCTGGGATTCGCCGAGGCCGGAGCCATCCGCATTGCCTCATTCCAATCGCCGGCCAAATGGCGCCGGCTTGACACTGTGAGCTTCCTTTGCCCTGTTTGTCTTCTATCTGTCTTGGATAGGCCCCTTTTGAATGTTGTCGAGTATGTAATTAGATCTGACACCGGCGAACCAGGGTTATCTGACGAATGCCGACGTCCTCACCAACGTGGCCACGTAAGCTATATCCCTCCCATAATCAAGAGTATCTACTAATAATGTTGCTTGCACTCTTCAGATTCTTCAAGGCGCCCGACTACGATCCGGCGGTGGCTCAGTTTGCTGAGAACACCAAGGCTCCGCTTGCCGTCACCGAACTCTTGACGGCTTCGAGCATCACCAACCTCCCAACTGCGTTTACAGGTCCAGCCATGGTGAGGACGCCCTATTTTTAATGTTTTCAATGTTTCTGTTCTTGCACTCACCTATGCACATGATGCGCTAATCATTGGGCTGCCTCGGCGGGATCCCATCAGATCATGTCTGGCCAGTTCGACTTCATCTTCTGCATGTCCGAGTAAGTTTCTGCCTCCGTTGATTCCGAAAAAGACCGGTTTGATTGTGGATTGCTTCTAACATTACCAGCTGCGACGGCCTCCTCGAAAACCCAGGCGCGGAGGTCTTCTCCCACGCCAAGTCGTTCAAAGCCGTCAGCTTCCCAGGCGCCGGCCACGGGCTCAACCTGCACCTCAACGCCGCGGAGTCATTCAAGGAAATCACCGATTTCCTCACTTCCAATGGGCTTTGAGCGCGATTAGATACCAAGCACCCAGATCAGGGAGGTGTGTGGTGGGCACGCGGGAGGGAGTTGGTGTGCGAGAGAGAGGCATTTAATTAGCATTTGCATTGGAAGTAAGCAGGGTGCCTCAGGTAAACAACTACCTAGAACTAATGATACGACTTCTAAGAAATAAAACGTATATAGTGGTCATACCGACAAGTTCACAACATTGTCGTCTTCATGGTGAACGGGCGGTGATGAGAAATAATATGAAAATGTTTATTATTCTAGACATTGTCAAAAACCTAGGCTTTTGTTCTTAGAACTCAAGTCTGGCCAAGTCTCGAAATGTGAGGTGGGGAAGGTTTTGCAAGACAAACCCCTGACAGGGGGTGCCGTATTTATTGGCTAAAACGCCCTGCAACTCCCAACCAACAAATCAGCTCAGTTGCCTGGACGAATAGCTCAGGGGTAGAGCAACCGGCTGCAGTCCGGTAGGTCACGCGTTCAAATCGCGTTTCGTCCTACTCTTTTTGCACCATTTTTGCACCGTACCTCCCCAAGAGGTCTGCCCCATTGGGTTTTCCCCCCTTGATACGAAGAGTCCCTTTTGCTTTAATTTTCCGTTCCCGATCCCTTTGCTGCGCTGTTAATTGCGTCAATCGCCATTGGCCAATCCACCGGGCTTGGCCTGCAGCAATCGACGGCCTAATCGAGCGACCCGAGCGGCGAGTGGCAAGTCGCATACGATAACTGAGGCTGGGCAGTTGGTCATGGCCCCGGAAGCAAAGCCGTTCCGTGGCCGCGGAACTGCCCGCTGTGTCCATCAGCATCTTCCCAGGCCTACTTCCGAGATTTGCACGTCATTTTTAACCGGCAGTCGATACTCCCCATTCAATTATGTACTAATTAGTACCGTACCCGTTAGCTGTTCCAGCCGATGTGATACCGCCAAAAATGTCTTCAGCGCCACTCCAGCCTATCAGCCATGCATGCTTTTCGGGCTCTGCGCCGATCTGAGGATGCGGGATCTGAGCATGGAGTCGCTTCCGGATTCCTACCTACCTTAGTCATGTTGCACTTCATGATCAGGACCGCCCACGGACAACCAAGATAAAGATGCCATGACTTGGCATCTCACCAGTAGTCCAGCACACCCATGCTTATGCCGACTTGCGCCATCGCCTTGGGTCTTGGACAGCTGGACATCTCAACACTGAGTAGCCGAACGTCGCCATGAATTCCATCCCGCCCTCGTCGCCACTTCAGTACGTCTGGCAAGTCGAAGCATGGAGCCCTTCAGAGTCCACTTTGCCCATGTCTGAACACCAAGAGCCGCTGCCATCGCCTCTGTCACCGTTCGGTACGTGCGTCTCTGGTCTGGATGACGTAGATATCTCCGATTACGGCGACGATGTGCTAGGCTCACGTACTGAGCTTGGCACGTTTCCGACCCCCGGCCCAAGTCCTTCGCTTGCCTTCCGCCAGGTACAACACCAAGACCCCCTTCATGTTCCCAAGTACACCGGTCAGGCTCGCATTCGTGATGGCAAATCCATCACCAGTTCCAGGCAGGGAGCATCCGAGCTGTCGCAGGACAATCTCCAAGTTGAGGGTCCACCGAGCCAGCATTACTTCTCACTGCAGTCTAGTCGTTCGCCGTATGGCCAAAATCATTCATCTCCAGACGGGTGGTGGGAATGGGTTTGGAGACTTCTCGACTCGCGCTGGATGATGTACGGGTTGTTGTTGCTCGGCATCGCCTTTGCCACCTCGCATCACGTCTTCTACGCCAGTCTGGCCGGCAAGCCGGTTGACGGCCAGCTCATGATGATGATGCGCATCGGCAACTTGCTGGCATACATATCCAAGTCCGCCATGGTATCGGCCATTGTTTTCGCATACCGACAGCAGATCTGGGCCACGGTCAAGAGAAAAACACTCCAGCTCGGCACCATCGACAGCCTTTTTGCAGCGGCAGATGATGTGACGGCGCTGGTAAATTGGGAGTTTGCTACAAAGGCAAAGGTTGCCTTGTCTCTGGCAACAATTATATGGTCAGTGTTTATCGTTACCGGTCCCTCCTTTGGTCTCTGAACCACGGTATTCTACAATCCAATCCCCGAATGTTTATTGGTTTGGTACTTGGGCAAAACAAATGTTACGGCCCAGCAAATAAATCGGCCAGGGAAAGCCTTAAATACGTGTTTTTGGAGAAGACATAGGTCTTTAGGATTCTAAAATAAGGATCCTAATAGCTTTTACCTTCCTCGGCGAAAAAATCCCTAGGGCGAGCCGTAAGATATTGAAGTCTTTCAAATCTTGGAAAGCCCCCGCTTATAAATATTCAGGGGTTGGATTGCAGCTTGGCTATATTTTCATGTTTGACGGCTAACAGAGACTCGTTAGGCTCTTTCCCCTTACGGCAATCTTGACCCCGGCAACACTCACCATCGCGCCCTTGGCAGAGACGCAGGATACCTTCTGCTCTTCAGTTCGAACTCTCAACTTTAATGCCGAAAAGACGAAGAATTGGAGGAAACAGACGCGCATCAACAACTACCCTGGCATTTCTCTATCTCTGTGGAACTCTACTCTGCCCAGCTCGGACAAAGTCTTTGCGCCATTCAACGACACATTCTTTGACTACTGGACGGGCACCACCTGGCAAACAACAGTGTTGTCGACTCTGAGCACATTCGCGAACAAGGTCGTTGCCAGAGAGAATGCCTCCGTCGAGACTTGCGGTGCTAGTTGGAACTGCTCTTACACCATCTCATTCACGGGGCCCGGTTATAAGTGCAGCCAAATCATAAGGGGCCGGGGGAACAGTAGCGAGAAGCTCGCCCGGATGCGCGCGCCCTTCAATACAGGGGACCTGATCCCTGATGGCGACTTCAGCTACATTGGACACACATCCCTTGGCGAGTATTACTCCAACCAGATTAACGCCAGCCAAGGGGGTGCTCCGACTACACCGCCTCCGTTTCCGAAACATCTGGGAGCCTTTAGGACCGAACCCGTCTTGTGGATTGGCCACTCGGACTTGGTTCATGCGGACAAGCCCGCGCCAGACAGATCCAATTCAAGATGGAACTCGTCCTTCACGCCCTCGATTTTTCGATGCGAACACTACGTCACAAAATACAAGGTCCTCTTCAACCACACACTCTCTGAGCAATTCACAACTGTACTCAGCAGGACTTATCTGCGCCCTCTAGTAAACACGACCTTCTTGCCTGATGTCAAGGCCGACGACGGTACCAGCGACACAACGGCTGCCACTCCCGAGTCGGGCTACATCTACCCGCAGGACCTCAAAAGATACCGCCTCACGGCCGCGTACCACTCCCTCGGCTATCAGATGCGCCTCAACCTCAACGGTTCAATCAAATTTGATCCGCCATATATTGTTGCCAACACCGAATTGATGAAGACGCAGCTCATCAACAAGACGACCTACCTGGTTGTTCCCAACTTCTTAGACAAGATCCAAACCCTGTACGAAAACATTCTCCTGTCGCTCCTGGCTAACCCGCAGTTCATCGTCGTGGCTTGGGCGTCGCAGCCCACGCAGCAGAGCGGCGTGGGCAACGCCAGCACGGCCGCGGACCCGCGGCTGCTGTACCCGTGCACCAAGACGCGCGTGGCCAACGCCTACGCATACAACGCGCGCGACCTGTGGCTCGTCTACGGCCTGGCCATTGTCCTGGCCCTCGTCAGCGTGACGCTCGGTACCGCCGCGCTGGCCCAGAACAACAACCACGTCCGCAACTCGCGTCTGTCGAGCATCGTCGCCGCCACGCGCGCCCCCTGCCTCGAGGACCTGCCGTGGAAGTCGTCCAAGTGGGGAGAGCTGCCGCACGAGATCCGCAAGACCCGCTTGGGCTACGGCTTGATCACGGATAACTTGAACATCCCTGATGCCAACGCGCCGCCCCCCTCCACCACCGGAGACCCTGCAGGAAGACCGCGGAGCAGCAGTGCAAGCGTTGAGTCGAGAGCAAAGTTGTATTACGGCTTCGCCCCAGAGGGCATCATCAAGCGAGGCCAAAGTCCGGCGATGGGGAAAGCCAGCGTCCTGTCGTTCAAAACCGAGAAATTAGGCCGAAAGAGTCAGTGTTGCTAATGCAAACACTCCAATATGGTCTTTGGGAGTTTTGGCGGAGGGCTCGCAGTTCACTCGCATTCTGGCGATGTAAGTGCTCGAGCTATATGTAATCCAATCCTTGAATGTTTATTAGTAGGGGACCTTCTAAGATTTGAAAAGTCATAATGTCTTACGAGTTGCCCTGAAGGTTTTTTACCATGGGAGGCAAGAGCTATTAGAATCCCTATTGTATATTCTCAAAGGCCTTTCTCTCTCTCTCTCTCGGAAAGACCTAATTACCATTACGCTAATACATTTTCAGGGATTAGACTGCGTATATTTCTTCACGGATTGGCAGCGACCGGCATCCGCAGGACGCTCTGCATGGCCAAAACCTCGTCGTCAATCACCACCTTGAATAAACCTCTCAATAACCTCATCCATAAGTTGACGCATTTCCACGTCATAGGCTTCGTCGTCCAGAGAAGACCCTAGTTGTCCGTTATTCAGATTCACAGTTTCCAACCATGGCTGGCTCACGTTCTTGACGTAGAATACCCTTGAGCTCTTGATAGAATCTCGTTCTGGGTGAACCCAACCAATGACTCTTTGGTGCGGTTATTAGGGGCTGATATTTTCACCAGGGACGCCCAATAACTCACCTTATTACTGAATCGGGGCCGGTGAAAGCAGCAGCTTCATTGCGGGATAAGTTGGCGAGCCAGATGCCGTCTCGACTTGTAAACGACATCCTAAGGGTCCAGTTGTTCCAGTCGGTCCGGTCGCGCGCTAGGCTAAGTGAGATTTTACGCTCATATGTGTGCCTACCAACCGACGCGCTATTATAAGGCGTATAACTATATACCTTGACATTTCCCGAGGGTCTATCTAAGAAGAATGGGGCGGGATGTGGATAGTTCAAAAAGGTTACTACGTCTAAAAAGGCGTAGTCGTTAATATTTGCCTGCTACGGGACCGAATCCCGGAGCTTTGAGAAGTCGTCGGACGAGAAACACAGCCGGGCCTCCTGCCAGCGGGCACCTTCGGGCGTAAATGGCGATGATGGGGGGCAAAACAGAACGTCGAACGAGTACCGATAAGCGCGAGGGGGGGTCACTAGAGGCAACCCCAGCTTGGTCGATATGGCGCCGGAGCCACACGTCATGCCGTTATGTCCTAACCATCTCAGAAAGCCTCGGCTGACGTTAGGTTTTTCATTGCTTTAGATAGTAGCAGCAACAACAGCAGGCGTAGTAGTTGTAGTAGTAGTAGCAGCAGCAGCAACAGCAGCGGGTGCGGGTGCGGGGTATATCTTGTTCTTGGGATGTCGCGAGACCCTGGAGACGATTCGGCGTAGCACCCGCCCCCAGATTCTGGTGCCCCCCTTACTAGTCTCTACCTGATGCTGGGCTTTTGTGTCATCAGGCTCTACCGGGTGTGACATAGAAGAAGTTTTCTCCTTTTCAAATACACCGCCCTACCCTGGTTGGCGTGCGTAAGGGGGAGGGGGAGGACGACGAGTAGGAGGACACGTAGGGTCCAGCTTTAGGATGCCTTTGGATGGAGTGCCAGCCGCAGACAAGTTTTTTCTTACACTCTCGGCCGAATTAAGTTTGGCACAGCTCGATCGTATTTGGGTTAGTCCTTGGGGTGTATATTAAGTGATTAGCCCTTTACAAGGCCACATCAACACTGTACCGATCTCTTTCTTCTTCACGTCTCGGTGAGTTTTGCCATGAGCCACCGAGAGTCCGTGTGTGTGTATGTGTGTATGTGCGACCGTGTAGACATCTACATTACGGCAGACTTCGTTGGTTGTGTATTCAGAAGAAAATGTAGAAACCAATAATAATTGAGGAAGAAATTTTGCCGTCGGTTTTGGAAAGTGAGAAGACAGGCGTATTAGCAAACCAAATAATGACGTATATATATATATTCGTTACAAGAGTTATGATATTTCGAAGAGCCAAAGTTGAGAATTTCAACTTTCTGTACCCACCTGGAAACGTCACGAACCTCATGTGATCTTTCTGACCCTTACGATTTCTTTTTGTTCGTCTCAACGCATTAGTTAGGTACACATACATAAACCTGTTGTATTCCATGTTCAAACTAAAAATAATTTACACTTCACAAAAGTTTGGAGTTCAAAGTCATCGGCCTTGTCAAGCTCAGGCAGCAGAGTGCCCTGCTGACTAACCACACTTTGCCTTTTTCTTGGCAGAAGCGACAACGCGCTTGCTACTTGCCACACACCTATTGCATCGTCTGTCTGTAGCATGAATAGCCAAACCCGACGAAAACTAAGGTCCAGTAGCAGCATGCAACATGCCTCGCCAACTGCCATGGCTTGTCAAGGGCAAAGGCAACCAGGCGGCAGCGCCCCCCAAACAGCCTGCCAGCTCCGCATCCGCATCCGCATCCTCAGCGAGCCACAGTCCGGCTCCACCGCCTGCAAATCGCCCCACACCCCAAACCACAAAGTCTGAAGAGCATGACCCATCGTCAGATGCACGCACCAAGTCGAGGCGTAGCTTGGGCCTTCGCTCATGTGGGTTTATCAGCCAAACTTCTTTCCATCCCGATGCATTGGACGCGTGCTGACAGTTGCCCCAGTGCGGTCGCCGTCCACCTCACCACCTCCGGAGCCGGTCAAGGAAGAGTAAGCCCGACTTCGGTCGCTTCGATGTGCATTAATACGCTAGATAGAGAGGTCTAACGCGTTTCTCAGGTTCATGATAGACGGTGTCGACAGTGACGACAGATATCGTATGGTCGAAGATGAGTTCTTCGCGGTGGCTGGCGACTTCACCCGTCACCTCCACGCTGCCGAGTATAAGCGCCTCAAGACTCTGGCCAACTCAGAGAATGCAGAGGCCATTCAGAACATCTCGCGGCCCGTCACGGGGGACATGAGAGACCTCGTGAAGCGACGTCGTGCCGCACTCGAAAACGCGGCCAAGCAGCACCAGGCCATCCCGAAAGCTCCGGGGAAACGAGCCAGTGGGGATGGCTCGGAGAGTGACGATGAAGAGTCATCATCACCGTGGGCACACACCTCCCTTCGGGGATTAATGGATAGCCCACGCAAGAAAGCAGTTCCTCTCGCCATTCTAGGTTCTGTTGTCGCGGGATCGCGTGCCGCTGTCAGCTCTCGAGAGCGTCTGAATGCAAGCCCCTCCAGGCAGCTAGCCCGTCGTAGTGACGCCGAGTCGCGAATGAAAACAGAAAATACCGACGATGAGGATGATGACGATGATGATGACGACGACGATCTCGACAACCAAGCCCCCTGGCCCACTAGACAGCAACCTCAACGTCTTTCCAAAAGTGCAGAGATATCTCTGTCCCGTCACAACACAGCTGGCAAACCACTCGTAAAGCTAGAGAGCCGGCCGCATCAAACCCCACAGGATGAGCCAGGTTCGGGCTCTAGCAACAAATCGAAAACTGTGAATCTTCCTAGTATCAAGCAACCCAAGTACAGCCAGCTCGACCCTGATGAAGATGGTAATTTCTTTTCCGGCTTGCGGACCCGGAGGGCCGAACGGAGACGGAGGCACGAAATCAAGACGGAAGCAAATGTCAAGACTTCAGACAGCCAGGCAGTAGATCTGAGCGAAATTCCTTCCTTTCTGTAGCAATCTTGGCTATATTACGATACTACTTTGATTACAGAGCACCATGATATCGCGTCTCTCTCACGACACACTCGTTACGATTTAGGTCTTGAAAGGCGTCTCAAATGGCCGCTCTGCCTGGGGAGTGATCCTCGCCAAGTGCCGTCGCTGACCATCCTTCCAGTCAATGAGCGCCGAGTGCTGCGTGACGCGGTTGTCCCACACAACAACAGTTCCTTCTTCCCACTTCACACGTGTCTGGAAGTCGGCGCCATAGGCTAGGTGGTCGTATAGGAACTTGAGGATTGCATCCGACTCCTCCTTCTTCAGGCCAACGATATCGCGGGTGACTGCGCGGCAATTATTTCGTCAGCCAAACCCTTTATTTGAATTTTTTTTCGAGGAGGGTGGGGAGCAACTTACACTGTGGGTTGACATAGAGTGCCTTCTCGCCCGTGGTTGGGTGCGTCCTCACGATGGGATGGGTGTTTACTACGGGTTCGCGTCTCTTGATGCCGCCTCGGGCTGCCGAAGCGTTGACCTGCTCGATGCCCGAATGCGTCGCCTGGAGCCCATGCAGACGCTCCTGGAACAGGGGGCTAAGCCGCTGGTACGCCTCGGCCGCATCGACGAACAGGGTGTCGCCTCCAGTCTCAGGCTTGTCGAGGATGTATAGGAAGGTCGTTCCCGGGGGCTGCTGTTCGTATGACACGTCCGAGTGCCACGCGACCGAGCTGATTCGGTTCGCGAAATACTGGTCGATCGTGTTGTCCCCAGCACCGCGATGCACGAGGTGGATCTCTGGGTGCCCTTCTGGGGACCCCGATGTTGGATGGATGTGGTGTCTAATGAACGGGTCAAAATGTTAGCATCTGATTCTGTCTTCTCTGCTATCTCCGCACAAAAACAGCAGACGTACCGGCCAAAGTAACCGCCAAACTCGAGAGCCTTCTCGATAGGCAGGTCCGCAAAGTCCTGGTTTCGGAAAGCGACGACTTTGCGCTCGGCTACCAGACGCGCAAGCTCGTCCTTGCCGGCCGAGTTGAGCGAGGTGAGCTGAGTGCCCTTGACCTCGGTGCCAATGGTCGGCGTAAGGTGCGTTACAGTGGAGCCCTCAGGGAGCAGGTTCGGGAATGACGGGTCGGCATCTTTGCCGTGCTCGACATGCTCGAATGGCTGGAGTGGTTGATAATACTGCTCGCGATTCCAGGTTGGCAGGTAATGAGGGTACTGCGCCGGAAGAGTCAGTGAGGCCCCGTCAAGTTTTGAGTGCACACCTGAGGCCTCTGGCGAGCTCACCTTGGCTGCCTCGAAGCCCTTTTTCCCCGTCTCCGCGTCTTTATCAAACGTGGTCGGGGCTTCCTTGTACTGGCCCTTGAGCACCTGGAGCTTCAGGGCGGAAACCTCCGGGACGGGGACGATCACGGTCTCAGTGGCCGAGGGAGCCATTCTGAGTGTTACTTCAGGGTGTTCACTTCTAATCTGGGTATTAGTATTGGTATTAGTATTGGTCTATTGCCAGTTGGCCAAATACCTGGAGCAGACTCGGGGCCACCCGGCGGGATGCTCTTCTTTATACAATGGATATGACCCCTCCCCCAAACTGCTTAATGGCGCCCGTTTTGCGGGGTTTGATATGGCATCGAGCATGGATAGGATTGCGCGAACACGATGCCTTCCAATCGGGCGAGTCCCTAGCCATGATGAATTACAATTCGAACGCGACATCGGCTACAAATGCCGATCCGGGCCCTACCAAAGACCTGAGCCATGTGTAGCAGTCCGGCCACGCTAAACGCCCCCATCCTATTCGATAAGGCACCGATCAGGGGGCACGCAACCCGCGCACACTATACCCCATTCTCGGGTCCGCGATGCCGTATCGAATCAATCGTTGTGTGGAGAGGCGATGTTGTTAGACGCGCACCATATCACGCCATCGCGTAAAGCACCAGCGGGATGGACAACTCAGGGAGCACGCCATCCCTCCCAACACGACATGCCCATGTTTTTGACGACGGTAACGAGTCACGGTAGCTTTTCCACGTCGGAAATAGAAACTTGGCATCACGAGGCCCGGAAGAGCCGCGGGGGCAGGGCGGGAGGATAAGGTGATTGAATAAGCAAGGAAGCCGTGTGTATGTCATTCCTCGGGTGTTGTGTCCCGTTCCCACCGGCTCGGCCACCAGAAAGGGTCCTGTTGCTTGAACCATCAGGAGATCTCGGCTTCGCTATCGTGGGGAAGAAAAGGGACTCTCATAATCGCATTACGTTAGTTTCGGCCTCGAGTGCCGGGTTGACTCTCGCGGGATTGTCCTGATCACGTTCCGCGCGCAAGGGATGACGCAACGTGCTAATTATCTTGGACCGCTCAGGATAAGACTCAGCTCAAGACGCCCATTAACATGTGGCTGTCACTTCTTCATAGCGTGTCCCGTAAAATGCAGAATGGTTGGGCTGGTTTTCTTTGTGAATATACGACTGCCGTACTTGATATATTGCTTAAGGCTAACTCGGGTGACGCCAAGGTGGACTTCGGAATAATTGAGTGACAGATGATTATCGCGCTTTCGCTAGCACCCCTTATCAGAGGTATCTACCTAGGTAGAAGAGGTCGAGTAGATACATACCGAATTTATTGTACCTTGCATGTTCTCCAAACGCGCCGCTCATGCTAAGGCACAAGCACAGCCTACCTCAGCCACCTCCACCTCCACCTCGGGCAGCCTTTCCTCTACGGAGCAATCAGGTACCGCGTTCATATGTATGTGTTCAGAAGCGTCGGTTTGTGGCTGGTTGGTCCAATGTGAACTCTATTTCACGTCGATAACCAACAAACGTCAGAGTCGCACCACGGCGCATTCGAGCGTTGCAGATACGAATAGTCCTACCCGATCAACTGATTACATGTCTCGGATTAGCTACACTGTCTTAGTTTTATGCATGCTATACTCTAGGCTCGGTGAGTGAAGATAGAGTGGCGCATGGAGCCGGAAAGGGACACTTTACAAGGCAACAAATCAGATACCTGCCCTTGATGGCAACGCGCTGCTAAAAGGGGGCACCGTTGCCATGTCTACCGAATAGCTTAGTCCCGGATCTTGCAAGATAGGCAGACTAAATTGGTGTTTATCTTGGAAGGTGCCTTGGGCATACACAACCACTGCAACTTGGTAATGCCGAGAACCACTACAATTCATTCCAAATTTCCCCATTCTGTAAGGCTGTAATCCAGCGCTGGGGACAGGCTAGAATGGAATGTTTGCGTCTGGCATATACAGATCCTGCGTATGGTCTCCACCTGCGGGAAGCCGCAGCGGAAATGAAGGCTGTGGCCCGGCCCTGGCGGCAGCCATCAGATATCTGAACGTAGTCAGCTTGCTGCACAGAACTTGAAGCTCACAGGTTGGCATCCACGAGCAGAGACCACCGTCCACGATTCACTTCTTGCTGCCAGGTAGCACTTGCTTCCGTCCTGTCATGTTTGTCGCCTCAGAGGCCGCTCCTTCCCTCCCAGGTCTCGCGTGTGACTAATACTAGACCTAGTCCGTAATTTCAACCGCAGACACCTCGCACAGTTTACTGCCCAAGCTCGTACGGTAGCTCCTTGATGAAAATTTCCTGCCTGTGGTTGATTTCACGTTTTTTCCCTCCCCGCCCACCTCTCCGTCGCAACACCGCACAAGCGAGCAGTTTGTGTTGCGCCTCTCTGGCCGTGGCCCGCTACAGGGATGGGCTCCCCAAACCCCTGGCTCAGCAACGGCACTTGCTACTACGCTGCCGGGAAGCAAGCCGACAATTCTTTCATTCCCTGCGGTAATGATGCCATTGGCCACAAAAGTTGCTGCACTGCTGGCGATGTGTGTCTGAGCCAGAATGCCTGCTACGACGCGGCCTTTGGCCTGACCTATCTCGCCGGCTGCAGCGATCCCGAGTACAAAGACGATATCTGCCCAAGCAAGAATTCATACACAGGTAATTGTGCCAAGGGCTGGATATACTGGGTAGTCGCAAACAGTGGCTGACACGTCCTGCTCTAGACAGCCCATGGGTCGGTCTCGTGTACTGTACTCCCAATCGCTGGTATGAAGCTCTCTCGACACCCGCAGCACTTTGCGCGCTTACGAGAAAGAGTAAGGAATATGGCTGATCAAATGTGCTGCAGGATGGCTTGTGCCGAGAAGGGCAAGCCAAGCAAGATCAGGTTTCCGGACAGCTGCACGTGTCCGCCTACAGTCACCGCAGCGTTCACAGCTGCGGGAAAACTCTTTGACATGGCCAGGCTCCCCGGTAGCTTGGGTGGAAGCATTGAATGGTCTTCTGATTATCTCCCGCCCACTTCATCTACGTCCAGCTCTACTCAGTCGACAAGCCTAGGTGACAGCTCGGATGTTCCTTCATCATCGCCGACAGCACAGGCGACACCCACCACAGCACCCATGGCAACACCCACGGCAGCACCCACAACAACACTCACGGCAGCATTAACGGCATCATTAACGGCAACATCAACCGCGACATTGTCTTCGACCTCCACTTTGGCCAATCCGACAATTTCGGTAAATAGCAACGCCGACTCCGGGCTCGGCGCTGGCGCAAAGGTGGGAATAGGAGTCGGCGCAACGATTGGCGGTCTGTTATTTCTGGGTGCACTTTCAGCATTATGGATGCTCTACCGCCGAAAACGTAAGGACTTGCCCGAAGAGCAATGGACTGGGCCTGTAGGCGATCCGAAATCCGGGTCAATGGGGCCAGGGGAAATGCCAATGCCCACACTCCCCGTATTACCGCCAGAGATGAGGTCCGACCAGACAGCAAGGCCACCCTCGGAGCTGCATGGCAACAATGCAGCCACGTACATGTCCAGGAACTCGCCTGGCTACCCCCCGACGAATTCTCCTGGTTATCCTCCGACAAACTCTCCTGGTTATCCCCAACCGAACTCGCCTGGATATCCCCCCACGAACTCACCAGGCTATCATCTGCCAAACTCTCCTGGCTATACCTCGGCAAATTCGCCTGGCTATCCCCCTACGGTACCAGAGGAGCTATGGCATGATCAGAGGGCAACTGAGAGAGGACGGCATTATGTGCCGCCGTATGCTTCTAATTCGCCGTATGCTGACCATGCTAGGGAGTTGCCAAGCTGATTTGAGAGCAGATTTGTGAACAGCATGACCTGTTAGGAATGGGGAATGAGATCATTATGAACGATAGTTGATCTTTCATATCTTAGCAATAGTGACGGGACAGAGCTCGGGTTTGAGTTGAAACATACAGGGGCGCAGTCATATCCTGAAATAGCGAGGAAATCGGACATGTCCCGTAATGGGCACTTGTTTTGCTTTCTCCATAAGACAGGGTAGACAGAATACACATCTTTGATTCTGCATCATGATGCCGATTGCAGCAATTTTTGGGGGGATTGCGTTGACACTCGCACGACAGACTGCACCCAACCGCTGTCCTTTAGCGGTAGGCAGGGATGTTCAATACATGTGAATACCCCGTAGATACATGCAATTAGGAATCCCCATACCAGGCTAAAGTCTTGTCAAATTCTGCGGATGCAATGGTGAATTCGTCAAACGAAGTGCGGCTCTCCCACCGCTACCACGATATCCATCAGACCAATATCACGTATCAATGCCGTTTGATCTCTTCTCTTCCACATACGACCATAGGCACTGGAAATTCGGGATCCCGTCGGCTCTCCCATAGACAAGTCAGCGACCGCCAGACTAGTAGTTGGGTGGGCTGACCATCAGCGATACCCTGGTGTTGTATATTTTTTTCCTCTTTTTTTTGCTGTGGGGCTTCCCCTCATAGTTTTTTTCAGGGGTCCTAGACTATCCAACGCACATTATTCCTGCAAGATACTAGTTTCTAGCTGAACATCTTGTTTAGGTATCTTAGTTTGAAAGCCGTTGGTAAAATTGTGGACACACCCTAGCAGGGGACGTATGTTTCTTGCTAGTCTTGCTCGGTAAACATAACAGGTGCTCGTAGAGTGTATATGCCTTTGGGCATATTAATTTAGCCGTATGTTTGATATGACATAAAGGAAAAAGCTACATATTCTCACCGAAACTCATTATGATAAATTGAAACAGTCAAGCAATTCAAGCAGAATTGACGTACAACCCCGACGCTTCTACCTCTCTAGTCCACAGCTTCCAAGGTCTCCCGGAGGACCATTTCGTCATATCAGCCGCGGCTTGGGCTTCCTCCTTTGTCAAGTACTGAATGCTCGATGGCGCCGCCCTTGGGGTCATGGACGCGGAAGAAGCCCCTATTGTCAAGGCCGCCGTCTGGATTGCCGCGTTGTGCTGCGTGTAAACTGCCTGCAGAACTGCCTGCTGGATGCTGTCTCCCACGGTCGTGAATCCGTGGCCGCGCATCAGAGTTACCGAATTTCCGTCGTCGAAAAATCTGGCAAGCGCATTGCCGAGGTGCTCGTTGCGCACAAGCATGTCTCGCAGGTCACCTTGCTCCAAATACTCGGTGATGTTGTAGACCGGCACGCCCTCTGCTCCGAGAAAGCCAGCCATGTGGTAGCACGCTCTGAGAGCGACGCTCATAATGGTGTACGGGATGACGGCGTCAGAATGGCTGTGCACTACGGCATTGATGTTGGCGTGCCGCTTGTAGATCTCGGAGTGTATATGTCTCTCGGCGTAACCGCTGGCTGAGTTTGGATCCAGAGGCTCGGCATTCGCGATCCAGTACTCGACCAAGTCGTCGGGCAAGGATATTGTTGCCGGCGCGATGTTGCGTGACATCACAAAAACGCCAGACTTGAGCGGGTGGCGGAACGACAGGTGGCCATAGGCATCGACAACTCCTTGGTGGTGAAGTATGTGACTCCCGTCAATGAAGTCTCTCCAGTAGCTGCGTATGAGGTCGGGGTTCGACATGTTGCTTGCTGTTGAGGTATAATTACCTACTTTGGTGCTTTTCTTTGTTTTGGTTAAAGAAAACACGATGGGAGGAAGTCATTGACACCTATTCTAATTGACAGAGATGTCGTCATCGAAACATTTCGGCGCAAATCATTCCAGTTCTGCTGCGTGTAAATCGCAAAGCAATGGTAACAACGAACACCAAAACTACAAAGAAATCTATATCCTCGGCGAGTATGTCTAATTTCCAATATCAACAGCTCAGGGTCTAATCCGGCTTGGTACCTATGGATGAAAGGGGTCGAATAGAAGGGGATTTCGCGGTTCAGTTCAATACACAATACAGATACAGTAACGCTGTTCACAACCCTAACCCTGTTTAGGCTTTTTACACCCCACCACGTCCACAGCCCCTCATTCTCTTTCTCCCAGGCGCGATCGATACCGGAACAAAAAGAGACTCTAACCCTTTTCGCAATTTATAAAACGAAGCAAATGCAATGCCTCTCAGCGGCTAGCCCAGCGCATTCAGCAACAAAATTTTGAGGGGAGGGGAGGAGAAAGGACCAGCCAGCCCTTTGACGGAGTTTTTCCCACCAAGCCTTAGCTGTCTGTGATCACGGTCTCCACAATGCGTCTCAGACAAACCCGTAGCGTCAGGAAGCGATATGTCGAGGACCCCATTCTGCTGGACGACCAAGATGAGCACTTTGCTATCCCAGATGACAGGGATGAAGATGACGATTTCGATGCTCAAGGAGCAGGCCCGCTCGCCGACAAGGGCGAAGACGAAGACGCTGATGGCCAAGACCATGACAATGACGACGCCGCAAGTAGTGAGCCAGACGAGCCAGACGATGAAGATGCGGACAACAGAGCTCCCAGGAGCGCCAGAAAGCTGCGCAATGCAGGCGCCGGTATGATCCAGAGCCGCAAGAGCTTCCATGACATCCCACACTATCCTCTTGAGACGCGCATCGTCACGCGCGTCTACGCCGGTCCCCTGAGACGGTACGCTAGATACGGCGCCCTCCGCGACTCCATGTACGGACCCGAGTACCGGCGCATCAAGATAATCTGGGACCTCGAGATAAGATGGGCAGAGTTTCCCGCCTTGCCACCTGCGTTGCCGCCTGTCGATCCCGAAGGCATTACGCCGAGTCCCTGGCTGACCGCAAGCTTTGAGCTTGACCAGGAGAGAAGCGCATTCCTCTGCTATGACAACTACCAAGTGGGCTCTCCCGAGTTGCAGCGCTCGCATGCTGTCGCCGCCCATGTTGCACGGCGCCTCATCCCTCGGGCCGAGGGCGATCTGGTCACTCTGATTGGGCCCTGGGATAGCCAGAAAGAGTTCAGACTCGGCCACTGGGACAGCATGTCCCTAACACCGTCAGGCCTCCCTGTAGATGACCCTAACGCCGAAGACAACACACCAAGTGGCTGGATGCTCAATGTGGGAGGCATCCCCTTGGCTGTGGCCTGGGCTCCTTCGTCCAACAAAGATACGCAACTGCTTGCGGTAGCGATAATCCCTTTCTCGGACCAAACGTTGGCCACGCCTAGGGACAGAGGCACAGCCGATCAGCAAGATCGCTCAGGATCTATCCAGTTTTGGGAGTTTGCCGCCGACATGCAGAATACGGGTTTGGCGGCCCCGTCGAAGCACAAGCCTCGACTCATTACAGCCAAGATCTCCGACTGGGGCAGACCCAAACGTCTTCAGTGGTGCCCAGTTCCGCTGGATTCAGTTGGCATTTATGGGTTGCTGGCTGTTCTCTGTGGAGACGGGAAAGCTAGAGTCATTGATATTAAGAACATCAATGATAGCAATGAACCCCGTTACGGTTTGTTCCCTTCCCCCAGTGTCGCTGCGGAGAGCTCGTTCTGACTACCAGCAACCCTCGACAGAATGGATTGAGACGCCAGTGGTGGCGCTCGGTATCTCTGGCGAATACAGCGTGGAAGTCACCTGCCTGACATGGGTTAACACAAATCGCATCGCTCTCGGCCATTTAGACGGTTCCATCACTCTATGGTCCGTTCATCCGTGCGCGATGTTGCTACGAGTCGGTGTACATAACACCTATGTGCTCGATATCTGCTCCGCCTATCCGTCAAATCCCTACCTCGTGGCCTCAGTTCCCGTTGGGGGCTGCGCGACGCTGACCGACTTGTCACAACCGAGCTCAGAGTTCACCTATTTCCCCGTGCCCGCAATCAGCTTCCAGCCGAACATGCTATCCTGGAACGAGATGATGCAGGGCTTCATGACCCTCTACCCGTCATCGACTCCCAACACTACCATTGCATTTCTCCACCACCGTTTCTTCTGCCAGGCTCGCAGCATTTGCACTGGTACGAACACAGTAACATGTGTCTCCTCCGGTACTTCCCACCCATTTATTCTCACTGGTTGCGCAGACGGCTCCGTAAGTTCGTGCAACGCATTGCAAAAGCTCTTCAAGCAGAAGGGTGAGCCCCAGCGCAAGATCAAGATCTTTGAGCATGAGTATAGAACCCTCGACCCCGCTACAGAAATCGAGGGAGCCAGATCAGGCTCGCCCGCTCCAAGGGGCGCCGTAAGGATCTTACAAGGCTTTCTTCCCGAGGAAAACGATGACCCACGGACCGAGAAACGAAAGGAGATTGACAGGAGAAAAAAGTTGGAGCGGAAAAAAACCAATGCCGGCAAAAGGGGGCGGTCTAAGAAAGGGTCGGGTGCGCAGGAAGAAGTTGATAACCGCGAGGCCGAGATGAACGAGAGACTCGCTTCTCGTGTTGTTGCTCATGAGCCTCTGACGCGAGTGACGACGGCTGCATGGAACCCGAACCTACGGTTCAGCTGCTGGGCTGCGATTTCTATGGCTTCCGGACTGATAAAGGTCATGGACCTTGGCGTGCAGTGACAGTCAACCAAGTTCCGAATCGGCAACGTGGTACCTACCATTTGAGCAAATTTTGCTCGCCTCGTCCTTTTGGTACTTAGCCAACAATATTTTCTCGCTGTACTATTGTCATTTTTATTGTACTACATATCGTATCTACTCGGTAAAGATGGCTAGACCAGTTGCCTCTATATGTCCTAAGCTGTTGGTATACTAAATCCAAAAGAAAACAGTGTATCCAATATCACGTCAAAGTCCGGCATTGTATCCATGTGGCCGGTTTAGCACTGAGCCCCCAACACGCTGTGACGGTAATCAAACGCCTTGACCATGCCGTACAAATGAGATGCGGCAGCCAAGACAACGCAGATGTGAAATATCTGATGAGAGCTGCCAAAAATGTCAACAGTTCCAGGAAACTGGCGTTCTGGCCACCGTGACTGAAAAGCGTGCGTGTTAGTAACAGCGGCCGTGGGCTGGCAACTGTCGGGTAGAAGGAAGACTCACTGCATACAGGAATGCGCCAAAGATGTACAGAGCTCCCTGGAAGATGACCCAGGAGAGGCCCATCCTTTCGTTCAAGTCCTGGTATCCGTGGAGCCTCAAGTCCTGAAGTATAGGGACTACCCCTGAGGCGCCAAGTCCGACAAACATGAGTGCCCTATACGGGCGCCAGGCAGGAGCGCGGAAGTGGTCGAACCACGACACGGCCAGGCAGCCCAGTCCCAGGAGCGATATCTGCACATACAGTGCTACAGTTAAACAATTTGCCAGGCTGGAGGGTTACACCATGGAGTGGGGTGGGGTGGGGGGGGTTGGGTTGACGAACCACGGACAGATACAGGTTCACCAAAGTCGGGAGACAGACGAAGCCGTAATAGATAGCCGGCACGTAGCTACCGACGATCAGGAGCACAATGCCCGTGTAGTCGAGCTTGTTCCCCCATTTCGCCACGGAGGGCGAATGGTTGGAGAGAGTATGGTACGTAGCACTCATGCCTAGGCACAGGAAAGCGCCAGCAAAGAAGCAGGAGAAGACGAGCAAGTCGGCGTCGGACGCAGACTCGTATCGGGGGGCAATCACGGAGTGCAGGACGACGGCACCGACCGTGAAGACCAAGGCGCCGAGCAGGTGCGACCAGATGTTGACCGTCTCGTTGTGCAGGTAGCCCAGGCTGGCAAAGGAGCCCCAGTAGCTGTTGCTCGTCTGGCGGTAGCCTCGCACAATGTAGGCATTGTCTCGGCGCCAGGACGGGAGCTCGTCCCACAAGACTAGGAGGGCCTGCTCGACCTTCGACTCAACCTTTCGCGCAGCGTCGACGACAGTCTGGGCGGCGGTATTTGAAGGACGCCGTTGCCGCAGCGAGCTTGCTGGTGTCTTCTTGGTTCCACTTGCCATCTCTGGGCGGGATGGTTTAAAACAGGATTAAGGTTACGCAGAGTCGGGCGTTGGAGCTGACAAAATTTCCCAAGGAAACATGCAAGGCTGAAAAGAAAAACCACCTTGGGCAGGTAAAGAAGAGTTTCGATATTCCACATGCACGTCGCCCCGAGAACACCATTCCAAGACAGCTCCTCTCTCCTCTTCCGTTCCTCGGTCTAGTTTTGTTGAGGTTCACAAGACTAAAAAAACAACATACGACACACCTTTGGCCGAGGTACAGCCAGGTCGGGGAATGAATGATCTGCGAGGTTGGTGAAGAATTAGCGACCCACAGCTGGCTGCCAGCTGCTGCCAGGCGCTGTCCCGTGCCCCAATGGCCCTCACATGAAACCTCGAGCTTCCTTCAGGCAACAGCAACCAGGAAGAAGACCCAACAAACCCTCCAACAAGAGACTCTTCAGTCGCAACACTAGCATTGCTTTAAACCCCGAAGGAAACACCCACTGGTCCAGAGAGTGTTACATTTTCTTTTTTTTCCTTTTCTTTCTCTTGCTCTATCCTTCTCCTTGCTCTTCTCCTTCTCCTTGCTCTTCTCCTTCTCCTTGCTCTTCTCCTTCTCCTTGCTCTTCTCCTTCTCCAATTCCCGTTCGTTGTAGTCGTTAGGTGGTTTACCTATCTAGTCAACAGGCGTTTTGAGCCCTGACAAGTCCGTGCAGATACGTACTCTCAACTTTTGGTGCACCCATCAATCAATTGACAACAAGCCCGATGCAAGTGCATATTGACTTCATCTGTTGCTGTGCAATTGTGCGAGTCGCCTCGCTCTCTCCTCCCGTCAATTATATACACTCTCCGCAGCGGGCGATGACGTGGCTCCACTGCGTCGCACCCGCGTCAGGGGCAGCCCCCTAAACGCGACGTCGAACTGGGAAGCCGTCGTCGCAACCGGGCAAACTCCCAGACATGCTGGTGGCACACTACCTCCCAGTGTCGCGGGGAAATAAGGGGTTATGTACACACGGAATATCTGGGTGCGCAACGAACAAAAGGTGCAGACGGGCGGAGAGAGGACGACCGCCCCGAGGCTCGCGCGCCCCTGACAGATTCCCGATGCAGCGAGCGGGATGTGGGTGTGCGATAGGTAGGTAGGCCAGGGCAGCAATCAGTCTCCAAAAGCCTCGGTGGGACTGCTTCCTTGTTCCTGGATGTGGCTCGACACCTTTTCTAACCCCCCAAAAGCTCGGACATGCTCTCCAGATACCCGGATCATCAGCCAGAGAGGCCCAGCCAGTTTCTATTTCCGTCCATCGGATCGGTTGCTTCTGCAAGCAAATCTGGGGTTGGGCGATGCGGGCTAGAAGCTTCCCTCGACGACAAGCTTCGAATTGTTTTGCTATTGTCGAGCCAGGCCCGGCCGAGATGGCTCGGCGCGGAGGCAATGGCACCTAATGTCAGGCTAAAGCCGCTGGCAAGACAAGACCGCTGCGACTCCCCGGCGCCCTAGGTGCAAGGACAGAAAAGAAAATAAAAGGAAAATTGAGAGATCAGCTTCGTTTGCGACGTGTTGCGACAAGACATGCCGGCCCCCTCCCCGTCTAAACCGGTTTATCCTGTTCTCTCCTGTGTCCTATGTCCTGTGTCTTCTGTTCTCCGTCCTGTGCTCGTTGGGTATCGGGATCATGGCCTCTTGGCGAGGTCTCGCGATGACACCGTGTCTGGTGATGTTAGAGTGCTCGATGCGACTCAACACTGGTCTTCCTGGCCGACGGGCCTATCGGTGTCGGTTGCGATAGCATCACCGTCATACCGTCATAGGTATGGGATCGTCTCGGTTCATTTAAGCTTGATTCACGGGTAGGGAGTAGGGGGAGCGCGTGGTCCAAAAATAGATGGTGTTTGGGGAAATCTTCCGTTGGCGTCACTCATGCTCAGAGCCAGCTCGGTTTATCGCGGCCCTCGAAGCCCGATCAACGAGGATTTGGCCAGATTGAGTTGATGATATCGGCGCAATTATAACGCTGCAACCTTATTTGACTCTCGCCTGTTCAGTCCAGAGTCTGGGCACCAGGCCACGACTGGCCGGGAGGCAAAACCGAGCGTGGTCCAGCGTGGTCGAGGGGCCCGGATAAATAAGACGGGCCCATATCGCCCTCACCTTCGCCCTTGTACTTTCATCTATTCCATATTGCCTACAGATTGTCGCCACCAGATACCCATCATGGCATCAACCAAATCACCAGTCCTCACGTTGTTTTGCCTGCGGGGCCCATCCGTTAATGTCATGACCAGGTTCTATAAATATGCCTGTTAGGGACCATGGCGACGTCGTTGGCGATATCACGATACAGACATAGCGCCTCAGCAAGCGGCGACAACCCGGACTATATTAACTGACGGCGCCTCGTCTCATTCCGTCCTCTTGATCTCGAGGCTTGGACCTGAGCTTGTCAAGACCAGACCGCAACCAAAGAGCCCATACACCCCTCGCCACACATCCCGCCAGCCCGCCAACCGCCATCATGGTCGGATCAGGCCTTGCCCTCTCCCTCCTCAGTCTCGGCACCGTCTGTGCCTTGCCGACAACACAAAATGTCGAGGAACGGCAGATATGGGGCATCGGGGAAGGATCGGGCACCTTCACCCCCGGAACCGGCGGCATCCCGACGTGCTTGACAAACGTCCCTCTCCATGAACAGCCCCCGTGCATCCTACCGCCTCTTTCGGGCGGCTTCATTCCGCCAAAGGAGAAGCGCTCGTTCACGCTTCCACCTGACTACGGCACCAACGCCAAGAAGGTCATTGAGCAGCTCGAGCTCGAGCTTGAGCAGCTGCAGAACAAGAGGCACAAGTCCGCCCAGGATAAAGACGATATCGAGGCTATCAAGGGTGCCCTGAAATATCTAGCCGGAATCACCGCCATTTCCGCCCCTCCGGGAACCGGGTCGACCTTCACTCCTGGCAAACGATCGTTCTCGCTTCCGCCCGACTATGCCTCCAATACAAAGGAGGCGATCAAGCAACTGGAAGTCACTCTTGTGAAGCTGCAGAACAAGCGGAACAAGACGGCCGAAGACAAGGCGGATATCCAGGCAATCAAGGCCGCGCTGAAGTACCTGGCCGGAATCACATCCATCACTGCTCCTTCCGGAACCGGATCGACCTTCACCCCCGGGAAGCGCCAGGCATTTGGCCTCGGCGGCTCTGGTGGTAGCTACTCGTCCAAGTGCCCGAATCTCGACGGCGCCGAGCTGGCTCTCGAGGCACTGCTCCACAAGTCCAGCCCGTCTGTTCAGGAAATATTTGTCATTCAGAGCCTGAAGCACTTCCTCTACGGATGCGGTATCACCATTGTCAAGTCTCCTGACGGCACTAGCACCACGATCAAGCCCTCCGACAAGCGGGATGTTGCTCTCACGGCCGATTTTGACGTCGCGGGGCTCGAGCAGGCTTATGGCGCACTCCTCTCGTCTGTAAGCTCCGAGAAGCCTTCATTCACCACGTGGCTCACCCTGGAGCAAATCGCCGACATGCTCGAAATCTATGGCGTTTCCGTCGACCATTTGTCATTATTTGATGCGGGCAAGCGCCAGATCAGCATTGGCGGCAAGACATGCCAGGCATCGGACGTCATGGGCCTCAAGGCTGCCCTCGCCGCACTCCTGACGGCCTACGGCGACCCAGCCCACGCCCCTCCCAACGTCTTCCTGGTCGAGCAAATCATCGTCACGGCGCTCCAGATCTGCGGCCAGTCTGTCCAGGGCTGGACGACGCTGACGCCCGGTAATCCGATCCCCGGCGGCGCCATCATACCCAATCCCACTATCCCCGGCGGCGCCATCACCCCTGACCCCACCACCCCGGGCGGCGCCATCACCCCGGACCCGTACAACCCCGGATCCCCCATCCGCCCCGACCCCTACAACCCAGGCGGCCCCATGAAGCCCTCGGATAAGCGCCAGGCACCTATCAAGGACCCAGCCGCCCTCCTAGCCGCCCTGCACACCCTCGAGGATAAGTACGGCCGCTACGGCTCCGGTACTATCCCTGTCCCCATCTTCCTCATCATGGTCAACATTGTCACCATCCTGCAGGACATTCCGGGCGTGGTCGTCCCTGGCTGGCCCATCCTGGGGCAGGGCTCCGTGGTCTTCGGACCTTCATCATAAAAGGGGCACGGCGCATAGAGACAGGGGCGAGAGAGGATCGAGAAATAGAAACAGTGCAGTCGGGGTTTGGTCAGCAAGCTCAGGCATGAGCGAGTCTTTCTGAAAGCGACACAATCACAACGGCTAGGTGTCAGTTCGCCAATGGGGTGAGTAAATAAGGGTGTTGTTGCTCCTCGCGAGAGGTCCGACGGGAGAGGAGACGGAGTGATCGAACGGAAAGATGCGCAAGATGAAAGACGCATGTCGCGTGTCGGCCGAAGAGAGGAAAGAAGGAAGGGAAGAAAAAACAATGATGATATCCCCGCGTCCTATCCATGTCGGACTTTGGAGAAAAGGTGTCATGGACCATCGTAATTTGCTGTTGTTTCGGCAGAGCACCATCACCTCAATTTTCCTGTCTTCTTTTCTTTTCTCGTTTTCTTTTCACATCAGGATGTACTTACCCCATTATCTTTTCTTCAATATTCCAGTCATATTTTGTCATTTCTCCTCATATTCATATTTTATATAGCTAGTTATCTCAAAGGCTTGATCGACTTCGCTTGCCCTCTGCTGCGTGTGTCTGACGGCGGCAACCTGAATCGACTCCATCAAGTTTCAGGAGTGCACGAACCCTAGAGTATCCAAATTCCGACAGTCTAGGTAAGGGGAGTTAAGGAGTAGAGATGACTCTCCCAAGTAGCCTAGCCCTTATAAACAGCACGCAGTAAGCGTATACAGCATTTAGAACAGCGATAAGACACTGTTTTCGTCGACTGGTCGCAATACACCTTGCCCAGCACATTCTGCCTGAAGCTACCCATCGTTGCGGTCACACCCTTTCTCCCCTGTCTTCCTGGCAACGACACCCAAGCAAAGGTCACCACAGCAACCAGTCTCCTCTGAGACCCTCAACCTGCCGAAGCCCTTTGAGCACCACCCACCCTTCGAACAAAAGGCTAACGTGCCTTCACCAAGGGCTGCATCAGCTGACAGGGTCCGCGGACGGTCTAGACTCCCCGTTTCGCCCCTCGGATTGGGTGGACAGGACAAATAGTGGTAGTAGCCTGAGCTGCAGGCAAACGCGGAGACAGAGGTAGTGGGAAAGTGAGCGAGTGGGTGTGGAAAGCGTGCAGAGAGGGCATGGCGGTGTGATGACACCTCCTGTGGGATAATAATTCCGCCACCCGCTCCAGCCGCCGTCAACCAACCGGCATTTACTTGCCAGACCTGTTCTGGTCGAGAGGCCAGAAGCATTGAGTCCGTGAAGACGAGACGCGTAGTGCATGTGAAGGCCGAGAGTGTTGGGACGGACGGCCGACGGGATGGAAACCGAGACAGTCCCATCCTAGCCTAGGTATGCTACCTAGTACAACGCAGGAGACAGACCTTCGTACAAGTCGCGCTGCCGTAGGGAAAGACGACAAAGAGTCAACCTGTCGGGACAGCCAGCCGGTCAACCTTGCAAGGGAGAGCGAGGGAGAGAAAACAAAAAGCTAAGGGTATGCCTGCCTGGTAATTTTTTTCGACAAGACACGCGGCCAGGCAACCCGCCCGCCATGCTAGCCCGGCTCTAGACTAACACTGACATGCGTATCTATGTATGTATCGCATTGTCTCAGAACGGGTCGCGCGCGAGCTTCGCCCAGTGTTTGAGAGAACATTCTCGAGAAGAACATCGCAAAAAACTGTCGCGCAAGTAATAAGGGAGAGAGGAGGGTTGGTTGCTCAAAGAAGGCCGAGGGTAGGTAACATGCATGTATGCACGGCTTCGGTCTCGTCTCAGGGACTCCAAAGTCAAGGCAGAGTCTGATTTCCCTAGGGACCTCTCACACATAACGTGTCTGCTTGATGTAATGCAGACACCGAGAAGACGAGTGCATTCTCTACAGCCCGCCAAACCGCGCTTGTCGACCTGATGATAGGTAGGTCCCGCGTATGTAGGTGCGGTCGGTCCACACTAACGTGGGCAGGACGAGAAACAATCTTCATGTAATAATAGCAGACTTTGGTGAGCACCAGCAGACAATTGTGGATGCAACTCGGGAAAAACGCGTTTCACCGATCTCCCTTGTGGTGGAGGATGGCGACAACGACGACGAGGACACTAACCCTAGCCTTAAAAAATTAGGATGTCCCGCTCAACCTCCACCCAAGTCTAAGTGTGCAGGACTGCATTCAATGTGCGTACATAGTATAGATCTCGACCGAGGGGCTTGCCTGTTCCTAGCAGCGGGGATGCAAAAAGCGTTCTTGTCCAGCAGGCGCGCGGGTTATTAGATCTCAGCGGCACGTGGTGCAAGACCGGGAACTCAGACAGCACCGCGGTCTAGTGAGACACTGGTGCCTCTTGCCCCCTCATGGGCGAGTCAAAACTCGGTGATCGTGGGTGGTTACCGTATGTTGTACATAAGAGTACCTTCCAAAGGCTGGCTGGGCAGAGGCCCTGTCTTGTGCCAAGATCGAGGCCGCTGGGGACGATCTTGAAATCTCATTGCGTGTGTCTTGACCTCTGCCAGTCACAAGAACACAACCTCGCAATCAGCCAGACACCCAACCCACCTTTCTCTCACCCAAGATCTGCGCAAGCCTAGCCCTCGAGTGCCGGAGCTAACTAGGAGGCTGGAGACCCGAGAGAGGATACTGACGGCCCTCGCTGAGTGGTTGCTGTGCCTTTTCACCGCCATCTTAACCTCCATCCAGCTCTCAGGCCCAAGATCCAATCACAAGGGGTCGAGGTTGGTTGTCGTGAGGGGCACAGGAGGCCGCTGATGCGCGCCAGCCCCAACTCGGGCTAGTCAGAAAGGAAGGATGCCCGAGAAGCTCGAGGCTGACACCAAGCACATCAGATCATTCCTTCCCGGTGCCTTCTTTGGCGCAGACTGGCAATCCAAGGGCGGCCAGGGAGCATCTGATTCGCCCCAGGCCCTGGGGAGGAAGGGAAGGAAAGTGGGAGGGGAAGAAAGCCGTTCGAGCGACGAGAAGGCCGACTGGTTGGCGGAGAGACACTGCAGATGCGTGTCGGACAGCATAGCAACCCAAACGACAGAGCTAATGCAAGCACTATAACAGATACCATGGTGCGCGGGCATCATGGCACAGACTTTTAGAACCCGCAGGAGAAGTCGAGGCCTTGGTCGTTTCCTTGCGATCCCACCGCCTGCACTGCACAGGGAAGAGCTACCCTAGGTGCACAGCAGACGACTGCTCCCCAACAAGTTAACGACAGAAAGTGCCATATTGAGCAGCCACTAGCTAGGAGGGTGTCAGCCAACCACATGCCCCTTAGACTTGCCGTGATGCCAGTGCCGCCACTCAGCAAGCGCCGTCGGGCAATACTATGTAAGCGCATCGAGTTGAGTGCTTGCTCGAGGTGCTCTATGGAGGGTGAGTCTTGTGGGATCCCGGAGATTGCGCCGTCATCAAGCCGGCGCAATCAGACACCAGAGGCCAACTGCCAGAGGAGGGGAAAATTACCAGAAGCAGAGGATGACGATGCACAAGTGGAAACGAAACAAAGCGGCGCCGCACTCGCGGTTGTGCCCCTCGGCCACATTATGCCAGGACCGGCAATAGACAGACAGCTTACAGTAGCTTGTTGGTGGCTCGGCGGAGAACGACGAGAGAAGAAAGATGATGCAGAGGCTCGGTCAGATTGGCCCGGCTTCCGTCTGCCTACTTCCACAGCTGGCTGTGAGAAGCAAACGAGTTTCGTCATCGTTTAGAGGGTGCCAGTTGTCCCCGCCGCTTGCCCCCCCCCCAAGCCGAGCCAGCCAGCGAGGTAAACGAATTACTTTACTTTATTCGGCGGATAGACGAATGGAAGTAATCTACGCAGTAAGACGCGAGAAAGAAAGTGGGTAAGAAAACGTGCAAGAAAAGAACCCGAAGACGCTGTGAAGAGCAGGGTATTTGGATCCATCTGAATTTATTGCGACCTTGGGTTGTTGCTTGCTTCTCGAACGTGCCCGACTAGCGCGACCAGCTTTCTTCTTAGGGTTGGGTGCTAAAAAGAGAAAAGGGGGGAAGAGGGGAAAGTGGAAATACGAGGAAGCCGGTGATGGAGGGGGAGGGGGAGGGGGAGGAGGAGGGGGAGGAGGAGGGGGAGGGGGCGCGGACCGCCCTGGAGCAAGGGCCATTATGCAGTCAAGGCTCGGACCAATACGAGGAGAGAAGCTAGCAGAATAAGAAAATGGGCAAAATGACCGACCGACCCCTCCCCTCTTTTCTTTCCAACAAAACGGCGAGCGACGGCGAGTGGGCGGGCGATAGATCCATTGGGCTGGAGGTCGCTTGATTCATGCTCGCCCCATTCTGGGCACCGTCGCCTGCCGGCGCGCCAATAGAAGCTCTGCATGCATGTCTTGCAAGCCCCATCCTTAGCTCGGGTTGCACGGGCACTTGCAGCTCTTACCCACTGAATGGACTTGGATCTGCCTGGCCTCGACAGCTCTTGTCTGTCTTTGGGCTGGCGGCGTCATCCTGCACGAACGTACGACCCATCCGTCTCCGTCCCGAGAGGGCCTGCTCAGGAAGAAGCAATCCACATCGATCTGCCTGATTTTAGCGGGCTCAGTGGTAGGGCAGCTCTATGTGGCTGCTCACTAGGCGCAACCCTTTTGGAACAGGAAAAGGAGAATAGAGAACGAAAAGAGAGCGGGTACAGATCCGTACCCAACGAGGAAAAGAAGAAAATATGAACATGCGGCCTGAAATCTTCAGATTTTACTGGCTCATCGGAATGTACTCGTTTCTTCGTTTTATTATCCGCATCTTCTCTTCAACGCGTTTGAACTGTCCACAGTTATGTCCAAACATATCAAAGTGCTTGATAATCAGGGGAGAAAATAGGCTTGGGAAAGCAGGGCGAAGTGGCGTTTCCCTGCTCCCCAATCGAAGAAGAGGCGGACGGGCGTGCACTGACGAAAGGTGCCGCCTCACCCCCCGAAACTCTTGGCGACACAATTCCTGTGGCCAAAGGTGCCGATGGATGCCACACAAACGTACATGCCAGTCCAGTCCAGCCTATGCTTGAGCGATATTCTTCCCTCTGCAGGTCGCTTGCGATGTTCCCACAGTTCGAGTGCCTACATCCGTCCGTAATCAAGGCCAAGAGCTTGTTTTGTTGCTTCAAGGCGTCACTTTGCCGTTAGTTTATACCAAGTTGCGCCAGACTATTGGGCAACGGTCTCATGCTAGGTCCAGTTTTCTCAGCCACAGACCGATATTCCGTAATGGCCATATCCATTCTACTGAGTCGCTCGGTTGCCATGTTAGGGAGGTATTATCCGTAGAAAAAATGCCAAGTCACTTCGTCGGCGGCCGCAGCAAATGAAACCAATTTGTGACTTCTCGAGCTTCCTTTCATTGTTTGCTCGAGTTTGCAAGATGTTCTGCAAGATGTTCATGTTCTATCGACACCACTTATCTAAATCTTCCTCCTGGAGATCCCCGCGCATCCCATCGGATGCGGGCTCTCCAGGAAGGCCAAAAAAACGTATTGTAGTTGTTGCGGCGGATAATCCTGCCGCAATGGGCTATTGACCCAGGGTAATGTCTAATAATCCTCGTGTCCCGTCCCTCGTTTTTCATCCCGGGTAAAGCAGAACAGCCAATCCAGTCCCCAGTCCCCAAGCAAAGAATAATAACACGAGGGCAAGAGAAAAGTGGTATCAATCCGACCCGAGAAAATGTCGCGAGCCTTCCCCCTTGGTCTCTCCTCTAATATTGCTGCCGAGGACATCTTGCTTTGAACGAAGAGGGTATGATGAGTGAGGAAAATACGCAAAGGGTATTAAAAATCGAGTAAACCGACTGAATCAGAAGTCCCCATCGCCGTCAAACTCCTGCTCTTATATCCCCCCTGCGCCGGAAAGGATGCCCGTTTGAGTCTGTAAGGAAATTGTGTCCATAAAGGAATGGAAAAGAAAGAACTTGGTAAGACCGACAACACCTCGTTCTTCTCTCTCGGAGGTGATGTCAACCGAACTCCACGCTATGAGAAAAAAATAAACAGCAAGTACTTTAGCTTCGCAAGCGCAAAAGTAGAAGCTGGAGGGGAAAAATACAGAGGGTAAAAATAAGATATAAACAAGAATGTGTCGTATGTCGTATCCGTTTTCTGGTGGGAATTTTTGAACGCTCCTTTTTTTCCAATGGGAACAATGGCAACAAGAGTCCAGCCGGGTATTAAAATAATCCAAAAACCTTGGATGGGTCCTTGATTTTAGGAGCCTTGAAACGTTGTGTAGTACCATGGGACGGGAGGCTGAACATGATCTTTAGATAGCAAGAGACTGAAAAGATAACCCAGGCGGCGTCTGGGGTCTCATCCAGCCAGACCTTGGAAGATCTTGGCAAACCAGGATTCGGCTCGCAGCAGCAAAACCTACAAATATGCAAGGCATCAAGGGTAATGATGTCCAGCACAGATGCAAAACAAGGAGCTGGAAACTCAGTAGCAGTGAGCGAATATAGGGACCTGATGATGGAACGGAACCGGGTGGTGAAGTTGTGGTCCTGATGCCTGCCCATATTTGAACATGTCCCAAACATATTGGGGAAGCTGAAACCTGGGTCCACAAGCGGGTTGGGTTGGAACAGACATTGGCTGGGCCGGTTCCGGGACAACAGCAGGATATGGATGCAGGTACTCCTGCGAGTATACCATAGTCCTCGGCTCCTCTGCCTCGTATATTGCCGGATCCCCAAGTAATGGCGGCGGTGGGGGTGTCTTGGCCTCTGGGAGATCATCAATTAAATCGTCCTCTTCCAGATCCTCAATGCTGGAACAGGTCGAGGAGATGGATCCGGCGTCCGACGAGCAGGTTGATACACCATCCGACATGGAGCCGGAAGATGCAGGGGACAGGGGCACAGAGTAGTCGTACTCGTCGTCGTCCTCGTCCTCGTCGTCGATGATCGACTCCTCGCAGTCAACGTATATGGGTGAGTGCTCCGGCGATGCGGGTGGCGTGGGCAGCAGAGGTCCAGCTTGTTCGGTGAACCGGGAGCACGCGAGAATCCGGGCCCGCAGCTCGGGCAGGGTGATTCTCTGGTCCGGGTTCCGGGTAAAAATACTCCCCAGAATGTCGTTCAGTTCATCCGACACGGGAAGAATTGTCTTCAAAAAACCCTGGCTCTTGGTGTAGGCCCGATAAGTGGAGTCCTCAAAGGATGCTTGCTTCCATGGGTTGCGTCCACAGGTGAGGTTCACCAGGATGACTCCAAGGCTCCAAACATCATTTGGGGCACAGTAGTAAAAGGGTTTCCTAGAGGAGTGGTCCAGGCATTCTATAACGAAGAGGAAGAAAGAAAGAGTCAGTGCCTGGTTGGGGGGGAGAGGAGCGTCGCCGGGCTGGGCAAACGCCTCGAGAAAAACGGAGAGATTAGAATGAGAGATCGGATAGCAAAACCTACCTGGCGACATGTAAAAGGTCGATCCGCATCCATAGTCCTCGGACCGGTCTGATGAGGTTGCCAAGCCAAAGTCTGCCAGCTTCACAGTCTCGCCATGGTCAGAGACGAGGATATTTTCCGGCTTCAAGTCCCGATGGTAGATCCCCAACCGGTGGCAATGCTCCACAGCATCCAGGATCTGGAGGAAAACACTCTTGGCGAGCTCATCCTTACCCACGTACTGCCCACACTCAGTAATGTTGAAAAACAGATCACCCTCGGGGGCATACTCCAGGATAACGTAAATGCAGTCGGGGTTGTCGATAATCTTGAGCATCGATACCACGTTTGGGTGGGCCGAGGCGATGTAATGTAAACGTATTTCTTGGTTCTGGAAGGCGACCTGGCGTCGGTCCAGCGGCGAGCCATCCGCGTTAAACTTGCTCAGGCATTTGACGGCATACCGGACATGGTTCTTGATGTCGACGGCCGAGTATACCACTCCATAGGCGCCGGTTCCCAGGATTCCAGTCAGCTGCAGGGAGCTCGTAAGGAACCTTCCTAGTCTCTCCTCCGGGGCCACCGGAGCAAAACGTTGCTGGCACGGCTGGTGGACCGAGATATGTTGGCTTGCGATGGCGCATTGCTGGTCGAACGCTGGTGAACCTGGCGGAGTGGGATACCCGTACGCTGACACATGCTGCATGATATGGCCCTCGATCCTAATGCTATCTCCTTTCAGGCTTGGCTTGGCTTGGGGCCTATGGCCACGGGCGTAAACAAGTCCCGGTGGAAGATGACGAGAGAAAGGAAAGAGAGCAGAGAGAAAACAGAGGAAATGGATCCTGTCCACGGGAATGGATGAAATCTCTCCTCTGGTAAACCAAAAGGAAAAAAAAAAGGTCCGAATAGAATTGGCGTCCTTTATTCCTCGCAGATCGGCACTTCTCTGAGTTGGTGGCTCTTTCCTTTCAGGTTGGAGAAGCTGTCTCCTGTCTTGAGGTCGTAACAAAGCTGACTTCGAGTGAACGAGTCAAGCTGGAGTAGGGTCGCCGCGGTTAGGTGTCAATGGGGTTGAGAGACGAGAGAGAAGTCATGTGGCCGGACGGTGAGGGTCGAGGGCGACGGAAGGGACAGACTCAACGACCTAGCAGGCGGAGGTCGGAGAGAAGTAAAATGGTAGAGATAATGAGTGTCGAGAACGTTGGTAGTGGTGGAATGAAGCAACACGGCTATGCGATGCGGTTGCGGGCTGGATGTAGTTGATATTTGTCGATAAGACTGGCTGGCCCGCTCTGCTCTGCCGCCCCGTTCTCGTCGAAGTGGAGAGGAACATGCGCGCCCTCACATTGCGTGGTCTGGGTGGCTTGATTGGACCCTCGGCGCCCCATGTCAGGCGCTGGTCGCCTGCCCGCCCCCCCGTTGTGGGTCCCTTCTTCGCTTTCAGTATCGAAGCCTGTAGGTCTGCGGGCGAGCCAGAGAGAGTGAGAGAGACGGGAGGCAAGAAAGAGTACGTACCCCTTCCCACAGTCCTGGCCTATCCTGGCTGGCACAGGCCAACACATCAGACCCTGGGAACCACAATGCGCAGCCTATTCTTTAATTTTGGATACTTGGCGCTAGCACGGAAAGGGCATGGTGTGGGCGTAAGGTCGTGTGGGTGGTGTGGGTGGCCAGAAGTGGATCTAATGCTCTTTGGGACATGCGCTAATGCACGACGAGAGCGATTTGTGACGATGAGCAATTACGAGGACAAGGGCTGGGCTGACTGACGCACACACGCCCACTTCAGAGATGATGTGTGTCACTTGGCCTCCCCCGAGCCACTAACGCCATCCATTGCTCACCACCCAAACCATCTCACCTCTTTTGCCATGCCCCACCAGCAGGCCGTTTGAGGGGTGGAGAGAACGAGGGCGTGAGCCGAGCCAGCCGAGGGAGCAGAGCAGAGCCAGAGAGGCACCACACACACCCCATCTCGGACCATAGGATAGGTGGCCAATGTGATGACTCTCCACAACCGCTTTTTGTGTGTCGGGCGAATCTCAGCGGGCCCGTGACTGGCAGCTTCTTTATGCTTTTCCCGGCGAGCGAAAAAAAAAACATAGGCTTGTCGGGCCACAGCGGCTGGAGAAGGCGAAACATGTCTGTCTCCTGGCGGGCAGCAAACCACCCACTTTCTTCCGGCGTCCATGTTTTTGACAAGGACAGGCTCGGGAGAAGCGATGAGCCAACTGTAGGTAAGGTAACTTCATTGGGCAACTTGTTTTTCCTTCGATAGCCTATTGCCGTGCAAATAAATTGCGGCGTATGAACAACTCTCGGCTTATCGCCCCTTGATAGCGCCGACAGTCTGAGCTGTTTTGGGCCGTCTTCGACGCGGTTCTCTTGTTTCGTGAGCGAGTTGATTTTACTTGGTGAGGCTATGTTCCCGTGCGGCGGACAACAAGAAACACCTATCTGAGCGCCGCCGGGATGTGCCAACGGGCGCCCCCTCTCAGGTCCGAGACCATCGGAGTTGTTGGTTAAGATGCGGTTGTGTCAAACTGTCAATGCTTTCTCGTTTCTAATAACTTGCGATAGCAAATATCTGGGCCGACGGTGGGCTGATTGGTCATGACATTCCAAACCCAGAAGCGATTCAAAACTCCCAAGAGTCCCAACTCTCTTGCATCCCTCCTCGGCTGATGTGCACTGCTGTTTCTGCAGATCAATGAACCGTGAGGCCAGGCTGGGTTTATTGGATAGCATATGCACTAGTCTCGTATCTTGGCTGGTGCATTACAAGCAGCGGGCCTGACGGCGAGAAGGGGTTTGAGGTTCGGTAGGGTGCATGCGCTGAGGGCCATCTTGGAGTCTAGTGTTTGGCTTTCCAATTGATCGCTTTCTCTGTTTTCGATGCTGTGCAGGGGATGATGGTGTACACCTCCTCCGGGGTAATACATGTTAACGTAGGAAGGTGGCAAAGTTAGTGATTAGCGAGATTTCCCCAAAAGATACTAATAGTAGGTAACGTACCAAGCTAACATGTATTTCCCCGGTGGAGATGTAAGAAAGCAATGTAATCTGGATAAAGTCGATCTAGAAAGATAGTGTGACGGTAGTGCACAAGGGCAGCGACGGCATCACGAACAGCCAAGAGGTTCAACACTACAGTACCTCTCAGGAGCGGTTAACCATAATGCAATCGAGGCTTTGTTTACCTGAATTATCAGCGAGCTGTATCCTTTTCACCTTTTCAATTTTCGCAAGATGAAGAAGATAATCTGAAGTGAAAAGGCGCCGAAGAAAATGCATTATGATCACTCTTACGCCTGTATTTTCCTACTCAAAACCGGTCATCTGGTATAAATATTGGGAGCTCTGGGTGGGGGGCTAACAACCCCCTCACCAGTCCAGAACAAAACTCGTAGCAAACAACCTAAGCCAGGACTGGATTGTGCGGTCTAAGACCCAAGACAATAGTCGGGGTGTGGCGCCGCTCAACTGATATCCCCCATTTGGGTCATCTTGGAGGCACAGGATCTTGCCGAACTGGGCCGCCAAACCGCTTTTGCCCCAACCCGGGTCAGTGCAGGATAATCCTCCTTCCACTCACTGATTCCTAGTTGCTCACCAGCAGTTTACTGAGTACCCCGTACGTAGATTCCTTTTCGTGTTGGGCTGTCACTTGCTTGCTGCTTGTTCAGGGGGCGCCGGCAGGGCAGGCAAGCAATTCGGCCTGCCCTCTGTTACAGAGTTGCACTTCCAAGACAGCGCAGCAGTGCAACGCTGCGCCCCGAGGTCCGACCAGGATTTCAACGATGTTTGGTGGGGTTATTATGGTGGTTGGTCCCGGGTTCGTCCTTGCAGACCGAAGCGTTGAGTCGTTCCAGACTCCGGAGTTTTTGGATTGGATGTGGGTAAGAAATGTGGATGTGCCAATTTTTGGCGCCTGAGGTTGAAGCTCGTCGGCATTTGGAAGCTCACTCACCAGACTGGCATGGACGACGAGACGAGAGACGGGCCTCTTTCTTGCCTTGGCACGAGGATCGGTGCTGTGGGCTCTGTCACGTCTGTGCATGGAAGATTTGCGGGTTGTGGATGGCTCTACGAGCGTCCTTTGCAAGTCCGCCCCACGTCGCATGCATCCCTACCGCCCTGTCATAACATCGATTCGACAGGGTCGCGACCGACCGAAGCAAGTGAGGCTGTCGACCCATGCTCCTAACCACGGAAGGGAGGGGAGCAGCAGGGGGGTGTGAGGGGGGGTGGCAGCAGCGCGACAAACGAGGCTTCTGGGCGCTCCAACCATCCAATGGGCGCCTCCGGTCCGTGCGGCGGCATATTTGCAGCGGCAGGTCATAAAATCAGGGTTGACCGTCAGCAGGCAGGACTGACCTTTGCCCGTTTTGCGATGTCAATTGTCTGGAGCTGATGGCATGGTGGCCGACGTGAACTCAACTCATGTGGAAGCTTACGGATCGAAGATTGCCAAGGATATCCGCAGGTTTTGTGCTTGCGTCACAGTGTGCGCTGGAGTTAGCTTGAATTTAGGCACTGTCCAGTCTCCTCACTCTACGGAGTCTATTCCGTAGGGAAAGCACAGATCAGCTAGCGACTTCTTGATCCTCACGGCTTCTGGGGCTTGCAGGTTTCTAAGTCTGCCCTGTTAAGCCCGTTATTTTAACCTCACTCCCGTTTGTCTAGTACCGGGCTCGTGTGCACAGTGCACATCATTCCCATCCAGGTCAAGAAGACACAATGAACCAACCTACAAGACAACAAACCAACGCGTACTCCGTACACAGTCCTGCAACAGCAGTGTCTTCAGCGGCTCGTCTTGTGACTCGACGAGCTAGGTTAGGTTGGTCAAGGTAATTTACCTAGGCGTGACTTATTACCTCGCCGGACTTTTGGTCTTGCTCGTGGGCCCCTCGTCTCGCTTTGCGGCGGCGCCCGGCACGCGGACTCGAGGGAATCCCAGCAGGTGGCAGATCGAGCCGCTGAGGCCGCATCCCAGGCGGCCGGCCGGGCACCCGCTTGGCCAACCCCTCTGGCGTCTTCTTTCCTCTCAAGGGACGAAATGCCGGATGATGCATACAAAGCAGCTTACGAAGTACGTACAGGACAGGATAATATTAACTTTGTGGCATAGAAATGTATTATCTTCTGCGGCCAACTGGTCCGGAAGGGTCTCGACGGCGGGCTATCGCATTATTAGCGGCTCTAGGTCGTCCGTCTGGGCGGGTGTCTTGTAATCTGGCCGCCTTGTGATTCTGGGCTTGGGGGATTTTTTTTTTGAACAGGCTCAAGTCGGCAGTGGGTGATCGCTGAGACGTTACAAGAGGATTGCTTGAAGAACGTCTTGCTCAAGTGCGCAAATCACACCGCCAGTTTACGAAAGGCCACCTTCCATTCTCCAGGTTTAGCGTATTAGCCTCAGCAGTCCGTGGTTTCTATGTGGGATGAGACATGTCGGAATTTACAAAAGGAGTGGTCGGCCGAGTCGAGTCGAGTCCCTACTGAGTATGGCGGTTGATGAGAGGGGAGTATTCTTCGCAGTAATGGGATTTTCAGGGTCACAAGATTATTGGGTGGCATCATTGGCGACCTCCTAAAAGGCGAGATTTCCCTTGTACAGTACAGTACCATGGCCGGCCGTCCTTCGGGAATGAACCGCCATCTCCAGCTTTCGAGAAGCCAGGCCGCCGGCCAACCAGGCTTCTCCCCCACACACCAGATGCCCGCTTTGGAACCAAGAACCAAACCCCCCTCTAAACAAGAAAGAGACGGTGTGCCGAAGAGTCGCAGCAACTTGCAGCAACCCAACTCGAGGCCTTCAGAACCCATCACATCCAGTTCCGCGCGAGCCCTTCCATTCGCGGGAGCCAAGCAACCTAATGGAAGTGCCACCCACTACGAGATTCCCGGAGCCATCCCATCATCCATCATGGGATGGGATGGATCCATGGATGGATGCTATTTCAATCCGCCCACAATGAAAAGAAAGCGCACAATACCTAAATTGCCCTGGCGCAGGCTAGATGCACCGTTGATCTCGGTGACTGCATGGTTTTTCTGGCCGGCAATCACCTTGGCCCAAATAATAATGTACGCAGTGCCCGTAATGTTTCTATCTACGTCCTCGGCCGGGCATTGATCCGTGGAGGATGATGCAGAGGCTGGTACGGAGGAGGCGCTTGAGCGGCCGAGCTGCAGCGAGAGAATGCACACCTGCACACCTTCCCACGGAGTACCCGTGGAAAAGGGAATCCTGCAACTTGATGCGGGGAGGACGACGGTTGCCGCAAGCCCGCAGCATACCTGGCGATAGACAGAAAAAAGCCCAAATATTAAGAGGCAACAAAAACACAAAGCCTGTTGCAGCACGGATACGGAGTACGATGCGGCGGGTGAACAGAAAGCCGCATTGTGACGATCACGGAATTTCCCAGGGGGGTTTACGCCGCGCCTTGGTGAGCACTGAGATGACCAGACGGACCGTTGGGTTGTCGGACTCCATGTTTGGAACACCGGCGTGGACAGGGGGCCGCAATGACTGACTGAATAACCTGCCACTGTCCATCATCGGCCGCCTGTGCCTGTGCCTCTTGAGTCTTGAGGTCCAGTCCAGTCCGGCAGGAGAACCTGGAGGCAGCAGCACGTGGAGCCGCCAGATGCTACGCCGGAACCCGTGTTTCCGACATGATATGGTTGGACGTCATTGTCAACTGCGGTTGACGGCGGCGCCAAATGCGGCAGACACTCTATTTCTGGGGCTTTGGGTTCAACAGTCAGTCACAACTACCTTACCTCACCTGGAACCCCAGCCCAAGCTGTGCATGTACGTGGCTGTTACACTGGAATAGACTCAAGCCATATTCCGCACAAGGCGATTGCATCCAATGTGGGTGCAATCAACAACGCCGGCGGTAATAACATTGGAGGCTGCCAAGGTGGTCAGTCTTTCTACGGATACTTTGCGAATATCCCTTTGCGGGCGGTCTTGGGGGCAATCCAGGAAATGGAACGCATCTCAAACGTCTAGGACAGTGGGGGGAGAACCCGGCAACACTACCTACATATCATACACAGACCAATACAACATGACAGCGTCGGTAAATCACGACTAGTATCTATTATTTTCACTATGGAATTACCGTTTGGTGCGTATGCAGTAAAAGTAAGGTAATTAATTATGCTACGGATGGACTCGGACTATTCCTCCTGCTCTCTGCCGCTGGAAATGCTCTAGAGACCTATATCCCCAGGGTCCTTCGAGAAACCTAGACGAAACAAATGCGGGTGGAGCGAGGAAACAGCCTTTGTGTGCATCACACCGCCAAGTACCGCAAGCACGCCGATCTCCGAGGCGATCAATCATGGCCCGGTTCTGCCGCTTGTCGCATGCCCACAGACTTCCTCGGCGTTGATGCCAAACCGCCTCCGCCTTCGCCTACGGTGGCATTGCGGCAAAGGGGGGGAAAAGGATGACGGGAAAGAAGAGGGAAAAGGAGACAAATGGGCTCAGTAACCGCCCACAAGTGCCATTAGTCGTCATTGCATTGATCAACCACCATATTCCAAGTATTTTGTCGTCCTACAGTTGCTCCGTGTACCCTACTTACTTATTGCAACAGGCCCCACAAGACGATCCCTAAAACCACTACTTCCTATATGATGTCCAGGTTGTTTGTGTGAAGATCTCGATGGTAAGCCCACCCGAGGAAGGACAAGACAGCGTGTGTTTACATTAGCCCCCTTCTTTTCGCCTACCCCCACCCCCCATCTCCACCCCTTTTTTTTATTAATCGGCAGGACCCCGGGCTTGCTACATACGTATGAGCGAGATGACTGAGGGGTCCCCGAACATTCGGTTGTTTAATCCAGTTTTCTTTTCTGGGAGAGAGAGAGAGACCCTTTTGTCCACAGACCCTCGTGGGCACGTCATGATTTACGGGGCAAACCGCCGATCCATTCTACCCACACTCTCACACTCACACTTCCCAGATTTAAATCGGCGTGCTAGCCGCCGGGTCCTAGCGGGTCAGTGACTTGTGGTTGGCACTCTCGGTGAAAAATGGGTGGCGGAGAGCGTCAGAAGGTTTAAGCCGCTTGTCGGGGTTGAGCGTCAAGCAACGCTCCAAGAGGTCAACTAAGTGGTTTAGCGATCCGCTTTCCGCATCATCCATGCCGTTCGAGGCGGCCAGGATGCGGGTACGCAAGTCTTTGGTGGGCTTGACGATAGCCAAGGTTCTGACAGTAGTCTGCAAAGATCAAAGTTAGTTACCGCTCCATGTGTCCAATGGTGGACGACGAGAAAAGGAAATTCTGCCAGGTTGAGAGTGGGTGCGCAGTCTCGGATCACTACGACCCGGCCACGTTATGCACTCGGAAAGGTAATGGTAACGACCAGCCGAAGAATCGACCAAGAAGCAGACTCCACGATGGCGGCCGCAAACCCTCCGTCACCTCGTTCCTTGAGGGATCGGGCTGACCAAACAGTCGCGCCGCACTTGAGCGTTCAAGATATTACCAACCACCACCCGGACCAGGCCGATCGGATATTATTAGACCACCGGTGATTGGATAGATTCGCAAACGGCTCTGCCCTTGGCAACCATGAACCAGGAGGAGAATGCCTCACCTTTCCCTGAATCTTGTCCCGTTCCACGCTCAGAAAATTGCCAACGTCGTCGAAGTGCAGATGGGCAAGCTGGCCGCGTCGATACAGCTTTGGGCTCAACTTGCCTCGGATCTCCATGATGTTCCTCAACATCTGGTTATTACTGTCGCCGGTGAAGAGGATTTTGCCGGTGTAGAGCTCGAATAGCGTGCAGCCAATAGACCACACATCAACTGCGTAGTCATACGGCATGCCCAAAATGATTTCTGGAGCACGGTAAAACCGACTCACGAGGTACGGCGTGATTTCAGTGGACGCCGTTGCAGCATCGGACCGATCAATGGCCGTGCCCAAATCGCAAATCTTGAGCCAGTTTCGCGTCTCGTTCACCTTTGATATCATTAGCAAGCGGCTCCTCACTGTCGAGAGATGTGATAGCTTACCAAGATGTTGTCAGGCTTGAGATCGGCGTGGATAATGCTGCATTTACGCATATGGACAAGCGCAATGAAAATCTGCCTGGCAAAGGCCCGGGTTGCCACCAAGCTAATGCCAATATTGTTCCCAAATTTCTTGAGAACCTCGCGCAGATTGAGACTCAAGTTCTCAAACGCCATGCACAAATGGCCCCTATACTCGAATGACCTTTCAAACTTGACAATGTGGCCCTTGTCTCCGGGGTCGGCAGCATTCAGTTTTTGAAGGATGGCTATTTCAGTAAAGCCGCCCTTTCGTAATGCATCGTTTTTGCGCATGATCTTTATGGCAACAGCTTTGTTTGATGTGAGGTCAGTAGCACGAGCCACCCCCGAAAACATGCCACGGCCAAGGGTTGTGGAGATTTGATAGCGACCATCCAAGATCTCACCAGGCCTGATCTTGTAATAGCCCAGTTTGTCGTCACCCTCCAAGATCCCGCCGCCGCCGGCGTTGGGCTGCAGCGCCGAGGATTCCTGAGCCAGGGCGGCATTAGAGAGGGGTGCCGGGGCAAACTTCTTTTCGTCAAAATCTTCGGCAAACATATCGAAGTCGTCGTTGTTATCGTCCTCTTCCGCAACAGTGACAAAGTTTTCTGGCGGCGGAGAAAGACGTGTTTCTCCGTGGAGCCCCACATTCCCATGGCGCATCTCATCACGACGTTCATCCTCTTCCATGTCAACGGTTGGATCATAATCAGCAGCTGAAGGTCCGTCTTGATCATCGTTCTTGGTGTTGCCATGAGCCTTGACAAGATCTTGGTCATCGACGAAATTAAGAAGGCTTGGGGACATGGCGTCTTGTTGCCCGGCTAGAGAAAAGTCAACGGGCGAGCGGCCAGCTATACGGTTAGCAAAAAATCGATCAATCCGAGACACACAAAGTAAGGGGTACGTACTTGACAGCGGAGTATTGACTTCAGTTTTGAGAAGACCTGGAGTGTTCTGGCGTGTCGAATCTGGCGTAGGCGATGCAAGCGTTTCTCTTGCCTGCAAGGCTTGGATGGTTGGAGTTACAGCGCCAACGCCCCGCTTGTACGCAGCTTCTCTAGCGAGCCTCCGGCGCTGAATTTCGGCCTCGACAGCAGCCTCCTGATCTACCGTAGTAGATTCATCCCAGTCTAGATCAGGCTCAGAATCTCCCTGTGGGTGTTGTGACGTAGTCGCACTGGCTCTGTTAGCAAGATCCCACCTTCCGTGGAGAGAGGGATGTACCTAGATTGCGAAATGGCGAGCCCATCGATGCCTCGTTCAACCGTAGCACCTTGACGAGATTTAGTATCTTGCTTGGGAGAGCCCTCCACCGGAATAGCCCGCTTGGACCTTGGGTCATGCTGTGAACCTCTGTCAACTTGGGCACTATACTTGTAAGACTCGGCCAAGCCACCGCGCTCTCGTTTCTGTCCATCACGATGACCTCGCGGCGACCGACTGCGGATTCGGGTTTGTTGGTCAGGAAAGTCGTCGGGATTTCGGGCATAGCCGCGGTCGCGATGACGGCCGTCCTGGCGACTGGCAGGAGCGCGTGGAGGAAGAAGAGCCCTGCCTCCAGAGTAATAGTTCGCCCTTTCGTCGTGGTGAACAAATGACCCGCGAGACGAGGGGCGGTCTAGATCGCGGCCGTGACGACGCTTCTCGCGTGAGCCTTCCTCGTAATGAACGCGGAATTGGCGTGTGTCACGTCCGTCGCGGTCATCCCGAGATCTCTTCCAGCCGCGGGGCGACTGGCTTCGTTGTTGTCTCGATCGACCATCATCGTCGGGGAAAGGTGATTGAATAGGTCGATGTCTGCCGGTTCGGTCAACTTCACCGTTTTCCTCAGAGCGAGGCAGGGGAGTTGCCTCAATTATTTCCCCTTCATCCGAGCTGACGCCCGGTGATGCCATGTTCGAAGCCAACTATTTCAAAGCTTTCCTTCGAATGCTCCAGATGCAACACACGAAGATTAAATCAGCGCTTTACTGCGTTTAAAAAGGCTCGAGCAAAGTGTCAGTAGAGTTTAGCCCGAAAGCGATTGCGTAGGTGTGGAGGGAGGGGGAGCTGAACCCGACCAGTGTTGCTTCCGATTTCCGAGTTGGGAAAGCAAGAACTATGAAATATAAATCTGTGTAGTGGGGAGACGCCAGACGGTGTTTGAATATGACCGCACCGATCACGTTGCAACAAGAAAGGCTGGCGAGATGAGGTCCAGATTGCTGATCTAGACCAGGAAAATGATGTCGTCGACGAAAGTGTAGCCCAGGCAGGGAAGGCACGCCGCAACGCGCTAATGAGCAGGGATCGACGGTATGGACAGGGGTTGGTTTGTGGGGCCTGGGCCTGAGCCTGGGGCATTAATTAAGGTCTCCCGAGATTCAGCCGAGGAGGCAAGCCCTCCACCCCTACTTTGGTTGTCGTCGCCTCTCGCCGCGGGGTCCGATATTTTTGTGGTTCTCCAGACTGGTCACTTACGAAGGGCCGCGAAGCAAGTTCTTTTTGTCCAAAAGAAGCACGATACCCTCAGGGTTTCATATACATCGACATCATGGGTGGTCAAAGTAGAGACGGCAAGTACCCGAGCCTGAGCCGCATTTCCCTCCGCAATCGCCTCAGAGGCCCGCGCAATCAGGCAACGAACCCACAGACAGCATACATATGTCACGTTTTACTGCTAACTCTTCTCAACAGGCGGCAAAGCTAAGCCCCTCAAGGTACGGGGACGAGATTTTAGACCGCATACTGACCGAGGTTCTATGATAGCTGACCTTCTTGACTGACCAACATTGGAACTAGGCTCCCAAGAAGAAGGCTCCAACGGAACAAGATGACGAAGACCAGGCCTATAACCTAAAGAAGAGGGCTGGTAGGTGCAACTAGCATTGGCCGATAAAGCAGCTTTTCTAATACAAGCCTCGTGGTAGATGAGAAAGCGAGGAAGGAACTAGCGGCCAAGGCTGGAGGGAAAGGTCCGCTGGTAAGTTTAGTCCTTCATATTTTTTGAGGTAATTATTGGCTAACTCTGCCTAAGAACACTGGTGCCCAAGGCATTAAGAAGTCTGGAAAGAAATGAACGGTTTCCGGCGTTAGGGTACTGGCTTTGGTTAGTTCGGGAGGTGAAGAAAGGCGCAGGAGTAAGATAATGGGCTGGTCTTCCATGAATTGGGTCTATTCGGGCGAGATGTGCAGCTCGCTGCTGAAAAGACACAGTCTTATTGTCCAATTTTGCGTTTCCATTTTCCAAACTCCAAACGAAGAGTTTTTTTTGTCGCTGCCTATTAACGAGTCGCTAAACCACGATCATGGTATCATATCTATTTCCTGAAAATCTAGCCGTGATTGCATCCTGTGAGAAGATTCCAATCTAGAGCTATCCATATTTCTTGTATTTGATAGGGCGGATAACGTTGGAGGGTAGTGAGCTTCAAGGCCCGACCCTCTTACAAATATGCCTGTCATCTGCGCGCCTACTAGTACTCGGATGTTTCGAGTGTCAAATTAAACTGCTTAAAATTACATAGTACTAGGTAAACATAGTAGTCATCGGACCATAATGTACTGTGATATGTACTAGAAGAGTGGAACAGCAGTGAACAAAGAGAGACATCCTTATCTGTTACGATTTTATGGCCATGGCACATGATGCTTTCATCCTCTTGGGCTCTCGAGAAAATTAAACAAACTTATTTACGTGTGATGTAGCAAGGCGCTAACCACCGGTACATTACAAGACACTAAACCCTTGTTGCGCCCTGCTTTGGTCATCATTTTTTGTGCGTGCTTCATTCAGAAGCAACGTCTAAAGGCATCCACCAACTCCAGAATAATGCCGGCCAAACTCAAACCCCATCCCGATCAAATACAAGTGATTAGTCTATTTACGAGACGCTTCTGGTTTTGATTTCCAGAATAACAGTCTCCTTTTCCTCGAATTCCGTCTCCTCAGCGGCCGGAATTTCTAGTTCCCACCCCAGGCACTGCTACCGTTTCGAGTTGCCGACCCAGGGGTCCCGCTAACGTCTCTCGCTTCTCTCCGGCGGCCTCTGAAATAATCATAGTTCGCTGGATCTTGTGGCGGACCAGCGATAGGTACCGACGGTGCCGGGTCGTCGTCAGTCTGAGGGAGACCACCGTAGCCGTACGGCCCACCCCCAAGTATACCGGGGGCACGGGGATTCGGGATACCCCTGCTCGAGCCACTATCAACACTCCTTTCCCTAGATACGAGAGTACTAGGCGAGCCAGGCAATCCTGGGGGAGATATTGGCATTCCAGCTGCATTTTGAACAAGATTGGTGTCGCTGTCGTTGCGAAGGTTGTACATGGAGCTGCGAGTTCGGAGCGGGGGATCGATAGCGCCCATGGAAGTTGAAGAGTATGGGGAGTGCGCCGCGTAACCCGCGCCATGCTGCGGGGGGGGGACGTGTAGCCATGGGTATATGCGGTGTCAAACCCAGACTGTGGTGAGAAGACCTTCAGGTTGGCTCCAAAACCCATCCCCCCAACAGGCGTTCCAGGTCTCGACCCAGGCTCGGCCCCAAACCCACTCGTCATAGTCCCCGGCGTGCCGGGACGGATAACATCCGACGGTCTTCCGAAAAGCTCACCAGCCCCATGGTCAGCAGCAAACTCATCGCGATTTTTGTAAAACTCAAAGTCGAGGCGCGATTCCGGGACAACCTCGAAACCAGGTAAAGAAGCTGAAGGCTTCCCTGTTTTGCCAGACGCCATATTCTCAAGAACATAAGTGTCGCTGTAGCCGCTCACAGACATTGAATCGCCGCCAGCGGCGTCTCGCCCATCGGTTAAGCGGCCTTGATAAACGCTAGCAAGAATATTATGCGCCTTTGCATGCACCATGGGCGTGATAAGAGCCTTGTAAAGCGCAGGGTGACCAAAACGAGCTGCCAACCGATCGTTTCGGGGACTGTGCTCATTGTTATTCAAGCCTGCCTCCGCCAGGCTGTGTTTGATATTCCTTGTCGAGAAAAAGTGGATCTTATCGTCGAACACTCGAGCGCAATAGACTTTGAAGGCGATGAGGAGGAAGGGGAGAGGAGCGATGGCGTATGCCTGGGCATGAGTGCCAAATCCCCGGACCCAGACAACCAAGAAGACGACAAAATTTGCCAGCACCGCGCCGAATATGAAGCGGTTGAACAAGATACGCCAGAACATACCGCCGCTTTCTGTCTTCGTGACAAAGACGTATAGTAACAAATATTTCTTCAATGCAACGTCGATGCCGAAATAGAGTGCTGCCGCTGGAAGGACGAGTGGCTGGATGGAAGCATAACATAAAGTGACGGTGGCGTAAAAAAGGAAATAGTTGTAGTAGCTGGCATAGTCAAATGGAGGCGGCGCCGTTAGCTCGATCAGTTCCCGGGGTGTCGGGCTTGAGAACTTTCGCATGAAAAAGCTGTATAGGAGGGCCCATAACTGAGACAGGTCAATCGCCGCGCCGAGCTGGCGCTGCAATAGCCATGAAGTCCAAAATGGAGAGACAGAGCAGAGAGAAAGAAATATGGTTAGCCCAAAGTTCTGTTGCAAAATCGCCTGCCAAGTGTCGGTGCCCGTGTTGGTCTGCTTCACAACTCCAGTCGTGAAGCTCCATATTGCGCTAAAAATGGAGAAGACGAATAAGTTGTTGAAGACGAAAAAGGCGTAGAGCTTTGCAACGACATGTCGCTCCCTTCCAGTCTTTGTCTGGTCTCCAGCCTTTATTGACATGCGCCTGAAGATAATTGGAAGAAGGAGGTAGACCAGCGATGTGAGTGCGGGAGAAGCGATACCCTGGACCAGCGACCAGAAGGCGTAGTTTTCCGACAACGAAGTTTGGAAAGCCGGCCAAACGTGCCCCAAATTCGCCAAGTTCACAAGGAAGATTGCGATCATGGCGTTTGGTGCTATCCACAATAGAGTAAGGACGGCGACCCAAAGACTGTTCCAAAGCCTCCTCGTGCTCCGAGTAGCAGAGGTCAGAGGCATGTTGTCCCAAATTATATCGTTCGGCCTCGGGGCCAGGAGGATAGTCGCCCCGTGAGGCTTCTTCTTGCGACAAGTGTAAGCGATCGAGTGAGCCTCCGTGATATCGGAATATGATGCAAAGCCGTAGGGCATGGATCCTCTCTTGTCCACCCTCTGACGGATCTCCTTGATCTCCAATTCCAGAGCCTTTATACGCTGCGTGAGATATTCAATGGCGTCGACCTTTTGCCCCTTTGGATAGGTGGAGAATGACGGGTCTTTCTTGGAGGGTAGACACACGGGTCTTGCGGCGGGAAGATTGCCTGGGTCCTTGAGATAGATGGCCAGAACCTTTTCCAGCTTCCGCACCGTGTTACTGTGCTGGTCGATGAGCTCGGGCAGAATCTTTACATCGCGCGCAACAGCCGTCCTCGAAAAAGACGAGCTTGGTACAACGCCATCGATAATCCTGGCAATGCCTTCGTCGGAAGCAAAGTTCTTGGGTAGGTCGTATAACTAAGGCATTCATTAGCGGCATGGTAACTCTGTGGAGGGAAAATACCTTACCATCAAAGTGCGAGCGTGGAGACTTTGCTGATATTCCTGGCTCTCGAAATATTGTCGTCTCAACTCGGTAACTTTTCTGTAATTCCACCAGAGGAAACCGCATACAATTGCGGTGAACAGCCAGGCGACAAATACCGTGACCCAATGAACGCCGTCAAACACATTCGTTGGCGTCAGCTTTTGCATCCATGGAGCATCGGGGAAAGCACCATGTGTCCAGTTGACCGGTATCAAGATACAACAGCCAAGAACGGAGAGGATCACGAATATGTCGCGGCACATCCTAGTAAACCGCATGAAAATAGTGGCATCCATGCCGACCAGTGTCACCAGTTCCTGCTCTGTGGTCGACCATAGCGGGCCGATCCAAGCAAAAATGCCCTTTCCCAATGGAGGAGGGGCATGTTTCTCGTCGGCATGTTTGAGTTTCGGCGCGTAGACTACACTATTGTATGGTCGAAGAAAAGAGAAGCATAGGGCAATGGCAGCTGTGACGCCGAGAGAGGAGCCCAAAGCTGCTAATACCGAGCTTTGTTGGAGCTAGGAACGTTAGTCAGCCTGCGTCCGGGAGAATAGGTAGATACAGAGAGATTGACGTTGGACTGCTGTGGCGGCATACCTGTGAGGAAAAGGGATCTTGTAGCAATTTTAGGAACTCGCCCGCAGGATCAACTGTTGGCGAGGCATCCCTCAAGAGTAAAGTCCGCGTTGCGTCCATGCCAACTTCCAGTGCGCAAGCAAGGCCCACCCAGGGCGCGGGAGGAGAGAAGATCGCGATCGGGGCAGGAAATCTCGGGCTCGAGAGAAGCTTGGCCACAGAGGGCTATCGTCGATCTATTAACTCGGTGGTCGTTTGTCGCAAACCAAGAAGCGAATCGTGATGGAGAAACGTGACGATGTGTCTAAGGGACGGCGGGAGAAGGATGGAAAGAGCCACGATCGTGCCTGGACCAATTGTTCCAAGCGCGTCGAGCAAGGACAAGGAGAAGGCGAAATGTTGAGTGACGTAAAACCAATGCCAAGGCGGTATCTCGAGCGCCCCTGTATTAAAAGGATGAGTAAATGGAGAGAAAGCTCAGGGTACAGGTTAGAGTGTGTTGTAAAAGAAAGTCAGGAGAAATCGATCAGTAACGAGTGGCGACCGATAGTATCTCCCATCGTGAGATGCAGGTCAATTGCAGGTCATGCAAAGTGCCTATCCCATCGGCATTTTGACGGGCTTAACAGGGAAGGAGTTTTGAGGGTTCAAGAATGGAGTTCGTATCCCGGCATACGGAAGGTACACTTGGTCCGTATGCCAAGGAAAGAAAAAGACAGACCGGGCTTACGGGATGCTGTACCGTACCGTACCGTACCGTACATCTTACCTACCTCGGTCCGTTTCGTCAGGGGTCGTATGTCTCCTCAGACAAACCAGGGAGGCCGCATAGAAAACGAGTGGCCTCAGAGACTAAGAGAATACAAAATTACAACTATCGAGTCATACCGGAACTCTCTACTATATCTATACTATATAAATATAATAATACGAAATGAAAATTATTATAAAATCTACCAATTTGCCTAGGCTACAAACAGAGGAAATGCGTCAGGTACGCCAAGGAGTTCGAAATTACACAGATTGCATTACTATACCTCTGTATGTATGTACCATGGTCCGTATCTGTGGCTTAATTTTAGCATTGTCACCGGACAGGGCCGCTGGCACACGCAAATGAAGCCCCACAGGGTAGGTGGGTGCGGCAACTCGGCAAGGATGTGCGATTTTTCAAATGGAGCCGTTGCTCGAATACGAGATTCCGGGACGATGCACCTAGAAAGCTTGAAAGATTTCTCCGTCTTTACCCAAACCTACCATCATTGGAACCGGGTAGCCAACAGGCTCCCTCCTGGCAAGGTGCCCTTCCCCAAGAGCACGGCGGGTTCATCTGATCGCATAAATCGGCAAATTTGCGGATAGGGGCGCGCACTTCAGATGAAAAGGGGTCCTGGACCCCACCACCCTTTAACTGCCTTACGGTACCTTACGGCCCATCGTTAAGCGATCTGTTGGCACTACGTAGTTGCCATTCAACACGATTCACCAGTTTCGCCGGCATCTTGCTACAAGACCTGGAAGTTGTTTGCTTCAGAGAGCAAGTGCATATATGTACACGTGTAGTGTGATAAATCTGGGGTATCACCAAACACAGTGCTTTTGCGGTCATCAGCCATCTGGTTAACCCGTCACTCAGTTCTAGTAACCACAAGTCAACGTGATTCTGGATGTACAGATAGTGTCTTAGGTTGATTGGCACGCAGGGCATGCACGTCATATTCGACCACCCCCTCCCTGCAGTTGACCAATTAAGGCATCGTTTTATTTGAAGCCGGACAGGCCGCGTCTGAGGCATCTTGTATACTACTGGATCTAAGCACACCTCTGCTGCTTCAAATACCTAGCAATAATGTTCACCGATACTTATAGCGCAAATCTGCTAGACTGCCTTTTATCTACGCAGTAGTTCACAGGGCGAAACGAGAATTGGAGTGAGCCAGCTGCGACTCTGCGAATGTAGGTGGTAAGCACGTGCTGTACCTTACAGATACTGTGCTAGATTTAATTGAGACATAGGGAACCCCTCGAATGACGTAATGATGCAGTCGTCAAGGTCACAAATCACTGCGGGGTTCAAAAGGGCTGAACTAAGAGCCTCAACTCGAATTGATATGAAGGTTACTTCAAGGCCAGGAGAAGATCGATTTGAAGAGGGAGAGGAGATATAAGGTATTAAATTCACACATAACTCAAAAAGAAACAAAATACGCGAACCGGCACGCGAAACCAGCGGAATTTGCGGCGATGCGGCACTGGCGAAACCCAATGCATCCTAGACGCTACGAAGATAACCTAACCTTTCATTGCCTGGCGAGTGCCTACCTAGGTATCTAACTTACCCTAATCTAACGTGTTAAACACAAGTCAAGACGCCATTTCAAGTTGGATTATGCCACTATCTTGCCCTTACTCCCGCATCAATGTCCCTATCCTTTCATTCAGCGACATCTCTTGTCGCCAAGAGGAATGTCATGCAATGGAAGGCAGATTTTTTTTCCCCTCTCAAATGTACCCCAGGCGGTGGCGAGTTGCAATGGATATCATTCGGTCATCACCTTATCCTTTCCACAACTAAGACGCTAAGGGCGCCGCTCAACCGCAGGCAAAAAAAAACCTGGAGTGCTGCTCCCTGCCACGTGCACAATAGCTCTTGTTTGAAGCAACTCGGGCCAAGCCTCTACAGCCCTTCGCAAGCCTTCCTCTAGATAACTTGGTAAGGTAGCCTTCGACGGCCATGTCCGTCTCATTCCCGAGGGCAGGCTTCCCGACCTATTCTAGAAGCGCAACGCAGCGCCAAGTGGGCCAAGCCTTGGAACTTCTAGGCAATGCCTTGGGGCTTCTAGGCAATACCTATTAACTTCTTTACCAAGCCCTCAAACCTTGTTAGGCCTATCAGGGGCCTATCAGGGGCCTATCAGGACGGGCTTTAGGCGTCTTAACCTTTGTCTTTGGTCACGGGATGACGCCTGCGATCCGCTCTAGTCATCCCACAGCGGGGCTGTCACGGCCCGTACGCCTCTCTCGGCGCTCTTGGCCAGCGAGGTGAAGCAGGTTGAGAGTTCCCGGGCGCCCTGTAGAGTTCTTGGAACTCTTGGGTCTCGAGCTCGGCGTTGGAACTCTCAGCCGACTAATCGGTACGAAGTCCTTGGCATTGGCTTGCTGATGCCGGGCCCCAATGTCTACTTAACTCTGCCTTTCTCGTCACTTCCCACCACGAGGCTGCTTGTAGTTGCTCTTTTCATACTACTTACCTATTACCAAACAGTCGATTCCCCGGGACGATACATTGCCCGGCCGGCACCCTGTCTTTTGAGTTTAACAAGTTACCGTCGATTCCAATGAGGCAGTCTGGGCTCCATCCTAATGCTCTATTCTCCCCGCGGTTCCAAAGCACATAGGCATCCATCCACCCTCCTCCAATCATGGCTGCAGAGTTTCCCAAGCATCCGTTCCTCCTTCCTATCCACGAGGTTGCCCAGGCGCTCGGGACCGATGTAGACAAGGGCTTGACCTCGGCGCAGGTTGCTGAGTTGTCAACCAAATACGACCCCAATGAACTAGACGTGGGTGGCGGTACCGCGTGGTACACCATCCTTATCCGCCAGCTTTGCAATGCTATGATCCTGGTTCGTGAAATCCACCCCTCGCCCCCGGCCCGGCCCTCGCCCCCAGCTCTTACCGTTCTGACTTTGATATGGTCAGGTTCTGTTCTTTGCCATGGCCCTCAGCTTTGGGGTGTCTGACTACATCGAGGGCGGCGTTTTGGCAGCTGTCATCGTCGTCAATGTCTCCATTGGCTGGTATCAGGAGTACGGCGCCGAGAAGAAGATGGACGCGCTCCGCGCCCTGTCTTCTCCTAGCGCAAGCGTTCTTCGCGATGGAAAGACGGTCGTCATCTCCAAGTAAGCTACCCCTTCCCGCCCCCCTTTTGAAGACATCCAGCCTGGCTGCGATAGTTCGGCTGACGCAAACTTTTCTAAAGTCCCGAGGTTGTCCCCGGTGATATCGTCAATCTGAAGATGGGTGATACTGTTCCCGCAGATATCCGTCTTTTCGAAGCTATGAACCTAAACTGTGACGAGCAGTCTTTGACCGGCGAGGCAATACCAGTGGAGAAATCTACTGCCCACGACATCATGGTACCAGGTACCGAAAAGCCGGCAGTATCCGAAGACGAGGTTGGCATAGCCGATCGTATCAACATCGCCTACGCAACTACCATCGTTCGCAAGGGACGTGGCCGGGGAATTGTCGTGGCTACTGGCATGCAGACCGAGGTTGGCAGGATTGCAGCGTCGACTTCCAAGAAACGGCGCAAGGCTGGCAGGTCGATGAACTGGCGCAAGTACGGCAAGGCCCAACCCATCAAGGGCGCGTTCAGGCGAACCTACGACTTCCTCGGAAAGTTTTTGGGCCTGACCGAGGGCACCCCTTTGCAAATCAAGCTGGCAAAGCTTGCGTACCTGCTCTTCTTTTGTGCACTCCTCCTCGCTGTCGTCGTCTTTGGTGTCAATAAGTTTTCCATCCCGATCCCCAAGGAGGTTATCATATATGCCATCTCCACGGGTATTGCCATCATCCCAGAGTCCCTTGTCGCTGTTCTGACCATTTCAATGGTGGTGGCAACCACTGTGATGAGGAAGTCAAACGTCGTTGTTCGGTACGTTATATTTGTGCTTCCCCTTTTGGACTGACGTCGAGTGTAAGGAGACTAACGAGCAACAACCAAAAGGGATCTATCTGCCCTCGAGGCACTAGGAGGAGTCACCAACATTTGCTCAGATAAGACCGGCACGCTCACCCAGGGTGCCATGATCGTTAAAAGGGTTTGGCTTCCGCGGTCTACCGTGTACACCGTTCGCGACTCGAAGGACCCAAGTGATCCCACAGTCGGAACTGTCACGTATGCACAAGCGGGCGAGGAGCCGAAAGAGCAGGCCCGCGACTTCGACCAAGAGAGAAGTTCCCAGGCCATAAAGTTCGACGTTCCAGAGGGCAAGGCAAACCCAAAACAGCCGGAACCGGCCCAACTCGAAGCTGAAATAACCCCAGAGCTTCGGTTGTTTCTACTCTCGGCCGCGCTCTGCAATCTTGCCACCGTGAGATTTGACGATAAAGAGGATAAATGGCAGACGACTGGCGAGCCTACCGAAATTGCGCTCCAGGTATTTGCCCACCGGTTCAAGCTCGGGAGAAAGCCCCTTGAGGCCCTGGGCTGGAATCAAATTTCCGAATTCCCATTTGACAGTTCCATCAAGCGCATGTCTGTCATCTGGAGTGCCCCCCAGGGTAACGATGCCGGACTCAGCGCCGAGAACGACGTCGTGTTTACCAAAGGCGCTGTTGAACGCGTATTGGATCTGTGTACCCATATCGGGGTCGGCGGTGCCCGAGAGCCCATGTCGGAAGAGATCAAAACCAAGGTCCTTGCCCAGATGACCGACTTTGCTTCTCAGGGCCAGCGCGTCCTTGCTATTGCGTACCGGCAGTGGGAGGGAAAGTACGCTGCTCGTTCAGATCCTCGCGATGCGGAAGACGGCGATGACGCTGCACGCTCGGAGGTGGAGAGAGACCTGACTCTCCTCGGTCTGGCCGGCATTTACGATCCGCCGCGCCGCGAGACGACGCCCGCCATATTCGAGTGCTCCAATGCCGGAATCAAGGTCCACATGTTGACGGGCGACCACCCAGAGACAGCAAAGGCCATCGCCAAGGAGGTTGGGATCATCCCACACAATCTGGGGGTCCTGCCAGCCTCGGTTGCAGACTCGATTGTGATGAAGGCCACCGACTTTGACAAGTTGACTGAAGACGAAATCGATGCGCTGGAGGAGCTCCCGCTCGTCATTGCCCGGTGCGCACCCGAGACGAAGAGCCGCATGATTGAAGCGCTTCGCCGCCGCGATGCCTTCATGGCCATGACAGGAGACGGAGTCAACGATGCGCCGTCACTGAGTCGGGCAGACGTAGGGATTGCCATGGGATCGGGCAGCGACGTGGCAAAGTCGGCGGCCAAGATTGTCTTGACGGACGACAAGTTCAACAGCATAGTTGCGGCGATCCGAGAAGGCCGACGAATGTTTGAGAACATTCAAAAATTCGTGCTACACCTCCTCAGCAGCAACGTTGGCGAGGTGATCCTCCTCATCGCAGGTCTGGGCTTCCGCGACGGCTCGGGTCTCTCCGTGTTCCCAATCTCGCCTCTTGAGATTCTGTGGATCAACATGCTGACCTCGTCGTTCCCAGCCTTTGGGCTCGGGCGTGAGAAGGCCAGCCGTGAGGTGATGCGCAAGCCGCCGCACGACAAAAGGCGTGGCGTGTTCACGAACCAGATCCTGGCTGATATGATCGTTTACGGAGTGCTCATGGGCACCTGCACTCTCATGACGTTCGTCATTGTCATTTACGGGCGATACGAGGGCCAACTGGGGGAAGACTGCAATCGAATGTACTCGCCGAGCTGCGAGCCCGTCTTCCGCGCCAGGGCCGCCGTGTTCGCCGAGCTGACGTGGCTGATCCTGATCAGCGCATGGGAGTTCAAGAGCATCCGCCGGAGCATGTTCCGGCTGAGCCCCGACGACCCTAGCCGGTTCCCGTTGTTCAAGGACCTGTACGAGAACAAGTTTCTCTTCTGGGCTGTTACAATCGGCGCCCTCAGCGTGTTTCCGACTGTTTACATCCCTTACCTGAACAGGGACGTGTTCAAGCACACTTCGATTAGCTGGGAGTGGGGAGTTGTCGTGGGCATGACGGTGGTCTACGTGCTGGGGGTGGAGGCTTGGAAGCACGCCAAGCGCACCTGGGGAATCCTGGACGACCACAAGGTGGTCCGGGGCAGCTGGAGCCAGGGCGAGGAGGGCACGAGAAAGTTCACCAAGACGATGAGCTTCTCGAGTCTGAAGAGCTGGAAGAGTTGGGGCCGTGCCGAGTCGAAAGGAAAGGCTGGACCAAACCCTGGACAGAACACTGGACAGAACCCTCTAGGGCAATCTTCAGCGGAGAGCGGGCAGTCTGTGTGACTGTAGGTATGGGTAAGCATATAGTGGGAGGCAGTGTGTTCTGGTGAGGAAGGTTAATTAATTGTTTGCGCCGCCGAACTGATACGGACTTGAATCTATACAATTTGGTATGGTGATGGGCATGAGTCATTCCAACGGAATATTATAATATAGGACAACTAGGGTTTTATATGCTTTTTACTCTATTTAGTTATTTAGTGTTTGGAATATGGTACCGCCTTTTCTCAACGCCTCAAACTATCTTGTCGTGTTATAGTGCATTTACTGAGACAAACACCCATCAGTTGGAGGCCCCAACGCCTCCTGCCTGTTATCTCGCACCGGGAGGCGTTGTGTTCTCATTAAGATCTTCTCGGCATTCCGTTTCTAAACAAAATGGAAGCAAGGGGGGTTTTTTTTTTTTAGAGAGCTAGGCTGCGAGAAAATATACAGAAGGCCCAGATCAACTAAGTGAATCAAGTCTTGCCCTGCGTAATGTGCCTCTGTCTAATTTTTGCTGGCCCAGAACGGCAGTGCAAGCTTCTAGGCTCCTGGAGGCTTCGTTTGGGGTTGAGCTTTGGCAGCCTTAAGTGGGGTTACGATCGCATCCAGAAATCAGGAAGGTACGGAATACGGATACTCCGTACGGATGGATACCCTGGTACGTAATTTTGGTTGGGTCAAGTTATAGTTCCAGTCCCCGCGTCAGGGGGGCACGCCGGGGTGAAAGCTTCCAGTGGATGGACGGATAGTGCTGTACTGTTTCCGTACTGGCCCTGTTAACGATATTGCAATTTGACAGATTGCCTTCCGAACCAGCGGCCCGCCTTCTTCCAGTCAGTGTTCCTGATCAGGGCTTTCGAGGACTATTCGAAGTCATTTCACCTTGTGCCCGAACCGAACAGTACTCGCAGTACCGCCCGTCGATAAGCCCTTTCAAGTTTCGCTGCCCAGCGGCATCCAGACAGACATGGCTAAGTCGAGCCGGAAGGACCTGTACTCAGTGATTCTCCCAACCTTCAACGAGCGCCAAAATCTGCCAATTATTACCTGGCTACTCAATCGCACATTCTCCGAACAGTGAGCCCTTTCTCTGAGCCCTCTGCTACCCTATTCTATGCCACCTACGAGCCTTCAGCTACCTGCCTCGTGGGCTGCATTCCATCGCACCGTGGGCTCAGGCTGACTCTATCTCGGCCCATAATAGGAAACTTGACTGGGAGCTAGTAATTGTCGACGACGGCTCGCCCGACGGTACGCAGGATGTCGCGAAGCAGCTAGTCAAAGCATATGCGCCGCACGTCCAGCTTCAGCCGCGGACCGGCAAGCTGGGCCTGGGCACCGCATACGTACACGGCTTGAAGTTTGCCAAAGGCAACTACATCATTATTATGGACGCCGACTTTAGCCACCACCCCAAGTTCATCCCGCAGATGATTGAGAAGCAGCGTGTCGGCGGCTACGATATCGTTACGGGCACGCGCTACGCCGGCAACGGCGGTGTCTATGGCTGGGACCTGAAGCGGAAGCTGACGAGCAAAGGCGCCAACATCTTTGCCGACACAGTGCTCCGCCCCGGCGTCAGCGACTTGACGGGCAGCTTCAGGCTGTACAAGCGTAGCATCTTGGAGAAACTCTTTGAGAGCACCGATGCCCGCGGCTTCACGATGCAGATGGCACTCGCCGTCACGGCCAAGGCAAAGGGTCTCTCAATTGGGGAGGTGCCCATCTCATTTGTCGACAGAGTATACGGCGACAGCAAGCTGGGCGGAGAGGAGATTGTAGAATACGCCAAAGGCGTCCTTCAGCTTTGGTGGACGACATGAAACCGACGAGCGACAAGCCGGGGCATAAGGGGTAATGGAGCTGGTCCTAGGGCCCTAAATCGCACGATGAGCTAATGAGTTACTACTTGTACAAGTAGAATGGGGCTTGGACTTTCACGGCGTTGTGGTGTGCTGGATCTACTGAATCATAATATATTACAACATGTAAAAACAGACCTGTTTATCTTGAGTAGGACTCGGTTGAGCGAAGATCCACGTCCTCTCGTCTGCCTACGGGTAGATTGTACCCCGGAAATGCAGCCTCGTTACATATTCCTCCCTCCAGCCACGCTGATAGTTTGTCCAGATATATGCGAACTAAACGGCGAGGCAATTGCTAGGATTGTGCTGGCCGCTTCGGTGGCTGATCCCGGCCTCCTTAGCGGGATGTCTATGTATGGCACTACGCCGCCAGCCTTCTGTTTCTCAGGTATGCTCAGCGGGATATTTGACCGTCGACTTTGACAAAAGTTCCAGCCTCCTTGTTAGCCGTCAGCCGGGTTTCAATGTGGCCAAAGGCGACCGTGTTCGCCCTCACGCCAAATCCGGGGCCCCATTCCTTGGCTATCGTTTTGGTTAGCCCAACGCCTCCGGCCTTAGCTATTGCGTAGTTAATTTGGCTAGCATTGCCATGAAGTCCCGAAGTGGACGATATTTTAAGGATATTTCGGGGCTCGCCGTCCTTTGTACGGAAATAAGGCGCTGCCTCGCGGACAAGCTTGAAGGGCACCGTGGCATGGAGAGCTACAATGGTTTCCCAGTGCTTATCCGTCATCTACTGGATATCAGTGTTCCGATACTCGACCGAAGCACTGCGAAGAAAAGAGCGGGAGGGAAAGAGACTTGGTGTTAACCTTGTGGATTACGGCATCCCATGTGAAGCCAGCATTGTTCACGATAGTATGGATCTTGCCGCCTCCAAATTCTGCTGCCTTCCCAAAAAGCTCCTTGATGTACTCATCCCTAAGCAGGTCTCCGGGAACGGCGACCGCTTCGCCCCCGTTGCCTCTGATCTTGTCAGCGACATGGCTTGCCTTTGCGGCATCGATGTCTGAAACAATCACCCTCGACCCCTCGTTCACAAACAGCCTCGCACACTCGGCGCCGATACCTTGGCTAGAGCCGGTTATGATAGCGACTTGGCTAGCCAAAAGCCCCTTGGGGTAGTTGAGCTGGTTGGCGATTTGCTTGATTCGATCTGACATGGCGAGTAGTCTAGGCTTGAGATGCACATAGGATCAGGATCTCTGTTGAGGAGAAATGGGCACTCAAATGCTCCGAGGTCAACGTGAAGAAGGCCTTGGGCATCACAAGTTCTAGGGGCATTGGCAACCTCCCCATGGAAGCTTGAAGCCGAGACATAGCTTGCGCTAGGCAGCATGAGCTGCCTTAACGCACTGCGCTACCCAGGTCCATCACAAACAAAGGCCAGTTCCTCTTGCTTCAATGGTTCATAATTACAGCCCGGGCAGGTTGCGGTTGGTTGTGAGCTGGAATCAGTTGGTGTAGCGATCAACGAATGCCACCTCAGTACATTAGCTCCTGCACGCCAAGCCGTGGGTGTGGGTGTTTTGATGCTGTGCTGCCGCGCCGCGTCCCCGCATTCCATCCATCACCGCACACCGTGCATCCCCACCCACTCCCCTCACTACACTACGTTACATACCCACCCGGCATCAACCTGTGCGGATGGGCTCCCAAGACTCCCGTCTGCGCTTCAGCAAGTTTCTAGGACCAATAACACACTCGAGCATTTATACGTGACTCTGATCGGTGTTCCCAGTCGAGACCCTCGTCTCCGGCATTGTCGACCCCCGACGCCTCAGATGCAGAAAAAGGCCGGGAGAGCGGCGTCCAGCCACCTGTCCCGGCTGAAGCCCGTCGAAATCGATCCGCTTGCGGAATACGGCCTTCCCTCCAAGGGAGAGAAGAGGTTCGCAATGGATCCCCTCTCTAGTCCTTCTTCCTTGTTCAAGTCACGGCCTCCCCGCTAACGCGCCAGTCCCGCGGGTTTGTCCACTAGGCTACTATCTCTAAAAACACAGGAAAACTACTACTCCAAGATTGCCGAGAAATACCTTGCCTTCTGCACAAATGCCGGCGATAGGGACGGGTTGCAGAGGCAGTTTGCGCTTCTGACTCTGAGCGATCCTAATGGGCTACCGTCACCGCCGCCCGATGCCAAGGCCGCGGACCTCTCCCAAATCTTGAGCGCGCTGAGGAAGCTTCGTGAGGGCATTGTGGCTTCGAAGCGGAGGGACGACTTCGCCGCCCAGGTCTATCTCTTTGCCATACGTCTAGGCATACTTTCGCACTCGCCCGAGACGTACCATCCCTCCCTCCTTTACCTGCTCAGAGTCATACATCCAGCGCGCAACCTGACTAGTGTTGAGCTACAAGAGGTTGCTGGTTACCTCGTTCTCGATGCAGCCTGCAGGAGGGGCAACGTTGCCGAGGCATATGCTCTGCGCAACAAGTACCGCCTTCACGATGCCAAGGTTGACGGCGTGCTCCGCGCTCTTGCCCAGGATAATTGGGTCTTGTGGCGGAAAATCAAGAGAAGCATAGACGGCCACAGGTCGAGGCTAATGGAGTTTGCTGAACCACAACTAAAGGCCCACATTTTGAAGGCCTTTGCCAGGTCCTACCTATCTGTTTCGCTCGAATTTCTAGAGACACAGGCCTTGGCCTCATGGTCCGAGCTAACTGGCCAGTACGGTGTAGGTTGGGAGCTTAGCGACGGACGTGTTGTCATCCGGAAGATCCACGGCCGGGCATAGCGATCACATCGGAGTTTTTTTTTTTTTTTTTTTTTTTTTTGAAAGGCGTTTGAGCTTATACAGATACCCTTTTCGGATTCGTCATCAACTTAATTCTACGGTAGTTACATCAGGGCGGAAGGGGATACTTACACAGAACGTTGATTTGAAGGAGGCTTCTCCCAAAGGTTCACAAGCTCTAACTTGACGAGACATCTGACCGGCATTCGTTTCGAACTTGAGCCGCTGCGGCATTGCCGCACCAACTTCCTAGATCAGATAGCGCGTCCTAGGTAGACAAGAAGTTTACCACTAAGTAAAGTACCGAAGGGGATTAGAGTTTTAAGGCAGCATAAGCAAGGTACACAAGTACAACTAAGGTAGACACTAAGATGCTATAAACATCGGATCGTTAGATCGCAGCTAATCGGCAGGACCGTTTAAAAGGCTGGACCAACCACCGCAGCGAAAGAAACACGGCCTACACGTTTGCCTCCTTGCCTCTCTCTTTTGCGTTATATTAGAACGACAAATCACGAATACTTGGAATGCGCCAAACACCGCAGAAACCGGAACGACGCATCGAGCTATACAGCATGTGTTTGCGCAGACCAGACACATTGACCAAATGCAACTCGATGGCGGAATAGACCTCTCCTATACCAAGCCCGCAACTATTCTCAACGTATGCCAGTTTGTCAACGGACGGGGATAACCCGAACAGCTCGTCTTTCAGAGCATTGCAACAGCAGCCACAAAGCCTCCAAGGGCACCGAGCCCAGCGGCAGCGGTTTGTCTAGGCCCCAATGCCTTGCTGCTGGTGGTGGTGACGGCGCCACCTGTCGCGTTACCTGCCGTGGTACTCGTACTCGTCGGAGCGCTGGTAGTTGAGCAGGCTACGGTCGTCGGCACGGTGATGCCTACCCCGTTGCAAATCTGTTTTCCCAATGAGCCATGTCAGCCGCTATCCATTCTAGTTTCCGGGGACATAGGATAACGGTATCAAACATACGCCCGCAGCAAACGCCACGGCGCTTTGCTGGTCAGCTGGATTGCACGCGCCGGCCACGCAGCACGATATGTTGCTTATGAAGTCCTTGTCGCTGCAGATGCACTTCGCGTCGAGGTTGCAGTTGCCAATTCCGTTGGATATAAACTGGTCGGCGCAGCCTTTCTGAATTGGCGCATAACAAGGTCAGCAAGTATCCTATTTTCACGCCGGCACACACAAATACGCATTGTGACCCCGAAGAAGTCGAGCAGATGACGCACAGCGCATGTAGGAAGACTGGGACTCTGGGCAGCGGCGACGGTGGCAAGGGCCAGTGCGAGCAGAGCGGACGGGATCTTCATGGTGGGACGTTGTCGCAAGAAGCTCTCTGTCAAGACGACAAAACGGAGAGGCTACCTAGTTGCTCTAGTTGGTGTTTTTAGTTTATCAAAGGATGTAAGACGTAAAGGGACGGAAACGGAATCGGCAGGCATCGATATCATTCGAAATCGCGGACAGCTCAGGTAATAAGCCCCGTTGTTCAAGCAAGCGCAGGCAGGGCCTGGATCGTCCTTGTGCCGAGACAATTGACTGGGCGTGCCGTAGGTGCCGAGCCAATAGCTTAGAAAGCTCCAAGTTGCCGTCCATTCTTCAATTTCCCACTGAACGAAGGAGCGGCGGGCGGGTATGGAGTACTAATACGGATGCGTTGTACTCCGTGCATTCTTATACAAACTTGGAGAATCAGTTTCCACTTCCAGGTAATTGATCCGTAAATCGGTACTGCAAATACTGCGTTTATCTCCCCTCCTCACGAAGCAGTCTCGAACCGCAAACAGCCCGATGCAGAGGCTCGGACTGGAATGACTCCAAAGAACCCACCGACTGACCACCATCCTCAGCCCAGTCCCCACAGCCTAAGGCACATCGGGGTATCGGCGCCAGCGTTCAGAGGGCTGAGCTTCCAGCCAGGATGTTCTCACCCATCATAGCAGGCACTGCGCTGTCAAGTGCCAACCGCTAATCACATTTCTGCGTAGTAGTGTGGAGCACCTGCTCTAACCACGGTGATGCCCCAGGGCAGCTCTCGTCATGGAATACCCGCCGTAGTCACCAAGTACCGGGGTGTGCCTCTGAACAAAATCTCATAGGTAGATAGGTGCAATATCCTGTGGTGTAATCCTCAAACAAGATGTCAGCGAATCTTCTGCAAACAGAGCGCATGCCGAGGCGAACGCAATATTTACTTGCAACATGATGTGAGGGCTGCTGGATGAAGGGCTGACAGACCTGAGATTAGGTTAGACTGCCTACGAGCTTTGTGGGCAGTCATTGGCCAGTGCGATTCCCAGCGGAGGGCCATCAGATCTAGACTGGGTTGCCACTCCACTACTCCAATTGCGGGATAGCTCACCCATATACGGCCCGCCCAAAAGTTACCAACCCCGATTGGCGTGCTGCCGTGTTGCGCTGTGCCACTAAGTTGGGTTCGGGGATGTCTTGATTATTACGGGAGCAGCATTTTCTTGTCTCCCATCTACCGTCATCAAACCTAGGCTGACTTAATAACCCGACCATCTACGGATACCTTACATACCAACAGAGATGCCCGCTTAAACTTGCTAGCCCATCTTCACTACAACCGAGTACGGACGTTCTGTCACCCCGCAGCAGTATCTCGGCTTTGACCGATCGGCCGCGATGTTGCCGGCGTGAACCGGCCATCCTCTCGTCAGTCTCGCTCAACGACACACGCGAAGAGTAGATATCGACACCCGACGCCAAGATGGGAATGTGGATTCTCGAGGACAAGGTCCTAGACCGTGTTCCTGGTAGCTACCCTTTATCTCCTTTAATGGCCCTCGCTGCATCGCGCGCTTCCCAGCGCCAACGCGACGGTTGTCCTCGTTGACGGCGACTTTCATCCGTACGCACATCAGTTTCTCAGCGCTAACCACGATACATCATCGCAGGCACCACCCGATACTTCGACGACCCCGAGAGGCCGCAGTATGCCGCAGATGGCGTCCATGGCCTCAAGTGCGACACCAGCGGCCCTGTCCCAATCATCCTCGTGCCCCAGCCGTCGGACGATCCCAATGACCCCCTGAACTGGTCGCTCCTGAAGCGCGATGCCATCACCTTGACCCTTTCCCTGACTGCCATCTTCGCCACAGCCCTCGGTCCCATCCTCGCCGCCAACACAATAACGCTCACATTTTGGTATGTCACGTCGTTCTCGCGTGTCGCCCAGCTGACGGGCTACTACCTGCTCGGTGTCGGCATCGGCGGCATCATCTTCGTGCCCTCGGGCCGCATCTGGGGCAAGCGCCATCTATTCCTGGGTGGCACTGTGCTCCTGATTGTCTCCAGCGCCTGGGCCGGCGGCTCGGGTAAGAACTACTTGAGCATGGTGTTCGCGAGAATCGTCCAAGGCATTGCCACGGCCCCCTTCGAGGCCTTTGTCAACGCTGCGATGGGCGACTTGTACTTTGTACATGTAAGCGGATTTCCTGCCTGGGTGTTGGATCCCGCGTGTGGTGAGAGCGTTGTTCCAACTGACTGTGTGCGTCACAGGAACGGGGTATCCGTATGGCCTTTACCAACCTGGCCGTATTTGGCGGTGCATTCTTCACTCCCATCCTCGTTGGCAAGATCACCTCTACCATCATGTGGTGGTGGACATTTTATCTCGTCGCCATTTTCTGTGCAGCTTGTCTGCCCGCTGTCTATTTTCTCTGCCCGGAAACCGCCTTCCGCCGCGATTCCAGTCTGAACCTCGACATGGTAGATGACAGAACCAAGGCCACACACGTAGCTCCAGTTGTCACCAACGGCAACGAAGATGACCCCGAGAAGTTGGCTGGTGACGGAAGCCCATCAACTTCCCAAGAGGGAAATAGCGTAGCTGTTCCCACCCCGCCCAACAGGCCGCCAACGGCGCCCAAGAGCGTTCCGGTTAAAGCATCATGGCGGCAGTCGTTGGCGCTCTTCAACGGGCGCAAGACGGATGAGTCCTTTTGGAAACTGTTACTACGGCCGTTCCCACTTTTCTTGCAACCGGCCTTTTTTTGGGCCTGCCTCATACAGGGCCTGCTGATCGGCTGGACCGTGTTCATTGGCGTCATGCTTGCCGAGTTCTTCCTCTCGACTCCATACTGGTGGGATGAGGTCCAAACCGGATACGCATATACTGCTCCCTTCGTCGGCGCCATCCTTGGCTTCGTCATTGCCGGTTCTTTGTCGGACTGGACCGCCAAGTTCATGACGAAGCGCAACGGCGGTATCTACGAACCCGAGTTTCGCCTCCTGCTCGTGATTCCACAGATGATCTTCGGCTGTGCCGGTCTGTATGGTTGGGGTATCACCGTCGACGGCATAGTGACCAGGCGTTACACTTACATCCCTCCACTGATCTTCTTCGCTCTCGAAGTGGCCGGTATGGTCATTGGCGCCGTTGCCAGCTCGCTGTACATTGTAGATGCCTATCGTAAGCTGCCTGGTCCAATGTTGTGAGGGGTGTGGTTCGCAGCGCGGTGCCTAGTTAAATAAGCATATACTAACGTTCGCACTAGGGGACTTGGCCATCGAAGGTTTTACTTGCATGATCATCTTCAAGAACATCTTCAGTTTTGCCCTCACCTTCAAGGCCTATGACTGGTTCATCGAGAACAGGACCAAAGCAACGCCCGTGTTCAACGCGCTGGGCTCAGTACAGCTCGTTGTCAGCCTGGCCGCCATTCCCATGTGTAAGCCACCCTGCATTGCGATGTCCATACTAGCTGGGGCGCATCTTCATTGAGCATGCTGACGTCTCTATTCACGCTTGGTAGATATTTACGGAAAGCGAATTCGGGGCTTTTACCATCGCCATGACCTCCTCGCCATCTTCGGGGTGAGGTAACAAATTATGGATTTCCTCGATTTCAATCATAGCATTTTTAAGGGAGCAAGCCTTGTTGTTTTCTTGTTTTGGAAAGACGGGCCAACCACCCATATGCGCCCGTCAACCTCTGACATTGTTTATATACGTGTCTTGATTTTGTAATAGGATGTGATTCATTCAGATCTGGTTGAACGGAGGAGGTAATACTGCCCCCCCCCCCCCCCCACCATTTTACATTGCTATTCGTAATAAAAATGACAGTAACTTATCCGGGCCGTCATGATCATTTCTTTATGCGTTTGATCCGTTGTCACTATTGCTTGTTTTTCGCACCACATCATTCTTTTTACCCTTCTTGGTCAAACGCAACCCCGCAACAGCCATGATGAGCCCCTCAAGACCAAGGATGACGGCCAGCGTGACGACGGCACCGATGACGCCTGCCACCGGCGTCGAGATTCCCCCGGTGCTGCTGCCATCCGTGCTAGCGGCAGTGGAGACGGAGCTGCCATTTTGGGCGATCTCTGCGCAAGCGCCAGTCGGGCCGCAGGCCTTGCACCAGGCCTCGTTGCTGCCGATGGCAAACTTGTTCATCTCGCTGACAAACGTAGACCACGAGAGAGTAGTCTCGGTCTGGCCGAAAAGGGGGAACGCTCGCGGGGGGTTGGCATCGCTTGCCGTACCGTTGGCAAACCGAAAGCGCACGCTGACTTTGTCAGGACTGACGGCGGCGGCCGAGTCGTCAAGGCTGGCGTTGGTGACGAGCTCAAACACCATGCTGCTGGCGTAGTCGACGATGCCGTAAAACTCGGGCGAAGCGGCCGGCGCCTTGGCGAGCCCGAAGAAGGCCATGAAGGTCCCATATGGCCCAAACTGGATCGTCATTTTCTGCGCCGAGGTCTTGCCCACGGGTGCCGCCAGCGTGTTGTTCAATGCCTGCACGATCTGCGCGGCCAGGAGCGAGCCTGATATGGCCCGAACTTGCTCGCTGCTGTTGAAGGCAAGGCCCCATTCGTGCTGGTCCGCCCGGGTCTGCAGTTGGTGCAGCGTCTCGTTGGTGAGCAGCCCAGCCGACGATATCGTGCTGCTGGCGTTGTGGATCTCGGACACATGTATGTAGTCGTAAACTGTGTTTACCCGTCAGCAACCTAACCGGGCGCAAAGGGGGGCGAGGAGAGAGACACGCAAACGCCCTTCGCACTATATCCCAGCAAGATCAGGGGTGACTTACTGGCATAGGCGTTCTTGAAGCTGGCCGTCGCGCTGGGAAAGGTGGTATTATAGACGGGCAGCAGGCTTTGATAGAAAGTCTGCGTGCTTTTGAGCGCGGCGAGATACTCGGAACTGTTAAAGTAGCTATTACTGCTTGCGACGGCATTCCCGCAGCCGCTCCCGCCTTGGAGCCATAGGTTGTCCTCGGAGCCCCTGCTGCTGGCCGCCGTGCTGACGGCGTTGACGGGGATGAACTGATATCCTCCTAGTGGCGTAGTGACCGAGGAGCCATCGGCCAAGGTCTGAGACGCTGCGGAGCCAGCGGGCGGGTATAGGCCCATGAGAAAGACCTGGGCACTACCCTGCAGCACATTGTCGACGGGGCTCGTTACCGAGAGCTGCGAGAGGACAGGGAGGTCGGTGGCCATGCCAGGGATCCTCGACGAGGCGTTGGCCGAGAGATATTGGTGGCGGTACCACAGGCCAGAAGCAAGCGCCTGATCTGCGCCAAGCGGCGTGAGAGACACGGGCGAGTACGACTTGGTAGTGCGATCCCCATGCCGGTGGAAGATGTAGGTCCCAAGCACCGTCTCGGCTGCCACGAGGGGTAGGGCCGGAAGCACGACAAGAAGTGAAGATAGCTGCATTGTGCGGGCAATCGCGGGGATACAAGCTGCTGGACTAGTGTCTCGACTCCCGTCCTAGGCTGGTCCGCGTTTTGAATTGGCTTCCGAACGACGGCCTGCCTACCCAGATTTAAAGGAGCTCTTCAGTGGAAAGACGGATGAATATACATGTTTTTCTTATCCTCCCCAATGCGCCAATTCTGGACTCGAGAATTAGCCTTCTCCGCGGGGCGCTCCATCTGCATGGCGGACTAGATAGCGGCAATGGCGCCCTAGTTTAACCTACTATGTATCGTATACCCTCTCAAGAAAAGAAGATTGTTTGGAACCCTACCCAAGGTAGGTGTACCTACCTACATGCATACCTGCATATGACCTGCCTAGTTTGGTGCGTATGCCGAATACCTACCGTAGGGCGTATGCTGAAGACCCGAACCTGATCAGAATCGGGGATACAGCTGCCATGAGGTTGCTCCATCCCTTACAAGACTGCCCCACTACGACCGATGCGGTATCGGCCGGGTCGAGAAAAGAGATGTTCAACGCTTACAAGCAGGTATCAGGTTTATCGCTGCGGTGGAGGTAACGGTAAGTGTTGACCAGGTGGGGGCTGATGTATTAAATTGAGAAATGATATGAAAATAGCCCGACACGCATGCCACGCTCAGAATATCTAGATAATCGAGTGACAATGTGTGCAAGATGCGACAGGATCCGGGATAGGGGGCGGAATATAGAGCAAGCGTCCATAGCTCGTGTCTCTTGCTTCCACTTTGCCCAACCACAAGAGCAACTATATCGGGCCCTTGAGGTCCAGAGCATTCATAATGTAGGTGCCAGCCATCAAGGGAGGTTTGACAAGCTTAAACACGTTTCCTGCTATATCTTCGACTTCTCCTTTCTCCCATCCTTCAAAAACTTGCTAACTTCGCCAGAGAAGAGAAATTCGGGGTAGGTCATATCAGGGTCGACGCCAACCGCCGCCCCGCCTTGGCGTCTCCATCCGGCGCCGTCGACGACGAGGCTGGTCCCGTTGACGTAGTTGCCCGCATCGCTGAACAGAAACACGGTTGCATCGGCAATATCCCGTATAGATCCCCATCTTCCGCTCGGAATACCCTTTGCCCACTCCCCTCGAGTTACCTGGCTACTAGCGAGGCGCTGAATGCCTTCTGTGCCTTCTATGGCGCCCGGGGCTATCGTGTTGGCAGTAACGCCGTATGGTCCGTACTCGAGGGCAACACTTCCCATCAGAGAATCGATAGCGGCCTTGGCCGCGGAGACATGCGCCTGGAGGGGCATTCCGGTATAATGGAAAGTTGCAGATACAGACAAGAAGCGCCCTCCCGTGCTGCCGGACGGGTTTGGGTTCGGGTTCTGAGATGCAGACCTGATGAGATGCGACATGGTAGCCTTGATGGTGTTGAAAGTTCCGATCGCGTCGATCTCAATGACAGCCTTGAACGCGTTCGGGCTCAGTCCCGAGATTGGCGCAATGAAGTTTCCCGCTGCGCCGGCGCTTCGACATCAATGTCAGCAGCCGTACAAACTTGCGGCGGACGGAGACAGCCATGGTGGCTCTCACACAACATAATCAATGCTCCCTAGCTCCTTCACGCATCGGTCTGCCGCGGCTTTCAGGGCATCGAACTGCGTCGAGCGTCAGCTAGTTGGGCCAGCGTCGTACACATAGGTCTTCTCACAACTCAAGGGCAGCACGCACATTTCGGACATCGACACCGCCAATGCCTAGAACCCGTGAGCCATCTCGAACTTTGGCAATCTCCTTTGCTGCAGCTTCGGTCTTCTCGACGCTGCGGCCAATGATGCAAGCATCTGCGCCGAGGTGAACGATGGCTCGGGTCTGGGCACTGCCAATGGAGCCAGCTCCCCCTGTGATGAACACGACGCGGTTGGCTACATATGACGGCTGTTGTTAGTCACTCACTGGTAGACCTCGCGGCCGAAGCTCTGGTCCATACGCACCAAAAATACCCTCGGCCCACGCAGTGCTCAAGTACTCGGAGCGTGGGACAGTCATTTTGGAGCTGTGTTGCGCACCCTCTTGAAGACGGCACGGGCAGTGTTGAATACGATCCTAGACAGGGAAAGCGAAAAGAATGCGGAGTACCCGAGCTCTGCAAACAAGCCTCGTAATGTCACAAGTTAATAGACGGCTGTCAACAAGAGAGGTATGATGACGAGAAGGGAGCACATTTTGGCCCTTGGACGCTGGATGCGCGTTGCCTTCTAAGTGTTAAGTACTACGTGATGACCTTCCACACCAAGACCAGTCTGGGGATGCCTCGGCTCGACCCCACTCCTAATGTCCCGCATTTGGTCTTTTGCGCCAGGACGCCAACAAGCGTCTGCAAGAAGTGGCATTCCCAGAATTACAATTACAAATTCCATACATAAGAAGTACGGGTAACCCAAGATAGAGATAACGGTGTGCATACCCCGCCAAGCAAAACTTCAGGTTATAAGCATATCAATAGTTCAGCTGAACGGAGCCACCGTAGGCGAGCTTGCGAGCCGGAGGTGGCGTAGAAAGGCTGTCTCTTCTCTTTTACCGTGAAGGTGCCGAAAGTTTCTCGCACAGGGATTGGCTAGTTTACGTCCGTGTCAAAATAGAAGACTAGTCGATCAGACAATCCTCGGACGTGTTAAGCCGTCAAATGCCGCTTTGCTGTGTCGTGCAGCCGTCGAAGAAAGGGCCGCTTTGGGGTGGATTCCTGATTGGGATCTGGGAGTAGGACGGAACGCTTTATAAGCTGCAGGAGTGCGCCGCAGCCACAGCGCCGCAGGCCAAGAGCGCCGCAGGCACTAGGGCTCCTAGGGGGCTTGCCCCCTAGAAATCCAACAATTAGACCATAAACATCGAAATATCGAATTATCACGAGAATTTGTTTTGGTATTGAGGGGCTAGAATAGCTATAAATCCGTTGTCCCGAAGTTCAGCTGGGCAGAGTCCTTACTTTCGAAGTTTCATGATATCGCTTGAGCTGCCGACGTGGAAGACCCTCGCCGCGAGGCTCCCTTGTCCTGCTTGTCAAAATGGACAAGCATGACGGCCCGGCTTGCTTCCCTAACGATGAGGCTATTCCGAGAAATTCGGTGCCGATCTTCCAGTCCTTGCGGGATTTCTCTTTTTATATGGCTGTCTCACGCGTTACTAGTCTATAGGGCTTGATGTTTGACGTTCCTTTGCCCTAGACCAAATCCAGGTTAAGAATAACGTTACAGGTACCTTGCATGCGGCGGATTACCAGCGGCGTATTGACGCCGGCGAGGTGTTGGCTCCGGGTGTAGCCTAGATAGCAACACCATGCTGTGTACGTTGTGATGACTCCCCCGTGTCGTTTACTTTTGATACAGTTGAGTCAACCTTCGGCTACGAGTTATGGCACAAAGCGGGGTTGTCCTTACTAATTTCTTAGTAAAATGGCCCAGTCACCCATTCCCTCAAGCGAAGCGAGGACAGCCCGCCGCCGGAGGCATCCGTTCAGCTGACCCTTCCTCTGGTCAGGTAGCTTATTTTACCTAACCTCGATACACTAGGCGGAAGGGAGGTATTATATTCGAGTGCATGTCTTGCAATGTAGAAATGCGTGCATAGCGGTTGCAAATTTCTACGAGCTAACCTAGGTAGCCTTTGAGGTGAAGGACATAATTACAGATTTATGTTCCAGGTTGATGCCCGTCTAGTTACAATCTTCACGCTCCAGTACGTTATGCAAGTACTGTATATATAGACTTCGGAATTTACTGTAGGAAATGCACTTCAAGCACGGTACATTGAGTGGGGAACTTGAGCACCGTGAGCCCGGTTGGACTGCCCGAACTTGAACAGTCCCCCCCGCGCTAGGTGCATTTCACGTCCAAGTCGTTCACAGCCAAAGCGAATCCATCAGAACCTCAACTGAATACGTCGCTGACACTTGAATTAACGGACCATCCTATCCACTCCTCACTAAAACCAGCAGTTTAAGCAGAACGATGTTTCGCGGCAAGTTGCCCTAGCAACTATTTCATGCACGCACTGAATCAACATACGAAGACACCGCATCTACCTTCTTCATCAGCTCGCGCCGCCGCCGCCGCCTAGTCCCTAATTAATTGAAACATTGCGCCACCTCCTCATCACCCGAGCTCTGCCAGTTGTGCAATTCTGGCTGCCCTTCATGTCATCCTCGCTGCCGGAGCTGGCAGAGCAGCCGAAAAAAAAGAAGCCTTTGCCCTTCAAACGTGCCGCCTCGCGACAGACGCCAGCCAACCCTACGACCGATGCACCTTCCGCAGCAGGCGATAGTGATCTTGAATTCTGGAGTCGGTCCAAGGATTTCTTTTCCACTAGTATTCACGAGGAGAGCGACTCGGATCAAGATGCCAGGATACGAGTGTCGCCTCCCGATAATCACCATCGTAAGCGCAGAAAGGTGTCGCCCGAGAGCGTGAAACGCCAAAACAGGTGAGTCTCTGGTCCCTACGGATGATTTATTGCAATATTAATCGGGAAAAGGGAGCACACCCCATTTTCCACCGAAGAGTCTACAGCGCGAGCCAAACAGACCCTAACTTTAGGGGAATCTGACGATGACCCAATCCTGGGCATCAAGGGCAAAGGCAAGGAGATCATCAAACCTAACAAGCAGCTCACCCCGCGGAAGTCCACCTCGGCTACGTCTTCAAAACCCTCGATTGTGTTCCTTAACGATGACGACGGCGGCCCCGCAGAGCTGGAGGTCAAGCCGAAGAAGCTATCCCCGAAAAGCAGTCGATCCGTGAGACACAGCTCACTCGATGAGATGCTTGGTGATCGTGGAAATTTCAAAACAGAATCCGAAGAAGAGCCAGAGATAGCCGGATGGGAGGCGAAAGCCCGGGAACTGACACGGAAAACTCCCGAAGCCACTATATACGTCATACTATCGTCCAGGATCCCCGATACAAAACCACTCATAGTGAGACGAAAGCTTCATCAGGACATGAAGTTGGTCTTGGGTACTTGGATTGAAACCCAAAGGAACGGCGCGAACTTGGAAGTTCCCCCTGACGTGGCAGACAAGCTTGTCTTGACATGGAAGGGAAACAAGATATACCAGCACAGCACTGCCGCTTCCCTGGGTGCACAGGTGGATGCCCACGGAAAGCTGATAGGTAGCGTGGGCGAAGGTTATACGACCTCGGGAGGTTCTAAAACTCTTCTCCTCCACTTGGAAGTATGGACCGAAGAGACCTATACCGAATACCAGGAGAAGAGAGAACGCGAAAGGGGCTTGAAGCTGGGCACTGTGGACGAAGACCCATTCAAGTTTGACATCGGACCGGATGAAGCATCGTCTACTCGGGAGAAGCAAAAGGGTATCAAAGTCGTCCTCAAAGCGAAAACACATGAACCACTCAAGATGAGTGTTCATAGTGACACAACAGTGGGCTCACTCGTGACGGCTTTTCGCAAAAACCGAGGGGTTGGCCCGGAGCAGGACATCGCCATCTACTTCGATGGTGAGAGCTTGGATAAGGATTCTCTGGTTGTCTCTGCCGATATCGATCCAGACGAGACGAACCAATTAGAAGTCCATTTGAAGTAGGTCATGGATCGTTGGAGTCAAGCAGGTATTTTGCGCAAGGGGCGAGGCCTTTCTTTGGCAAATGGCCCGTTGGATAATGATACCCAGTCATTTCCCCCATGACAACTAAAAAATCCGTGCACAGGATTCGCCCGAGCCAGCTTTTCAGTTCATTCCCCTAAATGCAGTGGTGTTGACTGTAGTCCATATCAACGATTTCTTCACAAGCGATAGCTCTAGGTCATTGCCTCGTGTCAAAATACCCCAATCGATGAGAATAGCTCCTTAACGCCTGTCCTAGTTGCCATGCTACCAATCTACCACTCGACCCAGAGGACATGATCAAAACCTTTCCTTCATCCGAGAAGCAATTATCCTCAGGCTGTTATAAACCTTTCCGGGCTGAGCTCCCAACACCAATGAGACAATGCTGAGCGAAAGTTAGCCGATATGTCCACCTTCCAGAACATCAGAGCCTTCAAGCCCGCTGGCCAGACCTATGGGATTGAATTTCATGCTCAAAATTCACGTACCTCTCGCGGGCCATTCCGATGTTTTCAAAAGCCCCAAGGATATGTATCCTCGACCCAGCAAGGACAATCCGCGTTTTCGTTGCTGTGGTTGTTAGCTTTTAGTCGTCGATGGCCCTCTAAGCTTTCTTACCATTCTCGATAGCAAATTTGGTTTTCTAGAAGTCATTGAATTAGTACCATGCTTTACTTCAAGAGTTCATTTGGTTACATACCCCGTCCTTTCCAGCAATTCTGCCTATGGCTCGTCCCAGCGCGTCAGGGCCTGGAAGCATTATCAGCGCACGCCCTCAATATAGATCAAAGCCCAGCATAGATGCAATTAATGTATACTAGGATGCCATTGAGCTCCTTGCTTACCAAGAGTCTGTCGAACATCCTTGATGTCGAAGGATTGTATATAGAGTGAATCAAGGCGGAGCAGAGCAATCGCATCATCGATGTCAAACCCCATGGCAAAAGCGGAAACAAAGTCCGCTCCCATCTGCAAAGCCTCCGCGCTTTGGGTGAATTTGCTCGATCGAAGCTCTACGCGTTTCTCTTTCGTGTTCATGCGGACCTGACACTCGAATTAACTTCCTAGCCGCTCAAGATACCATTTGGGATCCTTACCTGGAGTTTGCAATGGTCCACGAGAGGAGGATATCTAAGATTATCGATGTCGGTTAGATCGATTAGAGAATTTCGTCAGTAATCAGCAACCGATACAAATCTTACATCTAAGCCAACGTTAGCGTGAGGACCTAGGATAGCTCGGGTATAGTAAAATAATGCGGCGTAAGAAGGGCGATCAAACGTGCGCAAGAAGACTTACCTTAGTCCAGTTGCTTTTTAGAGCAGACATGCGGTTTGGCGGAATTGTAACCTTTCTCGTCTCGGCGCGGCGAATCGGATCCTGGGCAACGCGGCGTAGTATTAGCAGCCAGTCATCAGAGTCCACCAAGCCCATCGCCATCCAAATTGAGAGCATTAACGCACCACGTCCTTTCCGGGGACAAATCGCGGCCTGCCCTCCTCATCTACAGTCATATCTGTATCCTCGGGCGCATCGGGGGCCGCGGCAGCATCAGGCTCTGGAAGGCTGCTGTCTTCCACGTCGAGAAGAAGTTCGTCATCCTGGTCGAGACCGGGGAGCGGAACGGACTTGGGCGCCGCGGGCGGTTTCAGTAGGGCTGTGGGTACAGGCATCTCTCGAAGTTGGTGGGATACAGGGGGAGCTGAGCAACGGCATCAGATTCTAGGGGGACAAATAAGTGAATACCAGGCTCAATATTTTACCGTCCAATTTGTCTTCAGCTGTGTCGTTCCCTTAGTTTCAGGACGGGCCTCGATTTTGGTGGTTGAGGGGTTCGAAATTCGAAAATCGTGGACCCATATCCTTATCGCTGGCTTATTAAATGGGGCTAGCTTTAACGGTGGTGGGGCCGGCATTAGGATCCATGCAAAAATGCTTGGTCGTGGGTACTGGTAGCGTCATGGACGAAAGACAAGCAGGTACTGCCATTTTTATTTTCCTGGGGGCGCGGACGCAGCGGCCCTTTTCCGCAAAGCCGTCGACACACGGGCGACCTCCAACGAGCGGTCACATCACGACCCCCTGGCCGAGCTTTGGTTCCGCTGAGCTCCATATGCTGTAGCATGCTTCAGCATGTTTGTCGACAATGTCTACTAGCGCCACTACCACCCATCTAGGCCGCCATTTCTGGGCGTCGATTCGCGACTCCGTGACTATCCTAGCAACGCGACGACTCCCCGGACGCCAGCAACCGCCGGCCCGTCGAGTGCTCGACCAAACACAATTTACGCCGCAGCATACCCAGTCTGCTCGGTCTGCCCACTGGTTGCCGTGGATTTCGAGAGCATATCCGTTGGGAAGAGCGCCAAACAATGTACGGAGGAGCTGTACTTCGGGAGGGCTGCTCCTCATTGGCTTTACATCCAGTCCATCCTCGACAGGTTCAGTCATGACGGCGTGCACTGCAGCCGCTGATTCCGCCATTTCGGTGAATACTGTACAGAAGGCTACAATCAGTCATCTGGCAAAGCAAGCCTGGCTCGGCCGAAGTGGGGGACGAGGCCGCCCTCATCGTGTCATCAGCGTGAGAGCCAGCAGCTCGCGTGGGAAGCCCGATGGCGATAAGAATGAAGCCCCTATTTCCCAGCAGAATCTTGAACCTAAGCAACCTACGGCCGATAAGGCGCGTGAGGATCATGTCTCTGACATCGAGTCACTCGCCAACTCTATGTCCAAGTATCTGCATCTTCCCAAGATGCCGCACCGGCCTACTAAGGAAGAGTTGCTTGGGGCTGCCAATGGCTTCCGCGAACGCCTTAGAGTGCGCTTCAAATGGTTTTCGATTAGAAGCATGCGCCCGTGGAATGCGGATGAGTGGGGGGCGTTTGTGTCTTGGTTCTTGTTTGGACATTTGGTCTGGGTCTTGGTCGGAACCACCACCTTTTTCTCCCTTATAATATTATTTATCAACACTGTGTTGGCACAAGGTGAGCTTTGGCTGCCTGCTACCAGCGAGATACCGAATCGCTAACCCGGGTATCCTAGAAACACTGGCCAGGTGGATCGGAGACTACCTAACTCAGTCAGCAGGCCTTACCGTCGTCTTCGAATCGGCCATTGTCCCGAAATGGAAGGACGGTGTGATTACATTCCGGAATGTGTTTGTCTCTCGGAGGCCAGGCCGAGTCAGGTCCTCCGTGCAGAAGGGTTCATCTAATGCAGCAGCAGAGGCTGCAGCTGCAGCCGCGCGACAAGCTGACCAAGAGGCTGTTCAAGTAGAAGAAGACGACGGTAACTATACACAGTTTGACGTGACCATTGATACAGTCAACGTCACCCTGTCATTTATCAAGTGGTGGAATGGAAAGGGCCTCTTGAAAGACGTCGAAGTTAAAGGTGTCCGTGGGGTGGTCGACAGAACAGCAGTTCACTGGTCCGCTGATGGACAGGATCCCCTTTCCTATCGGCATGATCATAGCCCGGGAGACTTCGAACTGGATTATTTGAAGTTGGAGGACTTGTTGGTGACCATCTATCAGCCTGGTGGTTTCCGACCATTTTCCGTCTCCATCTTCTCTTGCGAACTTCCTCAGCTCCGGAAGCAATGGCTATTCTATGACTTTCTATCGGCATCACACATGTCGGGTTCTTTCGATGGTTCTCTCTTTACCGTTCATCCTCGACAAATCCATGGCGTCTCGGCGTCGGATGATAGGCGGCATGAAGAGCTTACTACCCCATCTGCGTGGAAAAAATTCTCTAGGTTACGCATAGATGGGCTCAAGATCGACCATCTAAACCGTGGGGTAGATGGGCCTTTTGGGTGGATATACGAGGGCAATGTCGACATCGTTGCCGATGTTATGTTTCCCGCCGACCCGGAAGAAGGTATCGGCAAGGTTGTTGCCGAATTCTATGATAAAATGGAAGAAGCTGTGACGAGCAACCGCTACCTCAAAATTCTAGACAATAACAGCGACCGCTATCGAGAACGCAAAGGCGACAATTTTGAGAATACCAATCCAACATTGTCATATGCGGGTGGCTTTGCGACTGCCTCGGACGAGTTACCGCCAGCCTCCTCTTCATCACCAACCTCGATCCTTGGCGGTCCGGCTACCATCCTGTCCAACATATCTTCTCCCGTAGAAGAAGCGCAGTCCTACTTGGTCATGGACCTACGCATTCACCTGAATGATGTACGGGCTGCGGTACCTCTGTTCAATAACCCGCACATCAGCTACGTGAACCAAGCTCTTGTGCGACCCATCGTTGCATACATAAACGCAAAACGCACCTATATCCCCATCAACTGTCGCATCGTCAAGCGTGCAACAGATTTTGATGGATCCTGGACTGTGTGGGACTGCGGCCTCTTGGACGACACGAGCGCCGAAGTATACTCTGCCTTCGCTCGAAACGTTGAAGATCAGCAGAGCCGTGTCCGACGTTTCAAGCGCGTTGGCCTATGGACTGTGAGTCTTGTGGTCCATGCACTTCTTGCGGGTGTGGCCGGGGACTTGATGTAGGAGTGGTGTTTATCTGCCTGTTTGACATTACTTGTAACTCTCTCACCTCTAGTATTTTGTACAAGACCCTAAAAAGAACTGGCAGAGGAAGCTAAACATGGCGGTGGGTACGGGAGCATGGTTTTCTTTTACACGGCGTTGAGGTGGTTTGGGTCTTGGCAGACTTTGTTTTCTCATGCTGTCGATTATAACATGGTGGACAAATGGTTTGGTCCCATTACTGTATATACTGATAATAGCAATACAGTTACGGAAATCTATACGAAGGAATGGCAACCGGCGAGTAAGGTATTGAGCGTCATGCCGAAGGCGATGAGAATTAGTGCCTCAGCAAGGTCATTCATCGTTAATGTCTCCCATATGTTGGCAGCCTTCTCTAGGCATGTTGAAAGCTGTGAATAAGTCTACAGATAAGGAAAGACTTCGCATTCCTACAAGTGCCATGGCATGGCACCAATGTCCTATGAAAGTATGTCCACGGGTTAGTAATTCAGTACCTATTGTGACACAGTTCTCGTTGACACTTTCACAGTGACTTCCGCCAGTTGGATGAAGTCAACCGTGCTGGCGCGGGTCATGTCCACCATCTAACTCTATTTCTCTATAAAGACACAATTTAGATGTTTCCCTTATCACGAGCAACTACCCACGAACACATTTCCGGGAAGAAGGCCGGACCTCTTACATGATACGGATTCTAGATCTGTGGAGACCAACCATGCCTTGTCCCATAAATAGTTGCGCCCGTGAAAATAGAAAGCCTCCTGCACTCGTTCTGCTTTCCCCAGTACCACGCTCCAGCCATTGCAAACCCCAAATCTCCAACGTCTAGTCACCGATTCCCCAAAGATACGAGCTCCACGCGTTCCAAATCTTGACGTGCCAAGATTGAAAATGTGCATATAGTGGGGCGGTTGGGTTGAGTTATGGGTGTTTGATAGTAATGCTCACAACACTGGTCTATCGTTTTTGGGGGTCTTCACCAAGTGACACCAATGGTAAGGCTTTCTTCTGTGGAGAGGAAAGCCGACGCGGCGTATCAAGTGCGAGATTTGTTCAGAACTCTTGAGTAAGAAACCCTTCACATGAAGTCATCACTAAAAGCCCGTGTCAGCGCCGAACAAAAATTTACTACGAGCATTATCCTTCACTTACTCTGCAAACGTATCTTCATACGAATTCACGTCCGCGGCGGGTGCACGGCTTACACCGACAAGGGTAGTCTTCGTCTTGGCTGCCTTGGACTTCTTCCCGCCCTTCTCAGCAGCCTTCTCTTCCTTCATCTTCTCGTTGCTGAGTGTCGTCAGAGTGCTCGCGATTTTCTTGATCTGGTCGCTAGGAAGGTCCTTGGCGAGTTGCTTGGTAAATTCCTGTAGGAAAAGGACGTATTGGGGCTTCTTGGAGCTGTCGAGCAGAATCGGGACGAGGGTGCTACGCAATTGTTCGAATTGTGTCTTGCTGGAAGGCTTGAAGAGTGGCAGCGAAGCCAAGTCCACAGTAGTATTTGGGTCGTTTGCGTCAATCACGACAGCGCTACCAGCGGTCGTGGCCTTGCGATTGCTGATTCCGATTGCGCCAAAGAGGTCCTCGGCATGACGAAGATCAGACTCCTTTTCAGTGGAACGCAGTCGCTCACGCTTTTGGGCCTCGGTCTCCTCTTCGTCGCTCGAATCATCATCGGCTTGGGCGAGTATACGAAGTCGCTCAGCTTGGCGCTCGGCAATGCGCTGAGCCTTAGACTTCTTGTTCGCAGCAGCTTCAGCTTCGGCCTTCGCCTTCGCCTCCTCAGCCTTCTTGACTTTCTCACGCTCGACCTCGGAGTCCTCGGCAGCGTCCCAGGATTCTAGAACCTGTGATAAAGGGGCTGTCAGTCACAAGGCAGAGCATTCCATATCATCAACTCGTGTGCAAATAGAGACATACATCGCTGTCCTCGGCCTCCTCGTCATCGAATTTCCCGCGCCGTGCTGGGGCGGTAGGGGGAGAATCCGGAGCGGAGCTGGAGGAGTCTTCCTCCTCCTCTGTGATGAGCGTGAAGTGTGGTTAGCGCAATGGTCAATCAGATACAGACGCTGCTAGTATTAGCGCCACGCTCGCCATGGGCCAGCGTCGCAGATCACGGCCAGGAAGCTGCCCACTTTGCGCCCAGTTGCCATTGCCGTCGCGATCGGGCCCTGTCAGTTACGGGAGAAGAACACCAAGTGGGAGTGGCATTGACAGGCGCAAGCCCGCGCATTGGCGAGACGTGGCTTTTCGCGGGGTTGCGCACAAAGCAAAATCATCCTGGTGACTTACCCCACCGTTTACTCGGTCCAGGCATCGCTGCAAGGGTACGCGCAGCTCCAAAGAGCTTTTGGTTTTCGAGGTGAGAATAAATGAAGAGAAACTCGGCTATGTGAATTCGAGAGCGCTTTTTCGGGTCTAATTTCTGTGGAGGTGGGAAAGGTTGATCAGGTTTCGAGGTTGGGTTGGGAAAAAGGACGTGGTGTGTTCCATTTTCTTGTTCGACTAATTTAGGTGGGGGGAACAGGTGCGATAACGCCGCAACTTTATGTTCTCGCGCCTTCTGATTGTGTGCCGCATTTGGCGCCAACATGATATAGCCACAATTACTATTCCGTACACCGGAAAAATTACCTTCTGCCTTTGTCTCTCTGGCGGCGTGATTCGATGCCCACGAAAGCCCATCCCATGGTGACTTCAATCAACCAAGGGATCGGGACTTATGCTTAGTATTTTGTATCCATATAATAAGACAGCGCAACAGCCCTAGACTCATGCCTCTACGGACCTCAATGTTTGTATTTGTGTACTTACGCCTGTACTGTAGGTACCAAGGTATTCGTACTCCGTACCCAAAGAGCCTTGAACCCCTTCCAATCCACCCACTCTTGTTTAGTACGGCGTATGTACAGTATGTATTGTACAGTACAAGCGTAAGTACACAAATACAAACATTGAGGTCCGTAGAGGCATGAGTCATCAATGCAAAATATGCTGCCTAGGTATCCAAGTACCTTCGTTATATTCACTTGCGACCTTCTTGCCTTCAGTCCACCGTCGTTTGAACTAAGACATCTCCTTAGTGTCCGTAGATCGGGCAAAGCATAAAGCTTGAACCCCTCCAACGTCAAGATTGACGTCACAGCAATGTTACAAGGGCCCTGTATGCGTGTGTATGTAAGGAGTAAGGGAGAAAATACGGTAGGTCAAAACATACGGAGTCCATACGAATACAACTCACCCGGTTCACCCAGTTGATTTCTTTTTCGGGCCGTGCCAGAACGACTCCCGTCTTTTCAACACGGGTCTGGCTCCGAAGCAAGTGAATAATACATGCTTGGATTCTATGTAAAATTTCCACGGATTGCCCATTGAGTAATTCCTTTGCCCCCGCACTTTAGCAGCTACTAACTGCTAGGCGACTCGAGCAAGCCAGCACCTTGCACGGGTTCTTCGAATGAACGAGCTTTCGTTCCTCCAGAAGCTCTCGAGTGGTTGACAGAATATTAGGCACAAGCTAGTGAGCAATGCTTATTCCTTGCCGATACGCAATACTGCCTTTGTTATACAGAATAGGTAGAGGTATAAAAGTATTGTGAGAAAAGGGCACCAATCGCCTAGCCTTCAATAAAAATCGGTGTGTCTTTTTCCAATCAATAATTGCTTGACCTCGTATCCTTCTTTGAGCATCGGTTACGGAGAAAACCGGGAATGACATGGCTGGCTGCAAAATCCTCGAACACCGCCTCAGCCCCTCCAAAATGCCAGCGGAAGCAGAAGCCATTGTTCTCACCCGAAAGATCCCGGTGATAATGTCCAACTAATCGCCCAGTTGCCCGTCAATTCCCTTCCCGCAGTTGCTCTAGCCTCTCGTAGCCATTTCCTTCATTAGCAAGACCTACACAAGGCTGAACTCCCCGGTCAGCCAGGCGACTCCCGCCGCCAACACTGACCAACTGTGCCGCCTTCTCATGTCTTGCTAGTGGCCTGGCGGGCGAACCCGGCCTTGCAAAGCTCACCCTGGCTTTGGGGCTTCCCTTTCTTGTTCCGATTTCCCTTCGATATAATACGTCCCGGCCCATCCTCTTAGACCTCCTGAACTGTTGCTTCGCCCACCCATTCTACGATTCAAATAGGAGAAAGCTCTGATAGGCACATATATACCAACACAGCTCATACCCCAATCGTCTCAATGAGCTTCGTCAAGGTCAACAACAAGCTCTGCTCACCGAAAGCACGTCTCGGCCGAGTCATTGCACCCCTGTGCCAGGCCCAGCTTGGATATCCGGCCAGACTTGCCTTCGCTGCCTGCGAAACTCGACAGGGCCAGCCTTCGAAAGACTTCTCTACGACAAGGGTGACTCCGCTCCGTGATTTCTTTCCCGCCAAAGAGACAGCATACATTCGCAAGACACCACCAGCATGGGCTCACCATGGGTGGACCGAGCAAGAAATGCTTTCGGTTGTTCCTGAGCATCGTGAGCCAAAGACGGTGGGAGACTGGCTCGCGTGGAAGTTGGTTCGACTATGTCGGTACGGACAATCTCAGGGGCGGAACGTCGCGGATATGTGAAGTTGGTTGACTTGGGATACTGCAGATGGGGCACAGATATTGCCACCGGAATCAGACCAGAGCAGCAGGTCGACAAGAAAAACCCCACTACTGCGCTGGCTGCCCACAAACCCCTTACCGAAGCCCAGTGGGTACGTGCTCGAATTGGCTAACCGTCCTTGCTGTACGTGCTGACCCTGAACTGCTAGCTGGTCCGCTTCATATTCTTGGAATCCATCGCTGGAGTTCCTGGCATGGTCGCTGGCATGCTCCGGCATCTCAACAGCTTGCGGCGTCTCAAGCGGGACAATGGATGGATCGAGACGCTGCTTGAAGAATCGTATAATGAGCGCATGCACCTCCTAACGTTCATGAAGATGTGTGAGCCGGGACTATTCATGAAAACGATGATACTTGGGGCGCAGGGCGTATTTTTCAACGCCATGTTCATCAGCTACTTGATCTCACCCAAGATAACTCACCGCTTTGTCGGCTACCTCGAGGAGGAAGCCGTCCACACGTACACTCGCTGTATCCATGAAATCGAACAGGACGACCTGCCGAAATGGTCGGATCCGGGCTTCAAAATCCCAGAGCTCGCAATTTCGTACTGGAGAATGCCCGAGGGGAAGCGTACCATGAGGGATCTGATACTCTACATTCGAGCGGACGAGGCAGTCCATCGCGGAGTCAACCACACATTGAGTAACCTCAATCAGAAAGAGGATCCTAATCCATTTGTCAGTGACTATAAGACAGACACTGGCCACAACCAACCGAACCCAGCCCTGAAACCTACAGGATACGAGCGCGAGGACGTTATAGGTTGAACCACGAATAAGGTGGGATACAGTTGGACTGTGGTCGTCGAATCCGGGTATTTTCGCCGAGTAAGTAGGTAAGGAGCTGCTTCGGAGAGTTCTATGACATATTGTTTCTGTTGAGCGTCTGTCTTCGTGTCTTGGGTAGTGTTAACTCCATCTAGATAGATAGCGGGGTGCATGTAGATAAGTAGAAATATTCTTCTCTTCATAGAGCAGCACGGTGTTGCTGTGTATAGAATGTGCTTCGAGCTGAGTGCTCTAGTCAACACAACAGCTAAAGTGAGATAGGGAGGCTACATTTTGCAAACGCCTATGATTCTGATTTTACCCTATTTTTGTTCCTTTTTGTCCTGTTCGTAGTTCTTTTGATATTCTTATTCTTTTCATCAAGTGTGGCCATTTTTGCAGGATAATGGAACTTGTGGGCTCTTGATTACCCATGAATTTTCAAGTACACACGTACTTACCTAGCTACGCCCCATTTTCGGCCAAAACCGAAGCTGGCAGCGTCTAATACCGCACGCTTTTACGTGTAGGGATGGTAATGTTCATCACTCCACGCAGGCTGCATTATTTTGTTTCACTGCCCAAGACGGCGTCATAATGACTGCAGAGGAGAAGACATGATTTATACAGAAAATAATTACCATACTACGTATCTACACCCGCGTGAATCTAAGATACCGTGGTGGACTGCTGATACTCCGTACGTAAATTTGCCAGCTTAAAATAGCAACTATCCGTTTCCCAAGGCAGAGTAGACGAACAGATGTCGATTCGGGCAAGGTCGTGTTCAATGTGATGTTGCCCGAGCATAGTGTGGAAAACCAAGGCCTCGAAAACAATAGCGGTACCGGGTGGAGTCAACCACAACCGTTTGGTTCGCATGGTTCCTTTAGTTCCTGGGTAAAATTGGTTAGAGCATTTCGACTTCTATGACAACAGCACAGGCATTAAGCTACCTTGCCAACTTTGCCTAGGTAAATAAACGGCATTTTACGAAAACATGTAGAGAAAACTTGCAACGGGAAGGTGAAGGAGTTACGGGAATGTTCCAACCTTGTCACCGAGCACTTCTTCTGGGAATTGCACAATCTACGAGTATTCCGTAGGTATGTTACATACTCCGTACCAACAACCTGAACACGGACTGGACGCCTGCATGCCCAAGTGCTACCAAACCGGGGCACTGTGGCCGTACTCGATCCTTAAGCTCTGTGCCGTTCGACTTCCTCGTGCACAGTGTGAGGATGACTCCCACTAACACTCGGAAAGCTGTCGCCGCCAAGGCTTTTTGGTCTGGAGGGCTGTGTGGCCTTACCAAGGATGATTGGAGCGCAATTTCAAATCTTAGGCCCCTGGTTTCGACACAGCGCGCGTTCCCAAACCGGCGCTCTTTACTGACTCCGGGTCCCCAAGCATTCCCAAAGCGCCCAACTGCCCCATCCCCCCTCGATTGGAAAGGGAAATACAAACTACCTTACCTAGGGATCCAACCATCCTACTATCTCAAGTACGACAGTTTCGGCTTCCATCTGGTACGAATCCCGTCGCTTGGCTGCTTGACTGGGCCCGATTCACCTCAGATAGGCAACCTCGCATTTAGGCTCCGCCCCCCGCCGGTCGACAATTGCCCGCGCCGTTGCCTTGTTCCTGTTGTCGCCAAACAACTAGAGCCCATTCCGGCTGTCGGTATTCTGGACCAAGTGCTGACGGGCGCCTTCATCCTGTTGCGCCTTATTAGCCTCAACTGTGGTGATTTCCCTTGCTACGGTCGGATTTCCCAGAACCCAAGAACTGGCAGGGCAGGCGCACGATACGATACATAGGCAGCCTTACAACCACGAGAGAAGCCGACCCCCCAAGGGAGGACTGTGTCCCGCTCTACCCAATATACCCAACGCCCCGCCAAAGCGACGGCCAAACGATCCAGGCGCAGCCCTTCCGTTGCGGCCCCACGATTGCTCGCTGGTCAGAATCCACGCCTCACAATAAAGCTTGTCGGGATTAGACAAAGGGTGTGGAACTGTGCCGAGCAACTACATCGGATTGACTAGTAGTACGGGTTTCTAGCGGCAAAGCAGCAGCAGCAGCAGCAGCAGCGGAAGCAGCAAGCACTCGACGAACGGCGAGACGTAATCGGAAGCCGCCCTGAGACTGGGAGGGAGGGACGACAACAGCTTGCGAAGCGACAAAGGAAGCGACAAGACAAAAACACTCAACCTCCACACGCCTCATATTCCTTCTTGCGCGCGTCCACACCAGGTGCATTTACTAGGATTTCCAACGCCATCCAACGGTCCCTAAGAAGCGTGGAATTATTGTCGTTGTCTTTCGTCTCGTCTGACAGGACAGCGCTCCGGTGAAAGGTGGGGGAAACTGGCCCGCGCTGCCAGCACAGCGGTGTCAGCTCCCGGACTCGCGTAAGCACAGCCTCAAAGCACTGCCACTGTGCCTGGAAGGCTGACTTCCAAACTGCCTTGTCGCCGTTCTAAAGACAGAAACACCGCGCAACGATCTTGACAAGGTCATCGGACTGGGATCAATGGACCAACAACATCCCCACAGCCGCGGGCGCTCGCCCTCGGCGACATCTACCAGCGGGGGACGCGCACACGCGCACCAACAACAGACCCATATAAAGAACAATCACTCGCCTTCGCCTGCCCGCTTTCCCAATCCGAACGATGCTGTTGGATTGGGTCTCGGCCTTGTCGACCCTGCCTCACAGCCGTTTCCCAACACCCAGTCTAGCTTTTATAACGCCAATGCCAGTAGCTTCTTGAACAACCAGCAGCCCCAGCCCCAGTCGTTCGCCCAGCCTGGTCTCACTGATAACTCGACCAACTTCAACCTCAACCAAGACTTCACGGACCAGCTCAAGACCGAGGACACGTCCTTTAGCGGCCAGAGCCAGGGAGACTATCAGCAGCAGAACCTCTTGGCACCGGCGTTTGGGGACGCCGACTTCACCATCTTCCCGCCTACGTCGGGGGAGCCGCAATACAACGCCCCGCTATTTGTTTCCGACAACCAACAGCTTGGTAGCCCCGACTCCAGCATGATGTCCCAGGCACACCACAGCCCGACGCCTCCCCACCTCCTCAACCCCGAGCCGCACCAACCCGGCTCTGCAAACCACTCTCCATCCTTTAACCAACATCAGTTCTCGTCTCCTCCTGGGAGACACTCGCGAAATGTGTCCCTCGGTCCGGAGGCGGCCCTTCTGCCCACCTGGGCCACATCCGGTCCACAGTTCCAGGGTCACAGACGTAGCCCTTCAGAATACTCAGATGTCTCATCAGTGGCACCGTCGCCCAACCTCGTCAGCTCGGACAGCTTTGACCAGATCGACCAGAGCCACTCGCCGATGCAGCGACCGCAAGATTCTAACCTCTACCAGGAACTTCATGGGATAGGCAGCTTCAGCATCTCAGACCAGGGCACACATTCTCCCAGCCACGGAGGAAGGAGCCCATCCCACAGCCCTGCCATCTCGCCGCGCATCTTACCTCAGCAGCTGCCGGAGATGAGCCAGCAACAGGGCAGCTTCATGGTTCGGCCACAAAACAACGGCTACGGGACGGGCCCTTCTTATCTGCAGCCTCCGCAAGAAGCTTTTCCTCAGCTTCAAATGGATGGTCCCGATATGCAAGGACAAATGCCGGCCCCACCTTCTATCAATATTGATTATGCTCCGACGTCAGTAAGAAGTGGCTTCGAGCAACCGAAGAATCTCGACATAGATTCGCTGACTCCGCCAGAGAGAGGTACGTCCCTCGGCCTGATGATTTTTGTTGACAGGTGGGACCACAGTAGACTAATGCGCTATCGAGCAGGCCGGGCCAGGACCTCACGACCACGTGCTGTTACAGATCCATTTAATAGTGGCGGTACTCTCCTCAACCATCGCAGCCCTTCGGCTTCAGGGAGCCTTTCACCCAACCTTTCAGCTGACGCGCGCTCTGACTCCTCCCGTTCCCTCTCGCCTCTTGACCGCTCCAGCCCCGGAAGCGGAGGAAATTCGCCCAGTAGAAGGCGCCAGTCAACCTCAGCAGTTCCCAACAATGTAATTGCGCTTCGACTTGCCGATCCAGATTACAATGGCCCCGGCGCCCAAGGAGAAAGTGGAGCCGGCGGAGCCAAGCGGATTCAAAAACATCCGGCGACATTCCAATGTACTCTGTGTCCCAAACGGTTCACCAGAGCATACAATCTGCGGTCGCATCTCCGAACACACACGGACGAAAGACCATTTGTCTGCACGGTGTGTGGCAAGGCGTTTGCGCGGCAGCACGATCGCAAGCGCCACGAAGGCCTGCACTCTGGGGAGAAGAAATTCGTTTGCAAGGGAGACCTGAAAGGTGGCGGACAATGGGGTTGTGGCCGACGGTTCGCGCGCGCGGATGCGCTTGGCCGGCATTTCCGCTCTGAAGCCGGGCGCATCTGCATCAAACCGCTCCTTGACGAAGAGATGCTCGAAAGGCAGCGTATATGGAACGAGCAGCGCATGCAACATGCGGCGGCGCAGGGTATGGTCATGCAAGCTCCCGGCATGATGATGCCGCCTGGGATGGACCCGAACGCAGGCGCATACCAGTTAGATGCTAGCGGCAACTATCCACTACCGCAAGCACTGCTGGCTCAGTATCCTGCTCTGGCCCAGATGAATTGGTCGGCGGCTGACATGACAAGTGGTGGCAGTGGGATGGAAGACGAGATCAGCGGAAGGAGTAGCTTCGATGCTAGTGACTACGATGAAGGTGATGACGGGGGTTACGTCAGTGGGCCAGGTACCGGCTTTGGTCCTGGAGGGATGCAAGAGAATTTTGGTGACATCGGCTATGCCAGCGACTATGGTGGACGTTAATTCTGTGCCATGGCGTTCTAGGGTTGGGAATTTGTTTTCTTCTGGAAGGACGGAACCTCTAGCCTGTGCTTTTTATTTTGGGTTTCCTTTCTCTTTATTCCGCATTTTCTTCCCCCTTTTTTGGGTGATCCTATTCCATCTGGGACATTTATTGTCACTGGAAATGCCCTTGTTCCTTTTTTCGGTTCTCTCCCATTCTACATAGAATGGGTCTTCATGACATTGATGATCGCAGTAGTGCACTTCTTGTCTTGCGGTCTTGTCTTGATTAGATGTGGTAGTGGTCCCGCTCACTGCCCTGGTTTGGGTCTCTGGTCAAGACGAGGTCTGTTTTCAAGTCTTGGCCTTTGGGAGAATTAGTCCCTTAGATCACATTGCGAGCGCTTATAGATACCAATATTGACTTTTCGGCCAGTCTGAGTCTCTATACTATCCGTATGTATGCTTGACTATTCCTGCGCAGCAATGACCCGATTGCCCTTGTCTTATTGTCATTTTATGATATGGTACGCAAGTACGCAAGTATTTAAACGTGTGAAACCACCTCGCGATGCTGCCATCTGCGCGTAAACCTTGGGCCTCCCAGGCGCTTGAACCAACCATTGCTGTGTTGAGGAGGATGAGGGAAGAGGCATCAAAGTGATGAGACCTATCGAACAGTAGACGGATTATGGGGAAGTGTCATCCCCTACCTCCCCAGGTGAAATTGACGCCTGCGTTTGGCTTGACCGTGCGACCTCGTCAACTACGCGTTGGAGAATCTCCTGATGTGCGCTGGAGAAGCTACGCCTGACAAACGGCCTGATAATGCTGCCGCACTCGATACTGGCAATCTCTACCAGCTCGTAGTTCCCCTCACCGGGCCTGGCCAAAGCCCCCCCCCAAACCTCGCCTCGCAGGCGGACCTCGTAGCTACTTCGCACCTTAACACCCTGCGAATCCGCACGACATCGAACGCCCCGTGTGAAGCTTTGGAACACACACGGGATCTCGATTCCCTTACTAGCCCAAGAACCCGCGCCGGGAATAATGGGTATGCGGTCCCGAACCACAAAGGCTGACAGCTCGGGGCCGTCGCGGTGGAAGAGGGTATCACCAGCAACTTCTTCGGGGCGGAAATCGCGACGCTCGTAGCTCACGGTGTAGGGGTTAGCCCCGATGAGTGGCTCGTGTGCGTGCAGAGCCGATACAACGGCTTCTGGGGGGAGCCAAGCCGGGAGTGAAACACGTATTATGACGGTGAAGGCTTGGGATGGAGCCATAGGCGGGCTGCAGCCTCGGCCAAAGGCAATGGGGGCCGAGTGCTTGGATCCCACGCTCCACTGCGTGATGGCGTGAGGGCAACTTCTCAATTCTCGTGGGCTAGGTAGGTAAGATGGATGGAAGGATCAAGCCGCTGATTGAATGGAGACATTGGCCATATTTTGCCGCGATGGAGCGGGGAGAGATTGGATCGGTTTCTTGGCCTAGGCGGCGGTCAGGTCTTCTCTCGCTCGGGCCACAGGTCAGAGAAACTCGTCTGGAGTGGCGAAAGAGCCGAAAAAGGCTAGAGTATGTTGTTACGTACTCAGATCAGACACCCGGACTCTTTGTTGGTCCCTTGAAGCTTGTCACACACTACCAACTGCGCAACGTCTAGCATCATTCCCGTCTTTGGTCCCATGGGAACGGACCCGATTCGCGAATTGATTGGGGCATCGCGCTGCGTAGGAAGTGAACGCCAGGCCAATCCTGACGTTGCTTATGGATTTATCCTACAGCGCTTCTTTCCGTCTGAAACCGGGACCAAATTTCTAAATTCAGTGTGCTTAGGGTTGGCATATTTTTCAAAATCATGATACTTTACCGTAAATTTACATTTCATGAAATTCATGAAACAAAGAATTGTGAGGCTTTATTGGCCCGACCATGAATGATCCACTGTTAAGAGTTGTGTACTATCTTCCTCACTTATACTATCTAAGGGTAATTAGGGATAATAGGTACCTAATTAGCTGGGATGGAAAATATGTGGGGCTTGAGGCACGGCCTGACAGTCCATTAGACTTTCCATGAAACTAACCTTCAATTTTCAAGATTTTAAGAGAAGTTCAGCCAACCCTAGTGTGGCTAAGCTAACAATCTTTTTTTTTAAAGGAACGCGATCTTCGCCTGAGTTGGCCGTTTCTTGTCCAGCGCCAGCCTAAGTTTCTCATCATCTTGTCCCATCATTTGAACGGTCAGATCAGCGTCGCAGAACTGAAACAAAAAAAAAAGTTGTTTTTCTCGCACCTCCTGGGTATGGAGGGCAGCCAGTGGCATGCCATGGTCGGAAACTTCCAACAGGGTGCGGGCCTTCCTCGATTCCCATGCGCGCACCCGTGTCGGTGCGTTTGCTTCGAGTCTAGTCATTCTAGCGGTGAGCGGAAAAAACCGATCCCCATTCGGATGGCGCAGACGGGCTGCTTCTACTGGATATTTCAGCACTGGCTAAGAGAGACCCGCTGATTGTCAGTTCCCCACTGCAGCCGGCTCCCGCAGTTCGAAAGACTGGGGACCCATGATGGTTACTTTACATGCAACCGTGAAAGACACATCCTTGGTATGTAGGGTACCAAAGTATTCGTACACGTCTAGGAAGGGAAGGGATGTACTGTACAAGTACCTTTCCTGCTTGGGAATATAAGGCTAGTATGTATGGTATTGTATCACCGACGACTGCCGAGGCGGTCCCAAGCGATCTTGACCTTCGGTCATCCAGTTCTGAACGTTCACCAAAAGAGTCACCTGGGTCCCCGAAACCAGGGAGAACGCGACTTAAATTGCTGAAACCGCGAATAACAAAAGAGTTGGACGACAACATTAAAGGCTGATTCCTTCCTGCAGCTACAGCCGCATCATCTTGCAGTCGCTGTTTTCGGCTAAGACCTGTTGGTCAAGTAGCCGGCACCTTTCAAGAAGGCGCATCGCTGCCCAGTCTGCAAGGTAGAGGTACTAACGTAGGAAATTCCCCTCAACCTACAAAGCTGATTCGCCAGGTTTGTTTTCGGTTCCGCTCTGGAAAGGCATCACAACTGCAAGACTGAGTCGCGCGTCTTGGTGACGCACTTGAGTGCAGGACGCAGTGCCAACAAAGATAACGGGATGTGATAGTACAAGAGGTGAGTCAAGTTTGGCAATCCTGTAAGAGGTTGAAGGCCTTTGAGCTACGTAGGGAGGACATATATTTCGCGGCGGTACCTACCTCGGCACCCAATAGGTAATGTGCGTTATTCCGAATAGCATACATGCCTAGGCAAACATCAATGAAGTTACTTTCGCTATAGGATACTCGAGAGTTACGGATACTGTATTTGAGAATGCTCTCGCCTGACTTCGCGAAAAGCATAAACAACCACGCACCTCGATTAGGTCAGCTAGTGAAAGAGAAGTAACTGCGTGGTTTGGGTTCAGTGAGTGGTGTTTTTTCGGAATGGTGTAATTCGTGCAAACACCTGTCTCGGGCGTTCGTCCATTCGGCAGGGCGCACGCACTGTATTCATAAACGAGGGGCACCGGTGACATATGGGGTAGTCTACAACCTGGCGGGTTGCAGCTCAGTCTTCCGCTCACCTCTCGACCTCGGTGATGGCGTCTAAGAAGAGGTCAACGGGTGAGTAGTTGCCACGAGGCGGTCGCAAACAATCTGGGCGAATATCCGTCGATGAGAATGGAGGGAACGGCACAGCACTTGACTTGCGACGGATTTTGGCGTGTCTCCCGAGTCCCTCAGATCAACTTTGGTCAGGGGCCTGGATAAGGTGGTGGTGGGCTGGCTGTCGGGATTGGAATGGTCACTCGCCCTAACACCACCCACCATTCTACCAGCAGCCAATGACGTTTGGCCCCAGCCATGTCCAGAATGTGCTTGTTTGTCGAGAATGGCTGCCACACCGCGAACCAGAACGGGACTGTTGCAAGAAGTGGGCCATCACCGGACAACATAGGTCAGTCTTGGTGATTCGCAGCACAACCGCACACAAGCTATTCTGTCAATTCCTCCCACCGTCGTCACGGAACTCGTCAGCTGAATGTAGTTGCAGCTACACATCACGCATGAAGATTTTCTTTCAGGGGCCTGTAAGGCAGAAAAATTGCAGTAGGATATCCGTACCAGCATGCGATTATCTGATTGAAAGCCTTCCCTCTGAGGTGATCTGCGGTCATCCCTGCGCCGCCGTGTGCCACCCAGGTCGTCCCGCAGCCAAGTGCTGCTTGCATGCCGTCGGTCTATTACAGTGCTTCCCGTTGTGCATGAATACCTCGTCAAGGCGCATTAGGGACAGTATCCCCCCCTCTCTTTTTTTTCACCAAGTTCAGGTGCTTCTGCTTGACCATCGTCCCTCCGACCACACACACAGACCTATCCCTTCAATCTGGTCTGGTCACTGTTGCACGAGAAGAACCGAGACTGCAGTGGCCAATTCGAACGACTGTGTTGAGTCGTCCCACACGACCCAGCCTGTGAAGACCGCTAATCGCCTCCCCCCCTAATCGCCTCCGAGTGTCGCATCCAAATCGAAACGGGCTATTGGTTCTTACCGGAACGCCATTTTCTACTGCTATCAAATCTTTCTACAGCCAGGGACCGAATAAAAAAAGGGTTGTCAAAAAGAAAAGGGGGCCAAGCTCGAGGAAAGAAACGGCCGGGAATCTCGTTGCCTTTCGCCTTCCGCATTGCGATATTCTCCTCAACTACTACTGCTCAGAGTAACGCGACCGCACCAGTGATTTCGAGAGTACATCTCGACCCTCGCCCACCAAGATACCTAAGGTTGGAACTATAACCCTCCCAATTCGCCCGCCCGGCAAATTCAGCACCACATGAGTTTGACAACCGTCCGTCGGCACACTTTGAACTTGTTCGACTATCAGGATGGCCGTCGCCGAGGTTCTGGCATTCCGCGAGAGCTGGACAGAAGACGTTGCATATGGTTGGCCAACGACCCGGCCTTTGACGAGGACGACTGGGTTGGATGAGCAGTTGATAAAGGACTTGAGATCGACCCTTCTGAAAGCCAGGCTGGGCCTCATTGCAGAATGCTGGATTGAACTTTGGAGCAAAGCAAGGGTACGTTGTGGGATGAACGATTATGTCCAATGTTTCTTGACTTCGGCCGAAATGATTTCATCTGGGCGCCCAATCACGGGGTGTCATGTTCGAAGGAACACTATGGAGTCAATTATACCCTATGCTCACCCGAAGAAGTTAAACGGGCCCAAACTTGAGACCTTTGCTGACAGACCGATTCACAGCCGCCGCCGCATTCTCGGCCTAGCCCGTGGCCCCCTATCATTCTCAGGCCGACACGACAAGGCCGTCATCCGCTGCAACCCAGTCCCCTGCCCGACGGTGACTGCAATGCCGCGTCCCTAGAAGTCTACGACCCAACTAGCAGCGGCGCGAATGCATGCTATTCCAAATCACCTCTGGATGGGCTTAACGCCCCGGATGGTGTTGCTTCAGGGCCCGGCCTTGGATACCAAAGGCGTGAAAACGATGTGCTCGTGGACCCGAGCATGTCTGTCTACATTGAATTCAGAAATGATGAGGGGTTCCGGCATGTTGCAGGAAAGAAGAAGAAGAATAAAGCGCTAGCAAAGTCGAGCAACTTCGAAGATAACGACGAGACGAAGAAAGGGGGTGGTGAAGGAGGCGATGATGGAAATAAAGATGATGGCAGTGCTGGCGCCGGCGGCGGAGACGCCAGCAATTCCGGTGGTGGTGGCGGCGACGGCGCTGGCGACGGTGGCGATGACAAGAAAGAGGACAAGAAGGCGGATGGCGATGACCCCCTCATTGAAGATGACTGGGCCACTCCCACCACTTCTAAGAAGAAGAAAGGGAAAAAGAATGCGGCTACTTCGGTCACTACTGATACCGCCACTACCACAGCGGCTACTATATCTGACGAAAAGCTGCCCGATTTTGCCCCGCCCAGCATAACATCGACAGGGCTAGGTGCCTTCCACGAGATCAAGTTAGATGTGGGGCCTTCTCTACATTGCACTTTGGGCACTACAGACACTAAAAATTTGAGTGTCTGGAGCTCTAGCTGGGATACGGGGAGTTCCTGGGGTTTCTCTGCTGCTAAGACTTCACCCGATGACGCCAAACCCAAGGAGGATGAGAAAGCAGATAACTCCTGGGGCATCAACCGGCCAAAGCCCAAGAAAAAAGGCAAGACTACCATATTGTTTGGCGACTTTGGTGTTGACACTGACGGCAACGCCGAACCCACCCCTGCTGAGGAAGAAATCAACAAGGAGAAGATTGATGCAGGTTTTGATTTAGGCTTCCCCGTGACGTCAAAGAAGGACAAGAAGAAAAAGAAGAACGCCAGTGCCTGGGATCAAGAGCCTGAGGAGGAGAAGGCACCGTTGACCGACGGCCAAGATGTCGCGGGCAACTCGTGGTCCGGTTTGGGTAAGAAACCCCTCCTAGACGCGGAGCCCGAAACCAAGCCAACTTTCGACGTAACGACTCAACTAGACGATGATTGGTTTTCTTCCAAGAAAGACAAGAAGAAGAAATCCCTGATGGCGGTCGAGGAGCCCATGTCTGAGGAGCTCGTAAAGCAGCCTGAGCCGGAGGCGGAACCCGTTGATGACTTCTGGGGGACTGTCAATACGAAGAAGAAGAAGAGCAAGGCAGTCGCCGAGCCTGAGGAGACTGAGAAGAGGCCTGATCCTTCTGTCGAGCCGGAGCCGAAGAAAGAAACTGACGACCTCTGGGGCGCAGCACCAGCCAAAAAGGGCAAGAAAAAGAAAGGAGCTGTGCTTGCAGTTGTTGGTGAGCCTGAAATGGAATATAAACCTGTCGAGCCCGAACCCGAGCCTGAGCCTGAACCGGAGCCAGAAAAGGAGCCCGAGATGGACACCGCATGGGGTTGGGGCAGTTCCGGGACCAAAAAGGACAAGAAGAAGAAAGGTAAGAGTGTTTTCCTTCTTGACGATTCTCCTAAGGAGCCGGAGCCACTGCCAGCGGAAAAACTCGAGCCAGAGGCCGAACCAGAGGAAACCAAGGAACAAGACGACTTTTGGGGCAGTATCACAACGAAGAAGGACAAGAAAAAGAAAGGTAAGAACGATGCTGTCGATTTAGTGGAACCTCCCCCCATGGAAGATCTCAAGATTGAGGAGAACCCCCCTGCCGAGGATGAGTTCGGAACTACGGTCACGAAGAAAAAAGGTAAGAAGAAAGGGGCTGTTGAGGAAATCATAGACAACCCTACGTCCGCTATTGCCGGGGAGACAAAGAAGGACGAAGAGCCTGTCGACGGTTTGGGCTGGGGTGCACCGACTACTAAGAAGGACAAGAAAAAGAAGAAGGGGTCGATTTGGGATGAGTTGGACCCTACCCCGAAGCCTGACCCGGAGCCACTACCGGAAGCCAAGAAAGACGAAGACCCTATCGACGATTCGGGATGGGGTGCTCCGACGACTAAGAAGGACAAGAAAAAGAAGAAGGGTTCAACTTGGGATGAGTTGGACACTACTTCCAAGCCAGAACCAGAACCAGTACCAGAATCACTACCAGAGCCACTACCAGAAGTCAAGAAGGGCGAAGACGACATGTGGGGCAGCTTTACGACGTCCAAGAAAGATAAGAAAAAAAAGGGCAAGACAGCCGCCGCCGGACCCTTACCAGAACCTGAGCCGGAGCCGGAGCCAGAGCCAGAGCCAGAGCCAGAGCCAGAGCCAGAGCCAGAGCTTGAAAAGAAAGAGGAAGACAACTCTGGATGGGGTTGGGGCATGTCGACTAAGAAGGACAAGAAGAAGAAGAGCAAGAGCGCCCTACCTCAACCCGAAGAACCGCAGGTAATTCCTGAGCCTGAGCCTGTGCCTGAGCCTGAGCTTGAGCTTGAAGCAGAGAAAGAGTTGGAAGAAAACAATGACTGGACTTCGTGGGGCACCACAGCCAAGAAGGACAAGAAAAAGAAGGGCAAGGCAGCCGTCATAGCCGAAGCCGAGGAGCCGAAGGAGCCAGAACTGGTCCCAGAACCAGGAACTGCTGCAGAAGCAGAACCTGTTGTTGAGGCGGAAAGGGGAGATGACATTTGGGGCGTCTCTATGTCAAAGAAAGACAAGAAGAAAAAGGGCAAGAATGCCATCGTTTCAACACCTGACCCGGCTCCAAAACAGCTCGAGCCCGACAAGACGGAAGTTGACGATATCTGGGGAGTCAGCAACTCGAAAAAGGAAAAGAAGAAGGGAAAGAAACTTGAGCCAGAGCCAGAGCCAGAGCCAGAGCCAGAGCCAGAGCCAGAGCCAGAGCCAGAGCTCGAGCCTGAACTAGATCCTGGGCTTGACTTTACCGACGAACCAGATCCCAAGTCTGAGCCTACAAAGAACGAAGACATATGGGGTGTCACCAGTTCTAAGAAGGACAAGAAGAAGAAGGGCAAGAACAAGGATCCAGAGCCTGAACCTCAACCAGAACCTGTGCCTGTGCCTGAGCCTGTGCCAGACCACTTGCTCGAAAAGAAGCAGGAGGATGACATATGGGTGGGGTCATTTACCGCTTCGAAGAAAGATAAAAAGAAAAAGGGCAAGAAGGGTCAGCCGGAGCCGGAGCCGGAGCCTGTGGTGGAATCTGATCTGAAGCCAGTGTCTGGGCCTTCTCCTGGGCTAGAACTCGAGCAAAAGGAGGACGACGATTTCTGGAGCTTCTCTGCCACAAAGGACAAAAAGAAAAGCAAGAAAAGTCAGCCTGAACCCGAGCCAGAACTGGAAGCAATAATACCCCCAGAGCCGGAGCCAACAGCGCTTTCCGAGCCTGCACTCGAACCGAAAGAAGACGACGACATCTGGGGGGTCCCTGCGTCGAAAAAGGACAAGAAGAAGAGTAAGAGTAAGAACCCAGGCCCTGAGCCGGTGAAGGAAGTCGAACCGGAACCAACACCAGAGCCTGAACCAAGTCCGAAAAAGGAGGAAGACGATCTATGGGGCTTCGGCGCTTCCAAGAAGGACAAGAAGAAGAAGAAGGGCACAGTGGCAGATGAACCCAAACCAAAGGAAACTCTCGCTTCAGACCCTCCTGCAGCAGAAGAGAGTGCCGATTTCTGGGACACTTGGGGCTCAGGCAAGAAAGACAAGAAAGCGTCCGATGCGCTCATCGAGCTTGACAAGAGTGAGACTTTGTCAGGGGACGAGAAGATGCCGGCTGTGCCAAACCCGCTCGAAAATGACGACTTCTTCAGTTCGTGGAGCACAGGCAAGGACACCAAGAAGAAGAAGGGCGCAGGCGATGAGAAACTGCTGAAGCCAGACACGATCGAGGAGCCGCTTGCCAATGACATGTGGGGCCTCACAACGTCATCGAAAAAGAAGAGCAAGGCCAGCGCCAAGAATGCACCGGTTGAAATTGTGGACGAGACGAACACGGAGTCACTACAGCCCGACTCGGTCGAAGAGACCAAAGATGAAAAGGCCGATGATGAATGGGGGGCTTGGGGTGGCAGCTCTAAGAAGAAGAAGGGTAAGTCTCGAAAGGATGTGTTGGCCGACGAACCACCACCGCCGGCGCCGACGCCTCCACGAATGGCCGTGGCGGAGCAGGAAGCTGAAGTTGAGGCAGAGTCGAATGCATGGGACGAAGACCCTTCTCTCACTTCTCTAAGTCTGGTCAAGACCAAGTCGAAGGATAAGGACAAGAAATCGAAAGAAAAGGAGCCCAAGTTGAGCAAGAAGGAGCTCGAGAAGCTTGAAAAGGAGAAGAAAAAAGCGGAGAAAGAGGAGAAGCGCAAGGCAAAGGAGGTCGAAGAGGCTGCTGAGCAGGCGCGGCGTGATGCCGAGGAGCAGGCGGCATGGGAGGAGGAAGAGCGGCTGCAACGGGAAGAGGAGGAGCGGCTGCAGCGGGAGGAGGAGGAGCAAGCAAGGCTCGAGGCCGAGAAAGAGGAGATAGCCAGGGAGGAGCAGGAACTCGCGGCACTAACGATCAAGAAGGGGAAGAAAAAGAAGTTGACGAAAACGGACCAGGAGAAGTTCGATCGTCTCACCGAGAGCGCGAACCGAAGGTCCGAGGAGGATGCTGCACGCGAGGCGGAGGAGAGGGAGCAGGAGCGGGCAGAACAAGACGCCAAGGAAAAAGCGATCCGCGAGGCCGAAGAGGCAGCGGAACGCGAGCGTGAAGAGGCTCAGGCAGATGCCGAAAAGTCCAAGAAGAAACCATCCAAAGCAGAGAAGTCCAAGCTCAAGGCAAAGGACAAAGGCAAGGACAAGGACAAGAGCCTGGACGTGGGCGGCGACGACGATGACTTCAAAGGCATTGATTTGACGACCGACGAGATCGAGGAGCTACTATCGGAGCTACCACCTCATGACAAGGCCATGGACAAGACTGGAGACAAGGACGCGGCTTCTGGATTCAACTCCACTCGGCCCAATGCGCTACGAGATGACAGGGGCGCGCCTGCTGCTGCAGATCCGTTCAGCTTCTGGGGCGCGGCTAAGAAACCAAGCTCCAAGGCAGCCAAAGGTACTACTACTTCTGCGCCTGAGGCAGAAGCAACCCCACCGTGGTCGGGGTCGGCCTTTAACGAGACGAAGAATGCTGAGTCATCTAAAGTTCTGGAAGCTGCCACCTTAGGCGCGATTGGCGCTGGGATTGGTGCCTTCGCCGCCACCGAGGTGTGGAAGGCCACTTCACCGTCGTCCACCGACGCAGCAAAGCCCACAAAGTCAAAGAAGGCCGTTGGCGGCAAGATTGCAGACAGACTGCGTGCTTTTGAGCCCCTCAATGACGACGACAGCTACAGCGGTGGTGACTATGACAACGAAGACCACGGCGCACGGTTTCAGGGGGAAGAACCGTTGCCCCGGCCTCCTTCGCCGCCACCCGCCGCTGCCGTTGCGCCACCAAAGGAAGATAGAAAGAAGGGCAAGAAGTCCAAGGACAAGAACCAGGGTTTCATTGTCGACTACCCCTCACCTAACCCTAATCCTCCCCCTCCGGCACCCGCTCGTGCTTCTGCTTCTGCTCTCCCGTCGTATGTTCGCAAGGCGGCACCCAGATCTGGCCTCCCCGGTGCTTTCCCCCTCGACGACGAAGACGACGACGGTCATAACACATCCAGCTTTGACCATGACGAGATAGTAGACATGGCAGCCGCCAAGAAAGCCGCCAGGAGGTCCAAGAAGGTCTCGGCGTCCCCCGAAGCCGTCGATGTACCGCCGCCTGCGCCGCCGCCACCGCCCGCCGTTCCCGAGGGGCCTCCGGCTCCTGTGGTAGATGTCAGGTCGTCCAAGAAGGACCGTCCAAAGATCAACCGCGAGGGTCCGTCATGGGGCATGTGGACTGCAACCCCAACCAAGGATCCCAAGAAGTCATCCAAGTCCAAGCCTGAGAAAGATCCAAGTGCCAAAAAGAAGACGTCTTCAACCGAAAAGGCCGAGAAACCACCATCCAAGTCTTTAGTCCCAGACAGGATAGAGAAACTGCGTACCAGAGAGCCAGCCACACCATCACGGCTCCCGAGCGTGTTCACAAGCACGCCACCCTTGTCGCGCTCTCTGTCCAGTCGCGAGAAGCGCAACGCCGCCAGTGGCAAGTCAAGCTCACGCAGGCAATCTGTGGATATGACGGCCGGTATCTCCAACCCTCCGTCCGAGACCGTGCCGGAAATGTCTGCCAAAGCCGCCAAGGTCCTTGGTGTGGGCACCGCAAAGTCAAACAGCAGACGTAGCAAAAAGCGTGAGTACTGCCGCCCAATAGCCATCTTGGAACTCCACTAACAACCCGGTAGCTTTCGACGAGGATGATGACATTGTCATGGTCGCTTCTACCGATGCTGGCCCTGTGCCGGGGTCGTCGGAACGTCGGAAGTCAAAGGTATGTACACTCTCTTTGCAATTATGTACAGGTCCAGAAGCTCACTTCTAACCCGCGCAGCAGTATCCACGAGACGATGACATTGTCATGGTCGACATGGCAGACGCAACCCCCTCCCGCCCTCCTCTGAAACGCTCTAACTCGAGCGCCAAGAAATCATCTGGGTTCTCCTCTCTTTTCGGTGGCGTGTTCACACCGTCAAAGCCAGAACCCCGGCCTCGCAATACATACATGGCCACTGACGATGAAGGAGAAAGGCGGGCCGATGATACGCCGCCAGTCACAGATGCTGAACGAGAAGCCCGCCGCGCTGCCCGCCGCGCCCGTCGAGCCGAGAAGGAGGCTGCAAACAAGGCTGCCGCCGAAAAGTCTGCCGCCGAGGCTCGCCGCGTTAAGGACGAAGCTCGCCGTGAGCGCCGCCGGAGACAAGAGGAGGACGAAGAGGCACGGAGGCAGGAAGAGAAGGAAGCTCGTCGTGCCGAGCGGCGGGCCCAACGTGCCCGAGAGGAAGCTGATCGGCGCGCTGCTGATCAAAAGGAGGCCGAGCGTGCCGAGCGTGCCGAGCGTGCCGAGCGCCGAAGGCTGCGCACTGAGCGCGAGGCAGGTGATGGGGTGGCCGATCCACGCCGTGCCGCCAAGCTTGATCGACGTCGAAGCCAGAATCCCGAACAGTCGGATCAGGAAGGCGACGAGGAACGTTACCGTCGCCGAGAAGCCCGACGCGCAGCCAGAGGGGCTGAAGACAGGGATAAGGAACGGAGCTCACGGCGAAGGTCCGAGCCCATCGATGACTATGTATATCCAAGCAGGTCTCGCGAAAAGACCGGGTCCTGGCCCCATTCGGGTACGTCATCGTGGGTCAAGGACCATTCCGATGCACCGCCGCCTCCGGCTGATAATTCCGGTGACCCCGGTGGTGCTCCACCCGACGCTCCCGACAACGAAGAGGCACGGCAAGAAGCCCGCAGAGCCAGGCATCGCTCCAAGTTTGCCGAGGCTGGCGGCACCGGTGCGGAAGATTACGACGAGGAACGACGGCGGAGGAGACGCCGAGAGGAGAGGGAACGCCGCACCGGTTCCGACGGGAGCGATGGCCGACGCGACAGCCGACGTAATTCCATGTTTATGGACACAACCCCGCGGAGCAGCTGGTGGAAGAAGCTGACGGGGAACTGACATCGCATTTTTGTAGTAAGATATCCCAACCCAGCATTCTAGAATGGATTTGACATGTAGTATTATACATGGTCCCGGGCGCCGGGTGTTCAAAAGGCGGAATGTGCTGCATTTGGTCAGCTGCTTGTAGTTGTTAAGATTTTTTGTTGTGTCGGAGCTGGGATTCGCGCAAATTGCATCTGTATCCATGTCATTTTGGATAGACTTAGCAATCCCCTCACAGTTAGCATATATCGGGAGTTGGGATACCCAGAGTGCCAATGTGCTCCTGTTATTCGGGTTTGGTACGGTGGCTTAGGTCGCGTTAAGGGCACGATTTTCTGGTTTTCTTTTCATATTCGGCCCTTCGTTTTCTCCGGCATCATTACAGCAGGTATATGTGTGTGTGTGTGTGCGCGCTTTGGATAATATATGCCAGTTAGATGAATAGTCAACCTACAACAACTGTGGTTGAATAAGGCCAGAACTTGAATGACTTAAATGCAACTACTTTACTTAGCACAATGATGACGTACTTATAACAACTCGCTAGCTAGTATGATGATGACTATTGGACATTAGAACTTCTAGCTATCTTTCAACGTCGATTAAGTTAGACGTGAGCGATACACAGATCTCCCACCGGTGACCGTAATGTCGGGTCGAGTTTGCCAAGCTGGCTGGCTACATTATCTCGAATAGTAGTAGGCCTTATGAGAAGAGATAAAATGGGGTTTATCGACAAACTCTTTCGAGCGATCAAGCAACCTTATTTCTGGAGCAGGGTATATGAAGCGCTGTAAAACACGGAGGAAGCAGCTATAACCAGGTCACAGTCAGCTGTGTGTGGTGTAGCGAGTGACGTTTAGGTAGAGTAGAAGTTAACTCGTCGCCCTCCCACTGCTAGGCGGAAAATCGGGTGCAAATCCCGACCTCAGCAATTCGAGTCACGTTAGTAGCTCTTATTTTTGGCCCTCACAACCGTTCTCTTTCCATCCACCTGTCGTATTGAGGCCACCTGACCCGAAAAAGGAGAAAACAATGTTGTTTCGCCAGCGGCGACAATGACGAGATCTCGAATTTGAGGTTGGGCTCTCTTCAATCTTCGCCAGAGCAGAATGCTCCCAATATCCGAACAAATCTCGCCTATGCGCGTTACACTCCGTGTAAAGTTCTGTCGAGGGGGTTGCCATGTTGTTGCGATAGATCGGCCTCTTCCTCCGTTGCCCCTAACTTCCCAACTTTTCACTCGTCTCACCGCCGGGGACCAAGCTTACTCAAGACAAACGGGGCGAGGTAAAAGGCGACAAGTCCTAGCGACCAGATTACTAGTTGCCACCGCCGTTGCAGGGGCATGTGAGTACAAATTCACCACCAAGGCATCGAGCAAAGAGAGGGAGCCTGGAACATAAAACCCGATCAAAGATAACAAAACCAAGAGACCGGCGAGGTTAATCCCTGCTTGCAGTACCCATCCGTATGATAGCGGCAGTGGTGCCTGCGAGAGTAACTGGAAGCACGGGCTGGATGCGGGCTTCTTCTATGGGAAACTTACCGAGGTCATCTTCATGCCGGCATTCAATGGTAAAGCTAATATTAACTGCTATCCGGCGGTAGTTCCAACGACAACTAAGACCATATGGAAGATAGCAGAAGCGAACCTGGAAGTCACTGGACCCGTATATTTCGGCCTACTGAGCGGAGGAGCGTGGCACAAACCAGAAAGAACAGCAGGTACACCAAGGTCATGTAGAAACCTAACAAGGCCAAATCTTTCTCTGAGGCGAATCTCGACATTCACAGAATTGGGGCTAGCGGAGACTTTTCCGGGTCACTGCATCTGGACGCGGAAGGGGGCTGCGCCGGGAGCGGAGGGCGTCTATTAGTGTGATGTTGAAGCTTGAAGCCCAGAGCAGGTAGGGAGCCATCCGCCACAACATTCCTCTCAGTCTCGGGGATGTCCACGGCAAAGGGGACAAGCCGGGCAATCCAAAATATCAGACAGAACCAAAAGACGGTCCTCTAGCCAAGACGCTCTGCGAATATCCCGCCGAGCACCGGGCTGAGAGCTGAGCCGATGTCGATTCCTGCGCCATGTTCGAAAGCAAGCCAGTGGATTCGCACGTGACCAGTCAAGGTGGATTGGTCGGTTTCTTGGGTTCACCTTTGAAAAAGCATAGGCCAGCGGTTGATGACCTAATTCTGACGCCAACTCTCGGTGCAGAAGGTGCGGTACGTATGCACGGTGCACCATGTAATGTAACGGATGTACGGTGTGGGTATGCAAGTAAGGTATCTACAATTCAACGGTATTCGGAATATACTACAGAATGCGGAGTACATAAGGCCCTAAATGCTCACGGTACGGAATATACACTCACATCTACCTAGCGTATTCCGTAACGCTGAGTATAGGGTCTTTTACAGATACGGATAACCACCGAAAAATACGGATACCTTACCCACAAACCTCACTAAGGTATCCGTGGGTAACTTTGGTTGCTGCTTACCTACCTACCTAACATTACACCCCCTGCAGGTGCTTTTATTAGCCACGTTTGTGTCATCGGAAATCGGAAATGAAATCGAACATGTGTTTAACACCGACAGAGGCGGCATACATCCTCAATCTCAGCTCCTACCTCGTTAAGTAGCTTCATCGGGGCGAAGCGAGCTCCAAGTTCTGCATCGGCCACAATGGCCGACCTAACAACAGCATTTGACGCCCTTCTGGCAGGGCTCGAGACCCCCCCAACGAAACGCTTTAACTTGGACACGGCTGGCGAGTTTCTCAAGGAAGCATACCGGATAGTGAGCCATCTAGCTACCCCCCTCATTGCTCTCAGACTAGGGAGGCGCGTCGCTAACACGCCCACTCTTGTGTCCTTCCTGGTTCTTAGAGTTCGCTAGTCGCACGACTACATGACGAGCTGCGAAACCTTTGTCAGGCCTACCTCTCAACGGCGGCTCCGCGCAAGACACATCTCCGTCCCGCAAGCCATGGGAACCCTGCACACCCGCCAAGCCCTGCCCGTCTGACGGAACGGGACCGTGAAGAGATCGATGCCAAGGCCAAGATGACACTCCGGGACCTCAATGCCCGCATTCGCGCTCTCGAGGACGCCGAGAAGCTGCGCCAGAGCACAGAGACGGCGTTGCTGCAAAAGAAATATGCCCGCGCTCTGGGGGCGTTGGGATCATGGGCGGCCGGGGGCGGCGCGCTTGGCACGGGAAAGAGTAACGAGCAGGTCGTAGCTGAGGCCGTAACTCGCCAGCTTGGAGCACATAGGGAGAGCGTCATCTGGTTTCTGAGACAGCGTCTACAGGAGACGGCAAGGACGCAGCAGAGAATGATGGAGACTCGCCTGAGGAGAGAAGTGGAGAAGAATAGAAGCGTGCTTGCCAAGGCCCGCGGATCTTCCCTGCTGGCAGGAAGGGATACGGATGACCTGAGCCTGGGAAAGGCCACGCCTACTACTCTAATCGGCAGCAGTACTCGTCTCCCGGGTGAGGAAGGGGAGAAGAGGTTACCTCCGGATGGTCTCACAGACGAACAGAGGCAGTTGTTCGAGAAAGGCAACCAGGACATGCTTAAGCACTTCGAGAGCACGTTGGACAAAGTCAGGTAAGGTCGCAGCTTGTGTTCCCAGAGAACCATTGCACCTCCGTTGCTAAGTCACAGATTAGGACGGCCGAGAAGTCTCTTGTCGAAATTTCGGAGCTCCAAAATGTGCTCGTAAATAATCTGGCCACCCAGTCGGCACATATCGACCAGCTGGTGGCCGAGTCCCTCGAAACAACAGAGGGTATCGGTAAAGGAAATAAAGAGCTCAAAAAGAGCGCCGCGAGAACTAGTCCGGCTCGATACACTTTCTTTGCCGCCGCAGGACTGTGTACCCTGCTTGTCGTCTGGGATCTGCTAATATAGTACCAGAAACGACAGTATTTGGATGCGTCCATTACCCTTTACTGGTTTGGAACGGATGAGGTGGAATTTTCGACCTAATGTCGCTGTTGAACATCTTAATACATAAACAATCGAGCAATGTTATCATGTCCAAGACAATGCAGTCGCGGCTGGCAATACTAGAATGATCAATCTCACACGAGTACGTCTTTAGCAGTTGAGCCTTTCGGCTAGGTTTATTCTATCATAGCGAATGCTCCATCTAATAAGCCGGGTTCTAGGTCTCTCGGACAACTTTATCAACAGCTCGAGCGAAGTAATCCACATTCCTCGTGTTAAGCCCGGCCATACTGATGCGCCCGTTTTTGGTCATGTACACGTGGAACTCGTCTCTGAGCTTTACGACCTGTGCCTCGCTGAGTCCGGTGAAGCTAAACATGCCAATCTGGTCCGTGATATGATTCCAAGTACCGGGAGTGCCTAGCTCATCGAACTTGGCTTTCAACGCCTGACGCATGGCAATGATTCGCCCAGACATGGTGCGGAGATTCTCCTGCCACTCGGCAAACAAAGCCCTGTCATTAAGAACCGTGGATGCGATGCGGGCGCCATAGATTGGCGGGTTACTGATCTCGGAGCGCTGCAAAATAGCAAGTTGAGAAGCCACGCGGGTTGTAATTCCAGCCGTTCCAGGCGACGGCGCCGCCACGAAGTGGAAGCAGCCAGCTCGCTCGCCATACAACCCAAAGTTTTTGGCAAAGGACTGGGCAATGACAAGTTCAAAGCCCTGCTCAACAAAAAGGCGGATGGCGCCAGCGTCGCGATCCAGATCGCCTGAAGCAAAGCCTTGGTAGGCGCAGTCGAAGAAGGGGAAGTGCTTCTTGGCCGCCATGACGCTGGCAATCTCGCGCCATTGGTCGGGGGTGGGATCAACTCCAGTTGGGTTGTGCGCGCAGGCATGCAACAAGATGATGCTATGCTCGGGGGCGTCTGCCAAAGTTCTCTTCATGCCTTCAATGTCCAGGCCCCTGGTTTCCTTGTGGAAGTACGGGTAGGTGGCAATGGGGAGGCCAACATTGGCGAATATCTGGTTGTGATTTGCCCAGGTCGGGTTGCTTAGATAGACAGTGCGGTTGGCGCCATGGATCTTGTAGAATCTGGCCAGAAATAGGGCGCCAAGATGGACCGCACCCGTGCCCGAGATAGTCTGCACTGAGGCAACACGTTTCTCGGAGATTGTCGGCGTCGAGGTGCCAAGAAGCAGCTCGGCTGCCTTGCTGGTGAACGATGCAAGTCCAGCAATAGGGAGATATTCGTGGTTCAGGTCGGGATCGTTGCGGAGAATCTCATCTGCCTGTTGGCTCGGTGGCACATTCACCAGCGTTAGCCCGGGCCCGATTCCCGAGGGTGAGGGGTACAGGGGTGGCACAGAGAGCGAGGCAACACAATGGGTCTTGAGTGGTTGTTTTGTGCTGCCCAGGGCTTTGGAGAAAATCGAAGAGATCGAGTGTCTATCTGATGAGTCCCACCTTCTTGACGACAGGAAGAACCCAGGGCTTCGCGTTGTCATCGCGGTACGCTCCAATTCCCTCAAAGGCGAAGGTTAGCATACAATAGCAAGGGCCCCACGGGTCGGGACGTTAGCGTTGCTACAACTCACTAGATCAACCTTGTCCGGGCTTGTGTCCGCCTTGCATGCCCTCATCAGCCCAAAGAGAGGGTCTTCAGGGGCCTGAGGGACAGCCTCAGGCGGGAAACTTGTTGTCGATGCTGACGCCATGTGGTTTGCGATGCTATGAAGCCGAGAGAAGGAGGGTGAAAAAGAAGGTGGTGACGATGAAGAAGTGGTGTCAGACCCCATTTTTAAGCTCCTGCTGTGACTGACTTGGCTGTGAGCTGTTTCCACACCCCTGCAGACGACAGCTGACTGTTTGTTGGCCGTACTAGGTAACGTTATGTTCTGCACCGCCCTCATGCGTCTGCAGCCACCAACATCAGCAGGCGATTGATTCGTTTGAGCCGCAACTGCTTTCTTTTGCCTTTAGCCTGATCGGAAGTGCGGCGCCCGCCCCGCAAAACGAAAAGGCAACTCGATCAGACTCGACTTTCGACTGTGTAAAGCAAAATATTAAGTTCTCGACATTAAGAATTACCGGTAGCCAAAGGAAAGCTGTGTTGTTACCAGCCATCTAGCTTGGGAACTAGAACAGCGGACGAGCTCCTTTATTCTCCAAGTGTTCGGCAAACTAACAGCTGAGGTGCTCCAAATCGAGCGGCACGTGAAGAAGCAAGGCTCCCGAGGCCGAGGCAGTCAACAGACAGTAACCACCCTCGTTCCCCAACTTGTTTCAAAACGGGCATGGAGACTCTTCGCTAGTGTGCACCGGATCAGGAGATCTACGACGAATCGAGAGGGATTATTACAGAGTACGGATGCATACAACGTGGGACGTCTGTGTGATGGGCGAAGCCACCTCCATTTAAACTTAATAGGTCTTGGCGGTGCATGTCTCGGTTTACAATCGAAGCAGTACGCACCCCTCAAGTGCTTTCGCAAATATGAAGTACCCGAGATACCTACGGATACACGAGTTTAAAATACAAGTGTTTCGCAATAACGCTGGACTGTTGTGATGATACACTAGAACAATGCCTTGCATATACATTAACCAGTCTAGGTAGACGACATAGTCACCAAGAATTAGAGTCTGCACCCGCTGGTTAGAGATTTGCTCCTTTATTCCTTTGTAACTAGGTCTTGCCCTCACAGACTGAGGAAAGGCAAGCTTTAACATCTATAATCCAATCCCTGAATGTTTATTAGCGGGGGACTTTCCAAGATTTGAAAGGCCCTTAATACCTCACGGCTCGCCGTAAAGGTTTTTCTTCGAGGGAGGTAAAGCTATTGGAATCCTTATTTTAGGGCTTGTCCTGGCCGGTACCTAGTATATTTTCTGGGGTGTAACATTTACCTGTCCAAGTACCCCGCCAACAAACATTCAGGAATTGGATTGTTGGGCGCTCTCTAGTAACTACTAAAATATCTGATCGTGGGTGCTCCATAGGAATTATGTTGATGTTGGAAATCTTGAGCGGACGCAGCAACGTTGCGCACGTGTAAATCGAAATGTTTCAAGTTCTTCCGTATCCACTGCTCATCGCCCTATACATGGAAAGGAAAGTTGGCGGCGGCGGCTCCAGCAACTGCCCCATGCGGGGTAGATGATTCGCATTTCGGCGCGGCCTATGGCTTTACGGTAATGCCGCCTACACCCCACTCGCCATATTTTCTGCCAGGCGGACAATACTTCACGAATACTGCGTGTGTTGGAACTTGGCGACAAGCACTCCCCGACGAAACTCGCGGCCACAGAATCTCACTATTGAAAATGGCGTCCCAAGAGAGGAGCATGCCCTTCATAAAGAACCTTGCCTCGAGCGGTATGCCAAATCACCCTGCCCCAGAAAGAGTAAAACCATGGCGGGTCGTCTCCGAGCAACGCAAAAATGGCCGACGTGGTTGACTGACAGGAGGTTACCTCACCCAACAGACCGCAAGATTCGCACGTCCGCCCTCGCTTCCCTACACAATTTCCTTTCCGCCCGCCAAGTTGCCTCGACTCTTGCGCCGCTGGATGTGCTAAAACTCTGGAAGGGTCTCTTCTTTGCATTATGGATGTGCGATCGGGCTATTCCCCAACAAAACTTGTGCAATGAGCTCGCCGACTTGATCCATATTTTGCCGCGCGATGCCACAGTACCCTGGCTACGAGGCTTTTGGGCCACCATGTCCCGCGAATGGACCGGCATTGACGTGCTGCGAATGGAGAAGTTCTTGCTCCTCGTGAGGCGAGTTGTCGGGGCTGGCTTTCAGTGGATGAAGGCAGAGCCCAGAAGCAACAAAGATGGCAGCATTGTGTGGAGCACAGACAGGGTGGACGACATCCTGGGCCTTCTAGGCGAGTGGCCCTTCGCACTTGACGGGGACGCTCGGCCGAGCCGCGAACAGGATCCGCTAGTGCCACAGAAAGTCCCGGTGGGCCTAAAACTACATGTTCTGGATATTTGGGTTGATGAGGCAGAAAAGGCGGGCTTGCTAGATGGAAGCGATCAGCAGGCGAATAAGATCCTTCAACGAATCTCAAATCAGGTAGACGTTTTCGAACAGGGCACCACCAGTCCTGCCGTACGAATTCGGTCTAAGGAGTCCCTAGCCGACGAACGCCTCCCGGGGAACAAAAGAGGTGCTACCCCTGGGGCCGTGGTCGATGAAGAGACAGGCACAGCAGATGTCGGGGATGGAGGGAGCTGGGATGGTTTTGAGGATTAGTGGACTAGTCTACTTCAGCGAAGACATTCCATTTACCTCAATCGCTTCGTGGGAAATATTGCAGCGAGGCCTGTCTAATTTCCGATGATATAGGAAGATATGACGATTATAAATAATGAATATCCAAATATCCCGTCACGCTTGTGTCTCTGCCTCTCATGCATACAAATATAACTACTTGTTGACCTAAATAACGAGTCTGGGCGCCGGAACCATATAACAAGATAATCAACTGGCTAAGAGCGCTACTAAAGACATTGGTATCGTGCACAGAAAAGGGACATTTCAATCCGTCCTGCGGGCCCCTCTTAAGCTCTCAACCTCTCAGTGTTAGTCACTTTGTCCCATTCAAGGGGGCCCGGGGCCTCGAAGACGCCATTCCTGGAGAGCGTCAGGCCGAGGCCTTGGTGGACCTCGGCTTGAAATGGTTCCCATGGAATGGACTCGCCGTCGATACTAATGTACCCACGGCGGCTCTTCGGGCGTGGAATAATGCGGTATGCCGAGACCTTGCGATATGTAACGAGCGGGTTGTCAAAAAAGTGGCCCGACTCCACTGAGAGCTGCATCCCAATAGACTTAAAGAGGGATATGTCGCCATCGACTGTTATCAAGTCCAAGAGGCCGTCGCTAGCAAGTGCGGCAGAGAAGAAGTTGGTATCAGGCGCCATGTAAGCCATCTATACCAGGTCAGCAAGCCGTAATGAACAGAATATAGGGATGCATCAGGAAGAACGCGACTTACGTTACCACAGTAGAAATTCCCCAGCTTTTCGTACGGGATGAGTTCCCAACCGTCCGGTAGCTTGTCCATCACTGTACCATACTTCAGCTGGGGGAGGCCTATATCACCATTACCCTCCGTGAGAGCCGGCGTAGGGGGGGATGCTTGGCCCTGCCGCCCGGGCCCGCCAACCCCCGTCGCACCCTGAGTGATCTGGTGCCTGTAATGCGCCTTCACGCCCTCCTTGTGCTCGATTTCTACCTTGACGGCGATATCGCAAGGATAAATCCTCCTCTGCATTGCTAGGACGAGGAAGCCGTAGGTGAACCGCGCGGCTCCCATCCACCGCAAAGGCTCGGTAGTGATGTCCAAATCGGCAATCATGCCCAGGGCTTGGCTGAGGAAGCTGAGCGTCCGCCTGTCACCTTGAGTGACGCTAACAAGATCCAATGGCGTAGGCACCCCCTTCACGATGGCCAGCGCGGCCAAGGTAGGGTGGTGAGTGCCGTACAAGTTGCAGCTCATGGCATTTCCGGATCCGCAGGGAATATGACACACGGCAATCTTGGACAGCGCGTGGCGAGCGTCTTGACGCTTGCCGAGGCCATTAAAGACCTCATGTGGGAGGCCGTCGCCTGAGCATGGAATCGCAATATCATAGTCATCAATATTTAGATCCTTAGCCAGGTTGACGGCTTCGCCTGAATAGGTGGTCTGGACAACAGTCATGGGCATTCGTGCAGCCTCGAATATCGGCCTAACTTCCGTGTCCCAGATCACGTCGGCCTTTCCGGGGCCTGCGTGTGGATTAACCACGACCCAGGCGCGCTTGCGGCGAGCAGCGCTGCCGTATGAGCGATCTAACAAGCGCTCGATCCATGGGGTGATGCTCTGCCGGATGACACGAATGGACTCTTCAGGTCGCAGAACTGGGATTGCCAGCTTGACATTACGCACACCGAGGCAATGCGAACGGACTTGGCTGGCGAAGTCGATAGAGACATGCCTATGATCCTCGGCGATCTCAGCCCAGAGTATATTGTAGTAGTCAATGGTGCTGGGGGCCGCACTAGTTGCTTCTGGGTGGAAAGAAGCATGGTCAGCCCGGGCAATAAATAGCAAGACCAAATAGGCAAAAGAGCTATTTGTCTTTGGGCGGCAAGTTTTTGTTGTCCCTACCCATAACCCCTACACCACAGGTTCGACAGGGTTTGCCCACAGGCTGGCCTTTGTACGGACCGTGTCAGCCGAACCCTTAGGTATGGGTGGACGTGCAGCCTTCCGCGGAAGCTTGGGGGAGTAGAGGCTATATACCTGATATGAACAAAGCGTCCTTGCCGAGGGACAGAATTACCGCAGGCGAAAGCTCAAGTACATCGTGCTCCATATCCAGGGGCGGTCTCGACTCAACGGCCTGCACCGCTATAACCTTGGCTTGGTTCGCGGGAGCTTCGGCGTCCATTGATGTCTTGTCCGCTGTGGCGGCGGGCTGTTTGTTGACCATGTAAGTCGCGGGAAGACAGCGATGGTCACAAAATGCGCATAAAGGGCGTTGATGGACCGAGTCCCGGGTTGGCGAATCCTTTCTGCAAAAGTTGCGATTCTACGGACACGGTGATGATGTCCTTCTTTCCTTCCCTCTCCTAATAAGTTGGATCAATATGTGCCCAAATATCAGAGACGAGCTTTGCTCGTGCTGACACCTTTCGTCCCAGTCAGCGGAATCCGCGGATTTTCCAGAGCTAGGCTATAAGTATGTACACCTAGTGAAGTATCTTAAAGTACTGTATCCAGACATGCAGGTAATGAATGTAGGGGAAGTGACTTGGAAATCCGCCTTGTGACTAGTGGCACGGTTGGGGATAAGGCGCTATCCAACGTCAGAGTCGGAAACCTCGGAAATTGGCCCCCACTATACCCGTGTACAGTACATACACTACCAACGGCCACTTTCGAATCAGAATCCCGCTTATTAGCGTTTCCGAGATTCATAGTGTACATACACTGCCCTACTCGTTCAGTTGACATAATACACATAATTGGCTTCACCATTGCGGGGAAGAGAGCCCGAATCCATAACAGTCACAATTAGCCAACCATTTACGCGAGCGTGTGCATTGGCCTTTTGTCAATTGAACGAGTAAACACCTAGTAATCTGAACAGTCGACTTCTTCCATACATCAATAGCTTATATAGGTTTCAGCCTCTCGTTAAGTATTACAAAGCCACTGGTTACTTGCCTACCTCCTAGTTATCTCGCATAGACAGGCAATGGCCTTTTTCTCTTCGGTTCTCTACTCTTTGTTGTTGTTTCTATTTTTTTTTGTTCGCCTCCTAGCCAAAAGCCTAATTTACCTCTTGAGTTCGCCACCGTAAATATTGGCCGACATTATCATACTCGTACAAGCAACAGGCCAGGTAAACCCCAGAATGCGGGCATCCGGAGTTTAGTAACAGGCCAAGGACTATCCCAGTGCCAAAAACTGGAAAAAGCATCCGAACACGTCTCTTTCCGCTACGATATGACCTTGTCTTGACAACTAGACTGAGTTAGTCTCCGAACTAGATCATGAGATGCCAATGGCATTGAGTTCAGATCTGAAGACTTCCTGGAGCTTTGGCGCCAGGGAGTCCAGAATCGGATCGATTGTCTTGCGCAACCTAATGGCCTGCTCCTGGACCGCTGTGTTGCTCTTGTCAAGGGCTAGGACGGCCTTGAGACAGCGCAAGGCCAGCAGATACTTTTCTGGGATAAATGTTAGTCAATCGGACGTAGCCGCGGAGAATAAATAGGGACCTACTTCTTCGGATGAACACTTCGAGGCCGGCGAGCTGGCCTTCAATGTTTTTAGGGCTGAATTGAAGTATCAGCTCCAGGAATTTCATGGCATCCACAAGGGGAGCCACAGTTCCAGCCAACTTAAGTCCATTCGGATCTTCGTCACTCTTCTTCACATCCTCGGCATCCTTGCTCTTCTGGGAGCTTGCTTTGTTCGGATCCTGCCTGGCGACCTTTTCCGCGGCTTCCCGCTCTGCCTTTTGGGCCTCCTTTTTCGCCTTCTTAGCTGCTTTCCTTTTTTCTGCAGCATCTTCCCCGTTTGCACCCTTGCCGTCGCCACCATTGACGCCGTTAGTGCCTTGAGGTTTGTCGTGGATTAGAAGATAGAGCTTCACAGCATCTAGTGCCGCCCGGAAGTAGAATGGGTGCTCCCGAAGACGGTCCTCCCAACGGACCATATCGATATACGCCCGTATCTGACCCTTTCGCAGGGAGAAACTATGGAAATCGAATTGGTCTTCTTGCCAGATATCGAAAATGTTGAAGATGGTATGGTAACGCTTAAGAGCCAGGCCGAAACTGCCTCGTCGCTGCCATGCCTCGCCGTCCTCTGTCAAGAACCAAATACACTGCATGTCAATCAGATCAGCTAGGGGACCACCAACTGTTTCAACTCGTGTGAACAGGCCCATTGTCTCGAGGGCCTTCTCGTTCTCATTGTTCCTAAGTTGGTATTTTGCCGCCTTGGAGTTGATGTACCGATCCCTGGTGTCGAGCGAACGGGCGTGATCCATTGTCTCTGAAGCTTTTTGAACGTTGCCTTGGTGCTTGCATATTCTAGCCTTCGTCATATGGAAGTCGACGTTCTTGGGGTCTAATTCCAAAGCCCTCTCGACATATTCCGTTGCTTTTGTAAGATCACGGCTCATATAGTAATTGAAGTGCTGTGCCAAGAAGTACAGGGCCGCCCCTTCGCCTTTGGAACTGTCCTCGTTGCGTCTTCCCTTGCTGCCCGAACTGCTCTTGAGCTCTTGAATGTATTCCTCGACTAGAACGGGCAGTGTGTCCCTCTTGAACGGGTCTGAGAATAGATGTTTCAGGTTCGCAAACGTCGAAGGTACGCCCTTATCAAACATCTGGGTCAAGTAAGCCTTTGCAGCTTTTTGGAAGCGGTCGCCTGGCAGTTTTGTTAGCACGAGTCTCTCACCAAGGCTCCTGGTGCGAACTTACCGTTCAAGAAATCTAGAGGCAGACGCCGTGCAGCATCAGAACGAGGGTATTTCGCGGCGTACTCGTCAAAGACTGCTAGTCGAGCAGCCTCGGCCCCCTCTAGGATACCCAACGCTTCAGCCAAGCCCTTGTAGTAATCCGGGTGCTCCGGATTCCTATCTAGTAACGCTCGGTAAGCCTTCGCCGCTTCTTCGTTCTTGCCGAGCTGTGCTAGATAACAGGCACGAAGCTCCATCACGGCTAACCGGTCCAGACTGTGTTTCCCATCGATCTCAAGGTGGTCCAAGGCTCGCTGGACGTCTCCGGCCTCGGCAATTACTGAGTTCTTGTACAGGACTGCTTCCGAGTTCTCGAAATCGGTCTTCAGTGGGGCGGACGTCATAGACTTTTCGTATGTCGTTAGGATGTTCTCTGCTTGCGGGAGGTTACCCTCGAGATGGTACGCAATGGCAAGAGCAGTCCAGTTTTGACGCAGGTGTGGCCTCGCTTTGAGCATAACAAACCTGCTCTGGACATAGCCCTGGTAGTCGCGCATCTGTATCTGCAGGATAGCCAGGTCACGCTGAATTTGATGCGAATCGGGCTCGAGCTTGAGCGCAAACTTGTAGGCTTTGATAGCCTCATCAAAATTCTTGTTTGTGCGGTACAAAATGCCGTACACGTGCCAGCAGATGTGCGACTTCATATCGATGGTCAGCGCCTCCTTGGCGAGGGCAAATGCTTCTTCCGTCTTGCCCTGCGCATTCATGATCAGAGCCTTCATCGACATCGTGTCTCCATGCTTGGGATTCTTCTTCAGAATCTGCTCGGCCGCTTTGAGGCCTCGCTTATATTGCTTATCCTCATAATGGCGGATGACCGTACGGAAGAGGTTGGCCTCTCTTGTACTCAGTGTTTGCGGCATCGGAAATAGATTGCGGGGGTTCTAGTGGTTCCTCGAAAGCACCGCAGTGACGAAGTCGGAACGCCTGGTTGCGATAGTTGGTGCGAAGCCCGAGGTTTCCGATATTTAGAGGTAATTGTCGTCTTTCCGTAGGAGACGAGAGGATTTGGAGGGAGGGAGGGGAGGGCGAGGTTGGATGAGCGGGCTTTTTTTTCCTTCGCCTGGAAATGCCGGCCCGAGTTCAGGTTGGCAATTCCCAAAACGCGCGGGCCACCAGGTTTAGATTTAGCAGAGTGCAAGAATAATATTTCCTAGAACCTGAGAAGTCGAAAGCCCAAAACTAATCTTTCGCCAGGAGGAGCCCAATTCTCACAGGTTTGTTGCGCCAAGGCCGTGCGTTTCTTGAGTGCGTGTTGGTGATATGATATGGTGCCAACATCCTAGCAAAGGTTAGGTCTGATGGGGCGGCGCAGCGGAGCAACACTTGATTACGTAGGTAGCTGCCTTGCACCTCGCGTGTTCCCTTCTTCGAGGTGCACACCCCCCCCCACCTTAGGAACCCCTCATTTCCCTCTTTTTTTTTCCTTTCGCAAAATATCCGTTTCTGAACAACATGCAGAGTATTTCACCCAGTGTGAAGTAACAATTAGGAAGATTTACGACGCTACAAGTGTTGTTGAGGTGAATTCCCAACTGTACCCAGGTAGTTCGTAGTGACTTTGGTTAGGTATAGTACAGTACATGCTACTCCGGTATCCCCATCCAACTTAACAAAGGTACCTATGTTTCTCCAAATATTATATACATTTGTAGACATTCTTATCACAGTTGGGCATTGGCTCTCTGCCATCCGGCAAGGGCCTCTTCCCAGGTTTCAACGGTCTCTCCGCACCTTTCTTTGACGATACCCCAAGTCCTAGAGCGGATTATATTTTCGATGCCCCTCTCTTGCCTAACGACAGATGCTAACTTTTCGGTCCGGGGCTCATTTAGAAGGGATCGAGCCGAGTACGGATCGAGCCTCTCGTCAACAACCATCTCCTGATTCTTCTCGTTCTTGGCTTCAATCCGTATCGGGTCGTCAGGGTCGGGGCTCGTAGCGACCAGTGCGCAGTAGTTCAGGACGTCTGAGCGGGATTGCCAAGATGGAAACAAGGCCTTGTCCTTGAAGCCCCTGCACGACTGCGCATCCACCTGGCGCGCAAGTGGTCGGGATGCTCGGTGTAATGTTGAGGATGGGTCAAACCCCGCTCTGGCGGGCGTCACCAAAGCGTTGAGCTGTTGGTTTATAGTGTCATCGACGGAGCTCCGGGATATTCGTAAGAAATCTGCTCCTGGTCAGTATATGCCCCAAAAGAAAGATGTTCATTTAGGGGTCCCGGAGCCTGACCTCGAAGGGCGGTAGTCGAGAAACAAAAGTGCGGCGTCAGGTGCGGCGATGTTTGGCTCATGCTGCCAGAAGGGGGCATCGCAGAGACAGCTGCGACCTCCTTTGTAGGAGCGGCTCGTCTCGACCACAGAATACCCGCCAGAGTGCCGATGAAGCAATTTCCAGTAATGTCCAGGGTTTGTTGTTCGGCGAGGGCAACTCACTACGCCCGGTGAAGATACAACAAGTGAGAAGGTATTATTGTTAACGGCTCTTATTAGTCGATTCGCGTTAATCTTGATCACGCCGGCGTTAACTTTTAGGCTCCTGCCTATGTATAATACTTGTGGTTGTCCGCAGAAGTGGGAGCATCATCAATTAGACCCTAGACGGACAACTTGAAGCTTTGGAGCTGAGTCAGCTGGCCGGCATGCTTTGACCACATGACAATGCAGCTTCGGGTACCTGGTAGTAGTTCCTTGGTCTAGTCTAATACGTAACACTTTATATCCAATATTGTTCTCTGGCTGTTTAGTCTTACCCTTTAAGTCCCAATGATGTCACTTTATTACCCTAATGTAGGGAACAACACAACGTCAATCCGAGGTGTTCTCTGCGCGGAGGTAAAGGTCCCTACTTATACTTGTACATGTTCAAATCTTGGGTGATTCGATAGCCATAACCCTCCATCTTCCCCATGTAAGGATGATCTTGAAATAAAATGTACGAGTGACAAGACGGTCGTTTGAACCCCGAGCGTCTCCTAGTACAATCTGGAGTTGTGCTGTCGTTGGCCTGGACCCAAGCTTCTCCCGATTTCCGAGCAAGGTCTTAGTGGCTGATGCCCGCTACTACCCAGTCGGAAAGGGACTGACTGAGCTTGAGCGGCCATCTGATAGCTCAAAACGGTGCGGTCGCTTGTTTGATAACCGCTCGAGAAGACTACCTGATTTGCAACTGCTTGATACTTTTTAAGTTTCCGTCGACCAGCAAATGAACTTCAACTCGGGGAAAATTATGGATAGAGGCTCCTAGATTTACTTGCTACACAAGTACAGCTACATGAGTACAACTAGAGTCCCGTCGTTAAGCTTGAAACTTTATGTTTTCTTCGTCGCGGAAAGTTCCTAGGTGGCCACAGAGTAGGACGGTCGGCTCTACTGTCTTAAGTACTACTTAGTACTGGTAGGCAACTGCCAGTGGTGTAGAGGGTGTAGAGGCTTAGGTACATTAGAAACGCTAGCTCTGCGGGAGCCTGGGTCCACGGACCGAGTCGAGCTACCCGAAAGACCCCGCTATTCGGCGTGAACCCACGACTCTGGACAAGGTCGTTAATAATTCGGCTAGATGGGTGGCTCTGGCACCGTGGTGTCTTATAGACAGTACGAATCGACGATAAAAGCATCAGGTAACTACAGAGTATCTCGTAATAAGTTCCCTGTGAGTTCGGCCTAATAGCGCTAGCCTCGAGGATTCCTTGGGCCATATAGTGAACGGTACGGGTAGGCAACCCGGGCAGAAGCGTTTAAGACTCAACGTTCGGTTCTGCTAGTTTAGTTACCGTGGGTATTGAACGGAGTAGTCGGCCCGCAAAGCCGGCTCAGGATTTTCAGCTTCGCAATGGGTACAGTACATGCACTAGGGGAACCTAACAAGGTACAGAGTACGTGAAAGATACCTACCTAGGTACCAAAACTTATATACACTGAACTTAGGCGCAAGCTTTACCTACAAAGGCCGCACATGAAATACCAAGGTATATCTTACGCTACGTAAGCAGGGTACCTTACTTACATAGTACCAGAGTTACGTGACCCAAGAGAGACGAGCCAACACGAGGCCCAGAGACGAGGCTGGACTTTGTGCTCCGGGTTTACCAATCCTAGCTAAGAACTTGGAAACTAATTCTTACAATTGATAACATCTACTCCATATACGCAACCTAGACGTACATCGAGGTAAAGCACCTCATCGCTCAAGTTCTCAACCTCAAGGATCGGCGGCGAATGAACCGCGGCGGCAACAGGGGTCTGGACGATACAGAGGCTGTACAGTACTCAATTTACACTCACAATATGTTCGGTAAGCTGGTACCTTACATACCTTGGTAAGGGGGTACCAATCGTCCCAGGGCATCTGCTAAAGTTAAAGAGCCTAATATGCCACGTTCAAATCAGCCAAAACACTTGCAATTTGGCTGGCCACGAGTGATGCCCGGCCTTCATTCATACCCGAGTCGGAACGGTCGGGCGGGGAACGTGAAAAATAAAAATAAACCAGAGTAGCTAGAAAGACGCAAACCCCCAAGTTTTGCAGAAAATAGCAGTGTCGCTATATCGCCTCCCCTCTCAGAGGTCCAGGGAACGGGATGCGGAGATCATTGAGCCCGTTCAGCCACAATTCAGTCATGTTCGACTTCCAAAGCTGATTGTAGACTCTTCAACTAAGTGCTTAAATTGGAGCAGCAATAAAATGCGCGCATTGGCCTCGGGCCCAACGGGCAAGGGTGTCGAGGATAAATGGCCGCCCCGGATGCGGCCCATTAACAGCTTCCTGACGAGGCGGTATTGTGCATACCTTATGTGCCTAGGCGAGTGTGGAGGCGGCGCAGCCAACGTGGAACTGCTGACGGCGGACCTGGGAATGCAAGTTGAAGCAAGTTCTATGTACTACTATCGTAGTACGTATCGGTGGAAGGGTAACCTTTCACATACTACCCTACCCTTGTGGCTCACAACAAGCAACAATGCACAAGGCGCCCAGGCTGTTACCTAGCTTGAGTAGCGTCCTCTACGCCTAGTTGAAGCGAGAAGCTGCTAGGTGACATGTGAAGTGGGGCGAAGGCGGTAACGAGAGAGACCACCCTCCCAACCCAGTTCCATCGCGGCCTCCTCGTCTCAGTTCCCGCGAGGGCCACGCCATTTCCCATAAAAAGGAGTAGGCCGCCTCAGGGGCAACCCAGCGAGAACTCGGCCGGAATTGCAAGTGTGACGACCACTTGGTCCGGCTAGCCACAACGAAGATACGTCTCAATAGTTAGCTCGACTCGATGTATGGTATATGTCGACGAATAGGCTGGGGCGTTTCTTCCGGGCAGAAGCAAAGCTGCATGTTTACTTGTTTCAAATGGGATAAAAGGAGGGCGGAAAGTCCTCAACTCGGGCCGTCTTGCAGGATACAACCGAGAAGACCGTCGGCTTTGCGTCGTTCGCGGTTGGCGGTAGCCACGCGACATCCGTGAATGGGGAAACAGCCATAGGACTACGGACTACCTAGGTAGAACATCAAAAGTTGACCCTCGATAGTTTAGATACTACAGATAGTGCTCGCCCTACCTGGTGCTCGGCCTAGACTCTAGCGCGCCGCGTCCTTTATCTGGGAGGTTTTGTATCATGGTTTGAATCGCCAAGTTGCTTAACCTCTCGAGTTTACAGGTTTTCTTTTCCTCTACCTAGCCGAGCCCCCAAGGTATGGCTTGGTGCTGGTAATGCGTGCATAACTACGCGACCAAATGCTAATTAGGACCCGTGGTATCTTCTCGGTTTCTTGGAGGAACCTTCCGCATTTGTTCATATGCGGCATATCTATAGAGGAAAGAAGTGCCCCAGTACTACCCAAGGAACCTACCTGGTTGTAACGGAGCACCTTATTTAGATATACTAGTACCTAAGCTATACATGTGCCTGGGCTTGGTAAGTTGTCTTGCGTATAGTACACATTAAAGATACGTAGGTACCTGAAGATCTACTGTTCTACCTACCTTACCTTAGGCATATAAGGTACCTAAGTAAGGTGCTCCGCTACAACCGTGCGAGTAAATTAACACATATCCGAGAAGGTTACCACATCTTCCTGCATTGGGGATGCCTTGCTGAGGAATACCTAGACCGCTTTGCTCTACGACTCGTGTTATAAATACACGTTCATAGAGGACGTCACTGCGAGTTGTTGATAACACAGAGGCCCCTTGCTTTGGTAAAGCAACGAGCAATGACTTTCATTCGAGGGCGGCGGTAGACAAAATGGTTGAGTGCCTTCTCTATTTGAGCTAGTCCTTACGCTAGGGTAGACACCATGCAAAGGCCAGATTGATCTAACGCGATCCCCGGCGGCGTGACAAAGGTTGTACCTTACCTTACCACCTAAGCGTCATGCCTGATGTTAATACAGCCGACTTTGAAGTTCCGGATACTTACCTAGGCGGAAAGCATCCAGGCTGTACTTCAACAATCATCATATAATACACATGGGTACCTACCAGGTACCTACCTATCTAGATATTTTGGTAGAAGGTTAGCCGAGTTTCGAACTCGTAGACAAGCATACCCACCCGCTACATTAGATCGTCTTGCTCTGGCTACACTACAGGATAGTGCATGTAGCCCACTGTCCTAAGATCTACGCAGCACGGGGTAGTAAAGATGTGTTATACATAACTCGAGTAATCTCATTAAGCGAGAGTTGCGTTGAAGTCATGTTTGCCGGATTATCAGACTTCAAGTTTCCTAGGCCGTCTTTGTCATCTAGGGTTTTGGTTTTCGACGCGAGGGATGGACGCTGGCTGTTGAAATTTACACGGAGCTAGCTTAGACGAATAGCGGGCGATGGCTTTCTTGTAACGGGCCAATGGCTTTGTTCCCGCAACGGGAAATCTACACAATTCTTCACTCTAGGTGGCCACAGCGCCCATCCCTGTAGAATGGCTGGCTTGCGTGCATGCCACCTCCTTACCTCCTTTCCCCCCTCCTCGCCCCCCTCCTCGACCCAAAAATGGAAGAGAAAGTTGGAGGTAGAAGGTTAGGTAGTTCATACCTCTGCCGCCCCGGACGATCTAAGATCCATCGTCATCTTAATCGCTGACCCCGGTCGACGAAATCGAAACAGCCTGTTTAACCTTGGTTATCTATTATCCCAATAAACACCCTGCGCAGCCATAGGTACCTGCCTCCCTGAAATCTGCAAGACACACCCAGGTTAAGCTTCACTGCATCGTCGCATAAGGAATTGACTCCACAAAGTTCGTACGGAGTACTTCCGGCTACTATTGCAGTGTATATTCGGCACGCCAAGCCTACACACATTTAAGATCTCAGGGAACCAGGGATCGCGCAAAGCGGTCGGGGCCCAAAAGCCCCAGAGACAGGGGGGCAGGAATTTAAAATCGTCGAAGGAGACGTCTGGAGTAATGAAGCACTGCGCGCAGACCTGAATTACTCCATGTCATTATACGCTGAATGGCCTGCAGTGCTAGAAAGCGTGTATTTTCACCTTGCACGGGCCGGCCTTATATGTAGGAAGCTAGGTAGGTGGGTATCGAAATATTTCTGAGGAGACACATCGGGAACAAGGTAGGCCAGTTCGTCCATAGGGAACCCGGCCCAGGGTCGCGTCGTCCCCTGTCCCTTTTTTTTCTGGTCTGGCCAGGAACCGTGGCTCCATAAAAAATCTAATTAAATTCCCAGTATGGCTCAATCCTCCGAATTGTCCCAGGCTCGACCGCAACTTCTGGACTCGAGTCCACTCAAGTCGCGCGCTCAGCTGATTCAGGTACAGCATCATCAACCAGAACAGACGTTACCACCCAGGCAGCTGCCACAACCACAACCAGCCCACCACCAACGGGCGACGCGAAGACGAGCCGCCAGAGCGCGCATTACAATACCGCTAGCCTCGGTGCCGGCCACACATCCGGAGGCGTAGTGACAACGGGGTTCCGGATGGTGACTCGACGGTCAATGCCTACCCAAACGATCGCGTGTCGACCGCCGGCTCTGCAGACTCGGTCGAAGGCCACCACGCAGACTTGCACAGAACACGGTGCAACGGCGATCCGCCGTTGACCTCCTCGCCGCTAATGTCCAACACACAACCTCCCCCTGGGCATCCTCGCCAGCCGATGAGCTACCCGAGGCCATCGTCCTACCAGCCCGCCGGTATGCCTCATGCCGCACACTACGCATACCCACCACAAGGCCTCCCCCCGAATGACCCATATCGACCGGCACCGACTTCTTTGCCCAGTATGAGAACCCTTGACCACGTCCAGCCGCAGCAACAGCAACAGCAACAGCAACAGCAACAGCAACAGCAACAGCAACAGCAACAGCAACAGCAACAGCAACAGCAACAGCAACAGCAACAGCAACAGCAACACAACAGCAACAGCAACAGCAACAGCAACAGCAACAGCAACAGCAACAGCAACAGCAGCAGCAACAGCAACAGCAGCAGCAGCACGCATTGCCCATTGCTTCGCACATGGCGGGATCAATGCCCCCATCACAGATGGCAATGGGTTACTACGGTGTCCACCCCGGTGCGTACACAATCCACCCAGACCCGAATGCGATGCGCTTCGCCATTGCGCCGGGAATGTCGCATGACCCGCGCATTGCGTTGAGCGGGGGAAGACACAAGAAGGTACCGATACAAATGCAGTATTCCGAATAAACCCTCGTGACAAACATACGAGTACTGACAATGAGGATTCCTTGGTTCTGGCGAATAGGAAATCAAGCGACGGACTAAAACTGGATGTCTAACATGTCGCAAGCGAAGAATAAAGGTGAGTCCGCTCTCCTTGTTCTCCTGGAGACTTCTAAAGTCATTATCCCTGCTGCGTTCAATTCTGGCCATTTTGCGGACGTTGGGGTCAGGACGGTTGGAATGGCGAACAAGCTGCGAGCGGCGTTGAATTTGCGAAGAAAAGGAGACGTTGAGATCGTAGCTGGACAGCAAGAAGTTGCTCACGTCAACTTCATGCTTTCGCTTGTGATCGCTTGGACAGTCCCGTCGCTTGACTTGGAGCTACGCCGAAGCGAGCAACTACCGTAGCTCCCTGTCTTGCCGATTGTACCTTGACTCCCGAGGCCCTGGAATTTTCCATTGCGCCCGATTTTGTTTTTTCCCCTCCCCTCTTTGCTTACGGCAACTACTTCCTGTTCGCACAAATGGCGCCCGATTTTTACTCGCACAAAAAAAGACTCCACGTTCTCCTGATTATCGCTTCCTCCATAGCTCTAACATACCGTCTACCCTGCAGTGCGACGAAGCACACCCAACGTGCGGCAATTGCAAAAAGTCGAAACGCGAGTGCCTTGGATATGACCCCATCTTTAAACAGCAGCAAGGCCCTGCGGCAATTCAACCGGCTCTGAATAGCCAGTCCTCCGCTCCTCCGCTTGCCACGACGCTTGCCTCAACACCAATAGTGCTATCCTCGACCACGCAGTCTTACCAACCAATCATTCTCCAGAATTCATACGCACCATCCCTTCCGCCCAGTATCACCTTCGGATCGCCGGTGTCGTCGACACCGCAGAGTGTCAAGACGGACACTGGGTTTGACTTTTCCACCGCAATCGATCCGGCGCTTCAGGGGCCTGACGCATCGAGCACCGTGGGCACTCCTGCATCACAATACCAGCAGAGCAAATCAGAGGGCACAGACCAGGACATCAGTGCTAAAACTCAACTCAGAGGTGGCACCCCATCCCCCCACCCCCCGTTTACGCCTTATTTTGTGTGGCTGTGGCCTTACACGCAGCCTCATGGGGTCACATTGGCTTATACAGGTTTTCCAGCAAAGAAGATGAAGGTCGATGAGCTCATAGCACTTGGGGGCGCATTGCCTCCGATCCCAAGATCGCCCGCTTCTGTGGGCGTACTTGGCGAGATCACGAACCTCTACAACGATATATACGTACCCGGTTTGACAATGTTCTTCGAGACACAGTGGTATAGGCTGGGATCGGCCCAGACAAGCGCATCAAAAACTCCAGAAGCAATGTTACACGCCAACGAACCACTAATTGCCCTTTTCGCTACCTTCCTCGATAATATATCAGGGATTAAGAGCACCGACCCTGCCGATATGGTGTACGCTGGCCACCTCGAAACCTGTCTAGTTTGGGCCCTTGCTAGTCTGCCGAGTTCATACATGCCAAAGGTTGACGATCGCCCATTCCCCGATTCGATTCCCCCCGAGGACGATCTTTGGGAGGCGCGCGCGCGCCTACACGTCTTCGAGACGCTTGTCTCGAACACGACTGTTTCGAGGAATCCTCTCTTCCCTGCTTCGGGTAGCGACAATAGCTCGACTCGGAAGAGCGAATTTGAGTTTTGGCATCATTTGGGTCAATACCTCCTCCAGTCGCACTCGTCATCCTCAGAGTCAGATGCCTCGTTTAGAGAACACTATTTGGGCCTGATGAGATCTCTTCTTGACGGCCGAGAGAACCGCGACGTCCTCTACAGCATTGCCGTCTTGCGAGAGTACACGTTACATTGGGATGCATCCCTCAACGAGGAAGCCGTACCGACGCATCTGGAGGAATCCGATCCCCGCAGTAAGCTTGCGGTAGCCACGAGGTTTATCCGCGAAGAGTCTACTTCTGCAGGTGGTACGACTAATGTTGTTCGCCGCTTCTCGGACATCGCGTATCGGGCCTTTGTTAGGCCAGGCGTCAACGTGAATAGAACTTGAGCAGGAGGATACCTGGACAACCTTTACGATTATACGCACACAGGGTGGTTTGAAAACGCACATGTTACGAACCCTCGACATGACTGTGCCCCATTCACAGGGTCCGGCTCACAATCCAGCACACACGTGACCGCATACTTTATGTCTTGTTTTGCCGCAAGGTTTATGGAGCAGCCAGACAATTTCCTTAGCCTGCATTTACGATTTTAGAGATAAAAGGACGGCGTTACTGGCTTGCAAGCTATGTTTTCGTTGGAAGGGGGCGGGGCTAACGGATAACCATCGACGAGGCTGGTCAATGGAACCAAAAGATAAGGAGGCGGGTGGCAAATGGCATGATGCGGCATGGTACGGCATATTAAGTCCACGGTGCATAGGGAGGTTGGGATACTTTAAAGCGCTCGCATTTGCATTTATCGGCAAGTAACAGGCTTTTGCGGTTTTTCTGTCGCCTGCTTGGTCGTGTTTTCTTGTATTTTTACTAGCTATATTCGAGCTTCAGCCGTAGCGACATAGAAGTGATAATATAGAGCAAGGATTGTAGTATGCTGCCATAGCCGAGCAACTTGTTTATCGAGTGAAGTTAACGTGGTTGGTTTTTAAACTGAACCGGTTGCTTTTTGTGAATTGACGGCGGAATTAAGTGCCTCGTGTAGTGTAGGTGCCTATAACTGTTCCGTAGACATCAATAGAGAAAACGATCGAGCTAGCAAAACCCAGGTAAGAACCTCAAAGAGCATCTTCCTACTTATATCAAAGGTAGGTGAGTAAGTACCAAGTAAGTATCTAAACCCTTGCCTTCATTTTCCCGCTGAGAAATTCTCGTTATATTATATAGTCCAGGACAATGGATGTGGTACGAAAGTTTATCATCCTACCACTAACTACATTTTTAGATCGATGGGTTGCGGAGCTTTGTTCTTGTTATGTCCCAGCATTTGCTTTGGTTAGTCCCGGACCGAGCCGAATGGAGACAGTCAGGGCTCGGACTCGGGAAATTAGTGGAACGGAGGGTTACGAAGTAAAAACGAAAAGAGGGACTTGGAGTCGCGGGGCGCGGACATAACGGCGGGAAACAGTGATCAATTAAATCGCCTGCCCAATGCCTAGTAACACCACCTGTAAGCTCGATCAACCACAACAACAACAACAACAACACAATAACAAGTCCATTCAGTATCCTTGCTTGCAGGAAGAACTTATTGTGCCATAAGCTATGGCAACAATGATTACCTTGAAGACTGAGGGACCGAGGCTAGCAGCCTACGGAGGAACGTCATATCTCGCCCAAAACTCAGTAACACTTTGGACTCTAAAAGGTAGAAAACCGAAACCCAATAATAGGTAACTAAGGAGGGGGCTCGTTTTGTTCTCGTTGCCTCTTTATTATATTGTCTGTCTATTTCTCGGGCCTCGGTTGACGGGCCCGTGTCGTTTATTCCTCCCCTTTAAGAAACAAACACTCCCGCACAGAAATATGACCAGATATGTTAAACGCCTCTCACTGGGTGTGGGGGTGGGATATCTCATGAGCCAAAGCCAACGCCGTACTTTTGTTGAAAATGTGTACCAGACCTACCGCTTTTAATACCCAGCCAACCTTTGCAAAGCCCGTACCATGCAACCCGTGCCTGTTGAAAAACCATGCTCTGAAACCCCTAAACACATGCCGCTGAGAAGAGCCCAAGACCCGTTGTGTTGAAGAAGATCCCTTATAACGAGCTACTTCACACCACACCCCGAACTAAAAGAGCCAGGGCGAGTATACAACACATCAAATATTAATAACGGTAGCTGAGTGGGAGTCAAATTAGCGACATCTAGAAAAGCGGGGCTGAGTTAGGACTTACTGGTCGCTCTTGTAGGGGCCCTCGACGCCCAGGCCAAGGTACTCGGCCTGAGTTCCGGTAAGGGTCGTAAGCTCGACATTGACATGATCCAAGTGAAGTCGTGCAACCTCCTCGTCCAAGATTTTCGGCAAAACGTAGACCTGCTTCTCGAGCTTGCCGCTCTTGGCATATTCCACATACTTTTTGGAGAACGCTTCGTCGCTGTTCTTGTAAAGCATGATCTGAGCAAGCACCTGGTTGGTGAAGCTGCATGACATGACGAACGAGCTGTGCCCGGTGGCACACCCCAGGTTGACAAGGCGGCCCTCGGCGAGCAGAATGATGTGGCGGCCGTTCTTCATTAAGAAGCGGTCGACCTGGGGCTTGATGTTCTGCACCGACTGGGCGTTAGCCTTGAGCCAGGCAACATCAATTTCAATGTCAAAGTGGCCAATATCTGTATCACAAGTTAGCAATGTCCGCTCGGAGTCTCACAGTGTGCATGCAATCGGCACTGGGGTAGCATGACTTACTGCACACAATGGCATCGTTGGGCATCTCCAGGAAGTGCTTGTCAACCAAAATATCGCGGCAGCCAGTTGTCGTCACGAAAATCTGGCCAACCTTGGCAGCCTTCTCCATCGTAGTGACTTGGAATCCAGCCATGGCCGCCTGGAGAGCGTTGATGGGGTCCACCTCAGTGACGAGCACACGGGCGCCCATACCCTGAAGAGCCATGGCGCAGCCCTTGCCGACATCGCCGAACCCGGCAACAACACCGATCTTTCCAGCAATCATCACGTCGGTGGCACGCTTGATGCCGTCAATCAACGACTCGCGGCAACCATAGAGGTTGTCGAACTTGGACTTGGTGACCGAGTCGTTGACATTGATGGCCGGCACAAGCAAAGAACCGCTCTTGAGCATGCGGTACAGGTGATGAACACCCGTTGTGGTCTCTTCGGAAACACCATAGCAGTCCTTGAGCATCTCAGGGTACTTGTCATGCACTAGATGTGTCAAGTCACCGCCGTCGTCTAGGATTAGGTTAAGACTCTTGCCGTCCTTGAAAGCAACAAGCTGTTGTTCCAGGCACCAGTTGTACTCCTCCTCCGTCTCGCCCTTCCACGCAAATACGGGAACGCCGACGGCGGCAATGGCGGCGGCGGCGTGGTCTTGAGTGCTGAAAATGTTGCAAGATGTCCAGGTAACCTCAGCACCCAAAGACGTGAGGGTCTCGATCAAGACGGCAGTCTGAATCGTCATGTGCAGGCAGCCTGCAATCCGGGCACCCTTCAATGGTTGGTCGGCAGCGTACTTCTTACGGGTGGCCATTAGGCCCGGCATCTCGTTCTCGGCCATCTCAATCTCCTTGCGCCCGAAGGCAGCGAGGGACAGGTCTGCGACCTTGAACTTGTTGGCAGGAGCAGCCATATTGACGGTAATATTCTGGAACGTTTCAGTGATTAGTCCCAATTCAAAGACCAAAGGCAGTGGGCAATCGGATTTGAAGAAGCCAATATGACTTACATGTGGAAACGGGGAGACGAAGGAAGGAGGGGTCACAATGTAGCCACTAAATTGTGCAATGTGGAATGTCAGCTCCTGCCCAGCAATTTACTTAACAAGAGGCAAATAGGACTGTGGATTAAGATAGACAGTACGTCGTACCTTCTAGGGGCCCTCACCTTTAGTAGTGTAAATTGTTGGTTGTGAACGAGGGAGGACGTTGAGGAATGATGAAGGAGGGGAAAGAGAAATTGGAAGATCAAAGGCGGGCAGGCGGTGGGGGGGAAAAGCCTGGATAGACAGCAGGTCCTTTGCTGGACGGATTATACCTCGCCCCACCGACACCTATCGGTGTGAGAATGGGTCGGGTTAACCCAATTTTGGCTACCCCCCACCAGCCTGCCCTCCCAGCGCCGATTCGGACTGTCAGAAATCGGAATGAAGCCCCTGAAGCGGGGTTCGGCATTCGGTTTCCGTACACAGTCGGACCGGACCTCGAGACTGAAACGACCTCGCGAGTAATACCTAGGGTTGCCACACACGCAGTAGAATGCAAGCAGGTTTTAATATCTCACTCTTATCCCGGCCATGGCTAAAGACTGTAAATATCTCGGCAAGCCCAAAAATGCAAGTCACCGGGCGGTTTCCTCGTGACCCAAATGCAGACACGAAAACCATCTTGATCAGCTCAATAAGAATTGGGAAGGAACATGTGCTAATTCCTGGTGCTGTGACTTTACAATACGGAGGTGCGCTGATAGTGAGGCAAAGGCCAAGCTTCGGTAATAAGATATCAACAACCGACATTACAGCCCGAAACGCCAAACCCAATGCCAAAGACCCCCGGGCCACAATTCATGGTCTCCTCCCGAATTTCTCCCAGCCACCACCACCTCCCTATCAACGCACCTCTCAACTAGCCCACATCACTCTGGCAGCAGGTTCCCTCTGACAGCAAACATCTTAGCCGTGATGCTCGCTGTGAACCCATCGACCTGCTTGCTGTACTGCTCTACCTGCCGAGCATTGAGCATACCCTCTAAGCGGCTGGGCTCCTGGGGCAACTTGAAAAGTCTCTGCCACTCATCCTCAGGCAGCGGTTGCTGCTTGGCCGCCACCCGCGCCGCATTCTCTGCCTTCCGCTTTGTCTGCCATTGCGTGATCTTGAACTGCTCACGAGTGAGCTGGCGCTGATAATATTGGTGGTTATTGAGATCAGTATAGTGTGCCTCGATGCTATCAAGGAGCAGGTCGCATGTCTTCTCGAGAAATGGGTCAATAGATAAATCCAGCGTATCAAATGATGGGTGCGCTGGAATCTTTGCAGGATCCCGTCGAATGTCATCGAGTGATGCGGGAAGGGGAATCTCCGCACTATCTGGCGAGGCAGGTATCTGGTGTAGAAACGATGTGAGGAGGTGCGAATTGTGGACAACAATAGGAACCTCGACAACGATGTCCTTGAATGTAAGCTTTGACTTTTGGAGGCTACATTTCGGGTTGTGTCAGCACGAGAAGCGTTACTTCAAAAAGTGGGATTCCAACCTATCTGTGGTGAATTTCGCCTCCTTGTATGCCGCCATAAATTCGGTAGAAAGCTTGAAGGCGCGGAGGCTCAGTGCGCCCTGTGAGCTACGGCTCACATCGTGAACAAGCGCAACAGTTTTGTCGTTTTCCCTCTGGTAATGGTACTGATTCTCAACGAAACTGAGGTTGATGAAATTGCCCATAGTCGCACTAGTATACCATCCCACATTGTTCGCATCCACGTTGACTTCCTTGAGGTGTTTGATCATTTCATTTTGGTAGACGATGTTGGCCTTTGCGCGAGGCGCCGCCGCCGCAAGACTTGACGCATCGTTCTGGTGGCTGTCGGTAGTGGAAACATCGATAGTCGGGAAGGGAAAGGCGTTCGTGATTTCGAGAACTCCATTGCTATCCATTCCCACAATCGATCCCGTCGCTGTCGTGGGAAATTGTGACGAACAGTGCTTCACGATCTTCATCACCACCTGAGCAAAGTCGTTAGTATCGCGACTTCCACAGCGGGGTTTCAATCCTACTCACCAGCGCCTCGATGAGGGCCGACTTAATCGGCACATCCCTTTGGGTGTCAACCATAGTTACCCGAAATAATGGCTTGCCGTGTAGTGCGTTGAATGTTTATGTTGTGTTGCCTTTCCTTTGGCGAGAGTGGGCTATTCGGTTCTGATTGTCGTGCTGAAATGGAGGCGTCTTTTCGTATGGAGGACTTTTTCTCGCTAATTTGTGGGCAACCAGCCAAACTCTGTGGGGGGGGGGGGGGGGTGGCTAGCTCTTTGTGGCTTGAAAGACCATTCCCGCAAGCGGGAAACGCTGGCAGAAATAGGAGTGGAGTATGTCTCGTGATCCAATGTTGTGACGCAGCAGTCACTACCAAATGTATTGTACCGAATTACCTTACCTACCTTACGTCGTATGACGGGAACGAAGGCATTGGAAGTCATTGTACGTATGTATATATATGTAGAAAATGCCTACCTTAAGTTTCATTCTTATGACCGTTTTCGTAATTTCCTTCGCCATCACAAAGACCTAAAGCGCACGAAGCAGGATGATCAGAGTTATACAGGCCTTCATGGAATAAGGAACCTTGGGGAGCCCCAGCCAAGCTATGAACTTTAAAAGCGATGATGTTGCAGTCCCCTCAGACCCTATGGTAATAAATCGCAGATTCGTGTGGAGGTGGAAGTGCCCTGTATATCGGAAGCTAATTTGCTTCGATTCTGGCATCATTGGCTGCCTACGATACCTGTTGTTCCCAGGTTTCCATTGTATTGCGGCCAAATAAAAAGGCGGGGGGGGGGAGGCTGTGAACAAATCCGGAAACCCTACCAAATAGCGCAGTCATGGAAATACCAGTCCCAACCACTCATTTGACACCATCCACACCATCCCACGCTTCCCCCCCACGTCCTCGCTCCTCGCGATACGGTCTAGAAATCTTAAATGAACGACCCCCGTTCAAAATCCTCGCCTTCTCTTTTATTTCGCGTTACATTCCTGCGTTCGTTGACGGCAACCGTCGGCACTCACCCCATCCGTCCCGTCGATCTCCGTGTTCTCGTCTCGAAGCCAAGTGGCACATGAGGACATCAATAGGATTGAAATAGCGCGATCAACAAGAACTACACACCTGTCTATTCTCCCTCGACGCCTGCTATGGATATCTGCTATCACTCTACCCCTTAAAAAGAAAAGGAGACAAATGGATCAAACGATTTCCTAAGAAAGAGCCTGCCTGGTTCTGATTGGCCCTTGGTTCGTTGAGCTTACGGCAGCCTGGCTCTTCGTGTTTTTATCGCTCAAGGGTGTTGCTGCCCAGTGTCCGCTGTCCAGTCGGCCATTTCCCAGCTCTCGAGACGTTCGTGGACGGTAAGTCGATGGCGGTCGATTTTCCAATGTGAATAAAGCGATCTCGCAGCCCCGGCTGCTTTTCGGTGAGCTGGACCAACACCTCCTTTTCTTGCGTCTTCTTGCGACCTCCAGATACACGTCGCAAGGTTGCGGCCCTCTGCATCCGGGGTCCCAAACCAGTACCTACAACAAGTGTTAGTGTGGTCTCTGGGAGCAATGCGGGCTATCATACTTCAAGAACCCGCCACTTGCAGTTGCTTCAATATGCGCTGCTTTATCCAGCGTGCCTAGCTCCGCATAGACTGTTGTTGGCGGAATCTGCGAACGGAAGGCGACAATATAGAAGGAAGTCTCCTTCCAGACGTAGTTCATCTCCCTAGCAAGATCACGCAGATTTGTCATGACCTCTGCCCAATTGAACGTCTCCAGATACGGGGCAGTTGCGTAGTCCTCCCGGACACATTGCAAGTTGACCAAGGCGAGCGCAAGAAGGTGATTCTCACGATCGAGGCTCCCGAGATCGAGGAGATGGTTTGCATCGGTATAAGGCGAGACAACGAGATATCTGTCTATGCCCCACGCAGGTGTGGTGGTTGCGACCTCGCTACCGGATACCACGACTGCGGATGTCTTCCCGTTTGCGGGATTGATAGTACGGATGGGGGCCACGCATAAAGAGTCTTGGAAAGCGGCCATGACCGAACAGAAGTCAAAACAGCGTGCTTGGTCCACTTGAGTACTATTCGCGGGGGGGGGGGGGGGGGGGGGGGGCAATAAACAGAAGGACGTAACGGACTAGTGGGTTGCGACAGACTCTTATACCATTTGCTCGCCTGGTCTCGGCTGTGGGCGGGCCATGAACTGTAACGGGATGGACAGGTGGGAATTCGGAAGGGGGCGGCTGGAGATAACGACAGGGCGAGGTCGGACGCAATAGAGGTATCCCGGCAGCAGATAGCTGCTGGTAACATCGCGTCGACAAATCGCAAGTCCTTGTCCAGTACCCAGCCATAACCTGACAATTGCTTGTGGATCCCGCAGAGATAGACACCAAGCAAGAGTTTTGAAGCCAGGCCACGGAAACTATGTCGATCGCGCCATTGATTGAAATGGTGGTGCCATTGTAAAGCGCACCAGCGGTCGGCTTGAAACAAGAGCGACTCATTGAGTTTGCCACAGCGTTCGGAAAGGTTGGTAATTGCAAAAGCCGCTTTTAATATTTTCTCTTTCACCTTGACTCGTGCTATTTTCGGTTCTTGTCTCCTATCTACTCTTAGCCGCTTGATGTTTTTCGCTCGTTATTCTCACCGCTAGAGACGGGATACGAAAGTTAGATTTGAGTGGGGCAAAATAACCGCGGCGATATGTCCGTTATCCTTCCGCTCTTAATGAGGAAAAGGATTACTCATTACAAACCGCTCAACTGTGTAGGCTGTCTGTCTATAAGGTGCGTAGGCACTAAAAGGTTGGATGGGTTAGCGTATTCAAGACTAAATAAAGGGCAATCTCCTAATGAGTAATATAGTTGAACCGGGTTGCTACTTTTTTTCTTCTTCTCATTACGCGTATGTAGCCTGTAGAGCTGTAAGGCGGCCTGTTACAATCTGGAACCTTGAGGTTCTACGGAGCTAAGTGTAAGGAAAGAACCCCAACCTACACACGCGACCAGCTTGCACACACACCTAGCGGGCCAATACCTCACTCCTTTGTCATGATCTCTCACCCGCCAGCCTACGCACTCTGTCATGTATTTTTTTTCTTCATTACACGCATGCAGCCTCTAGGGCTATGGCGTGGCCAGTCAAAGGCTGGCGGTCTATCTACCTAGTGTACTAGTAGGAAATAGAGAAAGCAAGAGCTACGTACATCGTTAGGCGCGTGGCCTTATTAACGTAATAGTTTCACAGTAATGGGGTTCCTTTCGCCAGACTTATACTGTACCACCCTCGGGCCTGAATAATAAGGAAAGTGTAGTGTTAGAGGATAAAGGAAATAGATCAATCTTTGCTAACTTCTTCTAGCCATTTCATTGTACAAATCCTCGTACTACTAAAAAGGTCCCCTAGGGCCTTTTTTTCCCTCTGTGGTGTAGAAAAGTATTTGGAGTGTGAGAGGGTAGTTTTTCAGGGCTTTTTTCAAGGCCTTCCGCTCTATAGTGTACTTTTTGCACCGTAGTAGTAGGTGTGCAGGTGTTTGGTCCTCCAGACAACCGGGGCACTCGCTACTTTCTACTTTTTCAATCATCGCTAGATAACTAGCTAAGAAGCCAATCCCGGTCTTCAACTGAATATAAGTGTCACGAACTCCCGTGGCACTGGGCGCAGCGCGCCCTAGTGGGGCACCGGGAGCGGGGTAGTGGGGCCTCAGGCCACCACACGCTAGCGGGCCCGAGAGGATGCAGGAAGCAGTTCGGGCCTAGCCCGAACTGGGGCAGCACTCTCTCCGGGCCTGGCCCGAGCAGAGGAGGTGTTGCCTCTGGGCCTGCTCTCATTGGCCAGTCATGGATAGATATATACGACGACCGTGGCGCCGGTCTTAGATAGTTCTTGCTTGGTTCTTCAAGCAAGCAATACACATTCACTGCACTCATATACTTTGAGTGGCATTCTGATTTGACTGTATTACCCGTGCGATAGGAGCTTGTCCTTTGTTCTATCTTCATAATTACCATCACCAGCATCCTGTGGAGCCCGTGCTCCCTTACAGACAGACGACCCTAACAATCGAGTGGTTTGTAATAATAAGCTGACTGATTTGGTTGGGGTAGTAGTGGTATTGTGGGCTTGAAGTTGTAATTGATTAAGTCCCGGGCTACCCTTCTATAGTGTGTGCCTAAGCCATTGGATTTTTGTCCTATTGCTTCCCTGTCTTCTTGGCTTAGCCAGTCGGTTTTCCAGGATTTTTTCAATAAGGTCTTGGCTTGTCTTCGTAGGTAGGCTAGTGATACATATGCTTCTTTTGTTGTTTTTTTTCTAAGCTGGCCTTAGCTAATTGGTTATTACAAACCACTCGACTGTTGGGGTCGTCTGTCTGTAAGGGAGCACGGGCTCCACAGGATGCTGGGTTGGTAATTATGAAGATAGAACAAAGGGCAAGCTCCTATCGCACGGGTAATACAGTCAAATCGGAATGCCACTCAAAGTATATGAGTGCAGTGAATGTGTATTGCTTGCTTAGAGAACCAAGCAAGAACTATCTAAGACCGTAGCTACGGTCATCGTATATATCTAATTGCGAAACCAATCAGAGTTCTCCCTTACAGTGCTCAGTGCCTCTGGGGCGCTCAGTCTTCCAGGACGACTGAGCTCTCAATGGTAAACATTGGTCTACTACCTCGTTACCAACGATTCCAACGTGGCTAGGGCACCAGTGGACTTCGACTTGGTGGCCTTTTTGGACTAGTAACCTGACTAGCCTTTGGGTCCTTTTTGCATGGTATGTGTAGCTTTCTAACCTCTGGATTACCGCTTGGCTATCCACAAAAATATAGAAGGTGGTAGACGTAGTGGTAGACGTAGTAGACAGCGGCAATCCAGAGGTTAGAAGGCTACACATACCATGCAAAAAGGGCTCAAAGACTAGTCAGGCTACTAGTCCAAAAAGGCCACAAAGTCGAAGTTCACTGGTGGACTAGCCACGTTGGAATCGTTGATAACAAGATGGCAGACCAACTAGCTAAGGCCGGCTTGGAAAAAACAACAAAAGAAGCATATGTATCACTAGCCTACCTACGAAGACAAGCCAAGACCTTATTGAAAAAAAGCCTGGAAAACCGACTGGCTAAGCCAAGAAGACAGGGAAGCAATAGGACAAAAATCCAAAGGCTTAGGCACACACTATAGAAAGGTAGCCCGGGACTTAATCACTTATAACTTCAAGCCCACAATACCACTACTACCTTGACCAAACCAGTCAGCTTATATCCAGTTGAAGACCGGGATTGGCTTCTTAGCTAGTCATCTAGCCAAGATTGGAAAAGTGGAAAGTAGCGAGTGCCCCGGTTGTCTGGAGGACCAAACACCTACACATCTACTACTACGGTGCAAAAAGTATACTATAGAGCGGAAGGCCTTGAAAAAAGCTTTGAAAAACTACCCTCTCACACTCCAAATACTATTCCACACTGCAGAGGGAAAAAAGGCCCTAGGGGACTTCCTTAGTAGTACAAGGATTTGTACAATGAAATGGCTAGAAGAAGTCAGCAAAGAGTGATCTATTTCCTTTATTGTTATCCATATATTTCCTTACTCAGTTGGTTGGTCCTATTGGTATAACACTACACTTTCCTTATTACTCAGGCCCAAGGGTGGTACAGTATAAGTCCAGCGAAAGGAACCCCATTACTATGAAACTATTACGTTAATAAGGCCACGCGCCTAACGATGTACTTAGCTCTTGCTTTCTCTATTTCCTACTAGTACACTAGGTAGATAGACCGCTAGTCTTTGACTGGCCACGCCATAGCCCTAGAGGCTGCATGCATGTAATGAAGAAAAAAAAGACATAGTAGACGTAGTAGTGGTAACGTACTCTACCAGCTACCGAGCCACACCACCTTGGGGAGCCAAAATTCCCCACTTCCCCGGCCCCCTTAACTTACAACAAAATATCCTCACTAACAACTACTTATTCTTACAAACTCGAGCGTTGTGATCCAGGGCACCACAAATACTACACTTTGGAGAGGATCGACGGCGTTTTTGGCCAATCTGGCCGCCTTGGGCTTGCATAGAAGCCTCTGCACCACCTTGGTCAACACTACTACATCGGGCCGGCCTAGCACCCTCTGTACTGCCCGAGCCAGCTATACTATCTTGACCGTCTTGGCTGGCTTAGCTATCGAGGTGGATAATCTTAGCCAGACCCTCTGCAATAGTAAGGGTACCTCCTTTGGCTATATATCGTCGGTGTTGCTTCCTCAGCTTCCTCCGTTGGTTTTCTTCTCGCAAGATTCGATTTTCTTCCGCCAACAAGACACTATTCAGGGCTACCTCTTAATCTTTAACCAGTTGGCTAATAGCTTGTTTTTTTTCTTCATTACATGCATGCAGCCTCTAGGGCTATGGCGTGGCCAGTTAAAGACTGGCGGTCTATCTACCTAGTGTACTAGTAGGAAATAGAGAAAGCAAGAGCTAAGTACATCGTTAGGCACGTGGCCTTATTATCGTAATAGTTTCATAGTAATAGGGTTCCTTTAGCTCGACTTATACTGTACCACCATCGCGTCTAGTTAATAAGGAAAGTGTAGTGTTATACCAATAGGACCAACTAACTGAATAAGGAAATATATGGATAACAATAAAGGAAATAGATCAATCTTTGCTGGCTTCTAGCCATTTCATTGTACAAATTTTCGTACTACTAAGGAAGTCCCCTAGGGCCTTTTTCTCTTGGTGGTGTGGAATAGTATTTGGAGTGTGTCACGAACTCCCCTGGCACTGGGCGCAGCGCGCCCTAGTGGGGCACCGGGATCGGGAGCGGGGTAGTGGGGTCCCAGGCCACCACACGCTAGCGGGCCTGAGGGCATACGGGGAGCAGTTCGGGCCTGGCCCGAACTGGGGAAACATCACCTCCGGGCTTGCCCTCATTGGCCAGTCATAGATAGATATATACGACGACCGTGGCACCGGTCTTAGATAGTTCTTGCTTGGTTCCTCAAGCAAGCAATACACATTCACTGCACTCATTCACTTTGA